CCGAATCCGTTTCAGACGACCCGCAGCATCCGCCATTTGAACTTGCAAACGAGCAAACTCTTGATGAAGCGCGAATAGCTCCTCACCCGCTTTCTCTTCTTTCTCATCCCACTCCTTTTGCTGAGAGTTCAACTTCTGAACTAGAAGCAAACATTAGCAACCCCCAGAACAGCGAAAACACAAAAACACGACTTACGAGTAGACGCCACGAGGACGCCGTCACAAGGTTTCTTCGCCTCGATGCAAGTCCTACAGCGTGTAGACTTCTCGCCAAAACGACACGGGACCTTTGCACGGAAACAACGAGTGCAAGGCATGTCGCTAGCAATCGATCGGGACTCCACGTATTCAATAAGCGCAGCTCTCTCACGATCTTTTATCACAGTCAAGTGCGACTTTGTCTTTCGAACGCGACCTGACATGGTGTCAGCATCATGAAAAACAAAGGAAGCAAATTTGTGGATCCCCAACCTGGGACCAACGACCTACTTATACTCAGGTCTCGAGGACAAGACCTTTAAGAGGGGAGCTGATGTTACGACCCGACAGTTAACAGACCACTGACGACGACCCCGCAGGGGCTCAGCGGTTATAGGGACGGCCGTCAGCCGTTACGTCGTAACAACCCCCACGGAACGGAAGAACTAGGATACAGGTCACGTGACGATAAGCAGGACCGACGGACGATAAGCGGTCCTGGGACAGGACCGACGGTGCCAAGGGCGGTCCATGGCGATGGACCGACGTCCTGGGTGTCGGTCCCCCAGGATCAGGAAGTGTTCAGCATGGAACCAGACTTGTATATAGTTGGGACTCGAGTCCTCTCGAGTCCTACCTTTCCTAGTTCTTCAGCAATCAACTTTGTGATTACCCTAACCGGTACTTTCAGCTATACCTAAGTGACGACTACTCTACGACTCTTGTTGAGGCCTTGACTGATCACCAAGACCTTTGAAGATCTACGATCTATTCGACCAGGACCACGGAACGACTGTTACTACTCTCAATCCCTGGCTTACTGTTAACACAAACCCACTGTCAGTTAGCTGGCCGTAACAAATCTCTTCACCGCTGTCTGTATACGAGATTATGGACCCGGAAAGCCCACTGATAGCTGATGGCTCTGATGTTGCCGTAGTCCAGAATGCTCCGCTGCTTCGAGAAACAAAGATTTCCTTGACTGAACTCGGCATGGTCACATACTTTGCTTTTCGGTGCTGGCCGTGGCAGTTGGCCGTGACCAGAGTTTGGAAGCATTGGTCGATTGCGGTTGGATGTATGAGGTAGTTTGACGGATCATCCATGGGGTGCACACGGGCTGTTGCTTGTGGTGTTGAAGGGCTCACGCTGATATTGTCAAGCCCCCTAAACGTAGGGCCGTAAGTAAAACCTCGATCTTGGACACTTTTATACCAGTATTGAGGGGAAATGATTCGTGGGAAGACCTGTTTTTGAATATCGCGCCGAGGCCGGTGCGGGAATGGGCCAGCACTAACCACTGCGTTACAGTGCTCAGTCCAAACGTCGCCCTTCCAAGATGTTACTTGAACGGCGTAGGATGAAGAGTCCGCAAGACGTCTAAGCCTAGTGTGGATTTCGACTGTATTACCGGGTTCCAAGTGCAAAGCGGCGAAAACTTTAAAGTCTTTGGCCGAGAAGGACTCCAATACGCCTCCAGAGACTTGACGTAGAGCCTCCTCAGCTATTGACAGATGTGGGTGGCAGGCCTCGCCGGCCCGTCACGTGGGCTGACGGCCGCCACCACTGGTCTTAGCCAGCCTCCACAGCCCTCTAGCCAGTTAGTTAGTTCTTCCAACCAACAACACCACTTTTCCCATTCTGAGCGTTCTGTGCTGGTTTCGCCCACAGGTTATGAGCCCAGCGTTATTCTTTCGGAATAACGTCGTTTTACCCATTATTCTACTCGTCTGTCAATTTTCTATTGATTCACGAATTTTTGCGATTTTATTCGCTTTATTTACCCTTCTGTGCGATTTTCTCGCTTTCTTTCCTTCCTCTTCGCTGACGAATTTCACTTTCTGACGCGACATTGGCTGCCTGGCGCGCACGAATATCACGTGGCACGCGACCGACCACCACAACCCACTGGTTTTCACGAACACCACGGTCAACAACAGACTTTTCAGTCACAACTACAACTTTTACTTCGATTCCTCGTTTTTCACGAGAATTCAACCATTTCAGCTTCGGTTTTTCGAACCAGCCCATCAGTTTCTCGTATCTTCTACGAGTATTCATTCTTCCCTTCGATTCACCGTATTTCTACGGTCGGATCTCACAATTCCACCCATTTCTCGTATTCTTACGCAAGATTCTCCCTCCTACACAATCCAACAGCACGCGTAGGTGGCAGCGAAAGTAAGCCATCTAACGTACAGACACGCCTCCAAAGCTGCGGCCTCGGAGAAACGCCTGTGATCGAGGTGCGACTATAAGTCTGTCCCGCACTGTTGTGATACCCTCACTTTCACTTCAAGATGTCTCAAAACGACTTCAAGACCGTCTTCACGCCTCTTCCTCGCCTGAAAGGTGAATCCAACTGGAACACATGGCGCATGCTTGTTACAGCGACCCTGCGAGGATACGACTTCGAGATATTCCTCGAGACTGACGTCCCTCGCCCTGCTGACCCTATCGCTGCAGAGGAATGGAGAAAGAACCGTAACGTCACGAATGGTCTCCTCATGAACGCCAGCGAATCGGTTCTTGACAGACTCTGCACAGCGGGTTGGGTTGACGATGGAAACCCTTACGAATTGTGGCAGGCGCTCGAGAAGCACATTCCGAGAATCTCACAAGACGCCACAGCTGCCCTTGTTGACGAGTTTGCCAAGACCACCGCCAACGATCACAAGACTCTTCACGATGCCCTCAATCGCTGTCACCACCTCAGAAAGCGTATTGAGACCATTCACGGTCGTCTGCCAGACTCCTTCCTCGCTGTTTTCCTCCTTAACTTCTTTAAGGACCGACTTCCCGATACGTATAAGCATTTCACATCGAAGGGCGCCACCCATCCCACGTGGAATGAGGTGGCTGATACGATTTACACGCTTGCCCAAGACGAGGATCAAAAGCGCAGTTATGCCACTATTCGCAACACACCTGGAGGCAAGTCTGCTGGCAGTGGGGGTCCTGCCTCTCCAGCCGTCACCACCACCGTCACCTCCACTGTCACTGCCTCCAAGGAAAAGAAGAAGTGCGACCACTGCAACTGTGATCACGAGACCACAAAGTGCTATGTCGCCCACCCCAATCTCATCCCTCTACACTACGTCAACCGGGATAAGTTGATTGAAAAAGCGAGAAAGCACGTGTGTGGCGATCGCTGCCGCTGGGATCAGCCTACTTCTGTTGATGGCACCCGCCAGACTGTTGTCAGAGCGTCACCTGCCATCTTGGGTCAGTCTGCCCTTGCCTCCAGCAGTTTTCACTGCTGCCCGCGATGACCTCATCACCCGAGACGATATCGTTCTCGATTCTGGTTGTACTACTTCAACCTTCAACAACTTGCGATATTTCGTCAAGTACGCTGAAAAGAGCGATTTGACACCTTCCACTTCTGCCTCCGGCGCCCCAGTCCGGTCACTTGGCGTGGGCACCGTCTTCTTCCAGACCCAAGACCCCACCAACCCTGACGTTATTCACGATTGGACACTTCACAACGTTGAGTACAACCCTTCCAGCCCAGCCAACTTACTGAGCCCTGGAAAACTTCGTCGTGATCACGTGGAATATGATTGGCAGACCTCAAGCCTCATACACGTGACACAGCGCACTTCCCTTGCCAAAGTTCATTGGGTTTCTGACGTCTGCGTCGTTGAGACTCATGATACTGGAAATCACGTGCCTCGAGATATTGCTGTCAGCCTCGCCGCCTTCCGGGCTACCCAGCGACCGTCTCTTGAACTGATGCACCGCCGGCTGGTTCACGCCCACCCATCACGTGTTGTGGAGGCTTGCCGCCGTGTTGGCATTCGGTTCACAACGTCAGAAATTGACGCTTTCTTCTGTGAGTCTTGCCATCTCAGCAAATCCACTGAACGGATTAGTCGAGACCACCCACTTCCACTTACGAGTATTGGCGATGAAATTCACCTTGATCTCGTTGGTGTTCTTCCCCTATCAACAAAAGGGAACCGTCAGGTTCTACACCTCATGGATAAGTATAGTGGTTACCACTGGGTTGTTTTTCTGCCCAACCACAAGTTTGCCACCATCCTGGCAGCTATCAAGAAATGGGATACTGAATTCTACAGTCTCACCGGCCTCAAGCCCAAGGTTTGGGTTTCTGACAATGCTCCCGAGCTAATCAAGGTTTTCAACGACCCCTACTTCGAGGGTACTCGCCACAACACGACTATTGCCTACACGCCTTCCATGAACGGTACTATTGAGCGTGCTGGTCGTACCATCGTCGAAGGCGCCCGGACACAGCTGATTGACATGTCCCTTCCAGAGGAACTGTGGGATTACAGCATCGATTCGGTGACTCAGATTCTCAACCTCTTGCCCACACCCTCCAAGGGTAACTTGAGCCCTCACGAGATCATGGCGAGAGAGCTGAACTTGGCTGCTGAACGTGAGGCCCCCCACATTGAACATCTCCGAACGTTTGGCTGTGCTGCCTACGTACACAAGAAGGGCCCTCGACGCCCTATGCGCTCTGCCAAGATGGAACCACGAGCAATCAAGGGATTCCTCGTCGGTTACGGTTCTCTTCGTGGCCACATTTACTACGTTTACCTGCCTGATCGAAAGGAGGTTATTCGCTGCAGAGATGTTCGATTTCGTGAGGAACCGCACAAGACAGTGTTGCCTCCAACTACTGGCACACCCAACATTGATGAAATTGAACATGATGCTGCGTTTGTCGAACCAGATATCATCATCCAGTACACCATCCGTCAGAAGCCTATTGAAGGTGAAAACCCGTGACTGGTGATCCCAAACCAGATGAGACCATCGTTGAAAAAGCGATGGCACCCACTGATACACATCTCATGTCTCCGCCACCAGAGAACCTGTTGGAGACCACTGCTACACCTCGTGACAGCATTACTAACGAATTGAATGATGACGAATTCGTCGCTTCCGTGGAAACAATGGAAACTGATCACCAGGACCCTGATTCCCTCTCCACGATTGTTGAGGAAGCAACGAGTCAACCGGCAGAGTCCTCTCGACCTCGCCGCGCCTCAGCCCAGCGACCACCTGGTCACTACCGAGCCGCCAGTGGCGTACGCTCCTATGCTAAAAAGACTTTTCTATCTGCTGACATTCCAGCTTCACTAACTTCTCGTCAATTCTCTCTCAGCGTGCTTTCTGCTACTGCCCTTTCGAAAGTCCTACCCGACGGCGTGGTGATCCCGAAGTCCTACCGTGAGGCGCAGAAGAGCCCACAGTGGCCCCAGTGGGAACAAGCCTTCGAACGAGAGATGACTCAATTCACGGAAAAGGGGGTTTACGAAGTCGTTTACCCACCACGTGACGCTAAAGTCCTGCCCGGCAAGTGGGTATGTGACATCAAAACCAACAAAAACAACGAAATCGTGCGCTACAAGGCCCGATATGTGGTTTGTGGAAACCACGAGAAAGGTGACTGGTCATCGCAAGAGGTTTACGCTGCAGTTGCCTCTGCCACCGCAACCCGCCTTTTCTTCGCAGTTGTCGCACTTCTCGATCTTGAATACGAAGTATATGATTTCGACACTGCTTTCCTAGCCGCCTCGATTCCAGAGGGGGTTAAGGTGTACGTCCGGCCCCCCGCTGGCTACGCCACTGCAGACAACAAGGTTTGGCTGCTCCACAAGGCACTCTATGGATTGAGAAAATCACCACTTTGGTGGTTTCGACTTATCAAGGGTGAAATGGAACGAATTGGCTTCACTGCTGTTGATGGGGAGGTTTGTCTCTTCGTCAATCACAAGATTAAAGCGTACGTTCTTATGTACGTCGACGACAACGCCATCGCCGCTCCCAACAAGCAAGTCATGATGGAAGTTCGTCGTCTCCTCGAGAAGGTCTGTTCTCTTAAAGACCTCGGCGAGGCTACCGATTTTCTCGGTTTCCAGATTGAACGCGACAGAGCTGCCGGTAAGATTTTCGTTTCCCAAGCCAAGTACGCAAAAGCAGTGCTTCAACGATTCGACTTTGATGGTTTGAGTGCTGTCAAGACGCCTATGGCGACCACTGACGATCTGCCCGTCACCTGGGACAAGAACGAGTGCTCGCTTGACGAACAACAACTTTACATCGAACAAACCGGCTGCCTTAACTTCCTGGTGGCTGGAACTCGCGTTGACATGGCCTACACCGTCAGTAAATTGTCACAGGCGAATTCAGGGCCTTCTAAGGCCCATCTTCGTGCTATTAAGCACTTATTCCGATACCTCAAGGGCACCGTTTATCTCGGTATTGTACTTGGAGGCATCCCCACGATCAACGAGTTGGGGCTCTACGCTGCTGCAGATGCCTCTTTCGCTGACAACAAGCCATCACGAGTCTCGACAGGTGGTTACGTCGTCTTCCTCGCTGGTGCGCCGATTGCTTGGAAGTCAAAGAAACAGACTTTCGTGACTTTGAGCACCACGGAGGCTGAATTCATCAATCTCACACCTACGGCAATTGCTGTGAAGTGGATCAGACGTTGCCTCTCCCAACTGCTCGGCAAACCCATCACCACGCCTACTATCATGTTCACTGACAGTGCCAACGGCTACGACAACGTCATGAACCCACTCAACGAGGCACGAACCCGCCACATCGACGTCCGATACAAATGGATCATACAGGAGGTTCACACTGCGAAAAGCATCGAACTCCGACTCATCAAGGGCGCTGATATGGCCGCCGATGGACTCACGAAGCCACTGGTTGCGGTCAAACACAAGGAATTCGTTCGTTTGTTGGGCATGGCGGAGGGATTGGATTGAGAGGGGGATTTTGAGACTGTGGGACTATTGATATTGAGACTTCGGGATTCGGAGGATTTCACGGCCTCCTATTGGCCAGGTTTAACCGGTAATTGACCGAGTTTTCTAATAGTTGAGAACTCCTCGGATTTGGAGGATTTGGGACTTTTCCTGTATTTCCTATTATTCTACTGCTTTTTCGCTGAGGAGTCTGAGAGGGGGTGTGGGTGGCAGGCCTCGCCGGCCCGTCACGTGGGCTGACGGCCGCCACCACTGGTCTTAGCCAGCCTCCACAGCCCTCTAGCCAGTTAACGTCCCACACCCACATTTGGGCACCCCATTTACACCAAAAACGCCGTTTTTCGAAATTCTATATTAAACTAACTACTATACTTACTAAGAAAAGAAAATATATATAAACTATGTTAAGTATAATTATAGCCATCTAATTTTTTATAAAGGTTTAAATATAATAATAGTTATAATATAGAAGTTTAAAACTAAAAGCTTTAAAATGTTAGTAGATACTAGTAACTTACTAGTATTCCTTAACATTAGAAAAATATATTTTCGCTTATATATACTTATTTAAAAAATCTAGGAAATTAATATTTATACTTATTAAAAGTATATAATTATATCTAAAAGAGATTTAAAAGTATTACTTTAGTAAATATAGTATAATTAAGGGAAATTTTAAAATATTATTCTAAGCTTAAAGAATTTTTTACTAAGTATAAGAATATATAAATCTACTATATCTTACTTAAAAATTCTAATCATATTAGTTAAATATCTCTACCTATTTTATATATTAAGATATAGGCTAGGTAAATTAGTATTATAAATGTTAAACCTTGAATTTATAATACTTATTATCAATAATACTAGTATATAGCTACTTAAGTATTATAATTAAGTCTTAATCTATTTAATATATATTTATTCTCTTTAATAAGTAAAGTATTTAGTTTAATATAGAATTTCGAAAAACGGCGTTTTTGGTGTAAATGGGGTGCCCAAATGTGGGGGGTGCCCAGAAGTGGGTGTGGGACGTTAGTTAGTTCTTCCAACCAACAACACCACTTTTCCCATTCTGAGCGTTCTGTGCTGGTTTCGCCCACAGTTTGAGACCCAGTTTATCTTTCGATACGCTTGGCTGCACGCCTTGGGTTCAGCTTACTGTTAAGACGTTCTGAAGCTACCTAATCTATTAAGGTTGGAGTACAAAACATCAGACTTCAATAGTCCTCCATGTTAATAACAGTGGTTTTTATACTTTCTAACTCGACGCAGTGCCATGTGGGAAACTAGGATGGCATTGGCTGGGTACGGAGACCAAAATATGTGCCGCGGGCCGAACGGCTTGCGTCTCCCAAGAGCAGAATGCGCTTTATCATTGGACCTCCTATCTTACAGTGTCATGTTGGCTACGTAATTGTTCTGGAAAACCTTGACACTCTCTCTGTCTCTTTTTCCATTTTGCTATTGCCTGTTCGAGAGGTTTACGCTTTACGATTCCTGAATTTCACATGTTCTAGTACACTCTGGCGAAAATGGATGGTTCTCCCGTGAGACCCGTTGGTAAGCTGCGTTATATACAGATATTTGGTGATTGATTCTAACACAATCATTTTGTATAGGACATTTGGAGAAGTTTCTGATTCATCAGCACCTTGTGAGGTTCTACAACAACGTGCAAGTCACTGCAGTTTATACTGTTCCAAATACCGAATTCAAATTCAACAACGACGACATCCAATGGCTTGTTTACAAAGCTATAGGGAAAACGTTGAATCGTCATCCAATCCTAGGAGTTGCTGTTAGAAATGAAGACAGCCCACAGCCAGAGTGGATAAGACTCGAACGGGTCGATCTTCGGGAAATCGTACGATTCATCGAGACGGAACCAAACATGACGAATCTCGATGCTTGGATACAAGATGAACACCAAAATTCTTTCCACAAGCCTCAAGAGCTTCCCCTCTGGCGGTGTACAGTGGTTGTTCCTCCCCAAGCGCCTGAAACAGTGGATGCTGTGGTCTTTGCTCTTTCATTCTCGTTCCATCATGCCGTTGGTGATGGTTTGTCTGGGGCAGCTTTTCAGAAGACGTTTCGCCAATCTTTGAATGAGATTATATCCTCAGTTGAGACTATTCGCAGTGATTTTGATCTTACCGGAAAGGAGGTATTGGAGGTGCCCAAACTCGCCTTGGTGCCATACCTCGAAGAAAGCATGGCGCTTCCTCTCACTCCACTTTTCATGCTAGGAAAGGTGTTTAAAACGTATCTGTTTTCTCCCGTAGATACGCAAGAGTGGTCTGGGCCCTCTATTCGGGATATCCGACCACCCATTAGCCATCTTCGAAGTTTTCATCTGCCACAGGAAGTCGTGAGAAACTTACGAAGTGGTTGCAGAAGGCACCAAACAACAATCACGGCTCTTATCACAGTCATTGTGGCTCGGGCCTTGGCTTTGTTACATCCCACTCATAGTCGATTTGTTGGTGCAGTACCATTCTCGCTAAGGAAGTTTTCGAAGCATTCGCCAGATGACATGGGATGCTACACAGCAATTGCGGAACCATACTTTTCTTCAGAGAGAAGCCCGCCATGGGGCTACATCTCATGCCGATCCAACGGCAGGCCTAATTCGTCAAAGGGTCTTTCTAAAGACGACTCACTGTGGAGAGCCGCTCAATCATGCAAAGACGTTATCCGCACAAGAAGTGAGTCAACTTCGAACCTCTCTGTTGGCTTGACAAAGTTTGTCGGCGACTACCGACAGCACTTCTTGAACATGATTGGAGAGAAAAGACGGCATGCCTTTACCGTTACCAATATCGGAGTCATTGACGGCGGTATATCCCTACCGGTGGCTCTACAAGGCGATGAAAAGGCAGTTTGTGACCGATTGCTATTTTCTGTAGGGGCATCAACGAACGGCTCTCCGTATTCTGTTTCCGTAGCATCCGCTACCAACGGTTATATGTCTGTTACTTTAAATTGGGAGAAAGAAACAGTGGAAGAAAGCGACGCAAATAGCCTTCTGGAATCTTTAGACAGCGAACTGAATCGTCTAGCTCAACTCGAGCTGGAGGTATAAGTCATTCTGAGCTGGGAAATTTTATTAAACAAATGTATATTCGTCTGTAAAACCGAATGTTACACTATTGTTTCAAAACATTCTGTGAAAAAAGATTGGAATATGTACTGCATCTTGAGATAATATGCACAAGCGAGCTGGTCGGGAAAAAGTAGGCGTCCGGGGCCCCTGGGTCTGTTCCAATGCAACATGATTCAGGGTCTCACGCTTTCCCCCATTAAGATTTAACATACTCATGTGATTTTAGGTGTGTTATATACTTGCTCTTACAACCTACGTAAAGTTTGAATGATGGGCTGTCCCTGAACTTTCCCGATGAGGGGGGTCGCTTTATCCTGATCCGCCCTCAACCTCCGCTTTCCTGGAGCATTTGATGATCTCCGTTCGCATTCGTAGAATCGAGGTGATTCAACACAGAAAAGGCAGACGCAAATGATGAAACGAGATATTGAAGATATTGAAATGTCTGCTACCCCGCCAGATGGCGAGTGTAATACTGATGAAGCGGAATCAGACACAGCCAGACGGCCTGCTGCTGCTGCTAGGGGACGTCTTTGGAATCCGCTCAAGTCTCGCGTAGTTCCGCCGGTGCCATGCCAACGACAGCAGCCATCGCGAGAGTGGTCAGCTGGGTTTTTCAGCAAACTCACGTTCAACTGGCTTACACCGCTGATACATGTAAGCCCCGACCGGTCATCAACTAATACCTGTGCTAATAGCGAAGTTTCTAGCTTGGCTACCAGCGACCATTGGAAATAAATGACATCTGGCTGGTGAATCCTCAACGAGGTGTAAAGGGCTTGGAAGAAGACTTTGAAACTCGGTTTGCCAAGGAAATCACCAAGGGGAGCCCTCGGCCACTGCTATCCGCGCTTTACTTCACATTCAAGACCAAGTTTCTCCTAGGAGCCCTCTTCCAGTTTATGGCGATCGTAGCCCAAGCTGTGAGCCCGTATATACTGAAGTACATCATCGCCTTCGCCACAGATGCATTTAATTCACAACGAGACGGGAAACAAGGCCCATCTGTAGCCTACGGCATTGGATTGGTCATCATAATTACAGCTTTGCAAGTTTTGATGAACGTTTGCACTAATCACTTTCTTTATCGAGGTCTGACGGTTGGTGGAGAGGCTCGCGCTGTCATGATGTCACGGATTTTCAGCAAGTCGCTTCGATTATCGGCTCGTGCAAAGGCAGGAGGTTCCGTCCCTTCGCCTGGTAGCGTCAAGACCGAAAGCGACACAAAGGATCAGGAGAATCCGGACGAGGGATGGAGCAATGGCAGAATCATCAACCTGCTGTCAACAGACGCATCGCGCATCGACCAGGCATCTAGCTTCTTCCACATCATCTGGTCATCACCGCTATCGCTTATCATTACAATCATTCTCTTGTTGATCAATCTTGGATATTCTGCGTTGCCGGGATTAGGGATCCTATTTATCTCGACACCGCTCTTCGGCGTCGTCGCTCGTAGCCTTTTCAAGAGACGGAACACCATCAACAAGCTCACAGATAAGCGCATCAGCATCATTTCCGAGACTCTACAGTCCATTCGCTTCATTAAATTCTTCAATTGGGAGCTTAGCTTTCTACAACGCATCGAACACATACGAAAAGAGGAAATCAAATCCATACAAGGCCTGTTGGCTCTCCGCGACGCCGTACAATCGACGGGCATGGTTATTCCTGTCTTCGCTTCCATGCTATCGTTCATTACATATGCAATGACTGGTAATCACCAGCTAAGCCCAGCTCCTATCTTCTCATCACTTGCACTTTTCAACCAAATGCGTTTTCCGTTGAGTATCCTTCCAGTGGCTTTGGGTCAGGTCATCGATGCCCTGGCTTCTACGAAGCGAATTCAGGAATTTCTCCTAGCTGAGGAGGCCATGGAGGATGCAGAAGTGGATTACAATAACAAAAACGCCATAGTTATTGAAGACGCAACATTTGTATGGGAGCAAACCAAGTCTCGACAACCCTCCGAAGATTCAGGTTCAGACGAAAAAGATCCTGTAATTCCCGATTCGTTGGTGAACGAAGAGCCATTTCAGATTTCTGGACTTGACCTTACGGTCGGCCGTTCAGAGCTGATTGGCGTCATCGGGACCGTGGGCTCTGGTAAAAGTTCTCTCTTGGCTGCCCTCGCTGGAGGCATGCGGAAGACGTCAGGCTCTGTGACATTCGGTTCTACAAGGGCGTTTTGCCCTCAAAACGCATGGATTCAGAACGCTACCGTTAGAGACAACATCATCTTTGGTAGGGAGTTCAACCGCGACCTGTACGACATGGTTACCCAAGCATGTGCTCTTCGAGCAGACTTTGAGATGCTTCCTCACGGAGACGAGACTGAGATAGGAGAGCGTGGCATCACGATCTCCGGTGGCCAGAAGCAACGCATCAACATCGCCCGAGCCATTTATTTCAACTCTGACATTGTCCTTATGGACGATCCTCTTTCTGCTGTCGACGCCGAAGTTGGCCGTCATGTCATGGACCAGGCGATATGCGGGCTGTTAGCAGACAAATGCCGTATTCTTGCCACACATTCTCTACATGTGCTTCATCGATGCGACAGAATCATCTGGTTGGACAGTGGGCGTATCAAAGCCGAAGGCACCTTTCAGAAGCTGATGGAGCAGAACAATGAGTTCGTCCAACTAATGACTTTAACCTTTCAGAGCAGTGAGAAGGCAAAGATTGTGACCATCGATGATGCTCCCGTTGCAAATAAAGAAGAGGTTAACGAGCAAAGACCTGCAGAAGCTTCAAAATCATCAACGAACCAGATTGGTCTTATGCAAGACGAGGATCGCGCTATAGAAGCCGTCCCATGGCATGTCTACATTGGATACCTTAGAGCAGCAGGCAGTCTTCTGATTGCGCCACTGGTTCTATTCCTGCTTGTAATATCACAGATTTCTTATGTAGGCACTGGCCTGTGGCTTTCTTGGTGGACGGCTCGCCAGTTTTCTTTACCCCTGAGCGTATGGGTAAGTCTGATACCTGAATAGTGGTCGACTTACTCAATTATGGTGCTGACAGCTTCCCCAAGCTCGGAACATACGCAGGTCTCGGCTTTGCCCAAATCATATCATTATTCGCCTTCTTTGTCTGCGTCTCCATTTCAGGCACGCGGGCAAGCAAAATCATGTTCGACCGCGCTTTGAGCCGAGTCCTTCGGGCACCCATGTCCTTTTTCGACACGACGCCTCTCGGGCGAATCACCAATCGCTTCTCCAAGGACGTCGACGTAATGGACAACAAGCTCACCGACTCTCTAAGGATGTATTTCATGTCAATCGGTAACATCGTGGCGACCTTCGTCTTGATTCTCGCCTACTTCCATCTTTTTGTGGCAGCCTTGGTGCCGCTCGTCATCTTTTACTTCGTCGCCACGTCATACTACCATTCCTCGGCACGCGAGATCAAGCGCCACGAGGCCATCCAGAGATCCAACGTTCTTGCAAAAGTCAGCGAGGCCGTATACGGGACTTCGACGATCCGAGCATACGGCGTACAGAGCCATTTCGTCGAGACGGTACGGCGGAACATTGACCATTTCGACGGTGCATACTTTCTTACCTTTGCCAATCAGTGCTGGCTAGCGATCCGGTTAGATGCGGTCGGTATAGTCATGATTTTCGTCATTGGCATCCTCATTGTGACCTCTCGGTTTACTGTTCATCCGAGTATCGGTGGCCTTGTCTTGTCTTATATGCTCGCCATCGTAAATATTTGCAGCTTTGCAATTCGGCAAATGGCGGAGGCCGAGAACGACATGAACAGCACCGAGAGAGTCTACTACTACGGTACTGTTCTTGAGGAAGAAGCACCACTGCATATCGGGCAAGTTCCTTCCAGTTGGCCGCAAACCGGGGAGATTGTTTTCAAAGACGTTCAGCTACGATATCGTCCAAAGCTGCCACTGGTCCTCAAGGGCATAAGCCTCCACATCAAAGCCGGTGAGAGAGTTGGTATCATCGGGCGCACAGGCTCCGGGAAATCCACCATTATACAAGCATTGTTCCGGATAGTGGAACTCTCGGGCGGCTCCATAACTATTGACGGGGTTGATACCAGCCAGATCGGACTGGCGGACTTTCGGTCTCAACTTGCAATTATTCCTCAAGATCCAACCCTTTTCGAGGGCACCGTCAGATCCAATCTGGATCCTTTCAATGAGCATAGTGACCTGGACCTCTGGTCAGCACTAAGAAAGTCTGGTCTCGTGGATGGTGATGATGTGGGCGACATAAAGCTCGACAGCGTGGTCGAGGAGGAAGGCCTCAACTTCTCGCTCGGCCAGCGTCAGCTCCTGGCCATGGCTCGAGCCTTGGTGAAGGACTCCAAGATCATCGTGTGTGACGAGGCAACAAGCTCCGTTGACTTTTCGACCGATGAAAAGGTCCAACAAACCCTGGGGGCCCTGAAAGGAAAGACATTCCTTTGCATTGCTCACCGGCTCAAGACAATCATTGGGTACGATCGAATTTGCGTCATGGACCGCGGTCATGTGGCTGAGCTGGACTCTCCCATCGATTTGTACGACCAGGGTGGGCTTTTCAAGAACATGTGTGATAAAAGTGGCATCAAGAGGGAGGATATCCTGAGCAACAGGGGATATAGATGATCCAGTCAAAAGACTTTACACTCGCGTGGTTGAAGGGGAAACATATCGGACAACAAGATTTAGGTACTCCAACGTTCCTTACCGGAGGCATTTAGGGAGTTATGAATATATATTTTACAGTAGACTCTAGTTCTTCCTGGAAGTTGCTAGCTTCCAAGGGCTAAATAACTACATGCCAGCTACTGGCGACATATCAATCGTTATCAGAAATAGGTACCTTGCGTCCACCACACGAAACCTACGGGTAGGACCAGTCTCTCATTAAATAAGCGGCATATAAGCAACCAGTTACAATCATGGTAATCTCTACCTGGTATCCAGTTCATAAATACAGATCCTCTGGCGAGCCTGTACTTCTTGATGACAGATTCCAATATCTCTTGCAGCCACTCAATGCCGGACTTTCCATCTGCAGTTCTGCAGCCACTTCTATGCAGCCATCGTGAATATTCATAAGGGCCTAGTTACTTTATAGAGCTTTTATTTAAATTTGTTATTCTAGTCTACCAAGCTTAAGTTTTAAACTACAACGTGAGTATCTGTAGTCTCTGTCCAGTGACGCTGCCGCCGTCGGATATATCAAAAAAAACACATAAAACAGCCAAACCATGCAACCACCCTTTATGCCCTTCATACTCCGCGATATATGCAATTCATTCAACCGTGACTCGTCTTCCTTCATACCATCAATCATCACGATACATCCCTCCTCACGGGCGGGAGGACCAGCTCGTCCCGCCCCATTGCCTCAACGATGCCCTCCTTGCCTCTCCATAGATATCTCACGTGTAGCGCCTTCCGCCTCAGCGGCGCGGGGTCCCAGAAGCCCAGCAACGAGCCCTTGCGCACACCCGCCGGAATACGCAGCTTTCCGTCATCGACGAGTGCAGCGACTGCCAGCGTGACGTCGGCGACCTCCTCCGCAGCCCAATCCACGCCCTCTTTGACGCCAAACTTTGCGCTCAGGATGACGAGGCCTCCGCGTTGGCGTTCCACACGCTGGCGAGCCTCGACGGGACCAGCAAGAATAGCGGCGATTTCATCTGCCGCGGCGCGTTTGCGGGCGACGTAGGCATGCAAGTCAACATCTTTTGGTGCGGCCCGTTTGGGTTTGGCGAAGAAGTGCTTGGCGGCGAAGGCAAGGAGGGGGACGACGCTGGCGTAGAAAAAGACCGAGGGGCTATACTCTGCGCGCGGTGAAAGGAGGACGGGCACACTTAGCCGCTGGCTGAGACGCGACCAGTAGACGGAGAGGTGTAGGCTGTGCAGGCTGACGCCGAACTCAAGTCCGAGCTTGGAGAACCGGCCGATGTTCCAAAGATTCCGTACAGCTACGTAGCGGTCGAGGAGGGTATTGGAGCACAGCTCCACCTCGAGCCTGGTTGGTTTGGTCCCGGGTAAAGGCAAGTCGCGGCCGTACCGCAGGTAGCCCGCAATGGTGTCTGCCGTAAGGGATGCAGAAACGGTCCATGAGCCGTCGTTGCTGATGCTATTCTCGTAATCCAAACCGCGAATGCCACATTCACCCCTCGGGGAATCCTCGTGTCCTGCTGAAGGCACCCGCTCGGGCGATGTCGTGTAGCCTACCTCGAAGCTTGCGGACGTCTTCATTGGAAATTCGGTGAGAAGCTGACTCTTGCTAACCTGAGAGAAATCGGTGAGGAATTTGATCGTCTCACCAGGCCATACGCTCCAGTCGCCGCTGTCAGCGAACGCATACGCGGTTCCGGCGCCGAGCCAGCGGTGGATACCTAAGCCGACACGGGGTGATTCGCGAAGCCATTGCCGTCCCGACCGCAGGCTCCCCTCAAGAACGATTGGGTTTGGGCTGTTAGCGACATGTATCGGGTGGGAAACTCTGGCTGTCAATGAAGACTCCGGGAGAACCTCGCTTTCCACCTCAATGCTCGTCTTAGCGACGCGGTCTTCGGCGGTCCTGTGGATGATGTCCTGCCGGACTTTCAGGCTGATGAGGGGACACGGGCGCTGCTCCGCCAGCTGGATAATCCGTTTGCGAGGTATTGTAAGGGGAAGTAATGGCTGATAGCGATCCGCCAACAGCGGTAATGGGATCCGATAAATCTCCTCGACGATACCGTAGACAGAGCCAGTCAAGGTGATTTGTGGTGGGGGGAAGTATACCAGAGACTCCCGCGCCTGGTCAACCTCAATCAGGCCTTCATTGACCGCAATGGACGGCACTCGCTTAGAAGCCGACGGTATACGCTGGCTCGGACGAATCGATCTCTCAACCAACCTTCCTAGGCCCGGAAGCCCAACAGTAACCGAGTGGCTTAGTGTAAAATCCAACGGCGTCACGGCGGAGCTCTGACTCGCCATTCTAGAGGCATCAAACCGTATTCCCAGATCTGAGGATGTTTGCACCACGTCCGCCGCTCTCTGTCTCAACTGGTCCTTTAACGACAAATCATACGCATATCTGTAGTCCTCGTCGACCGGAAAAACTGGCGTGTGCGTCAGGTCGCGAAGCTGGCTCGCATCATATAGCGCTCTTCGGTGCGGGTCGATCAATGTCTCGAAGCCACGCTGAACCGAGTCAAACCACGGCTGCGCAACGGCATGCAGGTTCTCCGGTAACCCGTCCTTGTGCAGGAAGAGCAGCAGGCGATGGTATGCTTTCCTGACCTGTTCCGGGGTGAGTGACGGGTCCTTTGGCAGACACATCAGATCATAGTAGTCGCCCTCCACGCCGTCGACATCCTGTAGGGCGAAGTCGCTCAGCGCGATTGTACTATCGTCGCCGCCATCCATTTCGGAGGCGTTTGTCATGCGCTCGATTATGGAGGAGGCATCGTCGTCGCCGAACTCGTACTCGCGGCGGGTGGCAGCGAACTGATCGCTAAGAGAGAAGCGTGACCCGGTAGACCGTAGACTGTGGTTGCCGCCATAGTTGACCGGGTGTAGATAGGAGTAGTCGTCCCAAGCGGCGGAGGATCGAGCGGAGGAATTTCGTGAGGTCCCGCCACCGCGGGTACGGAGGACCCGGATGCTACCGGGGCGACTCGGGGAGTCACCCATGATATTGTGGAAGGAAAAGAGAAGAGAAGGAGAGGAGAAGGGGAAGATATTACGGAGAAAGAGAGGGAGACGGAGACGGTTACAGCGGCGGCGGCGGAGGGAGACGTCAATGACACAGACGACAGCGACAGCGACAAAGGAGAGTGAGGGGAAAGTTAGAAGGCGAGAAGAGAGAAGAGGCAAGCTAGTTCATAAGGCGAGTTTGGTGAATTACTCACTCCCCGTCTTGTTTACATTCCGGAAACAACATTCGACAGGGCACCACGTCGGGGTTCGTTGTCAAGCTGGCAGAATCAGGGGTGATTTGGGACTAAACACATCTCGCACAGGGGTCCATCCCGGGAAAAGCGTCATGTTTCCTGGGGCTACAGGCCGGCTTTGGTTGGGTTTGAGGTGTTCGTGAGGACAAAGAGAATCTCAACCCCACTCATGGTTCGACATGATCCTTGCGATCGTCCTGACAGATTACTTAATCGAGGCTGAAACATGGGGCCGTCACTTGGCTTGCGCTGCGTTGTTCAGGCACGAAGGAACACAGTGAACGTCTACTACGACGTGGTACCTGGAAATCGATATGACCCCTCCATTTCATCGGGCAGCACCCCGCCATGGAAGGTGGTGGACTTTTTCCATCTGCTGAGAGGGGGGATTTAGCGGGCATGTACCTCTTTAGCGGTGTGACAGCACATACGGCCCCACTAATTCGGTAGCCGGGAGACGTTGAGTCTTATCTCCACGTAACTTCACTTACTCTTATCGGCTTCTAACAGACTGACCTAAAGTAGCTTGATGTCCTGCTCGTGGAATAATTACACATCAAGTAATAAACCCATTCCCTGTGAGAAGAATCAACCTGGGTGTCACATCCCGTTGTCACAAGAAAAAGGAAGGGAAAAAAATACAATAAAGCAAAAGTCCTAAATGGCGCCATAGCAGCTAACTCCCGGCCCGTCTATGAAAATCGACCGCCAAAGCAGCCACATGTCAGCCCTACAAGGCTTAGACACAACATCCCAATCACACAACATAACCCCCACCATCACAGCCGATATGAACATTCCTTGAAAATATGGCAGCCCTCCTACTGAACCCAAGAGACCAGTTCACCGCCGATGGCAAAGCCCCACAGGCCTGCGGAAACTGCAAGCGCCAGAAGCGCAAATGCGATAAGGCGTTCCCCTCCTGTGGGCTATGTTCCCGTATGGAACGCTGCTGCGACTATGCCGAGCCGCAGAAGCCTGCCCCGACGGCCGAAGATTTTGCCGCATTGCAGCTTAAACTAGTCGAGCTCGAGGATCGCCTGAAAAACGCCAGCAGCGAAACGTCGTCCGTTAGCAGGAATGGGGTCGGGCAAGGCCACTACGGCTCCAGCTCTGGTGCAAGCATGGGCGGCCTGGCTTCGCCGCCGGCATCAGCGTCTTCTGGTTTGGAGCCCCTTTGGGAGCAGCAGAGCGCGGTTCAATTCCCACCAGATGTGTTTCTCGATATCGTGACGTACGAGTGCTTAAACCAGCCTGTGCCTAAACCCTCTATCGATATCCCGGCCGTACGTGATCATCCCGACTCTCACTGCAGCAGACTGACACGTTCCCCAGGATGTCTTGGAACACTTGAGTGATGAGACTGCAGTTCAAACTTCTATTGGCGCCTACTTTGCCACAATCCACCCTTGGCTACCCATCATCTCCAAGAAGCGCATGCAGATGGGTGTCATTTTAAGTCAAGGTGGCCCCGACCCAGCCATGCTCTCCCTCGCCATGGTACTTATGACAACACACCCCACACAAGGTCTTTCCTGCGCGCAGATGCCGAAGTATAGGTCTGCGAAGCGCTTCGTTTCGTTGCTCGAGCACAGCGGTGCCACATCGTTGATGGTGTTGCAGTCGATGGTTCTGATTGCATATTTTGAGTATGCTCACGGGATATACCCAGCCGCTTGGATCACAATCGGCTCTTGCGTGCGGTACGCCGATTTCCTCGGGCTGCCGGGGTTCCACGAAGGGAACATATTGTTGAGCTCGCCTGTATGAAGCCCCTGTGCTGAGAAAGCCGCAGTTCTCGCTAACATATCAGACAACCTGGACCGAACTAGAGGAGAGGAAACGCACCTGGTGGGCGATTCTCATTCTCGATCGCTTCATCTGTATCGGCAACAAGAAGCGCTACCTTTCCCCCGAGCCCTTGGAGCATGAGTCCTTCCCTGCAGACGACAAAGCCTGGGTAACCCATCACCAGAAACTTACATCCGTCGCACACATCTACTAACTCAATCTAGGACGAAGGCCGCGTCGGCCGCGCTTTACATCAAAGAGTTTCTTCACCATGCCCCTCCACTTCATCTTCTTCTCCTTTCTCTTCCCTGTGTCGCTCCGCTCTCTTGACCGGACAAGTCCTTCGCCATGTCCGGGATATAGCAGCAGGACGCAAACAAAGCTCAAACGCCCCCTCAGAAGACCCTCAAGTCCCAGATGTGACCTCTTTATCAGCATCTCTAGCTTCCGAACTGGGATCACTCCCAAAAGACCTCATCTTCCTCGGCCCACGCGGCGTTCTCATGTCCAACGCGATACTTTTGCATGATTTCTACTGCTGTCCCGCCAACCCAGACGGCCGAATTTGGAATCTAGACGAGACAGAGCAGCAGGCCCGCTCGGTCGAGGACATGCGCAATCTGAGCCGAGAAATAGCACAGCTGGCCAGCGAGATCCTACTGCTCACATTTTCTATGGAGAAGGAGGAGAACGGCAAGGGCAGCGACATAGGCGTGATTAGTCCTTTGGTGCTGGACGCACTCTATGGCGCGGCGAACACCTTGGCCTGGCTGGCGCGGGAGGAAGGCTCGGCGGAATGCGAAGAGGCGGTGGAAAACATCAAACGGTGCCTGTCACGGCTGGGCGCGCGGTGGAGGTTGGCGGTCGAGTATGGTCGGATGTTAGAGGAGCAGGCGTTTGCGTACATGATGCAAGACCAGGGACACTCGAAAATACGCGGGTGGTGACGGTGTCTGCACAAACATAGATGTCTGAGTTTAACCATACGGATAAAAATAAGGCATAAGTATTTAAACAACTAATGTCACGATACCAAGCCTTTCTATGATATTGGTCTGGACATCAAAATATGTCCTCTCCCGCTGAATAACATGATACTATCGCACGACATCAAGACCATCAACCTAATTCAAAACCGGTTTCCAACCCCTCCTCTTCACGAACCCCACAACACCTTCGTCCCTCAAAACCTCCTCCCCCAGGCGTCCCGTTATAACGCTCCTCTCAACCTCCGGCCCCTTTACATAGAAAGGGAACCTCAGCCTCCCACTCCCCCCGTCATCTTCCTCCTCCTCCTTCTTCTCCCGATCCCTAACCCAGCCCCTTCTCCCCTTGACAAACCCGCTCCCCTCCCTATCAAGCGAAAGATACCATCTCCTCTGATACATGCTCCCGACGCTATTCTCAGCACCCTTATAAGCGTTCGTCCTCCTCACCTCCTCATCCTCCAGCTCCCTCAACTCCCTCTCCATCTCCGTCAGCCCCTTCTCACCCTCCCCACCACCAGGCTCAGGCACCACATCCGTCTCGCCAAGCCTCTGCTCCTCCTCCTCATCATCATCATCAGAACTAGTCTCGACAGCAGCCGCCGCCGCCTTCTCCCCGATGCCCCCTCTCCTCCGCCGTCTTCTAGGCTTCCCAAGAGCCCTTGCACTCTTCCTCCTCCCCTCCGCATCCTCCCCCTTGGTCAACCTCAAATTTAACACGTAATCCCTCGGCAACCTCCATCCACGCAGTCTAACCCTAATCTTCCTCTCCCGGAACGCCCTCGCCAACTTCTCCTGCTCAGTCCCCTCGTTCTCGTCCTCGCGCTCCTCCTCCTCCGCCTCCTCGCCCCCAGAATCCGGATCAACAACACCAGGACGAACCCTCGGAAGCACCTCGTAAGTCCCGCAATCCCAAATCACCAAACTCCCCGTCTCGGCGCTCCCCGTCTCCACGACGTGGTTCCAAAGACAATGGACCCTCGTCTCCGTCGCGTTCCGATTAAGCCGCTTCGAGTTCGGGTCGCCGGGTAACCCGTACATGACGGCCCAGCTGACGCTGCTGGCCCCGTTGACCTGCAACCTGAGGTCGTAATGCGTGCCGGCGACGGGGTGGTCGTGCTGGTGGACCACGAAATGCGCGCCGCGGTCGGAGCCGACGCTGCGCTCGAAAAGATGCCGAAACTCCGCTGGCGGAAGCCGAGGCGTGTCTTTCGGGTACGGCTCGAGCGCGGCGCCGGCGAGGTGCGCGAAGAAGTGCGCTGCTGGGTCCCGGTGCGTCGCGGCGCCTGATTCCAGCGCTGCGGAGAGACTGGGGCCGCCGCCCGCTTCCTCGTCGTCTTTTTGTTCCTCGTCGGCTTGTGGGTGCGAGGGGATGTCGAGGGACCATTCGAGGTTGCACTTCTTGATGAATGGGTTTGATATTAGCTCTGGGCTTCGAGGGCGCTTGGTGGCCATTTTTTTTCGTCGTTTTCTTTCTTTCTTTATTTTTTTTTCCTTTGGGGGGGGGGGGGGGGGGGGGGGGAGATGAGACTAGGTGAGCGGGTTCGTGGTGATGCAAGGGAAAGGTTTATGAGAGGTGAAGGTGTTGGGACGTCCACAGTTTACAATCAACGGCCAATCTTTGCGGTCGGATCAAGACGTAGGTACTTCACCCAAGAGCGACAAGGCCAACACGTAAACTAGCAGCGAGTAAATCAATTTAAAGCTTCAACCTGTCCTATCGTATTGCTCAGCTTAGCTCAGCGGCACCACCATGCGCTGTCGCATAGGCAGGCCTGTGCATCGTTCATTCATCACAGTCTCAAAGACGTCTAGTCAACAATCGGTAAGGAAATCTATCAACGAGGCACTCCATTTCAGCGAACAAAAGACCTATCGCTACAAAGGCCTTGTTATACCCTAGCAACGCCATGCCATGCAAACAAATCCGTTCGCGAGTACATCCTTCGCGAATATCCGTTACTTCGGCCCCGACCTAGGTAGTCTCCTTTGATCGTCATCAGAGCTCGCAGTTTTGCTTTAATCCCGTGTTCTCCATCCAAACAGCGCTTTTCCCATGATTCATTGTACAAGACAGGGCCCTGATACTACCATACAGCCCATACCACTTATGGCTTTTGCTCAATTAGCGTTGGCGCAATGCGTCTCTTCTTAGGCTCGCTGCCCTCCTCCTTCTCGCTTTCGCTGGCTTCGCGCTTCGTCCCGCTTGCCGCGGAGTTGCTCGCTGGGTTGGTGGCATTCGTGCGAGGCGTCTCAGGCGGCGTCGTGATGGGCACTCCCGTGACCTTGGTAGAGTTGGCAACCGCAATGCCTGGAACGCTTCCGACAATAAGAGATGGATTCGTCACCACAGTCGACGACTGCGTGGCCACCGATGAAGTTGAGTTTGACCTCGCGGGAGACTGGGGTCGCTGACTAACGAACCCTGCAGGCGGTGGCGATGGAGCGGTAAATGAGCTGGCTGAGTTTCGGTGGTGGTGGCCCGAACCATTGGGATACGGAGATGGGGGGGCAAACACCGAAGACGGCGTAGGAACCGGAGTGCCCTGGCTCGATGAGGCTGTCGCTCCTGGTGTGGAACCGGGCACAGCTGGGTTCTTGGCGGTGGGCAGATCACCTTGGTAAACCTGTCCAAGCTCACCTGGCGCGAATGAGAGCGTTGAGCAGAAGCCATCAGAGGAGGAGACCAGGAGAGTCAATCCATCACTCGACCTGAAATGTTGTTAGAACCTCATTTGACAGATATAACAAACATCATTACTTACCAGGCAAGGTCGGTGAATGTCGCACAGTGCAGGTTACTGACGATACAAATAGGAGTCTGCTGCTGAGAATCGTACAAAAGTACAGAGTCCTGCGTTGCGACGGCGTAAATCATACGGTAGGGCAAGGCAAACGCCGCCTTGGGTCCAGGGGTAGAAACACTTGTCTCACTCTTGCCCGTCGGTGTAGAGGAAGACTCAGGAACCGAAGTGGGCGGCGGCGGCGGTTCCATGACCGATCCAGCTGGTGTTGGCTTTGCAACCGGTTCGGGCAGAGCCGGAATTGGGTCCTCAGCGGACGAGGTATCAATGGTGATGTGCTTGGTTACCGGCGGAGATGTCCGCAGGGTGTAAAATATAGGTGAGCACTTGACCACGACGGAGGGCTTCTTGTGGCCCGGCAAGTGGGCAATCGGTGCTTTGTTGATGCCGCCTCTTGTGTAGATGTATACTGTATTGGTAACCTCAAAAGTCGGCTTTGCGCTTCCCTCAGAGGCATGCTGGGTTTGATATTGGCCGGCGGGTGTGAGAAGAAGGCTTCCGTCGGGCGTGAATGTGAGACGCCTAAAGAAGGAGGACAAGGTCTCATTGGCATAGAGAATCGAGTTCTTCATACCAAGACTGCCCGAAGGGTGCGGCTTAGCGTTCGGCGAGGGCTCGATAGGCATAACAGCCGGAAGGGGCATGGAGGGAGCTGGAGAGGGTGAGCGTCTCGACGAGAAAGAGGACCGCCTGCTATGGCTGATGACGCTCGGCGGATTCATCGGCAAGGCTATGGAAGTCGGAGTTCCTGGGGCAGACGGAACCGGAGAACCAATCGCCTGCTCGACCGTAAGATGGGTTCTCATGCTGAAGTCTGGGGGCGCAGGGCTGCTCGAGGATATGCGTCGAGGGGGCAGGTCGCTCTTGTTGTGGCTCGCAATTTTGGAAGGCTTGTCATCGTGAGTACCGCTCAGAGTGTGCTGGCCGTCCTTCGTCTTCAAGGAATAGATATGGACTGAGCGATCAGACGACTGGGTCGCGATGTACTCGTTCAGAGGATCCCAGGCGACTCCCTGGACGTAATGGCTGTGCTCGGCGATCTGGCGTACCAGAGTACCTGCTTCGGTCAGACACGGCAACAGAGGAGAAGGCTACGGAGACGTACCAGAGCTGGCATTGTAGATACGTGCAATATTGTCCATACTTCCAATGATGAAGTAGGAGCTGTCGGGGGACCAGGCGAGATCGTATATTTCGGATCCGCTCGACCGGCACATGTGCTTCGTGCGCCAGGTCTCCTTATCCTCGAGACCCTCGTTACCAAAGTTAGGGCCGCTGTGTTCGGACATGACCCAGAGGATCACGTTCCCGTCATCGCCGGCGGAGGCAAGAATCTCACCTGGACGGATCGTAGTTAGTGCGTGCTGGCTCAAGGCTGGGAGACGTAGATTTCTTACCTTTGGGGGCCCACCGGACGACGTTGACAGCTTGTGTGTGCTTGGTCAGGGTCGACAGGTACTCTACTTTTCGATCCTCTCCATCGCTCTCGACCTTCCACAGCTGATAATAGTGTCAGCCTTGCGAAAACAACATAGTGCTTGGTGGCATGCCCGCCAGCAATCAGAACATGACGTACTCTAACATTGTTGTCTCCTCCAGCCGTGGCTAGCCGACCCTTCCCTTGGGGCTCGAAATGAGCAGAGTATACGGGGGCATTCTGGTCATGCCAATTGATGATCAGAGGCGTGCTCTTCATCTTGACTGCTCGTGTGGACGACTGTAGAACGACATGTGCGGGATCGGGGAGGCAGCCGACGTCTACAACCAACTCGTACGATCTATCGCAGCAGGAGGGCACTTGTGGTTGGATAAAAGTTGTGCCGAGGATATCTGTATCGGCGGCAGCTTGAATTGATGATTCGAATCGAGAAGGGTATCGTGCAGTAAATGGCAGCGTTCGCGGCTGGCTGGATGAGGGGTGGGCAGGCGGAGGTTCAAGCTTGGTTGTTTAGCATCGATAGCTCTAGGGGGGGTATGGTGGTGGGAATCGATCGGGCTAGTAATTAGGAGCAATAGCAAAGTAGCAGCAGCTCTCGCTTTTGCGGGTTCGACGTGCAGCTGTGGGAGATTGGGAGATTGGGTTTGTTTGGTTGGTCCGGCTCCAGCAGGTTTATAATTACCAGCGTAGCGGAGGATGGAGTACGAGTCGGCTGGACAAAGGAAAAGGAGGAAAAGAAACCCAGAAGATCAATCAAAAACCTGGCAGGGAATTGTCATGAGGAAATAATGAGACCGAAAGGTCGTTCCCGCGCAGGGTGGAGCTCTGGTTCGCTTTGGTTTAGGCCACTGCGTACGTAGTAAGGTGGTTTGGCAGAAGCTCAGCTCAGACGGTTTTACACTTGAGGTGGTACCCAACCTTGGAAACTGGGGCAAGGACGATACCTGCTTGTTCTGGGCTGCTAACTGCTAACTGTTACTGCTACCGCAAATGCTGGTACCACCACTCTGTAATATTGATGAGATGTTCTGGGTGGTGGATGGAGAAGGCCCAGCCCAGCCGTTCCAGCAGCCAACCACGAGCTGCATCTCACTCACTACTCGCCTCACCAGCCATAAAAGTATGCAGTGCCCAGCATCGGCATCATCTAAGCTGAGGACAATCAAGGTGCACAAGCAGGTGAGCACGACGAGCGCAGGGGAGGTTGCTAGCCAGGTTGCCCCGTTGGATTTTGTTTGTGTCCAATCAGTGAGCTCAGACGTGGGGACTCAGTCCGCTGTTTTGCTGACCGAACCTCTTTCCATTGGCCACCGCCCAACCCTACCAGGCCAACCTTAATGGCCCTGAATTGCCTGTGCGTGCTCATGTAGTTAGGTTAGTATCCGCTCCAATTCCCCTCAGACGAGAGCTATTCTTATTTCTTTTTGTCTTGCGTTTTTCCTTTCTTGTCTCTTACCTATCATTCATGGCTGAGATGAGCTGCATGCTGCGTTATCACACCCCACTATTGCAAGTCTTCCAACTTTTGTGGTAGGCAATTGGCTAGGCTAGTCGAGTCTGCCAGCCAAGGGGGGGTTTTTGTCTGCTTGTTTCTCCTGCGCTGCATGAAAACCGGTACTCCCTGTAGGCCATGCCAGCCACTCAAGGCAAGATGATCGGCCCAGCTCGTGTACGGCTTGAGGCAATGGACGCAACACGCCGAAACGAGCCGCCTCTCTCCCTGAGGTCAAGACAAGAGACGGAGTGACATTTGATTTGTTCCATCTCATCAGACGATTGTTCCTCCTTTGTGTGGTGCTCTGCAGCGTAACCGTGTGTGGGAAGTAGAGGGGGCTGGCTGTTGGTTATCACTTTGAACCAAACAGTGCTGCCGCCCATATTCCCAATTGGCAGACTTCTTTCTTGGACATATTTTGTCATTGATCTAATTCTGGCCTATTGCATAAATACCAAATTAACTTCAAAGATCTGCCCGCACTAGGGAGGATGAGCATCGCAGTGGTGAATGGGGAGGGACTCGGCTTCACCAAACGTTTCGTTCGTAGTCCGGCACGGGCGTTAGACATACGTACTAGATGCTACAGGGCTGACGACCCCCTTTCCCGCGTGCCAATGAAGGTCTGGCTAATCAAAATTGCTCTTTACACAAGAAGTAGAAGTCCAATGTCCGCCCCGTCTTTGGACCCATGGTCTTTTGAGCTGTCACTTTGGCCCTCTTCGCCTCCCAAAAATGAGTTTCAGCGTTGGCAATCAAGGGTAACTCTATGGCCGACCAAAAAAAAACCCAATGGCACACTCTTTCCTAAACCTTCACTACACCGACAGTTACAGGCATGGAAAACGCAAAGGTGTCGGCCGACAGCGTTGTAGGTTCAACGCCTAAACCGACAGCGCCTTTGGCCGAAAGGTTTCCTCTGCAGCTTAAGCGACGGGCCGGTCCACTCTGGTTCGAAGCACCACGCCAGCCTTGTATGTTTCACTGTGTTCAGAGCACATCGTCGAGCCGTGATACGCCAGACGAAGCCGATTTGCTCTGACGCAGACGCTTCATGAAGGCTTTTTTTTCAGTCAAAGTTGGGAGGATCAGCAAAGAGACTTGCCAATCCAGCTTTCCGGCCACAGCCCGTGCCCAAACTCCATTTTCGGCTCCGTTGACTCACCCGTGGCCTCCAGTATCAGACATGGAAGCTAATCTACTTCCGTCTCTTGAGGCAACCCCCCCAAAGAGAAAAAAAAAGTTTACATTTTGCCGATTGCCTTGATGAACCTGGTCATGACTCTTAAATTCCTACACCTTTCTTGAGGCCAATTCGCTGCAACCCGGGACATTGATGAGTCCCACTAGAGTACAGCCAAAGTGAGTCTCAGGTGGAATGAGCGGGAACTGCACAACCTTTTCCACAATCACAGGCCGGGGGAAGCCTTGTCTCAACCCTTCTTGACGTTGGCGGTGAACAGGGCAGTACGATGTACGCGCTGTGAATCATATTGTCCGTCTTTGAAGGAACCCCCTTGGTGGCTGTTACACCACAGCCGGCACCTTGCAACTGTTTCTTCATTTGTTCTTCATCCCTCTGTTGATGACTCCCGCGTTCGGGGGGCTCGCTCCCCTGCTCCTTGCATTGCCATTGGTTCAAGATGATCGTTTTCTTGAGGTGCAGGTTTTGGTGTCGTCCGTTTGTCCGACATAGGCGAGATATGCGACCATACTACTACAGAGCAACTTTCTACCGCTACTGCTGCTGCTGCTGCTGCTGTTGCTCATTCCATATGTGGAACAATTAGGCAAGTAAAACGGACAGATGGACAGCCCGTATTATTTTGCCTGCCAAGTTTCGAAACATCGATTGCTTGGTGACGTGTAGCATAGTGTGATAACCAGCATACTGGTAGACAAATGGACGGTTGGAGCCTGGAGACCTACACCCTCTGCAACCATGCTTGCCTTTGCAGTCTGTTGCCTCTCCGTTTTGATGTATGGCTTTTACCAGCCGGATCGAGATTACTGGTATTCGACTCGATTCGGTCGATTCTGTAAGAGGAAGTGTTGCCTGCTGTGGAAGGCGATTAATCCCCTGTTGCTCGGTTAGACGTTTTCCACCCCAATCGAAACCCGGTGCGTGCAGAAAGGGAGGAAACCCCAAAAGAACATTTTGATAAAAATGTGCCAGGCGCTTCCTATTTGTGTTTTACCAAAATATCCAGAATCCATTCTAAGGATAGAAATCGAAATCAGTAAAAACACTTGTCTATATCCCAACTATTCGTTATTGATGATGAACTATCTCGGTGGTGGTTGTCACATTCCTGCAGCCCCACGGCACAGTGAGATTTAATATCGACATCTCCAACGGCGGATAGATACCAAAAGTCGCTACGAGGAACATGGGGGGGTGAGTGCTTCCGACCTGTACCATACAGGCGCACGAAACAATGGCGCGTCAGCAGTTGCCTAACTGATTAGGAACCGCAGATTCTTTATGGCAGGTGTAAGAGGGTAAGGTGAGATGTAGTCTATTATTTCCGTCCCCGTCCATTTCCATCCAGGCATCGATTACCATGTTTCTATCGACCTTTACCCTGGCAGCATAGCTAGCCACGTGTGTTTGTGATTCCGAGGTTGCCACTAGTAAGAGACTTGCCAGTTGTGTCTGCAACTAGAAAAAGAGTCTAGATAGGTGCAGCATATCAATGAGCGATTACCAACGACAACTACGGGGGCCAATGTCATACAGACGGTTTGCTGATTAGTGACAGCAAAGGCGGGAGATGTCGACAGACTAGCGGAATTAAAAGAGAAAAAAAGAATAAAAAAAAGCCAACGGACCCATCAAACGACTCGACGAACTGGTCAAGCGCAGATCCACTAGTCGTGATTTGCTAGGCTGACCACCCCTTCTCGATGATGTGCCCGCGGGCGGCGCAGTCAAAGGCCCGCAAATTAGGAGCCTCCCACGTCGGATGTTGGAAGTTTGAAAAGTCGGATAACCAAAGCCATTTTACCTGCCTATTCCAGACTGACATGAATGAGTCTTGCTGTTGGTCTCGGAATCGATGCGTCATGAAATCACCCCGAATCCTGGGGTCTGGGTCGTCTCCTGGAAAGCTCTAGCTTTCTCATCCTGGAATAAGCCCCCGCATATACGCCGTACATTGCTTGCCTAACACTCTGGCTGCAGGACATTCGCAGCCATCACCGATGGACATCATGTTCAATCCAGGATGAATACCCGGCAAATCGGATGCGGATGGGGTCGAAAGGTGGGTGGGAAGGGCCGGCCAGGTCGACGGCCGTGAGGGGAGGGCGAGAAGGGATGTTGCAGGTGGCAGTTTAGCACCATGTTAGTGCAGGATGACTGCATCCCAGCTTATGGACTAACAGGCGGACGGCAGGCCGTTCCACACCCCTCGTAAACGGAATCCATAATCCCCCGGCCTGTGGCGCCCGAAATGTGCTCCATGCCTCCAGGGTCTTAAGGAACTTCTGCCAAGTTGAAACCCACCTGCCACCCTACCTCCTCTGCCATAGTGCAGCAATCTTTTTTTATTTTTTTAAACACCTGCTACACTATGACTATCTATCTATTTTTCTCCGCCGATGACTCAACCGGTGGCAGCCACCAACCACCGCGTCCGGAGCCGCCATGATGGTCATGGATGTGATGTGCAACCCACGTCCTTGAACGCCATCGAAGCCTGGAAGCAAGCCCAAATGTCATCAACCCGGTCAAACGCCATCGTTGCAGGACGGCTGCCTGGGGCCACGGGGCCACAATGTTACAAGTCTTGATAGCACCATCTCCCGGGATATGCAAAGGCGCGGCAAGGCAAGGCAATGCACGTTAAGGTCCACGAAGCGCGCGAGGGGAGATCCGAATTGCAGTCTTGGGAGTACTGGAACCCAGGTAGGTTACTGCAATACGATGTACTACGGCGGAGTTTGGAGCGAGTGGTTGGAAGGCGGTGTGTGGTAAAATTTCCTATTTCGGCACATCTTTTGCCTGGTTTGGGAATGGTAACATCAAAATGCCACATCCCACTGGTACATGAACACATGAACTGAAAGCTTACAATTTTGACATTATACCCGTACCCGAAGGTACATGCGAAAGTACGAAGAAGTGGGGGGAACAAGAAGCGTCAGCTTGGGGGATGGATCCAATGCAGAAATAATCCCGGTCAGCGTCAACCAGCAGCCAGCATCAGGACGGGGGATAAACCATGGGGGGGGGTGTGGTGCCAGACGAATTGGAAAGAAAAAAAAAAAAACACAAGAAAAAAAGTACCACGAACCCGAAAGCCCATCCGTCATGAGATAGCTGCACGCTATCTGATTAACCAATGGCATCGGCCGCTTCAACCAGCTCTGGTAATATATAATACTGATTTGATGCTAAGCGGCTCCTCCTTCTCGAACCTGATCGCTTTTCTTTCTCTTCATACCTCAGGCGCGGCTTCCACTTACCTTTCCAGGACCCCTAGTTCTGGGATTCGTAGTCAGAACTGACTTTAACTCTTGGCTTGGCTCTGCTCACTCGTCCAATTCACTGGCTTAGCCAATCTTTCCCCCCAGTCAGTGACTCAATCGTCTTTCCGACTGGAAAGCTTGGCCATCCCATCCCCCGGATTGCTGAGTTGAGAGGCAAACAAAAAAAACCAGCCGGGAAAGATCAGTGGCAGGCAAAAGTGAGGGGAGGGACGTTACGAAACCAACCTTGCCTCGACGCCACCGGCTCCGTATCGGCCTCCTCCAAACCGACCACATCCGACCTTATTTCCGAGTCCAGTGTCGACATCAAGCTGTCCCCCGTCCAATTTGCCAAAGGCTTCTTCCCTGACTTGCAAGAAACCCGGCGAAACACACAAACCGTTCGTGTTTCCACCAGCGGTACGCCCTTTGGTTGTCCGAAGAGATACACCTACGCCTCGAATCCTTGTGGATCTTTCTCTGGGGTCTGCTTAGCTGCAAGAAACCGGGCCATACCAAATTGGAAATCGCTCTGCAGCGGCAGCGCTTACAAACCAAACCCAACTTCATTGTGGAACCTCCTACTTTGCACAATTGAAAGGCAGGCCTCAAGCCGCCACCTCTTAGAAAAAAAAAAGACAAGGGAAAGAAAACCCAAAACCCTTTTGCCCAACCAACAGGTTCTCCTGTGTCTTTCGTGTTTCGATAACTCTCGCCTTGAGTGATTGTCTGCGAATTTTAATCTCTTCGCAGAGTTCACAATGCAAGATGACTCGATCCTGCTGATTGAGGTCGGAGCTGCTTTGGGCGTCGTCGCTCTCTCTTCAGTTCCGGCTCTCACAAATTTTGTGACGCAACTTCGCTCCCACAAGCCCAAGGACCATTTTTACGAGGATAAGGATGGAAAGAGCACCCCCGAAGCCTCTGCCGCCTTTTCCAATCGCTGGCCCAAAACCTTCATCAACCTGTTCGCCTTTGCCGGACTGGCTCTCTCCGTAGCCAATTCCGTGCTGGCCACCTTCTCCCAACACACTTCTCTCTACCACAGCCTGATCATCACAGAATGGATCACAACCGCCATTTGGGGTCTCCTGACCCTGCAAGCTGTGTCTCTGGCCGCCTCCAACGACTCTGTCCGCGCCTACAACCTTGGCTTGCTGGTCTGGTTTTCCGGCCTTGTCTTGACAGCCGTCCAGGTCTTGCAGAATGCCGAGGTGCTCTATCACCTTTTGAAAAACAGACCCGTCTCTTTTGGTCTCAAGATTGGAGGTCTGGCTGTCTCACTCGCCCTCACGGCAACCAGCGTCTTCTTGCCCCGCAGACCTGACGTCTTCTACGGCGGTAGAATCGTTGATCGTATGGATAGTGTGAGCGCCTACAAGCGGTTCACCTGGAGCTGGTGTGATGACCTTCTCGACACTGCCACCAAGCAGAATGATCTAGAGGTGACAGATCTTCCTAAGCCGAACCACTGGACACGTGCCGGGGACTCGTCTGCCACATGGAAGTCCTACAACTTCAAGTCGGATTCAAACTTGTGGTGGTCCATCATTTGGGCCTTCCGTGTTCCTTTGGCTATTCAATGGGCAATTGCGCTAACCAAGTCCTTCTTGAGTCTCGCTCCGTCCTTCGTCACTCTGCAGATCCTCACCGCTCTGGAGAGGAGACGACCCGGAGACCCGCTCCCTGTAGATGTGTGGATGCTGGTCTTCTGGCTTGGTCTCGCTATCCTTGCTGATGCCTGGGTTGAGGCATGCATGTTCTGGATCTCTTGGGCAGAGCTGTGTATCCCTTTGAGAGGTGCTCTGTCTGCTCTGGTTTTCGAGAAGTCGATGCGCCGGAAGAATGTCAAGGCAGCTTCCAAGACCGATGAAGAACCCAAGGACGGAGAGGCTAATGGAGCGGATGACAAGAAATCCAAGGACAAAGACGCCGAGGAGGAAGGCGACGATGATAGTGTCCTCAAGTCTCGCCAAGCCATCATCAACTTAATCGGCGTAGATGCCAAGCGCGTTTCCGACTTCGCCGCTTTCCAGTTCCTTTTCCCTTCCAGTGCCGCCAAGTTAGCAGTTGCTATCTGGTTCCTTGTCTACTTACTTGGATGGGGTCCTCTCGGCGCCGGTCTTTTGGCCTGGGCTGTCCTGCTCCCTATCAACTTCACCTATGCCAAGGTCTATTCCAAAGCCCAAGACAAGTTGATGAAAATCAGAGATCAGAAGCTTGCTGTTGTGAACGAGGCACTCGTTGGTATGCGCCAAATCAAGTTCTCTGCGCTGGAGCCCCAATGGGAGAAGCGTATCCTGGACATGCGAGAGAAGGAGCTTGGCGCTATCTGGCAGGTCTTCAAGGGCGACACCGTCCTCTTCGGCATGTGGATCACCAGCCCTATCGCACTTGCCGCCGTTTCTTTGGCTGTTTATGCTCTGATCAACGGAAACCTGATCCCGTCGGTTGCATTCGTCAGCATCGGTGTCTTCAAGAACCTCGAGGTTACCTTGGCTGTCATTCCCGAACTCATCACTGATGTCATTGACGCCAACGTTTCCGTCAAGAGAATGCAAGATTACTTGAACGGACCGGAAAAGACTCAAACTGTCACCGAGGGCCCCGACATTGCTTTCGAGAATGCTTCGATTGCCTGGCCAGTTGATGACGAGACTAAGGACGAGGACCGATTCATCTTGCGAAATGTCGACGTGACCTTCCCTGCCGGTGAGCTCTCCGTCATCTCCGGTAAGACAGGCACTGGCAAGAGTTTGATCTTGGCTGCCATTTTGGGAGAGTCCGATCTTCTCTCTGGTAAGATTTATGCGCCGAAGCCTCCTCCGCTTGGTGAACGACATGATGATAAGGCCAACCGTGACAACTGGATTATCCCGAGCAGCATTTCATTCGTTGGCCAGATTCCATGGATCGAGAATGCCACCTTGAGGAAGAACATTCTCTTCGGCCTTCCATATGATGAAGAACGGTACAACAAGACCATTGAGGCTTGTGCTTTGAAAAAGGATCTGGAGATGCTTTCCGATGGTGACAAGACTGAGCTGGGAGCCAACGGCATTAACCTTAGCGGTGGCCAGAAATGGCGACTAACTCTGGCCAGAGCCATCTACTCCCGCGCCGGCATTCTCGTTCTGGACGACATCTTTAGCGCTGTGGATGCCCACGTCGGTCGTCACATCTATGAGAAGTGCCTCACGGGCGATCTTTGCAAGGGACGAACTCGCATTCTAGTCACCCACCACGTCGCCCTTTGCGAACCAAAGACCAAGTTCATCGTCGAGCTGGGAGACGGTACCATCCAACACTCCGGCTTCAAGTCGGATCTCGTTGAGGATGGTACGCTGCAACTGATCAAGAGTCATGAGCAATCTTCTCAGGAAATTGCTGACGAGGAGGCCGCCACTGCTGTGAACTCTGAAGATGCATCCGTGATCGAGCCTTCCGAGGCTGCTGAGCTTAACGGCGATGGTGGTGTTCTCAAGAAAGTTCCCTCCAAGGCAACCCGTCAATTTGTCGAAGATGAAGCTCGCGAGCAGGGCGCCATCAAGAAGCACGTCTACGCTGCGTACCTTAAACAGAGTGGCGGCTGGTCTTGGTGGGGTTTTGGCTTCTTCCTCTTCGCTCTGTATCAGTGCATTGTCATTGGTAAGTCGAGTTCAACATCCAACCGCGAATAGGTATTAACAAGACCCAATAGGGCGATCATGGTGGCTACGCCTCTGGACTGGTCACTACGAGCAACAGGGCGTCCACACCCTTTCAACTCCTCACCAGCACGCGTTCGCCTACACCCTGCAGGACAGTCTGCTCCACGCGCCGCATCACGCACCGTCCGAACTTGCCCGTATCTCGTCAGAGAATGACGACTTCTACTACTACCTGGGTATCTATGTCGGAATCTCTGCCTTCTCCGCAATCCTCGGCACCGGTCGCTTCTTCTACTTCTTCTGCATGAGCTACAAGGCCAGTCAGAGCATGTTCAAGGGTATCACCAAGACTGTCCTCCGAACCCCGCTGCGATGGCTCGACACCGTCCCCACCGGCCGTATCTTGAACCGCTTCACTGCCGATTTCAACGTCATCGACAACAGGCTCGGCATGGATCTTTCCGGTGTTTTTGGTGCGATCCTCAGCGTAATCGGAATTTGCATTACGGCATTTTCAGTCTCCCCTGTCATCATTCCATTGGCCGTCGTGCTCCTTTCCATTGCCGTTTGGATCGGCAAGCGTTACCTGGCTGGAGCCAGACCCGCGAAGCGACTCGAGAGCACTGTCAAGTCCCCCATCTTTGACCTCTTTGGCTCCACTCTGACCGGTATAATGACTATTCGTGGAGCTGACAAGGCGCAAACCTACATTGACGCCATGTACACAAGACTCGATGATTACGGCATGGCATCGTTCTACCTGTGGCTGTTCAACCGCTGGATGGGCTGGCGCATGTCGCTCATTGGCGCCTTGTTCTCCACCGCTGTTGGTTTCGTTGTCTTGGGAAGCCCATACATGAGTGCCTCTCTTGCCGGCTTCACGCTCTCCTTCGCTCTCGAGTTCTCCTTGGCCATCGTCTGGTCTATTCGCCATTATGCCAACATTGAGCTCGACATGAATGCAGCTGAGCGTGTGGTTGAATACTCGGATCTCAAGACTGAAAACCAGGGCGGCATTGAACCCCCTGCCTCTTGGCCCACTGAGGGTCGCGTGGAAGTCAAGGACCTCGTCGTCAGCTACGCCGATGACTTGGCTCCCGTTCTGAAGGGCCTCACTTTCAGCGTCAAGAAGAATGAGAGAATCGGCGTTGTCGGTCGCACTGGTGCCGGAAAGTCTTCGCTGACTCTGGCCCTGTTCCGTTTCTTGGAGGCTCGGTCCGGAAGCATTCATGTTGACGGTTTGGACATTTCCAAGATCAAGCTTCATGACCTGCGATCCCGGCTGGCCATTATTCCTCAGGTAAGATCCATATAATTCCTCTCAAAAAGCATGTCAATACTAATAAACCCTTAGGACCCTGTTCTTTTCTCCGGCACTGTCCGTTCCAACCTCGATCCCTTCGACAACCAGAGCGACGCTGAGCTCCGCGACTCACTGCAGCGCGTGCACCTCGTCGACTCGTCGCCTTCCACTCCCGGCGAGCCTTCCAGCAGCACAACGCCCTCGCTCAACGGCGCTAAGAACGTCAACGTCTTCCGCAATCTCAACTCATCCATCTCTGAGGGTGGCGGTAACCTCTCCCAAGGCCAGCGTCAGCTCCTCTGCCTCGCTCGCGCCATTGTCTCCCGTCCCAAGGTCATGGTTCTCGACGAGGCCACTTCCGCAGTCGACATGAACACCGACGCGCTCATTCAACGTTCTATCCGCGAGGAATTCAACGATTCGACGCTCATCGTCATTGCGCATCGTCTCAGCACTATTGCCGACTTTGACCGTATCCTGGTCCTTAGCGATGGCGCCGTGGCTGAGTACGGCACACCCAAGGAGCTCTGGAACAAGGAAGACGGTGTGTTCAGGGGTATGTGTGAAGAGAGTGGTGAGAAAGAGAAGCTGAAGAACGTCATTTTCGGTTAAGAGCGAGTTTGATCTGCCAGATGGCTGGAGCTGGGAAGAACGCCAGCGAAGCGATATTCCGCGCGCATACTTGTTTATTTTGGGTGTTTCGTTGTATTATTTCTGGCGTATCTCGCCGTGTTCTTCCGTTGGATTAGTATAAAAGTAAGTGGCATAAAAGCCGGGCTGGTAGATTAAGCCCTTGATTGAATATAAAAAAGTCTGAGAGAACATGCGACGTCGCCTTGTTGGGTTCGAGTGATGAGTCTTATGGGTACTTGTACCGATCAGGTCGACTTGTTCCAGTTCCCTTTGTTGTGATGGGAATCTTCTCTGTTGCTGTTATCACCACCATCGATACAGGCTGGCCGAATTGTCTATGTAGTCAATCGCTTCCGATCAATTCTGTCAAGTATTCGCATACTTGCTCAATCTTTTGTGTTGTGAGGGTTCACATGACCCCTTTGCTCAAGTTGGTCACGGACAGAAAATGTCCAAGTCGACGTGTTGCTTTCGTTAAGGTGTCTTCGATGTTACTTGTGCGGGGGGCAGCTCACGCCCCGGAAACGTTAACGTCGTTGCTGCATAAGTTCTCAAAAGGCGGGTGGCGTAGGTAATACAACAGCTTGTGTTTTCAAGCGTTGATGTTCCAAAGGACTGTAACTTTTTGAATTCCCAAACGAGCAGCAGCATGTAAGAAACCACTTGCGATGAATCCGAGCTTTTCTCAACCTTGTGTCGTAGACTGCCGCTTTCAACTTCTTCATGGCTAAACAGTCTACGGGAAAAAAAAGACAAGTAGAGATTAATTTTATTTTATTTTTTCGATAACTAACCTGGAAATCACTACTGCTCACCTTATTGGGTCCTGAAGGTTTTTGGTTGGATGGTGATTATGATCTAAGCAAGAGTCTCTAGTATTTTTATTGAAAAGGTCCTCGGACATTGTTTTTTATCCTAGCAATGTTCTCATGGCCACAGCAGAACATACACATTCATCCGGTCAATTACTTCCTCCGCCCTTTATCGAGAGTTTCTCTTACAATCTACAAGGGTTTCTGGTTAATTAGTATGTGATCATTCCACTTCTAAACTTTTCACGTTTCCTCACTATAGGCTGACCCGGGACGTGTGTTTTTGGTGAAGCTACAACTTAGCAGAATCTTATGTATTATACCTTATAAACAGGAGGCTCTCATCTAGAGACCAAGAAAGTTAAGTCGAGTGAAGATAATTCTACACACACAAAGCCCGCCGCGGCAGTCGTATTCTGCGGGTCCCAAGTCATCAATAAAACAAATAAAACATCCCCAAGGCAAAGATCGGCACGCTCGTAAACAGATGCGCCTTGGCCTTGGACCTCCCGACGTCTACCGCCTTCTTCGAGCTCTCGGCACTCTTCAAATACTCTGAAATGACGGCGGCGCCGCTGAGTCCCACGCCAGCGCCCAGCGTCAGCACAATACCCACGCACCGTCGCACTGCGGTTGCTGCCTCCGGCGACGCGCGGCAGGTATCGGAGAAATGGCCGTAGAGGAGAAGCCCCAGGATGCTCGAGGTCATGTGCAGATTGCGTGCGCCCTTGACCTTGATGAGCGCATGGTGGAAGGCGTCAAACTGGGAGGGCGCCACGGAGGCCTTGGTGGGCGGGACGAGGCCGAATGTCGCGGCGCCGGACTCGGGGTTGGCGAGGTTGATGATGCCGTCTGCGGCCCCAAAGAGGGCGAGCAGGCCTGTGAAAATCGGCAGCGCGGCTGGTTTCCAGAATGTTGTGGAAGTTGAGGTGGCCATTATGAAACGATTTTCCTCCAGGGAAAGTGGCTTGGTAAGATGGCAAAGGAGCGGAATGGAGTGTTGCCTAAAGCGGGCCTGTATTGATGGCTGCCCCGGCAGATAGGGACCTTTGTGATGATGTTTATCGTGCTCACCCAGGCGATCTTACTTCTGTTGTTGCCTGGGGGGTTTGAATATGTGTAGTGTCAGGGGCTCCGTGTAAATCACGTGGAGTAAGATAGAGTTGCGTCTACTTCAAGCCACCTCTGACGTTCGGCGAATGGGAGTTGTCTAGCCAAGACAACACTCACTAACGAACGCCCTCCCTTCGGTGAGACAAACAACAATAGACAGACACCTACGTAATCGTGCTATTCGTCATAGTAAAACCTAAAGACGACCTATTTTTGGCATATTTCCGACTTACAGTAACTTTATATGAAGCGAGCCAGAAAGCTCATTGTATCCCAGCAACGGAGCCATGAGGGCTTGAATTTTCTCAACATCGAGAAATAAATCTTGATACAAGCCTTTTTGGAATGGTGCTGCCAAACCCGAGAAAATTACAATGGTAGACGCGGAAAATGGAACTTCTGTACAATACGGGATATAAAATGCCCTGCAGAGGCACAGTTGTCACTACCATCCCGAAAGCGTTAGCCTAGAGCTCCCAATCCCTGCCTTGCTATCCATAACATTTCGTTCCATTTAGTAAGAGGACATGTTGCTCTTGATTGCTTATCTTCTCTGTATCCTCAGCGCGCCTTCTCATCAAACTCATTTCATGTTATACCTTCCTTTCCTCCAATAATCGTTCGTAAAGCTTCTAGCACCCTGCATACGACATGAGCAGCCAAAACAACACCGCCGGAAACCCGGCAGTTTCTATTTGTGCTGTAAAGCCCGAAGACGTTTCTGCTCTCGTCAAGGTCCACGCAGCAGCTTTCAAAGCCGATCAGTTCTCAAACTTGATGCTACTTAACCGCAACGAGAACGCACATCAGGAACTCATGCGCAAGTCAATCCAGAGCTGGATTTCGGACCCGGATGCCAGGCTCTTGAAAGCAACCGACGCCAACGACCAAGTAATAGGTTGGTCTTGTTGGATAACCAAAGAAGCGCAACAGAGTGAGACGACTACCGGCACAGAATCAAAACCGGAAAATGAAACTGTACGCGAGGGTGCGGCTCCCGAGGAACTTTCAAAGCGGAAAGCAGAGCCACCTCAAGACCCAGCGCGAGCTCTCGGCGGACTCATGTTCAAAGATAGAGTCGCCTGGGAGGAAAAGTATCTCAAGGGGAAAAGGTATGCGGTATTGCAGGGCCTTGCTACGGATCCGCTTTACCAACGTCGGGGCATCGGAACCAAACTGGTTCAACAGGGTCTCGAAGAGATCGATGCCGAGGGCCTCCCATGCTGGATTCACGCGTCGCCTTCGAGTTACAAGTTGTATGAGAAGGCTGGCTTTCAGGAAGTCGGTAGGAATGATTACGACCTTGATGAGTGGGCACCTGGAGGTAAGAATGGGAACCGAGGATGGGGCAGATACACGTTTAGACACATGCTTCGACCTGCCAGAACCGCGACTATATAGTGTGGCAGAGGAGCATTAGGAGAGTTGAGAGACATGCGCTCACACCAGCAACGTGTTGTATACAGAGGGAAGGGCGGCCGGGCATCACTAGTCCACAATGGATAAATATGCTTACATTGATCGAAGGAGTGTGCTCATGCTGCGTGGTGATACCAAATGAAAACCCTTCCTCAGTGTGCATTACATTTAGTCCCCACGTCTCAATAGTCCATTTTATCATCATCATCATCATCAATTTGCCTGCTTAACCTGAAACCAAAACCAGATACCAGAGGAGACCCAAACATACGAAAACTAGGACGGAAAACTAACAGCAGAAAGAGGCCAAGTTATTCGGAATAAAGTTCTCCCTCCTCATCATCTTCTTCAACATCAGCCTCACTTTCACCATCATAGACGTTACCGCTTCGCAAGTAGTCCCTAAAACCACGGCTCATCTTGACAACAGCCCGGAGATGCTTATCGGTGATGGTCACACGATCACTACCCTCTTCGGCAGCATCGCTTTCAGCAAGCGCAAGAGCCGTCTGCAATGCATTTCGAATCTCTCTGCCGTTCCAGCGCAAGGAACGGACATCTCGTGACTCGTACGCATAATCCCTTGTAGCGACAGAGACGCGGACCCGGCCGGCAGAATCCTTGTCCAACCGCTCGAAGTTGTTCGCCCAGATACGTTCGCGATCCAAGTCAGTCAGGTTCTGGTAGTGCAGTGCAACGTGGATCCGTGATGTAAAAGCAGCATCAAAAGCTTGGACGCGATTGGTGGTTAGGAAGAGCACGCCACGGTAGTACTCCAGAGCTCGCAGGAAGACGGAGACAAGGCCATTGCGGTCTATGTCCTTGGATCTGCGGCGCTCAAGGTAAACGTCTGCTTCATCTAGGAGGACCAACGCGCCAAAGCGCTGGCCAAGCTCAAGGAAGTAGGACAGGTTGGTCTCCACGTCACGCGAGTCCACGCTGAGGTCTCCTGATGTGAGAGAGATGAGGGGACGATTGGTCATCTCCGCCACGCATTCCGCCGTGCATGTCTTGCCAACACCCGGCGCACCATGGAGCAGGAATATCCTACCCTCGCCCTTGTTCTTGACAAAGTCATTGCCCCAGGGTGATACTCTTCCGGAGTCATTGGCAGCGAATTTGCCAATGAGAGCCTTGACTGTCGTCTTGATCTCGTCGTCGAGAACAAGATACTTAAAAGCTTCACGATCGGTAACAACTGGCTTCAAGTGCTCAAGGTATAGGTGGCCCCAGTCACGCTTACCTAGCAAAAAGCCGGGCATGACTTTGATGCACGCGATATAAAACAAATCGCTGGTTGGTGGTGTGGATTTTGTAGGTTTGATGTTTTCAAATTCGGCGTAAGGGCTCTGATCGTCTTGATCAGTGGTAATAGGGCATGACTTGCAGCCACAGCGAGGGCGAAAGTGAGGCAGATAGTCAAGTACTGGCGGAGGGCCGTGACTGGGTGGCAGGCCCGGAAGCTTGTGGGATCGGGAGTCACGATCGCCGTAAGGCCCAAGATGAAAGCGGCGGAAGCCTTCGGCATCACAGATGACGCGCCCGGTCATCTGTCCAAATGTTAGTTTCGCATTTAAAAGACGTTTGGTGCTCAACTTACGTAGCCTGAAGGCTCACGGAGTGCGGGCCCTCGGCGAGAGTATGAATTCTGTACCAGCAGACCGTCGTATTCCATGTATGTTGGTCGTTGCAGAAGGTCCCAGTACAATTTACCCAGCCTGACTTGCTTCTGCAACATAGCAACAGGATCATCAGGGAAGAACCGAGACGGCACAATGTCCAAGGAATGGATGACTTGCTCGCCCACCCACGAGGACAACTTGTACTCCACCATCTTCCGTTGCATCTTACTGCGCCCCATCTCGAGCAGCCAGCATGTCACCACCCACTGATTCATTTGCTCATCCGACCCCTCGAGTTGGTTGATACTGCTGACAATGAGTGGCTGCCAGACATCTTCGTGATTGACGTAGACAACCTCGCCAGGCTTGACCACCATCCAGTAGTTCTCGAATGTCGCCACTGGAGTGTTACGTTGGTGCCGTTCTTCCTCCTTACGAATGGATTCTCCAACACTCTTCTCGATAAAGTTAAGAAGTATGTCGATGTGTTCGGCGGTCACGCGTGCGTACTCTGAGGAGTGGCATGCAGGTTGGTGAGACTTATACCTTGCCAAAGCATCACGGTGGTGGACAATGACATGATATGGGGCGTCGATCTTCACGATGTCTCCAAAAAGATTGACATTGGGGTAATATGCCACAGTGGCTCTCAGGGCGTTTATCAAATGCGAAGAATGGATTATCATGTGGGTGCGCTCAGTCCCGGCAGGTCTGCTGGGATTGTCGTTGATTTCAATATCGGAAGAATACGGGCTGTATGGGCTGAACTCATCCTCCTCGCTATCGTAGTGGCGTTTGGAGCGAGGAGGCGGACGGCGCCGAGGCCTTGCTTTGAAGTGAGACCAAACCTTGGTCACAACCTCAAGCACAGGTTCCGTAACCTTCTTGGCTGTGCTCTCGCCATTCCTGGTTCCATATTCTGGAATTTCTTCGAATGGCGTATCACTCTCTCGGGCTGTTGAGAGAGTCAGCAGAGTAGCTTCAGTAGCGAGCTGGTTACTTACTATCGATGGATTTACCGGTAACGCCAATGTACTGCAGCACATACAAGATTTCTGGCGCTGGCTGGTCCTTAGAGATGTCTTGAAGAACTAGAGACTGCTCATCGTTCAAGGGCGGGACCCGCCTGAAGGCGACCTCCTCAAAGGTCTCGTCATCGATGGTCTGTTTAAGTGTTAGCAATATGTCATCTACATGCGAAGACGTCAGTCGCCTGGGAAGGCTAACCCTATCACCTCGACCGATCATGTTGGGTAGACTGCCGAGTATGTTGAAGGAGAACAAGAAGGAAAGACGCGCTCGAGAGAATAGATGGAAAGGAAGGACGAGAGAGGCGTTGCGGTTCGATGCGGCTCACTTAAGTTATAGCAATGGATGATGGCAGGCCAAATGTTGATTGGCTATCACTTCTTGCCAACCTTGCTGATTGGCATAAGAAGTAAGGCGGACAGTCATCTGCCTTGAGGGAATGAATCTCGGTTTCATGGTGACTGATTGGTGGCTGGGTAATGCAGCCGATTCCGCTTTGCATAGAGAGTGCCTTGTAATGTAGAGTAGTGAGGCAACTAGGGCGCTCTGCTGCCTAGATCAGTGGGTATCCCCAATCAGCGAGGAGGACGAGGTTCTGGGGCTGACAGAAGTGTATAAGCAGTGAGACTGCAACTTTGGAACTAGCGTGTCTTTTAATGTGGGAATGGTGCTGGTCTGATTGAGACGTCACATGAAAGATTGTGCTTGGCGTTCAACGGTTAGCAAATCGTCGACTTCTGTGCACTATGACTGTAATAATTTTATCTAGCCAGGTTGCCGGTTTATGAATAAACTCAATCTCCGGCTTCACGATAACGATCTCGCATGATAAATAGAAATTCATTCTCCCGCCTCGATCGGAGAAAGATATTAGCCTGGTTTCCTAGATACAGGAAGCATGTACTGCTCCCAAGTGTGAAAGTTGCCCCTCCAGAACGCCTGAACCCCACACGCTTGTTCTATTCCCGTAATGGACGACCCAAAACTCCAAGAAAAAGCCAGAGTGGTATAATTAATGCCTGTGGACTGCGATGCGATCACGGCATCTAGGTGTTAGTAGTCCTCGCTAAGGAATTTACGTTGCTGGCGTGTGCTAACAAAAACTTGCAGCATGTCAACGTTAGCTTGCACGCTTTTGTCCAGCTATCATCCTGTGTCATTCCGATCTTAATGCTGACGTCCATGATTTTGTCGCCATCAATCTTATAGGGGAGACTGAGTGGATGACCACTTGCTGCAGTCTGCCTATGGACAAAAGCGCCCAACTGCCGCACAAGTTCGAGAAAAGCGACCATAGCGTTGTCAAACTTGCGGTGCATGAAGGTTAGTCCAAGGGGCAGGTCACCATTCGAGAAAAGCTCCAGAACATGCTTCTTCGGTGCTGGCGGCGGTGCATTGCGGTGAGAGCCTATACGACTTGCAGCTGGAGACGGCAGCTCATATCGAACAATCTTGGATGTGCTCCCCATAGGCTGCGGCTCAAAGCCATCAAACTTATATCCTAGTTTGTCCGCCACCGTGACGAGCAACAGCAGCGCATGCCCCCATGCAGCATTGATCTCGGGCCAATCAACCGGCTTACTCGAGGTTCTGCCTAATCTCAGCCCATTGATGGTCGCAAACGTGCCGTCGTGACTGATGCAAAAGGTGTCATTGTATACGTTAGATCGCTGTAACTTCTCCAAAAGCTGGGCGTCGTTATCGAACTTCGAGTTGATGCTATCACGCTCGTTTTGAAAGTCGGCAAGTTTCGTAGCAAAGGCATTGCGTTCACGCCAGAAAAGCTCCTCGTCCCGATCGAGTTGTTGTGCATCCTCCTCCAGCGCAATGATTTCCGCATCCACTGCTGCCTTCTCCTTTTCCAAGCGCAGAAGCTCCGCCATTGCTTCCGCTTCGGCTTGCTTCGCCTGTTTCAGCGCCTCTTCCTGTGCTTTGACGTCCTCCTCGCTCGGCTGGTCGCTCTGTACTTGCTTGAGGAACCCAACATATGCGTCCCGCTCCCTCGCTGCGCCTTCCAATTTCTTCTGAAGGCCCTCCACAAGCATATCGGTACACTCTACGCAAACGGGATGGTCGATGTCGGATCGCGCGGAAAGAATCTCGAATAGCTTGTTGATGCGTTCCATCTCATGTGCCTTGCTATGCGGTTCTTCAGGGCCCTTGTGACTGTTCTTATTTCCTCTGCTCGATTTCAAATTCGCTGGTTGAGGTTCTGGTCTCGAGAGCACCGGCTGCGCGACTTGGGATTCGGTCAGGTAGATGAAGGACATTGTCGAATCCCTTTGACCCGAAGTCGACGGACCGCTGCCATGACGTTTGAATGTCGCAGTCGCCGCATTCTGAGATACCTTATCGTAAAGAGCCTTTCTTTGAGTGTCTTGTGGGTGCGAGGGCCGCGAAGATGGTGTCTTGTTGGGGGACTGTTGCGAAGAAGAGGCTGAGCTGGTTAACTAAGCTGCACACGACGGCTTGGAATCTAGGACCATGTACGAACCAACAAGGAGATCATACGCCGCAGGGTTCAGATCCTCAAGGGAACTATCAAGCTTGAGGGGTGTGCGGCACTTTTGACAATACATCTTGCTGTCGCACGCATACTTGCGCGCTGGTGGTGAAGAAAGTAGGTGACGGGTTTGAGGAAGTCTGGTGATGTAATCGAGCACTGGGTGTACAGGTGGAGGTTGGAGGCTCAGTGGAGGACCGCCCAGCTGACTGTGGCCTAGAGGTGGGTTGGACACTAGGTTCCTGGTCTGCTGTAGGGGTTCTGGCTCAATATGGCGCTAAGCAATGTGGGAGGGTCAAGGACATTCTAGCAGTATGCTCCCTGGCAACAGCATGCACCCCACGTGGCTCGTGCGTTTCCACTTTACGCGAATTCTAAGAGATCCGTGCACCGCGTTGAAGCGCGTCCTACAATCTTGGATGTGGGCTAATCTCATTATCGCCTGCAGCAGTCCAACGCTGTCTATGCCTTCGTCCGTTGTTCGGATTTATAATTAACAATAAATTCCAATACCGACGAGACTAGATGGAACCCCCGGCAAAGAGACCAAGGACTGGCTCATCACCATTGGGTCAGCAGAACAATTATGAGGATGACGAACTCAACTTTGAGCCCGATGAGGTGTCTCAGATGAGGGACCCCGGCTATCAATTTGAACAGTCTCGGGCTTTCGCAGCTTTTAAGCTCAAATCAACGTTTGAGCATATCTTTGAAAAGTATGAGAGAGATTTCACGGGAATTGGCGATGAGATTGATCTAAGGACCGGCAAGATCATTACGAATAATGGCCATCTGGAGAATATGCGAAATGAAAGAGATACAGGGATACCTGACGAAGACGAAGAGGATGAAGGGATTCTTCTGGAAGACGCCTTTGGGTATGACGAAGACATTGACGAAGACGCCAATCCCAGTACACACCATACAGGTTCGCATGAGAGTTCTGATGAACCAGACGATGACGACGAAAGAACCCGGCACGGAAAGAAGGACAAAACTAACAGATTACCACGGGGTGTATCTAGCACCTTGAGACTGGGATCTGAGCAACGACTATCGACGGCTTCTGAACCCAGACCGAGTTGGGGCTCGGAGCCAGAAGCTGTGGACCCGACCTGGAGGGCTCCTGAGATACACCAACCGAAGCTGGGAGACAGCCTCATGTCTAAGCTCCATGGTGCGAGATATCGCTTCCCTGCCAGTCAGGGATCTCAATCTGTGTGGTCTTCCAGACCAGACAGCGAGCAGGAAAAGATGACACCAGAACCTGCCCGAATCGATTTGGCATTGCTATCTCGTGCGAGACAGGAGTCCATAAAATTGGGAAGGCCAACGTCAATGAAACTACTGCAGGCGTTCACCGCTGAGGATGAAAACGGAGATGATATCCTTGGAGTCTCAGTTGCGGAGCGATCACCGGGAGTTGGTGAGACCAAGAACAAACCGACCAGAGCCGAAAAGCTCGATGCAAGTGATACACAAGAGCAGCCCGTGCCAACATTGGCAGGTTCTTCTAGACTGGGTTCTCCCGACAAAGCCATTGCAACATATACCAAAACTGAAAAGTCGTCAAAGAAGGAACCAAAAAAGAAACAGACTGTTAAGACCAGACTCCCAAGCTCGAAGACGACGGCTGAAATAGCGGAGAACGAATCCGAAACAGTTGAAACGCACTCAAAAGACGATGTTGCCGAAAGTGAAGCTGGACCAGCTGTGCCTTACCTCGTGACAAACGACAAGGTACAAAAGAAATCGATACAGCGACTTGTCATCGAATTGCCCGCAAGAGTTCCTGCTCCAGAAGACATTACCGAGGTTGAGGACCCCGAGGATGTTGATACATTCGTTCCAGCAGAGCAATCTCCAGTGGCTACTCGAAAGTCCAATGTCCCCATTTCTGGCGTGCCTTCAAATGGCTCGATGTCGAAGAGCGCACTAGAAACGGCCTTTTCCGAGCCGCAAGATATCACTGCGGAAGATTTGTCGGTGGCTACCGAAGAACAATCCAAGAAAGACGTCAACGCACCCAAAGAGAAGTTTACAAGGCACGAGATTGACCCCTCCTACGCCTTCTCCGATGACGAAGAAGGCATTCCTACAATACGAACAAGAAGCCGGCGTGGCGACAAACTGGCTTTAGGTCGGACAGTTTCAAATAATGATAGTCCAACTTCGCTCGCCTCTGAAGCATTGTTTAAGGATGTGGAAGCCTCAAAAAACGATATTGGCAAGCAGACACGGCGAAATAGCTCAAATATGACCTCATTGCCAAACATAAACGGACATCTTGTCGAAAACTCCAATCTTATGGATTTCGACTTCTCTGAGGCCGGGCAAGCTGACGAGCCAATGGAGACTGTCGAGAATCCGAGTGTCTCCCAGGGACAGAGTCACCCTTGGCAAAGCGCTGAAGATTGCTCAATGATCGAAAAGTCACCAACAGGACAGTCTCTCGAACTTGAAAAGCCTTCTCAACAAGAATTCATCGCAGAAGGGCAAGGTGTAGTGGGTATAGAGTCAACCCCTATTACCGCATCCAAGACCCTCCCAGAGGAGTCCCAACGTTTAGAGGTTCAAGACTCCGACGAGGACGAAGGCTTCACAGTCACCCTGCTTGACGAGATCGACGACGTAGTTGTCACGGAGCCTGAGCCCGAGTCCCAGCCTGGGGTCATGGACATCGAGCTGCCAACCCTTCCACCGCCAGCCGAAACCCAAATAGAGCCCAGTACTCTGCCTGTTCCTCCCAAAAGAGGACGAGGCCGACCCCGCAAAGCTGCCTCAGAACGTACCCAAAAGGAGTTTGTATCACCTATGCGCCGTCTGAATCTTCAATCAAGCAGTCCCCTCAAAAGATACGCCGCCGCCAACCTAAAGGCACGCAAACCAGTCAACGCCATTAAGGCGTCCGATACAACCACTGTCAAGTCCAAATTACCAACCCTCGAACGCGAAATCTCCTCCAAATCCTCCACCCAAGCCCAGCAAGAGACTGAGAAAACATCTCCTTTCCCTCCACGACCGTCCTCGACAGCCAAGGACTCTCCGCACCCACACACCCCTTCATCCAAGTCGCAGACTACAAAACGCACCCCGTCTTCCCGCCGCTCATTCGTCTCCCTTGTCCCGGACGATGACGGAGACGAGCTCACCCTCAGCCTATTCAGGGCCTGGACAAACAACAGTGGCGGGTCATCGGACGGGCGAAGAAAGGAGCCATACGCCCCTGTGCTGCTTGCCGGCCCGCAGACCAAGATCACTACGCCGATGAAACAACGCTCGCACAACATCGGCAGTAGTGGCAGCGGGGCCAGTAAGGGGAGGAAGCGGAAGGCCGCATGGGCTTTCGCCGCAACGCCCACTGAGGTTGGGTTTGGAAGCCCCTCGGGGTCACTCGTGAAAACGCCGGGAGGACGAATGCGGCGTTGCGGAGAAGACGGGTTCAAGTGTGATAGGGATTTTTGCTTTACATGTTTATAGAAGAGAGCTTGTTTGTCTCCTTGCTCCATGGTCAGATAAGGATTACGAAGGCGATTGTTCCGGGAGCCTCTTTGGCGCTGATTAGATATAAAAATCGTGATTGGGAAAGCGATGAGCAGAGCGACATGGTATATCATAGGGAGGATGGATAGGGGATACGGAAGCGAAAGAAACGCTTCCTCATTAGCCGCTACATGAAACGAATACCCGAGAGCTTCTGTAGAGAAAAAGAAATTTCATGAAAACCGTGTATGCAAAGCCATCCACGCAAAATCTGACCCAGGGTTATGGGGGCATTTGGAACACAACAGTGACCACCAGCCTCGCAAACGCCTTTCCCCTCCAATGTGGTGAAAATGCCGGGCCGGATCCTTGGGCATGCCAGTCTCCACATCCCTTTCCCTCTACGTTCTTCCGCCGCGGGGAAGCCCCTTAAATCCTGCCTGCTGTAACGGCGTTCACACCTTTGTTTCTCTTTGTGTACCATCATCTGTAGCGTCGCTCAAACATAGTCGATATCGGTCTTGAGATTCATTCCATTTCGTTAGAGGTGAGGAGCGGGAAAAGACTTGCAATGCTTTGTCCATTAATCAGGTTGAAAGTCGTATTGAGAAGATGTGGTTTGGGTCTAGCTGATAGGACATGCTGCCATAATCGGTGCAGTTCCTGATTGGGTCCTAAGATGCGATACCTGTTCACTGCAACCCCGGTGTAGAGGATATTTCAGGGCATCGTGAGAGTCATTGGCCAGTTCTCGGTCTAGTCAAGGCATCTCAGTTCAGTTGCTAGGTACGCCAGACGTGCTTTGCTGAGCCAGATTCTGCTTGAAGACCTCAGGGTCCCGGACAGGGTTGAAGTAGGGGTGTGCCTGAGCCTCCTTTGCAGTAAGGCGTTCCTATCTTAACGTCAGTATGTTGGCAATGATTGGTAGCTGCTGCAGGACGTACCTGGTGGTCATATCTAAGAAGCTTGTCCAAGAAGTCGATTGCTTCATTAGAGACAAATCGCTGGTTCTCGGCGGTAACAAAGGAGTGCCAGGGCTTCTTCTGGAAGCGGCCCAGAATGTCGTCGTACTGAGCGTCGAGTTCAATCTCGTACTTGTCAAGGTAATCAAAGAGGTCGTCCGTACCGAGGACCTTGGCAATCTTGACGAGCTGGTCCGAATTGCTGTTACCGTGGAAGAAAGGCTCCTTACGGAAAATCATCGAAGCGAACATGGCACCCAGACTCCACATGTCCAGACTGTAGTCGTACTCCTGGAAATCGACCAAGAGTTCGGGACCCTTGAAGTAGCGGGAAGCAACGCGCACGTTGTATTCAGTGCCTTGGTGGTAAAATTCGGCCAAACCCCAATCAATGAGTCGCAACTGCGCGAAGGTTAGCCAACAACTTGACTTGCGTCTCTTTTGGGAGATACACTTGCCTTCCGGTTCTCATGATCGATCATAACGTTGTGAGGCTTGACGTCGCGGTGCATGATGCCCTTGCTGTGGCAGAAGTCCAGAGCCTTGAGAAGCTCGTTGATGTAGTAACGAACATCGAGATCGTTAAACTTGGGGTAGAGACTTCGGAAGTCGGTATTATTGACATGTTCGAAGATGAGAGATGGTGTCTTGCTCTAGGGGCAAGGGCGAGGTTAGCCTTTCCTTCAAATCAGTATAGCAAGCAAAATTCTCCACGTACTTGTGAATCTCTAACCACATCCAGCAGCGCGATAACGTTGGGGCCGCCGGCAAGGTTCTGCAAAATCTTGATTTCACGCTTGATCTTCTTCTTCTTAACAGGCTTCAGGACCTTGATGACGCATTTCTGATAGTTGACGACGTTGATGCCTTCGAAGACTTCCGAGTACTTTCCACGACCTATTATTGTTGCAGCCTTGCGTCAGCCTTCTCGATATAGCCTCGAACTCGTCGCGCGTAAAAAAACCGTATGCAGGATTGCGTATTTGTGCAGGCGCGGGGGCCGGCTCAACAATTTGCAAGAAAAAAACGTACCGATTTTCCTCACAACTTCGTAGTTCTCGAGTACACCCCAGCCTGGCGGTCAAACAGTCAGTAATCAGTGATCGCGATGGTGATGGAGAAGGAACCGAGGCTGCAAGGCCGGAGTGTAGTTCTGGCGCAAAACCTCGGCCGATCCCAGAGCTCTCCCGGGGCAGAGCAGGTAAAAACCTACTTATGTTCACGCTATCGTAGTCCCAGTAACTGCGGGGCATGTTCTGGTTAACATCTGCGTAGACCCGCGCCATGTTGGGCTATCGTTGCCTGCGATCGCGCGCAGGACTTGGAAAAGAGGGTGATGGTGTTGCGTGAGGTTGGATTTTGCGGCGGAGGCGGGCACAGAAGGAGGGGTCTCGGCGTGGCTGAGGTTGGTAGCCAGGCGAGCGTAGACGTGGAGTGAGTAGTGGGAGGGAACGGGGCAGGGAGTAAATCAAGGTGGGATGTCTAAAATCAGGCTTAGCAGCCATATCCTAATTGGCTGCCGACCGAGCCGGGTCCCTACAGGCTTATCGCTCAGACCGCCCGATAAGTCTGCCTGATCCGTGCGCACCCTACCTCTACTATCAGCGCAGCAGTGTGCTCAAGTTGTTTTCCAGTCGAGTTCTGTTCCGAAGTTTATTAAGGTTCTAGGTGCATGGTGATTTCTGGCGGGATTGTGCTAGTTAAGTGGTCGAGAACAACGGAGCTTTGTCACTTCAAGACTCTGAAGCCCGTCGCAGAATCAAAATGGCCACGCGTCAGATAAGACATTATGCAGGCGGCCACTTCATCTTATCATGCAGAGGCTTGTGCAGACCAGGTAGATATTTTGATTCAGTTTGCTTCATCGGAAGGTAGGCAGGCAGGAGAAGCCTGCATGTTGCGGCTACGAGAATATTCTAGACGAATGTATGTCCGTGTACACACCAAAATATCCTCCATCGGTGCTTAATGCCCATTCCATGGTACACCTATTACAACCTTGACTTGTTCATTCCAAACCTTCTTCTTGAACACCTCTGGTCCAGGGGATTCTTCCGCTCATACATCTGTCTAGTCAAGATCAGCATCTATTGTAGTGCTTTGGCAGAACTATAAGAAAACAATGGCATGCTCAGAGAGAAGATTATTGCTCGACATGTCCAAGCTCTCATGGCTCAGGCTACTGATCGAGGTCAATCAAGATCAACCACAAGACCAACAGCCGTCGTCTGCCCGGAACTATAGATCCGACTAAGGATGACGATACGAAGTTTTCATCATGCATGCGTTATTAAGCCCAAATGAAATGTGTTTCACATACCTTTTCTTTCCACATCATAAGCGTCGAGTGCTTGAAATCTGCAATTTTTCAAGTCAAGCCGGAGCATTGCAAGAGCTCGGGTCAGTCGTCGTCTCTTATAGCGGCACCTCGGCTGGACCGGATGGGCAGCGAGTATAGCTAGCTCGTAATCGCAGCCCGCCAGTCAAAATAACTATTGGTGTGCATGAGGCTCGTCAATCAAGTATCTGGTGTAAACTGTCTCAGCAACAGCCAGATTGCAAACATGGTTCCAGCTCAATCAGTCGTAGTCCAGTGAATCGAGACCAGCTTCTACCACGTCCCAAGTCCGTTTTCGAAGGTCCGGTTTAGGCTCGTGGTTCCTAGCCTTGCCAGCCTTCCTCTTCTTCTTGTTCTTCGTTTTTGCCGGCTGGTGAGCTGACAAATTGTCTCTCAAGTTGTCATCGTCGCCGACCTCGCCAGCTTCAAGTTTTTGCTGAGCTGACGCACGACGCTCGGCAGCCTTCTCTTGTTCTTTTCTGAGAGATTCCATTTCGGAGTGCCGGAACATGGCAATTTGCTCGTCGGTGAGTGTTCGCTTCACACCGTCAGGATAATAGCCGAGGCCATCGTCTTCATCCTCGTAAAAGTCATCAACTTCCTGGTGGAAAGGTTCGACATTTACACTACTTGCATGCTTCTCGGGGCTGAAAAAATCAGTGTTAAATGTCTGCAAAGCTGCGTCGGAGAGATGAGAGTCGAAGAATAACATCAGCTCATCCTGTAAACCATCAGTAAGATAAACGTGACTGTTAGGCATGTTTGAACATACGTGGGTAATGTGTGGGATGACATATGCGGCCTGAGATTGAGCCGACCCAACTGAAGCCATGGTAACCGGCACTGCGGCGATGATGACCGATTGTTTCTCTGCCGCGATGGTTTGTTTTGGTTTGGTTGAGGATGACAGATCAAAGTTGAAGGATGATGAAATGAGGCCAAAGAGATACAGTGGGCCAGACGCGCCCCCAGCTTGGTCACGTGTGGAGACGTCCCTAGACACGCTGCAACGAAGAGAACGCGATCCGGTGCAACTGATACCAGAATTGCCCGTGAGTGTCTCTGCCTAATAGTAAATGGTGAGATAGTATTATTCGTCAACACTCCCATGATCTTGATCAAATTTCATGACCGGCTTAACAGAGCAAGCGCACTCTGAAATGCGCGAAGAACCTCGGTCACTGTCATGGTGTGAGTCGAACGCGTTAGGCGGGTTCAAGGAGGAAAGACTCACTGTGCTCTTGCTTCTCGGCCATGTTTTGCTCTGCCATTTTGACGTATCTCTGTCTTGTACGAAGGCGTTTGACTGCGCGTTGGTTGTCATGGGCGCTAGAAGTGGATGCCCAAACGTTGAAATACTATAGATGTGGTCAATTTGAAGCTTACCGCCATGGATGCAAGTAATCTCACCTTGACCAGGCTATCAAACTCTTGTAAGAGCTCTCGTTCCCTTTCGTCTGCATCGGCAAGGGCCTTCTCATATCGGGCCTCAAATTCCTCCCAGTCGAAAGACGGAAACGGGCCAGGCGTGCTGGGCGTATCGTTGCCCTGACCGGTTGTCGTTTGCTGGTCAGGTCGCGGTTCAGGTGTCTTTGTGTTCTTGAGGGAGTTGGGTCTCTTAGACTCATTTGTTCCGTCGGCCATGGTTGATAACCTTCTGCAGAAGATGGTCTTGGTAAAACCTAGTCAGCAGCTGAATTTTTATAGCTTTGTTGTCCTTTTTTTCGTAACGCTGGAATAAACGAAGTTCTGCTATTTGGGTGTGGTTGGTGTTAGGTAGGTAGTTATGTGACTTTGTCGCATTTGGTTATCTCGGCTAGGTTTGCTTCAGTGGAGGAATGAGGACCATAGCAACCGCCTCACTGAATGCCCCCTGTAAATGGCTGAAAATGGACGAGTTTTGGTACCACCAAGACTGGCGAAAGAAGATGTGGCGGTGAAAGCATGGCCAAAAGTAAAAGTGTGGCGCTCCAAAGGGTCTAAAGTTGTTAGACCCACCCCTGCTGCCTGCCGGAGTCTGCTGCACCTACGGCACTCGAGTGAGTGTTTCCTGTTCTGGCGCTTCCTTTCATCGACGCCTCTCACCCGACCTCGTCCTCGTGACTGAACGACCTTCACATTAGGCCTGTCCTGTCAGGTCGTCTGGACGCCGCAATCCACTCAGTTCGATCTGAAAGTAGTTGTATATCAGGTCGCCATTTTCTTCAAGAGCATGGGCATCAGACAGCCCGCAACATATCCGTCGGAAACTCAAAACTCCAACGTCATCGCCGAGGCGACATTTAGTTCATGCCGCTTCATTGTCATATTGAAATCTACCTCATCTCGTCGCGCCTATTGAGTCATAAAATATCATCAAGATGAACTGCAACATCTGTCAAAGGCCGCACCACTCCCAACGGCTACCATTTCTTTGCGCCGTGGATGCCCGCAACCACTGCTATGAAGGTCGTCTCAAGAACCTCCAGACGTTGATGGAAAATGAGAGTCTCCAGCGACAGATCAACGACTTGCTGACTCCAAGCACCGCTAACGATGCCCCTAATCGAAACATCTTCCTGGAAACATCCGTGAGCGAGCAGAAGAAGTCTGAAGACCGGACAAGCGAGATCATCGCCCAAGCAGAGAAACTGAAAACTGAAATCGCAGCTGCCAAGAAGGAAATTGCTGACCGCAAGGCTATCCTATCCCGCCGAAAATCGGATCTTGAATCCGCTTCGACTGGAATCGCTACCCGGAGAGCCAGACAGTTGGAAGAAACCGAACGCTCTATTCAGGTTAATAAGTATAAATGGAATCGCAGTGCGGATAATATGGCTAGCACTCGATCGTTTTTGTGCATGGAAGCCGCGAAGTTATATGGCCTTCGTCGGATCAAGAAAGGTTCTTCATCCCGATACGACTTCAAGATTGGAGGAGTCGATGTCATTGACCTCTCATCCATGAATGGTAAGCCCCCATTTCCGAAATGTTCTGCAGGTCGGTCCTGACTTGAAAAGCTGCATCTCCTGAGGTGTTATCCACGTCTCTCGCCAACATCGCGCACATTGTCGCCCTGACATCGCACTACCTCTCAATCCGCCTCCCTGCGGAGATCACATTGCCACATCGAGACTATCCACGCCCAACGATTTTTAATCTCGCATCATCGTATCAACACGGTGACATACCCTTCCCGGGAACTTCCGTGATTCCTAGCTTTGCTTCAGATGAGCGAGACGGCCAGCCGCATTATGTGCCGCGGCCTAGGCCCCTTTATGTCGACAAGGCGCTTCCGATTCTGGCGAAGGAAGACCCTGCTGCTCACTCCCTTTTTCTCGAAGGTGTCACCCTCCTGGCATATGATATCGCCTGGGCCTGTAGCACTCAGGGGGTATCCGTTGGCGATAAGAGCTCCTTCGAGGATGTTTGTCACATGGGTCGCAACTTGTACAATCTTCTCATCGGCCAGCAGCTCCATAGCACTCAGACAGGCCGCATATACCCCCCTGTGGCTTCGTTGCCTGCAGCGAAACACGATATCCCTGAGCAGGAAGAGATTGGAAAGACCTCGTCGTGGATGGGTAGATACTCACATGGCACAGCCCATACGTTCCTCGGCGGTGCGGACGGTTCTGAGTTTATCCGAGGCTTCAAACTGCCCAGCCCACTGAAGCTTGCAGATAGGCTTAAGAAGAAGTTGATGACCGAGGTGGCAGTACCGGAGTGGGAGGTTCTTGAGGACGATGCTTGGGCAGTGGAAGAGGGAGAAAGTACGCAGAATCGCACGAGTGGCGGTGGGAACAATGGCTGGACAAAGGTCAAAAACAGATAGCTTAAGAAAGTAACCTAGGTAGCATAATCAAACAAAAGGACTAAAGGTAGAGGCGACCTATCAGTGGATCATCGTCATAAAGTGACAAAGATTGTTTATCGCCATTCACCCCTTTCTTTTGTTGCCTTCCACTTGCATCTCGTTGCCTCCCTGGTTACATTGCTGTTGCTTACATTCCCGGACGTCCCTGTTGATCCACCTGGCCACGCCACTCATCCAGCAATTCTTTCATCTCTTCCTGGTCATCATGTAAAATACGCAACCGAACAAGTTCATCGATGATTTCCTCCATCCAAACTTTGACCAGACTCTCAAAGTGTACTCTCGTTAAATAGGTGCCGTCAGGCTGCTCATCTTCGAGGGACAGGCGCCAGCGCCGGAGGGCAAGTCCCTGGAGACTCCCTTGTCCGTAGGTTCGTAAAGCTCTGCCATCTGGATATCCAGAAACTGGGCGACCAAGAATTTCCCATAGCGGACGTAGAATATGGCGGAGCTCTGCCTCTAGTTTGTCTGACCCAACGGTCAAGAGATTGTCGTTAAGAGAGGCGATTTGCTCTGACTCGGCGCCAACTGGGGGCATGCGGGCCCGCGGAGCTTCTTCAGTGGCACGCAAGTCATCCTGCCTCTGAGACTCGCTCTCTCTCTGCCTCCACATCTCTCTGGCCATGGCTGCATCCCTGCGACGCGCGTCTTCGTCAGCGGCCGATCGTTCTATCTGCGCTCTTGCAGGCAATGGTGCCACACGTCTGCCTTGGAAATTGGGCGTGGAAGGCGGAGAAGGATGAGCATCGGAGACTGAATTGGTCCGTTTGATGGCAGGGACAGTGGGCTGTAACCTAGGGGGTGCTGGTGTTGGACTCGGTGGCGGCTTGGAGATGGGGAACAGGGTCAATCGATATGAGGGAGATGATAAAGAATCTCTAAAGCCGGGTGCAGGCACGGTAGTTGGCGTTGATGGGTCAGGAGCAGGCGATGGCGTAGGCGAACGAATTGGGAGGCCGTCAGCTCCCAGCAGTGCATAGGGCAGGTCTTTGGCTCGAGGAGCCTGTGCTTTGGGCTTCTTGCGGTTTGGAAGCAGAACAGGGCATGGTGATGGCAGTTTCTTCCTGATAACTCGAGGAGGGGGAGTATGACCGTCAGAGGGTCTTACAGGTCCGTACGGCGGTGCTGCTGTTGCTGGTCCTGGTACTAATCCTCGATCTGGGGTTCGTACTGCAGCTAATGTTGATACTGCAGCTAATGTTGATACTGCAGCTGGTGTTGATACTGCAGCTGGTGTTGATACTGCAGCTGGTGTTGATACTGCAGCTGGTGTTGATACTGCAGCTGGTTTTGATACCGCAGCTGGTGTTAATACTGTAGCTGGCGTTGATACTACAGCCACTGTCGATTTCTGGGTTGGTGTTGTTACTGATCCTAAGGCTGGTATCTGGGCTGGTTTGGATACTGGTGCTGGTCTAGGTGCCAGTGCGAATGGAGTCTCAACTTTCCGCTCTTCTTGATTGTTAGCCTCCTTCACCACCAAAAGCAACTGGCGAGGTGGTAAAAGAGAAACATTTGATGACTGGGTCAGACCAAGATCCATCTCCACCTCCTGATCGACTGGAATTTCTACCATCTCTATATCTTCTTTGACGACTGAAATAGGGGGCGGTGCATCATAGATGTCCACATCATCGTCAATATCCTGACCGCAGTCTTCGTCCATTCTGTCGACGTTGTCATTGATTTCAATGACATGTTCGGGCTCGTGCTCGATCCCTACCATATCTTCGGGGATAGCTGCCAAAGTGTGCAAGGCCTCGGGAAACGTTGCGTGAGGAAGACAAGAGGGGATAGTAGGAACAGTAACTCCAGTCTCGACAGGTGATAGATGTTTTGGTGAAGGAGAAAGGATTTCAGATTCGATTATAGGTGAGAGTGGCGCGTTGATGACAAGCGGATAAACAACAGGCGTAATGACTGGAGCGGCAGGTGCTGTGATGGGAATGACAGAAGCAAAGGGAGTGACTGAGATAGAAACAGCCTCCTCGGTGTTCTCCTCGATGCTATGCTTCTCAAAGTTCTTGTTTTCGACTTCATCCTTCTCGATGTTCCCATTCTCAGTGCTCTCATTCTCCATGTTTGCCTTCTCGGTTTTGTTCTGCTCGATATTTTCATTCTCGATGATCACCTTCTCGAAGCTCTTATCAAAGATCTCCTTAGAGTTCTCGGTATCATCATTTTGAAGGTTCTTTCCAATGTGCTCCTGGTTGCTGATCTCATTTTCGATGTTCTTTTTCTTAGCGTTCTCTTGCTCGATATTCTTATTCTCAAAGCGCTTCTCGATGTCGCCAATTTCCCAGTGCTTCTTCTCGATGATCTCATTATCGGTGCTCTCTTCCTCAATGCTCTTCGCCTTCTTGATGTTCACATTCTCGGAATTCTGTGTCTCGAAATTCCTCTCTTCCTTCTTGATGTTCTCCTTCTCGGTGTTATTATCTTCAAATTTCGTGGCGATGCTGGCACTTTCAAAATTCTCATTCTGTGTGTTCTCATTCTGGATGTTCTCCTTCTCGATGGCCTCATTCTCTATATTCTCTTTCTCGGCGCTTTCGTTCTTGATTTTCTCCTTTTCGGTATTCTCATTCGTAGCGCTCTCATTCGTAGCGCTCTCATTCTGGATGTTCTCCTTCTCGATGGTAACATTCTCGATGGCCTCACTCTCAATGTTCTCATTCTCAGCATTCTTGTTCGTAGCGCTCTCATTCTCGATGGTCTCATACTCGGTGGTCTCGTTCTCGATGGTCGTACTCTCGGCGCTCTCGTTGTTAAATTCTTTCTCAAAGTTCTCCTTCTTGACGCTCTTCTTGTAGACGTTCTCTTCAGCAGTGTTGTTGATATTGTTGTTGTTTTTCTTGGTTGTGTTGATGAACTGCTTTCGCAGACGAGCCGTCTTGGAAGTCGCCTTCTTGGGAGTGAAAGTACAACTCTCTGTTGGTACAACGCGACCGAAGTCCGGTTCCAACAGGAGCTGCTCGCGCTTCTTCAGGCGAAGTCTAAGGTCGGCAATCTCCTTAAGGAGTATTTCCTTCTCTAGCTTGCACAATGTGGAGTTGCATTCAATCTCTTGGTCCTTGTCGGTATGAATATGACATTGGCACACCTCTGGAAGCGGTGTGCCGCGGGGCCTGGCGTCTCGATTAGAACTCTTTTCCAACGCAGAAGTAAATCAGAGAAATAAAACTCACATAACTGGATAATCCGGCGTGTTGTTCTCTTCCTAATGAGTTTCAACAACACCAGATTTGCCAGGCCAGGTTCCAGACATCCCGGGCTTTTCATTGTCGGGCTCCGAAGAGGCCTCGACGATAGCTGTAAAGAGACGGATGAAAAATTCAACCCAGTGGACGACAATCTTCATCCACAAACTCCCCATGACGTCCATGACGAGGGACGGACCGAAAGAATGAAATATGAGGAAGGCGATGACTATGGAGAGAATGGGGTGGGTGTTGAGAATCTCAACGAGCATTTGATTGGCGTACTCAATGGCGATCTGAATCATCGTGACAGAATATCAGAAGATTCATGTATGATTACAGAATGATAAAGCGGGATGGAAAAGGTAATCGAGACGAAAAGGAAGTTTAGCTAAAAAGCGATGAGAGTGGTAATAGAATGATGAGAAATTGAGTTGAACGGAGAAAAACATAAGAAGAGAGAAGCTCAAAGCTCGAAAAGAAAATACTTCTTCTAGGCAGGAGCGAGGGAAATACGCGTACCACGTGATTTTATCAGAAGGAGACTGGAAATTCTCTTATTTGAAAGTGAGGTGAAGTGAGAGTCCTGAGGTGTCTACCGTAGCAGAGGCGTCGGTCGTTTGGGTGGAGCTGAGCGCAACCAACATTAAGCCGATGATTATGTTGCCCCGAATGCCATCTGCCCCTTTGGCTAGCTGGGGCTTGCGTAAAGAGTTTCATGGACGGCAAGTACATTTGAGGCCTGTGAAGGCGTGTTAGTTTTCAGGATAATCTCTCGTGGCGCAGTGCTATGTCGAGACACCAGCTACCCCAAACGTCCGCTGGATTTCCGGTTCTCATCCAGATTCATTGTGTTTTAGTCTTTCACAAGGTACTCGACTTGATAGCCATTCAAGAACAGAAGAAACCGAGTTTAGACTGAACAATGGTTCAAGCTTTTTCGCGGTTGTATGAAACATTCTTGTTCAAGCCAGCTCCTTTTTTCCATATTCAATCAGTGGTAGCAACACAAAGACAAAAGCCAAATCATCAGCGAATAAACTCAGTTGAGAATAAATTGACAAACAATAACAAGGACTCGGATACGTATTTGCCTCAACACAGGGTATCCTCCGTAAGCGCCAAAACCAAGTCCGCCTCCCACGAGCATGCTAATTCCCCAATGCAACAAGATGCCCTTATCGTTCATTACAAGAAAATATTACCAGAGCAACAGAAAACTACTGTTTCCTCCCCCTTGCCAAAAGTCTCTCATGAAGGTTTACCACGACATCGCTCCAAGACGGTGTTCCTTCATCTTGGGAAAAGGCATTGTCACCCAAGTGAGTTAATAAAAACTCGGCAATTTTGCCGGTGTTGAAGTGTTCTCCATACACAACCGTTGCCTCAGGATGAAGTGAGAATTCGACCCCATCGGGCTTGCTGACGCCTTGAATCTCAAGAGCAATTTCCACCTTAGTCTCCAGGGGTGCTAGGAGAAGTGACGATTTGACAGCAACAGACGAATCTGAAGTCCGGTTGACAGTTGTGGGGAATGTGATGTTGAGCTGCCGGACGTGGGTGGAGGTGGAATTAGCCTTGTCCCACGCAGTGCGAACCATGTGGAGGAGATCCGCAATTTTAGTGCGGCTCTGCTGTAGTGCACGAACGTGGTCCCGAATACACTGTAAGAAGAATTCCTTTTCCGGTGTTGACGGCACAGGATGGTTCTCGCGGTTGGCGGCAATATACCACAGGTCAATCCGCGAATTCTTCTTTCTGGGCTGGAAAGATGTGATGTCAAACACCAACTCAATCTCACGGCGGTAGGTCATCGAAATCTGGCTTCCTGACACTCCGGTGACAGCCCAACCGTGCTGTTTCTCCAAGGCATCCACTCGGTCTGCAACCGCGTTAGTTTTCCCTGAGCCACTGTTTGTTATGATAGGATCCTACCTTTGAGTGCACTGATCTCGCTCGTGGACCAGCCTCGGCATTCCTCGCGAATCTTCTCCGCTTCCTTGATATCCTCGTAGCACTGCTGCTTCTCTTGTGTAAGTGCCTCGATGCCACGCTCCGCATCTTCGAGCTCTTGTCGAAGTTCGGCAATACGTTGAGTCTTCTCTTGAACATCCCTTTCGACCTCAGCCAAATCAGACCGCGCAATCTCAAGCTCTTCGGGGTCGCAGTCAGCAAGTTCATCAGCAGCAGCCTTTAGATTTCCATGCTCTTGCTCGAGTTCAGCGAATCGCGATACAATTCCAGGAAGAACAGAAGAAAGGAGCTTTTGTTGCTGTGCAAGGAGCTTCTCGTCAGAGTCCATGCCCTCGGCAATCCTGACGAGACCCTCTCTTAGGCCTTCCTGAAGTTTCATACGCCACTCATACCACATGGCCTTGCTCTCGAGGCGCGCATGGGTCTTGCCGTTCTTGAACTGGTTATCGAGGATGTTCTTGAAGTCGGCCGATGCCGACATGTATTCCCTAAACAGAGGCGGGTTCTCCTCAAAGGTCTCAGATTCGATTTCGCGAACAATTCTGCGACCTTCAGAAATATACTTCTTCAGCTCCCGACAGGAGTGCTGGTATAACTCGAGCATAGGCACTGTGCAAGCTCCAGCGATAACGCAGCGCTCAAGTGACATGTCTTCTTTGCCTCCCATATCTTTGAACATATCCGGGGCTTGAGTGTGTCGCCTCTTTGTAGTTGTCAACTCCATAAAACGAATAGATGTCATGTTGAGGAAGTCCTGAAGGTGAATTCGTTCCTCTGGCTGTTCGTTCATAAGCTCAGCATCGTCCCTAGCAGGCGAGCCATCGAGGTTCATCGTGTGGGAAACAGTATCGTCCGCAACATCTCGGAATCGGCCTTGTCCGTGAGGAGACTTTGCTGTGCTTCCACTCTTCAATGGTGATTCGGAATGGGTCGGGGTTGCCTTAGGCGTAGAGCTTTCCTCCATGAACCGTTGAGATGAACGTGTCAATCTGCGGCCAGTAGTCTCTGCCTTACTGGGCGGCTGCTGCAGCTTGACGTTCTTGACGGGGCTGCCTTGGTGTCCTTTGAGCCTCTTCACGCCATCGTTATCCTCGCCATCCACTTCATCATCAAGCTCGGCAGGTCGCTTTCCGAGTAGGCCTTTAGCACTTCCGACATGGAGACTCTTGCGGCCTTGCAGGCGCTTCTTTTTCGGACTCAAACTGTCGATCATCTCTCTCAAGTTAAGAGTAGCGTCCTTCTCATTCTCACCATCTGCTTCCCGCTCCATGATCCTTCGTCCATTTTCTTTGTCTTCCTCCTCCTGACGGTCTTGATCTATTTCATACTCTATGACCTTCGGATCGGCGAAGGTGATTCCACGCGCTTTTCCAGGAACGAACTCCTGAGCGGCTTCGCCGAGTGATCCTCTACGATCCAGAATGGCGGCGACGCGGGGCGACCCCAAGCCAGGCTTGTCGGCGCCTACACCAGAGTGTCTGCGTGGCTGTGGGGTGAGAACGACTGTAGGTGTCCTTGCACCAGTGGTAGGATCTTGCTGAAAGACATTCAAGCGATTTCCGGTCTTTTCAGAAGAGGGCGTTGCAAGCTTCCGCACGGGTGACTTGGGAGTAGACTTGGGTGGCGATTTTGGAGGCGACTTGGGACGGCCTCGTTTCTTGGTCGATTGAGGAGTCTTGACTGGCGAGCTGTCCAACGGAGTAGAGACAACTGGAGGCGGTGCTGTCGACTTTGGAGGGCTAGGTGTCCGAGTGCTCCTGGCTGGAGACTCACTAAAGATGTCTGCACGAGGCATGCTGTTGCGAAGACTTCTGCCCTGGAAAGGGTTGAAAGCAGGGCTGCCGCCGGTGTCTGACTTTGCAGGCGAGTGTTTCTTCACTGACGCAGCCAGCTTCTTTGCAGGTGATTGTGGCTTGGTGGACATTCCCTTGGAGGGTGTATCCGGCTTGTCCACCTCCTCTTCCATGAGCTTCTTCGCCGCCATGCGAGCCTCTGGAGATTGTGGTGCCCTGAGGATACCTCCAACAGCCATCGTCATATCCATGCCCATGGTAGCATCCTCTGCATCCGGCGCCTGGGTGTTAGACAAGATGCGGCCTACACCCATAGTCATGTCCATGCCCATGGTTACTTCGTCTCGCTCTGGGGAATCTGCCCCAGCACCAAGAATCTTTCCAACGCCGATGGTCATTTCCATGCCCCCCGTGACATCATCCTCTTCCATCGGCTTGTCTGGTGACGACAGGATATTGCCGATTCCAACCGTCATGTCCATGCCCATGGTCGCATCCTCGCCATGGATTGTCTTATCTCCTACGGGGAGAATTTTGCCAACGCCGACGGTCATGTCCATATCCATTGTTGATTCTTCCATTACAGAGTCTTCACGAGCATTGACCGTCCTGCGACGCTTCTGAGTCCTATCCCTTTTGGCTTGTGAGGGGAGGAGACCACCTATGGCAGTTGTGAACTCCATTGACATATCTTCATCGTCGTTCTCATCAAACAAGGTATTGTTGGGGTTAGGCTGTTGAATACCACCAACGGCCGTAGTGAACTCCATGGTTTGATCATCCTGGCTTGCTGAGGTAAATTGTTGCTTGTTGACTTGAGAAAGGATGCCGCCGATAGCGCGTGTTACATCCATAGTCATGTCCTCGTTAGGGTCGGCAACACTTTGAGACGTCTTGTCATTGAGGATGCCTCCCACCACGTTGGTGATATCCATATCCATGTCCATGTCGCCATCATCTTCGTCCTCAAGAGGGCTTTTCCGAACAGGAGGTGGTAGGGGTTCGTTCTCTTGGTCTTCAGATGACCCGTATTGAGGTTTGCTCTTTTTAATCCAGCCAAATGAGGGGATGACTTCCTCCTCCTCCTCTTCATCATCAGAGCCGAGACGCTGTGTTCCTGCTTGACGTGCAGCCATCCGCAGGGCTTCATCCAGAGTATCGTTCTCGTCATCAGAGGCGACCGTACGACCAGACATGACGGAAGCACCAGTAACCTCGTGCTCGTCGATCGTCATCATCGTTCCTTCGTCGTCTGAATCGCTGTTGGAGTCAGACTCAACCTCCTCGTCTTCATCCACTTCTTCGACCGCGTCAGCTGGCTCAGAGTCCGAACTGAAGCCAGATGCGGCCGTATTGTCGTCATGGTCTGTGAACTCCATTAAATTGGCGGTAGAGCTACGTCTGCGCTTCTTCTGGTGCAGCTCTCGCTGGTTCTCTGGCGACTGGGGAACGATTTCCTCCGGTTGCTCTTGCGGTGTCGATGGTCGATCGGATCCCTGATCATTTGCGCGTGATGCACGCCGCGTCGAGTCGGTTGACGATGTTGAGTCTTGCATGTATTCGATCTCGTGAAAGGTGTGGAGTGTCGCCTCGGCGGCGAATGACACCCTACGGTTGGCAAGGGACTTACGCCTAGCATCTCTGCGCTCTCGTTCTTCGCGTTCTCTAGCTGCAGCCTGCTGCTCTTCCTCTGTGCGCAGGGCAATCTTTGACCCAGATCCAACGACATCACTGGCGATGGAAGTGTTTGTAGGGGTACTAGACCGGGGCGGTCCCAGGTCGATGAGGTCTGCAGTGCGCTTCCGGTGCGGTGGAATTTCGGGCAGAAGCGGCACCGTGGGCTTCAGAATCGATCGTGGCGGGGGTCGTGAAGGTACAGCCAGTGACTGCGAAAGTTAGCCAGGCGTGCATCATATCAAAACAAGAGCATTCTCACTGCTCTACGGTTGCCATTTGCATTTTTAAGGGCGTCCAAGCCGCCAGGGCCTATGCTCTTGCTTCGCGATTTTTTGCGACTCTCCGCGAGAGTACTGCCCACGTCGATTGTCGCATTCTCTTTATCAGAAACCTTCCTCGACGATGTGGGCGCTCCGATGGACTTCCGCGTGCGCCGTGTCGAGGGCATGGTCGCGTCGCCGAATGAAGCCATCTCGAAATTTGTTGTACTGGTTGGCAGTGAGGCTTCAGACGACAGAGCTAAAGATGCACATGTCACGTCTTAAAGAATGACGCGAATGTAGTGGCGTGAATGTCCAAGTCCCAGATCCAGAAGAACCTGTGGTGGGCTGCAAGGGCCGTGTTTACTTCTAGCTGGGCTTTTGATTGGCTACCGGGGAATGATGTCAACAGACGCGCTTTGTTGCTGTGGCATCGGCTGTCACTGCCTGAACCGAAGATTTTCCACGGCCATGCCCCACGTCTCACAATAAGAAAAAACCCTTGGGCCTGTGTCAGCCCACAGACCACCTCGTCCTTATCAGTGTATGGTGAATTAGGTAGCCAGGGTGCTCAATGCTAGGAAGTCCTTCCTCATCACATATCTTTGCTGTGCCTATTTAAGTGGTGGGAAGGGACCAACAGTGCTGAAATGACTTGATATCAGGAGTTCAGAGATCATCAAAAGGATCAATTAGGAACATGAGTTTCATAGCTTTTACCATGCAAAAGAGCAAGCAAATGGGAAATTGTGCATCGTAGGAATATGGAATGAAGACAACTACCTACCATCAAGACGAACGACCTACAAATGTCAATCTATATCGAATGCAAGCAAACTGGGGTTCTTTTTCCCCTGCTCGGCTCACCCCTGTTGCTTTTTTTTTTATCACTTTTTTCTCTGAACCGACGGTTGGGAGCAGTCTGCCGCTAATTACTCCGTTGGTCTCATAGAAGAAATTGTGTGGCTGGTGCAGCGACACAGCCACAGGGTGCTCTCTCAGGATCCGTCCCACCATATCCAATGAAAAAAGGGTAAATGTGGGTCTCGTTTAACTTTTGATATTTGCCAAAGCCCTAAGTGGCACACCAACTTCGTAGTTCCCAATCTCGTCTGGTCAGAAAAAGAGGCTCCGAACAATCGACATCTAACCTCAACAGCACCCACCGCCCAGTCGACCGCACCACGACGTCAAGATGGCTACCGAGCTGACCGTCCAGTCCGAGAGGGCTTTCCAGAAGCAGAAGGGTATCTTCCTTAACCAGAAGGTCAAGGCGAAGTCTGCTCGCCCTGGCAAGAGCGGCCGCAGATGGTACAAGGACGTCGGTCTGGGTTTCCGCACCCCCAAGACTGCCATTGAGGGCAGCTACATCGGTACGTTTGCGAACGAACAGGATTGAACTGGGAAGGGAATTCTTTTTTGGCACAAGCGCGACGGCAAACAATTTTCGACGAATATTCGCGACGCACTCGAGAAATCGCAAAGAAGTTTTGGAGCTCGAGGGGAAGAGGGGGGAATATTTTTCTTGGAGGGGGGAAATGGAAATCAACAATGCGCATTTGCACGACACCACCGGGACAACGATTGCTAACGTTGGCGCGTCTCCAGACAAGAAGTGCCCCTTCACCGGCCAGGTCTCTATCCGTGGCCGTATCCTTACCGGCACCGTCGTTTCCACCAAGATGCACCGTACCCTTATCATCCGCCGCGAATACCTCCACTTCATCCCCAAGTACGCCCGTTACGAGAAGCGCCACAAGAACCTCGCCGCCCACGTTTCCCCCGCTTTCCGTGTCGAGGAGGGTGACCAGGTTACCGTTGGCCAGTGCAGACCTCTGAGCAAGACTGTATGTTACGACAAACCCCCGCGATATCTCCATGTCCGACGAGGGAGTAGAGTTACTAACCCGTTGATCTCTAGGTCCGCTTCAACGTCCTTCGTGTCCTTCCCCGCACTGGCAAGGCTGTCAAGAAGTTCAGCAAGTTCTAAATCGGCTCATTGGCATTTACGGCGTGACTGCGGTGTGGGTTCTTCATTACATACCGGATGGGAGGTCATCAGGGAAACTGCATCCACATGATTGTGTTATAGATGCAGAATCAAGACCAAAAATGAAATCGATCAGCCAAACTTCGCGGTCGTGAACTGGAGGTTATTCTCTGGCTGTCTTGGGCACACAATGGGCTTGTGATTTTTACGGGAACGGAAAACTGCGATGCGCCTCAGGTCGAATGAACGAAAAATGATTTAGGGATTGGATGTGCAATTGTGTTTGCCTTTGACTCGTGACACTGTGATTTGCCTTACCATAGGCTCCAATGATTGTTGTTATTCCCTTCTCGACGAAGAATGTGAGATCCTACGAGTCAACCTTTGAAAGCATTGGTTGCTCAGATTGCAATCGACTATCCCACTAATCCGTACTTAAGCAGCAACTTGATAGTTTATATGTCCGTCATTTAAATGCCTTGTGCTACCCTCTCTTGAGCGAATAGCGTTTGATACATTTAAGGCCTTTCAAAGACAGTGTCAAATACAGTGCGTGCTAGGCTTTTCCTACGTAGCGTCTGTGTCGTTCTGGGCATCTGATTGGATCACCAACTGCCACCTAGAAATTCTCAAGGAGCTTCAGTTTGCGACCCCCCTCTAAGCTCTAAGCTTCCCTGACTACACTCCGACGGTCTCTCGAGCTCTTTTTCCTTGAAGCTTCGATTCGAAATGGGCTGGTTTGACGGCTGGTTTTCCAGCGGCCCTTCGACCTCGGACCCCCTCAAGTCCCTCGACCCCAAGCTTCGCGAATTCCTCCAGCGCGAATCCCCCGTCAAGATCCAACAGCAAATCGCCCAAGAAGCCGAACAAGCGGCGGCCGCGGCACAAACACAAGCACAAGCTCAATCACAAACAGAAAATGGAAATGGAGCGGCGGACTCGGATAGGCCAAAGGTGCCGAAAGAGAGTCTCTTTCAAGACGGCCGGTACGCCCATCTCTGGAAAACATATCGTCCATACTCAGACGTCGAGGCTGAGTCGAAAACGGACCATGAGAAGCTCATGGATGTGTTGGACGGCTACAAGGAGCGCAAGCACAACATTGGGCGGGCTGCGCTCGAGAACTGCGCTCTGCAGCAGGAGGAGTGGGTGAACTGCATGAAGAGTGGTGCTTGGGAGGACCGGATGCAGATGTGCAGGCATCAGGTGCAGAGATTTGAGAGGTGTTATACCATGCAGACGGTACGAACAGTCCTTTCCTCTCCTCTGCTTTCAATGATTACGAGACCCATGAACTGACGATTTTGTTCCAAAAACCAGAGATTCCTCAAAGCCCTAGGCTACCAGTCTGTCTACAACCGCCCAGCGCATGTTGAGGAGGATATCCAGATGCACGCTGACGCGCTCTACAACCGTATGCTCGAGCAAGAAAAGGCCATTGAGTTGGCCAAGAAGGAAGGTCTCCCTGTACCCAAGCTGGACCTCTCAATACCAACCGTGGCCGAAGCTGGCGCCATCCAGCCCCGGCCCGACCTCGAGAAGTCGTGGAGGGAGAAGCTGGAGCAGCTTCCCGAGGAGGAGCGGGCAGCGGAAGAAGCGGCGCTGCGGGCAGACCTGCAGGCCAAGGCGGCCGTCGCCAAGGACGTGCAGAAGCTCTGGGACGAGCAGGAGAAGGAGAGGCAGCAGCGCAAGGCGGAGGGCAAGGCGACCATCATGGATCGCGTTTCTGGGGTTTTTGGCGGGAAGTAGACGTGTGTCTCCTACATCCTTGCTGGGAGCGAAATAGCAACCACGTGAAAGCAGTTGGGCTACAATTGTTCACGGTGTTGGAGTTATCAGTGTAAATTATCCAAGGTAAGGGGTTGCCAACTTGGATCAGCGTTTTGCCGTTGAAGACAACGATGCATGGCTGGGCGGGCAACTGTAGACTATCATGTACTTCTAGAAGAACATCTTCAAATGCACAAAAAAGGGCCGTATGGAAGGGAAGGCCCCATTCTCCGTCAGCTGCCACCGACTCAGATTAACTTGCTCAAGGACACATCGCTGGACCTTGCGACTGCCAGCGAGGCATCCGTTTTGATCGCGACGTGAATAATTGTGATCAACTGTGCACGGCACTTGAAAATACGACGTCGTCTATTTCGCACACCCTGGGGGGAGCGAAACAGCGAAACCCCGTAATTCCCTCAGCAGGGACTGCGTGGTTCAGGTTGCTCTGAATCATCCCAACTCAGCATTGCTCTGCAAAGAGCAAAGGACCGGGGTTGACAAACGAGACCAGAAACTCAGGGATCCAGCTTCCATGTCCCGAGGTGTCACATTGAATTCAAGCAAGAGAGAATTAAGGTAGAGTTCGTGTTTCGGCAGATTCAAAACATTGTATTGGGGGCCTCACTTGCCGACAGACAAGGCAATAGGGGGAGGAATACCTGTCTTCCTTGGGTTGCGATGGGTGCAACCAGTTGCATTAAGGTGCGGCGATAACTACGGGAGGCGAAGTTTGCATCGCCTCCCGTCCGAAAAGCCTCAAGCCTCAAAGCCTCACCTGGTCGAGGGGACGATGACGAATTGTGGTCTGCTTGCCTTCCCCAAATGCAAAGCTTCAGACAAAGTAGTGAACCACAACGGTGCAGGGAGGGTGGAGTGGCCACTGGTTGGTTGGCCTCCCACTGGGCCAGTGGTCTGGCTGACGTGGAACATTCTGTAGCGAGCTGTCAGCCATTCTACTGCCATGAGAGGCCACTACAAGCTAAGCTTTGCGGGTAGATCTCTTGGCATGCACTTGGCAGCCCAAGGGACAGCCGCCCACACCACTAGAAATCTCGCTTGGTCTCTAACACATTTTGACGACAGTCGATTGAATTAAATTCGTCACAGAAAGACGCGTTCGAAATGAAGCATTTGCTCTTGGAATATGTTCGATTGTTTGATAGTGAATAACCCTTAAACCACGTATCCCTCCAACAGGAGTAATAATCGCCAAACGCCACCGGGGGTGATGACACAGACAGGACTAAAAGTAGTAATGGTATTGTTGTCTCAGTCATCGCACCACCACCACCCTTCACACCCTTTCCGAATGTTTTCCCCATCTTAACTCATGCTTATGGCTTGGTCTAGCAGCAGGACTCTTCGCAGGCGCAGAGACCACAGCAGATCTCGCATCCGGCCTCTTCACCACCACGGAGGCTCATCTCAGGCTGGGGCTCGACGGACTGTTGATTGTGCGCGTTAGTCTAAAATCCTAAAAGAAAATTGCGGTAAGGGACAGCTTACAGGCTGCTGAGAGACGATTCCGTTCTCAGAAGGGACCTCCATGGGGGCCTGCTGCTGGGGAACCTCGGGAGCGGGCATTTTGACGGCTAGTTGAGAGTCGAAAGAAAGGTAGAAGGAGAGAGACGGGGGGGTGAAGTCCTCAAAGGAAACTTGTGAGTTCGTATAGAGAGTAGTAGTTGGGATAAGCGGCAAGAAAATGGAGCAGTGGAAGCGGTCCCCTCCCTCACCTTATGTACTCGGCTCCCGGCTTCACAGGCACAACAACAATGGACTGCCCTGTTCATTAACTTCACGCTCTCAGCTGGAGCAGATAAGTCATCGGTGGCCGAGGACCCCTAACTTCCTCCTCCTTGCTGGTTCCAAAAGTTCATACACCCCCCTTCGCGTTCCCTCCACCTGCTTCCATAAAAATCAACTGACACCCATAAGCGGCCCCCCCCCTTCGTCGGAAGTGCGACGGCAACAAACACTCCAATCACTGCTTCTCAAAGTTCTGGCAGAACCCAGTTTTCCCGTCTCTTGACTAACTGCGGCCAGTCAGGATCTAGCGTAGGGGGGCGTGTAAGGCGCTGCGTGGGTTGGGAACTTTGATGACGGACCCATGGCCCGTCGAGCTTCAAGTGCCGTACTTCCGGGTGAGGATTTTATCTGTGGTACATCAATGATACGGGAAACCCGCCTATTGGGGGGGGGACAGCCTCAGCTGTACACGCGCCGACCGCCACATCGGAGAGTGGGACTACTTGCACACGCCATGACACACGGCCACCCCGATTCAGGGTACCGTAGTCAAAAAAAGAGGTCGAAAGACGTGAGGACAGGTGGGCTGCGCGTTCAATAAGGCCTGTGACGTCAATGTGTACCATGCTCCAGACAGGCAAACAGACAAAAATAGAGACGAATTTCAATAGTCGAGGACGAAGGGCTCAGCACCAACTTTGCTTCCAGTCTAGAATCAAAGGGGGAGAAATCGTGGATGTTGTTGTTATGGCAATAACTCCCCCTTTGGACACGAGCTAAGGTAACGGGGAAAATAAGGTTCAGCGTCTTGTGGCAGTCATAAGCCTTAGGCCAAGTGGTATTGCCAGCCAAAAAAGTCATCAATTGGGCGATCCGAATGCCGATTTTCCTGGGTATCCCCGGCAAAGGCCACCCCCGTCAACCCCTCAACGCCAACATTGTACATGAATACCCCAACCACCGTCAACTTCGGACGACATAACGAGGCCCAGTCAACCTCGGGTCTTCTCTATCTACCTTCCAATGCAACAGCGGCGCGTTCGAGGAACGCGTTGAAATCCTTAATCTGCTTCAGTGTTCCTCCCGTATCGCTCTGTGTACACGCTTGGTCCGCAATTCTAGATATCAATATCTCCAGGTTGGCCAGTTCCGCCGTCTTCTTTTCTGCTGGGCCAAGATCAGGCGCTGCGCGACCTCGCTCCACGGCCAGATCAATGTCATGCATCTGAGAAGATAAGCTCAATTGGTTCTGTGGACACCAGTTAGTTATAGGGCTGATTTAGGTCGTTCCACCGGAAGACTCACCAGGGCCTCCTCTTTGACCTTGTCGTGCTTAGCTCTCACAGCGTCCTTCCGGAGCGCCACCTGGTCCCGTTCGGCACGGATTTGCATGATTTCGTCCCGAAGAGTAATTCTCTCTTTTTGGACACTGCGCAGCCGCTTGCGCAGGCTGTGGAGTGTGTCGAGGAGTATTGTCTAAGATGGGTCAGAAGTGGCTCTCAAGCCTCAGGGGAGATAGCCCACATGTTGCAATAATCGATTCCTAAGTTCTTCCTGGAATGCTTCCAAAGCTCGCACTTGAACCCGGAATTCTTTCTTAGTTGGTGCATCTTCAGCATTCCGCACACCTTCTTTAAGAGTATCCAAGCTCGTCCCGACAATTTCGTCGCACATCTGGGTCAACACGTCGACAGTGTTGACTCCGCCGCGGTTAGCGAAAGGAATATCCAAACTAAGCACGTCTGCGTTGCCATCTTCGCCTTCGGCCGCTTGAACTCTCTTCGTAAACCGTTGCACTGGAATAGAGACCGTCTCGTCGTCTCCAGTGGCATCTGAGCTTTTCTTCTTTCTTCGTTTAGGAGCAGTCTTAGGTGGGCTGTTCTTTGCTTTAGAAGCTGCCTTTGGTCGTCCTTGTTTCTGTTTTGCTGGACTTGTTTTCAATTGTTTCCGTCGCTTTTTCGCTAAAGGCGCTTCTTGGTCCTCATCCGTAATAATCGAATCAGGCTCGGCAGATGGCCCTCTCGGACTTCTGCGGGGCCGCTTGCGTCCCAAGCGTTGAGCCGCCTCATCTATGTCGACCTCTTCTGCCAAACTTTCATCCTGACCATGACTTTGTACCTGATCTTCCTCCACCAATGACTCCGGTTCCAGTTCAGGTTCTGGCTCTGACACCGGTTCGTCAGAGTGAGTTGTAGGCTCTGCGGACCGTGTATCGCGTCGAGATGATAGCTCAGGTGACACTGTTCGATCGACAGACTTTCCTGCTCCATCAAGTGATCGTCCATCAATGTCAACGTCTCCAGGTATGCCTGAGCTACGGCTCCCGCGACTGCTTATTGTTGACCTGCGTGTGCTGGCTGTGGTTCGCCGAGCTTTGCGCTCTAGGGGCGATGAAATAGGAACCGCCTCAGTCTCATTATCCTCGGGGGACAGAGCTTGCTGCAGTCTGGCACTAGAACCAAGAGCACTACTCGTGATCGTGCGCCGTCGGCCGCTGCCTGGTGCATCAGCCGGGCTCTCCTCAACTTCGGTATAGTCTGACGTGACCCTCCCGGTTACTGGTGAAATGGGCGGCGCAGGTGCGGGCGGCCTTGGTGGCGGCAGTGCCTCAGCAGAATCCGGAGCCGGCTCTTCTGCAATGGGGGTAGGGCTTGTCGTCGGTTGCTCTGCTGCAGCGGGCTGCAAAGATAGTCTAGCTGGCCCATCTTGTGGTTCGATAGAGCCTGGCTTGTCTAAAGACCGTCGAGCTTGGTCACCGCCCTGCGACGATACGAGCGGTCGTGTCGAGTCGCTATCCAGCTTCCGTCTCTTAGCAGATGTATTCGGTGTGGGCGTGGTTCGCGGCGGCGGCTCCTCTGGACTGTCTTGGGGTTCGATTTCGGTCGTAAGATCGTCTCCGAAGTCTAATTGGAAAGAGACATCTTCGATTTGACCGTGTCTTTACACTGTCAGTCAGGCATTATGACGAAAATACTAGGAGGACTAACCCAGCACCGCGCATGCGCTGTTGCATCCGCTCCGCACGAGCTGCTTGGTGTTAACATATGTTTGGCGGGGTGGTTCACTTAAATTGAGGGCTTACTGGTCATGGCGGCGGATTATGACGGTGATTTAAGCGCGATAACGCCTCTAGATAGAATCGGAAAGAGGATGCGACTCATTGAAGGCGAGCGCACGTCGAATGAGGTTGTTGTGCTAGAATTGCAAGTATCCAATTCGGGCCAGTAGTAACCTCTCTGGATAAGGTGGAGGGGCGCGTCGCACAGTTCCTTGGGTGGTTATGGAGTAGTTCGTGACGCGCCTCCAGCTTACGCCCAAGACCCCTGCACAACCACTTTATGGTGGTCCGTGCGCTCAAGACCCTCGGCATTGTCAACAGTGAGTATGGATGAATTGACATTGCGAGTAGCAGTCGACTACTTGCCAGGTTTTCAGGGATTTTTTGAGTTCTGCGGCTTTTCTGTGTAATTCCCTAAATCACGCATATTTATGCTTGATTGTGATCAGTAGTGATTCCTTGGTTAGGGCCTTGGCTCTCAACTTCACCATATTGACGAGTCACCATATGACACCGCGTTGTACTACAATAACTCGGATAATTCCACTTAGACCTCTTTGACCCCAGCTAAGTCTCTGATTCCCGAAGTGCTTCTACACTTTATTCATGAATATTCATGAGCCAAATACCGCTGTTAGGTTGCAGAGGAAGGCGCAGGTTGTAAGACTGCTTGAATAGCATAACAAGAGCTTGTTTCCTTTCCTCCTCTTCCATAACTGCATGTTTTCTATTTCCTTTCGACCCTACTTTCCCACAAATTGCCTACCTTTTCTATCTAATATTTTCCTCGTCCAACTTGACTTTGTGTCACAAGATTCGTTCTTGCTTTCCCGACCAAATATTACACCTTCCGAGTTTATTCATGATCTGAAGAAACGCCCTTTTGATATCTTCAAGTCAATCTGCTAGATAATCTTACTTCCCGCCTTAATCTTTCTTGCTCTTGCTGTTTAAATCTCTCAGCAATATTCAGTCTGTTGCCGCCGGAAACTTCAGTCGGGTGGCCTTTGATTGAAAACAGCCCAAATTCAATCTCGGCAGAATTGTATTCAGCGATCATGACCAGCAATGATGATGCTGACATGGACGGGGAGACATTGGTCGAGCTCCATGATAACTGGGATGCTGCCCTTGTAGTGAACGACAGCAAGATTCGCAAGAAATTCCATATCTCATCCCAAATATTGAGCGCTGCATCGCCATACTTTAAGCGTCTTTTGACTTCTGACTTTTCCGAGGGTCTTGATGTCCAGAGAGGGCTACGTCCGGAGATTATACTGGAGGGAGACAGCCCTGATGCCATGGAAATCGTCTTGTCAATTCTACACTATCGATTCCATAACGATTGGTTTGCCCTGGGCGCCAGGGATATTGCACTAGTCGCAAGGTGCTGCGACAAGTATGACTGTACTGAAGCCCTTAGAATGTGGATTTCCCACTGGCTCAAGACACAGTGGTTTTGTGAGACCAAGGATTTCGGTTACATGCTGGTTGCGTATTCGGCGCTGCGTAAGCACCAACTGTTAGTGAGGATGGCCAAGACTGCAATTTTCCAACTTCCAGTTGACTTTGACTTCAACCAATGGACCCAAGATGAAGTCATTGCCGATTTGCCAGCAGAGATAGTTGGTGAGTCGATCATGATCATGAATCAGCAGTTCACTTCGCCCAGAAAGCTGACAGTCTTTTTCAGATCATATATCCTCAAGAATCAACCAAGTTTCACACCGATTATACAATTCCCTTACCAAAAAAATAACAGACTTAAGCACCTACGATGTTATCTGCAGGATGCATAGGGCGCGGTGCAGCAGTTGTTTGTCCCTTATAGACACCAAACGGCAGGCAATTTGCAAGACTCCGGCGTGTGCACCAGGCAAAGGTAAAACTTCTCCTGCCATGTTGCAAATGTTTTGCACACAAGAACACCGAGTTGGAGAGTTCCTTCAAATACTGAACAAAAATTCTCTTTTGCCTATCAACGAGGCCTTTGAGGGATCCACCATTGCTATGCTTGATAGTCAACTTGGGAGGGTACAGCAGACTGTCGTCCACCCGTGCGCTCTGCAACACAACTGCCCGTTGAGAAAGGCATTGGATGATTTGGAAGCTGAATACACAGCTGCCATGCAGCTGGCGCGGGAAGACCTTCGACTTGATCCCGAGACAAATGTCGAGGCTGACTAGCTGATGGGAGATGCGTGGACTGCAATAGCATGACATTTGTGGTATAAAGGACTAGAGAAGACTTACTTGGCCTTTTCAAAATATCTTCGTCGAATTCAGCACAACGTTCAGCGGAATGGCAACGAGATAGAAATTCGACATTCGAAGACACATGATTGGGGCAATTTGGATTTCAATGCAATAGCAACGATAGAGAAGCAAGTTGAATGGAATTTACAGATTTGATTTTGATGTATATGAGATATCAGGAGTACTCACACTCCCAACTGTTAGTTTGCATTTCTGGAGCTAGCGTCGAAACCAAACCGGTAACATGGATTTATGATTGGCCCTAGTACTTGCGCCCACTCTGATCGAGGATCACAAAGAGATAAAGTCCAGAATCACCCCCCAGTAATCCAAGTTTCCCGAGCGGAAGTGGCTATGAACTATTAGACCTAAAATCGTAGTCATCCCAAGCAAAGTGATGTAGTCCTTAGTAGTGAGTTGGGCCCGGCTTGTGAACCCGGAGACAGGCCGAATCTTTTGAGCCTGCTGGTCGTCATGGCGTAAAAGAGAACGCACAACCCCCCAATATGACAAGGTTTCCATGAGAAGACCAATTCTGCTTCTTTCTTGACGCTGTGAGTCGCTTCTTGCGTATCATACTTTTTTACTTGTTCAGATTCCAACGTCCTGTCAGGGTGGATTTGAGGCCCTGGCTGTGTCACAAGCATGGTCGTTTGTTCGCAGGGTACGTTAATCTATGCATCGTATTTGTTTGCTAGAATCAGACCTCCGGGTATCCCTCAACACCATACGTAAAAATCTTCAAGTTTTTGCCGTAGACCGTAGTCCAGTTTGGTTGCCCGAACCGAACGCCTCAAACCCTCTCATCACAGCTGCAGCTCGTGTAAATCGTACAATGTCAAAATCCCGCCAAATCAGAGTTCCTCATTCGGAATCCACTTCATATCGCTGTCAACAAACGTGTGACTGCAACGCATATTAGTGAACATGGCCTCGGTCTTTGACGAACGAAAGTACCACTTACCCCTTGATGTTCTTTCTGATCAGCACATCCTTTCCATATTCCGCCACAAGCATTTCCTTGTACTTGTATGGAATTTTCGTCTTCACGCCCTCAAATGTCGTCTCAAGCAGCGGATACAGATATGTGTTTCTGAATTCATGCCCATCCTTGCTTGCTAGGACACCCTCGCCCTCGGAATCGTCTTTCACATATCGTACCGCCATGATATCGATAAACAATCCATTCTCCATGTCGATCCATCGCGCATCAACGGTATTTGCACCGTCGTCTTGTCTTCCATTGACGTAGTTTGGGTTCACCTCCAATTGGAAAGAGCGGCCGGCGGGAATCTTGGGATATTTGAAGTACCAGGTCGTCATGTTGTGATAAGCAGCCAGGAAGTTGATGTCATCATTAGAGACTTGGACGGTAGGTTTCGCATCCCAAGGAAGCAGCTGCTTGTTCCACCACCAGCCCAGAAGAGTGCCATGCGCAGGCCAGGTTTGAATGCTCAAGTCACGGAAGGTGGAGAGGTAGGTCTGCACCAGGACTTTGACGGCGTCACTCTGAGCTGTTGAGTTGAGAGCCGCAGAGGCAAAACGAGGGTCGTAGTTGACCGAGAAGCTGCGGGTCAAAGTCAGTATTGCGATTTCCTCAGTCAATCTTATTAACCTTGGGATAGGCCAATCAGTTTGAGGAGCGGAGCTCAATTCCCATACCTCGACTCGTGGAAATACTTGGTGGGCTGATTTTGGTGCTCTTCGCTGCCTGTGCCGGAGGCCGGGTCCGTGGAGATCGGTTCTTGAATCGAGTCTCGGATCGGGGTGGCTTGAGCGACGGCAAGACCAACGCCGATCGTCGACAAAACGCGTTTGAAATGCATCTTTCTGGACCTATTCAATCACTACCACTTTGAATTTCTGAAGGTGGTGTCTGGTGAATAAAAGAGCTGGCAGGGAAGCAGCGTGCTATTTGCTTAGACACAGCAGCCTGCTTATGTTCTCCCCTGTCAGGCTGGGCACAACGTCATCGAAGGTGTTAGAAATGAAGCGCCAGCCTGGTTCTTGTAGTAGGTGTCGGGAGGATAGCAACAAAGATTGAGGGCTTTTACGCAAAAGTACTTCGGTCGATAGCTTTGGTATAGATAACAGGGGGCTATTGTTGTGGCAATCAAGATAACCGACAAACAAACTGGCAAACTTAATGACTGCTAAGAAGGGGGGGATGTTGGGACTTTCTATAATCATACGTCCCTCTCTCATCCGCCGTACAACCAACAAACACAACCACCGAAGCACCCGATATGCGCTCCCGGGTGATGGGGGCCGGGCCAGGGCCCCAGGAGGTCAACAACTACATGAAAGGCTGCGCAGGGCGCTTACACGTACATTGGCCCGGGGAAGGTACGGCCATGGGCCTTGTCTAAAAGTAGCATTGCTAACGGAAATCCTGTGGTGATTTTCAAGCTTAGCCGCCAGATTCGAGCCCCCATTCAGCAAATGTACAAGCATCCTAGCTCTGCCCCCACAGCCGGCGTTGCGACCAACAGCAGCGTTTTGTGGTGGGCCAGCGTCCGCCCCCGCTATGAGAGGGGAAGTCGTCGGCTGGGCCGCGTCATATCATATCCGCACTGCTAGCACACCTCTAGCACTGCCGTTGGTCCCGCTGTAAAGATGCCGCGGGCGGCGGCGTTAACCCCCTGTCGCAGTGTCTTACTACGCCTTACAGTGAAAACTTCCTTAGCTTGCGCCGCCCACATCCCGAGAAGCCGTGGTATTTGTTAGCATGCTGACGACGTCTCGTTTTTTTTTTTTCCGCTACGCTGCGCACGGCGATGCTCAGTAGGATTTGGGACCTAAAACGAGTTACATTGTCATGCCCATTCCGGACTTCAAGACGAATTAGGGCGAGGCTTTAGATCATCTAAATGGGGATGTTATTACTGTATGTGATAGTAGAGTTCCGTGTGTCCCGCATTCACGGGGGATGTGACGGCACGATCTCTAGGAGGAGTCTTTAAATGCCGTCTTGTGGATACACAAGAGCTTAACTGCTGCAGCTCAGCAAACTCCGGCAAACGGCATTTACAGCCAGCTCTTCATTGGCCGGTCTAGTTCACAGCGGGAAACCCTCAAAACTTTGACGGTAATAATGTCTGGATTACGTTTTACGAGCCGTCGCACATGCTTGGGTAATGCTTAGTTTTTGTCTGGTGCTACAGCAAACTCAATATCCGCTATGCCAGCCCGTATGGATGTATATCTTCTCCAGAAGATTTGATAAAGTTCGCCGGAGCTACTAATTTTCAACCTCATGAACGATCTAAACCATGTCTTGCGATAAAGTTCTAGTCTCCACAAGATTCACTCAGGAACGACATCCCGTTCAAATTTCATGCTTCTTTGGGGGTAACAACGGTTCAGCTCTGGTGACAGGCTTTCCATATGTTTCCTGCTTTTCTGTCCAAGGATTTCTCTGAGACCTTTGAGTCTTTACATCAGCAAGTGTTGCTCGCCTAACTCGATAGTAGATGATGAAGCAGCTGTAAAGGATGATGCCATTTGATGGAAACCGGCCTGGAACTTAGGATATAAATCCGAGGGACTAAAAAACGGGTCGAACTAATGCTACCCAATTTCTAGCTGTCTAGCTGTGCGTTGTCTACAGATAGAAGGAGGCACTTTATACGGGCATTAACTCTGATGCGGGAAGCATGCAAGAACTCGCTGATAGTATCCTTGATTTAGCGAGCAGTCCCAGGAAATAAAACCAGCACCCTGAACAATGTACTGGCACCAGTCTGCAGATTACTGACAGCGTTGCACGCATGTAACCCCAGGCTTGCATAGATATGCCATGGCAGTGCGCGACCACAACAGGCGGCAGTTAGCAGGACCCTATCTGTACCTACGAAGCTTTTGATCAGACTGCGTGCCGCCTGTTTCTAATCCAACTAGTTTCTGCCGCTAGCGCCTGTCTTGCGCGGCAACCGGGAGCGACGGCAGGGCCAAACGGGCTATCGCTCCCTAGGCCATCCGCCGTTTTGGGGCCAGCACGGGACAAAGCAAGGGGACCCCACCAGCAGGAAGCTGAGCTGGCGATGTCAACACTGCCAATGCAATACAACTCCAACCTACTACATTAACTTTACTGATAAGTTCTTCACGCTAGGCAGGCGTCCCAGGCTCTCGGTAATGGCAGCTTCCACCTTCGTCACCAGTCAGTACGCCTCGGATGTTTTCGTGGAGAGTTGTGGTGCCATCGTCTTCGACTTGTCAGCAGAGCCGCTTAAAGTCTGCCTGCTCCATTATCTCGCCTACAACGAATGGCTCCTTGCGAAGGGAAGACGCAACTGCGGCGAGTCAAGACACGAGGCTGCACTAAGAGAAGTGTTGGAGGAGACAGGCTTCCAGTGTAGGCTGCTGCCTGTCGACATGTCCACGAGGGCGCCGGCACCAGATGACGACGCGAACGCTCCAGATACAGCAGCTACGCGTCAGGGAATTCGAGAACCGTTCATGTTGACCCTGCGAAACATTGATGGAGGAGCAGGTGTGAAACTGATATGGTGGTATGTTGCAGCCGTGGAGAATAGCCACGCAATGGGGAAAATGGCAGGAGAAACACAATTTGATGCAAAATTCTTCAGCTGCGACGAAGCTATCGAGAAGCTGACATTTGAGAATGACCGCGACATTCTCCGGAAAGCTATCGTCTTGGTGAAGCAGACACTCTCTCGATAAATAACTCAATGAATGGCATGTCCCGCGTGAGCACGTATTCCTCAAAATGGCATGGTCTTCACAATCCACGCAGCAAGGAACCCACACAAGGTACCTTCTTCAATGGCGCTATCGACCCCACAGGCGGGGTTACATAAGCGACCCTGCTGTTCTGGGCCAATCAGAGAACTGACAGGCCAGCATAACGTGGCTGGGGGGCCAGGCTGTCGTCACCTTCCCTAGCACGGATAAGGCTCAGGCTCGAGCTGATAAGGCCAGCAGGGCAGCTCCAACTGAGGGCGACTCAGCGCATAGCTGAATCTCTCCGCTGGGGAACTTGGATACTCGTCTCGTTAGAGCCGACCTGACGCAAGCTTCACCTCCACATCCCACTCTCGATATACCATAGCTTCATCACCAGTATTGGCTTCGTCAGGACCCCTTGACTAAGCTTTCTTCATCCTCTAAACGAGCAAGAATTCGTTTAATCGATACCTCTTTCTCCTTGGGCAGCTCGCCGTTCCGTGTGATGTGAAACGGAGCCGGCGCTTTCCCTCCCGTTCCGTCCTTGTTTGTTTGTGTCGCAACCGCAGCACCCGACTTCCTATCACCCTCATTTGACACATCGCAGTCTAGTGGAAGCTCGATTTTCCATTCAGCACCATGACCGCGTGGAACGTGAGTAGCCGACGATGAGGGGCAAGCACTGGACCGCGTACGCTAACCGCCGGGCAGGTGTTCCGATACCTGGGAGATATCTCCCACCTCCTGTCAAAATGTATCCTTATGCTAGCGATACATCGCAACAGAAGCGCCGAAGGTACGTCTTTCTAGCTCGAGAAGAATGTCACAGCACTGACATTGCATGCGCAGGTGTATCCCTCATCACCCAGGGTTTATACGCTGTCGTCTTTTGCACGCGATACCTTGACATATTCTCGGAGCAAATCGCATGGAACTTCCTTTTCAAGCTGTTTTACATAACAACGTCCTTCTATATCATCGGCATCATGCAATGGGTCTACCCTCGATCAAGGGAGCGTGAGATTGCCTGGAAGGTCGGTGCCGGTGCCTTTGGTGGCTCTCTTCTCATCTCGCCCTTCGCCATGCTCATTCTAGAAAACTTCTGGACCTTTAGAGTAGTAAGTAGTCTATACCCAGCCCATGCGACGCCGGGCACCAGCTAACAATGTCCCGAAAGTGGCTCTGGGATTTCTCACAGATTCTCGAGTCCGTCTGCGTCCTTCCTCAACTCCTTCTCCTTCGCCAGACGACCGTCCCCACCGTCATCGATTCCTTTTACCTTGCCACCCTTGGCTCCTACCGTGCGCTCTACCTTATCGGCTGGATTACCCGCGAGCTTGACATTAATGACAAAGCTCCGAACCCGGTGTCGGTCATCTTCGGCATTATTCAGACCGCTCTCTACGTCGACTTTGCTTGGGTTTACTACACACGCCAACGCGTTAAGCTCCGCAGTGGCGGCATTGTCGACGCGGATGACATGCGCCGTGGTTGGCTGCTCAACCGCATCTTCGGCAAGCGTGTCGACGTGCACTCGGACGACGAGGAGAGCGCGCCGGCCCTCGGAAATGGTGACAGCAACGGCCGCCGTGGCGGAAGACCTAAGTGGGGAGCCCGCGGCATCTCCGTTAGCGCGGACGAAGGTGTCCTTGACACTGACAGGGACAACCAGCGACAAGCCGAGGATCTTGACGGTGTTGTTGACCCCGATGCTAAGATGCAGGACCCTGATGAGCTCGCTCGCGTATTGGATGACGATGACGATGACGACATCAACCAGGCCTCCGGCAGCAAGGGCCATGCCAACAGCGCGCCCAGCGGCATCCAGAACGGCCAGGAATGGCGTGACAGCTAGATATTGACCGCCGACATGATTAGGCATGGGTCATGATGGCATTGGGTTGGACAATGGCCCTCTCTGCCACCTCCGATGCGGTGGTAGAACACGATTAGCTATGAACGGATACAAGAGAATATATGCAAGATACGTCTTGCCAGCGACACACGGTTTGACGAATGGTAGTGGAGATCGAATGGAACGATTTTCCAGAGCGACGTTTGGATATGGGTTCTCTTATTTATCAAGGGTATAGGCTTGTTGTTGTAAGTTATGAGAATCAATACAGCCACATTTCATGTACATCCGGTCTTCTGGACCGGTGACTCCAAGTTCCTGCAGCACTGATGTGCTGCGCCTGTTGCTGCGAAGCGCCGTTTTGCTGTATATACGGCGAACCCTACATGATACTCCACTGTCTTCTGTTTAGACAAGACCCGGACCTTGCGCCGATATGCCGAAAGGATCCTCCTCACCCCATTTGAAATAGTCATCATAAACATCTGCAGCCGGGCCTATACATGCTGCAGCTGGTTTGCAACCGCTCACTCGGGCGGATGTTGAAGGCTCCTCCTTCACCATGCCAATCAAGGTGCAGTGCAATGTTGCGGCAGTCCCGTTCCAGCACAACGCTTCGCCGCCCATGTTATCGTGCCGTGAGCCAAGGGGGAGGGAAGGGAAAAAAGGAAGAAGAAGAAGAAAAAAAAAAAAAAAAAGAGAAAACCCCCTTCCGTCCGAGACGCCAAAAACACAAGAAGGATGCCTCGCCTCGCAAACTCCCATAAACGAACAGTAGGGGCTGATTGTTCCTCCTCCCCTCCCAAACCCAATTAACCAGAGGTGGTCGCATTCGTTCCATTAGCGCCGAAATCAACGTTACCCCCAAAAGCAAGCGTCTGCTCTATGCCGTTCATCCCAGCCCAATCCCCCGTGAGAACGGCTGAATCGACTTCGAATCCGCCCGCGGCGGCGGTGTCGTTTATCCCCGTCGCATTCTTCAAATGACAAAACTGGCCTCTGCCTTTGATCAACGCGACACCCACACAGATTCCGCCGCCGACGTAGACGTCATCGCCGACGGCATCGCTGTAGCCCTGATTGTACTGCGCGCAGAGCGTAATGCAGGTCAACATGTCCGGGACGGTCATGACGAGGATGTCGCGTAGCCCGGGATTCAGGCCCTGGCGCTGCGGCCAGTAAGTGTTGCACATCACGTCAAAGGACATGACCTGGTCGTTGTTGAAGCGGATCGGGGAGCCAGAGGCGTCGTAGGGCGTCACCGTAGTGTTGCTTGCTGTCCAGGAGTCATGGTACAGCGGGCAGTACGGGTTAATCGGAGCCGGGGAAGGGACGCCGAGGATTTGCGTAACTGTCGTCGGGTCGCCGGAGTCTACTACCGAATATGTCGTATTGTGGCTACTCGCGTCAGCCAGGGCTGCTGGCTGCGGATTGGAGAGACGTACGGAGCGGCTTCGAGCGGGAGGGAGGGCAGAGAGAGAGAGGGTGGATAGAAAAAGAGAGAGAGAGAAAAGCTAGAAGATATCGTGGTCAGACGTACCGGTTAGCCAGCCCCAGCCCCAGACCGACGGCGATGGCGACGCCGACAATCACAACGCCCAGAGCGACCGCGGCCCAGAACCGGAACACGGTCAGGCCAAGGATGGTTTTTCGCGACTTTCCGTCAACCTGTCCCGCGCCATCGACCCTCCGGATCCAGCCTTTCAGGCCGCCCTGCTGTTCGAGGTCAGGTGCCGCTACCGCCGCCCCGGCTGGGGCATGTCGTGAGACAGCAGGGGCTGGCCGCTCCGTGCCGATTGTTATCGCATCCGGATATGGCGGTGACGCATCGGGGACATCTCGGAGATGGGCTGATTGAGGATATGAGTGGTCAACGTGCTGTATCCTTGGGGCCTCGGGTTGTGATGTTGTTATTTCTTCTGTCGGCGAAGTAGGGTCGACAGTGACGGTTCCGGGTTGCCGCCGTTCGTGGGCCGGGATAATGAATTTGTGCTTCTCTTCCATGTTGGGAGCTATCGCAGGCCCGCCCCGCGGCGGGCGATCGAAAAAAGGTGTTTGATTGTTCCTGGACTCGCTTCGTTTCTCGTCTTGAACCCTTTTCTCCTTTGTTGTCTCGTCCCGCCTAGTCACAGCATGCAGGACCCCGGCGTAGGATTTGACGAAACAACGGGCCGCAGCTGCAGCCTCCCTCTCCCTTTTTGTGATGGGATGGATATGGTAGGGTATAGAAGAGGGGAGCAAGCTACCCAAAGGTAAAAATAAAATAAAAATAAAAAATACTGAGGGCAGTCCTGGAAAGGACGAAGGGTGGGAAATGGGAACAGGGCAGTCCGAGGGGCTAGGAGGAACGGCAGTCATGCGTGGGTAACAGCCGGTTCCCTGAGGCAATGAACCTGAGAAAGGGGATGCAACGTGGAGACAAGGAGACACAGCGGTGCTGCTCTCGGTCGGTTTACCGTGCCTGTTGGAAGCCCACAGCAGTCGTGCCTCTGGGATGGTTTAGACGGTCCACTCGGGACCCTTCCCTACTTTTCGTCTGATAATGGGGAGAGGAACAAGCCGAATAGGCAACTGGTTTTTTTTCCCATTGGGAGGGTTAAAAGCTGGGATAAATGCCTCCGGCGCTCATCCGGGCAGGGGGGGCGATATGGGCGATTGCTCACTTGAGCTTGTTCTGTACTTAGAAAGGTGATTTAAGATGTGGCTGTAGCCGACATGGTGGTGGGGCCAGTGTCATGGATGATGCCCACGCAAAGGAAAGGGAAAAAAAAAAAAAAAAAAAAAAGGCGTCCTGAACCTTGGATGGTTGCGTAAAGATCCAAATTTAACCCAAGGAAAACCAGGGGTTGTGTGTGTGTGTGTGGACGTACGTATAGTGTAGGTGCGCACTTGTACTGTGGGTGTAATGTGTTTTGTGTGCTGTATGGTTATCCGTCACGGCAGCTCTTCGGTCGATTGACAAGACAAGATTTCATGCATGGGACGCATAGCAGGAAAAAGCAAGTGCTAGCACTTGGTCCCGCGCTGGGCTCTGGCCTTGTCTTGCTCTGGTCCTTTTCGGCATTTGGAACCGACTCATGCAGGGATTACGATAACAAATGGGACCCCATCGGCTGCAATCGATCATCCTCCCGCTTTGCGTGAAAAGGGGAGTTCATCCGGGCTCCCATTCGGGGGAAATGTGGAGGCACCTCTCCACGCGACGGTCCGCTGAGCTGTTGGGATTTCATGGGGGCTGGAGGCGTACCATTGCTTCTCCGGGGAGAGAGAGGCTTGTCATCGTGGACGGATATCGGGGGTAAGTTGCTTTTGAGATGAGGAACTGCTTCAATAAAAGCTCCTGGGATCTATCACGCCGAGACTCGATCAACCGTCGCTCCGTGGATTCTCTGAGTCTCAAGCAAGGGAAACGAGAAAAAAGAATGACGGCCGACAACGCAAAGTCACGCGGGGAATCTGTCGGCCAAAATCCGGCGCACAAAATCCGCGGGATGTAACGGAATGGCCTGTCATCTCGGAGTCATTGTGGACTTTGAATGTTGGTAGGGCCGACGTCTCTCCACGGAAAGCGGATTCACTCGCCGGTCAAGGGACGCTCCTCGGTTTCGGTATGGATTATTGAGTAAGATGTATGCTCTTGTTCGCCAATTCCTCGCCGACCATTCGCGAAATGGACCCGAGCACAGAGATAGGATTTGAATCACGTGCTGTGCTGCTGGGAGACGTTCGAGGTGGCCAGTAGTGACGGCGATTATCTTCCCATGAGGTAAATTTGACTACCGCTCTAGTGGGAGGCGCTAACTCAAAACAACATGCCGGCCTGCAAAACGATTTGGAGAATGTAGGGGAGGTGCCCGTTTCAATGATCACCACGCCTGCGCAACGCTCCGAACGCCACAGACGGGGAAACCATCGGCATTTGGAGAAGCTAGCTCCAAAGATGTGACACTCTTACAATGACAAGCGTCAGCCTGACGTTCAGTCATCCCTGGCCACTGCTGGTCTTATCACATGCTTCAGACCCGGTTCCAGACCTTTTCCAGTCTAAGACGGGTTTGTAGAAGAAACCTACGCAAAGAGCGTTGGGTGAAGTCTTGCTACATCCTTTGTTTTTCTTTTCTGCTATGATATTTGCCTCTTCTTCTGTGCTCTTCTTGCTCTTTACCAGTGAGAAGTTATGACTGCCCAATGGAAATCAATCAGTTCTACAGGCCCTTTCACGGGAACAGCCAAAGAGATCATCGGCGAATTACTCGCTATACATGGCGTAACAGCCGACAGTCACGTAGCTTCTTACGCCTGTCCCAAAATACAAAAACCTCGCTTATGGTAAAACTTTGGCTTTTGAGTCAGAAAAGAGGGGTTTCAACCCCTACGTGCTGACGATCAACTTTAAAACCTCTATTGTCTTCGTGACATAGTGGGTCAGTAATCTCTTCACAGCTTACTCCCTTGACGATACGAGGCCCGCCGGTAAACTGGTTACAGTAAAGAAATCAAACTTAGAAATAAATATACCAACATTTGAAGGGACCTCTACTGGCGCTTAACAGGCGCGAAGTTGCCGGAGAAACTATGCCAGATAAGATCTGCAGTGTCTACTTTTTGACCTGGCGAGCTCAACCAACCAGCCGTGACTACCTAATGTTTGGGTAAACGAGAGTAATGTAGAATGCCCCCAGCAACGGCAGGGCTTAAGTATAGGCTCCTGGGTTTGCGGCTGAGAAGAGCATGGTATATTAGTCCTTTACAAGACGCCACAAAAGTCACAAAGCTCACCTTGGTTGTTTTCTTTGCTTCATTCAACGCTTTCATCATTCTGGACAACTATACTGCGCTCATGTGTCGTAAACTTGATAATCATTATTAAGCCAGCTTCCCCTCTCAGGCAAAAACTGGTTGCTTATTGGTGCCACGGACATCTACTTTCTGTCAAGAACTCTCAACTGGCGTATATGTTGGTATACAGGCAAGTCATTGCTGAGGTATAAGTGGTAAGATTCCGAGTCAGAGCGATACCCGCAACACCCAACGTGCCATGCCACCAGCGGAAAATCGCATTACGGTTAATTCTAGTAATCGGCATAGGCCAGAGAGAATCAGAGAGCCATGTTGCCGGAATTTCCAATCATTCCCCAGCCCATCGATGCCGGGGAAGTGTAATCTTTAGCAATTCTACCGCCGCAAATCCCCAAGGGTAAAGCTAGAGCTGCGGGCAGATGAGTAATGACCCGATACCTTGATGTAGCTCAAGCTGCCCATGAACAAGGAACCCGCCTGCCTTCAGTTCAACTTCTGATGTTTTGGATTTTCAAGACATGGGCATTTTCAAATATCAACCTATTCTCTTGGTCTTGTTAGGATTGTGTAGAGGCAGGGCAAGTTACGGATTAGCAGTTGACCATGCAGGTGGCTTCTTTTCCCCTTGCTTGGGGCTTACGAATCATTGTTTGAAAGTCGCAATGAGGAAATTTCTACTGTTCAGAAGGAATCGCTAATAGCCTTCCCGCAACTGTGCCGAAGACTACAGTCTCAACGTTCCGGGACGGTTGCGCCCAGAGAGAGTATCTTTTCACATAACGACGCCCATATAAACCAGAAACATGAAAGGGTTAGTAACATAAGAATACACTCGAGAAACTACATCTACAGGCAAACAAACAACTCCATCACAACTCGGTCACTAAGCCTGGGTCATCGTGATTAGTGGCACATACAACTCAATCTAGCTGATTCGCGTCATTGTGTGGGGCCAGGCCTATCTTACCCGTTGAGGCAGGATAACCCGCATGGCGCCGGAATCCTGCGGCACTCACACGAGTCTTCAACCGAATACTCGGAGACCGAGGGGGATGATGGTGGTCAGGGCTTTCTTCGTCTTTGCTTTTTAATTGCGGTCGCATGAATGTTGTTGTGTAGCAGTGGTTTTAGTTGTTTGGATGACAGCAAGGCATCCCGGGCCGTCTGTTGGCTGCTTTCCCCGCGAACCACGTTACATTTCCCCGGACGAAAATACCCGAGGTCCAACGTAGTGCGCGAATCATTCTTGTGCGGTGACGCTGAGCGGCCGGAGCTTTCTTTGACGTACACGCGGTACGACTGCGAAAAAGAACAGGGGAGAAAAAGCAGAAAAACCTCCACTTGGCAATATGTCACACATAATAGAGAAGGTCATAGTGTAGTATATTACTGCTTCAAACTCCATCCTTCTCTTCGGATCTGCCAAAGTGACGCGGGATCAATGACCTGGCAGGGCAACTTAAGATGAGAGATTGCATCTCCGTGAGACATTATAACCCCTCGAACAAACTCTTGCTTGATTTGAAGTTTGGGAAAAGGCGGCTTCGAGACAGCAAGCTGCCATGACTTGACAACAAGAGGACTCAACTGTAGATGCCATGTTCCACGCCAAGTGACCGAGGCATTGTCTCTGTCAACGCGATATATAAACGCACAGGCATGTGCCTTTCCGCCATTCCAAAGCACAAATGTGTGTAGCTTGGGCATACTCTGCACAAGAACCCCGGCTCGGCATAGCAAAGCTTCAATCTGCTTGCGTTTACCCAAGTCGTTCTGTAGGAGCTGTGATGTAAGCGCTAGAGATTGTAGATGCGACCAGTTCCACGTCGAGCGACAGTGTCGAAAGACTTCTTCTGCGTCGACCATAAAGGAGATGGCAAGGTATTGTAGGTTGAGACTTTTAGATGCAAAAATTGCACCAAGGCCATTGCTAGGATCAACTAGGTTGTACGAGAATATACGGGCTGGCCGCTTTGGAAAAGGATCATAAAATTTATAATCGTCTTCAAATACCGTTAATCTCTTGAGAGTATCGGGAAGATAATCTCGTATGGCAAACCCAAGAGCTATTCCTAATATTAGCGGTCGATGAAGAAAAGGATGCAAAGCGTGATTGATATCACAAGCTTTGGCGCGCACCTCGATTATGAAATTCTCTGCCCCCAGTTACGTATGGCGCCCACGGCTCAAGGAGATATGCTCTAGACCGTGAAGTTTGCGAAGTAACAGGCTCAGTCCCCATGGAGAAATACAACGCCGAAGTTGTCGACGGATGATGAGGCAAGTGACCGCTTCAACTCGAGGCAACATTTCGCGGAACACTAGATCGATAGGCCGGAAGATACGTTGCGCAGCCGACCTTGGAGGAGCTTTGACTTGTCGGCCATGCACCCAGCCATGCTGCAGGTCATGGTGCGGAGTCACAGCTCTCAATGCATCCGGTATTGGGTCTCCATCATCTTCGACATCGTCGGTGGACAAATAGAAATTCTTGAACCAGTGTTTGCGGTCGCTGGGAGAGTACACATTGATCTCCAATGCCAAGTGAGCGGCTGGTTTCCAAGTACTCAAGATAGAAAAAAGTTTCCATATTCCATCGCTGACGACAGAGCGGATCTTTGCTGGCGGTGAACGCCGTTTTGAACAACACCTAGGCGTGTAGCGTGGTAATTCAACGTTGAGACAGATGTGGTGGATAAGCTCTCTTTTTCGTGGCGGAACAAAATATTCAAAGTCGTTGAGGCAAGACACTCTCAGCTTTACCTTATAGAAATTGGCCTTCTCCAACACATACTGCCATTCTCTGCATACGGATGCAAGCGAAGCCCAGCCAGGGTATTTCTGGTATGCGATTGCTGACAAGATCATAAGGCGAATCTCTGCAGGGACAGATGTCCATTTTAAGGCTCGTAGCCTCGCTTGCCCGCGGGTCACCACCATTCTGGGGGTTTTAAAAGGAAAATAGTAGGCAGTAGATGTAAGAACCAAGGAAGTTGAACAGGGTCTTGGATAGCGAAAGGGCTATTCTTTTGTGCTCGTGCAAGCTTTTAGTAGGAAAATTCAAATACCGACCAACTCATCTGGGACCTTGATGACTTTTCTTTTTCATAGTCGTCGGTTAACCCAATTAGCCTTGATATATAGAGTTAGGTTTGAGCATTCCAAGGGGCTGTCAAGTCCAATATAAAATAAAAGACACACTACGAATGTCAACTAGGCGTTCTCAGAAATTTGCCAATATGTTTTTCATATATAAATGCGCGGACGCTGAACCTGAACGAAATAGTACATTGGTAACAATACGTATAGTAACAACCATTTATGTTTGCACCAAACCACAGATATATCTCTGCGTGTCATGGGATCGTGTCCCATCCTCCCGACCTGCCCGTTTATAGCCATGGGGTCTTTGATGGCTAACCCGAGGTATCTTAACCACGATGTAACTCCTCTAGATATAACAAAGACGAAGGAATATTCAAATATCAATGAACGAAACGCCGCTCGAACTCGTCAAAGAGCAAGGGGCTGATGTCATCACTGCTCATGCCCTCGACCTCCCAGAGGACGCCCTTCTTGGCGTAGTGCTCAAGCAGGGGCTCGCTGGTTTCCTGGAACTTGCGGAAGCGCTCCTTGTAGACGGCCTCGGTGTCATCCGGGCGCTGGGTAAGTGGTTCCCCGGTGACATCGTCCTTGCCGGGGACCTGGGGGGCGTTAAAAGTGGTATTGTACACACGGCCGGAGGGCTCGTGAACCCAGCGGCCAGAGATGCGCTCCATAATGACATGGAAAGGCGTCTTGAGGGAGACGACGAGATTGATGGGGATGAGCTTGTCGCAGGTCGCGGCCTGGACAGCCGTGCGAGGGAAGCCGTCGAGGATGAAAGAAGCGGAAGGGTCTTCGGAGGCTTCAGGCGGGGCGTGGCTATCGAGCGCACCGGAGGCGGTAACGAAGTCGTCCAAGTGCTCCTCGTAGAAGGAGTCGACGGTTGCGGCGGATGAGGCAAGCGTCATGACCTGTGGGCGGCCACGGTTAAGCAGCCAGCCGTTCTTGTACATCTCATTAGAGATCAGGCGCATAATCAAGTCGTCTGCAACCAAACCGCCGGACTTCATGGTCTTCTCGACCTTGATGCCTATGGTGAAGACCGGTTAGCATATATTGTTGCGCGCGGCATGTGACGAGACTCACCGAGAGGGGTTCGGAGCTTGACATTGTTGCGGAGAAGGTCTCCCGTGCTGATGGACTGCAGCTGGGGGAAACGTTGAAGAAGTCGTTCAGACTGCGTTCCTTTGCCAACACCGGGGGCACCGACGAGAATGACGCGGGCGGCCCTGTGGAGTCTCATAGTAAAGACGAATCTATTCAAAATCGTCGCAAACGGTCGATTGGGTGCCTCGGATGTTTTTAATTTGGAGGAGGGGGAGGGGAAGAGGAAACAAGAGTCTAGTTCAACAAAAGTAGCTTCGAAATTGAATGGCGGAATTTGCTCTGGCCCCGGGACGTGCGGGGGAAGAGGGATGAGTCGGAATCGCGAGACCCTAACGGGATCGTGGTCGGGAGAGATTTAGGAGAAGTCCATGATCTTTACGAGAAGTCGGATTGGAGATATTTGGACTACTTGGGGGGGAGAGAAAATAGACGGAGAGGGAGAGGAACGGATGGGAAGCGTGAAGGTGGTGGTGGTGCAGGAATGCCGAGCAGGGCGGGTGGAGAAGAATGAGCGGACGCAGAACCGCGGCGGTGGGATGCATCAGTGCAGGGGGGAAGCGATGGAGATTGGCGCGCACCTCAGACGGGGATGCTTTGAAATCGGGCCACTCTCGGATGGGCGTTGAGCGGTGCGTCCAAGACATCCATCTCTCTTTTGGCTGTGGGACTTGACCTGTCTGTACTATCCGTATGTGGCCGGCCGACAGTCGGCGGGAGTTGGACGAAGCGCTTTGGCAGCCGTTAGGTGCTGGGGTTTACTGGCCCATTTCACTAAAAGTCCACTATTTGTAGTGTACGTCTGCCCACTGCCTGTACTTTCAGCAGTTAGCTATCCACAGACGGGCTTTCGGGGGTGGATCGGAGATACCTCCTGAATAGCCTGTGTTGGACCCTTCCTCGCCCTTTCCCAAATGTCTTGGTTGCTTCGTTCCCTTTTGGAGGTCCGCGGCCACAAGCTCTAAAGTCCGGGGTACGCTAGCACACCATAGGCGGACAAGCACACAGTGTGTCATCATTATCGATCATCTTACCTCTGTAAGGATACCTCAGATAGCGCACGGAGGTAACAGTGGTGCACGTACCCCTGGCGACGCAGTCGCCAATCAAACTTCCCGGGCCCTGCCAGCTGGCGCGCCAGTGATTACTACAGTCCTATCTCATCCGTACTTCCCACCAAAAAGTTGTGAGCGGAGTTCGAAAAATTTAGGGAGCATTTGTTGAGGCGTCCGCCAGAACAGTAATCGTCATTGTCTGCACATAACATTCCGACTGCGCACTAATTCAAATTAAACCCTCTAGTCGTCTAGCCACGAGCATTGGATGAATGCCGTCTTTGTGAGACTGGTTAGATGGGCTGAGAGGCTTACAGTTAATAAAGATTGACCTTGCCCCTCATCCTCCATACTCCGGACGCCTGGGCAAAAAATCACAAAAAACCATGAAGCCATGATGACCACCTCAATTGATGTCAAGAAGATGCCAAGTTTGCGTCCAAACCTGGCACTCTTGCACTGAGAACCAGTGGCCGATACCACCGATCAGCCCTCCAACGTAGCGCCATCCGAAAAAGCCCACGTCAGTCTCGACAAAGTCAGGTTCGATCCAGGCAGATGGCAGAATACCCTCCCTCCACGGTGGTGTCGCAGCGTCCGGTTGGTAGCTTATCCTGCCCCCAATCACCGACATGGGGCCAAAAAGCGCCAATTCGCACAGCCCAGCGATCCAAAGGGACACTTCTTCGCCCAAAGACAAGCTGCCAGCTAAGGCCAGGATGACCCCACCGATCTACAGGAGGACCGCGGCCGTCTTCTGCCATCCATGTGGCGATAGAACAGGCGAGCCAATAACCTTTCTGAATTTTTCAAAACAGTGGGAATGTCCAGGCTCGCCCCGGCGAAGTCCAGGTACTACGTACTTCCATACGGATACGTACCGGAATCTGGAGCCTTCCCTCACTGTTTCGTCCGTGCTTGCGTGCTTTCACCATGACACGCTGCAAGCGAACCCCGAGAGCGAGAGGAGAGAGGCAAACCCCGTGATCTAGCACGTGCAGCACCCGGTCCCTGGTAACCCCCGGGAATGGATGGTTTCGGAAGCCAGGGACAAGTCGTGGTAGCACCCCATTTGATGCGATCGGTTTGCCCTCCATCCAGAATTCTTGAGTTGTTTCGTATCGCATTACATCTTTCCGTCCTCTTCTTCATCACTGTTTTTTAGTTTGTAGTATACTGCTTACTCACATCACATCGCCCATGCGACCTGCTCTACGGTAGCTTGTTGATTATTCCACTACAATTTTGCCTAAACATATTCGGTGTACCTACCTCGCCCTCCATTTGCCTCCAACCTGCTGCAGAATGAGCGCCTCAGCAAGTGTCGCTCGTCGGGCGGTGATTGCGAACCCTTTTCTGGGCAACGGTAAGCCTGTCTCCTGCATCTGTTCCTCCGCCCTGGATCACCCATCTAGGTGTTCTGTGCTGGGCGACTCTGAACTCCCTCTCTGACTCTTTGCAGCGCGTGCGCTGTCCAGTCTCGGTGTTTCGCCAGCTGTGCTCGGCCGAAACGCAAGACACCTGCCTCGTCGAACAAACGCCCTCGCCCTTCTTATCCCCGTCCGCCATCTGAGTACCGAGCACCACAATCACGGCCAGCCTTCCGGTCCGCCGCCGGGCTTCAATGTTGAAGAGGCTAAGAAGCCTCTTCCCAAGGAGAGCACTTCGGCAGCCAAGACCGAATCCAAGGCGACAAAAGATGCGGCTCAATCTGGATCCAAGGCAGCCTCGGAGAAGTCCGCCACCGACAAGGCCGACTCAGACGCTTCATTGACCGAACTTGCTGCCGCGAAGAATGCTGCTGCAGAGAGCAAAGAAGGCGCAAAGGAGGACAAGAAATTGACCGTTTGGCAAAAGGTCAAGAAGGAGGTTCACCACTACTGGGATGGAACGAAGCTGCTTGCCGCCGAGGTCAAGATCAGTACCCGCCTTGCCTTGAAGATGGCTGCCGGATACGAACTCAGTCGCAGAGAGAACAGACAGCTTCGCCGTACCGTCCAGGATCTCGGTCGCTTGGTGCCATTCTCCGTCTTCGTCATCGTCCCCTTCGCCGAGCTTTTGCTCCCTGTCGCACTGCGATTGTTCCCCAACCTGCTGCCCAGCACGTACGAGGGTCAAAAGTCCAAGGACGCTAAGGCCAACACGCTTAGAGCGACACGCAAGGAGGTCAGCGAATTCCTCCGTTCCAGTCTTAAGGAGACTGGCCTGCCCTTGACTCCGGCAACCACCCAGAGTGAGGCATTTACCACGTTCTTCAGGAAGCTCCGCTCTTCCGGCGAGCAGCCGACTCACGAAGATGTCATCAAGGTCTGCAAGATCTTCAAGGATGACATTACCCTTGACAACCTCTCAAGACCCCAGCTGGTCTCCATGTGCAGATACATGAACTTGAACACGTTTGGTACGGACAACATGCTCCGGTATCAGATCCGCCACAGAATGCGCCAGATCAAGAGAGACGACAGACAGATCAGCTATGAGGGTGTTGACAGCCTGTCAGTGTCCGAGCTGCAGATGGCGTGCGCTAGCCGTGGTATTCGTACGCACAGTGTCTCCCCCGCGAGAATGCGTGAGTACCTTCAGCAGTGGCTCGACTTGAGATTGAAGGACGGTGTTCCTTCGACTCTGTTGGTTCTGAGCAATGCCTACATGTATGGCCAGGTTCCCGCCCACAGCCAGGTTGAGGCGCTTGTTGGTGTCCTCTCTTCCATCCCCGATGAGCTTTTCCATGAGATCTCTCTTGAGGTGCTCACTGCCGAGGGTGCTGCTACCAACAAGCAGCGTCTCGAGGTTCTCAAGGAGCAGCAGGAGCTCATTGAGGAAGAGAACAGTCAGAACGAAGAAAACGCCAGCACTGGTTTCGCTACTCCCCGTGACGTTGATAACATCGATGAGAAGGAGGACAGCAACCAATCTGCTGATGCTCAGGCGGCTAGCTCAAGTCAGGCCCAGGAGGCCAAGGATGCAGAGCAGGAGATGCTGGTGGCGAGGGATCAGAATGCACAGAATGAGAAGAAGGCGGAGAAGAGCGACAAATAGATCGCTCGAAGGTTGTAGACAAGCACATTTTTTCTTTTCTTTGTTAGACTTGTATGGCATAAGGCTGGGTAGCGTGTACTAAAAGAGGGTTCATGACACCCAAGGGAACAGCACAGGTCACTAGAAAGATCCATCTCAGGAAACCAAATAGATTCCACTACTGTACAACGGAGGTCATCGTGTACATGCTACAATATATTCAAACACAAATTTGCTATGAACCATTGTTTGAATTCAACGGTTCCTCCCATCTTCTGCCTAGTTTGCTGGCCAGAGCTTTCACAGCCACCGCTACAGCACTGTCAAGTGGAAAAGCGGCCCCTGGCCTGGCTCCAAGCGCTGGTTAAGAGGTTACACCTGTTTCTGGCGGTGGCTTCGTCATAGCCTTCCGGAACTGGGGGTCTGCGGTGTTGTCCGGCTGCTAGCGAGTTACCTCATCACTTGCCCATTCCACAAGCCATTTGTGGGTACCTGGTCTTCTCCCCGCTATCGCACTGCCCAACCGCAGAAGGCCAGCTCCTGCTACACTAGCTTGCGGCGTCACCTCCATGGTTTGGCGACAGGCAGCTCCTGCCATTCCCCACCAGTGCCGCCGACACTTCCTGCCATTGTTTGGCAAGCAAGACGATCCCTCCACCACATTCTCTCTCTGCGATAATCTGAGGTTCAAGCCCGCGGGCCTTTGGGTATCGAACGACAATTGCGATTTTATATAACCCCGGCGAGCTAATTACGCGATCCAAGCGCCTGTCTCCCCATCATTCGATCTGCGATAGTACCGACGGCAACGACGACGTAACCCCACGTCCACCCAGCTGGACGCCATGGCGGTTATTGACCAACACCACGATGACTTCTCCAATGTGTCCTGGCACACGGAGCAAACTGCTGCTGCTGAGAGTTCTAGCTCAGTGACGGCCACAAACCCCGACGAGACCGACCACAACGGACACTCTGCTTTTGACAGCGAAGCACCCGGCTCTGATGACCGGGAAGTGCTGGATTGCACCGTCTCCGAACCGCTTAAGGAGAATGACGGCTCAAAGGATACCTTTGTGTCCTATTTGATTACTACCAATGTAAGGCGATCAAAAAGACTCTGGCAGTGTTCCGCTGGTCACTCCCTTCCTTCTGGAGGTTTGCGCGTTAATACGAGCTTTGTTAGACTACCTTCCCTACCTTTCAGCGATCACATGTGGCAGTCCGCCGGCGGTTTACGGATTTTGTCTTCTTGTATAAGGCACTTTGCAGAGATTATCCCACCGCCGCAGTTCCTCCCCTTCCCGACAAGCAGCGTATGGAATATGTCAGCGGCAACCGCTTCGGCCCGGACTTCACCAACCGCAGAGCGCATTCTCTCCAGCGCTTTCTTACCCGTCTCTCCCTCCATCCGGTCCTCCGTCGTGCCGATATCCTCCATATTTTCCTCGAGAGTCCTGATTGGAATGCTACTATGCGTAGTCGCAGTACGAGGGGATCCCAAAGCAGCGATGCTGGTAGCAGTGGTGTCTTCGACAACCTAACGGACAGTTTCCTAAACGCCTTCACCAAAGCTCATAAGCACGACAAGCGTTTTGTCGAAGTGCGAGAGAGGAGTGACAGGCTTGACGAGGATTTGGCCCACATCGAGAAGGTGGTTGCAAGAGTGGCTCGCCGCGAAAACGACATTGAGTTGGACTTTAAAGACCTAGCAGAGCAGTTCCAAAAGCTTATCACACTCGAGCCTGGAGTTGAGAATGAGGTCAGACATTTCGCCAACTCGGTCGAGGACACAGCGATGGGCTTGCGTAAGCTCAAGGACGCCACCGATCAGGATTACCTCGGCAGCCTCCGGGATATGCAAGCCTACAGTATGGCGTTGAAGAGCCTCTTAAAGGCGCGAGAGCAGAAACAGGTGGACTACGAGCAGCTAACGGAGTACCTTAACAAGAACACTGCCGATAGGGACATGCTCCAGTCCGGGCATGGAGCCGGCGGCCTTTCAGGCGCCAGCGGCAGACTCATGCGCAAACTTGAAGACGTACGTGGGGTTGACCACGAACAGTCACGCCGTGACCGTCAACGTAAACTCGAGATGAGCATCGACAAGCTTACCACTGAGGCGGAGCGTGCCAAGAAGACAAGCGAGATGTTTGATGACGAAGTTGTCAAGGAGGTTAACGATTTTGAGCGGATCAAGCGGATCGAATTCAAGAAGCAGCTTGGTGGGCTGGCCGACTCCCACATCGAGTTCTACGACGAGGTAATTGAGATCTGGGAGGGGTATGTTAAGGCAATGGAGAAGGAGGGTGTATCAGGCACCCGTAGCACTGGCGTCGAGCCTCCTGGCCGGCGATTAGTGGAGTAGAAGGTAGCATTTGGGAATTTGTAGGTCTGAAGCTGGGCCGCGATGTTTGGCCCACATGATGAAGACGCCTACCTCGGACGATAAGGTTGTTGCTTGCTGGAATGTGTATTTCCTTCGAATGGCACTGGGACAATGCTTTGAAGAGACTCAGCCGAGAGAGCCGGTCGGCTCTTCAACTGGATTATGGGGACACTTGCGGGATCCCATCGTGGAGAGCTGGACATTAATACCGAAGAAGGCTGGCAACTCTGCTGATAATGAATATATCGATTATTTCCTGGGTCAACGTTGATGGGCGTGCATGATGGCTAATGATTACTGGATCGACGTTTACGACAAGAGAAACCTAGATCATGAGTTCGCCAAGGTACGATGATAGACATAGCGCCCATTACGGTTTATCTACATAGGCGTCACTCTAGGCCATTGAATCCGGCGCAGTCTACCGAACCCATGTTGCATTCAGTCTTTCAGTTGAACACCGTTCAGGGTTTCATCATTCATGCGGTAGATAGCATGCATGGGTGCTCGATGGACAAACCGAAAAAGGAAGAAATAAAATGTTTTATGTCCGGGAGCACGTAGATGTTTCTTGCGCGCGAGCAGTCATGGGGGGGAGCCAGGCATGGACGAAAGACCAGACGTTGCCGGTGGAATCGAGAATTCCAAGCATCCCAAGACATTGACGCTGTGAACTCTATGTTGCTTATTATATCTTGAGGGCTTCATGCGCTGTCACGGCTCAGTGTGCGTGTGTGTGGCAGAGAAGGTGTGTGTTCGAGAACGGGAGCCATTTCCGAAACACCTCACTGTGTCAAGCGCCAAGGCCAGGCGATTAATGCTGGGGAAGCCTCTGTCTCTCCTTGGCCGTGAATCGGTGATTCGACGTTTGGGCGTTTGGACCTTCTGGGGCCAAGCTCCAAAGGTAGCAGATTTCTGGGCTGCTCAGGTTGGGCAGTAGTTACAAGTTGTCTGAAACTATTCCTGTACTACCTACGTGACTACGTAAAAGGGCGCCATATGCTTTCAGTAAGCAAGAAAGAATACCTTGATGTGGCAGCAACTATATCAGTGTCCAGATAATACGGGTTGTCACACTTGGGGGAGGCCCGCAGAAATGGAAATTGAGAACGCGGCATATGGAATGCAGCGTTACGAATTTAGATACGTACTTGGGTGTGATGGTCATTCCTGTGGGGGGATCTTCAGAGAGGCGCAAACGGGGGAGGGGAGATGAAGGAGGCGACCAAAAAAATAAAATAGCACAGGCAGTGGAACCCCTTTTGCCATGCATCAGCCTGGGGGAATCTCCGACCCGGTGGCTGTTCAGGGTGCTGGACTCTCAGTGGGCCAATTGGGGGTAACTGAGTGGTGACTGCGCCATTGTTGAAACGGGAGTGTGGACAGTGGACACGGCTGCACCTGAGTCGCCGCCTTGGATTCCTTCAAGGTACCGTTCCCTCCATTTTCGTCAGCTGAGAAGCCTGGATGCGCTAAGTACCGCCTTCCCATTGCAGCAGTGGTGCAGCAGTGGAACGGCCACTAAGGTACGAACGCTCGGTAGCAGGTACTTGGAAAGGTAGGTAGCATTGCGGTCGCCTGTGCCGTGCTTTATGTTCCTGCCGTTTTCGAGAAGGCCACGAAACATCAATCTGGCAGAGGTCATCCTGTGCTCCAGATCTTCATTCCGCCTAGCAAAAAAAACATCAAACTGACTTTTTGCGGTCTCTGGCATGTTATTTTTTTACTCTTGCATTTTCCCCCTACTTTTACGTTTTCCTTCCGTCCAAGTAATCAAACTGCTCTAAAGGCACAACGCCTGCTCTCTTCCATCGTTTTGTCTTTGTATTTTTATTACTGTGCCATTGCGTATCGCTCTTTCTCGTGGCCCTGCGCGTTCCCATTCGCATATTAAGTGCATTGGACGCCGAAACGAGGGCTCCCCGCTGTTTCTTGCGCGTAAGCTGCTTCTCAAGTAATAGCCGACCAACAATCCTCAGCAGGGTCCATCTAATCAACACTGCCAAGCAGACAAGACGGTTTTTGCAGCAGTAACTGCTTTGCGCTAGACCAGTTTGACTCCCCCCCAGCTCAAGGCTCACTAAGAACAGTACATAAAAAAAGGTCGCGCGGAGAGCCAGGGAAGCTTTGGCCATATTCCAGGGCGGCCCTTGCCACTTGCGACTCGACCACGTCTCGTCTTCTACTCTCCCCAAGCCTAGACGGGTCCAGTTCGCTCCTTTGTCCCCCTGATCGAGGTACGATTGTGTGTTACTTACCCCCTTCTCTATTATCTCTATTTTTTTTTATTGTTACTTTCATCTTGGTTCGATCTCGATACGGTGCTGGAAGCTGACGCTTATCTGTCCTCAGCTTCAGCCTCTTGCTCTCTGCACATTTGTTTGTTCCCTTCGAGGGGTCTACGGTTGGCCCATCATGAAGTTGTCCGCTGTTCTCCTCGGCCTGCTCGGTCTTGCCAGCGGTGCTTCGGTTCGAAACTACGAGACGAACGACTACTATGTTCTCGAGTTGGATTCTTCCACATCCCCCGGCCAGGTTGCTGATCGTCTCGGTCTGCGCCACGAGGGCTCCCTCAGCGGTCTCGACGGCCATCATATATTTTCCGCGAGAAAAGAGCCGCATGATATTGTCAAGCCTGTTCTGCGGGAGCGGAGGATGAAGAGGCGAGGATTGGGCGGCTCTGACCCCGTCGACGGCATTCTTCTCGCACAGAAGCAACTTCTTCGCAAGCCTTGGGAGAAGAGAGTACCTCCTCGCCTGCACGGTCCCAAGAACGTCGCTCGCCAGGATAAGCCCGACGCTGCGATGGTTACTCAGATGAACAAGATCATGCAGACCTTGAACATCGTCGACCCCATCTTTAACGAGCAATGGCACCTGCTCAATACCGTCCAGCCAGGCCACGATGTCAACGTCACTGGTCTTTGGACGCAGGGCATTACGGGCAAGAACGCGACTGTTGCTATTGTTGACGACGGCCTTGACATGTATAGTGATGATCTGAAGCCCAACTATTACGCCGCCGGTTCCTATGACTTCAACGACCACCGAGAAGAGCCGAAGCCCACGCTGAGCGATGACAAGCATGGCACTCGCTGCGCCGGTGAAGTGTCTGCCGCGAGGAACAACGTCTGTGGCCTCGGCGTCGCATACGAATCCAAGATTGCCGGTATCCGTATTCTGAGTAAGCTTATCTCGGATGCCGATGAGGCCGTTGCTATGACATATGACTATCAACACAACGATATCTACTCTTGTTCTTGGGGACCTCCTGATGATGGCCGATCGATGGATGCCCCAGGTATTCTAATTAAGCGCGCCATGCTTAAGGGTATCCAGCAGGGTCGTGGTGGAAAGGGATCCATTTACGTCTTTGCCAGCGGCAATGGCGCTGCCAACGACGATAACTGCAACTTTGATGGCTACACCAATTCCATCTACAGTATCACGGTTGGCGCCATCGACAGGAAAGGTCAACATCCCTACTACTCGGAGAAGTGCTCTGCTCAGCTCGTTGTCACCTACAGCAGTGGCAGCGGAGATGCCATTGTAAGTAATCCAAGTCTTGACGCGTTCGAATGAAGACTAATAACTGGTTAGCACACTACTGATGTCGGCACTAACGCATGCTACAATGGCCACGGAGGCACATCTGCTGCCGCCCCACTGGGTGCCGGCGTCTATGCGCTTGTTCTTCAAGTCCGTCCTGATCTGACCTGGAGAGACATGCAATGGCTCGCTATGGACACCGCCGTGCCCATTGATGAAAAGGATGGAGAGTGGCAGCCGACCAAGATCGGAAAGAAGTTCAGCCATACCTATGGGTACGGTAAAATCGACGCCTACGCCATGGTCGAAGCTGCCAAAAACTGGAAGAACGTGAAGCCTCAGGCATGGTACTACTCTCCTTGGATCCATGTCAACAAGCAAATTCCCCAGGGCAAGGATGGTGTGGCGGTCAGTTTCGAGGTTACCGCCGATGCTCTCAAGGAAGCCAATCTCGAGAGGGTGGAACACGTGACGGTCACTATGAACGTAAATCACACTCGTCGTGGTGACTTGAGCGCCGATCTTATTAGCCCCGAGGGGGTTACTAGCCACTTGTCTGTGACTCGCAAGCTGGACTCAGCTAGTTCCGGATATGTTGACTGGACATTTATGAGCGTTGCGCATTGGTGAGTTGGCCTATGGAAAGAACTGTACATGATATTGTTGCTAACTTGATATCAGGGGTGAGTCCGGTCTTGGCAAGTGGACTGTTGTCGTCAAGGACTCCTTGGAGAACGAGCACCAAGGTACTTTTGTGGACTGGCATCTGAAGCTTTGGGGCGAGTCGATCGATGCGAGCAAGACCAAACTCCTTCCTATGCCCACCGAAGAGGATGACAATGACCATGCCTTGGTTGCGACTACCAGCATAGCTGCCGCCACTACGTCGATTACCCACCCTCCCCAAGCCACCGACAACCAGCCGGCTGCTACACCATCGGACCACCCCGAGCGGCCGACAAAGGTCAAGCCTACTGGCGGCGAGACACCGGCTGAGACAGGCGCGGCAACGAGCACCAGCAGTGCTGCAACGAGCACGAGCAGCCCCTCAAACTGGGTCTCTTGGCTGCCATCCTTTGGAAAGGCCGGCGTCTGGGTGTATGGCGCCATTGGTCTCATTGCTGTCTTTTGCTCTGCTTTGGGCATTTGGTTCTACATCAGAAAGCGCCGCAACAGCACACCGCGGGATAACTACGAATTCGAGCTACTTAATGATGACGAAACCGAAGGCTTGAACGGCGAGAAACGCACGCGGGGCCGTGAGCTCTATGATGCGTTTGCTGGCGATGACGACGAGGAGGACGATGATGGTAGCGAGTACCACGATCGGAACCGCGATCGGTCAAGAGATGGAAGCGGCAACAGGGAGACGGACAGGTTAACAGAAAAATAGGCGTACGGCTGCATGGGACGTTTTGCATAGAGAATACCTTTTCTTTTGCTGTTGCATTTTGGTATTTGATTCAATTGAATTAGACGGCGGCTGGTGTTTTGAGGTGTAACAAATCAATCAATCCAATGAACAACAGACTTTGAACATGTTGGAGTTGAGAGGCATTCCAGATACCTAAGAAACCTACATGAGATAACAGCGTCAAAACTCAACAATGGTGAAGGGAGTCCCGGTCTGCACTGATACTTGAGGCGGGTGCTCCCGAGCCGAACAAGAGACAACTTGGCTACTGCAGGGAGATAGACTTCAGGGTCTTTTGGTATCGCTATTTCTGGCACGGCCCTTTTTTTTTTTTTTTTTTTTTCGCTTCCCTCCCCTCAATTCCGCTAGTTTTTGTTCTTCAAGTCTCTCATTTGACTGTCCGAGTCTTTCCTTTTTACCCTGTGTTCTTCATTCATTTCAAACAATGGTCAGCGATAGTTGGCAAACAGTGCCGAGTCAATCAGGATTGCTTTTCCCCTGCACAATTGTTCGAGGTCACCCCGTCCAGCCACCTCAATATTCGGACGAGTACGGTGTTAGTAACCTCGCTTCGCCCCAGAGTACTACCCCATCAAATCGACGGTGGTTGCGTACAAACGTGTGCCATATCTTTGCCGTGCCTTGTTCCGAAATCCCTTCGCCTATAAGTCAACTTGGGTATGGGTACTCAAACGTAGGTTCAGCCACTTTATTTTCGTTTTGGTCGACGTCCGAAAAGTCCCATGCATGCTGTACGGATACCGCTCTTCGGATCACCACATACATTGGCCAACGGGACATTTTAGCCAAGAAAACTGTGATGGACAGCTGCAGCAAGTATCAAGCAAGCTGGGCCATCCATCTTCGATGGCATCTTCGATGGGAAGATGGCACGATGAGCGGGGGACACAAGTCGGCCGCAGGAGTAAGCCGTGATCACTGGTCAATGGCAAGCTAAGCCCATCCAGTGGCTCCATTCCGACCGCCTCTTTTTTTGTTATTTTTGTTTTTACATAGGAGGAACTACATAGTATACTTTTTGACCTGCTCTTGGCCTGGTCCACAACCACGCCCACCCCTGTCGCGGCTGTTCGTAAGGTGCTGCCCACCTAAACCACCTTACCCTACCTCCTACGGATACCTACCCAGGCCTTTTCAGCCCAATCGATGACAGTCACGACATGCCTGGTTTGGCAACAAGAGCAGAACAGACTCAGAACCCATGTCCCAAAGTTCCCCAAAACCAGGATTACCTCCGCCTAAGCCGCCCCCAACCCGGGCCCAGCTTCCCATTGCTAACCCAACTGGGTAACCCAATGACGCCGTAAAACAACCCGTCAACCTCGCCATTTTTTCCAGCTCTTGATGCTTGAGTCGCAGTGAGAACTAAGAAAAAAAATTGCTCCTCTTGTCCCTCTTCCCCAAGCTCTTGTCTGTTCCTCTCAGCTGCACATTTTTTTTGTATTTGCTCGGCTTATCTTCTACGGACATTGCATCTAGACGCAACCTCGACTGACTTATGCGCCCCTGCTTGCATCCGGCCGACCCTCCGTTGCGCGCGCGTGTTTACATCGCATTGGCTGCTATGGCAAGCTGCATATGTCTTTGACGCCCGGCCTTTACTACCGCTAGTTCTGCTGCTTTAGTTACCCGAGTAGTTTTTTTCCGTTGAAGCTCACACAGACGGTACACGTCAATTCACCGATCTTGCGCTCAGCCCTGAAGTCGATCAGCTGTCCTGCAGCCCAGTTATAGCTCTTGCGACAAATATATACTGTCCAGGTCCAGATCACAGCCTCGTCGCCATGCCGAGTGCACCGTATTGGGGCGATCTGACAGGCCCCAAATCCGCGAGACGTCAGCGACGACAATCTGAAGACTTTAGTCTACCAGATCGTAAATCTTCTCCTGATCAGCTGGATCATCCCGCTCCTGCCCCTCCTCCAAAATCTAATCGTACTTCTCTTCAAACGACAAACACCGAGGCTGTCACCGAATCGACTCTCAGCCCCTACGCTTCGCCCACCGCCTCCAGCTTTGCAGGCCAACAAGGCCTTGCCCCGCGCCCGCCTACATTCCCCTACGGCGAGTCTCAGTACCCAGAAGACCAGCAGGCTGAAAGGCGCCAGCGACGACGTAGAGAGCGCAACGAGCAGGAAGAGTTCTCAGTCCCCGATCAGGAATATTATCTCCCCGCGGGTGCCACGCCTCCAGCCGCTCCCGATGTACCCAAGGGCCCGCCCGTGAGCTTCAGACATCCGTACGGCAACGGAGGATTGCCATACACATATCCATCCCCAGGCACATCTCGTCCCCAACGGCATCCTAGCCCGCTAGTAAGCCAAGACGACGACATGGATCCCGAGGGCTACTACAGAAAATCCACGCCGGGGAGCGAACTGCCGCCGCCGCCGCCGCCGCCCGAGCAGAGGGCGGAAGAGCAAGAAGAGTATCCGCCACTCAACCGCTCACAACAGACGCTCGATACGACCAACGAGACGCGGCAGGCCCACGAACCCCGCGAACCCCGCATATCCCAGAGTTCATCGAGGAGAAGGTCAGAAGGACAGGCGAGGAAGCCTTCGGGAGGATCCAGAAAGTTCGCCAATGATCGCTCTCCACTCCAGAGGCTTGAGCTGACGCTCGACAGCATCACCAAGGAGGAGAAGCGAGCTCGTGTGGAAGCGGCAGAGCGCCGTGCGAGAGAGAAGGCTGCCGCCGCGGCGGCTAAGAACCCCGATCTTCTTCAGCCTCCAGAACCCTCACACCGCGCCCCGCGGTCACAACCGCCGCAACAGCCACACCACCAACAACCCCAGAAGGCAGTACAGCAACCGCCACTGATAAAGCAAGAACCTCAAAGGCCGCTTCCAGAGCCGCCTCAGCAACAACCCCGGCAACAGCCCGCACCGGTTCCGCAAGTGCGGTTTAGCGACATTTCGTACGATGAGGATGACTGGAGAGGCGCAGCGCCTGAGCAGCAGGCCAATGTTGCTGCTCCTCGGGGAGCTCCTACACAGCACTATGTCGACGATAGGAGATATGCGCCTGCGCGCGTGTCACTTGACGATGCGCGACGGCAGCCACGCTACGTGCCCGAAGATGACGGACGGTATGAATCTGGTCACTACCAGCACAGAGCTCCTGCCATGGCTACGGCGACGAGACATCACCCTACATATTCTGGCGGCATACCTCAGAGGAGTGTCAGCCTGCGCGAGGAGCCTAGACAGGCACCGGCGCCCAACTCAGGTATTCCGAAGCGTAACCTGAGCTTCCGCGAGCGGGCCGCCAAGAATGATTTGAACTTGCCTACGGCACCTGTAGAAAGGAGTCAAAGCCCGGAGACCGATCCCGAGCCTATGCCGCCAGTTACCAAGTCTCGGCGGCCTAGCTGGTCTCTCACTCGGCGCGGAAGCAACAAGCTTAAGAAGCAGCCGAAAGGTGACCCTTGGTTCAATATTCGAAAGGATGCCGAGAAGAAATTTGAGGACATTGAGGTCCGCAATGCGGCTTTGGATGAATCTGCTGCTGCCATGGGTGGCCAACCTGTTCAGCGGTCCGCGTCACTCGCCATGCGTGAACAGGCATTGCCCCGGGAAGCTCCTCAGGGGGATGTTGGAAAAGCCGGGATTCCCAGTAAAGCTGCGAGGCTAATCGGATTTGACATGGGTGGTGTCCAACGGCGCGCCACCGCCCCTACGACTCACCGCAACTACGATCATGACAATGGTGCTTATTTTGAGCCTGTTGCATCAGGAGGTCGAGGTGAGGAGTCTCATCACCTTTCTCATAAGGAAGCTGCGGAGCGTGGGAGACAGTATGATCGAGAGTATTACTCTGACGATGAGTACAACGAGCGCGGCCAACGTGTTAATAAAAAACTATATCACGGCCGCGACAGCTTCCGTCCTGGTGAAGGCATCTACAAGCCGCCCAAGTATCTCGATGAGTGGAGGAAGGCCACGGTCGGCAGCTTGTCTGGTTCTTTGCTTGAACTTAGCGACGAAGAACTCCCTGGGGCTGATAAGAACACGCCTTGGTGGGAGGGAAGTGGGAAGCGTAGGGGAAGTGCCTCTCGGCCTCGCAAGGCAGAAGCTTTCGACGGCGAGTATGATGAGACAAATGGTGAGCCCAATGGTTATGTGGACCCAGGAACAAGGCTAACAGGTAACAGCACCCACAAGATTCAAGCCGCCTCTGTACCTCAAGTGTGGCCCGCTGCTGAGATACTGTGGGCTTAAGCACGAGAAGGTCCCTGCTCGTGCCAGGAATACTGAAGCCACCGAGCGAACCTTGTGGCGCGGCTCAGTAATGATTGTGACCCAGGACAGCGACTCTTCCTACGAAATTGCGCCGACCTTACGGCTGTTTGTGCAGCCGCTTGAATTGCTCCCGCCCCCGCCACAGCTGATCTCCGGAGAGCAAGATCTCCCCCCAGAATACGTGGACCCGATTGCCGGAATGCCGAAGCTAGGAAGAAGAGGAGAAACTCTCTATGTCCGACCCGTAGACCACCTCGAAGAGGCCAAAGACCTATCAAGGGATGAATCAGATAATGGGCTGTTCGAGAAAACGAAGAGCCCCCCTGATATCGCTCCCGCAGATGGTTCTCTAGACTACCCTGGTTCCTTCTCAAGCCGCCGCAAGCGCGTCAAGATTGACGGAGAGAAGGTCTCTAAGTATAAGGATGTTCGCGGGTTCCGACTGCACGCGGAGCGGGGCTACACGTTCTGGCGCTTCAACATCGAAGTCGAACTTCGCGAGAAACAGCAGCGTATCGCTTATCGCATTAACCGAGGTCCGTCCATGGGCTTTTGGGTCCCGGCTGCAGGAGAATCTATGAACATCATGTTCTATAGCTGTAACGGGTTCAGCATGAGTGTTAATCCCGACGATTTCAGCGGCCCTGACCCCATGTGGCGCGATGTTCTCAACACACACCAGTCTCAGCCGTTCCATGTCATGCTTGGCGGCGGTGATCAGATCTACAACGACTGCTTGATGGATCAGAGCAAGCAGTTCCGCGAGTGGCTCATGATCAAAAATCCTCTTCACAAGCATAACACGCCCTTTACTCCGACGATGCAGGACGAGCTGGAACGGGCGTATCTCGAGAGATACTGCATGTGGTTCTCGCAAGGTCTCTTCGGGTTGGCCAACTCTCAGATTCCCATGGTTAATATGTGGGACGACCACGACATCTCTGATGGTTTTGGCTCGTATGCCCATCATGACATGAACTCGCCGGTCTTTTCCGGCCTCGGCAACGTGGCTTACAAGTACTACATGCTATTCCAACACCAGAGCCTTCCGAATGAAACAGAAGCGTCTGAGCCCAGCTGGGTACTCGGTGTCCAGCCTGGACCCTATATCAATGAGTTGAGTCGCAGCTTGTTTATAGAACTTGGCTCAAAGGTTTCTTTGCTAGCCGTTGATGCGAGAACGGAAAGAACGGAAACCGATGTTGTCAGTGAAGCTACCTGGCAGCATATCATGGACCGTTGCTACGACGAGCTCCGGAACGGCAGGACCCAGCATTTGCTTGTTTTGCTTGGTGTCCCGATCGCCTATCCCAGATTGGTCTGGTTGGAGAATATGTGAGTAGACCCGTAACATCAAGCCGACCAATGCTAACAGTATAGTCTCACCTCGAGAGCAATGGATCCCGTCAAGGCTCTTGGCAAGCTAGGAATGCTCGGTAACACCCTGAACCACATCGACGGAGGTGTAGAGGTTCTCGACGACCTCAACGACCACTGGACTGCCAAGAACCACAAGAAGGAGCGAGAGATTGTTATCCAGGACATGCAGGATCTTGCAGCAGACAAGTCCGTAAGAGTTACATTCCTCAGTGGTGATGTCCACCTAGCAGCTGTCGGCCAGTTCTACGCCAACCCCAAACTCGGTCTACCGAAGCACAAGGACTTCCGCTACATGCCCAACGTCATATCATCGGCTATCGTCAACACACCCCCTCCTGATTTGATGGCAGACATTCTGAACAAGCGTAACAAGATCCACCACTTTGACGACTCCACCGAGGAGAACATGATTCCATTGTTTGGCCACGGAGTCGATGGAAAGCCCAGGAACAACAAGCATCTGCTGCCGCATCGCAACTGGTGCGCCATCCGAGAATGGACTCCTGGCGCTACGCCGCCGCCCACACCGCCGCTGTCGGCCTACGATAGAAGCCCTAGTCCCCCTGCTAGCCGTGGTGGTCTTTTGCGGCGTTTCTCCTCTAATAAAGGTCCCGCTTACCGGCCTGACATCCAAAAAGACTCTCCAAGAGACTCTTCCCGGCCCCCTATTTCCAACAGCGGCAAGGCCGGAGGCTTGTTCAGAAGGCTTTCACGCCGTAACTCGACCGATGGAGCCCGTCCGGCGGAACTCAGCAAGCCGAAGCGTTCAATGTCATTGACGCGCAACTTCTTCAGTCGTCGGGGCAGCAAGAAGGCTCAGCCTGACGACGGGGGTATCAATGGTCAATGGGGAGAAGAAGATAACGACGCTAGCTCAGTTGAAGATGGTCATTATGGCTATGACCAATACGATGACAGGCCGGCTGTGCAACCACGGGTTAGAGGTATGGGTCTGCGTGGAGGTGGTGGCCACGACGAATACCAGTCGGGAGACGATTCGTACTTTACGGCTCGCCCCGCCACGCGATCAAGGGGCGCACCTATCCGCGGGGTTCCACAATACGACGAGTACCAGCCTGGTGACGAATCGCAATTTACCGCTCGACCACCGCCTCGCGCACGCACTATGAGCCACGAGCGCCAGGCCGCGCTGCCACCGCCCAAGCCGTTCCATCGCACGCCGACCGGCTTGTCGGTAAAGCAGCAGAAGAACTCCGATAGGTTTGCCGTTGATCTCGAAGGCGGTCTGGATATATGCCTCAACGTTGAGGTCAACCCCAAAGACCCCACGGGCATCACAACACAGTACCGGCTCCTTGTTCCCAAGCTTTTCTGGGACGACGCAAAGGAGGGTGCGACCCTGCAGCCACCTGCTCCGGCGGGCTTCAAGCGGTTCTTCAGTCTGAAGAAGAAGGATACCAATGCTCCACCTCCCGAGGAGTTGGAGGCCGGCGAGGAACAGCGTGACCCATCGGGGTCGGGACCAGGCAGACCGTACACGGCGGTGCCCCCCGCTGGACGGGAGCCTGTGTATGACGTACCGAGAAACGCAAGATACGAGTCGCCAGGGGGATTGGACTCCCCACGTACATATGAGTCGTCAGCGCGGTATGACTCGCCTGTGGGTTATGAGCAGCAAGCAACGAGGTATGAGAGAAGATGAAGGGGGTTTTTTATGCCTGACGACACATGAGGACATGATGAGAATGAGGGGGGTTTTCTTTTCCATGGGGTTGCCCATGTCGGGTACCTCGCATACTTATTTTTTCGCGGAACATTGGATTCGAGCAAGATCAATACGAGCATTCAAAGGAGTAGGATTGATACGAGGGCACAAAAGTCTTGGATCGCTGGTTTCCCTTGGGACTAGCTCTTTTTCGATACCTGCATGGCCAGCGGCCTTACGTTTAATGATTATTATGACCTCGAATGAATTCCGATACACATGATCAAGTGATGTACTGTGGTGCGCTGTGAGAATGGAAAGCATCACGTCACTTTGCAAACCTAGGCTGATATAGGAAACAAATCACAGAGCTTCCATCGGGACGAGGTCCATTGAGACCAGCGGTATGGTCAGCGGCAACATTTGGGGGGACGAACAGGTCGTTGCCACCGAGTTTCTCATTCATTTCAATTCGTGAAAATATATTTCTGATATCAATTTTTTCTTCTCTTTTGTAGCCTGTGATTTCAGTTAGTAATCTTTATAGACCACATCTCACAAGGATCGGTTTAGATCACCACCAACCTTTTCAGACCAAATTACACATGCCGACGTGTTTGTTCGCGCGATCCCCTCATTTGACCGTTCCGGATCGCAACACATCGGCAAGGCCATCCCCATGACCTCATCTATCTGTTCCCTCGTCCGCTGGTTTCCAAGCGTCTAGATAGTGGTTTCTTTCTTCCTCTCCGTGCTCGTCTTGTTGTTTCTTTTTGGTTTAAAGGAAGCATTCCAACAGGAAGCGTGCCAGACCAAGAGAGCAATCAATCACTGGACGTCTCCCTCCTTGGCAGCGGCGACATCCCTGTCGGCGCTGCGACTGCGGCTACGGCTGCGGCTCCGTCCGCGGCCTCGGTTCTGGGGCCTCGCGCCGCCGCGGTTGGCTCCGCCCTTGCCGCCTGGCGGGGGACGAACGAATGCGAAGTCGACATAGACGGTCTGGTCGAGGAGCTTTGTCTCGTGGGCGGAGTCGATTGCCGCGCGGGCCTCGGTCAGCGTTGCGTACTCGATGAGGGCGTAACCCTGGTCTCATTGTTAGTCTTCAAATCCCGTATTTGAAAAGGTTTCCCTCAGACGTCCCAGGCAGAGATATGGAGGGGAGGGTTTGAAATACCTTGACGTAACCGCTCCGCCGGTCAAGGTTGAGATGCAGGTTCTTGATCTCGCCGAACTCGCCAAACTTGTCGTGGATGGCCTCCTCGTCGGCCTCCTCGTGCACGTTGGTCACCATTACGATCCAGCCCTCAATGGAGCGGACGGCGGTGGCGCGGCCATGGGTTTGCATCTCGGACTCGTTGCGCGCGGGGGCGGCTCCCGTGTCGGCGGAGGGGGAGGGCGGGTTGTCAACTTCCATTTCTACGTCGGCCATCTTGTCGGTTGTGTCTTGCGGTGAACGGCGCTTTGAGTTGGGGGGGTTAGGTGAGGTACGGATGCGCGGTTGGAGGTTAGAGGGGAATGTGTTGAAGGGACACGAGGCGCGAGAGTGAGCTACGTGGGTGACGTCGGTGGGCTGCTGAACGAGGTTGACGATGTTGGTTTGTATGGCGGGGCGTCAATTTGTCGAGCGAGGCTGAACGGGTGCGATGAAGCATGGAAAAAAAGTGGAGGGACGTTGGGCTTCTGGCTGCGGTACGTATCTTTTACTGGAAAGCTTGTGCACGGTCTCTATACTGGTCCTCGCGTCGCCTGGCAGCTTAGAGGGCAGTTGTTCAATTCTTGGGGACTGGTGAGAGCTTCAGGTCTTTCGTCTTGATGCGGTGACTCTCCATGGTGAGCACATTGTTCACGCTCATAACAGCATCGAAGACTGTGGGCTTGTGGCCATCACCACAGATTGGCTGGGCTCCTCATGGAAAAGAGACACATGAAAATGACACCACTAAATTTTTACAGAACGATGGAACGAACTAAGTCTCAGCCCTATCCAAATACCAAAGATAGCCTGACCTGAAGCTGAGATTGACGAGGCGTTCTGTCGGACCGTCTCAGCAGGTCGAACACGAGCATTCATCTGGTTTCGCTGCTAAGCCTCATGGTCTGCTGGCATGGTTCGTCTGAAGCAGATGACGATTCCCCACTGATATGCCAACTTTGTCAGGGGGGGCATAAACTGCTGCCTGTGCCGGTATGCTTTACGATCACTGGAGGACAGCTATGCAGGGGAAGATAATGCCATGTCAGCGCTGTGGTCTTGGGAGATTTGACGCCGAGAAAGCAAAATAATGCTCTTTCGCATTACCAAGACACCCACTGCGCGGAGGCGAGAGATTTGGACCGGGGTGATGGTTGTTTCAGTGTTTCCGTTTCACGACGTTGTCCACTTTGCCCGTCGGGGGAGACACCACCGGCTCAGGGGAGAAGGGGGGCTGCGCTCACGCAACACGTCGATCAACATCGCCGAACCCAGTTAATTGAAACCGTCTGGTTCGTCATTTGGCAGTTTTGTACGGAGATGAACATCCGCAGTCCATGCAACCCTTTAGCCAAGACAGAACCAGATTCAAGGTCTAGATGGTCTCTCTCTTTTATTTTTTTTTTGGCCGAATTCCCCCCCTATTTGGCTTGTTCGCGTGTCCGCGTATTCTCGGCCCATGGGATTTCTTTTCTGTAAAATTATGTGGGTTGGACGAGATCCTTGGCGGCAGTGTTGCACTGCCTCACAGGGGGTTAATGAGATTGTTGGTTTGTTTGAGGAGCGGGTAGAATGGCATGTTTGCGATATAACTTAGGAGCGATTTCCCCTGGGTTTTGGGATTGGATTTTCTAGATTCACTGCAATCTTCGCGTCATTTATTTCTCTCTTCAGACCCAGTGATTGACTATCTAATCCATCTCTGGATAACTGAAGTCTCAGACGTACTGAGCAATCGCAAGCGCCCTAGACGTTCTCCCCGCCACAATCCATCCCACATACCGTCAAAATGGTGGTGAAAGATCAGCCCAAGCCCACGGCGCATACCATGCAGCCTGACCGCAATGCCCCTCTCACCAAGGAGGAGAGACAAAGGGAAGAAAAGAAATCCTGGACATGTGTAAGTCATTTTGCTCCACGGCCCACCCCTTCCTAGTACAGCCGTGTGATTCAGCCCGATAGCAGTGATATATAGTTGCTAACCGCCGCCCATTAGGCCCAATGCTGCTCGAGTTGTCTTGATTGCATTGTCATGTGCTTCCGCGCTTGAACTACAAGCCGACAGCATAAGCTTTAAATTCAAAAATAAAATGGGATTGAAGGATGAGATCCTTGAGTTGGAACGGATATGGCGCTTGGTTTTTGGGTTTATGCAGCCTTTGATTGCGGTTGTCGATCAGAATACCTTTGGTTCTTGGAGTTTGGGGCTTTCGACGTTGATGCTATGTGTAGCACCAAGTCATTATGACGTTCTTCTTCAAACCTATTTCAATTACAAGCGCTGTCATGAGCGCATCTTACAATAACCATTGGTTTTATATGTGCGCATATTCAACATTCCAAGTATTTACCGCAAGATGTGAAGCGTCAAGTCTGCCTGGAGGCCGAGACCTTTTGCGGTCATTTACTCCACCGACGACAACGCTGAAGTTGAAAAGTTTGATCTTGATAAGTTATATGTTGTACCCCAACCTCCCTGTCGTTGTTCAAGAAGACTATGTAGCTCCCGGTTGGCGGCAATAGGGTACGACTGCTAAAGTTTATCGTCCGAGACTGTGTTCCACCTACCGGTTTCCGGTGCCGTAAGCCTTGAAGGGGCATTACCAGTGACAAAACCGCTTCAACCTCTCGGGAATAGTAGGCTGTTGAAGGATAGCGGCATGCAAGAACGAAATGCTAAGATGCCCAAGCCCACTGCTTTAACAGCCCGATGAATACACAATGAACATCAGCTGGAGACACTCATAAATGCCATGGAACTTTTTATATGGAAACGAAGACCGCTGGTTTGTGACCAAATGGAGGATATAGAATTTCTCTAGAATGCCTGCCGCTTAGATTTGCATATCGAGCGTTTCTGGTCCAGCTCTAGGGTTCGCGGTGGGCGAAAAATGACCAGCCTTTGCAACATTTCTCAACAGCGAGGAAAGAGAATGAATGAGCCTGATCGATAAGAATACACGCCTCATTACTATACCGTACAAGAAGGCCATCTTGAGACAGCCAGACGCGTGATGGAATCAAGCGCTAACATAGATCAGACATGTCGCGATAGCTTACCACTCTGCATTGCTGCTGGGCCTATTTGAAAATGTTGAGCTTTTAGCCCTGCTTCTCCATTACAGGATACCAATAGAATCGACTTCAGTTGGCTATCCAGCGCTACATTCAGCAAAGACAAGAGGACATCTGCGTGTCGTTAAGCTTTTGCTTGAAAGAGGCAACTTTTTCACAGAGCAGCGGCGTCTCACTTACGGGGCCCACGACTCCTCTCATGCTGGCAGTTGAGCTCAACGATATTTCCATGGCCAGGCTTCTTGATCACGGAGCCAATGTTCATAAGTTGGAGGCGCGTAACAAGCTCTTGATGAATGCAGCCTGCGCAGGACAAGCTTATTTGGTCAGACTGCTGGTTCAAAAGGGCGCAGATATCAACGGGAAGAATGGCGTAAGGTTATCAAGTGCATTGGAGATAATCAACAGTAGAAATTTATCGCAAGAACGACAGAGGGAACAAAAAGGGTGTTATTAATGAGGCCTTAATTATCGGCAGGTTTGTATCAGGTACGAGAAAAGGGAGCCGTTGACCGTGTTAGTTAGTTTTATCTCGTCTTCACCTTCCTTGTTTGTTTGGGAGCAAGTGTTAAGTGGTCTGGGTGTGGACATTCACTCAGTCTCTTGAAGCCTTGGGAGCTTTCAGACACCCATCCACACAAAACATAACAGATTGTATGCTTCAGCGCATGCCGAAGTATTTCAAGACATACTGCAGAGCTTGGTATCAGCTTCACTTATTCTCGTGGTCTGGTAATCAAGAAGGCGTGATGTGGTCCAAAAGGAAGCAGCGTGCCCTCAGTTCATGGCCAATCCTGGCCAATCAAAAAGCACGAGCCGAAGCTCCACAGACGCACGTGCCATCGAGTGATTGCGGTCAATACTGCCACAGTCTACCGCCCCCATAAATCTATATAAACGCCGTCCGTATCCCGCCCTTTCATACTTCTTTTCCTCTTTTTTTCTTCATACTTACCTTATCTGGCCACCTGGGGATCAAGAAATCCGGGTGGCAGAGAGGGAGGCCTGCATTGCACATCGCGGAGTCGACCTCTCTCGATTGCCCTTCGGGGCCATCGTGGGTGCAATTTTTGATTTTTACCACTTTTCATTATGCTCGTTGCCTATGTGCGATGGTATGAAGAAGAGATCTCCCAACTAGGAAAACCTGCTGTGAAACTGCTGTCGTTATCCCATATAGGATCATTCTAGCTTCCCTTGCGGGTTTGACATGATAAATCTGGTGTTCACCTTCCCCTTGTTGGTTTCCATTGCAGCTTGCCTACCGACAGTTTATTGTTCAATACTGTTTGATAGCTTGGCTTTTTGGCCTGTGAGCTAATGACGCCCGCGATGGATAGGTTCCCATGAAAGACGGCTCTTGGTCATCGCGTCTCAACATGCTGGAAGCCGTCACCAGTCCTGCCTAATCAGTTTTTCACTCAGGAAACGCGTGCCTAATTCCGAAGGCAGCATCGACGTCTGTTTTGACAGCTAGAACTTGGCCGTCTGCAGATAAGACAAAGGTATCAAACATAACAATTCAGTGATACATTCCTCGTTGCGTCTAGAGCGATGTACCGTAGCCCTGACGACAGTCTAGGATTTCGCCGCGTCATTGCCTCATTTGCGGTCACATTCATGGTTTGTTCGCGATGCTTTTCCAACTGACCGAGGATATGGCAGTACCCATTACGACGGAGACACTGGGCCGAGGAAGCAAACACTCACTGATTGCGACGCTGATTATTGCCATTACTGTCAACAATGAACTCGCAGCCAGCATATATGCCCGCAAGTCCAGTTCACCCCCGAATAGGAATGTGTTCTGATTTCTGTTTTCGAGGCAGTTGACGGGGTCCACTAGTAAGCAGACCGGTCCAGTGTATCGGCGTTGGTCGAATTCAAATCGATTCTGCTGGTGAAGGGGGAAATCTACGTCGACCTCCGGAATCCCGCAACCATCACTAGCAAATGCTTCGTTGGTATCTTGTGCAGCCTTGTGGCGAGCGTTTCTCATTAGATAACGGGAACGCGTACATCATCAGATTTGCAACCGGAGGGTGATAGATAGCAGACGAGCTTGAAAAAAATCAGACAAAGTAACCAGCGCTTTCCTGAGGCTGTCAAGTCGAGGTCTCACGCGTTTCGTTGTCCCCAACGTGGCTACACTTTGAGAAGTGCAACGTGTAGGCAGAACATGTCTCGATAGGCAGCAATGGCAAGTTAACAGACTCGGCATGATTTCTGACCCGGGGTATAATTCCTGTCCACAAACGACCACTTGCACCAAAGGGTCCCATATATATACAACGAAGACCAAGCGCGGTAAACAGAACATAATCAACCTTTTTCACAATCTTTGCTGAAGACCCAATCCTTCTCCGAGCCAACGTCATCATACCATGAAAACCCCATTAACGCCACGCGAGTGCCTTACTCGCATCATGTTACAAGCCTCAAGCACAGCTAGGCTTTTATCCCTGGATACCCTCCCAAGTAATCTGGTCAGTGATTTCTCTGACGCTCAATCCTGTAATGCTGAAAACCGTCACATCGAGCTCTTCGTCTGTCATGTCCTGTCCAGCCTGCTTCTGGCCCTCCAGAACGTCGTACAGAGCGTAGATTTGGCCCTTCTTGACCTCCTGTTGGTTCATGTTGACCTGAATGTCGGCAAATAGCTGCTTACGCTTGGTTTCGCTGAGAGCGGGGTTGTGTTGATCATAGCGAGCCTGCATCTTCGCCTTGTCCATTTTCATATGCTCCAGCTCATCCTCCAATCCCTTGATGACCTTTGCCAAGGCATTACCGGGAGGTTGAGAGGGACGCATGGTGTTGTCCTCCGTAGACATGCCCAGCTGCTTGTACTGCTCAGAAGGAGGAACTGGCCTAGCAATCTTGATACGCTTCTTGCCTTCGGCGATATCAGCCGCCGTAACCGTTCCACGGTGAGCCTTGATTCGGGTGCATACGATGCAGTTCTTGCAACTATGCCCGGACAAGCTGTCCAGGACACGGCGAGCATCAGAAGATAGGGCGGGGCAGTTGCCCTTGACCTCGGTAGTCAAAGTGTTGTCGAGCCCGCCTTGGGTGAGCAAGTCGATCGTGGTGGACTTGCTTTGGAAAGGTTTGGTTGCAGACTTAACCGAAACACTCTTCTGACTCTGGCTAGTCAAGTTGCGCGTGGTGTTGGTCGCCTCCTGACGGACAGAGCGAGACTTTGTCGATGTTTCCTTCCGGCTTTTTGTCATGTCAATGACCATGGAATGGGTTTTGGTATTCTCCGGCGATGGCATCGTGTCCTCGTCCTCGGCTTGGAAAGGGTCCAAGTCTGGAACGGAGCCACCTTTGAGCGAGCTCTTTGAGGTCATGTGAGAAGTACTGCTTCTCTTACTGCCCTTGTTCGCGACGTTAGAAGCCTTGGCGTTTTTGGTACTGTTTGCAGATCTCTCAGGTAAGGAGAAGGCAACCTTCTGGCCTTGGCTTGAAGAGCTGCGGGCACGAGAACTAGATGCCCGTCTCTTGGGACGAGGCTCAGGTGCAACCGAGCTTTGTTGGCTCTGGAAGGTGTTGTCAAGCTCGTTTACGCTGCGATCGGTTTGCTCTGTCGTCTCAGTGAATTCAATGGTTTTCCTGCCAGGTGTCGCGCGTCTCGGTGTCTCCTTCTCCTCGGCAGTCACATCAAGGACTCTCGAGTTCTGAGTGCTGTTATCAATAGTAATGTCAGGCATAAAGAACGCCGAGGTCATGTTCTCCTCCTCCTCATCATCATCCTCCTCCTTGTCGAGGCGTGCAGAGAAGTCCTCAGTTTTTCCGAGAGGGCGACAATGGTCAAGTTGTTGCTTGAGGGTCTCAATCTCCTCCTTGAGACGCATGTTTTCGTCGTGAAGATCGTGGATGCTTCTCTCAAAGCCCGAGTTCTCGCGTCGAAGGATCTTGTTCTCGTTAAAGTACTTCTCGTTGTGGCGAACGAGGCTATCGTTATCCTCTTTCAGAGTCGATTTCTCCTGCTCCATGGTGTGAAGCTCTACCTGCAAAGCTTCGACTTCCTCGCGAGCAGCCTCAATGTCCTCCTTAGCATTCTCAGCAACCTGGCGAAGCTCCTCATTCTCGGCCATAAGTGACCGCGTGTTACTGCGCAGCGACCGATTTTCTTGGATGAGCGATTCCTGCTCTCGGCGCAGAGAATTATTGTCTGCTCGCAGCTCCTCCAGCTCTTGTTGCAGAGCCTCCTGTTCTCGGCGAAGGGTTTTGTTGTCTGCTTGAAGAGACTTGTTGTCTACCTGTGGAACGTCTTTGCCATGCTTAACATTTGAAGTTTCTTGACGAACAATCTCCCGGTTATTGTTGATTTCTAGCGTGGCGTTGAGCTTTTCCTGAGTCTCGTGAAGCTCCTTGTCCTGCATCTCAATCTTGTCCATCAGCTCGCCGATGTTGACACACGCTTCTTGAAGCTTCTTCAGCGCCCGGTCTCTCTCGAGCGATAAGGTGTTGTTCTCAACCTCGTTGATGCCGATCCGGGTGGTTGCCTGGTCCAGTCGGGCTTGCAATGCTGCCATTCGGGATTCAAGTTCTACAGCTTGTTAGGTCATTTCGTTGCAACAGGACAGGTTGACTTACGCAGCTTCTCCGTGTTGTACCGCTCATCGGCGGCAGTCTCGGGCTCCGAGCCGGTGCGAGAGCCAAGGGCACTATCGATAGACTTCCGGCCCTTCAGTCGCTTGAGCTCGTTTTGCAGGTGATCGACCTGATGCTCAAGGTCGAGGGCATGTCTCTGCACCAGATCATCATGTTCCTGAAGATTGCAAATTTCGTCTCGGAGCATATCCATAGACACAAAAATGTTTTCTTCGTCCTCAGGGATTGCTAGGCCATCGACCTCGGCATGGTCGTTAGGCGGTAAAGTCTCGATGCGGTCACGCACGCGGCCGTTCTTGACGAATACAGGAACGCCGTTCTTTACGGCACCGTCAAAACGGAGGTTGCCCGAGATAAAATCGTTGAGATGGGAGATGTCGGGCATAAAGAATGATCGGGATGTGGCTCCGTTCTGGGCAGGGCTGTCGGTCGTCGCTGGGGATGGGAATGTGTTCCTAATAGTATTGAAGGTAACTGGTGTAGGCTTGTTCTCAGGAGCACTCTCGACTGGCGCCTGCTTGGGCGTTGCTTGGGTATGAGGTGCCAGAAAGTCCGACTTCCAACGATCGGTCTTTGCGGCCATGGAGGCCCGTCGGGCAGCCTTGTAATTACCTGAGACGCTGCGGGCGTGTCCTCTAGCCAACGGACTTTGGTTGTGTTGTTGGTGGGGGTTAAAGCGGAAGTTTTCAGCGTTAATGTCAAACCGGAACGGCGACTTGGAGATGTTGGAAGACAGGTCGGACTCGTTATCGACGCGGGGCTGCATTTCGGCGCGCGTCCTCTTAGAGCCTTGCCAGGTGTCTTGTGTAGTGTCGTCAATTGTTGAGAGATATTTTTGTACTATGCTTTTATGGGAGACGTCCTCTTTGCGCCTCATCGACCCAGTAGTTTTGCTGGTGGCCCGGTCGTTTCTTGTCTCGGCGTTCTTGGGCTTACCGTAGAATTCAGGCCACTTGCGGTGGGCGGCTTCCAGATCGACTTGAAGCCTGCCGTTTGAAGGACCAACAATGCGAGCAATGTCCTCGTTGAGTCTGCGGGTAGATTCGCCTTCGGGGTCTGAGAAGACGGAGGACATGGTTGGGCTGACGGTACCGTGAGAGCCGGTCGAGGAAGGAGGGGAGTTGAAAGGGTTGTCGCGGTTGGCATTCATTTCCCTTAGAATGCGAGAGCGGTAGCGATTGTGAACTGGGTCGGCCTCCATGACTGCCCTAGGACGCGTCGAACGCGGTTTCCAGGACGGGAGTCAACGGCGGAAGGTAGAGTAGTAGATTCACGTCGTTCACAACGCAGCGGTAGCGGTAGCAGAATGCGACGCGTCGGTGAGTCGATATTTGGGACAAATTAAAAGTCGTAAAACTGCACAGAAGCAATACCGAGCGAAAGAAAGTTGCTCAAGGCATAGAGGCGTGCACAATGGCTCGACAACTGTCAAGAATGGTGGTGTTGAGCTCACGGGCGAGAGAGATGGAGAAGGAAGAAGCGTTCAATGAGAAGTGCAGGGATCGTTTGTTTACTTTCCAGTCCTAAAGCGTGTAAACAATTGGCCCGCGGCTGGGCGTGGCAGAGGTGCAGCCTAGTGGGGCAGCACGCCCTGCTTCTGGATGGCTCAGCGCACTTTGTCAGCAATGATTCGCTAGCAAGACCACTGAACAGAAAGCGCGTCTTGCGTAGTGCTGCTGCAGGACACAAAGAACACGCTCTCATTGTCTGAAAGGAATCGACTAATCCCGAATGCAAAGAAGACAACTGAGACTAGTCTGAGATGTATACGTATGAACTGAATTAATTGAAATTTTCTCTAAATTTTTTTCCATGTAAACCAGTATATTGGACTGGGAGAGACATCATGCTTCTTAAATTACGTAGCCCTTGGAGGCTCGCTTGCGGGTCCATACTGCCTAACGACAGCTAAATTCGGTGTGCCTCGGTGAAGAACTGGCTAGGCTTGATGGAGCACTTGCCCTGCCCGCCCTGCCCTTCTGGTGCAGGGCTCCCGCTAACAGCATCGCTGAGTAAGTTAGTCCATGGCTCAATTGTGTGCGCGCGAGGGCCCTTCCGCGCAAAAGAAACCCACTAGCTTGGCGTGCTGAGACAGGTTGGCGTGGTCGAGCACCACTAACTGCAACTCCGGGAGGCCGACTCAGTCCGTTTCACCTTAGCGATGCATTCCTCAAAGTTCTCTTCAACGGCTTTTGCCTATCATTCCAATTTGGAGGGCCAATCCCAAGTCCCGAGACAAATATCCGCCCATACCTACGGGTAGAGCCTACCAAGGTACGATGATTAACCTCTCGATGGTTAATGGACTCGATGGCTTGATATAGCTTGTCTGTTGGTCACGTCCGAGGGCCGGATGCGAGTCACCAGATCCACCAAGTTCGTCGCCAGTTATCGGCAGGTGATCACGCCGCTGGTCGGCTGTGCCGCCGCGGGGCTTTACACCGCCCAGGAGGCTGGGCTGGGCGCAAGTTTCCGGTGCAGAGAACCAAGAGGTTTGCTACCTTATTCAGTCTGTTACCTACATGTGGGTGCCCGTGACCATATTTCTCGCTGGAAACAGGGCATCTCCCAGGTCTATGGCACCCGCAGGCATAGCGGAAAAGCATGTTGATTCAGCCGACGTCCAGCGCTCTTCGCTATGTCCTGAAGCTGCATCAATGTTCAATGACACAGCGCAGGGTCTTGGAAGGGTCTTGGCGCCTCCAGATTTGCCCCGCATGAACATAATCTAGTGGCCGCCACCCTCCGGAGGAGGTGACCGCCCGCCTTGGTGCGCCATTCTGCGACCATTTGAGTGCCTCGTGCAGGTGGATCTAACCTGTTGGGTGGGCTTTCCTTGGTTTTGCCGCCATCGCCAAATCGCCCGGTTGTTCAGCGCTGCCAACTTCTCCGTCGCAGCCCAGTGTTCACTGTCTTAAAAACATTCACTTTTGACCTTTGCTCCTTTACCGCGCTTCAATCGCTTGCTGTGGTTTCGCTATTCGACTGCTACATATCTGCCACCCGTTGATTCTCGCTTAGGCGACTACGAATTCCTTCTGAATATGGCAGTGCGCTGCTGTACGTGAGCCGCCTTTATTTGAGCTTATTGCTCGTCTGCTTGATCATAGAAGCCTTCCTTTAAACCACTACATGATGGCTCAACCAGCCTTCCGATTACCTGGGGTTCTCCTCGCGGCTCTTGTCTTTTCTTACGGCACAACAGCTCTCGTTGCGGCGACACCATCGAATGCGCCCAAGAGCTATTGCCCCATCTTCTACTCCGAATCCCAGCTCCCAACCGATTGCGAGGCGAAACAACCCACAAGCTTCCTCCAGACATCCCAACCTGCGAAGAAGGCACGTGTCGATACATCAAGGACGAAAGATGAACCTCTCGAGGCTGCGTTCGAGGCTCTTACAGTCATGCAACATGACTTCTTTGTCGCAGACCAAGGGACATGGCCCGCAGCCATCGATTGGACTGCCGCCGTTATGGAGACAATGCTGTCGGGTGCTCTGACTTCATTGTCGCAGGCATTGGCTGTCCTTGACATTGGTAGAAATACCGATAAAGGAGCCAAGAGGAACTTGGTAGATACATTCTTTACCCAACTCGTGTCCTCGTACTTTGGTCAAGATGACGTCTCAATCCGTAATCAGGTACGTGTCCGAGATTGAACAGCACAACCAACAAGCGCAAGCTAACAATTTCAAAGGCCTTTGATGATATTCTTTGGGTTGTCCTCGGCTGGGTTGACGCCATCAAATTTATTGACATACACTCTGAACTCTACTATCCTCGAGAGGGACTCAACGAGAGTACAACCCCGGGCCTCGGGGATGCGTTGCAGAACGGCCCGTGGCACGGCCAATACTGGGTTCCTTCCTTTGCTCACCGGGCCAGAATCTTTTGGGATCTTGGATCTAAGGGTTGGGACACACGTCTCTGTGACGGCGGCATGAACTGGAACCCGAGACTGGAGCCGTATAAGAATGCCATCACCAACGAGCTATGGATCGCTGCTTCCATTTCGATGTACCTCTGGTTCCCAGGAGACAACAATACAACTCCGTGGATCAACCGGGCAAGCGGTTTCAAAGCCACGCGAGAGCCCAAATATCTCGCCGCCGCCATTGAAGGCTACAAATGGCTTGCCGGAGTCAACATGACCAATGAAGCCGGCCTTTACGTCGACGGCTACCATGTTGACAGGTCAAAGCCAGGCAATACCAAATGTGATCAGCGCAGCGAGGCAGTCTTCACTTACAATCAAGGCGTCCTGCTGACCGGTCAACGTGGTCTCTGGGTTGCGACTGGAAGCGCATCGTATCTCGAAGACGGACACAGACTGATCCAAGCCGTGATTAAGGCTTCAGGCTGGGACTTGGCATCGGACAAACCCGTCGATGATGTCTCGGAACTTCCTCCTGGTTATCTGCCTCCCTGGCGCGGACTCGGCCGTGGTGGCATCATGGAAGAGCGATGCGATGCTAGTGCGACCTGCTCACAGGACGGACAAACCTTCAAGGGCATCTTCTTTCATCATTTTGTAACGTTCTGCCAGCACCTTGATCCCGCCGATATTGAGCCTGGCATGACTGTGAACTCGCAGGCCTATGATCAAATAAAGAAAGCCCACGGGTCTGCTTGCCAGGCGTATTTGAACTGGGTAGAGCACAATGCGAAGGCAGCACTGTCAAGCAGAGACGGAGAGGGTCGGTTCGGCACTTGGTGGGGAGCAGGCGTTTTCCAACAAACCATGCCGACCATGGAGACGGACGGTATCCCTCGCGATGATCCAAATGTTATTGATTACCGTAACTATGGGCTTCCACACGACGGTGTCTGGGCCAACGGTAACCCAGACAAGGTGTGGGCACCCAACGGGGAGGCGCAGAAGAACCAAACGAAAAGCTACGTGTTTGTTGGTGGACAGGAACAACCCGGGCAGCAGGTGTTGGGTCGCTTGAGCAGACAGGGACCACGAGATGAAGAAAATGCAGACAGAACCGAGCGGCGTAAACCCACGACGGCGGCCACGAACAACGATCCGAACGACCGCGGAAGGGGTAGGACCCCCGAGACGCAGAACGGCGGCATGGCTCTGATGCGGGCGTGGTGGGAGCTTGTCGCGGCCTCCAACGGCACATATGCGTAGAAGCAGCATGCCGTACGAAGATGAAGTTATGAATATTGGATAGCACATTTGCCTACCTTTTTTTGTGGACGAGTATAGATGAACCACCCGTAAATATGCATATACAGCCGCGGGACGGTCTATGACGGCCCTTCTTTGGACATTTGAACTCTTCAGTTTTCCCTATTCAGTCTGCATTTTTCTACCTTCTCTCAAGAAGTAGACGCATCTTTGATTTCTTGATCGGACATCCCGTCTTGACCTACAATTGACCAGCCATCGTCTCCCTGTTCTGAACATATCGTTCGTGCAACGCTAACATCCGGGTCTCCACTGATTGGACTAACGGTTAACCGAGTGCGAGACGCTGACGTGCATCGCGAGCAGATAGCGCCCTGTTGCCTACGGCTGAAGGAGCCAGTACTACAGTCTCTCTCAGAACTGACCCCCCCAAACCTGTTGGCCGGGGTTCGCGACTGGATGCACCCGGCAAATCGGTGCCGGCGACCCACTTGGTCCGCCGTGGCTTGGCTACAGCTTCCTGCGGCGTGGTGCGCCGCTGAGGCCTGGCGACGATTTTCGAATGGGCTTTCCGAAAGAGAAGTTTATTGTTCAGGGAGGGCGCCATATTTTAGATATGGTGCGAGGATGAGAAATAGATATAAAGACGCGGTGATGCCCTGGGAAAAATAAGTAGTTGTTAGAAAGCATCAGAACCATCACATCCATTCTAAGCATAATTTGAACAAACCAACTGTTGTTCAAGCTGTTCATATTACTCACTCATTACGCCGGAGCATCAACTACACCACTCTTACTATATCAATCACTTTTGTAACCAATCCTCTTCATTCAAAGTCTCCAAATGGGTCTCATCACCGGTCTCGTATCAACCGTCGTCCACGTCGCCGCCGGCAGGAACCCATACGGCCACAACCACAACAAGACAAACCAGCCCGTCGTCACTACCGCGGCCAGCTACACAGCGGACCGTTCCTCCGATGCCAACTGCGGCTGCAGCAGCGGGCACAACGGTCAGCCCTGCGGCATCTGCGCTGTCGTGCTTCCCTTCGGTAAGGGGCGTCAGCAGAAGCGGGAGCGGAGGGCTATGAAGCACGCTAGGAAGGACGCTCTGAGGGCGCAGCGATATGCGTATAGGAGATACCCTGAGTATGCTCCGGGATACATGGCCGTGGGCGCGGATCATCATCATCATCATCATCATCATCATCATGAGCAGCAGTGGAGGACGCATCACGCAGGCTCGTCTGCGAGACAGGAGGGGTTCGCTGGGGACGTTGAGCGGGAGAGCGGGCGGAGGGCGTCGACTGGGGACGATATGCCGCCGCCCGCGTACGAAGAAAGGGAGGCATCGCAAGTTCCTGCTAGAAGAAGTGTCGAGGTTTTGAGGAGTGAAGAGGTCCAGCGTGGCCAGCAGAAGGCCTAGAGATTTGTGTGACTTTTTTTGAGTTGGGAGTTCATTTTTCAGTCTGACAGAGCGGGCACGGCGTTGGGTAGATGGCTCTAATTCCACTTGGTTCATTTCACCTTTTATTGTTTCTCGGTCTTGTCTAGTCCACAGATGCCCTAGTGCTGTCGTGAATGCTGATGTACAATAGCGGGGGGAGGTTCTTCTTCAACAACCATCCTATCCCCTTAACTTTTTTAGACCCCCGAAGTTTCCGCCGCCATAAACATGATGAGCCACTTATCCCTTTCCCCACATGATGCGAAAGAAAAGTTTCGCTCGTATATTTGGACCTTTGTGTAGCCGGAGGAAGGCTTTACCGCTGGCCGGCCAGGCGACGGCTCTGGACCTCGCCAAGGGCCTTGGAGCCGCTGAGGAAGATGGAAGTCGCGACAATGCCGATGACAGGCAGGGTCTGGAACAGGTTCCAAGTGCTGTAGTAGAGGAAGAAGACACCCTCCATGGCGATGATGGAGCCGAAGAAGACGGCATGGGAGATAGGGGCGGCACCGAGGGCCTTGGAAAGATGGTTGAAGTTGGCGCCGAGAGAGAGCCACTGTAGCTTGTCAGTACCTGCGTCCATCTCACAAAGAGGGGTGTCCTTGACAAGGAAAATTGCAAGAAAGGAGAACATACGCCCACAAGAAGCACGGGGATTGTGGCAAGAACAGCCAGCACAAAGACCAGAGAAATGACCTTGGGCGGGCTGCGGGGGTCCGCGCGGAAGATGTGGTGAATCTCAGGCTGCTTGCCATAGCGAAGGGGAGCCTCGTAGGTCGGAAGGACGGCGGTGGTGTCACGCTTCACCTCGACATCGAAGACGGTGGCATCGAGAGCCTTGGAGGAGCCGAATGAGCCGATAACAACGCTGGCGCGGAGGGGCTTGGTAGCCAGCAAGTGCTGGATGGGAAGGTCCTTCTGTGCCTGTAATGATGGTTATCAGCTCGCCGATACTTCCAATTGGGAACGATATGTTGATAGGGCAGACATACGACATCGACGACGCCGCGGCCGTTCTCTTTGAGCTCTAGAGGAAAGGGGGCTTCGAGGCCAGTCTCCGTCTCCTTGAGGATCAGGAACGCTTGGTGCGGGCGCTTGGCCTTGTCACCCTCCTTGGCCGTCAGAATGACCTTGAGGGAGTCTTTGGATCCAAGAGAAACGGGCTTCTTGAGAGGCGAAGTCGCGCTAAGCCTGTAATTTCAATAGGGTCAGCAATTGGTCGTTCCAGTTCGAAGGCATTCCCTCGTCAACGGTGGCTCGTTTAGCAACTTACTTCTCCTTGATGGCATCCTTGCCCTTTCCAGCAATAGAAACGGTGGCACTGTCGAATCCCCATGAAGAAGCGGCCTGCGCGGCACCAGCCGCAAAAAGCGCGAGGGCGGGCGTCAAGGAGTGGAGGAATCGCATTGTTGCTGGTTGGGCGACTTGTCTGTTGCAGCTTGTAGCTGGGGCGGGAGCTTCACATCACCAATGCTCACTTATGGACAGCTTTCATGTCCATTACGAACTACCGATTAGTGCACGGACCACATACAGCGGGACCAAGGAGGCCGTGTGGGAGACTGTTAGCACGGCCTTGCATACAGTACGTGCCTAATCCTATGAAATGGTGAATAAATGAGAGCTGGAGTTTGTTCAATACCCTTGCAAACTCGGAGTCCATAGGGTTCTCGAAAGCCCAATTACTATGTGTTAGGAGCTGGAGGCAAGTTGAAAAGACTCAGGGTTGAATTTGCAGCATTAGATCCAACAAACATGATAATGCCATCTTAAAGTCAACGGTGAAAATGAATTGCTCATGACAGAACATCTAATACGCCAGGACCACCTTGAAGCCTCAATTCCTGGAATAAAATGTGACTGAAACCCGTCTATTTAAATCATGCAATGCTTTCCAAATGCAGTAAAATATCAAAGTTCCATCCGAGGGTCACTGGGATCGTGCATCTTCTCTGCCGGCTTTTTTGGCAGAAATTCATCCACCTCCATCCATTCTGCCGCAAATACCGTGATGATACGAGCCCAGTCCCGAACTGTTGGCAAATCCAAGTGCTCTCCGTCATCTGTTATCTGATGCCAGACCTCAGGGAACGGATTCGGAATGATGTGCAAAATCTCAACGCCACGTTCCATGAACGGCACGTGGTCGTCCATGATGTAGCCTTGCGCCAAACCGCCTTCCTTCTTGTTCCTATCCACCAAGAAGGGTCGCTTTGGCTTGGACTCAAGCACCCCCAGCTTGCGCATGCGATGTTCAATCTTGGCCATTTTCTTGTAAGCCCAGTGTGTTGATGCGAAATATGAGGGGATCTGTGGGTTAGGAGCACCGAGTAGATCGATGAGAAGAAACAGGCTGATGGACGAAAGCCCGGACTTGTAGATCGAGTCGGGGTGAATTTCCTCTTCCCAGCTTTGAGCGAGTGCCCTGGACCAAGTTAGAAGAGACGAAGCAATCATCATGGCCTGCCGCAAGCGTACCTAGCTCCATAAAGGGAATCCGTGTCGGTCCAGGTAACCCATGCCTCCTCTCCGTCAAGCAGAACGATTTGTATTCCCTTCTCCTCCTCCAGCCCACTTCCAGCGTCACCCGACGCCTGCATGGCCTTCCACTTCTTCACCAGAGCAGCCTCGATGCTCCTCGCAGCATGGAGAAGCATCGCGCATGGTGCCGCGCTATCAATCGCTCCTATAAAGCCATCGGGGTGAACGAGACTGTCATAATGAGCAACGAGCGTCAAGCGCTCGACCTCTCCATCCTTGGCCCATGGCGGATCGCGGCGAAAGATGAGGTTGGTGAACGGTATATCCTTGTCTCCTGTCGCGGGCGTCTTGGAAGTCGAGTTGTGCCACTCGATCGTCCACTCGGGCAGGTTGGCACGGAAAAAGTCTACAAAGTGTTGCTGCACTTTGGACGAGCCAGGGGTGCCAGGAACGCGAGGAATAAGGATCGGCGCGAGCAGGGAGCCGGTGTTGATGTTAAAGCTGTCCCCTCCGGAGGGAATCGCGCGTAGAGCATCGTCTCCGAGTTCGGTATAGGCCGTCGTGGGCGTGAAGAAGGAGCAGAGGACGATGAGAATGGACCCAACGAGGGGTAGCTTCGGGAGTGAGGTCAGGAGACCCATTGTGAGAGGAGCCAAGTCGAGGGCAGCAAGTTCATGCTGATGCGTCTCGTCACGGAAAAAAGGGTTCGTTTACGAGTCGCTCGGCGGCTTCTTGCATGAGGAGCCTTCAGGGCGCGACAGCCATGTTGGGCAGAGGGATATGTGTCAAGCCGAAGACGCGGAGTTCGAATGCGACTCAGGTCCACGCCCGGTCCAACTCCCCGCCAAAGCGGTCGGCGCATGGTGGAAAATATTCCGACGACAGATCCACCTACGGAGCTAGATCCACCGTGCTGCTCCCTAATGGTGCTAGGGGATTCTGGGGTCGTTAAACTGCCGACCGCATCTCCTAGGCGGCCATATCAAAGTCAAGCAAACCCACCGACACATCAACTTTTTGTGTATTGAAGCTCGAGAATGAACAGGATCGTGTAGATCAATAAAACATGCGAGTTCCAGCCGCATGTAGCCCTCGCTCCAATTCCTTAACTCCAACGGACGAAACACATCACCTATCACCGACGGCGGAGCAACTTTCCTATAATCCTTCGGCGTTAACTCTCTTCTCCCTCCCTAGTAGTAGGTGGCGGCGTTTGGGCCAATAACAATCAAATGTGTAAGCCTCAACTGACAATGATATGTCGTGTACTTAACGTGATATCCATACGCACAGCAGCGCCTCGTAGTTATCCTCAGATGGCTAAACTCCGTCCCACACCACCACCTAAGCAAATCGCTTGTGAGGTTATCGCCGTTATGTTTCACCAATGGCTGACACCCCGAAATCTGGCATACATCATCATGAGAGCCGAATGTCTCCCCCTCATCTTCATTGTAGTCTGCCTCAAGGAAATGTCTATAAATGACGGACTTATATCCTTTACAAATCGAATTTCAAGCACAATCATTCAGAGACAAATCTTGACTACCTTGATATATTCACCTTGACTTCCGAATCTACCAAGTTTCTATCAAGAGAACATCAGTATCCCCAGCTCAAATCTTCTGTTCGGACAATAAGACTGTAACACCCAAAAATGGAGTCCCCAGTTTGGTTCATTACCGGCGCTTCTTCAGGCTTCGGCTTTGAAATCGCCAAAGAGGCCCTTGCCCGTGGCCACCGTGTTATCGCAACCGCCCGCAACACTTCCAAGATCTCCAGCCTCGCCACTGCCGGAGCCGACCTTTTGCCTCTTGATGTTATTGCCGATGAGGCCACCGTCACCGACATTGTTAATAAAGCCTTCACCATCTATGGTAAGGTCACTCATGTCATCAACTCTGCCGGCTACGCCCTCGAGGGCACTGTCGAAGAAGCCGATGCCAAAGAGGCTTTTGATCAATTCAACACCAACGTCCTCGGCACTCTCAAAGTTTGCCGTGCCGCGGCTCCTCATCTACGAGCCCAAGGTTTTGGCGTCATTGTCAATATCGGCAGTCTAGGTAGCTGGGAGAGCTGCGCTGCTGCTGGGCTGTACTGCGCTACCAAAGCTGCTGTAAGCAATCTTACGGAAGCATTCCGTGATGAGCTCAGCCCGTTTGGTGTTGTCGTTTGTGCGCTCGAGCCGGGCTACTTTCGTACCGGTTTCCTGAATCCTGGTGCCCGCCTCAAATCCAAGGTGGATCTAGACGCTTACAATGTCGGCCCAGCGGGCGAATACAAGAAGCTACTTGACTCCGCGGATAACCACCAGCCCGGAGATCCAGTAAAAGGTGCTCGTGTTGTGGTGGATGTCATGACAAAGTCTGGGATTGCTGCGGGCAGGGAAATTCCAATCAGACTGGTTCTAGGCACTGACTGCCTTGCTGCAGTACGGAGGAAGTGTAAGGAGACTCTTGCTCTCATGGATGAGTGGGAATCCATCTCTGGAACAACCGATTTTTAATAGTCATCACAGAGGAGAAAACTTTTCCCGTTTTCTTGCTTTCTCATTTTCTTTCTAGATCAGATCAGAAATGCTTGGTAGCTCTAAGTTTGCAGATTTCTAGCCAGTGGAACTCCATGTGGCGATACAGAACTTGACGTCTTAATCTTGTATGTATATATACTATGGAAACCACAATTACTACACGGCAATAAACACTTCGTTGTCACTACAAGCATTTATCGAATTAGTGATTTAAAACCTCCTTCCTACAGGGATTTGGTAACTTCCTAAGCCATAGTTGCTGAAGCTAGGAGAAAGATGTGTTAAAAAGTCTGTCACATGAGCCCTTACTTACAAACAGGTTAATTATATCTAAGCGCTACTGCGAACTCGTCACTCTCATTCTTTTTTTTCTCACATTGTCTCTAACATAGAGAACTGCAGAGAATACGCATGTGCAATGATTTTTTTTATGTCCCAGGTTCTCTGAAGACCGAGATCTTATGCCTTCGACGTATCAAAAATTTGCCTGCCGGCTTGTTTGTGTTCTCCTCCAGTGGAGCCACAGTTACTGGCCATCAAAGACTTGTGTACTTGGTCTTTAATAAAAAAGGTATCATGCTGTTTTTTACTTGATTAAGTAGTCTCTTCAAAAGAGACGTCCACGGGAACAAAGATCAAGAAAATGGAATCATAATGGGCAAAACAGACTTAGGTGGTGTCACCAAGAAAAAAACCTCATGATACGTTTTGCCATACTGATTCCTATTCTGTAACGAGGTCTTGTCCAGGACATGATATTTCCTAAGACGATAGATCCACTTCCAGGGTCCGCAGGTGTAGTCAAGTTTCTTTCAATGCTACCGGAGATTCCTTGAGCTATGGACTAAACTCACATGATCTTAGTCAGCCGGGCGAAGTCTTTTGTGACTGATGCTTTGCAGGAATCTGTGGTTGATTCAAGTTCGAGCTTTCAAATAGGAAAATTTCAAGGTGGCTGCGAGCATACAACTAAAGGGCTTTCTGCGGTGTACGCGTGTAAGCATCCAGAGCGCGCTTTCTGGGTAACTACCTTGCTCATTTGTCTCTCATGATCAGTCGTTGTTCTGAGTAGTGATTTGAGGTCGAGGGACATGAAAACTAAAGTCGTAAGGAGAAGTTCTCTTTTAAATGCGGTAGAATACTCAAGTTAGCTTAACTTGCAGATGACCCTTGGAAGTGTCTGGCTGAGCTCCTAGCGCGATGTCTTCTCAAATCTGTTGGCAAACCTTTTCTGACGAAAACGTAGCACTGAATTCCGAACTCAAATACCTACCCGTATTACCAAGCTTCGGCTAGTCCATATAGAGCGTGCGAGTTGGCTCCATGTGCAGGTGCCGTATCGGATCCCGTCCGGTCGAACATATTGATAATCGGGCTTGTCACTCCGCATCATTCATTGCTTCATTCTCTAGAAGATTTGCTTCTCTCGGGTTTAAGCAATCATCCGAGGTGACTCTGACTGGAGGCGGGGTCCTAAGATCACCTAATTACGCCATGAGAGCCATTGTTGACAAGCTAGTGTCAGAGAAAAGGACACCGAGGCGGCATGTTCTAGAAACGATGGGTCAACTTAAACCAATAGCCATTGTTCTCCTCTTCCTAGCACCCACCGTTCAGCCACAGGCAGACAAGAGTCCGGATTTAGGGCTTGGGGTCCGGCATCTGATTTGTTGAACTCCAAAGGGAAGCAATGTGGTATCACAGATTTGAGGGTGTGCACACCCTGGTTGCTCGTGTTAATGAAGAATTCGCCTCGGGGGCAACCCTTGCTACTAGCTCATTCCGTGGAGACGGAGGCGTTGTTGAACCCTAGTAAGCCCCGTAAGTAGATTTGATGTTTGGTTATTGGGGGGGAACCCCCTGGAGCTGATATCAGAACGCGATGTACGTAGTGAATCCTAGAGGAGAATAGCGAATTGCCCCGCTCATGCACTGCTCGTAGAAGCGTCACGGATTACAAATGAAGCAAAGCGCCACTTGCGGTGTTGCAAGCGGACCCCGAAGATATGGATGTGTAACTCTGATTAGGCGGATGGCCGAGACTTGGCGAGCTGCCCTTGCTTTGCCCACTGCGGATACCGTGCATGTCGTGATGTTGGGTGGCCTGACTGGCATCGAGTCGTTGTCGCATTCGGGTTGCAATCCGCACCAAGCAGTCTGACAACTTCGGCAATGTTGTCCGTGTTTGAGTGATTAAAGTATCTGAATGCGGAAACAAAAGACAACGAATAGAATGCTGTGAGGATTTCGAAAGACCAGGATAGCCAAAAGTGAAGTGTAGTGTGGTGTAAGTGCATCTCGAAGACTGACTCCCCGTATACTAAATCGTAATTTGCGTAGCTCTATTGGACATCATATCGAAAGATGTAAATCCTGGTCATAGTGGGTCCTGGCGTTGATAGAGAAAAGTTGGGATGCGGTACAGGACAAAGCGCGGCCAGAACGAAAACAAAGGTAAAGGTCAAACGAACTGGTGGCCCTTATAAGGCTTTAAGCTTCGAGTAGAGTTGGATTTAGACGCTGGGGAATTTGGACTTCTCGGTAAAAATACGGGGTCGACGGCGTCCGCTGTCGGGGCACTTTAGGATTCCGAAAGCCCGCCCCTGTGGACCCACACTCCCCTCCGTGCTAGACAACATGGCGGGTTTTACGTGATGATCCTCGCCAAGGCGGCCCGCCGCTATCGAGACCCATTCACTTGCATGCAGTAAGCCGCAGCTTGTATACAACCAACAACACACCTGAATTTTCTTTCAGACTCAGACTGTATACAGCATATACACATGGCCCCCTTACTACGTCAAAAGCGTGGAATCCGGTTAATTTGCTGATACACACGGAAGACCCGGGGCGCTGGTTCCAATCTGATAGCCCGGATTCTGAGATGGACCCCTTACGTGTTATGGGTCGTGGAAACACGGAGAGAAATTGCAGTCCGTGAAGCTCATGGCAAATCTAGAAACAGCCTTATCTACAAGATAGTTCAACATTTCAAACATCTTCTCCTGGCCTGTTCCAGTTTCAACTTACAACTCCTCGTTACAGTTTCTTATTCATAATCTTATTGTTAAGTCCAAGGCTACTGTGGTAGGCTGAGTAAAGACCTGGTTGGTGCTGATCGGTAGGTTTCAATATTCGCATATGGTGAAGAACCAAAAATCTGACGCGTATTTCATTCCTAGGGAAGCAAGATATACTTGCAGCCGCTCCATCAGCCAGAAACTACTGTTAGATCGGACAACTACCATACTAGGGCCACAACATGTCTGCGCCTACCATACCCTTCAATGCCGATCACACGGCGCGAGTAGCGGGTCGGTCCCCTGCTGGCAGCCAGAAAACGTTCGTGAATGAGCACGACACAAGCTCGGGAGCGAACGAGAAGCCCCCGGTCCCCAAGGCTGCTGAGGGCACTTCGCTCTACGAAGGAGATGCATCTGCATCAACCACTGACGAGGACGGCAACGACACCGAACTTGAGCGCCGGCATTCCATTGTGCAGGAACTAGCTCGAGAATACACCCGACATTCGGCTGTTAACATTGGCGACAACCACCATGCGTTATTCGGCAGCGACGATCCCAACTCTCCCCTTAACCCCCATGGCTCATGTTTCAATGCGCGCAAGTGGGCAAAGACGCTTGCCAACGTGACGAATGAGCATGGCTCCGGATATCGAACGGCCGGTTTTGCCTACCAGAATCTGAACGTGTTTGGATACGGTCAGGAGACAGATTACCAGAAGGATGTCGGAAATGTTTGGCTCGAGATTCCTGGCCTCGCACGCAAACTTACTTCGAAGACGGGCGGCCAGCGACGTATTGATATCCTTCGTGACTTCAACGGCGTTGTTGAGGCTGGTGAAATGCTTGTCGTTCTTGGCCCCCCTGGATCTGGCTGCTCGACGTTCCTCAAGACAATTGCTGGCGAGACCAACGGCATCTACACCGACGAACGTGCTTACTTCAACTACCAAGGTCTCTCCGCAAAGGAACTCCACAAACACCATGCCGGTGACGCCATCTACACGGCTGAAGTTGATGTTCACTTCCCTCAACTTTCAGTAGGCGACACTCTCACTTTTGCGTCACGGGCTCGCTGCCCACGGAGTCTCCCCCCCGGTATCACAGCCGAACAGTACTGCGACCACCTTCGCGACGTTGTCATGGCTATGTACGGTATCAGTCACACGGTCAACACTCAGGTTGGAAATGAGTACATTCGCGGAGTTTCGGGAGGAGAACGAAAGAGAGTGACCATTGCCGAAGCTACCTTGGCCAACGCACCCTTGCAGTGCTGGGATAACTCAACTAGAGGTCTTGATTCCGCCAACGCCGTTGAGTTCTGTAAGACCCTTCGACTACAGTCAGAATTGTTCGGTCAAACATGCGCCGTCTCGATTTACCAGGCCCCCCAGAGCGCGTATGATCTCTTCGACAAGGTTCTTGTCCTTTACGAGGGTCGGCAGATCTTTTTCGGACGCACGACAGAAGCCAGACAATACTTTATTAACCTCGGATTTGACTGCCCGGATCGCCAGACAACACCTGATTTCTTGACCTCAATGACTGCACCTTCTGAGCGTGTGGTACGTGCCGGCTTCGAAGGCCGCGTTCCCAGAACTCCCGACGAATTTGCTGCCTGCTGGAATGCCAGTCAGGAGTGTGAGAATCTCAAGGCGCAAATCGAGCAGTACAAGATGGACCATCCCATTGATGGTGTCGACGCCGAAGCCTTTAGAAACCAAAAGCAGTCTGTTCAAGCAAAGAACCAACGTCTCAAATCCCCCTTCATTCTTTCGTATGGTCAACAGGTCAGGCTTTGTCTCTGGCGTGGCTTCAAACTCCTCAAGGGCAGTCCTGGTTTAACGCTTTTCGCCTTGATTGCCAACTCTTGCACTGCCTTGATTATATCCTCTTTGTTCTACAATCTTCCGGAAACAACCTCGTCCTTCTACAGTCGATCAGCGGTCCTCTTCGTCGCCATTCTCGCCAATGCCTTTTCCAGTGCACTGGAAATTCTCACCCAGTATGCACAGAGACCAATCGTTGAGAAACATACTCGCTATGCTTTTTACCACGCTTCTGCTGAGTCCTTCTCCTCCGTTCTCGTCGACATGCCATACAAGATATTGAACACCATTTGTTACGACCTGATCGTCTACTTTATGACCAACTTGAACCGGCAGCCTGGAAATTTCTTCTTTTTCTTGCTGACAACCTTCCTCATGGTGCTTTCCATGTCGGGCTTGTTCAGATCAATGTAGGCCCCCATGGTTTACGATTATAATGATGATCAAACTAACAGTATGTAGTGCCTCTTTGTCTCGCACAATGTCACAGGCCATGGTTCCTGCATCGATTTTGATTCTGGCTTTGGTCATTTTCACTGGATTCGTCATTCCAGTAGACTACATGCTTGGTTGGTGCAGATGGATCAACTACTTGGACCCTGTAGCATATGGATTCGAATCTGTGAGCAATATTTTATAGTCTTGAACTGATATCAGAGAGCTAACACATCTTCCAGCTTATGTTGAACGAGTTTCACAACCGCGAGTTCGAATGCGGTGCCTTTGTTCCGGATCCTGCCGTTCCAGGCTATGGAAATGTCACCCTGGCTAATAGAGCTTGCTCTACAGTCGGTGCTGTTCCTGGCCAGTCTTTGGTCAGTGGAGACGCCTATGTTAATTCCCAGTACAAGTACTTCAACTCCCACAAATGGCGCAATATCGGCATCCTCATCGCCTTCACCATCGGTCTCCACATGGTCTACTTCATCGCCACGGAATATGTGTCCGCTAAAAAGTCCAAGGGTGAGGTTCTGGTCTTCCGTCGCGGCGTCACTGCGCCCCCCAAGAGCAAGGACGATGTTGAGGCATCTATGTCTGGACCTTCTGCCATTGTCGAGAAGGGTGGCAAAGCAGCATCTGGTAACGAAGGCGTGATCCAGGCCTCCACAAGCGTTTTCCACTGGGGCGACGTCTGCTATGACATCAAAATCAAGGGTGAGCCCCGGAGGATCCTCGACCATGTTGATGGGTGGGTGAAGCCAGGTACTCTTACGGCATTGATGGGTGTATCTGGTGCAGGAAAAACCACTCTGCTCGACTGTCTCGCGGACCGTGTCTCTATGGGCGTGATTACAGGAGAAATGCTCGTCGATGGCAAGATTCGAGACCAGTCTTTCCAGCGGAAAACCGGCTACGTTCAACAACAAGATCTTCATCTCGAGACAAGCACCGTTCGTGAAGCCTTGGAGTTTAGCGCCCTGCTACGCCAGCCAGCCAGCACGCCCAAGGCTGAAAAGCTTGCATACGTGGATGAGGTTATCAAGCTCTTGGATATGCAAGAGTACGCTGATGCGGTTGTTGGTGTCCTTGGCGAGGGCTTGAATGTTGAACAGCGAAAACGACTCACTATTGGCGTCGAACTTGCCGCAAAGCCTCCTTTGCTACTTTTCGTCGATGAACCTACTTCTGGCTTGGATTCCCAAACATCATGGGCCATCTTGGATCTTCTCGAAAAGCTTTCGAAGGCTGGCCAATCCATTCTATGCACAATTCACCAACCGTCTGCTATGCTATTTCAACGTTTTGACCGCCTGTTGTTCCTGGCAAAGGGTGGTAGAACCGTTTACTTTGGCGATATTGGAGAAAACTCACACACCCTTACGTCCTACTTTGAGAGAAATGGAGCTCCCAAGTGCCCTAAGGGCGCCAACCCTGCTGAATGGATGCTTACTGCCATTGGCGCAGCCCCCGGTTCGACTACGGAGACGGACTGGCATCAGGCCTGGCGATCTAGCCCTGAATATCAAGCTGTTCAGGACGAGCTCCAACGCTTAAAGTCTCACGGTGCCAACCATGAGGTATCCACCGAGGAGGACAAGGCCGCGGCGTACCGCGAGTTCGCTACCCCCCTGTGGGATCAGCTCTTGATCGTCACCCGCCGTGTGTTACAGCAGTACTGGCGTACCCCATCCTACATCTACGCCAAGTTCATTCTTTGCTGCTCCGTCGCCCTCTTCATTGGTCTCGTGTTTCTTAACGCCCCTCTTAGTATTCAGGGACTACAGAATCAAATGTTCGCCATCTTCAACATCCTATCCATTTTCGGTCAACTCGTGCAACAACAGATGCCTCACTTTGTGACGCAGCGTTCATTGTACGAAGTTCGCGAGCGGCCCTCCAAGACTTACAGCTGGAAGGTCTTCATGCTATCTCAAATCATCACCGAGATCCCCTGGAACTCTCTTATGTCTGTTTTCATGTTCATCTGCGTTTACTATCCGGTTGGCCTGAACGGAAACGGTGACCCAGGCCAGAGCAGCGAGAGAGCCGGTCTCATGTGGCTTCTCTTTTGGCAATTCCTGATTTTCACCTGCACATTCGCGCACGCCTGCATCGCCATCACAGAGACTGCCGAGATGGGCGGAAACCTCGCTAACGTCCTGTTCATGATGTGTTTGCTATTCTGCGGTGTTCTGGCTAGCCCTGAGGCCATGCCCGGCTTCTGGATTTTTATGTACAGGTTGTCGCCGTTTACATACCTGTTGTCGTCTATCCTCTCGACTGGTTTGGCGAATTCAAAAGTAACGTGCGCAGTTAATGAGTACATTCACTTCAACCCTCCAGCCAACCAGACTTGCGGGGACTTCATGGAGGACTACAAGAACGCTGTGGGAGGCTATCTCGAGAATCCTTTGGCCACGACCGATTGTAGTTACTGCAGGCTTTCCGATACCAATGTCTTCTTGAAGTCCATCAGCTCCAACTTTGACAACAGGTGGCGCGACTTCGGTATCGGCATGGTTTACATTGTCTTCAACATTGTTGCTTCCTTGGGACTTTACTGGCTCGTTCGTATGCCCAAAGGCAAGAAGAAGGCTTAGGAGGACGCGCAGGAACACTTTAAGAACACGGAATAACCCGTCGATTTTAGCTTCAATTTTTTTTCTCGAGTATTCTTCATCTCTTTACAACATTAAAGCATATGGGCTTTTGCACAATAGATAATTCCTTAGTTTGGGTTCAGGGTTGCATGGCTAGACAATTCTTGAGAGTATCATGTATCGTCAATAAATAGTAAATCTGATTTTGATCGAAACTAGTCATACTGTCTTGGTGAAAGATGTTCTTGTAGGTAGATGGTTGGGTTATGTTACGAACATAGTATGGACTACGTTCTAAGTATGACTGCTCGCACTATATTTAGGGGGGTCGTAGTTATTCCCCTTACATAATTGCAAACCCTTCTTGTTCACACATGGGAGTCATTGGCCTGACTCGATATCGCTAAATTGACTCAAACAAAAGAGTCAGTCTCTTCATCGCGTTTGTTGTACGGACACAATAGATAGCGGCAAATGATCATAGAGCTGTCGGCAATAACACTCTCCAGCCAGTCAATCTTTGTATGCCCCTGTCGTATTGGCCTCATGGCAACTTGAGGGATCCATGGCTATACAATAAAGTTTCAAGTTGCGGGAACGATTATTAATATACTAGTAACCCTGCAGGACTGCACCTCAATATCGGGTTTCCCCAGATGCATATTTCTGGGGGTAGTGTGATTGGTAGTGCTAAAGTTGCGTTTGACCAGCACTACTCACACTCACAAATCATCATCTGCTTAAAATTAATCTGAATGTTTACAGTATAAAAGCATCTTTGGTCCAAATATGGCTCTTTTGTGTTCAGAAAATGTCTCTTTGCGTATAGCCTTCGAGGGATATGTGTGATACTAACACACCATTTTTTTTGAACAGGAATTTGCCGTAAATCTGTGGGGTTGGTAAATTTCCAGTTTAAAGGGTTGAAAATTTGCTACGTCAACTTTTGCAAGTCGTGCTCCCATCATGAAAAGAATGCCTGCCGGAAGGCTCCGGTTTGTTGGTTTGCTCTTGCATACACAACACACTGACGCGAGAACCCGGCATAACAAAGTTATTGGGGACCTAGCCTGGCGACTATAGATACGGCAAATTGGTCCATTTTTTGATACGTATATGCAAGATTCTGAAACAGCATGGTAACTCCCAGACGAGTTAAGAGGAATTAAGAGAATGGACCGTTTGGCGGGCAATCGCAAGGCAAGGAAGAACCCTAGACATGTCGGTGAAAAACAATGGTTCCCACACGAATCAAAAATGTGTGCTGCAGCCATTCAGCAGTCTAAAACAGCTTTAGGTTGGCCAGAACACATTAAGTAGGATACCTAGTACAAGATAACAAAATCGCGATCTGGTCGGTGAGTCTATTTTCGTAAGGCCTCCAACACCAGTAATCGTTCCGCTCCAATGTGGTATTTGGCTAAGGTACGTGAGTTTTAGGTAAAGTTATTAGTTTCTGCATAGTAAAACTTTTCAACAAGTATCCCTGTGTCGAGGATCCGGCTGCCAGGTGAGGGTTGCACGTTCCTCTTTGTCATATAACAATTGACCTACGTTTCGAACATCAGTAAGATAAGACCATCTCGGAAAGAAGTACATGGGCTGGCAGACCTTTGGTTCATTGCTAGATGTGGTGCAGCAGCTAGCCTCCGTTAAGACCTTCTAACTATTTACAACACTCGCTTGGAAAAGTAGCATGGTTGAATTACGATTACATAGCTTGTAGACCTTTCCAGAAAAGCTACACGATATGTGAGCCGTAGAGGCGCTAACATATTCCTATTTAAGTGTTATGATAACACGGGGCCAGAAGTTCACACAGGGACGACAGCAGAGGTTACTGTTGCGATAGTTGGAATACGGAGTCGTGTGGCACTTCCAGCCACACGCCCGCCAGGCTGAGAGGCCCAAGCCTCCCAGACCCACGTGACAGGCCAAGGGGGAATATCCCCACCTTCTAGTCAACAACACCACTTTCAACAATCATGAACCATCGATTAGAACCAATTTACTGTTATTTGTTATTGACGAACGGAATTCCGTTTCACCCCCTGTTTCACCCCCCGTTTCACCCCCTGTTTCACCCCCTGTGAAACCTACAGTTACACTGACTTGAGTATTCACCAGATGATTCTTGGTGTGGAGGAGCGGGGTCATGGAACTTACATCGACGATGGCCAAAGCTTGTCACTAAGGTTCAGAATCACCGTCCAGCTTATTTCCGGCTAGACGGCGATTTGCTACGCAGGTCACCTTAAAGGTCACCTTAACGGATTCACCTCAAAGGGGAGTGCGGCTGCTGGGCCTGTCAAAGCCATTTTCGCAGCAGTTACATAAAGTTTTATTAAGTTTGGCGGGTCTCGTGGCTTCATAAAATGTTGTGCCAACCGGCAAATTCCAGCCTCCTTTACACGACGTGACCTATTCACGCTCGACATCTATATCTGTGCCTCAGCAACCGGTGCTTGATGGTTCTCTGGCGAGGATGCTTTCTATCTCGCCTGCACTTCTGGCCCTATTAGTTCTTTTCCAACAATGGTTTTCTCCCACCTTGGGCTTCGAGATTCCCGACTCGGTCAATCTCTCGTCGTGGACCTTGCCACCATGTTTTGTAAGCTTGAATGTTCCAGCATGAACTTTTATTCTCTGGGAATAATTCTGATAGTATACGTGTATTTTCCGCTAACCTGTGCTGCTCGTGCCAGGCACCATGTCTCCGTGAGTGGTGCGGCCGATCTTCAGAAAGCCCAGGAATAATCAATGATACGGCTTGCATTTGCACGGAGACTACCAAAAACGTCTTTGTACAAGTAGCCGACGACTGTCTTGAAAGCAGGTCGAACTGTGGAAGCTCGGATTTTTGGAGTGAGCCAATTTCCCCTCCTTTACATTTTTCAAACATTCTTTCGGCCTATTCGACTATTCAAGAACGTGGACTAACATGTGCATGTCTTTGGCCCGAAGCTGGCTTTCGTGTGGTATGAAATCCTACCGTTTTTCGAGATGCAATACTCAAGTAGGTTGTTGGAGGAAGAGGTAGAAAATGCTAACATTAGGTCTGTTCTCAAACTTAGTACTCGGACAAATGTGGCATTGGAAAAGTGCCCAGCATGTTCAAAGAACACCCAAGCTACGTTCCACATATTGCTAGCGTCGTTGCAGTCGAGACCGTTTGCCTGGGCCTTCGTCTCGCATGCAAGGCCTATCAGTTTGTATTATGGGGTCCAGAAGATTTCTTTCTGGTGACAGCATATGTAAGAGCAAAACACGGACGATACCAAGACAGTTCGATTGAGCTGATCCCTAACTCTAACAGATTCTCTCCGTTGCTACCTTACCTCTCTCTGCTATAAGTATGTTTGTATCCGTTGTGACAGGCATGATCATACCCTTCTCTCGATTCCGTTTTCCATAGACATTATTCTGTACAAAAAGCAAGGGGCTGGCTAGGCTAACAATCATTACTTGCTTTAGAGGCCCAAGTCGGATCTGTTTCAAATTACTGGACTCTCAATTTTGACAACATTGCTATCTTCACCAAAGCGAACATAGCTTACAACATACTCTGTGCTTTCTCTCTCGGCTTTGTCAAAATATCTGTCGTCTTCTTTTTCTTGCAAATATTCAAAACCAGTAGCAAAAGCTACCGTGGCTTTTTATGGGGCACCATTGCCTTTATAGCTTGCCTGACCTCTTCATTTATATTCGCGCAACTGCTTATGTGTAATCGCCTCTCATGTCTTTGGATTAATTCAGGAGAACCGTGGCAGGGGTGCAAGTGTCGTGACTTTTGGGAAGGCCAAGGAGGGTATCCCATAGCTAATGCGACACTGGATCTCTGGCGTACGTCCCCCATCTACTTATGCTATTAGGTATTTCCGATGCAGTCGAACACCACTGACTTCTGATACAGTGATACTGCTACCGGCAAAGCAAATACTCAAGACTCAGCTGCATTGGAAACAAAAGTGGCATGCTGTGGCGATGCTTAGCCTCGGAATAATGCACGTCTCTCGAATACCCTGCTTTTGCGTTGAGAGACCTTTCATGTTGACTCCCGCCAGGACATTTATCACTGCAGTAATGCGAGTCGTGAGCGTACGGGCCCGTTTAACTGTTGTAGGTAAGCACAACATGAGACAAGATAATCAGTCTTGTGGTTGATCAATTTGTTGATCGTAACAGGCGCGGACCCTTTAGACTTGCAGCTCTGGTATGCTTTAGAAGCTGCCACAGCTTTTGTAGTGTACGTTAATCCTCCAAGCGTCTCTCTGAAGTATCTTTTCGAGAGTTCTGGTTTGATGTGACCCTTCACCCCCAGCGAGATGTTTTTGAGGCAAAAGCCCTCTCCTATCTTTAGCTGCGTATCATCCGGCTGACCGTTGAGCCAGTGCTTGTGTGCCGTTCATCCGCCTGATGATGGTGCGTAAAATCATTCCATTCATTAAGGCAAAATTTGTCCTATGGTTCCTGCCGTCTCAGGAACCAAGTACCTCTCAACAAACCGTTCTCGAGCCCACGTCACCCAGGAACAGGAACTCGGACCTGGTGTTATCGTTTTCAGATCAAAATTACCTACATATGGTGGAATCTGCCGAACCGGTGTCATCAGAGGACCATTACAAACACGCTGTGCACTTGGGAACCGGACCGATATCCGATGAGCCATTTCCACATCAAGGGTTGAAGCCATCTGTGGTTGCGGAATACGCTACTAACAACAAGGATGAAAAGCTCAACATACCGACAACTTCAGACCCCATGGCACTGAGACGGTATGGCTTCGTCATCAACGTCGTAGACGTCGACGCTAGGCCCGTGATGTGGAATACAGAGACCAAGAGCAAGAGAAGTAGGCCGCTAGAAGCTGACAGGCGGTCTCTATAGTCATTGTAGTATGTTCATGAAGGCTGGTAATCTTAGTAACCAACGAGGCCTGAAGTGCCGAGATGGCCAAAATACAGGTACTCTCTGATTCCTCGAAAGATATAGAAAGTGGTGCTTGTTATGATTTCCCCCTTGATATCAAAGGTGTCCTGGCTCTGATCTGCGTCTTGGTATCCTGCAACTTTTTGTTGTACAACTTCAAAATTAACAGAAGCTAAGCCATCAGTTACTGTTTCTATACACTCATCAATTTCTTTGGCGAGTCCATGGAACAGTTGCCAACGTCATTTGGGGCTTTTTAACCAGATGGCTGATTCAAAGTCTAGGGATGGGATTATTTGCCACGGCAGCTCTCAAACTGTTCTTCTTGTAGAACAAACCGCCACGTATTAGTGGAAATCGCCACGATGTTACTCTAGTAATGGAGACAACAGGAAATGGCCACTAAATAAGGGCCAAGGCAATACACCAAACAAGCCCGGAGCTACTTTACCGGTTCTAAACCAAGTACACAAGTATTTGTTTATTCTGGTCTAGCGACATTTACAGAAGCACCAGACGTCACATCACACGTCCGTTCAGAACCAGGCAACTCCCACTTCAGCCCAAGCAAAACCGGTGCTATTCCATTCAGGCATACGAAAATCTCCTGATATTCCGAGACATTGCGCAACGCAGGCAAGTAGCGGGGGCAGTCTGAGCCAAGCCCCAGTCTTACTGACCAGACTTGTGCGGGGGGAATGGCAGGGCGAGGCAGTTTAATGAAGGTAGCACCCGTTTCGTGGTGGTGGGAACTGGCCTCTATTTACATGTTTACGAACAAAACACACTCAGCATTCTGCTGGATGAATTCCTGACTGGCCTCACGGCGTCGGATCAGCGGCTGTGGCTTTCTCTGGCAAATTAACAGTCCGCCGCCCCCTTGCTTCGTCTCGCTTCCTCTGACAGCGTGAAGAATGACTATGTTTCACCCCTCTTATAATCTGCGCATCCCAAGACGACGCCGCCAACCGTAACGTTTGTCCACAGAATGAACTTATAAAGGAAGACAAGTAGCATGCCTCCCACGCCGGCTGAACCGGCTCGCTGCACCAGCGTTTTCTGGGCGTTGCTTAAACCAGTGACATCCCAGAATCAAATTTCCTGAAGTTCGCTCAAACCCCAGGCGTCGATGTTCTTCTTCTTTTCAGATGTTAACCTAAAGTCGGCCTTGCTCTGAACATAACAACACTCACCATGGCCTCGAAATATTGGGACCCAGGTACCCTGTTTCAAATCATCAGCTTCGGAGATGATAACGAGATCCAATGCGTAGGTCGAGCCACAAGCAGGGGCGGAGCTCGGTGCCGCTGGACGGTCACTGCAGACAAGCGACAGAGAATCACATCGATGCTCGAGCAAATGGCGAGAAGGCAGCCCAGCAACGTCACCGACGACGAGCTTCGTAGCCTGGCCCGTCTTTGTCTATGCCAAGACTGGCATGCACGCCAGGAGAATGACACTGCCCTCCGCTGGGGGGCTGTGACGAGGCAGGCAGCGGAGCATCTCAACAATGCCTGCGCCAGCTCGGTGGAAGATTTCGCCGATGGGTTCATCCAGGAGGCCAGAGAGCAAGGCTTGGTTCACGACACATCTGCGATCTTCGGGCTGCCGCGCTTGCCTCTTGCTAAGAGATGGGCTTCCCGCAAACTGCGCGTATTCATCGCTGATCACACACAGCGGACACTCAAGAGCAAGAATGAAGAGCTTTCGAGGCTCCGGCAAGCTCAATCCGAGAATGAGAAGCACCAGAGAGAATCAAATGAGCAGGTGCAGAACCTAGAGAAGAAAATCCAAGGAATGGCGCAGGTGCAGAAGAGTCAGGGAGAGACTGAAGTGCGGGAAATCCGGGCCCGCTATGCGGAAGCAACAAACAACGCTCAACGCCTTCAAAAGTCTATTGAGTACCAACAGGCTAAGCTTGAGAGGGTCATCAGCGTTCTCAACGAGAAGGATAGAATCATCAGAGACTTGTCCAATGATAAAGTGGGACTGGAGTGCGCGCTCGAAAAGGCAAACGAGAGGGAGCAGGACCTGAGTCTGAGAGTCACCCGACTGGAAAACTCGATCAAGGAGGCAGATGAAGGCCACATAAAAGCCATTGGCAGCGAAAAGGCCAGGTTGGAAGAAAAGATTCAGCAGGTAAAGGAGAGGGAAGAGGGTCTACGCTCAGAAGTGACGCGGACCATAGAAGAAAATGGCCGGATGTCGATGGAGAACTGCACCAACTTAAACAAGCTCAATGATCTGGAGAGAGAGCTCAACGTCGCCAGAGGCCGGATCAGGCATTTCGAGATGGAGTTGAGCGGCACCCGAAACCGGATCAAGGAGCTTCTAGAGGACCAGACAGCCACCCGCAAAGAAGCTGAGCAGTGCCGGGCCCAGTTCGAGAATAAGAGGCAGCTGAGCCTGGTGCGGCAGATGCAGATCAGCATCCTGAGCAGGAGGATTGCGAAATTGGAGGCTGGCATATCAGCGAGCGAGGTCCACCGCACGGAATTTGGGCCGGCGGACAGTCAGCGGAATGTGCTGGAGACAACGTTGGGATGCATCCATTGGTTACACCAAAGGGGTTCCTGGATGAAAAAACCGAAGAACGCCCTAGTGGCGTGGCCGTCGTGGCTTAACTGGTTTTAAAAAGAATTATAGGTGCGGTTGTATCCTACGATCTGATGCCCGAACACTCTGTGCTAACATGCCTATATTGGATAGGTCGCAGGTTATTTCCTAAGCTGCTAGGGCAGTTTGACGAAAGGAAGCTTGAGTTTTAACGCCGAAATGGAAAGAAAAGTGCCCACGTTACGATGTTTTTCAGATTGGACGTCCAGCTCAAAGATGTGTAGGGTGTCCCGATGTCAAAAGTCCAGTTCACGATAACAGAACCCGATATGCTGGGTTTGACTAGGATCAGACTATAGCAATGGTCTTTGACCAAGTTTTCATGTGTATCTCACGACAAAATTTCTTATGTTCAAGTATTTGCTGTTTTTCAGCTTTTGCTTCTTCAGCAGCGGGCTCCGAATGGTAGTCTTGCCAATCTATAGAGTGATATGTATCATTTCAATAAAGTCCTGATCAATATCTCATTACCGTACTCAAAATCTCCTGAGAGATCTGCCACTGCCATCTGCTTCATAATGTGGTCATTTGCGTGCTTGGTTCCTTATTAGATCGTGGGTCCTAAAAGACGGCCAAGCTTGGCAATAGGTTTTTGCTCACACTGGAGGTCTTGCTTTTTGTAAGGGGCTTTCGACATTCCCATCAATCAAGGGATTCATTTCTGAATCTTAGCAAAGGTTGATCGAACATTGAAATTATGCAATGGCTTTTCCAGCCTTGCTAAATAGTAATAATACTTGTAACATAGTCCAGTGATGCCAATATCCATGGCACGCTCATCTTCAACTCATCCTCAAGCGCCAGAAACAAGAAAAGCGCATGCAATGTTGAAATTGGGATCAGCCTCCCGCAACGCCGACGTCCATGCAAAATAAGTGCAACCGTTTCCCTCTCAGCCGCAGCGAGACGTGCTCTAAGTTCGATTACTCAAAAAATCATCCGCTGCTTTCTCTCCTTCCCGTGGCAACTCTCCGCTCTTCCGCACACGGTCGGTTGCTGGTGTTGAATCCCCTCGTCTACTCATTTGTCATGAGAACTGACTAGCGGGTAAGAATTATTCCTTCTTGAAGCCGTTGGTAGTGCCATTGAGAATCGGACCGGTCTTGGCAGCAAGCAGGGCCTGCTTGTTTGCGAGCTGTTTCTCCTTGGGGATGGTGAGGGCGTTGATGCCGAGGAAGTTGCAAATGCTTGTGATGACGAGGTATGCCCAGCGAAAGTAAACGACTGCGGCGAAGATGAAGTAGCCGTACAGGTAGTACAGCTCGGCTTGCGCACTGATGGCAGGGAATCCAAGGCGTGGAAGGTTAGCCAGACCAGCACCGCCGACAAGAGGAACGAGCATGACGGTCCAGTAGGGGAAAGGCTGCTTCGTCAGGTGGGCGAGGATCATCTTGGTGGTCAAACGGCCAAAGACGAAGGCCATGGTCAGACAGAAAAGCACGAGGTGGTTGTCGGTACGGAGAGTGGTGTAGGGCGAGTAGATCCATGCGCCAATAGCGAAGGTATATACTGCCATGGGCGTCCACTCCAGGAAGACAGGAGCAACGGGCTCGCCACGCGCACGCCTGGCCTTGATGACGTGAAGGACGCAGAAGGGAATGTGGGTTGCAAAGAGCGAGAAGACGATCATTCCAATCCAGATGTCACGGATGGAGTAGTCTCCCAGCAGGTAGGCGAAGCCGTAAGTGTACTTCTCGTGATGCTCGCCGAGGAGCTTGATGATGGGCTCCGTCCAGATACCGGGGCCGTATATGCCGGAGACGACCATGACGCTGCAGGCGATCAGGATACCCTCGGTCGGGCCGTTGATTCTGCCAAGGTAAAGCGTGTGGGTGTGGTAAGTCTCCCAGGTGGAGAAGAACATGGGCAGGCACGGCACGAGAGCCGTAAAGACGCCGGACTTGGAGGTGCCGAGACCCATGGCGGCGGTCTCGAGGAGACTTGCCAGAGTGCAGTTCAGAGAGTCGATACCGTGGTCGAAGAGTTCGCCGAGTCCGCTTGATGTTCCGGTGCGACGCGCCTGCTTGCCATCAAGGTTGTCCATGGTCTGATACATGAACAGTCCGAAAGCGAAGCTGTAGTACAGCCATGATGGGCCCTAAGCCAGTATTAACACACTGCTGTAAGGAGAAGACGTAGGCGCCCCTCCGCAGTTTCAACTCAACGTACCGGTCCAACCAAGTCAGGCATGTAAACCACCAGTAGGCCAATGTTTCCGAGGATGAAGAAGAAGCCCAACAGCGTCACCATGTTCGGGGCCAGCCATAACGGCAAGAGCTCGACGGCGGCATTCCACTGAAGGGACGATGGTTAGCAACATGTCGGGCAGATGCTGCACCAGATGGCTAGAGCCGCTGCCGCTCGGACGACGCGGGGCAGCACCTGGCGGGAGGGGGATCGTCGGAGGGTTACGCACGTATGGACGGAGGATGTAGTTGGAGATTGGCGACTTGTCGACGGCCGAATACTTGTAAGACTTGAGGTGGATGAGGGCATCGTCAGAGATGCATTCGGCGGCAGCCGTCCCTGTTGAATGAGAAAAAGAAGCTCGTGTTAGCTGTCATGTTTCGAATAAGAAAGACCCGTCGCAGCCCTCCATGGTGAGGTCTCCAGCGATCACTTGCAGGTGCAACATTGTCTAGTAGATGGACAACCAACATATGGCTGGTCTGCGTGTTTGGAAATGAAGAGCCGAGGGGGGTTTGTGCTCACTGTCAGAAGTCTTAGTGCCCATTCTGAAGAATTGCGTCAGAGGTAGCTTGGTGTGGAATGACGGGCGTTGGCGCTGGCGGCTGTGGGGGGAAGGAGGAGGGGAGGAAGAAGGGGGGCACAATAGTTGAAGAAGGCCCAAAAGCAAAGGTAAGATCCGACAACGGGTTGGCTGGGGGGAATCTGTGATATCTATAGAGAGATAGACGAATGCCAACGTAAGTGTAGGTGCGCGCGGCTTCCACCGCGAGAAAAGGTGCTGTGCATACAAAAAAGTTGGGATGTGAAAACTAGGCCAGCTTATTGAGTTCGCATCATGGATGGACTGGCCGTTATTTTTTTTAGGGGGACAAAAGGGCCGGGGGGTCGGTACCCCAGTTGGGTGCATGATCCACCGAATGGGCCAGGAAAGTGGGTTTGGAAGTTGGGAGCATTAGCAAATGGAAGGCTGGCAGGCACAAGCTTCTGCTTTGGGGACAAATCAGATGCCACTAATGGACCTCGCTCCCTGCCCAGGAGCCTGGTTGTGGTGGCCGAGGCGGGAAGGAGAGGCTCAGTGCCGTAGGTACGCGGCCAGTTCGACGTGCATCAGCCCCAGCCCACAGCAGGCAAGTACTTGCACAAGGCGACTGCAAGCAAGCAAACAGGGCAGGTACAGGCACGACCACCTGCTTCCCTCTTTGCCGTCATTCGTTGCACTTTACCTGCGGAGCTGGAAGCTGGAAGAAACTCGTGATTCGAACTGCAACAATGGTGATGTGTACCTCTTTCCGTGTCCGTCCAGATCATCGTCGATACTACCTCGTCTTGTCCTCTTCCCCCCCAAATGCGTTATGAACTTCCCCTGCAGCAAATCACAGCAAGGGTGGCCAGCTTCGACGTTCCATCCCATCTCGTCTCTAAATCACAGGCCAACAACAGCGACAGAAACGTCCAATAAACACCTTGTTTCTTTACGTGCCTGCCCCCGCTCATCTCGGCGTTCAACAAAAAAACCTAGAGACCCTATTAGATTACGCGCTCCCGACGCCCCAAGCTCCTCACCCAAATTTTTCTTCCTTCATCCTAGCCTCCATTGTTCGCTTCAAACAACCCGAGAGAGACAGAGCCAAAGCTCATGCAAGGATCACCTTCGCTTTTACCGCCTTTTCCATGCGCCTGACATCTTTCGTCATTGGGGGGATTTAGAGGCCTCTAAAGCAGCTTAAAGGTCCAGTTTACTTAACCTGCAGCTGTTTTGACTAAAGTACTAGGACACCAAACTATTGACATGTGAGAGCCCAACACGGATACTGCGCTATTTCATCTGAATTTTTTTTTTTCTTCCTTCCTTTCATTCGACAGAATAGCAACGGCTCATGTTGGTAAAGTGGCATCGAGTCCATGACTAGAAGACACACCGAAAATCCGCCCCAACTCACTTACGCACACTATCTCGCCTCCCCGACCACCTACGGCCCATGCACACCAGTAGATCTCGCGCAAGATCGATCGTCTGGTATTCGGTAACAGCCCCAAAGGATACATATCTCATCATCGGCCGCCCACTGGCTGCGCAACTGGCTAGTTAGCCTATGCTGCCAGATGACATGTGAGGGACACCCAAGGTCTCAAGTAAGTTCAGCCTCAGACATTGCGTTCGAAGGGGGATTCCATCATGATCGGGGTCCGGCCTTGATGCCAGTCCCCGTGACCCCCCGCCGGGCGGCCACCAAGGTGGGCATGCAAAGCTTGCATGTGGAACGACCGTTCTACCAACCGGGCCTATCCGATTATGCCTTTTCTGGATTTCCGTCCATGTCGAACATTCCCCATTCCTTCAGACTTAACCCCCTTCCTGATTGGTGCCCGCGATGCCCTTGACATCCCAGCCTGTCAAGTCCCAAGTCGTCCGTCCTTTTGTGCCGCGCATATCGGGGTCATGTCCCGGCATGCTCTTGTTAGCTTGCTCACGACTTCGGCATAAACGTCACGAGAACGACGCCTCACACGGAGACGAAGTAGATAATTAGGTCTCGTGCCCAGCCTCCAGATAAACTTCCACCTAAATCTTTCCCACGCCTCTGCCGGCAGATCACTGAATACACCAAGACAAACCGAAACGAAACGTTGAGGGACGGTAAACGTATATCTTATTTGAAGCCAGCGGGCCCGAAACGATGCCGCTTCCTATGCTATGCTTTCCCAATTGTAACTGTGTCCCCCAGTCCTTTCCAAATTTTCAACAAAAAAATACGCTAAATGACATGTTTCCCATTCCTATTTCCACCGTTGCTGTGTTCTGGTCGATGATATTAAAAGACATTAGTTTTTTTTCGGTTGTCGCATAATTCCCGATCCCGATCATATTTCTTTCTGAGTAGTAAAGGAAGGAAGATGCCGATCCGGGAAAAACAAAACAGACATTGGGCTCGTTTCCCAGGCCTTATAAACGCCGAGCATGTTGTGATAAAGCTTTGTGCAAGAGGGTATTCAAAGAGTGGACGAGACAGAACACAAACAACCGCCCTTTCGGCTCGCTCTTCCCCTATTCCCCCCTTCCCCTTTTTCTATCCTCCAACGTCGGCAGACTGACAGTCAGCCGCACACTTAGAGGAGGAGGGCGACTCCGCCGATTACGCTGCCGATAAGGACGGCAAAGCCGGCCTCACGGCCCAGACCCAGAGCAGCGGCGCCGCTGCTGCCAGAACCGGAGCCACCGTTGTCGCCGGCCAGACCGGTGTAGATGACGCCGCTAGTTTCGGCAGAGGTGGCGGTACCAGTGGCAGCACCAGTAGAAGAAGTGGTGTTAACGCGCGTCGGGTTGGTGGCACCGCAGACGAATTGCTTCCAGCAGTTGTCCGCACAAGTGTTGGCGCCCAAGCCGCAGTTGTTGACGCACTGAACGCCGAGCTCACGGCAGACGAAGTAGGGGAGGGTGAGAGAGTACTCGGTCATGTTAGGCTGTTGGTTGTTACCGCAAAGGCAGCCGTAGGCGAGAGAGTCCTGTTACGTCTGTCAGTTTGTCTCTTCTTGTTTGTCTTTGCCTAACTACGGGAAATACTCACAGGATCGCAAGTGTTGACCAAGGTGGTTCGGGGCTCAACCTGCTGGCAGATGATGGGGCAAGTTCTCACTTCGTCGGCGCACCATTGCACTACAGCTTTCAGTTAGTAATTACTCCACACATGTCTTGGTAACTATCTCCCTTTCAGGAAAAGTTGACCTAGACATTAGAGATAGGGGTTTAGGGGAGAGAGGAAAGAAAAAACCGTACCTCTCGTGGCCCTAGGAACGGTCTTGGGGTCGATGGCATAGTCAGCTTGGGCGGTAGCGACAAAGGCCGCGGCCGCTGCGAAAAGGGTGCTCTTGAAGGAAGGCATTGTGATGTTTGTGAATGTGTTCAAAAAGCGACTCGAGAAGGCCAGAATAGTAATAAAAAAAGCAATATCGGAGATAGGATCCGAGTAATTAAAGTCGACGCCTGTTGTGCGTTTCCCGGTCAGCACTGAGTTATGTGTATGGGTTATAACGCCATCTCGTCCTGCATTCCAGAACTCTCCCACAGTCTCGGCAATCCACGGGGCCTTCGACAGGTGTTTGACCAGCACATGGCTCGAGAGGTTCTAGGTGAGGCGAGGCATTGAGGAATGATGTTCCACTTACGGCTTGAAAGGGGGTGTTGACTTAGGAGCCGTTTGTAGTGAGCAAGACCGTCGTCCAAGCGTGTTAGTAGCGAGAGGCGTTGAACTGTTCGAACGAGCACGAAAAAAAAAAGTGACGGAAGGCTTTCTCCGGTATAAACGAGGGCGAGAGAATATATGTGCGAGGCGACTAGACACAGAGGAGGCCGGAAGAAAGGTCAACTGTGTAATGAGAGACAAGACACGGACGGGGCTGAGGTTGAGGGAGGAGGTGAGAAGGGAGGAGAAGAAGGGGAAGGAATGGAATCGCCGGAGAAGCTGGCCGGTTCATATCAAGCGAAAATCAGTCCAGGCGTGGTGCTCCGTACCATTAGCCGTACCCTGCCTAGTCCTAGAGAGGTTGAGGCGAGAGGAGGGCCCGTGTAGTGCTAGCAGGCTGGGCAAAGAGAAGCAGCCAAGCGGAACATAGCATGGAGGAAGCATTAGCCAGGCCAGGCAGGCATCGGGAGCTTCTTCCACTCCTAGGTCCAAAATAAAGGAGGTCCGGGGGTCCCTGGATCACAACGCCACGGGCTCGCGATATCGATGGAGAGAACGGGTGCAATTAGGTTTAGCTCGTCTCCACGCCAGCCACCCGGCGCATTTCCTGCTGAACAGTCAGGGCCAGGGTTGGTTGGGGTCTGTTCGCCGCCTGCCAATCATTGGATGGTTCTTTGGTGTGTTGATGGGGTTCTCGTACCACGAAGAGTTATGAATGTGACACTCGAAAATCGTTGTAGTCACCACCCACCGTAGCCCAGGGCATATTACCAAGCACTCCATATCTCTGGTTACATAGCTAGGTTGATGAGACTATGTCTCTCAAGAGAAACAGAAGCCTTAGAAGCCCGTGATATAATGGCATAGCATGCCTGGTCTTTTTTTCCCATTCCCCTTACCAAAGACCCGCTTCAGCGCACCTTCAAAGAAACCCTAGCCTGCCATTCCCTCAACTTCGGGCAGGTCAGAGTTTGAGCAGTTGAGCCCTCACAACAGCCAAGAGACCCTTCTGGGTAGAGTAGTATTTTTTGGAGAGCGGGCCAGGGTTGGACAGGGCCTATTTGGTCGTGTTTTTTATTTTTCAGTGGGGTCTGAGGCTTAGTGGGTGATGGAAGGTTTCAGTGGAACTCTTAGCAGGGATTGGGCGAGCTTCCCACTGCAGCTACCAGGGCCTCTGCTTTTCTGTCTGCAGCACCGATGAAACTAAAGGGTGTTGGTGTGTTAGTATTGCTTTTTGTCCGCTCCACGAGCGAGATCGGGTGCCCATTGTTGCCCGGAAATGAACATCCTCTCCGCAAACTGGCAGGCACCCTAATCTTTCGCTGCCGCTGATTGAGAATGCCGAGTCGCATTAATCTGCTGCCCTGGTCCAGGTCGAGGTGAAAGGGCCGGCTTGCCCGCAAATCGCCATCTGTTGACCCCCTGTAGGATCTTGCCACCAAGGGCCATGACCATCAATCTATCCGTAGCCAATTCCAGCCTTGCTGTGCGGTCCGAGATGTGCATTCACAAGTCTTAGTGACCTCGTCAGCTCAGCATTCCTGTGTTCGCCCGGTACAAGACAGACTGACGACAACTCCGTGTCTGTCTGTCGGTGAATAGTTCAATCGGCCACTTCCCTGAGATTCGAGACCGTGCCACGAGACCGCGCCAGACCACACGAAGCCAATCGTATTCCCACTTGGCTGCCACTTTTGCAGGTCGGATGACCAGCCCCATTGTTGATTACGAGGTTGCAGAACTGACTGGAACAGTGTCGCTCTCCATAAAAATGCGATGGAATGTTTTCACTCTCTTCGGGCCCTTGCCCGCCAGTGACCAGCATCCCAGCTTCTAGGCGCCCTTCTCACAGTCGGCAGCGGCGGCGGCGGCGACGGACGGGATATCGTGCAGTACATAGTAGATTTTTGCCAACAGGCTAGCCCCGCTGATTCGGCCTTCGCTGAGCACACAGCTTTACGAGACCACCTCCGCCTGCAAGACGCAAGTTCTGCGAGACAGGAGTTGTTGTCGTGCCTTGGCGGAATGGTCTCCGATTGCCCCAACCGCTAACATTTCTCAGGCCTCAACACCACTTGGCAGGTCTTGTTGTGCAGACGCCAATCCAGATATTGTTGTTACGGGCGTCCGACTGGCTGATCGCCACTCGTATTCTGCAGCCTACTCCCTCATCTAAGGCATTGTGCAGAGGAGTAATGCAGCTAATACTGCATGCTAGAGTACCTCGGTAAGACGATTGTTTGGAAAAGGTGATGCATGGCATAAAAAGGGATAAGATAGCGCTGGGTTTGGAGAACAAGGTGGCTGGCTCCGCCTTACTGGTGTGGTATTCTTGCTGATGGCGCCGAAGCCCGCGTCCGATCCTGTGCCTCCAGAAATCCCCCAACGTAACGTGTCCGCGTAGCGGTCAGCCAAAAAAAGAGCTAGCACAGGCGGCGTTATTGACAGAACAAGACTACTTACAACCACTTTGACCGTTGGACGTTCGATGTTCGACAACAACTTCGTATTTGTGCTCGGCATCAGGCCGTGGAAGAACAGCCAAAAGTGGATGTGCCAAATTGTGGGAGCATTCGCTGTGGCAGGCACGCTTCATCCGCTCATTTGATTATCTCTTGATGTGTGTTGCGGTGGACCGGGTACAGTCTTCTATGTTCTTGAAAAGTCGGGCAGTAAATACCGAGAGAGCTAGGGAGCTACCAATGAGGGAGCTCCGGGGTAATCAACGTAGAATCCAAATGGAAGTCCAAGATCCTGGTCAACAAGATGGCCCTTTTACTATCCGCTTCCACCCCGGCTTAGGTTCTGCAGCTTCGGATCCGCACCGGCGACTTGGATCACGATGTGATGGCGCGGGAAGACAGCGCTTGCACTAAATGGATCTGAATTGTAACGCGATACTGCCAATGTTGACATGCTCATGATACTATGAAACGCCACAACCGGAGCTCTGGGTGTCTAGGTGAGTCGTCGGTGTCACCTCGCTAAAGCCCTTAGGCCGACCAGTTACGAGTATCGGCTCAGGAACGGGCGGTGACGTTTTAGACCAGCAAGCGTGGCAAGATAGATAAGACAGTCGATGTTCCCGCCGTTAGACAGAGGTTTGTTCTGATAGCTCTTGGTGTTTCAAGGATATGTTTAATCTTGGCTGCCCAGTACAATTTAACGCTCCCACCATAGCTACTTCGCTTTTCCCCCTTCTTCATCCAATGGCGAGCCATTTTCCTCAGGGCTCCACTATCGTCCGAAGGCACCTACCTGACAGACTTTGACTGACATTGCACCGCGTCCACACCTTCCTCCCGCGTATTCGTAGGGATTTGACAGGTAGGAGACCTCAAGTCCTTGCTAAACTTACCTAAGCTCGCCTCACCTCGGGAAAGGGACCCCCTTCAGCATATGATCCAGGATGGTTGACAGAGAGAAAGAACCAGCAGCAAGGTTAGGGATGGTAGGTGCGTTTCTTATTCCAGCCTCTTGTTGACATTGTTTTGACGCGACAAACAACCAAACGTCAAAAGGGTTTGTTCGGTGTTACCGCAGTTAGTGAACATCAGATCCTTGTGAACATCAGGAAGAGATCCGTACAACTTTTGCTTTGCTTTGCTTTGCCACCATCGTTTTTTCTTCGTATGATCTTGCACCTATAGCGCCTCTCACGGCCCGACATATGGGCCGTTCGTACGTGACATCGCGGTAACCTCAACAATTGGACTACTGGATGCAGGCTAAGTGGCTTCCAGCCCACTCTCGGTCGATTTGCACAGCCACGCGGACCCTACCACCCAACCGGTCCGGAGTCTTAGAAGCGCCCCGAGACAAGTCTTTCTTCCTACAGACTTGTGAAATCGTCAATACGTCACATATTCCCTCGCAACAAGACACACAGACCGCACTTGCACCAACACTGAATCGCAACCTCCCCCGGGAATCGCATCGCAATCGAGAAACCACGGCCCCGTCCATGAGGTAGCGGCCTCCGCACATGGATCCATGGACTCGGTGATAGGATCCCAGTTCCGCACAAATGGCACCCATGGCGGCCTGAACGGCGCCCATACGAAACCTTCTACCAAGGTCACTACAACCAACGGAAACATCGCGGACCTGCTGTCGCGACAGAACAACGATGAGATACGCGGAGGGCTGTTCGCAGACGAAGACGATGAGACGGAGTCGCACGACCCGGGGTCATCGCTGACGAGCCCTTCATCCGTCACTTCGCCCCCGTACTGGATGAATCACCACTCGCGATCTGTATCCAACATGTCCGCCGAGTCCGTGCTGCCCGCGGGCGCAATCACGATGCACGACAACGAAGCCAGCGATCGAAACGACCGGAACCGCGCCTGCTGGGCGAAGAGTGTCGAGATTACCGACTACGCGATAGTCAACGGTAGCGCAACAAATATCGGGGCTTTTGTTGTTTGGAACATCAGGGTTGAGACGCTGCAAGTTAGTGATTCCAGCTGCGACTTCGACCCGCGGCGCAGTGCAATGGCCATTGATAACGTGGTGATGCGGAAGCAAGGGCTAACAGTATTTCTCAAAGGGAAGCTACATGAACATTCGCAAGCGATACTCCGAGTTCGACGACCTCCGCGAAAAGCTCGTCAAGTCGTTCCCCAACTTTGAAGCGGCAGTGCCACCTCTGCCGCCCAAGAGTGTGATATCAAAATTCCGGCCCAGGTTTCTCGACAAGAGGAGAGCTGGGCTCCAATATTTTCTCAAGTGCGTTTGCGGACCCCCCGACCCCGTGTCATGACCGTCTGCGAGTGATTATTGTTGTTGTTAACGCTGACCACCGGCAGTTGTATAATGTTAAATCCCGAGTTTTCTGGGTCACCAATACTCAAGGACTTTCTATTCGCATAAACATAGTGTCTAAATACCTACCTACCTATTTTTACTTTATTGTATATTGTCTAAGGTTCAGTAACAAGCGTCACGGAGATGGCCGTGGCTGATCGCTGGGGCGCAGTGGCGGGTCCGAAGAAAAAAGACAGAAGTCTCAGGTGAAGCATCTGGGGGAGGGTGGGGGCCATATGCACATAACATAGCGGGCTGAGACGGACCCCAATCATGAACATGTCAACGACAAAAATAATGTGTCGCAAGAGCAGATCTTTCTTAAAGTCCCAGGGGTCCGGATTGTGCTCAGCGTAACGACGGCTTCTGGAATGCGGGACCGTTATAGGTGGCCGCCAAGGCCGCTGCCGAAGTCTCGGCGGCCGCGGGGCGGTTTTGAGCGGGGCGGAAGTAGGGTTAAAAAAAAAAAAAAACCACAACAATCGAAGAGATGCTGTTTTAGTCGGTGCCGTGGCAGTGAAAGGTGCCCTGTGCTCTCTCTCTCACAGTGATGTTGGTTGCTAGCCCTAGCCTGCTATGTAGAGGCACATTCAGCTGGACGAGGATTATGGTTGGAAATGGAAGGGCAGACATACATCTCCGCCCCGCCGATTGACCTAGGACGCGTAATGAGCAACAGGGCTGACAACGTCTAACAGGTACCAAGCCGGTTTAGTCTCAGTCTGGCATGCCACCAAGACGGACCAAGATTGTCAAGAGCGCCTAACGCAGCCCAGTTCGACACGTAAAATCTGCGGTGTAGGGCACCATCTAGTACTTCCAGTCAGGGGGGCAATTGCCGCTGAGCTGCAAGGCGGGTGGTGTGCTATTTCTATGGGGACCTTCATGTCGAATTCAGTCGGCTTGTTTCGTTTGGGATCTTCGAAACTGCCTATCGGAATGTCTGGGCGGCTTCTTACTGGCCTCTGCCCCCCTCTTGATTCCCCCATTCCGTTTACCTTCCTCTGCCCTCGACATCTTAGTCACATTCTTGAACCAGACGGGAATACGGGTGTAAGAAGGAGGCCGCAGTAGTCTTGATTCACATACGGCCGCATACAGACGGCCACATGCCGTGATGCCGAAGCGTCAGCGCATGGCCGTTTCTGTCACGGTTTCGATACCTGGGTGGATCATGAGTTTTGGTCGCGTTCTTGGTTCGAAAGCCATTCAATGTTGCGTCACAGCCCAGCAATTGACACGCCAGCGGGCGGTCGGCTGAGCACCACACACACACCTTGCTATCTGCCAGCTTAAATATGGAGAAGGAAACGGTCCCAAGCTTCCCGCCAACAAGGATGGCCTGCGGTATGATGCAGGGCGATGTTTGTTGTTTTGCTTAAGAGTTCCTTTTCGACATGCCCAGGAGATGCCGATGGCCCCCATGCCCACATCCCCACGGCTTTAATATAACACTTGGTTGGGAAGAAGAGGTCTTACCGTCTTGCCAATTTTTCTTGACAGCTGCTTTCTTTGCTTACTTTATTACCTGCCTTCCCCCCTCTTCTCCCGTCTTATAAGCTTACTCGTACGGATACCTCGACCCCATAATTATTACCCTTATGGCTGCTCTTTACATGTTCCAGCTGCCCTCCCCGTACATCCTATATCATTCGTTTGGTCTTTGCCTAATAGTATAAGCCCGGCTAGAATATCTACCTGCTACCAGCTTACTTATACCCACCCATCCAGCCGAAAAGAAGAAGAAAAACACCACCACACTACCCGGCACGGATATTCCCGGGCTACGAATACCTTAACCTCGACCTCGAAATCATAGTTCCGACTTGGAACGATCAGAAGACCGGATGTTCGCTCCAGCCGGCTCTCGGACCAGATCCCCATCCCTGGCCTTTCGTCACAACCGGGCGGACCCCGCAGCAGGCGCAGTCGCAGCGTTGGCAGCAGCCGTAGCAGCGCCTACAGCGGCGGCAGCCATGATGACGAAATTCGACCCCAGGCACCGCTATAATGCTGTTGGACCCGGCGACCACCACGCTGAAGGTCAAAGCCAGCAGGACGATTCTGGACCCCAGAAGACCCCTCTTTATCACCACGTTTCCTGCGCCGCAATTACCCCGCCGGCGACACCTCCCGTGCCAAGACCCGTTGAGGATTCCCACTCCAATAACTATTCTGCGACCGCATCGGCGCAAAGTGACGACACATGCTCGCTGGCCCAGTCCCACACAAGCACCGCCTACAGTTCGCGACAGGATTACATGGACAGTCTTGTGCCGCCATCGCGTGACGAATTTGACAAGATTGCAGAAGCGCAGCGCACGCGCGAGGAGGAGATTAAGCGCAATAGCCGCACCACGAAGCGCAGGTCTTTACAGAGCCAACATAATTCAGAAATGACCCGTCACTCACAGGATGACACTGACACGGCACCGGCGCAGCCGCCGCAGTCGCCGACGACAAGAGGAAGAAGCAGCAGCGATGCGATGAATAGGGCCGCAACCCTCATCCAGCGCAACTATCGCGGATACCGCGTGCGACGAGAAATGATGGGCATGGGACTGGATGCCTCGACGAGGTGGATGTCCGCTATTGAAGAGGCGCAGTTCCGTGAGATGAATCGCCCGCGCGCAAAAAGCTCAGTCAGCGCCGCGGGCCTCTCCATCAGCGGCGACCAGCATAGCGTTTTGTCAAGGGACTCGGAGGGTGGTATGCGTCCGACGACGGCGAGAGAGAACTGGAAGAAGGCGGCGACGATCGCGCGGCGCGCAGGCCACGACGACACTGAGTCCGACTCGGACTCGTCATCCTCGTCGGGGGGTTCGCATGAATCACCAGAGCAGAAGGCGGATCGACGGCGTCGCCGCAGCGAGGCCGTCGAGAAGAGGAAGAAGGATTCCAAGATGATGGGTCTGCAGTACTTCCTCGAAATGGTTGACCTCAAGCACCGGTATGGCAGTAATCTGCGTGTGTACCACGAGGAATGGAAGAAGTCGGACACGAACGAGAACTTCTTCTACTGGCTCGACTACGGCGGCGGCAAGAACCTCGAGATGGAGGCATGCCCGCGCGATCGCCTCGAGAGAGAGCAAGTGCGGTACTTGTCGCGCGAGGAACGACAGTATTACCTCGTGCAGGTCGACCAGGAGGGGCGTCTATGCTGGGCCAAGAACGGCGCACGAATCGACACCACCGAGTCGTACAAGGACAGCATCCACGGCATTGTCCCTGCTGACGACCCCACGCCCGCGTGGTCACAGCAGAACATCCCTCCGCCAAGCCCTGACTCTGAACGCCGTGATGACGACGATAGCCGGTCCGAGTCGTCGGTCGAGTCGGCACTCGAGGCCGACAGGGCGGCAAAGTACGCGACGCCCGAATTCGACAGCGCGACGGGTATGAAGAAGGTGTCGCACATCTCGGCTGCCACGGTCTTCAATAAGCTCCTCAGAAAGTCCGTCAAGAAGAACACATGGATCTTCGTCGCGGACACGAGCTTCCGGCTGTACGTGGGCATCAAGTCCTCGGGGGCGTTCCAGCACTCTAGTTTTCTCCAGGGCAGCCGCATATCCGCTGCAGGTCTCATCAAGATTAAGAACGGCAGGTTGTCCAGCTTATCCCCGCTGAGCGGACACTACCGCCCGCCGGCCTCCAACTTCCGCGCCTTCGTAAAGAGCCTCAAGGAGGCGGGCGTTGACACCTCGCACGTCTCCATCTCCAAGTCGTACGCCGTCCTGGTGGGGTTGGAGGTGTACGTCAAGTCACGGCAGAAGAGCAAAAAGACTCTCGAGAAGCTGTCGCTGAAGAAGGAGAAGATTGTCGCGCCGGAAGAGTTTAAGAAGCGCGAAGAGGATGAGATGGATAAGAGCGAGAGCGCCGCCAAGGAGCGCAAAGTGCTTGAGCAGGAGGCCGAGGAGAGGGAAGAGAACCGCGCTGCGGTCAAGTTGATGCGCAAGTTGAACCTTGCGCCGCGCGAGCCGACGGGGCAAAAGGGGGTCGAAGAGAGCGAGCCTGTGATGGATACTTTGACGGAAGAGAGAACGAGGGAGGAGCGAGCGGCTTCTTCTAACGTGTAAGGCGTCTCGTGATACTGCTGCTGCTGCTGCTGCTGCTGCTGCTGCTGCTGTTGGCTTGATGGGTTTCGACGGACGGTTATCGGGTCACGGCGGTTCGGCTTGCTGGTTTTGTTTTTGAAAACCTCTCTTATACCCACGCGCTTGCGCTGCTTTAGAATCTTTGCTCTGAGCGTTATATCGATGAGTAGATGAATGTTTAATGACGGGTCTGCATGAACTTTGTCTGCGTCAAGGTTGGGCCGTGCTGTGTAGTTGCCGATGAAGGTTGGTTTGTCTCGCTTCCCATGTGGATTTTGCTTGTCTTGTAATCCTGGTTGGAGTTGGCCTTAGGTGCTCGCAGTGCCTAGATTCACCGTATGCCATCACCCCCTTTTCTTTCCCTGATAAGTCGAGTGTATGGACCATTCGCCAATCAATACTTCCGCGGAGCCACCCCGACTATCTGTGATGCGTTTGCGGCGTAGCTATTCTCAAGGTCGCTAGTGTTTGCGAACACGATCATATGTTTGCTGTTTCTGGTGATGGTATGTTACCAGAAATTGCAAGTAGAAAGTTTCATTTCGTGGTAGCCCGTGTGTAAGAAACCGCTGGTTCGATCGTGGACGAGGATAGAGACAGCAAAGCAGATTTCGGTCCGGAGGTATTAGACCTGCTGACAGGGATAAAATAAGGCAAACAACCTAGAGAGATGATACATGCGTTACGCCAGTCCAGAGCAAGGTCACAGGTCTGTTCAAGTTCCTCGGCCTTGTGCAATCGGTCACAGTCTGATGAGACCGCGACGTTTGTTCTAGTCATGATCCATGCTTACGTTGCGGAGATTGAAATGTTCACACCCACTTCAAATGTCTTGTCAGCAGTGAACCACACGCTCGTTCCAGCCGCCTCGAGAATTTTTTTAAAAAAAAAAAAAAAACACAGGTTGGGGAGAAAAGGAATAGCAGCAGTGAGATATCTATGTGTGAGACCTGAATATGCACCCTTTGGGCAGACAGCAAAGGTTGGAACTTGGGAGGGACCATAATTCGGACTGTGGACGTCAGAGAACTGTGGTGGTAGCGACAGTAATATGTTCATTCTATGTATCAGTGTAGTTGAGGTGGTAAATTTAGTGCAATGAAGAGCCTGACCAGATGTGAGAATCGATTTCGGAGCTGTCCTCTAGAATCAATGTCGAAATCTCTAGAAAGGATGAAGAGCAGTCTCAAAAGAAAGGGAAGATATGGTGTGAGAAGATAGCACATGAGCTTCACTTGTTCTTGTTCGTTACGCTACTTGAAACTAAGAGACAGAGAATCTCAGTCGCAGACAAACTTCTTGATGTTATATATGCGACATGGTAATAAAGTCGGAAGTTGTTGAATGGGCTCTCTGTACGATCGTACTGTCATAAATGTAGGGTGAACCAAAGATTCTATTTTCCGTGATTACCTTTCCTAACTAGATGTTGCCTTCCGTACGAACAGATATATCTCTGTCCATACCTAGACACGAGTCGTGCATGACAGGTAATAAACCATGATCCCTTCCTCAGACATTTAGGTGTTACAGGTGCTAGTCATGCCACCTATACACCCCTTTGCCTGTGACAGCCTTGTCGTACGGTCATGTGATTATCGTTATTCCAACAGAAGTATTCTTACGTCGCATTGGACTTGATCTACCCTCTGCTTCTCCAGGCTAACAATACCCCGCGAAAATGCCATGCCCAGCCCGGAGGCCTGTAGTAGGTATTGTAGTGAGCGTAAAGGTTGATGTGTCCTGGTTCGTGCTAAAGTTTAAAGAATAACTGAGGGGCGAAAAGCGAAGATCAAGTCAGATATATATTAACTGCCATTTGGACTTTGGTATTGCCATTTTGATTCTATTTCAGATATGTTCGCCGCGCCTCTCAGACTTATAAGAACCTCACTTCATTCGCAGTTGTAGCACTTGACATTATCAGCTGTGATATCTCAAACTGTCTTTAACAACTTTTCTCATCTTCACCACCACATTCTTTTACAAGTCAACTTCTCAAAATGCGCACTTCTTCCTTCTACACGATGATTATCGCCTCTCTGGCCACGATGGTTATCGCAAGCCCAACTCCCCAGGGAAGCGACCCGCACCCCCCTTGCCCTGTAAGTGTTCAGCCTCCATGGCTATTGCTGCCGCTAACATGATTGAAGCCCGGCTACGCGTGCTTCAACCCGGCTCCCGATGGTGGTTGCTATTCTTGCAAGCCGACTGGCGGCGCCTAAATGGTTATGGAGCGTGTACATTCTAGACAGCCTAAAGAGACGTGCTAGTTCTCCCAACTCACTATCGATACCACTGCAGTTTGAGAAAGATGCAAAAGCCTGGCAAAGTTTTGACCCTGTTGTGACAAGAGACCGTGTGTCAAGCAGCCGCCAATTACCGAGCGTCTTGACTTCCTGATCCAGTAGTGCTCAGCATTATCACAGTAAATGATGTAATGTCATGTTTACCAGACAAATCTTACTCGAGAGGAACCGGCTCTTGGAGAACCACTTAGCCAGCTGTTGGTTTTATCCTCAATTTCCGAAGCCGTAGCTCAGCGGTGCTGTATAAGTGAGGCGACTTACACGGCAAGATCAACCACCAGTGGTTCAAACAATAAACCACACATATACCTTAAAGTCCTCCCAAAGGAAATGTGGATGTCCTTCCTGTTATAGATTCAGAGAGACTCGAGCAACTGCTAAGGTTCTACATATTCCAAAGTGAACATGAGAGCGTCCGGGTGTTGCCTATCGCCTTTTTTTTTTTTTCCTTCGGAGGGAAGAGTATCCAGTCTAAAACTTGACCGAACAGCTTGGACTTTGAGAACGAAGATTGTCTTCTTCTTGTGAAGACGCCAACCGAGCTGCAGAGAAAAGCTTTCATGATAAATGTTTAATGGTCGCGGGAGTTGACCAGCGTTGCCAGGGGTACGTGCCAGCAGACTGCAGCCGCTTATCTCAGAGCTCAAAAGAAACTGCTCGAGAGCACCTTTGGCCGAGGAACCATCAGTATAGTGAGTGGCACAATTGACTTTGTTGAGTTCGAAAGGTCATATGTATTAATTAAATTCCATATACCTAGAAATTGTTAACAAAAACCGGAACAGAATTGTTGTCATGATGTCTTTTCCAGAGGCAAGGTGAGAATTGGATACAATTTGGCTTCATCTGGGCAACGAGTCGACGGTGTAATGATGTAATAATGAAATGACTGGAGAAGGGGGAAAGTGGGAAAGGGAAGAAAAAAAAAAGGTCGGCTGACTACCGTTGCAATGTAGTCGCAAAACGCAGCCCAGTGTCAAAGCATTCTGGCGGCTCTTGGTCTTGGGGATTTTTGATTCTAGATCAATGCACTGATGCTTGCAGAAATTCAATTCAGGGGCAGCCAGGTTGCGCGGGATGGGAACGAAAGAAGGGATGTGAAATGAGGTCGTCTTCAAGTGTAGGAGACGGAAGCTGTGTGGGTGGGCGTGAGTAAGTGAGATAAGTGAACAGGTGTGTGTAGCTGAGATAGGTACTTTAAAACACACCAGACTGATGCGGATATGGAAGTACTGCTGGCGCACCTTCCCCCTCCTTCGGTACTGCCGATGGCAAAAGAGCCACTGTGACCACAGCGGGCCATCCACTATGTCCAACAGAGGCAGGCATCCCCGTGGCGGAAGCAAACACTGACCCAGGCAGGTACGGTAGGCAGCTGCAGTAGTTGACGCGCCCCCAAGGAAGGACAGTGCAAATTGCAGCGACTAGTGAAAAAGAGTGCCAGACTGACAAACACAACCCCCCCAAAATCCCGCCAGAGGAGACACCACTTCCCGCATCGCATCAACGACGACGCAGCAAAGACGGGCGAACAGAGCCAGCGGAGACAACCAAAAAAAATTCATCGATCGACACGTCAATCGCCCTCGCGAAGAATCCGTCAGGAAAACAATGAATGGCTATTCAATCGTCGCCAATGGCCTCCGTCACGCGCTCCACCAGGAAGGCGAACACTGAAGGCCTCCAGCAGCTTCACCCCCATCCGCCGCCGCATCCCCTTCACCATCCCGTCCAGCAGGCCTTCGCCGCCAACACGAACACTGTGACGCGCGCCGCCCCCCAAAACATCTCCGGCTACCACCACCAGCTGTCTGCCCGCACCAAGCGTCAGCTCGACCCGGCCGATATCGTCGATTTTAACCACCAAAAGTCGAAGCGATCGCGTTCGAGCATCGAGATACTCATCAAGCCTGCCCTGCAGCCCATCAAGCCTATCGTTGCCAACGCGACTCCCCCCAACATCACCCCCATTCCGCAACCGACCACAACAACGCCTCAGGCGGCCCCCCTAGCGAAGCCGAAGCAGACCCCGAAGCCTGCACAACACGTCGCGACAGTGCATCCCCTGAGCACTCCCTCGGCTCCTGCGACCGAAAATGCTCCTCAGTTGACAAAACATCAAGAAAAGGTCATCAACGGCATTAAACATGAGTTGGATCGCTTGCAGCCCCGCGAGACCGATACCCACACAAAGGAGGGGGGCCGCAAACTGCGTTCCCAAGAGGCTACTCGTTTCAAAAGCGAGCTGTCAGCATACTTTCCCGAGTATGACGAAGTCATCGGAAATGACCCCAAAGAACAACGTATGGCCTCTTCCCCTTGCCCTTATCGCCATTCTTGCACGCGTTTTCGTCCTGCATTGCCTTGTACTTACTGACACTTGTCGCTACAGACTTGTTGAACGTTGATACCCCCATAGTCATTTTTGACTCGAACCCCACACGCCCTTACCCCATCGCCTGGCATCGCTCTCTTGGTGCGGAGCCTAGTGTGCTGAACGATGCCTCAACAACCTCGCAAAGCGGACAGAAAGTCCCTGTGCGCGGCTTTGGCGACGCCTTGTTCGACGAACTTGTCGATGCCCAGCGAATAGACTTTGACTTCCTCGGCATTTCCCACAAGAGAGAACCCGTCGAGGATCCACTTCCAGATGCATCCTTTGTGCCTTCGCATAAGAGGGCCGAGAGACTGGAGAGATCCATACGTAATACAGAACGTGGTAGAGCCCAACATGAAAAGGACCAGATCGCCCGTTTGTTAGGTGGCCTGCAGGGTCATGATTGGTTGCGGGTCATGGGTGTCAGTGGTATAACAGAGAGCCGTAAGAAGCAGTTTGAGCCTGCGCGTCAACATTTTATCAAAGGTTGCCAAGCCATTCTCGAAAGGTTCCGACAGTGGAGCTTGGAAGAGAAACGTCGCAAGGCCGAAAAAGATCGTGCACTTGCAGAAAGAGCCGAGGCAGAGGATACGAGCGAAGACAACTCTGCACCAGACTCTGCGAGCAGCGATGAAGAGGAGGATGGCGGAGACGACGGTGGCGATATCAGTGACGGCGACCCCCCGGGCTCTTCTGACAACGACTCCGTGACCAAGCAGCTTCGCGAAGAAGCCACGGCGAGGTCGAAAGGGTCAAAGAACAGCAGGAAGCGTCCAAGGTTGACACCGCAACCCCGACATCCTCCTAAGCCAGAGCCCCCGAGAGAGTTCAAATCGTTCTTCCAGAAAAGATACGAGCGAGACGCCGCCTTGCATCGGCATAGACGAGCTGGCCGAAAAGTAGTAGCATGGGGACATCCGATACCAGAGATACCCGAGATCGATTTTGATCTCCCTGAAGAGTTTCGGGACGAGGAGACATTGAAGATGCAGGCGAGGAAGAGACGCCGCGATCGCCGAGGCAGACACTGAAGGAGTTGCTCGTTTAGCGGAGCACTGTATTTGTGTATTACCTTGTGTGTATCTTATGGCTCTGGTTTCTTGGACTGCATGGAGGGGCGTAAAACTACTGTTGTAACATTAATCTTTGTAGAATGTTGGGTGGGCATGGCTCAAGAATAAGCGTTTGATTTCCGACCACTGGCGTCCAATGAAGGCAATGTGTGATTGTCTGACATTTTTTAAAGCATTAGCATAGAAAAAGAGACAAAGAGAGCTAGGATGTATGTCGTATTTGCTAATGATAGCGCGTCAGATGAAGGCTTCGAGAATTGGCGGAGGAAGTTACAAGCAGGCCGTTGAAGCTTAAGCTTCCTTGTCAGCTGTGTGACACCTCAGGCTCGAGTCTAGGCACAGACCAGCTCTCCCAAGCCACCAGCCCCCCTTGAACGAACATGTCTATATTACATAATCTCGATTTCAAGAGGTCCACCCAACGGCGCAAGAGCCAAAGTGGCCCCGGCAGCTCCATCTTCAGTAGGTGTTGTCGCGGCGAAGCGTAGAGACGCGCTGACTGAACCATGGAAGGCCTGAACTGAACCACCGACCGCCGACCTCAGTTTTATGTTTGGTTGACGCAGCAGAATTCTTCCCAGGCTGCCACCTCGCAAGTGCTTGTCGTCCATTAGCCAAATAGGCTTCCATTCATTTACCGGCGGAGTAGTTTTTTTTTCTAATCCTCCATTACTAATTCTTCATTCTCCGCCGCCGTAGCTTCCCCAAACAAACCCCAACCTCGCGCGACGACGACGACCACAGAGGCAGGATGATTGAGGCCCTTGACGAACTTCGCACCTGAGAATCTCGCGCCGGCGCACCTTCCTGGTCCGCATCTGCCGACCTCAAACCTATCGGCCCCTCGCAATTCGAGCGAGTCGACGTCTTCCTAGATGATCAACTGCGACGCAGACGCCCCGAGCGCAAACTAAGGTCATCATGAACCCCCTCGACGCAGCTGCGGCTGCCCCCACCGTTGAGGAGGTTGTCGCCAGCGACTCCGAAGACGACCTTCCCCCTCTCAAAGACGAACCGCCCTACCCTTACTTCGTCATCCGACAAGACGTTGAGCTTGAGCTCAATTTTCGCTCGAAGCGGATCGATGGAAAAACCCACATCACCTTCGCCGTGGTGTCCGGCGCCCAGGTGGAAGAGCTTGCCATTGATGCGCGTCAATCCGAAATCGACGTCAAAAATATCACGGTGCAGATTCTCAAGGACCTTCAACCCGTTGGTGAACCGAAAAAGGTTTCAGCAAACTACACGGACCCGTATAAGTTACTGGAGTACCCGAAGTTTTACAACTGGAACGCCGAACATCACGACCTTAGGAAGATACGGATGCGGCCCCTCATGCACACCCGAAAGAGCGACGTGCCCGCCGAGAATAGAGAGACGGTCGGCTGTACGCCCGTAGACGGTGCTTTACGAGTCAACTTGCGTGATCTGAAGAAGGTCAAGGAAGAACCAGGAGCAGGAGTGCCAAAGCGTCCGACACTCAAGATTCGGGTTTCGAGCATGACACCAAGCTCCTTTGAGGCGCCAGAGAACGAACTGACAGGTACCCGTGAGTATCGAGTCACGATACCTTTCAAGACCAAACTGGTTAGAGATGGTATTCAATTTGTCGGAGTAGATGCAGGCGATCTCAGATACCCCCATGCCTATACACGGCATTCTATCGAGCCTGGAACTGCGTCTTGCATCTTTCCTTGCATTGACGATCACGGCCAACTCTCAACGTGGAGTATAGCTGTCAAGTGCCCAAGGACGCTGGGCGACGCTCTTTGGCAACCTCTGGCTACCCAGCAGCGGGCGAATGGCAACACGAACGGCAACCGGGATCGCGTTCACACCAGCCAATCCAAGGCGGACAGAGATTTCTCCCTTACTGAAGAAGACAAACTCCTCGAAATGACGGTTGTTTGCTCTGGTTCGCTGACGGACGAGGTCGTGGATCCGCATGATGAACGCAAGAAGATTATGACTTTTGAGATGGACAAACGTGTCTCCGTTCAAAAAATCGGTTTTGCAGTCGGTCCGTTTGAGCACGTCGACCTCTTTTCAGACTTCCGCACCGAAGAGAACGACGAAAAACTAGGCGCAAGCGCACTCAAGATTCATGGATACTGCCTGCCTGGAAGAGCTGCCGAAGTCCAAAACACTTGTGCAGCCCTCGCAGCGGCAGCTGATTTCTTTACTCTCACATTCGCCAGATATCCATTTGAAAGTTACAAGATGTGCTTCTTGGACGACATGGTTAATGATACTGTGGCCTTGCAGTCACTCTCGTTTATCAGCACTCGTCTCCTCTTCCCGGAAGACATCATCGACCCAGAAGTAGACGTCACCAGACAATTGGTGTTTAGTCTAGCATCCCAATGGAGCGGCATTAACTTGTTCCCAAATACGCGCCGAGATTTGTGGGTGGTGATTGGGATTGCGTACTACATGACCGACCTGTTCCTGAAGAAGCTCTGTGGAAACAACGACTACAGATTCCGGATGAAGACCATGTCGGACCGACTGGTCAACATTGATATCAAGAGGCCATCATTACATGAACTTGGTCATCTTTTGCACATAGGAGACTTCGAGATGGAGTTCATGATTCTGAAAGCCCCATTGGTTCTTTTCATTCTCGATAAGCGCCTCATGAAGGCGCCTGCTCAAACCAATCTGACCCGCATTATCTCCCGAATCCTCTACAAAGCGAACATCGGAGAAAAACAAAGCGAGTGGATTATCAACACTGAGTCTTTCCAACGGGTCTGCGAGAAGAATGCTAGAAATAAACTAGAGGCATTCTGGAACCAATGGGTTTATGGATCTGGCTGTCCACGGTTTGATGTCTTCCAGCGGTTCAACAAAAAGCGCCTCTGCGTGGAAATGACGATACGACAGGTCCAGGACAAAGCTTTAACCGAAACGCAAGCTCTGAAGAAGACAGAATTTTTACGTGCTATCAAGGAACGGTTTCACGGCGTGAAGGCCGACGAAACCATAGGCCTGTTTACAGGCCCAATGACGATTAGGATCCACGAAGCCGACGGCACCCCTTATGAACATATAGTAGAAATTCGGGAGGATGCTGCAAAGGCGGCTAAGTTCGAAATCCCCTACAACACGAAGTACAAACGGCTTAAGAGGAAGAGGAGGGCAACTGAGAAGCTAAGCGCGCAATCAGCGGCAGACCCAGACAATAATGAAGAGACGCTTCTGTACTGCCTAGGAGATGTTTTGACTGGCCCCGAGGACATGAGAAAGTGGGAGTTTGCCGAATGGGAACCTGAAATCGAGAAGGCCATGGACCAGGAATCCTATGAGTGGATCCGAATGGACGCTGATTTTGAATGGGCCTGCGAGATGAAGACAAATCTCCAGAGTTACATGTATGTGTCCCAGTTGCAGCAGGACCGAGATGTCGTTGCGCAACAGGACTCGATGCTTTATCTAAAGAAGAGCCCGCCTCACCCGCTTGTCTCAACCTTTTTAACCAGAACTCTCGTCGACCGTCGGTACTTCCATGGTATCAGAACCATGGCTGCCGAGACGTTACATCAGCACGCCACAGAGAAGGTATCGATGGCAGGCATGACACACATTCTGAAGGCTTTCGCAGAGCTCTTCTGCTATCCTGATACTCAGACACCACGACCGAACGATTTCTCGGACAAGAAGCAATACATTGTCCAGAGCACACTGCCAATGGCCATTGCTAAAATCCGTGACTCTAGTGGCAAGTGTCCCGAAAAAGCCCGACGATTTCTCCTGGACCAGGTGCAATTCAATAACAACGCCAACAACCCGTACTCTGATCACTTCTATGTTGCAAAGCTTCTTGAGGCTCTAGCAACAAGTCTAATTCCAGAGAAGCGACACGACTCTGGGGACCAAATGGACCTCGATATGTCACTAGAAGAGCGGAGCTTCCTTGGGGAGGCGTTGGTCGAAATTGACAGGTTCCGCAGGATGGACGAGTGGGCCAACTCTTACCAGAATATTTGGACGACCACGGCGCTCGAGTGCAGGCGAAAACTCATGAAGGCTGGAGTCGTCCCAAAAAGCGCTCTAGATTTCATCCAGTACCTTCAGGACGAGACCTGCGACCTCGTACGAATTAAGGCCTTCGAAGCTCTCGTGGACTTAGGGTATATGCTGGAATTACCTATATTTCGTCTTATACTATCGGTCATTAGCACCGACAAGTCCCCGTTCGTTCGAGACAGGCTCCTCAATATTTTCTGCTCCGGCCTAGCTGGTCTTGCTTTTGGAGAACAGTCTCAGCCCAAGGCACCCACTGCTGCTCCCGATGGTGGGGACGTGCTAATCATGAATAACCCGGAGATTGAGACACAGGAGCGGCGCAAGCAATTCGCTAGGAAGCAGGACATCGATGTCGCACTAGCAGCTTTACGAACGGAAATGGAGGAGCAATATTCGGAGCATGAACAAGCGCTGCAAAAAGCAGTTTGGAAGGCAATGAACTCGGCAGTGATTGGCCGCGCTGAAAAGATTACGCTTCTTGAGTTGTGCGGTACCATGTTTGATGTTGCTGATAGATGGACGGTCACTCTCAACTTCCCAAGGAGGTGGAGGGTCACCCGTCCAGTCAAGATCCAGCCAGGCAGAGTAAGTATATGCATTCCGCAAGATAGGTTTTTAGTACTAACACTCGTTACAGCTTATGGTCAACTTCAAGTCGTACTACAAGACAGGGTTACCGCAGATCAAGCCTAAGGAAAAAGAGCCAGAGAAGGAGAAGGAGCCCGAGAAGGAGAAAGAGAAAGAAAAGGAAAAGGAGAGAGAACCGCAGCCGCAGCCGCAGCCGCAGCCGCAGCCGCTGGCTCGACCACCAGAACCTAAGCGTCTGATCGTCAACATGAAGAGCGGCGGCTCTGCCAAGATCAGTAAATCAGTGCCCTCAGCCTCTCGGCCTGTCTCAACTACACCCCGCCCTCTTCCGCCGTCGGCTGCGCAAAGTCCCAAACCAGCCTCGGCGCCTTCGCCGGTTCCTCGAGAAGCAGACTCGATTGTTGCATCAACAATCAGGAAGGAGACAACACCCAAACCTTCAGTTGCGAAGCCCTCCATATCGAAGCCCTCGCTGTCCAAGCCATCCGTGGTCAAGCCTTCAATCTCCTCCAAGCCTTCCATTTCCAAGCCATCCGTCGTCAAACCCACGATCTCAAAGTCATCGGTTGCGAAACCTATGGTGTCGTCGGGTTCGATTTCTGTGCAACGGAACGGAAGTGCCACGCCGCAGCCTACATCTTCGTCTGATACGCCCAGCAGCAAATCACAGAAGCGACCACGGCCCGACAAGGGCCCGGGGGTTGACGACGCGTCTCCGGTTTTGAAGAAGGCAAAGCTAAACATCAGGCCCGACGGCACGATCCCGAAGCGACGCAGAATGTTCCGGTTTAGGCACCCCAACTTGAAGTCGATTTTGAAGAAGGCCGGAGTGGTCTCGCAGATGCCGCCCCTGAGAGACCCATCGCAGATCAAGCCTCGCAAACCAGCCTCACCGTTGACCTCTCGCGGTTCTCCTGCCGCGTCCCCGGCCCCTTCTCAGTACGAGAGCAGCATTATGGCAAAACCGGCTCGCAAGCCCCTACCGACAGGATCTGGTCCAGGCTCCTCGGGGCCAGCGGCTAGTCCACCAACACCAGCGGCATCTCTTCCACCAAAACCCCCACCACAGGCGTCTCCACCACCAGCAGAGGGCCAACCTGCTCCGAAGCGCGTCAAACTCGTCATTAAGAAGCCATCGTCATCAGCGCCGCCAAAATAAGAAAAGAAAGGAGCACTCCCAGAAGTGGGACAGTCAAGGGTGGGACCACATTTATCTTTTATGCCCGAAAGCGGGTTATAAAAGTCTCGCAGGACCTGTTTTAGCACAAATTTCTTTTTCTTGCTTTTTCTCGCGTTTATTTTACTTTTATTCCATTTTTAAACCCCGTATGTTACGCCTCCCGAGACATCACAAAAAGCATCACCGGGCGTTAGGTCTTGGGGCAAATGGGGGGTGGCGGATCGGGTACAGCGGGGGGGTGCTGTGCGAGCTAAAGGGAACGAAAGCCGGAGATGGAGAGCAAAGGGAGGGGCGGGAAGGAAAGAAAGCGTGATGATGCCACCGTATCGGCTAGCGTATGTATAAGTATTCTTCGGGAACAGGCAAACAAAATCTTAATGATACCCTCGACCTCCCCCCCTTTATAGGACGTACCTATGTTGTTCTATGAACGGTTTGGTTTGGACGTTTAATTAGGAATGTCCCGTCCAACTTGGTCTCGTAGTCTGACTCTCTTCCCGTGCACGTATCGTAATCCTGGTATTTATCCCATCTCGAAGAGTTGCGGGTTTCCGTACTTTTAGGATATGAACGTGAATCATATTCACGGGAGTAATCAGTTGTCAGTCAGTATTGATTGCTTGTGGATTATTTTCATGATCAACTAGTTGAGGCAAGTGTTCCAAGTTCAGCATCAGAGTGGTTTGTTTCTTCGTCTTGCCTGACCGGACGCTTCACCAGTCAGTCACACATTGAAATTCCCAAACAGCCACATCACCAGGAATCCCAGCATAAAGAACACACTAGAGTTGGCATAGAATCGCATTTCTACGTTCACTCCTTGGGAGAAAAAAAAAAAAAAGCCGACTGTATCTGAGTCCTGAATTTCCACCGTTTTATCTCGGGGTTTAAAAATGAGGTCTTGCTGGTTGTACACGGAACCCCTTCTACGTCCAGAACAAGCAGCAATAATAGCGCCGTGTCCTTTTTGTTGGTGGTTGATATGCTTACATAGAGAAAGTTTTCGCTCCGGAAAAAAGACTGAACAAGAGAAAAAGAAAAGAGATGTGGTAGCCAAGTGCAAAGCTTCGTCGTGACCTCCATTGATCCCCAATATGTCACCTTTATCCACCCCGCCCTTTCCAGTCCGTTAAACGCCAGATGTTTTTTTTTTCCTTCTTTTTTTGATTGCAGCAGCGAAGTGTGCAAGCTTGTGGGGAAAACAAAGTGCCGCCCGCCTGTATTGGTGATAGCAATAATATGAAGAGCTTCTTGGCTCTTATTCAAGTGTCACAGTCAAAGGGGAAATAAGAGAGTATTATTAAGGTCAACGGTAACAAGGTCGATTAGTGTGAGTGACCGTGGCTGTGGCTGTGATCGTCATGACTGTGGGCGGAGTTGCTGCGAAGGCTGCTGCCACCCGCATTTGAATCCGTACAGCAACCCTTGCCAACGCAGTCTTCTACACACTCGAGAAGGCAGGCCTGCTGGGGAGAACCGAATGATGTCGCAGCACCGTCATATTGAAGGGCACGATGAGCGTTTTCGGGCTCTGGGTAGTCTTTGTCGCCGCAAAATTCGGGTTGGATAGTGGCGGCGTGGATGCCATAGGCATGGAGGCACTTTCGGGCCCGCTTGGCAAGCTCCATGTACTTCTCACCGCCCTCGGCCGAGATAGGGAAGCTAACCTGGACGTGCATCGAGGCAACAATCTTGGTATCAGAGAGCTGCCAGATGTGTACGTGATGGCAACTGATAACACCCGGCAGGTTTTGAATATCTTCACGGATCTCGTTAAGGTCGATGTGGTCGGGAGTGGCTTGTAGGAGGATCTTGGAAGTCGCCTTGGTAAGGGGAATAGCAGATCTGAGGATGATGAGAGTGATGAAGAGAGAGACGGCAGGATCGGCGTAGAAGCGACCAGGCCAGTCGGTCAGCCAGATGATGAGCGCAGTGACAATGACTCCGACGTTGCCCAGAGCATCACCGATGACGTGAAGAACCATAGCGTTCATGCCCATGTCGCCATGGTCGTGACCGTGACCGCCCTTTGCCTTCTTTCTCTCCTTGTTATGGTTGTGGTTGTGGTGCAAGCTTGACTCTCTTCTTGGGCGTTTGGAGCCGCAGCGGCCACGGGGTTGCTCGATCACGTAAGACTTGTTGTTACCATTAGACTTGAGCAGGGGCGACTCCTCGTCAGGCTCGCCGTCATCAATAGCATTTTCCTCCACCTCGCTCTCGCTGGTCGACTCCTGGCCGTCGAGTTGGGGCTGGCTGGCTGCGATGATTTCCTGGCGGAAGCTAGAGGGGTGGATACTGATGTCATCAATGCTAGTGAGACGCGCGTGGTGGCGGTTGCCGGTCTTGCGGCGGTCCTGACCCTTGGAGGTAGAAGCACGGCTAGAATATCGGCCGGAGGGGTCTGACTCCCTCTCGAATCTAATGCGGCGTGGCGTCTCAGGGCCGGAGGTTGCTTTGGCGACAACAGCCTCAGGGAGGACATCCCCAACATTGCCATCGTCGTCGCGGGCGGCGTGGTCGGAGACATTAGTGGCGCGGCCTTCCTCGGCAGCGTGTTCATCGGAGTGGGCATGTGCGTGATCGTGGTCGTGGTCGTCATCGCCGTGATCGTGATCATGGCCACCATGGGAGTGACCATGGCCACCGAGAACGAAGAAGCCGACGAGGTTAGAGGCGAGGCCGAAAGAGCCGACAATTAGAATGAGCTTGGGGTTGTCGATCTCGGGAGGGTCGAAGAATCGGGTAATGGCTTCGAGGATGATGGAGACGCAGAGGGCAATCAGGAAAACGGCATTGAAGAAAGCACCGAGGATTTCAGCTCGAAGCCACTGTGAAATTCTAGTCAGCTGCGTGTTTCTTCGCGCAGGGGGAGGAGTTTGGATCGACTTACGCCGTAGGAATACTTGTCGGTCGTGGCCTTTCTCGCAACGGCGACAGCCCAGAGCCCGACACAAAGGGAGATGATGTCGTTGAGCTACGTCGGTTAGTGATGCGTCGCACATACAAGGATTCGGCCAAACGTACCATATGGAAGGCATCTGCCGTCAGGGCCAGCGACTTGACAATCAGACCAACAATTAACTCAACCAGGAAGAAGACGATATCAATGCCCAGCATGATGCTGATCCGCGTTGACTTTGACCACGCCATGATGGGCACAAGTCGTTGTCGCCGCGGATAATAGAACTTGAGAAGAAGTGGAAAAAAAGGATAAGAGAGCTCCAAGAGCTCTATAAATTAATAGGTTGAGCCAGTAAGTAATTGTTGACGGGAGATGCAGTCGCTGTCGCCCTGAATGTTGGAGATAGAAATTGCGCAGGCGGAATCGAGAGGGCGACTGGGGGTAAGGGAAGAGGGGCGCTGGCAGATTATATTTGATCAGGTAGGATCTCTGGCAGGCAAAATTAAGTTTTTGGACAGGGTGGAGGGTGGAGAGCGCCAGACAACGCACTATGCTATCTGAGGGCAATTTCGAGCGATAAGCCAAACTCGCAGGACTGAGGACGGCAGTCACCAAGTCGAACGTGTGTGTGTGTCTGTCTGTCTAGGTATTCAGTTGCCTGCTACGCTCCAACTTTCACTGCTTATACCGTCTAGCTGCAGATGGTGGCACACAGTGGCAGATGGAGAGAAAAGATTGGAACGCGGTCAGACTAGCCCAGTGCGCAAGTTCCTGGTTCCAGGTGGGTATTATGACGGTATTAGCTTTTTTTTTTTTTTTTCAATGTTTTGCTTCTTTTTATGGTCACTCGCCTCACTGTTGCGGAGGAATTCGGGGGTAAATTGTTAAAGCTCTTCAGGCACATAACCCTGTAAAAGCAGGCGCCTAGCACCTAGCAACAACAACAAACAAATGGAATTGGTCAGAAGGCGAAATGAGAGGCGTATGCCAGAAGAAAACAGACAGGCTGAGGGGTGCAAAGAACTTTTGAGGGCGTATTAACTACATGTTGTCTTCTTCTTTCAGAGACACAAGGGAGAAAGAGACGCGCAGGGAGGCGAGGGTTTGTCTCGGAAGTACGGCAGGTATGGAAAAGAAAAGAGGAAAACATTCTGCAGCCATGGCTGCTTGCCCGAGCTGAATAATGTTTCCCCTTTGTTACGGAAGCATAGGCAAAATGTATATTTCTTCGGAGCTGCATCGGTCGTCCGCCTCGTGAAGCTGCCACCAAAGCTCAAAGCTCAAAGCTCGGGCTCCGGACTTGAGTTGGAAATACTAAGGCTGGCTGCGTGCGAAGACACGACATGAGGGACGGGTACCAGAGGCACAGTACAGTCAGTACAAAGTTAGTCAAAGAGGCAACTTCGCATCTGCTTGCATTAGGGGTTGATGATGCAGCATTACCAAAGCTTCCTTCGGGGTCTACCAACGCCTCTACCTTCCCTTTACTAAGTAGCACCCTTCTTATTAGTGGGCTCCAGTGGGCTGACTACGACGGGTTCTGCTCAGCCTGTGTCCGTTGCGATCGGCCTCTGATTGGTTTGAGCTGGTACTAGAGCCACCGCGCCACGGTGTATCTGAGCACCCCCAGCTTTCTCCACTAAACGCATTCATACCATGCCGCAGTAGTAAGTGTCTCATTTTTTTTTGTCTCCCCCAGTTGCCCTTCGTGCCCTTCCATCTCCCTTCCCAGTTCAACAGTTTCTGCAACACACTGTCACTTAGAAGGCAAGTGCAACCTCAGGTTCGGATCGGAGTACGGATATCGTACCATCCTCGTGGGTTTTTCGGCTCGGAGTAATACTGTCGGGTACCATCAAACCACAACCTTGCCATAAAAAGGCCCCCAACACGACACAACAATGTACGCATGCATACCGTCATGGGTGTCGATCGATTCATCCCAGAAAACATTGACGCAATCCTGGCTTACGAAACCCCGCCCGATTTCGGCACCATACCAGTTTCGATTTCTGCAGTGTCGGTTATGGCAGCTTTAGGTAGGCCGCTCGCACATTCACCACCTCGGATGTCTCCTCCCCAGTTCCCCGGCCCCACATGTCGGTCTAAGTTCGGGCGGCCATCTCGGGATCCGTTGTGGGACGTACATCGGCTCCGTTTCCTAAAACCTCTCAGATCCTGACACCGAATCGGTTCGGCATCAAGGGTTTCCAGCTCACTTGCTCTTTTCTCTTTGGCCATAATGCGTGACCTTTTTAACTTCTGAAATTTCTGCGTCGACAGCAAACAGGATGAGATGGGTTGTATTCCTCTAGATGTTAGTAAGGAATTTGCTGGTTGTTCCTTCCAAACTTACCCACAGCTGTTGCGTGTTTCTCGGTTTATTTCTACCATGTGAGTCCCACATTGAGAGCAAACTTGATCAAGCAGACGCATGTCGCTCCTATTTTGCAGTCCACATGCTCATAGAAAGCGGATACCTTCTTTACGCCAAGACACGATGCCACTTCTGGCCTCGGTTACTTCAAGAGACCACCGGCCCTACTGATGGACTTGGTGAGAGAAACTGGCTTAGCAGCCTATTTCGTCTAAGATTGGCGGAAACACAAAATTACAACAGCGCTGAGAGCAATGCCAGCTGCACTGATATTAGGATAATGGAGCCGAGGTATTCCTCTCTGGATATTCAGGACCTTGACTGCCTTCGAACCAGTATCACCTGCGTACAAATGTCCTGAATGAACAGGCATTATTTCTTCACCGCGCCTCTCAGTTCGCTGTGCGCCGCCACCATAGCGATGGCCTCGGCTGGCTGGTTTATGATGGCATGCAATTTTACGGATCCGATGCATTGCCAGTGGGTTTCGTACTCGAAAAGGACTCTTTTAACTTTACGGAGAATCCAAAGTCAAGTCTCGAGTCAAAGATGGCCACCAAACTCTCCGCCATTAACCTATTGGAAAGTAGGACCACGAGCATACGGATAAGTACAGGCCTATATCGACTAGGGCAATCATTTTTATAGTCAACAGGCGAACTGCAGATGATTCAAGGCCCTGGAAACTTGATGTCTAAATATTTCTCACTTTCATTTCCAGCCTTTATTTCACCGTTGTGACGAAATGAAAGACCTCATCATCCCACTTAAGACAAATCTATGAAATATTCAGCATGAAACTCCAATTCGAGACGCAGGAACAAGTAGAGAACGTGGCAGGTGTGTCGTAGGCGACACTCACTTCGCCTACGACAAGCAAATGTCACCCTAACGCCGTCGGCTCATTCGCAACAGGACTATATTGACGCCTGCGACCGAGAGAAAGACACAGACGGTGGAGGAAACACACATGGTTTCCCCGTGCATACATAACACGAGAAACTACAAGGTAGCGGATGGCTTGAGAGGCGTTACGCTGCTTCGGCGGATGGCTGACTGATCTACTACGCGCAGAGCCAAATGCATCCCCACGGTTTATTGACATGTTCTTGGAAATCTGGATTTGAAAAAAAAAAAAAAAAAAAAAAAAAAGTAAATGTTATTAGATAAACGGCTCAGATGTGTATCCAGAATACAAGGTTCACATTTTTGCTTATTGTGTCACGAGGGACATGATATGGGAGCTGTTTTCCTTCCCAATATCTCCCGCCGCGAGAAATATTCTCTGTCACACTCTTTTATGTCTTGAACTCTGCACAGGGCTGATTATTTCCACTTGAGTATTACGAAACATGTCAAACATGGCACTCGTGGCGTTCCAACATCCTTGGAAACCTGAAAGCACAACCGGGAAAGACGGGGAGCAAGACGCCCCCGGCTCCCGTAGTCCCAGCCACATAACCACTTAAGAGCTTCTCAGCAAGCCTCGCCAAGGAGAGAAGAATGATAAAACGGCCCATTCGTCAGCCCATATGACGGGTATAGGAAAAGACTATTTGCAACGCCAAACTTGTGAAGATAGTTCGTGGACACAAATAGAGTTGCGAAAAAAACCAAGATATTTGCAAAGTATATTCCTGTGGCGGCAAACCACGAAACATGATGCACTCGTATTTCTAACATTGCAGCTAGAGTTCGGGTAGTGATGGCCGCGAGAGATTTGACTGCGCCGCGCCAAAGTTCGTAATTGCGCTGGTGGTGATAGACTCTCTGTTCTTGAAGACATCGAGATCCTCCCGCATCGAATGTCTGCTCTGCCGCGTCCTCTCGTGTGCTGCTGCCAGCCAGATCGAAGGCAAAGCCTGCCCACTTCCTGGACCTACCAAAAGTGCGAAATGATCTGCACGATATAAAAATTAAAAAAAAAAAAAAAAACTTCAAAACCTACACATCGTCAAAAGCAAAATGTCGTATACTCAAGCCACCGTCCCATACACCACGAGCAGGACCGATAAAATGCGCCACTTCCGGGAGACGAAACACGGCGCCTGCTCGCCTGGTCACCTCCTCTGTTCCAAAGACGCAGATAGCAAGACATCAAACGGCGCAGACCGCCCTGCCACAGCCCTCTTCGCGCTCATCGAGTGCCTCCTGCACGTCAACGCCGCGCCACACTGCCGGCCATCAGGAAAGACAACGCCGCAGTGCCGCTCAATGTCGACCGGGTCTGTATTAAGATATTTTTAGTATTGATCAACTATTGAAAAGTATGGTACTGATGCAAAGTACCTCTGCGTCTGCGTCTGCGTCGTCTGCCTGCAGGTACCGGTGAGGGAACCGCACGCTCACCGAGTGGAGCGCTGCCGTCTGCTGCGTCCGCGGTACCTTCCGGGGAGACGGAGTTCATTTGGTTGCAATACAATCGAGATCGGCAGTGTGACTGCTAGTTTCTGTTAATTAGCCTTTGCAGCCGACGGGACTAGGTTCTTCAGACTATGCATGATTACCTCTAAGATGGTTTAAGGAGGAGAGCCAAGTGGCGGAACCGCAGGATGAGCTTTTAAGATTATAACCGACCTTAGGTAATTTGACTGTGGCGAACTGGGGGATGGGTATATAGTAATGGAATTCTGGATGAATTCGAAAGATTAATTAAATACCAAGGATAAGTTGGGAATCAGCACGTGAGCTTCTGCCTAGGAGCCGGCAAATCGGCGTAGGGTCGGTAATACGTACCCACTCCTCCGGCCTGCCCGACTCGGGTCCGAAAGAGGCCGTCTGGAGTCGAACCGGTCCAGTGGATAAGAAGTCCGGGATAGCGTCCGCCATTGGTGACTATGGTGGGATTCTTGTGAACCGTAACATCCATAGATAGTGGCTTTCACGAATATACTCATGGTGATTGCCCCCATCACACCGATCCGGCGTATTTTTTTTTTTAAAAAAGACATGGATAGCCCAGCTCGTTTGAAGTGAAACGCGGCAAGCTAGCCTCCGCATCATATATCTGAAATGATTCCTAGTAACGTCTTTAGAGCAATGAAGTAAGAAGCCTGTGGTCTCCGCATCTGTCTATTGGTGGATCATCTTGGGGAATTGTGTCGGTGGCTCGCCAAGACATGGTAAAGACGTGGAACCGTGATTAGAGGGTGCATCTATGCGCCCTAACAAGGGAATCTCTACCACCTTGCGTTGAACTGCAATCAATATAAACGGCTAGTTTTTAGTCTGCAGGCTCATATTATCCTTATTATCTCGGTCGCTGCGTAGCTGTTGCGATCACCAGTAACTTAGATAATGGAGTATGGCGATTCATCTGTGTCTAGTAGCGAGCAAAGACAAGCCATGCTTGATGAAGCGAATTGCCCATTTCGCTCTTTGATATTCAACGTATTTCGGGTGGATAAACCCGACCTGACGCCAACATAAGATCAATAAGCCAGGTGAGTTAGTCGCTGGATGATTCTTTGACGACGTCGAGTGCAACTAAGAGACCGAAGAATAGAACAGTGAGCTGACCAAGTTAGCAACGTGTGGTCTGAAAGCAGTTCATTAAAAACTGCAAGACATGACCTGTGGGCATACCGCTAGAAACCCCAAGGCAAGCGACATGACTTCAAATCCGCCAGCAATTGCCTTTCCCCGGAGCATCGCATGCTGAAGCCTCCAAACGCGACAAGCTCCGAGGAGTGTCGTACACATAGAGAGCCCATAGCATACGGAGGCTAATGGCTTGCCGACCATGGTGTAGCCGAACCCTGAATCCGATTGTTGCAAGGCGAAGAGCTGGGCGACAATGGTTCCAAGGATGGCGGTGACTACTCCAGTGCGGAGGTATGCTAAGAAAGTCCGCTCAAGAGCTGAACAGCACGAAGCATGGTCTGTTAGCGATGGAACAGGCATATAGTTCGAAGTGAGCGGAGTTGGATCGGACACCAAGATAGCTCGGAGATTTCGGAAGAGCGTCCCGGCTCAGAACATCTTGTGCTTGCCTTGCCTACATGACACTTGTATAATGGGCAACCCGTAAAGTCAAATAATGCTGAGTAGGATCTGTTTGCCTGAACAATCAGAATGATTGAAGACTTAAAAACCTTGGCAACTGGCCAGAGGCGCGTTCGGAATATGTCCAACGGTCATTCGCGTGATTACGATGTAACTTCGTATGCCACTATCTGGACTGAACAGGATTTTGGACACGCAAGACTTCCACTGTGCCGGACGGAGGACTTTGATAAACACTTGTTCAATGTAATCAAACCGAGAGCGTTTCTTGGTTTAGAGACATGGGCGCATTAATCTTCCAAGCAATTATTCCCTGACCAAGATATTGCACCCAAGAGCCGTAAAACAGCAAGGGGTCGCCAGGCTCATTCAATGGGCTAGGGGTCCTCCGAGCATCTATGCCCTTCACCATTACAGATCCTTCCCGTGAAACCGGGACAAGGTTACATGAAGGAGGAGAAGATGCGGAGCTGTCTTCCGAACCTAATCTCGACATTCTTACAAGGCGAGACCCCACTTGGGTAGATGGATAATGACAGAAGGAATGCTCTTGGTACATACCCAAGTGGTCGCGACATGTATCGAAGTCAACTACAACGCTGACATGTTCTTTCCAAAAACTTCTAACAATGCCTTGTTTGTTTGGTGTAGTCGGTTCTTGGGCCGATGATCCTGTGTTTGAAGCCGGTGTCCCTTCATCGACTGCTTCTGATGCATACAGGTCTGCTGATGGTTGTTGCTCGTCCTGATGCTTCTCGCGACATTGGGCCTCGTCATTTGTCATACTATGAGTCTCTCTTCCGAGAGCTTGCGGCTCCCGAACCTGCATTTCGTATTCAAACATGGCTGGTAGTGCAGCGCCATGCGGGAATAAGCTGAATGACCTGGACGAATGGTGCAGATCAATCACACCCCGGTCCGAAGCCAAGACAACACCGCTGCGGGATTGATTATTGGAAGATTGCAGCAAGAGTTCGATTTTCTCGGAAACATGCAAAATCTACTCTTCGGGGTGCGACGGAACATGAATGTGGTGTGGTGGTGTTATTGTGCTGCAGTGTCGTAGCATCAGCTACTGCAGGTTTTCCGGCGTGCAGGTGTTCGGACAATTCAAAACGGATTATAAGTGGCTGACTATGTCGATATGTATTTTCCAGACTATTCATGAAGGATAGTGGTGTGAAAAAAAAACAAGGGTGATCAGGTTCACTGAGGACGCTGTCCCGGTTATGGGACAGGATAACCGGCAATCGGAAGCGGCAACGGTGAGAGGCCAATTCTTGTTAAGGAGCAAAACGGACGGCTGCCGGTGGTAAAGAATAGCTTCCGGGGAGAACTGGGCCACCCGATTGCGTGGTGGCCGAGAAGCGTGCGAGTCCAACGCGGTTCACCGGGCAAGGATGAGATTGTGAGAAGATCAGGCAACAAGGACCATTCCCGTAATTAGCATAGGTCAATGTAGCCCAGGCTGCCCTGTACAAGCACTTAGATGAAAAGGGAAGATATGCTAGAGAAGCTGAAGAGCGCCGACGCCCGTTTGTTGACATGCGGAAAATGCTTGGATAAACTTTCGTAATAATTACGAAGTCCTCCTGGACGCGGGGCTGGGAGGTGGGAGAATGTTTCTCTTCACGGAAGCGATCAGAATCGAATCCGAAGACGACACCAAGGAATGTAGGGCCGAAATGAGTGAGACACAAATTCAAATATCTCCCAGAAATTATTTTGAAAGCCCCATAAGGCGGGTTTGGGGGTCTTTGCTTGGAAAGAAGTACCAAAGATTTTCGATGGAAGGCACTAAAAGTAACCCGGAACATGCCCAAGGAAGGAACCGCAGAGGAAAACCTCCGGCCGGCAAATCGGACAACTTAGGCATAGAAGTAACAAATGCAACCTGCGGTCGTTCCTCCCATGCTGTCCGCGCCTTATTCAAGCATCCGGATGCTCCTGCTTTATTTTCCCTTGATTTCTCCTCATGGTCACGGGCTTGAGGTTGGAAGGGAGGAATAGTGAATTGTGGGGCACGGTAGCAGTCGCAGTAAGCACCTTCCCCAAAATGCAAGTCACCTATGATCTCCTCCCGCGATGCTTCGTGCGCCCAGCCACCCTGCTTCGGTGGGTTATAGAATACTGAGTTACCGGCCCGGCTAATCCAAGAGATAGGTTTCAAGCTTCTTATATCACTTATCGTGGTCGAGTTTGCATGTGAAGTTCCAACGGGGGCGGAGCAACCGTTACCTGTCATTCTGTGTTGTATCAAATGGGACGAACTATCACCATGGAAATGGCTGGCTGAACCGGTTCCTGGAACGCACATCCGTTGCTCACCTGAGATGCAAACTGACAAGCAGAGAAAATGGACGAACTCTATTATCGACCTCTTTCTGAGGCTTCATTCATCCCTTTGATGAAAGGGGCACGATGCAGCGGCAACCCTCCGCTGACCCATGATGCAGCTCAACCATGTGCATCAAGCGAAAATAGCCCAAACAACTTATCATTGAAGTATTCGGCCATATGTTGCCTTGACCCAATATGTTCGACATGCGCCAGCCTCAGAATAAGATGCACCATATTATTGCTGCTTACCTCGGGGCCGCACTTTGCCAAGCCGTCGTCAGGCACCGTCAAGCATGACACCGACCTCGAGTGGACCCTCCAATTTCTTCATGGGGCATCCTGCCTGCGAAAATGATCATCTCTGCCGTTTTCCTGTGCCAGATAACGGAGGCTCATGGACTGGCTTCTGGTTCACGGAAACTGAATTCACCGTACCTCCTGCAATAGTAAACTTAGACCGGCAGATGGCATGTCAAAGGCGAGGTTGGTCATTGTTATCAATTTAGCTTCTGTGGCTCGCGACGTGTCATTGCATCCTCTTTATTTCTATCGCAAGCATTGGTTGGTCGATGCACTTTCAACCGAGCCTTGACTGATCGAATCGATGAATCCTAGCTGCCGCATCACGGATGTAATCTATTGCCACGCCAAAGCCCCTTCGACTTTGCAATAATCGGAGTCGATGGCAGATCCAGGGCTCAGACTAAACTTCTCAGTAGGGTCCTGCTGGGGATCAAATGGCCAGCAAACTGTAAGCAAACTCACAGTACAACGTAATTACGGACAGTACAGGCTCAAATGCCGTCTCTCTGGGACTCGGAATTCGGACCCCACACCCTTACCGTCGCCCTGGCATTTTCTTTCCGGCCAGCCAATCCGACGGAGCCGTTAGGGTAACCCGGGCCGCCGTGCCGTCATCTGGGTCTTTCATCATCGATCCCCGGGGTTAACGCAGGAAAAGCCACCGTGGATCTCGATATCCTCCTGTGAGCCGTATGCAGCCCCCTCCGCCCTATCCTACTGGATGTTGTTTTCTCGACAGCGCCGCCACGTCGATGAGCTTCGAAGTGGCCAAGTGCAATCATTTATATCTCTCACCACTCAACTGCGCAGCATGCCGATCCGTTACGGATTCTGGAAGCTTGACGGATACCCTGGCAGCCAGGTTATCTGTCGTGCACATAACCACTATCATAATCTCGTATTAGTGTAGCGAAGTTACGGGCAGAGAGCCAAGGTACAGCATGCTAGCTAGGATCCTTTGCGACGTAGGGCCGTCGGAAGGCGTTGCCTACCGCATTGCAATGCCTGCTGCTTCTTTGCTATTGGTTCTGTGAGAGACCAGGAAGCAGTGCAATCAGCAAATGCACTCGTCAGACGAAGATGTTCTGTCAGCTGGCCCTATTCATACAAGAGCTTCTTCTACTAGCAGCGTGGTCATTCATTCAGTACCATCAGCAGGGCATCAATACGCTCTTATGAAACCGTCGTGGGTAATTATCGGACAATTGCGACGAAGGCTAGCCTGCCCGAGTATCCTTGAAACTTCAAATACACGGCGATGGGATCCGGCCAGCCGGGGGTCCCGTCCTGGCGTGTGTGGGGATTAACATGTGGAACGACTGTGGGCATGCCGAGCTGAGATCTTGGTTGCCTACAGTAGACAGCGGCTTTCCTCTGGATCTGAGTAGCGATAAGACGAAGTCAATAGTGACTCTTCTATGCATGTGCAGCGGGAGTGCGTGAAATATCAGAAGGGAGTTGCCACCGTGCAAAAGGTTTCAAAGAGATCAACAGGGGCGATGGCTTCGAGAAAGTTGGACTTCGATTTCACTGCGCCTTTCCATTTTGGGCTACCAACTGTGGTTCCATTAGTATCTTTTGTGGCAACGCTTGGTGATGTTGCGAATGTGGCAGCCAGGTACGTTGCTATACTAAAAAAGGTCACAGCAAAACGGTCTTGGACACCCAAATGGATAGAATATGGCTAACGTCACCCCCTGAAGTACCCAGGGAATTAAAAAACAAGCAGGCGATGGCCCTAATCCCCCCACTCACCCAAGAAATTCTCAGGCAGTTGTCAGCCAGTTTAATGCACTCCCCCAACAACCAACCCCAACGCGCTCCTTTCGACCTGCCTAGCTTCAACCGCTCAAACGGTCCGTTCCTACCGATGTGGCTATATCGCCCAGAAAGCGGTAATCAAAGGCTCAGCACCACCGGAGGGCAGGCATGAACCTAGCATGGGAGAGCATGACCGGGTAGCAGATGTCAAGTGATACGACTCAAAGCAGCTCCAATATCTCCACTCCCCTCGCTCTTGGCGGCTTCGCGGCACTCCTCACCTGCAGACGACTCGACTTTGATGCCCTGGTTTGGTGATGGGAGATCTCCCCATCCCAGTTGCTAATGTTGCCATGCACCACCAGGTGTCCCGTTTCCAGTATTAACGGACGGAGAAATGCCCTCAAAGAGTCGATAGGTTGCCAATTGAGCTTCCGTTTGCTATTTACCTGGGTGAAAGTCACCCTCCGTCACGACATCCTATTCCTCATACGTCGAGCTCTACGGTATCTTTTCTTACATGGTGCACTTTATTGCCCACCCCCTCCAGCCCTTCCCTATCGCTTCGTTCCTTATTTGCTCTCTGCCGTTCGTTAGCCCATATTGCCTTTGTGTCCAGTGATCATCATTCATTTGCACCGGTTAAAGGTCGGCCACTGGCGAGCACTTGCACACACCTCAGGCCTAATATAAGTCTTACATGAATCCACCACCGTCCCTGTACCTAACCCTCCCCATCTCGTCAACGCCAAATCAAGAGCCAATTTGCGACTTAGCCAGGTCGACAGATAGACGACTTTCGGGGTTTAAAGAAGTAAACCCTCAGCCTTTCGTTTGCTCAGTACCATTTTTCTGCCGTCACACACTGGGCTGACGCTCAACCACGTGGATGCCTCGCCACGAACCAGCACTTTAACCCACCATCACTTGGCTAAACAGAGGTGTTTATTGCAAAATACATTCTTTCTTTGTTTTAAGGGAATCTGTTACTGTCTTTCAGAAAGAAAAACCGCACTCAGTCGCCAAAATGAGTAGTCTGGTTTCTCAGTCCGAGTATCATGAGGTTGAATCACCAGCATCACCCCCTGAGACCGAAATGACCAATTCAACACCCAACACGGAGTTTTCTCCGCCATATACCCCTGAACAAAAGGTGCAGCAGTTGATGAAGGACACAAGAACTGCTGCACGGAAGAAATTGGGGCAGCTAACACTCGAAGAGAAGGTTCGATCAACCTAGTGGCTGCTTACACGTGGGGGATTGACACTAACCCTTGTCAAGGTCTCGCTACTTACAGCCGCAGACTTCTGGAGAACGAAAACCATCCCATCCAAGAACATTCCCGCAGTTAAAACATCAGACGGACCCAATGGTGCTCGCGGAGGCATTTTCGTCGGAGGAACCAAGGTTTGAACAAACTATTATGCTGATAGTATCAAATTACTGACGGGGGGACAGGCTGCCCTTTTCCCTTGCGGCGTTTCTCTGGCAGCCACATGGAACAAGGAGCTGCTCTACGAAGTCGGCCAGCACCTGGCTGACGAGACCAAGGCTAGGTCTGCCAACGTTCTCCTTGCGCCAACGGTCTGCATGCACCGTCATCCTCTTGGCGGGCGCAACTTCGAATCATTCTCAGAGGACCCCCTTCTAACCGGAAAGCTGGCTGCTCAGTATATTCGTGGATTACAGGAGAAAGGAGTGGCAGCTACGATCAAGCGTTCGTACCGGCCCAGCGATCTTGATTAAGCAGAATTGCTAACATGCGGCAGATTATGTGGGCAACGAGCAGGAAACCCATAGGTTGACAATCGACTCTCTCATACAGGAGCGGCCACTTCGTGAGATCTATCTCCGACCTTTTGAAATCGCCGTTCGTGAGGCCAACCCCTGGGCGTTGATGTCCTCATACAATTTGATCAATGGTGTCCATGCGGACATGAACAACTTCACACTCAAAGATATTCTGCGAGGTGAATGGGGATATGATGGGTAAGTAAACATCTTGTTATTCTGTGTTATCCATATAATAATCTGCTCTAGAACCGTCGTCTCTGATTGGGGTGGCCTTAACTCGACGGTTGAATCAATCAGTGCGGGGTGTGATATTGAGTTCCCCTATTCCCCAAAGTGGCGATTTGACAAAGTCATTGAGGCGATCAACGAGGGCAAACTATCCCAGGAGGATATTGACCGTGCCGCTGAGAATGTACTCACATTGGTAGAGCGCCTGAAAGGCGATGACATGTCTGCCGAGCAATCAGAGAGGGAGGACAACCGAGAGTCGACGAGAAATCTTATCCGCAACGCAGGTGCTGAAGGCTTGACCCTCTTGAAGAACGACGGCGCTATCCTACCTCTCAACCCAAAAACAACCAAGGTTGCTGTGATCGGTCCCAATGCAAACCGAGCCATCGCCGGTGGAGGAGGAAGTGCCAGCTTGAACCCCTACTACAGAACGATTCCTCTTGAAAGCATTCGTGCTGTGTCCGAACAGAAGGTGACTTTCGCGCAAGGATGTCACATTTACAAATGGTTGCCAGTTGCATCGCCGTATTGCACTGAAAAATCAGGAAAGCCTGGTGTAGGCATCGAATGGTTCGCTGGAGATAAATTCGAGGGAGAGCCGGTCGTCATACAGAGACGCACAAACACCGATTTGTTCCTTTGGGATTCTGCCCCGCTCAACGAAGTTGGACCCGAGTGGTCCGCTATTGCCACGACTTACTTGACATCAAAGACTACTGGCAAGCACACCGTTAGCTTCATGAGCGTAGGACCCGGTAAACTGTACGTCAACGGCAAGCTCGCTTTGGACTTGTGGGACTGGACTGAAGAGGGCGAGGCTATGTTTGACGGCTCAGTGGACTACCTGGTCGACGTCGACATGGAAGCGGGCAAGTCGGTGGAGCTCAAGGTTGAGATGACCAACGAACTGCGACCAATTGCCAAGCAGAAGCAGTTTGGTATCACGCACAAGTACGGAGGCTGCCGAATTGGCTTCAAAGAGGAGGATCAGATCGACTTCCTCCAGGAAGCTGTTGACGCCGCCAAGGCCGCAGATGTTGCTGTTGTGATCGTTGGCCTTGACGCGGAATGGGAATCTGAAGGATACGACAGACAAACTATGGACCTCCCATCCGACGGGAGTCAGGACCGGCTCATCGAAGCAGTGGTGAAGGCAAATGCCCGCACTGTCGTTGTCAACCAATCCGGCACACCCGTGACCATGCCTTGGGTTGACCAAGTTCCCACCATCATTCAGGGATGGTACCAGGGACAAGAAGCTGGGAATGCACTCGCTGATGTTCTTTTTGGAATCAAGAACCCCAGCGGAAAGCTCCCGGTAAGTAATGTGTTTGACAGCCATAGAAGTTTTACTAATACATGGTAGTCTACTTTCCCTAAACGCATCCAGGATACGCCTGCGTATAACAACTGGCCTGGCGAAAACCTAAAGGTCAACTACGGCGAAGGAATTTACATTGGCTATCGTCACTATGAAAGAGCACTAATCGAGCCCTTGTTCCCTTTCGGTCACGGCCTGTCCTACACCACTTTCGAGTATGGACGCCCATCGATCAGCACAAAGACGCTAACAGCCCGAGGCACTATTGAGATTGTCTTTGCAGTTAGTAACATTGGCTCTGTGGCTGGCTCCGAAGCTGTTCAGATCTATGTGCGGGATGACAAGTCAAGACTACCCCGCCCGGAGAAGGAGCTTGTCGCCTTTGAGAAAGTGTTCCTCGAAGCCGGAGAGACGAAGCACCTCCACATCTTCCTGGACAAGTACGCCGTGGGTTACTACGACACGTCGGTCCCGGGATGGATTGCCGAGGAGGGAACCTTTAAAATCATGATTGGTGCTTCCTCCGCTGACATTAAGTAACTGACTTCCGTATGCCCCTGTCGAGACGCACACGCTAACCAGTTTGTAACAGGCACTCCGTCCAGTTTGAAGTCAAAGAGTCCTTCAGCTGGGTCTTCTAGAACTCGGTATCCTTTTCTCCGCGACATATACCACATTATTTCGTTTCTTCTAGTGATTGTTGATCTGATCACACTTTTTTGTTCCATGGTTGGATAGATGTTGGAAGGGGGGGGTTCGCATCCATGACGCTAGTGGTGGTTCTTTTTTCTCTCTCTCTCGGGACCACACAAGGTCCCATGTCGTTCTTTCAGAGCTTCTCCTCGGCCAGCAACATGCGGCAGGGCAGGAATAGAATGTTTACTTTTGAACGAGCATTAGGGTGAACTGTCCACGTCACCCATCTGTATCTACATGGGTTTGAGCGCCTTAAGAGGGCAGAGGAAAGGGGGTGAGACAGAAATACATCTGGCATCGTAGATGCATGAATTACGCCTTCGGTCCGGTAGCCACCCCTCTCAAAATGATGGGCTTCTGCAGGAGAGTCTCGTGACAGCTTGCTCGGTTTCGTTTCGTCCAATTCCCCCGAGGGGGCCCAAGGACCAAACCTCAGGACCAGCCGGTTTAGTCACGCTTGTTGACGGCCTGCGGCGCATCATACTGCCTATAACGGAAGACGGCAAGTGTTCGCCAGGTTCGTTCCGGTACCGTTTTAAAAGTAAGTGTGTAGACGGTGGAGGGGAGGGGGGTGGAATCTCGGGAGGCTTCCTCCATATTCCCAGAGCGGCTTGATGGCGGTGGGCTCCGGACCTTACCTTATCTTGCATCGTGAGGGGGGAGCTTAATGGTACCCTATCTTTAGGGTCAGCACCGTTACGTGTACAAGGTTTTGATTCCACCAATATAAGTATGCCATGGAGAAGTTGTGGATGTCCACGTGTGACCGTCGTGTTGGGGGTCCAAGATGGCTGTCAGACGAACTTCCTCGGGGGGGTTGAAAAGCTATCGCCATGGTGATGACGGGCTCCGTGGGGGAGGAGCAGCGTGATGTGTCCGGAATCAAGATTTGAAGTGATGGACTGGCGGTGTGTAAATTAGGCGTTTCATGGATCTCTTGTGATCGGGGGAGGGGCGGAGGGTGGTCAAGGGAGGAGATTGTTGCACCCACACAGATGGTCCAACGGATCACACCCCTTTTCTACCGTAGATAGCACACGCCAATGGATAGTACGAGATGGCATGTTCACTCCCAATATTGCAGCAACCTCCCCTCGGTAGCCGGCTGAAAGGGAGTAGTATCCAGGAAGGTCACGAGGGCGTAGGCTCCAAAAAAAAGTACCGTGCTGGTTGATTAGGTGGACGGGCGATGTCTCGGACCGGTCAGGAATTTTCTCGGCTCACGGTGAGGGCATCGATAGTTGAGATGGGCGCAGCGGCAGTTTCTAATCTCCTACTAGTGCTGTGAGGAGGTTGGCAATTTGGGCGAGAGAGTGGTGATGGCTTCATCTGCTGGTATTACGAGATTACCTAAGCCGCGTCACGTTGTACTAACGTCAAGTCCCCCCAGTTCCAAGGCTCCAGCTCCACGGCAAATAAGCCTGGGCTCTTACTGGAAATCGGCGGTATCATATCCCAGGAATATCAAGCCTTCTTTTCCTTCCCATCTGCAGAAACGGGTATACAAAGGATAAACATGAGGCATCCCTTCTCACTCCTGAATGGTCCGTGTTCCATGCCGGGTTTGCGGTATGCGTAGGCGCCTTTCTCCCAGCCCTGGCCGAGGCGGACATCATAAAGGTCGCCCTCGGTGAGGTAAATCTCCTCGACATAATCGTGGACGAAGATGGGCTGGCGGTTAGCGGCGCCGGGGGCCCAGCGTTGGAGGGTCGTGCGCCGGCCGGTGGATGGGTCGGCGTTTAGAACCATCTCGTCCACTCCGGGCTCCAGTTCGGTCCAGGTGCGGCTCGGGACGGAGGTTGCGGGGTGGAATTCGAATTGTTCCATTTCTGATGTGTTTTTTTTCAGGACAGTCTTTTGTTACTTGTATTATGATTCGTTGTTTTACAATTACTGGAGGTATTTTCCTAGCTTAACCATCTCAAACCGTGAATGTGCAATTTATATGTAATTCATCAGATTATTGACTTTTTATTTATCAATTTGCCGCTTGATGGGCAAATCCTGCTTGAGGGCTCACTTCACTTGAACTGTCCTGATTTCTAAGCTTGGGTGGTCAGCAGCTGTGGGAAAGACGTCATAGCTAATCGAAAAGTGCTTCCTGAAGGATTCGGAAGCCCTTTGACTGATGTTGGAGAAGCGGCGCTGCCTAGCCAAACTGGTCAGGCAGGGGTGCCCCTCAGAGATTCACGGGTCTAGACTAAGCACACAAAGGGGGGGAATATGATGCGCTCGGAATGTTCAGCGGAGAAGCTGAATTATGAGCCTCGTCGCCAAGCGCTTTGCTCTTGCGGGTTAGGCCAAACCCCCTAAATCGAGCGTCAGTGTGGAGCTAGCTTCCCTTTCCGATCTATAGTGGGCCATGCCACTTATGCTGGTGCTTCTTCCAGCAATGTTTCCAGTGCCCGTCCTAAGTTCGGTTCCCCAGCGGGGGCCTGGCTAGGACCCCAAGCTGCCAGGGCCATCCCGTGCTCATATCGTGATTCGTGAATTCGACAGCGACGCATCTCCTGCACCTTACCTTTATTGTCGCCACGCGTCTTCTCTCCTATCTACGTATTTCCTGTGATCTGTTCGTTTTACCAGCTCTCCGACGCAGGCGCCCGGCAGCCTTTCACCGAGCGACATTCGATCATTTTTCTTGTGTTTCCATTGATTTCTTTTTTTTTTCCACCTCTATTTGTTTCTCCCGAAACAGTACTAGACAACCTTCCCTTACTTCCTTCGCTTCCGCCGGCCTGGTACCATAACCCCCCATTCGAGACCGACCAACCCCCGGCTATTCTTAACGAACGAGACGATCGTGCAAGAGCTGCGAAAAAACCGCAATCCTACCGATACACACCCATATAAGCAAGCTTAGATATACGTTTGACTGGATTTGTACCGCCATTGTAATCCGATAATCCGAAAAAGGGAGCGTCGCAGGGGAATGGCAGGCGAGCGCATTACGACATGATGGCTTCGCCTCACAGCAATGGGTACGCATACAAGGGCAAATCGGCGGGATCCTTGCCCTTCCAACAAGATGAAGGCGGTTTCCGCGCCCGCCTCAGACCTGTTATCCACGCTGCAACACAACTACTGCGAACCATCTTGGCTTATTGGCAGACTCGCGGACGACGTTTGACGACCAACATGTTATGGAAGGCCGGCTGGCAACTGCGCCAAAACTTCACCGCGCGCCGTCTTTTCAGCTTTCCACATCTCTTGGTGCTAATGTGGATGCTCATACTGCTCTGGGGTGAGCGTTGGGTTTTCAGCAGTAGGGTTGCCGACTGTAGATGGAGCAATTGGGAGGATTGGGTAAGTTGGACACCATTGACGTGGGAGCGCATGATACTGACAATGGGCAGCCTTCCGGAACGAACCCTCACCGTCTTGTTCTCGTCGCTGACCCTCAGATCATTGACCCTCATTCCTACCCTGGCAGACCGTGGCCTCTGTCGGACCTTACCATACTTATAACGGATAACTATCTCCGGAGAGGCTTCACCCAACTCCAATCTCAATTACGGCCCGACTCCCTGTTCTTCTTGGGCGACCTTTTCGACGGCGGACGGGAGTGGAAAACTGGAAAGAGCGACTGGAAAGACCCCGATTGGGCATCCGCACGTCGGCCCAAGAACGAGCGCCCATATGTGCAAAAGTGGAATGAATATTATGGCGAAAAGTTCTGGTTGGATGAGTACGAACGATTTGGCGACATCTTCTTCAATGACTGGGCAAAGCTTGGCGGAACGAAGGCTGGCAACTGGCAGAGGGGCCGGAAGCTGGTCGCAAGCTTGCCGGGCAATCATGATCTGGGCTTCGGAGACCAGGTCAAAGTGTCGGTTAGGGAGCGCTTCGCTTCCTTCTTCGGAGACGTGAATCGCGTAGATGTGATTGGAAACCACTCCATCGTCTCTGTTGACAGCCTGTCGTTGAGCGCAAGCTCGTCGAAGCAGGCTGGTCAAACCGATTTAAGGCCCATACACACGCCGACAGACATCTTCCTTAAAGATGTCAAATTCACCAAGAGAAAGGCTGTGGAAAAAGAACTGCGCTTTTGGAGGGGTGACGTGGAAGGATTAGCTTACAATCACTTGGTCGAGGAGCTGGACACTGCAAACATGGACAATGTGCCGACCATTGCGCCGGGCGAAGAGGGTCCTGACTTTCCTACCATCCTTCTCACCCACGTGCCGTTGTATAGAGATCCTGGAACTCCCTGCGGCCCGTATCGGGAGCACTGGCCCCCGGCCAAACCGCCAAAGGGACAAAAGGGACCTGTCATACCAGACCATCGGAATGCAATCTCGGTTTCTGGCGGTTACCAGTATCAGAACGTTCTGAGCGAGGAGGACTCTGTCAAGCTTGTCAAGGATATCGGCAACATCGTACACGTCTTTTCTGGCGACGACCACGACTACTGCGAGCTTGTACACTCTCCTCAAAAGGAAAATGTGCGAGAAATTACGGTGAAGAGTATAAGCATGGCGATGGGAGTCCCCACCCCTGGCTTCCTCATGGTCAGCTTGTACAACCCCGTTGACGCCAACGGAAAGCCTCTTCCTGGTGCACCCGAGAAGACTTTACAGACCCACCTGTGTCTGTTGCCAAATCAGCTCGCGACCTATGCGAAGTACGTCGGCTTTATCTTCGTAAGCCTTGTCGCAATCAGCATCAGATCATTCCTTGTCCCAGTTCTTAATCTCACCCCGTTCGGTCTGGAGGCAGAGGTGTCGAACAGCAGCATCCTCCCTACATTTAAAGAGAAGGTAGAAGACGAAGGCAATTATAACATGCGGTCGACCTCGGCGTCATCTGGATCTCGATATCTCACCAACTCGTCGTCACGGACTAGAAGTGGGTCACTCCACGCGAATAGCTCCCTCCCGCCTTTGCCACCCCCAAAGACCAAGCATAAAAAGCAGGGCTGGGGACACCGTGCTCCAAAGATCGAAATCTTCAAAGACGATTTCTATGGGACGGGAAAGCCTCGTTTGACCTGGAAGGCGGCCTCTCAGCGGTCCAGGACAACAATCAGTCGGGTGCTCCGAGAGATAGGCGTGTCGACGTGGAGGGTTACGTGGATGGTCGTCTTGTTTTGGGCATATCTTGCATATAAGGGATAGACGTCACATTTTCTCTAGCATGTATAATTACGGTTCATCCGACAAAAACACTCCGCATTGAGCGGAGTTGCATGGGCAGGCTGTTTGGCTGGATAATGTGGGCTCAATATTGGATATATAAAAGATCTGTCAGCGTTGTTGTTCATTTGTATCATAAAGCCCTGGCGACGGGACACAGGGCAGTAATGAAAACCAGGTTCGATTCTATTCACCACAAAACAGGGACACCAGTGTTGGTTGTATCGATATATAGAGAATGTGGATATGAATGCATGTTTACTTGTTGAGGTACCGTCCGAGCATATCGGTCGGTAAAGTAAAGACTAGGCATTGCTAAGTAGACCTCTCAAAGAAACATATCTTGTGTAGGACGACACATTATCAAGACCAGATGGTCTGGCAGAATCGAAGTCAAATCCGATGATTTTGATTGGTTCGAGCGGGCTCTTTAGCTGCCGTGTTTTCTTTCCTTGATTGCTAACAAGACCCATGGCACCGGAAGACTGGTCTCATACGACGCAGTATTGCCCCCTGCCGAAAGAGCAGGTGCAGGTAGACAGACCTCTATTAATTTCCACACCCATCGATATCGGATGCGGAAGGGGCATATCACGAACTTGAAAAACCAGAAAACAAGAAGAATGAGCGCAGCTTGTCTTAAGGTGTGCCTCCAGGGCCATGGAAAGCCATTGATCGCCCCTGTAAGAGGAAGCAGAAAAGTTCACAGGAAACAAGCAACTATCACAGCACCTACTTCTACTACCAAGCCTCCAGAGGCCGTCGTCAGTCAAGTAGCGAAGCCTTGCGGGTGATAGTAAATAGTCTCACTCGAGACATATGTCTGTTGAAGATGAGTTACAAGTTCAATTTCTTTAAGCTCATCGTGTGGTGTTCTGTGCTTTATCGTGATGTACCTCAAGGAAGTAGAATCTTAATGCGAAGAAAGAAAGCCTAGTGGAGAGGCAGGTGCAGTGAAACCGACAAACAGAAGCGGTACCTACTACATGCCAAGAAAGCCAATCAATAATACCGTTTTCGTTTTCAACTAAGTTTATTCACCATTATGAATTCTTTCGGGATAAGAAAAATGGTGACTGGAGGCAAAGCCATGCCTGGTTCACCATCTAAACGTGGGAAGGAAAGGTGAGTCAGGATATCTGCTCCTACTCCGTGGCGCCTGAACTCAGAGCAACAGGTGCAACTTGCCATAAATAGAAGTCAATTACGACGAGTAGGCCTTCCCTTTCCTCTCGTTATACCGTCCCCTTGGGAAATCACGGCCAGGGCAGGCTCTGACAGGATTTACATCCCGTCTCTGCACTTTTTCGCTTTCTGTCAAAAACCATACCACACGAGCACTACTCAAAGTCAAATGTTCCCTGTGTCTAGTCTTGCCTTTGCAAATACTTCCTTGTTTTTAGAACTGTTCTTCTACTTTATTCAAGATCAACAGCCATCGAATTACGAGATATTAGTTTGCACCATGCAGGAAGCGCAAGAGCTGCCCATGCCAGCCTCTGGCGACATATTCACGGTTCGCGGCAAATTGACAGTGACGAACGCAGCCGCCAACATATTCATCATTCATGACCGAAGCTTTGTTGAAGATTCATCTTCGCCTTCAAGTTTCTCTGTCGAGTTTGTGATGGGCAACGTTTACCACATAGACTCTTCCCTTCTTTCTCCCTCGCGATGGGGCAACACTAAGGTGCATGGCAACCTCGTCAAGGGCCTAGGGCTTCAAACGGACGGATTAAAAATGGGCGACGTCTGTATTCATACAGTCTACGATGATATTGTTTGCCTTATTGCGAACCAGCTCGGTGCCGGCTGCACGATTGGTTCTGTCGCTGGCAACCTTGTGACAGTGTCCGATTTGGCCCTGGACGATGAACTCACACTACCCGAAAACATCACTGTCGCCTATTTTGCCGGACTCCGTTTAAGGGAGACACATTTGGCACATGGTGGAGGTCTTCAAAGGGCCTATTCAGCCTGGACTTCCATGAAGTTCCTTCCGTTCCGACAGCAACACACTTCCGGCAACAGCGAGACACTGCCCCATGGTTACATTCATCACCTGACTGAAAACGAGGATCTACCTGCTATGCTGTCACATCCCAAAACAAGCCAACCGATATCCTCGCAGATGGGAGCTACGAGGCAACTGCAGCAAGCAATCTCCGAGCGTGACCATGCTTTGAAGGAGCTCTCCATTTTAAGACAGCAAACTTTGACAAGGGTAGAGGGGCCACAGACTTGTGCTACGCATGATTCTGACAGTCACGATATTGTCTGCGGTAATTGTGCGAGATTTGGCCATCAAGTAAAAGACTGCATCGGCCCCATAGACGACAACGGCTTCATCGCGGCATGCCCGGTTTGCAACACAAAAGCCCATGAGTTTGATCAATGCCTCCAACTGAAAGCAAACAGTACGAGTAAACGAAAGAGGCTGGATATGCGTTATCACTATTTGGTTACCCAACGAGCCAAAAAAGCGCCCATCAAGACCAGTATTTGCTGGATTTCCGTTTGGGTCACAAAGGGCATGCCGATGAGGTTGCTCCCTATCACGAGACAATTCGCTCTTAAACTGGCGCGAGAAGATGTATCAGTACCTTATCCAGCCTGGCAAACCTACAATTACGATGGGGCAATCAATGATTACCAAAACGATTTACCCCAAGATCCGGAGACGGTTCTGGAGCCAGGCAAAGTATGCCAGTTGGTGCCTGGGTCTCAATGTACCAACACGGGTGCGACATATTCCAAAATAAAGAGAAAGCTGCAAAAAGCCACTGTTGGTAAAGGGTCTACAAAGTCAAGAAGCTCAACTAAGTCTAAGAAGAAACTGAAACGGATGAGGCATCATGCGTTACACTTACTGGCGGACGAGCCCAAGGGTATGGCTCAAGAAGAAGTTGCAGCTATAAGGGGACAAGTCACTGGTGCCAACTCGATTATTATCCAACACCCATTACCGTCTTTAATATCTTCGGGTAGGACTGAGACTGTGGAGGTCAAGAAGGAACCTTCAAATTAATGGCTTGGCTGTGCAAGGCCTAAGTGGCTCAGAAGATCATGAAAGTCAGGAGTCCCTTGTAATTCTACCGCTGAAGAGCTCTTCCTCATTAATGCATAAAAATGTACAGGCCAAGCTTGACGTTTTTTTGGTTTTAATTCCTTGGTATTCTTCGTTGACTTGGTTGTATTAGTCTTTGTTTATTCCTTCAAAAACCAGCTAAGAATGTTATGGCTTTAAAATTCTCCATCAATATCAAAGTACTGGATGGCCCGTATTGTCTTTCAGGTGTGGCCCGATTATCTGTTGCGAAGCCATTCCTCTTTTGGGCCTCTAAATTCCCTGGTCATTGGTTTTTTGTTCATCTAGAGAGAATCAAGTGACCCGAAACTTTCTTGCTTTGCCAACCGGTGAGGTCCCACTCTATACCAGTATCCGCAGCATCATCCAACTGAAGCTTCTTGAGCCGGTTCAGCCGTTCACTGGATAGGACGCCTTGGATACTGTTGCGCACCCATGCTTCTTCGTCATAACAACTGTAGAAACGCAGAGACTCCAAAGACTCCGGCAGAAGCGGTTCCAGACTATCTGCCGTAATCGGGTCCTCGCCATCTTCATCCTCCTCGTCATCGCCCACCTTATCCATCCCGCTCAGTTCGTCTTCACTGCCGAGCAAGATGGCTTCGGGCAATGACAGATGTTTTAGGTGCTTCAGTGCCTGGAGGTCGCCGAGTTTGCCCTGTGTCTCTCCTATGTCGTACCAGAGACATTCCTGGCAGTTTAGAACCAGAACCTCGAGGCTCGTCCCATGTTCCCGCAGCGCCTTGCCAATAAGATCAAAGTTGAGATAACTGTCTCCAACCGTGGCGGATCCCCATGTCATTGAAAATGTTTGCAAGGAGGGGCATGTGCGTAGAATATCACAGATACCGTCCGCCTCGGCGAGCGAGTCTGTAAAGTATGCATGCCTCAGAGAGTTTGACTGTCGGGGCTGCTGTTCAGGTGTCTGTCCCGGTGCTGCCAATGTGGTATTGAGGTCCACGGCACAGCCACGGAATATTTCCAGCTGGGGCAGGAGGAACAATTCCTGGATGTACTGCAGTCGCACCGCCAATTCTGTGTCTTGGTTACTGATACGGAACTCTACTATTTTAGACAGCGGGACAAGTTCTTTCGGCTCCGGCTCAGCTGCTTGCCGAATAATAGCCGGGAAGAGTTCGTCGAAGCTTCGTGTTGCGTACTGGAGCAGCTTCAAGTTGGGCAGAAGATTGGCACAATGAGTGAACCAAATATCGGGTCCACCCTCTGGCCACTCCGGGCCGTCAAGGAACTCTCTGAGGGCTGCTTCAAGGCTCCCGGGCTTTGATGAAGGCTGTTGCAGTGTCTTGGAATAGTATGGCTGGAGGAGTGAGGCCATTTCGTCGCGAGAAAAAACGCCCTCGCCCAAGACAACATTTTCAACGTATTCTGTGAGGTATGAGTGCTGATGGAGGGTAGACAAAAGCCGTTTGTGAATCCTCCAATTATCTAGTGGCAAGCTGCGATACAGGACCCGTCGAGCAAGTCTCAGAAACCGGGACGAGGTCTGACAGAGCCGTGATAGCGTTGTGAGCCCGCTAGTGTCTGGCTCACTCCATTGACACTCGCTGGAAAAGGTTGCCTCTCTGATGGGATACTCGAGTTGGCTGAAAACGAGCGACCACACATGGTCGGGAAGATCTAGCATCCTGCTGTCGTCTGGCTGTACTTTGGAGGATTCGTATGGGCGCAAAGGTGTTCTTATTCATTGGTAAAACTGGATAAATATTGAAACATTGATGGCTTGGAGGACAGGTTAGGCTGCAGCCAGGCCTTTAAGTGGGGGGGTTGGTTGGTTGGAAGGATGAGTTAACCTAAAAGAGATTGGGCGTATGCAGGTGTTGTTACGCAAGGTGAATCTCAGCTGCGGTTAATTCAACGGGGGACTTGAAGGATCGCATGTCGTTGCCAAGATCCCTGTCGGCCTGTCAGATATGAAACCTTAAGGTACGTGAGGATTAAGGCAACAAGAAATAGTTGCACGCAGCTGGCCACCATTGCAGACCTAGCACTAGTGTGGTGTTTCCAATCAATTGCGGTTAGGCTGGGGTATTCTCGCCTCCTTATCAAAATTCAATTCGAGGTAGTCGACATAACGGAGGATGCTCTTCCAGTCGAGATACCTGGCTGCTGGCCTCATTCACTACGGAACTGCTTGTAGTTGCCACCATTGGCGTGGACTTTGTTGCATATGCTTGTCGTTTTGACACAGTTATAGGAGAGCGGCGGTATACCGTTGGGTTTGGAATGACTGGAGTTTCCTGAATGCTAACCCCGATCGTTCACGGTGCTGGCTCGATTTGCACATGCAGATACTAGTATAAGAAGGTTCGCCGCCGAAGGCTTATAAAAACTGGATCTTATCCTGTCACGCTGGAGAGACTGAACCAAAAATACAAAAGATATCCTTCGCAGCATCGGTATGATCTTGCCAGGATGAGCTTCCATAGTGAAAAGCTTTTTGATCACACGACGCGACTTAACGCTGTCTATGTTCACACATTTAAGCCGTTTCATCAACTCAGAATGCCGAAACAAATACTTTGGTGGCGTTGCCATTCACTCCACGTATATTAAGTCGGCTATGTATAGACTTATGAGAAACAAATCTGATATCCATCCCACCGACTACAAGAGGGTTACAAGTACGTTTGCACCAACAGAACAACAAAGTTTTTTTTTTTTTTTTCTGGCCAACTAAGTAGTTCTCAGATATATATATTAAGTATCATTTCCTTTGCAAGATAGGTAACACATCATCATGCAGGTCTATAATGAGCGGTTGTGATTCGGTTCAAAGTTGGAGAGCTTTACTGTAGCCTGGGCTCTCAAAGAGCAGAGCCGGAGAAGTTCTTGCCTGATAACTGGAAGTCAGCGCAACCCTGTCCTCATAAAGATTCACCTGTTGTCGTACCGTGTGGCCATAATGTCTCCAACGGCATCGTCGGCCAGCGGTTGAACCTGAATAGCCCTCCAAACCAGGATGGCGCATGCCGCATTGCTGACCAGAATGGGAGCGATTTCATAGTGACATGGTTCGGTGGCAAATTTCTTCCGCGGAGATCAGTTGAAGGGGATATAATGCACTATCTTATTTTCTTTAATTAAATATTTACGTTTAACCCTACTAAATAGTAGACATTGCGACCACAAGAATCTCCCCGTTCTAAGGCCGCGTAGCTTGGGTAGCATATCACATAGCTAAAGCAAAGTATGCATAAAAATCCGTAGCATCGAAAGCAGAGCCCTTGAGCAGGCGTAGTCCTTTTCTTGGCGATATCTAAGCATTCTGTAACACCGTCTGGGATTACGTGCGTTAGTATTGCGCGGCCGTACGTGAACAACCCCAAAACCTACAATGCTCGTCGTTTGACAGAAACTAGTAATGTATAGCGCGTGGAATTGCTCATGGTACAAAACCAAGCTCTTTGCTTGGACTGACTCTAGCTACGTTCGATAGAGACTTGGACTCCGCCAGGTTGTTGATTGAGTTCGTTGTCGAAAAAACATGGGGATATAGTGTCGTGCCTGTAGTCTGCGTCCTGTCGTCGGCGTTTTCTGTGAATGTTAAGTGTTCTCAATGTTAAGGCCCGATAGGCTCTTAGGACACTTAACAGCTTAATCCAACTTCCAACAGGCGGTTAAAACGGAACTTTGAAAAGAACTAGACTTACATATGTCCACATCCGTCTTTAATTTCATTGAGTGACTGCGGTACGGAGGAGCGCAGGGATATGATAGTAACACCAGTGTTGTTAGACCCAATTCCAATGTAAATAGTTCTTCTCAATACATCGTATACTCTATTCGATAAGTTATATCATGTACAGTATGCTTTCGAGATTTGACACCTTTGAAGTTTTATTGAAGGTGTTATAGATTACCTATTTGTCACAAGCAGAGTCAGGACAAGTCACTGTGGCACAAAGCTAAAGCTTTAGTAATGATGAGCCTGCATCATTATCCCCTATTCTGCACTTTATAGCTACGTCGGCCCGCAACCAATTGGTTAGATCGTAACATGATTCGGTTTATACTATAGTAGGACTACAGCAAGTCTGTTGGGTCTTTGAGATCTACTGCTGGACTTCATGTTTTCGGTTTGCGTAAACTGCAACCTTCTGTTCTCTTTGAACTGCTAGATTCATCACTCTTCTCGCCCTGCTCACAATGGCTCACCAGGACGATTGTGTCAACCAATGGCAAACTATGCGTTTTCGTTTTCGTTCTTTGCATGGACTGATTGGCCGTTCGTATCACGGGCCGAAGAGAGGCCCCGATACCAGCGAGAACCTAGTTTGACGACCAACGTTACCATAGCAAATGAAACTCGTAGAGCGGATATGCGGCGAGTAATTGATGGGCTGATGAGTAAGGTTTCCTTTTGGTCAGATATGTGAACCCTCCATCTTTGGGTTATGGATGGGTCGCGGTCGGTCTATCGTCTGATGTGTTCTCCTCGTCTCCGTGCTTTACGTAAGACCATTCTTATAACATCCTTGCTATTCTTTTTGGCTTTTAGATGAATACAATTCAGTGTGTTCTATCGTATTCGGGATGACCGAGGATTTCTAGACAAGGCATGCGAGAGGTAGCAAGACGCGTGGACCCCTTTATCCAAGGGTGTTTCTCAGTGAGGGGAAAGGTATGTATATCCAGACTGCGCCAACTATGATATCCAGGGCTTCAATGAATATCAATTTCCTCAAGCCATACGGATTCTTGTCCTCGTGATTCTATCTATTACTCCCGCAAAATGGCGGTGATTGCTCTGGCTTTCCAGGCCCTGGGCCTTGGCTGTTTTCTTGTAAGTCTCCTCCTTCGTTGTTGTAATGAATTATTTTGGTACTTCTCTGGTCAAAAAGTCTTTATTCTGACAAAACTTTGCAACTTTCTATAGTCGGCAGTCTATACTATCTCGTACATCATCTATAATCTTTTTTTCCACCCCCTCCGTCACTTTCCAGGCCCTCTGTTCATGCGCGCAACCCGCATAGGATACTGCTACAAGCTCATCCGCGGCACTCTTTCCTTTGATATGCTAGACCTGCATCAAAAATACGGCGATGTGGTCCGTATTGCGCCCGACGAGCTAGCTTTCTCGGATGCAGGGGCGTGGAAAGTAATTTTTGGCCACAGAACAGGAACCAGCAACAACATTTCCGGCCCAACGACGCCATCTCTTAGCTTCGAAAAGTCAGACACGTTTTACAGACCAATTCCCGGCCTGCCGCGGGATATCATCACCGCTCTGGGCCCACAACATGCTGCTTTGAGAAGGCAGATGTCTCATGGTTTCAGTGACCGAGCTTTGAGGGAACAACAGCCTGTCATCATGAAATATGTTGACATATTCATCCAACGACTGAAAGAACAAGCTACTTCTGGCTTGGACGGGCTTTCAAATTCGACTAACTTGCAGCCCAAGCAGCATAGGCCTGTAGATCTGACGCTTTGGTACAACTACTGCAGCTTTGACATAATTGGGGATCTGGCGTTTGGTGAACCGTTTGGCTGCCTTGACAATTCCGAATACCACCCCTGGGTACGTACGGTGTTCGATCTAATTAAAGTCGGGGTTGTTTTCCAGACTGCAAATCACTATTCCTTTCTAAGGAAAATAATCACTTCGGTACTTTCTACAGAAACGATGCGACAAAGAAGGATGGACCATAAGGATATGACGATGCAGAAAGTCCTGAGGAGAATAGAATTGGGGAAGACGGGTCCAAGGCCGGACTTGATTGAGGGGCTCTTGAAGAAGAAGGATGAATGGGTATGTAAAACCAGGACCCACCAAACCACCCATCTCGTCATTGTCCAAATGCTCTTCAAAGTGATTAGGGATGGTTGACTATTTCCGGGTGTTAGAACATGTCACTAGATGAGCTCGAGGCCAACAGCAGTATTCTAATCATTGCCGGCTCTGAGACAACAGCGACGGTTCTATCCGGAGTTACGTACCTACTGCTCAAGAATCCCGATAAAATGGCAAAGTTGGCCAAGGAAGTCCGTACAATGTTCCAGAGCGAGGATGAGATCGACTTCACGTCAGTCAACAAATTGACATACATGCTGGCTTGTCTAGACGAAGCTCTGCGGATGTATCCCCCCGTCCCTACTGGCCTCCCGCGAGTTGTTCCTGAAGGAGGAGCGACAATTTCTGGGCGCTACGTTCCTGAGAACGTGAGTATTACAAGTCTTCCGCATGGATTGAGGGGCACATGCTCTGCCGGTACACTCTGAGAAGAACGGAGAAGCTATATTACTAACTATATTGAAACCTCTGAAGACAATCGTCGGCATCCATCAATGGGCCACATACCATAACGAAAAGAATTTTAAACACCCGTTCAAGTTCCATCCGGAACGATTTCTTGGAGACCCGGAGTATGCATCAGATCGCAAAGACGCTCTACAACCTTTTCATCTTGGCCCTCGGAATTGTTTAGGCAGGAAGTCAGTTCGGCCCCTCCCAGAGCTTCGTACGAGGCTACGTGACAGGAACTAACAAAGTGACAGCCTGGCATACGTGGAAATGAGAATTATGTTGGCACGTATAATTTGGAACTTTGATATCGATCTTGCAGATGACAGCCAGGACTGGATGAAAGACCAGATGATCTACGTTTTGTGGGCAAAGGGGGCGCTGAATGTCTATCTGAAGCCTGTTTTGAGAGACTGAATGGTTTTTTTTTTCTTTCTTTTTAGGCAAAATAAGTCAATTTTATGATACTCCATCCAAGTCCACAATGATTTCTTACAGACCTATTGCTGAGGCTACCCTTTGCCGGATTTCTCATCCCAAACCATACTTTTCAATAAGCATGCGATATGATTTTATTTTCAAGTTTGCTTGAAAATGCTCTCAACTTTAGCATAATCCAGGCTGAGTGCTCATTATGTTATTATTTGACTCTTCTTTTATGTGTTGACCTAACTAAGTTAACGGCTAATGGGTAGATGCTTTGTGGTCCTTCATTGCATTATCAGTCAAAGAGATATGAACCAACTAAACGCAGCAGTAGTTCCATCGGTTATCCCTTCGACTGCGGCTGGATCTATTTTTTTGCCAAATGGGGTTAAGCCAGTTAGAGCTCCCATGTTTCCTACTTTTGTTAACTGATGTACTGAAATCTAGAGTACATCTCTTTTCCCATGAGCTTTGGGGTGTAAGAGATACCAACAGTTAACGTAGGTACGCAACTATTTATCAGACATTAAGGAAGATGTAGAAAAAGATCATACTACTGATGTGCCGGTGTAGTGAGGAGTAAAAGTGGCTTCAAAAGTGGGAATTTGAGGGCTTGGACAAAATGAGGTGCAGCCGTAGTCAATGGGAAGTTTGGGAATACAATGTCTTCCATTATGTCTACTTCTTCAACACCTAAAATGATTGATCAAATGTGAACTTCCAAAGATGGTTTTGGGGTAAACATCCAAGTTAGCCGAAGGCTTTTGCTCGGTCCAGCTCCATGGTTGTTGCGAGGTTGTGTTGCGTACCTGGTAATTGCCGTATGCGTAGGTAGAGAATGTACCTCTAGCGAACTTCGATCGAGTCATGTCAAGTAAAAAACCTTAGTATTTATAGTAAGAGTAATAGTGGTAGTCATCTTTTCTGGGCTGACAGATATCCGACGGAGTCTTCTAGATCGTGAGCACATCCACTTACTTCAAAACTGCTTTTGTCTTTAGAAAGTATTCCGTTGGAAGAGAAGCCGGCGCAATCTCCTTCAGTGCTTTCTTCCCCTTTAAATATGAGATTAACCGTCTCCCAAAGCCAAGTCAGGTTGTTTCGCGGATATTTTACGATGAACAGGCCTGCAGGAACCTTGAACCGCCGGTATCTGAGTATTCCAATCTATAGCATCCAATCTGAAACTCTATATCGCCCATTTTTCATTACAATGAGCACATTTTGAGCCAGTCAAAGGTCTGGAATATACCGACGACGGATCCGACAATATTATTCCTAGCCTTGTCTACTTGTAAGCCAGCTGCCGCCAGAGATTGGTACTTTTGCTTGGTCAATGTGGATGCAAGTGTAGGTTTCACAGGGGGTGAAACAGGGGGTGAAACGGAATTCCGTTCGTCAATAACAAATAACAGTAAATTGGTTCTAATCGATGGTTCATGATGATAGTTGAAAGTGGTGTTGTTGACTAGAAGGTGGGGATATTCCCCCTTGGCCTGTCACGTGGGTCTGGGAGGCTTGGGCCTCTCAGCCTGGCGGGCGTGTGGCTGGAAGTGCCACACGGCTCCGTATTCCAACTATCGCAACAGCAAGGTTGAAAAACCCCAACGCCTTGGCTCTTATTCATTGGCTCACATGTACAGCTGAGGATACATGTGGAGGAATATGAGGGCTGCGCCTTGTCAATTGGGATTGACACGTCATAGGAGGACTCCCCCTATCGTGCATCTTTCAACCGCGCTGCAAGGCACACGCATCCTGATTGCATCCGTTTTTGTCAACACTCAAGGTGAGAGTTCAACTTCTTCTCATCAATGAAAAATTCTCTATCTTCCAACCGTGGCGTCCTCGGCCCAAAGGCGTCTCGCATTCAGAAAATGAAGGGCTCTAGGCAAAACCCCAGGCAATCGCTACGACATCATCACGACAGCCGGCCTTCGTCAACTACTGGCAGTTCACATATCCCGCCACCGGCTCCAAAGCCTGCTCTTTCGCAGCCACGGTTTTCGGAGCCTATGTACCGACCAGAAATGATGCGGAACCTACCTCACCTCACCGATGAAGAGAAGGCTAAATACGAGAGGGGGTTGCACCAACTCTGGAACCACTACGAGACCCATCCCGAAGAGTCTGCCCAGCATAAGGATGCCAAGCAGAAAATTCGCGACTTCACAAAGATGCTGCTGAACAAGCTTCAGAAGAAACGAATGGAGGCAGCACAACAGCAGCAACAACAATCTGAGCAGGCAGATCAGTCGTCTCAGGTAGTCCCGGGGTCTCAACAATCCCAGCAGTCACACCAGCATCAGAAACTTCAGGAAGCGGCCAAAGAATTTCAAGAGTCTTTGCAACATAGAGGCACCAAATGGTCGACTATTTCAAGAGACTGCACAATGGGTATGCATGCAATGGAGGCTGAGCTCCTGATACAGTTTGGAAAACGGCTACGAAGTAGCTCCAGGGAACCATCCATTCTCCTTCAGACGCTTACGAGCTCCTCGAAGGCCAGCTTGAGGAAAGACCAAAAGAGCCAGTTGTGAAAGTTCCAGCCCAAAGCCAGCGAGCCCAGCAAAACCGCAAGTACTGCAAAGACAATTGTGGGTTCATCCAACGAAGAAAGCGTCTCAGTTAAAACTACTGAAACCTTGTGGAGGATAATGTAGTCTCTCGCCCAAAAGTCAGTGCCAAACAAGCTTGACGGACCCCTCATCCGCTAATACCATCACTTCTGTCTCAACCGAACATGAACCGGCATGCCGTCTTTCGGATGCCCGATACCGTCACCTGCAACGTATAATCGCTGCCCTCTGACCGTATCCCTCTGACCTGTAATTCCTCTGAAGCGGAAGTGCGGGTTAGTTGAGATATCCATGTATTTTTTCAAGGCGAGCAGAAATCAACTTACTGAGCAACATCCCAATCGCTCCAAGCCTCCTCCACATCAAAATTGCGCATGATGAGGGCAGAGACCAACTTGATTTCGACCAGCGCAACCTCCTGGCCAATACAGTCTCTTGGCCCTCTAGCAAATGCACGCCAGGCGTCTTTGATGGGATGCAGCGGATCATCCGCGGATACGAGCCAGCGATCCGGTATGAACTTGTCCACATGAGGCCATAGCGAAGGATCATGCTGCATGCCCGGCCCGCCATCCCATACCAAAAACCCTTCGGTAGGATATTGTCTCCCGGATGAAGGGTCGTTTAGGTAGAATCCCGCCTCTCCGCCACGCATTGTTGACGCAAGTTGATATAGCCGAAGCGTCTCTTTGATTACGGCATGGGTGTACCTCAAGGAGTTGAGCAGCTGAGGAGACATGCTGAGAATCTCCGCCGCCTGATCCGGATCCGGGCCCAAGACCTCGTCATGCTCGGCACGGACCTTTTCCATGCAGTCTGGGTTGTCTTGGAGGACTTTGAACATGAAGCACAGCGCGCTCGCTGTTGTCTCGTGACCAGCGACAAGGAAAGTCTTGAGGTTGCCCATGATGGTCTCCATCATATCCGGATCGGTGGCTGGGTTGATGTTGCGGCCGCCTGCCTCCTCAGCTAGATGCATAAGAGCAAGATTCAGTACTGTCTTCTTCTTGGACGGTTTCAATCCCGATTCGAGAGAGCGAACAATGTTGGGGTACAGCTGGTTGTAGGCAATCTGGTTGTTTCGGTCAACGGCCCTGTTTTGCCATGGGAACAAGTAACCGAAACTAAAGGCTTGTCGAATTCCCATCAACCTGAGTTGGTCTGCCAGGGCCACTCTGAGCGGCCCGCCTGTGGGGTTTGTCTGCTCGTGCAAACGTTCATCCCTGTCAAATATTAGCAACTTCGGGTGCATGTAGAAAGGAAGACAGCAAGCTTCTCTTACAAGACTGCTCGGACAATAATGTCAAAGGTAAGGGCTGTAGTGATGTTGCGAAGCTGAAACATGGGACCCCAAGTCCCATTTGGTCCAGCTCTTTGTTTTAAGTTGTTGGCAAAGACTTGAATTTCTTCAATAAGCTCTGGAACCATGGTGGAAACGTTTCTGGAGCTGAACCCAGGATTGAACCATCCACGCCACTTCTTCCACTCATCGCCCTGGAGAGTGGCGATATCCTTGCCCTTTGTCAAAGGGTTCATAAAGTCAAGGGAGATTTGGTGTTTATCAAGGTTTTTAGTCTGGGTGAACTGCGCTGCAACTGTGTTTTTATAGGCCGCCACGATGGGCGCTTTCAGTACGGGCCACAAGTCAAGATAGATGACTGGGGGACAGTGGTCCATATCTGGGAAATATTTCTTGTAGTTGTTGATGATCCATGGGTGAAAATTACCGATATTTATGTCTCCTGGGTATTCTTTTCGGAACTCGAACATAACGCCTAGATGGCCCGTTATCCAAGAGTGAGGCAGCATGGGCTGCGCACAAGTGTCAGTCAACGAGGCCAAGATCTGAAGGATGATATACTCACAATGCCCTGCGCCCTCACTTGTCTAAACTTTCTGCGAATCGTATAAGCCCTCCAAATAAGTTTTAGAAAAAGAGTGCCAATGATAGCTGCGGTGAGCTTGAGGACTAGCGGCAGAATTGCCGACGGTGTCCATGTAATCATGTAACCCATGACGAATGTAGGTTGTAGGGGTTTTGGTCAAAGGTGAATAAATAAATGCCTAAAGCAAATAACAAGAAACGCAGATAAGCGAGAAGATTTCGCGAAGGTAGAAAGTGCCGAGGGCGAGTTATATATACCAGTGTAAGCCAAAATGCGGCGTGTAAGGTATTCTGCAACGGGAATTCCAAAAAGGGACACATGTTTTTTCATTTCCTTTCTTGGCCACGCCGACAAGCTTAAGCTCTGATGAAATAAGAACACAGCTCTGAGCTCCCCTACTATGAGTCATTTAACTATGACAGGTTCAACTGGATTAAAGTTAAATCCATTAAGTATATAGCCGCGGTGATAGCAAGATATCATGATATGGGCATTAGACGCTTTTCAGGCTGAAGTATTGAGATGCATAGGTTTGGAGGGTAATGTTCAATCATTTGGATTAGGCATTTATTGCGCTGCTCTTTGTGCTATTTCAGTCTTGCCCATGCATACGAAAACAACCAGCGATCTGTAACCAGCTCCAGAATAATTACCAGTGCATTTCTAAGAACTTTGATCTGCACACTGTGATTGCCTATGGCTGCAGTTTCTGCCTGTGCTTTATTGTTCGTAACTTTCCGCTCTGCTCAAGCTTGAGCTCACTCTGCTGAGGCCAATGCTTTGATGAGACGACTTGCGGTGACTGTGACAACTGTGTGAAGAGAACATTTGAAACGATAATATTTCATCGTAGTGAGGTCTTAACAAGAGAACACGCTCGCTTTGATGCCCTACTCTATAAACATTAAATTGAGTACATTCCATGATAATGATATCATGTATCTTATTGAGGAAAGTTGGAGGGCATGTTTAGTGGCTGGGAGCTGAAACTTGACATCAATTCCAACTCCCTCCAGTTTGGACAAGCGTCATCAGCCAAAACGGCAGCTTGTTTGATTCCCAAAGAAATCTTGATGCCGTGCAGTTGGTCTGCGGCCCATGATCTCACTTCTGCACTGTTCACTTCCTCTTGTGATACTATATACAGTGGCCAGATCATTGAGGACGCACCTAAAAAAAGCTTTAGTCAATGATTCTAACAATGGCCAGGGAACCTACGTGGCGAGCCCGAGAGATTAGAGGTAGAGATACAAATTTCTTCTGAGAGGCTTTGTATAGTTGATATTATATCGGAACGCATCATTTCTTTGCCAAAATCGTCTCCGAAGCGCTGTTTGTCAACATAGTCCAAAATAACCTGACTGTTTAGTATCATCATTGAACGCCAGTTGTTCCAAACCTGTGCGCCCCATTCACTAGTGTAAATATGTCGTTTCCCATTGAAGTATTTCCCAGTTGAATTCTCAACTGCTTCAGTCTGATAATAGGCCCTTTTCGTTTGTAAAATCGCCCAACTGTGCAAGTCGTCGTTAATATCAAGGGCAAGCTGCCATACTTTGTCCGGGTCCAATATTCTCTGGTTTTTGATCTCGGCGCGAATGTTTACGATACGAAAGCCAACAAGCGCCAAAGATCCTGCCCGCATGCTGTTGTAATGTTTTCCAAATTTACTATTCTCGAACTCTGCCGTGACCTCGACCAAAGCGGGAGGTACTCGTGAACCTCGTTGCATACAGGCTTGCAGCTAGACAATTCTGGATAAGTACATACTTGATAGAGTGATAAAATGGTAAGCAGTACGCACAATTTGGTTTCGAAACTGTATATAGAGCTGTATACCCAATTCCCGAGAAAATTGATCTTGGCCTCGAAGGTGTAGCAGGGCTGTGGCTCCCTCAATATGCGACGCCCAGGTATGGTAGCTTCTTGAGTTTTCAAAAGTGACTGTCTATTTATAGAGGTTAATCTCGTATGAGAAGACGCGATATGTCGCTGAAAGAAATATCAGGATTACCTCGAAAAGCCCTAGCAAAAGAATTGCTATAAGGGTAGAATCTTCGGTGGTCTGATAAGGGTCACGCAATGCCAGGTTGGTGGCTTTCAATGCTTGACAATATCGATCTTTGGCCTTGAGGACGACGTCAGGAGCATTAAATACGTTGGAAATTGCAGCCATCCCTACTGCTTGGATGGTTGCTCGAACAAGGTTGCTGTGGCTCTCCTGCAAATACGCTTGGGCTAGCCATGCCTGATACGTATCACAAAAAGGTGGTCCAGTAGTGGTGTAGTAAGCAAAGAAAAAGTTGGCTGCCCGGTCTTCAAGAGGTTGTGTAAGGGGAATTTCTACCGAAGACGGAGTTGGATGTTCGGGCGTGTGCACCTCTGTCATAGTTGTGAAGTGAGTGGCACACAACTGTAAATTGGCAGCTGGTGTAACCCCTCGTTCAGTGTGAAGCTTCTCATAGAATCTGTTCTTAATCCTTTGGCGTTCATCGCGAAAAAGCACATCAGCCAAGTCCCGATAACCAGGACATGGCTTTTTTCCTTTCTCACACTTGAGGCATCCTGGTTGCCGTTGATCGCACTAGCTTTTGCAGTTAGATTGCCTGGAAATAACCACGGCTGTGATATTACATGCCTTGACTTTGCGCTTGCGACACCGTTGACAGCCTTTGCTCAGAGCGCCATAGTATACCATTTTGTACCGGGGTTGAAGTTAATTGTAAGAATAAAACGCAACAGTGAAGACTGATATAAAACGTCAGCGCGGTGGCGGGGTTCGGAGTTTATTCTTATTCTCCGCTTCCGTTACTGTTTTGGGGCGCCCTTTGGCAAAATGTATTGTTTAGGTGAAAGATGGGTGTGCTTAGGGCCTTTGGAATCCTATTACACATAAATCCGCCATGATTTTGCGGGCGGTACTCAGGCTGAATAGTGAGCAGAGGCATTCGATAAGCGACGACAAATGGGCGACAGACAAGGATTGGATGCCAACAGATTAGCAGAGTTTCCGCTTGGAACACTGCTTGGCTCGCACTCCTGGCCCGTATTGGGTATAGCGCACATGCCATGTGGGAGCCTATCCACCTAAGCAAGCATGCAGGCCATCTCTACATGGACCTTTTACCATCCATGCAATTCCTGGCTGTATGCCACGCGCAAGAGAAGCACATGTCTGGAGGGATATTTAAAGACCAGCCGCAAGCAACTCGAACAACAGCATTCACCTCTTCTCATTAGCAAGACCTAGACGGGTACTCGGCTCAAATCAACGTATCTTTGTAGTATTTGTTTTAGTACGGAGAACAGAGACGTGATGACTGAATCTGACTCCGCAGCCGTCCGGCCTTCAGTGCCCACCGAAAAGACATTCCTTGCCTATTCCCCAGAGCAGGGTGTTCATTACGCCAAAGCTCGCCGAGGCTACCACCAGAGCCTGTATAAAACCATTCTTGACCACCATACATCCACAGGTGGCAAAGTGGATATTCTCCTCGATGTGGGCTGTGGTCCGGGAACGGTTGCACGAGAAATTGGCGGGCAGTTCGCACAGGTCATCGGCCTAGACCCCGCCGAGGGAATGATTGCTGCCGCCCGGTCCCTTGGTGGAGCATCCTCAACCTCAGAGCCGATCCGCTTCAACGTCTCCACCGCCGAAGAACTCGGCTCGAATCTATCCCCACCTGTCGCGGACGGCAGCGTTGACCTTATCACAGCTGCCACCGCCGCGCACTGGTTTAACATGCCCGGCTTCTGGGCCGCAGCAGGCCGCGTTCTGAAGCCCGGCGGTACTGTCGCTATCTGGACCACCAGCGCTATGCATATTCACCCCTCGGTGCCGAACCACGAACGCTTGCAGACCCTTGTTCAGACGTTCCGTAGCGAGTACATGGAGCCTTACACGACACCTGGAAACTTGCTGACTGAGAACCTCTATGAGACTCTACCCTTACCGTGGAATCTCCGGGAACCAGTTCTTGAATTTGACGAGAGCACCTTCTTTCGCAAGGAGTGGAACAAGGATGGCCTGGTCGCTGACCACGAAGAGTTCTTTCTGGGCCAGCAGACTTGGGATATGGATACAGTGGAAAAGATCATGGCCACTATGAGCACGGTGACGCGTTGGCGTGAGGCACATCCGGATGCAGCTGGGACGGAACGAGATGTGGTCAAGATTCTGCGGAGAGAGATCGAGACCCTGCTTCATGAGGCTGGTGTGGAGAAAGGTAAAGAAATGGTCACATCGGGTGTATCTGGGGTTCTTCTAATGGCGAAGAAGAAGAAGGAGGCGTAATGACTTTGATGCGGATGGCCCCTGAAGAATTCGATCCCAATACGTTCATACATACCTCTTCTGTGGCTTGTTCATTCGTGCCGTGTTTGGACAAAGTGAAAAGTCGTTGCAACAAATATGGATTGTCAGCTAATACATTTTCGTGTGCCATAAGTTCTTTCAGCTCTGAAGCTATTTGTGAGACTATAATTTCCGTTGCCTACTTGATGATTGGTCGTTAGGCATCGAGGTTCATCCAGTCACCTCACGAAAGCTACTGCGGAAGAAAAGTAGGTTATGGGAATGAGAAGAAGCGATAGAGATACATGGGAAGTAACGTCTAACAGAAACTTGAAGAGGCCGATGTAAACTCATATTGCCATGTAGTATTGTGTCTGATAATCTGGCCCTTTTCTAATAGCCCAGGGGGTATGACTACTGTGGTAGTAGTGCTTTTAGTGAGATATCTCCCTTTCTAGGTTTTGAGCTGGCTACTTCACTTCACGGCGCACCTGAAAATGAACACTTTGTCAACTCATTTGAAGCTAGTGCAGAAGCAGCGTACTGTTGTATCTATCACCCTGGATTCACGATCAGTCTTGAATCTTTCTGCGCTTTAACCCATGGATAAATATTGCGTTCTACGAGTCCAGCCGATAAACAATTTGAATATTTTATTTAAAATAAAAATCCCATTCGTAATTAACCTTCAGTCATGTTCAAATGAAGAGAAGCACACCCCCGAAGCCAAATACCCCAGATCCAATGATAGGTACTGTTCAGTAGGTTTCAAGAACCAGAAAAACGACTATCTACAACATTATTGACGACTATATGATCTTGACGCAATACGTTCATCTCCAGTTGGCATGATCATTGATGAAACCGCCAATTAAAGGACCCACACAAGGCCCAACGAAGGGAGCCAGAGATACTAGGAACATTGACTTTCGGATCTCGTCAGGTAAGAGAACGTTCTCTACCTCTCTATCATCGAATGTTAAGAGATTGCCCCCGGAAAATCCGTTGAAGAATCATGTTGCAGCACTCGTATCGATATTTTGGGCAATAGTTGGGGGAGTGGTCAAGGTAACAACAGAGACCTAGGTGTAAGACAAATCGGTCCTCGTCCATAATACTCGCTTAGATTTCAGATCGTTGCTGGATTTAAAGCAGTTTCAGAAAACGAAAGCGGAGATCCTAGTCGATAAGATCCCATTCATATGAGTGCGTATGTTCAGGATTCGGCGAATGTGTTTCGGTGATTGGAAACAGGGACGCTAGGCTTATAAAGATGAGAAGAAGACATAGTTGAAGCCGAAATGGTGTAATATTTACAATGTAAGTTACTTTAACTTTTTTTCGATTTGGAAAACAGCCAGATGCAAAAGGCATAAAAATAATGAGAGGAACTGAACAATGCTCATTAGACTTACACACCTTCAGGGCGACTGTGAACGAGGCTGCTAGTAGGTGGCCCCACTTATCAAGAACCCGAGGCGACTGGCCGTAGTGCGGAGAACCTAAAGTTTCACTGGGAAATCCTAGTACAGGTGAGTAAGTCGCCGAGGTCGGCACAGCCCTGACAGGCCAGTTTAGTTGGCCAAGGGTGGAATGGGGCTCAGAGGGGTCACAGAACACCCCATTTAAATATAGATTTTTCAGCCTTAAAGACTCGCATCATGTCTTTTGAGGGAGCCAAAGCCCACGACACACCCCTACCTCACGTGTGCATGACCTTGCTAACCTAAAATTTCTCAATATGGATTTACCAACACAAGAAGAGCGCGTAGAGTGGGCAATCTCTCAGCGCCAATTATCCAAAAGAGGGGCTTACAATTTAGTCCATCGAGACATATGGGGGCCTCGAGAGAAGTCTATGGCCAACCCATGGTCACCAAGCAACCCTATGGGAACGTAAGTTGAAACTGCGTGGACATATTTACGACACATTCGAGTTCTAAACAACTAATTACGGGCAGCGTCATCCTTCGCTTGGCTGAGAACAGCCTCTTGCATCACGAGGTTGCAGAGTTCATTAAAAACCAGGTTGAAATATCTCATGATCATATGTTAAGTGTATGCGTATGTAGTTTCTGACTTGCACGAGCGCAGATACATGTTCTTCCTGCCAACCATCTTACATATAGTACGGGCCCGCGTGGTTCACTACGTCTACGTCGTGCTCTGAGTTCATTTATGAACGAGGAATTTCACCCACGCCGAGAGGTCACCTCTGACAATCTCTTCATTACACCTGGTCTGGCTAGTGGCTTGGACGCAATAGCTTGGTCAATTTGCGACGAAGGAGAAGGCATCTTGATCCCACAGCCTTTCTACAATGGCTTCAGCTTTGACCTACTAAATCGCAGCAACACTCGAGTCGTCGGAGTGTCATATGAGGGTGTTGAAGGGTGTACAGGCCTTGACGACCTGTTTCGACCTGAGGTAAACAGACGAGCTTTGGAGTCAGCTTTGTTCAGGGCCCGACGTGCCGGTGTGACAGTTCGTGCCCTGCTCATCTCAAAGTAAGTTATACCGCCAAAGGCAATAGCAAGAACAAGAACCACTAACATGAAGTGACATCAAGCCCACACAATCCCTTGGGCAGATGCTATCCCCCCGAAACCCTCGTAGAGTTCGCATCATTCTGCAGCAGGAACGGGTTGCATTTCCTGTCTGATGAGATCTATGCTAAGTCTGTTTTTCCGAACCCTGCGATCACAGGCCATGCTTCGTTCGTCTCTGTTCTGTCACTCGATCTTCACGACGTCATTAGCTCGGATCTACTACACGTGTTGTACGGTGCAAGTAAAGACTTTTGTGCTAACGGTCTGCGTCTGGGTATGGTCTATACTAGGAATGAAGCTATTCTGGGTGCCATGTCAAGTATTAGGTCGGTCCCCTTGCTGCATCTGTAGCCGTGTTCTTGCTTAACATTCGATCCAACAGTATGTTCTCTTGGTCACCACACGTCCTCCAAGATGTTTGGGCAGCCATGTTGGAAAACAGGGCATGGCTGGCACGGTTCATGGATAAAAAAAACAAACTCATGGTAGAGAACTACAAGGTTGCTACATCATTCCTCCAAAGGCATAACATCAAATACTTCGAGATGTGCGTTTACTAGCGAAAACTTTTTGAAAAGCATCTTGTGAGCTAATGACTTGTCAAGGAATGCCGGCCTATTCATCTGGGTTGATCTACGCCATTTGTACATCCCCAAGTCATCATATCAGCAGCCATCTTACACGATGCTTAAAGTCACATCTGAAAATGCCAGTGTTAGCCGGCAGCGGGAGCTGAATATTATTGAGACATTTTTAAAGCATGGAATCATGATTTCACCAGGCAGTGCGTACGTGGCAGAAGAGTTTGGCTGGTTTCGTATTACTTTCACTTTGGGGAGAGCAGCATTAGCAGAAGGCCTAAGGCGACTGTCAAGAGCAATTGCCGAAGCTGAAGAAGACATATGAGAGGAAATGGATTAACAAGCCTAAAAACCCTTAATTTTCCGGGAAAATGTCTTAGTGTGTTCTTGACGCCTTGAACTTTCGATTCCGAGACGACGACTAGCTTGATGTCACGTGGTGGTCAGTCAAGAACCCTCGGCTTTTCAAAGCACCTGACTCCGCACATAGTCACATAAGAATTGGCCGCGGGTTCTTGCTCCAGAAGCGAGTCGCTCCCATTCCACCTAACTGATGACCTCGCCTTCTCTTAGCCTCAGACACTTTGAATTTGCAGTTACAGACATGGCTGATGCAACGGGAAGGTTAGGTAGCAATTCGCCGTCATCGAGTTCGCCCAGGCCCGTACCACATCGGGTACGGGTGGCGTGTAAGGCATGCAACGCACGACGGGTCAAATGTGATGCAGATCAAGGGCAACCCTGCTGGCAATGTCGTACACGACAGATAGCCTGCGAACTCATTGAATCCAAAAGGGGCAAGTGCGTGGCTGGTGAGCTATATTGCTTTCTGGAACTGTTGTTGATGATTTGCCAGATATGTTCGCAAGAAAGCAAATCGGTCCTCCTCTAAGAGACCTCAAAGAGCAGTCTCTTCGCTTGCTGAAAGACAACATATGCCATCGCTATGTGAAGCGTCTGCTGCTGAAGCCGGACGCAGGATTGCGGGCTCCAAGCATACCGAAGACAACCCTAGTGTAACACCACTTCGACAAAATGCCCAAGGCGAGGAGAGTATATTTCCTTCTCCATTATTGAGACCTCATATAGGGCCAATCCAATCCGAAATCGGTCGAGTGGAACCAAATTCCCAGCCTCATCGAGCTGTGGACACTACTAATCTCGCGTACATTGTCGAGGTGGTTCATAGACCCAAGGACGGCGTAACTGAGCCTTTGAGGGTTCATTATCCGATTCCAGCCTCCATTGTAGACCAATCAGCTACTGCTTTTGGCTCCAAAGCGGCTGGAGAACCCATTTCCCTCCAGGAAGCTCTCAAAACGCCAGCACCTGAAGTTTCCGACCAACTAGTTCGCGCCTTCTTCGAGATCATCCATGTGGCTTACCCCGTATTCGACCGACAAAAGTTTACACACTCATATCTTCATGGTCAAGTCTCACCTTTGGTTTTGCAAACCATTTTTTTCTTGGGCTTTACGGTCGTAGGCGAAAGCACTATCCAAGCAAGTGGCTTCAGCGACAGAGCTGCTGCCAGGAGGACATATTATCGGCATGCCAAGGCGCTTTATGATGCCGATTACGGTACTGATATCATGAACGTCGTTGCTGTATTATTGCTATTTGGCTTTTGGTGGGCAGGTCATGACGAGCAGAAAGACACATGCCACTGGGTGGGTTGTGCGACGACTTTTGCACAGTCTCTAGGAATGCATCGGTCGTATGTCGCGTGGCCCTTTTGCTTCAGTATCACTAGGTTATTTGCTAACCCGACATTCTAGCACATCACAATCCGCTTTGACCCCGCAAATGAAATCTCTCAGGAAAAGAATCTGGTGGGCAATCTACGTAGGTCCAACATGTCAAACCCTTGAGATTTACTTAATTCATACATGCTAAAGGATTCCAGACCCGTGATAGGCATACCTCGGCGGCGTTCGGTCGGCCGTGCCGTATCCGGGATGAAGACTGTGACATTGAACCTCTCACCAAAGATGACTTCATGTTTGATAGAAACTACGAAGAGAGGCTCATACCAGCTCAGCAAGAATTTCACATATCTTACGTGATGGAGATGTCGAGATTGGCAGCATTATGTGCGTTGAAAGTGCCCTTTTCTGGGATCGTGCTGCCATCTTCTGACGTTCTTGTATTTTAGTTGGAGATGTTCTTGTTGCGGAATTTAGTCCGCGTCGAGCTGCAGAAGAAAGGTTTGATACGAAAGTGCTGAAGAGTAATCTTCTGCAGTGGGAATCTCAATTGCCCAATTGCCTCCGCATGTCGTCACTTGACGGCTTGTTAGGAGCCCCTTTTTGGGCTAGCATGCTACACTTCAACTACCAGTGAGTGAACAACCAAGCCCCCCATGTCCTCACGCCTTTGCGAACGCATGGCACAGGTACTTTCAAATACTTCTCTTCCGGCCAAAGTCCATAGAGATCCTCTCTCCTGAGGATGTAGAACGGGACAAGCGAGCCCGTATGGCAGCCGACGCGATCACTCGTAATGCGGAGGATCAGTTAGCCGCTGAAACCATCAGATCCGGACAGATTCATCTGTAGGTGGAGTGCTTGCTTGTATCCAACACTCTCGATCCTAACTCACTGCAGTGTACCGGCTTTGTTCGGCGCTCTTTCCATCCACACCATAGTCATATGCCGGCAAGATCCTGTTCGTCGACAGCTGGCTGAGAACAAGTCGCGGCAATGCCTCCTGGCTTTGGGCGAGCTATCACAGTCTTGGCCCGTGAGAATATGGATTTCTAAATCATTCGTCAGTTTGATGACGAGATTGACGGGTCAAGGCTCATCTGCCTCTGACAGAGCAATCGTCAATGTGTCCTCCAGCATCGTGAGTTCTTAGACACTGTAACCCTAAACATGCTCCCGTTTGCTAACTTGGAAGAACAGCGTACGACAACCCCCGAAGATACATCTATTGATGGGTCTCAAAGCGCCTCGGGCATTCCCAGCAGTGGACAGGTAGTCGCAAACTCCGTGGGGATTGACAACTTTGAACCACAGGGTTTTCAGGGGTATGATGGCTTGAGCCAAGCAACTGACCAACTATTCTACGACAATTTTTGGACATCCTACCTGGACACCGCCTTTGATGTGGACCTACTCATACATCCTACTACGGGGTCTCCACAATGATCAATTTTGAAGAGTGAGACTTGCAAGACAGAAAGGCATAGGCCTGGTAAGAAACTCTCAGCTTTTTTCTCTCTGAATCATTGTGTTCCTTTCTTTCGGAAACCAAGCTGATCTTGGAAAAATGAAAGCAAACAATTGCTAAAGATGTATCAATCCCTTGGCTTACGCAAGACTTTTGTTTGGATTGTCTTCTGGAGAGTTGCAGAGAAGCATGGTGAGGAATCTGTTTCGGATGAGATTGCCAGAGCGCACTGGAAAGCGATTTTATAATGGCGTCCTGCTACTTTTTCCAGAGTATGGCGCTTGCGTGACGCCTTTTGACGAAGACGTTAATCCTGGGGAGTTTCGAACCTAACTGATAGAATAAATCCTGGTATGGAGTGGTTCCCCTTCTCTTGCGCGAGCTGGGACCCAATGCAAAGGCTTGCCAGGAGTGAGCACGGGTTGCTTAGGGGCTTGCGGATACCTTCATAAAATGTTACTGAGTATGTAACATGATCAGTTCATACCGCTGCTCCAGCCTCGCAATTCTGTGTTGTCGCGTTGACCAATCCGTGTTAGCGATTAGCCGGAGGAAGGAGGTCAAGCTCCGAGCAGCCATAGAATCGACCTTGGCATAATGGGTCTGTGGCGATCACCTCGGCCAAAGTTGTAAACGCGGCTCGCGAATCGAAAATTGCAAGGTCACGGTTACGCGGGAAAGAATTTTCACCGCTCTTACTAGGGCCTTCTGCAGGGCCCCAGGCACTTCGATGGTGGCATGTTGCACCTGTGTTCCTGACGGATTACCCTTTTCTGACACTCCGGGAGATGAGCAAGCCGAATGAGTAGAGAGGTGCGTGATTGGTTGTGGAAGCCGATTGAAGAAACGAATGAGCCCATCCCTCTGCACGTGGAGATCTGGATGCCTCAGGGGACAGAGAGTGGGTGTGTAACTGGGTGTAGAGCACTGGATCACACAACCAATCTACACCAGCTTTTCGGTCGGAGGCTAAGCGGTCCGCGATCCATGTAATGCATTTCATTGGCTGTCCGTGTAGACCTCGATCCTCCAGCTGGCGTAGTTGCAGTACAGATATCGGAATGAAAACTGAAGTCGTACGAGACCTCCACTAGGAAATGTTCCAGAATGACAACTACAACAAAGCAACAGAAAAGACGGGGTCTTCTGCTCACTCCAGAGCCCTGCAGATGAATGCTTCAAAGAGGGGCAGGGGTTGAGTCCGTCATCTGCCCAAGAAGCCTCGGTTCTGGTGTACGTTTAGTATCACCGTTCGGATATTAGCGGCTCCTTGGGCTTGATTTGACTTTCAAGTTTGGGACGGCTGCGGCTGGGGCTGAGGCTACACCAGTGGCTGACATCTGATTGACCTCATGTTTGTGTGTTTGTTTTTTCTTCTCTTTTTCTTTCCCCTTTCATTTAGTCACGATTCCCGAGTCATTTCAAATCCAACAAAAATCGTCAGAAAGACTTGGTCCCATGCCATGTGCCATCGAAATAAAAATTGTGACCAGACAAATAATGTTGCGGAGATGTTGGAGATGAGACGGGGAAGAAAAGATGGAGAGAACCGGCCGCCGTACGATCTCTGGGTCCGTTGTTGGTCTTGCACTGTTAGTGCCTGACAATAGTTCGGACACCCCGGAAGTAAGACGTCATAAGTCTGAGCGGTTCGCGCTCCGGCTTTTTCTTGCCCTGTTTGGTACACCAACTGCCTGGCCGGTGCAGTGGATATGGAGACGGGGTAGGACTTTTGGTTGTTCTGCCTGCTACGTAGTAGTAAGAAAGAGGTGGGAATAAGCAAGACAAAAGGTTTTCACCATAAACTGACTACAGATCGTCGTCATCAGTGCTAGCATGGGTCCGCTCTTCGGCATTGACCAATCAGAGCACTCAAAAAGGCAAAAGGTACCCGCTGACCGCTAAGCCGCCACTAGAGCCGCCAACAGGAAACAAGCTTCGTATGCCGCTCTGCCGCAACTTGGCATAGCCCCAGCGAGGTGATGGCAAGCAGCCTCCGAAGGAGGCAACTTTGAAAAGAGTGCAATCGATTATTTCCCTCGTCTTGGCACATTATATCCGGCCAAACTCACACCCATAGACGTACAACAAAAATGCAGTGACAGTAAACGTCAACGTCAATGCTCGATGTTTAGCGGTGTTTGTGCCCCGCCACTCCGGCCCTTCTCCAGACTGCTCCTCGTTATCCACCTGTGGAACCGTCTGTCCCGACGTTTTCCAAACCTGCTGCCACTAGACTCTCAAACCCAGCCGAACTTTTGGGTGAGAGAACGGCACTGGTTGCTTCACCACATGAGCAATGCATTTCAAAGTGGGACGTGCTGCGCTAGATGTTGCCTGTTACACGCCACCATCCTCTGCTGGTGATGTCAGAGTGGGTGTCTGCGCTCTGGGGAATGCGGGATTAGCACGAGCACTGGGACACTGATCATTTTGGGTAAGTTGGTCTTCGGCCTCCGTCCGAAGATTTGATTCTAGCTCCAGGGCTGAGAAAAGTATGGTAGGTTATAATATTTCATGGTCGCCTGCTGTTGGGCTACCATGTTTAACGTGAACCCTCCCTTCCTCACACTCAAGAAAGTAATTCGGCTGGCGAAGGCTGCCTTCTTATTCATTAGAATTCCCATATCACCTTCAAACCTCCTGCTGTCTCCTTTTTTGAAGGAGACAGTCTTTAAGCTTTATTTCATCTCATCTCCTCTTACCCTTACAGTCGTATGAGAGCACTCCAAAATGTCCAGCGCACGATTCGCCGACGAGCCGCCCCAGGTTATCAACCAGGCCGACCTCGATCTTGCCAACGAGAAGCTGGAATCGCGCGATGAACGTCCCGCAGAAGGTAACAACAGTGGTGACACGACCAGCGACCAACTGTCCGCAAAAGAACGAGATCCCCCTGGGGACTTGGACCATGCCAACAACAATGGAGCCAAGCTCGAGAAGCTGGGTACCTACGACAAATATGAAATTACCGAGGACGACTGTTACGATGAGCTGGGCTACTCGTTTCCCAAATGGAAGAAGTGGTACATTCTTACCGTCATCTTTTGGGTCCAGGTGTCGATGAACTTCAACACCTCGCTTTACTCCAACGCTATTACAGGCATCTCGGAGGAGTTCGGCGTCAGTGCCCAAGGCGCCCGTTGTGGTGCCATGATCTTCCTGGTTCTTTACGCCTTCGGCTGCGAGCTGTGGGCCCCGTGGTCCGAGGAATTCGGCCGGTGGCCGGTGCTCCAGCTCTCGCTCTTCTTCGTCAACATCTTCCAGCTCCCCGTGGCCCTTGCGCCGAACTTCGCCTCCATTATGGTAGGCCGCGCCCTCGGTGGCTTATCGTCTGCCGGTGGCTCCGTCACGCTTGGCATGATTGCCGACTTGTTCGAATCTGATAAGCAACAGTATGCTGTCGCCTATGTTGTCTTTTCATCTGTCTTTGGGTCTGTGCTTGGTCCGATTGTGGGCGGTTTCACAGAGTCCTATCTGCATTGGAGGTATGTATTTCATCAGACACCGGAATGTTTTCACACGAAAGTAAGCTAATCAATTCATCTGCAGATGGTCCATTTGGGTTCAGCTCATCTTTGGAGGTGCCGTGCAGCTGTTGCACTTCTTCACCGTCCCCGAGACCCGTAGCACCATCATGATGAACCGCATCGCCAAGAAGCGCAGAAAGGAGGGTAACCCGAACATTTGGGGTCCTGATGAGCTTGTTCCCTTCAAGGACCGCTTTTCCGCCAAGGAAGTCATCACGACGTGGGTGCGTCCCTTCAAGATGTTCCTCACCGAGCCCATCGTGTTGGTCCTGTCGCTTCTCTCCGGCTTCTCCGATGCCCTCATCTTCATGTTTATCCAGTCGTTCGTCCTGGTCTATCAACAGTGGAACTTTTCAACCGTCGATGTTGGTTTGGCCTTCATTCCCATTGGCATCGGTTACCTCATTGCTTGGGCAATCTTCATCCCTGCCATCAAGCGCAACATCAAGGAGCGCAAAGCTAAGCCTCATGACGACAGGGCGCAGTACGAATCTCGCCTTTGGTTCCTCTTGTACACGGCGCCCTGCTTGCCCATTGGACTCATCGGTTTCGCCTGGACGATCCAGGGTCCTCCCATTCATTGGATCGGATCCATGATTTTCGCTGCCATCGTCGGTATCGCCAACTACGCCATTTACATGGCTACAATCGACTACATGATTTGCGCATATGGACCGTACAGCGCCTCTGCCACGGGCGGCAATGGCTGGGCTCGCGATTTTCTAGCTGGAGTTCTCACGGTCCCCGCAACCCCTTTTTTCACCAATATCGGAGCGGACAGCGGAAAGAACCTCGAATACGCATGCACTATTCTCTTCTGCATTTCATTCCTGCTGGTAGCTGCTGTCTACATAATCTACTGGAAGGGACCTGCTCTCCGTGCCCGTTCGCCATTTGCCCAGAAGCTGGCTGTTGCCAGAGAGGATACTGGCGGCCGACGTCTGTCCTACGCCCCCGGCGATCGACCAGGCAGTGAGTTGACCTCTACCCCGATTCTATATCTTCAATGTGCTAATAGGTTCGCCCCAGGTGATGCTGCTGGTGCTGATGCGCCAGATCGCCCCCCTTACCGACGTCAATGGAGCCAGTCATCGCGCTTCTTTGGTGAAAGCAGAGTGACTCCTCGCGGTACCCCAAGAGGAACGCCGTCGGCCAGCAGAGCCAATAGCATATCAAATGTCAACAGGCGCCCGGTTGCGAGATAACCGCTCAATGTTTTTTTCAAGACTTTATTCTCAGGCTTCTCTTTCAGGAGAGATGTCTTTTGTCATTTGCTAATTTGATGACCCGAGATACCCCTTAATGCAGAAAACTTACTTAGCATATTAATACACCCATATTATCGCTCTTTGCAATGCGCTATTCCGTAGTCGGTGATTCTCTCCGGTAATTTCTCTTCAAGACAACTTTTGCCGCTCGTACCTGCGGTTATTAACAAAGGGATGATTTGCAACAAAAGCAGACAAAGACAGATCAAGGAGTTATCCTTGGTAAGTCTTGTAGCTGAGTCCCACGTGGAAGCAGTAATCAAGAAAAAAAAAATAGACTGGACCCAATGACACCCTGATTGTATCACAAAGCATGAGCAGTATATAGCATGTACGAAGTTTATTATTTGGGTCAGTGGACTTAAGACCTCGTAAAGGGGCATGCTGTAGACAGTAGGGCGTGGTTATGCTCTAGAGATTGACTTTCGAGTTCACCACGAGGTGTCATGAACAAAAGCAATACAAGCATCAAACTTAGAGAGGAGATGTAAATGGGCCAACTCATGCAGATCACATTTTGATGCTAGTAATTTTATCGTTTACAATGTTTGTGAGAAGACGTAAGCCTCGCGCCTGCTCCTTTCTCAACTTGTTACTGCCCCTTAGTACTTACACCAAATCCTACCCCTTTTTCTCTATTTCTTTTTTTTATGTCACTTTGCCCAAGTCACTTTGCCCATACACTGTCTATCTAGGTTCTTACTGCTGATTTTGAATTCATATCGTTCTTACAGTAGCCTATCTCCCCAACATGGGCTACCTGAGTGTGTTGTACAAACTCCATATATCCAACCAACTGAGCGACGTCTACTCGACCCCATAACTCGCCAGATTTACGGATAATCACCGAAGAAACTTACGTTAACTCCCCGAAACAGACTCTGCATAAGCGTGGGACGCTCCACAATTACATGAGAAAAATATCCCCTTTGGTATTGGAAATAGGGTTTTCTGTATGGATGCAAGTGTGCCGCGGCATCCGCATATTCTTCCCCCTCCCCCCAAAACCTCCAAAGCTAACGCACTCTGTTTGATCCACTGCTGCAAACCAGCCCCTGAAATTACTCGTTCTGGATCACTTCGTTCTCCGTTTTCATACATGTGTCTAGTGTGTCCTTGTACATGAAAGACTAGGCCGGAATCAGCAGCATGCGTAGCTGCGGCAGCCATGAGCCTCGTTTTCGCATCACTCAGTCCAGTACGCCACCATCCAACATTGCTTTTCTTTTTCTTTTTTTTTTTTTTTTAAATTACAACATAAAGGAGTTTGGGAAAAAGTGCTCGACGCTGACGCGTTCTTCTCACACGTGGTGGTCGCATGGGATGACTGGAGATGGAGAAGCCTCCTGTGGGTTCTTGGCTAACCCGTAGACAAGACGACTATGCTCTTTCTGTAAACGGTAGGCGAGATATGACCTATTCGAGAACACAGGCACGTCAACCACAAAAACAAGGGTGAGATTTAGACGTACGTTGAGGGCGGGATTTCAAGATTGTCGAGAAAAAGCTGCGGTTGTGTACGTCTCCTTTGACTTGCAACTGAAGTATTCTCTTTTCAACATATCTGTAGCTATGCGCTACTCTGGCGGTTGAGATTCATATGCTTCTAGTCACTTTTTGACCTTTTCAACCTTGGTATACCCCCATACTACAGTTCCGTAACATTTAGCCAAGCCAAAACTCTTTGTTGAGCCTCCCTCTTCTGGGCAACTTCCTAATTGAGAAACTAATAATGTGGATCAGGTGTTGGTCACTAATCATATAATATAGATTAAACGGCACTCTGAACTTTCGACTGCATTCACACCTTGATTATCATCAACATCCTGACATGCCAGAGCCATAGCCGAGCTCCAGATGGGAGATTGAGATATGAGACGAGGGCAAGATGTACGACGGAGCCAGTCAAAACGGAGAGACCCGACATGCGGTCAAGACTTCTGCAGGTGGGTATGGGCGACCAGTCGTGCAGGCAGCAAGTGTAACATACCAGGTAATTTGCTTGCCATGTGCTTGTAAACTCAGAGTTGTCAAGTGGAGAGGCGTCACGGATAGGCATTAACAGCTATGTAATGGAAATGCTAGTCGAACCTTCAGAAATCCGTTTTGTGCCATTGGCCTGATTGGTTGCCTTATGACGTCAAGCCGGGTTTATCCCTCCTAGTAATAGTATCGGGTGACGAGTCGTTGTGCGAGATGGATGATCCTATGAGGAGTTGTAAAGAGCGAGAGGATAAAGAAAGACTCGATTGTCTAGGCTTTCTTACAGAGCCATTGGTAGAGACCCGGTAACCCGTCTATGCCAACATCCTACGTAGTAGTTGAGAACCTTTTATAATAGACAGGTAATCTTTTAGATATTCGCCGCAACTATTGCGAGTCTGTTTTCGTGCTGACCTAAGTAACGCCCCTGCATGTCTGTCTTGGCATATTAGTTGAGCCAAGAAGGACTTCTCCTTTTGTGATTAGTAACGATTATTTCAGGCATCTTGGGTGAATTTCTTTTTTTTTTTGTCCCGGGTGACGATCGTGCTTCGTATCCGGGTGGCAGTTGTAATTTCTTGAGGGAATGAGCTCCTCTCTTTAGAGTTGCGCCAGTTTTAATACTGCTTTAGGTATCCGTAGTGTATGCACCCATTTTGTAGGTGGGTAACTGCGTTGAAAAAACTTTCAGCATGCCCAGTACGACTTTGGACGCTTCACTGCCTCCTCTGAGACGAAAAGCTCATTCAAGACGGTGTTGACTTGTTCTGAGAGGGTCGGATGATCGGCTATCGTCCGTAGGCCGTATGCAACAAGTTCATTGGCGGGATAGCTGCTTGTCATAAAAAAAAAAAAACGCGACAGACTTTGAAGACGCATTTAATTCGAGCTGTCGTTAACGTGGTGTGAAACAGGCAGTCCAACCTGAGGTAGGCAGCGTAGCATCCATCGAAGGCTACTACGCGGAAAGAGGGCTAGCGAAATCAGTGACTGACTCGGGGGGAGATGACAGTGGAGATGCTAAGGGCGTTTAGAGTTACGCGCAATGGAACTTTTTTGCCTGGGCAGACAAAAGAGAGTTCACCAAAGCCATTTCCTCGGACGAGGAAAGATGAGACCGTTGAAGCTGTGGCCAGTTGTCCCGAGCAGAAAGCGTGCGTGGCCTAGGGATGAGCCTTCTTTCTATAATGTAGTCTTGCCTACCCGTTATGGTCCAGGTCAACAGGGCCCTTAGCACGAAATCAGCGACTCGGAATTAGCCCCACTCCCGGACCCTTAACCCGAAATCGACCTTGGGCCAGATTAAGGTTGAGCATTTAAACTTCACCCCTAAAACACAAGACAAGCATCAGGTTGCGTCGGGGCGCAGGATCGCTTGATTATAAACCTCTTACGCACCCATCCGCGCATGCCGACGGAAATCTGAAATCTCCGCGTCCAGCCCGTCCGGAATACTGCCACAATTTGCGCTTTCCCACCCTCTACAGCCAAATCTGAGGGAGAGAGAGAGAGAGCGTGAGAGAGAGAAAGAGAGAGCCAGTGTTGTGTGTATGTGTGCGTGAGCAGAGAGACAGAAGATAAGTGGAAGGGAAAAAGACAGACAAAAAAACCAACAAAGGAGAGAGAGCAGAGAGACTTTGGAGGAGCCGAGACCAAAAGAACCAAACAGAGCAAAACAACCACATACGACACAAAGACCAGAGGAACAAAAAGGAACGGTTAGTAGGGGCCCTGAAGCGGTACTCACCACCCTTGACATGCTTTTCTGGCCCCCAAACCCAATCACCCACCCCTAAGCTCAAGCCCAAACACGCTCCTAGACCCCCCCTCCGATCCCTTTTCCCTCTGGCGCAGAGACACTTCTGCTGGCATTTCTTACACTCCAACATTCCACGCAAAGACGGGAGGAGTTAAAACTGGTTTCGGTGTCGTTCTCGTTCCCAACAGCTTGGGAGAGCAAGAAGAAGGGAAGAAAAAGAGTTTTGCCAACACGGAGACGCAGGCCGAACAAGTCCGGCTTTTATTTGCCAAGACAAGAGGGAGGGAAAAAAAGTTATGGAGCAGAGCCCCGAAGCTCAGTTGTCACCGCCAGACGGACAAGCGGCGACTCGCGGGTCCGACGCACTTCCGAGACCGCGTCCGTTGGCTTGCACTCCATGTCGGCGCCGCAAGGTATGTTAGCCAACAATCTCTTCCAAGGGTTCTGAATGGTTGCTCAAGGGGAACGCGGCAATTATTACCGGTGGATTCCGAACCACTACCCGGGAACTTGGGTAAAGGAGCCGGGGACCATATCGAATCTTGGCTGACGGCACGCCGGCGATCCGGCACGGCACTTTACAGATTCGATGCGACCACAAGACGCCAATCTGCTCCAACTGCGTCAGATATGGGCTGGAATGTGCCTGGCCCGAAGGTAGACGCTCTTCTGGACGTCGTCAGAGACCGTAAGCTATACCTCATCTTCACCCTCTCCCGCATTCTCACCTCCACTTCCCGCCCCCCTCCCTCAAGGATCGGCGTCCATCAAGGCCCGCTGCCTGGCCTTATTCCCAACTCTATTATCGATGCAAATCTCCGAAAGGCACGGAAAATCGGCTGACGCACATTGTCCCCTGAAGGCTCTATGAAGATGTCGTTTCGAGGCTTGCCCAGATGGAGCGGTTGGTGGAGGAGCTCCAGTCCACGAAGCCAGATCAGGGTATGACTCCGCCAACCAACGAGGCGAGTACTTCTAGCATATCACCCCTGAACACCGTTTCAACACCTGCGGTGGCGCCGGCGGTGGCGCCGGCGGTAACGCCGTCTTCCATGACGGCGTCGGTAACGGTTTCGGCTTCCCAGTCTCCTATATCGAGACGGAAAGCTAGCAGCGCAAGCCCGTCTTCCGGGAACCCCGACACACACCCATCTCCAACGTCCGCCACATCTTCAACAGGGGCGAGGCCGTACTATGTGGGAGCTCCTAATGAGCAAGTCGTCGCTGCGGCAGGTAAGAAAAGGCCATTCCCAACTCTTGGGTCTTGCATGTTGTGGCGTAAACTGCACTTGGCTGGCTCAACATCAGGAACATGACAATAAGGAGAAGGAAGGCTAACAAGGCTTGCCCATCAGGCGCCTGCTCTCTGCTCTCGCCCCAAGGGCTGGCTCAGATTGAGCTGCTCATCGGGGACTCGAGGTTCACCAATGCCCTGAATACCCTCCAGCCCAAGCTCGAGACTCTCAGCCCGCAGCCGTACCTAGAGCCATCAGACGTGAACAACCCGCTTCCTCCTAATCATGTGATCATGGACTGCGTCAACGGTAAGGAGATTCAGTGTCGTTGTTGAATACGCAAAACGTTCTTGTATTTGAACGATTTAACTAAGGGGCTGCTTGGTAGATTATATGGTGACGATGAACACTGGCATTCGACTCTTCCAAGAACACGAAGTACGAGCGGCGCTCAGCGCGTACTTTCAGGGTCAACCCATCGCAGACCCAGGCTGGCGGTTGGCGATCAACTCCATCCTCGCCCACACGATGCGCAAGAGAAACCGCATGCGCAACAAGGATGAAAGCGAAAAGTACATCCACAACGCCTTGGGCATGATTCCCAATGTTATTATCCGGGCGCCAACCCCCCTCACGATCGGAGCCATGTTATCAGTAGTAAGCCACTCGCTCCTCTTTCGTTACCCTCATCACCTCTCGAATTCGACAGTCGTAACGGAGCCACTGACTGAACAAATCTGCGACAGATACTCTACTACAACTTTATCTCAGAAAACCACATCGCCCTGACACTCCTCGGCCTCACCGTGCAACTTCTCCTCATGTCGGGATACCACCGTCCGGACCCTGACCTCGCCTTTGCCGACCCTCAGAATCTTAGCCCGGCAGACCATCTCCACCGGCGCCGCCTCTTTTGGCATGCGTATGTCATCGACCACGACCTCATGCTGCGCATTGGCAAGCCCCCGCTTATCAGCGACGACTTCCTCTTGGACCTACCCGAGGAACATCCGGCGGATGGGTATAGCATGTACTACTACCCCAACAACATTACGCTCAACTTCTTCCTGCAGCAGGTACGCCTGGCGCAGATCCAAGGCCGGATATCGGCGGCGCTGTACTCGAAAAGCGGCGTGCCACCGACAGAACTCGAGGCGGAGATCCGCCGACTCGATGCCGAGTTACAGGAGTGGAGGGAGAGCATACCGGAAATGATCCACCCCGAGCGCGTCGATGCGTTACTAGACGGCGACTACCACCGCCTGGTCTGCCTTACGACTCTGCACTTCACTTACTTCCAGCTCGTTGTTGCAATTCACTCGACAGCATTCAGATTGCCGGCCTTTGAAGACCAGGAGGGCGTGGAGACACCCGACATTGGCCCTTCACTCGCGTTATGTGTCGGCGCATCTCGAGCGGCCATCTCGCTGCTAAATTTCCACCAAATTGAACACCCTTACACGCCGTAAGTACCGGTCTTCTTTAATAATCTTGCTCTCCAAAGTTACTCACGTGTCGTCAGATATTTGATCTACCAAGTAGCCTGGAGCGTAGACCTCCTTTTCGTCAACATACTCCAAAACAAGACTTCGCCTCGGGCACGCCGCGACCTCGAGCTGATCCGCACAGTGCTCTCCTTCTTCGAAACATACGATCCGAGTCACCGGACCGTTATCTCGTACCAGATCATCAGCGTCATTGCCGACGTCGCCGCCTCCGTTCTTGCTAATACTCCCACTTTACCGCCTCACATGCGTCCCGTTTCCCGGCCTGTGGGTACCGCCGTACAGGTCCCACCAGCGACGTCAAACCAGGCCGTCAGCCCCGCCACGGCCATGGCACGCCAGAGCATCGGGGGTTTCCCACCCGAACTTGGCATGACGGGGACGACACCGGGTCGCAGCGGGAGCATCAACGGCGCCAGCCCAGATGTGTTGGGCCCCATGACCAGCCTGACCATGTCCGATCAACAGCAACAGCAACAGCAAGGGTTCGTAGACATGACCGCCCTGACGCCGGTGACGCCGGCAAGCGAAACACCGTTCATGTCCGGTTTCATGGACATAGCGACGGACTGGCGGCTGCCGATGGACTACCAGCCCGAACTATGGCAGTACGACAACATTTTGGATAGTCGATACCAGAATCGGAACTAGGCGAAGAAGGGCGGCTCGAACTGTGGGCTGGCGAACGCAGTCTTGGCGTCATTTGGTCCACCACAGCGGACCACTCTCGGGCTGGGAGCTCCAATAGCGTTTTGTGTCAATTTGTTTTAATTGTCACCCACAAGCGAACTCACCGGGCGCCCGAGGCTATGCTTAGCGCCGCTTTACAGGAGGCAAATCAACAAGCGACGACGTCGACAAGCACGCGACTCGTTGCTGGAAGAGAGGGGAGAAGGGAAATAGGAACGATTACAGAAATCCACGGGCGAATGGGGGTCAGGGAGGGACCGGAAAGAAAAGAAAAAACCCGGTGCTCGATGGGTGAAATAGAGAAAAAGGATGATATAACAGCAAACCAGGAATCCATTTCGTGACATACAACGGCACATATCGTCCAGACGACGATATAGGGCATTTTGTTCATTTTTGGGGTTGTTTTTTGTTATTATTTTTTCACTTCTTCTTTCCTGGGCATAAATTGGGGCAGAAGAGAGGAGGCACAGGAATTCTTAGACTTGGGGGCGTCGAGGGGGGGAGGGTAGGGGAAGGGAATACTCATCATGTTACAGCTGCCTCTCAAACCGTCTACACAGATACCAGCAGAGAAGGGAAGAATTGACTTTGGATTTTCATTTATTTACCCCATTCCTCACTCACCTAACAGCATCGAGTTTAGTTCATGGTTGTGAAAGAGAACGTACGGTTCCCAAGGGGTTGTCTGTCTCCCTTGCCCTGGCAAAAAATGGCATTCCCCCTCCATCCACAGACAAAACATGGTGAGACAATGGGAAAAAAATCCGACCCCAGAAGAGACGACAACAAACGGTTTTCCTCCTTTTTTTTTTTTTTTTTCTTATTTTTCACATGTCATTTGCCTATCACTTTTTCTTTGTTTTATTTTTTCTCTCACCCTCTTATTGGGGCTCCGATACACCCCTTATCCAGGGGTTCGAAGGTGGAAGCGACAACTGCGCGCTCCAACCCAGCTCCTGCAGCTGCAGCTCCGGAGTCCGACCGGGGGGCCAGTATTATCATCGACTCGCAGCTGTTGTGACGTCAGTGCAAAAAAATGCGGATTCCTCGGAGCTGCTTGCACTACACTACACTACACTACGCTGCACTAAATTACACTACGTTTGTTCCTCTTTTGAGGTTCTCATTTTCTAGGACCATTATTTTTTTTTCTTCAAGGCGAGGCGCGAAAAATGCTTGGGCCAGATGGAGCACAACTAAACTGATTCAGCCTTTTTACCCGGTTCTTTTCGCACGAGGTATGTCGTCAGGAATGTTTAGACCCTGACTACCAACACCACCACCCCGATCCCGACCGATCCAAGAGTTCTGTCCCCCCCCCCCCCAGTCCCCGTGCCAAAAGCTCCAAACCGCTATGGCCTTGTGGAATATCTATATTCAACAGTGTCCCTCTCGTTCTCGTCCCACCTCCCATCCCAGACTATCAGCCCTCCTCCACAAAGTCAACGGCAACACGCTGATTATCCACACCTGATCTTGCAACAATCGTGGCCGCGGCCCTTGCGTCCCCGAAACTCACCCCCACAATGTCCTCCGAGACGGCGGCGGCTGGCCAAGACAGAAAACGGCGATCGGCAACCCATCCGCCCAAGACGCTGCGTGAACGCTTCCTCCACTCGCTGCCCTACTACACGGGACCGTACGGCGTGGGTTTCCTCGAGATTGAGGTTCCGGCTCGCACGCCGCGCACCTTTTCAGAGCTCAGGAGAGACAACGTCCCTCTGCTGAGGATCGACACCGTGCTCTTTGCCGTCTACTACCCGTGCACCCTCAAGTCCAAGACTGACGACCATCCAACCCCAGGGCACGGCCACCGCAAGCCTGGTAGTGGTGGTGATGCCAAGAAGAAGCCGAAGCTCTCGCGGGTCGGCTGGCTCCCGCGCCCGCGCGTCCTTACTTGTAAGGGCTATGCCAAGTTCATGAGCGTCCCAAACTTGCCGGTGACGGCTTACATCGCCTCCACCTCCATGTTCACGAAGCTCCCGGCTCTGAGGAACGCTAAGCTGGCGGAGAACTGGCCGGAAGAAATGCTGGGCGATGAAGGGCCGTCTGGTCGAGCGGCAAGGGACGAAGAGGCGAGGTCATCAACTAAGCCCAAGTTTCCCGTCATCATCTTCAGTCACGGCCTGGGAGGTTCCAGGATGAGCTACAGCTCCATATGTGGAGAGCTGGCCAGCTACGGCTTTGTCGTCGTGGCGATTGAGCATCGTGATGGCAGTGGCGCAAGAACTTATGTCAACCTCCCCGAGCACCGGGAGATTTCCGACAGCGACTCGTCCATTACGCATTCCCACATCAAGAGCGTCAGTGCCAAGAAGATTAAGAACAAGAAAAAAGGCAAGCAGAATGACCAGTACTATTGCGTCGACTACCTCTTCCCCAAGGACAACGCCCAGGACACGGCACCACACAACGCGCGTGGGGTCGATACGGAACTACGAACGGCGCAGATCGAAATGAGAATGAACGAAATAGAGGAAGCGTACCGCGTCCTCGGATACATCAACCAAGGACGGGGGCGTGAGGTCGCGGCTATGAACCTGAGAAGAAAGGGCAATGTGGCGTCCAGCTCCAAGGGCTTGACGGGAATCGAGTGGGATGATTGGACAGGACGACTGTTTTTGGAAAACGTGACAATGATGGGCCACTCGTTTGGCGGAGCAACGACGGTCGAGAGCTTAAGATCGGAGTCGCTCAGCTGGGTAGGTCAAGGCATCATCCTCGACGCTTGGGGTTCCGCTACACCTCGAGCGGGTGAGGACGCTAGGCATCGCGTCAAAAAGCCACTTTTGGCGATCGGATCGGAGGCCTTTATGCACTGGCAGGAAAATTTTGACAGGCTCGTCGATATCTGCAACGAGGCGAGAGCAGAGAATGCCCTGACCTGGATGTTGACCATCAGAGGCTCCACTCATCTCTCCCAGACTGATTTCGCTATACTGTACTCGACATGGATGGACCTGTTGATGAAGACGCTCGTCAACCCCTTGAGAGCCATCTACCTTACCATCTCTCCGACGCTTGAGTTTCTCAAGATCACACTGCCAGCAGAGCAGACGAAGTACAGCATGTGGGTGGACGAGAAGATCCTCAAGTCGGCAGAGGCATCATCGACACCGGAAGCTGTGGTGAAACAAGACCACCGGCCCGATGACAAATGGATAGCAGTCCGGCTCAAGGTCGACAACGAGGCGTCACTAAGAATCAAGAATTGGATTCGGCATAAGAAGAGAGTGTTGTATCGAAAGGGAGAAGGCTCTGGTTTACCATCTGGGCTGATCAACTGGGGCGAAGGCAACGAGCTCTTCATCCACTTTAGTCCTGGTCTTCAGCCTGTGGAAGAGTACATGCGGAAGAAAGAGCGGGTGACGGGTTAAGTCCAACAAACCCCCAGGTGTACGATATCTGCACCGCCTTGTACCTTTATGCGTTAGCTCCGAGCTGGCTGAGCTGTTTTATTGGCAAGAAAATTCATTTATGGCGTTTTGGGGGGAATGACTGTAACAGATGCCAAATCTACTGGCCTAGGACTCTTTCAGCGCAGGCGAACCGTTGTTAATTGAGCGGCATTATATCGCAGCAGGCAATGCCAATGACTTGATGCTCAGCCTTAAAGGCCCCAAGTGATACAACCGATTAGGTTGATGCTCCTGATGGGCTACACCGTGGCGGTCTTGATCACGAAATCGCTGGCGGTAAGTCGCAAGAGAAAAGGGAACGTGATTTAAGATCGCACAGTGACTGGCCAACGGCTCTGCAAGCCGTCGGTGTGCTTTGACGGGACTGTCGAAGCAGACGAAGGACGATGAAAATTTGGAGACTCCTCTGGTCTTTTGGACGCGTTTTGCAAACGAAATGCTCGTGCACGTTGCGCTTTGTCGCTGAAGTGGTATAGTCTTTGGTTTGATGTGGGAAGCGAGGTTCGGACGCACAACCGAAAGAGACTAGCCCAGGTACTACGGCGTCCATCAAATTTCGATCGGATCGAACTAGGGGGTGGCCCGGCAGGTGATTTTATTGGGAGTGGGATTGAAGCCGCGGATTGCATTCTGGAACGCGGAGGCTAAGAAAGGGTGCCAGTCTGTTCGATTTCACTGCCCCGGTGGTTGGGAATGTGGCTTGTCCTGTCTGTATGTTGCAATTGCACGAGGCCCTGTTTCTGTTCTGACTCTGCGAATTACTTGCAGCCTTCTCGTCATCCTCTAGTGGTTTTTTTTTTTTTTTTTTTCGGATCAAGAAGCCATGATGCACACCAGAGCAGCTAGCATACCCGGTAAAAGGTGAGCGCAGGCCACGGCAAAGCAGGAAAACATCAATCATGCCTGCAGGATGATAAGGGTAGTGGTGTCGTGGGAGGGGTTGCAAGTGGCCGGCATGCGGGTGTCAGTTGATGGGACGACAAAGAATACGAAGTGTGTTGTTCGAGCACTATTGAATTTCATGAGCTGCAGGAAGAGCATTATGTCAGCTTTTGGGGGGAGGAGACTGGCAGATGCAAAACGTCGGATGGACGTAAAGATGTGCTCGTAAAGAAAGGCTATCGTGTGATTATGTGACTTTGTGTGTGTACATTGGATGAAGTCAGATGGCTTGGGCCGACGCAGCCACACTGGCATCCACAGCTTCATATTCAGGTGAAGCAACATAACAAGGTGGGGGAGATAGGCTTTTGGCGGAGAAAGCCAGCAAACAGACCTTGCAACGGTCGGGAAGCCCGTAGCGGCGACGAAGGGAGAGAAGGAAAAAAAAAAAAAAAAAAAAAAAAAAAAGCTCAGCCATGCCACATGTGAAGGTGGTTATGGTTGTTTTTTGTCTTTCTGTGTGCGGTGGTGGTGTGTGGCCTGCAGCAAACAAACAGTGGAAACACCAGATGATGCATGGTGGAGGTGGTGGGCGGGCCTTAGGTAATGGGGCCTGGCCTCCGCTTAAAATAGGTGTCTGTGTTAGCCAAACCCTTGTCCCGGTGCTGATCGGCCAGGGGAAAGGTTGAGGGGTTCGCTAACAGCGGGGCAGGAAGTGGCGCCTGCAGCGATCCCCGGTCGAGAGGTCCAGCCAACATGCTCAAAAGCTCGTATCAAGCGTCACATTAGCCATTGAATCCAGCTGCCATCGAACCCTCTCCCGTCCGCCACGGTAAGGAAGAAAGAGGGAAAGAAAAATCCGAGGAAGGGATACGGCTGCCATGCCACAGCCTCCCACCTCACTTAGTCCAACGTGTAACACCACCTTCATCCCCCGCCAACGAATGATTGTATGCAAGACGCCGTTTGTATCCTTTGTATCTGGCAATATACCCATGACAACAAGGCACGGAAAGGTACATTGTGTACTCCTTCTCAACTGAACAGAATGTAGCAGTCAATATACCATCGCGCTCAGCAGAAGGACACGGCCATGATTTGTTCCTCGCCAAGACGCATCTCGTCTATGGTACCTACCTTAGCCTCCTGTTTCCTGCCAGTCCAGCTGAACCTGGACCTCTGCTTGCTGCACCTGTTCTTAAACCCGGCCCTCTCAGACCTGCAAATAGGACAGTAAAGGGCTGATCACCATGCCAGTTTGCATTGCGCTGACCTCTGAGCACCATCAAATCTGGCCAGCATCCCAGCGGGGTCCTCCCAATGGAGGCGACAGCTCGCCTGCACGCTGATGATGCTAATGCTGGTGTCTCTATCCGAACAAAGTCTTCCTGTCTTGGGGAGCGCATCCATCCCTACGGCAGCCATGGATACCCCAGTCCGTGACCTGCTGCATGATCATGGCCCTCCCGGTTGTCGTGCAGACGAGACCTGATAGGATTCGACCATGGGATGGCCTTTTTTTTACGTTTACCGGCCTGCCTTTTAGACTGGCCCGTTCTGTTCTGTCTGTGGTATTGTCGCCGTGGGCCTCTTCCCAGTAAACAAGCTCAAGCTTGTCCGGGGACCAAGGGAGCTTCTCCGATCTGTGGTTCCTTCTTTTTCTTCGACCGCATCCCACATTCGAGAAGCTCTTTTTTAGATATCCCCTCCCGCCGTTTCCTTTCCTCCCCAAACCCCGGCTCTTATCTTGTTCCAACTACTACTCTACCGCCGGTCGTTTCTTTCTTCCTCGCATTCCCTTCTCCTACTCGACCTGGTCGCATTTTTCGTGTTTCACGAAAAACGTTACGTCGTTGCATTCATTTGGTGACTCTTGAATGGTTCGACTGAGCATTAGCCCCTGCTACTTCTTCTTCGCTTTGCCTGCTCACTTATTCACCGTCTTTTCCCGGCGCACACTTACTTCGCCTTCCGTTGCTTGCTATTTTTTTTTTTTTTTTTTTAGCACACATTCACCATCAAGCGCCGAGTTTCGCTGCAACTTCTCCATTTGTCGACTTTTCTCTTGTTCCTTGATATTGCCAACCAATTTGGCAAATCAGGTACAAACCCCATGAGGATATGGGATTTTTGAGACGCCACAGTTAGCCTCGCCTTTAACCTCTCTTCGTACTCTGCGACCGCTAGTCGCGTATCGCCCCCATCTTTGGCGCCACCACTCTACCCCCAATATCCTACATTCAAACCCTCCTCAAACGACCTGCCGCCTCCCAAAATGACTGCCACGGCCGCTCCACGCACGCCGGGCAAGCCCCGACGTAATAGGTCTGACAGCCTTCAGAAAATGCTTGAACTGGAACATATACAAAAGGTAAGTGAGGCCGGCCCTAGCCTCGCCCCTTCGGCTTGGGTGGCATCCACACCAATTTGGCTATTATAGCTTCCTCCCCACTAACACGCTTCATCTCACAGCTCGAGCGTCTTCAGGGGCACCATACTCAACCAACGCCTGCCCACGCCTCCCACATGGCGTTTCATCAGGTTTTGAGTCAACAACTTAATCAAGGCCGTTCTTCCCAGCTTCCTCCGAAACTATCTCCTTTTCCCACTCTGCATTCTCCGCCACAGGTGAAGCCTCTTGTTCCCTTACAGTCTCGCCGGAGGGACACGCTTCCGGCCAAAAAACCTGAACCTGAGAAACTCCCATCTGCCATGAAAGCTATCCGCCGAACAACTGCTCTCCCCTCCCTTTCCATCTCGGTGCCGCCGCCGGCAAACACCAAGACGGAAATCGATCGTGGACTAGGTCAGGAGGAGGCTGCAGATCATAAGCACAAGACAGTGACCTTCTTGGACGTCGATACCCAGGACGAACCAACGGCGGACGACGCTTCTTCAATCTGCAACTCCCCAAGTTGGGAGTCTTTTGGCCAGAAGAAGAAAAAGGAAAAGAAGAACGAAATCAAGATGCGCAAAAAGGAAAAAGAACAGGCCGACAAGCTGGCCGAAAAGGAGGCCAAATCCGTCAAGAAGAAGCTGGCGGCAAAACTGCACAAGGTCTCACCAGCGACGAGGCCTCCCAGCGCCTCTAGGTCGCTGACAAGCCCCCTCATGTTCGCTGATGAGCGACTTCGTCCTGCCAGCTCTCAAGCCTTTTACGAGCCGCCACCCCCGATCCGTCCTAACCATGCCAGGCAACGTTCAGACTCGGTCGCCATGCAGTTGAAAGCGGTGTTAACGGGTCATAAGATGCAATATCAGACCAATGATGAGCCAGGTTTCCTCGGCGGCTTGAAACTCGAGAAGGAAAGACAGGCGGCGACCGGTATGTTGAACAAAATGGCAAACCCCCAAATCGCGATGCTGGACCAGAGGTCTCAGTCATTCGGATATGAGGTGAAAGTGTCATCAGGTGACTTTGTTCCCCCAAGTCTTCCGCGTTCCGCTTCAGACGGGCCGCCAGCTGTGGAAGTGAACCATCAACAGGGTCACAACGTCCGCTCTAAATCACACCTCAGCACCATGCAGGTTCCGACTTGGTCTCAGCCTTTGATATCGCCCACCGCACCACCCGTGCCAGATGTGGGCAAGCTTCAGCAATGGAAGGATCGGACTACGCGTCACAAAATCCCTGGGGCTGTTGAGGGCGAGGAAACAGAACTTGACCTCGTTGAGCCCAGTGTCGACTTCAACCAAGAACGAGGTCGTCGAAGAGAGAGTTATGTGCACCAGCACCGACAGCAGAGCAAAGACCGCTCGATCAATGGCTTCAATGACGAAGTTCGCGTATCTTCTGCCACTTCTCACTATCCACCCCAGGCCAGCCGACAGCACCAGCTACGAAAGAATTCGTCTTCGTCGGAAAGCAGTCCGGTTGCATCAAACTTCCCGCCTCGCCGCGGTTCTCTGGCCGCCGTCGACTCTTTGACGGATCGTCAGGGCCAAGGGGATGATTTCCTCATCACATTCCGCCTCCCTTACACACCACCAGCACTTGATCTTGAGGGAAGCCCAAGACAAGCCTCATTTGACCGATCAATGTCAGAACAGCCGCCAATGATCAGAAATAGACTTGTATCAAAGGAGATTCCCTTACCCCCCGAGAGGTCCGCATCGCGAGAGACGACACCATCCTCCCCAGCATCCACTCCAAGTACAAGCATTAGAAGCTTCAAGGATGCCGCCAAAGCAGCTTTTCAAAAAGTTTCTCCTTCGAGTACTTCTAAGCCACCAGTATCAAGTTATTTCTCTCGAGCTTCACGCGACACCACGATGACCCCGGAATCTGCGTCTAGCTCGCGATATTCGAGTCAGGAGAACCTGTCTGTCCCGGTTCAGCCTGTTCGTCCTTTCGCCGAGCCAGCCGGGTCTAGCATGCCATCCAGAGAATCATCGGCTCGCCCTACCGACAGATCATCAATGTCTTCTTTCGAAGAGCCCATGTCTTCACCATCCCCTGCAACAACACCTGACTCCTCAAGACCTCAGTCGGAGAAGGGGCTGCCTTCTGCAGATGGGGAAATGCGCAGAGCAGACAACGAGACAGTTATGATTACCGACGATGAAAGGTCATACAGGCATTCCCACAAAGCTATGCTGGCTGTTTCCTCACCTACCGGCTCGAACCCAAGGATCAGTCTTCCGCCACAGATCCCACCTCAGATGCACGAGTCGCATCTTTCCGAACTAGAAGCACTTGTGACGGAGAAGTTTGGCGGCAGAAAAGCCAGTGTTGCCGATTGCGAGTCTGACAGCGATGCCTCTCACGCCTGCCCGACACCCCTGTTTACATCAGCGTTGGCATCGCCAGTCACGTCTACATCTATTTCAAGCCCAAGAGAGTCTGAACATCAAGTCTCTCAAAAAGAGAATGAAGAAGTACCCCAGGTGATCGAAGAGGTGATTTCCGTTCAGCGTCGCCCGAGCTTGTCTAAGAGCCGTTCGAGCCCTGATCTGGCCGTCGACACGAGCTTCCTTCCTAAGTTGAAGCATCAGCCTCTCGTTCCGCGGCCCTTGATTCCGCCTCCCCCACCTCGTTCATCTAAGAGGACTTCCAGTCCAAATAACAGAAAATCTTCGCAACCATCCTTGTCAGGGGATGTGCGGAACTCCATGGTTGCTCTCAAAGCGCCTGCAAACCCGTCTTCATACCTTGAGCAAGCCCGCAAGTCCATATCGGGGCCTTCGCGATCAAGTCGCGTGTCTCGAGCTTCGATTGTACCACCCGACGGCAACGTCGAGCCTGTTGCCAAGATGCTGGTCGAATGTTGCGGCTGCAAGTTCTTGCATGATATGCCGAGCAAGGTCTACGAATGCATGGCGCAACCTGATGGCATGGTGGAAGACAAGAGGTTGGGAGTTAGCGGAGTCATCACCACCACAGTAAAGTGCCCGTGGTGCGCTCACGGCATGACTACCAGGTGCTGCGCTGGATATGCAGCCGTGGTATACCTTAAAGAGAAGCTGCACTAGGTTAAACCCGAAGCGTGGCTTACATTAATATCTCTGGCATGGCCAGTCTTGAACACTAAAAATTTGGCACCAAAAACCTAACGGGGCACGCAAAAATAGTGGGGGCTAGTTATAGCGATGAAGAATACGATGGTAGTTGAGCTTGCTTGACGAGGTTGTACGAAATGTGTATGTTAGGAGTAGATGCGGCAAGTTTTAGGATGGAAACTAGCTCGAGAAGTAATCAAACCCATTCACTTTAGTAAACAACAAAACAAAAGTTTCAAAACATGATTGCAAATCTGACGATGCTTACATGGCGAACCTGTCTTGGCTACATGATTAGAGCATCTCGCAGTCGCGAACGTGCCAACCATCGCTCCGTCCCGCGAAGACTAAGTCCGTTGACGCCAGATCACTCCGTCTATCTCCGTTTTTCTCCATGCCGCGCCCGGAACGCGAAACAGATCAAACAGGTGCAGATTCGATTCCCCCGCACGAAGGATCCGACAAACCGCGGCGGGAGCCGGTGTTAATGCCCGGAGTTTAGCGGCGTCTTATGATGGGGGGCGATGTACATGGTGAGATTTATCCGCCGTTAGGCGGGTTGGGGGGTTAAGCACGTCGATGAAGGTGGCTGCTGTCTTATTCCGAGTAAGCAGGATCCTACGATGCTGTTATATATGGGATGTATAGACGCTTTTTCAGAATTGCAATTTACAACACCATCGCCATCGCCGCCAACAATTACACCACAACCGCCAGCATCACAGCCAGCATCACAGCCAGCATCACAGCCAGCATCATAATAAATCCACTCTCTCAGAAAACGAAACACTCCCAAAAATTGATCAAAAATAATAATTAAAAAAAATGGCATATGACATTCCCACATACCTCCTAGACAGGGCAAACATCCACGACACAATAACCACCCTCGTTCGTCCTCCCCCCTCCCTTTCATCCTAGACCCCTCTCTCCCCAAATCTCCGCTGCCAAAACTAACAAAAAAAACCCAACAATACAGGGCCACGCCCTCGACGCGGGTGACAAGACACTCCTAACGACAAAAGTATACGCGCAAGAGATAGACCTGGACTACGCCGCCTTCTTCGGCGCCGACGGCCCCACGCACGCCACGAGCGAAGATTGGTCTCGCACCGCGCTCGCCGCCGTCGACGGCATGACGGCGACGCAGCACATCGTCACCAGCATCGTCGCGTACCTCCCCCAGCCTTCGGCGTCTGCATCCGAGAGACCGGGGACGTGTAAGGCCGTCGCCAATGTATCTGCGAGTCTTGTGAGGGAGGGCGCGAGGGGCGGTGCGTTGATGCAGAATGGGGTACGCCATTTTATTTCTTTTCTTTTTTTTTTTTTTTTTTTTTTCCTGTAAATTGTTGGTTTTGTTCGTGACGTATGTACTTTGCTAATCAGATTTCGATAGGGCCACTACGAGTTTGAACTCGTTCGCGTCAAGGAGCTGGAAGAACAGGGTCAGAACCCATGGCGCATCAGTTTCCACAAGGCCGTCCCGACATGGGAGAACGGCAACTGGGCCGTTTTCAGCCCCCCTAATATCCCGCCTATATACCCCAAGAACGACAAGACTCCATAAGCACCGTTTTTTTTTCGCGGAGGAATTGGAAAGACAATGGACAGGCAGACGAACAGATGAAAGAAAGTTCAAGTATAGCAAAACTCAGTGGTATCTCTGGTGTACTCTATCATGCATCCCTCAAAGAAATCATCATTGCCAAGAGCTCGACTGTCCCGGTTTCCCACTCATCTGCAGGCTCTCTTCCATTGCCCTCTTCAGATCCTCGTCGTCTTCATCTCCTCCCTCGCGCTCCTTGCCCTTGGAAGCAGTGCGTCGGAACTCTTCCTCCGCCAGGCTCTGCTTCTTGACGTATTCCATCACAATGTCTTCCTCTGTCCGCGCCGCGGCGTCCCGATTCATCTGATCCTTGTGTGCAGCCTCAGACGCCTCGATCGCTCTCCTGAGTTCCTCGTCTTCGTTCGTTGCTTCCTCGCCGTGATGCATCTTTGATTCCTCAAGAGCTCGCTTCAGCTCCTCGTCATCTTCGTACTGGGGTGGCGGGGCAGCCTTCGATTCTTCCAGGGCCTTCCGGAACTCCTCGTCATCCTCGTGGTATCCTTGTCCCTGCTGTGCTCCCACGGCATGTGCTGCCATGCTTTGCTGTATGGCTTGCTCGATGAGGCTCTGGTATTCTTCGTCTGTGATTTCCAAGTCGGCGTTCTTGAAAAGATCCGGGTTCTTCTCGTCCAGAGAGTGAGAGGCTTGCGGTCGAGCATCTGGTAGTGGCTGGCCGCTGCTGCGGATGTGGTTGACGCTTGCCCTAATGGCCTGCTCAACGGCCGCGTCTTCATCCGCGTTGCCGCGCGAAGTCTCTGCGACAGACGCCCGGATGGCGCGCTCAAACTCCTCATCCTCGGCAACACTGGTACTTACGCTGCTCCTGGACGGCACCGTATCCCCCTCCAGCTCCGGTACGATGGTCTCCACATGGCCCTTCTTCCAAGCCTCTTTTCGAGCGTGGAGCCTCTTCCGCTCTTCGAACGACAAGTGTTTCGTGTGCGCCCAGCCTGTGACTGGAGGCGAAAGCCCAGTGTCAGGAAGCTCTGCCGGTACAGAACTGTCACTGCCCTTCATCTTCTCGCGCTGTTCCTTGAGTTTCATCGCCTGAAAGTTCTTCAAGTCGAACTTCACATTGTTCCATCGCTTGACGACATCCTCGCATTCGGCATTGCTGGCGGCGCGCATGTCCAACTGTCCCTGCTTCATACGAGATGCGATGATGTAATTCTGAACGCTGGTTGCAAAGGCGTTACGCAGAGTCGCATGGAAACCTTGCATGGTGTACGCAGGTATGGACCACACGGCTATGTCTGTCAGCAATGAACGACCCAGGTTTAGTACCTGGGGACTTACCAGACGCGGGCTTGAAAATAAGACCGCCAATACCCTTTCCAAAGCCTTTGATGAGGCCCATTCCACCTTCCTTCTCGGCACCCTTAAGCGGTTGCATGACCAGTCCACCGATACCGTCAAACATGCCAAATGCAAACTCCTTTCCGGCAACTTTGAGGCCAGTTGAAAAGTCGGTGACCTTTTCTTGAGGTCGGACCATATCGTCGTTGTATAGTCTTGGAGCGTTTCGGAAACCTCTGGCCAGACCAAGACACACGTTCATCGGCGTCTTGACACCGGTGCTTACAATGCGGCTAACACTTGTTCCAGCCGCTACGGCTGTGTCCATACCCACGGCCACCGGCGAGGATTCCCTTATGAAAGAGGACCGTTTTCCTGGGCTATTTGGTGGCCGCTGCTCCGACGTGGTTGTTTCACTTGGGGCAACAGACGCAGAGTCTGGAGCGCTGAAAACCATGGATGGGGTGGCCGACGGTGTGTGGGAGGGTGTTACGGATGATGCGGTGGCAAGGGGTGACAGAGGCAATGTTGGAGTTGAACCCTCCATCTCAATAACGCCTAACTGCGTCGATGAATCAGACGCATGCACACTGGGAGTTGCAGCCGAAGCCTTATCGCTTCCCTGGTTAAGGCTCGTACGAGACATCGATCCTTCTTTGAAGGGGATTTCAGGGGGCTCCGGTGTCTTATCCCCTTTACTACGGCTCTTGAACAGCTCGCGAGGAAAGTCAGCTACGGCCATACCAATGTTGCCGAGGTCTGCGGCTAAAGACGAAGCAACGGCTGAAATGGGGTCCCACGGCTGGCCATCTGTGATGTACTCCTTGGCGCGGTAGCTATAGTTGTTAGAGTGTGTTTTCCATTTTAGCGGAGTGGGCACTTACAGCTTCAAGTCGGAGTATTTAATCAATCCCTTATCAACCAAGACCGCAGCGGCCATTGGACTCAAGCGGACTTTGGTACGTCTGACTCTCCAGGCGGCTGCCCGGCTGGGTTCAATGGAACATCGGAGGGCATCGGTATCCAAGTGGTCATGGAAGCTCTTCCCGCCAATATCTGTTCCTTTCTCCTCTCGGATCCTGTCACCAAGTTCCTGCGCTCTGGTCTGCGTCTCAGGCTTTATCGCAAACCGGATGGCCTCGGCGAGTTTTTCCCCGGTGAGCTGCTTGAAGGGGATGGGGTCTGGCCCAGCACCAGCCCTGGCGACCATGGCGCCCCAGAAAGGCTGGTCTCCAAAGAACGGTACGATAATGGTAGGCTTGCCAGCCTGTATACCGGCTGCAGTGGTGCCAGCGCCACCGTGGTGGCAGACGGCAGACACGTGTTTGAACAGCCAATCGTGTGGCACGTTGCCCAACATAAAAACTCCCTCGGGAAGCCCGACATCTTCAGCTCCGAGACCGCCCCAGCCTTTTGATACCAGGGCACGTACTCCTGTGAGGTGAACAGCGTCGAAAATCATTCTGGTGAGAGCGTTCGGGTCATCCACGACAATAGACCCAAACCCGATGTAAACCGGAGGTGGGCCGGCAGCCAAGAAGGCAGCCAAATCCGGGTCCGGAGTAAAGGCCGAAGCCAAGTTCAAAAAGTAGAATCCAGAGATGTCAATCTCACGCCCCCAGTCGTTTGGCTTGGGGATAAGTGCCGGTGACCAGCAATAGGTATACGGAATCCGCAGTCTGGTCAAGACACCTGGTGCCCATATCAAAGACATGGGTTCCAGATCCAACGCCTTTTCTCTGAACCGGTTGATGACATCTCCCAAACCCTGCCATGTCATCATTTCAACCAAGGCGTATGAGACGTAGTTGGTCATGACCATGTCGGTGTTGGACGACTGAATGTTTGCCAGAGGGTGGGGGAAAGCGCGCGTAGGCGTCCATGGCATGGTGAACATGAGATGTAATGGGACGCCCATCTTCTCGGCAATGTGGATATGCGCAAAACTCGGGGGGTTTGCAATAATCGCATCCGCCACAAACGGCTTCTGCGAAGGGTCCCCAGGTAGACCCATGGCCTCATCCAGTGGCGCGTCTTTACTATGTGGCTTTGGCGGGGGGCCCAACCCGTTGCCAGCCTCGATACATGAGCGCCAGCATCCGAGAAGGATCTCCTCCATGCCTCTTCGACGCTTGCTAACCTCACCGCTCTTGAGCGCGTCAAATCCCGGCATCAGCCCGGGATTCTTGACCATGAAGGCCATGAGTTCGGCGGGATCACCACCAATGCTAAAGAACTCGAGGCCATTCTCTTCGACGAACTTTTGAAAGGTAGCATGCGTGGCTATGCGAACGCGGTGACCGTATGTTTCCTTCAAGACTTTACCCAGGGCAACGAAGGGTTGAACATCACCGCGCGAGCCGACGATCTGTATGACGACGTTGAGCTGCGGCGGAGGGGTCTGGCCCGGCTGGCCGCCAAGGGACGGCGGGATGTAGGCAGGTGGAAGAGGCGCTTGGGATTGCTTGTCGGCGAGGAGCTGGCTTCGCGCGATCGTCGGGGCAAGTATCTCAGCAAGACGGTTGCCGCTCTGGTTAATGTTGATATTTACTCGACCATCGCCTGAGCCCCCAGAGGTTAGCTGTTATTGTTCAGGGCAAGGCATAAGAGGAGCCATCAGTACCTGTGACGTTGGCACCGGCCTCCACCCCGGAGTGGGAGAAGTGAAGCTGGTCATGGAGCTCGCCATAAGCCGGAGGGGCCTCATTGTCGGCTTCGAGGGAAGGCAGACTGAAGCCATCGGATACAAGGGCGTCGGGAACCTCTTGGCTGTCGACGCTGTCGAGGTTGTAGTCGCTGGTTCGATGGGGTGGGGGAGGTGGAGGGGCAGAGGAGCTTGCGCTTCCGCCTCTTGTGACGACCGTCATAGTGGTGCGGGGTCTGGGGTCGCCAACTGGAACAGGGAGATGAACCAGACACGACACAAAATATTGAAATCAGGCGTCAGAATATTAGGACATCACGGTAGGCGTGTATTGCGATGACAGAGGGCGTCGCAGAGAGCTTGGGAAAGGTAGAAGAGATGGGTTCGAATGAGCTTCTGCGTTAGGAAAGCAACGTCACAAGGTTAATGAGCTAAGCGGCATGAGACGGTGGCAGACACGAAGGACCGTAGTGAAATAAGAGTGGCTGTCGACTAGTGGCGATGTCAATGCGAATGGTTAAAGCAAGATTGTTGAGGAGCAGAAGCAAGATTTAAAGATGCGTGTGGCAGATCTACGAATTCAGCCCCGTTTCATCGGTAGAGGTAGAGATCAAGCTCATGGCCAGACCCTGGAGCTGCAGCGAATGGAGGCAGCCACATAGGCACCATAGGGACGGCATTGCTGGTGGGGGGAGGGGAACCAAGGGCTAAACAGCGCTGACAGTCTCCGCTCAGAACTCCCTGCGAACCGGGCAAGCTGCCATGGGTAAACAACACCTGCACCGCCTTCCTCCCGCACTCGCACCCGCCTTTCTAGGTTCCACGTTAATACAACACTGTGTATAACAGTCATTGGGTAGATCAGGTTATTAATGTAGTCCATGACCCGCTAAACCTGCTGTGCCGTGCTCTGTGTGTCTTGGTGGACTTATGCACTCGCACTCGCACGGAGCATCGCTACCTCGACACGCCGAAATAAAGAGAGGGGGGAGGAGGCAGGTTGGTATGACGTCCGCTCTTGGATGGATCGTCCAATGGACTGCGGGTCGAGGGCTGAAAATCCTCCCAAGAAGGGCCATTGAAGGGCTATGGTTGGGACGATTGGGGGCTGTTGCTTTGGTATCCCAGCACAGCCACAGAGGCGGACAGGGCCCCTCAACGCGCGTCTCAGGCTTTGTTGGTTAAGGAACTTCAGCTACGAAAAATGTCGTATTTTTGGGTTTTAATGATGGGATAGGTGCAATGGCTAGCAGGGGACCCGACCTGGACCAAGAATGGAGACGTGTTGTGCGGCTACGGTGTAGACAAAAGTCCTTCGGCGTGGTCCGTACCTTATCCTTACTTTACGTTCCAACCCCGGGTCGGAGACGGAAAGCTTGGCTGACACCCGACGGAGGTAAAAGAGAGAGCCGACATGGGACAACGGGGCTGAGGTAGAGGAGAGGGGAGTGTAAGGATAGTCGTACTCGACTGAATGAAGTGTTGATGTCGTTGTAACTCAAAACATATCAGCAATAGATTACGAGCTGTTGGCGTAAAGGAGTTCGAGGCGCTGTAGATTGAAGAGAAAAGAGACTCCTAATAGAGTGGATCGGAGAATAACGTTCAGCAGGTATCGTAAGAAGGTCTCGTGAAGCCAAGCAGTAGGAAGGCAAGGTTTGAGAGAACTTGTCGGTTACCTGGCATCAGCTTGGTTGCAGGCGTTCAAGTTGAAATGGGACGATGAACATGTAGGACAAGGGCGACACGAACGAAAGAGGACGAAAACAAACTCTACCCGGAGAGGACGTAGTAGCAGTCACGCATGCGAGTATAATTTTCAACTCAAGGAGCATGAACCAAACACACTCCATCCAACCCCGTAGTAATCTTTCAACAAACATGCCGAAGAAACACAATAGGCCTCAGATGGAACGCAACTCATCCAACAACAAAACAAATACAAACCCTCCAAAGACACCACAAACAAACACTCAAAGAGAACAAACCTCGCCAGAGACAGACAAAAAGATGTTCTCCGAACCCAGAATCGAACTAGGGACCTTTCGATTATCTTGGATAGAACCATTACAGTCGAACGTGATGAACCAACTACACCATTCGGAGAGATACACGGCTGAATGCCGTGTGAATGACTTGGCTGACTGCTGGCAGCACCCGGCGGCAATCTCATCCAAGAGGGTTTACCCTGACCAAAACACTCGGGTCGGTCTCTGATGGAGTCCTTGATATCACCCACTGAATGCGGAAGGTAGGAGGTGTAATTGGCTGTTCACGAGCCACAGAAGCGGGAACCTGTTCTCTTACGCCACTTATTTCCTCCAATTGGGTCTTGCTGGTATAATCTTGCGGGCCCACACTTCACGCCAGAAGGAGACACCATATGAAAGAGTGAGCACTGGCTTACGCTCGATTGCCAATGTAGCCATAGCATAGTAGGGGATAAAAAAGAACCACGTCGATATATAGTTTGTTAGGAACAAACAAATGTCGTGCTGTTACTTTGACAGTACTGCACGCCATGCTGGCAAGGAACAAAATAGGGGTGCATTGAGTACGAGACAACACCTCACGAGGTCAATTGTGATGAGTCCCTCCCAACTCCACATTGTAAATGATGAGGCCCGTTCGCGACTGTGGATCAAGTGGACCAATCTCCTCATCAGGAGCCTTGGGGTCGTGGCAAGACAGATAAGATCACCATTTGGCCAGGACAAATCGATCAGTCAAGATCCCCGTGATAAGCAGGCTCGGAGAGAGGACTTGTAGAAACGACAAGTTTATATCGCCACGCAGCCCATTGCCTTATACACATCACAGATGTTTCAAATACAATCATTGATGGGTTCCAGAAGTCACATTTGACCGCCTAGACTAGAGGTATAAAAAGATAAAAAAAGGTATAATACAGCGGCGCGCATCAGGTCATGCTTGTCTCCCTGCTGACCAGATGCCCCTTCTCCCACGCGAAAAAATGCACGCGTTCCACTGTCCATTATCGTCAAGATTTTTGCTTTTGCGTCGTTGTGTTGTATAGAGAATGCCCACTTCCTGCATCCATTTGTGCCGCGTGTCTGCTGCAGAGACAAGCACAAACTGTTGCTGGTCTTGCGGATTTACCCTTCTAGTCGGGCTAGGGTAGCATCACGTTCGCGTCTTTCATCTTGCTTCCCAAACTGTCGCGTCCCCCTCAGCTCCATTCAATCATTTAGCTGGAGAATTTCCGGGTAATCTTGGCAATGACTGTGTGGCATATGTCAGTGCACTGATCTCTACAAGTACGCTTGTCGCGAGCTGCAGGGCGGAACTTACTGTGAAGAGCAACAACGCTGAAGATGAAAACAAGAGAAAGAACAAGGACGACGACGGGGTCGACCTTGAGACCGGGGGACTCGTCGGTGTACAGCCCTACAATAGCGCAAGACGTTAGCATCCATGCCCTTCTGCTGCTGTATCCCTTTTTCTTTCATAGACCAAGACGGTGGGTAGCAACATACTCAGCATCGTGCTGCTGCTGCCGCCGGCGCCGGCAGCCCTCGTGCTGTTGGGTCGCGCATTGGCAATCTTCTCCTTCTGGTCGGCGGCCGCGCGGCGACGGATGGCAGTACGGGGACCGCCAGGGGGGGTAGGCGAGGAAGGACGGGCGACGCTCGCGCCGGAGGCGGCGGCGGGAGAGTTAACGGGCGAGGCAGAACGGGGGGAAGACTATATCAATTGCAATCATGTTAGCATTTGCATCCATCTCCTGATGCGTCATCGCTCATCGCCGTAGCCGCCATCATCAGCAAACAACGTGCTATCCTCGTCAATCGACAAGACTCGAGATCGTTCAGTCGAGGTAAGTCGCGTGTATGAAGCTCCATAATCACCAAATGGCGATTACAAGTCGACGGCTTTAGCAGGTTAATAGAGACAAAAACTGACCATTTTAAAGGAGTGTAACTAGAAACAGATCCCAAGATCGCTGCAGGATTTCGGAATGGTCGAGAAGGGGGAATCGAATTGGGCTGGGTCGGAGCGTGGAAGATGGGAAACTCGAGCTTCTGGCTGGGGGTTGCACGCTGCGCTCAAAAGTGCAGAGTTGAGGCCACAGTTTTGGAAAGGGGAGCAGTAGCCAGCTGGGGGGGTCTTGGGATTTTCCGACCCGACGTTCCAGACCCCCTGGGGCGGCGAACCTACCTTAACGGGTCCCTGCCCGGAAGTCAGCAACAACGCCTAATCCAACTCCACAATGGAGCCCCCATCCTAGTTCAAATCAACTGATAGAAAAGTCACTGCGTGGCAGACATGGTCACCCCGTCTTGAATATTGTGACATTATTTTCACTTTGCAATCCTATTTTGGACTATTTGGACTATTTTTGAACGCTTTCATTGAATTTGAGGGGGTACTGTATATCTAGGAAGTAGCCGCTTTCTGCAGCCAGAACCCTTCCGTCTGATCGGCGCCAGCTTATGCAGCACTTGATGAAATACAACAAAAAGTTCAGGCTTTCCCTCAGCTATCTTCCCTTTCCGCTCGACGGTTCGCCGGCTATACAGGCAGAAAAAGAAAGTCTGCTTGCAGACTCTGGGGGGTTGGTGTGGTGGTGTGTACGATTCAAACAAAAAGTAGAGAATGAACAAAGGGAAAACAATATCCTGCCACGAAAGGGGCATCCCCTGCCCAAAAAGAAACTAACACGAGGACCCATGGTATCCCTCCCCGCCTTTTTTTTTCATGATGACTGGTCTTCAACAACAGGTGGGTGTCATTCGTGAGGCTCCCCCTCGCTGAAATTCCAAAACATGGGCGCCAGAGAAAACACCGAGGTGCCAGTAGGCCATCAGCTGTCCCGCGTCCGGCCGTCCCAAGCCACAAAGTGCCCCTTTTTTGTTCCCTTCCGAATCCGAGGCTTTTCGATCAAGTTGTCATCCTCGAGGTCTTTCAAAGGCGACCATTGAGCTCTTTGGGCGCAAGCCGCCGTGAGCTGGCTCGGTGGTCTGGTACCTCCGCCGTTGCTCATTATAGGGTAAGATTAGACAGTGATACATCTACACCTGCTGGAAACGAACCATCGCAACCCAAACGCCTTCCGCTATGATGGGACCGCGGTCCTGCAAACTTCCTCGGAGGTGATGAACGAAGAAAAAAAATTGGTATCTTCAGCTTCAAAGAGTAACGTCAAGAACCAGGCTGACGTCCTGGACATCCGACTTTGCAAGGTCTTCTAGGACAGGAATCAAGTCCAGCAGCTCGTTGTCATGTGCGTCCGAGAACCAACTGCTGATCGGAACGGCGTGCTGGGGGTGGAAGATATACGATGTGGGCGAGTTGTCAATGATGATTGTGTCTTTCAAGTCTCTTCCCACCTGGGAAAGATCCTTGACATAGTTTCCTTGATGGTTGTAGCAGCTCTCACGGAATAGTCTGTGGTGAACGACCTTGTGGATATCGAGTTGATCCAAGAGGGGGTCGCCATACTTTGAAAGGTTAGCTTTTGATTGGAAGCAGGCGAAAGGGGAGGAGGAACTCGTACCTTGGAGACGGACGCGGTGAAAACCACCACTTCATAGAGCTCACCAACGCGCTTCATGAATTGATCTACGCCCGGTCTCTTGATAACATACACATTATGATAATTGCCTTCAATTTCCACAGGTATAGTGAAATCGGCTTGATGGAGAATCTGCCGATAGTTAGTATCACAGTCATAGGATTTAGTCCATCAGACATACCTTGAAAGAACTGTGAACCAAAGTCTCGTCCAAATCAAGAACAAGGCATTTTCTGCCCTTAAATTCGGGGGCGATCGGAGGCAGCAGGAACTTTTGCTCGGCGACGCCAGGCTCGACCTGAGCAGGTTCTTCGTGAGCTCCAGGAGCAGGTCCCGGCGGGGGACCCGGCAGCTGCTGACTTATGGGGGCGTCCTCAACCGGGGGCGGTATTTGCTGCTTCGACTCTTCGGGCTCGGGCGTCGCATCCGGCATGGCCTCATCTCCCTCGGCATCCTTCTTTTTCGGGTCTTCCAGGTGCGCGCTCTGGGTCTTTTCGCCCGAGGTGGGTTCGACCGTGATTGCCGGAGCTGCGGTACTGGCACTGGCGGCGGTGGCGGCAGCAGCAGCAGCGGCCGCGGCCGCGTGCTTCGACTCAGAGCTCTCCTGGCCGCCAACGGTAGAGTCGTCAGCCGTGGTCGTGTTCGAAACGCGCTTGCCTTTAGATTCGGTGCCTACGGTCATCGGTTGTTCGGGCTGGGGCTGCTTTTCCTGGATTTGCGGCTTATTGGCGGAAGTTGGTTGCTCCTGTGGAGTGGGCTGCCGGGACTTGGCAGTCGTCGGTCGCGCAGGCAACTTGTCGAGCTTGTGGACGGCGTCGTCGCCGTTCTCGATCGCGTTCGCGTTGTCGGGAACCCCGCAGCACCCAAGCAGGGCAAAGAGCCCGCCCTTCTTCTTCTTCTGTGGGGGGTTCACAGGCGAGTTCGGTTGAGTGTTGCCAGCAGTGTTGGTGGGTTCAGTTTCGATGCCGGAGCGATGGCTGCCGACGCTGCCATTTCGATGCCGTCCCAAAATGCTACCTTTGGACTCCTTTGATCGTCCGCCGATGCTGTTTCTCGAATCGGTGACTGTTACTCCGCTCAGCCCTGTCGAAGTCGGAGAAGATTGATTGCGCTGCGAAGAAGACCGTGATGGTACATGCAGCAGACCCCTACCCTTCTTTGAATTTCCGCCCTCCTCTGGCGCCAGAAGCACCTTTTCTTTGGACATTTCTTGGCTTGACTGGCCGTTCTGTCGAATGTGTGGTGTAATTTCGTCGGCTGGGTTGGATGATTGTGGGTTCTCGGACATGATGCTGTCGAACTAATTTTGGGGCGGGTAGTTGATTAGCGAAACCGTTCCAGCGAGCGAATGTACGAAAACACCAAGCGGTGAGTACTCAGGAGGGGCTGGTGAGAGAGTCACTAGCAGGGCATTCTAGATCATCGATGACACAGTTCCGCCTCATCCTTTCATTCCAAGGTCTAAGACATGCCCGAGGTGCTTGTTGGCGTGCTCTAGGCGGTCCGACACGACGCACATGGTGCGCGTGGGAAACAGGCCAAATCACCAGGCAAGCGTGCCTCTGGTCAAACACAGTAGAATAGCGCAAACATGGGTTGGGAGTGGGTGTTGGACGATGCTTGCGCGGTGTGGAAAGCACCTGAGAGGGAGAGAGAGAGAGAAATGGAGATAGAAAAGAGTGTCGTCACTCACCTCCTTTTTTGACGGGTCCGGCAAGCTTTCCCAGAATCCTCAACCCCTTAACTCAGCTGATGTCGGCCGTGGAAGGCCAATTCGCAATGCTCGTCGCGCGGTCCAGATTGAAGACTGGAAGGTCTTGAATAAAGAAGATGGTCGCGGAGGACGATGATGGAATGGGGGAGAGGAGAAAGGGCGAAGCGACGTCCGGTGAGGTTAGTCGGTCGAACGCGGAGAATGAAAGATGGTTTGGGCTCGGTCGCGCAGGAAGCGGTGCCAATGGAATGACCGGGTGGGCGAGGCAAAGTGGCTGGGGGGCACTGCAGTTCGCAGAGTTGGAGTCAAGCCAGGCTCAGTTCGGGAGACGGAGGACTGTAAAGGTGGTTTGCGGTGCTGTTGGTCGAATCAAGACAAGCGAAAAGTGGGCGAAGGTAGAGAGCGGCTGCAGGGAACAGCAAGACAAGCGGTTAAAAAGTATTAAGGTTCGCTGTATGGTAACAAAGTGAAGGTGGTGATTTCAATAAAAAAGGTATCGAATATCGCTCGAGAAGCTCAAGTCTCTGACCGTTCGAGAGGGGGGTGGAACGTGAGTGACGAGGACGGAGTGAAAAGAGAAGAAACGAGGCCCGGCCGAGGGCTTGAATGAGGTGTTGAAAGCGTGAAAGTGAAAGACGGGGGAAGAATGGGCGGCAGGCGTGCCAAAAGAGATTAGAACGGATGGGTGGATGGGTGGGTGGATGGAGTGGATGGGGTTAGGAAGTGATAGTAGTAGTATGGTAGTAAGAGAGAAAGCTGAGCTGAGCAGAGAAAGTAGAGAGACAGGGTAGCGGCTAGGAAGGTAAAGTGAGCAAAGCAGTGGTGGTGCGCAGCAGCAGCAGCAACGGCAGTGGCAGCAATACAAGTTCGAGTCCTAGTCCTAGTCCCCACGTCCCAAGTCCCAGGCGACGCCTTTTGGTACACACAGCGGAGGAGAAAGAGAAGAGAGACAGACACGGGCAAGACAAAAGACAGCTGGTTCCCGGGGGAGAAGGAGCAGGGCAGGCGGGCACTGCAGGTGCAGGATAGGTAGGTAAGGATTGGGGGCAAGAAAAAGGCACAAGGGAAAAGAGACAGAAGGGGACTTGTGGACGTATCAGAGGCTGAAAGAACGTGAAAAAGCGCAAGCGAGATGATTTTGCCTTTGAAAGCAACGCTGGATGGGGGAGGGGGTTACCAGGAGCTGGTCTGTGTTCACAGGCGCCTAGGGGAACTGGGGGGGTGCCATGTCCCCTGGTCTCCCCTTCTGGCTTGTCTCGTCCCGCCCCCCCAGTCATGGGCTGGGAGCGAGCGACGCTGGAAGGGTGTGGGTGGATTTCCCGGTGAGATTAGCCCATCCCGTCCTGGTTAAGCAGGAAGCCGGGCTGGGAGATGGGGCACGATAGGGGGAGATCAATTACCACAGTAAGCAGTGCCTGCTCGTACTGCCAGATTTGTGCACGGCCCATGCAATTAATGCAATTTCCCGCCGCCTTCCCGCGGAAAGGGTGACGTCTTTGCCATGGATATTGCGGGTGGGGCCCCACCTCTGCATTGACTTCCTGTCAGCGGCACACTGTGCCAGAGACCAGACGACTATCTGGATGCATCAGACGCCATGTCTCTCATCTCCCATTTTCTCATGGCTGGACGCCAAGCTCATATTACAGAAATCTCCATGGTGGGAACACAAGAGACGTTTCCATCCCGGCCATCACACACTCTCACACTCACACATACATGTTGCTATGTACATACACACACACACACACACACACAGGAGCTACCTAGAGCCTGAAATTGAAATTGGCCGCCGACTTTCGTTCTTGACGGGGAAATGCTGGAAGTCAGTCCCGTCTCTCCCACATACAATTTGCTGCTAGCTAGTCGCTAGTAGCGCGCCGTTACGTTTGAATTACAACAACAAACCGAAAGATTACAGAGACCAGGAGGAACCCGTATTGCTCAATGCTCCCCCCCCCCCCCCCCCCCCCAGCTTACTGCTGACCGAAATAAAAGAAAAAGACTGCCTACCTTTTCAGCCAGCACCCGCTGAGAGATTGCTACCATTGTTGACCCAACTCGGCATCCCAGTTCCGTATTTTCTTTCGTCCTTTCGGCCCTGTCCCGACGAGTAAGGTACCTGATTCTTCAAGAAATGGTAATGGGCGCCCCATAAATTACGCCCTCAGGACAGAGCATTTCCAAAGAGAGAACAACCAAAACCCACCCGGTCTTTTATGCTCAGACCTCCGTACCTCCCTCGCCCTGGTCTTCGGCGTGGGCCGCCAGAGACATTCTGACGAGCCTTGACTGACTGAACATACTACATAGTAGGTGGTCGCAGCCAGCAAGCAAGTCCAAGAACAAACCTCCGGAATGAATGCTACCAAACCTGAAAAGAAGAAAAGGGAAGAACGAAGGCCGGCAAAGAGAGAGTGAGGGAAGGGGAAGGAAAAAAAAAAAAAAAAAAAAGGAAAAAAGGCAACATGAGCGACCGCAGGAACATCATACTGTCGCATCTCGTTAGACGTCTGCCTCCCGAAGCATGGGTACACAGCGCAGTGCCTGTAAGCCTCCTCGTTCACTTGCCAAGGTATCTTAATTAGCTTCGAAGGGGGGTTTATAGAGTGGATGCTACCGCCGCCGCCTTTGCGAGCGTCTGACCTTACGCCGGGCTAGACAGGGTAAGGCCAACCGGGCGGCTTCTCCTTCAATGCACGCCGGATCCCCGTCCCAAGTCCAAGTCTCGTCCCGGCCGCCGCGATATCATTTACTAGTGGTCTAGGTGTGCGCCCCTAAGCCCCAGTCTCTAGGGCCTGGAGCGAGGTCTTTCTCCTACCATTCTTCGTGTTGATGGCAGAGCCAACCAGCCAGTGGGGGCCTGACAGGTGTAAACCGGATTGCATGAGCAGCTGTTATGTTCAGACCGAATATCGGCAAAAGTGGCAAAGCTACCAGATGCTGACTGTCCATCGATATCGATCAATCAGATAGGGCGCCCGAGGTACTTTGAGACGGTATAATAACGACCTTACGAAAATGTACCTCTTTTCGCCCAGATTAGGATGACGGCGGCCCAGGTAACATGGCACATGGATGAGGCAACCCCCAACTGGCAATATCCTCATGCACTAAGCGTATGGCAGCGGGCATCCGCACAGGAGTACATGCAGCTAGCTGCACATCTCCGAGCGTTTTCGCCCTGCTTCTGGGCCTGTGATTCCATCCACACTCATCTATTACCCGCCCAAGTTGTGACCACTAAAATGTGCTAGGTAGGGGGAGGAGGCGGGCCACGCGGGTGCAATTAGTTTATGATCACCGCTCGTCGTGAAGTCTCAGGTACCGGTATTCTGATCAGATACAGTAAAGAAGACGAGAAAGGCCTGGGGGTCTGAATGAAAGCCAATAATGGTTGAGGAAGAGACAACCGACAAGACGATACCAAGGATAGGCTTGCGGGCCAACCTGGGCAATTCACACTTTGTAGAGGCAAACCTGCAAAGCCGCAGAGAAATGGCCATCCAATTACGGTCGGACGGGAAGCTCTCGCAGCTTGGTGGGTGAGAACTCCAGAACCCCCCGGGCACCGCTTCTTGATTGGCCATGTTACCGCCCAATGGAGTGACGGATTTGGTTGGGCAGCACCTCATGCAACACTCAATCCGTCCCACCCCAATTACGCTGCATCTCGAAGGAGTATTGTGTAGGCACCGCTCAGCGTAAGGGGGCAATCAACCACCAGCGACTGGGGGCCGCAATACGGTAATAACGCCGTGGTGAGATGGAAGGTTTTTTAGCCCGATTTCGCACCTGCTGCAACTTGTCAAACATCACGACAAACCATGCTCCAATATCCACTGGCCCAACCCGGGAGACCGTTTCTGCACTTCCGGGTCCGGTTGTGACGACTGTGGTGCTAGTAGTCGTACATTGGTACGTTAGTATGCAAAAAAACGGAATAGCCTGATCCCTGCTCACTGTCTATCTTTCGTGTGCCAGTCACTGGGCCGCACAGCAAACTCGACTGCTTCCATGAGGAACGGCCGGGGCGCCCTGCTTTGACGGGTGCAATTCTCGGCATACATGGTCCGCCGCGCGTACAGACATCGAGCAGGACATTGGACGACAGAAGCGCAACAACGCTACGTCAACAGTTCAAATCTACGGGGACGCGAGGGCTCGTTAACTGAGCTCTGCGGTTGTTGTACATACTAGTCGTAGGTGGTAGTGATGGGTGGTGTTGTGTGGGGTGCTTGCCGTGCCAGTGCATGAGCAGCAGTGCTTTTTGCGGGGTTCTCATTTCCATATTTTTGATTGGGCTTCCCACTTTCCCTCCTCCCCAGCACCCAGTTAGAAACAAATGATAAAAAAAAAAAGAAAAAAAAGAATTAAGTGTCCGAGCATAGTAGTAGCTGGATTTGATGATCAGACAACCTTGGTCGAAATACGTACCGCCGAAGCCATATTGCATTTATTTTGCAATTTTTATTTTATTTTTATTTTATTTTTTGGCAAGAACCGTTCCTCGAGTGGAATGATAATCAGTCATGAAGAACACATGGGCGCCGTTGATCACCGTTGGGAAAAAGGAGGAGAACCTGCAAACCCCCTAGAGCCAAGTCTTACGTTCTTATTTATTTACTTTTTGTTTTTATTTTATTCTTGTTCACCCCGTCATCGTTCCATGGCCCTGAGCGGCTGGCGGCTGAGACTGGCAGACCGGCCACAAGCCACGCAGACGTTGTGTAATCCCTCAGCAGATGCAAGCCTTTTCTGGTTCCTGCGTATGTGCCTGTATCACATTTTCACATCCTCCGACCTCTTTACACTGTCCCCTACCCGCACAAGGATCGGAGCCGGCCGGCCGGATGTCGAACTGAGCCTCCCGTGACGTCCGCGACTCCTCAAAACTTCCGGTCATTCTGGGATGAACAAAGGGGGGAAAACCAAGAGGGAAGAATGCAGTTTTATCACAATCATTTGCCTCCCGTCGACCGTGATCAATATGTTTTATCTTTTCATTATACCATTCTACCATCCCCCGCCCCCCGTTTATGAAAAGCGCCTAGTCATGCAATGATATCGTGACCACCACAACACTTCTCCGTCATTAACGCCTGTCAGCCAGCCCTCCTACTTATTATCCTTTTCCGCCTAGTCCAGTTCGCGCTCAGCTTCACCGCCATCTGTCTTTGCCAAAAAAAGCTTCTCGCCCGCCCTGCCTGTAGCTAAATCCACGGTTGCTCCCGCCAAGCCAAAAAACAATCCAAAGTCAGTTTGAGAGTTTCTCACAGAAAGGCCAACCCCCCCCCCCTGACCTAGCAACATTGAGCTTAGCCATTAATAAGCATACATACACACGGCGGCGGCGGCGGTGGCGGCGGTATTTTCCGTGTCTCGATATCAGCCGTTCTTGACATGTATCTCGAGGTGGCCGAAATTGTCCAAATCTTCAGCGAAAAGGGACGTGGTGTATCCGCCTCGTAGCATGGCACGCACCCGCGGTGAGTCTGGATCAGTGGTCCAGAGACTGAACCACCACCCCCTCAACTCCTCAGTTTCCTGGCGTTTTGAGAAGGGGCTAGGGGAGATGTGAAACGTACCTCAGTGTCTCAGAGCCTTGGCCGAATCCGTCGACCTGCGCTTCCGCCTCGCCACGCGCCTCCCTGCGCAGCCGCATTTTGTCGGCGTCCCAGACGATGATGGCCGGCCTGGCCAGCTCGGCCACGATTTGCTTGACCGGCACGTTGGGCGAGCAGGTGAAGACGAGCGTCGTGTCGTCGACCTCGAGGAACCCCTTAACGCCGTCGAGGACCGTGAAGTCGTGGTTCTGGAGGAATCGTCTCGAGATGTGCGTGTAATCGGGCTCTTGGGTGTAGCATGGTATCTCGCGACCACTGCGGCGCTTCATGACCTCGGCCATTGTCAGGGCGGCTGCGTGTTGGAAATACGACCGAGATTGCAAGTGGTTGTTTTCGACGTCGAGGTCTCCTAGACCGAAGCATACAACTTTGTACACCTGTTTAGAAATGGGAGCTGCGGATAATACCGCTACGAGATAACGACATGCATCACTTGCGACCCATGCCTGCTGATAGCGTGCCCATTTCTCCTCAATGACGGCGGTGTCATCTGGAGATGGCGGTGGCCGCTTGGGATCACGGCCCACGCAGCATATCTGGATTGTGCAAAAGGCCGACGACAGTTCTCGCCCGCGGTCAGGCGATCGCAATCCTCTGACCAAGACCTGAATAGGCATGAAGGAGAGCGCGAGATACTCGTCCCTGTCGAGATTCTAGTTAGTATATACCATCCTGTCAGCGCTGTAGCATGCGCACTCACGTAGAGTCATCAGAGAGCCATCCGCCGCGTGGAACGCGGTACTTGTTCCCGTCGATGCCGTCCATCACCACATCCGGCGTTGTCTGATGCAGCTGTATCTCGGCGTCTATGAGCTGCTCTCTGGTCCATAATGGTGCGCCGGACTTATACAGCGCCCATATCTGCTGGGCGATCTCGGCATCCTCCTCCTCTGATGCGTACGATGAAGCCTGCAGCTGATATGAAGTGGGATCCGAATCCATGGTCAAGAAACCCACGCATGTAGTGTATCTCGTTGTTCAAGTAGCTGAATCCGAGCATATGAGAGTGACCTACACCTAGGCGGTTGCGGCATGGCGACTCTTATAAAGAAGGAGCAGCAGTAGCGGCAGTGATATGTCGTCTTTGCGACAAACACACGATGTCTTCGCGTCGCAAAGGACTTTTGACTGTTTTTTTTTTTTTTTTTTTAAGGAGCGCAGGTAAGCTGGGCCACTATTGTGGCCGTGGCCAAGCAGGCCCGCGCGAGGAAGGCTGCTTACTTTCGTTGGGGCCGGGGTCGCAACCCACGGGTGCGGCTGTGATGCATGCAGCCTGAACCGCCGCCGCGGATTGACCATGACGAGTTGTCAGATTTTCGGTATGACTTGCGAAGAGGCAAATAACGGATGCCTGTTGCCGTTTTTCTCAGAGCATATGACTGTAGTTGGTGATGAAAGCCAACACTATGATTCATTATTTTAATGGGGATTGAAACAGAGGGCGGTCATTGTGGATAAAGTCCTAGACCCCTAGACTCAGCTTGTCTAATCCGAACGACAGGTTTGCAGATCCACAGTGTCTTCTCTGACGGGCATACATGAGCGGACATTTTGACGAACGAGAACCAAGATCGTTTCACGTCAGAAGAGACACGATAAGAAACAGGAGTCGAGGGTTTCTAGAACATGGCTTTGTCAGTGATGCGGGTCGTCTATGATGAAGTTTGAGCTGTAACAATCACTTATTAAAGTGGATATAATTCAGTGTTCATTCTGCGCCAAAAAAAAAAAAAAAAAAAAAAAAAGTTTCTGTGTCTGATCGGTAACTCCGTCCTCCAAGACCTGCCTAAGTGCCAAAGAGCGCTGCTAGTGATTATGTTTTTTTAACACTGAAGATTATTAGGGCACTCTAGGTCGGTCCACTCCACTCAGTGAAGACACAGCGTGCACATTTACAAAGACAATTACTTCTCTAGAAACTCCTCGAGAAACTCCTTAGAAAACAAACATGAAGTTTAATGTCAGCGTGCGTCCTCAAAACGTCTTCAGTCGTCAAACATCCATCATGTGACTGCGCACCGCCGCCCCCACATCTGATTCTGGGGTTTTGTCATCTGGTATCCGTCGTTTGCCGGATGTCGTTCGTTCAGGTTCAGGCTCTCCCCAGATCCTGGCGGGTTAGCGTCATTGCCGTCCGAAACCAGCCACTCACACGGCCGGAACAGCTCTCGGCTCTCACTCTAAGGGGGTCACCCCCTTGGCCGCCTTTCTGCAGTGGAGAGGCGCCTAGCAAAAAGAGACCCAAAGCACCAGCTTTCCCCAAGTTATCCACCGGTTCGGGTGTTACTGGCAGTGCCTCGGAACTCCACTGCCACCCGGCATTCACATGTCGTAATGGATCACGAGCCAGAGTGAGAGAGCAAACAACCCCCCCAAAGCCAAAGCCCATCTGTTCTCCTCCCAAAACCACCACCAGCGACTCAGCCTGCCATTGCGACCACGTGCCTGGCCCGACCATCGATCGCACACACACGCACTTTCTTGCAAGGCTAGGAAAGTCCGTCGCCGAAGCGCCACACACAAAATAACAACAAAACATCCACACTCTCTTCTCTTTTTCCTTATCCCGGAGCGGCAGAGCAATCCCATCACACATCCCACACCGTCGCATACATCCCTCGTCCTGTGATGGCTACGCATTCGTAGCGTCATCCCCCATCCGCGGCGAGCCTGCGCGACTCGATCCCACGACTACCGACACAACCGTAATCAACACCACCGTATCCTTTATCCGCCGCAATGGCCGAACAATCCACCCTCCGCCAATCGGCCGCTGAGGAGGCCATCGCCGCCTTCTTCGACAAGTACTCGACACTCATCCGCACCCGCCTCCGAAATACCTCCCGCACAACCCGCCAGCTTGCCGTCCTTGCTCTCGCCGCGTCCATTGTGCTCAGCGCCGCCGGCGGGAGGAGATGGTGGAGGCGTCGGCGCGAGGAGCGGGAGCAGGGCCGCAAGCTCGTCCGCACCAATTCGTGGCTGCACAATAAAGATGGCTCCCGCACAATATATGTCCCCTACAAGGATGGCACTTCCAAAGTTGTCATCCAGACCACTAAGCCTTTGACCTTCGAGGCGCATCGTAGGCTGTTCTTGAACCCGCCGCGGGTGTCCGGGCTCGGCGACGGCACTGTCCCATCGGCACAGACGAAGCCTGGTTTGAACCTGGCCTTTCTGCACCAGTTCCTAAGTTTGATGAGCATCATGATTCCGAGGTGGTCGAGTAAAGAGGCCGGCCTTCTCCTGAGTCATGGCGTATTCCTGATGCTTCGAACTTACCTGTCCCTCGTCGTCGCCCGGCTCGATGGTGAGATTGTAAGAGACTTGGTTGCCGGGCAGGGAAAGAAGTTTCTTTGGGGATTGGTCAAGGTAAGCGGTTAGGGTACACCCATTGTCTAAACGTCTTCTAATCATCATTGCAGTGGTGTGGTCTTGGTGGCTTCGCCTCCTACACGAACGCGATGATCAAGTTCCTCGAATCCAAGGTCTCCATCGCTTTCCGAACAAGGCTTACTCGGTACATCCACGACCTCTACCTAAACGACAGCCTCAACTATTACAAACTGTCCAACTTGGACGGCGGTGTCGGACAGGGCGCCGACCAGTTCATCACGCAAGATCTGACGCTCTTCTGTGCCGCCGCAGCGAATCTGTACTCGTCGCTCGGCAAGCCGTTTGTCGATCTTTGCGTATTCAACTACCAGCTGTTCCGATCGCTCGGCCCGCTAGCTCTGACAGGTCTGCTGAGCAACTACTTCTTGACAGCAAGTATCCTGCGTCGGCTGTCCCCTCCATTTGGCAAGCTCAAGGCTGTGGAGGGACGCAAGGAGGGTGACTTTAGAAGCTTACACGCCCGTTTGATTGCGAACGCCGAGGAGATTGCTTTCTATGGAGGTGCCGATATGGAGAAGCAATTCTTGAACAAGGAATTCAAGTCGCTCAAAAACTGGATGGAGGGCATCTACATGCTCAAGATTCGATATAACATGCTCGAGGACTTCATCCTCAAGTACAGCTGGAGTGCGTACGGCTACCTGCTGTCGTCGTTGCCCGTCTTCCTTCCCGCGTGGGGTGGCCTCGGCGGTGCGGCAGAGTTGGCCGAGACCGCTGGCAAGGGCCACAGAGAGCGTGGTCGTATGAAGGAGTTCATTACCAACAAGCGCCTCATGTTGTCGCTGGCGGATGCTGGCGGTAGAATGATGTACTCCATCAAGGACCTTTCAGAACTGGCTGGCTACACCAGCCGAGTTTATACTCTCATCTCGACACTCCACAGGGTTCATGCCAACGCCTACTACCTTCGTGGCCAGCCAAGCGAGTTGCACTCCCTCTCGGACGTCCAGGGTACGATCCAGAAGGGCTTCGACGGTGTTCGATTCGAGAATGTCCCGATTGTTGCTCCGGCCCTCTGGCCCAATGGTGGTGAGGAGTTGATGGAGTCTCTCTCGATGGTTGTGAGGAGAGGAGAGCACCTTTTGGTAAGCTAACCTTGGTTGATGCTCTAGGGCCGTAACTAACACGCCTAGATCTCCGGACCCAACGGTGTCGGAAAAACAGCTATTGCACGCGTTCTCGCTGGATTGTGGCCGGTTTACCGTGGACTCGTCAGTCGCCCCAAGGACATCGGACAGGACGGTATTATGTTCCTGCCGCAACGGCCGTACCTCAGCATCGGTACCTTGCGTGACCAAGTCATCTACCCCGACGGACACCATGACATGCGCGAGAAGAGGAAGTCAGAGGATGATCTGAAGCGCATTCTGGACGAGGCTCGCCTTGGCTACCTCCCTGACCGCGAGGGTGGTTGGGATACCCGCAAGGAGTGGAAGGATGTTCTCAGCGGTGGTGAGAAGCAGCGCATGGGCTTTGCCCGTGTTTTGTACCACGAGCCTCAGTACGCCATCGTCGACGAGGGCACCAGTGCTGTGTCCCAAGACGTCGAAGGCTTGTTGTATGAGACATGCAAGGAGAAGGGCATCAGTAAGTGTGGCCCCTTTCAGCAGCGTCACGGTTTTATTAACATTGAAAAGCACTCATTACTATCTCCACGCGCGCCTCTCTCAAGAAGTACCACACCTATAACCTTATCCTCGGCATGGGCGAGCGGGGCGACGAGTGGGAGTTTGAAAGGATCGGAACGGAGAGAGAGAAGATGCAGGTAGAGAAGGAGCTGCAAGATCTCCGAGAGAGACTCGAGCAGGTGGAGACGTGGAAGGCAAGGCGGCAGGAGATCGAGGATGAGCTATCCCGTGTGTGGGTTGCCGGCGGCGAATCTCTGGACCCGCCTTCATATGCAGAGAGCGAGAGCGACAGCCTCAAGGGAAAGGGAAAGGAGGTGCAAGGCGATGCCTAGAGTGGAAGACTCGTTTGGACACTACTGCTGTACAATTAAAGAATACACTTGGCATGTGGGGATGAGACTATACGCATTATGTAGAAGAAACATGGCATGCACCACAACATCTGTTCATGAATCCGCGACGCCAGTAGCCCCAGTACCTATACGCATTTGCAGACACTACCCCGCCGCCGCATTGTTTATCGTTCGTCAAGCAGGTCATCTTTATGGGTGATCCATTGGCTCCTACTGCCGTTGATAGCCCCTACGACATACTGGCGCCCACCGTTTAGCTTCCTTACCAAGTAGCCGCGAGCCCTTACCTAGCATGTCATATTCCTTAAACAAAAAAGCCTTCAGTCCGCTGTTCCACTCTGCAACATACCGACTCCCGACTACAAACTTCGCAGGCCGATGGTCCCCACTATCCTAGACTCGAGGCGTCGCCACCCAGTAGTTCCTTAGTCGTTCCCTGTCGTTCATTCTCAAAAGCAGTTAGTAGTGTCTCACTACTTACCCGATCGACCAATGACGGCCTCCGTGAAGCCACCGCTATCACATAAACTATTTGCTGGGCCGCGCAGCTCCGACTTTTACCCCGACATCAACCTCTTTCATTGTTCGCTTTTGGTGTCCGGTTTTCACCCGTCCTGCTTAGTTGGAATAATTTTGCCAGTCTCTTTGATTCCTGGTCTCTCATCTGGTGCTAGCGCCGGGCTGTTGATGACAGTCCGACTACCCTTGCTGCGGAGTCTACACCTGACGAACATCAAATGAGGAACATCAACAATCCCAGTTGCAGATTGATCCCTGCCCGGAATGAAGCGCCTCCTCTCGTTGATGCTTCAAAAGTTGCATCTGGGTCGTGCTTTTATCCTCAGAAAGGAAGCTCCAGGCTGGCAAGCGCCAGAGCCCAGCCGTATACAGCCAGCAGGCCATATGTCGACACTGCCCTACTTACCAGAAGGCTCAGCCTCCGGGCGCCCCATCTGGCAACTGCAGACTAACCGTTCTCTCAGGTTCTAGATGAAGTCGTTCATCGGCAGCAGCCAAAAGCGGTTCACATTGCGGCGCAGAAGCTTCAATCAGTGTGTTTCCGAGTAGACAAGGGCCATGAAACGGACGCTCCTTTGCTCTCCCTCGCCTTCTCCCCCACTTGTCTTTGTCTGTCTTTACCCAATTTTCTTCGTCCATCGCCGCCGCGAGTCCCCGTCTCTCTGTTTCCTTTGTTCTTGGGTGACTAGAGCCGAGTCGTGAGCTCCTTGAAAAACAAACAGTTGTTGATCCCACTAAATGTCGTGCATCCCATCGAACCCGTTGGCGTCCCCTGCGTATTATATCAAGTCTTCAAGGATCTTCGACCCAGCTCGAGAGACATTGAGTCCCTTGCAAACTCCAGCATCACGGCCAAGTTGAGCCACAGACGTTTGTGTTAACTCTATTTTGTCCGAGAGTTACAAGAACGGTCTGTTCCGTTTTGTCTGTCGTCGTGGTTCACTATCTCTTTTACTTTTGTTACCACTACAGCTTTTACTCTATCCGGTTTGAATAGAGTTGCTTTGAGATAGGAGGTAATGACATTCGACATCTCCATACATCGCCCATTCTGCCTGTTTGCGTAGACAATCGACGTAAAGAGATTCATCGTCACCCAGTACAGCCGTACTTGCACATCACCAAAGAGGGACGGTCACGCACATACTAGAGGCTGTTGTTATCTCTGAAGCCCAGAGCAAGATGCCCAAGGCCCCCCTCTCACCAGCCTCAAGCCGTAACGCCATGTTGATGGCAGGTCGCATGCCTGTCATCGCCGAAGACGAGTCCGTCACACCCATCACAGTACCTCCGGCAGCAACTTTACCCCCGTCGCCGCCAAGATTCAACCCAAAGAAGCCAAGGGCATACGGCCGGTCGCCCACATCGCGGCCCATATACGCGCACCCGTCTTACCCCCCGTACTCTCACTCCCGCAACTCTTCCCGTGAGAGCCTCCACAGCATTCACAGCATTCACAGCGTTCGCAGCGTTCGCAGCACACGCAGTGTTCAGAGTGTACGGGCGCCCAGCCTGCGCAGTGTCAGCGGCGGCAGCAGCTTCGCCGGCAGCAACCCCAGCTCGAGCAACTCATCCCCCCGAAACTCTTACTACAACAAGAACAGCTCTCCAAACTTTCCCGTAACCATGCCCGCCAGGTCGGCGGCCACTCAGGAGAAGGCCAGGGCGAATGCGCGGGCCCTCCGCCGGAGAAAACGGTACCGCATTACTGTCGTCATCGTCATCGCTGTCTCTCTCATTGTGGGCCTGGCCGTCGGTCTGACGGCCAGCACATGGAAGCAAAAGTGCGTCTCATTCCCTTTCTTCCTTACTTGGATTGGTACCGGAAACTAACATCAAACAGCACCTCACCAACGCCCTCTGGCACCCCAGCCCTTTCCAACCTCTTCCCAGCGGGCTCCTTTTCCTTCAACACCGCCCTCCAAGCATCCAGCACGGGCTGCACCTCCAAAACCTCAACATGGAGCTGCTACCCAGACGTGACGTACGCCAACGCCTCGTCCTCCGGCTCCAGAAACCGCTCCTTCGCCACCTTCTTCTGGACAATCATGCCCAAAAACTCATACTCCTACCAAATCTCCTCGCCGGCGAGCCCTTCCGCCCCGCAGTTCTCCAACGTGAGCATGAACCTGCTCGACGCGAACTCGTACGACGAGCGTCTGGTCTTCAAATTCTCCATGCCCAAGACCGTCGTGCCGTCTGAAACCATCGCCCCCAACAACAAATCCTCGACGTGCACATTCAACGACACCACTTTTCAGGCGACGCTTTGGACGCGGAGGAACAGCGACAACGATACCGCGACCATCGGCGTCGCTGCCGGAAACGCCACGGCAGTTCCGGATCCCTCCAAGTGGTCGGTCTGGCCTGGCGAGGTCGAAATCCTGCAGCTCAAGAGGGGCGGCCCGAATTGCAAGGACAACGACGGTAACGAGTTCAAAGTTGCTGCTGGCGATGGGCAGTGCGAATGCCGGTATGTCAACTTTGGCCTCTGATAGTTTATAACGCGCCGCGAGTGGTGCGTATGTGTGTGTGTGGTGAGACTGTATGAAGTGTCTGTTATATATGATGAAATTTTTCTTTTGTTAGAGAGGAGGAGAATGGATGATTAAGTTATGAAGTCATGGACATAGCATCTGTATACTATATTTATATATACTAAGAATGATACCCTATATTCTATGTATCCTCATGAAATCATGTTTGCGTGTCTAGATTAGTATGGAAATGCGGCTGCGTGCGTGGCCGGCCGTCTCGCCTTCTATCTATATGAACCCACTGCGACAGTCAAACTCCGTGATCGATGCAACGTAACGCCAACTCGTCTATATCACTCATACATAAATCCTTCTAATCCACGTCTTTTAAAACTTCCAAAACTCCCATTCTTCACTTTTTTCGAGAGCGTGGGTTGGCCACGGCTTTTCACATACATTCCCGAGATAAAAAATCACCGTGGCTGCGCGTGGTGAGACGGATCGAAAAACTGCATATTTTCAGCGTCGCCTTCCTCCGGGTAGAAGTTCAAACCTGGCGGATTCGGCTGATACTGTTGGAACTGTTGTGCCTGGCCCTGGAAGCCCTGGTGGTTAAACAGGTTTGCGCCGTCAAACTGCTGCTGCGGCTGTTGATATCCTGGAAACCACATGCCCGGAGGCTGTTGCTGAGGTAGCTGTTGCTGTGCCTGAAAGTGTAACTGCGGCACGTACCCCTGTGCCATAAAGTCATTTCCGTGATAATACTGATTCTGCTGCTGGTGCTGGTGCTGGTGCTGGTGCTGCATCAGATGGGCCCCGGTGTGGAGGTACCCGAGGTCCGGCAGCGGCGGCGCCGCGAAGCCGTTCGGCGGAGGGAAAGCGCCCATCGTTGACGCGGGATACCGGGGTGCGCCTACGGGCTCCATGTTGCGGGAGGCGTCAAAGACCATCTCCCGTGGCGGCTGTCGGTGCGGCCTGGGCTCGAGATAGGCGGTCGAGTCGAGACGAGTCTGGAACTCGTACATGCCGCCGCCGCCGCCGCCGCGCGCCGCCTGGTCCAGAGTCATTTGTGGCTGCTGCGGGAGCGGCGGTGGGAAGCCCGCCAGAGGTTGCTCGAGCCTCCGCCGCGGGGAGTACCGGATTCTGTCTTCGGCAAGGTCGCTAGGAGGCCGGCCCCGCTTTTGACCCGCGTCCCCTTCCACGTCCGGCTCGTCGCCGTCGACGCGGGGCGAATTGAAGAAATCTCGCGCCCACTGCATGATTTCTTCGTCCGACTCGAGGTCGACGGAGGAGAGGCGGTCGCTGATTCGCTTGACGAGGTTGGCTAGGTTCGGACGCTGGGAGGGTTCGTGTGCCATGCATAGCTGTACTACATCCCTGAGTTGCGAATCGATATCACTAAACCGTTCGGACTGGAGGGCGGCGCCGTAGGTGTCGACGCCGTTGACGCGGATGGCTCTTACCGGGGGGTTGAATGAGCAGCGGGTTATGGCGCACCACATCTATGATGAGTTAGTTTAAAAAGCCAAATACTCAAAGAAGGAGGTGGGTGGGTGTTGCGCTTACGATGACTCCGATCTGGTAGACGTTGGAGTGCATTCCGTAGTTGCCAGCAACTCTTGGCTTGCTCCCGTCGAGGGCGACGAATTTGTTAGGCCCATCATCTCCCCAGTCTCCCATAACATCCCAATCACGGGTGAATTGCTCCTACTTGCGTCAGTAATCGAAGTCAGTGGACGTGTGTTTGTTACTTACTGGCATGTAAAACCACTTCTTTCCCCTGACCCGAGACTTCCAGAAAAGTTCTTTTCTGTGCAATTCATGTTAGTTAACCAAGACTCCGAGGAGGGGGGAAGAGAACAACTTACGTAAAATGTCGGGGATTAGTTGCAGCCTCGCTGAAGAATTGAACGTTGCCAAAGTCGGCGATCTGGCATTGTCAGCATTCATACCCATCATCCAGGGTCGTAGACAACGCTACCTTGAAAATGGGAAAATCGCCATGCTCCTTATCCCTGTCAGCGAGAACTAGTGCCATGTTAGCTTTGAAAAGCCATCGTCATGATATACAAAGCGACTTACTGTTCTGAGGATCGAGATCAAAGTGCACCGTCTGCTGCGGGGGCAGATCCTGACGGGGGATGTATTCATCAATGGGCTCGTTGGAGTCCCATTCGGGGTGGGTAGCCTTATGATGTTCTTTTGGTGGATAACCCATGCCAACGAGTCCAGAGACAACTGAGGTTCAGGTTAGCAAGACTTCATGACTTTCTACTTGGGGTTCACTCACGGCATTTGAACAACATCCAAAGAGCCTTGTTTGGCCAGGGTTTCTTGCTGCGACTGGCCTTGTTGAGCCATGAATGCAGGCTGCCGTGAGCGGCGTACTCGGTAAGAATGAAATTGCGCGCCCGCTGTTTGGCAATGTCCCATTTCTTGTCCTGTTCCTCGAAAGATGATCTCGCTTTGTATTTGTATTTATTTGCGTTGTCTTCGTCTCTTTTGGCCTTGATTTCCTGTGTGATGTCAAGAATTTGCAAGATATGCTTGGCACCCTTGTATTTCTTGTATGGCTGAGTTAGCAGACTGTATTGGGTGGTGGCATGGGAGAACTTACTAAGAGAGCCTTTTCTTCCTGCACCAGTGAGCCGTGGGCGGCGTGTTTGGCCCGTTCCACCTTCATCACGCATTCTGTCTTAACGTTGCGGTCGCTCTTGTGCTGGACCAGGGCAGCGATCCCGTAACCGCCCGCGGCTAAGATCTTCTTTAGCGAAATGCCATAGCCCTTGGAGGCGGTTCCTTGGCCATAATTGTTTGCTGCTACCGCCTGTCGTCTGTTGTCGACGAACTTGTCCCCTGCATACGGGGTCTTCAATTGGTCTTCGGGTTGGTAGGGGCCTTGGTTCTCGCCCTGCGCTACTGGAATGAGATCGCCATAGTTTCCCATCACCCCATCTCCCCTCATTGTGGCCATACGATGCGCTATTGAGTGTCTGAGGCGTGCTCGGTGTTGTTCTGCGGTTTCGTCCGCCGCTTGACAGGAGCAAATGTGCGGCACCCGAGGTGCCATGGGTCTGAATTGATCTGCGTTCATGTTGGGGTCTGCGTCAATGTTCAAAATATGATGGTTTGTTTGCTGAGAGCTGTGGTTCATGATTTTCATTTCGAAAGCTATCAACTAGTTATGTATCATTTATAAGATGTTTTATGACATTTTGACAGATACTATACAAAGGAGACGAGGCAATGATGGTGTTATTTTAAGACGAACAGGAAAGACAATGCCCATGATTTGCCCATGACCTGTTTTTGAGCGTCCGACTTTCAAAAAGTGGCATTGTTGGTTGTTTGAGTCTTTTGTGTAAGATGTCAATACCTGGCTGGAGTCGTTGCATTGTTATGCCATGTTCTGCGAGTCAACACAATAAATAGTCTTTGCCATAACAAATGCTTTCAAGTTGAATAGGGGACAAGGGACGAATGATTGACCGAGTTAATAGCCGCATAAAGAAGCCAGGTGTTTCATCATTGGCCAGAGAGAAGAGCAAGACAAAATCAAACATCATGCTAGCTCACTTCTCAAGTCGTCGAAACCTTTGTCATCACCGCTTGGCGATCCTTCGGACTCGATGCAACGGTAAGGAAGAACGGAAGACGTGCAGTGCTAAATTGGAGCACGCCGATGGTCAGGCCCACCCGGCTGAAATGCAAATGGAGTTCAGCTCCAGTGGGGATTCACACGCCCACCCACGTGGATACGAATGGCTCCGGTAAATACGCTGTGATACGGAGTACTCGTAGTCAAGACGAGCGACATTCCGCGCAAGTGAGCAGGTGGCGTCTTCGTTGGTCTACTAGTAGGTTGCTAACTGGCAGTGGGTTGCGCGTGCGATCTAAAGATCTGACGTGCATGATAAGGGTAATGGGTAATCTCATCAGAAGCCAAGCCGTGGGATTACGTCTTTTGGATGCTGCTTATTCTAGAAAAACACGCGTTGATGCAGAATTTATCGTGCTGGTCTCAACGGGTGTTGTTCTTCAAGGAAGGGTTGGTGACGGCAGAGAAGAAGCCAATTAGCCGCGCCGAATAGCATTTAGGCTAAATGCGATTTAAATCGGGTCTCGGCGAAATCATTCTCCACTAAGACTGTCTTTAGCGGAGCTAACAAAAGAAAGAGCGAAGGTGACCGAAAGGCCAGACCATATCAGTGCGGATACGCGTGGAAGAGGGGGAAAAAAAAGAGAAAGAGTTGGGCAGCTTACATCAAAACGTTTCCTGGTAGATGCGAGCATCTGACAGGTAGCCTGTGTCAAAGTTGCTACCCCACGTCTAGATTCCCACCACATTGGGGGGACAAGGAAAGAAAAAGATCCCAAGCAGTCTTTTGCGCGCTTGACGAGAGGGGCACAAGACCTTTTTGCAGCAAGAGCACGGCGCAGGGCAGCCAGTGGCAGCCCCCCAAAGCCGCCGCCGCCAATCACTGCAGGCAAACTGTATGTTGCTTGCCAACAACTTCAGAAAGTTCTTAGGTCAATCATGCGCACTTCGTTACTTCTGACCTTGCCTTAGCTTGTGGCCAACCTTCGTCAGGGTTCCAATGGCTGCGAGGCGGCGGGAAGTGTGAACCCCAGAATTTCATTCCCAAGTCTGGTCTTTTCCATGGGTCCTCCCGAAAGTCACAGGCTGATTTAAACGCACAAATAGGCGTGTCCTATTCTGCAGCGGCCACCCCGTCTCTTTCCCCCGAGTTGGCCGTCCCTGCTTCGGTACTGAGCTCCTGTACTACTGCCCGTTGATAATTTATCCATGCCAATCGGCTCCTCTTGGTGAACATGTCACAGTTCTGGGACTACTCCGGCTTCTCCCTGACTGGTTGGGTTGGTTAACTCGGGGTGAGCTAGTGATCTGTGTGTTGACCTTTTTTTTCCCAGCGACCCCTTCCTCCGCCACCAGCCTCTCATACCCTTGATGCAGCGCCAGAGCTGTACGGTGACGGAACCACAGGCTGTTTGAATCTGAATGCGGGCGGGGTGAGGGTCGGAGTTGTTGATACAGGGGAGGCCGGAAGGTGTAGCTCTAGCTAACCGTACGATCTAAGTCTTTCCATCCTCTTGCCCATCTGGTTAATTTGCCTAGCAACCATGGAGGGATACCTTAACATGCGTGGGTTATAAATATGTGTTTGCCTGCCTCCTTCATTCTCGCATACCCTTTTTCCCCCCCTTCCTTCTCTCCTCCTCTTCTCGTCTCTCAAATCTTTCTGCGGTCTATTGTACCATTTGATACCCCTATCTTCTTTTATCTTATCCAGAAAGGCACCCGTCACAATGGCCGTCCCCAACATTAAGCTGAACAGCGGTTTCGACATGCCCCAAGTGGGCTTCGGTCTGTGGAAGGTTGACAATGCCATCGCCTCCGACACCGTCTACGAGGCCATCAAGGCCGGCTACCGTCTGTTTGACGGCGCTTGCGGTAAGTCAAGTTTGCAGACTATTTCACTCCGTCGCGTTTTCAAGGAGAAATGAGGAGAACTGGGGGACAGGCAGACTTCCAGCCATCGAGCCATTGACTGCCGCAATTCGGTCAAGAAAAAAGGAATTGAGCGCAACAAAACGTGTTGAGAAACGCGTTGCCAGCGGTCTATGGCCCGTCGTGGTGGCATGCTTGGTTCTCCCCTCCACGACTTCTGGAAGCCTGAATTACCCCTCCTTACCCCACCATGAATGGTCGGTGCGAATTTCTACAGACCACTGATTTCCCATGGTGGATGCAATTTCAGCGGAAAGCTCTCCGCAAATACACCCCCCTGTAACCCCACATCAATTCACACCCCCTTCCTTTCCTCACTCACTCACTTACACCATGAGCGCACCCCCTGCCTTCCCCTGACATCACCCGATTTGAATTTGGGGTGCTTTCATGCTCAAACTCAATTGCGGCACTCTTAATGATTCGGTCCTAATGACGCATTTTTCTTTCAGACTACGGCAATGAAGTCGAGTGCGGTCAGGGTGTTGCCCGCGCCATCAAGGAGGGCCTCGTCAAGCGTGAGGAGCTCTTCATCGTCTCCAAGCTCTGGAACACCTTCCACGATGGCGACCGCGTAGAGCCCATCGTCCGCAAGCAGCTCGCTGACTGGGGCATTGACTACTTCGACCTCTACCTCATCCACTTCCCCGTCGCTCTCGAGTACGTCGACCCCTCCGTCAGATACCCTCCCGGCTGGCACTACGACGGCAAGTCCGAGATCCGCCCCTCCAAGGCCTCCATCCAGGAGACCTGGACCGCCATGGAGAGCCTCGTTGCCAGCGGTCTCTCCAAGAGCATCGGTGTCTCCAACTTCCAGGGCCAGCTCCTCTACGACCTCCTCCGCTACGCCAAGATCCCTCCCGCCACCCTCCAGATCGAGCACCACCCCTACCTTGTCCAGCCTGACCTGATCAAGCTGGCCGCCAACGAGGGCATTGCTGTCACTGCCTACTCCTCCTTCGGCCCTGCCTCCTTCAAGGAGTTCAACATGGAGCACGCCACCGACTTCGTTCCCCTCTTCGAGGAGCCCACCATCTCTGAGATCGCCAAGAAGTACAACAAGACCAACTCCCAGGTTCTTCTTCGCTGGGCTACCCAGCGCGGCCTTGCCGTCATCCCCAAGACCAGCCGCAAGGAGATTCTCGCCCAGAACCTCGACTGCCTCAGCTTCGACCTTGACCAGGCCGACATCAACAAGATCAGCTCCCTCGACCGCAAGACCCGCTTCAACCAGCCCGCAAACGTGAGTTTCTAATCCCTTACCTTGCTGTCTTGCAGAAGCAGAACTTTTAGCTAACAGCTCAACTAGTACTTCCCCACCGAGAAGCTCTGGATCTTCGCCTAAGTGGTCGGCATATAACCTGCTGTCTGATCCCCCATCTTCTTTAGCGTTCCTGGAACAGTATCAGCGCCCGCCCATGGAAATGGCCTGTTAATGGCCCACAAAGGGCGGTGTGCAAGGGAGAAATGTTTGATGAATCTCGAACCGCGTACACTGTGCGTCGATTGTATCTAGATGCTCATCTCCCTTCGGCATGACTGTGATCTGCCGTTACAATACAACCAAAAGCCATGACCAAGACAACGTGTTGTCCTCATCATGCACTGTGAATTTGTCTTTTTTTCTTTCTTCTTTGTCCAATGCCAGAATAGCCGCCCGCCCTTGAAAAATGCTTCTCTCCATGCTCACAATACATGATGGGTCGTGGAGTGTGTGCTCAGAAAAGAGGTATCTCGTGCAAGAAAAAAAAAAGAAAAGAAAAAAAAAGGCCCCGATGTGTTCATTGTGTCCTCTGTTGTCACCCCTCCCTTCCCAGATTTCTCTAATCAAACGCCTTTGTATAACGCCATGCCGGCCTCGTAAGTTTTCATGCTACAGGGTGAACTAAGCCACTATGCCTTGACAAAGGCTGTGATGAATTGTTAGCAAGGGAGGGTTTTTCATCAATGAGTTCGCTGCGCTGCGCAATGTAACTTACTTGCGTCGATCTGGGATAGCTGGGGCAGCGCCAGGCGGACCTTGTTGCGGTACACGGCCGGCCCTCTAAGCTGCAGCGGGTTGCCCTCAAAGTAAACGGTGGTCAAGTGCTCCTTATCTCTCAACTCCTTCTCGACCTCGTTAAAGTCGGAGATCTGGTTGTAGCTCGCCCAGAACTCCTCCAGGTTCTTCAGCGGCTTCAGACCCTTGACGCTTGCAACGGCGTTGTTGGAGATGTCGAGCACGCGCAGCTTCTCGTTCTGCTCGATGCCGGCCAGCGATGTCAGGGCGTTGTGAGAAATATACAGCTCCTCGAGGCTGGGCACCTGATTCAACGGGGCCAAGTCACGGATGCGGTTGGACTGGATACTGAGAATCTTGAGGTTGGACAGTCCTCCCAGGCCAGTGAGCTCGGTGATTTTGTTCTTGGCGACCCAGAGCTCCTCGAGCTTCTTGAGGGAGTCGAGATTCTGCAGGACGCGAATGCGGTTGGAGCCGAGCTCGAGGCTAGTGAGGTTGTCGAGACCTTCGAGATTCTCGATGGTGCTGATTTTGTTGGCAACCAGGAAGATTTCCTTCAATTTCGTCAGGTGATTCACACGCTTGATGTGCTTGATCTTGTTGAAGCTAAGGTCGAGGCTGGTGAGGTTGGTTAGGTCCTCCAACCCCCGAATGTGGGAGATGAGGTTGTCGTAGAAGTCGAGGTCCTCGAGGGTGGAGGCGAGGGCGGAGAGGCCGTCGATTTCCTGGATGCTGTTCTGACGGAGGCAGAGGCGGACAACCTTTGTGAAGCGCTCGAGGTGGAGGGCGGGGATGGAAGCAACGCGGGCGTGGGAGACAATGAGCTCGTCTGTATCGACGTCCTCGCCGTCAAGGAGGTCTGTTTAAAGTGCTGTGTCAGTTTTTCTGCTTCTTTCCTTCTGGCTTGATCGGCCTGGGGGAAAGTTTTGGCTTACCTTCATCAGCGGGGAGTTCCTCGCCTGCGATGACATTCTCGTCGTCAGACTCCGGGTCCGACAGCACCTCAGGGTTGGCGAGGACGGCGGTCCGCTGGACTCTGAGTTTTCCATCCCATCCTTTGCTATTTCTCATGCCCGGGCTGGTCTGGCCATCGTGGCCCGGGGAGCCTTCTTCCTCGGGAAGTTCGATGCGCGGCGACTGTCTCGGGGAATGTTCGGTGGGGGTCTTGGGGTCGACGGGGCCGGTCATGATGGAGAACTGTGCCGGTCGCAGGATTCCTGTGGTTGTGGTTTCGGTATGGCAATGGAAAGAGATCTCGGCCGTTTGGTTTTAAAATGGGGAGACAAAAATGAGCGGTGATGACAGTAGTAGTGATTTCTCAGCGGGTGGCTAAGCGGGGTTGGGAATGGGAGATGGGAAGATGGGCAAAAAAAAAAAAAAAACAACCCGGAGGTCGACAGGTCGTGAAGGAGGGGTTGTTGTTTACAAAACGACCAGAATCTCGTGTCGCATACCAGGATATGAAAGGGGATTTGATATTGTTTAATTAGCGGGCGTTTGTTGTGTTTGGCTCTGTTCCTGGGTCTTTTGATTTATTTATTATGCTCGCCCGCCCATCTAGCTGGGACAACACACGCATGTGGTATTACTGACTGACCGCACTGTGACTGAGGGGCTAACAAGTGAGGTAAGGTGAGAAGTGACGGGGGATGGGATGGCTGGTGGAACCTGTTCTGTGATGGTCCGGAACACTGGCAAGCTTTGGGAGCACTGGATTGGCGGACTAGTCCCAGATCCACGAGGGACGTTTGGCGCTAGAGTATGACGTCCCAATGGATCTCCTGAGCGAGAATCACGCTGTGGAATTAGAGACTTAGGTGCTGTCATTGAAGGGAAACGTAAGGTATCTGAAGGCGGGGTCGCCCACAAGGGTCGCTCAGGTCTTCCGTACAGCGGCTACCCATTCCGTTAGAACCCGTACCACAAAGACGGCGTGTGCCGTCACAATGGTTCAGCGCTGTCTCGGCATGTGCTTCGTCGCTATATCATTTCCTAAAGCCATGCTCCAAATGACGGAATTACGCCGTACAGTAACGTAAATCCCCCAAAACGACCCTTCAATTTTCCATAAAAAAAATTAACGGCGCTGCAGTCGACGAACGCAGACGACACGAGATTGGGCTGGAATCCTGCGGCCTTCATACATCCGAGCCGTCTTCATTGCTGCCCACGTTGCCTCGCCTCATGTTCCCCAGACAAAACTGGCTGCATACTGCCTGCATTGAATGAGTCCAGTCGTCTTTGAACACATGCTTGCCGTGCCATTGACTCCCAGGCCACGAGAACACCTGATTTGCAAGTTTTCTTGCCCCAATTGACTGCTGCTAGCTAGCTATTCGCCCATGCGCTTGCGCATGCAATCGGATCTTCCGTCATCCCTCTTTCCGCCGTCCCAGGGCCTTCCAACACCATCATCACCGACACCCCACGGCCGATACACGCCTCCATGTCTTACAACCATTCGTGATGCATGCTATCCGCGCCTCCTCCATTGGGCAGCTCCTGCGCCGTCCTCGCCGTATGCGCACGCTGCCCGTTGCTTCAATATGGCGAGCCACGTCTACGCCGATGCCGCTGCTACCACTCCTCGGTGTCACCACCCACAAGAGGCAATTGCACGCTGAAGCGCTACTGTTGCCACCTCTATACTTTTGCGGTCTTTTGATCGCCCTATGGACATGGAAGTGTTTCATGATGGTCGTCTTCCAGAACAAGATCATTTACATGCCAGGACTCCCGCCTAACGCGCGCCGCGAACGTATAGAGGATTACGCGAAGCAGTGCTGGGGCGTGCAGTGGGAGGAAAAAAGGGTTCGGGCTGCCGACGGGAAGGATCTGGCTCTATGCGTGGCCTCGGTTGAATCTACTGGTGTCGAGAAGGCCACGTCTGACCAAGTCCTTACAATACCGTCCATCTACATCCTCTACTTTCAGGGTCTGCCCCGTCCCGCATTGCTCTCTATGGGCGTCTAGATGGCCTTCCACTTTCAACAGCTCACGATTGGTAATAGGAAACGCCTCATCCCTTCCCCCACGATTGCCGGATCTGTCATGGGTCCTCAAGACACTGCAGCGAACCAAGCGGCCCGCGCGATACACTATGGTGTGCCTGAGCTACCGCGGGTACTGGACGTCGAGGGGTCGCCCCTCCGAGAAAGGCATCAATTTGGATGCCCAGGCGGCTCAACGCTGGATAGAGGAGGCGCATGAAGACGAGGTCAGGCATAGGCAGCAGCAGTGCCAGCCACTGCCCGCGCCGGGACTGGTGATCTGGGGTCAGAGTATCGGCGCTGGGGTAGCCACCAACCTCGCCGCCTACGAAGGGTTTCTGCCCAAAGTGCCGCTTAAGTGGCTGATTCTTGAGACGCCGTTCACGTCCATAAAGGCCATGATTGAGGTGTTATATCCCCAGAAATGGGTGCCATACCGGCATCTATGGCCTTTCCTGCGGAATCACCTGGATAGTTTGGCGAACATCACTGCAATTGCCAAAAAGCATCCTGGTGGTTCGGACCACGAGAAGCCTCGGGTCACGATAGTGGAAGCTGGTAGGGATGAGCTAGTGCCGGCCGAGCATGGCGCTAAGCTTGTCCAGCGCTGTGAGGAGGTCGGGCTGGCGGTTGAAAAGAAGACGGTCAATGGGGCATTCCATAACAATGCCATCATCTTGCTAGAGGGACGGAAAGCTGTTGCCGAAACGATTGAGCAGGTTGCAGCTCAATTGTGATTCTAGAAATGACATCAAGTGAAGTCTTGAGCATAACAATGTGTTTAGTCATCCCAGAGGAAGAAAGCGTGATTGGCAAGGTGAAGCCTCAGCGCTCGAATTTGTTCGCGTCCAGGATGCCGGGGAAGCTAGGGACATCTTCCCCGTTGGTGGCAGCAAAACCAGTGGGATAGACGATGGTAAGGGGGCTGACCAATTTGCCATAGACCTTTTTACCAGCTGCTAATTCGTAAGGAACCTTGGTTGGCCAATGTTGCCATCCATGAAACGATGTGCACCATATGGCACATTCTCCAGAGCTGTCCGCTAAAGCCCGAGCTTCCGTGCTAGAAGAGGAATATTTGAGGGCCCTTTGAATACCCATTATGGTCTCGGTTAGATATTTGACACTACGAGTTGAGACCGTGAAAGAACACGGCTATTTCAAGCCTTTTCATGAACAATTTGCCTCTTTTGCAACGAAATTAAAGCAGGGGCAAGTGTTTGCTTCTAACATTTCTTCTTCCAGGATAGTAATAGGGGAGCTTGGACTCCCTCGCAGCGTTAACGTGGACCTTTTTTCAGGCAGCTTCTCGGAGTTGTTGCGCATGCTCGGCAGTCCATATCTCTCGGCGAGAAGTATACCTGCATGTAAATCCGCCGGGAGTCTACCTAATATCCAGAGTTGAGCACCTTAGCCCCTGAGACTAGCCATGATCAACCGGACCCTCTGACTCGTTGGTGTGCAGTACCACCAATTTATCCCTGCGGAATGGCTTGCTCTATGGCCCGCCTGTGTTGCACTGCCCGCCAGTGTTGGCCAGTGCCCCGGCCAAAAAATTGGAGGCAACCAGCTACATCCCTGCTTGTAATCATGTGACCTCGCTCATCCGACGTGTGGTACGGCCGTCGCGCTCAGGGGGTGCCGACGCGTCCAATGACTACCATTCTCACCAGTGTCGAAAAGCAGCAAGGCCTTGTAGGAGATCCTGGGCCCGTGCAAGGTAGTTAGCAGGCTGTATATATAGAATATTGCTCCCCATTCTATCAGAAATTTCCTGGACTCTTTTTTTTTTTCTCTCTCTCGCAGGTGCCTTAGGTAGGTCAACAATTTTTCAATAGAAGTCGATGCAACAACCATTTCGTCCATCTTTTCCATCATTTTGAACCTTCCGATCGCTATTCAACGCAATCTGGGTTGTAGCAGTATTATTATTATTTTCGCATTTTTTCTTCGCTGAAAACCCGACCGGTCATCCATCACCACAATGTTCAGCAGACGCTTTGAACCCCCGCAACAAAAGAGTTTCACCAAGAGCCATAAGGCATCAAAGTCCAGCGGCATTTCCAAACATCGTCATGATTCCCGCCATAGTCGACGGCCGACAACGGCTACATCCTCCAGCACCACGACGCAAGATACCGAGATGGGAAAGTAAGTTTCATTTTATATTACACTATCTAATTCACTCGTTGTGAATCTGACACACTAACATGCAACTTTCCCAGCAACCTCACCTCCGCGATCGTAACTCTTGTAGTGGGCACCGAACAGCGTCTCTTCGCTGCCCATGAGGACGTTCTTTGCGCATCACCCTTCTTTCAAGCCGCCCTTAGGGGAGGCAACTACACCGTCGGCTCACCGTCCTCCTCCTCCTCACCAGCAAGACGCATCGCTCTGCCTGATGAAGAACCAGAGATCTTCTCGTCGGTGCTCGAGTACCTCTACAAGGGTGATTACTATCCACGACTGGTACACAACAAAAGGCGTAATTCATGGGAGATTGAACGGCCGAGCGAGGACGGCAAAGGAATCGAGTCGACTGTGTATCATCACGGCGTTGACGGTGATCTGCTCAAAGATACGGTCATCTACTGTGCTGCTGAGAAGTACGGGCTCGATGAGCTGAAAAGAGTTTCACTCAGAAAACAGGGTCTTCGTAAGTCTTCATTCGCATCCTCTTGTCTCGAATGATATACTAACATGTTGCCATAGAATCCGGCATTCAATGCAGCACCATCCTGGCGTCTGCTAGGTATGCCTATGCTAACACGCCTGATACCGACTCCAAGCTGCGGGCGCACTACCTCGCCCTCATCATCCGCAGCCGAAGCACCTTCAAGCGGAGTGGCACCATGCAGTTGGAGATGTACAACGGCGGCACTCAGCTGTTTTTTGACCTCTTTGTCGCTCTTTGCAACCACGTCGATGACATCTCGACCGTGTAAGTTGCCTCGCCAGATCCACCAGGCATTACATCGCTGACGTCGGCTCAAGGAACTCTCCTCGTACGCCTCGCGGCGGACGTCCTATCTAGGCCATCTACCACAAACCTCATAATCTGCGACCGCTTTCTCATCTCATTCAATACTAACCAATACCCGCCTCAAATTAATGACCTGACGTTCCTACGCAATCATATTCTTCTGCAACCCTTTTTCATCGACATTACGATACTGGCAGGAAAGCTTTTGGATTCGCAAAATATTAAAACACCATAAACATCAGGCGTTGGAAGTCCCGACTGGAGGGTATGCTCCCGGCGTTGTCGGGCGAATTTTCGGTTTTTATTTTTTTTCTTACCCTTTGTTTGTCTCTTGACCTGCAGTGTTTTCTGCTTCTTTTTTTACTTCTCATGAGAAATCCTTGTACAATTACATTATTATCTCTCCAGAAGTTGAGGACACTCCCCTAGAAGAAGAGACTCTGAGAACATGTTACGAGAAAGATTCGGTTTCTTCTTTTTCCTTTCAATATTTTTTCAAGGCAGGTACCTCCAGAGAACGGCCGATATGGAGGCCAGTCCGGAACGTGGCCGCGACTTTTTGTCATTATTAGAGCGTAGAAGGCAGAGGGAATGTGCCAGATTGCGTACTGCACGAGAACAACCACTGTAAAATTATCATTCTTCACACTCGCTTTACGTCGTAATTCAACCGGAGTTGATGTGATTTTTCTAGTATAACTGAGTGAAGCTATTCGTAAGATCGCAATGAAAATTTGAGAAACGAGGCTATTCCCAATAGAACGAACCTGTCGTATCGTCGCTTCATTCCCACTCGCCCCGTTCCCAGCATTCCTGAAATTGGCAGACGACCCAGCATCTCGGTTCCCACTCCTCAGATGCCACCGTGAATTGGCGTGAATGCCCCAGGCAGCGCACCTCACACCGAAAAACAATGGCGAACCAACGCAACGCCTCCTTCCCGCCTTCCTCCTCCCTTTCACCCCTGCCTACCTCTGTGTCCACCCTAGTCCTTCGGTTCCTGGTCCGCCTCCATAGTTTCCACCCTAGCGTCGCCGTGTTTGCTCAGTTGCCACGAACCTAGTTAAATCTACCTTGCGCAATGTGACTCATACGATGATGATCAAGTCAACATTACTGACCTCCAGCCAGCTATTTGGCGAGAGACAATACTACCCATACCCCGCTAACCTGCTACCGGCCGCTACGGATGCAAGCACTTTGATAAACCCCTGCCCTGGCCGTCTTGGTGAGACGTTAGTCACGACAGGGCTGCGAAGTCCGACTGGTTGGGTTCGTTTGGAATGTTGGCCGAAGGAGGGTGCCACTCGTCTCTCCTTTTTCTATGGCTTGGTCTCCGGGGAGCTCATCCGTCGCGGGCCTTTTTTTTTTTTTTTTTTTCTCATGGCCCGAAAAGAAATGAGCTATCGAGTTGCCTTCTTGGGAAATTTAGAGCGGACAGAATGTGAGTTTACGGTGACGGGCACCTGTCATCACATCCCAAATTCACGGCGAGCGGGGTTGTTGAGTCCTACGGATGCACTGGCTGCGAGCATGACTTACTGTTGTGACTTGGCTCTGGCGTGTGCTACATATTGCGACTCTGGCGGTGGAGAGTGTTGCCATTACGACTCATATATGAGGAGACGGTGTCATATTCCAACGGCCTTATCGCTAAATCAATTCCCGACCGAGCGAACGGAGTTCAGATAGACTTTTATTTTTTTGGACTATTCACAGGTTTGCCCTCCACTAGCAGTGATCTAAGATGCATGCTCTTATGCGTGTCCCCACCCCGCCGAGGCGACCCTCCCATGTTGGATGAGGTACATGAAGGGAGGTAACATGTCGCCGCTTTACACAGCAATAGCGTGGAAATGATATTTAAAAGATACGTTTGAGCTTTGGCTGGTATAGCCTGATGCCGCGAAACCCTCGCCTGCTACATCCCCACACCACCACGCCATTCATGTCGACTACACCCCTGTTCCGGGGAAAGCCCCGTTCTTGGACAGGACAACGATGCCGCGCTCTCGGGCGATGTAGCCCTTCATGAGGTTCTACATATGACCACGTTAGTAACTCAGCAACCAATGAAACGAACGATTATCTGCCAAGAAAGATTGCCATTATCGTTGGTTGTTGCCTGGGGCACACATCGTCTACCCGTGTGACATGCTGCCTAAAAGGCATCCGTCTAATGACGACTGATATAAAATGGAACAGAAGGCAGACAGACGCGCGTGGGAATCCAGGAGTCCTTTTCCCACTTTGGCTCACCGAAACGACGTGTGCATGCTGCGGACTCGCAGGCTGCCACCTTTCAATGCAAGGCGTACTGCACGAAACGGGAAATAAATGATACCACGCACCTTGTAAATCATGTTGGCCAGCAAACACTCGACCTCATCGGGATCGACAGACTCCTGACTTCCGAGGCTGATAGCGGCCGTGAACTCGGCGACAGGGACTCTGGTCCGACGGATTGGCGCTGCGCTGGGTTCCTTTGCTTCTTCGAAGCCGCCGGCGATGAAGACCTTCCTCAGTAGATTGCGGAGGGCGATATCGCGACCACGCTCGAGGGTGAGGTAGATGCGACGGCGAACGAACTCTTCCTCCCCTTCTTGGAGGGCCAGGTCGAAGTTGCGGAGATCTCCCTTGCGAATGCAGCGAGACAGGGGTAGGAAGAGCTTCTGCAGGCGGGGAAACGGTTCCAAGAGTTTGCTGCTTGGGAGCGTGTGTGTTGTGAGTAGGTGACAGGGGATAAGGTAGGTGAGAATTCGCCTATGCTGGGTATTAGTGGTTGACCGAGGTAGGATTCGGGATGACTTGCTCTTGGTTGCTTTTGGCGTCCTTGTGACACAAAGACCACGCCTCAGTAAGATGCTTTTCGGCCTGGTTATTGTAAGAAGCCGGCCCTCAAGTCGCTCATAAGTGTTTTACATACCTCCACATAGTTCTCTTCCAGGAAGAAAAGCACACCCTCGTAGAACTTGAAGGTTACCCTTTGTGACTTGGGGAAGGCCTCTAGGGGAGGCATGTCTCCGCGATTCGTCGACAATGCCTTGAGAATCGTCCGGCTAAGACTGGCAGAGTTAAGCTTGAAGTATGTCTTGAAGAGAAGATTGATAACGTAGTAAATGGCCCATTTTCTTGAGTCTTCTAGAGGAGCTCTGTGAATTGTTAACTCAGTTGTCGGTGTGCTGGCTTCGGCTCAAAATACCTGTCGCTCAAGCAGAGGGTAAAGATACGCTTTAGCTGCTGTTCACAGTCACGGAGTTGTTTCTGCTTCTCCAAGTCTGGATCGAAGTCGTCGCCCAACTCCATGGCGTTAGCGCCAGCGCCACTGTTGTTGCGTTCCTCATCTGAGCTGATGGCGAAAAGTCGCAAGTGCTTTCCAGCAGTGTAAAGACAAGGAATCGTCCAGGCTTCGAATCCGTGGTTTGTATAACCACGAATGAGGGCGGTAGTGAGCTCTTTCCAAGCCTCATACACCTTTGTCCATGACGATGACTGTAATCGGTGTTAGTCAGCTCCACGCCAGGAAGAATAAGCGGTATGCTATTGTATGCGAGCTCACCCTACCTCCAGCACTGGAGTCACCCTCTGCCTTAAGAAGCTCACCAATAGCCTTCCAATACGCCGAGTAGACTTCCACCCAGCCATTCGTCTCCTCGTAGTCAAGCTTGAACTTCTTAGGTCCTGATGACCGGCCGACAAGCATGTGTTTAACGTCGTTCTTCACTTCTTGGCTGTTGGTACTGAGCCAGATGGAACGGAGTTTGCCGGGTTGGTTGATGGGACTGAATGGTTGGAGAGTTTGTGCAAGAGCATATCCAGATCTGGCCTTGTAGGCATTGCGGAACTCCTCGAAAAGGCCCTCCATAGTAGTTGTCTCTCAGATGGTAAATTTGATGAGTTCTGAAGGAGGTAGACTGATTTTGATATGGCAGAGCGTCGTGAGGAAATGCGGCCAGCCAACGTCACTAATTTGGTAATTAGTCGCCAAGTTGGGATACCTCAAAAAGTCATGAGTTCCTGGCAAGAGTGCATCCGTCTCTTGGAATGAGTGACCCTCTGTGATCCCTCCAAGGTGTGTCGTCTCCTTCGTGAAGCCAGCTTGCGCTGTGATTGGCCAAAAGACAATATCCTTGACAGACCCAGAATATCCTTCCATCAGGCAGCAGAAAGTTGTTGCCCTCGATTTCAGGCATCTGTCGCAGTCCACTGGCATCAATTTTTGGTCGCAAAGCCACGCTCGGCTGCGCAGGGTGCAGTGGAGCCCCACCAGCCACAGCCCTTACCCCACAAGGCTTCGCCGCGCTTGTTGGCACACAACATTTCTCAAAGGCACAAATTCTTTTTTTTCCCTTTCCCTTTGAATCGGAACTGACCCTGCAGCAACCACCACGATATCGGATATTCGACCATCGGCCAGCTCTTCAAAGTAAGTCTCGATCACTTCATTACACAAGAGGAATAATTGTCTAACAGTCGCTCAGATGGGTAAGCACAATCTTTCTTAATTCTCCTCGTGGAACCTGGATACAAATGCGCGACCTCGACGAATCATGCGAATCCGACGACAAGAATCTCTACGTCAATGATGCGATGCACGCTCGGCAGCAGCGCTTTGAGGCTTTGACGGCCGTCATCATTCCGCGACGAGTCACTAGCGGATGTTATTGGGAGGGACTGGCTGTGCCATTCACCTCTGGAACGACTGTTGGACGTGGTACTCTTGGAACAGCCCAATGACACTCAGATGTTGAATGTCAATTTTCTTCTGTCTGGAAGTAATTGCAGAATCCAATGCGGTTGACTTTGACGGTTATCGACATTGCTAGCCTTGCACGACATTTGGCATTCTGGTCGATGAAAGCAAACGGATCCGGGTCTTCGCACAATGGGAATAGTTTTTTTGGCACCGAGACGTCACGTAGCTAACAGAATTCGCTCCAGGTCGTCTCACAGAATACGAGGTCATCGGGCGCCACCTGCCCACCGAGGCTAACCCGACTCCGGCCCTGTACCGCATGACCATCTTCGCTCCCAACGTCACGGTTGCGAAGTCCCGTTACTGGTACTTCTTGCGCGGCCTGAAGAAGGTCAAGAAGGCCACTGGTGAGATCGTCAGCGTCAAGGAGGTACGGTTATCCCAGATTCAAACAGAATATCCAACCGTGAATATCCAACTAACGAAACTTCATTCAGATCCACGAGAAGCACCCCCTCAAGGTCAAGAACTTCGGTATCTGGATCCGCTACGACTCCCGCTCCGGCACCCACAACATGTACAAGGAGTACCGTGAGATGTCCCGCACCGACGCTGTCGAGGCTCTCTACTCCGACATGGCCGCCCGCCACCGTGCCCGCTTCAGGTCCATCCACGTATGTCGCCGTCCCCCTCACGGTGTGAATGACCTAGACCCCGCTGACACGTGACCCCCAAACAGATCCTCAAGGTCGTTGAGCTCGAGAAGGCCGACGATGTCAAGCGCCCTTACATCAAGCAGCTCCTCACCAAGGGCCTCAGCTTCCCCCTCCCCCACCGCGTCTCCAAGATCAGCAACCAGAAGATCTTCAGCGCGAAGCGCCCCAGCACTTTCGCATAAATCAATGTGCGGCGTTGTTTCTCTGGTTTTCGACAAATGGAGGGGCGGGCTACTACTACTGGCAGGTGTTCACTAGGTCTCATGGAACTATCACATTTGCTTTCTGAAGGCGGGGGCCACAAAATGAAATGAAATTATTCAAACAATCAATTTCGAGCATGGGGCCGAAGTGGGAAAAGAAAAAAAGAGTCCTCTGATAGACCGGCGAAATGACGATACCTCAGTACGAAGCTCGTGAATCATGACTTTTTCGTTTTGTTTATGAGATAATGCCTTTCAGTAGACCGGCTCGGCCCAACGCAGGTCGGCTTGGCGTCTTTCTGGTACAAGTCGCCGGGCCCGCGTCCTCGTTGGTCGAGCCGGCAGTCAATTCAAGTCCGTGAACCAAGACATTGCCAGTTGAGAGACATTCTGTTCCAGCTCCCTCAAAGTTTGTGCCGGGCGAGCCACATATATATATATATATATCCTTACGTGACCCTAGCTAAAAAGTCTTCGATGCTTACAGGTCGGAGTTGGTGGCATGTTGGATTGGAAACCTTGTTCCTACATTCACTAAAGACTGAATGGCGTACACATATCATACACTCAAAGACCTTTCTCGACCCCAGCCAGCCCTTAGTCATCCCCAGGTGACCTCTCCGTGTTCGCATCGTCCACGAATTCGTTCCACGTACTCCAGTCCCACGAAAAGTCCCCGGCATCCATCTGCAGCCCGAAATGGTTGATGAGCTCCTGCGGATGCGCCCATAACGCCACGTTCTCGAGCATTGGCAAATCCTCCATCGGCGGCGGCGCTGACGGCGGCATGTCCACCATCATCGCGGCTCCTCCCACCCCGCCCCCGACGGCACCACCCACGCCGACCCCGACGCCGGTAGGCGCTACACTCGGCATCTGCTGACGCGTGGCGTTGGGCACAGGGACGTCTACATCTACATCGGCATCCCCGTCGACGTCAACATCCTCGTCTTCGTCCTCGTCCTCGTCCTCATCTTCCTGGGTCGCCGTCCCAACCTTGGACGTCACGCTCCCCTTCGCCGCAGCGGCGGCGGCAGCAGCAGCAGCAGCAGCAGAAGAAGAAGAAGTAGCACCACGCGTACCCTCCGAGCCACCAATCTTCATATTCCCCATCAACGCCTCCGCCCTCGCGGCTCTCGCCTTCCTCAACAACTTCTTAAGAGGCCTCCACAGCGTGCCCCTCCTCGTGTCCGCGATCCTCGCTCCCATCTCGAAAAAGGTCCTATCGACAACCTTCCACGCCCGCTCCACCAGCTCGCCCCTCGTCTGCACGCACAACTCCGCCAGGGCGACGGCGAGAGGGTGCCACTGCACGTAGCTGTCGATCCACCACCCGAACCGGTCGCGGTAGGTGCTCGTGCTGAACTCGACCAGTTCGATCGTGTTCACCGCCGTCCGCAGCATCGTTTCTCTCGCCACGCGCGGCTTCGCTGCTGCCGCGGCCGCGCGGGGAGTGAAGGGGTACTGTGCCGACAACCACATCTTGAGGATGATGATTCGCACGGTGATGGCGGCGTGGCAGGCTGGTAAATGACTTTCGCCCTGCTTCTCGTCGCCCCCGTCACCGCCCTCTTGCGAGGAGGGTAGGGGCGGAGGGGTTCCGAAGAGCGCCTCGAGACGCTGCGCGTGCGCCATGATTTCGTCCTCGGACGTCGTCGGCTCCGGCGCGCCGTCGTTGTCGAGAGCGAGCTGCGGGTGCCGCGGCCGGAGGTTCCCAAAGATACCGGACGACATGGACGTACACAGGCAGAATGTCATCTCGGTTGGGCCAGTTCTGTCTTCAAGCGGGGTGGTTGTTGACGGCCCGAAGTCGTCGTCGTCGAGGTTGAAGGGGAGGCGCGTATTGTACGACTGCCGAGGGATGGCGGCGTCCGTACCGCGGTCCTCGGCGGCGCGGATGTCGAGAACGACAATCATCCACCACAGACGGCGGCGAATCTCGGCCTCGAAGGGCGGGAGGGATGGGGCGACGCCGTCACGGTGGAGGTGCAGGGCCTGCGCGAGGCGCACGACGAGCGGGATGAGAGCCCAGGAGGCGCGGCTGGCGTTGTGGGAGCGGAGGAAACACTGTCGGATTGTCAGTCTGAATATCATAGTCCGCAGTCCAAACAAGATTTATGAAACTTACAACGTACAAAGTGAGCGCTTGAAGGGTTTTGATCTCAGTGCTGTTAAGGTAATCGGCTTTGTAAAGCGCACGCTCAACGCCCTCCCTGAACCGCTGCGCGAGGACGCTCCTCTCCTCGCCCAGGTTTTTCAAACATGCCTCGTGGGACAGGCTGGTGATGGCGCCAAAGTACATGGAAAAGAACAGGGCTTCGGTGGATTCGTCGATTCGCTTCGCAGGCGAATTCGCAAACGCCTCTACTTCGGCCGACGTCGTGGGCCGGTGCAGGACTTTGAATGCCGGGTCGACGTTGTCGAAAAAGACACGGCAGAGGTAGAGAATGTGCTCTGGCGAGGGGTGCCGCAAGCTTTCGGCGCCGGAAGCCGACCCGCCGCCGCTGCTCGAGATCAGGCCCGACAGCGCCGGTGGTGTGAGGGCTTTATTGGCGAAGGACTCGGGACTTGTCATCGGCAGATCGTCATCCGATGACTCGTCGCCGTCAGACGGCTGGTCCAGCGCCTGCCTCATGCCCTCGACCTCCTGGCAGAGATTCTCCCAGAACTCGGCACTCATAAGATTGGCCGGCGGGGCGGGTTGGTCCCACCCCGGCGCGGGAGACGGTTCTGACTCGCTCACAGCCGTGAAATCGCTTTTCCCACGGGCGGCCGACACTTGAGCGGCGGTGGTGGCGGCAGCAGCAGCAGCAGCAGCAGTACCAACACCTCCTCCTGGCGTGGTCGCTGTTACTTTGGCCCCGCCATCGAGGTTCCCCGAGTCGACTTTGCTGACAATACTCTCCAGGCGGGTGATGCGGTTGAGAAGCTCGCTCTGGCGGCCATGGCGCGGTTTACGGTTCCGCTTACGCGAGGGGAACACGCAGTCCAGGTCGGAGCGTTCGCACTGCGTGCACCGCGGCTGATTTTTGTCACACTTGATCTTGCGGTGTCGACAGTTTGCGCAGCTGAGCGGTTGCTTGCCGCCGCCCTGCTCGGCTTGTTGTAATTGCCGGGCGGCCACGGTCGCCCCTGGTGCCGGGGGTGTCATCGCTTGTGTGTTTTGTGTGTCTATGCGTGTTTGTGTGTGTGTTGAGCTACTGTTGTTGGGCTTTCACGGCGGGTTGCTGACGTAGGTGATTTGTGTCGTTAGTCAGTCAGGTCGTAGTGAGTGAAAGAGACGACTGCATGTAGGCCCAGCTGGGGTCGGCCCAAGGCATCGAGAAATGCAAAAGGCTAATATGATGCGAAAATCAAGAAGGCAAAAGCTATTGGGCAGAAGCAATCCCGGAACACCAAAAATCCAGAGTGTCTCTCGCAATCAGGGCTTCCTTGGCTTCGTTGATTGGGAAAGGCGAGCTAACGCTCGTTTGTGCCCTGAAGGAATTGGGGGGGTTTCTTGTCAGAGCGACAAAATTCCATGGGACGGCCGAGATCCCCACTTTGAGCCGGGTCGGGAAAGGTTGAAGATCTGGTTCGGAGGCCCGGTATCAAGCCTTTCAACAATGCTTGCCAAGGACCGTATTTGCAATACCCCTTGCTCCGGGGATGAGTGAGCGGTGCAGGAAGGATCCGGCCGGCTAAGCTGAGCTGAGCTCCTGAGGCCGAATAGATAGGCTCGACGGGTGACAGAGAAAGGAGAAAAGTCGGGTTGAACAGTCATCAACTGGTGGTCCAAGTCACATTGCGGAGCTTTGCCCACCCCCGTTTCATAGCCATAGTGGACGCTAGTGCTAAACGCGATAACGCCGAAGCCCTCACTTAGTCCTCAAAGAGGTTTGGCTGGCTGAGATGACTCAAGCCCAGCTAACTATAAATTTTCTTCAACCTGTTTGGGAAAGAATTGAAAAAGAAAGATAACTTGGTGTGAAAACTCATTAAGCTATTCACTTGAATAGCCTGGTTCTGTATATTCGAACTTGGGCGGAAGAAAACCTACTCGAAAAACGACCATTTGAAAAAAGAATAAAAGAAAAACAAAAAGAACAAAAAGCGAAAAGTCAGCTACACATCATGGATATCACACCTCTAGACTTTGTCAAGGTCAAAACGACGTTGCCAACTACACCTCTCCCACCACACGCCTCGCGGCAACACGTCGTCACCGAGCGTCTCATTCTGAGGCCCATTTCCTCGGATGATCTGCAGGCGTTGCATGTCCTGCGCACGCAGCCAGAGGTCATGAAGTGGTCTGCGGTAGGGCGCATCGATGCGGATCTAGACGAGACCCGGGAAAAGCTAGCGCAGAACCTACCTCCCAATGACGCCAGCAACTACGATTTCTCAATCTGCCTGCGGTCCACGGGCCAGTGGATTGGTATCGGCGGCTGCAAAAAGTCCACCGGCGGCGAGTTGGGTTGGCCAGAGCTCGGGTACATGTTCCAGAAGGAGTTCTGGGGCAATGGATACGCGACTGAGTTTGTGCAGGGCTTCCTCAGCGCTTGGTGGTCTCTACCTCGCTCGGAATGCGAAATCAGCGTCGAAAGGGCCTCCGTTCGCGGCCTCGAGAGCTTGCAGGAGGGCGAGTTGGCGGAGGAGATACTTAACGCTGTGGTAGCGTCGGATAACCCCGCCAGCCTGAGGATCATGGAGAAGTGGGGGTTCGAGAAGTTCAAGATGTGGAAGGACAAGAACGAACATGATCAAACGGAGATCACACTCATTGGATTCTGTATCAGTCGACCAACACAGTAGGCGGTACGGTGTTTATGACGTTGAGGGGGGTGAAGGGGGGAGGCCACCACGCCCATCTCAACTTGTGGACCGCGAGTGGTCCAAACCAACAGGACTTTTCGTCATCAGGACAACGAACCCGGGGATTTTGACGACCTGCTGCCGACTAAGGAATTCTGGTGTGATGGTAGATAGCCGCGTGGCCAGCCTTTTTAACTTGTCTTTCGAACAAGGGTCAGTCCGGCGGCAGGCGGCAGACGCCAGACGGGAGCAGCGAGAATTGAAGGAATGGTTCGGACATTTCTTGTTGCCCGCGATTATGCCGACTCAAGGTCGGCGACAATAGTCGCCGTAGGTTCCACACAGGATTCTGTATATAACAAGCAACGTTGGAACGACTTCCCCCAGGTCTCTGTATAGTTTGAACGTAAAGCTGTTGGTTATTCAATCGCATACCATTTCACTTCTTGTTAAAAGTCTCATCGCAACAATCATCTCATATTCAGCCAAGGCCAACCCAACTCAGCCACTCGGCAGCCACACACACACACTGAATCAACATGTCGCAACTCGGACTGGCTAACAACATCGCGACTGCGACTGGCATCCTTGGGTGCGCTTGGTGGGCCGGTAAGTTTGTCCCGTCCCCCTCCAGGCATTTGGGCGCGTGTCATTCAGCGCTACGTCAGTCACTAACTCTTAGACCAGGCATGGGGCAGTCGTTGTCCATCTTCAGCGTCTCCGCCGCCCTAGGAACCAACGCGGAGCCGATCTATGCATTGAAGTTGTGGCAAAACATCTTCCTGCGCGGCAAGTCGTTGGGGCCAAAGGTAGCTGTCGTCACCTTCTTGTCGTTTGCGTACTCGGCGTATGGACGTTACTGCCATGGTGTCGCGTGGAAGCCGTTCGTGGCCGCCGGGGCACTAAGTCTCGCCATCGTTCCCTACACTGGTGTCTTCATGTCGGCAACCAACTCGCAGCTTATGGCTGGTGCGCAGGGTGTCACGACGCTGGGATGGTCTGAGGCCAGAGAGCTGCTCACGAAGTGGCAGACGCTCAACTTTGTGAGGAATTTCTTCTCCATTGCCGGGGCTGCCATCGGCTTTTGGTATACGGCGTTCCAATGAAAGGGCCGAGCGAATGGGATTCTTGCCATGTACAAATATCGATCGTCATGTGTAATAATAGACAAGGGGGCTGAAGTGATGGTACGCGACAGATTTCATGTACGACAAAGATAGTTCTAGAAAAAAGTTGCTCGCCTGGCGGGTTGGTTGGGGAAGGACCCACGTATCCGTCCAGGGTTCATTTTTGGCTTTCAAAGTACCATAGAGTCGGGAATTGATAGGGTTGGTACATGGTGGGTGCAATGCACAAAACCAAGCCCCTTGTAAGCCTCGTTCGTCAACTCTTGATCGCCAACCTACTCACCGCTAGAACTGTATGCTTCGAAAGCTTGGCTGCGACCGCATCACACACAGGTGCCGCATCCATTTAGGGACGAGATGAGGCATACCGGGGTTGTACTGACAGTCAACACGTTATAGCGGTTTGCTATTCAGCAAGGATGTCCGATGCGCCGGCGCGGAGCAGCAACCGGACGTCAGGCGCATGCTGGGAGAGTTACGAAAAGATTGGGTGAAAATTGAGGTGCGTGCTCATGTAAAAAGTAAGTAACAAGTAAAAATTAGCCATGGTGATGCTGTCTTAGGGTTGATTGCGTGGTGGGTGCTATGGTTCACTTGGGCCTCACGCGTGCTATAATAGTCTTGGTTAAAGGGCGGGGAAAAAAAGAGAGTAGGAGATGGGCAGAGTTTACCAGTGCCACGGGGTGTGGCTGGCTCCTCATGGCTCCCAGCCTATCGGCCTGGTCGGGCTGCCTCTGTTAGCTTGTTGTTGTGGAAGGCCTTCATGGACTACACTAATACTTTGGTAGCTGGGTAGTCTGGCGGCTGAGCGGCTACCAGCCCCCACAACAAGGCACATCGCAGCAGATGGTCTCCAGCGGATGGGTTCACCTGGGCTGGGCTTCCAGGAGGCATCCCGGGGAGCCGGCTGGGCTGGGCATGCCTCGCCTTCGACGGACATCGCTGGGGTCTTTTTGTCAGTCTAAACTGTAGTAGTAAGTCGATTGTACTATGTATGTGGTCTTCGTAGTATGTCACGAAGTAATACCCAGGACAGTCTAGCACCATCTGTACCCAATTTCCCCGTCCAGGTGTCTGCATCTGTCTCTCTTTCTCTCTTTTCGTCTATCGGCCCCCGATCATTATCATGAAATTTTTGGGGCCAGGACCAGGGAAGCTGCGCCAGGATGCACGTGTCAGCCCAATAGCCAAACGCTTCCCTGTTTGATCGCTATTCTTACCTACCACTGCCCTGTCCAGCCTGACTGCCTAATGTCCTGCCTGCCCTGGCTTGCCTTGTCCCCTCTTTCTTTCTCTCTCTCACCGTTGCTCATCCTGGGTCTACTATTAACACTACGTATCTGCCTGGCCGGGGGGGCCTTGATGGAAATTGCAATTATACCTCACCCCCTTCGTTGGTACTCATTTTGAACGGGTAGCTTAGAGAGAGCCAGAGAAATCCATCGTGCGCATTTTGGTCCCCTCCAACCCAAACTCGACGTGCAGGTACCCTATCCACCAGCCGTTGCAGTCCGAGTACTTTAGTTACATCATCAGCTCTCACCCGCCCAAATCCCGCCAACAACACTACCTCTTTTCTCTTCTTTACACCTCTCCTTCGTCACTCTCACACCCTCCGGCCATATCGCATCCGCAGTCTATTCCCCGGCGCCGTTTTCGTCTCTCGTCTCGCATGCGCATACTGCCGGCGTCGTGCGTCTACCACTCACGTATTTGACTCACAGTCGCAGCTTGGCTTCAGCCTGCTTCTGCCCTTACATCTCTCGTATGACGATGTTATTGCGGCCCGCACCCCAGTCGATACCCTAGTTTATTAGTAGATGTTGATACCCTCGGCCTCCTATCGCGTTTCAACGCTAGCCTCCTCTTACTTTTCTCTTTTCCTACTCAACAGCTCGTCTTACTTGAACGCCACGCTTCTCTTCGTCTCTTTCTTGTATCAACGCATGCCATTGTCTTGCCGCGCCAAACGCTGTTGCCGATCCGAGCCTTGACCAGCATAAGCCACGACCGTTATATTTAGCTGTCGCATCCAATCTCCACACTATTTCACCCCGGACTTGCTACCCACGAAACATTCCGTTAATGTAGAGAGTTCGGCCCCGAATGGCGACGGCGACCGCAGAGCCCAACTCGAAAGAGTCCACCGCTCAATCTACCGATCCAAAAACTCCGAGCTACTATGGTTATCTGATCAACCCGGACAAGACTCCGACACCCACTCTCGATGCGTTGCTGCGCTCTATCGCACGGTACATTGTACGTCCCCATTTTCCATCCTTGCCTCACGTCTCTTACCCCCCACCTCGCCTTTCTGGCCCATTACTGACGGTACCCCGCCAACCTCAAGACCACAGACATCGGCGACAAAAATGTCCAACTTTTGACTCCCCAAAAGCTTGCTGCCTTTTACAAGGCTGTTGGTGGAAACTATGACTGTAAGGACACGAACTCCCTTCCGTCTCCATGTTTGCAAGCACACCATGCTGACCCGCCGCTATCGTAGCGCTCTTCATCGAAATGCTCTACCCCGCCATATCTTACATATGGCAGGTTACCGGTTGTCAGCATTCTCTGCAACCTTCCGAGAACGATTTCGAAGCGCCTTCAGTTCCGGCTTTGACACTGCGCGGATTTGTACGGTGGGAATCAATCGAGATCTTGCTCTGCCCGGAAGAGCATGTCCCCTTCATTCAGCACGCCGTGAAGAACTGGAACCTGAAGCATCCAGAAACGAATGAGCCTTTCCCTCCAAACCTACCAGCCGATGCGTTCCCCGTCAAACCCGACCCGGTTATTGAGAAGTGGCACAAGGAATGCGCTGAGAAACTAAGAAAGGCTGCAGCTCCTAAAGACGACCAAACATCACCGAAAACTACCTCCGCGCCGCCTCCCAACTGGCCACCAGAAAGAGACGAGCCGAGGGTCAAGGCCGCTTACGCCCACGTTCGCAACCCCTACCCCAAGCCATCACCCCCTCCTCGTGGGCCACAAGCCGACTACTTCGCTCCGCCAACCCGCCCGGTAGCTTATAGCCATGTACCGGGACATGCCGGGCGTTATCCCCCTTCTCGCTTGAACATCCCTCCTCGAAGTCCCGAGCAAGAGCGATATCGGGGTACAAATTCTCCAGATGACCGCCGGCGACGGAGCTTCTCCGACTACCCATCACCCTCTCAAGATCCCATGTATGCCTCGGAACACTTGCATCCCAACAGACCGGACATGCCCCCTCGTAGGCACAGCCAGCCTCGTCACTACTCGTCGTCTTCAACATCTGATTCCGAGGAAGACATGAGCCCACGATCCAAGCGCAGGCCACATACACACCACTCCAACGAGCCACCGCCACCACCACCACCACCACCAGGCTTCAGGCGCATGGCCCCTCCGGCACCCCCTTCGTCATCTGTGCCAGTCCCACCTTCTGGGGCCCGCTTGCACCGCTCCGAGCTGAGACCTGATGACCCGCGTCGACGTAGCATTCCGATTGTTGAAAAGATTAGCGAGAAGGTTGCGTCCATCCTTCCCACCAGTCGGTCGCCAGACCGTCACCGGAGCACCTCTGGCCGCCGCAGTGATCCGCCATCACGCCGTAGCCGTGAGCATCTGCCTGGCTCTAAGCTGAATCGTAGCTGGCCAGAGATTGCTCCAGGTGACTCGGATGATTCTGACTCCGAGGACGAGCGTCGACGTCACCATCGAAGCCGCGCACGCAGAGAAATCGAAGAAAGGGAGCAGAGAGAACGAGAAAGAGAAAGGGCGCGCGAGAGGGACCGCGGCAGAGATCGGGACCGGAGACGCGACAGAGAAAGAGAGAGGGGCTACGAACGCGACAGAGATCGCGAAAGAGACCGTGTGGTAGACTGGGAGAGGGATGACGACCGAGAGGCCCGCAAGCAACGGGAAAGGCAGCACCTTGCGCGGCCCGAGGCCCACCGCCGGACCAGCAGCCACGCTGACGTGGATCGTATGCGGGAACGAGGCGAGCCGCCATGGGATCCTCGCGAGCGTGAAATGAGAGACGAGAGAAAGAGGTGGAAAGAAGCACCGCGCGGCGCGAGCCCAACGATCTCTGGTGTTGGGGGACGTCAATACCCAACCAAACAGGCTTGGGACTAATTTTATCATGAGAGGCGGCGCATACAGTTTTAACAGTGATATTTTGAGCGTTTTAGGTGGGCACGGATGTGGATTTGGATTTCGGGCTATCGCCGCATCATCATGATGATTTTCACGTTGCAACATTTGTTTACATCCTCATCTCATTCTGGACTGAAAGTCAGGTGAGCGCACATAGGATAATGAGACATGACACTACATAGGATTTAAATATCTCGCATCAATCACAGCCAGAAAGGGATAACCCTGCTCTGTATGTACAAAAGCCTGGTATTCAAAATATCACCGAAAGTGACGCAGTCATCCTATCTGAGAAGCATCAAGTTGCCTCACACAACCTCGAATTGATTACCATCACCAGACAAGTTTTCTGGCGCAGCTATTCAGGGAATACTGTGCCTTGTTTCTCTCGTGGTGCCAATTTATCGAAGGCCCTTTGCTGCCGTACGACCTCGCCAAAATCCTCGTTGTCAAATCAATGTATGTTTGTCGCTGGTCTCATCCTCGACCTGAACACCATCTTCAACCCTCCTGATTATTCCTGGGCCCATTGTGCTGGTGATCTGGCAAGGTCAGATTCACTCTTTCTTGCACCCATAATGCAAAGTTGGCGGTTCTCGCTTGTGACGAAGCCAGCTCCCACTTCAGAATTTGCGCTTCTGATCTGCTTCATCGCTAGCCAGGCCGCTTAAATCGAAGCAGTATTCATAATATCGTCCTCAGGTGTAGGGGTAGCACCATCAGAGCCATGTTGGTAACTGTCTGAGTTCTCATCGCCATCTTCAATCTCACTCCCGCTGCCACTCTCACTCTCTTCAGCGGACGATTCGCTGTCTGTAACTGTCACGTACTCCAACTCCGACCCTACGAACTCGTCGCTCGTGTCGAAGAGGGTAGAGTTTACGACCTTGAGGAAGTCGTCACAAAGACGCGCACGCACCATCTTCTCCTCGAGGAATTCTATGGCATTTGCATCATGGTGAAGTCCCGCTATTGACTCTCCGTCTTTGGAGTGTATTTCCTCACGTCCCTCCTTGTCGACAGGCTTGCGCTCGATCTCGCCCATAAACCGCTTCTTATCAGGCCCACCCCGCTCGTTGGCCTTTTTGCGCTTGTCACCAGTCTTTTCCTCGGTCTCTTCTTGCTCTTCGCAATCTTCAAACTGGTTGTCGGAACTGATAGCATGTGTTTGATGGTGAGGCAGAGCAGGTGCCCCTTCTCGCAGATACGAGATGTGTCTGTGGTAGCGGCACTCTTGCCCTTTCTTGGTGATGATGCTGATTTTATCGTAGGTTGCGCTTCCGCAAGAAATTGATGTTGGACCATCTTCGCATTCGTGAAGTGCGTTGAAGAGTTGGCAGCCGCATGTGCTGAAGTAGATGTAGATTCGTTGGCACATTTCTGCGATTCGTTTTGTACGTTGCACGTGTTATCGATGATATAATTTCTGTTGATGGAAAGCCTCCCGGGTGCTGGTCATGTGGCGGTTTGGTTGGAAGGTGTTTTAAGGCAGTACCTACGGTTAGAATGATGTTTGTCTTGCAAGATCAGGTCATAGCCTGGTGGTCAGCAAGAAAGATTTAAATGGAAGCAGTTGGTAGACCTCGAAATACCCTGCTTTTCTGTCTCGGTCTGAAGGAGTTGGGATAAAGTGGGAAGAACAACCTGGACTGTTGCTGGATGGGTGATGTTGATAAGCCATAGGCTGCAGGAACGCGGACTCAAGACTCAGAAGTGAAATAGGCCAAGGGCCATAATACTCTGGATCTGGGAAAGCTACCGTTTCCGTACTGGGAATAAATCAGTTTCCTGCTCCTTGCTTCCTTTAATCTATGCGCTATATGCAGACAACATCGATTCATGGAAAGTATTGCCTATTCACCATTGCATTGTAGACACTTATTTATTAGTTATGGTGTGTCATTTGGAGTTTCCCATGCAATATCCTGGGACCAGAAAGGCAGCAACCAGGCTAAAACGTGGGGGCTGATTACAAGCATAGAAGGAGATGTATCGAAATGACAATAAGTAAGTATTTTCAAGGAGTTTCCAATAGACACAACACATAAGACAAATCATTGGCGGTCTCTGTTGGTGTTCGCCATCAAAATTAGGAAGAAAGCAGCTGTTTTAAAGTACTCTAAATACGCAACGATTGGTGTCAAATCCCAAGAGTGGTAATGAACCTAGCTATGCACAACGCTCACTCGTGGCCCATACTTTCTTATACGCCATGCAAACCCCCCGTGTTCAGTATCGCCGGCATTACTCTCCCCCCCTTTCCACATCCCTCTGGTTACCTGCCTTTTCTGTGGAGCTTTCATCACTCACAACGAGCCTCTGTTCCGTAACATGCTCCTGCTCAAGGCTGTACCTCTTGACGGTTGCGCTCACCAGCATGCAGAACGCAGAAAACGCAATGAGGGTAATCCAAACCGCTCTTAGCGCGTCGCAATACGCCTCTACCAGTTCTATGCGCGTGGAACTCATCGGCATATACTTAATGATCTCCACTACGATAGTCGCATCGCGTGAGTACTCATCGGCGAGGTGCGCTAGGCTCGGGATGTCTGCCAGTCTCTCGCGGAACGCATTCTGAAAAATGACTCCCGATACTGCCACGCCGATGGATTGGCCAAAGGTCCTAAGGAACGAGTAGAATGCCACGGCCTGTCCGTTGAGAGCCGGCTCACATGCCGCCTGAATCGAGAGTGCCATGGCCGGGAAGAGCATGCCCGTTCCCAGGCCAATGGGAATGTTGAGCCAGATCCATGCAGGAATGGTGGTCTCTGGTCGCATGAGGCAGAGCAGTCCAGCGCCAAGTGTGGTAATGATCCAGCCTGCCCAGATGGACCAGCGATATCTTCCCGTGGTGCCGGCAATGATGCCGACGGCCATGGCGGCGGGGGCGACAGTTAGGGTCTCGGGAAGGGCGGCGACGGCAGAGATGACAACAGAGTAGGACTTGACCGCTTGGTAGTAAAAGACTACACGCTGTGTCAGACAACAACCAACAAATCATGCAGGGAAAGAGGCTCACCAAGGAAGTAAATAAGGGTCCAAAGAATCATGCCATGGAAAACTGTCATGATGTAGTTGGCGATCATAGTCCAGTTGTTGAAAATACCTTTGTTAATGATGGGTTCTTTCGCTAGCTTTAGCTCCCAGTAGCCGAAAACCACGAGGATGACGACGCCCAAGATTAACGGTAGCAACGATCTGAATGAATTCCATTCATACATAACGCCGCCGGTTGAGATTCCAAATAGGAAACTTGTCGAGCCTGCCGTGAAAAGAAAACTGCCCAACCAGTCGAACCGACCGAGCTTGCCCATGAAATCACCCGGTATCTTGGTTTGCTTCAGGAAGAAAAAGACCATGACGACGCCCAACACTATGATTGGGACATTAATCCAGAAGATCCATCTCCAACTGACGTTCTGGGCAAAGCCAGCGCCGATTAGGGGCCCTGTGACGCTGCCGACGGACCAGATGGCCGAGAGCATTGAGAACCACTGTCCTCGTACAGCCAGTGGCACGAGGTCTGTGACGATGACCTCGCTGAGCGCGAGAATACCTCCACCACCTACGCCCTGGATGGTGCGTCCGACAATGACGATAGTGAAGTCATTGGCAACAGCACCGACTATTGAGCCCACGGCGAAGAGAAGTGAAGCAACATAGACCATGTATTTCCGCCCAAATATGATGCTCAACCCCGCAATCGTTGGTTGGAGAACGGTACTTGCGAGCAGAAAGCTGGTGCCGGACCAGAAGGCTTCGAGGGCCGTACCGCCCAACTGAGTACTCATTGTCGGGAGGGCGACGGAGAGAGTTGTCGCATCTATTGCAACTGCTAGGACAACAGTGCAGAGGGCACCGAAGGCGAGGAGGAACTCCCGCGAAGGTTTGAAAACGACTTTGCCATCGTTGTCAACGCGAGTAGCTTGCTTTTCGAGGGCCAGCGTTGGTGGTGGACTGGATTCTGTGGAAGACATTGGGAACGTGTTTGCTCGCCAAAAGGTAAAAGAAAGGGGCAATAATGGGCCGGGAGAATAGCGACTATTCAAGACCTTGAGTGTCGATCTAGAAGGCGTCTTGATGATGTACTACATCTAAATTCAGTGAATAAATGATAGGGGATGTACGACTCTTATATCTAAGTTTGGAAATACTGAAGCGTGGTGGAGGGATTACCACACGTTCCATGACACCCTTGGTAAGCCAACTGCCAGTCAGTGGTTCTTCGGAGGTGTACTAAACCAAAGGAGATAGGGCTAGGATCACCAGGTAAGCAAAAGCGGATCACTCCCTCTAGCTGTGAATCACTCTCGTCACTTTTCCTACCCCCTGAGCAAGCATCACTCCGCAGGGTTGCTTGTACGCGCGTGATGTGAGAGTGCGTAGGTCGGTTTAAGGACGGAGCTTACACCCGGAGATGAGATAAACCGACCCCAAGTAGCGGCCTCCTGTGGGTTGTCGTGCTCATCAATCAGGCTCCAATGGAACCGGGCGGGCGAATTGTTCCGCCGAATGGGTGCCGGACTAAGACTTCCGACAGCTCGGGCTATTGTGGGGCCAAACCGGCCACAGGCCTCTGTCAACACGCTCCGTACGCCGGGCTAACTGCATCGGCTTAGGGGGCTGCCTCATTCATGGCCGAGGGCCTGCGCATTTCAGTGTATACCATATGAAGTAAATTCTTTAGATGTTTTGGTCCGTCCGGTTTGTTGGCATTCTTCACAGGGAAAAATTAAACCGTAGCACGAAGGATTCGTAGTCATCTTGCGATTACTGCCGGTCACCGGTAATCTGCAGGCCGCACTCGCTCTCGTCTAATCCGCCCTGGCCGCCCCACCAGAGTCCTTTGACCTGGCGCAGTGACTTCATTGGTCGCTTTTTCTTTTCCATGCCAATGCTGCGTGATGGAACTGGCTTTACTAGTTAGAGTGAGATAATTTATCTGGCATTCAGTGCATCCTGAACAAGTGCCTAAATCAAGGCCTAAGACTTTTCAGTGAACCGCAAATACTAAAGCGTCCAATCTATTCGCAGTCTTAATGCGGTTGAAAGCCATATTATTTGATCCAGGTCGTCAACTATCTTGAGTTTTCCGCTAAATTTGCCTACACTCTGGTTATTGACAAAAGTATGTGAGAAGCTGAATACCTTCGGCTAAAGAACTCCTTACGGATATTCAGACGTAAAGAGTATCATCAAGAGGTCAATTTCCAGCTATGCTGTGCAATATGGGAGACTGTTGAAGTTTATCTTGTAGAGACTTTACAAGTAACCAGGCCTATTTCACCAGAAGGTTTAGCAAACCTTAATCAAACCATCACCGCCTGTGACTCGATCCACCGTCCAAGGGCTTAAAACCATGGTTAAAGTCCGTTGTCGTTCTTTACCATTGGCTGATCTGCCAAGTGCTTTAACCTATGAACAGGGATTGCGTTCAATAAAAAGTCAACGATGCAGAGGAAGTGCAGAAAAGAGCAGTGCGACTAAGTGTAGTATAGCAAACCGTACACCACGTATTGCAGAATCTTCAAGTGATCAAGACAGGGATCTTCCTTGTTACGCCAGAGCCACTCAGGCGTACGATGTCGGGCACGACATGATTGATTCAGAGCTCCGATGGAGGTCTTCCAAGTGGTTGAAGTTACGCGACTGATTTCCTGGCGTGCAGCAGAGCTTGTTGGGGCCAAAAATTAGCTTGATGAGAACTGGAAGACGACAGGTATTGAAAGATAAACAGGGCTAGATAGCCTCAAGCAAGCAGTGGCCAACAATATCCTGCTACCGACAAATTCTAGCCCCTGGTTGTCTGAGTTGCAATGGAACGGACCGAGCTAGTAAATCGGGGTGAGCAATGAACAGTGGCCATGATAATTGAACGTCAAACTCGTCACAATCTTCTCTCCAAACGAAGACTCCTCCAGCCTGAAATGTCGTGATAAATCCATTGTCTGACTGATTCTCTTGTGGTACGAAACAGCCCCAAAGAGCATATGGTGTATTGTACGAGCAACTTGAACAACCTACCGTTGCTTTGACCGACTAACACGCCAACAGGACTAGCGCGGCTTTCGTTGCATTGCTGTCTTGTTTCGCAGCATAGCAGACTCGTTGACAGGCCTTGATGGTTGCGTGGTACGTCGCACTGGGTCAGTATGGGTCCTTTTAAAATTGTAGGTCTGACGTTCGTAATACCTATCCCTCATCAGCTGACCGTCTTGGAAAACTGAGTGGCGAAAGGCTGTGAGAAATCGAGCCCCCTATGTGCCATAGCACTTTGATGCTTTACTGGCTTAGGGACGTGCAAACTCAAGCATGCCAGTGATCCTTTTTGGCGCTACGTTGACCCTGGCGGGTAATGTGTGATTAGTAGTCGCATACTGCGTTAAGAACACTGTTGAAACTCCCGTGTCTGGACGAACTTTGGATTATGTATCAGGTTGGGTCGTCTAGCTATGCCATTTGTGTCCCTGCGCTTCTTCCTTTAACACAATGACCTGAGGTTTTTGAGCGTAGAAAATGTTACATTGGGTCTACTGGCCGTGGCCGAACCAGTTGTGACGTATGCTAGCTATTCATTGCTGGTATTTATTCGAAAAATTTAACGGTTGAATTTTTGATAGATTGAACGTAGCCGAGAGCACGCAAACTGTTTACAGGTTAGACGGCTGGGTCAAGCTACAGATAATAGGATGAAGCGAGCTGACAGCCATCACGGAGGGTTTATCAGTAGATCAGCTGTTCAAGTCAATTAGGTGGGGGGAAGGATGGGGCAGTCCGAAGGTACGTTGAAGGATTCCGTGAGGTTTTGAAAGTGTCATCAGATAGACGAACATCTGTGAGGTCGACAACAAAATTAAACTCGCAGCTGTCTTACCGAAATCGAAAAGTGGACCCTGTGATGACCCACACCCAAAATGACAGCAAATAAATGATTCGTTCTCGGCTAGCGCGGATAAGGTCAGCAAGATGTTTAAATTCCCCTTGTCTTCTAAGTAATAAGTTATGCCAGATTTAACCTCACGGGAGACTGGGCATCATGCTTCCACCGTCTCACAAACATCATATGCCATAGGTTTGACTTGTTTCTCAGCGGAATTCCATCCTTGTCAACAAACAGTTGTACTCACCGACCAGTATCCAGAATACGTAGTGGACACCAGGCAACTCGTGCACTCAGCTTTACCATTTTCGACATGGAACAGGTTGCAGGCTGTTGTATGGACGACAGAGACTGGTATAAATTATGTAAGGCACTACTGGCGACTAGAGTTCCTGATTGAGAAGTATTTGATCGAATGAAACAATCCCATCGGCCTCGATGACGAATGAACGGAGTGACTCCACACCGTTTGGTGTCGCATGTGTGTGGGCAAGCATCCGACTCCCAGACCGTTGGAACCCCCAGTTGGCAGTAGACTTAAGTATACCATCTTCGCCAGAATGACATGCTCAGCCCCGCGGTATATTGGCCTGCCGCCAACATCATGCTGGCGTGTTCCCTTCCCAACTCCTGTATCCATGCCGGAGCCGGCCTGACTCGGAACCGAATACCGCGGTCAGATCATGTCTGTTCCCCTCACAAGACACAATCTTTGCCAGCCGTTTGTCTGCCTTCGTTCCGCGGTCAGACTTTGAGGACCCTTTGATCGCAGTCAACAGTGTTTGGACGTTTGGGTCAGGAAGGTATATGGCAAACTCCTAGTGGCTAGACACACAAATCTTTGGATAGAAACTAGCGAACGAGGACTTCGGAGTCACCAACATGGTGGCACGCACATACACACACGCAAGGCTGACACCTGTCTGAGGTGCCATCCTTCTACCGGCTTGCCGAAGAGCCGGGTTGTTCCCTCAATGGCCCACACCAGCATCCTGTCATTCGTTGATCTCTCGTGGTATACTTCATTTGCCGTCTCAAACAATCTGCGCACGAGCCGACGGGGCCACCCTTGATCGACGGAGTCCGCGCATCACCAGGGCTTAGCGGCGCATGAAACAAACCTTCGGGAAGAACAGACAAATTTCCGATCTGCCCAGTCCTAGGCAACCAGAGATGGCCTTCCACCAACGGCGCGATCTCGTTTGATCGTTTGAACTCGTGGCATTCGCCAACGCGTCAAGCCGAGGCCGTAGAGTTTCGCAGAGCGTCCCATCGGTGATCCAGCCATTCCGTTGCTTCTGTTGACCAGGCATTAGGCTGGTAATCAACAGCCCTAGACGTTGGAACGCCTACAGTTCATCGCTATGACATAGTCTCTCCCGCTTTTTCCTTTGACCCTTGCCACTTAGGCTTAAACCGAAAAAAGAACTGCCTCGGAACCTGTGTGCCTGGGACTGACAGGAAGGAAACTTGTGAAAAAGAGCTTGGCCCCTCTCCGCTCCTAGTCTTCGTCCCTACAACTGCCTCGAGCAAACAGGATCGTTGTATATGCCCAGAAACACACTGTCACAGCCATGGTTAATACGGGGAAACCATCTGGAGGCTGCAAGCTGTGCAGAGCTAGGAGGATCAAGTGTGACGAGGCCAAGCCATTTTGCATGAGATGCAAGAAATCCAGACGCCAGTGCCCGGGCTACCGCGATCCTTTTGAAGCCAACATCCGCGACGAGACCGAGGCTACGATTAAGAGATTTAAGAAGGCACGTGGCGAAGATAGTTCCGAGGACGAAAGCAGAGGCATATCGCCGGTTTGCAACAAGCAGTGCTTGACATCAGTAGCCGGCCCCAAGTACAAAACTTTTGACTACTCGAATCCCGCTGCCTTATCCTTCCGCAAGGACGATGACTCTACCGAGGAAGACGAAGGCATTCCGGCATCCCTTTTCGACTCCCTGGGTGAGCAGGCTTCCTGCTACTTCCTGTCCGAGTTCATCATTGTTCCGGTCACGCCTACAGCCAGAGGCTACTACCGCTTCCTACCGAGGTTCTTGAGCCGGCCGAATGTTTCCAAGTGCCTCTCACAAGCCTACAAGGCCGTCTCGCTGGCTGCACTGGCGGCTCGCCGTAGCGTCAACGCGAACTCTGCTCTGTTTCATGCGCAAAACCACTACATGAGGGCTGTACGTGCGGTCAACAAGGCCATCATGGATCCGGAGGAGGTGAAGAACGACCAGACACTTGGTGCGGTGCTGATGCTGGCCTTTTACGAAGTAAGTTGCCTCCAAACATTATTAGAAAAGGGCAAAGAGACCAACACTGCTTTAGATCCTCACCTCGTCCCGCGACTCCATTGCAGAGTATACGAACCACATGAAGGGCGCAGCCATCATTGTCAAGCTCAGAGGGCAAAAGGGGCTTGAGACCCCCGAGGGCGAAGAGATGTTTGCCATCACCAGAAACCAGTGCCTTTCCATCCACTGCCTTCCCAACTCCCCCGAGGTAGCCGAGTTCACCTGGCTTCTACACCACGAATGCCGCGGGCGCATGCAACACGCCATCGCCAGCATGGATATCCAGAGCAGCCAGATCAGACAGGATGTCGACCGCATCCTCGGCGCCGGAGACCGCAAGCCAGAGACGATTCAAAAGGTGCTCGATGCCCTCAAGCGAGCCCAGAGTCTCGAGGCCAAGTTCCGCAAGCTCAACAACGACCCCAGCCCGCAATGGAAGGTCGACACGGTGGACTGGGTGAAGGACCGGTCCGACGAGGAGCTCGACTTTGCGCCAACCTTTACGGGGCCAGTCTACGGTTTCTTCAACCTGCCGCTCGCGATCCTCCACGTCGCCACGTGGTGCTGCCATCTCATGCTGACGACGACGATCCTGCGATGCATGGCCTGGCTCGTGTCTTCCGACGACTACCGCATGGGAGAAGAGTACGAAGAGCTCAAGAATTCGGCGATCCTGCGCATCGAAGACACCATCGCCTCCGCGCCCTTCTTCTGCAAGTGGAACGGCTACGGCGTCGTGGTGGCACAGTTCCCCTGCGGGGACACCAAGCCGGACGACCCCTTGAAGGGCGCCGCCGGCATGATGATTCTGTGGCCCCTGGTCACGGCCTACACGAGCGACTTTGCCACCCCGAGACAGAAACGTTTCCTGAGGGGCCGTCTCAAGCACCTTGCCGATATTGCTGGTATAAAGCAGGCCAACGTTTTCCTCAACGTAAGTACCGTCCTAAAAAAAAAAAAAAAAAAAAAACCTCTCCATTGCAGTCAAACCAGGTCTGACGGCCCAGCCACAGATGCCCATGGAACATGTATCCTCTCCTTCGAAGGAGATTGAGCGCGACTGCAAGCGGAGCGTTTACTCTCCCACGGACGGACTAGAGAAGTTACGATCACTCCCGTTTTAAAGACGACATATACCCTTTCATTGGCCGCATATTTGCGGTTCAACAGTCGTACCTGGATTTGTTAAGAAGCCAGACCATTTTTTCTCTTTATTCTTTTTTTTTTTTGGTTCTCTTTCTTTCTATTTTTAACCCCTCTCCTTCATGTTGTATACTTTCGACGTCAGCGATATCAAATTCTCAAGTGTTTTTTTTATACAGTTACAATCTCTTCTAAATGCGTCATGACACGGCGGATAGCGGGCAAGGTCATGGAAAGTTGTGTGCATAAGCGAGGCATCCTCTGGAGGTGTCGTCCCTCGTGCCGGGACATGCGGTTGGGTTTTCTGGATGGATTTGTAATTTGGCTGGTTCTGAGTTATTTCTGGTCGGGTTTATCATGAAGCGTTGCTTTTGCTTTTTGCGTTTTTCCGCTGTTGGTATATTGCCACATGCTTGAGCTTTGTCAAAGCGGTCAGATGATCCCCTGTATTCTAGATGATTGTGAGCATGACATTATGAAATTTGCATGGCTTGGGTTCTGCTTTGGAATCTGTGCGCTCAGACACCCTGACGGGGAAAATACAGATTAGCATGTTATTCTTTTGGAAATCTTGTTGGTATTTTCCATTGCACGAATCCATCCTGTTCGTGATCTGGTAAGAAAAGGCCCGACAATCTCGGCCCAACACCAAACATAAAGGAAGACAGCCCAACTATTCCAGGACAAGTGAATGGTCCATCCGCCAACACCTAACCCCACGTCCGAATCCTGAAAACAGGCCTCACCGACCTCGTCGACCAACTCCGATCCTCTCCTCCCGACTCCGTCCGCCTCTGCCGCCATCCCCTGGCGTCGGCGTCGTCTGCAGGCCGGCCCGCCCGTGCTGCTGCGCCCTCTGCGCTCTCAACATCTCCTGCTGCCTTCGCAGAATCTCCTGCTGCTGATCCTCATAGTCCTCCAGGTCTTCCGCTGTCATGTCCTCGTCCTGCTGCTGTTGGTGCCGCGCCGCCTGCTGCATCTGCAGCAGCTGTGCCTGCGCGTGACGTTGTTGGGGGGAAGACAACTGCTGCTGCGCTACCTGTTGCTGCAAGATACGCTGTTGTTGCTGTTGCTGCTGCTGCTGTTGGGCCTGGATCAGGACCTGGCGTTCTCGGAGCATGACTTCCCGCGCGCGGCGGTCTTCGTAGGCTGCAATGTCCTCTGCCGTGATGGCGAGGGTTGTTGCAGGGCGGCGGAGCATGGTGTATGATGAGCTGGGATGCGCGTGTGTGACGGATGTTGGTCTGTTTGGGGGATGTTGCCGCGGATAAACCAACTCAGGTTGTTCGTGGGGTGAGTGTGGTGGGTTTTTGCCCAGGCGTGAATCAAAGGCGATGAGTGTGATTGAAGGTAGTACCACTTCAAATCAGTCCTCAGCTGCGTTTACTTGCTGCAAGAGCCTAAACCGCGCCGTACCGCAAGTAGGCAGTGACGAAGCTGTGCCCCAGGTCGGTTAGGCAGGTGAGGTAGGTCGCTTAGTTACCTCCTCTCAGCTAAGGTCCCCAACCAAGTTCGCAATGCAGGATTTTTGGGCAGCCGCCTGTGAATGGGCGGCACAGCTGTTGCGGTTCGCAGATGGCCTGAGATGCGTACGTTCTTTAGCGGGGATGCGGATGCAACAAGGTAGCTGTTGTTAGGGGCGGAGTGCGGTTGGGTGTTGTTGTTGGTTCACATCACTTTTGCTCGCCGCGCGATGGAGAAAAAAAAACGCCACTACAGAAGGACCACGGCCCCCTAACGTGCGGGGCCTGCCGGGGCGGGCGATCCGTGGTGGGGTTAGTTCTTGCCGGGGGTGCCAGTGTGATTTCTCCCTCTTGGGGGTCGATGATCAACAGTGCTCTTGTGAGTTATGTCATACTGTACGTTGGTTCTTATCATGAACCACTGGTGGCTGCCATACTGGACTTGTTGAAGCTGGTCATCGACATCGTCGAGTCAGCCGACACCTACGGTATGGTTAAGGGAAAAAAAAATCCAATCATAAGGGAAGTGGCACAAGCATCGCACAAAGAGAGGCTCCATGAAGGATGTTCTATTATGAATAGGGTCTATGTTGGTTGTCATTTTAAAAGATTGTTGTGTCTGTAATCCATGCATCATTCCGTCATATCGTAACTTGGTCTCAGTAAACCCCAGTAGCGTAAACATTCTCTGCCTCCCATCTAAGAAAATCCCCTAAATCGTGACCGAGGTTGTATCCCATAGGCACTACCTCCGATTCCCCATTGGCGGCTCTAATTGTGACAAGTTCCATCATAGGGCTGGGCGGCAGGCTCTCAAAGCTCCCACGGTTATACCGCTTTGGGTGGCTTTCCATGGTCCACCGTCGAATGTTACATCCCGTCGTGAGAAACTTGGACGCATCGAGGTTGCCCTCGTTCCAGAAGCCGTGCGGGTACTCAAACTCAACCGGGATTGGCAGGTCGATGTCCGACGCGACGGACGACATCGGCGAGTAACCTGACGCCACGCTGGCAGGGCTTGCCGTTGCACTGCTGCTAGCGATCAGCAAGCCGGGGTTGTCGAAGCCAAAGTCCTCGAACCATTCGGTGAGGCCCGAAATCTCGTCGGCTTCAAGTAGTTGAGGGAGATTCGAAGGGTCAGAGAAAAGGTCTCCCGCGCCGAGGATAGCCATCTGAAATGCGGTCCAGTCCAAGGTCTCATCAGGGTCGATTTTCATTCCTTGAGCAACATCTGTCTTGGGGAACCTTATCTTCCCATGCCGAATAGAAGGATGATTGAGTGTGTAGGGTGTAGATTGCAGAAAGAGGAATTCGTCTTCATCTGCGGGCGTAACGGTACGTGTTGTCTGATTTTTTCTTGAGCTCGTATAAGGCGCAGTGTATGGAGTTGTGATGACAACTTCAGGGATCGGTGGCAGCAGTTTTGCCTGCGGTCGAGCAGAGAACCTCAAAGGGTTCTTTGCAGGTGGTGGAGGAGGTTTTATTTCGTCATCATCATCATCATCAGCATCAGCATCCATGTTCTCTTCAATTTCAGTGTTTGCTTTCGATACAGGCATCTTTCGCCGCGGGGACTTCTCTTTCACAGTGAAGCCTCGCTGCATGGCTGGCTCGAGTGTCTTTGGGTGTGACACCATACCATTAGGTGCAACTGCAGCACCAACACCTGCTGCCCCAATCCGAGAGGGGAGATCTTGCAGGTGGAACGGCTCGACGGGTGTCTCGCTTCCCTCGGTGCTAGCTGTTCTTGTGGTGTCGCTCGAAATTCGAGATTGCAGCTGGGACTCACGCCCAGCTCGCATCGCTTGTATGTATTCCGGGCTGAGGAGCTCGTTGACTTCCATCTTGCGGAAAAATTGTCCGCTCAAAATGCCTGCGACATCCTCTCCAAGCTGCCAGCGGGCGCTCTTCTTGGACCTTGACTTGTATTGTGTCTTCTTTGACTTCTTTCTTCTTGGCCTTGATGTGGAAAAGCTGGAGACATGCCGAGTTGGAGGGGGCAGCGGTGGGGTCCTATTCGCAGAATGTGGCTCATCCATTTTTGATATCTTTGGAGATTGGAAGACAGTCATGGGTCGGGTATCTGAAGATGGAGGAAAGGATGCTACTGCTGTTTTTGCCTCTTCGATGGCCGTGCCTACAGCTTTAAAGGCTTCGTCGGTCTCACGAATAAGGTCTTGAACATTCAATGACCACTTTTCTAGCCCGTCATCCTCTGCTGTTGTTGGAGGAGTGATAGTAGTTGTCGTGAATGCCGGATGTTCTGATGAGTCTACATGGCCAGCCTCAAACGTTTTGATGCCGGGCGATGAGAAGCTTGCGGGCACCATATGCTGTTTTATCTGTAGAGGAGAGATACAGAGGTGTCTGCGGTCCGCAAGGCGTTTTGGTGCTGTGGAGCGAGATGCCCGAGGCTGTGATCTGGAAGAACAAAGGGCGTCGTTTTCTTCGTATGAGGACGCTGTATGCGTACTACCTTCATGGCCACTCAAAGAACCCGAGGAAGATTGAGGCGAGCCCTCAGCTAGGAAAAATGCATTGCTAGGGATCCTCCTGATGCTTTTTGTCCTTCTTGCGAGGGCATCCTCCCTTGAAGGCCGCCTGGCGTTGTCGTTTGACTGACGTCTGGACGGCGCCCATGACTTTGACTTTTGTTGCTTGCTTTGGGTGTCGATGTTGTATAAGTCCTCACTCATGGCAGAGTCGTCCGAGTGACGACGCTCGTCCACATCAACACCAACTGTATGCAGACGACGAGGTGAGATCAACCTCCGGATGCTGAAGCTTGAATGAGACATTCTGATGAAATCAGGCGTGTATAAGGTTGTCATAGAACAGGGCGGAAATTGGTGGGCTACTACGACTGGTAGCCGTACATAGGATATATGAGGTTATGAAGGCGAAGAGTTGTTTATACTCCTTCAACAAGTGACGTGATCACGAAAGGGATTCATAACTCAAGGAAGGGCAGAACAAAGAGAAGAGACGGATGGATGGCTTCTGGGGCGAAGGGCAATGGCAGAGAGTAAACTGTATGTATGTTGTTTTCGACCTGCACGTATCACAAATAAAAGCAAGCGAGTCGTAGCCATCTTGGCCAGCTGATAACCCTGCCAGTATAGGTACCATGTCTGCCGAGTGAAGCTGGATACTTTTAGTCAGGGACACTCGCAGCGTGGATTGGCCTTACCCGGTCATCCTAGGTGTATGGAGGGTGGCATTGGGTGTGGTCGAGGGTTTGTGGTGCAGTGCGAGTTGCGGCGGTGCACGAAACCAACCTGGTCCCTGTCGACTCGTGCAGACAAACTGCGTGAGAGTGGAGGTTGTAGGGGCCCTTGGCTAGTTACTCGGCCTAGGGCCGATGTGGCCCCCAGTTCCTCGTCATTTTTATAGCGCCTATTGGCTGGCTTCGCCGGCAGGTTGCTATTACTGGCCCAACCTGTCCACGGATGGACTTTTCCCAAGGCCGAGGAGGGTGGAGGGGGCCGGGAAGTTGTCATCGGGGGCATTTTTGGAGTGGTAGGCGGCCTTAACGGTAGGGGTAGCAATGCATGCGTTCATCGCCAGTCTTTCCAGCGTGTGATGTACCTGTCGCGAGCATGGAAAGTTCCTTTACACATGGCTGTTAAGTTTGGAACCCTCGTCGATTCCTCTTTCTCTTGATTCTTGTCCAGGTTCCCGAGCCCATCGTACAGTCAGCCTTGTGGAGGTTACTTGACGTGATCCAGCTGTCAAGCAATATGGACCATCGTGGCCAGAGTAACAGTTGATCCTATAGGTGGACGGTTTTAATCTCGTCATTGGAGGCGTATGTCGTACTAAGGGAGGGACCGTCGGTCAGCTGCAGGTGCGAGAGAGATGCGACTCGAGGAATTCATCGCTGTACGACAAGACCGGCGGCGACATGCAGAGGCGAAAGACCAGTGGGATCTCATCCGGCCCGTCTCTCAAACGTGGAGACACCAGTTGTTGCTAGAGACCAGGAGAGTCGAGGCAAGGGAACACGAGTTGAAAGGAACTTGTGTCCAACCAGTGCCATGTTTATTAAGGAAAGGATTGAAACAGTGACAGGTCAAGCCAGCCATAGAACTGGGACTTGTCCTCGCCTGTTTGCTACTTTGGGATGAGCGGCGATGCTGTATTTGCAACCTCGAGGGCACAATGCTAGGACGGATTCAGCAGATCCGGGCGACTGGTTGCTGGCGAACGCTTTCGAATGACAGGATGTCATCTTCAACTGCCGGAAGTCATTTTTGTGAAAGGTAGCAACTCGCTCGGCTTGCGATCAGCGAAAGAGAAACTTTGCTGCAATCTGTCAAAGGGCGATTGATTGTTCCTGGATCAACATGCACGCAACGTAGCCCTCGGTAGGTAAGCCGCAAGGGTCGACATGCCACTTACCTTTCAGACTCTGAGCAAACCTGCCATGTCTAACAGGAGCAAGCAAAGTAACAAAGCCAGATTTACTCCGTACCGATTGCAATCAATCGATTCGCCATTTTTGCTTCACAGAAAGGACCAAGGCAGATCATTGCAGTGCCTCTAGTACAGAACGAGGGGTTGGAAGCGAGGCTAGGCGAAGATGCGCATGCCGGAAAGAAAAAAAAAAAAGAGATGGAAATGCGGCCGCAAATCTCATGCGTCTTCCCGGTGACACGACTTAGGGGATTGGGTGAGTCCACAATGGAGGACTGGGGGGCTGTTTCATACCCAAGCATCTCACGATGGTTTCCCAATGGGGATGATTATTTGCCGGGAAGGGCAGCGACGATGCAAATGATTTGAAAAAAGATACACGTAGGTGAATGGCGGGGCGGCAGAGTGCTCTCCCCGGTTGTCCGGCCGTAAGAAGATATGACGAGCTAGGGCTGAGAGGTGCCCAATGACGTCGAGGGTGGGTGGATGTTGGTTCCATTGGTTGGTAATAGTAGTGAAGAAGCAAAGGGAACGAACCATCCTGTCGAGAGATCGATTTGTGGCTCAGGGCAAGGAAGGTTTACTTGGAGTTGCAGATAAGTTGAGTAGAAGCTGGCTTAGCATTTGCCTGACGCCGAAGCAACTACACATTGTCCGCGAGGTGACCAGTCCTCCCACTGACTAGCCCCTGGCCCTTGCAGATACCCTGTTGGAACTAGTTAGTGTGTGGGGACCAGTTCCTGCGATTTCTTCGAACTGTCCTGGGTGATCTAGAAGCTCAATTACTTAGGCCAGCCAACCGGAATGACAGGCATGGCAACAGTGAACGATGAGTTGCTTTTTTCTTCAACACGAACTCTTCAAATCTTTAAATTTGCTGTTTCACTGCGGTATTCGAGATACCTACTTCCATTCTCCACTATCAGCCCACTGGCAAAACCACTTTGCGGCCATTACAAGAGTACATGACTGATGATCTTCCGCCGTTCCATTTCCACCGGGAGTCGTTTCTCATTCACGTCTGTCAAAGTTGAACGCATAAGCTGTCAAGGCGATCGGTTCGAACTATGTCATGCTCAGGCATCACCCTCGCCATTCTTTTCTATTTCGGACCCTGCGAATGGAACCTCGGCGCCCCCCTTGACCCAATACCCCTGTTGCTGCCGCACACTGTCTACAAGGGTATTGAACCTTGGATCCCTCCTCTAAACTGCGGGACTATTCAAGCAGCATATACTCGGAGCGCAAAAGAAGACGAAGACAAGGGAGAAGTTCGGATAGGTAGATAATAAAGATAGAATTCAATCAAACCAAGGCACAGAATCCCATCAAAAGTCAAAAAGATGACTGGGTAGCCGGATTTTCCAGCTTGCCCGCCGCGTGCCAACTTATCCATGCCTGTACCTTCGTACAAGATGAGACATGACAGTCGATCCGGCTCTCAACCTCTCCTCAGTTTTGCTTTTTTAACGTATCTTTGTTCTCAGGTGACGCCTATCTCGGTGGTTCTATGGCCGTTTTAGCTTTGTCAAATCATCTACGGACGTAAAAGGCCAGGTGCTATCTTGGCATCACGCGATACTTGCGATACATTTCAGCTATGAAGATTTTCAAACCTGCCCATGAGGCCTGCCGTAATGTAGTCATATCTGAAATTTCGAAGTAATTATAGATACGAACTTTCTCAAGTTTGAACTGGCCGTGGTAATCTGACAAGGCGGCAGGATGATAAAATAACCTGAGTTTCTTCCATCCGTTGTTCTCAGTGCTGCACTTAATAGGTACTTGGATTTTGCCAGAAAAGTAAATACGAGATAAGTCAAGTTGACATCAGGAAACGGACAACGAAATGACATATTATAATAAGAACAGTTTCGTTTTTTTGCGCCGTCAGCACGGGCTGCTCAGGAAGGCCTAGATGGGGTTGCATCGCCCATACTATCACAACATGTGGATATATAGTATCCTAGCCCTGGTATGCACTCCTTCCCAGGTTCCCGACGAAATTCTGACCGATCCATCGTAGTATTTATGGAGTACTGATGCAATCGCTGTTCAGGCTTGATCGCCGATAAGAATATTAAGCGCTCGCTTGCACGGCTAATGAACATAGGGACACAAGAGTAGGATCGGCAAGCAAGTTCGTTTAAAAATTATGCTATTGATATCTAAGCGCCCCCCAGGCTTTTTGAGCCTAATACTATTAAGTTAATTTGCAATTACTATTCTCCTCGCTGCAGTTCCCAGCCAATGGCTATTCCGCTAGCCTTTGTTTGCTGGGTAATGATAGAAATATCTCTTTTAGAGATTTGCCCCCCCCAATGATGCCAGTAGATGGCTGTTTTTCCCGAATCCCAAACGCCGATTGATGACTGCATTTCGCGTCGACAAAAAAAGAAAATTTCCGTTGAATAGGTGTTTTCCGTTCTGATATTGATATTCTTGTTTTCAAAAAGGTGTAATAATGGTTGATGGTTGTAGTAGGTGGCCGTGCTGTGATGCCCCCTACTGACTAAGAATGGGCGCCTCCGGGTATCGTGATTATGATTGTATTAAGTAATATTCTTCGGCGTTGTTTCCCGGTGCCATTTAGAGAATCTCGCTGTTGATGCGGATCTCGTGGGTAGTCGTTGTCTTCATGTAAGACTTGGCTGCGTACCGAGGAACATAGGGTGTCCTCTGGACTGGCTCGTCAACCATGAGACGCTCCTCCTCCTCAGAAGTACCCCTCGAGAAGATCGAAGCGAGAGAAGCGCTACGGCTGGTTTTCCTGGAAGGGCCGGAGAAGGAACCGGAGGATGAAGAAGAGATGGAGCTGCGGGATCCGCGGCGGGAGCTGAAGGCATCGAGCCAGTTGCCGGAGTTCTTGGAGAACATTTTGAAAGAGCGGTTGTTGGTGGTGTTGGAGGAATGAGGAGTATTGATGAGATTTATAGTGTTCAGCTGGCTGTTGATGTTGCTGCTATTATTGTTTGGTGATGATGATGATGATGTTATTGTTGGTTGTTGCTGATGATGAGAATAAAAACGTTGAACAGGGCGGGTAAGACCTCGACTTTATAAGTAAAAGATATCGACGAGGATCTTTCGATGACCGATAAAAGAAGCACGCGAGAGTGATTCAAGTTCCAATTACCGATCAACGCAACGGATACGGGCTCAAAGAAAATCAAGGTTGATAGACGAGTAGTAAAGCCTACCCACCAGAACTCGGTATTCGAGTGAAAGGCAACAAGTGGGAAAGAGCCTAGTTTGGGCTGGTTCACGATGCCTACGTCCGCAAGTGATGGATGGCCTAGCCATCATACTTCCGCAAACAGATGAGAGATATATCTACCGACTGCAATAAGTCAGTCAGCCACAACCAACGGACTCTATGGGTTGCCAGATGGCGCAAGATTCCAGTCGGCTGGCCCGCAATCTCCTGTCAAGTTTCTTCCGACCGAGACATCAACAAGTCCGTTTAACGCCTCGTCCACGCCATTGCCGTTTGCGAACATGAGTACTTCGCCTTCCCCTCCTGTCATCATCCTACTTTGGATGGTATGGCTCCCAATTCGCCCTATTGTGAGGGCCGCGGTATGCAACCCGTACCAACGAGTCCCGGCCTTTCTCCACCCTTCGGGGCTTGAGGCGGTGGCGGTGGAATGCTGTTCTGGGAACAAGCGCCAGTTAGTGTACTGGACAGATTGCTTCCTCGCCTCAATGAGCCTCTTCCGCAAGAAGAAGTCTCCCAGAGGAGTAAGAGTGCGGATAATGGAGACCCGAAGTCACCTGGTCTTTGCACTAGAGCTGTCATTCCCGAGTGGCGCTCTGTCAGACTCGACGCCAACGTCTTCAAGGAAAGGGCAGCCGCGCACCTTGTTCGCCCTAAACTCGGGAACGGGAGAGCACGGTCCATTGTTAGGCTCAGGCTCGACGCATGCGGACATGAAAACCAAAGCAATTAACTAACCATGAAGAGGACCTAGACTTCAGTGGTATGATCTATGGAGAACGTTGTTATCCCTCTACACAAAATCACTAACTTGAATGACAGTTTTTCGGCATTTATTCGGAGCGACCAATTTGTTATGGGAATGCTCAGACATCTTCTAAACTGCCGTCCTCTTCGCCATCATCATCATGCGAGATGTAAGGAACAAAGCGAAAGTCCAAAAAGCTCACTCCTCCGTTATCCTGCTCAACCATGAACTGCAAGCTCAAGACGCCTTGTTCGTCGCCCCGAAAACTTATCTTGCTCGCAATCCGCATGGCTTCCGTCGAGTACTTAATTAAGTCAAATTTGTACGATTGAGTCCAGTCTTCGCGAATCGAGAAAGTCTCCAGCAGCTCGCGCCCCTTCGCAAAGGTCACGCTAGAGGAGCCCAGATCTCCGGTACCGGAAAGAGTTAGATAAGGTGAGGCTTTCGAGGCTGCAATTGTAAGGCGATTAGGTCCGGTGGGAGCCAGCTCAGCCAGCGCGTCAAGTAAGTAGCGCGCCAACATGATGATCTTGAATGAAAGGTTCTCTCGGTCGAACGGTATCTCCTCTGGTATTTCAGGTAGATAGGTCGTGAGGCTCGCAGTGGTCTTGACACCTCCTTCCTCGATTACGATGTCAAAGCAGCCACCTTCTTCCTTGTAGATTAAGCTGCAGGTCCCACCAATGCCCAGAGCTTGGTTACTAAACGCATCTGGGCGGTAATTCCGAATGTTGCTGTGGTACATGTCCTGCTCAGCTCTGTGGGTCCGAGTTGCGACATCGACGGCTCCAAAAATTTGAATAGTGTCGAGCAGGGAAGGTAAGTTGATCTGGAAATTCGGAAGGGTTGGCTGCGAGCTATTTACACCATCGCCGAGATTGAGAGAATACGATGTGAAGAGCTTCTTGTCAAGGAAGGCAGTGCCTGAGATACGGTCATTATAAAGCAAGTATGAAACGTCTACTACACAACTTGCCTTGCATGACCCTTGAGAGATCGGCCGCGAATCTAATACCATCCTCCTGGAGCTGTACATGGACTTTGCTGGTAAAATTGATCGTTTTGAGAAGCTGGTGCAGAGGCTTCGTCGAGCTAGCCACAGCGCGAAAGAGTGGCTCGGGATGCCCCCCAGCCTGTGAAATAACTTCTGACATTGTGCCTAATATGAGGACGCGTGTTGTAAGGTATAATCACCCGAGATGTGGAGAACGGTGATATGGAACGTTTCTTGGTTGTTTCTAAAGTACAAGGCCGCCGCCGACTTGAAATGACTCTTGGGGTATCTTAAACGTAGACTCCGACCGCGCAGAACATGTAAACCGTTCCAAATCTAAGAAACTATTCATCAGAGGACGTCTGAAATAAAGGGAAGTGGAAAGACTTACGCAATGGCAACAGAAGCAGGAACACCCAGAGCGGGGATGTTAGCAAAGGACCGGTCTGCACAGCAGGTTAGATTATCTATACAAGTGGTGGGTCCAGAGAAGAGACTCACTCAGGGCGAAGACACCGGTAACCGAAATACCCGCGAGGAGAAGAAGAAACGCAATGAAGAACTGCGAATCCTTGGCAACGGCGGGATGGAACGGCGTGCTAGCAGCAGCTTGCCAGATCTTAGGCAGCGAGGAGTCCATCTGCTACTGAGGCGAAGTGAAATTCTTCTTTGGTCGGAATGGGCTAAATACGTTGTTTGGTAAAGAGTGTCTGACCTTTATGTGCGCGCACAAATCGTTGCTTCACAATGGTGTTCAAAAGGTGTTGGCAGCGTGCTGGAAGATCACGAAGGTGTAGCTTCCCCAAACGTGTTCTAAGCTCCAGGTCCACCATGAAATTGTGGCCTGAACTAAATAGGCTTAGCGCTATCCCACCTCCTGCACATCGCCCCACTTACATTTTATCGGCCTACGGAGAAATAGCAAAGCCTAGCGCGGCATGTCATCAACTCTCGAGGCATCACGACAACATTCTTCGACAAGGTTCATCGAATCAGGCCTGTAAAGGCTCGCTAGTGAGGCCATAATGAAGGAAGAAAGTAAGTCGCATACTCTTCGCGATTAATAGGTGCTTCAAGCAGTGCTGACGCGATGTTTCAGACGCAAAGCGCAAAGCCGAGGACGAACCCTCCTCTCCTACCGCGAACAAAAGGGTCAAGCACAATGAGTCGGCGGAGCCAGAGAAGAAGCCGGCTATGAAGCCAATTCCGTTCCCCGAGAAGGTACGTGTAATTCATGTACTGTGTCGCGATAGCGACACGTTGAAGCCCGCAGCGCTGTTTACAACCTGCTTGCTATGATGGACCCGCAAGCTGATCGCAGTCTGCAGCCCGCCGTCATCGAAGAACGGACCGGCGAAATCGAGTTCCGCGTTGTGAACAACGATAACGAGCGCGAATCCCTTATAATCCTCACAGGTCTCAAGTGCATCTTTCAGAAACAACTTCCGAAGATGCCCAAAGACTATATCGCGCGTCTCGTGTACGACCGGACCCACTTGTCCATCGCGATCGTCAAGAAGCCCCTCGAAGTAGTCGGCGGCATCACCTACCGTCCGTTCAAGGGCCGTCAGTTTGCCGAAATTGTGTTTTGTGCCATTAGTTCCGACCAGCAGGTCAAGGGCTATGGTGCGCATCTTATGTCCCATCTCAAGGACTATGTAAAAGCTACAAGCGATGTCATGCACTTCCTTACCTACGCCGACAACTACGCCATTGGATACTTTAAGAAGCAGGGGTTTACCAAAGAGATCACGCTAGATAAGAGCGTCTGGATGGGGTACATTAAGGACTACGAGGGTGGTACTATTATGCAGTGTTCCATGCTTCCACGGGTACGATATCTTGAGATGGGCCGTATGCTATTGAAGCAGAAGGAGTGCGTGCAGGCCAAGATCCGTGCCTACTCCAAATCCCATATCGTTCATGCTCCTCCAAAGGAGTGGAAGAATGGCGCGAAACCCATTGACCCGCTAAGCATCGATGCCATTCGTGCATCTGGCTGGTCACCGGACATGGACGAGCTCGCCCGCCAGCCACGACATGGTCCCAACTACAACCAACTATTACATCTTCTCAACGATCTGCAGAACCACCAGTCCGCCTGGCCTTTCCTTGTACCAGTCAATAAGGATGATGTGGCCGACTACTATGAGGTCATCAAGGAGCCCATGGATCTCAGCACCATGGAGACGAAGCTTGAGGCCGATCAGTACGCCACACCGGAAGACTTTATCCGCGACGCCAAGCTCATCTTCGACAACTGCCGCAAGTACAATAACGAGTCTACACCGTATGCGAAGAGTGCCAACAAACTGGAGAAGTACATGTGGCAGCAAATCAAGGCCATCCCGGAGTGGTCTCACCTCGAGCCGTAGAAGGGTGAGAGTGAAGCTCCGCAACGGAGGTCGCCTAGGGTGAGCGAAAGGCTGGAGGCCGTCTCTTCATGAGTGTAATGAAACAAAATGGGTGGGTGATTTGGGAATAGGATACAGGACTTGGCGTTGTTCGGCTTGTGTTTCCCTCTTTTCAAGACAGATATCACGTGGGACGGGCTTAATTGTCCAGATTGTTGGAAATGCATAACAGGGGGTAAACGGCGTTCATAGTGGTAGGCGGGGGACTGTATTGTTAGTCTTATACGATAAGCCCAACATCTAAAGTGGAGTAGCTGTGAAGTGAATTTCTTGTTTAATTTCAACACAGTTCACCATCACGATACATCGTCACAGAGTGTAATGTGTTATAATATCTCGATAGTGATGTCAAATTAGCACTTTTGTAGTTGAGGGTACTTCGCTAGATGCCAGAGCATCTTTGGAAGCAAGCCCTGAAATGCAGAGAGTTTTCGTTTCTCGTAATCCCTTGTGCTCGCTAAACTGACTAGTCCTGGTAAGTCCTCGAAATAGAAAATCAAAAACAATCCTCCAACGCCGGGGGAATAACCGAGTGATATGAGGGACCTGCCGCATTTTGAGGGCGATCTTCCCTGTGCCTAGAAATCTCAATGAACTCTAGTATAAAGAGGCAAAATAGTGAACCAGCTTGTATTTCCCATGCAATCAGGACTTCGGGCGCGCAAAATAGTCAAAGAAGGACAGAAGTCGAAACCCAACAACTGTTGGGGGTTCGTCCTGTTTAGTTGACGGCGTCCCCAAAAAGTCTTGCCAATATTGCTGCCATTGACTCGGAAGGAACACTTTGAGGCTGCGATGCCCGAAGTCTTTCGGCAGACGCTCTCGCCTCCCATGCTGCGACGGCTCGTCTGACACTCGGGGGGTATGTGAACGGTATATTGGCCCTTTGAATCTCTGTCCATTCCACCATTTCCCGCGGGGTCATCACGTGTGAGACTGCGAGTCGCCGCTCAGAAGCAGGCTCTGGGGTACTCTATGCCCCTGGAGCCTGCGCCGCCCGGTGCAAAGTCGGTGCGGTGCCACTGTCACCTACAGGGAGGCGAAGACCAGAATGTGTGCGTCGCCAGTTCGCAATGCCGCCGATATGGTGTTCGTCAGTGCCTCTGCGCTCTCGAGTGATGGTAGATATGGGACGAGACCGAGAAAGTGCCACTGAGTCCTCATCACCACTAGAGGTTTGGGCCTCAAGGGTGCGGCGAATGATGTCGTGGAGGAAGTCAGGAATGTCCTGCCATTGACCAGCTCGAGCTGCAGTCAACATGCCGGTAGGGAACGATGCCTGCGGTACAGCAGTATCGTCAACCCCTCGGGTAAGGTGGCTGCTAGTAATAAACGGCAGCTCACCGCTCTCAATAACATTCTTCAGCCACTGCTCCCATTCCTCATCTAGAACTGTAGTCATGTCTCCAGCTTCTCGTTGGGCTGCTCGCTCCCTCAGTCTCTGATTCAGGGCCTCACCAACACTATGAAGCTCCTCTTCGCTCTCTTCGCCGTCCATATCCTCATCGCCGGGATCCGTCGCATCGTCCGTCTCAACTGAGCGCGATCGGGCGTTGCGTGGGGGTACAACAGGGCGGTCTTCTGGCTCGACCCAGTCAGGAAAACCATCGCCTGCAGTATCCCGGATAGTGATGCCCTGCTCCTTCTCATAGCGCTCCTTGGCCCATTTTGTGCCCTCCCACTTTGTAAGAGCAGCGATTTCGTTGGGTGTAAGCCGAAGATTATCAAAAGCTCGAAAGAGGCGACGGTGCCAGGTCCAACGGCTCAGACGGATGCGGTGGATTGGGTTGCAATAGTCGAGTCCTGGGTACTTGGCCTCTTGCGTGTCGAGGTGGCCGTAGAAGGAATGGACCTCTTGACGGACTTCCAGGATCAGGCTACGCTGCAAAAGGGCATGAAAGTTCTGAGGGTCGCTCGCACGAGGTTTAGGGAACATGTGCTCGTAAACGAGCTGGTCGACAGGGCGTCCCTTCATTCTGAATCCGCACCGAGTGTGAGGTGAAAGGGTGCGGAGTTGCGGCTGAAATTGAGCGCGCGAGATGTTACGGCGAGGGAGGGCTTTGTGGCAGCCTGGGGGGCCGAGGATGCGGTATTGTTTGCTAACACAATCTCAAAAGATGCCAGACAGAAGGGCTCAAGTCAACGTGTTCGAGTTGAGTATGTTTGTAGAGAGTGAATACTGTCGCTTGGGAAAGTGGCGGAGGGTAGATCGATTTGATTGCGTGTGGCCGTCGGTACAGTCTTGTGTCAGGAAGTATGAGGAGGGGGCGGGAGGGAGCTAAAAGTCGCTGCGGCGTCGCTAGGTCGTCCGAAGAAAGGGTTTCTAAAAGAGTAGGACAAGACGGCCTCGTGTGTTTGGGTCGGTCTTTGTCAAGTTCTGCACAACTGATTTTTTTATTTCTTATCAAGTAGAAGGCGAAGAAGACTGTTGAAGGAGAGATTATTACGAGAAAGAGTGTGGCCGGGGAGAAGTCGGAAGGCGAACGGCGAGAGGCGGGTGGGAGGGTGTGTTGCGTGAGTTGCTGGCTGAGTTGTGACCGCGGATGGGGATCCAGGTTGTGGATATTGTGATCGTGGGCCTGTCGGGTGGGACGCAGACGTGGGACGTGGGACGTGGAACGGGGATTCGGTGTCGTGGATTACCTGAAGGACTGGCCAGCAAAAAAAGACGTTGACTAGGATTCAGGCCGGGACTGGGAAAGCCTTACTATGTAGCTGACAAAAATAAAACGACAGGCACCACCCACCAACGTCGCCAGAAGTGAGAAGGGGAAGGAGGAAAAAAAAAAAAAAAAAAAGGAACCAGCACCTTCTCTGAAGGATCTTTCATATTACTGGGCTATACCGGATGACTGGGCTGTTGGTGCCTGCCTCATCTGCCACTGCGTGCCTATCTTCCCGTACCTTCCAATCGTGCCTAACCAACTCAGGTGGAAACCCAAAAAAGGCCCCAAGGGAAGGAAGTGTGCCTGGGCGCACGTTCCTTCTAATCAACACCTTTCGTGGATTGACTTTCAAATGTATCTCAAGACACCTTGTAGGTAATGTTGGCTGCTGAGGCATCGCGAGATGTAGCCCCGCACTCTGTGCTATGTGCTCGGTACTTGGACCCCTAAGTATCCTAATCTCTCGGGTTCCGTTCCAGGCAAGACAAGTCACTGGCTCCAGCGGTAGCGTCCCAAATTCACCTCCACCGGACTGAAAATGCCGGAAGGCTCAAAGCAGCCTAACCCAGAAGGTTCAGGTCAATCATTTGCTGCTCCAAACAACGCAGGAATCCACCAGGCTTGCATGGCCTGGAACGCCCAGATCGTCGTTGACGACCGTAAGCTCAGTTCATCCGTTGACGCGCCTCACCTGTCGTATTCATAACACTGCGTCGCCTGGGTTTCATACTGTCGCTGTCGTCAAAGACCCGCGAGGGAGTCAAAACAAGGCAAATGAGGGGACCCCCTCATCAATCTGTCAAAACCGACGACCGTGGGACAGGGGCAACCCGAGTCAGTCCGATCCCACGCTTCAGGGCTAATCTTGACTGATGACATCCGCACCGGCCTTAGCTTTCGCTGACGCCGGGGCCTGATTTTGGCCGAAATGACGGAACACACAGAGCCCTGCGGCGTCTATCAATTGTCTGGCTGTCCGTTCACACTTTGGCACTCCTCATCATGTCACAAAAAACATGGCCGACTAATGTTGTTTTTCATCATTCTTCTTTTTCGGTTTCCCTCTCCTCTCCACGAAAGAAGTATCGCCATATCTGACAAGGATGATGCGCGCGCCCAGAACAGAGGGCCGGGACTGAGACCCGTGGCAATCTAACCACTATTGGGGAACAACGGGCAGAAGGAACCCGAGCCAACGGCGCTCCCCCACGATTGTTATTTGCAAACATGACCGGCCGCTCAGCGAACCAGTGGGCATCAACCGACTCCCACTGCCCTCCCTGCAATGCCGCCTAGCTTGGTGGCCGGAAACCCCTCCGGCCATGGGCTCATCTGACCTACCTGACCGCCTTGTTGGTCCATCGCTGAACCCCGACAGCCGCCCTACAGCCCCGTTCCTTGCCCGTCTCAGGTACAGGGATCCCTTCATTTGGAGCCAATCAGAGAGCCGAAGCCGCCATCCCTGTGAACATCCCGCCCTTCCCTGCCTCTGCTTCATGCACGAGGGTCAGAAATCTTCTCCTCCGCCCCATCAATGACCACTCGCAATCTCACTGGTTCCATTCCTCTTCAACACAGCGCTCCCCAGAGCCTTGAACAGTGATTCTTTGCTTTTCAATCGCACCGGTGCGCTGCCGCTTTGGGATCTGGGTTTTCAATATCAGATTTATCTCCATCAATCAGCGCATCGTGGATCCCGCCCCATTAGAGTGCACGCCATCACGGATAGATGCATTACACTAATCGGTACATCCCCAGCGAGATCGTGCCCGTCAAGCGGACTCTCCCTCTCTGTCCATTCTTCTACACTTGATGCTGTCATAAGAAGGCCACACTGCTTTTTCAGTACTGCACTTCCTCTTTTAAACAAACTCAAGCAAATCAAGCTCTAGACAAGTCCCCAAAGGCAAAGCAGCCACACCTCGCCAAGCAGCCTACACCCTGCCGATAACTTCTATCCTTGATCCAAGCAAACTTCGACAAACTGTAATCGTGATGTTTGGCGGGTCCCTCCCATCGGGGAACTTCATCTTTTAACTCTGTTGCACCGCCGACCCGCATTTGTTTGATCATGTACCTACGTCAGAGCTTTGGAGAGACGCACCAGACTTATAATACCAGAAGTCCAAATTCCAAAAGGTGGCAAGAAAGCTTGTGCGTCGCCGTGATGTAAGCCAACTGCAGGTGACTTCGTCAGATGTAAATCGTAAAGCACTCAACTCTAGTTCCTACCCAGACCTGACATGACTTACCTATACACGCCACCCACCACGCCTCACTACGTGGCATGAACGAAGCGCATAGAGCATCGAAATACCGCGCCATTTAGAAGTCCTTGTGTGAGTAACCTTTCATTATCGCATGAGGTCAAAGACTGGAGTAATATACAGTCAGTAGTACTACAACAGGCCCGCGACGAGGCCATATTTCCACCTGTTGAAGATTGGTCGTCGAGTGCCTCCTAAAAAGGCCAGACTTTGTCGTGTAGATTCCGGTGGACATGACCACGACATTTTTCATGCTGGCCCGTCGGTTTTGGTTTTGTGGTCCCGGTTTTGCGCTAGGGGGCTTTCAAAGTATTATCAAGTCTTTAAGAAAAAAAGGAGAGAAAAAAATCCATCTGCATGTCTACAAAATTTGTGCCAGGCATAAGATCTTGGTCTCATAATTACCAATGCTTGATGTTGGTCCCTTCATTGTGCATCCGGACATGAACTTCCTTGGTCCGCTAGAAATAGCTCCATACCTGAGATGGGAATGTTAAGGAGGAAATCCTGATATGCGCCAAATCACAAAATAACGGCAACACCGCTGACGACAAGGAGTAAATAGAATAAGGATGAATGTTCTGTTTTCCAGTCATATTAAGCTGCGACAAAACATCTACTTCTCACATCCAGCCTAATTGTCAGCCCTAAGAGGCTCCGAGTACATCGTCATGTCTCCCAGGTCATCGTTATCTACCATCTGAATACCCTTGAAGCTTTCCTCATCCGAGTCGGCGTAGGCCGGCACAGGAAATGTCTTGGGCCGCACAGGCAGCTCGGGACGAGTATGCGAGTCTATCGCACCATCACTCTGGAACGACTGAACAGGGGCAGGCCGCAAAGGGATGTTGATTTCCGTTCTTGGCTCTACAGATCCTTTCATAACTTCTGGTGAGGCAGTCTGCTCGCTCTTCTGGCCAAGAGAACCAAGATTGAGGGGATCAGCAGATACGGGGTGGGTCGGCTCCTTCGCCTGTGGCTGATGATCTAGACTTATGAGATCTTCAAGGTTGGGCGAGGTTGGCTGTCGCCTGCTCTGTTTAACAGACCTCAAGTTCAATGGATCACTGCCCTGCTCGCCTAGGGGGTCAAATGCTTCAGAGACCGTTGAGGGCCCAGTCCTGGACACCTTGGTACGGCTGATATTCTTCTTTTTCTGTGCCGGCGGGTCGGGATGCAAAGGATGACGCAGTTCGTTGGGGAACCGGGCAGTCTGCTTGGATCGAATAGGCTGTGGTTCTGATTCTGGATCAGGTAGTGCTTCGAGTTCAATAAGCTCACCCATCTGAGAACCAGCCTCATGATCCAGCACCTTAATATCCTCATCCTTTTCGATGGCACCATTGCCCCCCTTGACATTTGGGAAGCCGCATCTCGTTAGGATTTTGGCAATCAATGTTGGGTATCGTAGATGCCCACTGACCTCCTCACTTAAATTGAGGTTTTCAACCCGGTCAATATCCTTGACCTCTTGCAGCCCTGCAATGCCCAACTGAAGTGATGTAGTGCGGTACAAGAATCCAAGAATATAATCGGTCTCTGAGTAGACGTTTATGATGCGACCAGATACGACAGAACGGATGACCTGCCAATGCTCTCGGTTGGATGGGATAGGGGCGCCAATGAGCACAACCGTATCAACCAGTCCAAATGCCTTCCGCTCAGCAAGAGACCTGAGGCAGGAGTAAATCACTCGAGCACCGAGTGAATACCCCACCAATGTCACCGGTCGTTCCCCCTGAACCTTGGCTATAAGAGCGTCAGCGAGGACACGGCCAGCCTTATCGGAACGGTTTCGAGCGAGGTTGAACGGATTGTCAATCTTGGTAGCAGCGCTGATGAGATAGGCAGGCCACAGAGCAGCCCAGATAGACGCCAACACCGTACGCTTGAGGATCTCCACTTTCACGAAGTTCCAAGCGTAGGAAGACACGAGATCTTGCAGTTCGGCGCCAAGGGCAAGAAGGGCTTTCATCTCGTACCGCAGTGCAAACACCTCGGATTCGTCGCCCAGGCTCCTCCATGGTTTAGTAATATCGCCCTCGTCTGTAAGCCACCCATTGATGCCGATGGTTACTCGAAGCCGCGCGCCTTGCTTCCCATCCGGATCAGCGCGTTTGTAGTCCTGGCCCCATTCGTCCTTAAGCGGGAGAAAACGAAAGTCTTCGACTTCCTTGGCATATGTATCCATCATCTCGCCAGTCATTTTGGCGCCGTAGGCGCCGAAGAGCGTGCCCACAAGTGCTCCATTCATCCAGAAGATTCCCAAGAAGCTTGCCACGCCTCCCAATCCGACGCTGCCCATTAGGCCGCCGATAGCACCAGCAACTACTGGAGCTGCCAGGCCGCCCGTGATTCCGATGACGGCTGCGCCAGCGACAGACGCCAGGCCGACCTTCCAGAAACGACTCTGCTTGTTTTCTTCGCGCCGCTTTGCAGCTTCAGCATCAGCTGACATGGCTGCCTTCTGGTTTTCTGCTGCGGTTGAAGATTCAACAAGAGATTTCGCGATTTCCGTCTCCTCCTGAATGAGAGCTGCGATAGGAAGCCCGAATGCAGATGTAAGATACAGAGCCATAACTCTAGAGTGTGCAGAGTAGCTCCCAGTTGATAGAATGAGGAGTAAAAGGCAGCTAAGCACCTCCTTTCGGTCATCAATTGGTATAGTGGTAAAGCGGTTGGGAATCGGATGATAGTGCTCTTGCAAGATGGCCACCTCTTTGTCCACTTCTGTTTGTGTAGCCGGCGTATTCGTTGCGTCTCCAAAGTTGATCAGATCCTCACCTGCTCTAGGTGATTCCTGCGCAAGCCTTGCCATCTCGTCGAGACGCTTCTTCCGAGCCTCAAGGATCTTGTCATCATCCTTAGCAGTGACGATCTCTTTGACCTTGTCAAGAAGCTCCTTGCGCCACTCGTCAAATTGCTTCAGTGCTGCATTTCTCAAAGCAACCAGTTGGGCGCTGTGTCCGCCGGAACCTCCGCTGTCGGTGTGACTGGAGCTACTACCCCGACCGCTTCTTTCCCCGGTGCCCGGACCGAAGCGTGGAGCCGCATTACGGCTCTGGTTTGACGGGCTGTCGGCCGGCGTGTCGTTATACTCGCCATTTCTTAGCTCTAGCTGAGCACGCATGTGACCCGTAATGTCGAAGAGAAGTGTATAAAACACTCGGCGACGGGCGGGGTTGAGGACTACCAGCAGCTGGCGGGGGTCCGCAGCAAGAGGAGCCATGATTATGACAGCCTACTTCCAAGTCGGTTTGGGGCATCAATTTGCTACTGTCTGCATTACACAATTTCCAGTCACTTATGTATGGAAATATTAGTAAGATTTTCGAGTGGAAGATGCAAAAGTGAAGGATTAGAAGGAGAACGAGTGGATGGGCTGAGATGTGGTCAAATCAGATGGAGCCTAGCCTGCAGTTATCTAGGCAGACATCTGGCGATCAGGAGGATCAACAGGGCTCCCCAACTGCTTGCCTATTCCGGCCCTACACTGCGGCGCAGGGCCCCCCTTTGCGGCTGCTCAAAGGGTGTGCTCCAAAACCACCTCATACATACTGCAAAAAAGGCAGGTTTAAATATCAGCACCATCCTTGCATCATTCTTTGGAAAATAAAAAACACTTCTCTGGAGCTTTCGTCTCAAATCGGCTAAATTAAATCAAATTATATCAAAATCATCTGCCGTGCGAGATGCAATCTTATTCACAGGTGGGTTTGTTTAAAAACAAAAGGCGCTTGGAATGAGGTTGCAGCCTCGAAATTATTTACATAACCCTCCATGATATTCCTAAACACCAGCGTCATGTCCGACGCCGTAAACACTTTTTTTATGCCGATCTGCCCCAACATGAACACTCTACTCACTATCATCCTCCATTTCTTCATCCTCTTCGTCCTCATCCTCGTCCATTTCCTCTGCATCATCATCTCCCTCACCATCCATCAGCTCGTCGGCATATTCTTCCTCAGAGTCGTCATCAACATTCTCAGCACGAGCCTCCTTTTCCTCCTCCTTGCGCTTCCTCTCGTCCTCTTTTCTTGCCTCCTCCAGTGCCTTGGCCTTCTGCTCTCGGATTTTACGCTGCACAACGACATAAGCGCCAAGCGGCGTCTTCTCCCAGTCGAAGTCACGCAGGAAGGCATCTACTTGCGCGCGATCCTTGGGTGCGAAGTCAACCTTTGACCGCTTCTCCTCAATAAACTTGGCGTTGGCTTCAAGCTTTTGCACAAGCAGAACAATCATGGAGATAACCTTGTTGTTCTTGTTACCTGTGCTGACCTTACGTGCCTGCTTAACCCAGCGCTTCAACTGAATGATAACAGGCAGAGAAAACTCGGGGAAAGCAATGTTCTTGGCCCAAATAGTGAAGTACTCGCTGAAGAGCTCGACAAGCTGCTCTCCCACACCGTCCTGGTAAATACGCGTGCGGTGGTATGACTTGGGGGCCTTGTAGGCAACGTTGAAGTCAAGCGGTTTGATAGAAGACGCCTTCGGGAATCGCTTCATCTCGGCCGAGTCGAGCACCTCAAGAAGAGCAGATGCAACAGGAATGTAGGTGTTTGTTGCGCGGGAGAGGCGCAGGATAGAGCGGACCAGGTGGAACCGCACAGGGAAGAATGTCGAAGAAGGGACGAGTCGCATAGCGCCCATGGTGACCTGCACGAGGGGGTAGATCAAGAGCTTCAACTGGCCCTCCTTACCCGCTTCCGCCTCCTTCAGGGGACTGCAGTGCTCAGCAAGCACGCATGACCAGAAGTCCAGCGAGTGGGTATATTGCCAGTTGTAGATGATCTTGTGCGAATCCTTCTCCTTCTTCACAATGCTGTTTCTGAGGTGGATGGCGAGTTGACGGATAAAGCTGAAGGCTGTCGTATAGCCGACGTTTTGGTCAATACCCCACAGTTCTGCGGCAGAGTTCTTCATTAGGTTGATGCCCTGGATGGTGTTGATGTTAGTTGCACGGCATCCTGAAACGAGTCCCTGATATGTTGCCTTAAGGACAGTCTCGCGAATGCCCTTGTCTCCAATGACAACCAGTTTCCGCAGAACGAGGAAAGCGGTGATCTTGGTGGTTTCTGAGCTAGCCGGTCTAGCCCAGAAGTTCACAATAGTCTTGATCAGAACTTTGAGAAGCTTTCGGAACGACAACAAGTAAGGCACAAGAGGCTCTAATGAGCCAATGGTAAGCTTGAGAGTCGCGTCGTCAGACAACGTGCTGAGAAGGTGGATGATAGACGCAGTGAACGTCTTGATCATAATGGACAGGGTGTGGAACTTCTTCGAGTCCGTGGGCACATAGATCTTTCCAGACGCGGACTCCTTAATAGGCAGGTGGTGGGAGATGACAACGGGAATCTGCTTGAGGGCCACGATCAAGATGTCGTGGAAAACCTCTGGGCTGGAAATGGTGTATCTCTGGGGATTGGTCTCGTCTGCGTCGTCCTCGTTGAGGTGGGCAGCGGAACGGAAAGCCAGGACAACCTGTCTCGCAGCACGCAAGCTCTGCTTCTCCTCAACCAGCTTCTTCCACTTGGCGACCATCTCACGAGTGAGCTCGTTGTCCGGGAGAACCTCCTCTTCGGCCTGCTGCTTCTTAGAGTCCTTCTTGCGCTTCTTCTTCGGTTGCTCGTCGTCGGACTGGTCGCTGCCAGCGCTAAGCTCGTCTACTTCGGCCATATCGGCGTTTTCGTCAAAGTCAAGGGCTTCAGGGTCGTTTTCCTTCAGGAACTTGTAGAACTCGGGGTCGTTCTGGGCAAGCTTGTCCATGGCCTCTTTAGACATGCCAAGGCCCTCGTCCGCATCGTCGTCGTCGTCACCATCTTCACTGTCGCTGGCTACAGGCTGCTCCTCAACTGAGACATCAGACGTGCTGCCATCGTCTGAGTCCTCACCTTCTCCCTCCGGCGCATCGCGCTTCCTCTTGCCGATCTTCTTCTTGTCCTTCTTGTCGATGATGTCCTCAAAGCCGCCTTGGAAGAAGTCGTCGACGCTCATAGCGCTAACATTGGCGTCCTTCTGGTGACCCTTGGGCTTGGCACCAGAAGCATCGCTGCCCTTGAAGAATTCTGCATCCTTGGGTCGCTTTGCCTGCTTCTTCGCCTTAACCTGTTGGCGCTGCTTGATTTTGGCGGTCTCCTTCCTCTTGTCGAGAACACCCTTCAGATGTTTCTTCTCGAACTTCTTCGTGGCCTTAAGATTCTTCTTTGTGGAACCCATGGTGAACGGATTCTAAGGGGCCGGTCAATTGGGATCCTGCGTTGGGGGGTGGTGGGAGAGAGGTTTTGGCTGCAGGGACCGTGGGACGGGAACTTTCAATAGCAGAACCGCTCGCTGCCATCCAAAATTTTTCTGGACAGGCTTATCTTATCGGCAATGGCGCTATCCCTTTCTGGGACTGGCATCGCAGTCTGCCCCACGTCTCTAGCTGAGGCTCCTACTGATGTATGGAACCTCGACACCCATGTCTGACTTATTGGTGTGCTTGGCCTCCACGACACGCGGCGCAGTTACTGGAGCTTAACAGCTCGAAGCTGTGACGGCTGTTGACCGACCATGAAGCTGGAGACGATTAGAACCCAGACGCGAAGATGATGCCCCGGCAACCCTATGCGCCAACGCCGCATAGCTATATCCCAAACACCACACTATCAGCAACAATTAATCTTGATGAGGTACCGCAACCCAAGTTGCTCCGTCTTCTGCAACTCCCTTTATGCCCCGCCCCCGCAGTGCAGCAACAGGTATGCTAACACGATGATGCATCACGACAGGAAGTGAAGCTAGCCGATACTCGCGCCGAGCGAGACCTGCAAGACTCGCTTGCCGAGATCTTCAGCATCATAGTCACTCTCGACGAGCTCGAGAAGGCCTTCCTGAAGGACGCCATCCCCGAGGCTGATTACACCGAGATCTGCGAACGGTCCCTGAAGCAATACAAATCTATCTTGGCCGACGAGACCGTTGCAAAGGCTTTCCGGGGCCTCGAGGAGTTCAAAGCAGAATGGGATGTATGTATCATCATTACCGAATATCACCAGCCTATGACGGACGGCCACGATGCTAACACACTGGTCTCGACAGCTCGAAGTTCCCCGTGCGACAGAGCGCATCCGCGTCGGCATGCCTTCAACAACCGTGACCGCCTCTTCAAGCGCTGCCCCAGCCCCTACCGCTGCAGGTAATACGAGCGGCGCACTGATTTTGGAGGCGACGCAAGAGTTCATCACCTTTCTCGACGCCGTCAAGCTAGGCCTGCTGTCCAAAGACCAGCTGCATCCTCTGCTCTCCGACGTCATCCAGTCTGTCAACAAGGTGACAGACCGTGACTTCGACAACAGGGGCAAGATTGTGCAGTGGCTTATCACGTTAAACCAGATGAAGGCCACAGATGAGCTGAGCGAGCAACAAGCCCGCGAGCTAGAGATGGACATCCAGCAGGCTTACCAAGGTTTCAAGAGCACTCTCACTTAACAAGCTATTTAAATTTTCTGAGAGAAGATAGTTCTTCTGATTACAGGTAGATACCACTGTAGAGCAATTATGCACGACCTTTCCGTGTTTCCCTTGACGACGGTTGATTTGATGTTGCGTGAAGAATAAGAAAGGAATCGCCGGCGTCTAGACCAGAAATGTCCAGAAGCTGGGATACACAAACTCATTCTCAAATATCCTTCGCACCTGTTCCAACACAAACCTCTCCACCTTGCCAACGTTCTTGAGGCTCTGTTTCCCACCATCTCGGAGCCCGATCTCGCTCTCGACCTGAATCTCCTGCAAAAGACCTCCGAACCTCTTTCCAGGCTCGCTGGGTCCCGCCTCGTCCGCACCAACCGCCGTGACCGCATCTTCAGGGCTCAAGAAGCAAAAGTGTATCCTTTTTCTGATGTGCGCCATCACTCCCACCCCGTCAAACGTCAGACCCGTGACACTTAGTTGCACGGGTATTCCCACGAAGCTGGGCATCGGGTAATCAAGCAGGATCTCCGCCGTCAGCCGCAGCCGCACGTCGCCCGCATACCGAATACGGAATACGGCCTGCAAGTCATCTGGCTTGGGCTCCCGGAATCTTGGCGCATTCTCGTCAGGTGCCTCTTCATCCTCTTCCTCCTCAATGGGCGCAGACCCGGAAGCAATGTGCGTGTCCCTTGTGGGCGGCCTCGACGCTCCCGCGGATGTTGGTGCTAGTGTAGACACGCTCGCCTTCTCCCTCAGGTCCTGCTGTTGCTGTTGGTTTTGCTGAGCAAAGGCTGCGGGGTTGAAGTCGCTGACGGATATTGAGCTTTGCGATGCGTGCCGGCTGTGACTCGGCGAGTAGCCATTCAGCAATGGTGAACCCACAGGAGATGCCATGGCCGATGAGTCCAGCCTGTGGTGCGCGCCGGCTACCGCTGCGAGTGGCGTCTGGGTCCCCGACCAGCCGGTTCCCAAGTGCGACTGAAAATAGTGTAAATTCGACGCACCACCCAGAATCCCCGGCGTTGACACGCCCAAAAACGGGCTCGGAAAGTCTCCAGACTGCCCTCTCAGCGCATGCGTCCTTAGCCTTGGTGGCAGTGATGCCTCTTCCCTTTGCCTCCTTCTCTCAGCTGCGCTCAGCTCTCTTGGTACATGCTGCTGTGGTGGCGGCAGCGGGGGTTCCTCAACAGCATCCTCTTCCTCCTCATCGTCCTCAATATCCGGATTCTCCTCATAAAAGTCTGGCAACGGGTCGGTAATGTCCTTGAGCTCCAGCTCAGGCGCGATGGTTCCAAACTCAAAGTCGTGTACTTTGACAGACTTAATGAACCGTGGGAGAGGCACAGCCTGAAATTTTGTGTGGATGAAGTCACGGATGCGGAGGGCTAGTGCCTCTCCATCGGGGCCCGTAGTGAGCGTCTCCCAGTTGAGTTCTATTGACATTACAATGAACTATTGGGCGAAAAATTAGGTCTTGGTAAAATTTCGATGGCTTTTGATACTGTTACATCCCGTTGTGCAAGAACTGATTGACAATGGTGGAGATTGCATTTTGAGTTGCGCTGGGTTGGGGCGCCTAACCTTCCTGCGGAACATTGGCTAGGATCCAATCTGAGGGGCTGAAACTCGTTTTAGTGGACCGAATTTGGCTTCTAAGCGGTGTAATCTCATGCTTTAGAGCCAAACAGTAGTAAAGGAATCACGGCGACAGTTTGACATTCTGTGATTTATTCGCAATCACAAATGTGGCTCATGATGCGACGCATAAATTGATAGATACCTTATGGTAGTTGACGTCATTACTGGGTATCTAAACTTCAAGGCCGTTATTCATTAACGCCGTAACACACTATTTCCCCTTCGCTAGAACAGCCAAATCTAGTCCATCGTTGGGTAGACTCCATTTCAAAACCGCGTGTTTCCCTCTAATGAACGCCTGCAATGCCATAACTCTGCACGATAGCCAGCCTAATTACAGTTTAAAACTAAGGAAGCTATCACTCCGGCTTTGCATCAGATTCAAAGCGTGGTCTCATGGTGCTAGCCATCTGCTGAGGCGCGCCGAATTGATGCCAGCAGTTTGGTGCTTGGAGGATGTATCTGAACCGGATGTTAGTGCCGCAACCCTACATGATTCCAAGTAAAACTTACCTCGCCATTGCCTCACGGAAACGGGACTTGTACTCCTTCGGACTGGTAACTGTCGGACGATTCCTGCCACCGCCTGCAAAACCACGGTCCTTGATCCAACTCTCAAGCTTCTTGTCCCAAGTATAAGTACGGATACAATCAATGATACCGACGACCAACTCTTTCCTGGATTCGTCAACTGCAATCATCAAGGAGTAATCCATGACATTTTGCCGAGCAAGGAAAAGGGTGTCGTTCCAGACCTGATTGATTAATATGACTACTTGCATTACGGGTAGTTGGTAACTTACAGATGCTCTCAAAAGCTTCTTGGAGTGCTCCCGCGCAAATAAGGGTGATTCGTAAATGAACTCTACCATATTTTCGTCAAGAAGCACCTCATTCTGTTCGCCTGTGGATTGTATCTTGCGGTTACGCATGGAACCCTTCAAGTCGAAGAGACGCGTTGGGCCACGGTCGTAAAACAGGTTTTCCATGAGCAACAGGTCCAACTTGATCTCTACGCCAGTGACAGGGTTCTTTATGATGAGTTGGAAGAATCCCAGCATCTTGGCAATCACCGAGGGCAAGTCATGGAACAGAGCCTCTGCCATGATGCCAAAATAGGCTGGCGCAAAACGGAGGAAAGCAGATGTCTCGATTGGAGATAACCCCTATTAACCAGTCAGTCACCGTACACAACAGAAATACGGAACAGCCCGTGCTCAACTTACCTTCAACACAAGTCTGTCGTCAAGAGTTTTGAGGAAGACCGATTTGGTTTTGCCTCCCTTTGAGTCCCATTTCAAGCAACGGGAGAGAGACTCGACGATCCGGTCTGCAACGCCACATTTCCGCCGTAACGCGTCAAATTGCTCTGCGTAGAAAATCTTGCAGAGCATCGTTGCGGAGCCCTCTTTGAACTGGTATTTCAAATGGGTCCCCGTTGCTCTAAGCAAGCTCTTCTCTAACTCGCCCTCTTCCATCACGAATTCACCGCCAGTGTCTGACATGCCTGACGACTTACCGTCGAGATTGGATGCCTCATGATCTCTCTGTATCGCCATCCGCTCCTGGCGGCGGATATCGGCCAGTTTTGTACGGTAGTCGTCCGAGCTCAGTGCGAATGCGATAACGGAACTTGGCTCATCTTCTCTTACTATAACATCCGAGTCGAGGAAGATGTGATCGCTCGCGTTCACTGGGTAATCAAGCTGAGGCCAGCCGCTTGCTGATCGCTCAGCCCAGAAGTTCGTAAGCATCTTCATCAGGCTAGTCTTTTGATGCTTCGGCAATTCCAATGGGATCTCTGTGCTGGGCTCGAGAGAGTCGGCTAGCTCCTTGACATCAGGCAGCAAGTCATCTAAAATCGATTGTTCGGTATCGCTCTGACCCTCATCGTCAGAACCCCCGTGACTAGCAGTAACGGTTGCGGTGTCGTCCGTCTCCCCACCAACATGGTGTTCGTCGGACTGAGGGGGTGCTTCTGGCACGGGCTGCGCTTCTTCAACAGGGGGCGTAACAGGCGTGGGCTCTGTTTGCACCGTATCCGGTGCTGGGGTGACAGGCGCTGTCTTGGATTCAAGAATCTTGACCTCGTTGTTTTGTTCGGTAGACGACGGTCCCGGCTCTTGCACAGCGTTGTCAATGTTGTGGTAGACCTCTACGATGGCCTTGGTTGCCGATCGCGGCAAGCCTGCTCGAGGCTGGTTTCCCTTAGCCAAGCGCTTTCTCCGATCCTCACGTTGTCTCTCCTTCTCAAATTCGCGGCTCAACTGTTCAAAGTGTCGAGCAATTCTAGACACCTGTGATGACACATGTGAATCCTTCTTCTTAGTAATAAGCCGAGGAATTGAAGAAGGGCCGGCTTTTCTATGGCTTTTCATTCCCAACCCTAGGCGGTCGAACGGCTTCTTGTCTATTTTGAAAGAAGTTTCAGTTGAGGTCTCGCCAGCACCTATACTGTCTTTCGGCACAATTGGCTTTCCGAAGCTTGGTTGTGACCTTGGCAGTGTCTGAGCAGGCTGTGACAAAGTCCTAATCATCGGAGCTCTGCGAGCGACAACGCGTTCGGGATTCAGCTTTGGCGGCGCCTCGGCTGGCTCCTCCGCCGAAGGCGTTTCGGTACCCATCGCTTGGTGTTCGCGACGGAGCTGCTCAACTTTCTCTGACAGAGAGATGCCGGTAGACGTAGAGGTAAGTGAAGGTCGGGCAGTGGAAGAGGGTGACTCAGTGCTGCTAGGACCCGCTGGCGTTTCCTCGTTCCCTTCGGTAGCGGCGAAGGCAAATGGAGACTTGATCGTAGTTGGGCCTGGAGTAGCAAGATCTAGAGATTCCACCCTGTCCAGGTCAGCCTCAGCGGGCGGGCTGATCTTACTACCCTCCAAGGTTGATTCGTCTTTGTCTTTGGAAACCTCGTTCTCTCTCTGCTCTGTTTGCTCTTCCGGTTGCTGGTCTGGCTCTGACGTAGACATAGGAAGAGGAGCTGAAAGAGGGCCTGATTCGCTTTCAGGCTCATGCTCATGTTCCTTCTCTTGCTCTTCGGTTTTCGTAGCATCTACACTTTCGTCTGTGCTGGGTTCGGTTGGATCCGTAGGTTGGGTTGATGATTTCTCATCTGCATCCGAGAATGTCTGCGAAGGAGGCTCCCCAGAATCAGTAGTTGACGCGGTACCATCTGTTGAAGGAAGAGATTCTCGAGACTCGTTATCAGTGAATATTTTCTTCAGCTGAATCATTGTCAACTGCCGCAGATCTTTATCCGGAAGGAAATCTGTCTCAAATTTGGAGAAGGCAGTGTCCCAGTCGCCAGCTTTCTCTAACATCTCCCTGACTATCGCGTTGAAAGGGATAACTTCGTAGTATTTGGAGTTGACGTAGGTTTCCTGAAGCCTCCGAGTCAACAATATTTGGTCTTCGTGAGCCTTCTTGGCTAGTCTGTCGACCTCGGCTTTGCAAGCATCCGCTTTCTCAGGCAGAACACTATCGATACGAATGCTCTTGATCCTAAGTTTGACGGAATTGATGAAGCGCACCCATCTTTCCTCAATCTTGTTGAATATTTCATTCTTGAGCTTCAAGTCATTTTCGACCTTCCAAGTGATGCGAGCTCTAGGGACAATGATTTCAAGGAGGTCAATGGGGTCGTAATGAATCCTGACCCATGTGTCGCGGTATTGAAAATAACGAATATGATCTCGATGATGGTCGTGGGAGCAACCCGTAATTTCATGGAGCCGCAGCCCTCTGCTCCAGAAAAGGAGCTCGAGATACTTACCAAAGGAGTACTTCCAGGTGCTGTCAGACATTCCCATTTCCGGCGAGTTCTTCTTGCAGGTCTTGCAGTAGCTCCACATGGTGATCCCATCCATGTTACGCCGCTGCTTTAGGGCGGGCTGCTCGACAAAGATGGTAACCCGTGACTCGTCATGCACATATGTACGGTGATGCTCAGTCATTTTGCGATCGCAACCGTTGGCCGTGCAAATCGAATCCTTGTTTATGCAGAGGTCTTCGATGTACTGACCCAATGTACAATCTGGGTCCATGCTTCCGCTGTCGTCTACGTGCTCGTCATAGAATCCAATGGCAATCAATCCAGGCTCTGAGCAAGGGATCTTTGTCTCTGTGCATATCTCCGAGTACAACACGACGATATTCTGGTGAGAGTAGGGGTCAAACAAGTCGAGATTGCCTTGGATATAGTTTTCCCACTGTCGCGTTTGGGTCTGGTAGTTGTATAGTGCCTTGTCGTACTCAGCGTCGTGGACGGCATGGAGTACCTCCATGATTTGTCGTGGTGCCTTCTGTCCGATTGCATGAACCATCTCCGGCTTGATAAGCTGAAACCTCTGCGACTTAGATTTTTCACAGTCTGTTTGCTCCTCTATAACATCCTGGTCCCGCAACCGTTTTAGGTAGACCAATCTTCGCTCTTGCTCACGAGCCTTCATGAGCAGATAAGGCTGGGCAAACTTGACAAACGGAGATGCAGACAGAATTTTCGTCTCATACCTCGCAACCATGTCGCTATAATATGTTGGCATTGGAACATCTTCTGGTACTTGCGACTCAGGAGACGTAGGCGGAACATGAGATGCATGCAACGATACAAGTTTTGGCCTCTCATCTTCAGGCGACTCCTCGGTTTGATCAGATGAGATAGTGCCTTCGGCGGTGACCATGGATGTACCATTGCTCGTCTGAGAGGGAAGTTCGGAGTCTGTGGGCGATGTTTTGGAGACTAACGGTACGTTTTTCCCGCTCTCAATGGAGGCGCTGAGAGATCGTGGCGCATCCTCGGGTGGTTGGCGAAGCGATGAAGCCAGGGACGATGACTCATCAACCTCTGCAGGCAGCTGGATGTACTCATCTCTCATCAAACAAGTCTCCAACTTCAAGTTGTAGACCACGTAAACCATGAACTCTGTAATCTTCTTCATTTTAGAGAGAACCTCAGTCGAGTCGCCACGCAAAGCAATGGTGCATCCCAGCTTCTCAGAGCAGCCAGACAGGAAAATGTACGTTTTCTTCTTGCCAGGGTAGTTTTTGTTGACGTAGGTTTTGACTTCAAAGCCACCAGATCTGCCAACTTGTACTTGCAAGGCCAGCATGTCAAGAGAAGAAATGATTTCCGTTTCGGCGCATCGCGATACTGCTTCGATCACCGAAGGCTTAACGTTGTATGCAACTGCGATGTTCGCCTCGGATAAGTATTGCAAAGCAACGCCAGAGACAGACTTTTCACAAAGTAGCAGCTGTGGACGCAAGTTGATGATGCGGTTGACAACAATTCGCAAAAACTCCTTTTCTTGTTCGATCACTGGCTGGAGACTCATGAAGTGTTGCTGATGCCTTTGGTACTCAATAGGGAAGGAAACGATGACAATACGGGGGTTGATGATGCGGCGAGGCATACTCTTGAGGGCTAAGTTCTTCGTGAATATAACTCCGGAGACGTAACTGGTATCGCCTGGCTTGCCTCCTGGAATTTTCTTGAGTTTGACGTAATGACGGATATCCATGTCATCCCCAGCCCTGATGTCGGGCGTCACATCGTCTGTGCATTGAAGCAGGATAGGAATCAAAGCCTTTTCCCAAGCGGGTACGTTGGGTATGCCTGAATCTTCCAGAAGCTGATGGAGAAGTTTCTTCACATGGAGCATGCTTGAGGGATTCAATTCGATCTGTGGCTGCTTATCGTCTTGCATAGAGTCGCTTCTGGTCAATTTGGTGGCCTCAATGGCAGGGTTCTCGATAGTGAAGAAGTTCTCGTTAGAGGCTGAAGGCCCCTTGAAGATTCCAGATTTGGGGCGTGGAGATCGCATCTGATGGCTCACGTTGCTCAAATTGCGTCTTCTGGCTGGTCGACCGTGGCCAACGAAGCTACCAGAAGCGGCATTGTCATCCATCCCACGGCTGGTGAAGCTCAATCCGCTTACGCTTTTCTCGCCTCGGCCTAGTCGATGCCTTCTGCCTGCACTCAAGAATGGTCCAAAGCTAGCCTTCTCATGGTCGTAACTAGACGGCTGTAGATCAGCGCTCGACATTGTAGCAAATATGCTCATTTGTTCGTCACCGCTGGACTCGTCTGACATGTATGCAGCCAGCTCTGGGTCAATGATATTGTCGTCATGGAACGCAGGATATTTGGGCTTCTTTGTCATCTCATCGGTGATGCCTTTACGGAAAGGTGCTCTGTCATCCGGCATAGGCATTGGCTTAAACCGGGCAAGAAAGTTGTTGTGATGCTTTGAATGATGTCGCTTGTGGCTCGACGACTGTGGCCGATTGGCAGATGTCAAGGATCTAAGGGAGCGAGATGAACTGGGGCGACTGAGTTGTGGCGCGTCAATTTCCAGAATGGCAGAGTTCCGGTTGGAGTCGTTGATTCGTCTGGTGGCCGGGATTGCCATCATTGGAGTTTGAACAGACCTAGCATCGCCTAGGCCTTCCATTTTGTCTGCGAAACTGGGCTCTATGACTTCAGCTTCAGCCTGTGTTATTTTGGGTGTTGCCTTTGTTTGACGGAAAATAGCGGGTAGAAAAGAGTCATCCCCGGAGTCCTCAGAACCACTTCCTTCATAGAGACGCTGGTTAATGACTTTCAGGCATGTCTTGCAAACCCGCAGAGTTCCTGTCATTCCGAATTTGGAAGCTGGGATGATTGAGGTGCACTTGGAATCAAAGATACAGCCGCAAGTTCGACAATGGTGTTTTCTCCTGAACGCTGAGAATGGTTGTCCACAAATGAAACATTCTTTGCAAGTTTCGTCGGCCATCCAGAACTCCTTACTTAGGACCTGTCGCCGCATCCGATCCAGTCTTGCATTTACTTGCTCTGGTGCACCCTCGTTGGTCGTGGTGCCAGGGATACGCAATGCTCCTGTCCTTCCGTGCTTGGGTTGGGAGTCGTGGGCGAACGAATCATGGTATACCGAATCATGTGCAGTGGTGCTGATTGGACTTGGCTCCGCAGTGACATGCTCCATAGATGACGATCTCGAGGGTGCGTATCCTGGCGACCCTGAACGGCTTATGCGGTCGATAACCGCTGGTCGCTTAGGAGCAGCAAGCATCGATGCAGCCGAAGAAACCGGTGATCGGGGATCTGTCGTCTGCAACTTAGGTAGCGGTGGGGCGTTGATCTTCACAGGACTCGATGGCTTTTCAGAGGGGCCATCAACACTAGCAACTTCTTCGCGTCTCGACCGTGAGCTTGCGTGGGTTCGGTCAACGGCTGCAGTAACTTTGGGCTCCAGAACATCGAATTTGTGAGAGCTTTCAGAGCCAATAACGAGCGGTCGTGGATCGGTTTTGCTGATACTCCGCCTTCCAGATGACCGGCCGGGTCCATCGTCTACATGCGGCAAGCTTCTCGTAGCCGTAGCGGGCGCGACCTCCGGATTGATAGCCGTGACCGCCGAAGCCTTGGTTGCGTTGGGTAGGCTCTGCCGGCTAGACGTACTAGATTTAGAAGCTGTCATGGCGGAAATCGAAGTCGCCTTGGAGGACTGAGCGGGATGAGACTGGCTGTCGGACATGACAGTGTTAACCCCTGACGATGAAGTGGCTGTCATGGGGCCATCGTTTGTCGTAGCCGAGTTAAATGAAGAGCTGGTTGCAGCAGTCTCAGCGCGGCCAAGGGAGGCAGTTGGGGTTTTTGATGTTGTGGCAGTTGTGCTGGTGCTGCGTTTCGAAGCAGCATCGAAACTGTCAGCGTCATCTGCATCCTGCGTCCTCGCCCCGACGGCGCCAACGGCGCCAACTGCCTCCTTGAGACGACTGTACAGTCCACTGAGCCCATTCTGAACGAACTCGCCGGCTAGGGCCTTTGTTTCTGTTGCGGGAAGGGAGGCAGGAGGAGGAGCAAAATCGTTGAAGGTTGTCAAGGAGTCGGACTGGCTCGCAGAGGTATGGATCCGGTTGAGAGTATGGGCCAACTGGTCTTTGTCGGCCTGCGAAGCCGTAGATATAGAGTTGATGGAGTCATGGCGGCTTCTGAAGCCTGGAGGCGTCGAGAGGACTGCTGGGGAGTTCGGCTTCGGAGTGTTGTTGCTAGACATCTTGCGCGGAGGCAGATGCGACGAGAAAGCGGTAGAGGGGTTCGTGGTTTCTACGACATCGGGAGCAGCGCAAGCATCTTCTATTTTCAAAATGACATGACGGCTGCTAGGAAGGTGGTCTCGTGAGGGGCCTTTTGACTTCAGTCCTTGTTCTCCTCGTCGCCTATGCCCGCCCAATCGGACCCGTTGTACCGAGCGTGTTCACGTTATGCGGAATCAGAGACACGCGTTCGTCAGGGAGGAACCGTTCTGGAAAGGCTTTCGTACTCCACGAGATGCGAAGATATCGAAATATTCTCGACGAGGTCGTGGGTGAAATCAAGGGTCCGAGGAGGGGCGCAGGTGACGACGAGTAGGAACGACGTGGCGATGGTCAGGCTCGAGACGTGTGTAAGGCGGCGAAGGGGGAGAGGGTGTGGTGTGTCTGTCGTCTTAGGTATCCGTAGTCTGCAGAACGAGCTAATGTATTGAAGTTGGAGCCGGATGCTTTTTAGAGGCGGACTATCCGCGGGCTACTGCAAAGCCAACCAGCGCTATCCCTCCGAGGTCCAGGCCCGCGTGGTCCAGCGGCTGCCAAGTTGGTGGAATCGTCAAACGGGGGTGATGACGAAGCTGGCGCTGGGTTTCGATGATAGTGGGCAGTTGACAAGTCCAGTCTACAATGTCTGGTACATTCGATGCCTTGGAACGGTCGGCTTAGGGGGCTTTTTGGACGGAACAAGAGCCGTTGCAGCAGCAGTTGCAGCGCATGTGGAGGTACCCGGTACGCGTTTCCGACACAAGCCGATCCACTTGCATGAGGTACGTACCTCATTCTGTATACTCAGGTGCCTTCGCTCAGATTCCGAAGCTTGGGCCATGTCCAAATCAGAGCCTGCCCCACGTAAACTGCCCAAGACCCCGCAGTCCCAGGCTCCCGCTGCTGCTTAATTGGGTACGATTGTAGATTGTAAGGGTAACACCAAAAAACGCGCCTAATAAGGGACCTAAAGCTTTGGCGCGTCTTGTTCGTCTACGGGGTAACAACCTTCAGGGAAAAATATCGTTGCTTCCCTGCATACCTGGGGCTCATTCACCCCAAAAGGGCATATCTGATGTGAGGAATATGTGACTTTCTTTGCCGCCATTACCGCCTTACGCCTATCACACACTACCTGATTGATACAACCATCACGAAGCAATTCTTTGACGTGCTGCAACCCTCATGTGGAACAAAACAGAGTCATTTGTCGGTCATCCCGTTTGCTATCGTCACGATGGGAAGCTCAAGAGATAGCTCGCAATCTTACAACATGTCGCCATCCATTCACACACTTTTTAACGAACATTCAATTCCCCGAGGCCTCACCCGAATTCCCAAAGACCAGCAGAAACTTCTGGACCGCCCCGATTCATGGTCTAAGGGCAATCGTCATGAGACAGTCAATGTGCCCGCACGTGTACTTGAAGACGTCAAAAACTTGCACACAGCTCACACTCTGCCGCCCCCCGCTCAAAAACAGCAAGACCCCGTCTCAAGCGGACTTTCTCAGCCAGAGCCAACACGACCAGCAGCAGTTGACAGCTTGTCGGGCGAGGATGACGATAAATCGGATGCTTCTTCTGGCCCGGGAACGCCACTTGGTTCCTGGTCACAATCCCCTGAACCAGCTTTGCGTCCACCAAGACAGGATCCCTCATCTTCGCCTTCAATCAAATCACAAGTTGAGATAGAAAGTCAAATCCCTGCACTATCAGCAGAAGCGGATCTTCCGAGCAGTCCCCCTCAAGGCCTGTCATCGCCCATTGTGCCGGCCATAGAGCGCTTCAGCCCATCTAAAATGTTGCCTCAGCCGGCCTTGAAGCGACGTCGCATAGAGTCATTCCCCTCAAGCAGCGCTGGGCCAGATGATGAGTTGGAAACGTCCATTCCTAGTGCACTTGTTCAAGCAACGTCTCCTATAAATAGGGTGGCAGCACATTTAATGGCAGCCACCGAAGCTGCCACCAGTCCGCCGTGCGGACAGGGTAGCATAATACCATCTACTTATAATGACACAAGAAGCCAAGCCAAGCCATCAACCCCAAAAGAGAAGCGGAAATTTAAGGCAATCAGTTGGTCGCCCGAACAGTCTACTAGAGGTCTTACGTCCGACACAACCCTCGTTCAACTACCTACAATACCATTCTCTCAGCCGGAAGAGAATGTTTTGCCAGCATCTTCAGGCCCACTTATTGACTCGACATTCAAGGCTGCCGACGCGGATTCATCATTGCAAACACCGCACATTATCTATGATAGCCCTGGCATGACCAGAACTCTCCGCAAGGATCAACAAGTTAAGTCTAATCTGTGTTCCGAGCCCGGACCTCCCGGTTCAGCATCAGACTCGGATGTCAACAACAAAGTCACGGCAGGAGGAACCACCAACCTACATGCAGCCAAGCCAATGGTAAACCTAGGCGAGCCCTCGCTGTTAAAAGAAGAGAAATATAAACAGGTGATCGTCAAGTACTTGGATAACACATGGGGCGCTGAGGAATCTCAGTGGCTCCCCACGGCTATGCAGCATCATCGGTCACTACTGTCAAGAAGCAGTCTTGAGGTCTTGCGGAACCTTACCATGATGGCTATCAATGGTGGCATCAAGCTTGCAAGATTGTGGTCCGAACCAGATGGCCCTCTTTATCACGCGGCCTCTAAGCAGGCCAAGGGGAAACTCTCATTCCCTGAGGATCTCAACCACGAGTCGTTTGACTTCTTCCAAGCTGAGACTTTGCGGCTAGCGAAACAGAATAGAAAAGGTGCAGTAGATGCCACAGCACCCCTGCCACCACATGTCACACACACGACAGCCTCTGACCAAAGTTATGCTGCTGCTGCCGGAACGGGCGAAGGCAGTCTATCGATACAAACTGCACAGTCGCACCTCTCCAGACCAAAGACCGTGGAACAATTTCCACAAGATCCCCTAGAGGCATTTCGAAACGCTTATCCTTCTTTCTCAGGGAGTGCAAAAGACTTTGTCGACGCCTGCGTTGTGATCGAAGGTCTTCGTCGTAGACATGCACTGCCCAAATGGTTGTACGACGACTTCGTTCGTGCCTATGTGGAAGGCTACATTCCATATATGGCCCGTACTGATTCTGGCAACGATGAACGACCACTTTCAACCATTCAGTGGTATGTTGACGCTGTCGATCGCCCGGTCTTCCAGGAGGGCATCATTACAGCTGAAAGCCTGAACCAGGTATTCAGGATCTACCCAAATGAGTATAACTCTGCAAAAAAGACGATTTCACAGAAGCTGTCACCATCGCCGACCGTTGAAAAGAAGGCCGCCACGCCGTTGGCGGATGTACCGATGGAAGATATACAGACGCCACCAGTGACATTAAATTCTGGTCCAGTTCCTGGCCATCTTGCGAAGTTTCCCCTGGACACAACCATAATGTCGGTTCATCAGCTGAACTCTCCACTCCGGCGTCCCTCCAAAGATATGCCAAATACGCTAGGATCTAAGCAGGTGGACATTGACGAACAGCCAGAAAACATATTGGCCGAACAGCCAACCCAGAACAATATTAATGACAAGAAAGGCAAACAACGAATGACGAGCGAAGACATTCAGTGTAGTCAGGGCGTGTTGGCATCCGCGCCAATTATTCAGGATCAACCACCAACCACACCAAGGGATAATGACGCTGTCTTCATTTCCAGCACCCGAAGACCTCAACAAACACATTCAAGGGCAAATGGTCTGGAGAACGATGTTAAGCATGAGAGGCGGACTTCTTCGGGCTCGCTTGCTCAGCCTGCTTCACCGAAACTCACCCCCGTCAAACCAATCAATGGTACAATGTCGCGGGATAGCCGCATTGGAAGCGTGCTAGAGACCCCGATCCCGGCATCGACAGCCGCTGCAACTCCGTCTCGGAGCAACACGACGTCGACACCAGAGAAAACAGCCGTACGTCGAACTTTGCCGGCTTCTTTCGATTGGGGCCCTCGTTCACGTGCGCCTCCAAGCAGTCCAGCACGAAGTACTCTCTCCGTATCAACCCAGGACAATCGCGTTAAGAAGGCCAAGAGAACACCACAAGAAAGTGCGAGGAGGCTCGAGGAATACAGACAAAAGATAATGAAGCTGAACAAGGAGGGGCGTCTCCATCAGCAGGGCGGAGGTAGTTAGGGTGTCAGTGAAGGGACTCCAGGCTTCGTGTCTGATGCCCGATTATTCATGATGGTGCTGATATTCAACCAAAACAAGAGCCTCTTTTCATGGGATGGCCTTTAAAAAAAAAAAAAAAAAAACCCACACACCCTTTTTCTCTTGGACGAGAACTTGAACGAAGGATGGCTTCATGTAGTTAAGATACCCTCAGAGCAGTTTGTATTCGAAAAAGTGTAGTATTAGGCTACTTTAATTGGACGGGCTGAAATATGGTACTTCGAAAAAGTCAAATCTGAATTGCTCAGGCAATCAATCTGTCTAGACTGGATCTAGCGTGTTTTTCGCGACCGGCTCTCTGAAGAGTCTTGAAGGTATCTAATGCCCCTTTTTAGAAAACATTGCCAAAAGTAGAGATTCCCTGTTGCCCATATGGCATTCGTCGTATCTGATTCGTAAAAAATTGGTATGGTTTTCGTCGCAGCAAGCATGACTCCGTTATAGTTAACACCCGCGCCCGGTGATTCCCAGTGTTTCATCATGTCCTCCTTCCCATCGCAGTGGTCGTTATCTCTCGTATCAAATGTTTGCTGGTATTTTGCGGCGGTTTCTTCGTTTCTTTGTTTTTGTTCGGTTCTTTGATTTATTACTTTATTGTTCAGGCCGAGTCGTCGGACGCCTGGGCCTCAGCAGCCTTCTTGGAAGCTGCCTTGGCTGCCTTCTGCCTTTCCTCCTCCTCGGGAGTCAGCGTCTTGAGCTGCAGAGCATGAATGCCGCCCTCGCGGGCCATCTCCTCGCGGAGGAGAGCGTAGATCATGCGGTGGCGGGCGGATTGCATCTTTGTGCCGAAGGCGTCGGAGACAATGACAAGTCTGTTGCGGGGGCAATTCATGTTAGAGAGGAGGGGTAGTACAGCTGAGGTTCGCAAGGAGGTCGTCCGTACCTGAAGTGTGTTTCCTTGGAGGTGTTTCCAGCCATGGCCTTGTGGTGGCTGTGAAGGTGGGAGTCGTTGTAGATTTCAAGTGTGGAGGGGGAGAGAGCCGCGGTGACCTTTGGGACGGCATGTCAGCAAACATTGGACATACTGGGCAGTACATCAACAGCGACGGTAGGAAGGGCAGCTTCGTACCTTGGAGCGGATGGCATCCTCGACGGGGGTAGCGGAAGACATGTTTGGCGGTCTGGCGGAAGCCGAGAAACCGAGGGCGTATCTGCGCAACATTGGTGTCGGTATTTGAGTGAAAGTTCCTCCGGTCAAACTACTCCCGATCCTGCCGACAAATGGGCGAAAGGTGTTCATGGGGAAGAGAGGAGAGAGGAAAGGAGAAAAGAAGGAGAGAAAAGGAGGACTAGAAGTAGGCGTATCGCAAAAAGGAGGTGAGCAAGGTATCCGTACCTTGGAGTGGATGGAGCAGCGGCAAGCAAGCAAGGCGACAGGGAATAAGAAAGCTGCGTGTGAATGGATATGCTAGCCCAACAACTGTTTTCGGTTTAGGTATGGCAGCGCGGTGTGTAGTGCTGTGGTGGTAGGTAGCTATCTGATAGACCGAAAGTGCGGTAAGATCAGGTACGGGCGGGACGGGTACGTGTGTGTGTGTGCAAGGTTGTGTGTAGTGAGAGTGCAAGCAGATTTTCGCAGACCACCCCCGGACGGGGTAGAAGAAGTTTCGGTGTGTCGGTGAAAAAAGAGCGGCATGCGGGATGGGCTTGGCAGGCAATATGACATTTGGGGGTGTAGCCAATTAGCGGTACAGGAAAGCTGGCTCTGTCCTTCCGGTTGGTAACTGGTGGACCCCACCAGTAGAAGCACAGGAATCACATTGGGCCGCCCGGCCGGGGTCTTTTATTTTATTTTTATTTTCTTTTCGTTTTCTTTCCAGTGCGTGTTTCTAGAGCTTCGCTGGCCATGCAAGGCAAAACGGCCCACGGGTTGGGTTTGGGTCTTCACCAGGTGCGTGGTGCCCATCTTTCCCCCCCACCCATGCCTTCACCCCCCTCCCTCGTGTGAGATTGTGAGGTGGTTAGCTTTGCTTTTGCATTCTGGTTTGCTGTTATGTCCACCGCCCTTCTTCTTTGCTTCTTTCCATCCCATCCACTCCCCCTGTCCGGGCCATGCCATCCCGTCACATCCAAATGGACAAGATGGGATGAGGAGTCACAGTTAGTGCATAAGGTGGACCAGCTGGTAAAAGGCTAGAAAACAATTGGAAGACGTGGGAGGCAAAGAACTGTGGGCACAATGGCTCATCCTGACAATCCACGGCATACCGCCCATACGGATAGAGTCAGAAACGCTCACCGCGTGTTTCCCAACCCCCGTCACCGTCACCGCGCATCCAGAGCACGAGGCCTTGCAGCACCACAGCTCCGCTTTGCACAAGGCACTATTGACACCTGATCAAAACATCCAAAATATCCCAGCGTCCCGGCTGTTGATTCACAATATCGCCAATGCACCCGAGCGGGGAAACATAGCTTTCTGGACCTTGCTTTGGAAGCAAGGCCCCAATGCGGGTGCGGGTGCGGGTGCGGTGGTGACGTGGGTTGCGGTTCCTTTGCAGCGGTAGAAGCAGAAACAGAAGCATAAGCAGGAGCATGAATATGAACATGAGCAAGAAGCAAAGAAGTAGCAAGCAACGGCCGCAGCGGGAAGGGGAGCCACAACAACAATATCAAGGAAATGTACGGCCGAGATACTTTCTCCTCCGTGCAGAGGTACTCCTAGGACGCTATGCAATGGAGGGACGGATAGGTGCCTGATAGAAAAGGGTCCGTCGCTTCAGTCCATCCCCACTCATGTTCCTCGACGCTGGTCGTGGACACGAAACCTGCACCTAAGGAAGACAAGACTGAATAGCAGTGCCCTTTCCCACCGTCCCACGATGTTGGATGTGGGAAACCCGCCCACACACGCACCCAACACACACACACACACACACACAAAAAAAATAACGGATACCCAGGTACCCAGGCACCGGAAACCAGCACCGTACCCGCGGCGCATACACACCCCCATCTCTCACTGTCCTTCAACCACAGCACCATAGCACCCCTTAGCACCAACCATTGTATACCAAATCTCCAACGCCCCGCTAAGCAAGCCACACTTTTCCGTCCGGTCTTCGGCAGATCCAACCGGCGGTCCTGCAAGGAGAAGTCCGATCCGGGGACCTAACGCGCCGCAAGCCGCAGCGCAGAAAAAAAAATTAGACCACGACGCTGCACTCTCACCTACCTAATCCGACTCCCGAGCGCAACCATCGAGGGGTCGGTCCCCCCCAATATCCACTCCGTGTTCCGGTCCTTAATATTAACGCCATTGATAACGACGCATATCATTGTGCCTCCCCCCCTCCCCTCCCCCACTCATGTTGGCCTCCGGTTTGCGGAATGTAGCACGACGGCCCGGCTGCTGCTGCTCCCGAGCATCACCAAAACCCTACTCAGCCGCTACCGTAATCGCCGCCGCCGCCGCCGGAGCATCGTCTGCAAGCTACTATCACCCACGTCTCACATCATTCCGATCCTTCGCTGCTACCGCGCGCGCATCGCAAATCGCTACAATGGCTTCATCGACAACCCTGCCGAGGCTGCCCCTTTTCGAGGCCATCTCCCGTCACGATCCCGAGTCTACAGCAGTGATCCACTCGCTCTCCGGCCGCCGGTTCAAGTACGGGGAGCTCCTAGGCGACGTGCGCCGCGCGCGGGATAAGTTGTTAAACTCAGCTGGCAAGCCGGACCTGAACGGCGAGCGTATCGCGTTCTTGGTAGAGAACAGTTACGACTATGTAGGTAAGCCAAATCGCAAGAGCACCACTGCCAAACCTCTCCGTGGTTTGAATGTAATGCGCCAGTATCTGACGCTCTCTGCGCCCTGTCTACAGTGACCCTCCTTGCCGCCTTCGCCGCCCGATCGATCGCCGTCCCCCTCTCCCCGGCCTTCCCCGCCGCCGAGCTCCAGTACATCCTCAACCAGAGCGAGGCCTCGCTGCTAGTATCCTCGGCCAAGTTCGCCGCCAAGGCGAAGGAGGTCCTCGCGACTGAGCTCGTCTCGAAGCCCCCGCAACTCGAGCTCCAGAAGCACCTCGGAGGCGGCGCTCATGAGCAGGTGGAGCTTGACAACGCCGACGCCGGCGGCGCAGGCATGATGCTCTACACTTCGGGAACGACCAACAGACCGGTATGAAGCCCTCAGTCCGTATAACAATGGAAAATTCGAGGATCATCAGGCTGATACACGCTCACGTACAGAAAGGTGTCTTGCTCCCCCAGTCCGTCTTGACAGCGCAGTCCAAGTCCCTCATCGAAGCATGGAACTATTCTCCCGAAGACCACCTTCTCCACGTCCTCCCTCTCCACCACATCCACGGCACCGTCAACGCCGTCCTCACCCCGCTTCTCTCCGGCTCCACGATCGAATTCATGTTCCCGTTCAACGCCGACGCAGTCTGGAAGCGCCTCGCCGCGCCCTTCATAACCACAAACGGCACCAACGGCACTAACGGTGTCAATGGCACAGCACACCCCAAACCCAAGGAGAAAATCACCTTCTTTACCGTCGTCCCGACAGTCTACAGCCGCCTCCTGGCAACCCATAAGGGTCTCCCCCTCGACCCAGAAGAGCCGACCCGCGAGGCCGTCTCCCCGAAACACATGCGTCTCGCCATCTCTGGCTCCGCCGCGCTGCCGACCCCCATCAAGGAGGCCTGGAAGACGCTGAGCAAAGGCAACGTCCTCCTCGAGCGTTACGGCATGACCGAGGTGGGCATGGCCCTCAGCTGCGGTCTCGATTTCACCGACCGCGCCGACGGCAGCGTCGGCTGGCCGCTCCCGGGCGTCGAAGCACGTCTCGTAGACACCGACACTGGGGCCGTCATTCCTCCCGGGGAAGACGTCGACCCCGCTACGGGCCGCGAGCGCTCCGGCGAAATCCAGCTCCGCGGCCCCACAATATTTAAAGAGTACTGGCGCAACCCCGAGGCCACGGCCAAGGAGTTCGTCGAAGGCGAGGACGGCCGCGGCAAGTGGTTCAAGACGGGCGACGTGGCTGTGCGCAGACGCGTCGAGGGCGCCGGCAGGAACGCCGCGCAGGCGTCCTGGGCCAAGGGCGACATGTACTTCATCCAGGGCCGCAAGAGCGCCGACATCATCAAGACGGGCGGTGAGAAGGTCAGCGCCCTCGAGGTCGAACGCGAGCTGCTCTCGCTGCCCGAGGTCGCCGAGGCCGCCGTTGTTGCCGTTCCCTCGGGCAAGTGGGGCCACAAAGTCGGCGCCGTCATCATCCTTAACAAGGACATCGTGCCGAGCTGGACGCCCATGGCAATGCGGAGAGCCCTCCGAGATCGGCTTGTAAACTATAAGATCCCACAGGTCCTAAAAGTTGTCGACCACATCCCCCGTAACGCCATGGGCAAGATCAACAAGAAGCAGCTCGTACAGGCTGTTTTCGAGGATCAATTTAGTGGTGACGAAATGTAATAATAGTCTTTGTTGTGTTGGTATACTTGTAGAATGGATGGCACAACCTTTGTTTGAGTAGGAGAATCCGGTATAGAGGGGAGATAGACGAAATACTAAAGAAACAACACATCACCTCACCACGCAGTCGATAGGGAAAAACAGGGCAAACTGGCCTAAAACCTAGGTATCTATTCCGGATTTTCGCGTCCGCCTATGTACTATCGATCATGGCCGTCTAGAAGTAAAGCCATGTTTTTTTTTCTCAGCAACGCCATCATCGGGAGCTCCCAAGACTATCATAAGAAAACCTTTTCCGCCCCTGAAATGCGTTATCATTGATGCATAGCAATGCCTGGTGCGTGTTGGTCTCCACCGGCATCAGGCACAAAAGGTTAACTGAGAAATATGCGAGGAGTGATATCATGCAGACTTATTCGGCCTCTTCTCGCAAGAGCAAGAAGCCAATCATGTCCGATAAAATGCAGGGTTAAGTCGTGTGTCGTTTGTCCGAGTTCGTGTTCTGTTTAAACGGTGTGCTTGGCCTTAGCACGGCTGCTTCCGCTGTGTGCGCTGTCCGTGTGACCAGAGAACTCGACAACCTCACCAGGGGGGAGGTTGAGAATGTCCTTGAACCGACGACCGATGTTCAGGAGAATATCACGGCCCTTATCCTGAGAACGGCCCTTACCACCGGCAACATCTCCGTCACCACGGCCAGGAATGCTCTTGCCAATAGTACGGGTCCAAACACCGATACGGAAGAAAGCCTTACGCACGTTGACGACAACACCCATGACCTCACCATCGTCCTCGCCCTCGAGAGTCTCGCCAATAGCGGCCAGCATGACGTGCAGCCAGAGGTCGTCGATAGGGACGCTGCGCTTCTCCTTGAACTGGTAGGACCACTTGCCACCGTGCTTGTTCTGGGCATCCTCCCACTCGGGGCGGACACCGGCCTTGAAGAGGTGGTAGTCGGACTTGAGGGCCAGCTCAGAGACGGGGGCGATGTTGTTCTGTTGTTACATGGTAAGTCAGGGTATGGAAGGTGGGGTTACGGGGAAGGACGCCGCGCATACATAGACACCCCAGAACTCCTCCACCGAGTTGAAGGTAATAACTTCCTTCAGCAGGTCATTCCAGTTGTCACCCTTTCATCAGTTAGCATAAACGGCACACAAAAATCAACTAAAACGGGAGGGAAACACACCTTGCCGCTGGGGGGCTTGGTGAACCAAAGCGTCCACTTGTTCTGAAGAGGGTGCTTGACGTTGAAGTTTTCCTTATCGTGGAAGACAGTGATAGGCTTGTCGGCATCGTTATCCTTGGTCTCGCTCTTCTCACCACCCTCAGGGGAGATGGGGATGGTGGAAAGGTCGACCTGCTGGTCGGGGTTCGTGGGTGTTTGCACAGTAGTCGCCATCGTGACGGTTTGTTGTGGTGTGGAGTTCGTGAGACGGATTATCGCTCGGACGGATGAGGGGTAGACGTTCAGAGAATGCTGGTGAGACAGACTCTGATGAGAAGACGAGTAGCGGTCTCGACTCGGAGGCGGGCAACCCAGGAATGGGGAAAAGGGTCGCTGTTCGTGGATGGAGGGGAAGGTTTAAAAGTGGGAAGTCCGCTCGAAGAGGCTCGACGACGGTTTGCTCGCTTCACTACTGCTTGGAAGTTACCGTAGGCGATTAACTTCCTTCCAGAGACCGAGGCGGGAGAATCCGACGTTGCGCCAGGCAAGTCAGCGAAGAGACGGTAGGTTCGGGAGAGGTTGAGAGAAGGGAGGAGCGGGTGATGACGTTCTCGTTTGACGAGGTCGAATTGGAAGTTGCGATGGGTTTTGCGAAGGATTGCGCTCAGCAGTCACGGTGCCTTTGCAGTCGCAAAAAAATGCCCAAGCGGGCGGGCCAACCGAATGAAAGAAGAAAAGTGGGGTTGATGGGCTGAACCTCACTGAAAGGTGCTGGTGTGGGAGGTGGGAGGTGCTCGAGGAGCGAAGCCTTTTGCGGGCTGTGGGTGGTGCGAGGGCGGGTACCTCTGCCCAGGCACCTTTCTCTTTTTTGCTGGTCTTGTTAGGGCGATAGACAAACTCCGAGGGCAGGGAATGACAACAGCACCATCCACCAAGCGGATATGGTGGCCTGGGAAAGAAATCCAAGGTGTGGTCCCGGTCAAGACCAGGTTTACGGAAGTTTAAGCAGCCTAGTGGAGGTCTATTGCCCCAATGGTCGAGCCTGTCCGTTGACAACCTTGCATACTTGCAAACTTGCAAACTGTGTCGTGTGGTGAAATACAGACTTCGATGCCATCCAATCCGTAGCTGACTGACTCACTTGGTCCAGCGGTCTGACTGTATTCAACTTGCCCTTGCCCTGCACAGTGGGAAGGGAGGGAAATCATGCTCTCTATTCGTTAATAATAGAATACTTCATACTCGGGTTGTACATGTCTTTGTCCAATTTCATAAGGTTGTACAGCCTATGTCTGTACCTTTTCCTAAATGGTAATTTGCATTCTTGGCAATCTTTCAGAAGTGAGGGACTTGAGCGAAACGGGTTCACTCCTGACCCCTTCTCTGCCCCTTCCTACGCTCGAGGACGCATCCTTGTTTCGAGATGAACTTTTTTGTCTTTGGAGTCCGAAGTCTGTATTTTTGACTGCGGTCACAGGGAATTTTCCAGAAGCTTTCCCCTTGGTGCCCGGAACGTCCGACCGCTTGAATTAACACTTACTTACTTTTGGGCCATCATATGTTGCCACAAAAAGTTGCACGCTGTCTCGTTCATCAGACAATTCATTTCTGTCAGTTAATGATTTGATACACCGCCAGTAAGCCTCGGAAGGCAGGACGAATTGATGTCAACCAGGAGCAAGTGCCCTGAGACCTGTGTGGGTGAGATGACCCCGGGTGTTTCAGTTCTCGTCCTCTCAGCTCTTCTGTATTGACAAGGGTAGCAAAGTCCGGGTCAAGGTTGAGTGGTGTCGAGCAACACCCAGTACCTGCTCAAAGAAGAGGTTTGGCAAGCTTATATTCATAATGATCTGCTTTTTGTTGCAAATATAGTATGGAGATGCAGGGCAGCTGCGGACCAAAAGCCTTTGTACATTGTGTTGTCATCTTGCTTTGACGAACCTCTTCCCTATGATAGGTTGTCGTTTTTGTGAGTTGTTCGAGCATATTGTCTTGCAATCGACAACAATGTAGTAAAGGTGAGCTTCAACCACTCTATAGGATAAGTTTAGTTCAGGATTCCTTCTTTCATGAGAATGGCTTCACAAGGGAGCTCGACACATTCTGGAATGGGAGTCCATTTTGAGTGGGCTAGAGACAATCTGCACTGATGAGCTTCTCAAACTCTACCGGGCAAAGGTAAACCCTACAAGCGCAAGAACAGACACCAGGCTACAAATTGCAGTATTCGCAGTTTCAAACAGCCATTTCAAAATATTTGGAGTGTATACCAATCTGTCAATGATGCTGCAAAATCTGCATCACGTCGAGTAATCTAAGCATAAATCAATCCCTCGACTCTGCAGGACAATACAAACACTTCAATAGTACGACGCAAGGCAGACCCGTCTCCCAGATGTCATCTTCAGAACGTATCATTCCGAAAAAGGGACTCAAATGGCACGATGTGAGTGAATTCAAACCCAAGCGTCTTGAGTTGTCCTGGAATCTTCCTGAACATCGCCTTGACGATGAATTCTTCCTGCACCACTACTCTTCTCTCACATCACACTTAAAAAATCTCGTTGCGACGATCTTCAACACCGGTGAAACCCCTACGCAAGGATTTGTCTGGTCAGTCGGCACAGGGAACCATGACGGACACCTGGAACGTATCATTGGCGAGATTGGACGTCCAAATCCTTGGGACTCATGTCCTTGGGACGATCTGATGGAATGCAAGGCGAAGCGACTCTGTGTCATGAGAGGCGTTCTGATGAAAGTAGCCACGGACCAACTTTTCTCGCAGTTACTCTTCGGGGCAGATGAGAAACAGGTAGAAATCCTTCGTCGTCAAGACGAAGAATTCCTCCAAGATGAAGGTGAGTTACTCAAATTGCATGCAGGGCAGTTGAACAGACCTAATAGAATTTCTTCATAGGGTTTCGACGCACAAGACTCAGAGCAACAACGGTTCGAATGTTTCTTGACCATACTGATGGGATCCCACCACGCTTTTGGGCCGACGTGGAAAAGATTGCGTTGACGACGTTGGCTGTAATCCTTCCGGTACTGAACTGGGTTAGAAGAACATGGCCTCCCAATGAAGAGATCCCCGACATCAAAATGATTTACCAAAGCTTACATGACAGCCTGACATATGCTGCGTGGCTTTCAGTAAATATCCGACTATCGTCATCCGTGCTGAGATTCACATGGCTCCAACCCGGCGAGCGCTACCTCCCGGACCAAGTCGAACTGTGTGCAGGGTTACATGGCAACTCCCGATCGGACAAGCCTGGTCATCAATCTGATCAAGAGCTCGAATATGCAGTTGCTAGTCCTTCGAGATTTGAACGCCGGAAACCGTCGCTGACCAGGCTTGCGAGGGTAATGATATCCGTCGTTCCTCGCGTTCAGAGATATAGGGTGGTCAATTCCGGGTCTGGTGAACCAATCGGTCATACCGTCACCAACCTGGTAGATCCTCGGGTGGTATATTATTATGGACTTCAGGACGATACAGAGGACAATAACCTCTTCAAATGTACTCTGCTGGAGCACTCAGTCGCCTCGAAACCAAACCGACGTTGCAATCTTTGGAGGTTGACTTTGAGTCTAGTGCGAGTCCTTCTCCTTTTGTTGACTCTAATCATGATCAGGGTTGAGATTGGGGAAAGATGGCGGTCAATTTCTAGTTCCGGCTTTTGGAAGTTGATGTCTAAGAAACAAGAGGTCAAACTAGGCGAATGGGCATTTATAAGGCCGTCCCCCCTGGAGATTCCCGCTTAGTAACCTTCAACCTGTATTAATGTAGCAGTTGGATGTTGGTGATGTGAGGCTAGATGAGTGCGTTTGCCTTTGGCAGTAGAGGGACAATGTAGAATTGTACATCTGTATTGAAGTTCTGTTTTTCACTTCGATTGCAACATGCCAGAGATGATCAAGACCAGTATTACTGAGACGTCTACAAAGCTCTGACATGTAATGTGAGGAGGTTCTGAATCCATTCTTCATCGCACGCCTTCTCCAAAAACTCAAAATGGAATGAACGGACATGGTACGTCCAACCAAGAAAAAAGAATGCGCCGAGGGGGAATCGAACCCCCGGCTCCCCGACGCTGCTTGATGGCAACGGAGAATTTTACCACTAAACCATCGGCGCTAGAGGACTTGATGATCCTGGATAGTGAGTTGTGAAGGGAAAATGACAAGAGAATTATATTTCGGGTCATCGACGAGGTTGTGCGTGCAGGGGTATGGAGGATAAGGGCTTCAGACTCTGGCGGTTAACGTTCCCTGGACAACTATCGAAAACTTCGTCAAAGCGCTCCCAATTCACCCCACTCTGTTTCCCCTCCAAGGGCCTTGTTTAGCCCGCACAGATTTGAGATTCCCGCGGGCCACATTGGCCTATCAATGCGCCTGCTTATGGAAGCCCACTTTCAGTCAACGACATTGGAATATTGTGAGGGGATAGATACAAGGAGAGTTCGTCTCAAGAGCCCATTAGATGCAGGCGAGCCAATCCTTTAGCGGACAATGACAAGTATGCAAGGACCCTTCAAAGATGTGTTAGGAGGAACGACAGTCTCATATTACCCTCTGAACCCCACGTGCATTCATATGGATAAGGAGGACGAATGAAGAGGGGTGCAGCGGTCGAGGTCCGACTCTCGGGGTGCCCGACATGTGCATGACGGGCATCAGGTTGCAGAGTCAGGACAAAAAGGAGTTGGGCCTGGTTTGCCGCTGAGAAGGAAGGGCTCTCCTGTGGTGTTGCCACAGAAGGTCGGGAGTCCACCGCCAGGCATCTGGGTTGCTTGCACAAGCCGAGTCAGGCTGTGAAAAAGCAAATACTACGTATCGTGGTCTAAAACGACGTCTGGCACCGGCCAGATCGAGGTAGAACGAAGGCTCAAAAGGGGGAGCAACCAAGGCCTCACGAGGCATTCTGGCTTGATTGTTGGCCTGACAGCCAGGTCTGGGTTAGCAAACGATTACCTCAGTGTACCATGGACAATTTGGGCAAAAGACCATCCCAGCCACCGGATTCATCAGTCTCCATGTGTGTGTGTGTGTGTGTGCCATGTGTACCACTGAAGTCAAGCTGATGCCAGTAGCGGAGGCGAAGCGAAGGAAAAAAAAAAAAAAGTCAAGACGACTAGGGTCCGATAAGATAAGCCCACCATCGAGAGGGAAAAAGGGTAAAAAAATTCCTTCGCCGCCCACGAATTTGTGGCATTGCGCTAGGCCAGTCTCACGCTAGAGGGGGGGTTGGTGGGGCTCCGGCCCAGAAAAAAAAAGTCGAAATTTATTTTTTGCCGGCCTTTACTAAATCTCTGTTCGGTTGTGTTGAGTGCGAGAGTGAAATTCTTTTGAAAGGACCCCACGTCGCCCGCCCGCCCTCTTTTACATATCTTCCTCCTCCGCGCAAACCTCCAACCTTCCCTCCTCCACCCCTCACACAGGTCGTCTTGTGCAATATCCAAATTCTTCAAAAATGGCGGACGAGGTCTACGATGGTGCCATTGGCATCGACTTGGGTAAGTTGTTGAAACCCCTCTGATAATTTTGATGCCCATGTTGGCGTCCCTGTGCGGGAGGCATGACTGTCGCCGCCACTACCAACACAACATTTGCAAAGAGGAATATCATCACCAAACAGCGCCCTAAAGGGCGATGATATTTCAGATGTCTTGTTATGGAAAGACTAACATGCCTCGACTCCAGGAACTACCTACTCTTGCGTTGCTACGTACGAGGGCACCAATGTCGAGATCATTGCCAACGAGCAGGGTTCTTTCACCACCCCTTCTTTCGTCTCCTTCACCGACAAGGAGCGTCTGATCGGTGAGGCCGCCAAGAACCAGGCTGCTATGAACCCTACCAACACCGTCTTCGATGTCAAGTGAGTATCATTGCCAATTTCTTGTTAAATGCTTTGCCGCTTGGTTCTCACAGGCTGGGGAAATTTTCCCCGCTTGAGGAGGGGTAAAGCAGAGTACAGAGAGCAGAAAATTTTCAACCACCAAAAACTGAATGCTGACCTGTGGTTTTATCCAGGCGTCTTATCGGTCGCCGCTTCGATGACCCCACCGTCAAGAAGGACATGGAGTCCTGGCCCTTCAAGGTCGTCGACGACAACGGCAGCCCCAAGGTCCAGGTCGAGTACCTCGGCGAGACCAAGACTTTCTCCCCCCAGGAGATCTCCTCCATGGTCCTCCTCAAGGTACGTATACTTCAGTAGTGTCACTCCGGAATCCCGCCAGCGAAGACACTATAATCTGTATGTACGCGTGATGCTAATTCCCACCACAGATGAAGGAGATTGCCGAGGTCAAGATCGGCAAGAAGGTTGAGAAGGCTGTCATCACTGTCCCTGCCTACTTCAACGACAACCAGCGTCAGGCTACCAAGGACGCCGGTGCCATCGCTGGCCTTAACGTCCTCCGTATCATCAACGAGCCTACTGCTGCCGCCATTGCCTACGGTCTTGGTGCCGGTAAGTCTGGCAAGGAGCGCAACGTCCTCATCTACGACTTGGGTGGTGGTACTTTCGATGTCTCCCTCCTCAACATCCAGGGCGGTGTCTTCACTGTCAAGGCTACCGCTGGTGACACCCACTTGGGTGGCCAGGACTTCGACACCAACCTCCTTGACCACTGCAAGAAGGACTTCCAGCGCAAGACCAAGAAGGACCTCTCCGGTGACGCTCGTGCTCTCCGCCGTCTCCGCACTGCTTGCGAGCGTGCCAAGCGTACCCTGTCTTCCGGTGCCCAGACCACCATCGAGATTGACTCTCTCTTCGATGGCGAGGACTACACCACCCAGATCACCCGTGCTCGTTTCGAGGAGCTGAACGCCAAGGCTTTCCAGGGCACCATCGACCCTGTTGCCCAGGTCCTCAAGGATGCTGCCATCGAGAAGTCCGCTGTTGACGAGATCGTCCTCGTCGGTGGTTCCACCCGTATCCCCCGCATCCAGAAGCTTCTGTCCGAGTTCTTCGACGGCAAGAAGCTCGAGAAGAGCATCAACCCCGATGAGGCCGTCGCCTACGGTGCCGCCGTCCAGGCCGGTATCCTCTCCGGCAAGGCCACCTCCGCCGAGACTGCCGACCTTCTCCTGCTCGACGTTGTTCCCCTGTCCCTCGGTGTTGCCATGGAGGGTAACATCTTCGCCCCTGTCGTCGCCCGTGGACAGACAGTCCCCACGATCAAGAAGCGGTAAGGGAATACCCTCTGGACGATAGTGATGATGATGATGGACGGAGACTAATGCAGCCATTATAGTACCTTCACCACTGTTGCCGACAACCAGCAGACCGTTCAGTTCCCCGTCTACCAGGGTGAGCGTGTCAACTGCGAGGACAACACCTCCCTGGGTGAATTCACCCTTGCTCCCATCCCTCCCATGCGCGCTGGTGAGGCCGTCCTTGAGGTCGTCTTCGAGGTCGACGTCAACGGTATCCTCAAGGTCACCGCCACTGAGAAGACCTCCGGCCGCAGCGCCAACATTACCATCTCCAACTCTGTTGGCAAGCTCTCTTCCCACGAGATTGAGAACATGATCAACGGTATGTCAACCCTCCTGCCCATATCTATAGTTATAGACAAGAGCTAATGAGTCACTGCAGATGCCGAGAAGTTCAAGACCAACGATGAGGCTTTCTCCAAGCGCTTCGAGGCCAAGCAGCAGCTTGAGTCCTACATTGGCCGTGTTGAGGAGATCATCTCTGACCCCACCCTGTCCCTCAAGCTCAAGCGTGGCCAGAAGGACAAGATCGAGCAGCAGGTCTCTGAGGCCATGTCCGCTCTTGAGATCACTGACTCTTCCGCCGATGACCTCAAGAAGCAGGAGCTCGCCCTCAAGCGTCTCGTGACCAAGGCCATGTCTTCCCGCTAAAGGGGCTAAAACAAAACAAAAAAGGCCTCGTGCTTGGCGCGGATGTTAGTTTGCGGCTTGACGAGGCCGCTTCTCGCGGTGTATCTGGTTCAACTTTCTTGCGTTTGGGTGGCCGAACAGAATCCGGCCAGGATGCGAATAATTTGGGTCAGGTGATATCAAAAGGCACTTAAAAGTTCCTCTTTCTTCCAGCCGCCTTCCTCCCTTATACCTCCACCATCTCTCACAAAACTCACGACACGTGGCATGACTCTCGGTAGGGAGAACATGCTTTCCGGGTGCCGTCTTCTACGGCTTTCATAGACACTGTAGAAAGGATCAGGGCGACATGAAATGAAATTACGTCTACGTTATATGCAACTCCCAATTCCATGTGATGTATAAGATGCTCTCTTTGTGGACATGTATGTGTAACCGAATGACATCGGTTCAGCAAAGCCTCGCCATACCGACCAAGTTATGTTTGCTTCGTCCACCTGTAGTTGAGGTCAGGTCTATCAGCAACAAGTCCAACTAGATCTGCACTCGCTAAGGGACCTTGAGCTTGGGCAGATGTTTAGGTAGCAAAACCCCATGTCAAGACTTCGCATGAACTAGATAGATGTATACTATAGAAACACATTAAATCGGAAAGAAAATGAATTGAAATCCTGGAGAGCCTACTAGTATTCCTGGTTCCCAGATGCAATGTTTTTGGTAAGGCGGCTTTGCTCCGTAATAGCATTCTAGTAAAACAAAGCAAAGCAAAGCAAAGGTAGGGTTTGAGGAGCGCCTTAATGATAGCGAACTTAGATTTGATATAGTTTTCTAAACGCGCTTATCGTTGTCAGTGCTCCCAAGGTTATCGTTCTCATCTTTCTCTGTGTAAAAGGAAGTATACAACCTCAAGGGCGATGAGATTAGAGCATTTTTTCGTATCATAGATTTGCACCCTCTTGTTAAAGATAAGTGTCTCGTTGCCGTTGTCAGAGTCAGAAGATAATGTAACTTTTGAATTGTTTAAATTCGTGTTAGATAATTTTTTATTTAGTTATGATAATGTCTATTTATTTAGCTTGTATTACTAGTTAATACGTTACCGTGTTAGACAGTTATAGAAAAGCGTAAGAAGTAGGAGGGAAAAGTTTTATTATAAGATAAATAGGGGTCTTTTAATTATATATAAAGGGAAAGCATAGATTTTATATAGAAGACTAGGCAACTCTATTGAGTATAACTTCCCTTCTGGGAGGAAGAGAGTTTTGTCTGAGGAAGGAGGACAAGATACTAATTTCACTCGAGCTAGATAAGGACAACGAGCTATTGACGGACAAATACACATATACGGTGCGATGGACAGAAGGTAGGTTCTGTCTAGCCATCTTCACATGATATTCTATTAGATATAAAGACCCTAAGGGATTATATAAGCTAGTATTGCAGGGTAATATCGTTAGCGATAGGCTGTCTAAAGTAGCAGGCTCAAAGGGCTATTAGGAATACAAAGCTTCTCAAGAACAGCATACCATCTATATCATAGCATTCCGGTAGCAATGGAGGCAATCCTTTAAGAAATACTATACGCATTATCTGTATCTATATCTATAGGTTTCATAGGGCGAAATTAGTCCTGTGCGGGTAAAAGCAAACACATGGTAACTTTCTACTAATCGTAAAGTAAAGTAGTGGCTGAGAGGTGAAAGTAAGAGACAGTCTCCCAGCCCCTTACATATGGAAGGGAGACTTCGGCCCCTTCTAGACCCCGCGTGCCGGGTGGCCGGCCAGGCGGCCAGGGAGGTATAAGTGAGTTTATTTAATCAAGAAAGGATTGTAAAATGTATATACAAATGAGATACACCTAAAAAATCAAAAGAAATGATCTAGCCCGGACTTGAACCGGAGACCTTCAGTGTGTTAGACTGACGTGATAACCAACTACACCACCAGACCAATTGACTTGATAGAATGGAATGACAAGAGCCACATGACGGTAAGTTCATGGGCAGCATCGGAAGGGCTTGGAAAGAATAGGCTGGTGGGTCACGGCTGGTACGGGGAAGGAGGTTAGAAAGACTAGATAGACCTGCCCCTCTTCCTTGTTGAATGTTCCTTGATCTATTAGAAAGTGGTCGGCAGGTGTGACAAACTCCAAAATAGCAATCAGTCTGCCTTAGTGTCTGACATGACTGTCATCTGAGTTTGACTTGGCCAGCTGTCTTGCATTAGCTGATTACCATGCAAAGAGTGTTCAGGGCATATGATTTCTTGGGAAGGACCGGAAGTCGGTGGTTTCTGTCGTGCCGTCAGATGTCCACGTCGACAGGTAACTCAGCTATATGGGAGCCTCCTCACTAAACAACTTCTGGGAGATCGACGCTGAAGAACTGCGGCGCGCGCAACAAACTTTGGCGGCTTCTTTCAGAGGCCCTGGCCGATACAGAAAACCATGCTATCGCGTCGATCCTACTAACACTACGACCTTCACCGGCTCGTAGTTGAAATGAGATCTAATCAACAGGCGTACCATCTCGCTGAGCTCCCCTTAGCATTTCACCGTTGACGAAACCCAAGCGCAATGTGCTTCCTGCCATGTTTAAGTTGCTGAGCACTTCTTCTAGGTGTGTTGCACGTGGCCTTGTCTGGGAGATTTTGAGCGCATAATTAACAACGCTGAAACTGCCTGCTCCGCCGACTTTGCAAGGAAAATTATCGAGTACTTTCACTTACCGTTGTATATATAAAGTCTAGTATCACAGATGTTATATTATAACATATTAATAAAAAGCAATGGGAATGTCCTATGATGTGTTAGCGGGATCTGGAGGAACAAAGACCCCCCTGGCGACTATCTATACTGATATGAGTGGGTGTATTGGGGACCAAGATGAAGGCGGTTTCCTAAGAGACTGGTTGTCATGAAGCAGCATAATGAACGGGCTATATAGGGCGAGAGTCTTTACTACTGTAATTGGCCCCAGTAGAACATTTGAGCTAGGTTGCGGAGACAGAAACGCCAGTCATAAAGGGCGCGGACGGCATCTAAGGTGTTTTCGGCTCCTCGCGATGCCGCATTTCAATGTGTCGTTCACTGTTTAGTCATATTAGCCGACTTTAGGACGCAGGGAACCGACGAAGTCTGTCAGGTTTGAGTTGTTATTCTTGATGTTGATTTGGATTGTCTGGGCGATTGCTTGTGACACGGTGCATGCTATCTGTGCCGTTTTTGTCTTATAGTGTCGACGAGACAATTTCCGCCGCTGTTATGCCGTTCCCTTGCCCTTGCCAGTTCTAATTTGACTTTCTCTTCAAATATCAACCAGTCTAGTAGCTTAGTACCTCCCTATGAAATGCTACTTTCATTGTCGTATCCTGAGTATTGTGTAAAATATACTATAACCAGAGACTGAGACGTCTAAAGAGAAGATCGCGATCCACGATACGAGGACTGGCTTTAAGTTTACAATCCCGGAAGTCACTGCCACGACTTCAGTTCAAGATCAAGCGCTGGGATTTATTATCAAGGCGTTTAACAACGACCAAACGCATGTCGTGAACTGCATTGGGTCTTAGTACAACAGATTTAGAAAATTATGCCTCAGACGGGCAAGTCCACTGCGAACTACGGCAGCCTCTCCACGAACAACATTGTCAGGCAAGTGCATAAGTACTTCAAAAGCAACAAAGTCCAACTTTGATAACATCGCGGCTGCTGTTTCTTTATATGAAGGCGCCATCACTAAAAGTTGGGGCGAAGGCTACGCGACAATCATCCCGTATCAAGAGTTATGTCGCACTTTGTCGCAAGCCGAAATCAAACCCGACTACGACAATATCACTAAACTCATCGCCCCGATGAATCTCAAGCCTCGTGAAAACAATCCAGTCCCCAAACGCAAGGCTATCGCCTGCAAACAAGACAGACTTTCGAAGAAGGCGCGACACAAACTACGCGCTTCTAACGACGCATAAAAAAAAGCAAACGAGCAATCTACTACAAAGAACGTCCCAACTACAACGTCAAAAGTATGTCAGGATGTGGTTGATTTAATGAACAGCGGCTGTCGTTTGGAACGATGTGACGGAATGTGAGAGTTTGAACAACTCCACTGCGAACTCGCCATCAGACTCAAGAACGAGATTGGATTCCGAGTGCATGGCATGGCTGGTGGTGCCAAACTAACTGACACCAACTATGATCTACACAACCGGCTCTCCTAGATCTGCACCGGATTGGAAATCATTGTGGCATCCCCGATGGTTGAGTTGCGCAATCGAGTAACGAGTTGAAATACATCCAGATACGGGTATCCTTCCGCTTTGTTATCGCAATTTCTAGAAATAGTGTATTCAGAGCAACAACTGGAAGATGAAGACGAAGTCAGACTTTTAAATTACTATATTGAGTTGACAGACAATACACTACGGCCTTTGGCTATGCGAAGCTGGATTGTTAGCCTTTGCGCATGCTTGCGCGGCTAAGGAATTTCCGTGCCCTCGGTGTTGATAAATCAGCAATCAATATCATGTTGCTATTAATCATGTTCTTTACATGATATGCATGGCTGCTGACAAAAAGATCTTTAGTTCATTAGCAATCATCTCGTAACGCGGTTTTGACCGTGACTCAAGATTTCTCTCTGGTCTTGCTGGCGGGCTGCCTGTAGATTCCTCTACGATGTGTTAGTTAACCTACAAATCGCAAAATGAAAGCTGTACCTTACTCTTCACGACGCGCCCAGAGTACTGCCGTAAACGCACTCAATGAAAAACTTTCCAACTAGACGCCCCTCGCTAATCTTTGTAGTGTCAAGTTATTTTGATTTTAGTCGAGTTAGTGGGTTTCCGTTGGGATTACAGGGATACCCGCAAAGTAGAATATCCTTTCAAAGGGACAAAATAGTGTGTGTTCTTTTGTGATCACTTGGAGATGTTCCAGCAGAAGTGATGGATGAAGCGGTCGCCGAATTTATATCCCGTCTTGTTTCCCGCCACGTGGGCAGCCGGCAACTGGCAAGGGAACCACGTCAACTCGGACTTCCGACCCAAAGTGGCGTCACTATGCATGCCAATGCACCTAAATTAGGATTCTCAGCCGAGAAGCTTAGCAGGCATGGGCTGTAAGAAGAGATATCTATCTGGACATTCTTCCTATGATGCTTGTGGTTGGTTGCCTACCATTGAGTTTCAGCCTCTGCCATACCGTACAAATATCCCGAAAGACTAGCAGGTAGGATTCCAGGGCTTCATACCGAACACCATTTACTCTATGTCAGAGGAGTATAGTTTGCTAAGATCCACTGTTTGTCGAAGCGTACCGTGGAAGTGGTGATGCTATAGGTAAACGAGAGAGAGAGAGCTTGAGAGAGCTAAAGATGTGCTTTAATAGACAGCCATCACCACAGTGGCTGTCAGAGACATTCCTAGTGAAATCGACAGAGTTATCTCTAGGCCTAGGAGAGGTTTTTTGCGTTCCATAGAGTAGCGACCGGAGTGGTGGTGGGGAATTGCCGTCTCATCCCGTGGTTAGGGTGGTGAAGAGGTTAGAGGATCGTCTATTGAAACGGAGGTAAGCCTCTATTTCTGGCTGTTTTGCTGAAGAGTTTGGATGACTGTGGGAGAAGTGACAGGTCTCTTCTTCTGGTAGCTTGGCTGCGTGATGGACACCCACGAGATTTATTGCAACAGTTTCACAGGCGTTAAATAATCCCGTACGGGTGAAACCAAACAAAGAGGAAATTCATCGTAATCGAGATGTGTAGAAGTGTCGTAAAAGGGTGGTTTAGAGATGAAAGTGGGAGATACGGTCTCCCAGCACATCACATATGAAAGGGAGGAAGTGTTGCCTTCTAGCCACACGTTCCATGTGGCGGAGAGCAGCACCCCATATTCTAACTGTTCCTAGCGAATCTGGCCTTGGATGTCGGAGACTTCTAGCGAATTGGGTGGCTTCTAGAGACATTTTGCAAGCTCGCAGATAAATAATGCTCGACTCCAGGCCCTTCGGCCCGTAGCTCTGCTTGACATTTAAAGATGAGATCGAATTAGAACTAACAAGGGCAAGAGGACGGCACGGCATGGAATCGCCACTGTGGGGCCGGCGACATCAATTAGGTAACTGGCGCCCCCACCCCTCTCCAGTACAGCCGTCACTCCTCCCATCTTCACCCTGCCTCAACTAAGCACCCAACGTATTCCACCTTGGCAAGTGGAGAGAGCTCAAGATATTGGCTTCGTTTTCCATTGAATGGCCCATAATACCCCACGCATAGTCGTCTCTCGAATGTGACTATTCCAGTTCTGTCGGGATGGCCAGCCGCATCTTTGACAAGTTCTTTGACCTCCCCCTCGAGATCCGAGACCAAGTCATCTCATATCTCTGTTTGGTTCCAAATCCGATCCAAATAGGACCGACTGTCGACACTGAGATACCTTTCCCTCACGATCTACTGCTGTCACACCCGCTGCTATATGCTGCCGGCTCCGCTCTCTTCTACGAGCAGAACCGCTTCATCCTCAACCTCCGGAGCCGGCCGCGCGCAGCCATCAAGCGCGCCATTTGCGATGGGACACCATGGCTCCTCAGCAACGCCCCGGCCCGGCGCCGCATCAAATACCTGGAGCTTTCACCAGGCCGTCTCGGTAATGTCTTCCAGAGCCACATCTCGCCGGCCGTGGCGGACATGATTCTTAATGGCTCTCTGCGCCACCTCAAGCTCGTATTGTACCCGACGAGCACCGACAAGGTTGTGTTCAACCACAACGCTGTCGATGCGCAGCTGAAGAGGGCGGCTATGACGAGGCGGGATGATGCCTTCACTCAGTCAAAACCCTTCAAGGCGCTACTGAGGCTGCTAGCTGATCCGGACTTGGAGACAGCCGAGCTCTACGTTGATCCCATTCATCGTGACTTCTGGTGCGAGTTCCATGAGGGCGTAGAATGCTGCAAGGGTCACCCCAAGGGCCCATGGCAACTTATTCCTATCGACTGGAGGAACCTTGCTGCTAGTTATGGACAGGACCATGAGCTGAAAATTGTTCGGGTGGCCTCGTAATTCACTCCTAGCCATAATTATTGACAAGCTTGTCAGTCATGTTAAAGTCTAATCTGTATGCAACCCATTCTTAATGTATTATTGTTTGTCATGTTAGTAACTCGGTATTATGACTTCCTTCATCACAGAAGAACAAATCAGACTCAATTGAGCGGCCGCACCTTCCTTAATGAAGCTGTACGTCCATTCACTGCAAAAATTTACAAAGGTCTTTCCTCACCTAGCAATTAAGTCCTTTCTTTTCTTCTCCTTTCTTCAAACGAGCGGCCGCACCTTCTGTGATAAAGCTGCACTTTCATTGATTGCAAAATTTAAAAAGGCCTCTCTTCACCTGGCAATAAAAGTTTTCTCTTCTTCTCCTTTCCTCAACCGCCCTACGAAGTTTTACCACCACCACACAACAAACAACTCAAAATACATCTATCGCGCCCGCCACGTTCATCCACTTCAGCTATATCGCTTAATTGACATCAGAGATACCTGATTCAAATTCCACGATGCCGATTTCCAAAAAAGACAGGATCTTGATCGCAAAGCACGCTGCACTGTTGAGAAACTGGGTCAAAACCAAGGTACGCAGTCAAATTCAGAGCGAGGTACATAGTACTTTTACTGACTCGAAGGATAGGAGGGAGAAGCCTGGATGGAAGCAAGAGAGTTGCATCACCAGCAATGGTTGGCCAGACAGGACGGATCGGCTCAAGACATTGACAAAGTTATTCAGCAAAACCGCCCCCATGGCAAAGAAGCTTAAGCTATCGCAACTTTTGCAGAAAGTACACTATGCAGCGGAAACGGACGCGTTTGCAAAACTGGTAACAGGCTAGTTTCGCCTATGAACACCATTGGCTCTGAGAGTGAATCTATAGATGATTAATGCTCGGACCGTCGTCCATGGATCCTAGAGAGACAGAGTAGTAGACACAGAAAACAAGTTTGGAAGCCAAAGGTTCTACGCCTAAAAATTTGAAGTGGGTGATGAGAGCGAAAGTAGAACATATCCAGTTGACGCTAATAAGTAAAATATCCTACTTCTAAGTAGATAATAGTAGCGTGACATAAATTTAAAAAAACATGGAGCTGATGTTAATATTTATCTAGCCTTCTCTTCTTTTTACTCCCTCTTTCTTCGCTTAATTAATATTAGGAATACCTGCATTCGGATTACACGACGCCGCTTTCTAGAGAAGTCAGGACCACGCTCGCAGAGCACGCTTCAAAGTTAAACATGAGGTCCAGCAGCAGAACTAAGAAGAATAATATAAATATCATTAACCAGAAGGCCTTCCACTATTACTCTAGTATAGAGGTCTGTAAGGCTACCGTTAGGAGTTAAAGAGATCTACCGATATAGCACCAGTACATACACACACACACACACTCTATGCCTTAAAGGCACCTTAAACGGATGTTATCGCATTAGATAGCAAATTAGTCCAGCCTTCCAGAATAAGTATCCGGCCCCGGCCCCACATACGCAGCGTTAACACCGCGTGGGGCCGCAGTCTTCCCCGTGAATTTTTAGCCAGGCCCCCTAAAACAAGCCCCTACCCCGGTTCCCCCGGTTCCCTCTCCTGCTGCTAAGCATGGCACCGAAACAACGGTCGGGCCTCACGACGATACCGAATACCACGTCGTCCCTCCTCCCCCTTCTAGAAGACCCTAACATAGAAACATGCGCGCAATGGCCCCTTCCCGCACGATCGCACAGGCTAGAACCGCAAACTGCCAAGATGGACGGATTGCTTCAAAGATCAGGGCCCTATTAGAGGAGATCGTCAAAATTTCCAGCATCTAACAGATAGGCGGTTTTCAGCCAGCTTGGCGTGAAACACGCAGATCGGGTTTGCTCCCGACCTGCGCATCAGATTATTTTACTACGAAACGACACGGTGAAATCAGCAATGGGCTTGTTCTGAATGATCATTCGGATAGACATCCGCGGTTTAGTAGCGAGCAACAAACTTTGGACGACAAGACGGGTACGACGAGCGCCCGCGGAATGGTCCAATCACCATCCCATCCAACCTGGGGCGCGCGAAGGAGCTCGGGACCGGCCCGCTGCCCGAGTCTGCTCGTCTCTCCCGTACATCTGGTGCATCGGCCCAGACAGAGTGCTTTCAGGGCCATCCCTTGAAGCTCTCTAGCACATGTCAACGTTACAAACCGTCCCCTTTTCGTGGTGACGTCAATCCAGGCTGCGGTCGTATCATCGACAGTAATCTACAGAGAGCCCGCTCTTTCTTACTGCCTTCTTCGATTCATTTGCCAGTATATGCAGGAAACTCTGAGGCAGAGGGGGACAGGCAGCATGCCGGATTTTAGGGTCGATCCCATCCATCTTCGTCCTGCTCGACCCAGACGCTCGGAGGTCGGAAATAGATAGCAAACTGTGCGTTTCCCTCAGGCTCCAGCAAGCCAAAGGTACAGATAGATGGGAAAGCTGACTCGTTGGCCTGCAGAAGGACCTGCTGGAGGGATCGAAAATGTCATCTTAAGCATGACGTCCTGCATAGCTGAGCATGCCAGCCTGCCCTGGGAGCTTTTGTGGGCGGTGTTTTGGCGACTTAACTCCAGTTACGCGAATAAACTCCGAACATGCAAGCTAAACTTCCCGAGAGGTACAGACATCGGATTATAAAATAAAAATATAATAAAAATAAAACCAAAAAAACCACAACTTCGCGTCATGCCTACGTGCCAACAACCGCTTTCGATTCGTCTAAGTATGCTATGCTTTGGGCACTATTCCTCTGAAGTCGGGAGGAATGGATGGACAATCGTGCAGAAGAAAATCCAGAGCAACTGTCAAGGCCGCACGGCATTCTCAAGCGCTCAGACTCGGCATAACCCCCCGGCGCCCCGCGCCTATCGTGATGTTGCTGCAACTCTGTCTCTATACTACCCCACGTGTCTCACTGGAAACCCCCATGGCCCAACCTGCTCCCACCCCGCCATCTCATTTGTTTCCCTTTAGAAACTCTCTCTAGCCATCTGTCTGTCTGTCCCGGAGCGGCATGCATAGGCAACATGCAGCCACAACAAACAAAAGAGTAGTTGATTCGCAAAGTAACACGCAATCCAAGCCAAACCAGGGCTGGCTATGACACAGCTTCGGGCTGGCACCCCACACCGTTCAGATTAATCAATCAACCCAAAGCCGCTACCTACTTGGCTCTAGTGTGAATGTATACATGATGTGTCAAAAAAGAGAGAGAGAGAGAGACAAGAGTGAGGGATGAAAAGATAAAAGTGACAAGAGAATTGGAGGGGTGGTGAGCTGGGTAGAAGCGGACTGGAGCCAGCACATTCCACCCTTCAACAGTCGCGTAACTTGACTTGACCGACACGACCTACCGCCCGTCCGGGACGCACATACGTCGCTGCCAGTCGCAGTCTCCCCCTTCCTTTTCCCCCTGTCCCCAAAAATTCTGATCAGCGGGGTCAGATGTCAGATCATTGCATGAAAGGCCCACACGTGAAGCTTGGTTTTCTTTTTTTTCTCTCGATTGTTGCAACTGTTCCCGTCTGAAGCAGCATTAGTAGTAGTAGTAAGGTGATAGTGTTGGTAGCAGTAGCAGTAGCAGCAGCGGCAGTGGTAACAAACTAGCTCTTCACCCCCCCCACCGCTGCTCGTCTTGTCGGTCTATCTAACTGCCCCCCTTGCCTGGCACATGTAATTCTCGAACCTTTTTGCCGTTGTTCTTTTTATTTTTTTTTTCCCTTGATCCGCTTAAGTCGGCTGTGTAGGCATCAGCCCAAAAGCAGTATACCCGAGTTGTCGACCCTGCCCCCCCATTCCATCATCCTCCATTCCACCACCCATCTCTGCATGCTTTCCGCTGACGAATCGCCACTTGCGGATTAAACTAAAAGGTCATACTAGTAGTAAGCGTTATATCGTACCAGATGGGACATGCAGGCAAGGCACTGCATCACGCATGGAAGACGCGCGAGATCATGATCTAGATGGGCCGTCTCAAATCCCAGTGGTATAATTTTTATTTCCTATTTCGTCGAAGATATCCCTCTTTTTCTTTTCTTTTCATCATTGTCTGGTTTGTGTCAAAAGGTAATCCCCCACCCCCACACATACATCCCTCCGTCCGTTTCTTGCGGATGTTGGGTGAGGTTACCATAATCCTTTCCCCCCCTTCAACCCATCGTTTCCAGACCCTTTAGACGAATGGGCTAGTTTGTTCTTTTTTTTTTTTTTTTTATTCCTTATTTTTTTTCTTCTGGGAGAAGACACAATTTCCCGACCTTTCCACCCTGTTCGTGAGTAACCCTGCTTTCCCCCAAGGAGTAGTAAAATGAGATGCTGCGCCATGACCCTAAACCTTTCCCATCTATTCGCTTGCTATTGGAATAAACCATTGGTTTCCTGCACCGTACATGTGACCCCGTGGTTTAGATTGACTGTGTCCCTGAACATGAATTTTCGCTGCTTTCATAAAACAAGAAATGGATACGAACGCTCTCGCATTATAACCAGGCGTGCAGAGAAACTCGTCGTCTAAGACAGCAGAGCGGGGTGCCAGTCCTCCTTGTGCTCATCAGGGTGTTCGCCGTAGTGGACTGGGCCGAGCTTGAGGAAGCGAAGTCCCGGAGCGCCGTTGCCAGCGCTGCTGACGCTGGAAGTGCGGCGCTTCAGAGGAGCAGGCTCAGCGACGGCTGCGGTCTGCTGCTGGACTCTGAAAGGGTAGGAAGAAGAGGTGGTGGGAGCCAGAGAGAGGAAGACGGAGTTGTCGACGGGGGAAGACATTTTGGCGAGTTGTGTTGGGAGGGGAAGTTTAACTAGTTGGTTCAGGCGGAAACAGATCAACTGCTTTTTTTTTTTTTTCGGGGTAGTAAAACGGTAGAGAGACAGAAAACCTGGGACTTTTGTCTGGAGAAAATAGCCAGCGATAATTGAAAGGTTGAGAGCGTTGGGGAATGAGACGAACAGCACGTCGAGGAGAAGGGGGGGACACTGGTCCGACTTTATATGTTGGACCCCGGAGAACACGGAGGGTAGAGCTGGCGCACCTAGACCTCCTCATCCTCCTCCACGGCCTTCCCGGTCCACATCTGAGTTGAGGTAAGACGAGATGAATGAGGTGACGAGTTACCGGCCGCCCCATGCCCGTCTCGAACCGGCTAGCAACCGGTTACCAAAGACGCTGGAGGGTACGTACGGCGCAAGCCCCCCCGTGGTGCCCGTCTTGCACCCTTTCCTCCTTCTTTCCCATGGCATGAATGGCGCGCGTGTCGCACCGACGTGCATCTCTCTGGCGCAGCGGAGCGTCTGCCCAGACACAATGTTTTACGCATATACGTACGATGGCTTGCCGGTAATGGGGGTTGAGGTGGCAAGCCGGCCAGACAGCCAAGGGCAGGCAAGATAGCAAGCAAGCAACATGTACACACAGGATGGACACGATCAGATGGCAATGGATGGAATGGGATACCGGGATGCCCTGTTGGCTCTGCGTTCCCCTACCCCTCCCTCATCCGAGGCACATACATCCAGAAGCATAAGAAAACAGAAATGATGTGCTTGGTAGTTCTGCCTATCCGTCGCGGTGCTTGTCTTGTCCTACTTTGCTGTGGATTACCCCTTGTGCTATGCCAGCCGCGACGATCCGCAATGATGCAAAACAAGCCACGGCCAAGAGATCTAATTTTTGATCTCCCTCACTCTCTGGTTGAACTTGGAGCTTGCCCTTGTTTTGCACTGCTGGGTACCGACGTGTTTCAATCCGGGGGGAATGCAACTCGCTCGTACAGACACAGATAGAGGCCAAACTGCCAAGAAGCAAGAGGACCGAGAAATATTTAGAAAACGGGCCCGATAAACACGGGCGCCCCGCCATGGGCGCTCCTGAAACCCTCACCAACAACACTCGCTGTCAGCTTTGTCAACCTCGACGGGCTTTGTGACTTAGGGGTGTTTTTTTTTTTTAAATTCCCCAAAATCCTCTTCGCTACTCCCCTGGCGCGATCTGCCTGGGGACCTGGACCAGCCTACTCAAGGTTCAGCCCGAGGCACGTGGGCCTGCAATTGGCTAAGCCCATGTCGGGCGACGGCGAAGAAGGAAAAAGAAACTGTGGAATCAGAATTCGCTAGAAATAGCCCTCTGACAAACGGGGAGGAGAAGAGCGAGGAGAAGGATGGAAAGTGTTTGGGAGTGAAATGGAGAGAGCGAGAGCCTGCGTATGTACCTCTCCAGCAGTTTCTCAGTGGTCTCTACTTCTGGCACTGGCGCTGTTATCCGCTGCTGACGTGGGGTTGGTGCGCTTCGAAAGCGAGACACCCGCAATAAAAAGATGAAAAATAAAAATAAAAATAAAAATGATAGCAAAGCGGGGGCCTGGGTGGGTGGGTGCTGATGCTAGAGGTGAGTGGTCAGGAGGCGGATGGGCTGCATCCCGAGAAGCTTGCAATCATGAAGTTGTGAAAAATCATCGCCAGATGTGATATCAAAAGCACGGCAAACAGGAAGAAAAAGGTGGAGAAAGCCGGCCCTGAGGCACTCGGAGAAAACAAGACCAAGGATAACAAGAGCCAGGAACCCGAAGCCAAGCTGCCGGGCCCCGGAGCGCCGGTCGCGTCTTATTGGGTGTGCCGGAGAACAAAGAGGATTTCTCGGAAGGGCGAGAATCGGTAAAGCTGGGCCTACCATACTACCGCGAATCCCCGGGGCAAAGAAGCCTCGGGTGCATGTGGGGTACGCGGACACTGCCGGTTCTGCTGTCCATCTTCCCACATCCTGCTTGCCCGGTTCTCTTCGGCCGCATCCACCCGGTCCTTCCTCCTGTTCCTTCTCGTCGACATTACCGCCAGTGTATTCCCGAGAGTAGCCGGCTGCTTCATAACTTGGTTGGCTGGCTGTCACAAAGTGCCATGTATGGCACGGCACAGCACCTCGCCGCGCCTTGCCATACGTTTGCAGTTCGTGGGATTCGGAACTGAATCCTGATTTCGATCTGCCTTGCAGTTTTCTGTTTTGCGGGGGATAGCTATCCTCAGCCCTGCGGCTCCTTCCCGTCTTAAAGATAGGATGCGGCATCGTCATTGGCATGTGGCCGTGACGCGGACCTGGGCTATATACTTCGCTCACTTTCATGCCATCCGTCATCTAGGCTGAACCAGACATCACCATGTCACAGGCCGATGTGATCTATCCACGCCACACGACGCAACCAAGAACTATTGAAAACTTTTCTCGTGTACTCCATTTTGTCAACCAACGGAAACCCTGCCCAATGTCGTTCCACCTTCACAAGTTTCCAACCATTTTCTCGGTCTTTCCCCCTACCCAACAAAACCGACAAGAGGGGTCTATTCAAAGGTTCCGGTTGGAATGACGCTTTGATTCTCGCTGCCCACCCGTCTCACTCTTTCTCGCGAAAAAGCCAACAACCCCCATGAAAGTAAATCAATATTGACCTGTGATGCAGGACTCGTCACGCTGCGGTCAACTCATTTGCTTCCCCTCTTTGTTGACAGCGCCGATTCTTTCGTCCTAACCTGAATATCCCGTCATGAGAGGGGTGAGTCTACTCTCAAGATACCCCGCTTCTTTAAGCCCCGTTGGCCTGCAGACCGTGAGAAGCTCGAGATCGGCCGGACCTTGTGACGAAGCCTGACAGTAGCCACCAACGGACAACAAACTGGCAGCCAAGCCCGAATTGAGCAACCCAAACAGACTGTGAGATGGTGTCGAGACCGCCTCGCATGCGAACTGCGGGGCCGCCCGCAAGTTCATCCTAAATCCTGGACAGGAAAAGGTAACTCAACAGCATGTTGGGTAGTACGACGGTCCATCTGCAAGGAGCAGTGATGTGGAAATGAAGCAGCCCCCCTAGGCAAGCTATCATCACCAACGTGAGAGGAACTTCTGCTGCCAATTTCTTTCGGCTTCGTCACAACTTTGACGCATCTCTGGTGATTCCAGCTTGCATTAGTGGACACCTGACGCATGGTTGCTTGTGGATGGCTCGAGGTACTGTACCAAACGATACTTGGCTCAGTCATTCCAGGATGTTGATGACCGGTCCAGCATATTTCCCCTCACAATGGCGTGTGATAGTTTGCCCGGGGTATCCATCGGTGCGTCCAGGACTGCAATATCTATCTCCAGTCAGGGTTAGCATCATGCCGATGCAGTCTTGGTACAAATAGGGGTTGGAGCGATTCAGGCAATAGCTGCGGGACCAAGGACTCCAGAGACAAGGTCAAGGACAAGGACAAGGACAAAGTACTAGTCCGCAACTTCGTATCCCGTTCCAAACGGAAGCGTCGGTCCGCATACGGTCATCAAGGCTGTATTCATGCCTGAGCCCTGCGATCCCGTTGGTGACGAGCAATGACAAGGTGCAGATGTCATCTCGGCCACTGGTCGTTCACACGCCCACTAACCTGAAATTCGTGTATCTGGAACGATATTCCGTTACCCTTTACAGTAGTTGCTTCTATGACTGCAAGTATCCTTGCTCATTGACCATCTCTGAGTTAGCTGGGGCATCTGTAAGGCGCACCAAGAGGGTGGTAGTTCTCGTAGAAATCGCTAGATAGCTCTTCCTTTCTGTGAATCCTCACATTTGCCGCGCTCTAAACCTCTAGTCTGCCTTGGTTTATTTCCATAGATAGACACTTGAGCCGCCGTTGCGGGCGGCTACAAAAAGTATGAATGGTAGTCGGTCGACTCGGATAGCGCCGCAAGTTGACGCAGCGCTTAAGCCAGGGGAAATGGATGCTGATTGGCTACCGACTACAACACCCGCACAATGCGACCTGGATCACACCTCGCCCGCTTCACGAGGAGGGTGTTGGAAAAATAAACGTCTGCGTCAGGGTCGGCTTTGCTGTTCACTTTTTCTTGACCTCCGTGTTGGTCTGCTTCGCCAGCGACAAGGGCGCCTGCGCGCTTTCGTTTGTCGATGCCGCGATGTTCTACGCTCGCCTAGGCGGGTGTTAGTGAGAGTATCCATAATTCTAGACAAACCATGACCAACCGCCAACCGCTCACATACGCAAACCAGGTACATTGGCGCAGCCTGGTAGCCTGAAAATTGATATAAGCCGTCACTTACGGGGGATAAGGGTGCATGGAGATGAAAACTAGTTGGCCATTCACCCCTGTCGAACTTGTCAGTTTCCCGAAGCAGAGAGAGATGATTCTGACTGCGGAGTGATGAAATGGGCCGATCCCTTTTCCTGATGCAATCAAGGATGCATCTGTGAGCCATATTTTTCGTTTAAATTCTGACATCGTAGGGCAGCATTGAAGTTGGTGTGCCAGACCGCTTATCCCCTCGCCATGGATGTTCCTACGGAATCCCTTACCATATGAGGTATTTGACTTGTTGGGCTTTTGATAGCTTTCAAGAAGATATTACCCAGTCCCTTACTTTCCAGTCAGATGTAACATATGCCCAAGAAGGATGGATGGTTGGTTGGTTGGTTGATCACCTTTTTGAGTTAGTAGCCACCGCTAGATTTGACTGGGCAAGTAAAGCAACGGTATTGCTCTAGAACAATGGGAAACCCGGTCATACACCGTGTGTAATTCCAGTTGAGGCACGTAAAGGGGGGCGAAGCCAGGCTCGTGTTGGGTCTGCAGAAAGTGAAGAAAGGTCCGGGCTGCAAGGGGAAGCAAAAATGCCATGGTAGGTACATTCATGTGTTGGAAGAAAACGGTAGAGTGTCGATAGAAGGAGGGTGTGCATCCAGGATCAGGGGTGTTTGCTCAGCCATGTGGATTGGTAAAAACAGGATACTTGATCTTGAGGGTGTGCTGTAGGCGAAGGAGTTGTTGAGAGCATTCGAAGAAGCTTGCCTGGGAAACTGCCGGGAGGAACAGGTCGCACACCGGGCCGCATGAAGAGGTGCGGTAAGTTGGAACGATGTATTGGGGATGCATACGATTAGTTGCGTGGATAGTCATCTGGCGTGTACTGAGCAAAGCTGACGGCCAGTACACAAGCCAACCAAAGCCGTGGCGGTGGGCCAGAAAGCCATTCGAATGGTGACCAGGCTTTTGCCAGTCATACAGCAATTACATTGCGGAGATGTACCATGAGATTGGGGAGCATCGACACCGCATGAGGTGATGCTGAGTTATGGCCCCTCATTCCTTGGCCAAGGAGAGCAGGTGACCGTAAGTGAACAAGCGCACCCCTCATGTCGGTCTGGCCGTGATATAAGAGCGAATTCAATGGTTCAATTACGAGATCTCGTGGGTGGCTTGAAGGACCTTGAACGCTGTGACAGTTCTGATTTGGGATTGTGAGGCGCCACCGTTGTGACCATGTCGCATCGTGTCTAGGTCAGATGTCGTTGACGATGAGGATCTGAGCCATCCGGACGCCACGCCGATAAAGAATTCTTATCGCTTCCTACAGCCCGCTGCACATGAACGGCTGAGTCGATCTGTTTTGCGGTAGGTAGAGAAGTATTAGTCTGACCAGGATGGGGGTATCTGGAGGAGGCATGGAGTCGACGTTTGCCCAGTGCCCCCCACAACCAACATGTCGGCAATGCAACAATGGCTATGGCCGCATGACTGTGGCCACTTCTTGTGTTGGAATCGGAAGACTGAGCAGCAATGGTGAGGCACTTTAGTCCGAGGATGGAGAAAACGAAGCTGGATTAGCTGTGCAATGCGTCAATTAGCATACGGACGTATGCTCAAGTATACTAACATGGCGCGGGCAGCTAAAAGTGACTAGCTGGTCAGCTCAGTTGAATCGGCCGGGTTTACATAAGGGCACTTCAGTTGCCTAAATCAACAAACCGCCGAGCCTTAAGGTAGTCTGCCCATTTGCGTAAGGTAACTGGGGAATCTGTAGGTTGACTAAGGTGGGTAAGGTTAAGTCCCCCCTTCTCAAACACAAAGAGGGGGGCCAACCTAGGTACGTACCCCTTACAGAGAAAGAGAGAAAGAAAGAGAGAGAGGGAGAGAGAGAGAAAGAGAAAGAGAAAGTCTTGTCATTGCTCTGCTATCAAACTAAATTGTTGAACAGGAGATGATGCTAGAACACCTGGAAACTGTGGGCTTTCCTCAGATCTGGTGCCTCCCTCTTTCCGGCTGTGCCTCAAGCTGGAGGCCAGTCAATGGCAATTGTGGATCCTATGTGAAGTATCGCGGTTTGGGAAAGGCACGACCGTGTAAGTCAAAACCAGTTGGTGCCTTATGCCCTATTGAAAACTGCCATTGTTGCGGTCAAGATGGCTGAGCAGGGGTGCGCCAAAGCAAAGAATTTTCTTTCTACCTTGACAGCAAAAAGTGGAATATCGATAACTCAAGGGACAAAAAAAAGTGTAAACAATACAGATCACGAAAAAGGTGGAAGGGAATTGCCCAGGCTACCTTCGAACAAAACATTTTGACAATCTTGCATAATTCACACCGTGTGTCCCGCGCTCTGCTGCCGCGAAAGATACAGTGTAATTTCCATGATGGTACCAATGATGAGCGCCCCTCCCCCTTCCTTTTCCCAGGCTTCATCTCGCCTCTTCATCTCCCACACCAACGGATACCTATTCCGTGAATCCATCACATTCCTTCCTCGTCCCTTACTACGAAAGGAATACCCGGGGACCTTTTGATCTTTATTTTCCCCCCTACCGACACACCGAAAGGGTCTCCTAGGACATCGCCTATGATTACGGCTGCTGGCTTAGCCGCGTTGGCTTTCGTTCGCCGTTCCAACCCATACCTTACCCTTATTGCTTCTGTCTCTGCACGGTGTACGCCCTTATTTTCTTTCCCCCTTCCACGCCCTCAGCCAACCTCGGTCTCGATATTGGTCTTTGCTTCGTCTTGTCCAGCCCCTGCACTCAGGTTGGCACTTACACGCCACACCCCTGGAGGCTGGTCTATTCACTGGCCTCCTCCCACCCCCACTGATGCTATCTTTCGCCCATCACTCTTGCAGCCACGACCACAGCCGGCCCATTATCGAACCTCGTTGGGCTGCCTTGGCCTTGGCTGAAGATCGATGCGGCGCAGTGTATTCTTCGTACGAAAAAGAATGATGAGGGACGTGACGAATTTCCAACTCTGCGTCTCATTATCCTAGAGCTAGGCTCGGTTGTCGACTCCACTTGCGACGTGAACCCCTGGCCGATGATGTCGCTGTCCACTAGGTACACTATCCCGGCGGCCGCTCTGCCCTGCAATTATGTACTGCTTCACTATGGTTGCTATTGTCTTAACGTCGTTAAATGGCCTGGTCAATCACACAGACTGCGCGTTGATGGACGACGCCGCTGCGATGCATGCCAACCTTCTTTTACTCCACGCCTAACTGGCTTAACAAACCCACCCCTGTACTGGACCTGGACCCGGACCTGGACCTGGGTGAAGCAGGGTTGGCAATCTGCTCAGGGACGTTAATGTGGATGTCAATGTGGCCATGGACCATCCGATCGACCGCTCGTCTGCCTGCCATGGCCTCTTTTGGACTCTGCTTCAGTCCATTTTTCGATCCCGGGAGACGGGGCACAATCAAACGCTTTGCATGGGCTAACAGAATGCCACTGCTGGTCTGCCCTTGTAACCCTGTTAATCGACCAGCTGCCTCGTCTTGACTGTTTGGACCCTCACTCATCTATTTCCACCCTCCTATCTCGGATACGGAACTGGTCAATGACCTCAGAATTGTCATTGGTGCGCACTTTCGTCACGATTTGCGCCTGCTCCAGCAACCTAGGATGCCCATGTTCAGGTGTTGTCTCCAGCTGGCCTGAGCCAACCGCCATGTACATGTTACAAGGCTAAATCGCTGACTGGTTTGCTCCTCCGAGCTTATATCCAAGATGTCAGAGTTGACGGAGCATGATGGACAAATTGAGGCATACACAAACATATACAAAGGGCCTTCATGCACTGGCCTTGCCCAAACAGGTTAACCAGGGCTTGACGCGGATCCCCCATGTGCGACATCGTTGAGCGATCCACTCGAGACGGCGAACCATTACCTCGACGCCTGACAGTCCACCCGGATTCCACTAGGACCAGCCCTCGAGGGGTCTGTCGACAGCAGATGGCCATGTAGAATCAAAATTAGGACGGCACTTGGGCCGTCTTCCTTTGTAGGCAGTTGTGTGCCCGGTCTCTCCATACTGGGAGCTGACCACTACGGCATGACCCTGCACCACTCCCACTCACGTCAAGCTCTCCCCTGGTCAGCCTGCTTGTCGTTCCGTCCGTATCCCACGTTCCCCGAATGGGACGTGCGGCCAGCGGGTGCCATGCGGCAATGGGAACCCACGAGAGGTGCAACATCTGCCTACCCTGCCCTGCCCCGACTATCCGTTATTGCCAGTCAGTGAATCGGGCGGGGTGTCTATGGACGCTCATTCTCGTCTTCGACCTTGCACTCTTTTCTTCCCTTCAACATCACTCTTGACAACCTCCGACTGTTAAGTTGAGTGGGCCTAGGCAGCAGTCGGTTGAAGAATTCTACAGAAAGTACCTGCCAACGTTGTTTTAACTCTCTGGACGGGAAAACCAACTCCTTGGATCACCCACTGCCCATACGACTTTCATTTCCCAACACCAAACCGAAAAATTGCATCAACTGGCCCAAATCGATGCCCACGCCTCTCGACTGCATCTTGGGGGCCTTCATTTTCGGTGGATATCACATCCAACAGCTACCGTCTTCCAGAAAGGTCTCCTGCACGGAACCCTGGTCTCACCGGCAGGATAATACCTGGCTATCACGTCTTGTTTGGAGCTAGCGTGCACTCTCTTGGATAGGCCAGCCCCGAACACCCACAAGAACAACAAATCGGTTGTTGTTGTTGTAAGCTGTAAAGATACAGCCGGCCCGTTAGTCTTGCCCGGAAAGCCAGCGGCGTGGCCCTGGTTGGTTTGCATAGGCTGGGTTCTCCACGACCGTCCATTTATCCCCACAGGACGACCGCCTCCCGACCGCTTCCTGCATATCTAGGGGCGGATCAAATCACCACCTGCCCGGTCCGCACCCGCAGTCAGCTCCTCTCACAGGTACCTCGACTTGCAAGGTACAAGTGGCTGTCACAGCCCGTTGTGTCTTTCACATTATATCCCTCCACCAAGTTGCAGCCCTCCCTGCGGCAGCATTTCAAGACGCTTGACGCACCAACATCCCGACCCGGCCCTACCAACACCAGCATCGCGGATAGACTAGCAAACAACCAACAGCCAAGTTGCGTCTATTTCCATTTGGCATCACCGGTGTGATAGTTTTCCACTGACCCTCGTGCTTTGCTTGGTTGGCAGTATTGACGATGGCAAACAAGTCAGCCCACCCTTCCCGACCAGCGATTTCAAACCAATAACCACTGCCTTGAGTTCGTATCACAATCAAGTATAAGACAGACAACGTCTCCTCCTTTCCAGCTGCCCTTCTTCATTCAGAAAGAACAGCAATCACAGCACCCTCAGCTCTTTCACCATCTCTCAAGATATCGTCTCCTAACCACCTATTCGACTACTCGAAAGAAGTCATCTACACTACGGCATCAACAGTGGTCTTGTTCTATCTACTCTCCCCTCAGTATTGTTTCCTTCTCAAGTCATTTTGATTGTTTCGACGTCTCCTCAGAGACTAGGAATATCTCTCGACGCAGCGCTAGAGTCATCTACCGCTGGCCTTATCACTGTACTGTCCCAAAGCCAGTCACACCAACAGCCAAGATGTGCAAGGAATACGACGTCATCTACACGAAGTGCCAACACTCCGAGAAGCTGGTTCATGAGTGCAGAGAGGTAAAGACTGGCCTCTCGTGCCCGAGAACCGAGTCCAAGGGCTCCACCGTGAGTGAAGGATATTGCCGTGCTTGCTACCAGGCCGGGAAATCGTAGGTCAGTTTTGTGCTTGCACTCTTGCCGCCCTTTCTCTCCTCTTTCAGGTACAATACTAACACCCTACTAGTGATCTTCCCGATACATTCACGAGGCCACGCAAGGGACAGAAGCAGAGACTTTGATCTATTTCTTGCTTATACAAGCCGGGGGGTACGCGCCCATGCGTTAACCATTTCTTCGACGATGTGGCGATGACGGCGATGATAGCTACATGCTGGGTATGGGTTGTTTTTTCTGCCAGCTTGCCCATTTTCCTTGACAGCTTGATTTCATTTACAGAAGATCTGGTGTATGCAGCACCGGACTTGATGTTTCTTTCTTTTTCTTTTTCTTTTCCATTTTTAGATTTCATGGGCAGCCACCGAGAATACTGAGTTGAGCCCGGCCCTGGTCAACATTCTTCTTTTCCTGTCCATAGGCCTTCGCTCATGCGGAGCTAATTCAATCCTTCCATCTCTGTTCTACACACTGAGCATGACTTGACATCGCATTCTGATCTAATAACCATACCCGTTGTTTCCGTCTGCTGGCAAGATGTGGATAGCACACTGTTACATGAGGGGCCAGGGGCCGCCGGATGAGGGGACATTTGGGAGACCTGCATATCTTGTCGGCCGTACTGGAGTTGTCTCAGGTTTAGACCCCAAAGATGCAAGAGACAGCCAAGTTCTCTGGATGCTGTGGATCGTGGACCTGGTACCACCTTGCTGTCAGAAAAAAACGATTGAAGCGGCACGGCAGTGAGCGAGCGGGAGCGGTCCGCCTGCAAAAAGCATGCTTGCGCAGCCAACGGCCAACGGCATTTCGTCACGAAGCTTTAGTACCAACCAAATGACCCTTGTCGTTAATGGATCGAAGCGGTTTATTCTGCATTGGGTGCATAGCTACACATAGGGTACACCAGCCCAGCACCAAAGTTTAGTTGCACCTGCCAACAAAACAATGGTCGACGTCTTCAACTTCTTCAGCGGCGCCCGACAGCTTTTAAATGCAAGGCACGAAAAGGGAAAACACCCGCTGACTCGGCAGGAGGCTGGAAGGCTGTCTGTCTGGTCTCAACGCACAGCGGGTAGGATTTCGGTTGACCCAGCATAGGTGTTGCGTCATGTGATGATGGGCGATTTACGGGGTTATTAAGCAGAGGCCAGGCAGGGCACACTCGCACACAGACGCACATATACACGCACGCACAAACACGCGCGCGGGCGCGTCAAGCAACAGGGAAAGAGAGAATGGAAACGGTATATGTATATGTGAATATATCTGTTTGCGTGTGCATGCTTGTGTGTGTATGCTTGTGTGTATGTGTGAGTGAGTGTGTGAGTACGTGTTTGCAAAGCCTCGGCTTTCCTCCGTCTGAGACGGTTTGCAAAATGAGGGAAAAGGAAACAAGAAATTTGGTAATGAGTGCCACTGGGGGCGGCCAGGGCCCAAACAATTGCAAACAAATTAGAGGAAAGGAAGGGAAGGAAAGAAAAGGGAAAAATTCGGGCTCGCCCAAAGAGCCGCTTTAGACGACATGTGGACAATTTAAGCCAACCAACAAACCGGACTAAAAAGCTGGGTGCACCAATCCAACGTAGTGCGGCGCAGCTGTCAGGTTTCACACCTCCGTCTCTGTAGGGCAGACAAGCGACACGAACCACGCCATAGCACCCTTTGCAGACGACGCTACACTGCGCTATGCTACCTTGGCTCTAGCGTAACGGCGGGGACTAAACTAAACCTTGCGCATTTAGGGAAGGCAAATGAGATGCAATGCCTCTTTGGCCAGCAGCTCAGGTCATTGCCACGGTCGCGGACATGGCATGGGGGCGCTGAACCTGTGTGACGAAGGTAGTGGGAGCAACACGGGCCGGTCAGGCAGGCCTAAAATACTGCGAGGAGCCGGGATTAGCGGGCAGTGGAGGAAGGGCCAGCAGTAGCAGGGGGTGGATGAGAGAGGACGGGGGAGAGCAGGCACTTTGTATCCGGAGATGAGGGCACGTATTGTTCCCTCCTCATTGCTGTGCAGAGTGACTGATACTGTGTAATTAACGACATACAGTACCATAGCCGAATAAGACCATACAGAACAAAACTGGATTGGGCTGGACAAGGAGGGAGAGGGAGCAAGTGCAAAGAGGGAAGAAAATGCTCTGCCCACCTGTGACAGGATAGGACAAGCCCTCCGGATGTAACCCGACCTTCCTTCCAATATGCCCCCAAAGACCGAAGATGACAGCAATTGCGTGGGTACAGCCAGGTTCAGAAAGGGAGAGAGAAAGGAATTAGACAAGGACAGGCGAAGTAAAAAGTTTAAGGGGAGGGGAATGAGAAGAGAGGGGGGGGGGGCGTAAGGGAAGATGAGATGAGAACGAGTCTACTTTGAAAGAAGAGGATGAGGTAAGGTAGCAATGTAGGTAAGGGGAGCTCTACTAAGGTAAGGTACGTGCGTACCTTCTTCCTTGCATCCATGTCCACCCGTGAAGTGGACCGGGAGATTGACAGACAAGGCACCAGCTCCAGCTCCTTCAGTCGATGGTCCATCCTCCCATTTCTGCCCTTGTACTTTGTGTGAGGAGGTCTTGCCTTGTCTGGTCGAACATCTCCAGGTTGGCAGGACAAGGTCGAGCCCAAAGCTCAGACGAGAAACATCAGAGACGACCAGGAATGAGTTACACCACAAATCTAACTAACGTCACGTCTCATCAAAACCTCCGCCCCTGCCCGGGCTTCGCTCCAGGTACCTGGCAATGAGACTGAGGGCGAGCACGACGACCAGGTTTTTGGAAGGCCCTTGTCTCGTCTAAAGCTAGTCAAGCGAGACCTTGCTCAAGTTTAGTTTTTTTTTTTTTTTTTTTTTTTTTTTTTTCCCTCCCCTTGGTGAGACCGCTGTCCTCGTCCGGTCGCTCTTGTATGGAACCCTCGCTTCATGCACACCCTCGTATCCGAGACCAATTGCCTGGTCATGTATCGGATCGGATGAACAGCCACGCAGGGAAGCAAGCAGTCAACCACCCAAGCCGAAGAAAAATGGAAACTAAAATAAACCGAAAACATCGTGAAGTAAAATACCTGGTGGGCAGGTATCCGTCCTACCTGACCTCGCCTTACCTCAGGTAAAGGTAAAAGGTGGGTTCGCGCGGATACTCTGACTTTGGGGGCCTTGAGTCGATGTCACGATGCACGAACTTTACTTTATGCTTGTATTCTGGTGGCACCTCGCACTTCGTATGCTTGATCATACAAGGTAATGTACATACACATTTGGGCGACTGCATATACACACATGTACACATGCGCATCCATCCGGCCTACTTGCATACATTCACCACGTGATGTGCCGGTAGGAGCTGCCAGGGTTATTCTCGTTGTGTCGCTCTCGCTGTTACGCGACACAACATAACCCGCAAGCCTTGCTATGGTCTCATTCCCGCGTCATACCGATGCAGCAAGGCGATGTGACCATCGCCTTGTTGTTGCCGTCGCCCTGCCTCGCGCCAAGCCAAGCATTGATGCCTTCAGTCGCATTCCAGCTTGACCAGGGGACCCCCAAAAGTCCTCGGCATGATGAGGTCTAGGGCTACAGAGAAATGGGATGCGAACGAATTTCCCGATCTGCTTCCTTCGTGAAAGGAGCCACCCGCGTTGTCACAACCCGGCCGCAGAGAATCTGCCTTCTCGACAAGAGTGAAGCAATGGCAACCGTCATTTCTCGCTGATCAATCTTCTTACTTGAGACAGTTTTTTTTTTTTTTTTCCTCCTTAGTTCCCGTCTTCTCATCCTTGGATGTCACGGCTAGCCCCGGAAAACAGAGTGTTGGCAAACCGTTGTTCATTACCTCAGCCTAAAGTAACCAGGGACACACAAGTCTAGCTGTCATTGTTTGCCGCCATTGTTTTCTTGCACCCTGCCGAATTCCTTGCGTTCGCGACTCGGCCCGCTAACTAACACATAATGTACATACCAATGCACAGCATAATCACTTGTTTTCTCCTTTGCCTTTCTTTTCTCTATTTCCCCCTTCGTGCTTTCATCTTCTTCTATTTCCTTCCTCTGGTCAAGTCAAGCAATAATACCATAACAGCCACTTATTGAGACAAATGTTCCCAAGTGTCCAGTCCATCTTCAAAACTTTACCCAGCAGATTACTGCCCATCACGGATCATCGGCCACCACCATCCACCCAATCCATATGTGCATTAGAGGCACAGAGCAGCAGTGCTGACAGGCCGCCCAGCGCGCCCGCCTGCCTGGTCGCCGGCGGCTATGCACATCGCTTCGACTGCATAAAACCAATCATCGAAGCCCGGAAACTTCAAAAAGGGGAAAGTCCCTTTCTGGTCACACCAGAGCAGCGAGCCTTTGGGGTCGTTCTGGGCGCGCCAGCAGGACCAACTGCGCCATGGAGCTGCAGTTGCTGAACGACCTGCGATGTCGCCGCACGTTTCTTCTTCCACGCCGTCTGCCTTCCTACGAGCGAGCTCATAGCCCCCTCGAGGTCAGAATCTAGCGAGCAACCCCCAGTATTTCTCGCCAGATCGTGCCAAAATCAGCGACGGGAGGCGGAATCTAGCCCGCAAGCCGACCGATGTGCGAGGGTGGCACGGTTGGCCGTTTATTCCCTTCCCCTCTTGACTATTCTTCCTTCCTACATGGGCCCATGCTCAGATGGTTGAAGAGGAGAGGCACGGAGGGGATTCTCGACAGCTCACCAAGCCGCGGGAATCCTCCGCCCCCATGCATACCTCAGCACCTCAACCCCCAATGCCCCATCATGCTAGGGCCAGGGACATACATCCCTGGTGATCGATCTTTGAGGTCCACGGTTCGAGGTTTTAGCGTCTCGTCCGTGTCCCGCGATAAGTTCAAGGTCCCACACGTAGTGACTAATCATTGACTCTCGAGAACAGACAAAGCAGAGGGACAGTGTTGGTTCGACAACACGGGAGAACCGTAACATTGTGGGGGCTTGATACTCTCTTGCCCCTTCCATTCTTGGCCGAAATACTTCGCATAGCACCATAAACCACCGAGGAAAAGACCTCAGTATTGTCTTCCCTCTTGCTCTCGTGGATTTCTTTGGCCTTTTGAGGGTCCCCTGTTACCCGAGCTCCGGCTTCCTTGAACAGTTTGACCGGGTCCTTGTGTGTCCCGAGACCAACAAGCAGAGCAGGCATACTTTCAAGCCCCTTTTTTCCGCAAATTTGGAGCCCACATTTTGCATTGTTCGACTGTCGCTAGGGGCGCCTCAGTACTTGTCGTCGCGGGCAGTCGAGAGGAGGAAGCGTAGATGAGAGGCATAGTCTGTTGTGCTTGTCCACTCCGCCTTGGACGGACCGGAAGGCTCTTGTTAATTTGGCCGACCTAAATGGCCCATTCGGCGGTACTCTCTCATTCTTCTTTTGTCCTTCGCCACGTTGCTCCAACTACCTGGTAACATCATCTTTGCTCTTCTCGGGCCTCGGAGGAAACGACAAAACTGGCGGTTTGGTCGCGACCCTGTAAGGCGGTCTTGCCCTTCATTTCGTTTCCCATCACATCCAGATTCGTGGTGTGGCACACACGCACACGCACAATATGTGCGCGCATGCGTGCAATGTGCGTATGTTGGAACTAACCACAAGAGACGCGGCTTGGCCTTTTTGCTCGCCAAGTTACGAACCTAATCCTCAAATCAGGAATCGAGCTCTTGACGTGTGTGTCTGTTAAACAAGCAAGCAACCGCCCACCCACCCACCATCATCAACGCCCTTTTGTCCGCACTGCCCCCCCTCCCCCGTCTCCTCCTCCTCTTCTTCATCTGTTGTTGATACATCCGGCCACGGCGAAAGCGAAAGACGAACGCGACCAAGACGGAAATCGCGAGATGTATGGATACTGACTCGTAGTTCAAGTGACACAACCGGGGAGGAGAAGCTTGAGACGGAGAACATGAAAGAGGGGAAAGGAGGGCCGAAAGAGGAAGAGAGAGGAGTGCAAAGAGGACGCGTCTCTGGGCAATAATCCATGATACACCCTTGGGCAACGGCCCCCCCCTCCCGAGTCTCCAGAAAGGCACGAGCTCCGTCTCCGCCTTGCATCATTGTTTATGGTATATCCACCTGCCCGGACATATGTGCTCACATGAAGAGTCAGCACTTTCTTCAATACGTGGCGAGGCGCATACCGCCAGAGGCTGAATGTTTTTGACGAGAGCACGAAAGAAAAAACACAGAAGGCAATAAATACAAATTTATTTGGAAGCTTCTCCTTCTTTTTCTCTTTGTTTTCTTTTTCTTTTGGATAAAGTTAAAAAAAAAAAAACAGCTTCGATGAACAACACGGTAAAAAGCGGGTGGCGCCGCTGCCTGGGCAAAGTGATGATCCATCGAGCGAGCCTTTCCCCATTGTGTCTCGGGGTCTATGAGAGACGAGACGTGGGTAGATTGTGACGTATGCTTCCGTCTACTATCAAATCTTTTTTTTTTTTTGTCACCCCCTTCATTTTCACAACGGATAGTCGTTGGTAGCAAGCAGGTAGGCAGGCAGGCAGGCAGGCAGGCAGGCAGGCAGGTGGGCGGGCGGGCGGGCGGATGGGCGGATAGGGTAATGGAATAGGAGGATATGGGAGGGGTGCGAGGGGTGACAGTTTTTTTTTTTTTTTTTCCCTCTTTCCAGCATTTCCCCAACCGTGCTCTGTGAACCCACCACTCGCTTCTGACCCCTTGGAGTGTAATTTATTAGTTCTCTCGTCTTCTGCCTAGATCACTTCCGCCCATTTTTCATCGTGTTATAGCGAACGAGGCAGCGGCATTGGACAGACCAAGACACATAGCATTATTGTGTGCATAGCATGAGCATCATTTTCGCGATAAACCTGTTTGGTCCATTTCAGGAGCGTCTTTTGCAGGAGAGCCTAAATCTCCTCTTCCTCGTGAGAAAATTCCAATCTGTGTGTGTTCGTCTCCTCAAAATAAAAGGGGGTAAGGTTCAGGAGCTGCTTAAAATCATCTCCTCCGTCACACATAACCTCCAAGCCAGGTCCACTATTCTCGTCCTGCCCCTGCGCGTATAATACAAAGTCAGCTTTTTACAGAAACCACCGCGAAGCCTTTTCATCTTTTCAATATATTTTTTTCGGTCGTTTGTTTTTGATTGTGTAGGTTGTGCGTGTTATCGTCCTGCTGCCTCCCAGCCTGCCTTTCTGTCTAGCCAGCTGTTGAGTGACGCGCAATCTTTTTGTGTTGTCTCTGAGAGCACTTCTATGATGCATAGCAACCATTTCCTCCACACGAAAGTAAAGTGACAACCTGCGTCTGTGATGAGATGCAATATTCCAATCAACCAGAACCAGTTAAGCCGTTGAATCATTAGTCGGCATATTAGGAGAGTGAAAAATGGTGGCAAATGAAGGCACAATCGGATGCCTCCTCAGAATTCGAGGCAACGTTAGTTTCCAGAGCCACCAGGTCCAGGAGTTCTCGGAGACCACGAAGGGGACTACAGTGATATGTCAGTGACTGCCGGTACAATGTAATCAAAAGCGATATGGCTACTTACAGTTGGTGAGTAGCTGGGGCTGGTCGGAGACTGCTGCGCCGCAGGAGTCCGCTGGAAGCTTGGACTTGTGGGAGAGTACGCTTCCGGCGAAGTTGGTGACCACGTCGGGGATGCAGGAGAGTACGATGGCGACGTGGGACCAGCCCCGTGTATGTTGGGAGATGCCGGGCTATAGTTAGGGCTGGCAGGCGAGTAGCTCGGTGAAGTCGGTGATGCATACTGGGCCGGGGATGTTGGCGAGTAATGCCTTGGAGAGGAGGGAGAAGCCGGCGAGTAGCTTGGCGAAGTCGGGCTGTAGTTGGGGCTTGCAGGACTGGTGGGCCGCAACATGGGCGACGTTGGCGAGAACGACGGCGACGAAGGGCTGAACTGTGGAGAGGATGCATAGCGACCACCGGCGCCGTCGATGAGTGGCGATGTGGGAGAGTACCCAGCATTGGGCGACGAAGGCGAATATCCGCCATAACCACTGCTAAAAGGCGAAGTTGGCGAGGTGCTGAAGGGGCTTGTCGGGCGTCCAGGACTTTGGGCTGACCATGGATTGGCAGAACCAATGTTGCCGAAGCCGCCATACTCGGTGTTGCCAAACCCAGCGGGAGAGTCCGATCCAGCACCGACAATAGGAGAAAAGTTACCAGCAGCAGGAGAGCTTAGCGACATGTACCCAGAGTCTGCCATAGGGGAGCCCGAGTCGTACGGTGTTGCGGCACCGCCAGCCTCGCCGCCCTTGACTGGCATGCCAGGCATGAGACCCATGCGTGAATTGTCACTAATGACAGTCTCCAGCATCTTCGGATCAAGGAGAACCTCGAAATGACCTGTTCCCATTGGAGCCATCTGACCGAGCATGACGTTTTCAGAAATACCACGGCAGTCGTCAAGTTCACCTACGGCAGCAGCTTCGAGGAGAATCTCAACAGTTTCCTCGAAAGAGCAACGCATCAGAGCACCAGTGTCCGCGCGGTTGATACCATGACGCGTAACCGCAGAGATCGTACCTCTATAGGTCATGACATCGCAAAGTAGTGCAAGATGTCTGTGATTGACGTAGGAACCGTCGAAGGCCAACACCTGCGTCAATTCTCTGACCAAGGCTGCCCTCGCCGCTTCTATACCGAAGACCTCGACAACCTGCCACAAGTGGTTCGTATAGGTACGGCTAGAGTCGACGCCATCAACACATAGGACCTGGCGCAGAGCAGTACCGGATGTGTCCAGGTACCACTCTGAGCACCGTTCGTCGGCCTTTGCGGCGAGCAGGGCTCCGTCATCAGTCTCAATGAGCTTTGTCTCCTTGTTCAAGAAAGCTCTCTCAATACCCTTGACACCACGAAGGGAGAGGGTGTCAAGCAAATGAGTCTCGAGTCTCTTCAGCATGACATCGTCTTCCATCTTCTTCTCGCCATCCTCATCCTTGTCGTCGTTACCAGCATGCATAGGGCGAATGCGAATAACTTGCTCTTCAGCGTTGTTATCGCTGAAGATGACGGCAAGGTCATTGGGGTACTCTTCTTTGATGCGCCTGGCGACATCCTCAACAGTAAGCTCCTTATCAAGCAGCTTTTGGCGGTCCAGAGTGAGACGGAGTAGCCATCTCGACTGGTCTTCCGCTCTGTCATGGGTCTCATCAGGGATGAGATAGTACGACTCAACCATGTCCAAATCATCAGGAATGTTGGTCGAAGTAATGACAGGGTCGTAGTAGATCTCGGTGACGGCAGTAACAGACCGCAAGGTGGTGTGCTCGACGGCGCTTCGGAGGGCCTTGGCGGCTTCTTGGCTTGCGTTGTCCTCGCCACTCAAGTAAACAACCATAGAAGGCGTCTTGATATTCTGGGCCAGGTTAAGAATTTCCTTGAGACGGGGAACACCTAGCGTAACGTTCTTGGAAGATACACCAGCAAAGTGGAACGTGTTCAACGTCATCTGTGTAGCGGGCTCACCAATAGACTGCGCCGCAATGACACCGACCATCTCACCAGGGCTAACGAAAGCTCGGTCCCAGCGAGCTTCCAGTTCTCCGAGAACATGCTCAAAAGCCATCTTGTTCAGGCGCTGGTGGCAAGCAATCCGCTTGAAGGCAAGGCGTGAACGGATCTGCGCCTTGAAGAGGATAGTGGCGTTCCGGTCAGCTTCCTTCGAGATATCATCGTGGCCACGGACAATGGTCATTCTGTTGAGCATAGCCTGTACTGCAGGAATAACGTCTTGGGGTTTCAAATCGCTTCTCTGGAAGTCTTCGACCGCGAAAAGCTTCTTTGAAGTTTCCATAAGACGGACAATATTAAGAGGAAGTTGCATGGACTCATCGTCCTTCCTCTTGAAGTTGATCTGACGGACTTGCTTGCGATCGACGAGCAGGGCATCGTACTCCTCGTCCAAAAGCTGCTGGACAGAAGGGTCGCCAGCAATCTCATTGCCATACTCGAGCCAATCAAGCTCCTCTGGTCTGGTCTCATCCATGATATCAAGGCGGAACCGGTCGGCAAACTTCTTGTCAGACATGTTGAGGTGATCCATGCGCTGCTTCTCGATATAGATGGCATCCAGGCCATCTTCACCATACAAGAACTGGATAATATCGCCAAGAGAATTTCTTACAGTACCATCATACTTGGCACTAACGTCTTCAAGAGCCTTGACTAGACGACGCTGAATGTAACCGGTTTCGGCAGTCTTGACAGCGGTATCGATGAGACCTTCTCTACCAGCCATGGCGTGGAAGAAGAATTCACTCGGCGTGAGACCACGAAGGTAGGAGTTCTCGACGAAGCCACGAGCCTCAGGAGAGTAGTCGTCTTTGGTGAAATGGGGCAGCGTTCGGTACTTGAAGCCAAAGGGAATACGCTTACCCTCCACAATTTGCTGTCCGACAAGTGCAGTCATCTGAGAAATGTTGATAGAAGAGCCCTTGGAACCCGACGAGGCCATAGTGACGGCGTTGTTCAAATCCTTCAAACTCTTCTGTGTAGTGGTACCAGCCTTGTCACGAGCTGTGTTGAGGGCCTTGGATACCTTGCTCTCGAAGGTCTCACGGATGTTCATACCGGGCAGAGGCTCAAGCTCGTTGGCCGTAGCTTGCTGGGTGAATCTCTCGACCTCAGCCTTGTGCTCATCGATATGAACCTGCACCTTCTCAATGGTCACCTTGTCAGGAATCGTGTCGCCAATGCCGATACTGAAGCCATTGTGAAGAAGCCAGTAGTTGACGACTTGTTGCACTCCGTTAAGAAACTTCATCGACGCCTCTGGGCCATGCTCATTATAAACAATGTGAACGATACCACCACTAGCGGCACCGATATTCTTCTTGGAGAGCAGTCCATACAACAGCTCACCGGATTGGATAAGAAGACCCTCATCCTTAAGGGGGTTGTCCTCCTTCGAATCCGGGGAGTTGTGCAAGCTGACAATGTTGGGGATCGCCATGCTCATGATTTGTTTACCCGTCCATCTCGGCCTTGGGCGCACGATAGCCGGAGGCGGAATGAGACCATCCCAGTTGGGAACCCAAAGCATAATATTCATAACTTGCTCCTTGGTAAGGAACACATCACGACGGCAGAGCTTGTAGGCACCGGCAAGTGTATCTTGCACGATACCCATCAGAGGACCGTTTCTTTGCGGGGAGACAATGTTGATAGGTACCAGGCAAAGCTCCTTGACTTCAGCTCTTGTCTCTTCGCTTTGGGGAACGTGAAGGTTCATCTCGTCACCGTCGAAATCGGCGTTGTATGGCGACGTGACTGATAGGTTAAGACGGAAGGTAGAGTAGGGCATGACGCGGACTCTGTGACCCATCATAGACTCCTTATGCAAAGAGGGCTGACGATTGAAAATAATGTAATCGCCGGTGATCAGGTGACGCTCGACTTTCCAGCCGTACTCGAGCGAGATTTGCCCGGCTCGGCGGTGGTGACGAAGATCAATTCTGGTACCATCCGAACGAATGACATACTTGGCACCAGGGTGTTCATTAGGGCCGTTTTGTACCAGCTCGTGAAGCCTTCCGATGTTGTAAGGAGTTACAGTTTCGGGATAGGTAAGGGTCCTTGCAATACTTCGAGGTACACCAACTTCATCAAGAGAAAGGTTGGCATCACCGGTAATGACAGTACGTGCCGAAAAGTCGACACGCTTACCCATCAAGTTTCCACGAAGACGACCTTCCTTACCCTTAAGACGGGCACGAATGGCCTTGACTGGACGGCCACTCTTTTGCAAGGCGCGAGGTTGGCCAGCAATATCATTGTCCATATAGGTGGCAACATGATACTGAAGGAGTTGCTCAAAATCTTGAGCAATGTGGGCAGGAGAGCCCTCACGAATGGCCTGCTTGACGTTGCTGTTGGCTCGAATGATATCACCCAGCTTGTACGTCAAGTCATCTTCGTTTCTTAGGCCCTGCCCGGTGCCGTCCATAGAAATACTGGGTCGAACGGGAGGAGGGGGAACCGGAAGAACAGTAACGATCATCCACTCTGGGCGGGCATACTCAAGATTAAGACCCATGTCTCTCAAGTCATCGTCGCTAATCCGGCGAAGGATGTTGTGTGCCATCTCGGGTGTGATCTGAGGCTCTTCCTTCTTTTTAACGCCGTCTTCGCCCGAGGCCTCGTACTTGGCGACAAGCTGTAGAGCCTTGTGTCGGACTCTGGGTTGAATGTTGCCACAGCCGCCGTGGTTAACGGGAGCTTGCTTCAAACCCAGAGAGTATTCTCCGTCATCGTTCTTAACTTCTTTAGTCTCGTTCTCGCAACGAGTCTTCTTTTTGCAAATGTTCCACACACGGTTGAAGCGAACCTTCGGGTCTCTCGTGTTTACTGCTTGGAGAAATTCAGGGTCGCTCTGAAAAAAAAAGCCAGGTTAGCACAATCGAGTCAAGGTGGCTGTCAAATAACATAGAGCAGACTAACTCTATCGGCCAAAACCTTGCTGCAATTATGGCAGACAATTTCTAACACCTTCTTGACTTTCTTAATAAAGCCAGGGTGGTAGACGGGCTTCGCCAGTTCAATGTGGCCGAAGTGACCAGGACATTCGCCCATGGCCTGCGTACAGGTCTTGCACTTAAATTGCCGGTCGATGGAGCCGAGAAGGGGATCGTTCAGTCCACCGTCGCGCGGCTTCGTCCGCGTCTCATCCATGGTCTCGGGGTAGAGAACATGGCAAACACTCATGTTTTTGATCTCTTCAGGAGCCATGAGTCCGAACTGGATCTCCTCCACCGTCTTAATCGGCGCACTCGAGTGCGTGAAGTATAGGTTCGCCATGGTGACAAATCTTTTATCGTGTTTGGTAAGGAAGGTGTCGAAGGGTAATCGGAAAGTTGGAGAGGGAAAATGTGATGACCGTAGTCCAGTCGTCACTCGATCCGAAAGTGTCGCAGAGCAGGCGCAAAAAGTCGGGAAAGTCAAAATCTATCGCGCGAAACGCTTTTTGAGATGCAATAAGTCGAGAAAGGTCGTTCTACGATGGCGCTCTTGACCACGCCAGTCCCCGGCCAGCGGCCTAGGAGAAGGTTCCACTAATCCTCCCAATCGCCGCCACCTTTAGAGCGTCGATGAATCGGGAAAAAATCGCGATCGTTTCGAGTCGGGTCTCGAGCCGGAAATGAACGTTGAGTCTGCAGGCGCGATTTCCGACGCGCGTGTTGATGGCGAATCGTGGGTTTGGCGTAGTTGTAGATGTGAAGCCGGGGAGGCGAAAGTGAGGAGCGAGGTCAGAAACAAATCTTGCCTTGAGGCGGCTGGCGCAGCCTGTCAAAAAGCGCTAATCCATATTAGGAAATCACCCTCCTATACTTGCCTTTGGCCGGGAACGCGTGCCTAAGGCTCAGCAATGTCAAGTACCCACACAATTGCTGAAACACACCAATCTTCCTTCAGTACGGAAGTAACTATACTTTGACAGAGGAAAGAAGGAAGGCGCGCCTGTCTACCGACCTGGAGAGGCGCCTGACCGATGAGTCAAAATTTTCGTCACAGTGCAAACCTGTCGTCCTTCTACGATCTGACATAGCATTGAATTGAACGTAGCATTTCAGGATCACATTCTTATGCGACTCGTACCAGTGTTGGCCTCACTCCGCTTGACTCCCTCTTGTCCAGGATCACTGCATTGCTTAGACTGTAATTAATAAGCAGCTCTCTGGAGCTGGAGTCTTTACATCACTGGAAGCCAGTCGCGCTAATCAGCTGGCAGGGGTGTGGACGCCAACCGAAGCTCGTCCCAGAGCAACGCGATTCAACGCCATGCCACGCGTCTGCGCCCACACCTTATACTGTTGAAGCTCAACTACCAACGAATTTCTACTCCCCGAAACTTAACGAAGATATCTTCATCGCCTCCTACCCTTGGATGCCTTAGTTGCACCTCGCCTTGCTGGGATCTTCTCCTCCACGACCTCACTGTCGGGCATTCCACCATCCACCCCTGGACTCCTTCTCCTCATAGTTCCTGTAGATACCGCGACAAACTCCTCTTCACTGTCGCTTTCTCCAAGGTCGAATAGGATTGGCATGCGAAACGCTTCACCGCCACCATTGTTTCCGTTCAAGAAGACCGAGCCGACAACGTCGACATCCTCATCCTCTGCATCCAATCGTCTCTTCTGCAACTCCTCTTGCCCGTAAATATCGAACTCATCCTCCTTCTCCTCATATTCTTGGTTCTCTTCAACCTGCGCGAAATCCGGCGCAAGTCTAGACCACTTCTGCTCGGGTATGACAGACCAGATGTAGATTCTCCCCGTCTCGAGGCCACAGGTAGCAATGAAAGGCCGATCTGGATGCCATTCCACAACACCTTGCTCCTCTTTAGGCCCGTCCAGTATCCGAATCAGTCCTGTGCTTCCAATACCCCTATCCCAAACGTATATCTCGTGATTATTGTAGGTGGATGCGGCGACATACTCAGAAGCCGAGCTGAAGGTAACATGGTTCCAAGACAGCCTGTTAACTTGATCCGAAAAAGTATGTTCCTTCGTGAAGTGTACAGTATCGAGGTCAAGGTCCTCAGCTGCGAGGTTCGGGATGTGAAAGGTTCTGACGATACGATCCTGCGCGTTGATCAGGAGTACCCGGCCAGAGTTGTTCAGCCTGAGTGTTGTAACAACACCGCTACATGGCTTTTCTGAGTAAATCGTCTTCCTAGTCTTTACGTCGATGACGTTCACCCATCCCTTATTGGTTCCCGCCAGAACATGCTCTCCCGTAGAGGTATATATCGTAACAGTCGTCATTTGTTTCGCATCCTCCTTCAACTGCTTCTCCGTGCGTTCTCCATCGGGGTGTTTCGGCGCCGAAGGGAGGGGGTATTTGACATCGTTTACGTCTGAGATGTCGACGAGAATCGGTTGGTCGTCAAAAATAGAGGCGACAAACTGATGGCTTTGTCTGTCAGCGACGCTAAAAGTAGGCTAGGGGTTTCGCCAACATACTGGTTGAACGGATTGAGCTCCGCGATGTACGCTGGAGCTCGAAAGCGAACCTCGCGGTATCTCTTGCCATCTTTGAGATCCCACAATATAGCCTTCCATCCTTGGCATGCCGATAGAAGATAGCGACCGCATCTCGACCAACTCAGTGATGTGATGCTTCTGTTGTGACCGCGCATCTTCCTAGCAACTCCCATAGTTTCGATATCCCATATCACAACAGTTCCGTCAACCCTGCCGGAGGCTAGGAGATCACCTGTCCGGTTGAAACGGAGGCATGTCGAATGGCCGGATCGGATTGTGTTCGTGTTGTTTATGGCGTTGATAGCCTCGACTGCGGCAATGGCTTCGTTCTCCTCATTGCTGAGCAGAAAATTCATGTTTACAAGCGCCGTTTCAGCTCAAAACTGTCAGTTTAAGGACTGTTCCGTCAATTTGAATGCTGATAGTCGTCGAGTGCCACAGATGTGAAAGCTTGAGAGCTCCAAGGTCGCAAATTATCCTATAGCCGTGTGCATGCAATTACCTTTATTGCGCCTGCAAGGCTGAGAGGTGACATGGGTCTCACGCCCAAAGTTTTGGGCGCTGGCGTATGTTTTAGCGACCGACCCCACTGAAGCAGCAACAACCCCTCCCCCACCATCCCACCTTACATACGAACCCTACCTAAAGATCGACTCACACCAACTGTGTTTATTGGAGAGGGGCCTTAAGTTGATACCTGCCTTAACTATAACTGCCATATCTCTCTCAGTCTTGTTCTTCTGGACGGATATTAATCCTCCACAAACTAGAGGGTTTCCGGACCCAAAATCGCGAAATACCCAGTTTCTTTGTCTTGAAGATGGCGAACTCTAAGTAAAGCCTCATATTTTTCCATATAATCATGAACCGATGCTAATCAACCATCAGATTCGAGTATGTCAAGAGCTTTGAGCAACCTGACACCTTGTTGCCGAACACATGGATTGTAGTCCGCATAGATGGTAGGGGCTTCACAAAGTATGAGCAAAAATCATCAAGCGATCATCTGGATATCCCTAACCGACGCATAGACTTTGCGCCAAATACGCCTTCGAAAAGCCGAATGATAAGAGGGCACTCGACCTCATGAACGCTGCTGCACGAGTGGTGGTGACTGAACTACCGGATATCACCATAGCGTATGGCGTGAGCGACGAGTACAGCTTCGTATTCCACAAGTCTTGTACGCTTTTCGAAAGAAGGGCGAGGTAAGAAGGTCATCTATGAAGCATCAATTAAGAAACTCACATGAGACAGCAAAATCGTCAGCACTGTAGTTTCAACATTCACAGCTAACTACATCTACCTATGGTCACAATACTTCCCCGATACCCCGCTCTCGCCGCCTCTTCCGAGTTTTGACGGCAGGGCAGTGTGTTATCCCACTGTCGCAAACCTGAGAGATTATATGAGCTGGCGGCAGGTTGACTGTAAGTCTATGTCAGCTGGATAAAATCAATGAGATGCTCTTATTAACCCGTAAAGGCCACATCAACAATCTTTACAACACTACATTTTGGGCTCTGATCCAACTAGGAGGCATGGACAACAGGGCGGCAGAGCAGCTCCTTGCTGTATGATTTCTGTCAAATGTTTCTTGTTGTGATCATCGACTAACTGCGTACTAGGGCACTGTCTCCGGCGACAAGAACGAGATTCTGTTCTCAAAATTCAAGATCAACTACAACAATGAGCCTGAGATCAACAAAAAGGGTAGCGTAGTCTTCCGAGACGTAATGTTCCCTTAAATTCTGGTGTAACTCAGAGCATCACGGCTAAATTCAAAGCAGTACGAACTTGTCGAGCCTGGCACTCACAACGCCGCTGAGGCGGCAGACGCCCTTGCAGAGCCGATGCAGCAAACCAAGTCTCAAGCTGAGAAGGAGAAGAAGAAGCGCGCTAAGGCTCGCGTCGTTATTGAGCATCTAGACATCATCAAGGACGAATTTTGGGACAGGAGGCCTTGGCTGCTTTCCAACAAGCCTGGAAAGACCCCTAAAGAAACCTGAAAGTCAACGGGTATGTCGGAAAAAAGGCACTTAAGTTATATGCAGAAGAGGAAGGAGGTGGGAGGAAATGTCCCAACAACCCAGGTTAACTAAGTCTCACATTGGTTAAATATTTCAACCTATCTGATGACTGAGGCGGGGGGGAATTGTAGTCCATACGCAAGGAGCATAGTTCATAGGATTGAATGGCGTGAATCTTCAGTTACAGCGGCTGCACGCTTAATAGACCGTGTTGTCAGTCACCGGTGGGTATATCTTGCGCCTCAAATCTATGTCGCGAGCTTACCATAAGCTGCGTCTTCTACGATGTGCACAGTTGGTACCTTACCCCAGAATGCCCATATCTCTAGCGATCCTCGGCCGCCTTTTCCAGTAGGCTTTCCCCCAACCCTCCTTGCATATTGACCAAACCCTCGGTGCCTGTAGTAACCTTACAGTCTGCCATATGTCCCTTGAGCGACCATTTGATGAGACGTGGCCGGAGTGTTATCGTCGTCCGCTCCTTCCTAGAGCAGTACTCTCACCCAGAAGCCCCTTTCCCAGCCTTTCTTGCTTCCCTCTTCGCCTTCTTAGCCTCCCTCCTTGTCCTTTTCTCCTCTTTCGACTCCTTCTTCTCTGTGCCCTTATCGGCCCTCTTCGCTCTCTTCGCAAGCCTCTCTCTTCTCCTTGTATCCCTGGCTTCTTTCCTTGCCTTTTTGGCCGCTTTCCTAGCTCTTCTCTCCTCCTTCGTCTCCCCCCTCTCCTTTCTCTCCTTAATCTTCACCCCTCTATCGCTGTCGCTGCTCGTCTCTTCAGACTCGGGTGTAGAAGCACCGCTTTCTTCTGTCTTATCCTGGGACTTGATCGTTCCCTCTAAGAATCCGCCTCTCACGAAGCTCGCGTAAAGCATCCACTTCCCGCCAGAAACCTTTTCAATCTGGTTCAAACGCCCCTGTGTAACTGTCTGTGTGACCCGTCCCTTCTTCGAAGTGTCCAGGCCTTGGAGCTGCTCGTCAAACGCATTCATCCACCATGTATCGCTCGTGAAATGCGCTTTCGTTCCCAAGCCCTTTGTGTTATCCTTGCGATTTAGAAGGAGCGGTTTCGCTAGGCCTATCGAATCGTCCGTCGCGTGAAGAGAATGGCCTTTGCCGCGCCACCCTTGCGACGAGAGAAGGGCGTGCGCATCCATGATGTTGGTGTGGGTTGCCTCAGGTCGATGTTCGAATTGTGATTATGACGAATGTAATTGTAGTAGGAAGAGCTAGAGATCGGCTCTGTTAGGTCATGAACTTGTGGGAGACATGGGCATAATCGGTGTGAAGTTTTCGCATTTGACTACGGCTTGGAGGGGAAGGAACCAAACCAGCAACTAACTGGGTGTATGTGAAGTGGTCGGCCAACTGGATTTTTTCCTCTGCTTATCTTATCTTATCTTATCGCCACAATGTCAATCGATAAACCCCAGTCTCCGGCGATGAGCTTCTCGGAGCCACTTGGACCCACGAACTGTAGGCTGGTGGCTTCACTGGTGTACACAGTACAGAATTCTGGAGGAGCACAAGTAGACTCATGCGCCTATTGGTCACGATCCTATCATTGCGTTATGATTTGAAACCATTCCGGGGGGAAAATGTTAGTGGACAGTTGGATCAGTACATGATCAATTAACGCATGTATGACATTGTCCTGAGAAAACAGAGGACAGATCTTAATCCCCAAATGCTGTCTTTGTGCGATGATTTCCAAATGGTTATTTTTACGTCAATGAGTTCGCTGTTGAAATAAGAAAAGCCATGATAGTCTGAACGTTTCTTCGTTGATGTGAGGTATCTGAACTAAACACTTTTGTAGCTCTCCCCTCTATAATTGTACAAGCAGATGCCCCATTTTTGGTGTCCCGTATGCATCCCAAAAACAATATTTACGCCTTAATCTTCTTGGCAGCAGGCTCCGCTGCAGCCTCATCCAGTGCACGCTTCTCCGGCTCGCCAGCAAGCTCTCTCTCCGCCTTCTCAAACTTGGCCTGCTCCTCGGCAGTCATGTTCGGGAGCAACGGCTTCTCCTCGCCCTCTGAGTTGATGTTCAAGTGGAAAGTACGAATGATCGAGTCAGCATCGTCAATGGCAATCGGCCTGACGTCTGCCAAGGCCTTGATCTTCTGGGTGACGACCTTGACCTGTGCATCGGTCATGGTGAGGCCGAGCTGCTCAACACGACTCTTGATGGCGTTCCATCCCGTCAATCTGGAGGCGAAGTGGACGTATCTGCTCATACCGAAATCGGCAGGGTTGATGATTTCTTGTTTTATATTAGCCTTTTTACTCATCAAGACGCTTGCTTCAGAAGGGCCTACCGTATGTGCTAGGGTTGTTGAGAATGGCCTTGGCGTGGATACCAGCCTTGTGGGTAAAGGCACAGAAGCCAGTGATGTAGTTGTTGAAGGGAATGTTGATCTCGACAGCCTCAGCGACGAGGTCCTCGAGTTCCTTAAGCTTGTGGAGCTTGTACTTGGACTTGGTGTACTCAGGGGCGGCGACGACCATGCGAGCCATCAGACCACCAAGGGGAGTAATACCGTTACGCTCGCCAATGCCGATAACAGAGGTGTCGACTGAAAGAATGAATCAGTATGCAATTTCGTCTATCCTTGCGAGCCAGTACTTACTGTGAGTGGCGCCAGCCTCAAGAGCGCAGTACGCGTTGGCGATGGCACATCCAGTATCGTTGTGGAACTGCTTTTACGTTAGTTTCCGCCATTTCAAGGCTGTACTGGCGCAAGCGACTTACGTGCGTCTCAATGTCACAGCTAACAACACCTCTGAGCGTACGGACAAGGTCGTAGACCTGTCTGGGGCTGGCACAACCGACGGTGTCGGCAATACCGACTCTGTGCACACCAACCTTGTCGACGGCACTGTAGACGGAGAGAAGATCGACGAGGTCGGAACGGAAGGAGTCCTCGGATGAGAAACGGATTTCAAGACCCTTGGACTTGACGAACTCGATAACCTCAATGGCAGTCTAGCACAGGAAGTCAGCTCAGATCGAGTAATTACAAAGTAGTCGAATTAAACCTACGTTGATGATGTAAGTCATGTCCTTGCCGTGGGAGTGCTCGCGCAAGTATGAAGAGGTGCCAATGACGACGTCAACACCATCAACACCGGTCTCGACGGCCAAACGGGCATCATCCATCTGATGTTGTCAGTACGCAGTTCTTTCTACATGTTAGAGGACAGGCTTCTTACGTGGCAGCGGACGTGGGTCAGAATCTTGGCCTTAAGGCCGAGCTTGCAGATGGCCTCACAGTCCTTGCGGGACTGCTCAGAGGCAGCGGGAGAGGTCAGTTCGATGTAGTCGACGCCGAACTCATCAAGAGCCTTCGCAATCTTAATCTTGGTCTCGGTGTCGAAGAAGGCGTTGGCGAATTGTTCACCCTCTCTCAGAGTGGACTCGACTATTGCGTCACCGGTTAGCGTCTATGACTCAGATCAGGGAATGACACTCGCAGCACATACTGATCTTGTATCGGTCAACGTTGCTGAGGAAGTCGCCTACGGGCTGATAGGGGTTGCTGTGCTTCTGCTTGGTCTGCGTCGTCGAGAGTCAGAAGATAACGTCACGGTAAAATCTATACTCGGAGACTAGAGTTGGTTCTTACAGGAATGGCAGTGTAGCCGGGGTGGTCTAGATGCGACAAGAGTCAGTCATCATCGAATTGAAACAGCTCCGTAGAGCAATGACGAAAACTCACCAGCATTGTTGCCGTTAGCAGCGCCATTGGAGCCATTCGCGTGACCATTGGAGCCATTAGACTGGCCGTTGGTGGCCGGGACGTCAGGAGTAGGGCACATCTTGTATAATCATGCAGCGGTCGTCGAGGTTATGTGTGGTGGATTGGTTCGAGGAGAGGCGGAAATCTCAAAACTTGGATGGCTGCAGGATTTATAGAAGATTTTCGGGGAATCTGGTTGAGTCACAGGAGAAGAAGAAGTGACTGGGAAGAAAGCGGCAACGGGTACATATGTATGCAAAGGAAAAAATTATGCTGGGAAGTAAAAAAAGCAGGCCGACAGAGGCAAGGCGGACGCAACAAGGTGTGGATTGGGCGGGATGGCCAGTGATGACCGAGTACGGCGTTCGCAGCCAGAGAAGTTAACCAGTCAATGGGCGCAAAAAGATTTTTTCCACTCTTTAGCCCCGCTCGAGAAACATCCCCGACTGCAGCACTGTGCCATTGACCATTAACTAACAAATTTCAGGGCCGGTCCTTACGTCTGTACTGCCTGTACCCCGCTAGCTGCCACCTGAAGTGGGTTGCGTCCAGGCAATCCATTGGCTGAAGGGTCTCCCACACCTAGCAGTAGCCAATCAGCCCCCCGTTATCGGAAGATCGATCTCCCACAGAATAACCACGCTAGCCCACAAGCGGTAATGCCACATGCTGCAGCTTGCCCAGGTTCTGGCCCGTGCCCGCTGTGCCATCCTGCCGCAGCAGTGTTTGCTTGGTCCTGCAGTTTTTCTGCTGTAGCGGGAGACACCGCCTTTCCTCTCGTTTTGTACATGCATGGTTGACAGCCACTGCTGGACAATCTGACCGCCCAGAAAATCTGGACTGGCTCTGGTGGCAGGGTTCTTGCAGAAACAAGATCAATTAGAGAGTAGCTTTTCACCTTTTGCAGTAGGTAGCGGGAAGGACGAGGATGCAGGCGTTGCATATCATATGGAGGTTCGAATCCGGCATTGGCCAATTGACTCATCTTTCCTGCGGGCGGAGGCAGGAACGCGGAGGGAGGCGGAAGCAGTGGCGGAGGAGCGAATTCGTCAAGCTGACCCGACCTCCCGGTTCGATTCAATAGCATTCTTCCAGCATTTCAATGGCTGATTTCAATCGGGTGTGTCGGAATCATTCGAAAAAATAATGAGAACATTTACAAAAGTCTAACGCGTGCTTTCCCTTTGAGCCTGTGTGCCAACCAGCATGCTTGTATTAGATATCAATCCAACTACCGCCAGCTCGGTCGATGCTAGTGATGCAACGTGCCGCGCCTAAATTAACCCCTAGCAAAAATATTTTCGCAAGCGTACTGATGAAGACTAATTGCCGTGCTGCTAGCAGGATGCTGAGCAGACTGGACTCGAGACGGGACAATGTAGTGCCAGGCGTCTGTACTGCTGAACGGAAAGAGCCCACAGAGGCCCCCACGGTTTACCGTTGCACAACCATTAGTAGCTCGTCGGATCCTCCGACGGGGCCCCGGCCGCATTACCGACCTTTTCTAGTGTAAGACACCGCTTGCATGCCGGTTGCTGGGGTAGACGCTGCTCCAGTTTTCCACAGAGAATCCACAGCTGATTAATGGATCCCCAGACGACGTCATGCAAATATGACTGAGGTACGATATGAAAGTGTCTCATACACTATGTTTCGCAGAGCGAGCGTTGTGGATAGAAATCTGTTGGTGGAACAACCCTCGGGAGAGGGGGCGGTCTGTATAGGTCGTTCTAGTAACGCCATAAATTGACCGCTGTCTCTGAATACCTCAGTTGGAATTCTACCATGCCTTTTTTTTTTTTTTCCAATTACGCTTGGTGAGTAAAGATCAACATTGCCGGGCCGTTGGTGACGAACTTTTATCATCCAAACGCCAAATCCAGTCCGTAACGAGGCGAGCAGCTTGGATTAGAATACACTCATAGTCTACATATGTGTTCGAATCTACAATGCCAACCCTGTGGCAATACCCTGCTAACCACAACGCCATTCTATGCCGATATCTGAATATTAGTAACCAGGTGAAGGCGTACCACCAGGTCGCGCATAGGTAGAGAAAGCCCACAGAAATGACAAGATAATCACACACAACGTTTGTCCTGAACCTCTTCACTGAAACTGACCGACCACATGCTACCGCTCGGTTCATCCACCTCTCTGGACAACCATGGCACAAGAATAATGCCTTTCCAAGTCAAGAGTGTCTTCTGAGCCTTTTGCGAGCAAACAATTACGGCTATCACTTAAACTACCAGTGAAGAATTAAGGTTCTGAGCCGGACTTGGACCGTCAGTAAAAGCTGCGTGTCGGCTGTCAAAGTCGAAACAGCCCCCACAATTGCTCCAGGGGACGCGTGCTTTTATGGTATTCACTTTGTTGCTTGTCCGTATTGCGAGAGTTGTAATGGGGTTTTATGTGTTGCTGCATCTCTTAGTTCCGAGGGCTTAGTTGACTAGGCCGGGCGCCAATGAACTGCCGGTGTAATGCTTGAAACCGAGGATGGTTGTACCGTTGTGTTGCTGATCGAGGCACAGTCTCCATAGGTAGGGACATCTGCTTCGTCGATTGCGCATGCTGAAAGTCTGGCGGTCCTCGATTATTCAACACATCTTGTAATGTGCTTGAACTCTGCCGTTCAACAATAGCTCGTTCAAGTGGAGCGTGTGTCTGATAGAGCTCCCGCATTTGGGTTGAGGGGTTTCGCCCGCCTTGCTGGCTCGCCTGCTGAAGATAAACAGAACCCAAGGGCTGGATTGGCAGGTACCAATGAGTCGAAGTACTATGTCGCGCGACTTGCTGTTGCTCTTTCTGCCAAAGTAGATGAGGTTTTTGGCCAACTAAAGATTCCACGCTCTCTATGCGCCATCGACTACTCCGCAAAGGGCGACTGGTCTGCAAAATCATGGGGTCCGAGGATCGAGAAGCTGTTGCAACAACTTGAACAATATCGGGAGAACCGAATGGGGCTAGGCTACCAGGAAATCGCATGCGTCTGGGCGGGTAGACAGGAGGATAGTGATTGGCAACTACCTGGTCATTTCGGTTTGCCTCGACTTGTGGGTTGAAGTTGCGGTTTGGAAGCATTGAGTGAGGTTTTCTAAGCTCAGCTTCGTCAAAAACTCGTTGTAAAGTCAAGGGAATACCTGAAGCCACAGCAGAAGAATTGCCAGAGACCACGCTTCTCCCAAAAGTAGAGCCAACCCCCCCAACCTGATCTTTGTCCTGGTAGTCGCGAGAAGTGGCAGCTTCGTTGACGGTGGCTGAAGACTTCTAGTTCTTCACCACGTTAGCAAGCACTGTCATTTGCTCCACTTCAAAGTCATCCCCTGTTGGCGACTTTTGGCCTTTTGGCAAAGCAGCAACAACATGCACCTCAATGGTGTTAACGACGCCAGCTTGAAGCTGGGCTTCGAACACCTTGGCTCCCAAAGGAAGCACCTGGCCATGAACTGCATGCGCTGGGTGGATAATGTGTCGGTTAATGAGTACCCAAAGTCTCCACTGGCGTTCCTCTTTCTCAAGGAAGGCTGGCAATACAGGGATGATCTGGATCCTCAGTTGATTAGCAGGCATGTGAACCGTCACGGACTGCTGTGCCTCCTTCTCAAGAGGTGAAACAGTGATCTCGAAGCGACGTTCGACGTTAATCATAGGGTGAGTTTGAACCTTCAGACTACTTATCAAGGCATCGGCCGCTCCTTTGGTCCTGTTAGCATTATGGCCCCATTACCGTATATAGAAACACATACCTTTGCCCGGAGCTCGAAGTCTCTGGTCCCACACAGGCTTAGGAGGCTGTTGAATACCGTTCGCCTGTAACTGTTGTTGCGGTGTACCAATAGGCTGAAAGGTCGCACTGGATAAACCTGCCGCTTGGCCAGCAGCGGGTGAAGGAAATGCAGCAGGTGTATGAGTGTGTCCGGGCGCCATAGCAGGGGAAGGACGCATAGCATCTTCTCGCTTAACATGGTTGGCCACTGAAGGGCTTGGAGACGCCACTGAGGTACTCCGAATCCTGTCCATGGCAGGTGGCACGGCAGGAGTCGCGGCTTGGCGTCCGTTGCCGTTCAGGGCAATCTGGTCGCTAGTCTGAGAGCCTGCCGAATGGGAAGCTGCAGCTGCTGGCGAGTCTGCCGAATCGCTCTTGCCTCCAACGTGAATCGTAATCTTCTTTGAAGCTGCGGGCTGCTCGGTGGCTGGCTGCTGCACCTTGAGTTTAATCTTGGGTTGTGATGGTTCTGGGACAACGGCCTTGGCCATCTTCAACTCATCCAAGAAAAAGTCCTAGATCCACGTTAGCTCTCAGGATTGGCACCTCTGGTTTCTCATGTGCATAACAAACCTTCAGTTCCTGAGCTAGCTCGTAAATTTCACTTCCCTCTTCGTTATAGAAGCATGCATTCTTCCACAATAAGCTGGCAGTTTCCTCAAAGGCTCCCCAGTTTTTGAACTCGCTAGTACCGGTTGCTTCGTTCCGACCCCTAACGCCCTTCACAGCTTTCTGGAGCTTCTTGATAGAAATCGGTTCCTTAACGATCCGATAGTAATCTTTGAGGACACGCGGTGGGAGGTTGACGAAGGGCTCAAAATACGCTTCTTGGCTGCTGTTAATTTGATTAGTACGGGAACGGCTCGGTAGCAAGGGTTAAAACGTACTCATCTTCTCGTTTCCGAAGCATTTCCTCGACAATTTTCTCTTGGGCAGCCTGGAAACTCAGGCCCTTGTACGGGACGCCCTCGTAATCACAGTCAGGACGACTGGGCGTGGAGGTTCGTCCTTTCGATTTTCGTGGCGTCGCGCCTTTAGGGGGTCTGCCCGGACCCCTGCGGCGAATGATGATGGCTGCCGGCTTGGACGACTGACTTGCTTCATCGTCATCATCTTCTTCTCCTTCAGCATCGTCATCGTCGGCCTCTTCATCATCTTCGTCGGCCTCAGCATCCTCTTCTTCATCTTCCTCATCGTCACCTTCGTCAACCTCGTCCTGCTCCTCTACGGACTTTATAGTTCCTTGAGATTTGCGACGAGGAGTCTTGACAGGGGTAGCATCATCCATATCTTCCTCTTCAGCCTCATCGACAACGCCGTCGGCGGGTAATGGGGTAGGAATCGCAGTGTAGCCGCCCTTTGAGTATGCAGGGTTGGTCTTTGTCATGAAGTTGCTCAATGCCTTCCGCACTCTTTCGGCATCCTCAAAAATCTGGGTATTGCGAGGATAGAACTCCTTTGCATTGGTTACCATGCGCTTGAAGTAGCTTTCAAGTTCGGTCAGGGTTGAAAAGTCTCCCTTATTGAGTTTTCGCTCAATCATCGAAAGTGAAATCGGCATGCGTGTCTTCTTGTAGTAATCGGGGTTACCCTCCTTTGGCAGTAGCTTCTCGAAATAGCCTGCGACAAGTCGACCACTGGGTTTGAACAAAAAGTCAGCATCCGCCATTATTGGGAGAAGGATTCGGCCGAATGCGCACAACGGAGCATGACATTGCAGCCAATGTCCATGAGGCTGCAGCATCGCAGGCTCCAACAAGTTATACATGGGGACAATGGTATTAGGGAGTAAGCTCACTTCTTATCTGCTGTGCGGCGAATTTGCTCGAGGAAGAAGAGTCCATGTTCGGTGGTGGATTCGACAGTCTCTTTCTTGCTTAAGTCGTATTTCTGCAAGGTGGTAAATTTAGTTTGAGCCTTTGGTGATCGCTTCTTGCAAGTGATGGGTGTGTATGGAGACCACCGCTTGAGTGGATTCTGAGGGGTCAGGCAATCTGGAGCAGAGAAGGATGAATGCCGATGGCATACACAGGCTCGATCGGCCACGTTGAGATGTCATGTGCATGGCACAGGAGGACTGGTCCTCGAGAGATCAGACTGCAAGTTGGGCTCCACGGCATCAAAAATACCACCAACAAGACAAGATGTGCAAAGGGCAGGCAGTATGGGTAAGGACAAACACTCACCTCGGACAATCTTTGGCGTTTTGCTGCGCGCTCGTCAGCCTCGGTCGCGCCATTTGCGGCGGCCGATTTTCGCTTATGATCCATCAAAAATTCGTGCGCAACGGTCGCGGCGACATGAGCTTTCTTTCTGACTAGTCGCAGACAGTTGCTGTATGTGTTGCGCGTGCAATGGCTGATAGGAAAAAGTGACTTGTGGAGGGCGTGACGATGGTGGTGCTGCGACTGCTTTGCAAAGACGCGTCGTTTGGAGATGGGGTCGGCAAGGTGGTGGTAGGTAAAGTCGGGTCGAGGTAGGCTGTGGGTAAGGTTGGTTGCTGGGAAAGTAGTGAAGGGCTGCAGGGCAGGCTGTGGCTAGCGTGATTGCCAAACTAGAGAACTACGGGAGACCCCGGTGCAGCAGTTGCAGCTCTCCCCCACGTTGTTTAAGCTGGGATGGGAGCTTTGAATCTGCCACCGGACCAAAAAAAAAAAAAAAAAAACTCAAGACACTGGGGGAACAAAATTGCCGGTTAATGCTGAGCGATGGCGGGCCTTTTTTTTTTTCCCTGGCCGTTGCTGCTAGGGGAGGTATCTTAATGGAGTTGGGCGTGCTGGACTTTGGAGAAAAAGGTCTGGTTTGGCCTTTGCGCTGTCCACTCACAGCTGATGGCTGGTAAAGTTGGTCGATCCAAGGTGAAGGTACGTACTGGGCGCCCTTTGGTTTGGTGCCTCAGGTCTGTGCAAGTCTTACGAGGCACCAAAAACTCAGTAGGTAGGTACCTGGGTACATAGCAACTAGGGTGAGAATCTGTACCGCGAAATGCAGTGAAGCAAGGAGTGGGGTTAAATTGAGTAATGATACAAAGATACCAAAACCTGGCTTTTATCGCTTAATAGAGCTGTTGCCGGGTGGCTGACAGTCGTCTGAGTGGGTTCGACCGTTGTGGGCAGGACGAGGGAGATGGGAAGGAGGGAAAAAAAGAAAAAAAAAAAAAGCACACCGCTCTCGGCGAGGAGGTCGGTGTTGGAGGGGCATCCGCTCTCTGTAGCGATAAGAAGTAGGTATTTCTGGTGCAAAATACAGTGTGCTAGTACACCTGAGTCCAGACTGAGCAAGGGGCGGAAGTTGCCGGCAAAACCGCCTCGGACCCTGGGGGCCAAATGACGAGTGGCAGCGCTGGGGTCAGAATTACTGAAATCCGACTTTTGTTTACAGGCCATATCTTTTCCCACTCTTTGAATAACCACCCCTCGTTCTTGCGCGCCAGCCACTCCATACGCCAAATTTTTGAGATTGGTTCGAGCTCCTGCTCTCCGTCCCTTGTTGCTTCCCATCTCCTGGTTTGAGTCAGTGGTGAAGTTGAACCGCTTGTTTCAGCGTCAATTCCTGCCTACCCCGCCTGGGTTTGTTTACCAACCTTGCCATTGCTGAGGTGTGGTCGCCTGACCTAGAATTGGTATTGAATCCTCGCTTGCGCTCTTAGGCTCCCGCGTCTGAGAGTAGAAATCGCCAGTCTCGACCACCGTCGTCCATCACTTGACGTCGTCGCCGCATCGAGAGCTGCCCCGCCGGTCGCCTCGCCTTGTGGTACCGAGACTCGACGCCACCCGTCCATCTCACAGACACCACAGCCGCCATGGATATCGATATGAGCCGTCGCAACAAGGTCCCGCGCCCTTTATCCGACTCGGAAAGGGCTCGCTTGGACGAGTTCATTGATTCTATTCACTACTCGGCGAGGTAGGCGCTCTAGATTACTTTCGTGCCAGTGCCTAATGAGAAGAATCACAAGGAACTAATAGCCCCGCCTACATCTAGATACTCAGATAGCGAGTTCGAATACCGCCATGTGCAGCTGCCCAAAGCCATGCTCAAGGCTATTCCTAAAGACTATCATGATGCCGCCCACGGAACATTGAAGCTGCTCTGGGAAGAGGAGTGGCGCGCACTCGGCATCACTCAGGTAGAGTTATCCCGCAAGGGTTTGCCTAGGTCGTTCGGAGCCGATGCTGATATCTCTTGCAGAGTTTGGGCTGGGAGCATTACGAAGTGCACGAGCCGGAGCCGCATATCTTGCTGTTCAAGTTAGTCTACTCCCCCTCCTTGACTAATGATCTTTTGAGTGATCACAACTGACGTATTGCACCAAAGGCGTCCCCTCAACTATCAACCCCCTCAGTGATTCACCAAGCGAGGCGATATCCCTCGTTATCCTGCATATGCAGAACACATCACCGCTCCCGGCCCGGCAGGCTGCTGTTTGGGCAACGCTCTCGACGACACGATTGACGGCCAATGATGACGGAAGCTTTCTCTAGACGTTTAGGAGAAGAAATTGAAAGATAATAATACCTCGTCTTTGCGGACCACGGCAAATGGTATAAAGGCGGCGCATACCACTACGGTTATTGCATTTATATTTGGGCGGTTTGAGGCAATGGGGATATGTTAGTGTTGAGCTGTTCTGCTTGCTGTCTGTTGATTGTCTCGGAACCTAGCTGAGGGTCTGTCTGATGAGAGATGGGGTATATCGCCCAGTGCACCCGGCAATCACATCGTCTATGTCAAGCCGTCGTCGCTGTTGAGTCTTGCCAACAGTGAGACCACGGGCGGCCGTCGACAAATGCCTACTACGTCTGGGGAAAACCATATATGGAACGACAGCGTGCCGGTTGTGTAGATAGTCGATATTGGCTATTACATAAATAGTTCGGCCAACGACAGTAATGAAGACAGAGCTTGAGAACACGGGCAAAGACGCAAGAATTTGACGTGATGTGCGAAGTCGCAGAGGTTCAAGTGAATCTCCACACAAGAACATCAGGCATCAGCACTGTGATTAGCTTGCTGCTATGTAGTGGAGTGTTCGTCGATTTGGCGGGAGACTGGTCGGATCATACCCAAGCGGACCGGCATGGCCTAGCTGAAATATTTTACGAGACTTTTGTTATCTCACTGTTGCAAGACATGCAGACGGGATGCCGCACATGAAGTTATATATATGACGACCCATCTATAGCTGTTGCACATGGCAATTGGTGCACAGCGGGGATGTCGGACGTCACTTATGGCTGATATGGGTGACGATAAGCCAGCTCAGTTAGATTGGTAAAGTGACTTGTTTTGTGCGTCTGATGTTAGCATGTGCAAGGCTGCATACAGGGGAATACCCATAGCTAGTCGTATGAAAGAGGCTCCATGGTCTGCAATTGGCAAGTCGTGGGATGCACCAAGCCGGAACGAGCTGGATGGCGGCGGCGGCATCCGAGAGGCGATCTGGAAGGGCCAGAGTCATTGGCGCCAAAAGTGGCACCAATTGGCTCCTGCATCTGCTGATTTTCCCTTCAAGAAGGACACCTTTCACCAACGCCTTAATTAGCCTTTTGCCCCCGGAAGCCAACCCCGGGACGAAGTACCTGTCCATAAGTGTAGGCGAGTTAGGTACTTCGGTCCATCGGTCGCATTTAGAATCAGCCAATCCTCGCCAGATAAAGTAGTACGACAACAGGGCCCCAGCATCCAAATTAATCAGCTCTGGGGTTGTTCTATTGCTGCTTCCATGCTTGGGCTTACATTGCTTCGCCTTCAGCATTGAGGACAGATTCCAAAGACATGACTCCATTCCCTTGAGGACAGAAATATCAGCATACCCAAAAAGCCCGAGAGATCCCGTATTTGCACCTGGATACTTTCTGCCCTTTCCCTCACATACCCGTCCCGTGTCACCCGTTGCTACTCCAGCATCTTCCTCGAGCTTCCTTCAAGGTCCGCATTAGGTCCTTCAAGAAGTTGGGTTACAACAACGACGATCAGCGCCAGGCCCACGCCAACGCCCATGCCACTTGCATCTTTCACGTCAGACTTGAGACAATACTGGGGAAACGTGCCTGTCCCATTCACCATCCATCATTAAGCAGAAAGCCCCCGGCCGTTTCTCCGAAACGAACCACACCCAACCTACTTGCGCCCGGGTTAAACTCTTCGTAATATATTTATACGTGCTGCAGGCGCCACAGCATACATTGCGTCGGATCCACGTTTCCAACCCGGATACTCTGAACGTTTCAGCCGACATTTGGAAACCTGCTGCCCGCACTTTTCCGTTGATAAACTCTGTTTTTACGACCACCTGTTCTTGTTGTTACATTGCGTATTAAACCTTCAAATCAGCTCACCCCCGCCAACGCGAGTCGCTCGCCATGAAGTCTGCCAGCAGACTGTTCTTCCTCTCAGTATTTGCACTCTGGGGCTCTCCAGTTCAATGCGAGAGCGCCCAAGATGATTGTGCGGTATGCCGCCGTTTTCTTACCTCTCTTGACGACCTGCAGCCTGGCAGCAGGCTCCTCCCACCGGTTCTCCCTCTCTAACACCTCCTACCAGATCTCCCCTAAGGCTATCGTCTCCGACGCATGCGCCTCCTACTCTACCCTCGACAGACTGAACGCCAAGGTCAAGCCCCTCGTTGACGACCTCACCAAATCCACCGACTTCTTCTCGCACTACCGGCTGAACCTTTTCCACAAAAAATGCCCCTTCTGGAACGACGAGAACGGCATGTGCGGCAATATTGCCTGCGCCGTAGAGACGCTCGACAATGAGGAGGATATCCCTGAGGTTTGGAGGGCGAGTGAGCTCGGAAAGCTGGAAGGCCCCTTGGCAAAACACCCTCCCAAAAAGCTGCAGCACGAGCGACCCGAACGACCACTACAAGGAAAGTTGGGAGAAGGAGTCGGTGAGAGCTGCGTGGTGGAATACGATGACGAATGTGACGAGCGTGATTACTGCGTGCCAGAAGATGAGAGCGCAAGTTCCAAGGGAGACTACGTGAGCCTCATACGCAACCCCGAGCGCTTTACCGGATATGCCGGCGTCGGAGCTGCGCAGGTCTGGGATGCCATCTACCGCGAGAACTGCTTCCAGAAGAGCTCCTTCCCCCACTCGGCCTCCCTGGGGCAGACACAGATCAGCCACAAGGGCCCCGCAGCGCAAGACTTCAGACAAGTCCTCGAGGCTGCTGGCCGACAGCAAGCTCTGGAACAGATGCGAGAGAAGCAGCCCAACGCGCCTTTTGTGGCCCAGACCGGCTTGGAGGCTGAGGATGAGTGCCTTGAAAAGCGCGTCTTCTACCGTGTGGTCTCGGGTATGCACGCAAGCATCAGCACGCACCTTTGCTGGGACTTCCTAAACCAAACCACTGGTCAGTGGACACCCAACCTAGCCTGTTATAAACAACGGTTGCACACCCACCCCGAGCGCATCAGCAATCTGTATTTCAACTATGCACTCGTGACCCGCGCAATTGCGAAGCTGGGCCCCTACCTTCAGGGTCGAGACTACACTTTCTGCACAGGAGACATGGATCAGGACGCCGCTACCCGGGCCAAGGTTCTCGAGGTTACGGAAGGTGCGGCTAGTGTCCCGCAGATCTTTGACGAGAGCCTCATGTTCAAGAATGGCGAGGGTCCGTCTCTTAAGGAAGATTTCCGGAACCGCTTCCGCAACGTCAGCCGCGTCATGGACTGTGTTGGCTGCGACAAGTGCCGGCTCTGGGGCAAACTTCAGACCAATGGATATGGAACTGCTTTGAAGGTTCTTTTCGAATTCGACAACGACAGCCAGGATATTCCTGTGCTGAAGCGCACTGAGCTTGTTGCACTCTTCAACACATACGCCCGTCTTAGCAGCTCGCTGGCTGCCATTGGCAAGTTCCGAGCTATGGTTGATGCTGAGGAGGCTCTTGCCGCTGCTGCTACTGCCGCCACCGCCGCCGAGACGACCAGCGAAATTCCCGACAGGGCGAAGAAGCCGCATCACGTGGTCACCTCATCGGAAGAAGATCAGGACGATGATGAGGAAGAAGGCTTCCCACAGAAACGAAGACAGCCAACGGTCAGAGAAGCTTTTGACGACGAATTCGGACGCTTCATCCGGGCCTTCAAATTTGTGATTCGCCGTTGGATTGGCTTCCCCAGGACTCTGTGGGTTTTCCTAGCCACCGAAACTGATATTAGACATAAGCTAACAGAATTGGTACAGGTTCAACGTCGTCGTTGTCGAGCTTATCAGGGTTTACCAGGGCTTCGTCGGTCTGCCCGTTACGCAAAGGAACTGGAACTTTGAACGACCGAACCTGGACGAGCTGTAGATACACTTTGTTCGGTTTTTCTTTGGTCAAATTATAGCATGGCATAACATAACACACTGCATGGCCAAACAAGGCAAACGGCGCTTGGAATTTGTTTGTTAAGTCTTTCCAACTTTCCGAGTATAGGGAACTAGTATCATCATCAGGCTGTATATACGAGATTGATACCAGCATCTGTCCCATAAATGTATTCTTATTTTCCCATTCAGCCACCGCGAACTCGTGAATGACCATTGCGGCTTGTCATATGCCATCTCGCTCGAATCATGCATATCGCAGCCTTATCCCCTTAAGCTATATGCAACTCTCAACTCAGTATTCACTCCTTATGCGGAAGCAGAGTTCATCAACACAACCAGGACTGATGTACTGATAGAGGTATACGGAATCCTATGTGTAATTAGGTTTAGTATCCGAGAACGCCGACGCTGAAGTGCGCGTCATCCGAACAACCCGTCCCCCTCCCCATTCCTCTTCTTACAACCTCTGCCATCTCGTAAAGGAATGTGAGTAACGGTGTTCCCAATCTTGGCCTTGATGCCAGACACCATAATCTCCCACTCCTTGATACTTTGGAAATCAGGAAGCTTCAGCATGCCGTAGGTTTGCAGACACGCGTCTTCAGCCGGCAGGCCAAATGTCCAGCCTATGCTGACGTGGAAGGCGTCGTCGACTAGCTCCGTCGCGCGAGTCTGGTACAGCGGTTGCTGATCGAAGCGAAGGGCGACGGCGTTACACTTGTTCAACAGGGTGCGGAGCTGTGGGTTCTTGCCATTGCTGCTGTTGTTGTTCTTCGAGGCGAGGGCGTTTGCGACACGGAGAACAAGGAAGGCACGGTCCGAATCTGGGGACTTGAAGAAGCCTATGCCCCTTGGTGATAAGGTGAATGGCTCTACGGCTGGTGTGACTGATGAGGTAAGGGCGGGTAGGAAGTCATCTTTTTGGGCTGTGGTTAAGGAGAGCGGGCGTGAAAGCGAAACGTGGAGAGGGAGGGGAGCGTTAAGGTCTGATGTTAGTAGGGGATGTAGCTTCTGGGCGCTGAGCAAAGGCTCTATTTTCTCAAGCAGAGATGTAAGAAGCGCATGTTGGGATGCGGTCGGATGCCCTGGTATGCGTGAGCTCAGAAAACACAGGGAAAATACGTCTTTTTGGGGGCGTCTTACACTCAATGTAGACATGAGAGGGCCAGTTACCAACGATATGGGGAATAGCTCGCTTCCGGCCCTGATGGAGAGAAGGATCATCGGAGGTGCTGGTTCGCACGGTCGAAGCGTACAAGTCATGAAATTCATCGGGGAGAGGAGGGAGTGCAGAGTTGCCGTCTTGCTGTCGTGAAGTCGATGAGGCGTCGGGCGGCTTGGTGGCCTTGTGTTTGTCGGCACTGGCAGCCGTGCCGTCCGACTCTCTACTGTGGGTCTCACCGACGGTGGCCTTGCGGCGTTTGGCCGGGGGTGAACCGGCCTCAGAGGCCGAGTCGGATGAGGAGTAGTCAACAAGAGCCATTGGCGAGGAGCGGCAGGTTGGTGGACCGTTATGAGATATGCGAATCTACAGTGTAGAGCAGGCAAGACGATCTGCGTGACGGGACCACAGGCAAGCTATCGGACCAATAAGAGATAAGTGGGCGTGCAATAAAACATTTACTTCGATGAAGCCCGCATATATTACTGTAGGTTTGCGATGCCTGTTCGCCTAGAAGCGCTCAGCAGCAGTCGGGAGGTAATGTCCGGCGAGGAGTTAACGAAACATGTGTGAAGCGAAAGACAGGCGGGGACTGTTAGCAATGGCGGCAGCATCGCTGTGTTGGGAAGCGGCATGCAGACGAAGCTTTCCAGCAAGATCTCGATCTCGGGTGCTTGCCTATGTATACGCTATGTATATGGTACAGGCGACTATAACGGACCTGCGCAAGGCGTGCATGGCGTTCCACCACCAGAAGCCTCCCGAATCCCTTGCTGCATGTTCAGGGACGTTGGAGGTCTCTGCACTGTGCCTCAATGCCGGACTTTTCGACGAGATACGAGTACTCAGCGTGGATCTCGTATACAGGGAAAAGTAAAGGAAAAGAAAAGGCTGGCTTTGGCATGAAGCAGCGCAAATGAAGGAAGGCAGGCATTGCTCAGTTTCGCCAATAACCGACAAGGAAAAAATCGAAGGGGTATAATTTTAAGCTTATGGCTCTCACCTACTGGCGGTGAAAAGACCGGGCCCCGTCGGCGACGTGTTCCCGTCAGGCATCGGAACAAGCATTGCCCTGACTTGAAGCACGGTGAGATGTGGACCGGACCCTCCCCGTAAAGCCCCGTAGGCGCCTGAACGGCGTGGTGTGTTATACATAGCAGCAGGACTGGCAGTTCGGTCTGATGTGCTTGTCCCGGCGTTGGAGCACGGTAAATTGATGGCGCCGGCAATTGTGAGTGGTCCGTTAAAATGATGACATTGCCAGGACTGTAATGATTGATGGATTGGTGGGATTGCCCTGACAAAGATGATGAGTTTTGCTAGGCATTGTTGATCGCATGACGTAGGGCGAGAGAGCCAATTGCGAAGCCAGCGACACATGGTTCTAAGACCTACGTGTTGCGCTGATGGTGTGCTCGTGGCTGAGCTAAAACAATATACATAGTAGTGGGCAAATGTTTCGTTTCCCATTCTGCCTTCAGGGACAACCCCCGAGGATGCCGTGGTCTTGTCCTGCCGGGATGCGGGCTTTCCCAGCGGAGCTGCTGAGGGGAAATGGTAACGTGATGGATGAGGTGCATGCCTTGCGTGCAGACCGGGGCCAGAGAGGCAGCTGGACCCTGAAGGGCAAAGGGGTCCTTGAAGCAAAATTGGTGGACTGTTAAAAGTCGTAAGATTGTACATAGGTTTTTGAACGAAGCAAGCACGACTTTAGCCAGCGACGACCAACTATGGGAAGAGGAATGAAGTAGATCTTTCCAATACCGAGACACTTATTTATCCAGTAATTGCTCAAAGCCAGGCCGCAACAAAGAGAAAGAAGCATTGGGCGATAACTTCATGGTTCCGGCTTCCCAAATCATCCGGTCCTTCCTGGTCCTCCTCTCCTCCGTCCCCCCCACCCCTCCCTGCCAGAAAAAAAATTAAGAACACCACTAGATATATTTCACCAATGGAAAGCTCGGCCGCCCTAGCCAGCGCAGGTCCCATGATGACCACTTCCTATCCTGGCATGTCCCCAGCAGCAAAACGAGTATTGCCCGCAGCACCCTTCTCACATACTAGACCGTCCACAATTACACTCTCGCAGGGACGGGGTCTGAAATGGTCTGGACTGACTGTGCCTGTCGTCGGCATCATGCCCACCCTCATGACTCTATCGCCTCCTGGGGTGCACCTCACTCATCCCACCAAACGGATCAACGGAATAAACTGAAAACAATCAAAAGGGCACTCACACCTGCACTTGTATCCCAGTTTCTCACGTCCTCTCAACTCTCGCCCTTCTTCTGCATTGTATTGCTTTGCTTCTGTCTCCGCCTATCCACCGACCATCCAGTCGTCCACTGCTTACAACTGGCCTCGGTCTGCCCCAGCTTAGGACAGTCTTCACCGACTTGCATTGGATTTGGTTGCCTTGACCGAGGAATCTGGCCGACCGGAACGGCCAAAAGAACACTATCCGGTACCAAAGAAGCGATACAGACGGAATTCGACACACGCCCCTTTGACTTATCATTTACTGATACGTATCTTACCTTACACTTTTACGCACTCCGATATTCAATCCAACTTCCAAGCGTCGACGTCAGCAGTCATGGACGAGTCCACCAACAGCAAACAATGGGTTAGTCATTTCTCTATTACGTCGCGCCGTTTTTCCCTTGATCTTGATACAATTACTTCTCTTCGTGGCCAATGCCGTGCGATAATCGTCATCGCCTACTTCTTCCCTTCTGTACACAATCTCCACACTTTTAATCCGTCACCGTCACATCTCCCGTCTTATCACCCTCCTCCGTATTACCCGTCCACAAGACTCCATGCATTCCGTCACTACCGCCCCCAGAAAAAAGGAGGCCCGCGCAGGTTTCTTGTCTTTAGACCTGGGCGAAGCCGATCGTCCCGTCTTACACTTCCATCCCCTCCGCTGTCAGGGCACCCGAACCCAGCTGCCTGCCCATGCCCAAGGCCTTTTGGCCCAAGCCACCGATTCGAGCCCAGCTACCCCTGTCAACCACTCAAGTGAGCCAGTCAACAAAGAACAAGCAGGTACCCTGCACTGCACGGTTCAGCCACCCAGCTATGGTGGCTGTAGGTCCCTTCTTGCGTCACTGCCCATCCAACTTGTCGGATTTCCAAGAACAGCCCAAGCCGTCTGGCATCATCCAGGCCATAGCTAAGCCCTTTGACGACGTAAATAATACGGGCCCCTCCACCTGCACATGCGCGTCCTATGATCATCGTTTGACTTCTTATTTGATCTGTTTCCACCTCTGAGTTGTGTCTCGACCTCTCGATCTACGCACTGATTGAATTTGCGCATTAACTCATTGACCACAGGCAAAGATTTACTTGCTCGATCCTCTTACTGCACCCGAACCCAGCCAGGAAACAGGCCCTGGTAGTTCCTTCGTCAACCCTGATCCATTGCTTCGTACTTTCTCCCAGAGGAAAGGAAAGGAGCCTATACAGGCCAGCGACAAGAGTCACCGAAGTCTTAGAAGTCATAGAAATCACAGTCGGACTTCATCGTATCCCACTCCTCCTGCATCTGCTAGTCCAACTCGCTCCAGCTTTCACTCATCCAACCCTTTCTCACCAACCTACCAAAGCGCATCTCCGCCTTCGCCAAGAGAGCCGGGTTCGCCAGCTTCACCATCATTTCACAGGCCTTTGGATCGCACCACCAGCGTCCGCAGCAACGCTTACAGAGGCCCCGCATCCCCAACTAGCCGCTTCCCACCAAGCACCAGTGTTACTCGGAGCTCTAGCGCCCGTAATCCTTTCATCAGCGAGGGCAACGGATCTCACGCTGATTCCTCTGTTCAACGCAGCAAAAGCGTAAACACCCAAGGTGGTCTTCATCGCTCCGGTTCATTGAGCCAAAGGTTTCCCGGCGACATGTCTCACCGACCTCTCGACATACTGAAACGTGAGCAGCGTGCGGCAGACCGTTCTCCTCACCTTCGAACACGCAGAAATGGGCCCATGACTGACACAATTGATGGGCTTGACACCGTTGGCGGAATTTACCATCATGGCGGCCCATATGACGCTACTTTGGCCTCTCGCAATCGCAACAAGATGTATGCACCCGTTGAAGCCGTTAAGGAATCCAATATGGAGGCCTTGAAAGCCACACCACGTGAATATATCCAGGATTCGCTGGATAAACACGTTCCTTTGCAAGGAACTGGTACAATTCCTGCCGGCGGGAGTGACATGCGCGGCAATATTATGGATTACAAGGAAGGAGCTGATCTGATGCGCGAACCCGACGCAAAGGGTGGCGCTTACAAGCGATGGGATGGAATTGTGAGTCTCAGACCCCTAGTAGGCAAGTCTCATGTCACTTGGATCATGTCTAATCATTCGACAGCCTTACCATCCCGATGATCTCAAGGGCAAGGGTGAACCTTCCTACACATATGAGAAGGATCTTAAGGAGAAAAAGCGCATGCGCAAAGCGTCCCTTGGAAACAGTCCCGCCGAGTTCGAGATGCGCTCTGGCCTTAACGGCCGCCCACACAAGGAAGTTGGTGCCGTAGTACGCCAGCGCAGCTTCAGCAACGCCGCCGACGGAAGACCCGGGCCCTTAGAGGTGCCGGCCGGGCAATCACACAGCGCCGACATTCACCGTCACAACAGCACCGGCAAGCGTTTGAGTGAAGGTTTGAAGCGTCGTTTCGGGAGCCTTCGTCGGAAGAACCAAGCCGCAGCTTAGCTGAAAAACCTGATTACCATTTCTTCCATGCTGTTTGTAAGACGATGTCGCCTATGACATACTACCTCAATCGCACCCACATGGTGTGCTTTACAGAGCAGACATAGGCGGTGAGCTTATTTTGTCCATCGAATGTACGATAAGGGAAATATCTAGGAGGTATAGGTTCGACGCGAGAAGGACTTTGCTAGTAGCGGAAACGGCGGAGGGGAATACGGATTGTAGAGTGCTTAAACGAAGCGTCACGGGAGTTCGGACATGGGAAGCAACGGTATATGAGATAATGAGTCTGCAGCATTATTTACTTGAAGGCATTGTGAGAAGCAGAATTTTATCACGATATCGCCTCACGGTGGCGTAGTTAGATTTCTAGTTATGGTAATGGTACACCTTAACTCAAAGAACCGAGTCAATCTTAAGCTTCAAGAGTGACCCTTGATGTAGACCACACAAGTCTTGATGATGAAATTATTTCGTTATCCTGAGGGGGCTTTCCCCATGCTTACCTAACAGGCACCAAGGATTTACGGCCGCAGCAGGATGCATTTGAAAAAAAGTGACGACAGATTGCAATGGTAAGCGAGGACGACGGGGATGACACGCGAGGGAAAATTGGCTGTCCATAGAGGTGAAGAGAATGATTACAGGAGATGTTACCCTGTAGTAAGCGATCAACACTCTCATGTTGGCGGTAATTTATCACAGTATTCATTTATCATAGTATTCATCAGAGATATGACATGGTTTATTCGGATATAGATGCTCTAGTTGATTGAATATACTATACAATTGCCTTTGGACGCCTTTATTTTTTCCCCTTGTGATCTTTCCTCAGGCTTTATGGTCGCCGCTCCAAGGCTTGTGCGACGGAAGTCCAGAGTCGACATCTCAAAGTTGACATCTTGCTCCGTATTTAATCGTTTTTACCATTCAGGTGCTTCAAAAATAAGCCATACCGCTCCATCCAAGTATACCTTCCAGCTCGCCCCGAACCTCAAGGACGCCGCCGTAGCCACCTTTGCCGGCCACCTCCGATCTGCGTCCCGCACCGAGTTCGTTCCATCGTGAAAGCAGAGCACCGTCAACGACACTGCGTCCGGCGCTCGTGTCGACTCCCGGAGGCCGTGCATCAAGAGGCGGTAGGCGGTGCGCCTTGGGGTTCGCTGCTGCTGCATGGGGAAGGGCTGCAGCAATACTGTTTGCCAGGGAGGTAAGGCGACGGTAGGCCTGCTCTGACAAAGGGGTCAGGCAGGCGAGGGCACCAGTTGGGGAGGCCAGCATGAGGGTCGTTGGGGGGTTCTTTGAAGCGGACGCTGAGGGAGCGATTGATGTTCGAGGCAGAGAAAGGGTTACGGTGGGGTGGTTGGGTGCTGCGGAGAAGGAGGCACGGTTGAGGAGAAGGTGGCCTTGGAGAGACTTGGGGTCTGGAGATTGTCAGTGGCAAGGAGCAATGTTAAGAAGACGCGGAGGGACTCACGCTCGGGATCAAACTGCATGACATGAATTACGCCATCCTTGTCGCAGACAACAATATGTAACTCATCTCCATCAACGATGAAGTCTGTCGTCAAAACCTCGAACTTTCCAGTACTCTTTCCAAAGAGCATCATTTTATAGGGCTCCTCCGCATATCCGACAAACCACACACCCTTAAAGGCGTCAGCCATGAGACAGTATCCTGTCCCACGCACCTCACGGACTGCGGTGACGTAGCAGCTCATATCCATGAAGGCGACTGGCAGGAGAGTGCCGTCTTCTTTGAGACCACGCACCATGCACTTCTGTCCCTGGGCGACGAGCATAAGACCCTGAGAGCCGACTTCGCAGAGAGCAGTGACGGCGCCGCGAGGGATTTCTTCCTTGGCCACGAGCTTCAACTTCTTGTTAGTCTCCGGGCGCCCAGGCTGCGGCACAACAGGAACAACGTCGTAAACCAGGATCCGTCCGCGAATAGGCAGGTCCTCGCCACGGTTGATGGCCGTGCCGACAGCGAGAAGCATGCGGCGTTCCTTTGTCTCTTCCGACACTTCGAGATGGAGCGTCTTCATGCACATGACAACCTCATGAGGGTCGAGCTCGACGTTATCGACAATGGACCAGGTGGCAGGACTGATCAGTTTGATAACGCCACGCTCTGCTTGGGGGTATGAAGTGATTGTCTCCTTGGCCCATTCCTTGTGATAGTCATCATCTTTAGGAAGCTCAAAGGGCTCTGAGACGCTGCATGCCACGGCGTATGTCTCCATTGGGGGGTGGTAGGCGATAAGACTGACGGCATCACCAACTGGAACCTTGCGTACAGACACACCCAGTTCAAAGCTTGTGTCGGCGGGAAGTTGCGTGACGCGAGTATGGCCGTCTGAGTCGGCATAGATGAAGCCACGTTCGCAGCCTTCTGTGTGGAAGGAACTCATGCCACGGACACCAATACCTTGTAGGCCCAAGACTCTGGGACTGCTCTTGGATGACTTAATGATGAAGGATGGCGATGCACCTGGCAGAAAGACGGTGCTAAATCCATTGATGTTGGCGCAAGGACGAAGAGGCACAAAGCGCGGTTGCTCATTGGCGTCATCGTCAGCAACTTCGACGGGACTCTTTGCAAGTGCAGGGTTTGTGATTTTTTGGAAGTGTAAAGTCTTTGCAAGGCCCTCGGACTTGTCAGCCGTTTCGCGACGGATGGGTTCATATATGGTAATGTCGTCATTTGCATGACGAAGCTGTTGAGCAAGTCAGTGTATGGTATGCCAGAATCCAGATTCGGCACTTACAATGAGGTATGGGAAGGTCGTGGTTGTGTCGCCCAGATCAGCCACCAGAATTTCAGTCAACGTCTCCTGGATGGTGCCTCGTCTGACGGCGTAATCTGCGGAGAGGAATGGCGGGACGTAGGTTAAACCAGCAGCAATATATACAGGTTTCGACAGGTCAGGAAGGGCGTATATCTAGTCATCTTTAGCATGTGTAAGCAACGACAAAAAGAAAACTCACGTAGAGAGCACCAGCTGCACTGAGCAAGAACATAAAAATGTTCTTGCCGTCTGCCGTACCCTTGTCTGTCTGGACAGGGGCAAATAAACCGGTTTTGTCGGTATACAGACACCCTGCAAGCCATTTCGTGGAGAGAATGGTATCATCTTGCTTTTCAACCTCTTCCAGCTCATTATTGTTATCGATTTGAGCCACCATTATGCTTGAGTCATCCCGTACCAAGAGAAGGTAGGGATCGGCAATGCTGGCACAAACAACTCGTGGTTCAGCACCTGTTTCTTCATCGAGCATTGGCAAAATTTGGCTCAACCCCAGATCTGCTGACAATCAGTATTCGTTGATTCCTGAGATTGTGATCCTGGTGATTTACCTCCATCATAGCATCGCACCTCCGATTTGAGTACCTGGATGATCCGCATGTGTTTTCCCATCGTACCCGCTTCCACCGTAAAACCTGCAGCAGGATCAAACTCCGTTCCAGTAAATGCTTCAAAACCAGCTCCCGTAAGGGCATAAACATCTGATGTCTCATAGCCATCTAGATCAACCTTGGAAACAATCATAAACTTGTCGTAGATAGACGACGCATCGAATTCACTGCCTACCGCAGCATTTGCACCCTTGTCGCCTTGTAATGATTTTGGGATTGGCTTCTGGACGCACATGGTCCAGAACCCCCTAGCCTCTGGGAATTCAAACCTGCCGATAACTTTAGGTTGGATGTTCTGGTTTAAAATGGCAATGGAACCAGCATTGCCTTTGCCAACAGCACAGGCGAGCTGCAAATCAGCCACAACACCAACCGAATTCTTCTCCTCCTCACTTTCCGGAATAAAAGCCTGTCTGCCTGTAGTCATGTCGTGGACGGGAGCTAAGCTTAGAAGGGAGTCATGGACTCGGAATGACACCTCACCTCCCTTGTGAGCTCCGTTGGACGTTGCATTTGGCTGAACTGTTGTAGTGGTTTCTCCGTAGAGGTCGTCATCGTCGTCATCTTCCATATCCTCATCCTCCAGGTCATCTGCGAAAGAGTCGTCTACCAATCGTGTCTTCTTGCGAGCATTCTGTGCCTGCTTCCGAGTCACGCCTACAACGAGAGAGTCGCTGCCCGCACTTCCAACGAAGAACACGTTTTTGCTGAGCTTCGATATAGAGGAAGCGCTGCATTGCATAATATTGCCACCCGCTTCTGCAGGCACAAGCCTGACACTAACTCCCGAAACCGTCCGTCCATCGATCTTAAAGGCGACGATGGCCAGCCGGCCATCGCTAAGCACCATCAATAGTTCTCCGTTCTCGGGGGACATCTGTTCGATGTAGCAGTTCTCGAGTCGCAAGTCCAATTCCGACTGGTCGGCAAGTGGGAAATTAGTCGTCTCTTTGGTGAACACATTGACAGCAACACCGTTAGGCTTCCCAGACTGATCAATATGAATCAGCTCGTTGGTGCCAACTAAAAGGGCACCTCCTACAGGGCTCGGAAGAGCGATGACTTTGAAAAGATCCTGCGGAAGGTTGTTGACCGAGAGAATGGCTGTTGACGCCCTCTGCTGGAGGTCGAGTGTGAAGACTTTGTAGGAGAAATGATCCTTTCGTGGGAGAGTGTTGGACCGTCGTTGCGTTGATGAGATGATACCAAAGGTGGGCTCTCTGTACTCATGCAAGAAGGCGAGGTGCACAGGATGAAGGAGACTGGGATCAAGCTGAGGGAGAGGGAGGACGTATGATGTTGAGTATGGTACATCTGCTATGTTGCTAGTTCCATTTGTAGCCGCAGTTGCTGACGACTCTTTTGCCGGCCGAGGTCCATCCACTTCTTCATCCCAGTCATCCATATCTATGTCCTCATCATTTTGCTTGAATGGGAGAAACGCGATGTATCTGGGCCCAAATCTAAGCGCCGCGCATCGGGAGCCAGGATCGGCTGCTAGGTATGTTTGGTAATTGCTCAACGGGCCATCAAAGGGCGAGCCTTCAAGCTCTTCTTTCTCGTAGAAGTGGATAGAGATGTCCTCGAGTGCGTGTTTCTCAGGATCCCATTGCACAAGGCTCAGTCTGGCTACCCTTGTAGCAATTAAAAGGGCCTCGCCTCCTGACTTTGAGTGCTGAATTTTGATTCTCGCAAGGCCCGTCACAACACCAAATATGGGGTATTCGGCAACGAGCACGAGCTTCGTGTTCGTTGTTCGATCGGCGCGGACCAGCATGCCATCGCCGCCTAGGAAGGATGACTCGAGGCCATCATCGTCATTTAATCGGCGGTCGTACTGATTATCAGCCCTTGACGATTGTCTGTCTCGAGTCTGCGAGTGGTCAATTTCTGACGAGATCGTCTTGGTCGTAAATATCTGCAACAGAGAGCCCTTTGCGACGACCAGATTGTTGCTTTGCGCCGAGAGAAAAGGGAGATTCAGACTGTACTGCACACCGGTCGGCGGTGTGAGTTCTGTATAGCACTGCATCAGAACAGTCTCAGGCAATTGCCCTTGAGCCGCCCACTGTCATTAGTTTTGAAGTATTGAGTACTTTAGTAGAAGCGTCGGGAGACGTCGCAAAGTCATCCAAAGCTCCGTCGCGCGAGCTCTAAACAACCGTGGACGAGCAGGCCCTTGCGGCTGCTGCTCTGCTTCTTCTGATTGGCAGCTGCAGTAGTGGCGGAACAAGTGAAGACCCGAATCCCCGGAACAACTGCATTGACTTAATCCCGGGCCTAGCACGGGCCAAGAGCACGCGCCTGTGTCGCGACCTGAAGTCAGGATTAGACGACGCTAATGGCACTATTGCGTCACCTACTTACCTTCCATAAAGCTAGCCCCGTCACTATTTACGTTCTTGGTAGCTTCGGAGCTCCCCCCTCTTGGAATGTCAGTGACGATCTTCGCAGCTCCCCTTCAAATCCATTTTCCCCAAAACAACAAATCAGTGTTTCCAGAGAAAGAAAACAGTGATCATTGTTGATAAGCTACAAAGTTCAACCATGATGGCCAGCGCAGGCCTCCTCCAAACCAGCCTCATCTGGGTGACGTACGCTGTTGCTGTTGGACTATGTCTTCTTGCCGCCATTATTACCACCTTCACTTGGCAGACACCCCGAGAGCGGTCTGCCATAGTCAGCATTGTTGCGGTTATCAGTCTTACAGCTCTTTTAGCAACCGTTCTTCTTCTTCCCGTTGATATTGCTCTCATTTCGTCGACCACTCATGCATCGCTTGGGGTCAAGAAGGATTGGGCAACCGAACAGCGCGTTTATGACATCTTGCAGACATTGCGTATCGTCTACTACTCGCTGTACAGCTTCGACGCTCTGCTATGTCTCTTGGTCATTCCGTTCGCCTACTTCTGGTACGAAGAATACGATGAGATTGAGGTTGAGGAAGGCCGGTCGTTCAGCAGCCGCCTCATCAGCGCCCTCAAGTACACCATGGTTTTTGTCATCTTGGTCGTGATTCTCTTCCTTATCGGTTTCTTCGTGCCCGCTGCTGGTAGCGACTCGGATGCTAACTGGGACCTGGATTATTTCAAGCGCATTCTTATCCAGAACAATGGACAAAAGGCATTGGCTTTCGCCCTCGGGCTTCTTGTCACTCTTGGAACTCTTCTTTACATCCTTTACACCGCGGCCGGACTCGCTCTTCTTCCAATGTCATTCATCAAATCTGCACCCTCGATTTCTGCGCCGCAGCTTTCGGAGAACACAGCAACCGCCCTGGAGCAAAACCGTGAGCGACAGCGGCAGTTGGAGATGCGCAATGCCGGCCGGCCTGAGGGTATGTCGTCTAAGGACAGGCGTGAGCTCGAGGCGCTCATTCGCGAGGAGAGAACATTGACACGCCGGGAGAGACTCGCAACTGAGGCATCTGGAGAGGGGCATCACACTATTTACAAGGTGTGGTTAAAAATCTGTGCTGTCTTCAGGCCTATTAAGTTGCTTGGTGGCATCCTGTTGCTTCTACTCTCAATCCTGATCTGGGTTTCGATGCTTATTACAGGCATTGACAAGGCTAAGAATTCGCTCTGCAAGCAACGCTGTGGCTACATCCTTGGGCACATCAACATCTTTCAACCCATCAACTGGATATTCCTACAATCTGCTAAGGCTTTTCCGATCGACTACATCCTCATGGCCCTTCTCGTCCTATTATTCTTTAGCAGCTCGATCACAGGTATTGCCACGGTCGGTATCCGCTTCCTCTGGATCCGCATCTTCCAAATCCGCAAAGGAAGAACCGCGCCTCAAGCCTTGTTGATTGCTACAGTCATGCTAGCCCTTATCATTCTAGCTATCAACTACGCCATAGCGAACATGGTGGCTCCTCAATACTCGATCTACGGCACTCAGACCTATTGCAACGCTCCTCATCATGCAGGAGAGACGCCTAACTGCAAGGACAGGCCCGACTACTTGATACAGTGTTCCGAAGGCTTAGATGTTGAGGCTCTTAAAGTCTGCACCCCCTCCGTTATGTCGGAGTTCCTCAACCGGATAACCATTACATGGCCCTTCTTCGGCGCCCTCGACTTTTGGGCACAGTTCGTTTTCCTGGGCATCTTCCTCCTCGTTTTCGTTACGGGCCTCTTCAGAGCCCCTAAACTCAACATGGCTGAGATCGATGAGGACGCTGAGGCGGATGAGGAGGAAGGTCTGCTAGCAAGCACGAGCCGTCGATTCGGCGCGACGTGGCAGGACATTACGGGCCGAACGAGGTCAAAGAATACGTACGGCACACAGGAGAGAAACAACGGCGGCGGCTCTTCGGAAGCTTAGCATCGTTGGTAAGCACGTTGCAAGCCTGGAACTTGCTATATTGTAAATTAAGCACGTTGCATACATGATTCAGTTTGCCAATGAGCGGGGGAATTTGTATCGAAATACGATCACGGTCGGTATACGGCGATAAGGGGAATTGGAGTTGGTACCACTTTATTGTTTCTAGAATGCCCAAACTTTCATTGTCTTATTCTCATGATGCTCCTAAGGCAACTTTTTTTTGTTTATCCTTTTTGGGCTTGACGAACTGCACTGCTTTGTGGGTACGATCGTCAAAAGCAGCAGCAGATCCAACGTGCATCTCATGCCAGCAGCGCACGCAATAAACGTCTTCACAGCCCAAACACTGCAGTGTAGCATCTTCCAGGCAGACGGTGCACCATGTTTCGGCATCCTCATCAGTGTAGCCGGTCTTGGAAGTCAGCCGCTTGACTGCCCGATCGGCGGGCTGAAAGGTGGGCACGGAAGGTAAGCCCATACCCTCGTCGGACTGACCACTGAGGCCGCTGAGGGCAGCCATACGCGCAGCAATATCGTTGTCAAATTCCGAACCAGCGTCATGTTTTGGCTGGCCCGATGGGACAGAAGGCAGAGACAGGCCAGGCAAGTCGTCAGTATCATCAATATTCTTTGGAGCTGCGATGGTCGAAGGAACCGACGGAAGGGAGAGCCTTAGATCGCCGTCATCTTGTCGATCTCCCCGTGTTTCCCTGGGACTCGTCTCGCTCGTAGTACCTTGGCTTTTGCCCAACAAGGCTGGCGGGTCAGGCACATCATGAGGCTGAGAGTTGAGTTTCGCCTCATCGAGAGCCTGGGAGAGTAAGGTCTCCGCCTCTCGGGTCATCTCTTCACCGTCTGAATCATCCTCGTTATTATTGGTGTCTCGGGAATTTTGTTCCTTGCCTTTTTCCGTGGTACCCTGCTGATATGGGGCATGCTGGCCGGGTGAGGCTTTCGAGAGTTCTTCTAGAAGAGCGGCCACCTTGGCGGACTCAGCCTTTGGATCAAAGCTCCATTGATGCGGGTCCGAATCCAGTGGGTGATCCTCGTCACTGAGAAGATCTTCGAGTGTTTGGTCATCTGTCTGTAGGAGGGGATCGACGTCATCCACCGACCCCGAGAGCGGCGCGCTGAACGGCGTTACTTGGGACTGAGGCGGTGTCGTGTTATGGGTACCACGGGAGAGGATTGTCGGCGATAAGCTTGCAGTTTCTCCGCGGCCAGCAATGGCCTGCTGAGATGCCGGTGCCTCCGGGGCTGGAACCTTGGGAGGTGGCAGCTCGCGCTCGGGTGTATTTCTTAATGAGCGAAGTCGAGCGGCCAGTGCATCCTCACGCGATGGGGGTTTGGCCGGCTCGATGCCAGCAAGGGAAATGTTCAGGGCACTTTGAGAAACTTTAGCACATCTGTCTTTTAACCATGAATCCGACAGAAACCATTGGTGTGTATGGTCTAATTACTTTGATGATCGGTCTAATGAGACGCCAGGGCTGCCGCCCTTTAACGCGCTCAGGCGGTCCAGCAGGCTCTTGTCAGCGCCACTCATATTTGAGAACGAGCGGCCTCTGATTTGGAGAGGAAAGAGGATAATGAATGTATGGATGGATGGATGAAGATGTTGTTGCGGCTTTGGGAAGTACTTCTGAATCGGGGATATGAGGTAATCCTTGTCAGCAGCTGGCGCTATGCGCTGTGATGGAGTATGCGAGGTGCCCAACAATGAACGCCCGGCTTCTATGCGAACTGAGTCTGTGAATGGAAGGAGTGGAGTAAGGCAAATCGCAAGGCGTCCAGGGCCAGCTCTTGGTGCTTTTTCTTCGGGCGCCAGAAGGCTGAGACCACTTTCCAGGGACCGATCTTGAAGAAATCACAAGACAATCAGATCCCCCGCGTGGCCAACGGAAGATGAAGGGTGCCACCGAAACGGATTGAAGTCCCCAATTGATGCAGACCAGCCAACCTCGTTGTTGAAAACGACCCGTGGAAATGGTCATATCACTGGGGCGACTGGCTGCACAGCCATCCGCCTAAGCAGAGTAGCCACAGCATACTAGCCACTAATTAAGCTTAGAATAAGCGAGATACTTTGCGGCTTCCAAAAGTCATTAGGTAGGAACTTATGCCCCTGCGGTATCGAGGCAGTGCCCCATGGTATCCGCCAACCTTACACGGCTTCCACCGCAAGTATAGTGCTATTGGCCTACGGGGCTTGATATTGCTAGTTGCCTGATGGTCTATACCGTATGACTGTGCTTGGCGGGGTTGAGCATTGTCACGCCCCAATGATGAACAGTAACGGTCCAGCGTCCAGTGTTCGGTTCTTGGCCAATGATTATCAATATGACAAGGAGGCGTTTTCTACAATGTACCTGTGAGGGACCATGTCACCCGCAAACGGTAGAAGCGAGCAAGGGCGGCCTTTGGTTCGGCTTTGCACAGACACAGAAAGAGCGCCATGAACGGAGCTGTCTGACAGGCGGAGCAGTCACACCTGAGTGGCAAAGCAATTCCAACAAATTGGGAAACAGGGTCTATCATGAACCCGGCGAAACATGAAGGATGCCTAAGACCGAGTTTCGTGATGTCAGAGCTGTTGTTATATCAATGGCTGGATATAATAAGCTGCTGTTCCTTTCTCTCAAGACGCGATTCCCCTCACCTTGAATGAATTAACCAACCAAGATTATTTGATATTTCTCGAAACCAATCAAGGGGGTATAAAAACCAAGACCCTGTTTGCATCATAGACGAATCACTCCACAGCTGGTTACCGACGGAACAACAAGGGGTACTGCACCGCACCAAATCCTTCTCTCAACGACCCTGACTTCATCACGCATTCACTGTTCTAGCGCCTAAATTTGCCGGACCGCCGATCCTCAAAGAAAGCGTCACCAATCCTATTATCCAGGGCCCTTCAAGGTCATTATAGTGACAAAAGGGTGAACGCACATACACACACACCCATTTGGACGTGGACTAGAATCTCCGTGTTTCCCTCGCATGTCATCATAGTCTGGTGGCAACCACTCAGTCAATTACACATAGTCTGACGGGTCCTTGTTGACACCGAGGCATCCCTGTTTTCCGGGCGGGCACAGCGCAGCTCTTGGCACCTGAGACGCCCGACCATCAGCTTGAAACGGGAAAGAGACAAAATTGCACCCGTTCCCACCTAGATTATTCCTCCGAAAACCGACTTTTTGCTCTTTTTCTTCCTCAACCTACGACTTCCCAAGTCAAGTTTGGCCATTATCATTAAGTTCCACAAGAACTTAGAGGGCATACCCATTGTACATTGATTAGCGTACTGCGCATTCAGCAATCGGCGCAAATCCTACTCAACAGCTTGTAACCGATACATCTCGTCGCAAACGAAATGAGACTCGACTTCGCGGTTGTTGCGCTGACGCTTTGTGCGCCCGTGTGGACCGCAGCTCTCGATGCTGGCCTCCACGGCTCAGATGTTTCGTACCTCGCGCCCGTAGAAGAGCGCGACAACACACAACAGGATGAGAAGTTGTGGAAGCGCAAGGGCGGCGGAGGTGGCGGCGGCGGCAGAGGAGGCGGAGGAGGAAGCTCTTCAGGTGGGTCTCGATCGGGAGGCGGCAGCAGCTCTGGCGGTTCACGTTCAGGCGGCGGCTCCTCTAGTTCTGGCTCTGGCTCATCAAGTGGACGTACAGGTGGTTCACGAAGTGGTGGCAGCAGCGGCAACAGCGGCACCGGAGGCACTGCACGAGGCGGTAGCCGCGACAGCTCCGGCGGATCCACGAAGACTGGTAGCGGTCCCCCTCCCGCTTATGGCGGAGGTAGATACTACGGCGGTGGTGCTACGACTCCCTACCCGGCTGGACAGAGGCGCGGTAGCATGGCCCCCTTCCTGCTTGTCGGTGCTGGTCTGGCCTTCTGGCCTGGCCTTTGGCTTGCGGGCGCTCACATGTACCCTTATAGCCATCCTTATCGCTTCTACAATGAGTCGGCGCGCGAGAATCAAACGAAGCCCGTCCTCTGTGGTTGCGCCGATCATCAGCCTTGTGGATGCGACGAGAACAACAGTACCGAGTACATGAGCTCGCTGCTTGGCAACGGTAGCTACAACGGCTTAAACAAGTCTGTCGTCAACGTTGCGGACTACCAGGGGAACAGCACCATTCTTATCAACGGTACTCTTCCCAACGGCACCACCGCCGCTGGTGGCGACGATGATGTTGGCACCACTTCTGCTGCAGTCCGGGTAATTGCTGAGAACATGGGCTTCTGGCCGGTAGTGGCCGTGGTCTTGGCCACCGTTTTTGCGGCCTGAGTCGGTCTCAGTCATGAGTAAAATGTACATTAACGAAGACGGTTCACACGACATGGGCTGGCTGTATGATCTGCCTCTCAGGAGTTCTTTTTGCATTAACTTTTCTTCTTTTTCTTGCGCATGATACCCATCACGGAAGGCGGCTTGGAGTCGTTCAAAAAAAAGATACGGGCTCCAAACCTTCGCATCAGGGGCACTGGCGGTGGATATCAGTAAATATAGTTTGAAATCACTCTAATTCTCTGTAATTTGACGATGCCTCATGACGTTGGTACCAAGTTGGACCATGCCCTGGTGTTACTATTGAGAAAGCTACACGGTGACGTTCCTCTCGACTCTACGCATTTCACACCACTCTCCCAGCTCACGCCAAATCTTCTCCTTCTCCGCGGGGCGGAGTGTGGCAGCGAGCCCGCTTGTGCTCGTAGCAACAAACACTTTAGCACCAGCCCATCCTTCTTCCCCGTTAGCTACTTTGATAACCCCCATATTCTCTTCCTCGTCCTGCCACCCATATCGGAACTCTTCTTTCTTGATCGCCCTCCCATGTCTCACTCGCCAGATACTCTCCCAGATACTCTTACCAACGATGCAAACGGTCTCAGGCCGACAACCCCTCACCTTTTCCTCGAGAATCTCAACGCCGTCATCCATCTCTGCCTTGCTTAGTTCCGAGCCGTTACGGCTGGGCCGGGAGACGATGTTAGTGTTCCCAAGAGCATACAGCCGTGGTAGCTCGCGGTCTTCCGTCGGAGAGCACAGGCGGGTGGTGATTCCTGACGAGTAGAGCAGCTTCCAAAAGAGGTTGGAAGGGTGTGCGTAGGCGTGGCCAGCACGCGCAGTTTGCAGCCCCGGGTTAAGTCCGACAAAGAGAATCAGGAGGTTCGGGGCAAGGATGTCTTGCAAAGGAGGAAGGTGGGCGTAGGTTGAAGGAGGAGCGTAGCCCGATGCTTGGCGTTTGCGTTTCGGTTTTGACTTGTTCTTTGAGCCAGTGGCTGAATCATCGCCGGATGGTGACGCAGACGCTGACAGTTTCAGGGATGTGTTGGGTTTCGCCGCGGTGGTGCTGCGTGTCTTGGTGACTCGGTCCGGAGAAGCGAGAGGACCGAGTGGGGTTAACTTTCGGGGGCTGCGCCGGAGTGGCAACGGAGACGGTGTTTGTGAGGTCGGTGACGCCTCTGAGGATGTGGGTTTGAACATGAATTCCTGCAGATGCAGACGTCCTTGAAAGCTTGCGGTTTTGCGGAGTTGCGGCTCTGCGCCGTCGAAAAAGGGAGATTCCATGGCGATTTGGCTTTTGCGCCTGCTTGTTTGACGGAATAAGGACAGCCCTAGCTCTTTCAATGAAAGGCGACGAGAGCCCTCGGGCCACTTTATGGTAGAAGGGGAGCGGAGAGTTGACAGGTCGGTCGAGTTGCCTAGAAAGTCGATAGGCTCTCTAACCTGCAACTGTAGGCAGAAGCCTCGTGTGATTGACTTTGGAGAATAATGAAGAACAGAGTGGAAGTGAGGCTGACCGGACGAGTTGGTAGCTTACAGCTTCTTGCTTGGGTATGAGGAGGTTTAGGGACAGGTATATAGATAGTTTAGCTAAGGAAGTTCATTAGCCCCCGCCACCGTCCAACATTGCCACTACACTGGAGTTACCGTGCCCAGCCAAAGGGATTTCTTTTTTAGGCCTTTTCAGCAAGGTCCGGCCAATTAATTGGATGACTTAGACCCTCAATAAAACATCGGAAGGGACTGTCCGCACAACAGGGCGGATGACATTACGCTCACGACTCTTTAACCCGAACTCGCAAACGACCACCCTACGGCTCTCCTTCAAGTTTGAAGGGATAGATCGAGTTTCATCGCGTTTACAGCAAGAGGGTGACATATATCGCGCTCATCCGTCTTCAAAACTTGGCAAGCACGTAAAATAGTACAAAATGAGAAACGATGAATTCTCTATCCAACAACTGGAAATTCGAAAACTCCTCGATAAGTGGTATCTATCATGCACCCTGAGTCCAGACCCGTATGTACATCATCAAACGCTATGCTCCTGAAAGACTCCACAGTCTTTCCAAAAAGGAAAATAAAAGAGATGAATAAAACAAATCCGACCGCTGTCTTCGAAAGTTTGCCCATTTTACAGGACAATGATGTTATCAACTCTTCGCCCTTGTGTCTCGATGAGGTACTTCCTCCGTACACCTACGCCAAGAGCATTTCCGAACTTCTCATATGCATCCGTTCCACCTCCACGGATCATTACCATGGCAATGGGGTGTGGCCGTCGCATACCTGCCGGTGTTGTCTGTTCAACATCCAGATGGGGCTTGACAAGCTCATATTCCCACAAGTCCGGGGCACTGTAGACATAATTGTTATCGAGCTCCGTCTCGTCGATAATGATGACGAGTTGCAACGCACGTGGAGAGGGTGTGTACGAGGGAATATTGGCTAGCTTCTCACTAAAAGAACAGCCGCCTCGGCGCATTACGATAACCTGATGCTGGCGGGGGGCCTCGTCAGGCAATCGGCTGTCACACCCATAGCCAGCGAGGTAGACGGTCCGCCAAGCAAGATTCGGCGGTTCATCTTCCGTGGGTATAGAGGCATCTGGTGTGTCAGGAAGTGGGACAGCGCCTTTGCCCACCGACAGAGACCCCATGTAGCTCTCGACGTAGAACTTCATTTCGTTAGCCTTGGGACGAGGCGCTGGAGTATAGGTAGGATCGAAAACCGATGTAACGGCGCGAATCATCGACTTGAGCATGGACCTGTAAGCCGTGTTCATGCTCTTAGACGAAGCTTGGTCCTCCTGCAATTCGGATTTGGCCTCTTCGGTCAGTTGTACTTGGTTCTCGAAATCATCGATACCGATCTCCAACCCTTCGGCCGGCACTGGCTCGCTGGCATTGCGTATACTCGACTCCCCGTGCACCATAATCAGCTCGACGAAGCCGTTATATCGTACGCGGTTGAACAAAGGGTCAGAGATTCCGTTCAACAGATCAGCATCGATGTGAACCGGCTCGTCACGTCCGAGCGGCATATGATTGACCTGCGTTACCCGCCAAGTATGGTCATAGGCGCTGTCATATGAATCCTCCCGGACGAAGTGAATTTTCAACCCATTCAAAGCGGCTATCCTGACGCCTACTTGGGTTTTGAAGGCGGCAGTGTTGGCGAAAAGATTATTGAATGCACTGCCCACACTACCTTGCTGAACGCTAGATGGGAACTCAATGATCAGTGTGGGCTTGAAAGGCAACGCCGCACAAGTGCCATTCTCAGGTATCAGCGACTGGGGAAGCGTCCAAGGGAAGAATGTGTGGTTTGCCTTGTACCGCGACACAGAACCGTTGCTCCCTTTGGCTGCGGGAACAGTTTCCACGCCGCTGTGCGGATTAGAGATGGTGTGGAGGTTGACGAAACTTGCGGCATGGAAAACATCTGTTCGGGCAGCAAGAACCGAACCGGTCAGTGGCACCTGCTTCACAGGAGCTGGGCAGATGTTTGTAAAGTTTTCGTCGTAGTAGACGTCAATCTCCTTGACTTTTGGGGGAGGCTGCTGATTCTTTTTCATCCTTCGTCTTCGTCGAGGAATGATAAGTGGGTGTGCTTCAGTTGTGAAAACATAAGCCGCATCCAACTTGTTCAGGGGGTGATCCGGGTCAAAGAGCAGGTAGAGGTATTTGGTGGTCTCACCCAGGAAGAAGCTCTGCATGCGATCGGCCTTCTCGCCGGTATCGACATTTTGAAGGCCTGACCAACCGCATCTTGTATAGCACAGTCGCTTGATGTCGTTAAGAACCATCTCTCCAACATGTACATACCAAGGGTCATTGGTGGCACGATACAAGTAATAGTTCGACTCAATAAATTCGGGTCGACCAGGCCACCATCCAATGCCGGAATCAACCTGTCTCTCGCGAACCGACCACCGCTCTGGGAGAGCTCCGTAACGCGTCCAAAGCGCGGTATATAGCAGGTTGGCCTCCTCAGCCTCCTTCACTTCACCAGCCATTGCAAGAAGACCAGGATAAAATGCTGCCAGGCTGTCGATCCAACTCGTGAAAGCGTATCCACGGGTTCTATGCCCAGTCATGTAGTATGGATGATGGGCATCATTGTACAAGTGGCGCTTTATCGCCGCATGAGCGTGATGCCAGGCCTCCAGAAATGCCCCTGCGGAGTTTTCCTCGGGTGTCAGAGGTATGTCGTGGATGGTGTTTGGGTCCAGCCACTGTCGATCCAGCGGCGGTTTTCGTGTTGTGATGTTGGGCAGATCATGACCAGAGAGCAGGATATGGCTCTTCAGGGCATATTCGAAGAAGCTGTCGATACCAGCCCCAATACCGGAGTCGAAGCTAACCCATTCGCCCTTTTCAGGGTCAATGGCATTCCCAACGAGGCCAATCTCGCTTTTCCCTTTCCAAACTGCCCAAAAAGCTCTTTTAGCTAATTGTTCGAATCTTGGGTCGTCAGTGAGACGGCTCAAAACAGTAAACTCCAAAACAAGGCTTCCTGCGCCGGCACTGCAGGTGTCTGTCTTTTCATTTGAAGCTCGTGGAGAATCGGGGTCATCGCGCGAGACCTTGTGTAGAGGTGAGTTGACGTAGAAGGGAATGCCATGTCGCAGATTGACTCTTGGATAAGGCAGCCCTGTTTTTGTGTAGAAGGCAGGCAGAAGCCGCTCTGCCAGATCTAATGCTAGTCTGAGTAGTTGGCCGTCGTACTTGAACCCGTTTGGCCATGCTATCGGTGGCAGCTCCAGCGGGTCCGCGTCTTCGGCATCGTGGTCGATATGTCCTGGGCTGTAACCTGGTATAGGCAACTCCCCAGTGGCAAACAAATGTGCACTGAGTAAGCCACCTACTCCCCGGATGACGGTCTCAAACACTTGAACCTTACTGTCAAGATCGAAGCCTCGAGCCCTTAGTCCTTCTCCAGAGGGGCCATGTCTGCCATCACCGTAATACTCTACGAATGTTGCCACACTTTGCTGAAATTCCTGCAACGCCCATATAGCAGTGCTCTGGTCGGATGGTGTTCCTGCAAGGATCGCTAAGGTCGATAGACTGTCGATAAGGGTAAGGGAGTAGTTCCCAAGAACATCGTTGAGATCGTAGTTTCCGGGGTTCAGGGGATCGCGCGTTAACGGAGTGCAGGAAATCGGGCGTAACTATATTCAAAGATCAGCTTATTTCTTGCCTGCCCATAAGCACATAACTTCGACCAACCTCGTCCTCTGGAAACGCAACGCGCATGTAGTTGTCCCAGCCATGATGGAAGACCTGTGTGGTGGCGTTCCGCAGTTCAGCAAGTTTAGCTGTACTGACGGCAGACACGGCTATGGGCCATGATAGACACAAGTACAACAGAACGAAAAGTTGCGATAGCATGGTGAAGCTATCTCTCCAAATCTAGGCGCCAGACAGGGTTCCCATCAATCAGTGGGCTGCCAGTGGCAGATGCCTTGATTTATGCGCGCCTCAAGACGTCCTCCTTCATGAGAGAATTGGTTACTAAAATGATGCAAACTGTGACTCAAAAACAGAGCATCGGTGATCACTGAAGAAGATGTACAGGAAAAGAAAAGGAGCGCTGTATTGAAAAGAAAGGCTTCCCTTGGTAGATCTCGTGCCTCCTTGAATTCGAAGTGGGATGGATGCGGCTGTCTGTCCTTTAGCAGCCACAGTAAGACACCTTTGTGTCTCCGATTGGTGGAGCGCCTGCGCATTTGTGGCTGGTCTGTGGCTGAAGCGGGAGTGATGGGGCCTTCCTGGAAGACATGCTGACTCAGCACGATCTGTCCTCACGCATCAGACTTGCGACCACCTGTGGTCTTTGCGATGAGATGAACATGCTTGAGTCAGAGCCGGTCTGAGATGTAGTAACTTACCACTTGGCAAAAGAAACTATAGAGGAGAAGAAAGCTCTTCAAGACTTAACTTGTGGTAATACAGAACGCATGTATATCAGCTCAGGCCGATGTTAGATTGTGGAAATCAAGGAGCCAGCACCCATCTTGTGAGCACTATTTACAAGCCGCAAACTTATCATATAGCCTTTTCTGGCTAATAATGTCATTTCTCATCCAGCCTCTTCTTTCCAAATAGTCTGCTAATAGATATCAGTATATATCTGCTGATGTAGAGAAGGGTAGCAGTTTGCTTCCGTAGGCGCCACAGGGTTATAATAAAGCGATAAATAGAAGGTTGAGAAAACACAAAGCTACTGCGTTCTTAAAACTAATCTCGCATATGCATTGTCTAAATAAACATACACTTAAACTGTAATCGACATCAAGAATATTTCTTCCGTTGTCTCGGAAGGTGGGAGGTTTCCGTAACTGCTTATCCGGCTTATCGGCCAATCTCATTAACGCTGGAACAAGGTGCGGCCAGTGCGTTCGGGCGCTACTGAGGCTATCAACTCCACATCGCCAAATCCCCAACGGGACTTCATCAGAACAATGATGCTCTGAAGCGCTTATGTCGACAGTCGCGCCACATAAGCGCATGCAGCGCGTGTGCTCTTCCATTCTTCTTGGGTGTAGAAATCTACGAGGAACATCCTCCTCAAGTACACTGACCTCTCACGATTAGGTGCCATACAACGTCATGGTCACAAGGCAGCGTTCACGCCTTACTCATATCCACAACCCGAGGCTACCCCGGTGAGGACTATTTCCTGTTCTGTCTCAGGCGAATCCAAATAGATTGAAAATACACGATCTTAGAATAAATGTCGACGTCAACTTCTCCTCGGCGACGTCCGATTTAAGGTAGAAAAACCGTTCGACTGTGGCATCTGCCTGGCCCATTGAGTCACGCCCAGGGCGTCTTTGATATGGCCTTACATGGCCGCCAAAACGGGCCGCGCGCACTGCCTGCGCACACTGCCAGGCCATTTTGAGGGCCATGAACTTCGACTTCGGTCATGCTAGTCGCAGGCCCCATTATCAGAAGCTAGTTACCAGCATATACTGCAACAACGTGTCAGCACATGGACTGTCATTTAACCACTCTGGTATTCCAAAGAATCAAAACGGCCTAAGCCCATCGGTAGAGTTGGATAAATATGGTGGGTCCCTGGCCTGCATGTCAATCCAGGGCTCGACAGCTGCCAGGGAACGGAGCTGGCATAGCTTGGCATCAGCTTTTGATACGCCATCAAGCGAAACCGCTTGTACACCAAACTCGCAACAGAGGCCCTTAGCGACAACCGTCATCACTCTGCTGTAACGCCCACACTCCAGGGCTGGGACTGCCATACCAAGTCCGGGCTTTCCAAGACGGCAGGTTGCATGGCATGTTTGTCATGAGTTACCGCCTGAAAAGATTCTAAGCAATGGGGTCGATATGCACATTCACAGATCGCGTGCCGCAGTTTGCCTCTTCATAAGCCGTTCGTATCAAATTCCAAATTCTTCAATAAGGTCGATCGTTAGGAACGCAGCAGAGTTTTGACTTGCTGCGGCGGTGCGTGCCTTGTTTTCCGTGAGGCGGATTCGCAGCTGCGGGCGCATTGCTCTGCTTACCCCCAGCTTAGAGGACGACATCAACTACTAGAAATGCGAACCAGCCATTTCAGGACCGGGCCTGTTCGCAGATTTCAAATCAGGAAGGAGAGCACCATCTGAACACTTTGCCGGAAATAGTAGTGCGTACATATCTCTTCACCGACTCTAAACCCGAGACTCTGGATCGAAGTCTGCAAGAAAGCAATAATGAGAAAATATGAATGCAGATGCTGCAGAAAGCAGCAAGTATTGTTTGTCGAGGATATTTCACTCCACCAGCAGAAGGGAAGGATGGAGTGCCTACTGGTGGAAATCTAAAGAGGGGAAATTTCGACCTCCCTGGCAAGACTACGCGAGAGTCAACTCAAGTGACTCCTGTTTTGGACGCTACATGTTCTCATGCAACGGAAGGGTTACACCCGGCAGGCGGTTCGGTTCTGCGCTGCTGATTCGACGAGAGACGGTTCCGAGGGAATGGATAGCTTTTCTACTGGCTGGAAACCGCATGAGTAGTGGCTTAGCCGCTGCAGATGAGAATTACCGACCCCTTCTTCGCCCGTTCTTTGCTCGTCTAGGGAGGATCTGGCAGCTCATTCCGGATGCAGTGCATGGTGGGCGTGATGGATGGCATGATGTCCTTTCGGGCCGGCACACGCGCTTCGCGCTTCTCCAGTTCGCTGTTGGAAGTCGACGGGCGGTTCAAAACGGCGCAGGGCGATTGGAGCTCCAAGCAGTTGAGGAGTCCCAGTTTTGCAACATACGAATACAATCCACAAACATCCCATCCGAACCCAGTCCAGTCAACTCATGACTTTGATCTCGACTTGCAGAGTTTGAAAGGTAGAAGATGGCGTAAGGCTACAGGCAAATAGGCAGCAAGATCGGCGGACAAGCAAAAGGACTGGGCATCGTTGACGTGTGCGCTGGGCAAGGTTTCCCAGTCTAGGTGGGCATGGCAAGTTACAATAGAGGGCTACATCGCTTCGCGGATGGCAGCTCAGCCCAATGGCTCCCCAATTGATCAACGCCATTGGGGACCCCATGGCCATACAAGCGGGGAATCAGTCGTTCCCCTCCCCATCTCTCGGCAACAGGTTCGTAAACAGAGCACTGAGCATCAAGAGGGCGGCGGGCACCATCAAAGCCGACGCAATTACGAGAGGGGAGCAAATCAATGGGAACCCCTCGCGTTGCTCCTGACTCCGCGGGGACCCGTCAAGAGTACATGGGGAGGCAGCAGCGGCTCCATTCTCGACATTGACCCAGACACAGGGTCGCAAACGCTGACAAAAAGAGGCATTTCCTTTTCGGTTTTGCCCACAGCAATTTACCGAGTCTCCGGGACAGTTGATGAAGTGTCTCTGCAGAGCGCGCAGACCGGCGTAAAAGGGGGCTCCACAACTGGCGCAAACATGGGACAGTGCGGGATATCTGTTCCTTGCCAATCCATCCCCTGCGACAGAGTCGAGTCGGAAACGCACGTACCAGCGTCCGCGATTCCCACCGAGGCCCCGAGGGTTTGATTTGCAAGCATGGGGGCGTTCATCACGGCGTCACCCCTTCAGGGCCCTTGTCTGTTTGCTTTCACGCCGAGATGTTCTCTTCCCGGAACCTGGGAAGATGAGAATCAATCATAATCCTGCAATCACATCCCATCACAACCGGTCAAGAGCTGAGGAAGGGAAAAGAGGAGTTCCCCCTCGATTCGCCCGCGGTTCCCTGGCAACACTCATCAAGGCACCCACTGTCGCGATCAGATGAGGCCATGGATGAGCACGAAAGCGATTTAGATTGTGAAAAAATGAGCATCTTGGCGTACTTGCGATCTGATGATAACACATACAAGGGGGGTGTGTAAGAGGGAGAGAGAAAGAGGCTGGAGACAGACAGAACCGCCCGATGAATCGCCGGTCAACAGCAGGCCTCGCGAAACACCCATGACCCTGAAGTATGGAGGGTTCCATGTTGAGCATATCTATCGGAGTTTGTGTTTCTCTTCAGTGGAAATAATCATCAGTTAACCTGCTAGTGAATGGGGCATATTTGTACAAAGCCTCAGGCTGGTAGCAGGATTACGCCCTCAAATCAGTCCGAGAAGGTAGGGGCAATCATCCATGAGCAAAGATAGGATGTTTAAAGTCATGTAGAAGGTGTGTGATGTTTCCTTGCCCTTTCCCTCTTTTGTCCGTTCTTTAGGTACCTGCCACCACCTCATCGGCCAAGCACCAGTATTCCTCACAGCTTTCCCACTTCACGTGAGCGAGGCAACCCCCGGGAAGCCGAATGGTCGCCTTGGCGGGACAATCACAGTGCGCGGAAGCCGCTCAGTGGGGCCGTCGCCTGGAAGACCCACCTTTGCCTGCTTGTTCTCCACCAGGAAGAGAGATTCCTCAGGGTATCGTTGCCAGCCAAGGGGGTGCGCTGCGCGGACACGGAGACTGCCCCAGGGGGGAAAAAGGACATACAGGACAGCCGACGACAACGACAACCACCACCACCACCACCACCCTCCTCACCAAATCGACCTTCCCTTCCCTTCTTCGTTCGTCTGTTTGTCCAATCACTTCCTTTCTTGAAAAGCCCTTGTCAGGTTCGCCCGCCGCCGCTAGACCTGTCACCCTGCCTCTCCCCAGTCTTTTCTTGTCTTTTTTTTTTTTTTTCTTTACCCTTCATCCTTGTCAGTTTTGGCCCTCCATTTTGACGCTTCAATGGTCCCTGCTCTTCTCTTCTCTTATTCCCATGGCCCGAAATATCATATCCCCTGCTCGGCCGCGGTCCGCCCTCTTCCCTGCCTGAATCCACTATCTAACTTGAGAGAAGGTGGAAATGTGTAATCGACTTCGGAAGACAGAGAGCGAAGGAGAAAAGTAGAGCAACGCGCCCCAGAGTAATGGGAACAAGAGAGGGGTGGAAAAAAAAACCATACTTAATCGAACAAGATTAAAAAAAAACTTAGATCGGTTAGCTAGGGTCCCTGAAGCTACGGAAAAGTAGCATGTCGCATCCGGGCTAGAAGGGCCGCAGGCACGGTCTGGCTGTGAAATGTCGTATGAGGTGGGTATAAACATCCGTTGGGGGATGGGGGATGGATGTGCGCGTGGTTGAAAGCCACAGCCGCAGTTTTCCTGTCTCCCTTCATCTTAGGTTCTCGGCATCGGGGGCACGGACGGGGCGTCCGTTGAAGAGGCGACAGGAAGGAGGGAGCACGGGAGAACACCAAGGTAACATCAGTGACAGTGGTGATGATGGAGGTGGTGAAGGGAAAGCCAGCAATCTGCAAGGGCCTTTTTTTTTTTTTTTTGGCCTTTCTCAAAACTCTTAGCATCGCCCCCTATGACCTAATGCGGAGGTAGACAAGACAAATATGGTTATGATAGAATCAGACCGAGTCCTGGCTTTGGTTCCTCCCCCCCCCGGTCATGAGACTTTATGCGTTGCCGCTGTTACTGTGACTGTCACATTCCCACATCGGCGACGACGACGACGAACTTTTGTGATGGAGTTACCAGCGAGGGGGAAAGCCGTCGACGTTATCACATTGGTCCCGAGAACTTGGGAATTCTGCCTGGTCTGCCTGGTCTGCCTGCCCTGCTGTGCCTGCTGTGCCCCCTAGTTAGATGAGTCCGGAAACTTCACTCCCCCTCCCTTCCTCTGTGCCCCTTCGTCAAAATCTTCACTTTTAGGCAATTCTGGCGAGATTTGCCAGACAGGCAGTGTGTGAGTCCTTCCAGCCCCTTCTCTGTTTTACCTGTCTTTGGTTGCCTGGGGGCAAAAAATGATGTGGAAGGCAAAAGGACGTAATAGGCAGGAGGGTGTCCGGTATTAGATGTCGCGAAGAGAAACTAACAATCAGGAGGCGAGGCGATTTCATGAAGAGGTGTGTGTCTCTGTTCTTGTCTTGCGATGTTGGAGTTACCAGAAGTCAAGGATAGCGAAGAAGTAAAAGAATAAAATATGTAACAAGAAGTGTAAATAGTTGCGTAAAAGTGATGATATGCAGGCCCAACACAGAGGGCGAAAAAAGAAAAAAAAAAACCACAACCCTTGCCGCCCACCCAAGCCCTAGGTATATGCCATATACCCCAATAGGAAAAAAAAAAAATGAGCGATGGTATCTCTTTCTGTGCGATAAAAAAGAAGACATTTGAACAATCTATGCGTTCATCCCGAGAGTCCTTTGGTCCCTAAAAAGCCCTGAACCCAAAATGTTGGTAGTTTGTGTAGAAGAGAAGAGAAGATCATGACCCGCAATGTTTGATGTTGCTCTGTGTGTTGTTTAACCCGCCTTTTAATGCTCAAGCAGCTTTTGTCCGTTGAGCACGGGACCTGTTCTTGGTCTTTGCTACTGACGGCTTTTGGCTCTTGGCCACCCGTCCGCCGTTGCCAACAAGTCCCTCCTCCTGCTTGATCGCAGGGGGGCCCCTCACATGCGCCAGCCGCATGTGCTGCAGGTCGTTTCGCGTTGCCTCCTCATCCTCATCTTCGGGCTTGATGTCCCTCTCCACGATGATGTCGTCGACAAGCTGTTCCCGCTGGTCCTCGCTCAAGTGTACCGTCTCGAACGGCATGCCGTCCATGACAGCGGACCTGCGGCGCGTGTTGAGCTTCTTACGTCTGCGGATGTTCATACTCTGATCCACCGGAGAGGGCTCGTAGTAGATGTTCGCCCAGCCCTTCTCGACCGCGCGGTGCTCGATATCAGCGAGACCCCAGTGCGCTGCCGAGCCACCGCCGAGCTCCTTAAATTTCTGGTAGGTCATCTTCCAGTATTGTTGCTCGACGAATCGCATGGACTCTCTAAGTATTTCATCCTGGTGAAATGTCAGTCACTGTTTCTTGCGATTGTGACAAGCTTTCGTCGCTTACATCTGTCTGTGGCCATTCGAGGTATTGAGGTCGTCCTCTTGTCACCATCATTTGAAGGCGAGGAATATCGGAATGTTGTTGGAAGTTCTGGTTAAACTCTTCCTGAATGGTTCCCCAGATGCCGCCTCCCTTTTGCTCCTCTAACTCAAATCGTCTCTGGAAGAGAAAACGCTCTTCTGGGGGGCAGGTGGACTTGATGATGAGTTGGGGTTCGCCTTGCTCTGACGACTTCACTTGAGGTGATTGGTGGACAAGTCTAGTAGCAGCGGCCTTGGTGCTAGCCTCGTCGCAGCGATTTCTCATGCGAGGTTCCCTCTTCACGCGCGGTTGACGGGAGCGGGGGCTGCTGTCGCTGCTGCTTGGGCGGGTGACTTGTGTGCTAGGGAATGCCCATGGGTAACTCGGCCGTCTGGTTATATCGTCCCTGTCCGAAAGACCACCGGTCTGAGGTTGATAAACATGCGGCTGTGCGTTGAAGGGCATTTGATTGGCTGGTGCCAGAGTGCGTCCCATGGACTGGTGAGCCATCGTCAGGTCTGGAGTGGGCAAAAGAGATGTTGTGTTAAGCATGGAGCCATCCGTGGGCATGTAGAAAGCCGAGTGCATGGGAGGAGACAGAGAGCCCTGATCTGAGTCCTGTTGCCCCGAGACACCGTAGGCACCGAAATAGGGGACAGGAGGTTCGGGGATCTCGTCTTTGATCGGGGTTTCGGCGGAGATGTAGTTCATTTCAAAGTGGCTCTCTGTTGTCGAAGGGTTCATGGGCAGAGGGGAAGCAGCCTGACTGTGAGGTGCGCCCATATCGAAAGAATTGGGCCAGCACATCCTCGAGGTTGTGGAGGGGCTAGGCTGCTGGTACATGGATGCTGTCGTGGCTGGGTGCTGCTGCTGCATCATTTTGGCGTTTTGTTGCATAGAAGGAGAGCCAACACCGGACACTGGTGTCAACAGATGCGGTTCGCCTTGCTGGTTTTGGTTGAACGTGGTTATCTATGCGGTGTTAGACCCGATGGAAGTTACTGGACCCTCGCCGAAGGGGCACCGCGCGGTGAAGTATAGCAACTTACAGAGTATGGAGGGCTGGTGAGGTCTGGGTAGGTAGTCGTGGGAGGCTGAGCACACGGAGAGCACCTTCCAGAAACAGGGTCTGTGTATCCGTCTGAGTGAACGGAAGTTCGGTCCATGTAATGTTGGTCGGACATGGCAACGTGGATATAGAGCGACGAGTCTTCGCAGCTGAGGGTAGAGGACGATTTTGAGAGTCCAATGGAGTGCGAAGCGGCGTCTTGGAGGCGACTCTGTTGTTTGCGGTGGTCTTGTAGGTGCATGTATGTTTCTGTATGTATGATGTGGGAGTTCGGCTTGTATTCTGCGATGTTTCGAGGGGGGAAGAAGCAGAATAAGAAGGAGTTGAAGAGCAACTCGAGTCAGCCTTTCCGGACCGGGGCCTGTCTGAAGTGGAATGGATGAAGAGAGAGCCTCGCGGCGACAAGAAGACGGTCGCGGCCTATTAATGACGAGCAAAGTGGAGGAGCGATGGCCGATCAAAGGTCTGTATTCCTTGCAGGGGCAGTCTGCCAGAGGGGACTGCAGCAAGCCCACTCTTTGGGACGACGCAGTGTAGGTAGCGGAACCATCGCCGGGGTGGTTGAGAAGTGACCGGGGGCAGACAGATGCTGTAGGTACACGAGGTACATGAGGCCGTTGTATACAGCACACGGGCCATGAAAGTGGCATGCGGGGACATGGGATGGGGCTAGTTCGCTCGCAGACGATAGCCGCCCGGGGCTGCTGAGTGCGGGTAGCGGTAGGTGCGGGTCGATTTGGACGCTGCGCTGCGGACGACGAGGAACTTTGGGGGTGGATGAGAAACTGCAGAAAAGATAGGGCAAGGGGGCGTGTGTCCACAACTCATGGATGGCCGGGGTAGGAGGAGAACAGGGGGAAAGGCCAGAGATTCTTAGAGGTTACCAATGACAGCAGGACCAAAAGCAAGAAGACGCAGATGTACCGCAGATGCAGACGCAGCGCAGATGTCTGGTTTGCTCATTGTGCGGCCGTTTCGAAGCGCCTAAACGACTCACAGGTGTTGGAAAGGAGTGGATATGGAAAATGCTGGTGAACATGGCTCAGCATGAGACGGAAATCTAAAGCAGTAACAGCTTGCCTTGTTCATGTTTCCTGCTTTGGTTTTTACTTCTTTTTTGTCTCTTTTTCTTAATCTCTTTCTTCTTACTTCTCTAGACGTCAAGAGATACTGCAACTTTTGGCCCTTGGGAGGTCAAGTCAGATAGGCCTTTGGGGGTGGCAAGTAGTGGGGACTTCGATTGCATTGCGAGTAGACAAAAAGTAGTGCTCGGTACGGCTGGCCAAGTCTGGCCTCTGGCCCGGAACGGAACCGTGGGTTTCTCTGTGCCCGTTGTTGCTCGGCTATGTTTTGCCTCGCCTCGCTGCCCTGCGAGAATACTAAACACTTTAACAGTTCTCTACTCTCCGGCAGCTGCTGTGCCTCTTTTCGGTTAACACGCGAAAACAAGCTACTCAGGGTACCCAGGCATGTCTCCCTCTGGTACTGACGCGAATGGCGTGAATCTCTAGTCTGATGGAGTCTAGTATAGATTAAACATCCATTTGGGATGGAGAAGCTTGGACGGGGCGGCTCATTCCAAGCCTGTCCAGAGAATCTACAGGGTGTGCGGAGGGATGAAGCACAGCCGTTTGTCAAGTACTGTGCTCATATACCAAGTCTTCCGGGCCCCGTATCAGACGGGTGCACGGTATGCATGGAGTTTCTTGTCTTGTAGGGCAGGACATGGCAGGGGTTGGCGATGGGGATGGGAAAATTCGGAGAGATTAGACCAATTCTGCGAATTTAACGCTGCGATCTTCCTTTGCCGTAATTAACACCAGCAGGGTAAAGCACTTGAATGGCAAATGTGATGAAAATGGTAACAGCCAAGCAAGCCTGGTGTCCTCACCCGGGGGTAACCTAGGTGCCAGGTAAGTGAGGTCGGAGAACTTGCCATCGCGATGAAACAGATGCGTAGAGGACGGGAATAACACGCCAGAAAATATGCCAACATGATGCAGAGATATCCGAAAAGGCAGAAAAGAAACGAGGAAAAGATTGATATGGATGGTCGCATTGCAGATGATGATGTAGTTGAGGATAACGCGCTTCATCCTGTTTACCAATAGGGCATTGCCGGTGTAGCTGGGCTCTCTCCACAAGATTTGTAACTTAAATGGAGAAAAGACCCAAAGGCAAGGACTAGAAAAATGCGGCAATGTACTTCGAAAAGCAAATATATTTGAACGGATGGTGGTGGATAACAGGCTGGAGGCAATAGTGGCGGACGAGGGATATCGTGGTATTGGGGGCGATTTACTCCGTATGATTTTGGATCTTACGCACGTAGTTACGGACGTAATAAAACCCCAGGATACCTAGGTTAGCATGGATCATCTTGACGGGGCCATCCCGAGATGGCTGTGGCACGGGATCCCTAGTGACTAGCGGCTTGGAGGACGAGGAAAGAGGAATTAAATTCAGTCGCGGAGACAGACCTGGAGCTGAAGTCCGTAACTCCGAGTCACTTCACTGCATGGGACATGAACAGAAGAAGATAGTGAAGTGAAACATGAATTTGAAGTCAATGTAAAAGCAGAAATAATACTGCAAAAACAGCCAAAGAGGTCTTTCGGGGATGAGGGGATGCATACAGGGTAGTGAGTGAGGTGTATTTTCAAGTGAATGAGTTCCGGCACACTATGATGAGGTTCGCTCCTAGCCTTGAGCCGTGGAGGGAAATCGCAGTGAGAATAAGGTGAGTAGGGTGTGAGACAAGCAGAGCCAGAGAAGGGGACAAGGTCTTGGTCACTGAAGGATGAAAAGAGGGAAAGAGGGGGGCGGAATCGGGAGGCACTGGAGAAGGTGGTGGGAGGGTCGGCCCTTGAGAAGATTCGGTTCAGGTTCAGAATTCAGACTCAGTTTGGGGGTGGGTTACAGAAGACAAAAAAAAAAAAAGGACATGAGCGTGGAGGTCGGGGGTAGAGGGCAGAGGAAAGAGGCCGAAGTGCCATTACCCTGGTCCGCAATTCCGTGTGATTGGTGATTGGCAGCCCGCAACGGTCTCGGGGAACGGGGTTCAGTGGTTGCGGTGTGGGTCTAGAGAAAGTGAAGCGGGTCTATCTTTCGAGACGTACCTGGTATTTTTGACACTTTCCCCTTTTTAGTCAATGCTTCAGCTTGGCATACCCAGTACTGTATACTCAAAAGATACCCGTACTGACTCGTCGTTTCTGCAGCAGAAATGATGTACTGTAGAAGTCTCCGTTTGTAAGTAGACAATGCTTCACTGACGGCAGGCATAGGCAGAGGACGGCAGAGTTAGATAGGCAGCGGAAGGCAACTGATGCAGCTGGGTCCACGTAGACAGATAGAGGGGAGGCTAGGAGGACATTCCATGGTGGGAAAGCCACTCGCGTCCCCGTCTCAACGAGATGTAAGTCAAGTAGGGCATTGGGGCCGCCGTTGACTTTTCCCCTTCTTCCCTTCTACGCTGTCTTTGTGGAACGTTATACGTCTTCCCACCAACGTCTTTTTCCCTAATTATTTGCTCTATTTCTTTTCTTTTTTCTTTGCGTTGAAGGAAAAAAAAAAAAACCATAAATTATCTACCAAGTATCATCATCTGTGGATTATGGTTTGTTGTCATTGATACCCATTAAGAAAAAGAAAAAAAAGTGAAAAAAAGGTCATGCTGGCCTTGAAATGGAGCTTGGGATTTTCGCAATGTTGCATCGGCTGAGGTACTGTCTTCCAGCCCTATATGCTTCCTCTCTTCCTCCCCAAACAGGCAGGGCAAGCAAGACCCGTTGTAAACCCTTACGAGCGCGCATTTCAAAAGTATGTGTCCAATGTCTTTTCAAAGCCGCACCTGGGGCTTCTCGGTTTGCCAAGACTCTCGGAACGGAGTGGCCAGTGCCCAGAACCAGGTGCAAATCTCTGAGGTTAGTGATAGTGGGGTGTGCTTGTCATTTGTGGGTGATGCAGTAGCGGGCCTTTGGGCCTGATGAGTCGACTGCTCGAGTCGAATCTTTGCCAGTGGGTTCAACTGGGATGCCGACATGGGCTGGATACTCTGAACATGGTTTGCAAAGACGACTCCTTCCCGCAAAGCTAATGGGGCTTTGGCGAACCCGGGCTGAAGTCCCTTGGACTCCTGTTGCCTTGCCTTCCTTGCCCGAGAATTAGGTGTGTACTGATACGTTTTCAAGATTATCATCATTCTAGACTATCCTTGCCTACTCTATCACCTTCTGCTTAACCGACTACCCGAGAAAAGGAGTCGCATAAGGTCACGAATGGCCGTAATACTGAAGGCGAAGAGAGGGGGGAAAAGTGCCCACCGGCAAAACTCAAGTTTTTCCCCTGCCAGTCCATTAGTATGCGTAGGCTGTCTGGATAACATCTGTATCAGTTCGCCCCCCTCCCATGACATCGAGCCCCCATGCTATGTCCACTTGCTAGTCTCGGCAAACCAGCTTCTCACTCATTTCATTGTCGATCGGGTCCCTAGATGACGCCAGTCACTGAGGGTCACGATACAAAACCAAGCTTGCTCAACTGACCACTCACGGCGAAACAAACAGCCACACCCACATCTGTGACGGGCATCTCCTGAAGGGGCAGAGTAAACGAATGGGTAGTCAACGGATAGAGGCGCAAACCGTCCGGCGGATGTTAAGGTCCTCAAGGGGTGCGGCTGCCCGCCGCGATCTGAGATCCATGCCGTGCGGTGAGAGGGCCGCGGCGTTATCTGGATGTTTGGCACAGGTACGAATTGTGTCTTACCGATACATAATTACTGCAGCTCACAGTGTACAGCTCGCACTCGGACAGATCCAGAGCAATTTCTGAGGGACTTAGACACATGTCACGGGCACCTGTGATGAGCCTAGAAGCCGAAATTTTGGGAGAGGGGGGGGCTCGATACTGAAGAAACGGTTGATGCCACACCTATCCCCACACACCGGCCGTACGCCCTCTCGACGTTATGAAAAAGGTAAAAGCAGGGAGTGATGGGGTGACTTTCGCCTGCGCCTGAGACGCATGCGACTCCGAGACGCTCAACCATGCTCTGATTGAGCAAGCAAAAAACAATGTGTACCTAATGGCAATGTCCACGTAGCTCTGTGCAAAAGAGGAGGAGGGCGACTGGAGGAGAGAGGGGGCCAAAGAAAACCCCCAGGTGTTTTGCGAAGGCCGCTACTCGTCAACTTGACCACACCACCTTGATGCACGGTGGAAGCGAACAAATCAGAGTCACGGATTATATACAAGGACATGGGCGAACCAAACTGTCGGGTCAAGACAAGGATCAAAGGGGCAGTGATATGAAGCACTTGGTCACCCCCCCTCTGGCAAGTTTCTCTAGGCACCCCTGTCGGCCGCCTTACCATTTGAGGATTTTGATTTCGGAGTTCAGTCACAAGTACCTAAGTACCTTACGCGCGCGTCTGCTATCTGTGATTGGTCGTGGGTGGGAACCTAAGCGAGACTCAACCACTCATTGGTACTCTAAGTCTATGTCGGAGAGCGACCTCTGGACAACCAACACACCTGCTCCAACAGACGAACACCATCACCAACACCATAGTCCAGTTTGCCGAATCCTAACCGCAAACCCCACGCCCACCCATCTCACTCACACTTTGACCCTCCTCCTTTCTTTTTTTTCTTTCTTTTTTCCTGGTGTGCTTCTAGTTTTCCCACACCATTCGGCCTCTGCCGTAGAACATGGCCCCCACTCCAGCTGTGGTGCTCCCCGCCTGGTCACCGATTTCTTCGATCACATCACCCCAGATGCGGGTACTGCTCATGACGCACCCTTGATGGATCAAAATCCTAGAAGACGGTGCGTTGTAGGAATAGAATGATGCCGTGCCGCTATTTCGTTCCGGCCCTGCCTCGTGGTCCACGATTGTACCTGCAGATCTGTTCTATGGATAGATGCCGAAACAGAGGGCTGAGCTGAGGTCTGACCCTGAACCTGCTCAGTTTGAGTCTGTGCCACAACGACGACAAGAACCAAGTCTTCTCGCACCGCCTTAGCCTCATGGGGCCCGGTCTGCGGTCATTGCCGGCCAATTCTGCCGGTTCATCCGCCGTCTCTACCCATGCAGCCCGGCGGGCCGGCTGGTTAAGCGGCCACAAGCTATGAGAATTGTGATGCTACATGGAAAAGAAGAGGGCGAGACCTTAGCAACCAGGCCACAAATTGAGTGACCCAAGAGGCCTGAGTCCGCCCCCGCTCATCAGTGCACCTGGTCGTCATCTACCAGACTTTAGAGATGCTTGCCGATGGAAATCAGCCTGATGGGGAAGTGATGCGGCCTCAGCCTGCATTTCTCTGCAATTTTAGCGCCCAAGTCGCATATTCTGTGGCCCCCATTGGCCATCACCCCTCTATCACGCTGCCGGTCGCGTCTGTCACCGCCATGAGACGCGGTTACGAGCCTCTTTTCTTACGACCACGGCCGGCCTCAAGCAAACACCGCCTGGTATTCTCTTGGGGAGCTGCTTTCTGACGTTGCATTGCACGATTATTATGCAAACTGAGCGCTACCAGACTGTCGGGTCATATGAGGCCCAAAATAATGTTCTGCAAACCACCAACTGACGGGCATGTCAAACGCTGGGTATCGATTACTCCAAACACAAGTCTTCGTGTGTCCGGATGTCGACAGACAAAGTCTGGTCCCGCTTGTTAAAAATGCAACCCAACTATGAGTGGCGGCAAGAGCGCGTCAGCAGAGCCTACCACGAGCCATGTCTGTGTCGTCAAGGTCGAAATCACCAAGTGCAAAGACACTAGCTCTCTGAATGGCTTCGCCAAGCCTGCTGTACAATTGAGTGAATCTGGACAAATGATCAGTTCCTTCTTGGGCGCGAACGAGCACGCTCATACTATGGAACTATTGCCGTACACATGGTCTTCTCCGTCCAGGTCTCCAGTGGAAAATGGTCCGATGACACTCGTTGTTGCCGCACCGTGCAACCACGAAGACTCCACCACCCCTCGCAGTCAATGAAGTCTAAGGCCCTCCCAAACGTGGACTGGCTAGTAATCCCTGAGGCACACACTTGAAGACCATCTTCGAGGTACCAGAAGATACGCCACAGGACTTCTTCCCCCCCTCTCCTGGGCCATTCCATGTATTATGCGGCCCACGCCCAGCTCAGAGGGCAACCAGTCACTCTCAGGGGGTTGGCTTCGCACTGGCTAAAAGCCTACACACTGAGGGGTCATTGTCCATCCACAATGATCAACCTCTCGTGAATTATCTCTTGCCGAAAGAGGTGCCAAAGGACTCTTCCATGGCTACTCTATCTGGAAGTTTGCACAGTGGTGGCAGCCACCGGCTAGACGGCCTCACCTTCTCCTTCCAACCCACCACCGACTACCCCTAATCGGCGGTGACAGGATCTTTCGCAATGGATGGCAGTTTTTGTCGCACACAAATACTTTTCAGGACTTCACGCCTCCCCCTCGTGGGCCCTGCTTGGTTCCTCCGCCAATGGAACGATCCTTTCGGGGAAACATTTCACTCATCTTCAGCGCTGGTCCCCGTAGACTGCTACTACCCATCCCTGGCATCCACGAATCATGGGTAACACATCTAGCCCGAGCTGTAATGAGTGTTGCGCTTGCCAGGGATTCCATTTACTCAAGCCCTTGAGAAAGGAGGGGTGTAGGAACACCGAACGCCGCCGCTTTCCCGCGGGGGACGTGGCTGGACTAAAATGGATGAACAAAGAAAGCCGTTGGACTTTGCCCGTTGCGCCCGTAAGAACGTTTTTTTCCTTGTACACATCCGGAACAGTAATAAAACGGGCACCGTGGGCGAATGAACTTCTTTGGGGTCTCATTGGGGCTAGACTCTGTGGGCGGATTGATGTCGAATGAGACGAATGGCTTCAAGGAACAGGTAAGGGATACCACCACCACTATTACATAGTGAAAGCAGTATCGGAGGAAGAAGACAGTGGTCTTGATCCTTCGGCACTTCAGTATAAGCTGTCTCTAATATGCTGCGGTCACCTTTTTCGATGTGTATTCCTCATTACCAAATTGGCGGTGGTGGGGTCCAGCCAACGGCCGTAATGGATATCCTCCGTCCGTTTCAAAGGCGCTGCCGGAAGGCAAAATTCTTCGCCACGCCTCTGTGGAAATAAATCAGCACTCTCATCTGCGCAAGGCTTCTGGGTGGACTTGCCTCGGGGGAAGTTATTTCTGAGTCTGAGCATTGGACTAGGCTGTGTTAACAGACCGAAGTCGATTTCGGACCACCCCAAAGTGACTGGCAATCGCCCATAGCATTGTTGTTTGGAACCTGTCATTCATACGGCGATGGCGATTCGTTTCATCATGGGCTGGTTTGGTTAGCAATGATGACAGCTGGAAAAAGCACCGCCCATTGCGAGGCTTTTTTTCGAAATCAACTTTCTTTATCACAGCGTTTTCTGTCACGTTGTTTTGACCTGGCCGTCTTACAAGAGGCCACAATAGGGGCCCGAAATCGCGGCCAAGTGCCTGCAAAGCCACCGGGCCGGTTCAACGGTCATCGCGCATACTGGCGAATAAGAAGGACTTCATTGCTCATTGGGTGCATTTCAGGCACCTGCATCCATCTCCGCACGTAATTTGGAAAAAGAGATCTTCTCGCGAGATAGCACAGTTGCTATGGCAGCTATGTGTACCTAGCATCCCCCTTTGGTTAACTGGCGGCCATGATTTCACAGCAGTCTCTCTGTGCTACTGCTATGCTGTGCCTCAGCCTGTACCCCGGTGTTTCGGCCGCAGTTCCGAAGCTGGTCTGAAAGTGATGTAATATCTCTATCTTTGTCTTTTTTTTTTCACACTCTCTCTCTATCTCCCCCATTACTTTTGCAAGCCTTCATTACCCCAGCTTTGGCAAGCACCCGAAGCTGTGGTCGGCCGTTTCGAAACCACAACTTGGGTATTCCTCTCTCAGCTCATCTGCAGGAACAGGGTACACATGATGGCATTGCTATGTTTTCATTACGACTTTTGTTTTTATTCCCTCACTTTATTCGTTGCGATGCGGGTATAATGCGTGGCGGAGTCCCCTACATAGGAGGCTGTGAAGCTCTTTTTTACAAGGGGATATTAACCAACCAACATAACCGAGAGAACAAACAACGGGCCCCCAACAACTAACGCCGAATTAGCTGTGCGGCGCGCAAAACACACGCTGTTGACGATGAACCCCAAGCTTGCTGCTGAGACTGAACGCAACAACACCCACACCATCTCCTCTTCCTCGGACTTTAATCGTTCGGCCGTTGAACATCACAGCCTCCTTACAACCCCCGTCCTCAGCCCAATGCGATCAAGAATAGAACACAAAGTGCCCGCAATCTAAGGTTGTTCCCGGCCGCCACACCCGTTTCGAGCACGCGAGCCTGTCTCCGCGCTCTCTATCGCAGTTGAACATCCAAGCCTTGGATAGCCTCACCCTAGCTCGACAACACCCTGTACCTAACCATACTTTCGGCCCCCACGATGAATCAATACCCAATCATTTTCCGATATTGGAGAACCCAAAAGCTCTTCAACCAGAGCCTCGTGCCCCGAACGAGCGCCCGGGACTAAGTCCGAACGAACGAGGCAGTGAAACCGGACCATGAACCATTCACCGCTCGAGACCATTCACCCCCGTTTCTCGTCCATCTCGATTAGTGTTTAGCGTACACTGCCTCTTATTCGACCAGAAGAAGAACAATAGTCCTGTCCATGCCATCAGAAAAAGCTACTCGAATCAGCCTCGCCAGGCCGGGGTATCGCCTTGCCTCGCCTCGCTCCCCCCTCACCTCCTCCACCAACCATCGCCAGAAGCACAGCTTCTTGCAACGATGAAACAAGCGCCCTAGTCTCGAAATTCGACAGGGAAACGAGATACTTCTCGAGCTTGTACACATACACTACGACGGGGCATCGAGGAGCAAGGGCTGTTGAGTGATAAACCGCAGCACTGGGCCTGAAGCTCCATGCCTTTCCTACTCGATGAAGAGAAACTCCACCAGAGTGACATTGAGAAATGCTGCCAACGGAATGAAGTCATCTCACATCAGCCATCACAGCGACCGGCCTGTCGAACGTTCCCTGGCGAATGAGATGCCCGTCCCTAGGTTCTACGAGAGAAGCCGTGCCATGCCGCTTTCCCGTGACAAGCAGTTGCGGAACGACGAACGCTCTGCACCCCTCTTCCCCTCCCAACAATGTTGAATGATGCCTCCAAGTTTCCTTCGTATAACGAGCAAATCGCATGTTGATCCCGGTGTCTGTTGTCTTCCCTTGGCCAGTTGCCTTGTTGAATTGGACAAATTATCTCTATCGAGTCCAACACAAGAAGCTGTCAGCCTCTGTAACTGCCTCACCAATCATCTTCCTTATGTTCGTCTTCTACAAGGCTAAAGATATGGGTGCTAGGTTAGTCGGGCGTGACTAACACGCCCTACGACTCTGTATTTTGTTTTCTTCCTGATGGCGATATCTCGGGGGGTTATTCGAAGACTCTCCGTCCTCTTCTTCGGTGTGTTGGGAGAATCATAAGCTCCAAGTCACGAATTCATCTCGTTTCCCAGGCTAAATTACTATCAAACTGGACAAATTCCCCATTAACGACGCCAACACGATATCCACCTGTTCCCAGTTTTCAGATGATACATGTTGCAACAACTATACAAGTTTGATGAGGCCAACTGTCAAAACGGCAATCACGCAATCGGCGTCTTTGGGTCGGACAAACGCCACGTCTTTCGGGCGGGAATGATGATATCTAAAGTTGAGGGGACGAGATTCAGCGACGTCATGAACAACAGTGACTCACGAGCGTCATGTCGTAGCCGAGGTTGTCGTATTAGTCGGGGCCGGAGCTTGCGTGACTCAGTAATACCGACCCTAAATTGCGTTATGAGACAAATCATGTCACGTAGCCATGGAGTAGGCAGCTTGCCGCTCGAGTCACAATCTGAGTTCAAATATGTTTGGATTAAACATTGTGAAATTCAACAATGCTTCAACTTTAACTACAGTTTCTTTGTGGAAAAGTGTATACCCATGAAAAACCCTGCTCCCGCCATTGCCAATGCCTTGCTGGATCCCAGAGGGGATGGAGGAAAAAAAAAAAGTAGAATAAGTACACAAATACCTTCCCCAAGTATGTATAACGGCGTAAAAATGAAAACGAAAAAGGGGAAAGAACAAAACGTACAAAACAGAGACGACCGCCCATAGTGAATCCGCAAACCGGCGTCGACTCATCATGTCGTGGAGATCATTTGTCGAATACGCGTGATTATAATCGTCACCAACAAGAATGGCAGACCAGAAAATAAGCCAGAAAGCCAGGGAACCGCTAGTATTGGGGTGTGGGAATGGATTTCCACTCTGGGATACCAGTAGCAAGAAGCAGGCGTATAAACGTAACAGGAAGAATGTACCTTTTTGTGGCACCAGTGATATATGTTCGGGGGGGTACAGAATAATGCCTATAAAGATCATGGCATCGCTCACCTAGGGGCGCGGAAGGATCGCCGAGAGCTGCACACCTAGTCACCGTATCCCCGGACCCCAATAGGGGGGCCCATCGCAACGTCTGCCAAGGGGCGTTCACTCACCCCAGATTGACAAAGTGCAGAGTCAAGCCGTACGCAGCTTTTGAGACACCGCCCCCAACCCATCAGGCTTGTTAGCCGCCGATTCTCTGATTCGACTGTCCTAGGAAGTAGATCCTGATGCGTCTTGGCAAACATCAGTGATGGCCGTCCTATGCACCTTCGAGGGGTTGCACAAAGTTGTAATTGAAATCCAGCAGGCCGTCCAACATCCAGTGCTGTGGGTCGAAAAAATCGTAATTTGTCTCGCCGTAGTTCATGCCGCTCAGCATGTTGTTTGTTGCTTGGTTGCTCAGTCCGCCAGATGCTCCAGGAGTGAGCGCGCCGTTGGACGCGAGCATGCTGTTCGCTTGCAATCCTTGAGTTGCCGGCATAAGAGTGCTGTCCAGATGGGTCGATGACGCCGAGGACTCGTTCGCTGAGTCCGGATTAGTAGGCTGTTTAAGGGCTATTTGGGGTGGCACGTAAGTCAGTCATCACAGTCACACCGAAGAGAGACCTGGATGCAATGGCTCGGGCACGGAAAGGGGAAGGGGCTGGGAATTGCATTTACCATCGAGTGACCCTCTACCTTGGGCTTGGTACTCTTCTCTCCATCGCCAGACGGAGTCAAAAACAAGACTCATGCTGTGACGACACCGCACCTTGAGCTGCAATGTGTCATCAATGAGAAGTGGGGAGTCATCATTGTCGTAGGATGACTGGCTGTTATTGTCGAGCCGGGCTCCATTCCACATCTGTACCATCAGCTCGGCTAAGCGCCATTGGAGGTCATTGTTCACGACACTTGTCGCGCGGATGGCGTTGATTGTCTGATGGAAGAGGTTTCGACCGCGATCAAAGTCAATCGTCTTCGCAAAGAAAGACCGCATGAGCTTCAGCAATGCGAAGCCCGCCGCAATCAGCATTTGTTGGATGTAGTTTGTTGCGTAGAGCAAGATCTGCCCTGGCGAGTTCTGGCCGGGTGATGTGACTTTATCAACCTCAAGAATGTTGTCGAGGAAACTTGTCGTCGCTCGCCAGAGACCCATCAAATCGTCAATGTAGCCAGGAGTCGTGCTCGAGTCGAAGAAGCCAGCTAATCGTAAATGGAGGGCAGCTGCTCTCATGTGAAGGTTGACGATTGGTCCTAGGTGCTGAGAAAGGATTGAGGCCTGCAGTTCGTTGAAATCCTTGCGATACACTCTCATCAACATGGCTCGGTGCTCATCTCCAGCAACGCCTCGGGGATCGCTAGCATTACTATACATCTCTTTGGAGACTTTGTCACAAAACCTCTCAACCTGAAGTCTGGCCTCGAGTTCAGGGGCCAATCGAAAAGGCCCATCCTCGCCTCGTCGAACGGCCAAAGTCCAATCGTAGAGAGTGGACGCGGGTTGACCGTAACCAGTACCTATACTTTGAGCAACAATGTTGCAGACAGCCCAGGTTTGGACACGGTCGTGGAGCTGTTCCTTGTTGAGATCCACAGATACCCGGGAAAAATCCTGGCTGTGATTTGGTCTGTGAAGGCCAATGCCCGTCGCAACCTTCATCATGACACCACATAGGATGTGTGTAGGATCAGCACTTGTCGTACTTGTTGGCAGGGGCCAGGTGCACAACAGGCACAGAGCCTTGACAACGAAGTAGCTGCTTGGAACATCCCCAATGGTTGACCACAACAACCGTGTTAGAGGCCCTGATATCGACGTCAACAGCGTTGGGTCAGCACTATATCGGCGAGCAGCGACTGAGATTATCGACCAAAAGAGTAGGGAATGCTGTTGGAAGTATTGATCGGGCGACTGCTGGGGACTGAGGAATGGCAAAAAAGGATGGTAGTAGGCGAAAAATTCGTGGAAAAGTTGATTAACCGAGTCCTCGGTCAACCGAACATTTTCAAGCTCGTGAGTATAGCGTGGCAAGCTGTACGAGCCTCCCCTTTTCAGGTGCAACAGCGAGGAGACAGCCTCGTCAGATCCCATGAGAGAAGGGTTCCGCGTGTGTGTGTAGACGCTCGTCGCAACGGGAGACTGGAGGTCCTCAATGTCGTCTTCGAGGGTGTAACCCTGACTTTGGGCGCGTACAATATTGCGTCGCAGCCTTTCGATTTCCTTCTCCATCTCGGCATGCTTGCTGCGTTTCCCGATACGCTTGAAGTTTGACTCAATTTTGCACTCAAGTTTGAGACGATTGCACCTTGAGCAACTCTGGAACGGATCTTGCACAACATCGCATCGTAACTATTCCAATTGGGAGTTTTGTCAGCCAAGTGGCCCCTCCAAATGCAACCATCTTCAAGATGACTCACCTTCTGCTGCCGGCACTCGTTACAGGCACGCTTCACACCGGGTTGGCGCTTTTTCGAGTCAGGCTCGCCATGGTCATCGTCTTGACCAATATTGCTGCCTGGGCTACTGTCGAGAGCCATGCTGCTGCGCTTCCTCTTGGGAGGGCCGTTGTTCGCATGGCGTGCGCTCACGGGACTTGTTGGCGACACGGGCGTAGCCCCGCCGGCAGATATTGTGGCCGGACCGTCCATGCAGGGCACCGGAGAGCGGACGGTCAGTCGCGCTGAGACAAGACAAGACACAGCACAGGCGGGATCGGAGGACCCCTCCCGGGCCGGGCGTGGCGTGAGGTGCGAACGGAGCTCGCAGGAATAACTCGGCAATCGGAGATCTCTTGGACGGTGAGCGAGGGCTCACTGGGGCGGCGGTCCGGTGTCGCGACGAGTGTGATGAACTGTTGATGTGAGGTGGGAGCTGGTGCGGCCGAATGCGGAGGGCGGGGAAGTTTACAATTTTGACCTGAAGGGCGAGGCAAGATTTGCGGTGGATAGGGACTCGTTGTGCCTGCCCCCCCGGTTGGGCGTTTGGGGGGGTTGAATGGGGATAGAATGGCTGGGGAGGGCTGTCTCATTGGTTGTTTTGTTACCTCGCTTCCCCGCTTGCACCTTCTGCAGCGGGCGGGGTTAAAAACCGTTCACACCTGTCAACTGCCTGATGCGGCATGGCGCATATCGGAGTAATCGCACCCGACTCTCACCGAGACCTGCCCAGCTCGTAGCCATGGCTGATTCAGTGCACAGACAGGCGTGACATCCCCTGGAAGTTGCTGAAAAAGAACAAGCATCGACGAATGGAGTAGTGATATATTGGGCAGATCGCAACCTCCGATATCGTTATCCTATCCTCCAGATATCCACTCTGCATTTATGCATTTGGAGAAGAGTTCCACGACTCCGCTGGTGCTTGCTTTGGTGCCAAGAGTAAGCGCTCCATTGATGACAGACAGAAACCAAAAGTGGAAACCGCTGGTGGAAATCGGTTCTTCCGGCAGGTGTGGTTAATGGCTGGAAACCGTGGGCCCTGTGACTAAGCACACATCAAGCCGTCAGTGGTCGCGTAATTATGGCATTGCAGGAACTCGACACTATCCCGAGCAACAATCCGATAAAACGAACAAGCTTCTATAACTTTGCGATCCGCCGAGAGGGTCTGACTCGAGATCTTTGGGTATTTATGCGTAACCCTTCGTCCGGTACTTCCCTTCCGTCGCCAAAGAACCTTGTCTTGTTTATGCATAACCTCCCTCCAGTATACCGTGGTCAGCTTCAAATCTGTCGTTCAACATAAGCCATGCCTGATATGAAGGGAGAATGCTCAGCTAAACACCCCGAAAAGGTCTTGCTCGCACTACCACCAGTCTACCAAGGAAAAGGTTCATATACTGAGACTCCGAGGGGATATCGCGACATCCAAATCTCTATGCCTGGATCGCGGTCAAAATCAAGTGAGACTTCATGTTTCTAGCGAAACGTAACGTCAGAGCTAACTTCACTGACAGTCGATGTGATTCAAGTGGACACAACAGCTCTGCCTCAGCCATTCCTTGACCCAACAGTGTTCAGGCAGTGGCAGACCAAATCCTGACGCAACTTGGAACGTATAGCAATACCTTGTGTATAATTGTGAGTACACTGTACGCAAAGATACATCCCTGATTTCGATCGGGCAATATTGAGTAAATGGTACTTGTGGACGATACCATTCTTTTTGGCACATCGTCTCGAAACCCGGGCGACCATCTTTGAACGTGACATTGCTGCTCACTGTGTGCGTGGGACTTAGTGCCGCTAGATCCTTCTGACGGTTAAATCCATCAATGACACCTCCATCGCAAGCGTCATATTTTCTGCGAATTCAGGGACCGCAAGTGTGAAATTCATGCGGTTAACTACCATTCCTGCCAGCATTGGACTTCTTTTACCAGCCCAACTGCCAGCATCAGAGCATTTCTATGGGCGTCCTTCGATTGAAGACACTATGCATGCTGCAGTTGTTGACCATACAAGAGGTGTCAAATATTTCCCCGCCAATTCAACATTGCCCACTTTAAGAATGGATGTCGGACGAAAGATCAAGGTCTATCCGGTTCCATCCGGCTGGACTCCTCCAACTATTGAGAAGCTCCACAATTGAGAAGCATAAAGAAACAGGACCAAGTTCTCCAACTCGGGGCATTTCTTTGTCTTGGGTTCGGGCTTCTCCCGAATAATTCATCGCCAAGACTTGGTCAGTTAACGATTGGTTGAATTTTCATTCAACACCACTAGTTGAAATTCAAATCTTCAGCTGCAAAGAGATCCGTACTTATACATAGTAGGAACATCACACTGGGGACCTGTTCGATGCGCTCTCCGTCAGTATGATGCGGACAGCCGGCCGGCGACGTGGGTGGGCTCGTCAATCGACGTGCCACTCCTGAGTCCCTGTCCGAACCACTCGGCACCTACACCCGGCTGGGATGCGATTAATGGGGATGCCCACTCATCCGATCAGGATTTGAAAGCAATTTGCAAGATGATCTTTGAAGGAATGGGAGTCCAACCAGCAGACGGCTAGGCAATGACAGACTTCCTTGTCACATCCACTTTCCGCAACGAATGCGGGGTTCCGTGCACTTAGTGCACGGCGTCGAACTTCGGCACCTTGAAAGGGCAAGGGTCTGGAGGCACCTATGTATTTCTCTCAGTCTGGCGGCAGCCATATGACCCAACTTTATAAGTGACCAGCTGTAGTCCTCGTTTTACTAGTCTATGGAATTATCTTCTCTCTTCTCTTCTTAGATCCCAACGTTGAGTTCAACACTTTCACCTGACATACCTATCAAATAAAGTTCAAACCATGACGATTTCAGGCTCGTCTCATCCCAATGGCACCTCGACAGAGGAGTGCTTTACTGTGCCATTCTTAATTGACGGGGAGAAGTTGTATCCTCAGAACACATTCGATGTTGTGTCGCCTGCTACCAGCAAGGTTCTACACAAGTGCGGTAGTGCCACTGAGAAAGATGCTCTCGCGGCAGTTGATTCTGCCGCAAAGGCTTTCAAGAGCTGGCGTAGAACAACGCCATCAGAGCGTCAGGAAATTTTTCTGAAGACTGCCGCCATCATGCAGAGCCGGAAGGAAGAGCTTTCTCGAATTATGTCAGAGGAGACCGGCGCGGCCCCAGGCTGGTCCGATTTTATTGTTGGGTTGGGCATTGGATGTATTAAAGACGTTGCTGGGCGGCTTGTCACTGTGGAGGGCGCAATTCCCTCAACAAGGGATCCGGACGTGAGCGCCTTGGTGGTGAAGGAACCCTACGGCGTTGTGCTCGCTATTGCGCCCTGGTGAGCCACACAATCCCATTGGAACTAGTCGTCATCAGAGCTAACTCATATTCAGGAATGCACCTTACATACTGGGCGCAAGATCAATCGCATTCCCTATTGCAGCTGGAAACACCGCCATTCTTAAGGCTTCGGAATTGTCTCCACGGGTATTCTACGAATTGGCTTCCTGCTTCCACGAGGCTGGGCTGCCCAAAGGTGTGTTGAACGTGATAGCTCATGAGCCAGCCAATGCCGCGGCTGTCACGACATCACTCATTGCGCACCCCGATATCAAGAAGATCAATTTTACGGGTAGTACCAATGTTGGGAGGATCATCGCGAAGCAGGCTGGCGAGCACCTGAAGCCTGTGCTACTTGAACTCGGAGGAAAGGCCCCAGCAATTGTGTGGGACGATGCCGACCTCGACCTGGCCGCCAACCAGTGTGCTGTCGGTGCTTTCCTACATGGAGGACAAATTTGCATGAGCACGGAACGAATTATTGTTCACAAAAAGGTCACCGAGGAGTTCCAAGCTAAGCTGGTGGCTTCCGTCGAGAAAATCTTTCCATCGAAGTCCGATGCACCGGTGCTTATCAACCAGCTTGCTGTTGAGAAGAATAAGAAGCTGCTTAGGGATGCAGTAGACAAAGGAGCTGCCGTTGTGGCAGGAAAGATCGACGCCGAAGAGGTGTCTCAAACGAGACTGCGGCCGATTGTCATCAAAAACGTCAGCCCCGATATGGACATCTACCAGACAGAGTCTTTTGGGCCCTCTGTCTCTCTGTTTGAGGTGGAGACAGAAGAAGAAGCTCTGAGTATTGCTAACGACACCGAATACGGACTCACGTCTGCTGTCTTCACGGAGAATCTGCGTACGGGTCTACGTTTTGCCAGGGAAATAGAGTCCGGTGCTGTGCATATCAATAACATGACGGTCCATGACGAGAGTGGTCTGCCTCATGGTGGAGTCAAGTCCAGTGGCTTTGGCAGATTCAACTCAACCGGTCTAGAGGAGTGGGTAAGAACCAAGACAATCACCTACCGGATCTAAGTTTCTTCATGATAGCACCAGCGTAGAATAGTTGCACCGGTTTGTTATGTTTAACTCCAAATGCTGGATATCCTCCTTTCTCCGCCGGTGGGTTTATTGATGCAATGCGGGGTAATGCCGGGTTGAAGTGCCGGCATGTGCTTCTATCTATCCCATAAAAATATACTATACCTGCATGATTATCTTATGCAGGTGGGCATCAACCTCGCCTTGCTCGTTCCATCAAATGCACGTTGCAGGTCACGTTAGCCAACATCGCTAAAAGTCGATCAATCGTGATATATGACCAACGTAGGCACCTTCTTCGTTGGCAATAATTAAAGCATCCCAGTTACTCAAATCTCACAGCCCTTCGGTTGTTTTACGCGGCTTCTGTAGTCTGAGACTAAAGCTAACTTATGATGTGAAATGCAGTAACAATAGAACAATATATTTGATGAAGCTTGAACCGAGAGTGCTTTGACCAGAACATACACAAGTATCGAGCACGCCGTGCTGCACTCCGTACATACTATGGTAGAGATTTAAGACTAGTTACGGGCTCGGAGTGTTGATCTGGCTCCACCAAGAATCAGTGAGACATCGTTGGGGTCCTCCACGCCCATGCAGATCTTGACAGAGGCCAGGTGGTTAGCAACCATGTACATTCTTGTCTTTGAATGGCTCTTGCAACTTTGGCCTTGTCACGTCATCAATCCCCTAACTCCCCGATATCTGTAACGAAATTTCATCTTTTAAATCCCCTAACTCCCCAATTGTAAGAAACCCTCCGAGGCTTGTGTAAATCTTTCGGATGATACTCTGCAATTGAGTTGTGAACCTGCATAAGCTTGGTCCTCGAGCGGAACTGTTCGACAGCCTCCTAAGTTTAAGCTAAGCCGAGGGAGGTTGGAGATTACCCCAAAACGCCAATACGAATTTCTTAAGCATAGGAGCCTATCCTTCCCTCCTCGCCAGTCTTTTCTGTTGCGTCCAAACCTTTGTGAGTGGTATTACCTAGCATTCCTTATATCCGTTCTCCCATAAGATGAAAGTAGAACTCAGTCTACCAGTTCAAGAAAACAGATGTTTTGCAATGCATCAACTAGAACATCGAAACATTCTTCTTGTCGCACCAAGTATTTCCTCTCCTTCAAACACGCTTGACTTGGTAATGATAAGTCCAGAACAGGGGAGTTAACCATTTCGAAGTAAACAATTCCAGCCTGCTCTGTCGATAAGATAAGGGAGACGGTGGGCGAGTGACCCGTGCAATCCCTGTAAAACAGAGACGCTAGACCCCTTGCGTTAGGAAGCTCTCAAGATCCTTGCGTAACAATTCGAATTGACCCTCGAAGCCTTCAAATGTCAAATGGCATGACGACCAATTGGCGATAACCTGTGCCATGCTTCCCTCACGGGCTGTCCGACCAGCTTTTCGAGCGCTAACAAGTCTTCGCCATGCACCTATAAGGCCTCAGTCGCTACCGAGAAGATGCTATTCCGACAAAAATCCCGCCGCACCAGTCGCTGCCGCCGAGGATGACCTCCCCGATCATCGAAAGTTGGGCGTTCAGCAGGAGCTCTTCACCACCTCCATCTACAGCCCTGGATCCCCAATCTTCCTCCCCAATGGAACACGAGTATTCAATAGACTGGTGGACTTCCTGCGGCGTCAATACGTCCACTACGGTTTCGACGAGGTCATCACGCCGAATATCTATAAGAAATCGTTGTGGGAGGTGTCGGGTCACTTGCAAAACTATGCAGACGACATGTATACCGTCACCAGTCGCGCGCGAGCGCCCGAGCCCGCGGCTGCAAGTTGCTGTGGTGACAGAGAAGCGCCTCACGAAGGTGAAGGCGCCACCAGCCGGTTGGCAGAAGGCGAGGACGACGACTACGGTCTCAAGCCCATGAATTGCCCTGGCCACTGCCTCATCTTCGCCTCCAAGAAGCACAGTTATCGCGATCTCCCTATCCGCTACGCCGATTTCAGCCCTCTTCACCGCAACGAGATCTCGGGCGCTCTCAGCGGCCTCACTCGCGTGCGCCGTTTCCACCAGGATGACGGCCACATCTTTTGCCGACCTATCCAGATTAGGGAGGAAGTATTCAAGACGTTGGATTTTATGAAGACGGTTTATGGTGCGCTTGGATTGGACTACTTTGACTTTGCGCTGTCTACGCGGCCGACGGATCATTATATTGGTACCGATGCCGAGTGGGAGCGGGCAGAGTCACAGCTGCGCGGTGCTTTGGAGCAGGCCGGGCTGAAGTATACGATCAAGGAAGGAGACGGCGCGTTCTACGGTCCGAAGATCGATGTCATGCTGCATGATTCTCATGGAAAATCCCACCAGGCTGGAACTATTCAGCTTGACTTCCAGCTACCGCAAAGATTCGAACTCGAGTACCACGCACCCGCGCCGGAGCTCGAGGCGCAAGGCGTGCCGCTGGAAACTGTTGATCCCGCCCTGTTGGAAAACTACGGCCCTGTGACTCCCGTACTAGTCCACCGCGCTATTCTTGGTTCTGTTGAGCGTCTGATGGCACTCCTGATCGAGGAGTACAAGGGCAAGTGGCCGTTCTGGCTGAACCCCCGCCAGGTCGCAGTCTTGACCCTGAACGACACGGATCCTGTGGTACAATGGGCATCCGAGATCAAGGATGTTCTAACTGGCCACAATCACAACAGCGGGAGACAGCCGAGCCCTACTGGCTTCGCAGTCGATATCGATGCTAGCGCACGTTCGCTGCAGAAGAAGTTGGCGGAAGCTCAGATGAAGCAATACGGTATTATCGTTGTGGTGGGTAAGAAGAACGTTGAGAACGGAACTCTCACCGTGAACGAGCGGTCGTCTGGCAAAGACAAGCAGACCGGCAGCAAGGGACGGAACGACATGAGCCCCGGAGACCTGCTCGAAAAGTTGAAAGAGATGGTGGCGACGTACCAATAGACGCCATGCTCTGTAAAATATGTAAAATGTACACTACTCCTACAACGACGCTGGCTAGCTATTGAGAATAAAAGTCATGATGAAATAGACAGCCAAGACCAACGCCCGAGTCATTAAGTCCACTTCCCAGGACCCTTCTCGGGTCTTCGGGAGTCCTCCTCTGCAATCATCCTCCCGCTGTAATTGTCTCCTCAACCTAACGGAAACGGTGATCCTTCACGGTTCCCAAATCAATCGCAACTATACTGTCGATGATGCTGGTCCCCTCGATCCTGTCACCGACCTCTCGAAGCCCCGTTTGACTGATGAAATAGTGCTCTACGCAGCGGAAATGATTTAGCATACAATGGTGGATCGCAACGCTCGGGGTGGTTGGTGCTGACTCACTTACCGTTTGAACTTTTCGTCCACCTCAGCACCGGTGCTCTCGATGCGCTCAACCAAGGCCTGCCGCTCAGCAAGTTGATCGCGCATGAACTCAACGGTTCTCTTAAGTACAAGACCTTCTGAGCGACCCTGGCCTTCCAGTCCTGGTACCAATTCTGTCAACCGGTCAAAACCTTCACGGATCGCCTGACGTCGCTTCTGTTCTATTTTTCACAAAGGTGAGATACTGTGTTTGTCATGGAACCTCTACAGTAGGCACTAGCGAGGCGACAACAGGGCTATTTGAAGTCGCGCAAAAGGGGAGTGGATGGTTGGGTACCTGACGCAATGTGGTTTTGTTTCTTCTCTGCCTCGGTCAGGCGAGGCTTCTCCTCCGGCTGGTCGGCATCGCCGGGGGCTGATGGGGAGTTGGACTTGTTGGGAGAAGACATGGCGCGCGCAAACGATGAAAGGGACAATCAGGCAACGCAGCAGGAAGGGTTATGAAGTCGCGTCAATTCATGGGTGAGGTTGTCAGAACTACCCTGGGAGGGAGCAGGAGAAGTGTGGTGTTTCGCACGATCACATGCGTTTCGCGCCAACAAAACGGGTTTCTTGTGAGATCTGATCCCCCTCCGCATTATAGGATTCCAGAGCCCCCTGTAAGGTTCCTGCAGCACGTTTGTTTCCGTCGGCAGGGCTGGCAGCGGCAGCTGAGCGCCTTAGAACGGGAGATAAGACAAGGAAATGTGGATCTGGCGGGGTTGGCATGTCAAAGCACACTCGGCGGTGACGGTGTGCCTCCAATGAGTGCCTCAAGTGTGTCATTGCTATCCAGGGAAACTCCTACCCCACAATTCCGACAAACCTCCTTTCTTTCCGATAGCTGTACTCTTCTTTCTTTCCCCTTGTCATTGATGATACCTGAGACGGCTTAGATTCTAAACCTTCCTCTTCCTGTATCACTTCGGCAAATTCCGACGAACCCCCTGCGCCGAGACCCTGTTTACAATGTCGTCCGAGTACAAGCTTCTCTCCGATCCCCCACCGGATTACTCCAAGGCCACCGCCGAACATGGCAAGCCCCCCACGACCGCCGCCCGGCCACCAGCTCCCGCCGGCGGACCAGGACCCGGCCCCCGCGGGCCGCTAGCCCTCAACCTCCCCATCATCTCTTACCTCAAGTCCAAGCGCGTAATCCTAGCTTCCGCATCCCCGCGGCGACGCCAGCTGCTCGCCCAGGTTGGCCTCACCAACCTCGAAATCACTCCTTCGACGAAACCTGAGGACCTCGATAAGACGGCTTACGGACCCTATGAATACGTCGCCGCGACGGCGCGGCAAAAGTGCCTCGACGTGTACGAGACGGCCCTGCAAACACACCTTGCGTCGATCCCAGACCCAGATGTCGTCATCGCTGCCGACACCGTCATCGTCACTCAAGACGGCCGCGTACTCGAGAAGCCGCGCAGCGAGGCGGAACATATCAAGATGCTGCGTCACCTGCGTGACACAAGGCTGCATCGCGTTCTGACGTCCGTCTGCGTGATTGCCCCCCGGGAGGATGCGCGGTCTCCGGGCTACGAGATTGCGACCCATACTGAGGAGACCAAGGTGTACTTTGCGCAGGAGGAGAACGGGCTCCCAGACGACGTTATTGAAGCGTACGTAAAGACTAGAGAGGGAGCAGACAAAGCTGGCGGCTATGCTATTCAGGGAATCGGAGGTTTGCTTCTTGTTGAAAAGATTGAAGGCAACTTTGATAATGTGGTTGGTCTGCCTGTAAGACAGACATTGGTGCTGGCGGAGAAGGCGGTATTCAAGCAGGACGAGGAAGAGGTGGCCGAGGACGACGACGAATGAACCATCCAAGATGATTAGACGACTGGCACATACCAAAATGTCACGATGTGGAAGAGTACGCACCTAGGGATGGTATTATGATGACCAATTTACCCAGCTGGTACCCCTTACCTGCTCAACAGCTCTCACATCCGTTAGAATACCGAATTATTTCTGAGGGGCTTCCCACTGAGCTATACGAGTTGGCCTGTCAATAGAGATATGGACTGAGCAAACAAAGTTTGCCTTGGTTTATAATGAAAGAGCCCAAGCTAAGCTCCATGCACACTGACTGCAAAAGCAATATGTATGAATTACAACTCTGGATCGCACATGGAACAGCGAGCATTGAAGTGAAAAGCAACTAGATGGTGCTTGATGAGGCCAGCACCGAGGTGCCACCTCGACACTGTCCGGGGAGGCGGTCAAATACATATCCTGGTGGCTTTAGATAATACGCAAACGCCAAGACATCACAGGATACCGAGAGTTTCATTTTCATGTATTGGTCATTGTGACAACTTCTTATTCGTTTTCTTGCAGGGTATTGAATCTAGCTCGCACTATACAGAAGCTTACAGGCTTGACAGCTTCTATATACGATTACGCCGCCGCTCTTGCAGCAAGGGCGGGAGATCCAAGCTGTGCTGCAATTGGTAGTGTTGCCGTAACAAATCTCGACGATCAGAGTTGAATGCGCACTTATCTTTTGAGACACCAAAAGGACAATGTAGCCACTTCAAGTCCAGCTTGTGCTTTCTTCGGTGTCTAGAGAGACTCGAGGCGCACTTGTACCATTTGCCACAATTTTCCATCGGACACAGGAAGCCATTCCTAATGTCAAGTCAGTCACATCGACATTAATATACAAGGCATGCATACACATGTGGGTGCTGACTTACTCGTTGGCCTTACCCTTTGTAGTAGGGGGCCTTCCTTTAGGAGATTCTAACATCGGGATTGAGATGTCCGACTTCCTTGGAGGCTCTTCAAAGACAATGACATACTCCCGGTTCTTGTTAGCCTAGGGTCGCAATATACCAATACGTAAGTAAGCGGGCTTCATGTTGACTTATTTGTGATCACAACACTGGTTAGAGGAGTGGACTTGGGTTGACGCACTGAATTTCGATTTAGCTGTAACAGAACTCCATCAATAGAGGAAAGATGTGTTCATTTGTGGACAGGTTTACCACATATAATGCCCTGATGGGGCGTAAGCACCCCATCTGAGGGCTTGAAGAGTTGTTCGGTTCTAAAATTTGAACGATGCCAAATCCTGTGATGGGGAGCACATACGAAGAAAATCGAAAAGTTTGAATACCTGGCAAGCGGTGTGAATCCTGTAAGAAGGTCCGGCAAAGACGTGAACTCTGTGATGACACTTCGGATACATTTTGACTGTCATGAAATTTCAACATCAGCGTTCTATGTTGAAGACTAAAGAGCATTTTAGTTGCTCTTACGTTGGCCGAACATCCTTGATGGCTTGTTCTACTATGTTTTGGTAGGATTCGTGCATTTCTGCCGTTTCTGCACGTGTATGAGATGCTTTTGTCTCAATACTGCATGTTGTGGCGTTTGAATCTATTAGCACCTTCACCAAGTGTTGGAATGCGCTATGCCATTCTTCCTTCCCTACGAAAGGCTTCATGCATGAATAGCATCTATTCGAGGCGGTCAGAAGTTAATTTATCCTAAGGAACAAATCAACGGTAATCTTACTTCATCAAGCTGTTTCCGAGCGTGACCGGGTCTGTTTCCAAACAAGAAATGGCAGGCAGATGCAGATCCTTGCTGAGCTGCTGGCTAAGCCATAGGTATTGATTCGCTTATTTCTTTCTCAATGTGGGATTTGGTATCTTTATCACAATAGTTCCTTCGCAAAAGACTGAGCGAAGGAAGCTCTGCATATTCCAAAGAAGCTTCGCCTTGTTGTAACAATGGCTGGGAACTCCATTCTTGGCTGAAGTCGTCTTCGCCGGTAAGAAGACATAGTTCCGTCTTTAAAGGCCATCCAAGGTCAAATTGGTGGTTCCATGTGCTAGATGTGAATTCAGTCTTCTCTGAATAGTCCATATCATTCCATTAATCAAAGGATATTGTTGGAGCAGGACATCAGTCCAATATAGCTGAAAAAGGTATTGGCGAAACAGGTATAGAGGCAGTTAAGAATGAAGTGTAACTCTTGCGTTGAGAAGGTGGGCAGTGATCGTAAAAGCAGAGAGAGACATAGAGACAGAGAGAGTAGCGATGGTCACAAGAAACTGATGGCAAGGCTGAGAATGACAAAAGCAGGTGATCCAAAACCTACACTGGCTGGTCGAATGAGACCAACTGAAGTAAAGGAGATATTGTCTGCGGGGATAAGAGGAGCATGCTTGAATAGCTAAGGAAACTCGGTCTATATTTATGAGTATGTTGAGTGTTCGCCTTCAGCCAGAGGCTACCACGATTTAACTGAGTGTGAGCGTCTCTATCGGAAGGCATTTGACGCTCATTTACAGTGGGGCGTCGTCCCCGAAACAGAAAGTACTCAAGACGGGGGCTACACATGATTCGCCGTCGTTGTGGTTGTCCGAACGGACCGTCCCAAGCATGCGCCACCACCAGGCTACTAGTAGTGAGACCCCCCTCCTGGACTCTCCTACCTATCACATCCCGAAAAACAGGAAACGGGTTTCAAATGACTCTGTACGGAGGACTCTGCCCTCCACTGACTTCATACCGATGCGGCCTTCCCATCCCAACATAGAATCCCTGTACTCTGCCTGAGACCACAGACCAAAATCATCATGCCCTATTCCAAGACAACCATTCGAAATGCATTTTCTGTAGATGGTCTGTATTCGTAGTCCTTCGGCGCCCATACCCCTCACGCCGGGCATGTGGAACCTCTCTCTACGACGTGAGGCTTTCAACACCGCGACTCAGCGATTCCTTCGGGAGGATCGTCTTGTACCTTTTTTAATTTTATTTCTTTAATAAATCCCTAGCCATGTGATGTTTACCACCAGTTCAACCTTGGCCCCAACGGCCTGTCCAACCAGCTGGGACTGGTCTGTGTCTGGGGTGGCCCTGGGCTCTGCCGTCTCTTGGTTCCCGAATTAATGCGAATCTATCCACACCAGGACAACAGATGAGGACGAAAGCGCCACCAACTCAGTTTTGGACACGCCAGGACAAGAGTATTGTAATCTGTCGACACTTCAGTGGTCTGTGGTAATTGAAAGCGCCTATCCGGCCGGGCGAGCACCAAAGATTATGGGGCAAAAGTACGGCGACACCAGGACAACATGCAGTGATGGAATTAATATATCAAGGCGAAACGTCGCCCTTTCCTCCAAAATTAAACCATAGGAAAGCAAAGTGCAATCCAAACAACGGAGGCTATAAACCATTTTATCCTTCCGTGAATCCATCCACCATGCCAACCATACCGAAAAGCATCTCTAAGGCATCCTCACAAGATGCTACCAAGTCCCTCAAGAAGAAGACTAGAGATCAGCTCAAAGGTACGTCAAGCTTCCCTTTCGTATCCCGACTCTTTAGGTCTGACGAGATTATGGTCAGAATTGCCGGAGGTACTTTCCATGTGGATCGAGGAGTCGAGCGGTACTCAAGCATATGGAGACCCCTGGAACTCGGTGCGGGCCGATGCGGATCCTAGAGGCAACCCAAACGCAAAAATATGACGAGGTGGTAGGAGAAAGGAACTCGACCATGGTGGAATCTTGAAATCATTGCTCCTGAACAGCGGAGGTGTGTGTGTCGTTGTTGGTCTGTGTGTGCTGGAAGCTCCGAGATGTCTGTGTCATCTTTTAGAGCGTGTGTTTAGAATAAAGCGACTGTAGTGGTGATACCAAGTGCATTGTCGTGCCTCATATCGTATTAGCATTATCGACTGTTTCGAGTCCGTTGCAAGTGTCGTAATATCATGTCTAGTCCTCCCTCAAGGTGCTGTTGGTCGCTTGAAAGGATGAGCCTCCGTGTTAAACACCCATTCGTCCAAACTCATCAGTTCGGGGTCCGAGAAGATCAGATAAAAGTACTTCAATGTCTCGGCAAAGAAGAAGCTGTCCATCGTATCTTCCTGTCGAGATTGTGTGTATGTAACATCAGCCACCACAGCATGGGCGTCATCAGTTGTTGTCACTTTCTGGACAGCTTGAAACATGTCCCAGGCCATATCAACCAAATCTTCCTTTCCAGTAATTCTGTAAAGAATGAAAAGACTCTCTATACCCTCGGGTCGCAGGTTGTAGCGTGCATCATCAATCCTCCAGAACCCCCTAGGAGCATGGCGACTGCTTTGAGCAGCCCACTTCTTTTCATCCCATTCGCAGCCGTCGATCGTGTCGCACTTGACGATTTGCGACTTCTCGGGCATGAGCCCGCTCTTGAAGGACCTGTACGCCCACGCGCATCCTCGTGCCAACCTGTCTCCAACCTCGACGTCTTCCGGGATTCCGAAGAGCTTCCCAGCCATGGCGAACATTCCCCCTGCGAAGCACGAAAGATGCTCCAGCTCTGCAATCTGGTCGATCTTCCTAAGCTTCTCGTTCACTACAGCAGTTCCAAGTAACAGTATATCTTCCTTCTTGGGGGTCATAGGGCGAAACAGAAGTTGAGCCTTGGCTGCCTTTGCAGCTCCCAGATACATCTTCTCATACGAGGCATCGAGACCACCAAGCAGGGCATACATCTTTGGCAAGTACTCATATAGCGAGTCGCCGTCGCCGCCTAAACGGAAAACGTTGTTGAGAGTCTGAAAATCATCGCGTACGTGAAGAAATTTGGGCCACAAGCCTGGCAGTAGCGTATCGTCCTGCATTTCGTCGAAAACCACCTTGATGCGCTCAACCGCATCATAGAACTTGAAATCGCCTGTTATCTGCGCCAGTCTGGTGAATTCCAGTGAGAGACTACCGATGGATGCGGCGCTTTGATAAGGATCCGGCAACACTTTGCCGGCCCTAAGCTCCACGAAGTTGAAAGCGTAGGGCGGAAGCCTGTTGGGAGTGTCAAAGGCAGCATACAGCATGTTGGCAAGCTCAACAGCCTTGTCGAGCAGAATATGCTCGTTGCTGAGATCGAATGCGGACACGAGGCCTCCGAGATATCTGATATTCGTCTCAAAAACATTGCATCTCGGATCTGTCGAGTTATTCCAGTCAATCGTGCCAACGAACTGGACAGCCCTGTTGAAGTCATCGTATAGACCCATCAACCATAATGTGTCTAGAGAATCGACTAAAGTGGCACCCCATCCGTTATGTCGATTTCTTCCTCTCAAAGACAAAGGTTGCAACTCGTCATAACCCCAAGCATGCCGGGCATAAGACTGCCAGCTCTTCTTGAAAGCATTCCGTACCTCGTTTCGACGAGAGCTCATGAGGCCGATATCTCTCTTCAGGCTGTCTGAGTGTTGTGTCGCAAACTCGAACTGAATCTTAGGTAAGTCCAAGGGTGATGCCGAGGGCAATCGTGCCATCTCAGCCTCTGATACTGGATGTCTCTGGGGATGTGTGGACCAATCATAGCCGCTCTTGCTATACGGAACGTCACGTAATATCGCCGGGTGTTCTTCATCGTTCTGTAGAAACAAAACACTTAGAATAATTAAGATAGCGAGCAGGGCAAGCACCCGATTTGTCGGTGGAGAATGATTTCGTAGTTGGAATTTTGCTACCATTTTGGAAAGAGAAATTTACCGCACTAGAATGACAGAAACAAAACAAACACATAAGTGATAGAGGCTGGAAGGAAGAGAACACGCAGGTCAGACAGTTTTGTAAGGACAGTCGCCTCTCGTCATCGGATTTTCACCGCAGGAAGCCCGTGGTGCAGGTAGGTCTTCTGCCATTTGCGGCGTTTGACGTCTCGAAGGTATGCTGCTGTGGTGTGCATCCTCCGTGAAACGCGAAGGGAGACCCATGGTTCGCTGGTGCTGACAATGTGTTGTCTGTGCTGGATAGGCCACTCGGACGGACAAGACATCAACTGAGCTCGCGATTAGACCTCTTGGGTGGCTTGGATGCCGCTTGGCCCAAATACGCAGCGAACAACGATAGAACATGCTCAAAAACGGCAACTAAGCCAATAGTCTATGTTGGCTTTCATCATGGCAGATGCGGGCGGTTACAAGTGTAACGCGAGTAGCACGTTCGTGCGGAGAAGAAACCCTTGTTCGACGAATGGTTAAATGAATTTTCAGGTCCCATAGATGCCATTCCAACTATTCATGACTGAACAAAGCTGTCATGAATGACATTGAAAGTCACTAGATCGGGTTTCTTGCACGAGCTTTACTGACGTACCGTTTCATGGGACTTGACATGTTTCAAGGGTCAGATGCTGACCGAACTCAGTTGGAGTTGACCGTAGTGGTAGTGGCGAAGAGTGGAGAGTGGATAACAACGGCGCTTCCGTGAGTGAGACAGCGGAGCCCCCCCCGCCGGCCCGAGTGCGTCGGGTTAAAGACGGGCAACACTTCGCTAGCGCCACTTTTCGAGAAAGTCTTGTGGCTGGAGCTTTGTCACCGCCTAAATTTTTCAAATTTCTGCCGCATCCCACCTTCCAGGTCTAGGATCGTCGGCATTGTTCTTGCTCTCCAGACCCGGTAACGTAAACTCTAGTTCTACGTGTCGAGTAACAGCAAAATGTCGTCCCTTCGCAACGCCGTACAGAGGCGCTCCCATAGGGAGCGTGCTCAACCTTTGGAGCGCCAGCGCTTCGGCCTTCTCGAAAAGCACAAGGTTCGTGATGCAGCATCCTGCCGCGATGCATCTATAGAAAGTCTTACTGACGAGGATTTGAAATGTAGGACTACTCCCTCCGTGCCAAAGATTACAACAAGAAGAAAGCCCAGATCAAGTCTCTGCGTCAAAAGGCTGCTGAACGTAACGAGGATGAGTTCTACTTCGGCATGCTCAGTCGCTCCGGCCCGGGATCGCGCCTCAAGGATGGCAAGGGCTGGTCCGGCACAGTCGCCGGCGACCGCGGTAACAAGGCAATGGATATGGACACAGTCCGTCTGCTCAAGACACAGGATGTTGGATACATCCGTACGATGCGCAACGTCATCTCCAAGGAGGTGAAGCGTCTAGAGGAGCAGATCGTGCTCATCGGTGGCGTTGATGCTGCTTCCAACAACGACGACGATGACGACGACGAGGACACGAAGCCCGCGAGACCAAGAAAGATTGTTTTCTTGGACGGCACCGAGGAGAGAGACGAGGCCGTCGAAGAGGCAATGGAACTGGTTGAGGACGACGAGGACGCTGAAGACGAGTTTAAGGGATTCGACGATGAGGACGAGAAGGACGATGCTAAGCTTAAGAAAGAGATGGCGATAGCGAGATTACGGTTGCAACTACAAAACGCGAAAAAGAAGCTCAAGGTTCTTACGCGGGCTGAGGATGGCCTTGAGATACAACGTGCGAAGATGGCCAAGACGGCAACCTCTGGCGGTGTCACCAAAAAGGGCAAGAAAATTATGGTTCGGACGCGGAAGAGGTGAAAAGAGGGACGTTTCTTACAAAATATCGGTCGGCGAACAAAAAGTTTTATGGTGTGTTTTCATGTTCTTCATTCATCCTAATATCTGAGCGTTTATGAAAAGCCACGCTCAGAAAGTCGTCATGCGATACCCAGGCCCCCGGAGTATAGATCTAGATGTACAAGAAAAAAGATATTCATCGCTCCTGTCCGCATCCTGGACAAGGTCTCCTAAGGAAATGATCCCATTATTCCCAACACCGTCGCGGCCCAAGGAAATACTAAAGGGAATAAACGTATCAATAAAGTGGTATCTCGTTCCGTTGCAGTCAATGCATCCTGGTTTTTTCCCCTCTCCTTATTTTGACTTCACGCCAACGCATCTCGCCAGCCCCTTGACAATCATTGCGAGCGCCTTGAAGCCTATCGTCAGCACCCACACGAAGCACTTGAACAGCCCAGACAAGAGCTTGAAAAGTGCCCTCAGCGGCCAAGGCAGCCTATCACGCGTCTCTTTGCCCACCTGCTCCAGCTTCGCGAAGCTGCTGTCTTGGCTCTCAACGTCAATTTCAAACTCCTCCATCTTACCCTTCCGCGCTGCGGCGGCCCGCTTCTTTTCCTCCCGCTTGCTCAGCCGGCGCTCACCACCCGCAGGCTCGCGCGGGGCGGGAGGGGGCTCAAATGTCTCGACCTTGAAGTTCTTCTCGTCGCCTGCTGCAACCAGCAGCAGTGCTGTGACGGCGACGTCAACAATGAAGAAGCTGTCGATTTTAGATGCAATTGCCGTGTCGACCTCAAGCCAGCCGCCGCCTGTCCCGTCACGGGTCAGCTTGGCGAGGTGTTGCGGCGACTCATGGTGTTCAAGCGTGTACTCGACCCGGCTCCAGGCGGGCGAGCGCTCGATAGTAACGCAGAAGGGCGTAGCCAGCGCCGGATGTACGAGGAAGTGCGAGCTCGTGTCGTCATCCCAGACAAGACGAGCGCACTCCGTCTCTGCAGTGACGACGGCTGTCATATCGTCGGCTCTATCCAGAGCCATCTTGGCAGCCGCCTGGGGGTAGAGAAGAGCGACGAGGCCATCGTTGGGTGGGTGCTTACGAGACTCCTCTTCTAGAGTGGTGGCGAGAACTTCCTGCCAGTGCTTGTTCTCGGCCCCCTTGCCGTTGTCCTTGTGGCCAACGACGCCACTAAGAATGCTACTCGCCGACGAGCTGGCCGTCGGGCTCGGAGCTTTGTAAATCTTATTAGGATCATGCCGGTTGACGGTAACATAGGCTGATGCCGATGTGGGATCAAGTCTGAGGCTGTAGAATGGCTGCGATGTCGAGGACAAGGTATAGATTGGTGCATCCTTTTCCTGGGACAGCTTCATACAGTATACCCTGCCTTCTGAAGACGAAGCTTTCCAGCCGTTGGCAACCTTCCACAGGCTCTTCATCTGCTCATTCGTGGAAGTATTGGGGATGATGGGGGGCTCGATCCTCCTTCTGGGCCACCTAGGAGCAGAATCATTGCTCATAGCGCTTCTCACAGGGCTTCTATGCTGCTGCTCGCGACCCTCCTCTTCTGGTTCCGGGTACCATGTTGTGCGGTTGATTACGGCCCTTGGGATATGAGTTGGGCTGGTCTGAGTCGGGAAGTACTGTTGTTGGTCGAGTGACACTTCTGGGTTGTACTGGGGGAAGATTGACCGTAGTGCAGTCTGCTCTTGTGCCGATGATGAGGACTCATGTGGCAGAGGAAGCTTTGCTATGGAGCTACGGGAGCGGTGGCTGTTGCTTCTTGCCAAAGTTTGTGCCTGAGAGAAAGCCGTGTCTGATCGTGGTGGTATGTCTGCGATGGGAGCTGGTCTCTGAATAGGAGAAACAGCCGCTTCCCGAGGCAATGCCGGCAGTTCACGATTGCTCGGCGAGTTTTGGGGATCGCTCAGTGGAGGTCGTCGAGCATCTTGTGGGGTTTGCGAGCGCTCTACAGGTGATTGCATTCTTTGCTGCGGCGTCTGTCTTTCATGGCGCGGTGAGGACGCCGAGTCAACGGGGTGAACGGTCTCTGGAGACACAGCCCGGGTCCGCGAGCGTTCGCGGGACTCTGAAGTTCGGGTTCGAGATGGGGGTCTCCGTACTGTTGGAGGCTTGGTGTTGGGGTTCGGAAAGAGAGAGTACCCTCCAGAGGGTGGCTGGGCCGACATATTGGGCTGTGTTGCGCCTCGAATCGGTTGTAGATATTGGCCTTTGGTTAATGCTATCCGAGCCCTTCACAAGTAGTAGGGCAAATACCCCTAACAGAATAAAGAATAGGTAGTACAGCTGCTACCGATGCATGGTCCCAACACTCTGGTACTATACAATAAACAGAACTTCTGTTTATTATTGAAGCACGGTAAGGTAACCCAGATGGGAGAGAGACAATGGCACGGAAACCTACGATTGCCAACGAAAACACCAGAGTATATACTTTCTCGGCATTATAGCGACGGCACTACGCTGGGTTCAGCAGCAGGTCGCCCACGGCAGACCTAGTAAGCGCTGGCTTGTCTGGGAGGCCGCGATGAGTGGTGTAAGCTCAATAAGATGGATGGAACGGGCAAGAGGGTGGTCAAGGTGCCCGACCGAAATAGATTGTTGGATGCATGATGCACCAATCAGCCCGGCCATCACACTGCATTCTAGCCGCCGAGGCCAGGGTGTGGAAAGACAGGCGCGCGGGGTTGGTTGAACGTGAGCCTCGCGCCATTGGTCGACCCTCGAAAATTGGTGCAACTCCTTCAACTCTGACCGCCTTGGTTAGTGAGATGGCATCCTGCAATCCCCGGGGCCTGCGACGTGAAAAAAGCTACGCGGGCACAATGTGGCAGGCTGGTCAGGCACATCGCGTGTCCCGGCCGCATCTGCGCAAGGGCTAGTCAAAAGTGACCCAAATGCATGCCGACGTTCCATGGAGCTTCATGAAGAGCAAAGTTGGGTCATGTCCTCTTCATTCCGGATTGCAATGTGGCTCTGAGAGCTTAAGCATCTGCTGATTAGGTGTGCTCTGTGTTTCGGTGTAGCTTCGTGTAAAGTGCCAAGACTGAGTACATTGCAATTCAGCGTTGCTTGCTCATGTGGGCGAAACCAGCACAGAACGCTCAGAATGGGAAAAGTGGTGTTGTTGGTTGGAAGAACTAACTAACTGGCTAGAGGGCTGTGGAGGCTGGCTAGAGGGCTGTGGAGGCTGGCTAAGACCAGTGGTGGCGGCCGTCAGCCCACGTGACGGGCCGGCGAGGCCTGCCACCCACAGCTCAAGTGACAGAGCAAAGAACTGACTGATGAGAACATTCCTAAATCGGCGCTGCAACAGCACTGAGGCTAGACAGACTAAATAGTTTGTCCTGGGGAGAGTTGTCTACGGACCGGAATTTAAACCCGGCATCGGTCGGCTTATGGGTCAGAGTTCCGTCGGCGCTTCAACCAGAATTATTTAAGACTCGGCCGAACCATCGTTAGACCGGACGTACCCGGGAGCATCTCCGATCGTCGGCGGCACAGTATTGAAAAGTGGAGAAACAAGGACCGCGTCAAGTAATTCGATTGTGTCAATGCCTATTGGATAAGAAACATATATATAGATCTAGTGTAGCTATCTTCAAACACAAGACCTGTAATCGTGGAGCATACGCACCTAGATGAGATACATATTCACAGCGAGAAAATCTAGCCACTGCAAAAAAAATGACGCAAATTGTGGTTATTGGGTAGCTATCGTCCCGCCTCAGAATGTTGCGCGCAAGCTAAGACATCGTAGTGCTGGCGTGATTGGACTGAGTACCGCCGTGAGACTCCAGCAAGACGGTCACAAGGTCGCAATTGTTGCCAAAGATTTTCCAAGTCCGTTTGAGGCCGTGGACGCGAAGGCCGTGATCAATTACACGTCGCAGTGGGGCGGAGCACACAACAGATGGGTCCTACCGACTAACACGATTGAGGAGCGTGATCATGGGATGGCATTAAAGACGTATAAGCACATGGAGTCTTTATCGAAAAGCAACCCCGAAGCCGGCATTACTTTTATGCCCGGAATCGAGTATCTCGAGGACCCTCCAGAGCAATACAGGACCCTCACGGAAGTGAAAGCAAAGAGTCTTGGCATAGTCGGGTTCAGGAGTTTAAGTCCACATGAGTTCCCGGACGATAAGGTAAAATGGGGTTGTGAGTACCGAACATGGTGTGTAAACCCTATGGTTTACTGTTCGTTCCTCCTGCGTAAGTTCTCATGGAATGGAGGCAAGGTGTTCCGCAAAGAGATCAGCGACCCGCTCGAAGTGTTTTCGATCAAGGAGTTGCCAAATGTGCATACGGCCATCAATTGCTCTGGGTTCGGATTTGGTGACAAGAACTCATTCATTACTAGAGGTTTGTGGACTTCTTAGTTGATTCGAAGTTTCGCCAAGGTTACTGACGCAACTTGCAGGACAAACTTGTGCCGTGGCCAACTTTAGCCCAGCAACGGTGACGCGACAGAACGCCGACGGATCGTGGACATTCTGTGTGCCTAGAAACTTTCACGGTGGTACCATTGTTGGTGGCACCAAAGAACCCGATAACTGGGACGCTGAGCCGTCATTGAAGCAAAGACAGGAGCTTTTGAAGAACTTTGCTGCTACCTACCCGACCATTCTAGAAGATGGCGGCGAATTCCGTGTCCTTAAAGACGTTGTTGGAAGACGGCCTACACGGAAAGGAGGCATGAGACTCGAGAGAGAAGACTTTCCCGGCGACCGGACGCTTATCCACGCATATGGCCTTGGAGGAAGAGGATTTGAATTGTCATGGGGTGTAGCCGAGGGAGTCATTGATTTACTAGGAGAGCAAAAGGTCAAGGCACGCTTGTAAATATGTAATTGATTCGTATGACCGTTCTGAACCTTACTGGATGTCGTTCAGTTGGTAGCTGGGATGCCATGTAATTAAATGGTAACCAAGATATCGGCGTACCCCAACTGTTATGGCTACTTTGTTCGGAGCGATATCGGCTACTGAGGTAGCGGCCAGTGGTGGCAGCGCCGATAGAAGAAGATCACCGTTCAGTGGCTACAGGCATGGTACCTGCATAGTGCCTTGGCAGCTGACTGGCCACTGAAAAGCCAACCCGTTGACACCTGTTGGGGAAGGGAGAAAAAAATCAATTGAACGGAAGGAGGCAAGGAGAAAAAAAAAAAAAAACTTCTGGGCGACTGCCATCCCATGTCATTCATACCCCGCGCTCCGAAGGCGGTGTAAGTCCCTGGGACTCACTTCTGGTGGTATGTTTAGAGTCATTCAAAGCCCCACGTACCTTCTAAGGTGCCTTTAACTTTGAGCTTCCCTCCTTCAATACTTTCACTTCCACATCGTGATATTTATCTAAGCCAATAACCAGCTTGCGCTTTTTGTCCTACACAACTCAATTGGAATTTCCCGAATCCGTCAAAATGTCTGGCACCGTCATCCACCTCCGGTCCGAAAAGTTCAAGTTGCTGGAGCACCGCTCCGCGCTTACGCCTACTACCGCTAAGGCTATGATCGATGCTGGCTACACCGTCAACGTCGAACGTAGCCCTGAGCGCATCTTTGACGATTCCGAGTTCGAGAAAGTCGGCTGCAACCTGGTTGAGGAGAGTTCTTGGAAGCAGGCCCCCAAGGATCACATTATTCTTGGATTGAAGGAGATTGAGGAGGGCAGTGGTGAGTCACTGACAGCTCTAGCAGCTACAGCTTCGAAGTAGAGCTGACAATATTTCCAGAGCCTCTTGAGCACGTCTTCATTCATTTCCAGCATTGCTTCAAGAACCAGGGTGGCTGGTCTGAGGCTCTGTCTCGGTACCCTCGCGGAAACGGTACCCTTCTCGACCTCGAGTTCCTCCAGAATGACACTGGTCGTCGCGTCGCCGCCTTCGGATACCACGCTGGCTTTGCTGGAGCTGCTTTGGCCATAGAGAACTGGGCCTGGCAGCTTACCCACCCCTCTGAACCCTTCCCCAGCGTCGAGAGCTACCCCAACGAGGATGCTCTGCTGGTCGATGTTAAGAAGGCTTTATCTGAGGGCCAGGCCAAGGCTGGAAAGGTGCCCCGTGTGATCGTAATTGGTGCCCTTGGTCGCTGCGGCTCCGGTGCTGTCGACATGTGCCTTAAGGCCGGTATTCCTACTGAGCAGATCCTCAAGTGGGATATGGCTGAGACCAAGAAGGGTGGTCCCTTCCCCGAGATCGTCGAGTCTGACATCTTCGTGAACTGCATCTACCTCAACCAGCCTGTTGGACACGTACGTATTTATCACGATTTCCGCCCCCTTTCTTCTACAAACAAAGCTGACTTTTCTTCTTCAGTTCGTCAACCGCGAGTCGCTCAAGTCCCCTGGCAGAAACCTCTCTGTTGTCTGCGACGTCTCCGCCGACACCACCAACCCCCACAACCCTGGTATGCCAAATCTCATGTCAATAGCTTCAACCAATACTGACCAATGCAACACAGTCCCCATCTACACTGTGGCTACAACGTTCGATAAGCCCACAGTTCCCGTCGAGGGCTTTACCAACCCTCCCCTGAGCGTCATTAGCATCGACCACCTGCCCAGTCTGCTGCCCCGCGAGTCTTCCGAGGCCTTCAGCAACGACCTTCTACCCACCCTTCTGGAACTTAAGAACTGGCGCAATGACCCAGTCTGGGCTCGCGCCGAGAAGCTCTTCCAGGAGAAGGTGGCCACCCTTCCTGCCGAGTCCCTTGAGAACAAGGCCTAGTGGGCTCCAATCAAGCCGTATTTATGTTTCTGAAATGGACAATGGCGTTTATGGTGAGGGATCTTACGACTGAAAGGGTACATAAGAAGAGTCAATCACACTCTGGGATGTAAAAGCTACATAGAGAAAAGCTTAAACTCTGGGTACGCACTTCCTGCGATGGAAGGTACCGTTGAATGGAAGATATAGGCCCGAGTAAAGAGGCCATTGAAGTATCCAATGATTTCCATGATAATGACCGCCGTCTCCTGGCTTCGGTCTCCTTTTTATTGGTTGTAGTATACAGGGTGTTGTTGTATTTGTACACGCCGAATGTCCGCGCCGTTAGAGCAGGGTGTCCCAAGCCATTGTTCCGGAACGCCCAACATATGCAACTGATCTCTACTCTCTCCACCCGGTCGTATCCCAGTCTTCTGTCACAACTGGACCTTTCGGGTACTCATAGCTTGAGTTGATCGAGGTCTCCTCTCTTACCTCTTTTCCGCAGCGGCGGCAGCAGCCTTCTCCTCTTCCCACCTCTTCCGATCCCTGGCAGCATAACCGCCAACCCTCTCGGCCTGGCGCATCTTCTCCTCCTCCTTCCTCCTCGTCTCTGCGTCCTTCTCGGGCAGACCCCACCACTCACGTATGAAGTCCTCTTGCTGCGCCTTCTTGACGGCCTTGCGCTCGCGCTCCTTCTGCCTCTCAAGACGCTTCGCGAACCATTCCTCGCGGGCGGCATCCTGCTCCGCCGCCGTTGCGTGCGACTTCATGCACCCGTTCATCACGCGCAGTTGCTCACGGCAGACGAAAGAGACGGTAAAGGTCCTGTTCAAGGCGCAGTCTGCGAACGCTGTTCGACAGAATAATGTGTCAGCGGGCAATTCCAATAGGATGGGAGAGCAATTGATCCTCCAAGTCGACAGAGAAGTTCCTGGTTCCATCTCGGCCGAGGGAAGAAGTCTCTCTGTGACCTGGATGATTGAACGGGAGACGGGGGAATACGCACCCTTGATCTCGGGCGCGCAGGCACTGCGCACGCGCGCGTAGTAGATGTCTCTGATCTGTGCCTCCTGGGAGGCCGAGAGGGGGAGCGGGTTGCGCGAGGGCATGGGCAGGCCCTCGCCGGCGCCGCCGGTCGGGTTCGGAGCCGCCATCGCGGCCATCAACGGGTTTCCGAGGTGTTTTTTAATTTTATTTTATACGTCGCCCCGGTGGAAGGCAGGGAGACCTGCGAGTTCGCACCAAAAAAAAAGGACTGGAGAAGTTCGCTGCCCGTCGTACTTGAGCGTTCTTCTTGGTGACTGTCCTCACTCGGTCAGTGCCGGTCGTCGGGTCGTCGGATTGGGATTTGCTCAGGTGGTTCGATGGCGAGAGGGTGGATAACCCAGAGCTCTCTGTCTGTCTCTGACGGGCATGCCCGTGCTCCCCCCCAAACGGAGCTTGCCAATTGAGACTTTTTGCCGGCTGGGGAGGGTTCACCGCCTACCTGGTTTGAGCGCAGTTACGGGGGCACCCGTGACTAAATATCGACAGACACTTACTGGTTTGAAATGCAACTAACAGCCGTTTGCGGGCCAATGGATTCTTGACCGAGTGAAGTGTCTGGCATGTTGTTGTAAGCAAACAAACAGTTATATAGTTCAAATTCGGGAAGTTGCAAAATCATATAACTCGTATCAGCACGCACGTGAGGAGTTCCTTGCCGTCGCAGTCCTGTCAATGGCATTCGCACATACAACTCACAAGCATGTGAGCTGGTCGACTTGGATTAGCATACGTAATTTGAGGATAACAAGTAGTCAATCTCAACTCACGGAAGGGAAAAAATAAATAAGAGGAAAAAGTCAAGATCATTGAACGCCAACATTGTGTTTTTTCTATTTCTTTTTAGAAGAGCACTACATAGTGAGACTGCCTGGCAATCGACAAATGCTGGACTTATACGTCCTTTTTCTCCTCCTCGATCTCGCTTTCAGGGGCCCGCTGCAACTCAAGACTTTCCTTAGTGTCTTTACCCTTTTTCTTCATGGAAAACTTGGTGCTCCAGCCAGCCATTCTGCTTTCCTTGGTCTCCTTAGACTTGGAGGGTCCAAGTGAGGGACTACCAGTGCCACTGTCGTAGCTTCGACCAAGCAGCCCCTCCTCGCCAAAGTCATCAAGGTCACCAAAGCTGGATCTCTCGGCTGACATATTCTTGTCTGAATTGGCCGTGCTTCCGGGTCCCTTCTTGAAGAGCCCGGATTCCTTACTCAGTCGAGAGGAAAGACTGAATTTGCTAGAGCTTCCTTTCCTGAAGAGCTTGCGGACTACGTTTTCCTGATCCTTCGCATTGGAATTGGAATCGGATAGCGTGCTCGACAACGCCCGGTCAAGCGTCAAAGACTCCCGAGACTCAGAGACTGAGGTCTGCGTATGGACAGAAAACGCGTCGCGAGACTTTCTTGAGTCGGTAGGAGATGTGTCATAGCCGTGAGGCAGGTCGAGGTTGGCAGGGATGCTTTTGCCTTTCTCCTTAGCCTCCTTGTCCTTAGTCTTGTCTTTGGACTTGTCCTTTGATTTGGCCTTGTCCTTGTCTTTACCGGAGTCGCTTTCCTTATCCTTCCAACCGAACAGGCCTCCAATAAAAGTCGGGGCCGCCGGATTTAGACGCTGGCTCAACGAAGCCCTGGACTCTTGAGTCTGTTTGTTGGCCGGCGGCCTGCTTCCAATAACTCCAACCTGACTTGGAGAGACTTGAGGATCATTCAGCGCTTCGTGGTCTAGAATTTCGTCGTCCGCTGATGCTAACGTTGTCTTCAGAATCGCGGGAGAGCCGTGAATTGAGGGCCGCCTGGATGGATTCCGCGATGTCCATAGACCGTTATCCGACCAGAACCGATTCTTGTCCCCTGGATGATTCCAGATTGAGCCGCTATCAGTAGAAGGACGTGGCAAATCTGCCGATGCCATGGAAGCGGGCCGAGGGCTGCTAGGATCGCGATCCGCAAAGGCTCCACTAAACGGCATCAGACGCCTAGCTGACGAGAACATGCCTCTTGGCACAAGCGATCCACTCCCGTCGAGCGTTTCGGGTCCGGCTGAGTTTCGGTTCTGAGTATAAGATGAAAAGCTAGTCCGGCGTCTATTTGTAGGCTCTGAATCGTCAGTCTGACGAGGGAAGGATTGGCTTTGGCCATGCTTAAGGCTGCCTAGAAGTGGACCACCTTCATCAGCGGCCTTGACGCCCCTATTCCGATGGAAGGATGAGAAGATGTTGCCAAGTCTGTGTCCGGACGGCGAAGGCTGCGCGCCCGGCGACGTTGTGATGTCCTGTAGCGAAGCACGGTCGCTATTGTCCGTTGCCAGCGGTGGAAAGTTTGGCTTATGCGATGATCCAGGAGGGCTTGAATGTACACTCTTCGATTGTCCTGACGATGCTGGCGACTGAGCCTCGTAGTCAAGATCTGGTGCGAAGGGGCTTTTCCGAGAAAATGAGCTAGGACTATGAGGATCGTCATCGAGGTCGTCGCCTAAAATACCAGATGGCAGCAACATGGTGGCTGTAGGGCTCAATGGAGCACCTGCGGTGAGAGCTCTCATGTCTGCTTCAAGGAAATATTCCGTTGGCAGGCCATCACCTCCTTGCATGTCCGCAAACTGGGCAAACGCTGAGCGGCTGTTAAAGCCAATGGGAGGCCCATAGGGGGAATCTGAGGCTGGGTAGGGACCAGTCGGGGATGGAACGGCAGGGTTCGCAAGAGGATTACCATTGCGGCTCCGGCGTTTGATCTGAGTGGGTGCGTTCTGCTCGAAATCGACACCAGATGAGTTTGCCTGATTAAAGAACTGAAGGCCCTGTTGGGTCGAGGCGTACAGTTGAGCGTTCAGAACATGTAAGTGACCATCAAGCTGCTGGGCCTTTCTGTTCTCCATAATCAGTTGACTTTGGAGCTCCCGTCGCTTGATTTCGAACTCCCTCTTCATCCTCCGATCGTCTTCTCGCCAAGTATCATCTTCCTCTCCCCCAGGGAGCTTCTTGCGTTCATCTTCAAGCTCCTTGAGCTGCTCCTTCTTCTCCTTGTATTCGGTCTCAAGCTGGGAGTATTCCTCCTGTAATGCCGAATTTTCTTCGTCTAGATGCTTGACTTTGAGATCGCGGTCTTGCTCCAAACTTTCCTTTTCGGCTGCAAAGCCTTCACGCGTCTTGCGCATGTTTTCGATTTCGGCGGTCCATTTGTCGACATTGTCACGAACCTTTTTCAACTTGTCTTGTTTTTCCTTGAGCTGGTTCTCTTTCCGTGCCTTGTCCTTGCTAGACTGGCGCATTTGTTCATAGCTAGCTTTGACTTTCTGTTTCAGTTGTGCTGTGGCGTCGTCCTTCTCCTTTTGTACTCTCTTTTTGTCCTCCCTTTCCTTCTTGAGTCGTTCCTCAAGCTGTTTGAAATCACTTTCTTCGGTAGTATGTTGGGATGTCGTCTCGTCAATCTCTTTTCTTGTCCTCTCCAAAGCGTCGGCCAGGTCTTTGAGTGATGGTTCGGGTTGATCGCTGGGCAGATCCTTGATCGACGGCTGCTCTTGACTCGCTATAGACGGAGAATGCCTTCGGTTAACGGTGTTACGTCTCTGACCAGATGTTGTCGTCGGGCCGTCTCGTGCGGCGACGGATCCCGGCTCAAGAGATGGCGCCGCCTCGATAGTAGGAACCTGACTACGTCCGGAATTATCTTCGGCCGATTGAGACTGGCCAACTCTGGGCTCCTGATCCTGAAAGCTGTCGGGCAGACGAGAGTTGCCCAGTTCTGGTCGCCCATCGGATCGGTAAGTGCGTAATCGTATAACCTGACTACCGGCTTGAAAGTTGTTTGGCCCAACAGCGATGACGCGAATATTGTAACAATGATTGGGCCTCAGTCCAGTGACAGTGATTGCAGTCTCTTCCTGTCTCGATTCGCCAACTGTCCATATGTGTCAGCAAACCCCACACCACATCACCTATCGAAAGCTGCGGGCCGGACTGACCATTGACTCCGTTCACCTGTATCAAGAACTTTTGCACGGGTCGGTTGTGGGACGGGCGCGTCCAGTTGAGAGTTGCAGCATCGGGTCGAATGCCAGCCAAGGATACGTCGGGGGCTTCGGGAACGTCGACTCCAAGAATGCTAATCAGGTCGGTCGTTGGCTTCCATAGAGTTTGCCAGGCGCGATGAAGCAGCCTAGAAGAGGTTAAAACCAGCAACGAAGTCGCGTGCACCGCAAAGATCAGGTGAAGGGGCGCGGTAGAGTGCATGAGGAGGTGGAAGGGCGAGAATAACGTACCAAATGACTGCAGTGAGCGTCACCAACATACTGGCATGTCGAAGTAGCAGCTCATCCAGACTCCAGTATCGTATGCCCTCACGGGTGTAGTGGACAGACCAGGCGAGGCAGAGCGAAGCGTAGAGGGGGGCGACAACCCAAAAAGTCGCAAGAGTGGCGGCGTACAGAAAGAATTTCTGGAATCGACTGGCTGGTCGCTTAAGCCACCAGGCGATGAGGGAGCTGATGAGGAGGATTTTCACGAACAGGTTCCATAACATCGCCGCGTCGAGCCGAGAAAAAAAAGGAAAAAAAAGAAACCAGAAAAAAGGAGTGGAGGTGTGGAAGAAAAGCGAAGGATGAGACCGTTCGCCTGTCCTCTCTCGGGAAATTCTGGGTGGGAGGGCAGTAACAGAGATCGGTCAAGAAGGGAACGGGGAAGATGGGAGAAAATCTCGGCAGTTGGAGTGCAGTCATCTGCGGCGGCGACGTCGACGACCAGCCAAGCCAGACAGTAGTAGCCTCTAAGGACTACGCTACCGCCTGAGTCTCCAGTTGCAGTAGCGGATTCCACCAATGCCCTTGCACCGTGTTTGACCACCGCTACTTTCGCACAGTGCGGCAGCAGGCGATCAGGATGTGCCTGATACGCATGCCGGGGCGGGTGTGCTGGGGCGGAAGGCTTAGGGAGGGGCGGTAAGGCAGGCCAGACATGCCAGGCCTGGAGGGGAAGAATATGAAGCATGAGAGTGACTTCCGAAGTGAGGGCGGCTAGGTTCATCAAGGCCAAAACAAGAGTTTTTACTAATTTATTTATAGAGCATATAGACGAGTTCTTGTCTCTGAACGCTTCATTTCTTCTTCTTCTTCTTTTTACATTTGATAAGTCTAACACACAGTGATTATTGGCGCCAATCCCAACGGCCCATGGCAAGGTGCTGCCCTTCACCAACTTTGGCAGAGATGTCATCAACTATATTTCCTGCGGGATGAAGATGACGATCGAAATGGGATGGATTGTCGACATTTAACTCGCTGATTTCCCTATGACGTATTTTGCTCTACAACTTCTTTGAGTCCAGACACCAATCCTGTGTTGACTCAAACAGGCCACTCTCAGACCAACGTGAGAAATAGACATCAGTACCAATAGACGGAGACGAAGATGAAATATAGCAGCCTCAGGTTTGAGGGCACGGTACTTTTTCCCCTATACCTAACCATCCAAATACATCGCTTAGTCTCGTCTCGGTTGCTTTTGAGGCTGAAAGCTCCCCTCTGGGTTTCACCTATTGTCGCCTTGTCTTGACTGCATAGGACCAATGTTGACTATCTCCTTATAACTCAGAAACTTCCCTTGTTGCCTGACTCTCATCTGTGCCTACCTTACCTCAAGTCTCTTGTCGTAGGGTACTGGTTCTTCTCAATGTCTTGGGTACTTCATGATGGCGGATCCCTCACAGCTTACCCTTTTTTTTCCCTCCCTGTCCACTAAACGGCGCCTCCCGCCCCAAAAGCTGCCACATTGCACAGCCCCGACACCTACACCCGATGTGGCTGCAAACCAATGACGATCTCATCTTACCAAGTTTCTTACGTGAGCTCAAGGATGTGCACCCGTACCTACTCGACGCTTCTTCTCGTATCCGGACCTCGACATGACTTTGCCTCAGCCAATATTCCTTTGACGTAGGATGCATGCCCTGAATCGATACTTGGGGACCATGTGCTGCGGTGGCTGGCTGCTGAGGATCCCCTGAAAACGAACTGGAGTGAGGGGCTTGCAGCTGAAAGCAACCTATCATGCCTTGACGACGTCTCAAGGCCCTGGAATGGGGGGGCTCCATCCCATCTGAAAACGATTGAGCCAATAAATCTGACCTGACAACTGGCGGGGACCTTGACAGCCACCAGCCAGCTCCCACCTCATAGCGCTATATTTGGACTATTGAGGGGTCCTTGGCGGGGACTACAAGTAAGGTAAGCTACCTGCCTGTCGATCTCGTCTGTTTACTTGGCCTCCGCCCTTTGTTTTCTTCTGTTGCTTCAGCTCTTCGCCTTTCTTTCTTTCTTTATCATCGCATCAATCTACGTTCCAGCTATCATCTCTTCCAATTGACGCGATTGAAAGCTGTCCCAATCAAGATACCCACGACTACTACCCAATATGGAGGCCATTAAGTCTGTTCTGAACATCGGCACCAAGAAGCCTGCCCCGACCGAGCCCTCTGCTGAGCAGCTCTCCCAGCTGAAGGAGAAATACACCAAGGCCGGTCAGGACCAGGTTTTCACATTTTACGATGAGCTTTCTACCTCTGAGAAGGCTGCCCTCTATCAGCAGCTGTCCGGCTTTGACCCCGAGCACATCAACAAGATCACCGACCGCGCCCTGAATCCCCCCAAGACCGAGGATGCCTCAACTCAGTCCGGTCTTGAGCCCCTCCCCGAATCCGCTACCGCAAGCATCCTCGACTCGAAGGCCGAAGATATTGAGAAGTGGTACCAGTCGGGTCTTGACCTGATCGGACAGAACAAGGTGGCCGTCGTGCTTATGGCAGGCGGCCAGGGCACCAGATTGGGCAGCTCTGCCCCCAAGGGCTGCTTCGATATCGGTCTCCCCAGTCACAAGTCCCTTTTCCAGATTCAGGCTGAGCGTATCCGCAAGGTACAGGAGCTCGCGGCCAAGAAGGCCGGTGCCAGCAAGGCCACCGTCCCGTGGTACGTCATGACCTCCGGCCCCACTCGCGGCCCCACGGAGCAATACTTCGAGGAGAACAAATACTTCGGCCTGGACAAGTCCAACGTTATCATTTTCGAGCAGGGCGTCCTGCCTTGTATCTCGAATGAGGGCAAGATTCTCCTTGAATCCAAGGGGAAGGTGGCTGTTGCCCCTGACGGCAACGGAGGCATCTACCAAGCACTGGTTGTCTCGGACGTGATGGGAGACATGCGTAAGAGAGGTATTGAGCACATCCACGCCTACTGCGTAGACAACTGCCTCGTCAAGGTTGCCGATCCCGTTTTCATCGGCTTCTCTGCCGCCAAGGATGTCGACATCACCACCAAGGTCGTCCGTAAGCGCAACGCCACCGAGTCTGTCGGTCTGATTTTGCTCAAGAACGGCAAGCCAGATGTTGTCGAGTACTCCGAGATCGACAAGGAGACGGCCGAAGCCCAGGACCCCAAGCAGCCTGGCGTCCTCAAGTTCCGCGCCGCTAACATTGTCAACCACTACTACTCATTCCGCTTCCTCGAAAGTATTCCACAGTGGGCTCACAAGCTGCCCCACCACATTGCCCGCAAGAAGATCCCCTACGCCGACCTTAAGACTGGCTCGACCGTGAAGCCCGAGAAGCCTAATGGTATTAAGCTGGAACAGTTCGTCTTTGACGTCTTCCCCATGCTGGAGCTAAACAAGTTCGCATCCATGGAGGTGAAGCGCGAGGATGAGTTCTCGCCCCTCAAGAACGCCCGCGGCACTGGCGAGGATGACCCTGATACCAGCAAGCGCGACATTATGTTGCAGGGTAAGCGCTGGGTTGAGGCTGCAGGTGCCATTGTTACTGGCGAGAGCACTGATGATGGTGTTGAGGTTTCTCCTCTGTTTAGCTACGTAAGTCACCGCCTTTTACCACATTTTTAGAAAAACGAAGACATTAACAGCCTTTGATAGGGCGGCGAGGGTTTGGAGAAGCTCAAGGGCAAAGAGGTCAAGGCTCCCGCTGTTTTAGAGATCGAGTAAGTGTACGACTTAATGATACGGAATGATTGGCGTTAGACTGGGGCCGATCAGCTATGAAGACCATCTTGGTTGATGGGTTAGTTGTTGGAAAGCAGGCAACGAAAACTCGAATTTCAAGTACTAAATACTAAGAAAAAGTTTTGATCACATTTTCCTGTGCCTTTACGTGTTTATATGTGCTGGGCTCCAAAGACCACAATGCGTATATACCTATGTGAAAACTTGATGTGTCTTGCAGGGGAAAATCGAGCTACTCTGCCGGGTGTGGGTTCTCCGTTGAGACGGGGATGTCCGGTTAGTTGGCAAGGACAATTTAGACTTCTCCGACAGAATGGGAATTCGAAAGCGTGACATCTGCAGAGCGGAAAATTATAACTTCGTCTGAGCCTCCGCCAAGCTTTTTTGACGCCAGATCTCAGGGGAAGTTGAATCGATCAAAGGATGGATATGCCTGGTTAATGCACCTTCAATTGCACACTGTGTAAGCCAGGCTGAGTTATCTAAATCGGGATTGGATGTCCGCAACAGCCTCACTATTTTTTTTTTTGGTCCCCAACTACATTATGCTCTTCATCCTTCCCCTCTTGAGAAATTGTGTTTTTATGGAGAAGACAAAGAGAGTTGGGTCTCCTTGCGAGCATGGATTGTGGTTCATGCACCCACCTGCACATGTGATCTCGGTTCTTGGCCGTGGTTTTTTATTTTATTTTAACATGTATTTCATATTGTTCAAGCGGCGCAATTTCGTTCATGATGACGAGGGCTGAGCCGATGAAAGCAAGATATGACGGAAGATGGCAGGTTATAACACACAACCAACGGCAACAAGATGCCTAGCTTCAGGGCTTGGATGTCAAAAAAGTGACAACATGGTTATGTGTGGGGGAATAAAAACCTTCTGGGCTCTACGCAGGATGTGGTGCAGAACGGCGAGGATCTGACAGGCGATGAGGGATGGGATGGAGGGGTAAAAGCTCCTGTCAGGCAATGACATCAACAGAGATAAATTGGCTAGAATTGCTTTGGGGATAGGCGACAAGGGGCCATCCGAAGCAAAAGGCCAACAGGCCGAAGGAAATTCTCCCATGTAGCCGCGAACCCGTAAAAAAGTGTGTCACGAGTACTCTTCAGTTACAGGATCCGAGTCAGCCGACAGGCCCAGTTTAGGTGAGTAACAGTGTGGGGTGTCGTATTTATCATGTGCAGAATACACCTTGCCGGGGCTTTTGTCTTTTTGGGGTACTACGCAACAAAACGAACTGGAAGAGGGGTTGGGGGTTACGACGGAGAGATGATGTTGAGTGAGAAAAACCACCTGAACGGCTAAGAGCGAGGGTCCTGGGTTGGGGGGAAATGGGCCCATGACTTTGTTGGCAATTGTCACTCTAAGTAAGCGCTTCCAGGCCGAACAACTGGATGAGAGTCTTTTAGACTCTTTAAGCCAAGACGCAAAGATACGGGTGCGGAGGAAGGGAAAAAAAAAAAAAAAGGAGGAACCAATTCACTCTTGCTGGTCTAGAAAAGAAAAAAAAGAAAGAAAGAAAGAAAAAACCACCTCCGATTGTGAAAATTTGCATTCCGATGGCCTCGGGCCATTGACCGTGGACTTGCAGTGAGATTGTAACTAATTGGCCTCGGTCCATGACCTAGCGCGTTCTGCATGCAAGCCCACCGGCCCTTCGCGCGTGCCAGGCCAGGCCACTTCATATCTATGCCGGCATTGCTCCTTTTAGTGTCTCTGATTTGCGGTTATGGGCGGCCAGTCCAGTGAGAGTACAGCGTTGCATGGCCCTAGCCAGGGGGTCCATTGGGAGAATGGCCGCCCATGGCGTTGTCCTCAATGTCCACCTTCACATGATCCGCGGCAGGTGCTGTCTGTGGTCCTAGGTACCATCAAGAGCCAGCAAACGTGGGCGAGCTGGCCGCTACGCTTGTACCGAACCGACCTAGCCTGAGGAACCTGTGGTAGGCAGCTTGTTGGGGTCTGTCCAACAAGCAGGGGTCGGCTTCTTGCTCACCCTGTCCATTGCCCGCCAGGCCCTTCTCTCCCGCCCTTTTCGCTCAGGTCCACCCCATTCTCGTCGGCCCAGACTGCCCTTCTTCACAGTTGCACTTGCTAATGGGCTTCCCCAAAGGATCCAGCTTCGTCATCTTTGCACAATCCCCAGCCCCGACCACTTCCGTACTGGATGCTGAATATAGCTGGAACTAGTGCCCCCGATGACAAGAGCTGCTACAAACATCTGACCGTTCCCTTTTCTTCTTCTTCGTCCAAGTTCACGAACCCGCGAACCCAAACCTTAAACAGTGATCCAGTCCGGCGTGCGTGCCTCGTTATTTTACATTCCACTGCACATTCGGGCTATCCGTGATCCTGAGCCTGACTGTGGCGACGACTTACATACCATTACATACCACGAAAGCGGCGTCCCACTCCCTTGCCTTGCTCGTTGCGCTTCTTGGACGAACGCTCTCGACTCTCCTTCTCACCACCACCACCACCACCCCTCCCACTCTCACCCACGAACCCTGCCTCCCAATAATACTACTTTCCCCAACAATTACGCTTTCGCCTCCGCACATACTAAAGCGACATACCTCAGGTGCCAAACTCCCCCACCGGTCCTTTCTAGGTTCGAGACGCAGAACCGTATCCCGTCCTGAGAAGCACCCTTCCGTTGATTGCGGTCTCCTGGCTCTGCGTCCTCAGCTTTTGAGTATTCCCAGAACCCGTCACAACGGCGGTGCTCCTCTACAACCATGCAATACGTTCGCAACCTCAGCGCCTCCGTCTCGTCGACATGGAACTCCATCAACCCAGCCACCTTGAGTGGTGCCATTGATGTTATCGTTGTCGAACAGGAAGATGGCACACTCGCATGTTCACCCTTCCACGTCCGGTTCGGGAAGTTCTCTCTTCTGCGGCCTTATGAAAAGAAGGTCGAGTTCAAGGTCAACGGCGTCAAGCAGAACTACTCTATGAAGCTTGGAGAAGAGGGAGAGGCATTCTTCGTGTTCGAGACAAGCGATAACATTCCTAGAGATCTGCAAACGTCGCCGTTGGTCTCCCCGGCATCAAGCCCTCCTTTGAACCCCGAGAACCCTTCCTCGCCTGGACTTGGGGAGCCGGAGCTTTTGGATCTGGATTCCGACACAAGGAAACCTCGCCGTCCTCCTCCTTCAGTTTTCCATAGCACAACAATCCCTCAGGATCATGGTTAGTTCTCTGCCTACCCTTGAAGTCCCCGGTCGTGCCTTGGAATACTAACGGCTGCAGGTATACTTACCCCGTTATCTACATCACCGGACCTCTCTCACGGACGACCGAGATCCGACGACTGGGTTCACCGACCACACAGTGACGATGTACTGCGCAAGTCAGCCCGCGCGAGTGAACGAGAATTCGGCGAAGGTTCTGCCGAGTTCGCCATGTCCGACAGATCACACAGCCCTCCCCCTCTGGCACCAAAGGATGCACTTGAGCGGGCGCTGATGCTCTCCAAGGAACTCTCTGCCAATAACATTCCTACTCATGTCACCGAAAGCGGTGACTTGATGCTTGACATGACTGGCTTCAAGAGCAATGAGGAGGACATTTTCCGCGCTGAAATTATTGCGCGGAAGATCTTGGCTGAAGAGCTCGAAGGCAACTATGACATTGGTTCCCTTTTCGGCATGGATGAGCATGGGAACATCTGGATCTACAGCAGCGAGGAGGCTAAGGAGGCGGCCAAGAAGAAGACTATGGAGGCAGGCTACCGCGGAACATCGGCCGTGGCGGCTGATGCTGCATCTGACCCAGGATACCAGAGCGATGGCAGCGATGTCACGACTACCGCCCCAACCCCGATCCATCGAAGAACCGAGTCAGATGTTGGCGCTTCTGGCATGCAGACTCCTCCCACCACCCCTCCACAATCGACAGCAGGAGACCCGAACCTGAACTACGCCAAGACTCTCCGCTTGACTAGCGACCAGCTCAAGGCCCTGTGCCTGAAGGCTGGCGAGAACACAATGAGTTTTACTGTGAACCGGGCAACATGTCAGGCTAACATGTATCTCTGGAAACACGAGACACCGGTGGTCATCTCGGATATTGACGGTACCATTACAAAGTCGGATGCGTTGGGTCACGTTCTCAACATGATTGGTCGTGATTGGACGCATGCTGGCGTTGCTAAGCTCTACAGCGACATTGTCGCAAACGGGTACAACATCATGTACCTAACTAGTCGATCCGTAGGACAGTCCGATACGACGAGAGCGTATCTGGCTGGCATTCAGCAGGGAGAGTACAGGCTGCCGCGAGGCCCTACCATTCTGTCTCCTGACCGAACTATGGCTGCTCTTCGTCGCGAGGTCTACCTTCGAAAGCCTCACGTCTTCAAGATGGCCACTCTTCGTGACATCCGGCATCTGTATGGCCCCGACAGGACACCTTTCTACGCAGGTTTCGGAAACCGCCTTACGGACCAGATTTCATACAGAACGGTGGACGTCCCCAGAAACCGCATTTTCACCATCAACTCCAACGCCGAGGTGTCGCTTGATCTACTCAGCTTGAACAAGCTCAAGTTGAGTTACATCAACATCAACGAAGTCGTGGACCATTTCTTCCCACCTGTAAGCACCCTGGTCAAGGGTGGCGGAGAAGAATACACGGACTTCAAGTACTGGAGGGACACGCCGTTGGAGTTGGATGAATTTTCAGCTAGCGACTCTGATGATGATGAGCAGGCCGACTTGGAAGAAGAAGAAGATGTGGATGACGATGACGAAGAAATCGGCGATGAGATGGGACAGAGCTACATCTCACGAGGCTCAGTCGACGATTACGCTGACGAGCGCGAAAGCATTCTAAGCGGAAGTGTCGACGGCGACGAACAGCTGACAGCCTCTATTATGGAGGATGAATATGCAGATGACGAAGATGCCGAGGAGGAGGACGACGACGAAGAAGAAGACGACGACGAGGACGGTGACGAAGCGGAGCTCGATAGTGTGCGCGCCCAACGCGAGCGGACTCCTCAGCCCAGAGGCAAGGAAAATACGTCTTCCGTGCCTGGCCAAAAGGTGCTCATGGAAGACGTTGGGGCTGAGTTAATAACTGGGGTAAATCATCTCACCCTTGAAAGAGGTGTGCAGAAATAGTGTGCTAAAAAGGAGGAACAGGCCGCGGTGTATGACCCTAATGTTTCTACAGGTGCGAACTAATCTTGCGTGACGATACTTCTGTACTGTACCGGAGGTTTTTAGAGGAGCGGTTTGGGGAAACATGACCATAGTTGGATTCTGGGGGACAGGCAGGCATTTGATTTGCATAGCGATAGGCGTTTGGATTCGGTACTTGAATCGGTAGTGACTATTCGACGAAAGAGAAAGGACACTACATTATTCGACTCTACGATGATGACCCATGCATAATGTGCAAGCCTGTTGATGCTCTTCTTCCTCTGATCTCTCTTTAAATACTTTCTATCTCTCCTGCTAAGTAGTCGACCCAGCATATTGGACTGCTCATCGTTCTTGAAGGCCAATCCAGGCGGTGCCAGGTGTGCATTCAATAATGCCGAATGGAATACCAGTACCTCCCGCCCTAACACTTAAATAAAAACTAAAATTGAACTCCGTGACGACTCCTTTTTTATCCCCCCCCCCCCCCCCCCCCCCCCCCCTTTTCCCGAAAGCCTGGATCGTCGAAATAGTACATACCAATGCCAGGTCAATCAACGCACCTGGCCAATTGGCAGCTTCCTCGGCACCGATGCCCATAGAACGCGCGTCTACCCTTGGGAGAAAAGGTCGACGCTCGGCGTCATCGTGCAGGATTTGGGTGATAGACTGTCTCCCTCCTAGGATGTTCCCCCCATATCCGCGTCTTCGTCCACGTCCTTCCCGAACACATCCTCCATTGTACCACCTTCGACGCCGTCGCCGCCAATATCCTCATCGGCCGTGTTTGCGTTCGTCGACTCCACACCCTCCATGGCACCACCACCACCCGCATTCGCGCCTTCTTCATCCTCGTCCTCGTCCTCATCGATACCACCCTCTTCCCAGACGTCCTTGAGGCCCCAGCTGACACCGCTGAGGACGAATCGCTCACTAGGCAGTCGCAGACCCCACTCGTTCTGCGCGACCTTGGGCAACGCTGTCTTATTACGCTCCCGCGCGAGCTCCTGCAGCCAATCCTTCGACACGCCTCCTGCGCCGCCGCCTCCGCGGAACTGGTAGCCCAGGCGAGCGGAGATGGCGAGCTTGACGGCGTTAGCGCTCACAGCAGCGTCGCCTGAGCCGGGAATGGAAGAAGCCGTGGCACCTGCTGAGGCAGAGGGTTTGGAGCCCGCGTGAGTAGTGTATGGGTCTGCAGAGAGGTAAATTGCGTCGCTAAGAATGCTCGAAGTGTGTCGGTAGGCGAAATCAAGGAGCAGGAGAGGCACTCGAGGCTCGTACGAGGTGACGCCCTGAGAGGTGAGGAGGAGCTCGATCATGCGGGCATCGCGGGGGCGGGGGGCCGTCGCGGCGTTGGGACCGAGGGGATTTGATGAGGATTGTTGCTGCTGCTGTTGCGTATTCTGCTGGTTGCTTGGTGGTTGAGACTGCGCTGGTGTGGATTGCGTTGGTTGGGACTGGGAGGGCGGCTGCGAGCCTGTGGTTGTCGTCGCTGCAGTCGCCTGGGTGTTGTTGACCGTCTGAGAGCCGGAAGCGCCTGAGGAAGAGGGCACGCCGTTCGTTTGCGGGTCGGATGCTTGTGAAGCCATTTTGTCGGCGCTTCTTGACCAGTGGAGTAAGTATGGGCGGATTTAAATTGTTGTTAAGAGATAGTGCGATGGCATCACCTTTCGCGGTCGAGGGGGAGATTGAATGCGAGGTCGACGCGAAGGGTGGGCCCTTCCTGCAAGGTGCGACGACGGAATAGCAAGACCGTTCTCACGCGTAACTTGAATTTGGTGTAAATAGTATATGGTTCGCGAAATGTATGGTAAGTTCGGCTGTTGTAATTGGTTCTTGTGTCGCGGATTAGGTCACTTGTTGGAATAGCTGCCCACAAGGCTCAGGCAGGCGCGTTAATCGTTTCCACTGAAGTTCCGCCAGGTCCATAGCTGCGAATTCTCTTCGGAAGCCTCATTAACCCGTTCCGGCCTTCTTTCGTGCGCACTGACCATAGCTTATTTCACCATGGACAGGGGGCGTTGATGGGCAAATCGGCAGGGCGTGGATTGGATGACCTCCAAAACTTGCATGGAGGGGCAACTGCCCCACCATAACGCCCGCCGATGCAGGACATGCGGAAAGTGGTGGTGTCACACTTGAGGATTTTTACTTTTAGTGGCGGGCCTTTCCTGAATTGAGTCACAGACTTATCTTATAGAGTGACATTCCGTTGCCAATTGATCCAGGCAACTCTTCAACCAACCCTTTTTCGTATCTTAGACTCCCATATCCATTGGCCTTTCCTGTATGTGAGAAACAAACCCCTCACAGGAAAACAGAAAGCCGCGCCACCATGGAAACGACACTACCCTTCCCCTTCCTTATCAGCGTGGCCGTCCCGCCCGGTCTGGCGAAGCTGGATGGCCTCGACCGTGAACAGGTCTCGGTACTTGGCGCTCCCTTCTTTGAGGCCAACGACCAGACCCTGGAAAAGTTCCATCGCTTTCTGAAGCAGCACAACGCAGAGTTCCGAGGCTACTTTGACGTCACGGGCATCACGTCGAAGGACGACGTCGTCTCCCTGCTCGATGCCGGTGCCCGCATGGTTTTCGTTGCGCCCGAGGACCTGTCTCAGTACGAGGAATTCGGATCCCGGGTGGGCTCTGTCCTCAAGACGGCCGACGTCACCACCACGGCTGCTTCCAAGCATGCCGTACTTGTCAATGACTTCGACTCAACCAAGTGCGACCTGGGCTCATTCATTGAGCGCTGCAAGGCGGAGAAGCTGCCTAACCTCTTTATCAAGCCGATCCCGGAGACTAACCTTGAGCACTTTGTCGACATTGCCAAGCAGTGCAACGCAATCCCCATCCTGCCTTCCGACGGCCTGACTGCTTCTAAGGAGGAAGCCAAGAAGCTTTCCCTTAGCAAGCTCATTTCTTCGTTCTGGAAGTCGGACCGCCCGGACGGCCTTATCCCCACTGTCGTGTGCGATGAGTCTGGCACTGCTTTGGGGTTGGCATACAGCAGCGCCGAGAGCGTTGGTGAGGCCGTCCGCACTCGCACCGGCATCTACCAGAGCCGCAAGCGCGGCCTCTGGGTTAAGGGTGCCACCTCTGGCGATACTCAGGAGCTCGTACGCATCGGTCTTGACTGTGACAACGACACGCTCAAGTTTGTCGTCAAGCAGACCGGCCGCTTCTGCCACTTGGACCAGCACGGCTGCTTCGGTGACCTGACTGGTATCCCCCGTCTCGAGCAGACCCTTCAGTCACGCAAGAAGTCCGCCCCTGCAGGCTCGTACACTGCACGTCTCTTCTCTGATGAGAAACTTCTTCGCGCCAAGATCATGGAGGAAGCCGAGGAGCTCTGCGATGCCAAGACCCAAGAAGAAATTGCCTTCGAAGCTGCTGACCTGATTTACTTTGCCCTCGCCAAGGCTGTCAGCGCCGGTGTTAGCCTGGCTGACATCGAGAGGAATCTTGACGCCAAGGCGTTCAAGGTTAAGAGGAGGACCGGTGACGCCAAGGGCAAGTGGGCGGAGAAGGAGGGCATCAAGACTACTCCTGCTCCCGCAGCGGCACCTGCACCGGCACCTGCAGCCAAGGAGGAGGAGTCTGACAGGATAACGATGCGCAGATACGACCTTGCAAAGTCTTCACCTGCTGAGATCGACGACGTCCTGAGGCGCCCTTCACAAAAGTCTCCCGACGCCATCTTGAACATCGTCAAGCCCATCATTGACGAGGTTCGGAAAGGAGGCGACAAGGCCGTCCTGTCCTACACTCACAGGTTTGAGAAGGCTACTTCTCTGACTTCCCCCGTACTCAAGGCTCCCTTCCCCAAGGAGGCTATGCAGTTGTCACCAGAGTCCATCAAAGCCATTGATATTTCGTTCGAGAACATCCGCAAGTTCCATGCTGCCCAAAAAGAAGACAAGCCCTTGAAGGTTGAAACCATGCCCGGTGTTGTCTGCAGCCGCTTTTCTCGACCTATTGAGAGAGTCGGTCTTTACGTCCCTGGTGGTACTGCTGTTCTTCCCAGCACTGCTTTGATGCTGGGTGTTCCTGCCATGGTCGCCGGCTGCCAAAAGATTGTTTTCGCATCCCCGCCACGTGCTGATGGCAGCCTTACTCCCGAGATTGTCTACGTTGCCCACAAGGTCGGCGCTGAGAGTATTGTTCTTGCTGGTGGTGCCCAGGCCGTCGCCGCCATGGCGTACGGTACTGAGAGCATCACCAAGGTCGACAAGATTCTTGGCCCCGGAAACCAGTTTGTCACCGCCGCCAAGATGTTCGTCAGTAACGACACCAACGCTGGTGTAAGCATTGACATGCCCGCCGGCCCCTCTGAGGTTCTTGTCATCGCCGACAAGGACGCCAACCCAGCTTTCGTCGCCTCCGACCTTCTCTCCCAGGCTGAACACGGTGTCGACAGTCAGGTCGTGTTGATTGCCATTGACCTGAACGAAGCGCAACTACAGGCCATCGAGGACGAACTTCACGAGCAGGCCATGGCCCTGCCGCGTGTTGATATTGTCCGAGGATCCATCGCCCACTCTGTTACCATCCAAGTCAAGACTGTTGAGGAGGCCATGCGCATCAGCAACGACTACGCGCCTGAACACTTGATTCTTCAGCTCAAGGATGCGGAGAAGGTGACTGAGCAGGTTATGAACGCCGGCAGTGTTTTTATTGGCGAGTGGACGCCTGAGAGCGTGGGTGACTACTCCGCTGGTGTGAACCACTCTCTGCGTAAGTCTCCGTCCCACATGATACAGTTAAAGGTCTATTTATTAACTAGATAATTTAGCCACTTATGGATACGCCAAGCAGTACTCTGGAGTCAACCTTGCCTCCTTCGTCAAGCACATTACCAGCTCCAACCTGACGGCTGAGGGTCTGCGCAACGTCGGTGATGCGGTCATGCAGCTCGCCAAGACCGAGGCTTTGGAGGCTCACCGCAGAGCTGTGGAGATTCGCATTGAGTACATGAACCGCAAGTAGCTATGGATCTGTTGATCAACGATTTAAAAAGGTAAAAGGTTGGGTAGGGGTCCAATATGACGTTATGTAGTTATACCAGAAAAGCTCTTGGATATAAAGAAAATATTTCATGAATTGGTCAGATGACGAAGTGATCCGTGTGCGTGGTGTGTGGCATTCCTACTGGTATTGAGTCTCTCCAAACGCAATTGTCAATTTCCGTGGTTAGGGAGATAAGCCATGCGATCTCTCAGCTCATTCGATACACCTGAGTATTTATTTTCCTGTACAAGGCCGCCGAGAAGAGAATTTCAAGCTGGTCTTGAAGGCCCGAAACTGAATGACAATGGAGTTGACATGAATGAAGGGAGAGGTGGTGTCACATGGATCGTCCCAAAGGGTATTCGAGGGAATGTTTCTTAAAATCAATCGTATTATCTATCAAGCTTTTGATCACGACATCAACTGAGCTTCAGGTGTGTCGGTCAACACACGTCTTAACTTAGTTGTTTGATAATTGTTGCGTCCAGATACACCTGCTGAGTAGGTCATCGGGAACAAAGTGGAATTAGGCCGTCAAGGTGCTAAGCTGGCGAATGTCACAGACATATGAACAAGGGAAGTCTTTATGATACACTAGCCTGTAACGGTATCTCATACACTCTATACCCTAATCTCCTCAAAATCACAACCCCTCTCCCCAATTTAGTACTTGGGCTTCATAGTGGCCCTGAGTCTGGAGTAGTCGAAGAGACCCTCAATCTGTCCGACGGCGCTGATGGCAATGTCCTGGTCCCAAAGCTTCCTGCTGGCGAAGTCCATAACATCCTTCTCGGTGATGGCATCGATGGTGCGCTCGATCTCGGCGGGGCTGGCGCGGCGGCCGGTGGTGACCAGCTGGCGGCCAATGTCCTCAGCGATGGCAGTGGTGCCGTCAAGGGAGAGGAGGATGGAAGCCTTAAGCTGGGCCTTGGCGCGCTCGGTCTCAGCCTCGCTGACGTTGCGGCTCAGACGCATCCACTCGCGCTGGGCGAAGTAGACAAGGTCGTCAATACGGTCGGCCTTGTCGGTGACAAGGTAGATACCCCAGAGACTGCGAGAGGTCAGTACGCATTTAATACAGGAGTTACTGATGGCAACTTACCCGGTGTCGCTGTAGCTGGTGGAGAAGCTCATGAAGCTGTTGGCAAGGTCGTGCTTGTGGACGAAGCCGCTGAGCTTGCTGCCCTGGTGGGGAGCGTTGCCAATGGCCTTGTCGTAGTTGCCGACGATGGCCTGGGCAACAAGGGCGGTGTAGTAGTCCTCGCTGTTCCAGCTAACACCCTCAACGGCGATGGCGATGTTGGCGGTGGGCATGTTGTCGTCGCGAACACGAACATCGGAGCCGATGAAGTCGGCCTTCTGCTTAGAAAGCAGGTAGGCCTGGGTCTGGGGGCCGGTGGAGGGAAGACCGTTGAAGTTCTTCTCGGCGAGCTCAACGAGCTTCTCGTGGGGGATGCCGCCAGCGCCGACAAGGACCATGCGGTCAGCGGTGTAGTTGCTCTTGATGTAGTTGACGAGCTCGGTGCGGGTGATGTCGCGGATGTTCTCACGGGGGCCGAGGATGGTACGGCCAAGGGGCTGGTGCTGGAAGGCAGTGGCGTGAAGGTGGTCGAAGACGACCTCCTCCATCTGCTTCTCGACCTCCTCGGACTCGCGAAGGATGACGTCGCGCTCGCGCTCAATGGCAGACTCCTCGAGCTTGGAGTTCTGGAGAATATCGGCGAGGATGTCAACGCACTGGGGAACGTCGGAGTTGAAGGCCTTGGCAAAGTAGACGGTGTTCTCGCGCTGTGCCAATGTCAATAAGGATTTTTTGATGGATTCGGTCGGGAGGAACGAACCGAGGTGTAGGCGTTCAGGTGGCCACCCATGTTCTCGATCTCGAGCTCGAGCTGCTGCTGCGTCCGGTTCGCGGTGCCCTAAAATTCTGTTCAGCGAGGGTTGGTCATCGCATTGGCGGCGCGTCGATTGCCTACCTTGAAGGCAAGGTGCTCGAGGAAGTGGGCGGTGCCATTGGTCTCGTCGGTCTCAGCCCTTGAGCCGGCGTCAATCCAAACACCGACGGTCGAGGTCTGGGCGAAGGGGGAGTAATCGGTAGCGACCTAGTAGCAGACGTCAGAATCGATTGACAAGAGGCGCATCGAAGTCAATTGAGCGGCAGGGAGGATGGCGGATGTGATGGAGAGCGTACCGTCAGTCCATTCTTCAACGTCGTCGTCTGAGTCTTGCCGAAGGGGGTGCTGGCAGGCGTGGCGAAGCCCCGGGTGATAGGGCTCGCTCTGGAAAGAGCTGCCCGGCTTCGCAGCCCCTGCGAGAGGTTCAAAGCTAGTCTCCGGGACGCCATGGCGGAGTTGTGGAGGATAGGGAGTAGTATGAGGTGTTTGTGAAATCTTTCGATGAGGTTTCGGCTCAGAATTCAGAAAGCTTTCTGGAGCCGTGGGTGCCTTGGATGCGAGGCGCCCATAAATTTGGCCCCGAATTGTTCCGGCCGTGGCCAATCAGAGCATGTTTAATTCCAACTATGAGATGGGGCGGTACGTACCCGTGTCGCTGCATCTGGCATCATCCGAGATCCGTTCACGAGCAACTCATTCAATCAATTATTTCATCACTCATCCATGTTCTATGCAACTGCAATTCTTCGCCATGGCCGCGAATCGGGCATGTCGGCTTTCCTTCTGGTTATTTTCACTTCTTGTATAGGTTATTCAACCCTTCCGTACTTTTTGATCGCCCCTGGATGAGACTTTGCCTCCGTTGCCCGGCATCATCTGTCTGGTATTTTTCACCGGCTGCAGATGCCAATTGGCCAATTAAGCGGATCCTGCCCGTGCCCAGGCGACCGCCGCTGTTGCGTCAGTAGAGGAAGTTCCATTCGTGCAGCTGAGACTCAATTCGGCTGTTAGTGCAGCAGGTCAGAAGACTGCTTTTTGACTTCGTCTGTGGATGTTTCCCATCCTTCTGCATCGGTGCCAAACTGTGTCACAGCTCCTCAACTTGAGCAGTTGGCCCGAATCCCCTCACTTATCTGGCCATCGATTGAAAGCATCCCGTATTTCCCACTCCTAACTCCTCGTGACTTTGTTATTGACTTGCATGACATCAAGATGCCATCAGACAATTATAACTTTGCCGACGTCTTCCAAGCTGTCTTCATCTCAAAGCAGAAGCCGGCTCCTAAACCCATCGCCGACATGATGAAGGCTATAATTCAGAGTTACCCTCCCTTGGGCCAGTTTACACAGACCCCGAATGGACAACTTTCCGTGACGGCTGTTCTCGAGGTACCCGCTTCCCGTGCCGACGAGCCCTGGCAAGTTGCATTATGGCAATCAAGCGATGGCAGCGAATGGGCTGAAATCGCCCTATCCCGCCTTTCGGATGGTGATGGTCCGACAACTCTGCAGACGGTGCCAGACCACGTCCGACGATTCTTCTTTTCTGCTTCCGTCGCCTTCAATAAGACGTTTCAGTTTACTCTGAAATTCCGACATGCGGAGAGCGACCCATGGCGGTGGACTCGTGATGAGCTCGGAATTGGTGACGGTACTGTCGTTGTGAGCATGAAGCCAGTTCTCCAGAGTGTCTCGGAGCGCCTGGAAGACATTGTAGCGGGTCTCAACCCTGCTTGGAACGTGAAGGCGTTGATGAGCCAATGTCCCGGCACTCGATTGTGGTCTTTGGAAACTGGAGTGAGCGGTGTTGATGGCGATGAGTCCAAAATTGCTGATATTTCGTTGGGCGTGCCTTGGGGAGGCTTCCAGAGGTAAGCCTACGGTTGCCATCCGCTCATCGCCCAAAGAGCCACACATGATATAATTTTCCATGGTCAATATATGTCCAAATTTGAGCACTAACGAAAGCAGGTGGTTCGCTCTTGTTCGCATATGGACCCCCTGGTTGGCCCCACGGCATGGGCAAGCAACATTTCATCTTGATAAAGATGCTGTGCTTTGCTCCTTCTTAAGCCCCGAGGGCAAGCATCTTGTTCTCCTTGCTGTAAGCGGGGTGAACAATGTTCTTTCCGTTTTCCGTCACAACGACTCCGGACAGGTCTCCGTTCATGTTCGTCCGCAACTGTCCAGCAAACCAGCAAGGGTTTTCACTAACATTCCCTAGGCGCGCAACGACGGCACTGCGTCGGAGAACGCAAGAGTTCTTGCAGCTATTGGTGACAATTTCGAGAGTGCAAACGCTGCTGTGATGTATCAAGCTAGAAACTATGTCATTACAGAGAAGAAGGCAAGCAACGAACTGCAAGTCGAGATGAAGGCTATTGAAGAAGGAGTCAAACCAGAGTGGATGGAGAACTGGTACGACGGGCTTGGTTTCTGTGAGTGGTTTCCATTCTTATGAAGGTAAGGCGATCGCTGACAGAATGGATTAGGCACTTGGAATGCTCTTGGACAGCGCCTTACTGACGAAAAGATTTTTGATGCTGTGGACAAGCTGGCGGAGAGCAACATCAAAGTTACCAGTCTCATCATCGATGACAACTGGCAGACCATTGACTATAAAGGGCATGGCCAGTTCCAGCACGGATGGTGTGAGTTTGAAGCGGAGCCTAAAGCTTTCCCCAAGGGCCTAAAGGCGACCGTTGCACACATTCGGGAGAAGCACCCACATATTCAACACATTGCAGTGTGGCATGCTCTGTTAGGTGAGTAATATATAAGATGCATGCTAGCATACAAGTTAGGAAACTAACAGGCTAGGCTACTGGGCGGGTATCTCACCCGATGGTAAGATTGCCAAGGAGTACAAGACAATTGAAGTCATACGAGAAGATGCCGAACGACGAAATCTACCCCTGGGTGGTAAAATGACTGTAGTAGCTAAGGAGGATGTCGATAAGTTTTACAACGACTTTTACAAGTTCCTTGTCGACTGCGGCATCGACGGTGTCAAAACCGATGCCCAGTTCATGATGGACACGTGGGTCTCGGCCCGCGCGCGTCGTGAGCTCATCGACGCCTACCTCGACGCCTGGACGATATCTTCCCTCCGCAACTTCAGCATCAAGGCAATCTCGTGCATGTCTCAAACTCCACAGATCCTCTTCTACAACCAGCTTCCCCGCAACAAGCCCGCGATTCTTTGCCGCAACTCGGATGACTTCTTCCCCGAAATTCCTGCCTCACATCCATGGCACGTCTGGACTAACGCCCACAACAGCTTGCTTACGCAACACCTCAACATTTTGCCCGACTGGGACATGTTCCAAACTGTACACGACTACTCTGGTTTCCACGCTGCGGCGCGTTGTGTCAGTGGTGGGCCGATCTACATCACAGATGTCCCCGGGCAGCACAACCTAGATCTTATCAAGCAGATGACGGGTTTAACCATTCGTGGGAAGACGGTTATTTTCCGCCCCAGCGTTCTGGGGAAGACCATCGAAGCATACACGGGGTACGATGACGACAGTTTGTTGAAAATTGGCTGCTACCATGGCGCTGCCGTTACCGGCACCCCGATCCTCGGCGTATTCAACATCTCGGCCAGGCCTCTGACGGAGATCGTCCCCGTCACCTCCTTTTCCGGTGTCTTGCGCTCAATGCGCTACGTCGTTCGTGCTCATACATCCGGCAAGATTAGCTTGCCGGTTTCTCCGGGCTCGCCTGCTGCTTCGTTATCGGTTGCCTTGGACGTACGGGGATATGAGATCTTCACAGCGTACCCGCTATCTAGCTTCGACAGTGACACCAAAGGCAAGGTTTGGACTGCCAATCTGGGATTGATAGGAAAGATGACTGGCGCGGCGGCCATCGTTAACAGTGATTTCTTACTGCGACATGACGGCAAGATCGAGCTCAAGACTCGTCTTAAAGCATTGGGCGTCCTTGGTAAGTTCCTTTAGGCCTGAAATGAACTGGCTGCATACCTAACATGGACAGGACTGTACATTTCCAAATTGCCCGAACTGACGATCGATGACGACTTCCTCGTCACCATCCAAAACCAAGTGATTCCGGTACATACGGTATCGATCAGCAAGAGCAATGACACGGTGCTGGAGATCGATATCGAAAAGGCTTGGCAGGAGTTGGGGCTGCATCCTGGCTGGAGCAACGAGGTTGAGATAACCGTAACTTTTGCAATCGACCACGAGCAGGGTGAGGACTGATAGGTAGCGTAGTCTACACTTGAAGAAACGGAGATGGCATGTTAGCTTTTGCAGCCGTGGCAAGTCGAAATATGTGAAATACAATTTTCATTGATGATGCTAAATTCACATAATTTGTGCTACTAATCTCATTAGACCTTGAGCGCCCCTCACTGCTTCTCATGCGGCTTCAAATGCAACCTCTTCGCCTCCAAGGAGATCAACTCTGGCACATCGTCCTTCAAGCTCTTACCCTTGGCCTCCCAGCCAAAGTATTTGCGCGCTCGCTCCGCCTTGCTCTTCGAATTCAGACCCCAGCTGTTGTTCGACACGCCCTCGGACTGGAGCGCCTCCTTCATCGTGATATCCTTGGTCAGCGGCGCGGGAAGGTATCCCTGCTTGTGCGCTTCCTCTGCAATCCACTTGGCGACTTCACTCCAGACGTGTGTACCGCTCTCGACAAAGTAGTACGCCTTGGGACCAAAAACTTCGGGGTCAGAGTTCTTCGAGCCATCCTGCGTCGCCTCAACGAGAAGCGTAAAGAATGTCGACAGGTCGTGGACGTGGACATTGTCCCATTCCGTCTTTCCAGGCGCGATGATGGGAGCGAAACCCTTCTCCAGGGTGGCTTGAGCGAGAGCGGGGACCTGGATGGAGCGGCGGTTGAGGGGCCCCCGGCCCTGGCCGTATATCGTAGGAGGCGAGACAATGGCGGTGCGGACAGCCGGTGAGTTTGCAGCGAGGACGATCTTATCGACGTTGCGGTGGAGGGCCTCGTCGGGAAGGTTGAGAAGACGGTCGATGTCGCGGATATCGTGGTAGTCTTGGTCTGGGACCGGAGCTTCGCCGTAGCGTTCATGCTTCTGATCATACTGTTCCCAAGTGTTAGATTCACTTCAAGTGACCCGATGACGGACCGCCGAGAAATGCAGGCGAGGAAAGTCTCTCACCCATTGCAAAATACCAGTGCCCGAGACGTGGATCCAGAAACCTGGCTTTTCAGGTGAATGGCCCTTGGCGAGACCCTTGGCGATGGCTTTAGCTGAAGGCACGTCGTCTGAGGATTCGGCGGTGTCTAAACGGTTGACTTTAGTATATGATACACAGTGTTGATGAAGTATTCGGGGAATGCAACATACGGACAACGATATCGGCGGCAGCCGCCTCCTTTTCGATGATGTCTGAATCGCTAAGGCTACCGACTACGATGCGGATGTTGGCGTGAGGAAATGCCTTCTTCACGGGAGCAGCGCGCTCCTCACTACGAACGAGGAGGGCATAGTCATAGTCAGGGTGCTTCTCATACAGAGCATAGAAGGCGTCTCCGCCAATGTAGCCTGGAGTACATGTAAGCTGAGGATGATGTAGTCGAAGGATAGCAATGGGCGATTAGTAGGTACCTGTCACGCCAGTCCTGTGAGATGAGTTAGTGACAACATATTGACATATGTGGGGGTGGGAACAGCAACTTACAAAAAGACCTTGGGAGCCATGTTGGTATCTTCGGAAGAAATAAGTATTACGTTTATGTTTGCTTGATGAAAATAGAGGACGGGTGTGCGTTTCGTTTGAGATGTCAGATGTAAAAGATCGTTTCTCGTTCTTATATAAATGCTTATATATATGGTCATCAACCCCGCCCGAGTAGCTTACCGTCCTGAGCAATGCAAATGTCTGAGACCTCACCGAAGCTTAATAATTCGAACTGCAGCCCCCCAATTTTCCTTGTCCCAGTAGCTGTGCGTATCTGGCAAGGTCCCCAGCGTTCGTAAGCTAGCTTCTCCTCGAAAGTCCCGTCACTCGCCATCGATTTCGAGGGTGGTAAGTTGCAGGTGGGGTTCGGCCATGATAATCGATGGGCAGGCCCGTTGGGTGACATCATGGACCATCACGTCTTTCGTGTGCCCCTCGCACATTCGTTGCGTTTAGGATGTACTTTCTTGTAGCCCGTCTTGCCATATCACCTGCACTGTTTCCCGCGAAGACCGGCTATAACGGAGATATGTTTTTAGCTGCATCTGTCAACTTAGTTTTCTAGATTATTCTAGTTAAGGTTGCCAACGGCGACACGATCATCGAAAAATACGTATACAAACTAAAGTCGGGCTACAAATCAGATTCGTCCTTGGTTTTGTTTGTAGCGATATAACAGTGAAGTAGGTAATGGCCGGGTAAGTGTATAACCGACAAGCACGTAGACAACTGATTCTTGACCGCATCGGTTAGCTTTCCCGGAATCCGGATTCCAGGAAAATCTACCTCGCCAGATCGCATACAATCAGATTCTTGAAGTTTGCGGAGCTCATCAGCCAGTGGACTGGAAGGTTACCTGCCATATGCCTTACGGTGTCTATACATAGCACAATGACTAAGCTTGCACATGACGTCTTATAAATGTATTGGCGCTGTCCATGTATATATATCGTGCCAATATTCCCACCGCCTGTCAAGTGTCAAATGAGGTCTCGTTGGTGAGTTGAGCATTGTTGGACCTCCATACTCGGTCAAACCCGCTTTGCAATTCTGCGGAGCGCGCTGTTGCATAGTTGATTGGTTCGCGCTTATTGCGGTCATCTTGTAATTCCCGTCATTTTCTCTGTCCCCCGATTGAAGCTTGGGATCTTTTAGCACCATAGTTGCAGACTGCTGGGCTGTAATAATGATAACCACCAAGACCACACCATAACAATTAGTGGAAACCGTCGCGACCACGTTCCAAAAAGTAGAGTACGCCTGTTCGCAGCCGCAAGGGGGGTTGTCAGCCCACCGATATGCCCGATGGCGGCAGCTGTTCGGGTTCAACAGCCACTGGCTGGCCCACGTTTTCAGGCCCCGTTAAACCGACCAAATTGCTGCCTACTATTACGACACTTGTAGACAATGTTTTACTGACACGCTCTCGCCGCAAATTCTTAGCGCCTCCCAGTTCATCAAGTTCCAGAATGGTCTAGAAGGGCGTACCTTGCCCAGTCGCCCAAATGTGAACACAGCAAAACTGACAAAAAGTTGTAGATGAACTCGGGGATTGGCGAGCTCTGATTTGTGGTTTCAAAGAAGTATCGCCATGTGTTCACCTAGCCAGGGATGGGGCGTAGCTGGTGATTACTTTTGAGATAGCCATAAACCTGCTTACATGTGTCAGATTGGATGGAACGACGTACCGAAATCTCAGAAAGAGCTCGTCCAGTACAGTGGTGTGCGCTGAATAACGAGACCTCTTCATCCTGAAGTCTACAACACTATCTAATACAATCATCATGTCCCTGTCGATGGCTGCTATTGGCTCAAAACCAACACAAGGATATATCGTGGTCGGAGAGCAGTTCAGCAGCTTGTCAGGGAGACCCCACAAACTTGAAGTGCGGCTCTAGAAGAAGCATGTCAAACAATCGCAACGCCAAGCACACAATCGTCTTTTAGAGGTTGACAGCCTGGGACACTCAGAACGGCGCAACAGCCAAAACTGAAGATCCACGCATAGGTATGTCTTAGACATACATCTCTCTGACACCCCCAGCACGATAGTCGTCACCGAATGGTAACGCAGCTATGAGTCTCTTATCATTCATACTGAGATTGGTATTCTCCAATAAAAAAATAATCGCGTTTGAGTAGCTAGGAACCCAGATTACGCATACCGGCTCGTCAAGCGAGCCGATTTCTCTCATCTCATAACGTCTATGAATGTCGTCTCTTCAATCAAAATGCCCTCCGACGTACTTTTTTTTATGTTCCAAAACGCCAGCGCGAGGTCTCTCGTCGCACTTCTGTGCTCCTTGCAGAAAGGAGCTAAGAAGAAGTCAAGTCTCATGCAGAGGGTCACTCGGCAAGTCGAGGCCTTGTTCGGTGCCGACGCCGAGTGTTGTTCCAAAGCTAAGTTTTATGTACTCGAATCGTTGTTCATGTCGTGCCAGAGTTGAGTTGTGAGACGCCGACCCCCAAGGACCTTGGTAATATAGCGATATAGGGGCCGTATATCAAGGCTGTTGTGGGGGTCGAAGACTGAACAGGGTGTTCAGCTATGCGTCCTCAAGGAGAATGACGGTCTTGGTGTCGCCGAGCTTCTCACGTCCGTCAAGGCCGGGGATTTCCAGGATGAAAAGGTAGCCGATGATCTCGCCGCCGAGCTGCTTGACGAGATCGGCCGCAGCCTTTGCGGAGCCGCCTGGGTAAATGTTAGTGGGGCAGTTCGTCGGTGAGGGGCATAATCAAGGAGGGGCAATCTGCTGCTCAGAACTTACCAGTAGCGATGATGTCGTCAACGATCAACACCTTCTGGCCGGGCTTAATAGCATCCTGCTGCATCTGGAAGAAATCGGCGCCGTATTCCTTCTTGTACTCGGCGGTGACGCAGGGGCCGGGCAGCTTGCCCCTCTTGCGCACCGGGGCGAAACCGGTACCAAGACGGAGGGCCAGGCCGGGTCCGAAGAGGAATCCACGGGCATCGAGACCGACGACGACGTCAGGCAATTGCTGGCCGAAGGCCTCCTTGACCTGCAATTCAAGAACGGAGCCGAGAGTCTCGTGGACAGTGGGATCGAGGAAGAGGGGCATGATGTCGACGAAGTCGATACCCTTGATGGGGAAGTCGGCGAAGTGACGGAGGGCGCCCTGGAGCTTTACCTTCCCACTGGCGAGTTCGGGGGAGGCGGCGGCGGCGGCGGTGGGCTGTTGTCCCTGGGCATCTTGAGAGTTGATGGTATCCGTAGGGTTAGAAACAAGCAGGTCGGCGGTGCCTCGGACGGGATGAGCGGCCAAAGGGTTGATGGGTGCCGGCGAGGCGTCGTTAGACAGAGGAATCTGTTCAGAGGACATAGTGAAGAGAGAGAAGAGAGGAGAGGAGGAGGATTAAGAATGACTCTGGGAGGGCTGGTAGCGATATGTGTATGTACAGTATCTAGGTTGGCAGAAGAAAATTTTGGGGTCGGATCCCGGAGTGAGTGAGTGAAAGGAGGGGTGTGGGACGCGACAACTGGAAAGTAGTAGCTACGGCTAAGGTTGGTAACCTTGGTGCGGATGGGCCAAGTGCTAAGGGTAAGGTCAAGGTACGTGAAGTTTGTATTGTGCGTGCTACGACTACGGAGTTACTAGGTACCGACGCCTTGCCTCACCGTTCCGTGGGACAGGCCTGACCGAACCAGGCGAGGGAGGTGTGTGTGCGGATATGACTGAGGTGTGTGAGAAAAGACCTGTGGGAGGCTAGTCCAGCTCGGCTCGCCGGGGGGAGGGTGAGACAAGGCAAGGAAAAGAAGAAGAAAAGCACGAAAGCAGGCTGGCATATGGCGCGCAGAAGGGGGTGGCTGTCCAGGATCATAATGGGAAGGGAGCAGGAAAAAAAAAAAAGTGGTGAGAGTGAACGCGCGCCATCGATTAGAGAGTGGAGAGTTGTGATACGGGTAGGGTGTCACTACGTGTGGTGCAAAGTGGGCAGGTCGATGTGTGTGGTCCACGAGATTAACAGCGATGAATGGACCAAGGCCTGCTTTGCCGCTGATGAGAGATAGGAAAAGGCTCATCTCATCAACAGGGACCTCGCGGTGATTAAGCCTAGATAAGCCTGGTCTAGCTGTTCAGCGTCAACTTATTCCCAAATGTTGCTTTTTCCCCCCTCCTCCTCCCTTTTGTGCCCCTCTTGCTGCGTTGTCGCCCCTACCCTGAGCAATAATGGTATAGCCATCGGACGCTTTAGGGTGGGAAAAAAAAAAAAACAATGTGCCCATCAAGTTACGCTAAGAAACAACGGCAGAACGACATCAAACTTCTGTTCTGGCATTTCTCATCCTTGTCGTCTCAAAAATCACGTCGCGCGATATGCTATCTGTAATAGCAAATGGTAAACCGGCTACGGCGCAGGTGGGATGGCATGTCTTGTATCCCTCCCAGCCTGCCCCTCCAACGCAACATCGACCCCTCCATGGATGAACGGGCCAGGGAGCAAAGAGGCACTACCCCACTATGCCACCATCTCCGAGAGAAAAATAGACAGACAAGGGTGCCAGTTGCTGTGTTTCTGTCTCACTCACATTAGGCAGCCCCGCGCGATCAAGCCACTAAATGCTGCATGGCTCACCCAGAGAATTTATCACTAACATCGGGAGCTTTCGTAACTCTTGACTGCCCTCGCCAGCCATCCCCCGTCGTTGTCCATGCACCTGCTCCCTAATGTAGCTGATGTAGGGGGCTGATAGAATACGGGGTACATGTAAACGTGCGGTAGGTAAGGCAGGGAATCAAAGACCTCTGACGGTGACTTCGTCAAGCGCTGCTGGCAAAGTAACTCTAGGCTGCAGGTCAAACCATAGCCCTTCATGGCTAACGTGGTAGCCCTCGAGGTATTATGTTGAGTCCCGGACCGCCGTAGCTGGATTCGAGCCGGGGACCTTGCCGTTTTCCAGTCCAGAACTGATGAATGGGAATGCAGCGATGGCTGATGCAGTGCAGCATCCTGCATGCGTATGTAAGTGGTACAGTGATGCCACGCCATTTCACCACCCCATCCCCCGTGCGGATGAGCTAGGTAACGCATGCTGCTTGAATAAGGTTGTTGATGTGCTCAATTGAATGGCCAGCTCGCCACCAGTCTACGGTGGTTAGTTACATGATGGGAAGATATCGATACCAATGTTGACGCTGGTCGTGTCATTGCCATGTTACATTCAACGTGAGGTGGGAAGGGGATATAGGTGTCAACACTAGCGCCCTGAGGGGTTTGACGGCGGAACGGCACACAAAAGCATTCGGCTTGTTTCAAACATCTGAAGTTGCCGTGGTCCGTGGTGAGTCGTTCAAGGTTGTGAATGAGGTACAGGTGTGATAGGGGGAGGGAGGTTAACGACGATAAAGAAAAGTCCAGGAGGGTGTACGGCGGGCGGGTTTGCGGTGGAGAAGAGTGAAACAAATGGGACGGGAAGGCCAGGGCAGCAAAAGATACATCGAAGCCACTGGTTGGGTGCTCAATGCAGGGCACTGGCAGTGGGGAGAGAGTGAGAGTGAGAGTGAAGGAGACAGTGAGAGAGAGAGAGAGAGAGTAGGAAGGCATGACTTCTGAGGTCTTGCATATCGCCAGGAAGGAAATCAACTCATCCCAACTGCGTTCCCGCCTCGTAAGAAATAAAGGTTGCCCACAAAATGAAGCTGAGCCCTCAGCTCGGAGCAATGTCGACTGCCTAAAGTGGTCAACATTGGCTGCCCTTCCTGTTGCCCCAATTCTCATTTAAGCCAAACGGGAAGCTCGACGGAAACAAAATGTGCCATCCAACACAGCTTTGACAGACATATACATATACATACGTACTGGTGAGTGCCATCACCCCTCCATCCCTCCACAGCTCACTAGAACGCCACCTCCTCCTGTTTTGCTTCTAGATGCATTCAGCCCATGCAGCTCTCCCTGTACTTTTGGGGGCCCTTTACGGGGATAGCGAAGGCAGGCGCCTATGTCTTGGCTTTGATCCCTGGACCTCTCTGGGCCTTATGCCCCCTAACCCTTTGGTCGCCCCATCTGAGTACTGGGAACCTCTCTGAGATATTGTTCTCACTCATTTAACCTGCGTTATCCATGACTTGATTGATGCTATAGCACGGTCGCCTTGTCGGAGCAATATGTCCACATACAGGAGAGCTCAAACTTGGGCTAAACCGGAACCCAGGAATCCACCTTAGCAGCACAATAGTACCCCCGAAGGCACTCACACAAACGTGCCTCAGCTAGGTACCTCCCTCGCCTTGCCTTAACATGCCAACTCAGGACTCAATTGCTTCGTCCAGGACCAGGCACCTTGCCCACAGGGCTGCTTACAGCTCACACCTTGGTCCACCCATCCGATGCCTTTCCACCTGTGCCAGAAGAAACGATAGGGGTCTTCTCGTGCAGTGAGCGACATCCCATCAATTATCAAATCACACCCCACTCATCCCGTCTATCGCCTCGTCCTCCATGCCCATGTTCCCTGGACCGTCAGAGTCTAGAGCAACAGGCGAACCACCATCGCATCATCCTGCCATCACTTCGCATTGAGTCACGACAAGGGCGGCCGCCGAATCAGAACCCAAACCTCCGTTATGAACGGTCTCACGGCCCCCTTGCCTCAAAGAAGACGGCCTTTGGCGGGATTTCCTCTTCCACTCAACCGTGGTTCCGCAGAGTACTTGTTGTACGACGATATCAACTCTCACGCACCGGTCGATTCGACCTGTCCCACCACCACACCACGTCCAAATCGTCGAACTGGCCAATCTCGTTCTAAACTCACTGAAACTAATACTTCCGTCAGAGTACCTAAGGTTTAGCAATTACGGTACTCTTCAGACTGATAATGGGTATTTTCTCGGCTGCTCCATAATTCAAGTTCCATCCACATAGTCTCGCCCATTTTATCCGATGTCCCCAACCACCATTCTGGGACTGGGACTGGGACTAGAGCTGGAACTGCCTTACCTTACGGATACGGTATCTATTTCTAGCTTGCCACCTATGGATCCGGGCCTTACCGGGAACATAGGGCTTTCACGGCCACGTTCTGTCACTTGTCCCAGACGCTCACCCGCTTGCTGGATCAGCTTAGGAAAGCTTGTGAACAGGTGTGTCTGGTCGATCTGGTCTGGATCGCAACAGAGGCCCCATCACGCCTAGGGAGCGAGCTGAAATGTCTGTAACGAATCTCGTCTGCGTCAGAAGCATCACCATCTCCGTCGCGCCACTAAGTTTGACAAATGTTTTGCACCTATTCAACATTGATAAGGGCGCCATGCGGTGAAATAACAAGCAAGCAAGGTCTTTCGTCGATGATGCTTCCGCCTATGCACACCTGCGTCCCCGGCCGCCCTCTTGGCCTTCGGAAGCCATTCCGCCAGATTCACCTCCAACTCTCCTGGCCCTTGATTCCTACGCTGAGTGGCTGATGCCACCTTCTCTTTGTCATTGAATTCACCGCTGGGCCCGAATAAGTTATGGACGAGACGCGGCTTCCCCACCGGCCCGTCGCAGTCGATGTACAAGTCACCATTTGTCCATGTATCCTCGAGCGGCTTGGACGGAGTCTGCCACCGCCGTAACCCTGCTGTCTTTTGACATGCAACTTTCTCTTTTGGGGTTCGAAAACTTACTTCCTGGTACCAAAATTTCACATCTATACCGTTCATACATTTGCCTTTCTCAACGAAACATAGGCCCATGCCCAGACAACAGGCTCTTATCAGACACTACCTGGTCACAATGTGTGATTTTGGTCGAGCTCAAACCTTCGAAAGGCGCTTATTTCTCACTCAATGATTGAACACCGGGCAGTCTTACAACCGGTGATTGAACATGCTCATTTGCCCGGGACCAGCGGCGGCATCAAGATCTGTTGCATTAGCGGTACTTCAAGGTTCTGCTACAAGGGGGAGCAGCCCCGTTGTTTGCGCCTGCACAGGAGCAACAAGTTGCTTGGCCGGGGTCTTAATTACGACTTTGATTAATATTTTCCGCAAGATGTGCAAGTCAGAGGGAGACGCCGTTCCTCCGACGCCGCTAGCAAGCAAGTTGCTGCAATGAGTCAGTTTCGATGACCGACATTCGCCGTGAGGGCAACTCGCGCCTTCACCGCCTTTATCCCATCCTTGGCGCCATTGGCTCCGCGACTAGAAAATGTCTAATTGTCGATGTGCGAATGTGGATAACTATATGCTGATGCTCCTTGGATTCGAAACGACGCCGCTGCTAGACAGCCGGCTCGACGCACTATTCATGTACTCAAGCCAACTGGCAATGCCTAGCTCGCTCGATACCATCCGTAATACCTGATCATGGCAGCCTTGTTTGTTATGTACTACAATCTGTGCAGACGCTTCTGTTTGCTTGCCTATCAAAAACTCGTCACCGTAGACGCATGCCGTGTGGTAGTTTAGACTACCGGTCAGCCAGACGAGAGAGGCAAGCCACTCGAAGGCTTGGTTTGGGATCTGCAAACATGACAACACCGTCCGAGCGAATCGGCCGTGCTCTTATTGGCAATCCGAGCCGCACATAGCTTGACCGAACTATTGCTGGGCAGCAGCTTCGTTGTGTGCCGGAGGGTGTCGTCGCTCGTGGTGGGGGTGGGTTGGACGACATCATGCAGGTGGCCGAATCAGCAGACGGGGCCCAAAATCCGGACGGCCGAACGTGTTCGTCGTTTCGTGTGTGTGTGCGCGCGGCCATATAGGTACCATGCAGTACTAGTAATGAATGAGTGTTCCCTATCATGCTGGCTGCAGATGATGTGCATTTGCCAAGGTGCTTTCACTTTTCAGAGGGCGCGTCATTATCTCACTGATGGACTTCGTATAATTCCCGTTCAGAATTCTCATTAGTCTTATTAGTCATCCGTTCGTCTTTCTTTTCTAACGAAGCAAAACGCCGCGGTCATGCTCAGGGAGGGGCCAGTGGTATCTGAGATCTAAAAGAAAAGGGGGAAAAAAAAAAGGAGAAACAACAATCCCCGAAAGTCAGGGTATGAGAAAAACAAAAAAAAAGGGGTGGGTATCTTTCGTTTTTGTCTTCCGCGATAGTTGCAATGAGAGCAAGCACGGAAGGTAAACCAAACATATAGAGATAGTCGTGAAAGAAAACGTAATCTAACCAAAGAGCTCGTGATACTCGTATCAATAAGGATTAAAAGTATCCTGAACGCCGTGTCGCGTACACCATCCAGAAGAAACGTTCCGCGAAGCCTGCAGCCAACACCATTGCCGGACAAACTCCATGAGGGGGGGAACAAGGTCATGATACCAGGGATGAGAGAGAGAGAGAGAGAGAGAGAAAGCAATGTCGTTGAAGACAGTGCTGAGAGGGAAACAACTAAGCCGGGAAACGTGTGTGAGAAATTCATCGATGAGGGGTGTGCATCAGTGAAACTGTAGGCGAATGATGGAGAAGAACATGTTCTGGAGCACGTGGAACATGACGGCGACGCAGGTGGGCAGCAGCTCCGGCCAGACGGCGAGGTCGAGCTTACCCTCCATGCCAACGTCGACGCCGTAAATGTAGCGGATGAGCACGCGTACGCAGACAGACGCTACAAGTTCGCAGGCCCAAGTGACGGAGGACGCCCAGAAAGTAAAGTTGAAGTCGTAGCCGTCCGTACCCTTTTCCTTCATGTCGAAAGCAAAGTAGGGGTAGACGTCCTTGTTGGCACCGAAATGCAAGACGAGGACGCTGCCGAGGAAGGCGGCCATTGAGGCGTTCTCGGCCAGGAAGCGGATGAAGACGTTGCGGGTGCAAACCTTCTGGTACGAGGCATAGGACTGGTCTGTCAAATTGAGGGCGACAGTGACGCGATGGTAGAGGCGCGACATGGTCAGGGGCGTGAGGATAATGAGGGTGCTGCTGGAGAGGATTTGAAGGTAGACGAACTGCTCTGGGGAGCGAAGGCGGGCGTATAGAGCGCGGACGTAGGTTTGATAGGTGAGCATGAAGTACCTTTGTTGTTGTGAGTTTGCTACGCCGTGACGAGGGAAGATGGAGACTGCTTACAGTTTGAAAACCCAGCTTAGGGGGTAGCTTCCAACACGTTCGCCTTCGCGAATACCTAGCAGCCAGCCGGTCAGGGCGTCCAGGAGGTGGACTGTGATGATCCAGCTGTAGACGTAGACAATGGTTTCCAGGTTGTTGTGAGGTAACGTCCGCAGGTAAATCTCAGCGTATGCCTCTCCTATCACGTACGCCATGAGCCCGACAAAGAGAGCGAGACAGAACCAGATGAATCGCACAAAACTGGCGGGCAGCCACCTACGGCGCAGGCTCACGCTGGCAAGGGGTCTAGACTGCTCCGACGCGATCTGCAGAGAGGCATCCGGGTTGAAAGAGTCACCACTGAGATTCGGACGGCGGCGGTTATCTCGTCGGGGAATGCTCCCCTCAGCCTCGCCAGTCCACCAGGACGATGTGAAGATACGCTGGGTTTCGGATAGTGACTGCCGCAGCTTGAGGTGACGCTGCGAGGTCAGGAGGATGCAGAACGCGATGGCAACCGGCATGGCCATGACGATGAAAGTCCAGGAAATCCAAGCCGTGTTGTGCTGGGTAAGGAAGCGCGTTTCTGGAGTGAGATACAGCGGGATTGGGACTGCTATCGACACGATGGCGATGAGAGACATCGTGACGGGGAAACCTAGAGACTGCGGCCACCTGCAGGCGTGTAAGTCCTGTGGCCTTTTTGGGCCAGGTTGGGCATACATGGTGGGGAAGACGTACCAGTTCAAGCTGTATAGGTTAAAGACCTTGGTGATCCATATCAAAGCCGTAACATTGTAAAAACCATAATAGACGAAAAGGAAGAACCAAAAGTTGATCTGTACTCGTGCCTCACCGTGACCGGGTATCTTACGCCCGGAATCAGGGTCAGCATCGTCTCGACCATCATCGTCGCCAGGAAGTTGGTATTGCGGAAACGGGATTGCGCACCACGCAATAGCCTTCGATCACACGATATTAGCATCTCTTCGGCAGTGTATTCCACTTAAGGGTTTGTGTTCTAACGACTTACCAGGGCGGCGGGCATGAAGACAAGCACCCCATATCGGCTCCACCAGACATCAACCACTCTCTTGACGGCGCTCTGTTTCGGCTCGACCCAAACGTCGACGATCCTACGCCATGTCCGCTGCCATATGTTCAGATCCTCCCAGTCGGGATTACCGGCGTTGTTATCGTAGCTTTCGAGACCGGCGGCAGAGAGGAGGGCGCCATAACCGACATGCACGCTGCCCCGGTTATTGGCGAAGAGGCCGAGGGTGCTGGAACGACGCCGGCGACCGGTAAGGTCGGGCTGCTGAGGTACGGCGCGGAAGCGGCCTAGAAGAGGAGACGAGTCGCTCGTGAAGCGGGTGCGGGATTCATTGCCTTGCGTGAATTGGAAGAAGCTCGGCATCGCTTCAGAGTTCGAGAAAAAGATCGTTGTTTATCGTCGCAACATTTGGTGGGGGTTTATGGTTTTGTTTACTTTTATCCGTGGGAGAACAGGTTTGTTCTGAATGTTCACCGCTTGAGATCAGGTAGCCTCCACGTCTGATTCCGAGTCTGGATGTCGCTCGCAGAGCTAGAGGTGTAAGTGCCGTATTATGAGTTCCTCCCTGAATCGTTTACATGGAGGAAAACGCGGGTCTGGTCGGGGATATTTTGGTGTCGTAACTCGTGGTGTGAGGAGAGGAATCCTGGACGTTCATCCATTGTAAATTGGATTTCTAGTGGCTCATTACGCTAAGGCCGCCGCGTACCTGGGACGGTCCCTGGATTTTCGGCGGACACAGCGGATCCGGGTCCTAGCACAGCGGGCGCTAGCGCCGTTTTTGGAGCGGAGTCGATTATGTGCTGGCTTGTGGGGACTCGCTTCATGTGCCCCGACCAGCCGGGCGCCGCATGAGATTCGAGAGATGAGCATGAAAGACGGGCACCAAGATAAGTTGCATGATTCTACTGCTCATTTACACTACATCTTCGCGTCTAAAGTCCAGCATAAATGTATAGGTATATATTAACAACCCTCAAACTCCCCAATGTGATCGTCACCGCTTGTTTATTTGTAGTATGCCGTGAATATTGTGTCCCAGATACAAATGTTGTCACTCCGCTAGCCCAAACCTCATGATACTTTACAAAACACCAACTTCGTCTTCTTCGTTGTCCATAGTTTCTTCGAAACCCTCCGAGTCTTCGGTATCTGTAGAATCGGTAGAATATTGTTTGTCTTGTGGCACGTCAACGAAGTCGACGTCGGTATTTGCCTCGCCGTCTTGTTCCTCTCCGCCCTCAGAGTCAATCTCAGGTTCCTTGGCGTCTTCTGAGAATGCCACCACTTTGGATGTGGGTGACTTCCTAGGGGGCTCCAGAACATCACCGCTCCAGGGCTTGCACTCCTTGACAAGCTCACCGCACCGAAGACATGTCCAACCCTCGCCCTCTTCCCGCTCGAGGCGAGTTGCAAGGCAGACGAAGCAGTAAATGCAACCACACGGGATAGTCTCGTACGGGTTGGTGATATCTGTCTGGGATGAGCCAATCACTCCGCTCGACGCGGCTGCAGCCATAATCTCGTTTTCAGTAGTTGCCAAAGCATTCTGATCCTGGTAGCAGATGGCACAAGTTCGCTCAGGCAAAAAGCCGTACTCTCCATTGGCTGACTTGTCTTCATCTCCGCTCGTAGTGATCAGTTGCTTCGTCTTGCGCCATGTTCGGGATATCCACCTCCTCCAACGATTGATGCCAATGAGTGGGAGGACAAAGAGCAGAAACTCGGTGAAGGCATGCCAGACGAGCTGCCGGTTGAGATATTCGAAGGACACCTCACGGCTCACATGGCTCGTTGGCGGAGCCAAGCGCATCCGTAGTACTCTATCCAAGAGTGTCCGATATCTCCCTTGCAGAAGAAAGACGAGGAATGATACAAAGGCTGCTCCGGCATGGAGGGTTGTGATCTTCGACGTGATCCGTGAAAGCCGCTGCAGACGAGGGCTAGGGTCGCTGTATCCATCATCGTTTTCCAGCAACCAGTTCTCCCACTTGTCCCAGCCGTATTTTCCAAATACAGTGGCCAGCCCGTATAGTGACTTCTGCCACTTTGATGGTGGAACCAGGACGGGGCCGTCACTCCTCGCATCCGTGTATTTGAGATTTTGTAAGGCCGCACCGTAGGTCGCATCATGGTCCCAAATTGTGAGCTTGAAAAGCACAGCACGCAAAGCTAAGAGAATCTCGGCTGACCAGTCGTCTTTCAGGTGGCCGCCAGCAAAGTATTTGAGTGCGTCGCCGACCTGACCGCGCAGAAGCTCCAGCAACTCGTCATCCAGTAGTTCCGCGTCAACCTGTCCAACTCTGAAGGCAGGGCGTGTGCCATCTTGCGACGAGACAGCATCCCATGCCGAACCAAGCCTGCTGAAGGGAAAGGGTAGACGATCGATCTGGGCGCGTGCTCGTGATGATTCGCGCTGCGCCGCGATCCGGGCAGCAGTATCGGCCTCGCGGGCTTGTCGTCGAGCTGCCAGGCGCTGCTGCGCTTGCGCAAAGTTGGTCGACGTCATCTGGGCGGCATTGAGCGGTGGAATATGGTGGTGAAGTGCAACTTGTTGCGCATCACACCTCTGACCCGGAGTGGTTAACGAGGGGGGTGGGAGGTTGAATGGGGTGGTAGGAAAAAGAGCCGAGGTCCGCTGTTTCTCAGTGGACAGTTTGAACAGTCGCACCGCAAGCTTCACTGCCGCGGGCAGGCTGGACACGGGCGGGTAAGCGATGGTCTGGGCCGAAATGTCGGACCGGCGACTTGGTGTACGTACCGGGGACGCTCAGACCACAAAATCCACCAATCCACCCACTCAGAGCGCACTAGTCAATATGCGGACATCTGCAGAGTTGCCGTTTGTCTGTATGTTCTAGGCTCAATTACCAAATCAACCTAACTTTGGGAACGTTTACCATGCCCTTACAAACCATATCTGTCATGCATGGCACTCTGCATCAATGCTGCGGGAGAACATGCTTACATCAGATTGCATGTCACCCTGTACAGCAAGATCCCGGCCAAATTGCGGTGCAAAAGGTACAATGTAGTAGACGTTGGCTGCTTGGGATGAACTCGGCTCTACCTCAACCACCTGCCTCCGCCTCCCTCTTCGGATATGGCCGCAGACGCCAGACCTTATTCTGAATGCTTGTCCCCTTCTTCTTGTCTCCATCGTCACCGCCGCTTCTCGGGATGCTGCACACCAAACGATGGCCACCTTGCTATTCGCTGTCCCGACATACCGGCATGCTGGAACATGCAGCTACTCCCAGAGAGGCATGCCCCCCTCTATCGTCATCCAATATAAAAACGAGTTTGAGATGCGAAGTGTGTGGGGTCCAAGAAGTTGTCTTAGCTGATTGGCTGACATCCGGCCATAAAGCTACGAATCCAAGCCAAGCTTATGTTGACTGGGGCCCACAACTCTGCCACCCCTGGCCCCAAAAGTCGGGAATTGCTTCGCAAAACCACTTTCAGGGCTGTGTCGGCTCGTACCACCTGCATTCCGACAGAAAGCGTGGCGTTCTTTGAGCCCTGTCATCTGCCTTGCTTTTGTTCCAGTCCCGCTTCTAGAGCTTGATAAGTGATCTGACTCTCGGACTTAGGCGATGCCACAGTTGCAAATTGTGGCATCGTTTGCTCCGCCAGTCCTCATAGGATAGTAACGTTACTCATTTACTGATTGGTTCCACTAACAAGCAAAAACCACAACGACGGCGGGTCTTGGCGCAGCCTTCCGTGCGGTCTCGGAGCTTAACCAGCTGTAGCTAACTTACCTTCAGCAAGTCGATAGCAACAGCTTGCTCTACATGGTACAATGTTCGGCGACTCAACATCCCCTTAGGGCTCATTACCCGACTCTTGGTATCATGGGCGGGCCCATTTTCAGTGTCGAAACTTGCAATTTCAGATTTCTAGAACTTCGAAGAGTTGCCTTGATCCACTGTTCATGATTAGATGTGACCCTGACCCCATCATCCACAGAAAATGATCTTGGGCTATCTCCTAGGGCTGAGGAGAAAGGCGGGAGGCTCAGCCCAGACAATGTGCAATAGGCTTATGAGGAACCGCTGCACCTGCATGACAGCTAGCCCCCATTTCGACCTGAGTGTACACCCTAACCATCCTTTGCCCAATCGGCCGGGACACGAAGGGGTTGTTTACTAGACGCGGACGTAACCCAGCCCCCTATAGGGGCCCTCGCGACATGCTGACCAAGCTGCTTCTATTTTTCACTATATTGCAAAACACTCATATTCACGCCCCTATGTCGGTCGATTGAACCCCGTCCAGGCCAGGGAGAAACTCCTGAGCTGGCTTGCAACATGAGCGGAGTGGCGGCGGACAGGGACCTCCCGCAGCAGGCAGCTGCTTAACCGACTTCGTCCAGTGACTTACTCCTTCAACCCCATCTTGCTTTGCGCCAGTGCATTGCTTACCTCTGGAACCAATGAACAGGCAAGGCAGTATGGAGGCATCCGGCCGAGTTGACCAGGGTTGGGGCGAGTCCACCCTTCACCCACCATACCGTTGTCTTGTTAGTCCCCGAGTTACATAAACATCGGCGACCCTCGCCGACCAAATTAACATTATGAAGAGATCACCTTCAGCTCGAGATCAACCAGCTTCTCCTCTCTCCTGTTCAGCCAACGTTGTGTGCAGATAACATTTTTGTGCAACTTCACTATGGATTCAGAGACGACCTCTAGCCCAGGGTCAGCCAACGGCTCAACCGACACGCAACAACGTGCCGGTGCAACAAAGTCCAAAGCTACCATTCGGGCATCATTAGCTTGCGTCCCTTGCCGGTCAAAACATGTCAAATGCGACTCCGCTTTGCCCTCCTGCCTCAGATGTCGCCTAGAGGAAAAGACATGTTATTATGCAAAATCTCGTCGAGGAATCAGGGATCCCAAAAAGCGCAGTCTTATCAATGATCCCATAGCGCCTCCTTCAACCTCGACTGAAGCGGCATCATCATTCCCATCCCCTGAACTGGCAAGCTTCGAAATTCCCATCAACGTAGTCGACAGGCTGCCGGGAGGATGGTCTCTGAGCAAGAACCTCCAAGTCCCCGATCCCAGAACAGCTTCTCCAACATCCTTCCTGTTCGATCTCTACTTCACCAACTTTCACGACACGCACCCATGGCTCTTGCCCAAGCTCCAACTTCTAAACCGTATCCGTGCCGATCCTCAGCCGTTTCACTTCCTCGCAAGTTGTATAACTTACGTCGGATCTCTCTTTTCCAAGGCAATCTCCTCGGAAGAGTTGCGGGAGAAGGCATACAGTCTGGCAAGCGGTGTTTTGCCAATGACCCCTTGGACGATACAAGGTCTTCTCGTCTTGAGCGTAGCGGCCTTTGGAGAAAACAGAATGGACCTCAGCAGTGGCTGGATGGATACCGCGACTCAGATGGCTCTTGATCTTGGTATGCACGAGAGGATGTTTGCAGATGCCGAGCCTGATCCATTCCTGGCAGAGAGCTTCCGTAGAACTTACTGGGCTCTCTATTTCCACGGTAACATGCGAGCGACGCGCGAGGATTCGCCTAGTTTTGCCTTATTCAGAGTTGCGGCAACGACTGAGCTGCCCTGCGAAGAGTGGGAGTACCAGTCAGGGGTAAGTAACTTGTCCTTTGTTGAGTTTACATTTAGAAAAGATCCTAACTCTGGATCAGGAAATCCCGCAACCCATATCCTTGGCACAGTACGACGCCAGAGATCCCATGGGCGACAGAAGCTATTCCTCGTGGACATACCTGATCGACCTGTGCCGACTTAGCGGCGAGCTGATTCTTCCAATGTCGACATTTCCTCCCCAGCTGCTGGCCAATACAATTGATAGGGCGGATTCGAGGATTGTCAGTTGGCTCATTAGTTTGCCAAAGTGGAAACAGCAATTGGTGGATGCGGGAGGCGCTGTTGACATGATTCTGTTTCATGCAATGGCATACGCTCATGTGTAAGTCAATGATTACCTGTGCACTTAAGTTCTTGCCGCTGACATTGGCGATTTAGTTTGAGAATCAGAATGCAACTACCCGTCGAGACTTTGGGCCTTGGAATTCGAGATCTTCTTACACTAGGCCCGGTGTTCAAGACACGCGAAACGTCATCATCTCAAACTCGACAATCCTTTGCTGCACCAAACCAATGGCTTGAGTGTTCTACAGCGCTTCAAGCAGGACTATCGACCATTGGCTTATTCAACTTCTCGCTGCCCCCAGCCCGTTACAGCCCGGCTTGCATCATCGGGTTACAACGAGCTGCTTTGCCATTGCTTGATGCTAAGATGTATGGTGCAGTTGAGTCACCTGCCCTGAGAGAGAAGCTTGATTTACTCCTGGGCGTACTCAAAGTCGCCGGGGAAATGTGGCCTGTCGCGAAGAATATTGGTAACGAAGTGAGCGACGTGTTGAGGGATGTGGACGTCGCCCACAACCGCAATATGATGTCGCACTTCGACCCAGCCCTGGACGTCTTTATCAATGACATGGCTTCTTCCGGGAACGTTGAGAATCCTGACATGTTTGCTTTCCCCGAGATGAGAACAGTAGACGATATCCTCCACTGGCCCACGGGCATGGCCGGAACTTTTCAGGTATAGGGGAGAGCCAATAGGGGTTTTTTAGGGGCGGGGGAAGAGTTATTTCGTATCCATTTCACAAGGACAGGAGTGTAGGATTTTAAGAGCGGCGTTCTTGTTGTCAAGAGCATAAGTTTCAATGATTGACACATACTCGAGTTGGAAAATTACACAGGGGAGTTCATGGCGTCACTAGTTACACAAGTCAAGACAAATCAGAGTTTCCGTTCCTTCATACCTTAGCCGAATAAAACTTTTTGAGAGATTAGACATGCATGAACAAGCGATGAAGAAAGTTCTCATGTAAGGCCGGATGTACGAAGTAGGCCGGAAGCCTGAATATATATGCAGGCTTAGGAACTGGACAGGGTAAGCAGGTTGATTGCGGTTTGGTATATGCGTTTTCTCCTCTCACTTTGCATTAATTTCGAGGTTTCCATTCTTTTTTGATACATTATGAGGAGCCAGGAGTCTACGTACCATTGAATGGAACCTTCCTTGTGTGAATAGCATGGACTTACCTCAGGTTCCTTTCAACGCTTGTGCTCTCAGCTGTAGTGCTTCTTCAGCGCCCCACTACCCCGCGATGACTTGACTGCCCTGTGCGTGCCCCGCCACAGTGATATGGCCTGGCTTGTCTAAATTTCCAACCGCTTCTTTGCTCTCCCACGGTCCCTTGAATACGAGATCCCACATCTGACCCAAACATACACCGCCCGCCGACCTCTTTTGGACCAAAGACACCGGTACCGACGCCTTGGTCGCTCACCGAGGAGACCGCAAAAATGAGCTTTGCTATCGAGGTACCCGGTGACGCCAACCCGCTAAGCTTGCAGGAGCTCTGCCGAGCCCTCGAGTCCGCGACCTCGGCCGACTACGCGCGTAGGCAGGCAGCCGGCCAGCAGCTATCATCATGGGAGACTGAGCACGGATACTTCTCCTCGCTGCAGGTTCGTACTCGCATCGGAAACCAGATGCCGGTCAAGACAACTACTAACGTCGTGCTTTACAGACGGTTTTCCTTGATAAGTCCCTCCCGCACGAGATACGATTTCTCGCTGTGATTCAACTCAAGAATGGAATCGACAAATACTGGCGGCTGCTCCCGACCGTTAAAGGCGGTTTAGATCCGGCAGAGAAGACCGTCGTTCGGCAGCGCTTGTTTCAAGGTACTCTTGAGGAAGAGGACAGGGGGCTTTCGCTGCATAACTCCCTGGTTACCGCCAAGATCATCAGAATTGACTACCCTCAACACTGGCCAGACGCGCTGTCCAATATTATCGGTCTCGTGAGGGCCTCGAAGGATGGTAATCAGCATCATTTACATGGCGCCCTTCAGATCCTTCTTCGAGTGGTGAAGGAGCTCGGTACCGCGCGCCTTAGGCGATCACAGACCGCTCTTCAGTCCGTCACACCCGAGATTGTCTATCTTCTTGGAGAAGTTTACACCGAGAGGTCGGCGATCTGGGTCAATTTCCTATCAAATGGACAGGGAGATGAAGATACAGCCGATTTGGCGATGCTCAACAGCCTCATATCCCTTAAAACACTTCGACGTCTACTCGTCGTTGGCTACGAGGCACCTCACAACGACAAGACTGTCCAGCAGTTCTGGACTGTATCTCAGAGCCACTTTGGCCAGTTTCTTGGCTTTGTCAGCCATGACTCCCACGTACCGGCACCATATCAAGACACAGTGGGGAAGCATCTCTTGCAGTTTACGAAGCTTCACATCGACATGTCTGAATCACATCCCGCCAGTTTCGCTGTACTTCCGAATTCACTGCCTCTGGTACACGCCTACTGGGACTTGGTTGCCAAGTTTGCCGAAGTTTTTGAGAAGTCTGGCGGTATTAGACAGTCTTCTGGTGACGCTGGACAGTCGGAATCAAAGTCCAAGGTAGAGGGACCATTGTTGGAGAGGCTAGCGCTGAGGGCCCTGCTCCTAATGAGATCTTGCCTGAGGATTGCATTCTACCCCAAACAGACATTCAAATACAAAAGCGCGGAGGCGAAGAAGGACGAGAACGACGCTGTTTCACTTGTTAAGCAAGAGCTCCTCAAGGATGAGTTTGTTGTTCAGATGGCCAACATCATCATCACCCACCTGTTTGTCTTCCGTAAGGCTGACTTGGACGCTTGGGAAGAAGACCCAGAAGAGTGGGAGCAACAAGAACAAAGTGAGGGCAATGCCTATGAGTGGGAAGTAAGACCCTGCGCCGAGAAGCTCTTCCTGGACCTGCTCGTCAACTTCAAAAATTTGATGATTCCTCCTTTGCTTTCGTATTTCCAGACCGCGGTAAATCCGCAGTCAGATATCGCTACAAAGGAGGCAGTGTATACGGCCTTGGGCTTGGCCGCACCTAATGTTGTCAACGTCTTTGACTTTGATAGTCTGCTCGTCTCCACGATTGTACAGGATGCTCAACAGCAAGGGCCCCTTTATAAAGTGCTCCGCCGCCGAATCGCGATCATGGTCAGCCAATGGGTGACCGTAAAGATCGCTGATAGCAGCAGACCGCTTATTTACGAGATGTTCCGGCATTTCCTCAACCCTGCAGACGCGACCAACGATGTCGTGGTCAGGATTACTGCTGCACGTCAACTCCGATGGATTGTGGACGAACTCGGCTTCAGCGCGGAAGCTTTCCTTCCGTACGCCGCTGACGTGCTCAATGAGCTTCTCCAATTGCTTCAGCATGTCGACATTGACGAGACTAAGCTTGCCGTTTTGGAGTCTATGCGGATCTTGGTCACCAGATTGGAGAACCACGTCTCACAATTTGGAGATTTCATTATGACCAGCCTTCCCAATATTTGGGAGAACTCCGGAAATGAGGACTACATGATCAAGCAGGCTATTATTGCCATATTCGCTGCACTGGTCATGTCAATGGGCAGTGAATCGCAGCGTTACCAGCATCTGATGGTTCCTTTGTTGTCAGACGCAGCAAAGACTGGCTCTGATCTTCATACATATCTGATTGATGAGGTGTTGGAGCTCTGGAACTCGGTCTTGATGCAAAGTAACCCTCCCTTGTCTGCTGATATTATGAGCATAGCAGAGTTGTCACTTCCTATCCTGGAGTATCAGACAGAGACTGCTGCGCAGGCACTATCGGTAGTAGAGTCGTACATCCTCTTGGGTACGCAAGCGGTTTTGGAAGATAGACTGCGCCGTCCTTTCCTGCAGGCGTTATCAGGCGTCCTTGATTCCAAGAGTCGGGAACAGGTTAGACAAGGCACTGTGTGCATTGAATACATAATTCGAGCTGCCTCTGAGCTAGGCGGTACCAACGGAACCTCGGTGGTAATCCAGGACTTACTGGAGACCGGCTTCTTGAAGAAAGTCTTGGAAAGCCTCCATGACGCTTGGGAGGCCCACCAAACCACCGGACCGAACAGAAAGGTCAGCAAGCTGAGCACAATCACGGAACGTGATTACTTTGCAATCCTTTCCCGGCTGGTGCTTGCTGATCCAGCTCTTTTCGTCACGATGCTCACGTCGTTTGGGCCTCTGGAGCATGTATGGGGCTGGCTTAGCGGCGAGTGGTTCTCTCATCTCGATGGTCTTGACCATATCGAACGACAAAAGCTATCCCTGTTAGCTTTGACACGTCTTCTCGAGCTTCCACAGCCCATGCAGAGCCTGGCGCTCGGTAAACTGCAAGACTACTTCGCTCTCTGGACAGGCACTATCGCTGAGCTTCAGGACGGTATGAAGGATGGTACCGACTCGCTCATTTGGCAAGAAATGGAGCCCAATGATTACGAGACTCCCAAGAGCCTCAAGGAGACGGAGTGGACTCAGAAAGACCCCATTCATACGGTGAACGCCATGTATTTCGTTAAGGAGAGGTTGCAGGATGTCATCCATCGCTCGGGCGGCGATCAGCAATTCGAGCAGGAATGGGCGATCAATGTTGATAGGGATGTACTACAGAAGTTCTGGGGTTTGACGCAGGTCAATAGGGGTGCATGAGGAGGTATTGATTATTCCGCAAAAGATTTGACAGCGAATCGGACAAGGGCTGGGAGGAAATGATTATGATTTCATGATAAGATAGTGAGATAGAAGCATCGTGTGCCTTTTTACAAGGTGGCGGAAAATGTGAACAAAGAACATACCGCATACATGGAAAGCGTCCAAACTCAGTGGTTAGATTGTTGCGTTGAGTCTTTTATTTGGTCCCGTGCCCCGTAGCAAAAGTACATCCATTCATTTTACTTACAGCTTGCTCTGGCCCTCCTGCGGGATCTTTACAACCACCTTGCCCCATGTGCCTCGGCTGCCCAGCGCTATCAAGGCATCAGGGATGCGATCTAGCCCAACAAACTCCTCGTCGGTGAACTCGGTACCACGCAGCTTGCCCTCAGCAACGAGCTTCATGATGCCTTCCCAAACCTTCACAACGGTTTCCTTTTCTCTCACAGCATACTGGCCCCAGAAGATACCGACGAGGCTAATGTTCTTAAGGAGTACCTTGTTCATGGCAACCTTTTCAATCTTGCCCGCCGCAAAGCCAATAATGAGAATACGACCGTTCCAGGCAGTGCACTTGGTGCTCGCGTCGACCATGCCTACAGGGTCGTAGACGATGTCAACGCCCCTTCCACCGGGGGTGAGCGCCTTCACCTTGGCAGGCCACTCGGGGTCGCGGTAATCGACGACGTGGTCTGCGCCGAAGGACTTGGCAACATCGCGTTTCCGCTGGGTTGATGCTGTCGCGATAACGGTGGCGCCGAAAGCCTTTGCAACCTGCACTGCGGCCAATCCGACGCCTCCAGCCGCAGCGTGGACGAGGACAATGTCGCCCGCCTTGATACCTGCGCGGACGACAAGGGCACCGTAAGAGGTAGGTGCGGTGATGAACAGGCCCGCAGCTTCTTGGAAAGACCAGCCGTTGGGGATGGAGAGGATCTCCTTCTCGCGGGCAACGCACTTCTCGGCGAAGGCGCCTTGGGTCGCGCCGAAGACGCGGGAGCCGACGGGGAATTTTGCGTTGGACGAGGGTGCTTTGAGAACGACGCCGGCAAATTCGCAGCCGGATGTCCAGGGGAAGGCTTAATTGACGGGTCAACATTATGTACGCGATAACGGGGAAATAGCGCAAGACTTACGAGGCTGAGTCTGATATTTGCCTTGGACTTGAAGGATGTCAAAGAAGTTCGCAGCTGAAGCGTGAACTTGGATGAGATACTCGTCGTCCTTTTTGGGGACGGGCTCCGGGAGATCCGTTACGCGGAGCTCCTTGGGAGACTACGATTTTTAAGGATGAGCATCTGGTTGTTTTGAGTGATGCGGTCTTCATGAAGCTTACCTTGACATACTCCTTGATCTGAATGCCACGCATTGCTGTGTTTTGTGTGTGCTGGGTGCGTTACGAATAGGGGTAGAAAGAGACTAGATTCAAATGCAACTGGATCGAGGGTATAGATAACTTGGATTCCACGGTGATTGTCCAAATAAGATGAATATGGGTTATTGTAGAGAGACAAACATTGTGAGAGCTTTAGCCGTGGTTAGTCTTAAAGCTTACACAAGTTGCTACCCCAGACGGCGGTCTCAGAGACCCCGAAGGGGAGGAGAGCCGAGGCATAATCGGTGGGTCGGTGTCGAAATTCCGGGGGAGAGCTGGTGCTCGGACCAAGTCTCTGTCGCCCTCCACATTCACACTGGTAGGGGGGTGGTGCTGTGGTCGTCATTTCAGCTACTGCATCTGCTGTGGCGTGTGGCAATGGGCGCCAATTGAAAGGGATGCTGTATCCGTGGCTGGTGTCAAGGGCTTGTTGCATGCGACACCAAGTAGGGAGTACTGTACTACAGTGAACAGTTCCGTTGATCGGCTCTGATTGAGGTGGGGGAGAACATGACCCTTCGATCTATCTTAAGCAATCTCTAGGCCCACGAGACACCGGGCCAATGGTGTACTTGTAAAACCAACTTTACCCTCGAAGTTCATTTGAAAGCGGAACTGGATGGAGAATAATAAAAACGTGTCCTTATCCCAAAATGTATATACCCGTGACACACTTAGCGTCAATTGTCTTTAATACGTGTAGTGCGAAAAAAAGACAGCATCTCCATCAAAAATGAAAACACCCGAGCTGAAGGTGGAAGGTGATGGATGACGATGGAACGGTTGACTTGAGAGAGTGACCTGAGGCTACTTTTAAGTTGGAGCCGGGGTGCTCGTTGCCTGCTTAGTACATTTGGACCCTCAATTGATGGGATCAAGAACGTGGCGGCGCCATACGAAGTGTCAAAAGCAGTTTGTGTGTGCCGATCCTGCAGTGTGTGTTCTCGACATCTGACAGATATCAAGAGAGACGGACTGCCTGCGGCAACTCATATCACACTCCCCAAATCGGTACGCCCGTTATTACAACGCAACCAGGACAACACAGCGGTCCAGACTGTAGACGCCTGTAGCTGTCGGAACCCTTGCACTTCCCGCCCCCACCGGCGTTAGCGTGCTGCGGCAAAGGGTACCCAATTCGTCAGGTTCGCACAGGCGACCGCTGTACAGTGCCTGCTTCGGGCTTGAGGCGCCGTGCTCAATAGTAGCAACAGCAGGGTCTGGTCTATCTCGCCCGTTGCCCCTCCCGGCTCCAGTCTAATCCACTGTCGCCAACGACTGACGTCCAATCTGCGACCGCAGCTACCGGCTGGACTGACCGGCCACCTACCTACCTTAACTGCCTAACTGACCTCGACCTTACCCTGACTTCACTTTGCCTCACATACGTCGTCGTCTTCTCACGAATTCCCAACAACTTCCTCTCCGTCAAACCTCCTCTTCCCCCTCCTTCCCTTCCTCCTTTCCTTATTTCTCTTCCTCCAAGTCACCCACAAAACCTTCCCACCCCGCCCGGCCACTATTCCCCCGCGAGCATCGACGTCGTCATCGCATTCGCGAAGGCCCGAATACCAACAGTTCATTCTTACCACATAGCCGCCCTATCGTGTCCCCACCGAATCGAGGCCATGGCCGATAATGCAGAGGGCACCGGTGATGCCCAGGTCACCTTCAAGGTGAAGACTGGTCAGGACAGCAACCATGTCATCACCATGCCTGAGTCGGCCACCGTGCTTGACCTCAAGACCAAGCTAGCCGGTGAAGACTTTGAGAATGTCCCCGTCGAACGTCAGCGTCTTATTTACTCCGGCCGCGTCATGAAGAATGACGACACCCTCGCTACCTACAAGATCAAACCCAACAACACCATTCACATGGTCAAGAGCGCCGCCAGCAATCCTGCGCCTCAGCCGGCGGCCACATCCTCAACACCTGCCGCCCCCGCCGTTCCCTCCAACATGCAAGCCGGCACTGCAAACAACCTTCTTGCTGGCCTGACTGGTGCGAGATACGCCGGCCACATCAACCTACCCAGTCGCGAGACCTTTGGAGCCGACGGAGGAGTAAGTGCCCGCCCACACCCCCAAAACTAACGCGTTACATGAACTAATCTTACGCTCCAAAGATGGGTGCCCCGCCCTCCGACGACCAGCTGGCCCAGATGTTGTCCGACCCTTCCATGCTCCAGACCATGAATGCCGCTCTCGACAACCCCGACTTCATCAACTACATGATTCAAAGCAACCCCCACCTGCGCAATGTGCCCAATGCTCGCGAGATCATTCAGTCACCCTTCATGCGCCAGATGATGACAAACCCGGATATGCTCCGCAATGTCATGAGAATGCAGCGCAGCATGACCGGGGGTGGCGGTAACGCCGCCTTCCCCGCGCCTGGTGCTACCGACACGACTCCTGCTGAAGCCGCCGCTGCTGGTAACAACGCGCAGCGCTCGCCATTCCCTGGCTTCCCAGGTTTCGGCGGCATGGAAGGTCTGGGTGACCTTGGTGCGCTCTTCGGCCCCGGCAGCCCGTTTGCGCCTCCTCAACAACCAGGCGCCGGCGCAGGAAACACTACTGCTACGGGCACAACGACGGGAGACAATGCACAGAACACGGCAGGTGCGGCTGCGGGAGCCACAGCAGGCGCCCAGGGCACGCCTGGCGCAAACACGGCCGGAAGCCCGCCCCCGGCCAATCCTTTTGCCGCTCTTTTTGCGCCGCCTCCGTACGCCGCACAGGGCCAGGCCCAGGGCCAGGGACAGGGACAGACCCCTCCCAACCCATTCGCCTCTCCGTTCGGCCAGATCAACCCCGAGATGATGCAGCAAATGATGAACATGTGGGGTCTCGGTGGTGCAGGCGGTGCCGGCGGCTCTCCTGCCCCTCCTGACAACCGTCCTCCCGAGGAGCGTTATGCTGAGCAGCTACGCCAGCTCAACGACATGGGCTTTTTCGACTTTGATAGAAACGTGGCGGCTCTTAGACGGAGCGGTGGAAGTGTGCAGGGTGCGATTGAGCATCTTCTCAACGGCTCGTAATGACTATGAATGCATGATATGAGAGATGCTGAAGGGTGATGATGTTGTTTAGCAGGACAGTGAGCGCCGTAAGGGAACGCGCTTTAATAGTTGATAGGTCTGTTACAGGGACAAGCACATACCCTACCTAGCTGCCTTGAACTTTGTTTTTTGGCAAGTTTTGGAGGCAGCAGGAAATTGACCAGGCACGACGTTTATGACAGCTCGTTCAACCTTTCTCTCTGGATGCGTTTAGAAACCCAACATATTGGTTGTTTTCCGTAGGCTGCCCCAATTTCAAAGATTGTACTTTTAATCCAATGGAAAAAATACTAGTGTGAAATCTTTGATAGTAGTGGTTTCGAGATTGCCTGTCTTTGGCTGATCTGTAGTTAATGTGTCTGGCTTTGAATGGGGTGCAATTAGACCGACCCAGTAAACGTGCACCCGATGAACTTCAGCTGCCCTTCTTCAACTCCTCAGCCACTTCAAAATTCCCGTCGCATGGCTAGAACTTGCAACTTACACCACTTAACCTATTAAACTGAAGATGTAACGATCATGATTCAAGGCATCTTCTATGCTAGATTCCTGCCAAAGGAAGGTATGAAGAAGCCTTTTTTTTTTTTCTTTTCTTTATGCCTTGACAGCACCGGATCTTGCCTAAAACGCCTTGGAGCTTCACCCTCTCATCATCATCCACAACCTCATTTGTTCCGTCGCTGACCTTTACTCGGTAGGCCCGCACATCGTGGCCCAGTCGCCCACGGGATGCATAACTCCCGCGCCCGGCGCGACGAAGCCGCCGCTGATTGATTGGGATGTGATGCAAGAGTACATCATGCCGCGCAAGGCCTTCTTCAACCGGTACCTGACTGTTCTGGACCCGGAGGGCAAGTATGCCATTCTGGGCTTCCCAGTCCTCATTCCGCACGCAAAATATCAGCGTAATGAGTTCATTTTCAATTTCGGCATCGTAGTGGACGCCGACGCGGACCAGGCGCCGTACGAGCCTGTCGTCCGGCGGCTTGCCGTTACGTTCAAGGAGATGGAGAAGCAGAATGAGTATCTGAGCCAAGAGGGATCCGGGGCCGGTAGCGGTGTTGGGCCAAGGGGAGGTGATCGCAGACCTATTGAGAGCCTGTTGGAGATTGTCAAGGAGGATTTGAATAACTACGGCGAGTGCATGATCCCAGTCGGTCAGTCCTCCCTCCTCCTTGCCGTCCTTGTCGAGGCAGTCCAGCTGATGATTAGCAGATGACGCGAACACAATTAACATGAAGCTCTTCCCTCACCACTCCACGCCTCCGCAGGTGAGAGGTTGGCACGTCCCTGTCGCCAAGATGAAGTTCGCCGAGATCGTCGACCCGACGTGGGACCTGACGATGCAGAAGGTCGTTGCGCACATTGACGGCGTCAACGACGTCCGACGCATCGCCTGGGCCGCCGACGTCTCGCTCGACCTCGCCAAGCTCGCCCTGCGCCATCTACTCTACTACGACACCATCCTTTTGCTGGATATGTTCTTTTTCGGCTCCTGCTACGCACCGCGGCCCGGCATCCACGATTTCCTAGCGAACCGTGACGGCATCGTGGACGAGTGCGCCGCGTACGTGTGTATTCACGCCCGACAGCGCCTGAGCAACTTTATGCTGATCAGGCTCATGATGACCTTCTGCGTTGGGAAGAGCGTGATGGAGTGGTTGAGGGGTCACCAGGAGGCCGGGCTCGACGTTCTGCGGTACGTGGACGTGAGGCGTTTGGTGCAGTTTGGTGTCATCAAGGGATGTCTCTATCGCGTGCACAAGTACGTCGTGTCTAAGCAGTATCTGGCGGCATTGGCGACGGGACATGCTAGGCCCAAGGCTGGCGGGGATCCGTTGCAGAAGTACACGGATGGGTGTCACTCTTTTGACCAGATCATCACGGAAAACAACGTGACGGATAGCGAGATCATGGAGAAGCTCAAGGCTCTCCCGGTGCCGAGCGGGGACTTGACAGTGTTCTACCGGTGATTTGCATCTAGCAGACAATAAGTGGACTGGCAGTACAAGATCTGGTCATGGATGAGATTGGTGTTTTACATTTTCTAGCATATTTTTACATAACAGTCAGTGTACAGGCATTGTACATGGTATCGTGACACCTCCAACACTCGCCGACTTCCCCTCTGCTCTACTGTGACTTGTTGAGTTCATCGCGAGCCTGCTGGCGCTCGCTCTTCGTGGGGAACTTGATATCCGGGTTGTTCGCGACAGTGATCGCCTCCTCCTCGGCAGCCAGCTTCTCCTTGACCATCTTCTCGAGCTCGCGGCGACTGAGCTTGCGGCCCTCGGCCTCGGCCATCTCCTTGAGCTTCTGCATCACGAGACGCGTCTTGCCCTTGAACGGCTCGCCGGGGTACGACTTGCCGCTGTCCTGCCACTCCTTGTCGCTGACGACCTCGATGATGCGCACGTTGTGCTTGCCCTTGCGGATGATGAGCACGCGGCCATCGATGAGGAACTTGGACACATCTTGCGGGAACCACAGCTTCACGGGTGTCCAGTCCAGGTTTCCGGGCACGAGACCACGCATGTCCTTACCGGGTGCGGCGGCGACGTAGGCGCCGGCACCCTTGGCGATACGGTGGCCCTCGCTGACGGAGCTGGCCAGACCAGCAGCGTGGAGAATGCGGGCGATGCCCTGGTTGTAGATGAGGTCGTGGGGCAGCTGCATGTCCATCTTGGGGGCGTTGTTGAGGGTTGTGGGCTTGCCCTCGACGGCCTCGTACGGCGAGGAGGCCATCTCGGCAGCGGCTCCCTTGCTGTACATGAACTTATGCTGCTGCTGTTCCCTGATGGCGACGTCGGCGCCGTGGACGAGGGACAGCACCTCGAAGGCGAGAGTGTGCTGCGCGATGCGCTTGGGCGGGTCCTTCTGATGCTCGATCATCAACCTCTCGATGTCGGCGGTGGGCAGGAAGGTGAAGAGCCTCAGCAGCTTCTCGACATCACTGTCGGATTTCCTGGCGAAGTAACCGTAGAGGTCGAAGGCGCTGGTCAGGAAGGGATCGAGCCAGACGGCGTTGCCCGCGCTCTTGCCGAACTTAACGCCGGCGCTGTCCGTCAGGAGCGGCACGGTGAAGCCGATGGGGTCGTCCTTCCAGGTCTCGGGCATCCTCATGTTGGGGTTTTCCTCGGATGAGCGGATCGTCTTGACGGCCTCGATACCGGTCACGATGTTGCCGAATTGGTCGGAGCCTCCGATCTGCATCTGGACGCCCAGCTTTGAGTACAAGTGCCAAAAGTCCCATCCCTGCATCAGAGGGTAGGTGAACTCCGCAAGGGACATTCCGTCGCCCTTTTCCATCTTGTTCTTGACACTGATATCATCTAGTTAGCAACGCAACCGTGGATAGGGGGGGGGGCTTGTTGTTAAGACTCACGTGTCGCGGGAGAGCATGGGCCCTATCCGCATAAACCGACCCAGCCTCTTCATCACATCGTACATTGGCAGGCTCTGCCACCACATATTGTTGTTCACGAGGTGCCTCTTGGCCGCCCAATCCGGCTCCGTGCCGTACTTCCTGCCGAGCGCCTCGACGTTGACCCAGATCTTCTTCATCTGGTAGTGGATCTTGGTAATGTTCATTGAAACCTCGCTGTTCGCCATAACCTCACGGGTCTTCAGCCGGTCCGTCGGGTCACCTATCCTTCCGGTTGCGCCTCCAACCAGCGACACCGCCGTGTAACCGTGCAGATACATCCAGAAAAGGGGCATGAAGGGAAGCAAGTGGCCGACATGGAGAGACGGGGCAGTCGGGTCGACACCGACGTAGGCGCCTATTCGCTTTGTTCGCATAAGCTCTTTGATTTGTGGAGGGCGTCTGGAGAGTTGGATCAGCTATTGCAACAAGAAACTATGGGGGGCGTGGCTGCTGCTGTACTCACCCGGCGACGTCTTTGATGTAGCCACGCTCTTCAAAAACATCCCATATGTTGGGGAGCTCTCCTTGCTGAATTAGGTCGGCACGTTTTGCCCACTCCTCCTCTGCCGTCTGGCGCTTCGCTACCACCTTTTGCGAGATCCATCTTGACCGGGTTTGCTGCAATTGAACCGCGGGCAACCTGGCGCATTGTCTGCAGATATTCCGCCGCAGCTCGGGGAGGCGGGGCCCCAGGGTAGACGCCATTGCAAGGGGCATATGTGAATTTAAAATTGCCAAAGAAGTATACCTAACAACACATTGAAAAGAATGACGGTAAATAAAAAACCCCAGTGGATAAGCTGTGTTTGGAGGGCAATTCGGAATCGCCTCGTATGACACACTTGCAACCAGAGCTGCCTCGTCGCGCAGCACGACCCTCCAGAGCTCCAAAAATTTCCTTATCGGTCCTGCGATAAGGATGTACCGCGTCTTTATTCATCCGGCGACCGACAGTTCTTCTCCCGTCGACGCCCGCGATCCGAATCACGTGGAGCATGTCCAGCTTTCGGGAGAAGCTGGCCAATCACAACACTCTCGAAATAAGCTCCTCGGCAATCCATCATCGCCATCGCCGGTCGAGTGCATCATCCACTCTAATTCTCTCTCAATCCTAGCCTCCAAAACCTTTGACGCCCGAATCCCCAAGAAATCTCTCCCCTCCGAACCACCCAATTGACGGGTCAGCGCAATTACCTCCGCGACTACGATGGCTTCTTTTGTGCGTCCTGCTCTGCTTAGGCAGACCGCCATGGCGGCCCGTATGGCTAAGACCGGCGCATCCCGCTCTGCCTTCCTCAAGCCGACTGTCCAGAAGGAATTCGTCAACAACTCGATAAGAGTCGCCGCCTTCCACAACACTGCCAAGAGGGATCTGCTTCCCGTTGGTCCCCGTATGTTTGATTTGCTGCCTCGTATATCTTTATGAACCTATGCTAATACTCACTTTACAGAGGTTGTTCAGGGTGGAGGTACGACAATGAACCCGCGAACGTCAATGTCCTTAAACCGCGAAGCATTCTAACCTGTGATAGTTAACGACCCTGCCCCCGTCCCTCCCCCGAGCCCTGCTCACGGCTCCTACCACTGGAGCTTCGACCGTATCCTCGCTGCCGGTCTTGTTCCGATCACTATCACCCCCTTCGCCGCCGGCTCCTTGAACCCCACGACCGACGCCATCCTCTGCGCCCTGATCCTGATTCACTCCCACACCGGTTTCCAGAACATCATCATCGACTACGTTCCCACTCCCACGTACCCCAAGCTCCGCAAGGGTACCATGTGGGCTCTGAACATTGCCACTGCCCTCGTCGGTCTGGGTCTGTACGAGTTCGAGACCAGCGATGTCGGCGTCACCGAGGCCGTTTCTCGCATGTGGAAGGCTTAATTGAGCGGGGTATCGCTCTACTATTTGTTGGAAACTGTATGGGAAGGGCTAATGTGCAAAAATCATTACCTGATAGCGATCCCACCGATAGATATAATGGTGTGGAAAAAGAAAAACGCTACGAAGACGACATCATGTCGCGTATTGGAGCAGTGAAAGGGCGTGGGGAAGGCTTGTAAGTGTGATTCGGAGGCGCCAGGGTTTAGAATTGGAATGGCCAGTGTACAATCACCAGTCTAGGCAAAATTGGATTCTTTGTCAATGAAATGGGCGTGGATCCTACCCACGCATTCTTGTTGAACTGGTATCTGACTGCAAAAGTAAGAATGGGTAAGCTGGGGAATTTGAGAACTGTGGTACCGGTTGTTTGCTTTCGCGAAGCAGATTGGGACGGTAGTATGATGAGGTGAATCTCGTCCGACTAACTCACGCCTTGTGAAATGAACCTGACTATCGGGGCTCTCTTTCGCTCTTTACACCCTTGATCTAATTCTTGATCAACGGCCGCCGGATATCTTCGGTGTATGGAAACAATGGGTGCGGGAAATTTGGAACCCGCCCATGAGCCGTACCGTATCTACTAACCTCATGTTTCTCAATATGATAAAGGTAGAATTTGAAGGGTTTGTTTCGGTCGTCGTTATCCCCACCTTGGTAGCGGCGATGGTGCTCCTGGGGCCGTTGCCAGGGTCTCTATCCTGTATTGTAGTAATGCCGCTAAATGAGACGGCTGTCTAGAACACAGATTATAGACAGGGCTAGAAAAAGCCTGCAGGAAACCCAGACATTTAGAAAGCAGCCGAGCCTGATGGCGTTTCGCCCTGGACAGGAATCCCAGGACCACAACCAAGACTGCGAATAGAAGCGAGCAGCACTTATTATGCGCAAAGTAGCAGAAACCACCTGCTGCCCAAGGAAAACACATTTCAAGGGCGTGGTCTTGTCGTGTATCTGTTACCCTCTGGAGAGAGCAACGATCTGATATCTCGACACGCACCACCCCATTGGCCGCGATCAACTGGGGTTCGGTCAGCAGACTCAAGATTTAACAGTGTGTCGAGGGCAGGGGAGCATCGCCTTTTATCGTCCCAATGCAATTAGATTCACCATCCATCCTGTCACCTTCAAACCAGAACTTTTGAACCCAAAAAATAATCAAATCAACGGCGAAGGCTGTTTTGTAGATTGAGACATATGGACAGAGTCCCAGTGTGCGCGTGGTGTTCCATCCGCACCTTTCCTATTAAACAGTTAGTTGCCGTGTCTGGCAGCGGCGGTAATTGGCCAGTACGTCCTTTTTCTGCGCTTGTCACGGTTCCTCAATGTCTGTTTAGCTGCAGCTTCCGCAGTTCGTTGAACTTTGTATCCGGTCGTTTTGGCCATTGGTTGGATAAGAGGACTAGCAGTTCTCTAGGAGCGAAATCTGAGAAGAATACCCGGCATTCGTTGCTTTTCCAGAGATCCAAAATATCCCAAAACCCCCCTTGCTCTCTTCGCATCCGTTTGAGATTATACGATTCTTGGTGACAATCATGGGAGGGGGACTCGGCTGCAGCGCCTTATCTCTCCAGAGGACGCCTGGGTATAGTTAATCCAAATCGGTTCTCACAACGGTATCCCGACGATCATGGTCTGAGGACTCCACCAGGATTTTATTCCGTTCATAAGGCGGCAAACTCTCTTACATCCCCGACCTTCTGGGATGTTGTAAATGGGACCATGTGGCCTGGGCGTCTCCTCTCATTGGTATCACGTTTGGTCGCTCAATGTTGGGCAACTTCCTTCTGCACTCTCTTATGCGCAACGATTCGGTTATGCATGGTAGCATGCGATGTCGTGGTCCAGCCCAAATGGTCGACCTGCCGCCTGTTCATTGGCAAATTACGGCACCGTTGGGAAGCGGACGGCGCCCTAGATTTGCCTAGTCTGTTGAGTCTTCCGTTTGGGACAAGCTTCGCCTACAGGCTAACTATTCATCGAGTAACAGTATCAAGCTCCGGGGGCCCTTCAATGGCATGGGGATTCCTGTCTGGTTAAGCAATAGACGTGGATTCCAGCGAGAACCAACAAGATAACATCTACGTGGCACGATATGTGACTGCAGTGTTGAAGAAGCAACGTGGGGGAAGCTGGGGATTAGGGGACCATCAGTCCAAGCTCCTTGCAGAGTCGCAGCCAAGGCCAGCACCCCCCACGACTTTAGAAGAGAAACACTGGTGTGCTTTGCAGTTTCCCGTGTCGTTAATCTAGCAAAGGATTGGCGCAAGTGGTTTAGGCCCAGCAGCTTTGGCTTCACCAAGTGCGATGCTTGTGCCCAAATGGTATGAACATGTGCTCTGGCTATTGGTCGATATGGACCGGCCCACAGGGGCTTTACATGGGCCATCCGTGTTTACCTCACCTAGAGCAGCAGTCGGCAACGAGCTGGCGGGGTTGGCTCAATTGAGCTGCTCTTGGTGGGGTTGCTCTTTCAGGGTCCCAGGTAGTCCAGTGTTAATCTGCTTCACTTCTCAAGCATTGCGGTGCAATGACCGCATATCATTCTGCCACCCTTGAACCAACATACGTATATGCTACCTCATTGTCTTGCAAGTTGCGTACGACATTGCCATGTAGATAGTACACGATGGCTATGTCGAGTGACCTCCTGAAATATAGCTCGTCGTATTGGGAAATCTATATATCACTCGTGTGCTTCACGTCACGCGAATCCCTCTTACGGCCTTTCTCTTTCTTCTTGTCTTTCTATTCTCATTACTTTGCTCCCAATTCAACTTGCCAAGTGCTCCAGAAACGCTTCAACGCACCCTCTCTGCGCCCGAGCAATGAGAGAATACCATGGCTTCTCTTGGTGGTAACATGTTGCCCCTCGACTTCGATCTCAAAACTACCTTTGCTGGACTCAGCGCTGTCGCTCTTAGCGGCTTGCTGTTTTCCAAGCTTCTTTCCAAAAATGAAGAGAGCACCGAGGCTCCTGGCCTCTTCAAGTCCTTCTTCCTCTTCTTCTACTCCTGCTTCATCAAGCCGCACAGTGGCGACAAGAAGGGCAATCAGCAAGATGCCCTAGAGAGCTTCTACAAGAAGCAAGCCGGCGCTTACGATGCAACCAGGAAGGTCCTCCTGCAAGGTCGGGAGGACATGCTTGCGCTTGTCGCAGCGCAACTGAAGGCGAAGGCCCTTGAGAAGGGCACTAAGAACGGCGAGAAGACGAAGCGCATCTGGGTTGATGTAAGTCATCATCATCAATATTCCACGCTCAAACCAATGCTAACATGAATAACAGGTTGGAGGAGGAACTGGCTGGAACATTGAGGCTATGTCCAGCTTTGTCAACGTTCCCGAGTTCTTCTCTAGCGTCTACCTCGTTGATTTCTCTCCATCACTCTGTGAGGTTGCCCGACAGCGCTTCGAACGCCTTGGCTGGAATAATGTCAAGGTCGTTTGTGAGGATGCGAGAAAGTTCCGCTTGGAGGATTATGAAAATGATCTCCCGAACAATCGCATTCACCCGCGTTCCCCCGTCTTGAGCTACTTCTCCCACAAGCGCGCCGAGCATGGCGGTGCCGACTTAATCACCATGTCGTACAGCTTATCAATGATTGTATGTCTTCGCTATGCATGTTTGTTTCCAGACACTGACTGGCCTTTGCTGCAACAGCCCGACTACTACTCAGTTATCGACTCGCTTATATCTCTCTTGTCTCCTGACGGTGTAATGGGCGTCGTCGACTTCTACGTTCAGTCCAAGATTGACTTCGCTTTCCGCAACTACACTGGTGGACTTGTGGGACGCCACGTCAACTGGTTCCTTAGAACCTTTTGGCGTGCATGGTTTGACGTTGATCGAGTCGGCCTTGAGGCAAGCCGCCGGGACTACCTTGAATACAAGTTCGGCAGCATTCTCAACATCAACACACGCAACTACACTCTTGGCCGCATCCCGTACTACGTATGGGTTGGATGCCACAAGAAGCCCTTCTCTTCCACGAGTCTCCCCCATGAGATTATTGAGAAGATCGATGCCCTGGCTACTGAATCCCCTTATCTCTTCCCTGCCAACCAAGGTGATGCGCTCACCCGCGCAATCGAAAGATCTGCGCCTGAGATCCGTTCCAAAGCCTTCATGGCCGCAATTCAGAACCTCTCTGCAAACTTGCCCTTGCCTTCTTTCTTTTACCAGAATCACCACTGGCGCATCTACTACGACGATCAGCTTCAGAAGCACACTCAGTTCAACGATGAGTACATCTATGCCTTCACGTGGGAGGACTCGAGAGTTGATGAGCGCCTTCTCAAGCTTGGCTCGGACGATGTCGTGTTGGCCATTACCAGCGCTGGTGATAACATTCTCTCCTACGCGATGCAAAGCCCGGCCAGGATCCACGCCGTTGACCTGAACCCAACACAGAACCACCTTCTTGAGCTCAAGGTTGCATCATACACCGCACTCCCCTACGAGGACTTCTGGAAGCTGTTCGGCGAGGGCAAGCATCCTGAATTCCGCACTCTACTTCTTACCAAACTCTCTCCCCACCTGTCCAGTCGAGCCTTCCAGTATTGGCTCAAGAATGTTCACGTCTTCTCCAACACCAAGGGCTATGGTCTCTACGACACCGGCGGCTCCCGCCACGCCATTCGAGTCTTCCGTTGGATCTCGCGCATCTTTGGATGCCGCGCCGCTGTGAAGGAGTTCCTCTCCACAAAGACTCTCAATGAACAACGCGAGGTCTGGCGAAACAAGATTCGTCCCGCTTTGCTCTCCAAGCTCGTCTGCAACCTCGTCGTCAGCCAGGAGAGCTTTCTCTGGGCCGCTCTCGGAGTTCCCAAGAACCAGCTCGCCATGATTGAGAACGACCATGCCGAGAGCGAAGCTGTTAAGGGGCCCTCCCCTACGGCTCGCAAGGTTCGTTCCCATGCTATCTGGCGCTACATGGTCAATACTCTCGACCCCGTCGCCGAGCAGACACATATCGCCGAAAACAATCCTTACTACCATGTTTGCATGACTGGCGACTTCACCCGCCGCTGTCACCCGGACTACCTTTCCGAGAAGGCTCACGCCAAACTCTCGCGCCCCGGTTCCTTCGACGGTCTTCGCATCCACACGGATGAGATCGACGAGGTTATCAACCGCATAACCCCTGGCACGTTGACCGTTGCCGTCATTATGGACAGCATGGACTGGTTCGACCCTGGGGCCTCTGCCGCTGCTGCCCAGATTACGAAGCTCAACCGCGCTCTCAAGATGGGCGGTCGTGTCCTCCTGCGCTCGTCCGCCCTGAGCCCCTGGTATATCAAGGTGTTTGAGGCACACGGCTTCTCTCCTAAGCGTGTCGGCGCCCGTACCGACGGTGCCTGCATCGATCGTGTCAACATGTATGCGTCGTGTTGGATCTGTACTAAGGTAGAGAACCTGCCACCACCGACACCCGAGATGGATCGCATGGGCGGTTCCGAGATCACTAGCTTCTCTCTTTAAGCGTTAAGTGGCTACACTGCAACTTTGCTTACGAAGGCAAAGTGGCATGTCTGCTCGCTAAGGATTGTTGAGGATTTGAACTTTGAAGTTCTAGGGTTTATGGGACCAGTGATGAGTTGGGCAGAATGACTTATGAGGTTGGCTTTTCGTAGGATATCAAGAAATTAGTGAAAGAAACTGTTAGCGCTGAAAATATCGAAAATTGTATTGTACAAAAGCTTGAGTGTGTATACTGCGCCTCCATATGACTGTTCAGTGCTGTGCACTTGAAATTGTGGAAGTGTCTGATATGCTTCATTTACATGCTTTCCTCCAGTTGCGTCACCCGTAACATCCAAAGAAGCTGTACATGGATAGCTAAAGCTAGACAGATATTGTCGGTTATAACACCCCTGGCAGTGTGGATGGTAGCAGTGATAAAGTTGCTACGCTAACGTTGACGCTTGGCCGACAAAACGAAAGGTCACCCACCCTAGGTCCTGGTAACGCTGGATTGTCTAGGCGTCGTGGGCAGATACCTTGCCACACAGCAAACTGCAGCGCTGAATGCCTGACAATATGTTCGAGATCTAGCAAAACCTATAAAAGGCCGAGGTGAAATGGCTGTCACTGCGAAAAGACATGCTACAATGTGTTGATGATGTGCCATTTGCTGTTGTAAGCAATTGGGAGGCCAACTTTTTATTTGCATCTTCTGACAGCCGTAGTTAGTGCCTCCCGAAAGTATCGATGGTAGAAGTACTGAAGGCGTCTGAACCATATCCTTTGATACAATGAAAATGATTAGCATCTCATACTTTATCATTGGTTAGCTTGTACGGAGAACTTACGTACTGTTTGCACATCCAGATACAACACCAGCGACTGTCCCTAGCCTATGCTTAGCCTTCAATATTATCGTATCTTAACATAGTTTGTACCCTTATCAAATATGTTTCATGACGAGCACAGATCCTAAGCATTGCAACCTGTGTCTATGATAGATATGTCTAGGTGACTTGCGATGCTGCGTGGTTGATTCCATGCTTTGAGCCCCCCCGGGACGCATCCAAAGTGTAGCTTCTGTACGTGCCTAGTCGACGTGAAATCTTACTGCCTGGAGCGGTATTGAGTGATCCGTTGAACCACATTACATGCATGTAGCTTGATATACTGAGTCGGCGGTTGTACTAAATAATCACAGAAGCTATACTAGGGAGTAGTGAATGATAACAGAACGTCTTAAACAAATGTATTGACGATGCTGCCCGAGTATCAGCACTATTTTCAATTCAAAGAAATCAATAGTATCACTCAGGTAAAACCCGGAAAATGATATAGGAAAGAGAACAAACAATTCTATATGATCAGAAGATATCTGGATCTAGGTTGATGTGAGAACAACAGGGCACCTGAATACCAACTTATGGTGAGACGAGTTACTCAGCAGCACTACAGCGAAGAAACCTTAGAGGTTGGTTGGGAGCTACTGTACAGTTCCGGAGCTCTTGCTGCGGTACCTTAGTTCCACTGGTTTGCCGTGGGCCCTCAAGTACCTTCCGCGGCGTCGCTGCCGGAGAGCATCCCCCAGACTTTCCACCACGACGCCAGGGTGTGCCCATCACAGGCAACCAGGGGCGCTCGGCCCATTCTTCCACAACCACCAACCAATCCAGTCAGCCGCTTTGGCGTGCAGGGCGGCGCGATCTCGACTGCCAGTGACCCTCGACGTCAATTATCTGAACCTAAACATCAACATCCCAACCCATCTCAGTCCTCGACAAAGACGACGCGCATGATCCAATCTCATCAAGAGTTGGATCTCATCTGAGAAAACCGACCATAGGCAGCCCGCGATGCCTCCAGCAGCGAGTCAGAAGGGCACCGGCAAGAAGGCTGGGCCCAACGCCATGCGACAGCGCAGCCGCAACACCACCCCGAGTTCTGTCGTTCCGTCCGCCAGCCTGCCCCCCATTGAAGCTGTCGACACCGAGTATCTCGAGCTACGCGTCGAACAGTTCCGCAACCTCAACTATGACGACCTTGTGGATCAGGGCGCGTCCAACGCCGTCATGCCTGACTCCAAGAGCCTTGACGGCATGATCGCCCGCCTCCAACGCCTTCAAGAAACCATCGATAGGCGGAGCAACTTCTGCGATAGGGGCATGCGCATACTAGCTAACACGCGCAAGCAATATGTCAACGACGTCGACGAAGCCGCCAATGAAGGTGGAAAGACCGAGGGCGATTCCAAGAAGACCGGCAAGACCAACAAGAAGAAGAGAAAGGCCGCAGACACCCTGGCACCCCAGGATGCGGGAGTTGGTAGGTCACCTCCCTCTTTTAGACCCTCCGTGGCCTAGTGTCATTTTGGATTTTTTTTTCCCCTTGGTTTATTCGTGGGGCATCCAACGTTCATCGGGTGTTCATCTCGTCACCGCAAGTAATTCTCGTATTGGCCTCAGTACTGACCTCGCCCGCTGCTCCAGAGCGGTCATCCCCGCTTAGGGAATCCACTAAACCGCGAAAGCTTTCGCGCGACAACGATTCGGCCAGTTCTTCCTTGTCACCCGTCGCACCCGCCACGCCCTCAGCAATGGAAGTCGACGAAAAGACCAAAACAGAAGAAAATGAAGAGGAGGAGAGTTCAGAAGACGAAGGCGCGCCGCCCAAAAAGGCGCAACCCGCTGCCCACACTTTCGGCGATGATCCCTCGACCTTCCCCGACCCGACCGTTTACGAGATCCGCCCGACGCATCCTGGCATGTCCGATGATGAGTTGAAGGAGATTTACTCTGTCGCCGTATTTCCCAGAAGCGATCTGGCCGACCTCATCGCAGGAGATCCGCCCGACAAGGATTTCAGTAGTGCCAAGCCGAGCAACCAGATCAGCTTTTCAACCTTTTCGACGTACATGGAACCATACTTCCGACCCTTCGCCGAAGAAGATCTGGCTTTTCTCAGAGAGCGTGGCGACCGCGTGACGCCTTTTCACATGCCCAAGAGAGGCAAGAAACACTACACAGAAATTTGGGCCGAGGAAGATGGCGCCATGGCTCTCGACAACCCCCAAAATTCGCGCGAAAAGCTGGCGCCCAATCAGCCTCGCGGTGCAATTGACAACATGGACGATGAGGTGGCGGAAACGGATAAGCTCTCTGTCGGCCCCTTGCTGTCGCGATTGATGCAGGCCATGCGACCTGAAAATAGGCCACAGGCGGACGAAGAAAAGTCAGGTGCGAATGGTGTCACCAATGGCGATACCACCATGAATGGCAGTGTGAACGGCGACAACGCAGACGCGCAGCAGAGTTTCGGCGACGACAAGACAACGCCCGTTCCACCGGCAGCCTTTATGCCGGAATCGAACTCGGAGGCATGGAAGAAGGCCTCGCACCCCAAGCTGGAGTACTCGCAGGTCGACGAACGGATCAAGCAGGAACTGAGACATATTGGTTTCTTACCCCAGGAGGGAAACTTCGAAAGCGAATACGACGGCGCGTTCGATGATGAGGTAGCAGCACGGTTACGATCGTTGCAAGGTCGCCTACGGGAGCAGATGCTCATCAATGGCGCACGTAAAGCTCGACTCACGGAGCTTGTTAAGGAGCGTATGGCCCATCAAGAGTATCAGACAATTCTGGAGGATCTCGATTCGCAGGTGCAGGCCGCCTACCTCAAGAGGACACGCACGATGGGCAAGAGCAAAAAGAACAAGCGTCCAGGTGGAGCGGGAGGCGGCAGTCATGCAGTCGGTGGCGCGGCTGGTATGGCCAGACCAGGTATCGGCGACATGACCAAGACGCTGATGGAGCGGCGCAAGCGGTGGATCGATACGATCGGCTCTGTTTTCGACGACGAGAACTTGGGCAAGGTTCCTCGCAGCTCGGAGCCCGATTCTTCCATCTTCAAGTCCAACTTCATGGGTGATCTGATGAAGAAGGAGAAGCAACAGTGGGATGAGGAGGTGGAGGAAGAATGAACAGCTAGCAGTGCTGCTAAGCGTCCTGCGTGGATGACGGTGATATATGTTACGACTAGTACCGGCACGTCTTTGGTTTGAATTTTTTGGGTATGGGAGGCAGGCTTTGAGGGCGGTTCAGCCTTACACTTGGTTCGGGGGTGGCGTTTGGGCAAGCATAGAAGCCTGTAGTGCGAACAGGGTTTATTTATACCGAGTATAGTAAGTAGTAACCAAGACGCGGCCAGGCCGTATGAACGAAGACGAGATGTCGATGCTGCAGTTTCGTCCGGGCCACAACTCTTGAGAACAATGGATCACTGTGGCCGAGAATGAGGTCGGTTCATTAGATGCAAACTATTGTCTTCCTCCAAAAAGGTTATCCTTGTCATAAAAGCATTACACGGACTACTACTTCCAAGCAGAATTTCTTTGAACTAAAGAACATGATGGGTTTCCAAGTTTGATCGAACAAGAGGTACTCCAGATCAGCCCTTGAGGGGTCAGAGCAGTTTCGTCGTTCGGGGAGTTAATCTTCTTTCCATGGTGGTTTGTAAGGAACATCGCCACAGACCAGGGTACCGAACTTGTTTTGCGTTGCTCTCCACCAGGTTTCTTGGACTCTTGTGGCATCACACCACATCGTGGACCTGAAAGTCCATTCAAGGTGATTACTTAGGACGTACTTCTTTTGACAGTAGTATGGCGCGTCGTGCCAACCGACTATATGGCTACTCGGTGAGATGAAAGAGTCAGCCATCTCTTTGTAAGCTGGGGGGGAGGTATATAGATGGAGAGAATGAGTTGGCGTGGGGGGCTGGGAAAGAAAGACAAGGAGATTACTGACCAGGCTGGCGGCCACCACTTCCTCAATCCCTTCCAGAGTCTACCGCAGACGCCCGGGATGTCGGTGACATTGAAGGCGTTGATCATGTACTGGTAGCAGGGATCCTTATCACCACAACCTCTGGGGATAACGGTTTGTTCACAGCTGGTTCCTGTTTTCGGATAGAGCTCCTGTGCGCTTATACACACGCTTGCGCTGAGGAAGAAAAGAAGCGTTGTGAACCTCATTTTTCCCCGAGGGGTCGGGCAAGAGGAGCAGAGCTGTTGAGGAATTTTGGCGGATGTACGATGGCATAGGGTTGCGTTTATACAAGAAAAATCCCGGGGGAAGTTGGTAAGGCTTCTAGTCTGGCATGGTACATCCTACCCGGGAACCTTGAAAGGAGTAAGGTCATCTGCGGTATTATAAAGGTTCGTTAAAACCATATTCTACAAGAAGTTTGTTTCGGTTGTGATTGAGGACATTTACGGAAGGTGGTGCTTAGCATCACAATTTCTTGGATCGTGGCTAAGAAATATATTAACAAGTAGTTGTTTGATAGTGTTAAGCAGGAATGTAGTATTGCATTGTCTACTAGCTGGGTAGTCAAACCATAGGATTAGTGTCAAGAAAGGAGGACACTAGAGGAAGTATCAGACGAACTGCGCCCGAAACCCAAGCTCGAAATCTTATGTCTGGACCATAATGGACAGTTGAGACTAACATTTGGAGCAGGTGATTCCCCCAAATTTATTTTTTGTCGCCTCCCACCATGCAGCTTCGATCTTCCCCCTGCCACATACCAGAGAGGTCTCAAATTCCCACCGGAGCCTCCCAGGCTTGACCTCTCCGCAGAATGGCTTCTCTTTCTCTCGTGACCATGGTTTGCAACTGTACAATAATGTCAGTAACTATCAGTGAGGTTATAAAACGTAGCATTGGGAAACCTGACCCTGCTCCAAACTGCTTTAAGCCTTCCCAGAGCCTATGACAAATAGAGGGGATGTGATCGGCGACTTCATGAGCCTGTATTCCGTATTGGCGCGACAAGGGAACTTCATCACCCTGTCCGTAGAGCCCGCTATATATACAATAACAAGTCGCTTGAAGGTCATCACCCTCCCACTCCGCTGGCTGACGTTTCGGACCTGCAGATACTAGAGTGACTACTGCCAAGACAAATAGAGCTATGAAAGTGAGCTTCATCGTCAAAAAGTAATCACATTTACGTCTGGAGGAGTGACGGCTGACGACGCCACGAGATGGGGCACTTATAAGAACCAGGCGGTATGTCTCGATCAAAGTACAGTATGCAGTTAATTTATACCGAATGCTTTAGGTTTCTTGAGGCGCGTGCTGACGGTGCGCCTTAATAGCGGCCAACCTTGAGAGGCATCGTTCGTGAAGCTCTTCCCATCCAGCTGAAGTCGAAACGTTCAATCTCCATCCACATGTCGGAACAAGCATAACATGAGATACTACTTTAGGCCTTCTCACATGGGGCGGCTCCAAACTTGTGCTTTGTAGCGTCCCACCACGTTGCCTCAATCATTCCCATGTTGCAACCCAGTCCGGTTTCGAACTCCCATTGGAGCAATCCATTGTCCGCCTGGCGGCAGTAGTGTTTGAAACGAGTAAATGACCAGACTCTGCAGTAACTTGTTAGGAGACCTTCAGGTTCTTGGTGTAGTGCCTATGAATACTTACCCGCACGTCCAAAACTGCCTCAGTTCCTTCCAAAGCCTGCCGCATACGGTTGGAATGTCTTCCGTGACGTTGTAGGCGTTGAGGTTATAGCGGTACTGAACTACAATGGGCTGGCCCCCGATGTAGACAGAACCCGTACCCACCTGTTGACACCAGTTTTCCTGTTTCGACGCCAAAGAGCTTCCTGCCTGGGTGAGAACCGCCACATGAGCAAGGAAGGTTGAAGGCTTCATTGCAGAAGGTAGGGGTAATCTTGCTCAATGTCGGTTGCCTCGTAACAAGTTAGACTTCGTGTGGGTGAAGGCGAAGACAGAATTGACTTAAACATAATGAGAAGAAGATTATGGCGGTAAAGTATTGAAGTCTATTACTTGGTTTATACAGTAAGTGGCCACCATAACGAACTATGAGGCTCCGTCCCGTTGAGGTTCGAGTCTTTAAACCAAATGTTTCCGAATTTGCCTGTACAATCAGCTGTCTTGCTTTAAATTGAACAAGAGCTCGTGCAACATGAGAGCGATTCGGCAATACTTCGATGGGGTCGGCAGTATGGCGCAGCATTCAAGGGTGGACATTGACAGCTTTGTCAAAATCAACTTACGGCTACGCTACTGGAAGCGCCCTTTATGTCACCCTTTCACTAAGGTTCCATCTATTACTCCAGTTCCAGGCGCTTTTCATCACATTTTCTTCGATTGTCAGGTGGCGAACAGACGGTGCTGTCATCTGCAGACGCAAACTTGCCAAAGAGACTGCTCCCCCCCTGCAGAGCTGGTCACCCGAATATATCTTGAGCGAAAGGGATACCCGAGAATGGGCAAAGACGGCGGCGAGTTTACATCAATGGCCACTTTGACAATAATGAGGCCAGCAGGTGCTGTTCAACCACTACTCGATTCTACATGCCCTCCCTTTCTCCACGTCCAAAGAATGAAGTTATATATCCCATATAGAAGTCTTCCTTCACCACCACCCTTACATCTTTGTTTCTTCTTGGCATATACAACATGTACGACATCGCTCCAAAGTGGCAAATAACCAGGGTGGATTGAGATGGTTGCTCGTCTGTTGTTTTTCAGCGCAATGGAATTTCTCAGACGGTTGGTCGGTCTCATCCATAAGAGGCTCTCAATGCGCAAAACCGGCAAGTAAGGTCACCGCGTCGAAACCGACGCCTCGAGCATATCCCCCTTTTGTCGACTTGTTTGCCTCCTGGCACATGCTATCACTTACCGTTACCGAGAATTCGGAACAAGTATGGCAACTTCAAACTGTTGTTTTGCCACGCTTCCTCGCAGTTGTCTGTCTGATGCTGGCAGGATAACCGACCAAACGAGAAACAGCGTATATGTCCCTCCTTATACTTACTGCATGTTGGGTCTTAATCGTATGGTGCATTTTACACGAAATCTGGACTGACCATCTCATCAGTTGCTCCAATCGACGGATTCCATCGACTCGCCATCTTCGTAGTAGTGACATAATTACAACTGTTCTCGGGCAATGAAGCGATGAGTTGATGAGGACTCGGATGAACGGCATGCATGGGTACTATGTAGACATATATGCTCGGAGAAACGCCCGCAGGATTACAAGCGGCGGCCCGACGCATAAGATGCGCTCAAGCTTATCGCCCGAAATTGGACGTAATGCCTATTATACAGTCGTAAAGCTTGTATTGGTGGTTTGGTGCCTACCCCCCCAGGGAGCTCCCCTGTGCGGGGTCATGTGGGGCCTATCAGAGGTCTGCTCTCTGCCGAATCTCGAGGCATAGAGCCCCCGGCCGGGGCCTTATCAATCATTCCACTTGGCCGCCGGTCCAGGCCTGAGGGCCACAAATGATCTGGGCGCGATGGCTATCTCCGATGTCCCAGAGGCCATTTGGGTCCTCTGACGCCACGCTGAATTCAGATTGATTTTTGGTCCTTTCACCATCAAACAACGTCAACTTCTAGAGCGTGCTTCAGAGAAGCTCTGGTTCGAAGTTACGGTCGCCAGGATGCATCTCATACCAAAGGAGGTTTGTGGCCATCTCATCTCCAGTTTCTCTCTTATACATCCCTGTCGCCTTGGCGGCCCAAAGTGACTGAACAGCATGTTAACGTAAGACATCGCGATTGTAGCTCGATAAGCTCACCATCTCTCAATTGGGCTTCCTGGCTCAGCGTCGTCTTGCCCGGGGCGTCAAGTTGAACCACGCAGAAGCAACGGTATGTAAATACCCTTATGCGGCCATATCGCTGCTGTTCAAAATCTCATGCGCTAACATGCGATAGGCTCTCATCGCAAACAACTTGCAAGAACTCATTCGCGATGGCAACCACACCGTGGCCGACTTAATGAGCCTAGGCGCTACGATGCTCGGCAGGCGTCACGTCTTGCCCGCAGTATGTAGTACTCTTCATGAGATCCAAGTTGAGGGCACCTTTCCCTCTGGAACCTACCTGGTAACGGTCCACAACCCCATCTCTTCGGACGATGGAGACTTGGCACGCGCCTTATACGGAAGCTTCCTCCCAGTGCCGAGTAACGATATCTTCTCACTGCCCGAGGTGGCAGTGTATGAGCACAAGAAGCAGCCCGGCGCAGTGGTGGTTGCCTCGCGCCAAATCACACTCAGCCAAGGTCGGAACAGAATCAGACTCAAGGTGACAAGTAGGGGTGACCGTCCCATTCAGGTTGGCTCACACTACCACTTCATCGAGACGAACCCACAGCTAGAGTTCGACCGCGGGAAGGCGTATGGTTACCGTCTGGACATTCCCGCCGGCACCTCAGTGCGATTCGAGCCCGGTGATGTTAAGACCGTCACCCTAGTTGAGATTGGAGGAAACAAGGTCATCCGCGGCGGCAACAGGCTGGCCACAGGTGGCGTCGAGCGCTGGCGCGAACAAGAGATTGTTGAAAAACTACAGCTGGCAGGGTTCGCCCACGCCCCGGAACCAGAAGCTATCATGAACTTCACCGAGCTGTTCCAGATGGAGCGATCCGCCTACGCAACCATGTTCGGCCCCACGACGGACGACCTGGTCCGGCTCGGTAGCACTGATCTCTGGATCCGCGTGGAAAAGGACTTCACCGTGTACGGTGACGAGTGCAAGTTCGGCGGCGGAAAGACTCTGAGAGAGGGCATGGGCCAGGCTACAGGCCGACCAGACTCGGAGTCGCTCGATATGGTTGTCACGAACGCTCTCATCGTTGACTGGTCAGGTATTTACAAGGCCGATATTGGCGTCAAGAACGGCATGATCACGGCTATCGGGAAGGCGGGCAACCCGGACGTGATGGACGGCGTGACGCCCAACATGATCGTGGGCAGCTGTACGGACGTCGTTGCCGGCGAAGGCAAGATCATCACAGCCGGCGGAGTCGATACTCACATCCACTTCATCTGCCCTCAGCAGGCAAACGAGGCGGTCGCCTCTGGCATCACCACTATGCTCGGCGGCGGAACTGGACCTAGTGCCGGCACGAACGCGACGACATGTACACCAGGCAAGAACTACATGCGAGACATGCTTCGGGCCTGCGATTCACTACCTCTCAATATCGGTATCACCGGAAAAGGCAACGACTCGGCACCCGAAGCCTTGCGTGACCAGGTCAACGCCGGCGCATGCGGACTCAAACTCCACGAGGACTGGGGTACTACACCGGCGGCCATCGACACATGTCTCAGCGTCTGTGACGAGCTTGATGTGCAGTGTCTCATCCACACCGACACGCTCAACGAGTCGGGCTTCGTCGAGTCCACCATCAACGCCTTCGCCGGCCGCACCATCCACACGTACCACACCGAGGGTGCCGGTGGCGGCCACGCACCGGACATTATATCCGTCGTCGAGCACCCCAACGTGCTGCCGTCGTCGACGAACCCGACGCGGCCGTACACGCGCAACACGCTCGACGAGCATCTGGACATGCTCATGGTCTGCCACCACCTGAGCAAGAACATCCCCGAGGACGTTGCCTTCGCGGAATCCCGCATCCGCGCCGAGACCATTGCCGCAGAGGACGTGCTCCATGATCTCGGTGCCATCAGCATGATGTCGTCCGACTCGCAGGCTATGGGCCGTTGTGGCGAGGTTGTCCTGCGCACGTGGAATACGGCTCACAAGAACAAGGTCCAGCGTGGCTTCCTGCCCGAGGACGAGGGCACTGGTGCCGATAACTTCCGCGTCAAACGGTACGTGTCCAAGTACACCATCAACCCGGCCGTCGCGCAGGGCTTCGGGCATCTGGTCGGCAGTATTGAGGTCGGTAAGCTCGCGGACCTGGTCGTCTGGGACCCCGCTTGGTTCGGCACCAAGCCGAGTCTGGTCATTAAGAGCGGCCTCATCGCCTCGGCGCAAATGGTAAGTCTGGTCCTAATCGTTCTGTTGGCCACGAGTACACGCCAGCTAACTCACTTCCGCAGGGTGACCCCAATGCGTCCATCCCGACGGTGCAGCCCATCATCGCGCGGCCCATGTTCGCGCCGCTGGTCCCATCGTCATCCGTTCTCTTCGTCTCAGCTTCCTCCATCAGCTCCGGCGCCATCGCGTCGTATGGCCTTAAGAAGCGCGTCGAGGCTGTCAAGAACTGCCGCAACGTGGGCAAGAAAGACATGCGCTACAACGACAGTATGCCCAAGATGCGCGTCGACCCGGAAAGCTACGAAGTAGAGGCCGACGGTGAGGTCTGCCGCGCTGAACCTGCCGAGGAGTTGCCTCTGACGCAGGCCTTCTACGTGTATTAGGGGACACACGTCGAAGGCTGAAAGCATTGAGGAGTACGGAGTAAAGGAATGGATAATGGGGGTTGATAGGGAATGATCTTGGATAACTAGCACCTAATTCTCGGCCATGCGAGGGGAAGTTGTCATGCATAGATTATATGTTTGGGGAGTAAGAGCATAGGCGCGGGCGGAGCCTTAATGACACATAGACGTAGCATTTATGAACCAGCCACAAAATCAATTGGCTTTTTTTAATTTTGCCTTTCAGACTTGGAGAAACATCTGGTAAACAATGTGATCCCGACTGGTATAAACGCTACTTTTCGCGTCTCAGAAAGGATGGACAGTCTCAAGTGACGATGCCCAAGGAGAAACGCTTGTCAACATTCTCAGGGTAGTATGTTGTCATCGCCGAAATCTTCTGGTAACATCTCACATAAGATCGTCTTAAATACAAAATGTCACAGCAGGCGTTCAAGTAACGATCAAATTTTTGTTGATTCATGTCCATCATTATACATACAGGACACCCGAAACAAGGGGCTCAACAGCAAAACAAGCCAACCCGACCCCGAAGCCGTCGATCCATCTCGCTCGCCTCCAGCTGAGCGTTTTGTGTTCCTCACGTACCCGTTGAGATCCATCCTGTACCACGCCTGTAAATCATACACATTGCGTGCAAAAGAAGAAAAAAATGCACGCAACGACTAGGACCTGAGCAGAAAATGGCCCATTTCCCTAGTTCAGTCCATTGACATGTGCGCCGGCAAAATGGGCGGTGAAGGGACCGCTAGTACCGCGCATTGAGGTATCATCTTTGCAAAAATATAGAAACCCAGAAAAAGAGAACAAAACTCGATCAAGAATGCTTAGTTCTTGCCCTTCTTGCTCCGGCTCTTCTTCGCAGGCTCGGACTCAACAGCGTCGGCAGCCTTCGTGGAGGTGCGGCGACGCTTCTTGTCAGGGCTGGCAGGGGTTCCGGTGTTCTTAGCCTCAGTTTCCGCAGCGGGTGTAGCAGTCTTGCGCTTGCGGGTAGAAGCAGGCTTCTTAGGGGTCTTGACAGGGGCGGGAGCCTCCTCCTCATCCTCATCCTCGCCAACGGCATCAGCAGAGTTGCCCTGGGTCAGCTGATCGGCAATGGCCTCGTTCTCATCGGGAACAACATCAACGGGGTTGATCTGAATGTTGTGCTCCTCAGCGTACTTGAGAGCAGCATTGTCGTCCATTAGTCTGGCCTCAAGGTTGCCACCCTGCTTGTAGGCGTGGACACGAGCCTGGTAGAGACGGAGGTTGTACTGGTATGCGTTGTTCCAACCCTAGCGCCAAGTTAGTACATAGGACAACAAAGGTGTATTAAGAGTTGAAAACTTACGGCCTTCTCACTGGGATTCATGGCCTTCCAGCGGCGCTGACCTTCCTCCTGGACGGCACCTTTGGGAGCAGACTCGCCAAGGTCACTAGCAATGATGGGGCGAGCGGTTTGCATGTACAGGAAGTAGGGGGTCAGAGGGCGCTTGGGAGCATTGGGGTCGTGAGTGCGCTTCTTGCGCTCCTTCTTCTCCTCAATAGGAGCAGGGTGGTAGGCAGCGCCGGCAGGCAGGCCAAGGGCCAGGGGCGCGATGTTCTGGGCGACAGCATGCTCGAGATTGACGAGCGGGTGGTCAATGCCGGGAATACCTTCGTTGGCAGACTCGCCAAGAAGAAGACTGGTCTGGCGGTAGTAGTCCTCAGAGAAGTTCTTGATAAGCTCCAGAATAGTAATCAGGCGCTGGTGAACCTGAACAGAACAGTTAGCGTCTTGTCATGAGAAGTCTTGATGAAAATGGGCGTGAAGCTATAGCTGCAGCTGTCTGAGGCGGGGCTAGAAAGCTTCTGTGGGTCACAGCTTCTAAGAAGACGCGGTGTTGACTCGGGACATGTAAACAAAAGGTATTGTAGTCTAGAGCGACACCGCGTCTTATGCAAATGTGACTGTGTCAAGAGAATGGGAAATGTTCAATCGCGGCTGCTTGGCATTTGCAGAAGCAATTGTGCATGAATTTTGCAAAACATAATGTGCGAATCGCACGGGAAGTGTTGCTGGGAGCGAAGCGCGTATGCCAGAGATGAAGCTGGTGCGAATGCGCCCAAAGCAAAGAGGCCTATCCATTTGATGGTCTGCCAAAAAAACAAACGCTGGAAGTCCAGCAGCGCGAAATTGGGAGAAGTGGGACAAGGGAAAAGGTTCTCTTACCGAGTCGCGAACGCGGATGAAACCCTCGACATCAATGTGTCTGTGAGGAATCTGGACGGGAACAACAGGCTGGGCAGGCGCAACAGGAACAGCAGCGACAGGAGGCTTGGGGGCCTCAGCGGCGGCCTTCTTGGAGGGGCGGGGCATGATGATGGTGTTTGGTTGTGGTGAGGTGTTTTAAAGGCCAATGGGCGCTGTAAACAAGATGCTTTGACGCGACGATAGTAGCTGTGTTCGCTGGAGAAAATAGGTTGCGACAGCAGAGGGCGCGATGTGGGAAAAGGCTAGGGGATTGGGGGTTGAGTGCCTGGAAAGTGAAGAAACGGGGGAAAAGAGAGGGAAAGGTTGGGAGGTTGGGGGAGGGCCTGAGCCGAATATGTAGTGCAGCCTGCTTGGGAGGGGTTTGGGAGTGATCTGGCGCACCTTTGGGGGGATGAGGGGGGCAAGAGCGAAAAAATAAAAAACTCGGGCAGGTACGAGCTCGCCCAAAAAAAATTCTGAGCGGCCTGCGCCTGGCCTGCCTGCCCAGGGCTCTTGCTCTAGCTCCAGGCCTTCCGAGCAGCACCACCTCCAGCTTACTCCTCCTCACTGCTCCCATCCAATGCAAACCTTCCGTTCAATCACATCATGCGACACGTAAAAAGTGCCTACCACCCCTGCAGCCCCCAGGAGAGGGCATCCACCAGCACCTCTAATCAGTAAAAAAAAAAATCCCTCGACCATCGCCCGATCGGTCTCGTCTAGCTGTAATGCCCCAGCTATACCGTCGAGCCCCTCAGCATTATGGTTTTATTTCTGTGACAGAAAAAAAAAATAGCAGGACCCTCTCCACCACCAGCAAAGTGAGTCTAGCTGCCCCGACTCTCAGGGCTCTCTCAGGCTCCTCTTCAGAGAAGCGCCTATTTTCAGCAATCTGTCCATATCATAGCAAAAGGCCAAACAGCACCCACCTGCCGAGGCCACCGGCAACAATGGGTCCAGGGCAGGACAATTCAGGCCACCCAACACAATCCCACCTGAAAAGGGCCATTGAGAGGCCGTGGTCTCGTGCTGCAAGCTTGCCTTTGCTGTACCCGCCTGGTCCTTCCCTTACCTCACCGGAAAAAGGTACCTACGACAGGTACCCGTCTTCCACTTACCTGCCTTTCCCTTCGGCTTCCGCGCAATTCATGTGCTCTTGCCGCCCCAGGACCTAACCTTCCGGAGCAATGTCTTTTCGATGTACTGTGCTAATACAAGAACCGGAACGAACTGACCATTATTGCCAACTCTTGGGGACATTCAGTTTATTTAATGGTTATTTATGGGTTCTCCCGATCAGCCAGAACATGTGCATCTTCTGTTCGTGGCCGTTGCGGTCTCTTTCATCCTCTGGGCGCGTCCTTCGCAGCGCTGGACCTTGATCTGATGCTTCGGTAATACTTCCACTGGACCTCTAGAGGGTTGAGGGCATGGTAATGGTGACGGGATGTTTTTGCACTTACCCAATTTTTTGGCGGGCGCCCACATTTCCTGTGTGCACCATCACACACCTCATTAGCGATCAGGCCTTGCCGCCCAATGAGGGCCCTAGAATTGGGGCACCTTCCTCCTATGTGGCTTTGCTTGCTGCTGGTGAAAAAAAAAAAACATAACAGACCGGGGGGAGGCACCCGACCGAGTGCAAGCACTGCCCCCTCAGGGGGCCCAGCGAGACTCACTCGAGGTGCCCGCCCAGCAATAGAGGCTCCTCCATTAAAGCAGCAAGGTATTAAGAGAAGCGTTGGGTGCCTGTCCCCGCCTGTGTCTGCCTGAAGAAAAAAAAAATTGCTGGCCCTTGGGCGACCCTCCAGTCGACCCCGAGAATTCCCTTCCTCCCATCACTGCCCGGCAGCGGCCGACAGCGGCCAAGTTCTGACTCTGTCTCCACCGTACTGCCTGACCTTCCCCCAATTTCTCGCCAAAAATCAGAACAACGGCCCCGTTATCGCAGCATGCTTGACACTGGTGCGTCAGAAGGCTGCCCAGTAACGCCAGCTCTTTGTTCACCCAGGCTTGCCTCTGTTCTCACCTTGTCTGTTCAGTGGCCTCCCCTTCTCTCTTATTTCCACTTGTGGTGGTGTTGTTATGCTGTGAGGTTTCTATTGTCTAGCACCTGCTTCTCATCTACCCGCTGTCCGTTCGGGGCATCTGGCAGGTCTTTCTCACATGCCAACATTCCATTTAGAGGCCCTCCCTTCTTCCAAGCGAAGTAAATATTCTGTCTAGCCAGTGTGTCCTCGGTCTGATCAGCTCCAAGGCCTGGCCATTCAGGCTCCTCCTACTGAGAGCTCGCCTTAGTGAGAATACACTGCCACCAGCTGGCTCCATTTGCCTGTGAAGCTGTCTTCGAGCGACTCTCTTGAGCCCGATGCCTTCTTATAGTAACCCTCTGTGAACTGATTTCCATCAGAACTTGAGGCCTTGCTGCGAGCACCTCCAGCAGCCTCCTTCCCATGACATTTCAGCGAATGATGCCTAAAACAAAGTGTCAACTCAACCATTCCTGTCTGGCCATTCCCGTCTGAAGTTTCACACTGCCCCTAGATTTACCTACTTTACTCAGCACCGGCTGCCGCCCACAAGTGCTCGAAGTTGTCTACTCTCTCGCTGTACAAGCCACCAAACCGTCGAGACGACTACCTGTTGTACCAACTGCAGCTCCTGTACACGAGTCCAGCCTGGTGTTCAAGCATATCCGACGACCCTCTGTTGATAATACTAATCACATCAGCCAACATTATGTACAATATTTTGACACGTATGTGAGCCTGGATTTTCCCACCATATGCAATGAAAGAGATGTACCTAGTATTTCCTTAATCTCAAGCTTGCTGGAGGTTTGCACTGGCTACATGCTCAATATTCCTTGAGTCGACTGCCTATTCGCCCCAACGAGGACTTCACTGAGTCGGGATGACGGTAATAAGAGAACATGGCAAGGAAGCCCGGCGCGCGTTTGTTGTTTTGAACACCCAGCCACCGCACTATCTAGCACTCTGCCGCCACCACTACAGAGCCTTAAGCTTCAAGACAGATCGCGCCGATGCCTAGAGATGATTGACAGCGCTTCACCGGTCCCACCAAGTCATCACCGAACCTCACCGGCACATTGCAGCTCTCACCTTGAGCCTGAAAAGGCCTCGACGCGCCTGACTCAAGTGGCCTGTATAATGATCATCCCTCACTTGATATGGTAATGCCAGAATTTTGAGTTGCCTTTGGAAATGTCAACGTTGGCTTTACGTATCCAAGACATGATAAACAATTTGCTGGACGAGACAGTATTTTTTGGAGTTTTTTCTTCTTCTTGGCACTTGGCTGTATCACAGGCATTCAATTACTTGAGCACGTTGGTATGATCCAATGAACACCACACAACACGGGCTTCAAAAGAGGGAAAAAAAAATTAACTTGGCAAACCCCAGCAGTAATATTTGTAGTTTTTTTGGGGCACATACTCTGAGTTGTGCCAACCAAGTGCCTCGAGTGAGCATACTACCTAATTACTGTGCTACTCTATTGCCGTGCTGCACGAACACGTCTTTCTCGCCTAAGACGACTGGACCACAGCATCGTGGCGCGACTCTGTACCGAGCCACAGCGCTCTCTGTAACGGCATGTCTCATGCCCTGTCCTTGGGGGGTCGTTCGTTGCTTGAAAGACAAAGAAGAAGCCGAGCTCGTATTTTCGCGGCGAGTATCACTACATGTGCAGATATCGGTGGACAGTCTCGAGTTGAACGCGTTCGCGTACTCCCAGTAGGTAAAGATTCGTCACAGCTACGACTACAATCGCGGCTTGAGGCTTCTTCATTTTGGATGGAAAGCAACCGACGTTAACGGCTCCTGTAACGGCCAAGCTAAGTTGTGATGGATGGTTCGCGTCTGGCTAAAACGAGTAGTGAGGGGAAGACATACATGCGTCATGACAAGCATTCGCACCACCTTGCCAGTGAGACTCACGCACTCACGGAAGCACTAAACTATCTTGCAATGCACGTTCAATTGGGAAGGCTAGCGACAACTATAACGCGGCTGTCGATCGCGCTGAACAGCAGGTAAGCGCTGCTTGTCACTTTTGCCATGTTTGTGTCTATGTCCATGTGCATGTGCCTGTATGTGTAGGTGAGTTGTATGTGGCCGCCCATGAAGCAGAAGCTGGTGAGCTTCCCCTCATTCCATCCATGACACAAGGCGATAATCCCCCAGTAATAGGCTTGACCGCCAACCGTCTCATCCCGGTTTGAAACGAGACCCCATCAATTTCAATGGAGACATCAACTCACTGGAGGTAGCCCATTGGCAGCGGATCGACCCCGCGACCCTCCAACAGCCGCGGTGAGATGCGCAGGTATCTACCGCACGGTGATGGAGAGAGAGAGAGAGACAGGTGACAGGGGTTATCACACAAGACACTCTCGATTCCTATTTTCAGTTTGGGTTCGCCTTCAGCCTGTGCTGGAAGCTGGCCAGGGCGGGCGACAGCTGTCGACGGCTCATCCGAAACTGAGCTTGGTGTGCGTATCCACTCCCGCAATAAAAAATAGTAAGAGTATTGATGCGATGACCCTCTCCCTGCAAGAAAATGGAAGGTCCATTGACGGACGCACCCGCAGCTTCCACTTCAGCTAAAACCTGTAATGGAGATTATCCATTCGCGCCTTCCCTTGACAGTGAGTGTGGTTCTTTTGCATGACTTGAGAGGAGGACAACCACAAAAGAAGGAGAAGAAAAAGATAAGAAAAAAAGAAAAAGAGGCGGCAGTCATCAACGCGTAAATAAATGGTAACTGCATCATCACTCTTCGTTTTTGAGTATCCGGTGGTTTTCACACTACACCTTACCAAACCATCAACCTGTCAGAGAGACTTCGGATTATCCAGACCCCAAGGCGCACACGGTAAAGCTCTGGAGTACTTCCTACTCCCTTGCACAAGCTTCAGCTGGCCAAGGTCTCTCAGTCTGACGCGCCCGCCGGACAGTTAGTACAAACAGCATCCCGAAAGACCGACGATCACCTACCAAATCCACAGCTGGCTTGAGCTTGATGCAGACCCCTGCCCCATCCGACCTGCATCTGCCGCCGTACAGCTGTACCACCCAGTCACCATCGCTGGGCTCCCTCTGGAGGTACCTCGCTCATGTATGTGTCTGACGCTTATTTCTCAAGTACCGGCCCTCCCAGCACCAAATCATCAACTGCAACCATCTCCCCTGCTTTTGAACCAAGCTCCCAATCGGCATCCGCAAGCCCCTCCGTGCTGCCCACTAACATTGGTGGGGGAGCGCCTTGGCGGCAGCTATTGCGCAGTAGTATGATGCCATGGCACCTGGGGCTTGGACCACAGACCACCTTAAGTCCCTCTTTGACGCTAGAAGGTGGGGGATGTGAGAGGCGCGAGGGAGGGGCACGCAGACACAAGCATCAGATCGTGGATTCCACTGGGCGGGCTGGAACTGATCCAGTCCTTGGTTGCCACTACGTTACTGGAAGTACCGACTGGCTATGCTTGATTGCTTGTTGGCCCTCCTGTTCGGATGTGCTTTCTTGCTTCTGATGGCTCCGGATTCCAAGTTCCCCCATGCTCCCCAAAGCTTGGAATACCGCAGTAACGCCTTCGTGTTGCCCCTCCACCGCCCTCCCAGTCCTCAAAGCGCCCCTCATTTCTTCACCCCTTGTTTGTGTCATCTCTTTCCGTCTTCTTATTTCATGACCACCCCTCCCTCCTGCCGTCTCTTCGTCTTGCTTTTACGAAAACCCCACCTCGCCTTACCCAACTACTAAACTGCGTCTACAGGACCGTGACGAACATACCCAACTGAATAACAGAAAGTGTGAGGATCCGAAATACAGCTCATCATGCTCGACGCCAGGTCCTACCCGCTGCTGGTTGGCCTGATCGTGTTGGTCTGGCTTGCCCGGCCAACCCACGCCTTCGGAGCTGGTAACATTGCCAGCATCTCCAAGATTGAGGGCCAGAACTGTGAGCTTATCGCCGGCCACCTATTCTTCGGTCTGACATAGAAACTAATCCCTTGGGAACAACAGGGCGCCACGGTGACATTGAAGATGCTCTCCTCACCATCGCCATGGCCCGCGCCATGAACGGCAAGAAATTTAGCAAGATGATGGTCTCTCGTGTCTACTTCGGTAACTGGCTGCGAGACTACTCCCAGGCCATTGACGTCGGTACCGTCAAGTCCGTGTCTGCCGAGGCCATTCGCCTTCTTCTCTGCGTTCTGGGCTTCCTGACTTTCGGTTACGGATCCAAGGAGTTCGAGGTCACCGCCGACAGATTGGGATGCTACCGTCCCGAGGACCACATCGACAACCCTAAAAACTACGCAGACAATGCGGACGCTCGCCAATATGACCGTCGTCTGAGAGGTCCCGTCGACGAGGGTACTGAACTTGCCATCGATGACCGCACTGGCATGAAGAACTACATTGCGAATGAGCAGGCTGGCATCATGACTTCTGCTGCCCACGTCCGCAAGCTGTTTGGTACCTGCATCGAGCTTGCCCGAGGATACGCCCGCAATAAGAATGAGGCCGATCTTTACGAGGCGATGCGCCTGATGGGTACTGGTCTGCACTGCTTGGAAGGTACGTTTGGTATGCAATGCTGTATCGACATTTGGCTAACCACCCAATGAAGACTACTTCGCCCACAGCAACTACACCGAGCTTGCCCTTATCGAAATGGGTGAGCGTGACGTGTTCCCCCACGTTGGCAGTGACACTCGCATCAGACTTGAGGGTGCTAGAGACGAGGTTTACCCCATTGTTACTGGTACTTTTGGCGGTGTTGATTTCCTCCACTCCGTCACTGGCGAGGGTAGGTTACGAAGGAACTGTGTATCCAAGAAGCGCAGCTAACAGGCGAGGCAGTCTCGGACAAGCTTACCCAAAACGAGATCGAGGAGCTCGAGGGCACCCTCCAGGAGAGCAAGAACAACGACACTAGCATTCTGCGCAACCTGTTGGATATGATTCCCGACGGTATCTTTGGCGGTAAGCACCAGAGCAACCGAGTGGACGAGCTCCAGAGCAACGCCACGTCGTCGCAGCTCCAGAACATGCAGGTCTCTCCCAGAGACCCCGAGGAGTTCACCCGATACATTCAGGATGTCTTTAAGCAAATCATGCCTGCTATTGAGTTCCATGACGAAATCCTTCAGGGCATCTCTGAGGCCGTTGAGAAAATTCCTGTCCTGCCCAAGATTTTGGAGCAGCTCGAGGAGCAACTGTCCAAGTTTGTCTTCTCTCTCATCGCCCCCTTTATCCTTCCCGTTATCACCCAGATCCGCAACGAGCTGCGCACTGGTTCTGCTGAGATCATTGAGAGCAGTGAGAGGGAGCAGCACGTCGTCTTCGAAGATGACCGTTGCAGTGACCCTACCCACTCCATGCTGTCCAAGGACCACTTCACCAACGTAAGATGCCCCTCTCTATAGCATGCAAATACCAAAAAAACGAAAAGAGCAAGAACTGATACGATCACAGATTCTGAACGAAATTGCCGGTCGCTGCGCTGCTTTGACGGTCCAGTGGGTTGTTCCCCAGCTGATGGAGGCCATTGATGATGAGGGCGTTGATGTTAACCGCACCTTGAACCGCATTATCTACGGTGTTCTGCACCACCCCGCCCAGCGCGATATGGGAGACGACGGCGCTCGCGAGGGTCGCCAGAAGATCTTCCGATTTGTCGAGGAGTGGTGGAACAACATGGACCGAAGCCAGCAGGATGACTACCGCCGCAAGCTCAGCCGCGAGGGAGTCCAGCGTGGAGAAAACCACAAGGAGGGTCAGCACGACACTGGTCACGGTCACGGTTGCAACGGAAAGCTTCACATGCGTAAGCAGTTCGGCGAGCCCAAGACCTGGGAGGACAAGGTTGCCGATAAGGCTGCCGGTGCCATTCTGGAGGGTGCTTCGGGCGCCCTTGCCGGCCTCGTGCAGCAGCAGACTGGTGTTAAGGTTCCCCAGTATAAGCACCAGAGCGAGCAGGAGGAATCCAGTGGTGGTGCTGGCGGGCTCATCGGATCCATCCTCGGAGGTGTCTTTAAGAAAGACGAGACCGAGTCTCACCACAGCAGCCGTCGCGATGACGATGGCTCTTACACACAGACCACAACAGAGTACGGCCACCACGGCAACAAGTATGGTCAGGCTGAGTACAGCGAAACCCAGTACTCGGGCGGTGGAGGCCGCTCCGAATACCGCCGCTACGAACAGGAGGATAGCCACGGCGGACGTCAGACTAGCGGCTACGGATACCAGGAGACCACGGAAACCAGAACTTCCTATGGTGGCGGATATGAGCAGCGCACTGAGAGCCGCCGTTACGAGGGCAACACCGAGTCAGGCTACGGCGGCCGCCGTCAGGAAGAGAGTGGTTACGGAGGCGGTCGAGGTGATGACGAGGGTGGCTATGGTGGTGGCCGTCGCCATGAGGAGAGCAGCTACGGTGGTGGCGGAGGCTACGGCGGACGCCGTGAGGAGGAGAGCAGTTACGGGGGTGGTGGAGGCTACGGCGGACGTCGTGAGGATGAGAGCAGCTATGGTGGCGGTCGTCGTGACGACGAGGGTGGCTACGGTGGTGGTCGTCGCCATGAGGAGAGCAGCTACGGTCGTCAGGAGGGTGGCTACGGCCGTCAAGAGGAGAGCTACGGCGGAGGTCGCCGTGATGATGAGGACAACTACGGTGGTGGTCGTCGCCAAGAGGAAAGCTACGGCAGACGCCGCGACGATGATGATGAACGTCGCGAGGGTGGTGGTGGTGGCGGTTTCGGCGACTTCATCGGCAAGGTCGCCGAAAGTTTCGGTGACAACAACAACCGCAGGTGGTAGTGACTCAGCGGTTAATCACCTTATCATGGGGTTTGTGCAAATCGATGCTCGGTGTTTCGGGGTTGACGGCATGGATTTGCTTACGAACGGGTAGCCGGGGAGTAGCTGCCGATACAGGTTAACGAAATACAATAAGAAAAAGTCCTGATTTTAAAGGCTATGAGTCCTTGCGATACGAGAATACATTAACAACGGGCGGTTGTAATGATTTTGTCATTTGGCTGATCTGGCTATATACCTGCATTCATTTTGTCTTCCAGTTGCTCAACACTTCCCGTGTCCTTATTATAAACCTGCATTTGCTTGAGTATACCCCTCTCATTCTTCTACTGAAGCGTAAGCAGTGGGTAGCTACGCAATCTAAAATCTCTGTGGACACTGCTGATACAAACCAAATTGATAGTCGCAACTTCGTTCATCCTCAGTAGACCAGTGATTGATCCTACAATTGAAGACAGTTAGCCAACACACAAGTACCCCAACAAAGTCTAGAGCCGGGAAGTGCCTGTAATAAGTACAGACGAGACAACAGGACCCGGCTGATCTCATGCTGCATAGAGGTAATTACGTCTGATAGTTCCGAATCCTACTCTGTCGGCCGCGACAACATTATCGAAAGAAAATCAAGCAAAATTGCGGGGAACCACGAGTTCGGGGCGGACTGCCGTCGGAGACTTTCTCCGTGATTCAATTCGGCCCAGAGCGACAACTCCTCCGGTTAACGGCCACTAATTGTTTGTTTCTGGTATATTGCAACAGACCCCGTCAAGGCATCTTGGCTCTCTGGTTACTCTCCATGGGGCTCCCCTGCCGCAAGGCGTGGGATTGGTCATGATGTGCCACGTTCTGGTGGGAAAAGAACTCGACTCGTTGGAATAGAGGATTACCACTCTGGTATATCCATGCCAATGTTACCATTGTCTGGTACCGCCAATATATTATCGGCTGACCGGACTGGCGTCCCTCTTGGTGCTGTTCTAGAGCTGCTCTGGTCAGGGAGTCGCCGGATACAGGATCATGTATCTCGGAAAGGGTTGTGAGCTGGCCGTCCATTGATTGTAATATATTGCTCGCTCCTGTAATTAACCATACTAACCCGCAAGGTTAAGGAAGGCCTTGAACGTGAACTTGGGATAACTATATCTGAAAGACCTCGTCCGCTCTGTCCGCAAGTAGTCACTGCAAAGTAAAAAGCACAACATCTCATGCGTACAAGACACAACACACCAAACATGCAAACTCTTCAGACCATCCTCGCCGTTCTCCCCCTTTTCCTGCCCCTCGCAGCATCCCAGTCCTCCGGGACGGGCGCGACGACGCGGTACTGGGACTGCTGCAAACCGTCGTGTGCGTGGCCGGGCAAGGCGCAACTTGCGCAAGGGCCCGTGGGAACCTGCGACCGCAACGACAACCGGCTCAACGACGGCGGCGCCACGCGCTCCGGCTGCGACGCGGGCGGGTCGGCGTACATGTGCAGCGGGCACTCGCCGTGGGCCGTCAACGACGACCTCGCGTACGGCTGGGCCGCCGTGAGGATCTCCGGGGGCACCGAGTCGCAGTGGTGCTGCGCGTGCTACGAGCTCACTTTCACCAGCGGGCCAGTGGCCGGAAAGAAGATGGTGGTGCAGGCGACCAACACTGGTGGTGATCTGGGACAGAACCACTTTGATATTGCTGTGAGTTTGTTTTACCTTCTTTCCATGTTCGGATATTCTTTCTTTCCACGGTTGCCGGCGCCGTCGCCGTTGCGCAGGTCGGTGTTCCGATACGGGGTACGATCGGCACGGGGAGGTTTGGACAGAGGCCGACCATTCTCCGTGTGCATCTTCCAGAGAAAACCCTGTTCCAGACTATTTTTGTTTTTCTCCTGAGCAAAAGCCGAACCGACTTTGGAAAGCATTTTTATAAAAAAAAAAAAAAAAAAAAAAGAAACCCCCCCCGATAATTTTCAACGCGGAACCCGGAAGCAAAGCTAACTGGATTCCTGCAGATTCCCGGTGGCGGCGTGGGCCAGTTCAACGCCTGTACCGACCAGTACGGGGCGCCGCCCAACGGGTGGGGCCAGCGATACGGCGGTGTCAGCTCTCGGTCCGAGTGCGACGGGTTCCCAGAGAAGCTCAAGGCCGGGTGCTACTGGCGGTTTGACTGGTTCAAGGGGGCCGACAACCCGGGCGTCACGTTCAAGCAGGTGACCTGCCCGGCGGAGATCACGGCTAAGAGTGGATGCAGACGGAACTAAGGCAAACGGTTGGAGGAGGGAGGGAGGGATTGGCTCTCCAAAAATTTGTTACGAAGCTATGACTTGAGGCGATTTTAGTGAAGTATTGGAGGTAGCATGAAGACTCTCTCTCTCTCTCTCTCTCTCTCTCTCTCTCTCTCTCTTAAAAAAAAAAAAAAAAAAAAAAAAAAAAAAACCACGAAAAACTGAAAAGGAAGATGTCATATGAACAGGCGAGGCATTGGCGATAGGGGCATCTGGTAAACTAGCTGCGCTTGGCGCAAGTATAATTGCGCTTTTGCTCTTGGGCAGTGCCATAGAGTCGCGGCCACAGGGACACACGGTCTATCTTGCTTGGTATCATTTGCGCCCGGGTATTTGAGTCAATTATGATGATGCCGACGGCTTGACTTGCAAGACTCGCCACTAAAACCTAGAAGCCCAGAGGCTTGGCTCGCTGAAGGTTGAATGAGCGGCGCTCTCAACGGCTCGGTCATGATGCACTCTCAGCAACCCCCTCAAGTTGCCAAGCAATATTTGTAGTGGAACGAGATAGGTTCCCCAATTCTTTAATACCAACAAGGTTGGCTGGAACAGCTTGGCAACTGAAGAGCAGAGCTACACTAGCCTATTTTACGCACTCCGACATGAGTGCTAGAGACAAGAACGGGGTGTCAGCCGTGGCTGTGGGCTGGGCAATAAACGGCCAGCCCGCGTATTCTGACCCCCCCTCCAACGGGATTCCTACGGGGAACAGCATAGCAGCCCCTCCCCGGAAACAATTTCCGAGGGCAGCCTTGATAGCTTGCTTGAGAGAGCGGGACCTACAACCAAAGTCTTGTTGTTGGACGAAGCTTTGGAAAAGGAAAATCTATGTGCGTTGCCAGCCCAAGAAGACGCGCGGTCAGGGCAAAATGTGTACCAACTTGCCAACATTTTTCTTCTTCGTTTATCGGGCGTCTCTGTCGCAGCCAACCGAGACACGCCAGCGAATCAAACCCCCAAGCACTCGCATGACGTAGCAATGATGCTCGGCTTTTGTGCCGGGCCAGACAAGGGGACGGGGCGCCAGGACGACGCTGACGGGGACCTGTAAGATGCCGAGCGCGGCGTGGAGGAGACACATAATGCCTGCGGTGTCTGTCGCGCCAGCGGCAGGCAAGCGGCAAATCGGCATCTCTTGACTGTCCTGAATGAGAGCCAATGCGGTTCGTGAGTGTCCCTGGGTGATTGTCCGCATTCTTGAGAAGCCAGGAAATCGTTACGAGACCAGTCAGGTTTCAACAAAACATATTTCCTCGTCAGGAAGCAGAATGCCTTCTGTCAGCCGGGAGCGGTCGCCCCTGTCCTTGTGGATCTGAATGTACGAATAGCCAATGTTTCAATGACGTCTATCCGGGCGGTGCGCTTGTGAGGGGGGGTATCGCGCCTGTAGGTACTGTCATAGTACATTTGCATGCCTATCATGAGTCTGAATCTTACACCAGCGCAAGCCTTCAGGTGGCACCTTGGCAATAAAGATAGTCTTGCTCGTATGGTAGAGTAGCAAACAATACGGACAATAGTTGTATAAATGGGGAGAGAAGAGGTTAAACGACATGTTGTAGCCCGGAAGTCTAGAAGGCATTTGATATGTCAAGATTTGTATGCCGTACGGGGAATGCCAAGGCTCATGGGCGGTTGTCTGATCGAAGCTAGAAAGGGAGGGACGGTCGCTAGAAGCTCCTCCCGCGAATTGCCTTGCAGCGCTACATTCATCATCAAGTTACCGTTATTGATTGGCATCTGGGATTGGTACTGTTAAAATCGAGACGCGGGATGCAGGTCACGCAAGATTGTGCATCCGGTAATCGAGCATCTACCGTGAGCGGTCTGGTAGTGCATGCACGTCTTTGCCGTCTACACCGTACACCGTGTCTGGGCGACATTAGACATCATGGTTTCCTTGACATCGTACGATGTTCTCCTCGGACGACGAACAGCACAATCCGAGAATTCGCCATGTGACATGTCCCAAGGCTTGCCGATACAACCGCGTCTGGCGTGGAATGGAATGAGAGACGATGCTGACCAATATAGCAGATGAGCGTGTGCCAAATGTGAAATGGTATGCATGACAAGAGCATATTCGCATGGAAATCCACGCGAAGGGTGCCATATGGCTTGGAAATCCAAGCGAGTGAATGCCGAGAAGGCCGAACGTGCATCGTCTCGCTGTCACCAACGTCGGTTGGCAAAGATTGTGTCCAGAACAGCCGGCACAGGTTGCCGCCCAGGAGGACTGGGTCTACGATGAGACAGATAGTCAAGGTTCGGGCAAGATAGGTGCTGACAACGACCACAAAACGAGGCCAGGCAGGCAGACTTTCTCCGGCGATCAGCAAGTGGATCGGACGTGGTTCTAATTGATTTACATTGTAGAGGTGAGGCAACGGTGAGTGGGTAGTCAGTGTGATAATAATGGGGGCTGTTGGCGCCTCAATCCGAAGAGGGTGATGTGCTTAAGCTGGTAAGGAAGTCGGGGTCCTAAGTCTATTCCCGACCGGAACGGCCTGCTGTGTTTGTTTTTCCCTTTCCTTTCCTTTTTTTGTAAAGTAGATGAGCCTGCTTCGTACGTAAAGGGGGAAGATCGAAACACTGAAGGGGGGCGTTTAACTTCTTTTCCTTTTCGTAGTTTTTTTTTTCTTTTTTTTCGTTTCTTTTCTGACTTCTTCCACTGCAGCTTGACATGGGCAAAGGTCCCAAAAGAGGCTAGAATAGAGGTAAGCTCTATAGCGACCTGCTTCATTCTGACGAAGACGGGGGCTGGATGTATGGGGGGGGATGGGGAAAAGGGTACGGGGCCACTGACAGAAAGATCAGACAAGCTTCGAGGCAACAAAAGCTTAGCAATGATGACATCCGATTCGACGGGTGCCGGGCAAATGCGTAGACTAAGGGAGGCAGGCATATCTTAAGGGAGACGATGTTGGGAAAAAAGCAGGCCTGACAAACAAACACGGAAATAACGGCAGTAGTGTGGCTGCTATGAGAACGAGAACGGGGTTCATGGTCGTGCAGGAAGGTGCTGCTGACATGGGGCGGTACAGGGCAGGTGCAGGCTTTTTCAGTTTGTGAGAGGAGAGTTTAGAACCAACTACTACTGCCATTCCGGTGGTTGTGTTAGGGAGTTGCCCCGTGGGCCCGTGGAGGACCGGTTTGGTCGAAATGCCAAGTACAGAATGAAGCACTACCACACTCTTGCCCATCACTCACAACGACTGACTAGTGTGCGACTGACGAACAAGTCTCTTTCAGGTGGGGAGGCGGCTGGTATTTGGTGAGCGAAGCCAGAAAACACGCTGGCTTGGTTGACTGGGCAGACGTTTGAGGGACTCTTGGGGTTAATTTTGGGGTGCCAGTCAGGTGCTTGGGCCACTATGTAGCCGTCCCTGGCTACCCTGTGTGCCTTTCAACCAGCGGATAAGCGGCTTCTAACTGGCTACTACCGGGGAACTCTCGACGTCTCCATCGGTGCCCCACCCACCATGTCAGGCCGCCTACCACACATTGGCGTACTAGTACCTTCCCAGTATTGCGTCCTCGCATCGCTTGCGCTGGGACCCCCCTCGTCCGCTCCCACTCACATTCGTCTCTTTCATCCTCTTTCAATTGTCTTGGGGAATTCCACCCCATCCACCTTCCCAGTGCCCACACGCACCTGTCAGTGGACCTGCCCATCTGTTCCTGGTTACCAGAGGTACCTTGCATTACACAGTATACTCAGTGTACCAGTGGAGAGTGCGAGAGTCAGGGACAGACAGGTGGATGTTTGACCGAGCCCGCGCGGTCAAACAAACATGAATAGTATGTGACGCTGACAATTGTCAGAGGAACAACAAGGGAAAAATTGAAGGTGGGGAAATGGGAAGAGAGAAACAAAGAGCGAAGGGTTGATGGGGTCGACCTGAATATGCAATGAACTGAAGCTACCAATTGGGGTTAGAGGGGGTTGGAACTGGCTGGCAGACTGGATGAGGTCAAGTTCAAGAACGGCGGATGAAGGACAAGGGAGGCTGTGTGGGCTGTGCACCTGTTGCTCGCCCCTACCTGGAATATTGGGCAAGATACCTTGGGCTACACACAGTACTAACTGGCATAGAATGTACCGCCTTGGTGCCCTCCCGACCCTGCAGAGAGATATTATTACTTACCTACTACCCTGCTTTTGCCTTGCCTTGCTTTGCCTCTACGCTCCTCCATTTGTACTTGTTCTTGCTATCGCCCTGCTGCTTGCTCTGTTTGCTTGCTTGTTGGTCTTTGCCTGCCCACCAAGCGCTGTCAAGTCATCTTCCATCCACCACGCACCACGCACGCACGCCCACCACACCACCGACCTCGTCTAGATCAATGTGCAAAGCGCTTCTGCAGCGCACTGGGAACGGCCTGTTGAACCCCGCTTGGCATTGAAAATCGCGCCGGGCCCCAGCTCTCTCATCTTCATTTGACCCTTTCGAAGCTTTCCTCACTCTACTTCACCTTCTCTCAATTCAACGCGCACCGACACGATCTCAGTTCTCGTCGAGACCTAAAAACGCAAGGTTCCAGTCAATCCACACACTCAGCCAGTTTATTCCTCTGCCTCGACCCAGTTTGCATTACTTTCGCTGCCCGAGTTCTTCAGAAGCCAATCTCCCCTGGGCGTACCCGCCTTTCCCTCGCTCGTTGCCTTTTCTTACTCACCCTTCCCACTCGCCCTCCAGAGCAGCTGCGAAACATCTGTTCTTCGAGGTTGGCGGTTTCAATGCCCTCAACCTACTCGTTGAACATGTGAGGGAAGCATGTGTAAGTTGAAATACTCCCTCCTTGTGAACATCACAGAAAGACGAGGTGGAAAAGTTCAGTGGGAAGACTCGGCCGCCATACGCTGTGGTCTCCTGGCGACCTCTCTCCCTTTTCGCGGCCAAGAAGTGCCCAAATGCCCCGGTCTTGGCACCATCCACTGACATCTTCCAGCTCTCGAACAGATTCGAAATGTCGTGTATGTCTTAAGCAATTCTCTTGTCATCGTCACCGTCGTTAATATCGTTGCTATCGTCTCATTATCATCGTTCCGACCGTTTTCTTTGTTTTGCGTTCGTTATGTTCCGGTCCCCGGTCACACCATTTCATCACTGCCTTATAGTGTAACGATACCAAGGGGCCTCTGTGGGCAGACTCTAACGCGTCCGCTCATATCTACATCGCCCCCCTTCATCCTTCATATCCGCCTGACGCTTCAGCCTTGAATTCCAATTACGCCGACTGACCACGTTGTAGTCTGCTCTTCAGTAATCCTGTATGGTCAGGTGCCAACACTGTCCCTTCGACCATTATCAGGAACATCACCTCGCTCTCAGTACGTTATCTCGCTGTCGCCCTGCAATCTGGTCTTTGCCTAACCTTGGCTCGCAGAGGAGCATAGCCTACCAAGACACTATCTCGGCAAATCTTACCACCTTGAGCGGCACCAACTCCGAAACCCAGGATGGCATTATCAGAGGGCTTCTCTACGTTCCCGACCTTAACGTCGCAAATCCATGCTACCAACAGCAGTACGATATCATCCCCCGAAATGCGACCACGCAGGCCACTCTCCCTCCTACCAACTACAACCTCATCGCAATAGCCCCATGGTTTAATGCCAGTTGCACCCAAGCCTATCTCTCCTCCGCCCGCCTCGACCCGATCCGAGCCTTTATCTTCTACAGGCCCAATAACTCTACGAAGGAACCCCAAGGCGCTGACTCCCCCATATGGGATCTCGACGACAACGATGCTTGGCGCTCGCAGAACCGCTTCCCGATTTTCGCTATTCCTGGCGCGGAAGGCAACAAGATGATGCGGGCTCTCAGCCTATACTCTGGGAACCTTTCAACAATACCCTATGGAGATCAGATCCAAGACATATACGAACCCCATGAGAATGACTTTGTTCGCATCTGGACGGAATTGACGGTGAAGGACCGTGATAGTGTGCCTGCCATGTGGACTTGGATTCTTACAGTCGTCGGCGTTGTACTTTTCATTGTCGCCTGCCTTTCACTTACGATGCATTTAGTACAGCGAAGACGAAGAATATCACTACGCAGGAGAGTGTTGATTGGCGAAGTCGATCTGGAAGCTATGGGTATCAAACGAGTTACCGTACCAGTCGACCATGTCAAAAGTTTCCCGCTGTTTACATACAGCTTCCAGCCAGAAATGATCAGCACACCTTCGACAACAAGACCGCCGAGATCCATCAGGTCCCCACGAAGCCAGCGAACCATATCCGAATCCACGATCACAAAATCGAGAGCTCGGCGATCTAGTATGAATAGCGCTACAAGCACCGTCGCGACAAACTATCAACCCCAGTGCCATATTTGTCTGGAAACCTACATTGATCGAGATTCGATCATCCGAGAATTGCCGTGTGGCCACATCTTTCACCCGGAATGTATCGACGAATTTTTGAGCCTCAACAGCTCCCTATGCCCAATTTGCAAAAGAAATATGCTACCGCGGAATTATTGCCCAAAGATTACGAATGGAATGGTGCGTCGCGAGCGGGCCCTTCGACGGTTGAGGGAAAGGGTAATAGTGGTCGAGTCAGACGACGAGGAAGAGGGGATGAAGGGTAAAAGTTGGGGCAAGCGGCTATTCGGCACGGACAAAGCGGCATCGTCACCGAAGGAAACGCCGATGACGCCTGTGACACCCTCTAGGTCTCCGAAAACAGCACAAGAGTTAGCGTCTGCTCGCACCCCTGCGCCGGCAGAAACGGAAGCCACGCACAGATCAACCCTTGAACCAACCCAAGAGGAACAGGAAGACTCGGACCAGCCTTCAAGTCAATCAGGTGGACAGGATCCGGACCAGTCACAACCACAGCCGCCCCCAGCGGCTTATCACCCTCGCCGGAACAAGCGCCGGAAGCTGGGTGGTTTGCGGCTCCATGTGCCCGATCCGGAAGAACATAACCAACCCACTAACAAACCGGAAGGACGAAAGAGTCCCTCGGCGTTGGCACGGGCCCGAATGCGGGCACTTGCGGGTACGCCGCTTGACGACCCAGACGGGCGTAACCCGATATGTACGTGTATGTGATTCTCATGTGTACCAATGCCACTGACCCTCATCTCAGGGAAGCGTTACGTCGTCAAAGTTTTTCCAGGCTTCTCATGAGCCGGATACTTTTGAAGCATTTTCTATCGGAGTTGTATGGTGCAAGGGCGTTTCACTGGTTTGGCAGATGGACTGCCTCAGGCTCATATTTTACAGGAACATGATGGAGCATGATACACACTCACGACGCCTCCCTGGTTGTCACCTCAGAATCTTGAGTGACGCGGAGACTTGTTCATTTCACATCACGATTGAAAGACTTGGCGGGCTCAGAAAAGCCCTCAGGGTGGTTACATTTTTTTGGCACGGAACTTTTTTTTGAGGGGCCTCATTAGTAAGCCCTACGTTTGGACTGGATATACCCTACAGGGAAAGGATACGCATCAACAGCGGGTTGGCAGATGCTATACGTGATATTAAAAGTTTAGTTTTTAGTGATGAACGCCGTCTTCTGGCTTCCACTAGTTACCTGGCGATTAAAAAGATCCTACTACTATTGGCCTGCTGTGCCACCTCTGCCCCGGCGAACCCTGCCGCATCCTGAGTGATGGTATTTTTAGGCTTCAAGATTTCCCTTATTGCTACTGTGACGTGTCGACGCACGTATCCCTCTCATTTCCGCTTCATCTGATCATTGCTTTGCTATTGTAATCATCCAAAACATTTGTACAGCCTGAACACCCGCTCATCTCAAATATATTCCCTCACGCAGCTGGAAACTATATCCTAAACTTGCTCGCTCCATTTCTGGCTACGCCTTGGCCATTTCCTTCCGGTTTTTAATCGAAACTTTATAGTTTTCCTTCAATAAGTTTATCGTCTTCTCTAGTGCCGCCTCTCGTCAATGCCTCGCGGATCCGATCATTCTCAGCGGCACGAATTCGTTGCCTGGCCTCTTCAAGTCTCTCTACCCCGCGGTCGATTGTCTCGATATGAACCGTTAGCGGGATGGCGGTAGGAGAGTCGCGGACGAGTTCCGGCGCTGCGACTCGGTCGCGGAGGTCGCCTAACCCAGCCTGAATCTTCTCAAGATCAACGATGAGAGCCGAGATTTGCGTTACGGCTGTGATCCGCTGACGGTCAACTTGGCGCAGCAGGGACAGCTGAGAGTTAAGATTATGGAGGCGCTTGTTGTTGGCACCGACAAGCGTCCAGATGGTCCATAAGACCTCGTCACGGCGAGACTTGATAGAGTTAGATGAGCGAGTGACGAGCTCGTAGATTTGGTTAAGGTTTTCCTCGGCTTTTGAGAGTAGGAGGAGAACGCCCTGCGCTTCGACTATGAGTCCAGCAATGCGGTCCGAGACAAGAGCAGTATGTTCGATGTACTTGTCCAAGAGAGTACGCTCCGAGAACGGCGTAACAGTGGGAGTAAAGGGATAGAAAAGCCAGTTTGTCCACTGAGAAACGAGAGAGACGTCGGTGTTGTCGGCGGTAGAAAGCGTATCCAGGTAGCGGGATGTCCAGCGGTTGATAGATATCACAGAATCGACAGCTGAGCCTACATGAACGTTGAATTTTTGCAAGTCTGCAGCTGTTAAACGCGCCGTGTCGATGTACTCGTTAAACTCATATACGAGCTCGTCCCGTTGTGGTAGTTCAGAGTAGCGAACCATGGTGCGCAGATCGCGGATCGATGACTCGGAGCGCTTCATCTCCATGGGCAGAGAAACACCGTCCGCGCTGCGTTCGAGGACCTGCTCAAACTGCGACTGTACGTTCATGAGGTCGTCGAATTCGACGTTTGAAGACCCCGTATCCTTTGCGCCACTAGTTGGAGGGTTGGGAGACGGGCAAAACGGGATGTCTAAGTATGCAACCCCAGGAATACGGCAGAGCGGAGAAAGTGAAGTCGATATCGATTTGGTAACCATGTTTTGGAGCATGATGGACGCGCCAAAGAACAGCCAGACGGCTAAGCAAAGCGCCAGAGGCTTTTGGAGGTAGGCGAGGGCCATGCCAATAACGTTGAGTACCCAAGCTAGGATATTGAATAGAGCATTCGGAAGAGATTCCGATACTCTCTCAGAAATAGCTTTGGGTTGCGTTACTGAGCCTTCATAATGACCTTGTCCTCTTCTGGAGTCTCCACGTCGTGTTTTTATTGGGCTGCCGGTGCTTGCCTGCCGTATAGCACGACGACGCACATCCTGTTGTTGGTACACATCTTCGTTGGCACGAATAGTTCGTGAAGACTTGACACTATTTTGTCGGGGACTACTTCCGGGGGCAGAGCTCATATGAACAGATGGCATATAAAACTCTGGATCTGGCGTACGGTTGAGATCATGTCGTACTGTGGGCTGAAATGGGGAACGGAGTATGACGCGCTCGTCGTCGGCTTTGTTCATGAAATCCTGAACGCTGTGGTGGGATTCTTGAGAGCCACCGATGCTGAATGACTGCGATGGGAGTTGCGACGGATCCGTAGAAAGAATCCCATCTTCTTCGTCAAAGTCGGGAAGAATAGAAGTATCAAAGCTGTCGTTTTCTCCGCCTTCAACCAGCCGCCACGAGCTTTCGACGGGAAGCTCCTGTTCACGACGTGAAGGCATCTTGACTTTACGGGAGGGGCTGGAGCGAACCCTATTTCAAACGAAGTGAATATATACAGTATTCAAAACGACTTAAAGTTTCATGAGAAGTCAACTTCGTCAACAAGGAAGCGCTGAGCGGAGATGCTCTGGAAACGCGCTGGCCGCGTCCAGTGGCGATAAACACAAAGGTCGCGAATTGTGGCGTCCCCTCTATATAAATGGTTGAACAGAGACAATATGAGTATGCCGGATGTTTGTTAGTGAGTCATCGGGCGGGAGCTAATATCCGGGACCGATATAACGGCTCTGGGCAAATAGGCAGAGACAAAGGGCGATCAATATCAAGAATGTGTAAAGATGAAGTTCGCGGACGTTCCCAAGTGGTGTCCCCCTCTGGCGTCATAGGCTCCAGCAGGCGCCCCTTGCATGCGCATCAGCGGTCGCCGGGGGCAGCTTCTAGAGGGCAGCATCTAGTGGGGAGCTCCTCCGCTGAATCCGCTGAATTGGCAGCAGCAGGGACCATGTGGCAGCGTGACTCGACATCGATAAGCTTCGTTTCCCCAGTCGGTCACATGGACCAGGCGATAACGAAGGTGCATAACCCCACCTAGTTCACCAAAACAGCAGGTCCTATCGACCCTCCGGCTAAATATAAAGCCGAACCCGGGGAACGTTGCACACGACCTTAGAGGCTCTGCCCCACTTAGCTCCGGCGCCATTCCACACATCTTCTTGAGGAAAGGACCTTAGCCTCGTCTTCCAACGCCCATCCCACTACATCGACTTTTGCAACCCACCACTTCGTCGCGCGCGCGTTGTCGAAAATCGTACTAGCCCAACCAAGGCCCTGCGCAAACCTGCCCAACATGACGATGGACCAGCGGGAACTCGAGTCGAGCATCAAGCAGCTCAACAAGACTGTCCAGGCCAATGATCCTCCCACGTCGGCCCTGGCCATTCTGGAGCGCCTAAAGAAGGAGGCCGCCCCTACCGAGGAGATACTTCGGGTACGTTGTTCTTGACGTTGCGATTTATATCAGCTCATTGCATGCGTCAAATCCAGTAGCAGCTCTCCTCCGACCTTTTCACAGCTTTGATATGAAAACTGACCAGTTCGCTTTCATCCAGTCCACCCGCGCTGGTGTCTTCGTCGGCAAGCTCCGATCGAACGCAAACAAGGACATCGCCCGTGCTGCAACAGAGCTTGTGCACAAGTGGAAGAAGCTTGTAGAAGCTGAGAAACAAGGCAAACTGAAGAAACAATCCTCTCCAGCCGCTCCGTCGCCTACTATCGCCAGCGCTCCAAAACCCTCGTCGTCTTCCAGCAGTTCCAAAGAGCCTTTCAAGGGCAACACCGAGAACCGCCGCGCCAAGGATGATGGAGCTGATACCAAACGCACCGGTGACAGCACGCGCGATGCCTGCATCGAGCTCTTGTACAACGGCCTTGCCTACCGATCCACGGCTTCCGTCAGCGACGTCATTGCCAAGGCGGTCGCTATCGAGGCTGCCGCATACGGTCACTTCAAGGGAGTCAGCAAAGACTACCGAGAGAAGATTCGCTCTCTGTTTAGCAATTTGAAAGTCAAGACCAATCGTGAGCTTGGCCAGAATGTCATGGATGGCAAAATTGCTCCAGAGCGCTTCGTCATCATGACTCACGAGGAGCTCAAGTCGGCAGAGCAGCGTAGAAAGGAGAACTTGCTTCAAGAGGAAAACATGAAGAAGGCGCAAGTTCCTATGGCCGAGAAGAGTATCAGCGATGCTCTTAAGTGCGGCAAGTGCGGACAAAAGAAAGTTAGCTACAGTCAGGCGCAAACCCGCAGTGCTGATGAACCGATGACTACATTTTGCGAGTGCACTGTCTGCGGTAATCGTTGGAAGGTATGTGTATCCGAACTTGCTGTTTCTTGTCCAACCAAACTAACATCACTGTTAGTTCTCTTAAGCCGTTACCCCTTGAGTGGGAGGTTTCTTTTTTACCCGATTGACGGCGTGTTTTTCGCTTATACCCCGTTCTGTGAGCACGGGATGGTCTTGCATTTGGCACTCGGAAAGTGCGGTTCGGTTGGTTCGGAGTTGGGGATGAGGAACGGGGCCTCCGTTTTATACTTTTACCAGTTCTTGTGCCCTGGAAACAAAAAGCTTGGGCATGCATGTTTGCGCCGCTTCTTAGGGAGAACTCATTATGCGAGGAGCTATATTCTAGAGGGGGGTTCGATAGATCCATAGCACGAGTCTCAGCCCAGTTCGAGCTGAGACCAGGTATCATCGAGGAATTACAATGTCCCTGGTTGGCATTGATCGTAACATAGTTTTATTTCTTGGATGTATCAATTTTTAGTACGGAAAACAGGTCCGCCGAGTGCTCGTCTTCTTCAAGTCCCATCTCCGCCACATGCTTCCAGAACTTACTGAGGTGTCGTGTGCCCGAGTCACAAAGGATGGTAACCACCTGGCTGCCCTCGGGGAGTCTCGTTGCCGCGACACATGCTGCAACGCAGTTGACAGCACTGCTGCTACCCGCGAAGATGCCATCGTTTTCCACCAGCCATCGCGCCATACGGCATGCCTGTTCGTCTGTAACCTTGACCGCGTTGTCAATAAGTTCTCTGCCAGCCTCAAAATTCTCCGTGATGCGGTTGATGCCAATTCCCTCCACGATCGTGTCCACCTGCTGACGCCGCCGTGTGCCCTCCTTCTCGGTATTGGAATACATGACACCATGACGAATCTTGTTGTACAGTCCGCTGCCCTGAGGATCTGCAAGCACAACCTGCAGTCCCGGCACTTGAGCCTCTTCCTTGAGATACTTTGCTACACCTGCAATGGTGCCGCCTGTTCCTGCGCCTGCAACAAAGGCAGCCAGATTGCCGCCAGTCTGGTACATAATCTCTGGTCCCGTTGTAGTGAGATGAGCCGCGAAGTTGGCGGGACTCTCAAACTGATCTGCGAAGAATCCCACACTGCCATCACCCGCCGTGGCAGCGTGTTCAGCTGCGCGCCGCCTTGCAAGATTAACGAAATGCTCTGGCGAGGCGATAGGCGCAGGTGGCACACGCTCGACAGTCGCACCAAGGTGACGGAGCAGATCAACTTTCTCCATTGCCATATCGTTAGGCATGCAGATATGTGCGCGGTAACCCCTCGCACGAGCGAGCGTCGCCAGCGAGATGCCTGTGCTGCCAACTGTACCCTCGTAAATAGTGTCACCACGGCCTGGAACAAGTAGGCCAGCGGCCTCACCCGCCTCGATCATGGACAGCGCAACGCGATCCTTAGGTGTGTTACCAGCAGCATTTAAGAATTCAGCTTTAGCAAGAATAGTACGTCCTGTGGCCTCGCTGAGTGAACGGATTTTAATCAGTGGTGTGTTGCCGATAGCGCCCGCGACGCCATCAGCTATCAGGGGCGGATTCCAGGCGCCCAGCGTGGTGCCGTCCGCATCCCCCTCAGATGCGGACTCATGATCTTCCAACTGGACAGGTGCCCAGAAAAGGCTGCTACGCCGCGAGGGATCTGTTGATGAGCTGCTAGTGCCTGGTCTTCGTGTACGGCGACGCTGGTAGCGGAGCTCGAGGTCTGGGTAAAAGTCTTTGAAGCCTAAGGTGACGAGGATACCAGCTGCGAAGGCGAGCGCCAATGCGGCTGAACCGTAGGCCTTCGGATGGTTGCTAAGAGACATGTTGTCTGTGTCGCCTATTTGCCTTGCTCCATTGTCTGTATATGCTCCCACAACCTCTGTTGTCTCTTTTCCCGCTCGTTCTGTGTTGCGGTCTCGGAGCTACGATTGTCAGAAAAAAAAACAAACGGTCGTGTGCGCATGAATTCTGACGATTTTCTTACAGGGGACCTGCCGCTAAAGGTGATGTCATTTTAGCTCTCTAGACCCCTGCATTCAGCCTCAATTTGCACCGGCTCTCAACGTCCTGTCAGTGCTTGTAGTTGCAACAGTCGAAGCCACACCATCGGCGGATTAACAGCTGCCCCGTTTCAAGGGAGCTCGGGCCACCCCGAACCTCTGTGTCAAATGAGGAGCCGACGATTTGCGATTTTGGGCAATTTGTTGACCCTTCCACGGCTGCGAGCTGGCCCATCTCACCACCGAAAGCCATTCGGGATGGACTCTCCCCTCGTCACCCGCCTCTTCCGTGAGCTCTTCCGCCGGCCGGCTTGCCAATCTCGTAGGCATTGCACTGCTGCAGCTACCGCCTCTTTGCCAGTCCTCCGTCCTCATTCGCATCATCACACCCACCTTGCTGTCGCACCACAACGACGGCACTATGCCGTGAAAACCACACACGAAAAGGGCGAGCGTACAAACGAGTCCAAATGGCAGCAACGCAGCTCGATTTTCCCGAGCGATCGTTCCGAAGAGTTCAGCGCTTACCCGACGCTGACCAGCTCAGACCTGGCCGCCCGTGCTACCCGCCCGCGCAAAGTCAAGATGCTCACTCGCGACTTCATTGAGGACAGCCTCTACAACCCGGCCTACGGATACTTCTCCAAACAAGCGGTCATCTTCTCCCCGGGACGGCCCTTCGACTTCCCTGCGTTCAAGGACGAGCCGCAATTCTACCGCGAGTTGGGCCGGCGGTATACTGAGTTTGAGGATGACCTCGACGAACGCGAGGGCATCAACGACGCCCGCCCCCTGTGGCACACGCCCACTGAGCTCTTTCGGCCATACTACGGCGAGGCCATCGCCCGATACCTGGTTTCCAACTACCGCCTGACGACGTACCCATACCACGATCTCATTATCTACGAGATGGGTGCTGGCCGCGGCACGTTGATGCTCAACATTCTCGACTACATCCGCGACCTTGACCCGCAGGTCTACGCGCGAACACAATACCGCATCATTGAGATCTCGCCAGCACTCGCCTCGCTGCAGAAGCATCACCTTCTTTCAACCGCCGACTCACGCGGCCATGCATCGAAGGTCGAGATCATCAATAAGTCCATCTTCTCGTGGTCCGAGCGCGTGCCGTCACCATGCTTCTTCCTCGCCATGGAGGTGTTTGACAATTTCTCCCACGACTGCGTGCGTTACGACATGGCCACTGAGGAGCCGCTGCAGGGTTCCGTCCTCATCGATGCCGACAATGACTTTTATGAGTTCTACTCCCCGGAACTCGACCCGGTGCTCGCTCGGTTCCTGCGTGTGCGCCATGCTGCTACTGGCGGCCGTTATCCCACCCCTTACCCGGCTAACCGCATGCTGAGATCTCGCATGCCCTTGATGCCCAACCTTTCGGAGCCGGAGTACATCCCGACCCGCTTGATGCAGTTTTTCGACGTGCTGGAGAAGTATTTCCCCGCCCATCGTCTGGTGACGAGTGATTTTCACTCTCTGCCGGACGCCATTCAGGGTTTGAATGCACCTGTTGTCCAAACGCGCTATGAGCGCAAGACGGTGCCTGTCACCACGCCTTTGGTACGTTATCTCTGCTTTCTCGACGTACAAACTTCGGGTAGGCTAACTGGTTTGCAGGTCCACCAAGGCTACTTTGACATTATGTTCCCTACAGACTTTCACGTCATGGAAGCCATGTACCAGGCCATCACTGGCAAGCTTACAAGACTCACATCGCATGGAGACTTCATGAAGCGCTGGGCCTTCCTCGAAGATACCCAGACACGCAGCGGAGAAAACCCTCTGCTGAGCTACTACCAGAACGCCAGTGTTCTGGTCACTGTATAACAATCATGTATTTAAACAAACAAAAGAAATATATACCCCCTTGGGCCGTGGAAACATCTCCGCGATGACAGTCAGATCATATCCAACTCAACGTCTCGAATCCATGTGAGAGGAATAAGCTTTTGATATCTTTTTAAACTACTCCAGTGTAACCATCCACGGATTCACATAACCTCACCCCTTTTGACTTATCCGTCTAGTTCCCGAACAAAGTGAAGTGTGCGCCATGGCTGCCTTTACAACCTGTGGCGGAGAATAATTTATCGCGCTCAAATGTTGAGCTTCTCCTTCAGCCACTTCTCAGCCGTGGCAACGGCCTCGTCGATGTTCTCGGCGTTGGTGCCCTGTCCTTGGCGGACAGGCTCCTTTCCGCCGGACTTGCCTCCAACAACCCCGCTGACTTGGGCAGCCCATTGCTCAGCAGTCACTCCCTGGGAAGAGAGGTGCTTAACCTGATGTTAGCATATGCTTAAGAGGGAATGGTTCAGGTGAAGCTTACCGTTCCAACGTAGACACCATGGGCGACGGCGCCCTCGTTCTTGCTGCCGCCGAAAAGGTATACGGAGCGCTCCTTGTCCTTGGACTGGAAGTGCTTGACAACCTCACCAATGGCTTTGGCATTGGCAGAGATAGGTAGCTGGGCAACATACCACTTGGCATCCTTGTTCTTATCAAAATGAGCAACAACGGTGTCGAGAGCGGTCTTAGCCTCGGCCTTCTGGCGCTTCTTCTGCTCGTCAGTGACAGCCTTGACAATCTTCTCGAAGCGCTTCTTGATATCCTCCTTAGTAAGGGTGGAGATAGTCAGCTGGTTCAGGGCGTGCTGGGTTGTCTTGATCTCCTGTTCCTTCTCGGGGCCGAAGGGCAACGCCTCAAGAGCATCCAGACGCTTGGAGAACTCGTTGGCCTCACGCTGGACCTGGTGAGCAGCATCACCAGTGTAGGCGATGATACGGCGGATACCCTTGGCGATACCGCTCTCTTCGACGATGACGAGGTCCTTGATAAGACCGGTCGACTCGACGTGGGTTCCGCCACAGAATTCGACGCTGTACTTGCGCCACTCAGTGTTCTTAGGGTTTGCCAGCATGGTATCAATGTCAACACCAACGGAGACAACGCGGACAGGGTTGGGATAGGTCTCGCCGAAAACAGCACGAACACCCTCGATTTCCCGGGCAAGGTCAAGGTCGACCTCCTTGGCATAGATCTTGCCATTTTGCTTGATGTAACCGTTGGAGAAGTCCTCGATCTTCTTGAGCTCGGGGATGGTCACTCCGGTCTTGTGCGAGAAGTCGAAACGCAGCTTCTCGTTATCAACCAGTGATCCCTTCTGGTTGATGTCGTCACCAAGCACTTCACGGAGGGAGTGGTTCAGGATGTGGGTGCCAGTATGGTTGTTGCGGATGGGGGATCTCCTCAACTCATCGTACTCGGCAATGACCTCGTCACCAGACGACAGTGTGCCGTACTCGAGGTAACCGTTGTGAACGATGTATCCTCCGAAATTCTGAACATCCAAAACCTTGAATTCAGCAACGTCGTCAATGACAATGCGTCCCGTGTCAGCGACCTGACCACCAGACTCGGCGTAGAAGTTGGTCTTGTCAAGCAACAGACCCAAGGGGGTCTTCTCTGCGATGTCCTTGGTGGATTTGACGAAGGTCTTGCCGTCGTAGATGACCTGCACCTTGCCCTTGGCATCGCCCTTGACAAACTTGGCGTCATCGTTTGTTCTCTCCACGTTGAGCTCCTTCTCGAGCTCGGCGATCTGGTGAACGTTCAACTTGGCAAAGGTCTGAACAGCATTCTTGACAACCTTGCTAGCCTCGCGAGCCTTCTCCTGGGCCTCCTTAACCTCCTCCTCGTCAATCTCAAGCTGACGCTCCTCAGCCATGAGCTTGGTCAGATCGACAGGGAATCCGAAGGTGTCGTACAATCTCCAAACGACAGCACCAGAAAGCTTCTTCTCACCCTTCTTAAGAGCATCCTTGGCGTACTTCTCGAACTGAGCCTCGCCACGGTCCAGAGTACGGGCAAAGGCATCTTCTTCCTCATCCAGGATCTCCTTGATGTCCTGCTGCTTCTTGACAATCTCAGGGAACTGCTCGCCCATCTGCTCAACAAGCGCGGGAAGGATCTTGGAGAAGAAAGAGCCGATCTCGGCATTAAAGTACTTTCGGGCGTATCGAACACCACGACGGAGCACTCTACGGACAACGTATCCACGGCCGTCGTTGTTGGGAACAGCACCGTCAGACATGGAGAAGGTCAGGAGACGAATGTGATCGGCAACGACACGGTAAGCAGTATCGATACCATCAACATCATCAGCACCATACTTGTCGGTGTACGGTCTGGCACCGGTGACCTCTTCTATCCTTTTGAACAAGGGGGTGAAAATATCGGTGGCGTAGTTGGAGGTGGTGTTCTGAAGAGCAGAGACCAGACGCTCGAAACCCATACCGGTATCGACGTGCTTAGCGGGGAGGGACTTCAAGCTCTTGTCGGCCTGGCGGTCAAACTGGATGAAAACGTTGTTCCAGATCTCCACGACCATGGGGTCATCCATGTTGACCAGGCTGGCGGCATTCCGGCCGCCAATCTTGTCGTAGTGAACTTCACTGCAAGGGCCGCAAGGACCCTGGTCACCCATCTCCCAGAAGTTGTCCTTCATGTTACCGGGCAGAATGTGGTCGTCAGGGACGCCAACGGACTGCCACAGTTGCTTCGCCTCCAGATCAGGCTCGAGACCCATGTCGGGGTTACCCTCGAAGTAGGTCACGTACAAACGTGTAGGGTCGAGACCGTAGACCTTGGTAAGAAGCTCCCAGGACATAGTGATAGCCTCCTTCTTGAAATAGTCGCCGAAAGACCAATTGCCCAACATTTCGAAGAAGGTGTGGTGGTAGCTGTCCTTGCCGACATCGTCGAGATCGTTGTGCTTGCCACCGGCACGAATGCATTTCTGGGAGTCGGCGGCACGCTTCAGGTTATACATAGGATCGGCCTTAGAGATCGTTCCGAGGAAAATGGGCTTGAATTGGTTCATGCCCGCATTGGTGAAGAGCAAGGTGGGGTCATTGTGAGGGACGACGGAGGAGGAAGGGACTGCGAAGATAGAGTGAGAAGTCAGCGGATAGAAGCTTTACAAGATAGATTGATAAGCGGATGAGAAAGATCATCGCATCGGCTGCGCAGATGTCTGGAAGATGCTGTGGGTTGGTGGTGTTGGTGAAAAGTGGTGATATCTTACCGATGGTATGGCCCCTCTTCTCGAAGAAGTCGAAGAAAGTCTTGCGCACAACAGCGCCGGGCCACTGCTGCTCAGCCATGGTTGCAGAAGGCGAAGTGGACGAAGAGTAAAAACGCCTCTGCCAGGGGAAAACACTCGATGCGATTAGTCCAGACGGCGGCGTCAGAGTGTTCGTCTGGAGTCTGACCGGCGTTCGAGTCCAAAGTTTGGCGGTGGTGGGAGTAGTAGTGGTGGAGGAGGGCGAAATGTCAGGGTCGCCGGCGTAGCGGTTGTGACTCTTTTGGCGGGACGAGCTTGTTAGTGCTGCAGCGGGTGCATTGCCTCGGACTTGGGGTAGGAGGGGCAGCAGCAGCGATAGCGGGTGCGGGTGCAGCGCGGCTGACGGAGGGGTTGCTTCGGCGCTTTTGTAGAAACTTCTACAAGAACCTGAACGAGTCGAATGCGGTACAAAAGCGCCAGAGCTCCCCGTCCGCCCGCCACAGCTACAGCTCCGCGCCAGCAAACGCGCCCCCAGCACGATTACTGCAGTCTTGGTCATTTCCCCTCAAATACCACACAAGACCGAATATTCGTGACCAAACGCAACCGTCGACTGTCTCCTCCTTTTTCCACCTTTCAAGTATTCTCAAACGTATCAACAAGCCTTCAGCTTCTCGCCACAAAGTCGAATCGACCTTTAAAACAGGAAAAGCCTTCTCCAGAACCCAGCCCCGGACTGAGTGCATCAGACGGAACCTTCGCCGGTGTTGGTTGGTCTCGCCTGTCGTATCTGCGCTTCGTGACGGGGTACTCCCTTTCCCACATCCGTCTACCCTTCCAAGGAGCCAGCCAGCGTATCCTCCACACCCGATTGCGGCGTGCGTCGTCCCACGTTACCTTTCTACTTATCGTCGTGTGTCTCTCCTTCCTGCGATACTAGTGGCCGCTCGGAGCTTTTTCGTTTAATTGAACATTTCTCGTCGACTTTTGGTTCGTTGTCGTCGTCCCCGAGTCGGCAGTTGCGGAAAGGAGTTTGAACGGGGTTAGAAAAGTTGGTGAGCTGAGAGAAAAGTTCCAGCGGAAAGTCGCTTCTGGAAGGCCGCCTAACAATGCTGTTGCACGGGGCGCAATCTCCCTCCCATGCGCTCGACACCCACGCGCTGGAGATGGATCAGCACCAACACCAGCAGGCGAGGCAGCTGAGACGCAAGAGGAAAGCCGAGTCTCAAGACAATGAGCGGTTGTCTAAGAGGCTCAGCCTTTTGAATTTGGGTAAGTCTGTAATTTTTCATGTCAACAAATTCACTGTTCCGAACTTTATTACTAACTAGTATGCAGAGAAGAATGGTCAGAAACTCTACGTTCCCGTGGAGAATCCCTCTGCCACTGCATCCTCCCCATCGCCTCAGGTAATTCCATCAGCCGCATCGTCAACCACGTCCTCCAGTGGTCGCCACGGCAATCTTGGGCCCCCATCCGATGAAGTTATGCAGTTAGACGACTCCAAGTACAAGGTCTACATTTACGATATCGACGATGAACTATCCTCGTCCGAGAGTGAACCCGACGAAGGCAAGTTGGTTTTCCTCCCAGATATTGAGAAGCATCTTCGAGCCTCCCGCATTCCTCCCTCCATTCTCGCCAACGACCAAGGCGAGCTTGCTGGCATGCAGGTGGTCCTTTACAACGAGCCCACGTCTTTGACCGTACCTCGCGAGCAGGACAGCGTCCGCAAGGCCATTGTTGAAGCCCGCGCCCGTATGCGCGAGAAACAGCGTCTTGAACGCGAGGGCAGGGGCGAGCCGGTGCAGATGCCACCGCCCTTCGTCCCCCAGCAGACCATTTCTCCGACAACGACCGCTGAATCATTCTCTTCAGTTCCGGCACCTGCAGAAAGCGACCCAGACGCCATGGACATGGATTAGGTAGGGAGCCCGTCGGGCAAATAGACACACTGTATATACATATTACGATACCCACGGCCGCCAAAGGGAACGATTCTTGGGCTTTGTTGGCACATGAGGCCGGGTCAGCGAGGCGTTTTTTTTTCTTTTTCTTCTTGATGGTATCATTTTTTTGATATTCTTGTCATAGGTAGTGCTCTGTACAATTTACAACAGGTTTAGTCGTTTCATCGAGACATCCAGCCTCGGCAATGCACGAGACGTCCAGCCTCTTAGTGCGTAAGAAAAATACATGGTCTTTTCATCATGAATCTTGCCGTCTGCGTCCCATCTTGAACCAGCAAATGCTCCTCGGCGATTCTCCTCCAAAGCATGGCTACCTAAAGCAACACGCGACACATCACTGCGCTCTGTAAGGGTACGTCTGGCCGGTATGATTGGCCGCGACAGCAGCCGGCGGCGGAGGGGGGCCGGCAGGCGGGGTGACGCCGTACTCCTGCGAGGGGTCGACCTTGGATCCTCCATCGGGGGGTGCATACATGGGCGGTCTTGCGGCGTTGGGGTCGTATGTCGGCGGCGGCATGCCCTGCATTCCGTAGTAGCCGCCCTGCTGCTGGTTGTAGTAGTCCGGGCGGTAGTTGTTGTACGTCGCTTGCGGCCAGGCGTAACGGCTGTCGACACGGGCGAGCTGGGCCCTGCTGAAGAGCCAGCGGTGGTAACCCAGGGGCAGGAGACCCTTCTTCAGCCTCCTCTTGCCGTGGATGTAACCAATGATAAGGAAAGCGGCGAAGAGGGTCGTGAAGCCTAGAAAGACGGACCACTTGACGATGACTCCTGTCTGCGAGATGTGTTAGTCGGAGTTGTTCTTTTGATGGTGGTGATAAGTGACAAGGCTATTAAACATACCCGACTATACCACCATGGAATAGCACGACCATTCTGAATGACCCAACCGGGAGGCAGCTCGTTCGCGTTGACGACAGTCTGCCGGGCGTCGAGCATCGCGTATGCACTCATGCTGTGTGTATGTGTGTTTTTGGGGTTAAAAGAAAAATAAAAAAGAAGCGATCGTCGCCGCCCTTGTTGCCTCCTTTCCAGTCCCTTCCAGTCCCAAAAGCTACTCGAAACAAAAGAGGACAAATCCGCTCACTCGTCGTATCGGTTTATCGGGTTGCAGATGCTAAGCAAGTGGAATGAACCGCAGATCAACCACGCCCCAGTGTATAACACTCGATGAGCCAGTCAATGTATCGGAGATGTATTCTTGCCCTTATCGTACGTATATGAGCAAGGTACTCTGTAGCGTGTAAGGAGAAACGTTAAGGCGTTTGCCAAGACTTAAGTTGATGCGGGAGACGATTTATTTGAATCAATAAAACCAAAGCCAAACTCGAAAGTCAAGGGCCGCAAGGGACCTTAAAGAAGACGAGAAAGCGGGTTAGAACCAGCCACCATGCAAAACAGCCCCGTTACCTCACTGGTCGCAAGCATGGGAGGGGGGTGCGCGCCCGCTCCAGGTCGGCCAACATAGCTCCATCGCATGGTTAACTCTCTTTTCTCTCTGCTTCTCTCTCGCTTTCTTGCTTTCTCGCATGTGGAGAAAGGGGTGGTTGGATTGGTGTTTCTGGGTCGGGATTACCTTTGCAGGGCGAGTGCTGATTGGTCCTGACCGGGGTGCAGGTGGGCGCAACTAATCACCAGCAGAAGCTTGTCGGGGAGCGGGACGTGTGATGATGGATGGCGGTACGTGCTGATCTGCGGCAGCGCTGATGCACCAGGACCGTTTCATCTCCCTCGGGTCCGACGAGGCTTAGAGGACCACAGAGACCACAAGACAACGCATTTGGTCCAGCCAGCGGCGCAACAACAGGGCAAACACGATACGCTCGGTGGCCGAGGGCCACAGTCACTAGCTCTCGGCGCCCGTGGGCAACCACCTCTTTCCAAAGCACTTTTGACGGGCCACACAGACAAGTAAAGCGCTTGGCCTCTGTCTTAAGTTGTGGGATTCCTGATATCTTCGCCAGCTTTCGCAGCATGTAACAACAGATGAAGTGCCATTGGTTTGCATGCGGGGGGGTTTGCAGAAGCAGTTACAGCAGTTACACACCGTAGCATTCACTCTCGGAACGACAACGAAGCGGAAACCTTTTGTTTGCTCTAGGTTTGGATCTTCCTACAGTATGATGGGCACTGAGTAATACGCTCAATTGGGTAAGCATAATGGGGGAGTGTTAATGAACCATACAACATACAAATTGCACAGCACATTCTTATTGATTCGTAGTAAGATGCAACGTAAAATCGGATCAACGGCTGCGTCAGCCACGGTCACGACCCCGTTTATCAGCTGTGCATGGATGCTTCACCTTCGCAGCTATTCAAGGCGAGAACGAAAGGAAACTTGGGTGTGGCGCCGCTCTCACGAAAAACCCGAGATCCCTACTTCCTTCCCTCTGACTGCTGCTGCAAGTTACTGCTAGTGCCTGCACAAGATAAGGCTTGGACAAGTGTTAGACGAAGCTTGATCGAGGTAAGGAAGTAGCGTATCGGGTACACCCTTGTAGAAACGACCCTCTTCGTCCAGCCATTTCTTCCCCAGCAATCGAGGGAAAAATAGCCCGAAGAGCTTGTTGAAATGGAGGGACACAGGCACAGGTACAGAAATAGAGTTGCATCGGTTCTTTCCTTTTTTTTTAAAAAAAAAAATCTCCCCTCTATCATGTCGGTTCCGCCTCCGGCGTAGGGCTGCGCAAACAATATGCCATATGTTCCCATTAGAGACTGCGCGTTATGCTTGAATAGTGACCCCACCTACTCCAGAGTATCTGGTGAACTTCAGACGCCGTACTATGTAAAGGAGGTCACGATACTTTAGCTTGGTGAGATGGAGTGGAAACAGATATCTTTATATTAACCTTCTGCCAAATTTGAACGATTCTTGGGCCTTGAAACTAAAAACCGAAGCGCCCTCCGAGCGCGGGAGCACCACGGAAGACACCGTCAAGTGGTGTAGTAACTGCTTAGAGACAAACCTCCAACTCACCTCACCCATCCCTCCACCATCCGGTATCCTCGTCGTAGCCAATGATATCAAAGTCGATGTTCATGCTCTTCAACATCGTGCCCAGAGTAAACTCCTACGCCATGTTAGCCAACGTGTCTATGTGCATGTGCGTCCCCATCCACGGCGTCTTCGCAAGCCTCACCTCGTCGTCTTCATTCTCTTCCCCATCCTCATCTCCGTCGCTTTCGGCTCCGATTTCATCTGGTGGTGAATTCTCGCAGTCGGCAGCCTCATCGTGATCCCGCGCAGGCTCCCCCTCCATCATCCGCTCCAGGAAGCTCCTCTGATCTTCCCGCCTCGTCTTCCTCCACGCCTTCATCCCACCCATGCTCTGCACTCTCTCCCTAGAGGCCTCAAACACCTCCTGAGCGGCCTGCCTGCTCGCCCCCCTCCACTTCTCAATCAGCGCAACCAGCTCCTCATCCGTCTCGGCGCCGGCTCTCCCACAGATCCGCTCGGCCTGTCTGATAATCTCTTCGCGACCCTCCACCGCCCTAGCACTCTTCATCCCAATCGGCTTGGTGGTGGTGTTGTGCACGGCATCGGTAATCGACTTCCTCGCCAAAGGCGTCGTTCTCAAAGGCGAGGGCGAGGCGCCCTGCCGGGGTCGCGACAGACTGAACGGACGACGGGTGGGCGTGCTGAATTGCTTGGCTGAAGAAGGCTGATTCTCGTTCCGCCGTGCCGGAGTCCCTACACCGCTACCGCCGCGCTGGGTCGACTTTGTCTCTGTCGGAGGCGTTGATGCCGTGCCGTCCTTAGCTTCCGCATTGTGCCCCCCGTCCCGCACTACCACAGCGGGCGACTTAAAAGGTTTCCGGAGGATCTCGTTCGCGGTATCGAGTCGTCGCTTCTTTGCTGCAGGTGTATACATCATAAAAATTCTAACTGCTTTTTTTCCCCCGTCTCCTTCACTCGGCCTCGTTTTGCCCCCTGTTACATTCACCCAAGTTGGTGGATTGTAGAGGAAATTGTGGAACAAAGCCTAATCGCATCCATGGAAGGTGTTGTTGGAGACAACGCACGCTCATACCTGTGGAGAGACGCAAAACACAGTGACATGCACCTTTTGTAACCAATGTTGTTTAAACTCCCATCTCTCTCATTTCGAGAATATATTTGAAGACATTCAAAATCACAATTCAGTTCTCATTACTATTCATTATAGGGCCACGTGCATCTGTTACAACATGCCGTCTCAAAATCGTCACTGCCAAGACTATGGCTCACCTGCAAGTCATGTCTCATGTCATGAGTAGTACAAAAGTAGATCAGTAATTTCATTCGAACTCGTCAGCCACTGCTTACTTATTCTACAGAGAAGGACCAGATGCCCCTGGATTCTCAAACTCTTCCAACAGGCTAGATCTCCTTGCTTAGATCATCTCACACATGTCCCATGTACACATCAAAATCCTATGAGCCGTTTCGAAGATAATAAGTCGTCCTCCCAGTTAAACCAACATTAAAATCAAAAATAAAACAATACTTGTCCATATCCCCTTTTGCGCCTTTTCCAATGCACTTTGATAGTCCGCCAACTCAAAGATTTGAAGGAGAACCTGGACTAAAAACCTTACGTGACGCTAATGCCGGAGAATGAAAATAAAGAGGTATCATAGAACCGAATACACTCCATAATTGGTCTGAAGGGAGCCAGTGTGCGGGTAAGATGGTACAAAACTACGGCGAGGTGAATGTGAAATAAAATAAAGAGCTCAGGAGTCGACCCTGACCCTCTTAGGCTCATTACCAGCCTCAGGGCCCTCATGGGGTCCGCTGATGCTAATCTCGGGACTCTTGCGCTTGGTGCTCGTGGCATTGTCATCCCTCAGAAAACTGGGGCCTGAGCCGACGACAGGCGTGGCAAAGTTCAGCGGACTGGGTAGCGTGTTGCTATCGTTGCTTCCGCGCGAGTACCACTCGGGATAAAAGCTGCTCGGGCTTGGAAGGAATTCGTTATTGAGAAATCGCGACGGAAGAGCAGAAACCGGTGTGTCGATATTCATGTTATTATTCTGCTGCGGCGGAGGACGGGCGAAGGGGTTCGGGGGGCCCGTAGCACCAGCTGACAGAAGCGTTTGGGCTGACGGGGATGGTGGTGGCAGCACCATGCCGGAAGAATGCGAATCGGATGCGTGGCGCCGAGTTGTCTGGGATGTGGCATCTGTCGAGTTGCGAGGAGAGTTTGACTCGGCAGTTGCGCTACCGCCATCCGAAGGTTCGTCAGGAATCTCGACCCTCAAACGGGGCCGCGCACCACCTCCAATCTTCATGCTATTGGTTCGAGACGGTGGAGTAAATGTCGTCTCTGGGATGGACGATATAGAAATGTTGCGAGTCTTGCTTGACGACTGAGTGCTGGCGCGCTGAGGCAGGGGTGGGGACGAGGTAGAGCCATTGGTTCTGGAAACGGCACCAACGTCTACGGACTGAGAGCGGTTCCCCTCAATCTTAATGTTGGCCTGTTCAGGTAGCGGAGGACGGTTTGCTTCGGCCTTTGCGATGTTCTGATCAGAGGCAAATGAGGCCAAATGCTGAGAGAGAATGGAACGGTTCTCATCGATTGGAGTAAAGATGCTGTGCTGTTTGCGCTGCGGCAGCTTCTTGATCGCGCTGTCAGTGTTCAGAAGAGGCGGCTGAGGTCTATCATGGTGCTCAGATCTTGGTTCCAGCGGCGCCGGCATCGTGTTTTCCTGCGGTTGCGGCGGCGGCGGCGGCGGCGGTTGCTGCTGTTCTGACTGAGGCTGAGGCTGAGGCTGAGGCTGATGCTGGGGTTGGGGTGATGGTTGCGGCTGCTGCTGAGGCTCTAATTGCTGAGGCTGGGGTGGAGGAGGCGAAATCTGTGGTGGCTGAGGAGGCAGTTGCTGAGTAGGAGGCTGAGGCGGAGAAGGTGAGATCCGGGAAACTTGTGGTCCGGGTCCCTGAGGGCCTTGTTGTTGCGGGTAGTTAGGCGGCAAAGAAGAGCGACGCTGGTCCTCCATGTATTGTTGCATGTGCGGCGGATGAGGATTAGGCGGATATTGAGGGTACTGAGGACCCTGTTGGGGTAATCCGTGAGGCATGTTAGGCGGCATGTTGGGCTGGTTGTGAGGGTTGTAGATAACCGGGTTGGGCATGTAGGCATAACCATTAATGGGACCTTGTTGAGGTCCAGGAGGACCGACGGGCTGAGGGCCCATGTTGGGGCCCATACGGCGAATATCTTGTCTGGAAGCAGGTCGCGATCCCATCTGCGGCTGGGGCGTGTGCCCGCGTTGTACCGGGTGCCCAGGGTGTTGGGGGAAGGGCATGCCGTTCGGAATAGGTGGCGATGCTGACGGGGTGTGATGCCGTATATGAGGGAATGGTGCTTGCCCTTGGAACTGAGGCGGCATCATGTGAGGCTCCATAGACTCTCCGTGAGGGGGCGTGCCGTCGCCCTCTTCGTCCTCGTCTTCGTCGTTGCCACCGTTGAAATCAGAGGGCCCCTTGTGTTCGTTCGGGCCACCGTGCTGCGCGAGTGTTAGTGTTCAGGCGTTACGGCCGTCGAGTCTCAGGGCAGGCTTACGTATGTGTATCTGGTAATCATCTCTCGCATGTCTGTGGAGGAATACTCGTACAGCTTCTTGTTGCTGCCGAAAATGAAGACGGCCACATCGACGGAGCACAGGACGGAAAGCTCATGCGCCTTCTTGAACAGACCGCCCTTTCGCTTAAGAAAGGTGCTGTACGCGACGCGACAAGTCAGCAAAATGCTTAACACAATGGGCTCAGGCGGGGTGGCAAGCTTACACAGAGCGATTCCTGTCATCCTTGATGGCTTTGATTTCGATCTTTCTACGCCCCATCGTGACCTAGATGCTCTACAGGCTATCGGCGGCTGTAGATGGTATGTAGAGGAGAAAGTGTGGTGGTTACCCGTGCCAAGGTCGATGTCGAGACGGGCGACTTCGAACCGACTGGCGATGGCGCGGCGGCGGTAAGGTCCCAGTCGGTGCGTGGACCGTTCCTATGAGAGAAGGGACGGTGACCGGATCACGAGACAAGTTGAAGCTCGTGGAGTTGAGCTGAGAATTTTGAGGAGCGACAAGCTTGGCTGATCAACGAAGCGGGCGGAAACCAAAAGTCGGCTGGGAGGGCTGATCGCTTTTATCTAAATGGCCTGTCTCGTAGGTTGTAGTTCCCAACTGGTGATCCGTCAGTCAAACTGGCATGGGCAAGGCAGCGCATCCCAGGGGTCGAGGATTATGTGAAGCGGTGCAGGCAAAGGGTTGGGAGCAGGGAAGCGCAACGAGGACGCATCAAGAACGTACATTGATCCCATTACAAGTGCAGATGCGACAGTCTGGGATGGACAGGCGTTGTGGTGCAGGTCGATGGGGCTGAATCTGGCGTGGATGGTTCTAATAATAGACGCGATCGTGTTCACCTTTCTGGGTGCGGGAAGACAGACAGGAAGGAGGGAAGGGGAAGGGGGAAGAAAAAAAAAAGTAATGGGTGGTGGGAGCGGCAGCAGTAGTAGTTAGGTAGGTACGGTATTGGTCCAGTACAGTAAGGAAGAGTGGTAAGGAGTAGTAGTAGCGGCCCAGCAAGCAATGAGGGAAGTTGCAGCGAATGGTGGCAGCCAGTGAGAGGAGCGGAAACAGCAGCAGCTTGATGACTTTTAGGAATGGGGAAAGGGCAGGGGATGGACGAGCGAACTGGGAAAGGATGTTGGAAAGAAAAAAAAAAAAAAAGAATGGGCGGGGGGGTGTGGTACACTCCCAATACCAATACCTTGTGTGTCGCGGTACGGATACCGTCGAGGCTGGGCGGGCCAACGGCCCTCTTTCTTGTCTCCAGGCCCTGCAGCAGCACCATGCTTTTACCCCCTCCAGCTCCAGCTCCACCAGTAAGATACCAAGTACCACCAGAGCAGCCCTCCACGATAGTAGCGTGCCATGTGTAGGGGTCAGTGGTAAGCCTTTTTTTTTCTTCTCCCCTCTCCTAAAACTCTTGAAGGGCAAGGTCGCGAGGGGCTCTTGGTAGGCGCGTTCTATGACTGGGGGTCCTGGTGGCCGTTGCGGACGTTCGTGAAACGACAACCTGAGGACGCAGGGAATGAGATGGGGAGCTGGGGCTGACCATTCGCACTGTCTATGGACGCGACAAAATGCGGGGACTCTACCGTGTGACGACGCAATCTCCACCAAGATCCTGCGCACTGTATCAGGGTCTAGTGGATCCGCATGTACTAGCCTCAGTCAAGAAAGGTACCAGGTGAAATCTCGACGGCGTTGCCGCTAGTGAGACATTGCAGAAATGATACTTGTGGCAGGTGTCGACGAGACATCTGACGTCTACCCGACGTGAGAGGTACGTGCGCCACGACCGGTGCGGCCTTGCAATAAATTGCGGATACTCGAAAGACACGCGATGCTCCAGCCAAACTGTCTATTGCTACTACCTAGTATACTCCTGACGGTAGCCACTTAGAAGAGGATAACAGAGAGAGCATTGACGTGCGGGCTGGACTTCGACCCCAATCTTGACTGCCCCACAACAAAACTCGACTCAATAACCGCGACGAGACACCGGAGTCTATGCCGGACCCTCTCTTGCTGAACTTTACCATCGCCTACTACCGGCCAGCCAATGTCCCGTCATTAGTGACGAGACACTCTCTTGCAGCCCCCAAAGCCAACCCTCCTCCTCCTCCTCCTCCTCCACCCAGAAAAAAAAATTGAGAAAAAAAAAAGAGACAGAATGAGTAGAGAACACGAATAGCGCCTTAATGGCCGAAAGGGGGTGGAGGGATGGGGCTGCCATTCAGCAGCAAACAATGTGCCCGGACCGCTTATCGAGCCTTTCCTTCGGGGCCGGCGCAGGAACGAAGCCTTACAGCCAGGCACTGTCACCAATCCACCTATTAACTTACAACACAGCACTCTTTTCACGGCAACACACGACACAACATAGTAAGGGCACTGGCCACCCGTGCAGGTACAAGGCCACGGGAAGCAGCTGCCATCCATTCTCTGTTATGTGGAAGCCAACTCAATCCTTCTCGACTTTACCCGGCAATCGTCTTTTCGTGGGACAAATTTGAGTTCGGTACCTCATTCCTTGGCACCAGCTGAAAGCAGATGAAGTAGACAGCGCGACAGACCCTCGTCCTTCGTCCCTCTTTGCCCTTTGTTTTCTCCTCTCTTCCCTTAGCCGAGAGGTAAGGCGAGGTCATCGCCAAACAGCCCACTTCCCCGTCCCATCATCACCTTGTCTGCCCGTAGGTTGTTTGCCTTACATCCCCCCGGACGGCCCCTTATCCCGCCCGAGGGGGCCCTCCTCCACCTCGGTGCGGCCAAAAGTGCCCGCCCGCGCGCAGGCATGGCGCATCCAAAAGAGCAGCCAACCTGGACAGGGCTGCGGCTTTTCTGCCGACCTGCGTTTGACTCCCCAAATCAGCCGGGCCTTTGACAACGTCCGTCCGCTTCGCTCCCATGGTTCTGACCTGTAGATCTCGCTTCACATCAACCCTCGTCTGTATCCCGCGCCTGTTTGACGAACCCAGTCGCCCATCATCTAGATTTAGATACACTACCCCACTCACGGCGATACCCCGCGTCCATTATTACCTCGTCAACCCTGAACATATGCTGACATTCAAGGCCTGAGCCGCTCGTCAACTGTCTCGGGAAAGGTCATCTTCTCCACCTCGCTTGGGCGTCTCCGCCCATCTCTTTGGATTTCTCCAAAACTTCGAGACACCACGGACCAAGAAGTTAAAAACAAAACGAAAATTAGAAAGACAGATCGTCTAGTAACCACCAATCTTCGTCCAAGTCTCCGAGGAAACATTTCTATCCCGCGGGACTCGTCCCCTCGTCCAGACAAGCCTGTGACCGGTATTGTAAGACTAGAGAACGAAAAAGACGACCCAAGAATCGGCCAGACACCGCTGATGGATGCGCTCATTCTCACATGCAACCTTCTTTCGTCTACTTTCCAGGATCTGCTAGCAGACTTTACCCCTGGTTCAGCTAACCCGGGGCGACTCCCATCACTTCCTGATAATCTATCCGAGGAGGGGTCCGGCGTTGTAGTATCAAGTCGTCACTTACGCCATGCCATATTTTGAAATAACCATATCATAAAGTTAAGCGCCGGGCGCCATCAATGGCATGACGCTAAATGCTGAGAGCCCTGGTAGGCAAAGGGCAAAAACAGCATCCAGAGTCCAGTGCTTCATCAAAAGGGGGGTTAATGTCCGCCGTGCCACGCTTTCTCGGCTCTGCTTATCCCCATCGAGATTTGTCTGGACGCGGCACCAACGCCATTTACTACTGGTAATTGTGCCGCAAACAAGCTCCCGCCACCAGAGAGCCTCCTTCTCGTGTCTCTTTGTGACGGAGTGAGGTCGACATGCATGTTTCGAGAGGCCAAGACATGAACGTTCCTGGCGCAAATCGCAAGCCGATTGGTGGCCATCGCAGAAAACCTGCACAATATTCCTCCACCTCATCTTCACCCCCATCCTCTTTCCCCCCATGCTCACCTACACCTCGGTGTTGAGGTTGTGACCCCCCCAGTCAAGGGAGTTTCTAAAAATATCCTATTTTTAGCATTAGCGTGAAAGCTCCGCAGCCACGCGACTTCCACAGTGTGTGGTAGTTGCTTCAGCCACCGGCCAATCAGCCTGTCTCTTCGGTGCCGCGTTATGTGGGTAAGCCCACTCATTTTCACATCCTCGCTCGACATACCTTATTCTTCGCATTCATCACCTTTTCTTGAGCTGCTTGGTCCTTTGCCTTGTATCACCGCCAACCACACGCACTTAGACCTACATGCATCAAGCCCGATCCCGTCTGACTCCGCTCGAACCGCTCCTCTCCCCCGTGCCTCCATCAGCGTTCCATCCGCTCTTACTCTGTCTCCCACTCTGTCCCTTTTTCGCTGTCCACTCAAGCTCCAAGACAACGCTAGCTTACACGGCCTCATCAGCATCGGCATCATCAATGATCGTCATCCTCATATCATAACCATCATAACTTGGCTGCGCAAAACTTGGAATGGCGAAGTCTTCCTTTGTTGTTCTGGTTCGTTCTTGTCATTGTCACATCTTCCTTGCCGCCCCTCCTTCCAGCTACTAGTATATGCTGTTCGAGCTTTTCTTGCACGATTCGCCAATCTACCAGGCACTCAATGTGGTGCAAAGTCAGCATTCAGGAAAAACCCCCACCATCTATCCATCTATCTACCCGGCCGTCTCTCATCGGACCCATGTCGCTGTGTCACATTTGTTCCCCCCGTCAGCCAGCCTAACAGCCAGTCATCCATCAAATGTGCCCTGTTGACCTATACCAGCCCATGTTAGCCTCATGTATCTCCCGTCGAGCCGTCCACACACACCAAATACATGTTCCCAAGCAACTGTTGCATGGCATGCATGGTCAAGGATATCTGGCTTCGGTGAGCTAACGTGGTCTTCCCTCTCTCTCACACAAGGGAAAAGAAATAGGCTAGCTTGCTGGGACTTTTTGTTACGTGAATGATTTTTGGTGTGATTAGCTGCTTGAGTAGCGGCTAAGGGCTAAACTTAACAACACCAGACGCCATGCCGATGCATCATTACATGCTCTGATTTGCTTAATCGCTTGCCAAACCCTCCCCCGACCCTGATTTCCATGCCGTTGGGAGATTTGCCCGTGTCGTGCTGCCCAGTAAGAATGACCAAAAAAAAACCCCCTCCCGAAGCCCACCACCACCAAAAGACCGGTTCCCAATTTCCATATCTCACATACCACCGTCCTAATTGTACGATTCCAATTTTGGATATCCCAGTCCAATCTCATGTCTGGAGTTTCCCAGCCCAGACGCTCACCAAATTCTGTGTGGTTTTCAACGGCAACGTCAGGTTACTCGTCGTGCCTGATCCCCATGCGAAGCATCCTTGGCGTGTCCCTATTGTTAGCAACCGGGGATGGCTGAGTGTGGGGTTCTTCCCCCTTCTGGAACGTTCATCGGTAGTTAAGCGGCTGGCTGCAAGAGACGCAGATTATTGGTGAGCGCCGGAAACAGTTACCGGCCCTCCGGCTCCAGTGTCATCGTCTCAACCATATTTCAGTATGTGAGGATGCGACGTTTGGTCTGTCCTACCTATGACAGCTGTTACTCTCTTTCATCCGAACCGCCCTTGTTATCTATTATTGCCCGGGCGAACCAGCATTTGCAGCTGGAGCGTTATACATTCCGAAGCCGCCATGTTCTGCGATGCCGTTATCGGTCTTCATAGTGCCGTTGAGCATAGGACAAAGCCTTAGAGATCATATTTGTCAGCCAACTATTTTAGGATGAGATCGGGTTAAAAGCGGAAAAGCGAAACGCAACGAAAAAGAGAGAAGAAAAAAAAGCCAAATGAGACGGAAGGAAATAAGGTAATGATCTGTAGAAGACAATCGCCGAGGATTTTCTGTGAAATCAGATGATTCTTGGCCTAGCATTCTGCCAGTATGGTTTATGACTGTACTTGTTGTACTTGTACTTTTTGGCCTTCGGTTTCAGAATTGCCTTGGGCTGTCCCTTGGACACCTCGGGGTTTGGGTCTTCGAGGCTTTTGACCCTGGCGCTTCTTGTTTCTTGTCCATGAGGTCCAAGTTTTTGCTTTAAAGCAACGGGCTTTTGCGGAGCTCGCCTGATCTGACGCTTGCGCAGCAGATTTTGCTTAAGTTTGAAATGCGCTCCAAGTCTGAACAAGCTCCGGAGATCTGAGGTTGGACGAGGGGGAAGACTGAGAACAAAGGGAGCAATACTTTTTGTTGGTTTTAATGTGGCCGACCTGTCCACAATTGGCACACTTGCGAGTGGTACCAGTGGCAGCCCGATCTGCCTCGGGGGAGCCTGCATCAAGCCCGCTTTTGGCTCGGTGCAGTCCTTTCTGCTGCTCTCGTCCGATTCGTCGCTGCTTGTTTCTGTTGAGTCGCTCAAGTTCTTTATTAATTCTGCTAGGACGTCAATCAAGTGCTCCGCATCTACTGAAGGATACTCCTTACTCAACCAGGCGGCGGTGGTCGTCGTCAGCGACTCCAGTGGGGCGTCCTTCGTAGATACTATGCACGAGATTATGTGAGTAGGAAGCGCATGGATGTTGAATGATAGACCTGAAAGGGGATCAGGAGGGGGATAGCGCGGTGGGAGTTCGTACTTGAAATCCTCCAACTCCAACTCCTTCTTTCTCTTGATATAACGATCTATCACGACAGGGTCTTCAAGAATGACAACTTTCTGCTCGACAGCTCCTGCTTCATTAATAACTTCACGGGTGATCTTGAGTCGCTTTCGCTGATTTCGACTTGTAGACGTTGTTAGTCCGGTAATTTGACTCATACCCTCGTCAACATGTGCTGGGGTCTGCGCTCTCTGCGGGTATAATCGATCGTCCTCGTCTGCTGGCGGTGGAACCACAAGGTCATCGTCCTTCTCTGATCCGTCCTCAAGACTGGCCTGTTGCTTTTCCCAAATCTCACGGATGCCTTTCCTATACATGGCCTCTTGCTCTTTTACATTATACGCATGTCCATTGTTCGCCTTGCGCATAGCATCGGGATGTGCGGCCATTGCATCAGCTGCTGTAGTGTGGGATCCGCCCTTCTGAACAGTCTCAAGGTAGCCGCCCTTCATGGAGGTCCTAATAAAGCTGAAACCGAGGCCATGTCCGGTTGGATCACCATGCCCGTGGAGTTTGAGCATAGCCTTGCCGGCACATGCATCAATGAAGGCCTTGCTAGTCTTCCATGGCGCCATCTTGTCCGCCAGCTTTTCTTCGTTCTTCTCGGCAGCTTTCTTGCCGCCTTTGCCAGTGCGATCGTCATCGTCTTCCTCGGCAGGTTCGTCATTATCGTCTTCCAAGTTAACGTTGTTGGGGTCGAAACCAGCGTCCTCTAGCATCTGCATGCCCAGCTGCATACCATCGATCAGACAAACATCTTCAGGCTTGATCATGGCACGAATAGAATTCTCGTCCATAAGGGTCTCTCCAGGCCGAAGTCCCCAAAGACCCTTTTCAACCTTGGCGTAGACCAAGAATTCCTTGAGCTTCTGCCTGTTTTGGGCGTCTGTCGAGTCGGCAATATGTTTAGTGACCTCAGACAGGTTAACAAGGCTGTGCTCATTCCGTCGCATCATGCGGTATGATATCATTTTGATTCTGTTCTTGGAAGCGTTGGTGACCTTTCTGCTATGAGGTCCTGGAACCTCGACGGATGGGAAAGTTTGGCCGACGACGTAAAGATGGTCAATCTTATGAAGATACCAGTTGGATCCATCCACGCCCGTTGAGCTTCGGACACAGAGAAAATCGGTAGAGCGTGGCTTATGCTTGAAGATGGGTGCTCGGTACATCTGGTTATGGAGAGTGGGCATTGTTTGTCCAACTTCTACCTCGCCGAAAATTGCGAATGGAGACCTGTCCTCGGGTAGCAGAACATGGGATTCGCCAATTTCCATCTTCGGCGGGGCTTCCTCGTCGTCCACCTTCTTTTTGCGATAATAGTTAATGACGCGGTTTCCCATACCGAAATTAGAGAGAACTGGAGGTGTTCGCTCGCAGTACTCGAACAACACGGCTGTAGAGTTGTCTGTGATTCCGAGGTCCTTGGTCGTCCGGAAGACCTCATGAGCCTTGCCCTTCATCTGCTTCCGCTTATGGAAGCCAAGCTTGCTGAACCTGATCATCTGGCGCTCATGCTTGCCAAACTTGAAGTAGGGACGATGGAAGCCATCCTTGCGGATATCCAACTTGACCTTGTAAAACGGCCATGCCAGCTTGAGAGCAGGCATACTGTGCTCCACCGCAAGATTGCCCAGAGTCGCTCTGACTTTGTGCTGGTGGTTCTCTTTCAATGCTTCATATGCGTCGTCGTTGGACATATTAAAGCGCTGCGAGAGGTCGGGCCTCAAGTGGCCATTGGCCATTCGTGTAAGTTTTTGTTCGACGCGCTGGCGCTTAGGGCCGCGCTGGTTATCAGCCTCCTCCAAAATAAGGTATGGGTCATTCAAATCGAGAATAACCCGCTTGGAGGAACGCTTGGTCACGTCCTCGAAAGAATCGAACGAGGGTGCGGTGAAGCGGGGTATCTCCGGTAATCCCTTCGGCGGGGGAGGGCGCGTTTTCTTTGGTGGAGGCGGTTTGGTCTCTTCATCATCCATGAATTCAGCCTCCCAGTCAAAATCAAAAGCGTCATCATGAGCGCGCTTTAGCGATGCTGCTGCCGCCGCTTCTGCCGCTGCTTCTGCGGCCTGTTGGTTTTTAAAATCTTGCTCTGCCTGTTCAATACGAACAGACCAATCATCGCAAACCATTTCGATATCTTGTAAAGTGAATCCCGCTACGGCCTCCGAATCAGATTCTTGCTCGAGGTTGAACTCTTCGGCTTCGGCCTCATCTGATGACTCTTGCATGGCGCAAGTCACCAATCCTTTGGCGGCATCGTCTATACGCGTCTGCTTTCGGGTCGCAGCGGCGGGTCCAGGAATACGGAAGAGTTTCTCTTGATCGGCGGCAAGATCGAGAGTCAACTTGGAGAAAATCAATGTCTTTGGCTTCTTAGCCGGCTTCTTCTCAATCCATCGCGCTTTCTTGGGGGGGAGAAGCTCGTTCCATTTCAGGATAACGCCCTTTTGCCATGTTGGCCACGCCTGCTTGACCAAATCCTCCACTGTTTCTGCAGGGGCCGGAATGTCAGGGTCCTGGTTTGCCGCCTCATAACCAGGTTCGGGATCGAAGTTGATGTCTCGGTATTGCGACGCATCGGCGTTGTCGAGATCGTGAACATGAGGAGCTGGTGATGGCGGGCCGGGTACTTCGATGGGGGATGAAGGCCCATCGCCAAAAAGATCGTCGGTATCATTACTCGTCCCTCCGTCATCAGTGAGGCCAGGGACAGATAGGGAAGTGGCGGCATTGCCTTCTTCTTCTTCGGGAAGGTCATCGTCACTAATGTCCTCGAAATCCTGGGCATCGTCTGCCTTGTCCGTCTGGTCAAAAGGTTGGTCATCGAGACTAAAGCCCAAATCACCACCGTTTTGAAGTTGGCTAAGAGTTCGCTCGATTTGTTCGTCGTCTTGGGCCTCCTGTGTCTTCTGGGCCTTGAGAGCGGCCTCGTCCACGGACGGAGGAGATTTGGGAGTGTCGGCGCTCATGTTGTCGATAGTTGCACGAATATCACCCCTCTGGCACCTCCGATATTGTGCGCCGACGGGTTCTGGTCTTATACCATGCCTCGCGATGTGGTTGCTGATGCGTCGGAGGCAGCGTTCGTTCGTGGAAAGCTCGTCGAGTCGATGGGGCGACGCGTCGGTCGGCTCTGGGGAAGCAGGAGGGAAAGTTCACGTTGAGCCGCAGAAATTTGGGTGACTCAGGAGCGATTTCTGCATGGGTGCCTGAGGATTTACATATCAGCCAATCAAACTGCTTAGAGACAAACAGCCATTGCTCTTGGTCCGTGCTTGCCGTTTCTACCCCAGGTATGACCGGAGCAGCTTGTGTCATACCTAAAATCAACCATGAATTCGGCGATAGTACTGGATCTCTGAAAGGCTTTGTTTGCCTGCAAGCGTTGATAGTGGCGATTTTGTTATTGAATGCGCAGAGAAAGAAGAAATTTATGTTCTTGGCTGATATTGCGGGCGCGGCGCGAGTAAGAATATTTGGTACACTTGTGGTGTTGGTGGCAGGTGAAGTGTAAAGCAATAAGTAGCTGTACAGGCGAGGTGAGGCTCAAGGCAGCTTAGAGGCGGCAGTCAGTGAGGTGCCTTAAGATAGAAGTAACTACGGGCGGAGCTCTACGAAAGTGCCTGCTCTAGACAACACAAAAACGGGTAAACTTACCATCCATAAGGAAGGACCCCACGCTTGAAGAATATGGAAAGCGTGGTCGATATTTGTTCCTGGTCAAAGGAGCCTGCACAGTGAAGCTCCAATGCGCCTGCATATGACACCTGGTATTGTATTAAACGACGGAAATTCGTTGTCGATCTGTTCTCTTACACGAGACGCCCGTAAAGAACGTTCCTGGAGTGAAACGGAATGTTATCATGCATTGAAGCTTGTGTATCCGGGGACGAATTGGAAAATAGCTTATTGGGGCTTGCTGTAGTGGCCCTCTCTCAAAGACTCTCTGAATTCGGAGCGCCCATCAGGGGTGGTCTCAGCCAGGAGACTCTGCTGTGTGTAGCGGCTTTCGTACCAAGCTGGGATCATGGAGGCTACCCGTTGTCTAGGTAGCAGAAGAGCTCAAACCTCTCTATCTCTTCCTCCTATCCCACAGAGCGCATTTTACTTCCACAGAATGCAGGCTCAAAGACAATTTTACATCATCGACGACTCGTAATCGCTGCATCAATTGTATACAAGACATTCCAGAAGGCCCTTCAGCTTAGCACAGAGCGAAGTCAAAGTGAAGCATCTTGAGCACAACGTCTACCGATCCCGTCTGTTTAACACTTTTGTGTATTCCTTAAACTATCTAGCCTCATGCGTGGCAAGAGTGCATACACTCACAGACGGCATCCTTCCGCGACGATATGATGCGTAATCTTTTGACGCCGTCCCTCTCCGATACACAGAAAAGACCTTTTTCGCAAACTCCATACGCCCTTTCTTTAGTAATGCGAACGATGAATCACCCTGCCATACTCCTGCTTTCCTTCCCTTAACTCAAGAGATTCCTGGCCACCGACCACGGACCTTTACTTGCAGCGCTTCTCGACAATGCTGACACCGTTCTCCTCGTACTCCTTCCGCGAGATCCACATCTGGTGGAAGGTGCCCAAGCTGGCCAGAATGCTGCCACCGATCCAGGCGCCGAAGCGACGTTCGCTCGACAGACCCGCGGCGTGGATCTTGATCTTGAGGCCGGGGTACATGGCCGTGAGCTCGTTGTTCAAGCGGTCGTTGAAGCCGTTCAACAAGCTGGTGCTGCCCGTGACGACGATGTTGCCAAGCAGGTTAGGCCGCAGGTCGACGTCAACAGCATTGAGAGCCGCGCGGATCAGCTCCGGGATTGTCTGGCTCTTGTTAAGGCGCAATTCCTCATTAGCAGTCGGGAACGCCGCTGTCTCATCCCACATGCCCTCTGACACCTTGTACCGCTGCTCGCGCCACATCTGATTGGCGCCATTAGGGAACTCAAAGACGCGGCCGGGCTGCATCTTGGCGAGCTCCTCGTTCTGAGGCACCGCATACTTGCCAGGACCACGCCAGGTCTCGACAACGGACTCCTTGAACTCGGTCAGGAGCCGCTCGTCCTCATACGCGCGGAAAGACTCAGTGATGGAGAAGGGGAACTGGCGCTGCTTGAACTGGGCCGGGGCACCAGCATCGACGGGAGTCTTACTCTCGACGAGGAAAGTGGGAATGGGGTCGATCTTGGGCTCTGAGGTCTCCCACAGGCTACGGATCTGCGACGACAGCCACAGGCCGCCGACAGGTGATTTCTGGATAGATCTCTTAAGGACCATGCCATCATGAATGGCTGTGACGGACGTGTTGGCTCCGCCAACGTCGATGACGAGGGCGCTCGCCTTGCCGGCGGCGAAAGCAGCCAGGACGGGCGTCCGACTCAGCCAAAAGGCAGGGCAACCCCAGTTCTCCATGATAATCTCAATGGCCTTCTCCCTGGACTTAGCATTGTTCCACGGGGCCTCAGTCATCAGAAGCGGGTTCTCCTGCAGGGCCTTCTCTTGAGATTCAGCGTCCTCCATGGCAACGTCGACATCGCCGTTAGCCTCGGCACCCTCGACCTCCGTCTTAGGGTCGTCGTTCAGGCCATTCTTGGAGGGGGCCGTGGGGCGCGGGGGCTGGAGGCGTGTGATGAGCATGTGCTCCCACAGCTTGTTGGCGACATCCCAATCCTCGACGACGCTGTCCTTGTTCATGTAGTTGCGAACTTCGAGGTCGGCACGGGGGATCAGGCATTCGTCGCCGAAGACGTTGGTCGGGGGGTCATTGGAGCCGACGCGACCGTAGAAAGACGGGAAGACAGACTTGGGTACATCTTCGCCCGCGAAGCCGGCACGGGTACTGCAGTAGCCTGGGTCGAGAACCAGAGCGGAGACCTCATCTGTTACGCGATTGTTAGAGTGAGCAAAGTACACAAGGCGACGAGAGTTGTGTGGTCTAGCTCACCTCCTCCGTAGATGTCGGTCGGCTGCACCGATGAAGATAGCGGTTGTTGCGACATGGTTTCGAGTTCGGATCTTTAATGCGACAAACCACCGAGATGATTGGGATGGGTCGGAGGCGTTATGGTGGGTTGTTGCGATGCTGCACCGGGTTGAACGCGTCGAAATTTGGCGTGGTTGGGTGAAGCTGCAAGGCTGAGATTTCAGCCACACCCCCACCGTGTCATAGCGCGACACACTGTACAAGCTTTCGGCATGGGCATCCTCACCGAAGAGCACTTGGATAAGTTTTTGGCACCCTGGCGACAGGAGTGACATAGGCATTGTTGAAGTACAAAAATTCCCCCAAGTAGAACACATTTAACAATCCCGCGATTGTCACTCATGGGGTTATTGATGCAAATCATGGGACAAGACAAACGCGCAGAAGGCCTGTAGCAAAGGGTATCTCATATATTTGCAAAAATCGTCTCTTCCAAACTCAGTTGTACGGCCACACATCAGGTCACAATGTACTCATCTTCTGACTCAAAGTCTCGTCCCTCCCCGTACAACACTTCGCAGGCTCCAGCCAGCGGGATATCCATTACAGCATCCGTCCCCTCGTTCCAAATGTTCTTCCAATTTAATCCTCCCCCTGGTAACCGGTTATCCCTTTTATCGCGTGAGCGCCTCTTCGTCCCATCCCGCAACCTTCCCTTGCTGTCGATAACTCCAACCTTTGAAGCATCGTCCACGACCGTCTCAATGGAATTGAGCGGCAGCGTCATGATTTCGACATTGTAAGCTGCGAGCGCAATGTAGATATAGACGAGCAGCATCGTCAGAAATGCGGGAATGGCAAGCGACCACCATCGGTTCGGATAATAGTAGATTCCCAACGCGTGCAGGAACGGGGACGGCAAGTAAGACCATAGCAGATAGACGATAAAGGTCAAGGTCGAGAAGAGATAGAGCACGAAACCATAGTACTCATACGTCGGCACCTGGGGGGACGCTCGTGGTAGGGGCTCAAAGTCGTCATCGGAAGCGTCAGGCGTAGTCGGACGCGATGGGCGCAAGAGCGACGTGAGGGATGGCGAAGGTGGCAAGGGCGTCGGCGGGCGGCCGTAGAAGGGCGGCGCAAAGTAGTTGTGATGCAGGGGCCGCGGGGGCAACTCCTCGCCGTCACTGGACTCCGAGGCGATGGACTGGTTGTCTGAGAGAACTTGGTCTTCTTCTTCCGAGGAAAAAGACATCATTGGGGCATTGGCCCGAGCTGTCGGGGGCTCTGACGTGGAGTTTTGCGGTGTTGGTAATGTCTAGGCCATGCTGTTGTTGGAGGTGGAATTGCGACTCCCCCAGACCAGCTCAAGGAAATCCACCTCACTCCGTATGCTTGAGGTTCGACCCCGTCAGTTCCACTGCCGTCCCGGTATGTGTACAGGGTTTAGTGGGGCCGTGTCTCACTGGCTTGGCGTCATTACCTAACTCAGCACAATCTACAACTTCTCTTCACTGTCTCGGTTCTAAGGAACACACAATCGCGGAGCGGAGGGCCTCATGTAAAAACCCCGTCTCTATTTTTCAGTATTCACTTGTTTTATTGCCTTTTGAAAATGTTACTTTATTCGGATATATACATAGTCCCTGCTAAATACGCTTCTCAGCACTTCTCAGTGTTGATTCTTTCATTTATGACGAATCAAAACTAGGAGAAGTGTTTGGCCTTTTCTCCTTGAAATTCACTACTACTTTAGTTTAAAAGCCTAGCCCAAAAACCTGTCAACGTCAGCTACCCACTTACACATACCGCTGCAGAACTCACCTCTCCTTGGCCTCTGCCTCCTGAAGAAAAGATCCCACCGCTCAATACCAGCCGAATTTGCCTGTGGATACCTAAAATCATTCTCAACCGTAACGCGCCTCCTCAATCTATCGACGAAGCGCGTCGCCTGGTCCCAAGTCAGCCCGAAGCGCATGAAGCGATGCGCATCGCACGCCGTGGCACCGCAGTTTCGGCATCGCCACAGCTGTCTCCCATCACTCAACCTGCAGTAAAAACACGGGGGATCTTCTTCTAGTTGAAAACCCCACTGCTGATGTAATTGATGTCGGCATCCAGGGTCCTCACGCTCAATGGCGTATTCTGGCCACGCTCGTCCTTCGTCTTCAACGCCGTCGAGGACCCGGCGTCTGTTGGCCAGGCTGTCGCGTCTCCAGTTTGCATCTCCAAGCTACAGAGTCATGTCAGCTAGAGCAACTTGATGCTTGGTAAAAGTGCTCACTTCTGGGGTTCGCCCATCAGGATAGAATAGAATAATTCTGTATCGCCTGCCTCGAGCTGCTGGTCTGCCGGCCATTTCTACGCCCATGCCTTGTGGCTCAAAGGCGATATTTCGAGCCTCTCGCGGCAGCTCATCCCAAGGAATCAGAGGCAGCATACCCCCAAAGTTGGGGTCAAAGTTGGCAGGATTTCCGGCTATGTCGTTGTCAAAGAGTTCAAGTCGAGGTTGAGGCTGGGGTTGGGCTATTTGAGGAACCGGCTGCAATGCAGCTGGAACATATCAGCTTCTCTCGACGTCCTATTATTTACCAGCTAAATGACAGGCTTCCTGACTCACCTTGAGGGATTGGTTGCACAATGATATTCTGCATCGGCTGATTTACTAACTCAATCTGACCTGGGTGCGGCGCCACAAATATTTGCTGCTGCTCAGCGGGCAGAATCCCCTGGATCTGGGGCAACAGGGCCTGTAGCGCGGGCGGCTCCAACTGTGATGGGTTGCGCTGGGTGTTGTCCCTTTCATGCCGTCCCTGACGATATCTGAACTGTCGTTGACGCATAGGGACGCGAACATCTTGGCCGCCATATGGCGGGCAACTCTGTTCACATCCGTGGGGTGTCCATGCCCCCCCGCAGAGAAAACACCAATCATGGCCGCACTCGCAACTGTTTTCATGAATATTAGCTTTATAGGTTCCTCCTCTTGTCATGAATCACTCACTGAATATGATTGCAACCATCCCTGAGCTCAACCACCCTCCTGCATGTGGGACAGCTCGCGAGATTGTCCCGGTCCATGATATCCATCAACATTTCGTCCTCCTCCTCCTCCCGACATGGCCGTCCTGGGTGTAGGGGCATCTTACACAGACGGCACGTACCCTCACCGCAAGCAGGGCATCTCATCAAGTCGCCGCTGGCGTGTGGGCCAGTAGGCGGTATAAACGCCGCGCAGCCAGGTCTGGCGCAGTAAACTCTCTGGCTGCCGGGCACGTCGTGCTCCTCCTTAACCTGCCGATACAATCTCATAAGGTCAGGTCTCCTGACCCACTCAATGGTATTGCTGTCCAATGGCTCGCAACATCTCGGTGGCCACCCGCCTTGTCTCATCCCGGCACGTATGCATGACCGCAGGCACCGCGCGCAAAACCAGCACCCGCAAGGAAGCCGTAACTTTGGTTCGTAGCCAGCAGAACAGATGATGCAGTCATCGCCGCTTTGTTCCGCTTCATTGTTCGACTCAGCAGGGCTGTCAGCCAAAAGTCGGTTTCGTTCTTGCCAGTTGATATATGCAGCTGAGTCAGAATCCTCGGGCTCATGGGGGGTTTGTTGAGATGGCCGAGCTGTTATCGATACTTGTAAGTGCCTATTCCGGCCCATACTCTGCCGCACTGCGATTGCAAGTAGCTCCTCAGGCTCGGCCATCTGCAGTGCCAGGGCCGCTGCGTTCTCAACCTCGTCGGCAGTTGCGACATGTAAAGCTTCCACGTTGAGAAAGCCATAACGGAGGATCAGACTCGCAACGTCCTCATCCAAAAGTTGAAAATGATCCATGTAAAAGTCCTTTAGAGCTAGTGACTGCATCCGCTGTGCTTTAGGTCCTAGGGTAGGCTCTATAAACCGAAGGAAGGAAAGGGGCAAAAAAAAAAAAAAGATGGGAATATAAGTTTGTATAGAAGCTGTGCTAACGCGGGCGACATAGAAGAAGTGAAGAAGGTGACGAGAGACGGATGAAGCGGTGAGTGATTCGCTGATCTCTTGAACAACATGTTCACTCTTTCATTAAAGCCATACCTACTGTGTGTTGGCACCAACCGACGCGGAGTATGGAGAATGATAAAACAAATGCCGCTTATAGGCGATGGAGGAATTAGATATATGACTACAGGCCAAAACATAAACAACAGGCTTCTCAATATGAATTTGTGCACTGGTGGTTCTTGCCGTACCTAACCCGCTTGCTCCTCCGACAGACTACGTCTCCATAACAAGGGCAGTGAATTAACTGATGAAGGAAGCATCTGAACTGATCATGTTCAGTCAGTTATAGCCACAGATCTTGGTCAAGCCAACAGTTCCATGGTCCGTTTGCCTATAGTACACATTGCAAGGAGGAAGCAAGGCAGCACCGATCGGTGAACCAACTTGAGTCAAATTGGATAGAGGAGAAAGAAGCTACCGCAACTGTCCGTTCTACTGACCATTTGAAACCGGTGTTCCCCCACCATTTTGTCACATTAATTTGTTGAGCCTAGGAGGTGGGTTTGGTATATCATCAGCTCCCGTACGCCATACAAGGTAACTCCAACGTCAGATATGATGGGATATTTTCGTCAGTATAGACCATGATTTCTTTGTTCCCCGTCCGAACAACCGCTGCAGTATAATGGCATGCCCATTTCCACCAAAGAAACCCCAAAAACCAACCGCCCATCGGTGGCTATAGCCAGTGAACCCCGTAAAACTCCATAAGATCGTGAACTCCGACGCTGCTATCCGGGATATGATTCGATAAACAAGAGAAAAAAGAGCGATCGTAGTATCAATAATATAATAAAGGGTATAATGATCAGTAGCTGAAATCAACATTGCCCATCTGGGATAGCATCTTTGCTTCCGCTGATGTCGAGGTCCCAGTGGCGGCGGTGTTTGTTGACGTTGCTGAATTTGAGTTTGTATGTGTTGTGGAATTTGTTTGCGTTTGTTGCAGTTCGTGTTCTGGTGGAGGCTGGGCACTTGGTGACCATCCATCGTTCAACATTTGCTGAAAGCTCCAGCTTGGTTCGAACCTGGTACTGTTCCAGGCGTAGTCGACACGCTCATACATCTCATCTATCTGTTCTAAGCTGATCTTGCTTGTCTCGAATACCATGCACCAGACAAACAGAACGGCTAGGATACAGAAAGCCCCCCAAAGGAAGAAGATTTTGGGCCCAATGTCGGCATAACCTGGCCCGGAGCCAACCATGAAAGGAGTTCCGTACGCAATGCCGAAGTTGAGCAGCCAGTTGGAGGCGGTGGAGATCGAGTTGGCTTTCGCACGAACCTTGAGAGGGTAAATTTCGGAAGTGATAACCCATGCGACGGGGCCCCATGATGCTGCAAAGAAGAAAATGTAAATTGCACAGAACACGATAAGAATGGTTTGGGCGGCTTTCTGGAGATTGTCTCCGGCGGCTGTGGTGAAGGAAGCAATAAGAAGTTGGCAGACGGCCATGCCGATAGCACCGACCATCAAAAGCTTACGACGACCCCAAGACTCGATGACTAGGAGTCCAGGAACTGTTGATACGACATTGATGATGTTGATGATAAGAGCTTTGAGATACGGGTTATCGAGTTTGACGCCGTCAAAGAAGCTCGTGCTGTAGTACATAATGAAGTTGATACCTGTCAGTTGCTGCAGCATTTGCAAGCAGCATCCAGTGAGTGTTCGTCGACCAAGGTGAGGGGATCCATAAAAGATTTCCCTGTATGAATCTGGACCCAAGGTGAGCTCATATTCATGGTTAGCAACAATCTCCTGCAGCTCATCAAGCAAGGCAGGATGAGTAATATCGAGACGTCGGAGGCGACTGAGTGACAAGCCAGCGGCTTCTGGTTTGCCCTTCTTGACGAGATAACGAGGCGTCTCAGGTAGGACAAGTAGGCCGAGAGCGAGTACCACAGCCCATACAAGTTGGAGGCCGAGGGGGATTCGGTAAGCGGCGGCGGTATGCAGCTTTTCGGTCAGAATGTTGACGAAGGATGCAGATAGTAGGCCTATTGTGATGGATAGTTGGTAGGCGCAGACAAGGGTACCTCGAATCCATTTCGGTGCCATTTCCGACTGATAGACTGGGACGAGTACTGAGATGGACCCAACTCCGACACCAGCAAAAAACCTGCCGTGTTTCATCAGCAACGCGCTCCGCGACAATCCAGCAAACGCAAAAATCCCATTAACCTACCTTCCAACCAATAGCATCGGAATATCGTGCGCGCAGACTTGAAAAATACCACCGAAACTGAATACGCCGACGGACAGAATGAGGGAGATGCGGCGACCCCAGGCATCGCCTATAGGAGCGGCGAGAAGTGCGCCGAGAACGGTACCAGCGCTTAGAATAGCGACGATAATGGAGGATTCAGCCGGTGATATGGCAGGCTGGTTGTTCGCATCGTGATAACCGGTCGTGAAATCTCGTCGGAATGCCGACATGGAAAGAATACCATTAATCGTGCTAGCGTCCAGCAAGAATCAGCCTCAATGTCCCCAACACAAGTCCTGAAAAAGAAAACCGAAGCCCGCGCGTCGTTTTCCATCTACTTCGTATCGGCGCGGTCGATGTTGGAAATGCAAGGGTCGCTTACCCAGTGTCGTAGCCGAAGAGCAAACCACCAGAGGCGACGAACAAGCCGACCATGATGGCCGGGGCCGACGAGCCGGCGACATTGTCGGGCTTCTGCCAGCCCATGGCTATCGCCATGGTGACAGGGGGTTTCGGCGACTTCGATACAGAATCTCGTCCTTGTACTATGAGAGTTCGAGTCTCTCGAGGGTCGTCGAAGAGCGAGGTCGAAATGGGCCGGCGACCATTTGACTGACGGGCGGGCGATCGAGCAGGCGAGGGAGTGGTGAATCGACAAAGTGTGGGTAATGATGGATGGATTGATGGATGGGACAGGCAAGTTAGATGGGTGTGGAGAAGAGCAGGGAGAGACTAGAGGGACTGGAAGAAAGTCGGGCTGTCGGGTCCCGTTCGCGTACTCGGTAGTAGCAGCAAGGTCAATCGGAAGGGCCAGACAGGGAGCCAGCGCCAGAAAAGGCACGCTGAGTTGGTGAAGGAGAGACGGAGAACAGAGGCAGGGGTGGTGGTGGTGTTGGTGGTGGGGAGAGGACCAGTCAGATAAAGGAAAATATGAGAAATTATGGGACCAGAGGGCGAGAAGCAGTAGACCCAGAAAGCCCGAAAGGGGGGTAGTACTGTGTAGGTGCGTAGTGGAGTGGTAGGAACACCAAGTAGTAAGTAATGGCAGCAGAGGCAGTTATTGCCTGGTGGTGGTGGTGGTGCAAGAGCGGACAGCCAGCAGCAGTAGCAGCAGCAAAAAAAGTGAACAGAGAGAAAGGGAACGAATGGGTGGGCAGCAACAATAGGACGAGGGCGAGGGGGATCAAGGCGGTTTTTTGAGGGGCCCCTCCTAGTGCCCTCTTCTACATAGTAAGCAATAGGTGTCTGGAAAGTGTGGCTCTCCCCTCTGGCTCCCCTGGCTCCCCCCTCTAGTAGTAGCTGCGCTCGTCTTACTGGGCCTCAAGGCGTGGCTGCGGCTGTGATTGGTCCTTCATTCTCTTGGGAGTGCTGAGAGGTGTACCCGGTCGTGCTCAACACGCAGTCGACCACCCCTTTCTTAGTACTAATCCTAATTGGGACATGGCGTCTGTCGTCCTTGTTCCCCTTGGCGCAAAAAGGCGGGAAGGAATGTGGAATGTGGACGAGGTCTTTTTGTACTACTTTGTCACTGCCGGGGCGGAATTTCAGCTGTGATAGCTGCCTCTCATGCTGGCCTCTCTTGGTTAAGACCTAGACCTAGACCTAGTGTAGACCTCTGGTCCACTAACAAAGTACGCTACGCCCTGGAAATCTCCCATACGGCAAGGCCATACCCGCTTAGTGCTGGACACGCTGAACAAGCACACTGCGGCAAGCTACGCCTCCACGGGCTATGGCCTGAGTCACCATAATTGGCACACGAACTGTTGCTTGTGAATTATGTCCCGAATCGGTGTCAATCTTCTTCTTCATCTTTTTCTTCTGCTTTGATGGGCACCTGGAAGCATGAACATCTACCATGTATCCGCCTACCTGCATCTGCATGCGAGCTGCTCTCTACTTTTGAAGCTCAGTCCCTGGTCATCTTAACTCTCCTGCTAAAAGCAAGGAAGGTGCAGTCGAACGGAGGGAAGCTGTGGTGGAATGTCTGATCATTGTCTCTTATTCCCGGTAAACTTTAACAGAGTCAGACTGCCAGGGAATGCCAGGCGTTGAGGCGGACAGACATTTGGACGTTGGTACACCACATCGGCGTGAGTTTTTTCTTCTGATTGCTCAGGGGGACGTATCGTCTGGCCTGATCTGACTGGCCCAGAGGATAGAGGACGTCCCGAGCGAGAGGAAAGCATGGCTGTCCGAGGTATTCGTACATTGGACTAACGGTACGGACGCAACGTTAACAGACGGTACGTTAAGGTACATTTAGTGTCGCCAAACCACCAACAGCCAAGTCTCCAAATACCAGTGGGCGACAAAGACAGCTACTCTGTATTTGCATTAGTGTGGCATGGAGCCCAGCCCAGCAGAGTACTCGCACTGCAGCCCACGGTTGCCTGTGGAGTCGAGACAAACATCAGCTTGAACTCCTCTCACACTGTACGTTACGCAGTACAGAACTCACAGGCTGCATTGTCTCTCTAGTCTTCAACCAGGACACAATAGATAGTACGTAGTCTCATCGTTCAGGCTGCTGCTGTCCACCCCCATTCCCCAGGCTCCTTTGACACTTTTCAATATTCACACCTCTCAGTGCCCTCAAAGTTGGTGATAATCCGTCAAGTACACCGTCCGATCATATTGCATATAGCCTCACTTACCTGGCTTGCTTTTGCACTGATCGATTGTCTCCAGGACGAGGACTGGGCTTGCCTTCGTGCCGCTCCTACTTCCTATGCCTTTATCTGACTTTTACCTCTCTCACCTGCAGTTGGCGGGGCAGGGCAGGGCAATTGGAATAAGAAAGGGTAGGCCATTATTACCTGTAGTGGCGCTTCAAGCGGACTAAACCGTGATTCTAGGTAGCATATGAATACAGACGAATGTAGGCTATGCGCTCACCCGTCACATTTTGCCTACCCTGGGTTGACTACGCCCTGTGACTAATGGGAACGACGCCTTGTCCAATCCTTCATGGCGGCTGTCATTTTTTGCAAAGCAGTCTCACAATGCATTTCTCAAAACGGTGGCCAACTTAGCACACCTGGTACGTAAGAATTTGTCCCTGTTGTACGTACATGTTGTGGCATCCCTTGGCTACTAAAAACTGTGACAATCCTCTGTTTATGCTTTGGCAAGCAGCGCGAAGAGCAAATACCGTTTGATGTGGCCGCAACCAGAAACCCCTACAACATTAACCCCTGAAAGTCACACACAACGGAATATCTCTCAGAATCGTCGCTGTGTCGTGTACATCCGTCACGCAGACGTGCTGCTGCATGATACTTCCAAGTCGGACACACAAGTGGGAGGAAAACTGAAGATGAGCATGACGACACCAGGGACGCAGTGGAAAGCCTCTGTTTCTTAAGGGGCGGCGTCCATCATATCCGGTCGCACCTGTTTGTAAGCCACATTCTGGGAAACTGATACCCTCGAGACTTGTCCTCGTCCTCGTCCGGCGTATGTTTGAATGGATGGTTTGTCTGGCTGAATGAAATAAGGCATTGTTGAAGTTGACACACAATCAATCCATCGGCATCAGCTTTCCTGCTACTTGGGTGGGCAGGTGGGGCATTTCACCGGTTGAAAGCCATGCTGTAAACATACTGTGTTCCTTGCACAGATTACCGATCAGACCACCTGCTTCAGCCAGCGGTAATTCTGGTATGGCACAGTGCTTTTCTGGGTCCACTTCACAGTGACCCGACAAAAGCCGACAACAGGGGCTACCGGATTGGCAGAAATCCATCTAGACTCCACTAGATAAATTGCGGGGGAGTCTCCGCTAGCCCTGCCAAAAGCAGGTACGTACTTTTAGGTACCTACGCACTACGTCCCTTCCAATTCAAGCTTTGAGCTATCATCGGAGCACTCAGCGACACTTGCCCACCAAGCACAACTGCATCTCATCATCACACCAAGCGACCCTGTTCTTTTTCCAACGCCGGAAGCAATGCCGTTTTCCTGGGCGGATAACTCTCTTTCATTTTTTCCCTATCTTCCTTTTTTCTATTAACTCCCTCATTGCCTCAGGTACCACGCGCTGCCCCCTTCAGTCTTCCGAACAGGCAGCCCACACTAACCACGTACTATGTACCTCCGCGAACGCCCTCTAAATCTACCAAGAGTGACCAACCTCGCCCCATGATCATGCTGGCCCGCGGCACAGCTCTTTTCAGTCTCGACAAAGAATTTGCATTTCTACCATTTTCTCCCGCCCTAAAACCGATAAAGTTTCTCTGATATGCCCTTATCTACTTGCAACAGTACTTCTTGTCTTGAGGAAGGTAGAAGGAACAACACCATCGGCAAACCAGGCCCTCACTTCAGCTATAAGTCGGCTCCAATAAGCGGTCTCTGGTACCGCTAGGTGTCAGCCTGACTCAAGGACCCCCAAGAAGAAGTGATTCTTCTTGCATGCTGGATACTGAAGAACCAGGGTGCTGGGTAATGGACCGCTGACTGATTTTTGTTGCCAAACTTTCAGCCGGAACTCCGTTGGCTTACAGATGCAGCATCCGCATGATCCCATACCGCCACAACTGCCACCACTGCCATTCTTCCACTGGTATGATAAGCCAAGATCTAGCTTCAGCGCTTGGCCAACAAGAGAGGCAATCAAAATTGACCTCCTGGTGGGAATTGAAACACGTATTGAGACTTGGGCACAGAAGGTATATTATATTTTGCGCTTGCTGTCTCACTTGCGCTGGCAGCCGCCGGCATTCCCTCAGAGCCTGACATGTGGAAGCATTCTAGGAAGCTACACAGTGTTTGATTATTATTCCGAATATCCAAAAGCTCTTTTATTCTTGCAATGCCACCGCCTCGTAAAATGGCTGTCCGAGCAAGCGATCCGGCGTCCCAAAAGCCTGCACGGCCAGTATTGAGGCCGACATCTTGGAACTAGTCTATGCAAATTGAAGCACACTCACCGACACCCGCACTCAGGATTCGCTGGTTCGATCTCTGGGGCTTGATGGAGTAATAATCGCCTGCTTCAACGTGCCTTCGGCACAGAGGTTTCTTGGCAGATCTATATGTCACTACTTTGGAGACAGGTTGGGTGTGGGAGTGTCTCTCCTCTTCAGCCGACGCATTTTACAGCCAACTACTGTCTCACTAGGTCTGAGGCGTTCGCCGTCCTTCATGGCTCCCCAGCGTCGACTTTCCCGAAGTCTTAATAACCGGACAGCCGGATTCCAAGCCAGAAATCAATTTGTTCCTAATTGACAGTCATCCTTGGTCATCTATAAACGCCTCCTTATGGTCTGGGAGTGCTGAATCCCTTGCGTTACGGTGACGGGGATCGAGAAAAGGCGGTTGCATCGACCAGCGTCGAATCAGTCCCATTGCGATTGCCCTCTTCAACCACAGATTTTGGTATTCAATCTCCCTTTATTTTATTTCTCATTTTTCTTACGTTTTTGTAGTTGGCCGATTTTAGACTTCTTCATGGTATACTACTAAACTTAAGATGAACGGGCTCTACCACCTGATAAGCAACCACGCCAAAGGTCCCAAATTAACAACTACTGCACGCATACTTAAGCGGGTTAGTCATAGCCACAGGTGTCACGTATTGCCCAAGCCTACTATCCAACCGCAGACGTAACGGAAGGGCCAACCTCACTGGTCAGTCACATCTAACTGCCATAGGACAGAAGGTCAAGGAAGTGAGCGATTGTCTATTTCTCTAGCATACAGATTCTGGTTCGTTGACGTGCTGCCAAGCGCAAATGTCAACGTTGCGCATATCCCGAGACTTGTCTTTGACACAGGAAGACTAACGCATGTGGTGAAAACATTAATCTTTACGGCAACGGCCACAGCATAAAGTCCTCAGACAGTGCCAGCAGGATCTATGCATGACCAGAGACAGACATCTTGGACGGTCATGTCTAAGGTCGCACACATCTTTTGGGGCCAGTCACCAAAGGTTGCACATTTGGCCAGCAGTGGGTTGGGTTTAAACAATGAGGTCCTGAGTTACAAGGAGAGCCCCCCATAGCACGCACCAGGTGTGGTATTGGGCGATGATCTGATCAGCGGATCGACATGCAGCGATCGACGGGACCCTAACGTGGACACCACGCCCGACAGGCGACCGAACTCTGGCTCACGCGCAAACAGTCCCTGCATACGTGTCCAGGGCGAGCGAGAGGGGGGATAAGAAGAAAGAAAAGAAAGCAACCGAACTTCCCGCGTCCTTATGGCCGCAAATGTGACTGCCACGGGGTACTTGTACACCTGCTGCATGAGTTTAGCTGGGAGGGAGACAACAGATCAATTGGTAGTTACAAAGTGACAGCTTAGCTTTTATTTTCGCACCTACAGTTCTTGCCAAGCTCTATCGAAGGCTAATTTCCGGCAGACAGCGGCCTAGGGATGGCGCCGCTTTTGATGCATGCCTTGCGAGACGATCTAACTTGTTCCTTGGAGTTCCATGGAATGAAATGATTCAATGACAATAGGAGGGTTTGATTTTATAATCCACGTTTGAGGCGAATGATCTTATCAATCCTCCTTAGGGCCGTGCCATATGCTGCGCCACTGTTTGCTCTGCACCCTCTACATAGGAGTCAGTTATCTCAATGATCAAACATAGTGGCCGACGTCACGTCACCGCACGTAAAAGACGAGCAATCCAGAGCTTGGAATATAGATTACCAATGTCTTCAACCAGACCATGCAGCAGGAATATCACATCAGCCTCAAAGCAGGGCGATACTCAACCAGCGGGCTTGTTAATGTGAATAGGAGCGACGACGTGGGGCACTATCAAAAACCGGAGAGTCACCCTCTCTCAACTGATCCAGCCGCAGGGCAATGTGGAGACAACAATGACTGTCGGACATACAAGTCCGCGCAAAAGTCCGTTCCGCCTGTCTGTTCCCACTATGTATGCCGCGGGGCCGAGCCGCCACGAGTGATGCTGTGCCGTGGAGGGGCGAGGTACGAGGTACGACAACTGTTCGTGAACCGCAGGTGACACCGCTTCTGTGGCCTCCATATACCCTCTCTGATCGTGGAAGCCATGGGCACACGGCAATATCGGGCCCCTGCCTTGTGTTTTTTTGCCCGGGGTTGTTCGACAATGGCGTAGGTTGACGTCGTGAATACCTACTGGTCCTATATTTAGTGTCGAGTGTCGTTGGTTTGGCCTCGCACTGGCTGTGTTCCACGGGATACTGTTGTGATGTATGGCTCTATTCTTTGCTGCACGCCTCCCTTGTTGATCCTGTTTTGAAACGCGTGATGAAGGCGGATTTCGTTTTTTTACGGCGTAGATATTTGCTCAACTCAGTCCCAGCGCAATGGTATTCACAAACAGGTAATCTGAGTATGTTACATAGGTATATAAGTCGAAGCTCTCAAGAAAATCTCAGTTGTGTTCTTCCTTGAGCTCTCTCCTGCTACTTGCTTCGAGTCCTAGCGTAGTGGTGCAGGGCTATTGAAAGTCAGAGGAGACTAGTCTTGACTTCAGGTTTTCTCAACTTTACTCAACTAGGGCCAAATTCTATGTATGATTTGAAGAGGTATTCAACCATTAGATGTGGAATAATGGCATCATGTCGGGATTTCGTTGGGCCGAGAGAGTTGCCCTCCAGCATTGACAAGCGGAGGCAGCAGCCTAAGTACTGAAGGATTGATCACCGTTTTCACTACTTCTATTTCCTTGCTTCCCGCCCTATTTATGTAGTTGATTTTCATTATCATCTCCTTTGTGAACATGGGTTCAAAGTAGGCCCACCCAAGTGCCATATATGCCACTGGCCTGAATTATATTCGAAGAGTCAGAAATACAGCAACGTATCATTTCTCTGGTTCGCTATGATGTAGAGGTGGAGGTGGGAAGCCGGTGCAATGATGAGCTATGTACTTACAAGAAACCTTCGGTAATGGGTTTGAAGAGAATGTTGATGGCGGACGTTCCAGAAGAGTACACGATGGCTGACCGAAGACCATTTCGCGAGTTAACTATACGTGCCGCTCCCCCAGGCAATAACGTAGGAGCACTCAGGATATTTCCCCTATATATCTCTCCAAGTGTAACTCATCCCACGAATTTCATCGGCATTGGTAAAAGACGGTTCGTATCGTCGGATCTTTTGTTTTATCTGCGGCATAAACTAGGCCGGGGATAATGGTGAGTTCTTGTGTCGTTCAGCTCGAGAGTAAAATGGTCAGAAAAGATTACGAGCTTAAGTTATTCTTGCTTAAAAGGTTCACTTGAACGGACCCAAGAGGCCAGTGGATGGATATAAGGCAAGTGAAAGTGGTATAGCGATATTGTCATCCAGAGCCGCAAAGAACGAAAGAAGCAGACTCTTCCATGCCACTATAGAGGTTGGGGAAATCATGGGTGTTGAATACGAGGGTTCAGGCTCAATGTTCATAGGCAGGACTTGGTGGACAACTCCCACGTATCTCATCATAAGTTTTATTAGGGCCTGATGAAGCCATCCTCAGATTACTTGAATAGCTACGCTACATGTGTTTTCAGTTATGGCCACGGCCACCCGTCGTTGAACTGAAGTCCAGGTAACCGATCTTTTCGTTCAAGAGTCCGTACCAAGCAACTGCTGAAAGCATGCAGCTGCCAGGATACTGATGCGAGGCTTTGTTCAGTTTAATCCATGGAATGAGTTTACTGAACCATTCGACTTTCCGGCGCGGTAGAGAACAAAACAGAAACAGATGGGAACTGGCGGAATCCATTTCCTCGGAGGACAGGTTCCTGTTACGTCGTATGGGCCATCCTTCGAGTATATAGGTGGGGTTCGATTGGCTTTTTGCCTTAGCCACCTGTAACATGGCATTTTGGGTTGATATTATCAGTCATAGACCCCCCTTGGAAGTCTTGTCATCCCCATGCGTATTTGAACCTCCGCTGGGAACCAGGCGGAGGCTAGAACAGAGTCGTCGGCAATCCACCCCCAATAAGCTTTGCCGTTGACTAAAATTCAAAAATAACTATGACTAATAATGGCTCTGCGTCGTAATAACTTTTGTCATGCCAATAATATTGTCTCTTCGTAGCCTTGCTTTTTGGACATGTAGCAACCACGGATATAATGCGATGAGGGATCATCGCCTGGTAAATAGGTCAGCCCTGATAGTGATCAATCCCGCTCCCAGTGTCTTCAGACTCTGGCCATCTTGAAAGATAATCCATAGCGGCAATCAACGGTAGTTTACAACGCTTTAGTCAACGAAACTCATGAAATATGTCCTATCTTGCATTATGTCCGTCATGACAGCAAAGCATACCTTTATAAACAGATGTAGTTAGGACAACAGACCTAGAGGAGAACACGAGGTACAGATGCTGAATAGACCTAAAACCCCAATGACCAACTATGCTTTGAGCTTCAACAGGGTTCAATAGGGAGTTCTTGTGCCAGTCTCTAAATAGTATGGAACTTCAGCTATGCTCTTGCTCTTCTCTCTCCTTGCCAGACGGCCCATCAAGAGTAGAGTTGAACGATTCACGGCAAGCCCTTGAGTCGTATCAAGATAACAAAGTCAAAGCCTGTCTCCCGAAGTTATGGCGTACAAATACACGTGCATAGATACTCTTCACCCCTGCTTTCATTTGAACCCGAGCCTCCCTCACCCCGACTAGTTGCTGTCAACCTTCTGCTCACCCAACTCGGCATCTAAGACCTCTAGTCAAGGTCGCTCACTAAAGAGCAAAGAGTAGGAGTGGCAAAGCAAGCGCAAATTACGAGGAATAAAGAGCCTCGCGGCTTAATTCTATTTCTATTCCATCTCGACAATTAGCATTTTCCTCCTTTTTCCCTGTTTACCTCAAAACCGGACAAAACGCCGTTCGCTGCATGCAACCTATTACACCAGCCTCACAACTTCGAGAACCTTGGGACATCGTGTCGAGTCGTCGGGTAACGCTGTACCGATTCTCATGCGCATCGATCGCCCCGAGTAAGTTTAATTGCCAGGGTTAGGGTTCATCTGCGTCCTCCAAGTCAGCTCCTGGAAAAATCACAACACCGGACGTTGCCCAAACAGGCCGTGAGGGTGGGAAACGACTTACCTTGCGCTTGCCGCCAGTGACGGCGACGTTGACGAAGCGGCGCGTGTAAACCTCCCTCTTGCGCGCGCGGCCTTTGGGGGTCTTTGCTTTCTCGGCAGGCTCGACCTTGGGGGTCTGAGACTTGACCTTGCCTAATTGGTCGAGGTTGATGAGCGACTGCTTGCCGCCAGTTGAAAAGCAACTTGCCCGCGAGGGACTTACCTGCACGGGCGAGACTTCCGTGAACCTTTCCCATTTTTTTTTTTTTTAAATTATATTTGTTTCAACCTCTTGCGAGTGGTGATGCGCGGTTCGGCTTGCAGGTAAAATTAGTAACGCGGTTTCGGGGAATTTTGCGCCGCGGGTTCGTGGTGGGGTACAGGGTAAGCCGCGGATCAATGGCGGGGACCCCAGATGGTCAGAGTTCAAGATGCACGTGTACCGTCACCTGACGGCGAGTACAACAAGCCTAAATTATTGTGAAGCTGAGGAACAAGGCAGTGAGAAAGGGTTTGGAAAAAAAGTTAAGAGGTCCATTGGATCCAAGAGACTATAACATGTATCTATGAATACAATCCTGATAGTGACTACCGATGAAGAAATGCCCAAATCAGAAGTGCGCCAAATGCGCACCCAGTACTCCGGTTATCACTATTTTACCCAAGCCAAGCCGTCGTGCATCGTCGATCATTCCAAATTTAAAGCTCCAAACTTGGCGTCTGGCCCTTGACGCGGCCAATCACCTGCTCCGGTGCGTACTTGGGAATGACCTCGTCGTCGTGCAGCATCTCGAACTCCTCGGTCGCATCGCGGCCCATGAAGTTCATGATAGCCTGAGGGCCACCGGGGTGCTCCTCAAGCCAGTTGGACAGGTCCATCACGACACCCTTTACGACAACCCACAGGTCCTCCTTGGTGTTGTGCTTGGCAACCTCCTCCAGGGTGTACTCCTTCTCGGGGATTGTGAACTTCTTGGGGTTGGGCTTGTCGGCCTTCTGTCCGCCTTCGGTGGGGGTGGGGCCGGTAGAAGAGCTAGTTTGCTGGGCGGGGATGCCCTGACCACCAGCGCCGCCGGCGTTGTTCCAGTCAATCGTGACTCGGCCCGGCTGCGCAGGGTCGAGGTGCAGTGAGATCTGGCCCATACGGGCAGCAGCACCACCAGCACCGGTAAGAGCCTGCTGGAAGAGGTAGTTGCTGGCGGTGTCACCAGCAACACGGCCGTAGACGACGCAGCCAAGCAGAGAAGAACCACCCAAACGGTTAGCTCCGTGAACACCACCAGCAAGCTCACCGCAAGCGAAGAGACCGTCAAAGGGCTTCTGCTCCTTGTTAAGGACCTGGGCCTTGTCGTTGATCTCAATACCACCCATGGTGAAGTGAAGCACGGGCTCCATGAGGGCAACGTGGAAGGTGTCGCTGATGTCAAATGGCAGGTTGTGGAAGAACTTCTTGCCCCAAGGATCCTTCTGCTTGCCATCGGCGATGGCGTTGTAGGTTTGGAAAGACTTCTGAAGGTGGTCGGGGGAGCAGCCAATCTCCTTGGCCAGATCCGCACCACTCATCTTCTTCATCAGGCCACGACCAGAGTAGTGGCGAGTGTGGAAGTCAAGGACATTGGAAGCCTTGGAGTTGAGAACGAGTCTGATGGGGAACTTGTTCTTGTCCTTCTCCTTCCACATCATGCCAGAAACGTAGTCACGGTGGCCAAGCTCATCGCAGAAACGGTCACCGTCGGCGTTGAGGAGGATACCACCCTCACCACGGAGGGCCTCAGCAGCCAAGAACTTCCACTTGGAGCCGGGGTCCTTGGGGTCGACCAGACCAGTGGGGTGGACCTGGACCTTGTCCATGTCAATACCGTTACCGCCGATGGCCATCACCATCTTCTGACCGTCACCAGTGGCATGGGAACCGTTAGTGGTGGCGAGTCCAAAGGTATCAGGACGGTGCTGCTTCAGCAACGAGGTGTCACCGAAGTCAGCGGCGTAACCACCGGTGGCAAGGACGACGGGGCCATCGACCGACTGCTCCTCTCCGTTGAACTCGTACTTAACACCAGTGATGGTGTTGCCCTCCTTGTTCAGGCCAGTGACGCGGGCCTTCTTGATGATCTCGACTCGGTGGGGCTCAGTCTCGGCGAGTTCCTCGAGTCTTTGCATAAGAGCGTAGGTAATGGCCATACCGGGGAACTTGGCATCGTGACCACGGTGCGTACGGGGCTGAGAGTGACCACTAGAGCAGTGTTAGTCAACGCTGGTCATAAAAAGGGGCGCGGGATAGCATTCAAACATACCCTAGACGGGAAACGAGAGTGAGATCAAGGTTGAAAACGTCCTGAAGCCACTCGACGGCGGCGGCAGACTTGTAGGTAAGGACCTTAATCAGGTCGGGGCGGGCCTTGTCACGAGCAGACTTCAAGGTATCATCGTAGAACTGCTTGACACTGTCGGCGATCTGGTGGTCGACCTGTGTCCGGGTCAAGGCACCGTTGATACCTGAGGTGGCCTTTGTGGAGTTGCCTCCGAAGAAGCCTACGCGTGGGAATCGTCAGTATGCGACCGGCTGTCAGACGAGGCGCGCAAGCGGGAGATTTGCAACTTACCCTGCTTGTCAAGGACGACAACATTTCCACCAGCGAGGTAGATGGTGTGCGCGGCACTCAAGCCAGACACTGAGCAGATGGGTTAGCATGTGAACGAGGGGAAAGTGAGGCGAATGGTTAGCAGAAAGCTACTTACGACCACCACCGACGACGATAACTCTGGGTGCCATTTTGAATGATGTGTACAGATGCGCTCCAAAATGAAGATGGAGAACAAACAAAGAGGAATGGAAAGAGAAATGGTGGGGGGGATGAAGAGAGTTTATGGATGTCGAGGTTTAAGAGGAAAACGAGACAGCCAGATTCCCCTTCGTGTCTAAGCTACGCCGAGGATACGGCAAGTCAAGGTACAAAGGGTGCAGCGAGCGGCCTTGGTGCAGTGCTGACACGGCGAGTCGTGAGCCGAGGTCGAAGCGCCTGGGAGGGAACAGGGGGGATTAGCACTGGGACACTTCTATGGGACGACGACTGGGCCACCCGCCGTCTGCTAGCGGGTTTTGGGGCCAGTTTTGGCCTGGGTCTGGGTCGTTGTCGGGGGGTGGTCTGGGGCAGATTGGCGTCACCCATTTACGGCGTGCCAGTAAGAATGCGCGCGTTGGTAAAGTACTTACAAGGTGCCTGAGGCTAATGAGTTTGGGGGGTGTTCAGGGCCTGGGGAAACAAAGGGACAATGCGATCGATGGCGGCGATTCGGATTGTCAGTCTGCAATCGTAAGAGAAGGGCAAACCACCTCAAGTTTAAAAATTAAAAGGCAATTGAGTCCGGTCTACGGAGGTTTTATAAATATTTGAGCAGCCCATGTAGCAGACCTGAAAAGACCCTCTGCTCCCTCGTAGCAATTCTGGCCGAGCAGAGGACCTACTTCGCTTCCTTCGGTGGTGGACCGCGACCTGCAAAACCGGGGGAGTGTGGGGGGGAGGAGTGAAAGAGGGAGAGAGAGCGTGCGACCAAATAAAATAAAAATAATTGAAGCTCTCTCTCGCTCACTCACTCAATCGCAGGCTGCTGTATCCGTACGTATACTCGTATTAGGGACTTCCAATGGTTGTCAATGGCCTAGGTTCTTCTGTTGCTGGGGAAGCTGGTACCGACAACCGATAAAAGACCGAGGATTGGAAAGCTGGAGAAAGAGGGAGACATGCGATGAATCCTATTGCGTCCTTCTCGATTTGGTGGTTACCGTAGGTACTAAACCCCAGGATTCTGGAGAAAGGGATGGCAGATCTACCCTTAGCTCTGACGGGCACTTTCACAAAGCAATTGGGGTCACGCTTTTGCTGTAGAAGCCCGTGAAGAATTTTTTGACAGTTTCAGGCTCTTCCATGGTAGCACTTTTTGACATGTGAAGGTCACTTGGTCATGCTCATGCTCTTTGACCAGATGTCAAGTTAGCCTACCTCTGCCCAAGGTAAGGAAAGTCCAGCAAGCAGGCCATCCTGTCGACCCGTCGCCGCACTCTAACACATTCCGGCGTCTCTTCAGCACAGGCTTTCCCCCCCTTCCCGTCCCCACAGCAAGCCAGATGAGACCGGCCAGGTGCCATACCTCGTGTCAAGCTGCAGAAATGTCTCTGTCTGTACGGTGAACAGGTGAGTCGTCACGGGCATCAACGCCACTTGACACTCAATTCTAAAACCCTTCTCCAGCCTCCCCTCCTCTTGGAAATCCAATGCGCTTGCATTGGCACCTCTCTGCATCCTTCTGGAGCGGGCTTGTGAAAAGCACAACACTAGTCTCACCCACCTAAGCCTTTACTCCCCCACACATTCAACCAAAGAGCATCAGGTCAGATGATGACGGCCCGGAACTTTTAGCACCTGACCGAGGATCTTCCACTGCAACTTTCCCCAGCCCGGCCACCCTGCATTGCCGTCCCCTCTTTTCGGCCCTGCTTTCGCTGCCCGGCGACCACTCAGTTTCTGCCGCAGCTTTTCACATTCCTCCACATTAGTGAAAGGACCTAGCCTCCGCCTCCTCTCCGCCGTCTCCTCATTCTCCGTGTGCCTCCCACGTAAGGTGCAACCTCCCACCTCCGATCTGGGGCACTTTGGGGGGCATTGGGGGCTGGGCTTCGAGTAGCCGTGCGGTCCGGAGTAAACCCTTGCATGTGATAAAGGGGATTGTTTGGGGGAGCACTTGTGGCCAGTTATTACTATTCTTCCGCTGACGGCACGACTGCTTTCTTTGCCACCAGTCCGTCCGTTTCATTTGTCTGCTTCATGATTCATGACTAGACAAAAGTCGGGGTTGAAGGTTCGTGAACATTAATAGCGGCTACTGCTCATGCTGGTGATGTTGCGGTGATGGTGCTGGCACTTAAGCCCCCGTCGTTTGACCTTTTTTTTTTTTTTTTTTTTTTCCCTTCATGCTTTTGTATTCCTGTTCAAATTCAGCAATAAATCCCGATACTTCCCCAATCGCGCATCTTCTCCTCCTACGGCCGGCCTGGCAACCTGCAATCTGGCAGTGCCAGTGTGGAGAAATCTATTGCTTAAGGCGTCTCCGCTATCGCTCTTCGTGAGCGACAAAAGACTCCGAAGGCCCTCGTAAGGTCTCAGAACATCATCGTCAATCTCGGTGAATCTCGGCGACTGAGTCCATCCTTCAGCAAATTGCAAATTGAAGCCTCCAAGGGGTGTGACTTGGTATCCAAATCCTCGGAAGCTATGCGTTTTCCTGCCATCTAGGTGTCATGTGTTAGGACGCGGCGTGCAAGTCTCCTTCCTGTCCCATTTGCCGCTGATCATGTTGGCCCTGGAAGTCGCAGGTACCGTCACCACACAAGGCACCAAACACCGCACAATTTTGGTGCAAGGATGATGTCATGCAATACTTTGTCCAATCAGTGCCCTGAGATTTCCAAAAAATTTGGTCCCGTGGGGGATCCAGCCGCCGCAAAACCGCATCATCCTGCGTGATGAGCCTCCTGCTGCATAGTTGTAGGCTGCACGCTGAGGTGACACATGCCGCTAGAGGCTCAAACCAGTTTTTGCTGCCAGTGCACTTGCCATTCCTAAGGATTCTCTAAGGAAAAAAAGCTCGTTGATTTGGTTCACTGGACATTCCATCCTGGCAGCATCATGAAACCGCTTTCCGCATTTCTGCTACTGTTCACTTGCTCCGTAGCAACGGCGCAGCTGTTTACATTACCCGTAGAACGCCCCGGCCCCTACGCCCTGCGCATCTTCCGTCAGAAGCCTATCGTAGACCCGGTCGGCCCAGCTATGCCGCCCTCAGAGCCCTCTGACTCCCGGCCACCCCCGGCGCAAGGGGGCGTAAGACTCTCCGACGTCATGGGTCGTGACAGGAGCATCAACGTCTTCGCCGGTTTTACTCGCGACATCGAGTCTGCCTCCCGTCGTCTCGATGACCAGGCACATAATACCACTGTATTGGCGCCGCTGAACTCCGCCGTCGAGAATCTGCCGCGGAAGCCCTGGGAAGACCCCAAAGAATACCAGCATTTTGGTGAAAATGCCTATGAGGGCGATGATGGCCAGGAGAGGGCGCAGAGGAACATTCAGCGGTTCGTCGAGGCACACATGGTACCTGTGAGTCCGTGGCCGGAGAACCACAAGGCGAAGGCAATAGGCGACGATAGGGATATTTGGTGGGAAAACAAAGACGGGACCAAGTTTGTAAGATATTTTTCGACTTCCGGTGGCTTTCTTTGGGACATTGGCTAACTTTGCGCTCAGATCCAGCCAGGCAATATTGAGGTTGTAAATGTAGCAAGCACCGTTGCAAACGGCGAGGTGGTATGTTTCCCCTTGTATATCTACAAGCCCTATCGACTTGAACCATCAATATAACAGTTGCTAACTTGCGTCCAGTGGATTATTAAGGAGGTTCGCAATTATGCTTGAAGGCTGCTTCATGGAACAATATTCCTGGGCTGGCCCATGTATGAGTGGCATGTTGAATGCAGTAGTAATCGGATACCCGCATGGCAAAACAAATACATTATACAGGTTTATGCAGTTGTTTAATCTCAACTTGCAGAAAGGGAATCCGCAAACGTCTATATGGGTACTGTTAGCTCTTTGATGATGACAGCCGGTGGCTTGACAAGGGCAGTACTACATGTTCGAGATGATTATGCAACATATGTGTATACGTCCTGAGACACTCATCGCTTTTAACATCTTAAAAACCCACAAAATTCTGTTAGAATTTAGCCAGTTAAGCCTTATACACCTTATAATTATCATTTTATACTAGATGATCTTCTATGAAGCGATTCCAAAAGCGTGTGCTTAATCATTAAGTACTTAAACATCAAATAGAATCGCTCTGTTCTCAATTAGCCTAGAAGTGGGACCGATACTGATAAGGCTCTTATCGCCACGTGACACGGCTGTTTCCGCGCCCGGGCAGGCTCTCATTCCAATCAGCCGGGAAGGGGTTTGAGCACCAGGTGCAAGCTCGTAAATCATCACGAAATTTCTCTGCCTGACGTTGCTGTTGGTCCCACAATCCCGACTCCCGAAACTCGCGGCCACTCCCCTCATGTAGACACAAGACTAGGTGCAGCATCATCAGTCTGTAAGTTCAGTTTGATTCCTGAGCAGCCCCCTGCCCTTTCGGCCCTGGGCAGCGAAGCAAAGCTTGCGCGGGTGAAGATCCAGCCCCCCTCTGAGGGCGCTTGCGACGACTTCCGCAACCCCTCCGTTGTCGCCCTTCTCTTACCTGCGCGTCACTGACGTACGCATCTCAGAAGACGATCGATCTCAGGATGATGAGCGGGAAACCCGCTGACGAGCGCGCTCTCGACTCTTTGGAAGAGAACCGTCGCCTCATGGCCATGGAGGCCGACAGAATGGATCGACGCGAAAAGGAGCGACGTGATCAGGAACGACACGAACAAGAGCAGGCTGAAAGACGTCTCCGCGAGGGATACCCTCCCGGGCCTCCTCATCACAGCAATGCTGGCTCGATCCCGATACACCAGCCCGTCGCATCCCGCGCCATGGGCGCAATCCACAGTCCTGGTGGCCTCCTTGCAAACCACGGCTCAGGCTCATCCGGTCCTCCCATGCCCCTCGGCGCCCCTTCGGGTCCCGGCACGAACTTCGGCGGCCCTCTTCAGCCCGAAAATAACAGGCCACCGCAACATGGCGGTCCGAACAACCCCAACCCCCAGCATCAGATGTTTGCACCCATCCCGCATACGACCGGCCCTCCGACCGGCTCTCTAGGCGCCGCCAATGGAGGTCCCCCTGTATTTGGGGGGCCTCTGCAACAGCGCGATGGCCAACAACCGATGCAACAAGGACCGTTCGGTGGTAGCGCCGGTAACAGTGGTGGTGGCGGCGCTGGCGCTGCTGGTGCCCAGGGCCAGGTGCAACAACAATCGCAAGGAGGCATTGCCCACGGCCAACAACCTATTCTAAACGTAAGTTGAATTTTGCTTTCTCAATTGGCGGAAGGAAAGCACCTTGTATTGGCGCCTCTGCTCTTGCGTGTGGCTTGTCCATCCAAAGTGGAAACCAGTGTGGGCTGGTGCGCCGATACGGCGCAGGTCAGGCAGGCAGGATGCAAGGCTGCCCCGCGTGCATGTCCTGTTCGTCTCGCCTAGTCTTTCGCGCCTCGTATTCCTCATCTCTCGCGTATACCTTTCATCCAGTCGTAATCACCGTTGCATCTTTCCTTCGTTCGCCTCTGTAATTTAATAGTCGAATGCATCCACGGCGATGGAGGACGCGTCGCCCGGCATGGTTGAAGTAAAGCTTGGGACTCGGAGATACTGTTAGCGATTGAGACCATGAGCTGACCACAGTTGACAGGATGCCTTGACATATCTGGACCAGGTCAAGGTGCAGTTCCACGACCAACCGGACGTGTACAACCGCTTCCTTGACATAATGAAAGACTTCAAGAGTCAGGCGTATGTGTAATGAATGCCTCTTAACGCCGTTGTAGCGTCACTGACCAAAGTAGAATCGATACTCCAGGGGTCATCAACCGTGTATCGGAGCTCTTCGCCGGTCATCCCAACCTCATTCAGGGCTTCAATACCTTTTTGCCGCCTGGGTACCGGATTGAATGCGGTGCTGGTAATGATCCGAACACTATTAGAGTCACCACACCCATGGGCACCACCGTTCAATCCATTGCTGGTAGGGGTACACAGGTGGATGGTGGTCATGCGCATCCTGGGGGCGCCTCGCAACCGCTGTTCCCACAGCGCGGAAACAACTGGCAGCAGCAGCAGCAGCAGCAGCAACAGCAACAGCCTCAACATAGTATCGAGAGTCCCGAGGCCAATTTCAGCACACCTGTACAGAATGGTCCTGGCCCATTTGGCCCGACCCAGAACCTAGGTGCTGCTTTTGAGGCTCAGGGTGGTGGCCAGCAGCGTGGCCCTCAAGCTCAAGGCACCCATCCTGCCAACGCGCAACAGCCGCCTCGCAGTGCACACACTCCAACTCCGGTCACCGGACCCGCAAATGTGAATGGCAACGCCAGCCAGCAGCAACAGCAGGCCAACATGGAACGCCGCGGTCCTGTTGAGTTCAACCATGCCATCAGCTATGTTAACAAAATAAAGGCAAGTGCACCTGTAAACCACTTTTCGAAAAAAAAAAAAATCAGCCTGAGACCTCGCGCGCTAACCACGCTGCAGAACCGCTTCCAGGATAAGCCCGAGATATACAAACAATTTCTCGAGATCCTCCAAACCTATCAGCGCGAGCAAAAACCCATTCAGGACGTTTACGCTCAAGTTACCACGCTGTTTCACACTGCCCCGGATCTATTGGAAGACTTTAAGCAATTCTTGCCAGAGTCTGCCGGCCAAGGCAAAGGCACACCTGGCCGCCCCGGCGAGGAACAACCACCTGGTCCTGGCCCAAACCAAACACCCCAACCTAGTATGGGCGGTCAAAAGATGCCTCCCCTCGGCAGCTTCGCACCTCCCAGCGCCTCGAAGGAGAACAATAAGAAGCGACCAAGAACTGACAAGCAAACGCCTGTTCCCGCACCTGCAATTGTCGAGGCTCCGCCTCCTGTGAACAGAGCTGCGCCGGGCGCTCCCCCGGTTGCTGCGGGCAACAATAAGCGAGCGAAATTGGCGCACAACAAGGCGCTCACTGCTGATGCGCCGCCGGTCGAGCCAACGTTGACGCCTATTTTGCCCGAGCCACTTGGGCCACCCACAGCGACCACCTCGAACTCCGATGAAATTGCCTTCTTCGAGAAGGTGAAGAAGTATCTAGGCAACAAGACAGCGTTCAATGAGTTTCTCAAAGTTTGCAACCTGTTCAGTCAATCGATCATTGATAGGAACACTGTCTTCCATAAGGGCAGTGTCTTCTTTGCCGCAAACCCTGAGCTGATGGGATTTTGGAAGGCGTTCTTGAAGTACGAACCACATGACGAGATTGTTGATAACCGTCCGGCCCCGCCAAGTGGCAAGGTATCTTTGAGCAACTGTCGTGGTTACGGCCCCAGCTACCGCCTTCTTCCTAAGCGGGTATGTGTTCATCATTGGAAATGGTTTGACCTTGGCTGACGTCTGTTTAGGAGCGACTTAAGCCTTGCAGTGGCCGTGACGAGTTGTGTAACTCTGTTCTGAATGACGATTGGGCTTCTCACCCGACCTGGGCTTCTGAGGACTCTGGCTTCGTTGCCCACCGCAAGAATGGATTTGAGGAGGGTCTCCACCGTATTGAGGAGGAACGCCACGACTATGATTTCAATATCGAAGCTAACCTGAAATGCATCCAGCTTCTGGAGCCTGTCGCCCAGCAAATCAGTGTCATGTCACCGATTGAGCGCGAGCACTTCCAGATGCCTCAGGCATTGGCTGGTCACAGCACTTCTGTCTTTAAGCGCGTTTGCAAGAAGATCTACGGCGACAAAGGCCCTGAGGTCGTCAATGACCTGTTCTCCAATCCTCTCAACGTTGTCCCAATTGTTTTGACTCGCATGAAGCAGAAGGACGAAGAATGGCGCTTCTCGCAGCGTGAATGGGAGAAGGTCTGGCACGCCCAGGTCGAGCACATGCATCTCAAGAGCCTGGACCACATGGGCATTCTGGTTAAGCAGAACGACAAGAGAAACCTCTCAGCAAAGCATCTTGTCGATGTCATCAAAACAAAGGCAGAAGAACAAAGACGCCAGCGCAGCTTGAAGGGCAAAGCTCCTCGTCACCAGCTCGTTTGGGATTTCTCTGACAAGAAGGTTGTAATTGAGCTCCTCCGCTTGATGATGCTTTATACCGTTAGCAGCGGCCAGCATAGTGTGCCGGAAAAGGAGCGTATTACCGAATTCTTTGAGACATTCATCCCCGCCTTTTTCGACATCCCTGAAGAGGAGATCGATGGCCGACTCCCAAGATTGCAAGATGTATCCGAAGAAGATGATGCCGAAGAGAGTGTCCCAGCTGAGCTTACAAACGGCCGTAGTCGCCGTACTGGCAGGAGAGGTGATTTACTTCGTGGTGTTCTTGATCCCGGACGCAACGGCTCGAAGCCTCGTGCGCAAAAGGAGGACAGCGCTGCGTCTGGCAGCAAGGAGACCACGCCCGATGTGGGCTCAGCTAACGAAGAAGAGATGCCTGATGCTCCAGAAGATGGCGCAGGCCCTGAGGTATCCAACGAGCGCTGGATGCCAATTGTGCCGCAACCCATTGTCACCACAGGTGACGATACCCTTTTGACCGCCGATGGTGAGCTGAAGGCTGACGGGTTCTTCTCTCGACCCTGGTACAACTTCTTCTGCAACCAGACAATTTTTGTCTTCTTCAATGTTTTCCAGACAGTCTATACCCGTCTTAGAGACGTGAAAGAGAGCAAGGAAAGTGTCATTGAGGAAATTAACCGCGTCAACCGCCCGCGCCCTGCTAAGGATATTGGCTTGGCTGATAATACTCTCAACTACTTTGGCCCTCATGATGACTCCTCAACGTTCTGGCCTAAGACCGTTGAGCTTATTGAGGAGTATATCACCGGAGACATTGATGAGGTCAGATATCAGGATGTCCTACGCCATTACTACCTGAAGAGTGGTTGGAAGCTGTACACCATCCAGGATCTTTTGAAGACGCTTTGCCGCCTTGCCCTTACCTGTAGCAGTACAGATGCCAAGGAGAAGACTCCTGATCTGATTCAGCAATACCTCCACAGTCGTGAAAAGGATGAGACCAACTACCAGGCAGAGATTGCATCCAGGAAATACGCTGAGAAGTGTGTTAAGGATGGGGAGATGTTCGTTATCTGCTGGGTAAGTCATACAACTATGAACGGCCAATACCATAAGCTAATCAGGACTGGTTTTTAGTTCCCGCAAAAGTCAGAGGCTACTGTCCGTTGGTTGCAACGAGAAGATACGACATTTTACATGGATGAAATGAAGGCCAAGGACCGCTGGCAATACTACATTTCGTCATTCATCCAAGTTGAGCCGACTGAGGGAGTCCCTCGCCACAAGCTCCAAAAGACCGTCTTGGCCCGGAATCTGCCATCCAGCGATGAGAAATTTGACGACAGCCAGATCCCTAAGCCTATCTCGTATGATGAGGACCTTTCGATAAGCATTTGTCTTAACTCGAGCAAGATGGTGTGGAAAGCGGGCACCTCTGAGTACTTTGTCTACGACAACGTCCCCAAGGATAAGGAAGCACGGGAGCGCCACCTTGAGAGACTCAAGAACGCGAGTAACAAGCGCGATACCAAACTCCGCGAGAAGTTTGTCTTCAACAGTCCCTGGATGAAGGGCATGAGCCAGTCGGATGTACAGAAGTCCAATGAGGGCTGGTCCAAATGGCTCAAGGAGGGCGTTCTTCCATCCTCTGATTTCGGCGACGCTATGGACACTGCAGAGTGAGCCGAGTTGCCGGGTTAGGTTACTACCGACACAGCGATGGTAGCGATGGTAGCGACTTGTGTGAAAAGTGGGGACGGGTTATGTGAAGACTAAATTTCACAGTTACGAAGATACCAGGCGGCATAGCGGTGCAGACTGGCATGGCTGCCATGTTACCCAGGACTTACATGGGTTTGTCTCTTAGTGCCCCGATCCCGTCTAGCTCGACGAGGTAGGGGTTGGCATGGATGGCGTGGGATGGTTATTCGGCGTTGCTTCGTTCCATAATATTTCAATTTTCGTTTCTTGATGTGACGAGTAGGGAGGAAAAGGTGGCGGTTTCCCTCCACTAGAGGAATGCTGTTTGTCTAGAAGCGAAGGCTGACTTCGTTGCAGAGTCTGGGGGATGCTTTTTGCAATTCACTTCTCTTTTCACCTTCCTATCTGCGTTTGTACAATAGCCATAGCTGCATATAAAGCTCATTCACACGAAAGCCCATACACTCATTCAACCGTGATGGTCACAATAATGGTAGTGGGGTGGGTGGCACCTTGACTACCAGGTTCCGCCGATATCGCGATTGGTACACAGATCTCGGTCCAAAGCCGCGCTAAAGATTGATTATCGAAAAAATCTGATAACCAGACAGCACAGCCACAGCCATGGAAGATGCAACCTAGGTGGAGTTTAACGGCAGCGACTAGCCGGAATAGACAGTGCAAGAATCAAAAAAGACGCAGATCAATGCAAATAGAATGCTTTAAAGAGGAGGTGCAGTCGTATGATTCGTGACATTAGGTAAAAAATCCGCAACGATTGCCCGTCGCGCTACATCTAAAACGCTGGTAACTAGCATAATTTTTTTTTAATCTCCTTCAAGATCCGCGGGAACCGGACAAAACCGGTTGGTGACGTTCTATTTTTGCGTCAAATAACTGCAGAAAAATAAAGAAGTGAGAAGCTTTCCTCCGGGACGCGCATCCCACTGCGATTGTGCGCTTGCCGGAGGTGGCCACGGCCTTGTTTCATCGGCCCCAGGCAGGCCCACTCCCTTCCGAGTGAAATCACTCTCTGCTTAGTTTGAACCCGCATCAGCTCGGAGCTCCGAGTTCTGGAGCTAGGCTTCTCTACTTTGTGCCGCCTATTGCAGGTTCTCAATGACAATGGCAGAGGCGCCACCACCACCGTTGCAGATACCAGCAACACCGATCTTGGCCTTCTTCTCGCGGAGGACGGTCGAGAGGGTGGTAACAATACGGGCTCCAGAGCAGCCCAGAGGGTGTCCAATGGCAACGGCGCCACCAAAGACGTTGACAGTTTCGGGATCCAGGTTCAGGAGCTTAATGTTGGCGAGGGCAACAACGGAGAAAGCCTCGTTGATCTCGTAAAAGTCAATATCCTTCTCAGTGAGACCAGCGTGCTTGATAGCCTTAGGGATGGCCAGGGCGGGAGCAATAGTGAAGCGCTCGGGCTCGCGGGCAGCGTCGGCCCAGCCGCGGATCTTGGCAATGGGAGTGACGCCGAGCTCCTTGACCTTTGCCTCAGACATGAGGACAACGGCGGCAGCACCATCGTTGAGGGGGGCGGCGTTGGGGGCCGTAACGGTGCCCCCGTTGGGCACGAAAGCGGGGCGCATGGCCTTGAGCTTGTCGACGTTGAGGTTCTTGACCTCGTCGTCACGGTCGACCTTAATAGCGGGCTTGCCACGGCCACCAGAGACCTCGATGGGGGCGATCTCCTTAGCGAAGATTCCGGCCTCGGTGGCGGCCTGGGCCTTCTGGTAGGTCTTGATAGCGTATTCGTCCTGTTGCTCGCGGCTGATGTCGTGGTCCTTAGCACAGAGCTCAGCGGCCATACCCATGTGTTCCTTCTTGCCGTAAGCGTCGGTGAGACCATCCTGGAGGACACCGTCGACGAGGGTCTGGTGGCCGTACTTGGCGCCGTTGCGGAGGACGGGGAGGTAGTGGGGGGTGTTGGTCATGGACTCAGTACCACCGGCGACAACAATGTCAGCGTTGCCGGTAAGAATGGTTTGGGCGCCCAGGATAATGGCCTTCAAGCCAGAAGCGCAGACCTTGTTGACGGTTGTCGCCGCGACGGCCTGAGAGAGGCCGGCTCCGAGGGCGCATTGCCGGGCGGGGGCTTGGCCGAGACTAGAATCTTGTCAGAGTGTGTCGCTAAATATATGCTTTTGAGGTATTCATTTTTTTTGTTTTTGTGAAACATACTTGGCGGACAGGACGTTGCCGTAGAAGACTTCCTCAACATCCTCGGGCTTGATCTGGGGAACCCGCTCGACGGCGGCTTTGGAGGGGTTAGCGGTGGGCTGCCCCGCGCTTCACACCGTTTGATGAGACATCTGCATACCCTTAATGGCGTGGGAACCCAATTGGGTGGCGCTCAGGCTAGACAAAGAGCTGTTCGCAAGAGGGAATGTTAGCTTCTTGGTTCAAGCGGTCAATATTCTTCGTGGTGAGAATTTAGTCGCACCCAAGGAAAGAACCAACGGGGGTTCTAGCGGCGGAAACGATGTAGACGGGGGGAAGGTTGGCCATTTTGATCGTCGTGAAGCTCGAAGAGGTTTGTGGGAATTAAGACAAGTTGAAAGTAGAGCCGGAGGGGAGACCGTCGGGTATTTGTGAGACCTGAGAAGGAAAGCAAACAAGTGAGAGGCAAACAAGCCAAATTTTGTTGGGTACAGGTCACTTATTAGGAAGACGTGCTTCCGTTCCTGCCCCTACCCCCTCGCCGCCTTTTGATGTTTGGTGGGGTTGCTCTGACCCCTGGTGGTGGACTCCGGGACTTGTGGCGCAGCAGCTTCATCGGAGCATTGACCCGACTGTTGGACCTATGGTACCTGCTTCTCGAGCTCCTGTGTATGACCAATGAGAAAGATTGCTTTTTATCAGCCTTGCAGCCACTCACGTGTAACAGCCACATTCAGCCTTGCGAGAAACTTTGCGAAGGGGCGTCATGCTAGACGTGACTGCGACTGCGACTGGCTTGAGATTCTTCAACGCCAATTGGCAACCCGCGACAGAAAATTCCTTCCGACGCTACAAGAGGTCAAAATGGACGACCTATACGATGAGTATGTCAAAAACACTCTTCACTATTAATGATCTCAAATTGACGCTTTATCCATTAGGTTTGGTAACTTCATCGGCGAGGATGTAGGCTCTGAAGAGGCATCTGAAAGGGGAGTTGATGCGGGCGACTTTGTCTATGGCGACGATGCCAGCGAAGCACCTGCGCCCACCGGCCAGGAGTTGATGGAAATTGATGGTCTAAAATACTCAGCTCGATGTTGAAGAACCAATACTGACTTTGGGATAGATGATGGCCCATCAAATGCGATTATCCTGCACGAAGACAAACAATACTACCCCACGGCACAGCAAGTATATGGAGATGAAGTCGAGGTGCTCGTTCGGGAAGAGGACGAGCAGCTTCTCTCACAGCCCATTATAGCACCCGTCGAGCAGAAGAAATTTAACATCGAGGAGACCGACCTGCCACCCGTTTTCTTCGACCGCAGCTTCATGACCGATCTCATGAACTTCCCCGACCAAATACGCAATGTCGCGTTGGCAGGACATCTCCACCATGGAAAGACAGCATTCATGGATATGCTCGTTCTCGAAACTCACGACATCACCGACAGACTCGAGCGCCGTGTCGGCAAGAACCGAGATGAGCAGCTCAGATACACCGACGTTCATGTTGTAGAAAGAGAGAGGGGAGTGTCCATTAAATCATCGCCTATGAGCTTGGTGCTGCAAAGCACAAAAGGAAAGTCTCATTTGGTCAACATCATAGATACCCCTGGCCATGTAAACTTCGTCGACGAGGTCGCAGCCAGCTTGCGACTGGCTGACGGAGTGTGCTTGGTCGTTGATGTGGTGGAGGGCGTCCAGGTGAATACGGAACAGATCATCAAGCACGCAGTTTTGCAGGATATACCCCTTACTCTTATTATCAACAAGATGGACCGCCTTATTCTGGAACTTAAGCTTCCGCCCAAAGATGCATACTTCAAGCTGAAGCACGTCGTCGAGGAGGTCAACACGGTTATCGAAAATACAATCCCCGGCAAGGGCGAGGCAAAGCGGATAAGCCCTGAAAAGGGTAATGTCCTCTTTGCATGCACTGACATGGGCTGGTGCTTCACTCTGCAGTCGTTCTCGAAGATGTACGCCGACACTTATGGCGGCATCAATACTGAGGACTTTGCGAAGCGGCTATGGGGAGATGTTTATTTCAACCCTGAGAAGCGTAACTTCACAAGGAAGCCGATGGAGACCCGGTCAAATCGCTCGTTTGTCAAGTTTGTGCTGGAGCCGATTTACAAGATTTTTACCCATACCATCAGCGATAGCCCGGAGGAACTGAAAAGGGTGCTGGGCAGTCTTGGAATTACTCTGAAGCCATCGCAATACAAAGCCGATGCAAAGGTTCTGCTGAAACTGGTTTGCGAGCAGTTCTTCGGCCCCTCTACGGGCTTTGTCGACATGGTCGTTCGCCACATTCCGTCACCCGAAGATGCTGCACAGAGATACTTGGAGAAGTACTATTCTGGGCCGTTGGACACGAAGATTGCAGAGTCCATGAAGTCTTGCAACCAAGATGGGCCGCTGGTGGTTCATGTATCGAAGCTTTTCAGTACAGCGGACGCCAAAAGCTTCTACTCTTTTGGTCGTGTTCTAAGCGGTACTGCACGCCCAGGAACACAAGTAAGAGTTCTGGGAGAAGGATATTCAACCGACGATGACGAAGATATGGCGATGGCAACAATATCAGACGTCTTCATTGGCGAGTCAAGATACAACATTCCCACGGATGGTGTTCCAGCTGGCAACTTCGTCCTCCTCAGTGGTGTGGACAACTCAATCGTCAAGACGGCAACGATTGTTCCTCCCAAGCTGGAGGATGATGAGGACGCGTACATCTTCAAGCCTGTCACGCATTTTACAGAATCGGTGCTCAAAGTGGCTGTCGAACCCATCAACCCTTCGGAACTGCCCAAGATGCTCGACGGATTGCGGAAAATCCAAAAGAGTTACCCCTTGATCACTACCAAGGTTGAAGAATCGGGAGAACATATTATTCTTGGCACAGGTGAGCTATACATGGACTGTGTCCTTCATGACTTAAGACGTCTCTACGCCGACATGGAAATCAAGGTATCGGACCCGGTCACGCGATTCTGTGAGACGGTTGTTGAGCAGTCGGCGACCAAGTGTTACGCTATCACACCGAACAAGAAAAACAAGATCACAATGGTTGCCGAGCAGTTGGATAAGGGCATATCGGAAGACATTGAGTCAGGCAAGGTTAAGATTCGGGACCCTATTCGCAAGACGGCCAATTACTTTGAGGAGACCTACGGATGGGACAAGCTGGCGGCGAGAAGCATCTGGGCATTTGGCCCTGATGAAATGGGCCCCAATATCCTCCAAGACGACACGTTACCCTCCGAGGTAAGGCCTAATGGCTCACATCCCCGGTGCCCTTGCATTGAACAGAATACTAACAAGCTGCAGGTTGACAAGAAACTTCTAACTACGGTAAAGGAGACCATCCGCCAAGGATTCAGCTGGGCAACCAGAGAAGGCCCCCTGTGCGAAGAGCGTAAGTCTATTACCCCTATCCCTGTTCACATCCACCCTTCTGTCTTCGTGTTGTCCTTGAAAGCCTCCCATCGGCACCGCCATTGGTCACCGACTAGGTGGAACCAGTTCCGGGAAACGTCCAATTCATGGACCTGGGGTTGGCGTTGGGTGTATCGGCATGGTTTGCGTTAGCAAAGATGCCTTCGTCCCCTCATCTACCCCGACATGTCAGAAGAAACCTGCTTCTGCGCACGAGACCTTTTCCAATAACCTATACCTCTTGTGGCTATGGTTGACCAGGATGGGGGGCACGGCCCTTGACAGGAATCCTGTCTCCACATCAGACCACTCCCCAACCTCTGCTCGCTCACCGGTAGGCATCGCTAACTGAGTATTTCAACAGCCATTCGAAATACAAAATTCAGGATCACGGACGTCTCATTGGCTTCGGAAGCCATCTTCCGCGGAGGCGGTCAGATTATCCCCACCTCCCGGCGAGCCTGCTATTCTTCCTTCCTGATGGCTTCCCCTAGACTAATGGAGCCCTTGTATGCTGTCTCAGTGACGGGACCTGAGGACTCTGCCACAGAGGTCTATACTACACTTGCTAGACGCCGTGGTCATGTCCTTCAGGACGGACCGGTAGCCGGCACTCCTCTCTACCGCGTTAACGGCCTTATTCCCGTCATCGATTCATTTGGCTTCGAGACGGACCTACGCATCAAAACAAAGGGCATGGCCATGGTGAGTTTGACGTTTGATAGCTGGAGCATCGTTCCTGGCGACCCCCTTGATAAGGAGGTGATCATTCGGCCCCTGCAGCCAGCCAGTGCTCAGGCTACAGCTAGGGACTTTGTGCTAAAGACCAGAAGAAGGAAGGGCCTGAGCGAGGACGTGAGCGTGGCAACGTTCCTGGAGCCGGAGTTTTACCAGAGCCTCATGGAGAGTGGTGCCCTTGGCGAGTAAGGTGTCTGTGGAGGCGGGCTTTCATACTACTAGGTGTTTGGGTAGGCAAATGAAGGTACTCGGCGGTTACGATGCTGAGTTGTTCGAGCAAGGGTGGGATTGGCGCGTACATGTGAGCAAGGGTCTACGCAAAACGCCAACCAGGGATCAAAATTGAAGCGATGCCTTGCATGTATGAGGCTGCCGGTGAGGTTGCTGCATCTGTTAATTAGAAATGCTGGCTGTGAGACACTAGGTGCTCGGGCCGTTGTATACCAAGGAGGAAAAAAATGGGGGATCGTCTCCCTATTCTGTGTCTACATGATGCCATCGAATACAGATTGACTTGGGTGAGACTATGCTAGCTGCCTCAAGGTTTAGCAACCGTGGCAAAAATGGGAGACATGACTTGATGTCGATTTAGAAATATCTGACTAAAAAAGTAAGCTGATCTATGGAGTCCGATATTCGGTTGATTCGAGGGGGTTGCAGGTGCGCGGTGTCCCCGAGGAGAAGAAGCCTGCGTGTGGTCATTGAGGTGTTTGCGTGGTTGTGTTACGTAGGTTGGTTTTCTTGGCGCAGAGTATTTTTGAAGACAGCGCAAATGACTTGACTCATTCTTCTGCTATTTTACCGCTGTTGTTTTTTGGTATCAAAATCAATTTGTATAGGCTGACAAGGCAGTTAGTTTCTACAAAAATAGGTTGAATGAGTAGCGTAAAGAAACAGGCAGACAAAAAATTGAGATGCCAAAAGATCAATTGATGCCCAGAGGCGGATTCGAACCGCCGTCAACACGGAGCGCTGTGTGATGAAGACCACAACGTATCATCCTAACCAACTAGACGATCTGGGCGAATTGGAGGAGACCGGAGAAACCGGGTCCTAGCTTGGGAACTCTGGCCGCGGGAAAGGACCCATCTAGCACCAGCGGTGTGCTTACATGAAAGTTCCGCATGAATGGGGCCTGGGCAGCAAGGTGGGAAAAAAAGCAACAATATGCTTTGGAATGCTGGCTTTTCAAGAAAGGACTTATTGCCTTCCTTAGTATACTATAATCTGGATTTTGTCTTTGAGAATCTTAGTACGCATGACTTCTTTTTGGCATTGTACTCTGGGCTGCAGAGGAATGTTAAAGAGCATGAACTAGACGTTCACGAGACCCTTTCTGGTTGACCACATACTCATCTTCTTGGGACTACAGCTTAAAAGCTCTAGTTGTGCGGGCAATCGTTCATTCCGTTCCATGTCTGACGCGATCATTGGAGTATAAGGCTAGCACTTGTGCATTACATATTTTCTCCGCTCCCCATCCTGTATCTTGGTCCGGAGCTTGTGCTGCACGGTACTCAAGATCACGAAAACTTTCACAAGCGTATGCCAATAGGTGACGCCCGCAAGCAGAGAGAAGCAGTGAGAGGTACATGTTTCTGATGTTGTAAGATACTGAACACTGATTATGGCGCAGGAGCAGTTCAGACATGTGTTACCTCATGCCATGGCATCGTTTCACGTAGCCGAGAAAACAACCTATGTATTCTACTGTTAGATCTTGATAAGCCAAACGGTTTGGGGAGTTACAATGAAACTCCTTGGTGAAAGCGGCAACTGTACCGCCAATGACAAGAGTGTTCAGCAATAGGCTATGCCATGTAAAGTGCTGGCAGATGTATGATGAGGAAGAACAATGACAAACACTCGGGTCCTATATTAAATGTCTGTTGACTATTGTATCATGCAAGATCAATTCTATGCATGGCCATTGTAGCCTCCAGCGAATGTGAGCAATGTCAAATGTAGATATTGAATACTAGTATCTGCATGAGAGGGCACTGATGGTTCTTACCACACCTTATGGATCAGCCCTCATAAGGTATTCTGAAAGTTGATTATGGACATGGCCTCTTTCTATAATGGGGAAGGTGCGGCCAGCTTGAGTATCGAGCAGCGGAACATGCGGGGGGAGACAACATCCTCTCAAAAGATTCATTATGCTCTTGTCATGCAGGAGCCGTATCTGTGACCGCTGCACCACGGAACATCTCCCCATGGTGAATATTTCAATCCCTTGGTTCTATCACGAATTGTTCGAGGGAGAAACGACAAGAGTCCACTATGGACATATAGACGTTCGCTACGGGCTTATGACGGGGCTGAACTTCTTGGCTGATCGAACTATCGTGAAACACGACGATATATGGTACCACCCAGCCCCAGAGTCAAACAAAACCTATGTAGCATCTCCAAACACCCCTTTTAGCGTCTCCTTGACACACATCACGCATATCCAACGCCGGGCTGTTAATCCAATAGTCGTTAGGGAAGAGGAATCTGAGAGTATTGGCGAAACCTAGCTACCCCAAGACGCTCGCTACCCCGGATAAAAAACCCAATGCGACGCTGTGGTCAAACAGCCCCCAATGGTAGCATGTAGATCACAACTCGATGCTATGCAGAAACGCCTGGATTGTATTGGTTTTCGGGGTTGTCGGAACAATTGTTGCAACAAAGGTGTTCTAGGCAGGGACCGATTTCTTGATCAACAGTGGGTAACCCAAGATGTGACTTATAAAAGGTAAAAATGATTCCTCAGCAAAGCCCCTCTGCAAATCTTATCGACTTGGTCGGCCGTACGGAACGCCGATCATGAACGGGGGGGGTTCGTCCCTTTCGTCTCTAACGTCGAAGAAATTCCTTCCACTAACATCCCGTCGCAACGAAGAGGGGGGAACCGACCACCAACCCCCGGAACCCGGAAGAGTCCCGAGGTACTTTGCTCTCTCCACCGCCATCATCGTCGCAATCGGACCTTCCAGGGCGGAGTTTTCCTGTTCCCCCCTTTCAACTTTCAAAAGGCCCCCTCACCGTCAGTCGGGTCGCACAAGCACCGTGACACCTTACTTCACCTTGCCTGTCTGCCCCTCACCCCCCAGCCCCTCTTGTAGCTGTACCCTGGCACACCGACTTTACTCCAGGTCCAGATTCCCCCTTCTCCTCAACACCGAAACATATCCCCATCAAACTCATTGGGCTACGTACAAGGTAGCATATTGCGTTTTTGGGTCCTTTGCAAGCAAGGCTCGAGCGGCACAAAGATTGACATGAACTATTTCCATCTTTGATCAACATAAGCACTGCAATCGACAGACAGCAGTTGGAGCGGCTATATCCGACAAGGGCCAGCCCTCCAACTATATTCACAACACTACCTTGTCTTTCCTCTTCTTGTCTGTCGCCTCCTGATCCTTCACTAACCCCCCTAAACCCTACCGCGCGTAGTACCACGCAATGTAATAAGGTAGAGGAAAGCGAAAACGCATGCGAATTCCAACCCATATGTCCGTAAAGATACAAAGGTAAAATACCCCGGGAAACCTTCACACCCGTTTCGTCGCTATTATAGCACGCCGCTACGCCCCTTAGCCCCTCCATCGAACCCCACTGACGCCGTCTAGACGCGTCGACTGATTGATTGCTTCGTCTCCATTGTGGGAAAACATCGGGTCGGTAGATGGGAAAGTTCGGGTTGAGAAAACTTCGATGCCCACTCTAAGCCACGCGAGCTAGTCTTTTTTGTCTTTCTTATTCTGTGATGGATGGGGGGTGACGTTTTTTTTTGTTTTCAGTTTTTTTTGGCGCGAGTCATCCCAGGGATCCCATGGTAAACGCCGCGCGGGTAAAGTGGGAGGGCGGCGAGACAGACGCCAGCCAAGTGTCCCTGCGGCGGCGCCTTTGACATACGAATATCGCCACGCTGACGCCATGAGGGCTTTGCAACTTCTTTCTCCTCTTGTCGACGACGTCGTGTTATGTCCTTGTTTACGAGCTTATGCAACGTGTGGTTCTAAATACTGCAACCCTTCAAAGTCTCACGTAGCGGAGTAGTGAGGAGTCTCATGCAACCAACGATATCCATCGTAAACGCCTTCGGACTAGGATAACCATCACATAAATGCGATAAAGGCATGGAACATTCCCTGGAGTCGAGCGTTTGGATGTAGATTCTTGCGTAAGTCGTAGTATGTTTGCCACATGGGCAGAAAATGCAATTGGATTTCCGCTTTACCCCCACTGCAACGTGCTTTGCTATATTGAAATGCAACTGTTGACTCAGGGTCATTAGTGGCAACGAAACGTGCCAAAGTTAGTTTCCTGTGAGCCTGTGCGGCATATTGATCGGACAGCTCGCCGAAACTCTGTTTCTCTTTTTTATTTTATTTTCGCTTTTGACAGCGGAAACTGGGGTTAGCGCCAAGCTGGCAGCGTGTTTAGCTGAGTGATAGAAAGAGAGAGAGAGAGAGAGAGAGACAAGAAACAGGGTCATGGATATGAAGAAGGCGGGTCGGCGGGCTCCGGCCGTCCGATGGGCTATCTGCAAGTTTGCACGTTGAATCCTACCTTTACTCTGAGAGACAGGCAGAGATACCCAACAAACCCTCACGTCCGTACTACGTCGGAATCAAATTGTATACGGCGAAGACAAGGTCATGACACAACAATCAGCCATCGACCTCGACTTATCCAGCCTTCCTTTAAAGGAAGCTGGGAATGCATATCACGACAGCAATAAGCCTCGACACCGCCAATACTGCAGAGTGAACATGATGTGACATGCAACTTCGCAAGGGGACATACTGCAGGCCAACCTAATTTCGCCCATCTCGCCGTGCGTCACACACGGTAGCGTTTGTCGTCCCCCCAGATCCTACCTTTTTTTTTTTTTTTTTTTTTTTTCCCTTTTCTTTCCCTTTCGCGGGCGTAACCCTTCCCCCAATCACTTCAACCGCCCGGTACCATATCACCTGCCGGACATCCCAGGGACCCGTTTGGCGCCGTGACGCCTTCGGCACATGCCAGCCCACAAGCCGTTCAGCATGCTAAGTGCGTCCCTCAAGCCCTATGAGCTTGCTGTTGGGAACTTCCTTCTTGAGCCCGTGGGGCGTTCTCACTGGGCGCCCGAGCGTTTTCTTGATTAGGCTGTGGCTGCTTCTGTTAAAATGTCTCCGTCATTATCACGAGATAAAGGAAGGCAGGCTGGGCGGACCGGCCCCATGCGACCTTCCGTGTCGGATTCGGTGAGCTGTCATCACATATAGCATGAGTTACATATACCTATATTGCTGAGTCTTTTTGCTCCTTCCCCCCAATGTTGCTGTGGACAAGCAGGCCCACCCCAGGGTGTGTGTGTGAGTGGGCGAAATTCTCAACTGCTGTCTTGGAGATCGTTGCATGCTGTGCGATGCAAAGCTATATCACTGAAACTCCTTATTGGATGCGATAGATCAGCAAGATGGTGTCCCGCATGGTGTTGACTGTCATGACGCTGCACCTGACCGGTTCTGTGGGGGGAAGCGATTGCGCCTACTGAGTGTTGGTAAGAGTTGGCAGAGAAGTGTCCTTACATTGTGAGGCGTGGCAACAATTACACAACAATAATAGACCAGTTGTGACTATGTCAAAACAAGACCGGCGGAGCTTGGGCCACGGAAACGCCGGGAAGTTGCAGATCAGATGGGGATTTCGCTCCAACTCCCAGCCCATGGTGAAGGGAACCTGAGCCGGCCTTCTCACCTGAATTACTGGACAAGTCGTCGTTGGTATGGAACTGCTGCTTGCCGGTTTATGGTTTGATCCTTGTTCAGAAAGAATCTTTGGTGATGTAGTACAGCTCTACGGGACCTTCACGTCGGAATTGAAATCGTCTAGAACATGAGTTTTGATTTGAGTGTCCCTTATTGAAAGTTTCTCCCCCGGGGGTTCTAAGGGACCAACCCAACGCGTTATCCATTGGCAAAATTAAAACAAGAGCCTTGTCTGCCCTGGAACCAGGAATGCAACGCTGCCGGTGATTTCCCCTATGCCCTGCGATCTAAAATCAATCCCCCACTCCAGCCCCCGAATATTGAAATCTTACCTCCGTTATTGGGGAACTCGTCAGCGCCACAATGTAACGCCATGCAAGTTTTTGTTGCGGGCGAAGTTGGTCAAATGGCCCATTGCCTTGGACGAAGCTGCTAATTTTTGCAGATCCGCATATTGGCATATTGATAGACGATTACAAAGTTCCCTGGCATCACGGTTTGTACGAAAGTAGGCTTGTTGAGGGGGGGCCTTGAGAGATTCTCTCCCTTGCTAAAGACATAGAACCGGTATGCAAGTCGGCTGAAGCGGTAGTAATGTACCAAAGGCACGTTGGGTTTGGATCGGCTATTGAATGCAGTAATATGGCAGTTGTCACTGTGGGGTAGCAAACGCTTCCATTGTGGCTGAAGAATGAACTACGGGGAATAAGGGTTTGATTCATATTATTCTGTAAGACAAACCACTTTAAGGCACTAAACGCTTGAAACATCTCGCCCCTGACACTGGCAAGCCTGAGCTGACATTCTTCGTCTATCCCGAAGAAAAAAAACATGCTGTGGGCCGTTTGAACCGTCCGAGCACATCTGCAAAATGCGGGAACTTCTCCTCCTTCCGAGCAGCCCTACCCGAAAATCCGCCGTGGGTTGCAAGAGTCATGAGGCGAAGGACGATCCCGCCGTGACCCTGTACCCATTTTCATGGGTACAGGTTTGTGTGTGCGGAAGCGATATCCGTTAGCAGAAAAACGGTTTCCTTTTCTTGCCGGCCGGTGGATGACAGTACCTGTCGATCCATAAAGTCGCCAGGGGCGAACTCGCCTACTTGCCATGGAGGGAAAAATCGATAGAGCCTCTGCCAAGGTAATGATGCCTTGGTCGATAGAGATACAGAATGTCGATCACTTATTTAAAGACACAAGCTCTTTACTGCTTCCAGCCTGCGGGCAACATTCCCCTGTGAATCCGGCCATTTGCCTTCGGGTCGGAACAAGATAAATGTCAACAACCGTGCAGCGGCTCGGGACCGAGTCCGACACCAGTGATTGATTTACCGATCATACACAGGTTTCGAGCATCTTGTCTAGAACGCCCCTCAAGGTGTCGTTCTCCAAGGCGGCCGCAACACGTTCCTTGTCACTCAGCTGCTTGTTGACCTGGTCATCCTGGGCGTGCGCATTCTCCTTGATCCTGACATCGACGCGGTAGTTGGGGGGAAGCGCTTGCTCCAAGCGGACTCGAACACCCAGACCAAGAACGGTGGCAAGGGAGCAATGCGACACCGTCGGCGTTAAGTCAACCAGTACCTGGACCAGCGCATTGGGGTCTAACGGCCCTGACAAGGGAGATGGGCTGATGTGAATGTCGGGCAGGTTGACGACCGCCAGCTGTCCCAAAGAGAGGGGGTGTTCTGGGTCAGAGATGGTTGATATCAAGTCTGTGAAACGTCAGTTGCCTGATCTTCCCAGGGTCTTAACGTTGGCAATGGATGTGCGACGATTCGGAGTTAACCCGACAGATGTCATTTCAAGCGTTACAAGAAGCACTGCTCATGACTATGAACACCCTAGTCAGCGCCGCAGCATAGGTCAATGCAGCTATGCACTCCTCCTAAGGGGGAACCCTCTCTTGAGAGTGCTGCAGGACGCGGCGCTCGCCTCGCCCTAGCCTTGTGGACTATGCCCTGTCCCACCAACGACCTGGCGGGCATGACCGGATGACAGAATATGCGGCTCCCCAGTCATGAAATGAAGAAATACTAATGTATTGAAAAGAACCAACGGGGGAAGTGAAAAGAAAGGGGGAGGCCTCTCACCGTAAATCTCCTGCTCATCGATGGGCTCTTCAGCATAGTCGTCATTGACAACGTCCCCATCAGGCCATAATGAGTCGTCATCGCAAAATGGCTGTGACAGATATGCTGGTTTGGCTAGAATTATGTCGTTATATTTGGCATCTGGGCCCTTCCTCGGCACTATCCTTTTGACCTGGCGCGTTGGCAGCTGTGCCGCGCTCAAGATGGTGGGATTCGCGTTGTCGAGATCTTTGTCCATGTCGTCAAAAGATGTGATGTGTCTTTGGTTGCTTGTCTTGGAAATGTTCAGGGATGTATCTTCAACCACCCCAGCAAGCGGAAGCAATGACCCCCAACTTGTTCTCCGCTCGATCTTGGGTGTGACTCTTGGTTGTCACAAAAGTACCTCAATTTGACCAAGATAGGAAAACTTCGAGATTGATAGATGAGATGGTCCTGGTTTGTGGCCCCTGTTTGTCGGTAGGGGCTGGATGAGACTATGAGATGACGATAGATGATGGCGTATCTTGTGGTTCGTAATACGATCTTTTTCGGTACTTTTCCCCCGTCACTTTAGGAGGGGACTTTAAGATTTTTTTTTTTTTTTGGGCGACGGGCTCTGTGGATGGCTTGTGGATGGGAAAGAAATGACTTGCCATGAGAGAATCAATATTTTTGGACAGGTGCCCCAGGCGCCCCCGCTGAATGACGAGGATTAGATAAGCGACAGCATGCTTACCAGCCCAAGACAACTACAACGCATGAATCACTAATCTTACAGTGATGGCAGCGCACTGAAATATTGCCCCTCACTTGCCGGAATCGGACATGGATTGCGGGGCCGACCATCCCCCGTCGCTCCCGTGTCGTCAGCGAAGATCCACCATTTAAGGGATTCTCGATGATCTTCCAATAAATCTAAAATAACCTCTTGGACATGGCAAAAAAGAAGCATCGAACGATGCCCATTTCCATCTTGTCCTTTTCTACCCCCCCGAAAGAGCCACCCCAGAAGAGCTTTTGCGGGTTGTCGGTGCTTGTGCGTGGTGCCCGACCCGCAATCCCATGCCCTTTCAATCCATGACCCGTTCGAGAGATGGATACGAATAGCGACCTCTTTTTCTTTTTCTGCCCTTTTGCTCACTTCCTTCTCTCTCTCCCCTTGCACCGCTATTTCGCCCCCATGCTACCACACCTTTGGACGGATACCTCCGTGGCAGCTGAGACCATCTCAAGTTGCTTTGCTCCTTTTTTGGTAGCAGTAGCGTAAGGCTGACAGGACCCTTGACTGGAGAAAAAGGGAGCAAGAGCAGTGCGCATCAAGGAACCGCCCCTTGTAGTACTCAAAGTTTAAATTGCTTTCTCCAGGCCAAGTCGATAGAGGCTGATCCCTTCGTCCCCATCGTGACTTCATCCCTTTTATTTTTCCACCTCCTCTCCAGCTCTTTCTGGATAGCTCTAATGAACTTTAATATTCGAAGCTTCGCTGAGCCGTAACATCCGTAAAACGCATGGCAAGTTCTGGGGCCGACCGCATGCCAAGTCCGACAGCACAATTAGCCATTCAAACGATGGAATTAAATGATTGGGGCTTAAACGATCTGGCGTCTGGCGTGGCACGACATGGCGTGTACTTCTGTCTCTCGCGCTTCTGGAAGCTCGATGGAAGCATAATAGAAGCATGGGAGGATCAATACAACAAAATGAGACGTGATTTCACTGGGCCGTGATCCTGGTCAGGAACTTCATTGAACCGTTCCCAAAGCTCCGCTGCCCTTCAACATTCCTGCAACCACACCCTTTCGGCAATGCCACTGAGAAGGGCCACCGAGCTTCAATTGAACAATATGCATGTTGGACTGCCCGCTATCCGCTGCCTGCCGTTGTCCTCCCACTTGCTCTTCTACTACGGACAGGCTTGATCGGAGCTGTCGACAGGTACCGATGTCCCTGCTGCAGCCTCTCCGGACACCAATTTCTGGAATGGGCTAAGTGCTTCTCCTACTGAAGCGGTGGCATCGTGTCTTGGTTCGCTGCCCAGTGTTTAAAGATTCCCCGGAGCGGGCGGACGGACGGGACCTTCCCAGTTACCACGCCCCTTGTTCTCGGCCGAGTCATCTGTTGCCGCGCCCATGCAGCCGCAAAAGTTGATTATGCACCGCAACCCCAGAAAACCTTCCTTCTTGTAGACAATCATCTCAAAGTGTGGCCACACTCCCACCGAAAAGAGTTGTTCAATTTGGCCGTCATCTTCGTCGGATATTTGCATGACCGGATCGTCTACTCATCGGCAAATGCCCTTTATGCGAGTCACGAAAGATTACCAACACAATCTGCGAACATGGATTAGGAGCACGAGAGTGGACATCCACTGAATGCCCATTCGGACCGTTCAAGCTTGGGACACACCCCTCGTGTCGTCAGATGACACCCTTTAGTTGAGGGTCCCCTGCCCTCCGAGCCACGCTCATCAGAGTGCCCGAGATCTTGGGGGCGAAGAGCAGACCCCCCTGACCGAACGATTCCAGGAACCAGTTGTGAGAAAGGGAACAACCGAGCGTGACAGATGCTAGTCCCCAGCGCTAGGCGCGTGGTTCAGTTGTACGAGTTCGGATCCGAGGCACACACAGCCCCATGATGCAGGGCAAGCTATGCGGCCTGAAACCACCATTGCGCCAGTTGTACGGATGGACGTCCCCTTCGATTATTCTGCGAAACCAAGCATTGGAATATGCCTATTGAGTTTCCGATATGTCGAGCAGGAATAGCCCCTATCACGTCAAGCTTGACCTCTTGGAAGGTGGATGAGATGGTCTTGTGTAGCAAGAAGAGGCTGGGCTGGGTGCCGTCAACAGGCCAACTCGACGGCACAGGAACAGGCCAAGAAAAACAGGACAAGGGGGTATCGGGGTTCCTCGGTAGGTTCCATTATTGAAGCCCTGGATATTGACCCAAGTGGCCACCGCTAGTTTTTTAGCATGTGAATGATGACACTACCGCTTTACTCACCCCATTGCCCCCCCTGCAACCCCGTGTATTTATGACCATGTCCATTTCGGTTGGTCGGTAAAAGGCGGCCCTGCTGGCATTTCATTTGCTGGGTGACAGCCGTTGGCAGCTTTTCCAGGAGAGGGGGTGTGGAGGAAGGAATACCGTGGTGGGATACCGACAAGAACATGTACCGTCCCCCATGATAGCTGAAGGATGGCCGACACCAGCCAAGGTCTACGGATCCCAGTCGACGAAGTTGCGCGTCTCCCAGTCGTTGTCGCTGTTAGAACATTACTGGGAAGGCAACACACTGAGGCTTCACCACTAGAAGCGTGGCGCCCTTGGGGCGGACCCATCGTACCAGTAAGCCTACTACGTAGTATGAGCCAGCAAGGGCAAGGAGTCGAGCAGGACAAGAAAAGCCACCAGTCCCAGATGCTCGTCTGGAAGACTTGCGTGGCGCAGGCTGCGGTCGAAATTGACCAGGCGCCGCTGTCCCCACTAAGCCGTTGACCAGTGCCATGAGGATACCAGCTCCTCCTTCATCATCCCATTTCCTTCTGCCCACAATAATGAGATGCAGACGACTCGGATGATGAGCAAGTGAGCCAGTCGGAATGCACTGCGTACGTTCCTACATTGTGGCATTTGCAGCCATCCTAGCTTCGTCCACCTGGCGGGTTGGTTTGATCAAACTGAACGCATCGACCTGGCCAGGATTGACTTTGACCGGTGGTACCAACTTGTCGGCGGCGCTTTCGAGGGCCCCAAGCTGCTGCGTGGGAGTCGCCCCTCTTGACACCTCCACGAATTTCTCCGAACCGGAGGTGTCGTGATGGCCAAAGTTTAAAATGGAACAAAGCTTTTGAGTAAGCTGTGGCCACGACTTACAAAGAATGGGAGCATGCTGAGGTAATCTTGCCGCTGTGCTGTTGATCATTCAGGCTGCATGGCGTACTGAGCTATGGCTGATCATGAATTTTGTCGTTTGCTCACAAGGTTTCATTTCGGAAGCTTCGCTTTGCAGGCCTTGTAGTACAACGACTCCGGTGGGAAGATTATGATATAGCTGTCCCTGGTCTTATCATGGGCCGTTTACTGCCCAGGGAGCGGCAGTAATATGGTCGGCCTGGGCGTACGCAAGCGCTCGAAGTGGTGCAGCAAATGCGCATGGAGGAGGCCATTGTAGCGGCAGGCCGCTATTAAACTCTGTATTTTATTACGCGGATCTGCGTTTCTCCTATCGCCCTTCCTGGCGAGGTCCAACGGTCCACCTGATTTGATGGCGTAATGCCCAACGCCCAGCGCCTCTACTACGGAGGAGGGTGGGTGATAGGATGGGATGGGGTGTTTGGTGCCAAGTCTTTTCATGGGAAAACCACTGTCACACTTCAAAGCTGCGGGTTCATGGTCGCTTTTGACCAGTTGAGGAAGCTGGAACAATAGCATGGTTCCACACCGAAGGGTTCGCCAGCAAAGATCAGACGGATGGGAAGCGGAGTAAGACAATGCAGGTAGACAAAGAACAGAATGGAATACGCCTCCTGCGGTAGCGGGTCAGCCCAAGAGGGCATGATGATGGGGAAATCAGCAAGATCATGAGCAGATGGTGAAGTCAGAGGAATAGCTTGGCCAAGTGTCAGTTAGGCTAGCGCCGTCAGTGCGGTAAGATGGTGATGAGGCCAGAACCTTCGTCGAAGGCCCGAGGAAGGGTTCGGTTGGGTGTCATGGCGTTATGGCTCTGGCCAAAATTCAACAGCCTCCAAGCCTCACTCCACGCACATTTCCATCCGAGATTTTGATGTGCTCTCACGCAAGGTGCCTTGGAACGCACCCAAGCGCGCTGGCTTGCCAGTTTGGTCCTTGAAGAGATTGATCAGAGCCCACCTGCCGACCAGGTCATGGCTAACTAAGTTGGCGAATTTCATTGCTTTACTACTTGGAATCGGCGGGGCGGGTTGACGGTGAAAGATGCAGCGTGTTATTGTGTCGTGCCATGGGGGTGGTCCCCGATGAACGGCACCTTTACACGAGGTCTTCGCCGATGCAGCCTGCGGGTTGAGTTCTCTCGGAAGTGTTGGAGAAGGCTTTGAGGGACTGCAAAGTACACTAGTAGTGTACCCGCAAGTGAAGTGTCCAAGGATAGGGATTCCACGGCAGACCCTGTCTGAACATCCAGAGCAGACAAGACCCAGAAGTGGCCCAGCTCCAATTCCCATGCGAGCGGCACCCACATTGACTGGTGGCCCTAGCAACCAGGCTAGAGGAAAGGCCCCTTGAGCCTTGGGACCTGAGCAGCAGCAGCAACATCAGAAGTGCCAAAGTGAGAGGGGAAGGAAGTGGGAACCGGCTGCTGGGACTGGCAACAGTGGTGGTAAGGCATGTAAGGTACCTAGAGGGGCACAGGAAGAGGGCCAAGGTATATTGGTCTTTGATAGCTTGGCTTATGGATGTGGATGATGGTCAGGAACGGTACCTTGGCTAGGTGGATTGGATTGTGGGAAGTCCAGATGCACAGAGGGGCTTGGTATGGGCCGGAAATGTCATTTGACATACTCCGTAGAGGAATTAGTACTTCGGCTTTGCTTGTTGGTTTATGGGTGAGGGGAGCGGCACTGCATGAGGTGAGGTGCGTTATCACATCTTTACTAGTAGATGCACCGCAGCGGGGTACGTACTTTCCTTCGAAGGGGATGTAGGGATGATTGCAGGAGGATGGAGTAATGATGAGCATTCGTCTTTTGCGGCTATTGCTGGTGGTGGTGGTGGTGCTGGGGCTCGTGCCTGAGCTTGAACAGGAGCTGGAGCTGGAGCTGGAGCTGGAGCTAGAGAGAAGGTGTTTTTATGTGACCTCAGGCAGATTGCAAGGGGATGATGTAGCGAAAGGATCCAACGCCAACACGTCCAAGATGTCGAAAAGAATGAGCTGCATGCAGAAAGAGATGGGGAAGAAGGCGCTACTGCCTCGTTCTCACTCTGTTGCTGCTCCAGCTACTAGTACTAGTAGCTGCTGGTGCTGCGTGAACCCCATGTCCAAAACCTGGGAGCCAGCAGAGTAGATTGGCAGGTTGAGATTCCTAGTCTAGCGCTAAAAGGATAGCCTAGGTAATTGTGCCTTAGCCAGCTGGGTCCTCTAGTCCTTAGCTTTTAGTGCGAAGTTGGGTCTTCGAGTCCTGGACTTCGTCTACTGCAGGTCGTAGTGGTGTGGACGGCACTAGCTGATGGAGAAAAGACCAGGGTAGTTACGAGCGAGCCTGTCATGATAAGGTAAGCGGAAGGTGGGTCGCCACCACAAAGCACTCATGGCTGGCACCGCGGTACCTGACCGCGGTACCACGGCAGATACCGTACCTCCGTCCCTGTCCTTTGCCCTTGTCCGCCCTTGTCTGCTATTACCAGCTTTGCCTACCTTAGCCAACCACCCTGCTGCCTTTTTGTTCCTCGCACCCATGCAAACCAATGGCGCGGCATCGCATGGCACCAGGAGCTGGGAGACGCCATTAGGACATCTCGGGCTATCTCAGTGCTAGACAGAGTCAAGATGAGGGGAATATTAACCCTTACCGACCTGACGGCCTCCTCAACACTTTTTGGGGGTGTTTTAACCCCGGAGATCGAGGGATAGGGCGGGTACAGCAGGAGCTAAGGTGGTAGTAGGAGGCGGTCTGCCGGTTCCATCACAAGCTCAACACCAGCGCTCCCACTGGCGCCGGCACGTTCCCTGATTCTCAAGCTAGAAGCCGCAGAAGAAACGGCCACCCCATCTTTCCTCCCGATGGCTACATCTTGTCCCGCTTATTGGTGCCACGCTGGGGTGTACTCAAAGCCTGAGAGGCTTGTCGGCATCTGACGCGCGGGGGGGTTTCGTCCCTGGCTTTAGGTAATGTAAGTAAGGTGTGGTACGTTCCTGCTCAGAGATGACGCTGCTTTACTGCTTTATACGCACCGTTGAAATGTTCACTAATGAGACGGCCACATGATGGAGAAAGGCAACACTCAAAACATGCTGGCCATCTGCTTGCCCAAAGCTGGCCTGCCAACTCTTACGGATATATTGCACTGCAATCTTTGTGTAGCTGAGCAACTCCAAGCACTGTACGGTGCCCAGAACAGGGCGGTCTGGAGCCGACAGAGCGGATATCTGAGCAGAGCTTCTGCTTTAAGGACCCTCGTCTGCCCTCCACCTTCCACCTCCCCGTCGTGGGCGGACGGGGTCGGTGGACACTGGTTCTCGAAGCATTCGCGCTCAACACTGGACGTTGAGCCTGCTCAGACCCCGTCCATCAGGCCAGGATCAAATGGAGAGGGGCGCGCCCTGAGGGCAAGCCTCAGGTAACGCCTCCGTATCCGTTCTCTTCATGTCCTTTCCTGGAGTTCCAGGACCTGCCAGCCTCCACGCCTCCAGGAGAGGACAGGAGCTCCAAGACCCAAAGCCAAGATCAGGTACCCAGTTGAATCAAGCAGACAGACTTGGTGGACTTGCCCTACTGGGCAGGGCACGAGGGCAGGCAAGCAAGGTAGCCTAATGGCAGCGGACGGGTATGCCTACGCATACCTTGTATGACAACCCGCCTGCCTGGTTTGCGCTACGGATACTCTGATATTCGTTACGGAGCACATCGCTCACTAGTGTCTAACGCGCTGGAGAATGTGCGGATCGTCTGGTCATTGTCGATGTGGTTGCTTAGTAGCTCTCCCGTCTCCTGCGTCGAGGCCGCCAACCTTGGCCAAAGTAATATGCTGCATCCCCACGCAAAGCTAGCCAGGTGTTTATTGACGAGGATGTACCTCAGAGCTCAGGCAGCTTGTCTCATCTTGGGAGCAACGCCTCGGTCCGCAAAAAGGCATGGCTTGGGAATTGATATCAATATTGAGTGAGCATGGCCACTCGTTGTGATGACATGGGATGTTGGCGACTCTGCGCCTTTTTCCCTTCTTTTTTTTTTTTTTCTCCCCTTGCCTTTCTTCATACCACGCCCCTGGACTAACCTTAGTCCAACCCTGCCTCTTGCCATGCATTTGTTAACCTTTTCTCTTTCTTTGGCTCCTTTTTTTATCTCATACTTATTTTTGGCAGGCCTGGTGATATTGCACTTGCTGTTTTGAGAGAAAAGATAGGGTCAGCCAATTGTAGATTGGGCTGGATTGGGAAGCAGAACAGGTGGTACACGTACAGTACATCCTGGATGTGGGGCAACACTGTATTCGTGACACGGCCCTGCCAAAAATATGACGACGAGACGGGACTATTCCTCCTGTCTGTACGGCGAGACTCAGAGCTTTGTACAGTGCATGTTATTAACACGCGTACTTGATACTTTACATTGTACACCTTTTCTGTGGCCCTCTGTGTGCCAAACTTTGAGCAACTTTACCTGAGGCGGCCTGGCAGGTCAGTGTGGCCGGGGAGGGTTCTTACCAGCGCACTGGTCGCACCACTCACACACACATACGCACACAATCAGTCAGTTGATGAGCATTTTGGTTTAGTCTTTATTTCTGACACACGTCGTGTACCTGGTGGCAGCGGCAGCGCCGTTCTCCCAACGTACTCAATCAGCACTGACTGGCTGGATCCTGACTCGGCTTTGCCTGTCAGCACGACTGGCAAAGCCGTGGGGGGGCTACGGTGGTGGCCGGATTCGCCGCCGTGGTCAATGCCTTCTTCGTTCCATATCCATGAGCGGGTTGCCACAGCTTTGACTCTTACCTGCTGAGTTCTTTACCACTGCAATAAACACCATTTCCATCCGTACATTACCTTACCCTTACCCTCGCCCTCACCCACACCACCAAGCCTCATCTTAATCACCGTACCTTGCGTGTTCATGTGCGCAGTGTTGTATGCACTTATTACCTACAGATATGTGTAGTGGTGGCCTTTGCACTTGCCTGGGGGTTTCCTTTTATTGAGTTTGGGTATTATTGGTTGCTTGGCTCCTTTTGTGTGTGTGTGTGTGCGTGGGATGGAATTGCCTCGCTGCAAGTTACTTGGGTGCCTACCACATATGGGCATTCAATATACAGTGCTTTACATTAGTCGCTACGTCAGCCATGTATCCGGTATTGGGAAAAGGATGGTCCTCAACTGGACGACTCGACGGTCTTTCTACAAAGCACTTCCTTGCCAACCGTCGAGCATCGACCCCCGTCTTACCGGTCTGGTCCAAGTAGAAACAGGAGACATTGCATCTCTTGTCTTCGCCCTCACTCTCCCTTTTCCTGCCGTCTGTGTGTCTGTTATCCATCCCTTCCGACGTCTCGTCTTGCCTCTTCTCTGACTAGGCACCACCCATTTCAAGTCACCTGCCCTCTGCTACGGAGGGACACAGACTCAAGGACCTTTTCTTCTTCTTCTTCTTCTTCTTCTTCTTCTTCTTCTTCTTCTTCTTCTTCTTCTTCTTCTTCTTCTTCTTCTTCTTCTTCTCTTGTCCCTGTGCCAGGCATAGGCGAGCTTCTTTCTCATCTCTGGCCACTTTTCATGGGCCGGGTGCAATTTCATATTCATCATCAAGAACCAATACACAGGTCCTAACCCGGCAAATGAGGAGGACACAGAGGCATTCATTAGTTGGGTGAGACTCGAGAGTCCTCGTACCCCCGGCCGGCCCTTCATCTCTCTGTTAGATCTGGTCTGCGACAGGGCTGTTTAGCCTCTCCTCTTGCTAGTCCCGTTGCTCGGCTTCTCTGCTCTGCCCTGTCTGGTGGTTTTATCGTCTGGCCAGTCCCTCCCCAGGGTGTGCTACATTACTGATTGGTGAGGTGCTGAGAGGACCAACCAGTGCGTCTGGCTGGAGGGAAGGCAAAAGGAGTAAAAATAAAAATACATAGAAAGAAATATACATGGGTACTTGGGAGGCGCTGTCTGTCTTGCGCTGGCAACTGCGCTGCCCTACCTGCTCTTACCCTGCTTCCCCTAGCCCTGCCCTGTGCTGCTTGCTGTACGGATACAGCCTACTCACTGTGGGCTCCTCGTCTCCTTCCACCATCTTGCGCTGCCGCTCACGCCGTCGCCGCATTGCGCGACCTCCCACCCTTAATCCACACCCACATCCACATCCGCATCCACACCCACACACTTGCTCTCTCATTACCCACTCCACACATGTCGGAGTTCTCGTCTCCAACACCCTACGAGTACGCTACCTTACACCATACCAGCCGCAGTCTACCTCAACTGCCTTGCCTTACACACCTTCTTATTCTCTCACTCTCTCTCTCTCTTACCATCCTCGTTGCTCTCAGAGCCCTGTCCTTCCTGCACCTGCAACCCTGGACCGTTCCTCCATCTCCTCATCATCCTCCTCTCTGCCTCCCCTCCCCTCTTATCCGCCCCCCTCCCCTCCCCTCCAGGTTCCTCCTCCTCACCACCACAGCACTGTCCAGCCTACCTTGCCTACTCAGGCAGCCCTGGTCTGGGTCCTGGCTCCCCATCGACTCCTGGTCGCATCCATCATCGAACATCGGTCCCCTTAGGGCCCCGGCAGCACAAGCAGCGCAGTGATATGACCCTGCCCTGCCCTGCCTGTGTACCTAGCCCAGATCTTGTTCCCTACCCCGGTCGCTCCTCCCCGTCCAAGGTCTACCCACGTCAACCCTTCACGCCTCTCGCCGGGACCTGTCGTCCATTCATAATAAGGCTTGACCCTCTCCCGCGTACCCCCCTCACCCTCACCCACCAATCCGGACACCTGCCTACCAGCGCGCTCCAAAGAGAAATTCGAGACACAACTCCCCTCTGGCTGCTTCCTTTTCCTTAACAACCTCTTCCTTTCTGCAACCTTTCCATAACTTGAAAGCTTTGTTTTGGCCCGTCTCCAACAATTTTGAAAGAGAGATAGGATTTCACTATAAGAGTGAGAAAGAGTGCCACCGCATGCGCGCTCAGGTCGGGACAGTCGGCTCTCCAACTACCTTACAACAACGACGGACTTGGATGTAACCGCTTCTTTGTTTCCGCTCCGCTCTTCGTCCGAGGCTACGTCCTCCATCTTAGCTCACCACCTCCAACAACACCGACTTTGCCACGTCCGATTTCGAAATGTCCAACGATCCCTCGGTGAGGCGCATCTTGCCTCAGAGCTCCCAGATGGGTAGCTTCTCGTTTGCGCCCCAGCAGTATCCCCAAAGGGAAACCCAAAAGAGTGCGCCATCTATCTCCACCGCCTCGGCCTCTGGACCGTCCATGTTTACTTGTCTAATCAATCTCTGCTTCTGTAGACTATGTTTTTGTGGATGAACACAATCGCCATAAACGATTGAAGGGTATGCTTACATTCTCGCGCAGTCTTACCGCTGCAATCTTACTTACACTGGTGAACTCTAGTTATGAGGGCCTGTGAAGGATGCAGAAGACGAAAGATCAAATGCGATGCTGCCACGACCAACACCTGGCCATGCTCAGCCTGTATCAGACTGAAGCTTCATTGTGTTCGCCCCAATGGCCAGTACGACGGAACATCTACCGACGGCACCGGCTATGAGTCCCAGAGGGACGAGTTTGCCGCCGCATCCTCTCAACTTCAAGACAGCTTTCGCCAGCAAGCTCCCATGCAGCAACAATCAATCATGGCAAGTGGCCAAAAGCCTGGCCCTTCCATGTACGCCACTCAAGGCGCATATTCAGATCACAATGTCTTTCCCCCGGTGCCTTATTCTGATCAGTCGTCAAGCCAGCACAACATCCATTACACCACCGTTGCCCCCTCTGTCGGTATGATGGACCAGTCCTACGCCAGTCAGAATGTGTTCCCGACACCGCCCCTTCAGCAAAGTTCACGACCCGATTCACCCCCTGACACCTACTCCCAAGACGGCTCCTACCAGCAAGCCGACCTTGCCGATCTCTTGGGCTCCTTGAAAGTCAATGAAGCAGGCACAGGTAGGCGATTTGCCAGCCACTCCTCGTTCGCGACAACTAACTGGTTTCCATAGCGCCGTATTTGAGGAATAAAGCCTCGTTCAGACATGAAGAAGAACCAGCCGTGGAAGAAGCCGATGACTACAAAGAAATGCTTCCACCGTTGCCATCTGGTCCTGGTCTCAAGATTCGCATCCCCCCTGAGCTGATGCCGGATGACGACACTGCTATGCACTACTTCGAGCTATTCTTCAGTCACGTGCATCCCTACGTTCCTGTTCTTAGCAAGCCCATGTTTTACCATCAGTGGAACACCAACAGGCATGCGATGTCTCCTCTGATTCTTGAGGCTATCTTTGCCATCGGCGGGAGACTTGCCGACGACCCTGCTCAAGGACAGCAATGGCTTGCCTTGGCTTCAAGTACGATGCCGCTCAACACACCCCTCTTCTATGGAGACGTTCTAACATCATGCAGAACACGCAGATTCCTTCATGGATGTCCCAAGACTGAGCACTCTCCAGGCTTTGCTACTTATTCTCAAGGCGAGAGAAGCGGCACCAAAGCGTGGCTACTACTACAGGTCATGGATGACGATTGTTCAGTGTGTGCAGATGGGCAAGGACCTTGGCTTAGACGAGCACTATACCGATCACCAGGCAGGACGTCCTTGCGGCTCTAATCCAACGGAATGCCAGATGAAGAGCAGGATCTGGCAATCTATCTTCGTTGGCGAAGTCATGATTGGCTCTCCCCAAGGTTTGTCCAAATATACTGGTAACCAAGGATTTGTTTTGCTAACTAATGCAGGGCGATATGATCTTGCCGTCGAGCTGGATACCATCGATTTCAGCGTTCCGCGCCCAATTCAAGGTGGTGACGATTCCGAGTATCATATTACGCGAAATTTCACGTACTTCGCACGAATCGTCCGCAACGTCAGTCGGATGAACACCACTTACGGGCACCTCAAGAAGAAGAAGACCAAGGACTGGGGAGTAGATCCGGAATTTGTGCAGCTCAATCCCGCTTTGAATGCATGGTTGAACGACCTTCCTGCGGATTTGTCGGTCACCTTCCCTCCGGATGGCTCTCCTCCGTGGCTTTCGTCGCCGTACATCGGAAACCTTCATTCCTACTACTACCTGACCCTGATTCTTCTACATCGGCCACAGCTCAATTTCCTTGACCCCAACGGAGTTGACGGCCAATGGAAGCAACACATGATGATTTGTTACTCGGCAGCCAAGGCCCTGTGCCGACTTCAGGAGGCCGTGTTGAATAACTTCGGATTTCCCGGTCTACAGTGCATGCTTCGTGGTTTCAGTTTCACTGTCTACTGCGGACTGTGCTGTATCGTTCTCCATCTGGTGGGTTGGCGTCTAGTATATTCTTATTGGCCGGCATACTAACGTTGTGAAACTATAGGTGGCTGTAGTCTCACCAGATCCGGACTTGAACACCGACGCGCGCGAGTACTTTGCTCGACATATGCGGGTTCTCGAAAAGGTCATGTCGGTATGGCCGATGACGGATCTTCAGAAGCAAGTGGATGCAGTGCGAGAAGCATTTTCTGCTGACATCAGGAAACCTTTCGTGCTCAAGCCGAGCTTTCCCTACGGCAGTCCTCAGTCATCCACCCACTCCAGTCCTCCTCGTGGCTACAGACCGGGCATGGCTCGCACTGCCTCTCTAGACCACCAGTTGGACACACAAAACCTTCAACACTCCCAAGTCAGTTATACCAGCCACCCCATCACACCTCCTATTTCTGCCGGGCCTGTGGATACCAAGAGTGACTCGCCTGCTATACAGTCGCTCGTCATGATGGCGAATCAAGGATCCCAAGCACCGGGGATGCCGCAGACCATGTCGCTGGCGGAACAGCAGGGCTGGAATCCGAATCGTATTTTTGAGTAAGTCATGGATGCCTCTTTTCGGAGACGCAATGGCTAACAATGAACAAGGCAATGGAACACGTCTTTTGGTACGCCTCAGGTCCAACCACAGCCTTCGACGCTGCCTCCCCAGTCCAATTCGCTTAGTGTTTCTCCGTCTTCAGGTGCACCCGAAGCCCCGTCTCTTCAAGACATACAAGCAGTAAATGCCACCCTGCCAGTGGCTTCTCAGCAGATGGCGCCGCAGTACTCGGCTGCTCCGGTGCAGCCATTCATCTCGCCAGCTATGTGGCAAGAGTCCGTAGCGAGTGTATACGAAGGCGGCCTCAAGCGGGGCTGGGATTACGATGGTGGTGGTCCCATGATGAAGCGGCGATGAGCTGTTTGATTGCGCTCCCGCGTGACATTTCTTGATGTTATTGATGGCGACGATCTTAGTCGAGGTTGGGTTTGGTAAAGCGATGGTGGTCTACGGTTTATACAGCAAATATTTTTCTTTTGGAAGCCAGTGGGAAGGGTCTGGATGCAACACCACATCAGCTCGCGTTCTCGGCACCGGCGATTTACACGTACATAATTTCGACATTCGGTTCTCAGGGTCCTTGTTCACCTCATATACGGTTTATTCTCGCGACGAATATATGTACACGATTACGACGAAAACAAGGGTGGGAAACACAGTTGGAGATCTATGTCGGACGCGGGCGTCATTCTTGCCTTTGGAACACATAGCCCTGGATCTGAATAATGGCTTTCAACGGGCGTTCTCGGACGGGTACATGGGAGGAAAAGCCAGCAGAGGCGGTGTCCTGGCCTACATGCAGGACTGTATTATTATTTGGCGTTTCCTCAAAAAATGGAGCCATTAACGCGGCTCAGCCTAGCTCGGCGTACGGACAGCGTGCACCTTGACGTTGCGAACGAGAGAGCACCAATGTTTTGTTTACCAGCTATGTTGCGAGGCCTCAGAAGCTACCTGTACGATGGAGGGGGAAGAGGATACTTTGTTAGTTGCATTGATTGGGCCGACCAATATGGACATGATACCACCTTTTTTTTTTTTTTTTTTTTGCACGCTCATCCTTTCAACAAATGACACACACACACACAGTGACTACCCAAGGAGACCGCAGGTGACGAAGAAGTGAGCGCAAACTTTACTTGTGCCAACCAACGGCATTCAGGGGTTGACAGCAAACGCTCTCTAGAAATACACCCTCCAAGTTCCCTAAACGGCAGCAGGATCTGGGAAGGAGATGGCTCAATTGGTTGCGACATCTGAAACAGGCAAGTCCCATGGTTCGTTCCGTCGCGAATTTAGATTTGCATAAATAGATGGTCTCGACCTCAGTCGAGCACAGTGGCACGGCACTGGTTTGATTCCTCCCAACCTTGCCAAAGGTGTGCCCGCTCAGTACATCGATAAGGCAAACTTTCTATCCCAGCTGGGGGTTCTTTGGTATAAAACCCAACGTATACTCGGCTTGGCAGGGTTAAGCACCTGTCCTCCATGGCAGCATTCCTCTCTTGTCTGCCGGGAGGGTGGCAAAGAAACAATGACGACGACGAAGATGCTGGTAACGCGTTACGCGGGTTGAAATGCAAGGGCGCCGGCACGGAAGCCGGGAGTCGGATGTCGGATTTTCGGAAGCTGGGTGGTGGTAGCTTGTGGAAGCCAGGTAGCCAACCTACGAAATGCATTGGGAGCACCACGGTGGCGGGTTCCAACGAGGTACCGAAGCAAAGCACAACTCTCGCTACAAAGGTGTGGGTGCGGGCACGATGGATGGAAGGGAGCTCGTAGCTGTTTAGCCCCGATGTTGCATATCTCTATTCCCCTGAGCTGGGGCTGGCGTCGAAACAGAAGCGCCAAGAACTACACAGTACAATGGTCAAATCATCAATCGCAGGACAATGGACAAACGATCGGATAGGAATTGAGCCATGCTGTATGTGATCTGGCATGGATATCCTGTTCCATTGTCCCAGACAAGGGCCAGGTAGGTTTTTCAATGTCCCATACGTACCAAGGGTAAAGACTCGCAAACCACGAATCTACTGTGTGTGGTGGTTTTAAAGTTTGAGATTGCACATGGTTCTTCCGCTGGTAACGGGCATCCTTCGCTGCAACGTCAGACCCGGGTTCCCGTACCACCGGTATAGTACGTGCGCCACGGGACGAAGAGTGCCGTGAGTGAGCGTCGCTTATGGTAGGTGAATTTTCAGTACGTAGGCAATACAGGCCTTGCTCAGTGAGGCGCTTGAGGCAGCCTATTTGGCAATTCATCAGATCTTGGGCGGGGGGCAGGCTGTGAAGGCCTTCCCCGCTCTCCTTACAACGAGGTTCGGCGTGACCGACAGAGGCGGGTGTTGTAAGGAAGGCTCGCCTACATGTTTCTGTTCCCAGCAACCAGGACGGTTACAACATTGTACAACGCACCCCTCCCGGCTCCGCCTTCCGACCCCGCGCGCGCACATACCTTTCTCTCTTTTCTTTTCTTTTCTTTATTTTTACCTCTCATCTTTTCACCCTGTCTTTCTTTTCCCCGTTTCTCCTTGTTTGGGGTTACGGGGGTGGACAGTGTTTGGTTTCGGTCAATGTCCATGGGTATACACTGAAAGATGGGATGAGACAGGATTTTGCTTGGCGGGGAGGAGACGCGGCGGCGGCGGCGATGGCCGAGGAGTGGACGACCTTTCTCTATACTGTGTGCATCGCTTTCCCTCTTGCATTGCTACGCCATACTACATAGCATATGCACATATGTCGCGGCGGCTGTGGACAGATACTTGAATGGGGCTGGAAGAGCCACAAGTCAGTTGAACAGGGAAGAGACTTGTCAATTAAAGTAGGACGAACGACTTGTTTGTGGCCCAAAACAGAAGCGGTCCATTATGGATATTAAAAGTCATGATTCAAGCTGGCCGTGGGCCCCCCGCCTCTTTCCCGGGCTGAAAGTCAGCCGCGGAAAGAAACCGCCAAAATAGATCCCGGGTTTTTTACGGCTTATCCGACTCACACCTCTAGACCGTGGCGACTTCTTCTTTTTTTTTTTTTTTTTTTTTACCCCCCTTTTCCCGGCAACGGACTAGCGCCCGTTTGGGGTGTATGAGTTTGGTAATAATACACTGAGAAAGAGTAACACTTTCTCTCGAAATGGGTTGGCGATATTGGCGTTTTGCCGCCATCTGCCCATTGCATACGACTATGGAGGCAAGGCGGCGGGACAACTCCGGGTTTGTCATGGCACGCTTCTCTCCTCGATACCCATCAGACACACAATCCATTTCCCACCTTGTTTCTCTCTTACCATCCCCGCTTTAATATACATTCAGAATTCGTCATTTATTGCTTACGCTTACCCAGCAGTGGATGAATGATGTCGTAAACCCAGCTGTCCTTGGCGGTGTTCTTGAAACCGCTCTTGCCGTGGGAGCCAGCCCCAGTTTGGAGCATGAACTGGCTGACGGGGCGGTAGTGGTACCACTTCTTCCGGGCCATGAGATCCGAGACGTCGCGAGTGTGCGTGACGAGGTTGCCGCGCGACTTGAGGAACCCGGCGTCCTTGGGCAGGGGGCGGAGATCACCGGCCGAGACGAGTGTCGCCCGCGGACGGGCAGCCAAGCCTAGTGTGCCGACCTCAAGTTGTGCCGCCGGCGGGAGGGCGCGGACGTAACGTTCCAGAAGGGCCCGGGATTGCCGCGCGTAGGGAGGTAGGCGGAGGAAGACGTGGGTTACGAAGGGTGCAGAGAAGTAAGCCACGTAGAGGAGGGGGGTCACGGCACATCCGGCTAAGATGCTCTTCTGTTAGTTCAAGCTGTCCGACATGAGATCATGGAGGGTGAGGTCAAGGAAGACGACATCGAGCGAGTGGGCAGTGAGAGGGGATATCGCGTGAAGAAGGTTGAGAGGTAGGCAAAGGAGTTAGGTAGACTTGCATGCCATGGCAATCTGGGCCGCAGACATCTCGTTGCGATACATGGCGGGTTCCATCACAAGGACGAAGACGGCGGCCACGAAGATGGTGGTGATTTTGAGCCCGGCTACGAACCCTATCTTGCCTCTGCCGGCGTGGTAGATGAGCAGCTTCTCAGGCAACAGCTGTTCTGGAGAGTCGCCCAGGAGGTCAGTATTCTTTGTGTGAACAAGTGGCCGCTAGGGACGAACTTACGGGTGCTCCGGGCAGGCGAGGTTCCGGAGCCTGCGGCCGGCCCTGACGCGGCGGACTTTGACACAGCCGCTCCCGGGCCCTTGGTGCCGCCGGGTGCCGAGGCAAAGGACCGTCTAAGACTATGCTGCGGCAAAGATTTTTGAAGGAGCTGTGGTCGGAGCGTGCATGGTTGCGGGATGGGAAGAATACGGGCTGGCAATATAGGAGACCGTATGAGAACGAGTCTAAGGAAAGACATCGTGAGGGCTCCTCGTAGGGCCGGGAGAGTGAGAGAGGGAGAGGAGGGGATTGGATGGTTATGAGGTGAAGTTGAAGATTGAATGAGATGAACTGCCGCAGATGAGGTCACAGCGCCCTGCCGCTGCCGCTGCCACTGCCGCTGCACTTTTTTTTTTTTTTTTTTTTTTTTTGGTACGCGACGCGACTGAATAAGCCGATCACCATGGTCTCAAGTAGGATTTGTGTCACCTTCATCTACAGCGCTCGATAACATTTCTTTCGGCATTTTGTAAGACATTAATTCTCTTGATGTATTCATTAAGCGACGTTGAAAATTCGATTGAGTGCCTGCGGCTTGTTGGTGGCTCTCGAGTCCTGTATAGCAGCCGACCAGACTGCTTGCCACTGAGCTTAGACCACTAACATCTAGTTCAGAGCCGCTGCTTCGGGCTTGCAGCCCGTTGGTCCTCAAGTCAGACAACGTTCTGCTGCAGCCACTCCTTCCACTGCTCCAACGTCCAGCTCGAGCTGATCGCATTGTTGGGGTATCCGTCGAAAAGCACCGTAGGGCTGACGTGCACGCCCGTCAACCGCGCAAGCTTGATGAGCACCTTGAAGTCGTTCGTCACGCCGTTACCGCTGTTAAGCGAGCCATCTTCGCTGGGCTTGTCCGAGACGACCAGCAGATCGTACACCTTCTTCTCGTCGACCCCGACAGAGCCGGCCAATTTGGCGAGGCGCTTGTAGGTGTCGTTGCGCGTCTCGTTGACGACGTTGACGTCGAAATATTCCTTCTGTGCCTTGAACAGTGCGTCGCTGTACTCCCAGAACTTCTCAGGGGCGACCTTGATGACGGCAACGGCAGACTCGTGGACCAGCGTGCTGGAAGGGTGCCATGGCTGCACCTGCTGGCGAAAGATGACCTCGACGTTGGAGGCCCAGGCTGGGTTGGAACGAATGGCGGGAACGACTTGATGATAGAAGGTGTTAAACTGTTTTGCGGAGAAAGGGCAGACGTAATCGAGGTAGATCTCAATAGTGTGCGGCTGGGCTGGGACGCCGCCGAAAGGAGTGCCGTCGGCGAGAGCCTTGGGCGGCGCAAAAGTGAGCTTGTGGGCGGCGAACTTGGGCGGGACGGCCATTTTAGTTGTGGTCTGATGGAAGGGGGACGGGCGGGTTGTGCTTAAGCGACGATGGATTGGTCGGGCAGCGAGTGTAGATATAAGAGAGAGATAAGGAGATCTATTGACAGCTGCCAGGCGCCGACTCAGATTTAATATGGCGTGCGAGGGGAGCTTCATGGTGCTCTTCTAAATGAGCGGGCACGCCGCAGTCAACTGAGACGGCGATGACGAAAGGGCCCAATTAGAGCTGGCGGGGGCGGGGTAGCTTCCCTTCGATACAAGCTTTCCTTCGAGATTACAAAAGGAACTCTCCAAGCCGTAGTCTCCGAATGATGCAATCTTGATCACAAAAGTGTGCTGACTGAGCAGCAAATGCAGCCCGTCAGCAGCGTCACGTAATCCCCCATGCTTAAGGGTTTCGCAGATGCATTGAAGTATTTGGAATGAGCCCGGTTTGAGAGTTAATAGTCGGTGTAACTCGATGCCCGACTTTGAATTGTACCTGCCGAGCTACCGAGCTCCGGGCCTGCCGCATTGCTCAAGATGCTCAATGCGCCCCACCAGACCGTCCCCGATCACGGCTAGGAGTTAATCTACCAACATGGTTTGTCCATTTTTACACCTTTGCAACTTCACGGCATAACCTGACTGGCAACCAGTGAGTCGACAATACGCTATTCGTTTATTTTTGTTTTTTTCCCTGCATCTATTATCACGCGAGGCAGCATTTACGAAACCGTGTTCTTAGCCACAATACCTCTGGCAAACTCGCCAAAGTTGATGTGTTGCTTCATGTCGACCTCCTCGCCGAGGTTGGGCTGGGTGAAGACGGCCAACGTGTTACGTGCAACACGGCCGTCGCTCACGGCCGCCTTAACGCCCCTTACAAAGTGCGGCACAGCCTTGAACTTCCCGCCCGTGATCCGTTCCAAAGTCTCTCCTGTCTGGAAGGCGATGCAGTCACGCGGGATCTTGACCTGTACAGTCTCTCCAGTGCGTGAGCGGATGTAAAGACCAGCTGTCGGATCGGGGGAAGCTGGGAGCTCAGCCAGTGGCGGCAGGCTTGCCGATGTCTCGTTGGTGATCTCGGGCACCGCTGGTGATGTCTCCTTCTCGTCGATGAACATGGCGGATGTCAAGCCAGTGAGGCAGCCATGGTCGAGGTGCTCGGCGCACCACGAATCGTCTGTGGCACCGATTTTGTCGAGGTCCGCCTGTGTCTGCGGGTAGTAGTGCAGCAGGCGAGCCTTGGTGGTGTTGGACGTGCTGACGACGTGCTCGAGGTATCCCTTCGGGTAGCCCTGAATCTCCGTCTCGGCAAACCTGTCACAGGCGCGCGCGACGAGAACAGCCGTATCAATAATGACCCTGCACAGGCTTTCAAGGCTGGGCTTGAATCCTGGGAGGACGTCCTGAGCCGGCCAAACATTGGGCGACAGATATTCGGGGAAGTTATCCTCGTTGAACTCGGCCGTGGGCTTGGCGCAGTCAAGAGTTGCGTCGACGTAAAATGCGCAATTGGCGTAGTATGAACCCTTAAAAGTATCTACCTGGCCATCCTTGAGAGTCTCTTTGCCCAAAGACCACCCAGTCAGGTATTTGGCCTTGACATTCTCTAGCTTGGCTAATTTTGTGTAAGCGACAGGGGGCCAACCAACAAGGTCTCATTTCGTACCCAATTCTTGTTCTGGCAAGTTGCCCAGATAAGAGGCGTAAGATAAAGTTTGATGTCTCAAGTGAGCAAATTCGGATGGCACGTCCTTAACGACCAAGATTCCCAGAGAGTCAGGACCAAAAGCCTCCTTGAGAGTCTCAAATGGGATGTTGCCTGCGGTGTGTCAACATCACATGTAAGCCACAATCTTTTGGTATTTCTTTTGCGAGGCACTTACCCTCCTTGAGATCGTTCAAGGAAACAGTAACCGGTTGCGCGATTTGAGACATGGTGACTTTGTTAAGCAGAGAAGCACAAAAAATTCTCAGCGTCGAATGAATTCCAAACGAAAGCAACCAGATCGTGGCGGCTCCTCCAAGATACCCTGTGACCACTTGCGGAGTGTAGTATCTGAGGTGGGGGAGGGGCAACGATTAGTTAATTACGTAATCACGACTTTCTCCAACACACGTTCCCCTAGACTGGAGCTCCCCATCAACAGTTTATATCTTGAAGCTTGCAACCAGCACCGGAGCGGAAATCGCCGGAGACCGCCTAAAACCGCCAACAGAACACCCACCTTCCTCATTTGCGCTCCCAATCGAATCAGCAGAACGCGACGAGACCGAAGGAAGGGACGATGGTCAAGCCCTTGACATTCAAGGGTGACAAAAAGCCCAAGAAGAGAAAGCGGACCGAGGTGGAGGCCCAGGACCGCGATGCGCCTTCTTCTGAAGTAGCCCGCACTGGGGCTGCCTCCGCAGCTGGGCAAGATGACGATGCGGAAAACGACGACAGTTGGGTGTCCGCCGACGTGGTGACAGACGTTGTCGGGCCCATCATGTTTGTGTTGCCTACGGAGCCACCCGCCGCCCTTGCATGCGATGCCAATGGCAAGGTCTTTACGTTGGGAATCGAAAATATCGTCGATGGCAACCCGGTGACTGCGGAGCCGCATGACGTGCGGCAAGTCTGGGTTGCAAACAGGATAGCAGGGACAGAGCAATTCAGGTTCAAGGGACATCATGGACAGTGAGTGCTCCCTGGTGTCGATTATCGATGAAGCAATGCTAACGGAATAATAGATACCTTGGATGCGATAAGAACGGCGTGTTGTCGGCGACGTCGGCGGCTGTGTCACCGCTCGAATCTTTCAACATAATCGCTACGGCCGACACTCCGGGTACTTTCCAGATCCAGACGCTACGTGACACCTTTTTGGCGGTCAAGCCCCCGAAGCCCAATGTCACAACATCCGACGTCAGAGGCGACGAAGAATCCATCACTTTCAACACTACATGGCGAATCAGGATGCAGGCAAGGTTCAAACCACGAATCAAGGCGAGTAAGGAAGAAAAGGCCAAGGAGAAGATCAGCCGCAAAGAGCTCGAGGAGGCTGTCGGTCGCAGGCTTGAGGATGACGAGGTTAGGAGGCTGAAAAAGGCAAGGAGGGAGGGAGACTATCACGAGCAGCTGTTGATGCTCAAAGTCAAGGGGAAGCATGACAAGTATGGCTAAGCACCATCAGATCCTTTCCAAGCTGGTGTGACGATGGCGGTGATGATACCCAAGGAGATCACGACTGGCACAAGAAAGAAGAGTTCCGTTCAAGTATTTGGATTTTTGGCCTTTACCATCAGTTGGGTCTCCAGGCCTTGATGTTTCCGTCTTCGCCAGCAGTGAAGACGACCTGCTCGTCGTCATAGAAGCAAAACGAGCGGATGATCTCCTCACCGTGGCCTCCAGGCAGACCGACGCTGTTCGCTCTATCGAATCCCCAGCTGCCCTCATTCGTTCGCGACAGATGCACCAGTTCGAAGACCTGGCGCCTATATAACCTAGTTAGCTAACACAGAAAGACTACAGCAAGGATGATTTGATTACTCACTCTTGCGAACCAACACCGACAATAGCACCGCTGCCATCGACCTTTGTCGTAACGTTGGCAATGTACTGGCAGCCAAGCGTCTCTCTGGCGTCGCCAAAGTCGACAAGAGCAGCTCCGGTTTGGCAATCATCTGCAACGCTGTAGACGGCAAACTTCTCGTCATGCGTCAGTACATAGACCTCGGTGTCGCTAAGGAAAGAGGCGTGGTGAACAGAGCCCTGGTTGAGGGCCTGAATTACGACTTCATCCTCGTCTGAGATGCGCGTGTCGTAGATATTGACAATGCCGTCGGTAGATCCAGAGAGGAGAACGTGCGCTTGGGAAGGGTGGAAGCGAAGCTCTGTCACGTCATCGCTATGAACTTCGTCGTACTGGAGTCTTTGTGTAGGACCGGCTCTGATGTCCCTGTTGTTGTGTCAGAGGTCATGAGTTCCACTGGAACTCACTGACGGAGGACATACCAAAGTAATACGGAAGCAGTGTGGTTCTGTAGTTCCGTTCCGACTGCTATTGTGTTGCTTCTTGCGTCACATGCCAGGGAGAGAATGGGAGCTTGGCTTGCTGTAATGCCGTGTCAGTGACGCTCTCCAAATCAACTCAGTTTATGCATGACTTGGAGGCATACCTCCAAAATGTGCGACTTGTGGTTTTGAGTTCTCCCTTAAATCCCAAACGGAAACCTCGCCGTTTTCACCTGCAGTACAGACGATAGATTCCGATGCATCATATGTCTTCAAGCATGTTAGATTGCCATGGCTCGTCGGAAATGACTTGATCGGACCCTGGCCCAATCGCGCGGGATGGAAGAGGGTGAGCTTCTGATCCGAGGATATGGCGGCTAGGCCAGAGTTGAGACGGTGAAGATCAAGTACATAGACATCGCCCTGGCCACCGACATGGTAACCATCTGTGCAAGTGAGGTTGTACATGATGCGAGTGTAGGCCTTAGGCTTTGGTGAGCAAGGGCCCTGAACATAATGAGCTGAGAGCTAAGAACTCACTGAAAGAGACGAAGACTGAGATTTTGACTAGATAGAACCCAACTCTTCGCGAAAATCTAGGCTTTTAGCAGTCGCCGAGAATCTCACGTTTGTACCCGAGCAGTGCAAAGGCTCAAATTTGCATAACCTGGAAACCAACTCATTTCTGAGGTGCCTCCTCTGTCAATTGGTGAAGGAAATGTGCCGGAGGGGCTCTTTAGTGCAAAGCCCCACCTTATGCAACCCTTCCCGCGCTAGAACTCCCATAAAGCAATACTTCAATCCTGTGTCCAATCAGACCACGACCAGTGCACGAACCCCCAGTCGCCCTGGAGCTCCCAATTCATCTACGTGGACCTTAAACCAGGACAGCTGTTCCTACCACTGCTGTCATCATCGTCCGCCAAACCAACTTCCGCCGGCTTCCGCAAGTAAATCGCCGCGGAATAACATGTCGTGGACCTTTGCGATCGACCTTGGGACATAAAATTCGCAGGATGAGACGCTCTTTCCTTTGGCTTGTCCGTAAGTAACTTGCACTACGCTGAACTCCGGATGTAGCTGTGGAAGCTGACATATAGCCCATTAGTGCTGTTGCAGGCGGCCGTGGTGCTCTGTTCCGATGCGCAAAAAGTCGTGAAGTTTGACAATGAGAACAAACACAAAGAAGGACAAGAAGGTCATGCACACATTCAAACCGATGTAGTTCCAGAGCAGGATGCACCGCCTCCAAGGCAACCCGGTACGGAAAGCGCAATGGTGGGGGATGATATAGTAAGACTGACCTTTATGAGCAGGGGCCGAGTTCGTTGAATCGGCCATGGAGCAGCTGCGGACACTGCCACCGAGAATTTACCCGAGACGCGAACGCAGATACACTCTCTTCTGGACGGTGGCTCGATATGCACTTAAAGCCGTACCTAGCCTTAAAGTCGCCCCGGTCCCGGGAAACACCCAAGCACAGGAGACGAAGGTCAGCGGGCCACTTTTGGAGGCTGTCAAGCTTCTGGAGCAATCTGCCCTCCAGAACAACTCTGATGCGATTTATCTTCTTGCCGACATGAACTTTTACGGCAACTGGTCACATCCCAGAGACTTAAAGGTCGCGTTCGGCCACTACCAGACCCTCGCGACACTCCATGGGAACCGCACGGCACAATACATGGTTGGTCTTTACTATGCAACGGGAATCGGTCATGTCGTCGCCCCCGACCAGGCAAAGGCGTTGCTCTACTACACCTTTGCGGCGATTCAGGGGGACACACGCGCTGAGATGGCAGTTGGCTACCGACATCATAGCGGCATTGCGACACCCAAGAATTGTGAGCTTGCAAGCAAGTACTACAAGAGAGTAGCGGACAAGGCGATACAGTGGTATCGGTCGGGTCCCCCTGGTGGTATGGCGTGGGTGGTCGAGTCGTATCGAATTGCTGACGAACTTGGTGGAGTTTACGGCGAGGGAGCCAGTGCTTCCAGCGCCGGTATGAATGCAATCAGAGTCAGTCCCAACTCAGACGCAAATGCGGCCATCGACGACGTCATCGAATATCTGGACCTCATGTCCCAGAAGGGCGATGCGAAGGCGTCCTATAACCTCGGGCGCATCTATTATGACGGTCAAAGAGGACTGGACAGGGACTTGGACCTGGCCCGGAAGTACTTTTTCACTGTGGCTAAGCGATACTGGAGAAAAGATGGGCGGATCATGGAGAACCACAAGCCCGGTATCGAGAAGACGGCAAGTAAGGCTGCTGGCTTTATTGGCCGGATGTACCTGAGGGGCGACGGAGTCGACCAGAGCTTCGAACAAGCAAAGAGGTGGTTCGAACGCGGCATCTCCCATGGAGATGCTCAGTCGCAGCATGGCCTTGGTCTCATGATGCTGCACGGGTACGGAACGCCAAAGAACATTGCCATGGCTACCGATCTCTTCAAGGCAGCGGCCGAACAGGACTATGCGCCTTCACAGATTGAACTTGGCGTCCTTTACCTTGACCAGGGCGGTGCAGAAGACGTTCGTATCGCAAACAACTACTTCGAGTTGGCGGCTAGATACGGCCAAATTGAAGCCCACTATTATCTTGCTGAGATGGTCTACCACGGTGTTGGCAGAGACAAGACTTGCTCCATGGCCCTGGGGTATTACAAGAATGTCGCTGAAAAGGCTGAACCTTTGGTCTCTCCATGGGCTGAGGCAAATCAGGCATACTACTACGGCGATCATGAACTGGCGTTCTTGGAGTACGTCATGGCCGCAGAGCAGGGTTACGAACGGGCGCAGAACAATGTTGCTTTCATTCTTGACCCGCTGAAGTCGAGCATGCCGTTGCCCGACTGGCTCCCGGTGCCTCAATGGCTTGCACTCAGCCACGCCCGTCCTAGCTTGCTAAATAACCCTACGCTCACCCTTATGTACTGGACTAGATCCTCAAGACAGGCCAACGTAGATTCGCAGGTTAAGATGGGAGACTACTACTTTTACGGTATCGGCTCCGAGCCGGATGTGAACAAGGCCGTTCAGTGCTACACCGGTGCCTCGGATTATTCACAGAGCGCTCAAGCTCTTTGGAATCTGGGATGGATGCACGAGAACGGTATTGGCTTGACACAGGATTTTCATCTGGCCAAGAGGTACTACGATCAAGCTCTGGAAGTCAACGAGGAGGCCTACCTCCCAGTTACCCTCAGCCTACTCAAATTGCGCATGAGAAGCGCATGGAACACTTTCACGCACGGTCCTATTCATTCTATTCAGGACGACCCCAGTAAGCACCTAGCCTTCACCTTCTTGTAACAAAATCTCTTCGGATGATTACTAACACGATAATAGAGCCGAAGAAGGACTGGTCCCTCGGTGAGTGGATCGCCAACTTTCTACAAGACGACCAATTATTGTACGATGACCCTTACTATGAGGACATATTTGATGATACCATCGGGGGCAGCCCTGATGGCAACCCACTTGAGGACGATGGCATTGCCGAGAGCCTCATCATTGTATTCCTTGCCCTCTCCCTCGTTCTTTTGCTGTACTATAGGCAACAAAGACAGCAGCAGCATCGCCGCGAGGAGGAGGCCGGGCAGCGCCAGCAACAACAGCGTCAGCAGGGCCAGGCTGCACCTGCACCTGTGCCGCAACAGGACCAAGGCTTGTTCCCTCAACCAGGAAATCCGGAGTGGAACAACTGGGTTGCTGGCGGCATCGGGCATTGATTGGCATTATACTGCTTGTACGAATACAAACATGATTACCAATAAGAACGCAGAAGACAGTAAAGAGAGAAGTTTAGAGGCGTAAAGAGAGAGGACAGGGGGAGGCAAGCAGTGGAGGAAACAAAGCATATTCAGCGCTGGCGTTTTGGGAAGTCCCGGATGTAGGGCATTGGGCTCTTTGTGTACGGCTACGTTTTGAAAAAAAAAAAAAATTAAGTTTGTGAAAAAGACTCTCGTTGCAACTACTCGTTCTACAGCACGTTCCCTGGCAACAATGTCTGAGACAAAGTTGAGGAAGAAAACAAAAGGTTCCCTAACAAACCGGGAACAAGGACAGACAGTCACTGACATATGTGTAGCTTGATTGGAAGGGCTTCGTTTGCTTTTGGGGCAGTAACTACTACTAGCTTTTCTTTTTCTCGTTAACTGAAGAAATTGGGGCCATGTCGAATATCCCCCGCCAATGGACGCTCCCCTCCTCTTTGCTTCAGACCTTCGCCGCCTGTATTGGAAGAAAGATGTAAAAAGATATCAACAAAAAAATAGAAACTGCCATTGAAAGTTGTGCGTCCCGGCTTGCTGTTCTAGTGGTATCATCTTCTGTGTAATAACCCGCAACGAAAAAGAAACAGCAGAAAGGTATTAGCGACTAATTACTGAAGTGGCTAGATCCGGCCAGGGATCCGAGAAGTCGGACACATCCTTTTAATCTCGAAGATTGAAGACCGGAAGAAAAGGGCGCTTTTTCGTGACGACGACGATGGTGATACAATGTCATCTCAAAAAATAAAATAAGAACAGTCAACTGAAAACAAGTTCATGCATCCTCGAATCGGCCTTTCAATCAATTTAGCGGCGGATAGGGGGAGGAGTTCGAACACCAGGGGCGGTGGAATTCTCCATGTTGCCCGTAAGCTCGGCAACACGCGCCTTGATACGAGCTACACGAGATTCGATTGCTGCGAGTTGTTAGGTTTTGGGTTCTCCATTGTCAGGGGTTCTAATTGACTCACTCTCCTCTCCGCTCGTGTCGTCATCGCCATCAGTGGTCTTGCTGTATCCACCACGGCTCTGCTCCTCGCTCTGTCTCTGGGCCGCACGCTCAGCAGCGTTCTTGCGGATCTGAGCCCACCGATCCTGGGCAAGAGGGCTTCGGGGACCGTCGTCCGGGGATACGGGCGAGGCTTGCGCGGGCGGTTCGGGCGTCTTCGCGTGTCTCGCAATGGGAGGAGGGATTGCGTCCTCAGAGGAATCGTCGGGGACGAACGCGGGTTGATCCTGCAAAGGACCCTGATCGAACCGGGAAAATTCGTGGTTAGCCTCGTTGGCATCCTCGGTATCGACGCGAGAGAGCGATTCATCAACCGACGGCGCGTACTGCGGCTCGTGAGCTTGGGTCTCAACAGGGAATGGCTGAGGCGCCTCCATTGGCGTGGTGTAAGCCTCCGCGGGCGTTGGTGTAGGGAGGTTAGACTCAATGACAGTGGGCTGGGGAACGGGAGACGGAGAAGGCTTTGGCGGCTCAGGAGTTGCTGTATCGCGCTGAAGCATACCGTTCACATCTGCAGCGGCGTTCTCAGGAAGTTTTGAGTTCCGGTTCTTGTTACGACCAAACAGCTTTCGGAGGCCACCACCGCCGGTCTTCTCTTTGTGCAGCTTCTTCTGCTTCTTGTCCGTAGGGTTGGCATCCGGCTCCGGCGAGAACATGTTTTCGCGAGTCTGTTCGTACGAGTCTTTCGGCGGCGGCAACGGCGAATTGCGACCACCCGACTCAAATCTTTCTGCGGGTTGGAGTTCATTCGGGGTTTCTGTACCCCTCTCCGAAGGGGTAAGGGGTGTATCGTTCTGTCGGGGTGATAGAGGAGATGGCGACCGGAAGACTCCCGGAGAGTTTCGATTCAACGGCGAGAGTTGGGATTGTATAGACGGTGATTTGGCAGGGACTTCAGGGCGAAGCTCATCACCATTAGTGTGGCCGTTTGTATACTCGTCGTTACCATTACTTCCATTTCTTTGCATGGTGGAGACCCCAATGCCGCGTCCGGTGGTGTTGTTTGCCAGATAGGCTTCCCGAATAGCTTCCTTGTCGTATTTGTTGGCCCACTTCATTGCCGGAGACGCCTGACGCATGATGTCGGGCTGCAGAGTTAAAACACTGTTTGTCTTCTCCATTGCCGACGCGTCATTACGTCCCCTGCGTGCCTGCAGCAGTTGTTGTTGCTTCAGCTGCTGCTCCTGATACTGGCGAGCTTGAAGTTGTGCGGCAGCGGCCTGGATCCGAGCTTGCTGGTCTGGACCAATACTTGATTTGCTAGTGTTCGGGTCCTCCTTCTTCTTGTCCTTTTCTAAAGCATGCTTGCCAGTCGATTTGCGACGGTTGACACCCTTGTTTCGTCGTGTCCAACTGAAAAAGCCCTTTTTCTCGGCGATGTAGGCGCCTTCCTGAGGCTCAGGAGCAGCTCCCGCCACCATCTCCTCCATGACAAGCCATCGTCCACTTCTAATAGACGTTTCGATCACAGCACAGCGACCAAAGGCAGACTTTCTTTCTGGCGTTTCCTCAGGAGCAAGACTGCTCATCCAGACCCACCAGAAGGCCTCATCCAGGTCGAAACGAGCAATGCTTGCCAACTCGCCAGGTTCCAAACGATCCGACTCTAACCTTGGGTTGTGCGATTGCGAGCTTCGTTGGCGGACAGTTGTTTCAATCGGTGGAAGAACCTTGTCAGGAGGCAGCAACATATTTGGGCTGTGAGGACTGTCATCGACAAAACCAGACGACAAGAAATCAGCCCAAGATGGCGTAGTCGGCCTTCCGAGACCAACGCCACCAGACGCCGGCGTGGTTCTAAGACCTTGCGGCTTACGAGCGGCTGCGGCGGCTTCATCATCGTCCTCATCATCCTCAAGAGCACTGGTGAAACCGATGTCTTCAAACCGTGACCAAGAGGCATCCCTCAAGCTGGTTGAGTGCTTTGAGCTAGAGACTTGCGACTGGTTGGCGGAAGAAATCGCCTTCAAGACACGGCGGCACTCTTCGGTCAACGCCTTCACTGGATCCTCGTACTCGGAAAATTCTCGCAAAGCACGATCCTCTTCGCGATACTGGAAATGATTCGCCCGCCTCAATAGTGCGAAGGGAGTCGGTGAGACTGTGTCGACAATCATAACCACCTTATAGGTAGATGATTGCATCAGAGATGGCTTTTGAGGGGGGTACTCGGTTTCTTGCAGAAGCTTCTGAAGGGACATTGGAAGCATAGAAATGCTGCCCTGCGACGGTTTCTGGGGCGCCAGAGATCGAAGGTATGCGAAGAACAAATGGCTCGTCGCATCGGCGGCGCTACTACTATTAGCCTCAACCATTCGTCTGAGGATTGTTACTCACCTAGCCCAGGATTTATAACCACCCTCGAAGCCACTGCCCGTGTCCTTTTGCTCGAACGCCCACCATGCAGCTGTGCGAGAGAGCTTACGTCCGCCCAGGCCGTTCATTTTACCGTGAGCAGCGATTGCCGATAGGAGATCGAAGAAATCAAAGATAATGCTCGACCGAGCACCATTGTCGACACTGAGGGGGATGAACGTCTTGAAGGAGTCTCTCGCCATATTTGAGTCTAGCAGGCGCATGAGCCACAATTGTGCTTTGTTTGTAGTCGTTGCATTCATGTAACATACCTTGCTCGCCAACCTTGAACAACTCGTACGCATCCCAGCCGACAACACCACCCTGGAGTCGGCTCCAGCACCACTTTACTACGCCTGCAATAACCTTCGACTATGTTAGTATCACCGGGAATAAAACAATTAAATAATCGAAGCACGAACCATAGGCTCAGTCATGCGCAGTTCTTGTGACAAGAACTCGCCTCGAAGAGGTTGGCTGCCATCGAAGAAATGGCGGATGAAAGTACGGACAGCACTAGGGTCCGAGGTAGGACGGAATGGCAGTAGGAGGAAGGGGTGATCCAGCGCTAGAGGTGGAAAAAACATGTCAGTATCCGTGAGTGCGAAAGATCGCAACGATTAGGAAGCATATGAGGAGGTCGTACCTCGTGCTTTGAGCTCCTCTGTGCAACGTCGTATCAGGTCTTGAATTTCCTCCGCCTCGACTGTCTTTCTCGTGTAAGCGTCATCCCATCGTGGCTTCGCGGGTAGCTGATCAGCAGCATCGAGATTCGCGCCCTTCTTCTTTTTCGTCGGACCGTCCTTGCCCTTCAAGCGAGAGAAGAGGCTAGGCATCTTGGCGGTGTGAAACTGCCTTCAAAACGGCGATTCCAACTTGGGGCGAGAGAGAGCACAAGGCATTCGAAGAACGGGCAAAGGTGGAATAGATTGTTGTAACTACCTCGACGAGTAGTAAGGTGCAGGGCGTTTGAGTGTTACAAGCTCGGCTTGCCTTGGTGGGAGAGTGAGTGGTCGCGAAGGCGTCGCGGTATGGGGAAGGTATTGTCAACGAAGGGAAAGGCGCGTTTGTCGCAAGTCAATAGTATGTCGTCGTTAAAACGGTGCCCCACGGAAGCATCCCACTAAGAAATTGCACACAAGGGATAAAGGACTCGAGGGTATCGGGAAGACAGATTTCAGGGTTCAAAGAAACGAAAGGAAGTCTTCAGCAAACGGAAAGCGAGAGGAGGAAAGTGGATAGTAGTAGTGGTGATGAATGTCCAGCTGCTTGGATGAGGACCGAAAGAGAGACAGCTTCACTTTCTCTTTCTTTCAGGGGCGAACGCAAGCGGCGGGCTATTAATTGGAGAAGTGGGAAATGGGACTATTTGGAGGGGGGGTCCCTGGAGGCTTGGCTGCTGCCCAGTGCTTGTCTCTTTTTCTTTTTCTTGTTATTTTTTCCCCTTCCTATTTCCTTTTTTTTTTATAAATTCTTTTTGAACTGTCTCCCCTGTCTATATTTTCTGGGCATAGGTACCTTCTGTGCGACGGTTACGCAGTCGGGTACCTGAAGGAGACCTTGACGAGGCTGCCCAATAAGGAATAGCGGTAATGCAAAGCGCTAGGGGAAACTTCCAGTCCGTGGGTCTTGGGATTCTGTGCTCCGTGCAGTGCAGTGTGGTGTGCAGCGTTCCTTGGAGGCTTGTTGGCGGCGTATGGTAGGCTCGCAAGGTCCCTGGGCCGTTGTTTGACTTCTTGAGAGTGTGTGGCTTTTCAGGCGGTGCTAATGGCACCGAGTATCAGGCACAACACACAAAGGTGGGAGAGGGAGGGGCAGACAGGCCCTGAAATGAAATTAAATCGCTGGAAAGAGGACCCCGGCTTAGTGCCACAGGCCACAAGGGCCGCCGCCGCCAACACCCACAGGTGACGCCCTGGCCGACTTCGACCACGACCTTCGCTCTGGACCTCCTGACAAAAGCACAGGTACCATACGCGGTGAACGACCTGAACCAATCGATTAAATCCGATGTACTGTTGGGCGGAGATGCAGCAGTGGGGGCAGAAGGCTTAAGACCTCGAGGAACACACTCAGACCTCAGGCGACCATGGTATTACGGCCAAGGATAACGGTATGAGCGTTGCGGTGGCTGGACGACTCACGAGAGGCGGAAAGGTGGTGATGAGAATGACGGAGAGGCAGAAGACGGCGCCGGGATGAGGACATTCGGCAGAGCACCAGAGTAGAGACGACGCGCAAGACACTGGGAGTAACTTCCATGCATCCGGGAAAAGATAGATGTAATGCAGCGCTTGTATGCAATGCCGTCAGCGAGGACAACTTCAGATGAAAGGGATGATGTAGCAGCTCCGGCGTCAGTGTCAGCATATGCAGCAGACCAGACAGGCAGGTAGATGGGAGGCACCAGCTGCTCATCTGCAGTCCTGACAAGTCAGAGCATCGGGAATGTGAGATCCATTCGCCTATCGCTGACATGCTGTTATACCTAGTCAGAAGACTGAGGCTGATTGCCGAAGTCAAGTGTCTGTACTTGAGAGCTTGATCTCGTTCGGTTTCTTGGGCTTCAACTAGTTCAACTGTATGGCACCCGAAGGCATGCCAAGGGGCGGTACATAGCATTCCTTCCACACGAGGTGGAATAAAGTAGACCATGCCTTGTCTTATTCATGGATCGTTTTCGAGACACACTGTCTCTGCTACAGATTGCTTGGTGTAGTCAAGCGTGGGAACCCCAACTGTCGGCCGCACCTTAATTGAGCCCCGGTGTCCGTTAGATCCGGTCTTATTGATCCGTGAGGTAATCAATGACTTTGAGTCCTTTCCACCGTAGTACCGGTCATGATTTTGGAGGCTGACCTTCTCTGACGAGGTATCCATAAGGTATTGTGGGCTGTATCTGTCTGTCTATGGTAGTAGCCACTAAGAAAGAAAGGGAGAAAAAGTGAAAGATCGAAGGTTCGGTCCAATGCAAATTGTGTTGGCTGGGGTCCGTCTACTTCCCCATAAGGCACTACTACATTCAAGTAGTGGGTGCATTGTACTCCTGCCGCCGCTCATCATCTCTGGGCCCTCTACTACCTAGTCTCTCACTTTAACCCACCCGGCCCTGCTGTCCAGTGGGGGTGGACCCTGTTTGCTCTGGAGTTTCTTTGACTCGACTTGCCCTGCCCAGCCCAGCAAGATCCAGCACCATTGCGCTTGCCACGCTTGCAAGATGTAGAGAACATCAAGAAGGGGGAAGGAGAGAGGGAAGGGATTGGAAGGAGGGGAAAAAAATAAAGGCACCTTCCTTGTTCTCTATCCCCCCTCCCCCTCCCCTTTACACCACCAGTATGCACAGCGCACACCTCATCTCGCAGCTGAACCTTGCTCTCCTACATTCCCGCCTAGGAGAGGCAAGGGAAATCGCAACACTGCTTACCGCGCCACTCGGCACTTTCCAACTGAGTATTCGACCCAACACTAATTAGCACAGCATCAACTTAGTCATGGACGGCTTCGTTATCGGCAGCCAGTTTTCACATCATTTTCAATAGCCCTGCTCAAGCCAACGCCGTCGCCCCTCGGTCGAATGTCAGATCATAATCAAACTTGAAGCTCCAGATATTTGTACCGTGTTACATCTTCTCCTAAAGTCATGGACCACTTTCGTCGATGTCGTGTCTCGCAGCACCCCGGCCGGGAAATCAATAAGGCATAGCATGATGACTACTAGGACGGCGAGACGCGTCTCGAACCTGTCGCTTGGTTACTTCCGGCGCCCGCCTGTCCGCCCCACTTCCAGCAAGACCCAACGCGGCTCGACACCCGTGCCAGAGGCATTCATGAGAGTCAATTGACGAAGAAGAAATGGCAAGATCGATGCGCCATCCGAGAAAGGAACCATCAGTCTGGGGCGCCGCCGTGCCGCTCATACTTGTCAAGCCAATTCCAGTACCGCCATCCACGGCCCGGATAGGACGCCACCCCGGCGGCTTAGAAAAGCCCTTTTACTCAGATCAATCTGCCTCTGACACACAATCTAAAGCAAATCAGCAGCTTCCCAGCCCGCCAGGATGTACCAATTATAGGCCGAGTATGTTCTTGTGTGAGGGCACGCATGAGTTGGCTGTTGCCAGCACATCCTCGTCATCGCCCCATCCACCACCGACAACCGGGTCTAGCACATCCACTGAGCCAAGCACCCCGTTGGGACAAGTCATTGGTTATGTCCTGTGCGCTTGATCGGCGTGCGCTGGCACCAACCCAAGGGTGCTGTCAAGCCTGACGGGCAGCAGCACCCTTTTCTCATCACCTGCATTGGACGCCTTTGCACTTCACTGATGTCCCAATCCCAGCAAATGTCGCGCTGATGGAATCTCGCTACCGTGGTTCTCTTTAAATGCATGCTCTCTTCTCGGCGACTACTGATCAGCATGATGCCATTGGAAGGACATGACTTTACCATGGGCTCCCTCAAACCATTCATCGGCGAGTGCGACAGCGCTCGAGCCTCCCCATGTCTTCCCACACACTGATCATTAGTTGTGCAAAATCCGCATGAACGCACCTCCAAGGGGTTCAAGGACTTGCTTGCATTTGTGCGTTTGTTCTCCTAGCCCTGAGTGGCCAGAGCCGATGCGAAACTTCTAGCTGGGCCTGTCGATATAAAAAGAAGAAGAAAAAGAAAGAAAGAAAGAAAAAAACCACTGGCTATGCTGCCGATCCATCGACGTCAGAATGTCTGTTCATACTCCACTGCATGACCAACTGAAATATCGGACGATGTCTTCTATAGGTCTTGGCTCTAATTGGGGAGAGAGCCGCCGCTCTATTGCGAAAAACCATCTTCAAACTTGCCATTTTCAATTGTTTGGCGAGCAAAACCATCTCAGCAGCTTTGGCAATGGCACGACGAATACACAACCAGAAATCTTAACATGCCAATTACCGCTGCAGGTCTCTTTGACTTACTGGCAAGGGGTACCGGTAGCATAGCGCAGCACCCAATCTGCTATCTCTCCCAACGTGTTAAGACCCTTGAGTTCCTTTTCAAATGACATAAGCAAGGGCCAGCCATTTGTATTTGGCGATAAGATGACATGTGACCAGCGAAACGCGATCCAACATTGTTGCGACAACCTCGGTGGAATGTAGGGGTTCAAGCTTGCAGGCCAGCTTGAAATAAGCTCAATTGCATAAAACCCGCAAGGGCCAACAAACTCCCCGAGACTCAGTTCCGCTATCGGGCACCTGCTCGGTCATCCTGCCGACCAAGAAGCCCCGATACGGAGCATACCTAATGCGACCGGGTGGGTCCCATCCGGGGCCCGCAAACAACGCCGGAGACCAGCTTGCCCCTTATCAAGGACCGTCTTGGCTCAGGATTACCCTACAGTATATCAATACATCAGTTGAAGTTCTTATACGTGTGGCTTGAATGTACAGTCTGAGTTCTATTCTCCTCGTACAGGACTCCATCAACTCATATATTGCTGTAAAATGATATAATGGCTACCGGGTCAAGTGAACGTGCCCAACCTTTTCCAAAGCAGCGGTTACAAATTGCTGCGGTTTCGACTGCAAATCCAACATGCATCGTCAACGCCACATCTGGAGGTCAGCATGGCTTTACCAGCGGAAACACCGCTTCCTCGCTCTTGGCAAGTGCTAACCTTGCCACTTTTGGTAAACTGCTTCAGCAGGATACCTCTCTGTCAGCAGGTTTTGGGAGCCCGGAGAACTAGCGATACATTGTAATATCTGTAGCTGTACAAACAATCATTAGGTAGCAAACATAATAATCTTCAAGGCCCTGCACACTTTTGGAGGGTACCAGAATCCATAAAGTATTTTGAAGACGAAGACAGAAATGAGTTCAATTTGCTGATGGATGGTACTTCATCCATCCTCTTGGTCTTCTGCAGAACCCAGACTCACGCAGCTCCTCTCCCACCGCAGCCATCCCTGACATGCATCTATACGTGATTCTTCATATGCCTCTAATGGGCTGTATCATCTAATAAAACAAGTCATGATCCGAGCCAATCCTAGAAGAACGGCCTAAATATCGAGAAAGGAATAAAGGGGGGGGGGGCATTCAGTCCACAACCCCAACAACCATACAGTCCAAACGCCCATCAACTCACTCCTTCGCGGTCCCGTCCACATTATTCCTCTTTGGGCGAAGCCTTGACCTCAGTCTCCTCTTCTGTCTCAGCTCCCTTCTCTTCGTCCTTGCTGTCGGTCTCAACCTTCTTGGTCTCCACCGCGGGTGTCTCAAGCTTCTTAGCTTCGCTGAGGTCCCAGTCGATCTCGGCGCCGGCGCCGTACCGCGTGACAAGCCAGTCGTTGGCCTTGCGGAAGTGGCCACAGTCAAAAAAGCCCCTTGAGGCGCTGAGCGGGCTAGGATGCACGCTCTTGAGGACGAGGTGCTTCCTGGCATCAACTTTGACGACGCGCTTGCCTGCCGGCGTGCCCCAGGCCATAAAGACAACACCGCGCGAACGCTTCGCAGCGACGAGATCAATGACCTTTTGCGTGAAGCGCTCCCAGCCGCGATTCGAGTGCGAGTTGGCCTCGTGCGCACGCACCGTCAGACAGGTGTTGAGGAGAAGTACGCCGCGGTCCGCCCAGGGAGTGAGGAGACCGCCGTTCTTAGGGGGCGGGGAGAAGGATGGGTAATCCTTCTTCAGGGCGATGTACATGTTCTTGAGCGAAGGGGGGGCTGGGGTCGGTGGGCGGACGGAGAAGGCGAGGCCGTGGGCTTGGTTATGGTTGTGATAGGGGTCCTGGCCGAGAATGACGACTTTGACGTTGTTGAAAGGACAATGACGGGACCTACAGCCATTTGTTAAAACTTACAATCCAACATGGGAGAGGATCAAAGAGAGGCACAAATGAGCATACCAAGAGTACACATCCTCTCTGGGAGGAAACCACTTCCTCCCCGCATCTGTTTCCCTGTTGAGGAACCTCTTGAGGTCCAAGAATTCCTTGCTCGTTACCTCGTCCTTGAGGTGGGCCAGCCAGCTCTCGTGAAGCGTATCGATCTCGAGCTGGAGCAGCTCCTTCTGTTCCGCCGTCAAGCCAGCGACCCACTTGTCCTTGTCAAACTTGGGTGCCGGCGTCTCGGCGGCCCCGGCACCGCTCCCTGTCGTGGAACCCCCACCGTTGGCGGGCGCCGCCGGCTTCGGGGCTCCGAAGAACGACATGATGTTGCCATCCTGCTTGGCCTTCTTATTGTCCGAGGCGAGAGGCTTGCCGGCCTTGCGCTTGAGTGTCGACATGTTGGCCTTTGTGGAGAAATATGGGAAGAGGAAGATAGTAGTGGCGTTGAGCGTCCCTTGGCCTAGCTTAGGGCGAAGGACGGGGAGGATTGTGAGCTGGACCAAGCGTAGCCGCTCAATTTTAGAATATATTAGGGGGTTCGTGAAAGCGTCAATTGGTCGTCAGTTGGTTCGTAATTTCAATATCTTAGTCAAATAGTGTCGAAGCTTACAGAGAAGAATTTGAGAGATGGGCGATGAGGGGAAGGGACTGGAGTAGGAGCGAGAGGTTGGCGGCAGATGTAGTCGAGATTTCTTAGCCCCGGCTAGCCTTTTGCTTGAAGTGCCGGTCTGCGGACCGTCGCGTGCAGTGACGCGCTATAGCAAGAAAAAAAAAGTCCTTTACGCGAGAATCCCCTGTGTGACCCGCTGTTCACGGCGCGTCCTGGTGAGTTTTAGTGGTTGGAAGGGCGGGGAGCTACCTGGGAGCTGCAGCCCTGCAGCGCCCCCAGCTGCTTGGCGTTCCCGCGTTTTCCCCTGAGGTATGCGTCGTTCGGGATTAAGTGGTGACTTCATCCGGGCATCTGAGGCGGTTTGGAGGGTCGTCATTGGATGGTGCATCTTGTCACTAAGCTGTCTCGCAGGAAGCTTGGTCATCGTGCACTGGAAAGCTTATAGGATTCTAAAGACACAAAGCCACGTTGTGGGGGAGGTATCATTACACATTCGCTAGATAAGATAGTACAAGTTTTTTGGCTTTCCCAGGTCTAATAAACCAAACACGACGTGTATCGTTCGACGTGCAAACTCCATGCTCGAGTTCTTTTCCCCTCCGATAATTAATAGCAGACCGCCCTCTCAACGCCCAACAATGCTTAGAAAAGGAAGAGTAGTGATGTTGTGACTAGTTAATATCCCGCCTCGACTTCTCGTTGACACTCCTAAACACCCGCTTGCCAACCTCGTAGCTGCTGATCATGATGGCGCAGGCTGGGGCAACCTTCAAGGTACGGGGGATCCATCCCTTCCACAAACCTTGGATGCCCTCGGTGCAAAAGATGTGCCAGAGCAAGCGTACCATAGAGCCTTGCTCGGCTGCGGCCGACTTGGCAGCGTTGGGGGCGTCGCGGTAGACTTGCGTCCTGGTCTTGCCCACGTCAAACGGCATCGTGACTATAGACGCAAAACCGCCAGAGACAGCACCAGCAATAAAGCTGTCGGTCAGGGTCTCTGTGTGGTTTTCTCGGCTCTGAGATCTTCTGCGCGACTGGGTACGTGAACCTCTGAGGTCCAGAGTTCGTCCACGGCGGGTCTCACGCATGTCGGTCAGCTTCCCCCGTATTGTCTCGTATCCCCACCAGTAAATACCCGAAAAGGGTACATCTCTCCAAAGTGTCAAGGTCAAGCCTCTCCATAAAGAGGTGTAACCGCTTATATTGACCATGTCCTTGATACCCCGGAATGTGTTTGCAAGATGACCTGTCGCGGAGTTGCCAGATGTGGCTTGCATTCTTGTACGAAACAACTCGATCGGACTGACAGCCGCGGCAGCAAGAATACGGGCTCCAGAGCCAGCGACGAGAGGCGCGGAATCGTCGTTGAGTCTTTGTGCGATCGGGCTCTTCCTATTGTACCGCATCCAGTCGTAGCCAGTAAAGTAGATGATGTTGCCAGGTATCGTCATTAATAATGTCGGAGATAGACCCCGCCAGAGACTGGTAAACCCCTCATTCCTCGCAATCTTCCTCAGTCCGTCCATAGTCGAGCTGATTGTCTTTCGTTCCACCTCCTCGACGGCACATTCAGCCGCCACCGCGGTTGCCGTTCCCTCCGCCTTTGGCATTGCTATGCAAAGCTCGGATGAGTTGTTCATGAAGAAGACCTCTCTGCAGCATGCCGTCACTCCGAGATTTTTAGTATTGAAAGCTTTCAGGTTGGCGGTCGTCATAGCGAGCTTGGAAAAGTCCACAGTGGGCGGTGTAACGGTCTGAGACTGCCATCGTATCCGTACAACATCGAGCGGTGTTACTGTAGTTGGTCATGTTTAGCCAAAGATCGTTGAATCGAAATCCGTCAGCTGCTCTTACCAAGAAGCGAAGTCAAGAGACTACCCGACATTGCCGACACCATCTTCTGCGACGCGCTGATGTCATCGTCACCACCGCCGCCGCTGCCGCCGGCGGTATCGTTGTCCTTCGTCGGGATTATTCGCGCCATGGCAAAAGAGTCATCGGGGTCGAAGTTGTCGTAGCCTTGGCCTCCGGGAACTTGATAATTGGTACTCATCGCAGACCAATTTGCATGGTCGGAGAGATCGGAGCGGGATAAAGATGCAATACCCATCCGGTGTTGTATCGCAAGATGCAGCCAGAAAAGCTGTCAGGACGAAGAAAAAGATGGATGAGGGGGCGAGCTTTCACGAGCCTTTTTGGTTGAGCAGGGGGAAAGGGCGAATTTGACCTTACCCCGTTTGCTAGAGTCCGCCCGTCATGACTGCGACATCGCGCTCCTGCCCCCAAAATTTTGCCGGAGATAATGAGATGGGTGGCGCTGGGGCACCTTGCTGGCCGAGCCGAGCTCCAAACGTTACTCGCCGATTCCTTCTGCTAATTGGTTGAGACAGTTGTGGAGCCTTAGATGTGCCACTCTGCACTAAATGTCACCGATAAGACCCCGGTGGGCCAGACGCCGAATGACTCCAGTTCGGCGTGCTTGCTTACCACGCAGCGTCGATGATGAGTGGTCGACCTCAACTACATCTCATCCGCTCTGACTTGTTGATATAGCACTTCACCACGTCAAGCCCCCACCTCCAAACGCGCATTTCCTCACATTCTCTCAACCGTTCCTCATGTCGCTATTATAGGTTGTCTCGTAGCTTGAAGCTCAAATTTCCTGAGCCATTCTCCCAATACCAAAACCATGGAGGACAACCCGCCAAAGCTCGACTCCGAGTTGGAGTTTTTCCGGCAGCAATGGCAGTCAGAGCTCAAATCCAAAAAACCAGTTCCACAAGCGCTGTCACCTCAGTCAAAGAAACCCTCACCATCATCATCCAAGGCTGCTGTGCCGCCTGAAAGCTCTAAGAACATAGCAGTTAAGAAGTCTCAGGTTGAGGAAGACGAGGAATATGCTCGCTCCTTATCTTTTGACGAACCGCCACCTCCTACATCTTCAGGGAGAACTTTGGAGCAGCCTGCGTCACCAAAGGCAAAGGAGCTAGTCTCGGCTCTTGATCACTTCGAGGAAGCTGTGGAAAAGGAGGCGATTGGCAAATTGGGCGACAGTTTGAAGCTTTACCGGAAGGCTTTCAGGGTGAGCCACTTTGATCCGATCTGCGTAGAAAAATATCTGACCATATCTTATATCTATAGCTGGACAACCGGGTAGACTTGGCGTACAGAAAGAAACATTTTCCCGCTGCGGTCTCGAAACCATCACAGTCCTCAACGTCAAATGCGCAGGTCGCCGCCTTCAGTACGACGGGCAAGTTGTCCGAGACTCAGCAACAAAGCATGAGTGAGCTGATCGCAAGTTTCTCGGGACTCTCTGTTGCGGCCGCGCCCCCGCCTGTGGAGGGCGACCCGGCGCCTCCATGTCCCATTGCGGATCTCCCGGAGGAAATCCTTGTTCACATTTTCAAGGACCTCGCAGTTCTTGACGTTGGGGACTTCGTGCGGTTGTCGCTCGTATGCAAGCGCTTCGCCTACATTGTTGCCACTGAGCAACAGATCTGGCGTCGTGTCGCACTGGGTACGGAGTTTGGTTTTGCCGGAATGCATTATCACTGGCAAAAGGGCATCGCATGGGAACCCCTAGAACAAGATGATGAAGCTGAAGACAATGAGTTCGTTAGCATGGAGGAGCTTACGCAGAGACGTATTGATGAGAACGAAGCCACCACGTTGGCATTGCTGCCAGAGCTTTACTCATCGTCTTGGTCGAAATTGTGGCGGCATCGACCTCGCGTCCGCTACAACGGCTGCTACATCAGCACCGTTAATTACATCCGAGCCGGACAGGCGAACGCGAACCAAATCACTTGGAACAGCCCGGTGCATATTGTTACGTACTACCGATACCTCCGCTTCTTCCGCGATGGCACCGTCATCAGCCTCCTTACAACCGCCGAGCCAGGGGATGTCGTACACTACATGACCAAGGACAACCTGGAACAACATAGGGGTGGTCATGCAGCTTACCTGCCATCCATCGTCATGCAACACGGCCTTAAGGGGCGATGGCGACTATCCTCGGCTCTGGACCATCCAGACGCGCCGTTGAGTGACGTGGAGGGAGAACTTTTCGTCGAGACTGAGGGCGTGGGGCCAAAGTATATCTACAGGATGGATCTGTCAATGCGAAACGCTGGCAAGGGCGCGCGGAACACCAAGCTTGTTTGGAAGAGCTTTTTCAGCCACAACAGGCTAACAGACGACTGGGGTGAGTTCGGCTTGAAGAACGACAAGCCATTCTTTTTCAGTAGAGTCAAGAGTTACGGTATTGGGGAGTGAAGAAACTCGCTCGATAGATACATATAGCTGTCACTATAACCTGCTCAAGTTAGTTATAATATGCGTGGTTGTGGTGAGCTAACATAACACCTCAATCCCTCCATGAAGTTGCTTCCGGATGGACATCATCGTCCTAAGGGCCCATTCATACAAGTGCTATTACGACGCACGAATTGTTCTAATTTGATCGATTTCCACTACATGAGTTGCAAGCATGATAGATACCGCAGCTTAAACCTGGTGAAGCCCAATCTACCAATCAGTACTCTTCGCGAGGTCCTCCCAGTCATGACACATTTTCAACCCCGCCTCACATCTGCCCTTGATCCTCTCCCACCCATCCGTGCCCATGGGAACTCGCAAAGGCACCTCCTTCCCCTCCGCCATACCATCTCCGCGAACAAGCTCCACCATGCGTGCGACGCCCTTCTCCGGATCACCAGGCTCCGAGCCGATAAACCCTTTCCCCCGCTCATTTGCAGCAGCTCTAAGCCCCGCATACTCTGGGACCCGCGGTGGTATGTCAGCGACCTTGGTGAAGACCTTTGTTCGGAAATGGCCCGGATCAACCATCAGAACCTTCAGTCCCGGTGCCACGATGCTGAGTTCTATCGAGAGCGCCTCGACAGCGGCTATTTTTTTTAAAAAAAAAAAAAAGTAAACAACTGGTAAGTCGTGATTTCGTGCTTTCAACTTCACAAAGGGGGTTTTAAAAGGAAACCATGGGTGGAGTCTAGGACGTTTACGAACCTGACAGTGCAAACTTGCTAGAGCAATACGCCCCTGCGAAGGGATCAACGTGCCACGCGGCCTGCGACCCAAGGAACAACAGGGTTCCCGTCCCCCTCTTCCTCAAGAAGGGCAGGAAGGCTCGTGAAATGTTGAGCGGGCCGTGGAAGTTCGTCCGGAAAGACTGCTCCATTTGTTCTTGCCTAAAAAGAAGAAAAGAAACCTCACATAATCAGCCTCTGAACATCTGAGCCCAACCTTTCTCTCGGACGAGCGTTGGAAACTCACGTCAAGTCCTCAATCAAACCAGAAAGGACGTAGCCGGCATTGTTCACCACGACGTCCACCCCGCCAGGGAACAAGTCCCACGCCTCGGCGACTTTGGCGCGGATAACGTCCTCGGATGCCGAGACGTCAAGGTCCATGATCTTGGCACCGGTATCCTGGAGATGCGCGAGTTTGACATCGGCCTGCCGTCCCGTCGCAATCACGTTGTCGCCCTCGGCGCATAGCTTTCTGACGAGTATCTCACCGAAGCCGCTCGAGCAGCCGGTGATGAACCAGGTCCTAGGCTGCCTTGCTGCTGGTGATGCTTCCTGGGCCATGGTTTGTGAGGAGCCGAGAGAAATCAATGGACTATTTGAATGTATTTGAAGGTAGTGTTGAATCCCCCAAAGCAATCGCAATCTTATTGCGACTTCCTATTTATACCTCCTATCAACGTGTCCTCACATGATGGCTGGACTTGATCATGCGCAACCCTCTCCACTTTCATGATGCTACCGTCGAGCTTCAAGGCCATTTTACGGGTCCTAGTACTTCCAATAACTCAACTAAGTCGTGCAAAAGCACGTTGGTTAGCAACCTGGGTAAATGCACAATCCTGCAGGATTAAAGAGGGCCCTTTTGTTATCCACCCGTTAGATTGCAGACACTGGTTCGCACTGCGAGGGGCGATAAGGCGCGAACTGGACGTAGAGTTGATTCAAAGTACTATGTAGCTGCCCACTGTCGACTTTCTAATCCGCACTGGTTTCTGCGGACGCACAGCTCTTACTTGGAGAAAAGCCTGCTGTTACATATCGACGTTGTAACAACTACATGGAAGAGGTGTTGACAACGAGCTGGAATTAAACGCGAATTCAACTTGGCATAGAAAACTTACGCCTACACATCTGCAAGCTTTACTGAAAGGCATGATTGTGAAGTTCGACATCGGTGAGTCGATAAATTTTCATCTATATTTGAGCCAGACATTGCTGGCAGTGATTTCTTTGGATTCTCGTCGAATCGTACATTATGGGCCCGTTTTGGGCACGTAGTAGATAGACAGGGCTTGTAAATGCATCAGACAAAATGATAAATCGCTTCCTTGGTTGCAAAACGCCCCGACACCTGGCTGGCTGGATGATGGTGTTCAGCCTTCCTCCCTTGAGTTTCAAGCCCCCTATCCCACGCAACATGAATGAAATATACAAAAATGCTAAATGCTGGTAAAGTCCTAATAGTTGACAAGGGTGCCGCATGGGCAAGTAGCGATTGTTATAAACGCGCAAAAATGCAATGATGTAAGATCAGTGTTCGCCCGGGGTATCAATGTCGCACCATTATGCCGAAAGCTGGGGCAAGGGGACGCGCAATTGGGCGATTTTAGAAAATGTACCGAAGATCGGCGTGCCACGAATTAACGAAAAATCGTTTGATTCCGACAGGGCGGGAATTCAGCAGGTTTGTAGCCTGCAGGATGCCTAAGCTCCAAGGCCATGGCATTGGTATCAAGCCACAAATGTCGACTACCACATGTTATCTCAGCGTGGTGTCACCCGTTTGCCATCTAAGAACTTGGGACTTCTGGCATCGTAGTACATGTTGGGCGTCTGCTGCTGCCTCCGCTGCTCGTATGCCATTCGCTCCTCTTCGTCGAGTGAGAATGCTTTCTTCAGCCAGCCAAATGCACTGCGCTTCTTTTTCAGTCGCTTCTCGCCACTCGCTGTAGCTTGCGAATCGTATGTCATGGTCGTCACAGTGCTCAGCATGCTGGCCCCTCCCAAACGAGAAGGCGCATTTCTCTGATGAGACGGATAGTACCCTGACTGGGCATATGGAGATCTGGGTTGTGCACCAGCTGTAAGGGGTCTTTGCTGAAGGGGAGAGTGAGGGCTTGCTTGCACAGGGCGATAGAATTGGTGCTCAGATCGTGGAGAAGGTAGCACTGGCGGCTGCACTGGTGGGGAAAGCTCATTCGCTGTGTGGTAACGCGGTCGCTGATCAAAATCCGAGCCATAGGCTGAATCAGGAGCCTGGTATTGTTGGGGTGACTCTCGACCAGCATGAGAGTGATGAAGCTCTGAGGCTGGTGGAGGTATCTGGATTGATTCTGGCGGGGTGGTCTTGAGCGAAACGCGTTGTCGGAGCGAACTCTTTTTCGTTGGCATTGGTGTCTCCCGTTGTGGTTCCTGCTTGGGCGGATCCGTGGCCATGGGAGATGGCAGAAGTTCGGGAGGCTGTGGGGTATATGTTCTTGGCTGTAGGATATAGAGCGGTGCATCGTCGATGACTACCTCCATCTCCTCGGATTCGGCCGGTTCAAATACGGGACCATCTGGCGTCTCCAGGGTCAGCTTTGGCGCGTTCGCATGCACACTATGAGCTGAATGTGTGCTGTGAGTCGTTCGCGTACTGTGGGTCGTGTGAAAGCTACCTGTCGTGCGAGAGCTACTGCCTGTGTGGTTGCTTCTGCTCGTATGCGCGCTCCTGTTTGTGTGTGCGCTTTTAGTCGTGTGTGCGGTTTGAGTAGTGAGGATGGATTGTCGATCCGGCGAGGCTGCCGGAGATGGCCGCTGAAGTGGCATCTCAAAATACGTGGGATTTGAACTTGATCTTCCGGTAGATACAGAACCACTGACACTGTTGGCACGCAGGGTTGACCGCCTTACGCTTGTCGAAGGGGGCGAAGCCGGGGGAGAGTGGAGTGAGGCCTCGTCAGATCGAGCACCTTGTATTGGTAAGGTGAAGGGGGGAATGCTTGCCTACTTCAATATTAGCACAAGACCTGGTGATATTCAAGGTCAGGTTTCTACTTACCCAGGTCCTTCGACTGACTTCACCGGCCTTCTTGCTCATCTCTGCCACCATCTTGCCGAGCTTGATGATCAGAGCATTCAACTCCTTCCCCTGAGCCTGCAACTCAACAAACGCGTTGTACCAACCCTCCGTGTTGCCCTTCATCGCGGTGTAAATGTCAACAACATCCGGACGGTCCTGGCGCCAATTGCCCGAATTTTGCTGACCCAAGTAAACCGCAAAATCCCGTGTCGCGGCCAGTCCATGCTGGACATCCTTGTCGTATTGTTCGAGCTGAATGTTGGTGCGGGCGACAATGTGCTCAATCTTTTCATTCCCCTGCACAATCTCCAGCCGGAAGTTACGATCTTCCAGAAGCTTTTCAAATACCTCCAAATTTTCCATCGGCAAGCGCAGGTAGTCTATTCTCTCTTTTAGGTCCTTGGATGCCTGTTCAAAGTCCTCCATGACCACCTCGAGAAATTCGTCCACCTCATCAATGTGTCCCTGGAGGATGCTAACCACCTGGGCTGCGCTATTGGCCATGCCGGTGAGTAATAGATAAACACCAAATGATATTTGCGCCATGAGTTTTTGGAGCTCATGTTGCTGCTGGCCAGGCCGATAGCGCCAGAGCATATCGGGCAGATCATCTTCCCGCTCTTGGCTGATGAGCTCTTCGCGACGCACCTTTGCATCGGCGGTTTTTAACTTTGGTTTCTCGGTGGGGTTGCCGCTGGCGGCTTCAAGAAATGACTCGGCGAAGGCAGCCTGCATAGAGGGAATAGGGTGGCGAGGCACTTTGGGGCTGCCCAGGGATGGTGATTCATCGTTGGTTCGGCGCGTGCTCCTCTCCGGGATCTGTGGTAAAGATGCTGTGGTAGGTGTCCTTTGAGCATCCTCGTCGCTCTCGTAGGTTGGGGTGGGGGGATCATCGGAAGGGGGCAGTAGAACGATGGGAAGATCCAAACTCAAGTCAAGGGGCTTGTTGGCGCCGAAAGACATGCGCGGGAGTCCAGTTGAAGTAGCCATGGCGGCCAACAGGTGTATCGTGATGCCTATAGGCGGACTGCAGAGACCATCAGGCGTGTGACGACCGCCGCAGCCGTTAACAGGACGGAGCGGGTGCGAATCGGAGTGGTGCAAGACGTGGCAGGTGCAACGTAGGTCAAAGTTCGGTGTTATGAAGACGAGGCGTGTGCGACGCTGGCGCTTAAAGGAGCACCACGACGACTGCAGGTCTCACAGATTGGTAGTTGTGTGGTTTGTTGGTGGGCGAAAGAAAAGAGGGCAGATGGCAGAGCGGAAGCCGCGTTGAAAAGGTCCAGGTCGTGCTTAACAGTCGGACACTGACATGACAGGCAGGATAGTCCCTGGTTGAGGAGGGGGGTCCGTGAGAGGAGCGAAAGGAATATGTCCGGGGTTGTCGTTGTGTGGAAAAGGGCGGGTGAGTAAGGAGGCAGGGAGAAGCAAGGTAAGGCCAGACAGGGTAAGGTATAGATTATAGTGAGGTGGGATAATATTAGTATTACGAATAAAAGGGTTAGGTTAGGTTGGGAAGCGAAAAGAAGAACCGGACACGCCAAGCGATGACGACGGGAGGCTCAGTCGGTGGTAGTGAGGATGGCGGGGAGGAAAGAGAAGAGCATTCCAGAGAATATGCGAGGGCTTGTCAAAAGAACAATGGCGTGGAGGAGGGAGCGCGAGAAGGGGAAAAGGAGGAGGAGGGGGGAAAGGTTGAAGGGCCAGGAGTTTGAGGTAGAAGAAGTCGACGGGAAGAAGACAACAACGACGGCGGCGGCGGCGGCGGCGGAGACGACAACAGAAGGAAAGAAAGGGCAACAGAAAAGAAGCTGTTTGGCCAGCTGAAGTGAAGGAAGGATGGCCCCTGCCCTGAAGGGAAGCCCCCCTCACTCTTTCTCTTTTTCGCTATGTACGGAGTACTGGTTTGAATGAAAGAATGGCCTGAATGACTGAATGGTCGAGTGCCGGGAGCTACTGTACGGCGTAAAAGTGGCCCAGACAAGGAACGGCAGGGTAGAAGGTCCTGCCACTTTGTGCCGTGGCGTACCCAACACAGATACACTTACATATACATACAGTCAGGTACCTGGACATGGACATGGACTAGGGGGCCGCTGGTGCAAGTGTAGGCGCAATGTGCAGGGACAGGTCATATTTGGGTCGACGTACTCAGTAAAGTACCGTCTGTAAGGCTATCTAAATGCGACCCCGTTCGGGGTTGGTGGCTGCTGTCGTCTGGGTTTTTGCATTGGGAATAAGAAAGCAGACGCTGTAAGCTTCACTGACAGACTTTTGTTGGATGGATGGATGGGTGCCCCAGCTGTCGGATTGCACTGACACCTGTGACCGCCGCTGGGACTGTGGGGGGCTAGAATGGGGATAGAATTGACCAGTCACGTAACAGTGTAACGCGAACACACTCCTTGCTTTGTTTGTCCTTTCCTTTCCTGTCTGCTGTCTCTTCAGGCCTCTCTTGGTTTTTTTTTTTTTTTTTTTTTTTTTACATCCTCCTTCTCGGTCTTTCTATCCTTTCCCAAACTTTTCTTCTTCTTCAATGCGGGCCTCGGGCTTGTCCTTTCTCCCGCATATATATATATATATATATATATTTACAATTGTTTTCCGCAATTGAGTTGTCTGCCCGGTTTAATCAACTTGCCTGCGCAACATATGGACTAATTCGTTTAGTATCAGACCATCTAACCGCCCCTCCCCCTTCTCCTGGCTATCGCATGGCCTCATTAAAAAAAAAAAAAACGCGCTGAGCAGCAACATAAAAGGATAGACCTAGCAAGCACCCGTCCGCACCCCCCTTGAATGGTTCTTCGCATACCCCTGTCGCCATTCCTCTTTTCCACGCTAGCGTTCTTTCTTTCCTCTAACCCCTGAACAAAACGGGGAAAGACATAGCAAAAGGGAAAGGGCCCAGAACCACCCGAGGCTCGTCCTGGAGCAGGGATCCTCGACCATAACTAGAATCATTCCAGGCCAGGGTACCACGCCCCTCTCTTTCGTCTTTGCGCTGCCCGCTTAGCCCCAGGGGCTATCCTGGCTCTCTGTCCATTTGCCTCCTCCACCTTGAACCCAACCCCTCCACCTACTGTTGTACCCAGACACAAACCAGAGAACCCAACATCCGGTCCATACCCTACCTCCGCAACTTTTCTGCCGAAAATGGTCGTTTATTCCTCTTCTACTACCACTTAGCTTGAGCCAATGAGTCCCGCCTGTGAAAGAAAGTCAGTTACAGTACAGACAACCCCGTTTCCTCACCATAGCAAGGTCATCCTTGAATACAAACAGAAACCATGGCGCCACTCGACTGGCTTGCCCTTGATTGGCAGACGGACTCTGATTTCTTACTTTTGATCGCTCCTTGGTGCCCACAGATGCGTCGACTGTCACTCTCCCGCTGCCCAAATCTTTGCCCACTTCCCTTCTCGCGCCCCCCCGCCTCCCTACCTTCCGTGTGGTCTGCGACAGGGAAACCGGCTCCGATGAATGCCCGTGGGATGCCCGTCGAAGCATGTCCTGAGTGCGCGTGCAGCCATCAAGCCAAATGTATTAGTACCAATCTCAGAGTAACACCCCCCGTTGCCTCTAATGTACGCACTTAACCCACCGCTTTGCGCTCACTCACATCCCTTCTTCGGTGGGCCGGCGGCGACTGCATAAACCCACTGCACTAGGCACGGTTACGCAGGCCCTCATCTCCTCGGGGAGGGACTACTACATACTACGTAGTAATTAGTACTTACCTTCCACAAAGGCACAAAACTTTCAAGCCCAGATACTCGGCCCAAGACGAGTTCAGCGCTGCACCCCCATCCACCACGCCAGGAAACACAGAGTCGCCGCCATTGACGCATTAATCGCAACATGCAGGCCCAAGATGCATGCCAAGCCATGTCGGCCCAGGTAGTCGTCAGCCAACAGCCACGGCAGAACACACCGGCGCGACATTTAGACCTCCAGCGGGCACGCACCGGAGAGAAACCCAAATGCAACTCAGCAACCTCAATTTTGCATTTGCACTGCGCATCGTCAGCACGAGGGCAGATAAGGTACCTTACCTTAGTTTCATCGTACTATTCGTTTTGTGCAGGAACGAGTCTCAATCGGGACTAAACCCCTGCTGATGACAGCCAGCCTGGGATGTCGTCTTGCTTCTTTTACCCATCCCCCGCCCTCGTCGTCCAAAAGTACGGATACCTTGGTTGCTGTTGTCACCTTCCACACACCCCATCCATCTGCGATTACGTCCATCCCATCCCACCAAAATTTCCTCCGGCCCGCTCCAATTATTGACTCCCATAGCTGTATTACCGGGTTGTTAAAGAGGCAAGAGGGGCGCATCACTTCGCAATACTCACTAAAGCCTTTTTAATGGAATGACCGTTATACGTTCCATTGGACCTTCCATTGGCTGCCCACACGAGGTGAGAATGACACTGCAAACTGCAACCCCCATCTGCAAAAGTGCCAAAGACCCCAAACATGCCGCCTCTCTCTTCGGTAGCAACAGGGTCTGGGGAAGCCATGGCGTCTTTTGTTTGCTATTTGCCTCGTCACCTTCTCTGGGCCACAACCACTTGGCTGGCCGGCACAGTTGAGAAGCCAGACCTACCTGTCGGTGCAGATGCAAATTATCGCTTACTAGGTGTGCGTGGGATTCGTATTTCGCGTGGAAGGACGTCACAGAGCGAAGCCTGCTGAGACGCCGCCTGGAAACATCGTCCTCGTCCTGATCATCACTTTAACCCCCTTACAAATCTTGTTCGGGATCGGTGGTTCGCCCATCGCCTGGAACCGCCCACCAGCGAGCGACGGCACGAGTCAACAAGCGGCTTGTGCCACAGTGACCACCTCTCGACTATTTACAGCACACGGGGCTCTTAATCCGTGCACTGCCAATTGGAGTGGCAGCCGCTGACATGCCGTGTCTCCGACCGCACGGCTCGTCGTGAGTGAAGTAGTGAAGCTTCTCCTGACTCTCAAACCGCCGACTGTGTCGCTCATTTACGACTATGCTCCCCATCTCTTGGACTCGGAGACGGCTCTGCGAGCGAGGGTACATCGATGGCAGGCCTCTCTGGTCTCATTTCCAACTCCGGACATAGGCTCACTGGCCCGATCGATCGGCTTCGTCTCCCGTCTACGGAACCCGCTCACTCCCCCCTTGACCATACCCTGGGTGCCTTTTACATTGACCGAATTGGATATTGGCCCCGTTGACAACTGTCATTTTGCATCCATGGCTTCCTTTTCCCCCCCTCCCCTAGGTCTTGACCGCCTTTCAAAATTGGGTTACGACATCCTTGACGTGGCTGGAACAGGAGAGATGAGAAGAGACGGGGAATTAAGAAAAAAAATTAGATGAGATGAGATGAACAACGAGCCTCATCGGGTTCGTTTGAACGCCTCTTCCCTCTGGTCTATGTTACCAACGGCAACTCAAGTCTGTGCGCGTGTGTCCAACAATTCAGTGCTAATTGCGATGACGGAGTCACACATAGTCTGGCAACCACTGCCAACCAACAGCATCATTGTCACATAATTCTAGGCCAAGCTGCTTTGGTTTAGTCCGTCGGTCTCTGGCATGAATCAGCCGTTGCATCCGTCTAGCGTATGCGAAAGAAGGCTCAGGGCCCGACAAGAGGGACAGTTATGGCCTTCTAAAATTCAATAAATGGCCCAAAACGGTTTGCTGACGGCGTCTGCTGACCCGATGACCTGGCGAGTCAGATTACCGCATCCAATTGGGGAGCTTGCACGCCTCTCCATGGAAATGATAGATATTCGCCTGGCAGAATATTGGTTTCTTAGTCCACATCTGGAGATCTGGGATACGACATCATCATTCATACGAGGATTCTCAAAGGGGCTTCGCAAGATGCACGGAGCCAGCAAGGCCAGGCAAGATGACGAGCATGCAATCGCAACAGGCCACAGTTTGCAGGGCCGGGTGGGTCGTGGAACTATGTATCCATCTGTCCTGGAGTATCTGTACCAAATATTGGCGAAATGGGTGGCTCCAAGCTACCGTCGCCAAGGCGATGTATTAATTGCACCATGATCATTTGTGACTCCGATGGGGAAGAATGGGAGGATATCGCCGGTCTGCTCAACCCTTTCTCTTGGCCCACAGCTTCCATCACTGCAACCCGCTCCTGTTCATGAGCTCATGCTTGCCGGTTTAGGGTGGTTCCCCCAGGGTCGGAGAGTGGCGGCCACAGTTGCATCGCGCTTCTCCATCCTAACGCAAGCGCGGAAATGATGAGCATCCACGATTCAGCCGTCGCGTACAACAAGCGCGCCGGCTCGAGCTGGAGCAAGGTCTGTCCTGGTTCCGGCCCCGTCATGCAAGTGGTTCCCAGGGGCGAGCTCCCCAAGACCCGAACGACGGACGCTTCTCTGATCGACATCCGGTTCATCTGGGGATAGATCTACAATCTGCTTACCCAAGATGAGAGTTTCTATTCTGCATCCTGCGCTGCGTCTCCCTGCAACATGGACACTTCCAACCACGATGAAGACTTTGGGCACTACACCACATGCATAACAGCATCAGTAGGCTGCATCATTGGCAAGCCACAACGTCCCAACTTCTCAGCCCCGAAACTTTGGACAAGCCATGAAGAGTTGGTGGCTGGTTGACTCTGCTGGGTCCGATCATCCCCCTGTTTTCGTTGAAGAACCAATACGGTTTTTCGCTGGACAAACGCATGGAAGTCCTTGTCGATATCAGGCATTCCTTCTTCAAGTTCTACTCACACATGCCACGTGCTGCGTATTTCGTTGGATGGCGCCAGCTGAACCACAGGAATCCCACAGCTTACTACATGGTTCGAAAATAGCAACTATGCTCGTGGCCGAGGTTGGGCTGAGGGTGTTGCTGGATAGTTCTAAGCAAGAAAAATGCCCGTCTGGAGGCAAGTATCGTCAGACATGGAGCCTAGGCACATTCGCTGTTGTAAGAAATGAAGCCTCACCCTATATTATGAAAAGCAGTGTTCCCGCCTTCCCTTTCTGTAGTGTTGCTCAACATCGTGTTCCCAGTTCATTCTGCACCTCCTCGCTCTCCACATCATCTCCGGTTAGCTGCAGCAACGGCCAGGACCCTCATTCTGGACCAGGTCCCTGGCCTCGACAAGCGAGAGGAAGAGACAGCCGCCCCCCCCCCCCCCCCCCCAAAAAAAAAACACATCCGTCAGCCACTACTTCGCCAGGGCCGTCTCTGATTGCATCCCGCGTTCTATGCCGAGAGCCGAAATAGAACACCAACATTGCTAGGCATTGATCGCTCTGCGATTCTGTTGGATCGGTCAGTGAGTGATGCCGTGAATGCTCTTTTCTGCGTCAAACAAACCCACAACGTCGAAGGCTAAAAGGGAGTCATCTTTACAACAACGCGTGATCCGTAACCAAAAGATATAAATTCACGGCATCAAGGAGCACACGACATCAAGTCGATACAGACAGCCCCCCCAGTGCCAGGTCACCCTGGTAGCGACGTAATTGCGCTTCTCAGGCAACGGAGCACCATCCCTGCTGCACAGCGACCCGCGCCGAAAGCCAAGGCCCACGTTCAAAAACCTCTTGGGCCTCGAACTTCCCACTCCCGGCTCAACTCCAAAATCTGAACATCGTCAAGCGAAAGAAAGGTTTTCACGCCTTGTCAGCGGCAATCCCTAGGCAGATCAAGATGTTCGCTGCCTTCCGCTTCGGGAAGGATCTCTGGGATCCGTCCCACCGCTTCGAGACCTCGTGGCTTTTACCTCCTTACCTGTTGGCAGCCTGTCGCGCGCTCATCGTGAGTTTTTACCCCTATCGCCTCCGGCATTCATGGTTTGCCCTCATCACAGCCATCGCCACCACCCCTTAATCAATTGCCTGCTGCCATACCCGCACTGGGGCCTGCTCTATTGGAAACTAACGATTTCCCTCTACAGAGTCTCTACATCTTCGTCGTTCGCTTTTTCATCATCGGCTGGACGTGTTCTCGCGAAGAGTACGGCGGTTGCGATGACGTCTCCAAGAGCTTCTCCTTCTTCACCGTCCTCACGTACTGGGGTCTAGGCTTCTACTTCCTCATCTCCGCCATCCATACCTTCACCTACGCGCACTCAGGCACCCCGCTGCTCGATCGCTTCCCGCGCCCTCTGCAGGCTCTCCACGCCTTCTACTACACCACCGTGACCACCTATCCGTTCATCGTGACGATTGTATACTGGGGCATTCTCTTCAAGGGACCGTGGTACACCGACGTGTTCGAGGCTTGGAGCAACATCTCCCAGCACGCTCTGAACTTGGCGTTCTCCCTCTTTGAGATCATTATCCCGCGCACCAGCGCCGCCCAGCTTGAATGGGTACACATGCTCTGGCTAATCATTGTGCTCGCCCTGTACCTCTCCCTCGCCTACCTGTCGCATTACATCTACTTGAAGGACCACAACGAGTACTTTTATCCCTACGGCTTCCTCGACATCGCCAAGAACGGCAGCGGTAAGACGGCGGCGTATATCGTCGGTATCGCCGTGGCCGGCATCGTCTTCTACCTTGTCGTCAAGGGCCTCATCTGGCTGAGGGAGTGGGTGACGGAGCGCAAGCTGGGAATGGACGGCAAATTTGCCCAGCAGCGTTACCATAACTACGACGCGGAACTGGGAACCATCAACAGCAAGCACTAGACTGGGCTGGCTGTCGAGCACCCCGTTGTTGGTTCATATATACATGAGTATATATATATATACCATTTCGGCAGCGCGCAAATCGTAAAATTTACGCGCTGTGGGCACGTTCACAAGGTCTTATTTAGGAGTAGGGAAGATTTTTTCGGAACAGGAGCGGACTGGCTGCATTGTCTATATACCCCCGGAAGGGACGGTGGTCGCTGTCCCTTAATTGTCACGATTCGCATCACGACACGAAGAACAGACGTAGAAGCAGTAGTATACAACAGCGTAGCTGTCTAGTATTGTAATACACTTTAATGACAAAGGAGTGGTAAATCGATTCTATCAGCACTTCAGCGAGATGCCCCTTCTCAACTCCGACTCGCGGATCTCAAACATGACTTGGATGCCCACGAACAGTGCCGAGCATGCAGTGATGAAGAATAGCACACCTATAACATCGTGTGTTAGAACATGATTTGTCTTTTTTCTTGAGGGATACACTGATGAGAGGGTGAGCGTTGCGCCACTTACCTGACCACTCATGCAAGATGCCGTGGATAATGCTCTGCAGACCGTCCAAACCAACCGCGAAGCCGACCAAGTTGGCAATCATCATCATGAGCACGTTGGCAACGGCTCCCGCACCGCACAGCCACCGGTACTCCCTCTGTCTGTTCTCCCACTTCCTGGCGGGGAAGAGGAGCCCTGCGACGACCTCGGGAAGAAGGAAGAGAACAATGAGCCAGCCCCAGATGAGCAGGCGCAGGCGGATATCATGCCAGAGAGCTACGAAAGTGAAGACCAGCAGGTAGGTAGCAATAGACCGGACAGTGGTGGTCCAAGAGCGGAAGTTTGCGCCGCCGAGGGGTATGTAGATGTAGCGGATAAGCCAGCGGTTGTATGAGCGGTGCCAGGCCTTCCAGAAGGACCTTGGCGACCAGTTGTTCGAGACACAGCGAAGCATGTTCTCGGGCGGGTCGACGCCGTCGAGGAGAGCCCAGAGACGGAAAAGGCGCCAGGGGAGGAGGAGCTTCAGCCATATGATGTGGAGGTTGAAGTAGGACAACAGGGAGAGCTGAGCAGGAGTGTAGGAGGACCAGTTGGGTCCCGCCTTGGAGATGGCACAGACGTAATCGTAGTGGAGGATAACCTCCATCGCGAGCAGGACGAGGACGAAGCGGACGGCGTAACGGAAAGTGCGGCCGGTCTCTACAGAGACGGAAGGATGGCGGAGCTGGGAGATGAAGTCGTTATAGGTCATAATGGGCCCGACAAGGTAGAGGGGCGCGTAGATTGCGTACGCGAGGTAGTTGCGAAAGGAGTAGTCTTGGGGAGCGGCGGAAATGGCGAGGCGGTCCCGTTCCGAGAGATTCGCGGGGTCGAGCTGCTTCTTCTTGGGGATATCAGTACTGAGGAGAAGGAGATGGGGTGTGAGACAAGTGGGGGACTGTTCTTACCTCTAATGCGCTTCCGCCGCGCTGTTCGAGGCTGAAGTAATAGTCCAAATTGAAGCTGATGAGGCGGAGGACGGTGATGTTGAAGAGGACCTCCCACCGCGACATCAGCCCGCCATAGGAGTCCATCCAGGCGCCCCATCGCACGAGGAAGGGGTCATCCTCCAGCACACTCTTGTTCGCCGGCGGCGGGGTAATAAACTGCGCGATGGCGGCAAATTTGTACCCCTTGCAAATCTCGTTGGCGAAGAGCATACAGACGTTGAAGATCCATGTGGCGGCAGGGACGTACCTGCGCGGAAGGCGCGTGGCAAGCTGGTAGTTGATATGAAGAATGGTGAGGACCTTGAGGGCAGAGAAGCCATGCAGGGCAACGAGGAAAACGAGGGCGAAGCGGTAGTCAAAGGAAGCGCGCTGCTCGAGACGAGCATCGCCTTGTTCTGTTACGGACTTCTTATGCAAGTCCGCGGGGACCGGGAAGACGGCGTTCCACAGCTTGCGGAGGAGGGGATGGAAGATTAAGAGGAAGCCCATGGCGGGAAGGTTTCGGCGGAAAGTGTTATACTGCGAGTCGGAAATATCCTTGATCGTGGAAAGATTTGTGTAAGTCGTTTTTTTCATGGAAGAGAGGGGTAAGGATGCGGCTCACAATCTTACGCCCTGGGATCCAGCCGTCGGCTAGGAAGCGCTCGTAGTTGTGGTATCGGGGGTCAGAAGCTGTCCGAGGGGAAGGTCAGTAAAGCTCTGATTATATGGTCTCAGAGGAGCTACCCACGCCTTGACACATCATAGGCAACCCAAAACATGTATGGCAACAGGCAGGCGATAATGAGTAGGTAACAGGAGAACTCTGGTGTTTTCCATTTTGATGGCTGTGCTCGACTCTGAGCTTTGCTCGACGGTTCTTTGCTCTGCGCAGGATCCGTTCGCGCCTCGATGACGGTCTTGTAGGGAACAGAAGAGGAGTTCGTGAAGCGAGTGTCAAGGTTGTCGAGGTCGTAGATGCTCCTCAGGAATTTGAAGGGGCCACCCATGGTGGGCTGATGGTGCTGCTTGGAGCTTGACGCGTGTGCGGGGAGAATCGAAAAGGACGGTACTTGGAGATCTCTAGATCATCGTTGTTTGTTAAGAATAGGGAGAGTCCCCCAGGACTATGTTGAATGAGGGTAAATTGGTAGCCAGGTTGGTCGATGGTCGAGGACCGAAGTGGGAGATTGTGGGAGGTCTCGTGTCCGTGGATCGCATTTCCGTCCCATGTGTCCAATCGACGGTACGGTTATTTTTGTGACGCAAGGCTGCTAAAGCAAGCAAGCTAAGCTCAGGCACAGATACCTGGGTGCCCCATAGCACTGTGACCTGCCAGTTGCACTGCCCGCAAAGCTGGGGCTCCTTTTTTCTTCTAGAGCGTCCCAATTGGCGGGGGTGATCGACAATACCCCTTTTTCTGCGCTGGGGTTAAGGGTCGTCTTGCATGCCTCGGTCCCTGGATTGCAGGCATACAGCACCTCCACGGAATTCTTGCGACCAATGGCGGTCAACCATTACAAAATTTGGAACGCGTACTCGGAAATGCACAACATGAATCGAGGATTTAGCTAACTTCAGCATTTACTGTTGTTAATCAGAGGCAGTTTGCCTGATTTCATAGTTACTTTCCTACTGCTGTTGTTACTCAAGCTCAGAACAGCAGTCAATTTGTTCGGAGCAGTCGTAAGTTGGGCAAAGACACCACGTTACTTTGAGGTTCTTTGGACTTGGGCTTATAAGTCAGTTCACGTCCCTTAACCACCACATACGACCGTGCCTACTAGAAAGCTCCGAGTCCCGTTCACTCTCTCATGTATAAGCCAGTGAGGACTGGACTAGATCACCTACACAGACCAGTATCCTTGCTGCCTAAAGGTCCGTCAAAACGGACCTCTGTTCTCTACTCGTCAGCGCCGTAAGGCTCGCCCGTCTGTGACTATTTCAATCCGCCCATTCGCACTGACGAAGTTGACCCGCTGCCGTGCCCTCTCGGTATTGTAGATTCAGCCTTGGTGTCATTCCGGCTCTCAGAATCCTACATGAAGTTCTCGCCATACTGTATCATGCAGGCCCCACCACCTCCCTCGACACTTCAACCCACGCAAAGGTTCCAAAGTGCCCATTGTAATTCAGCTCATCAGACTTATTATGATTCCATTCACGATACTTGATGTGGTTCTGGTCGAAACTCTCATGGTTTGTCTCGCAAGACTTGGCGTGATTGTGATCGATCAATCACCCCCTTCTACGCCCCGAACGCCCCTTTCTGGCAAGAAAGAACCTTGAAGCGGCGGCTTGCCCCCCTTCCTCTCAGTACATCCTGCGCTATCTTGCAATCATCAAGCCAACGGAGCAGGCATTCACTCCGCCTGCGTGGCATCTCAGCACTACTTTCCCTACGATGAACCTCTGGTTGACCACAACGATGCATTTAAGTTTGAGATTGTTGGCAGGAAAGACAACAATTACAATCACTCCTTCGGATTGACCAGACTACATGAGATGTCCTGCGAGGAATTCTCGACTCCGTAGACAGGCTGCACTTAAAAGTCCACGTTCTTATTTGATAGATCCATTGTCGAAGACACCAGGTTAAATTCCAAAATAAGTTACTGTCACACAGCCAGTGGGGACCTCAACCACAATCGATTTGGTACTTGTGTGCAAATGTTTAGGGGGTACAGGTGGCAGAGCAATCAATGACAGGGATACGTTGGATTTGACCAGTCAATGACCAATCTGCAGGTTCTACGTGCAGGATGACCGATTAGAGCAAGCGGCATCACAGCCGCTTCATCTCCCTGCCTGATTTCCCCTCATTAAGCATTGTTGCGCAGCTGTTTTAGCTAACCTTGATCTCTTCCATCACCCAGGCATATGGAACAGCAATCGAAGTCAAAATCATGAGTAGGAAAAAGGACTCTGAGCTTCTCAAGTATCTGGCTGGTGCCAAGCCCCACGGAAATCGTCAGCCAGTAAGAGACCCCTATACAGCCAAACATTTGATAGTAATCATACCAGCAGCGAAGCACATTGGAAGCGGACATATCAGAGGAGAGCCTCTCGCATGGTGAGACCGATGGCTCTGGGACGGCGAACGATGCCGGTATCTCCGGCACTGTCTGGCTGAAACCAAGAGATGTACAGACAAACCTGGATGATGCTTCTAACCACGAAGCCTTCTCTGAACCCGAATCTAAAGCCTGGACTGAGCTGAAAACAGTCGGTCCGGACACTGTGACTTCTACAGACTTACTGACGATACGAGGTTTGGATTACCTGGATGCAAAAGGGGCCATTGACAAAATCACTATTGCATCTTCAGGCGGCCCAACTACAGCAAACTCGACTGGGCCCGCCTCGCTTGCACTCAAATGGCTGTGAGTTCTTTTCTCCTCCTTTTATCAAGTAGGTTGGCACAAGAATCGTGCTTGTGGGTGTCTACTAACCGAAACTAACGCTCAAACGTCCATGTGGCAGTCATATTACGAGGCCTTCGATAAGTTTGTCGATACTTGAGGTCGCCACCCCCCCTAGGAACTCCAAAATTGGACAGCTAACGAACAGCGCAGCGATACGTACAAGCCTGTCCACTGGTTTCCCAAGATATGCAAGCTGTCGCAAAGGCAGTTTTCAAAGAGGTGGGAAGGAGGTTTGCCACAAGCACCGATCGAGGTTCCTATGTGGAACCTGGGGCCATACTTCGCTATGTAGGCAATTATCCTCCAACAAAAACGAAAATGCGTCGAGAAACTGAGCCAGTCACGTTCTCTTCCTGCCCTTATTTCACATTTCAAGAAAAGGGGAGTACAGTTAGAGGAGCTGCCCAATTCCCACAGACGCTCTTACACCACCTTTATGGCTATGATTTCGGAGGTGATTCTGCCGTTGGCCAAGTAATGCAAAGCTTGGGAGCTGAAACTTCGAAGAAAATGCTTCATGTAGCACAGATTTGGTGTCTATTAATCGGTTCAGGTACGTGAAGCATAGCAACATCCTCCCCGCCTCGCTGAGACTCATAATATACTGTCGCCAGATTGTATTATTACCATGTCTCCGGCTTCATTTGAACACGTCAAAGGGGAACACATAACAGTGGATTTATCAAGGGCACCTAAGCCAAGATTAAGGAGGGCCACACTGGTGTACGAGCGCTCAAACAAAGAGCGCAGGTATGAGTTACCTGTAGCTGAGGGCTGGAACTATGTGGTTAGTTTCTATTGTAGTAGATCCATGGCGAAGGATAAATGTCACACTAACAAATGTCCCTCGACGCAGGACTTCTTGCAGCATGTCATGAAAACCATCAACAAGCCAGCATGGAGAGCATCCCAGTTTTTTGTTGTAAACCCAAATCGCCGGCGCTTATCTCCAAAGGCTTGGCTCCGTCTCATGGCGCGGGGTTCAACAGAACTCGGCGTCTTCCACCTGATTAAAAAAACGCACGATGATGATGATCTGAGGTATCGTGTTATGCATGTGGCTTCGGATTCTGGCCTCTCTAGTACAGATGATACCTCATCAAGCTCTTCTTCCGGCGAAGACCCTTCCTCCGACAGCAACTGGAACCTATCAGAACCAAGACTATCTGGGGAAGGAGATACCGCTGCCGCTAACGTTGAATCTCTGGGATATACCGGTGCAAGGACCGTCATCGAAAATTTACAGACCTGGAGATCTAGCAACCATCTTGATGACGTTTCTGAGCATCCGTGGTTTACCGCTCTCCGAGTTCCACCTTCTATTGGTGAAACGGGGGCTAAGCCTCAGCAAGGTAACTCAAAGCTAGACGACGTAAAGACTACGATACAAAACTCAAACGGAACGCAAGATGAAGACCCGGACAGTAGCTCAAGTTCGGACTGGTCCGACGATTTGGAAAGGGATTATATGCTTCAGACGCGACGTCAGTTTTCTGGGACAAACCGGAGAACAGGCTTGATACCAGTCTCCTTTCCTTTTCTTCTATGGCGAACCAAGAAGACAGCGAATAGAAATACTGAGGAGATGGAAAAAGATTTGTTAACTGCCCTAGACTACATTCACGACCACATTTCTAGCAGTTGGGATGGCAGCATGTACAAGCCAGTCTTCAGGTGCACTCTAGAACGGCTTTTACTGCGTAGCAGCTTCTCTCCGGAAACGAATGAGATGCGTGCCCCCCGATTGCCAACAGATAAACAGGGGAAGCCTATCATTGACGCGGGGCTAGATGCTGTAACACATGAAAGACGAGCAGGCGATTCATCAGATAACAAGAACATTTCAGAAACACCTTTTCAACCCCTCAACAGCCCTAAAATCGCCAAGAAAACTGGCAACGACGGTATAGAAGCAAACTTAAGCGTAGGAGCGCACTCTGGCTCTACCCCTAAAGAGACGAAGGTCTCAAGTGTGGGAGCTGAGGATGTCGCCAAACAACCCATCACAGACGTTCCGCAAGAACATGACTTTGGGCGAGAGTATGGGGGCATTCCTGTTGACCCCTCACGAGATGACACCCTCCTTATGAAAGAGTTGCTCGAAGTATCAAGGAGCATCATGTCAGCATTTGTGCCGCATGATGGATGCAGCGACCACGACTTCATAGTCCGTTTCTGGGGCTCTTTGGACAAAATATGCCGCGTATGTTATCGTTGTGAAACTACATTATTTCCATCTGATTGGTTTTTCGAAACAGCAAATCAACTGGGCTTCAGCTCACCATGAGCAACGCCGCACTTCAACCTATAGTATCCGGAACTTTGATCATCTCGGGGATTCTAGAGCCGACCCTGACTCAGATTGGCGCCCGGCACTGAGTTGGTCCGATTGTCCGGAGTGCAACGAGCATAGAGTGTACACTTCCTCGACGACGGCCCTCGGTCACTTGCATTTGGTGCACTTCTTCTGCACGTACAACAAGACGAATGAACGCCCATTCAATGACCCTTGTTACGTTTGGCTCCTACAGAAGACCTCAGGAGATGTCAGGCGCCAGTACGTTTCAAATGCCGCGCGAGAGTTTGTCAATGATCTCTGGGATTTCGACCGAACAATCCAGGGACTTCATGCTCTTGTTGCCAGGCCGTCAAACCTGACCAAGGCGGCGAGTATCCCGCGGCCGCTTCTACCAAATAACCTGAAGCTTGCATTTAGTGCTATCCTCGCCATTTACATCGTTCATGCCAGGCGGCTCTCCCTGGAAAATGAGGCTTGCCTGTTCAATCCGATCACCAAACAGCAGTGGTTGGAAGGAGACAGAACCAGGAGAAACGTTAAACTTGCGGAGGAGCGACAGGCTATCACTAGAAACAGGGTAGAAGAGCTTCTCCAGCTTGCTAGACAAGGCATTTTGGGATTGGAGCACACGGAGAGCGCCCAAATCAACCTCAACGACTGGGCGAATCCGAGGTCCAAATCAGTAGGGCTGGAGTTTCTGGCGCTCGCAGTGATGAGCGGGCTGCAGAACAGGCCGGTCCTGCCCGACCCTGTGACCAACGTCGAGGAAATCTATAAGATGTATATGAATAACATCCGTCTCCAGGCTAGCCGGCGGCCGAACCGACGCTTGTTCCTCCAAATGAACGCGCTGCAAGAAGAGCTCAACGCCGTCCGCAGTGTCGTTGCTTGCCAGCGAGACCTGCTTGACAAGTACCTGTGGCTCCTATCTCCAGACTCGTTCCGGGCTTCTAATATCAAACGTTCGAGGCCCTTTGAGAACGAGCGCATCTTTGCGACCCGACAGCTCAGATCTCTGCGGGCCAGAGATGCGAAACTCGCCTTGTTGAAGGATATGGCAGGAACGTTCCGTGAACAGTTCAAACAAACCATTGAGGTCCTCGAGGAGGATCATGGGAAAGCGATTAGAGTGTTCACCATCGTCACACTGTTCTTTCTCCCAATGTAAGCCACCGTTACGAGAGAGTTCTTGAGGTATTTTTGTGCTCATGCTCTGGACACCGCGCTGACATGGTCCAGGTCCTTCATTTCTAGCTTTTTTGGTATGAATACAACGGATATTCGGGACACACCCTACAACCAAGGGTTCTTCTGGATGGTTTCCATACCTGTAACGGTTTTTGTTCTCATAATAGCTTTTACTTATAGCTACAAGGGGGATGAGATCAGCGACTGGATTTCTTTGAAACTAGACGAGCAGCGCCAGAAGTTGCGTACGGATTCAACAAACCCAACACTGAACGCTGGCTTTTCTAGAGTAGAGCCAAGGGAAGCGGTAGAAGGGTTGACGCGCAGAACGACGTGGGCATCCTGGGCAGAATTCCGGCGAGTAAATAAAGAAGGAAGATCTTTACGTGCTAGTAGGCGGAAAACTGCAAGACGCTCTACTCGGCGACGTGTCCATAATGATGATTCATCAATGTCGGACAATCTCATAGATGACTAATGGGCTGTAGATCAAGATGCTGCGGTAGAAGTTAAGACGGTCGGTAGAATCGTTGATCCCGGAACAGGCTTTCGGGAGACCATTTTGGCTATGGTTCAGAATCTGTGAAAGTACAGGGGCCGCCGCGCTGTTCTGTTTTGCATCATGGCTACACCAATACATTATTTGCCCTCGTCTACTTCTCAGGAATAGAAAGATAGCGGCAGAGCCGAGAAGAAGTTCAATTACAAAAATCAAACTATGATCAAAGTCACTTTGAAAGACTCTGAGTTCCCTGCCGAATTTGACCTGCGGTGGTTGATGTTACCAGATGGGAATTTCAGAAAGGATGATTCTATTCGCCAAGTCATGAAGGCAGCATTACATGCGCATTTGTAGGCGTAGGCAGTATACGGGAGACTAGTGCCCGGGAAAATTGCAATGTAGAGACACTGCCATCACAGTAGAGCTGATTGTAACTACTACCAGGAGCACTCGCTTCAGGTTGATCATCATGACCGGGGGGGGGGGGGGGGGGGGGGGGGGATAGAATTGGATCACAGTCCAGCAAGCAATGGTGTTACCCAGATGCTGAAAAATTTACCATGTCACAAGTTCGGCGCCTTATTTATTACGATACTCTTGGAATTGTTCCTCTGCCACCTGTCGTGAAAGATTTCATTCATACACACTACTACGTGTCTATTACTAGCTCTATCAAGCTACAGCGAAAATTTACTATACAAGCCTCTCTTAATCTATAAAGCGAAGGATGCTCCCGTTCAAACTGTCCTCGAACCTAGGCGCACCGGAGAACGGCGTTAGCCTCCGGTCCAGCCGTCATGTCAAGTGATTGAACTCAAACTATTAACGTGTATTGGTTGTCGGCTGAGGTAGTACGGGTGATATACATGAGAGCCAGCGGATGATGGCTTGCACCTCCCCACGGCGCCCGGGCTGAAATCGGACAGAAAAAGAGACCCGGCACTGTTCACCACCGACATACGCTACCAAGAATTCCTAGAGACAAAGTTTGTTCTCAGATTCTATAACTTCCACTAAAGATGAGAAATAAGGATTTGTGTTATGCGTCAGTTCATAGGTTCATGTGTATCAGAATATGTTGCCGGTACAGACACTAGTTCGACAGCGTAGATGGGGTGTATAGATAGTTCAGTTGTTTGTACGCAGACCCAAGGGGCCCGAGAGATATATACAGGTTTATGTACAGCTTGAAACAAAATATATGTGCAAGAAATGATCCAAGTAGTGATCATATGTTCAATCCAAGTGTGTATAACGTGGGGCAGACAGTGCTTTTACGCCCCTACACGGTTGCAAAATACTGCCACTACTTAAGGAAGAAGCTCAATAGCATCAAAACTGACACCAGGGCTGAGGAACTTGACTCCAGAGCTGCCGGAAATGCTAGTTCTATCTGTTAGCTAAGCTCAAAAATCGGACATATAAGGCTACGAACATGTTGATGGTGAGGATTTGGTACTCGCTTGTGCTTTGAATCCAAGCGGACTGAGGAACAGCATATGTGAGCTTCACATTGTTTCCACGGTATGTGCCAACACTTTCGGGTTCATTAGCTTATATCTATCAGAGTTGGTGGTGTCGAGCGGAGTGAAACATACGTGAGCGAGCGGGTGCTGGCCTGCTTAGTAGCGGCAGGCAAGGCAGAGGACCACTGGTTGACCTTGATAGAAGGACGGCCACCAATGTAAGCCTCAGTGAGACCAATACGAACGGTATGGCCGGACTTGAGCTGCTCGGCATTAAGCTTGAAGTAGATGAGGTAGCCACTGTTGACCTCCTTCCACATGTAACCGGGGAAGCGGTTGGCGGAGTGCGTTCCGACTAATACAAGTTAATCATATACTTAAAAAGAATTGGTATTGTTAAACGGGCTTACCAATGAAGTTGCCCGCGTTCCAGGTCGCAATGCGCTTGTCGGAGGGGTGCATGTAGGTCAGTTTCATTGGTGTATCCTCGAAGTTGAGGAAGCCACGGGGAGTTCCTAAGGTTTATCAGCATTAAGGAATCAATTCTTCGGTGTTTCAAAACTTACCGTCCCACTCTCCAATGCGCCAGATGGTGGCATCATCTTGGGGGTCAACACAGGTGAGCGTGTTCACGGCGGAGCCCTTGCCGGCGGTGATGGTGACGGAGGAGGTGGCAACCTCAAGCTCGTCCTTGTAGACGGTCACTGTATAAGTGCCGGGGATGATCTTGGTAATAGACCAGGCTCCGTTGGCACCTGCGGTTGCCCAGTACTGAGCGTTGGCGTTGCTGAGGCCGACAACGTAGGTCTTGCCGCTCTTCATGTTCTTCAGACCGACACCGCTGGCGTATCCACGACCAGAAGCGGGAACCCAGCCGTCGAGCTTGTGATCATGTCAGTAAGATTGCCTCAGGGGTTTATAGAGTAACTTGATACTTACGCCCTTGTCATCGAACCAGGACCAGTCGGCCTTGCGGGCGAACAGGTTGCTGTTAGGGTCCTCGCCATTGGTGAAAGAAAGAACGGAGGGACCCTGAAGGCCGGTGCGCATGGGGTCGGTGTGGCCCATGTTGTAGTAGTAGATGTCGTACAAGTCCTCTCCCGTGGGGTCGGCACGGCGAACAAGGGAGCGGAAGAAGGGGCCGCCAGAGGCCTTCTCGTGGTTGCTCTAGTAAACAGATGTTAGTCCTCTGCGGCCATTCTTACATCGCAGTATCAAAACTTACTCGGATCATAAACAGACCGACACCGCTCTTCTTGCGGCCAACGTAGTCATCTGAAATGGTCAATATGCTTTGGGTGTTGTTGATAGATGATGTCGCTTACAGTCAATAGTCCTGCCGTAGTTGGAGCCTTGGTAGTGCTTGCTCTTGGTCAAGCCGGCACTGTTTACGTTAATGTCCTGAGCCTCGATAATGCTGCTGCCGCCATCATAAAAATCACTCTCGGTAGAACCGTGAGAGAAGATTCCACCCTTGATTCTAACGATGTAGCGCATGGCAGAGATCGAGTTGTCCTTTTTGTTTGTGAACAAGTAAACATTGTTGTTGCCATATCGGACAAAGATCCAGTGCTTCAAAGTGCCGTGAACAACAGAGACCTTGATGACGTTTGAGTAACTAGCGATGCTGACGGTGCTAGCGCCCAAGCCAGATTCGACGTGGGTGTTCTTGCCGCCCCAGCCGTTGTACTCAACACCCTTGAACTTGAGCGAAGAAATGTCACCGCAGCACTTGGTGACCTTGATAACGAGATCGGCACCAGAGTCGATCACATACTCGCTGCCGCTGTCAGACCAGCCGAAGGCTGCAAACACGGCCGACGGCAGGAGGAAAAAGGAGAGGAAGAAAGAGAGCAGCAACATCTTGCTAATAGTCGATTCGTCAAACCCTGAGTAAAGGAGTGAAAATGAAGACCGCAGCAGCAGTGCGGTCTTGTTGGTCTAAAGGAGTGACAGATGAGACGAAAAAGAACAACGACAACGTAGATCCCTTCCTTTCGAGAGGGCGTGAGAGCAACAGAGTTCCATTATATGAGTACCACGTACAAAAGCCATCTCCGCCCTCGACCGCTCCGCCCTCTTCCAAGACCCAAGACCGAAAAGGTTGCCGTATCGGCCGGTAGCGTAGTTAACAAGGCCCCCTTAAGCTTGACCACTTGATGGAACGTCTATGGTGGAATAGATTGGGTGTTACAGCGTATGCGGGGATAGTACGTGCTGATGCCGCCTTCGTCGGCCATGGGTCCTCGGAGGTGGCCCTACCAGGCGTATTGTCCGCGGTCCTGTGACCCACTCGTCATATCCGGCCTCCATGACCCCGGCGCCCACGTTTTGGGAGCACCATTATGCCCATTATCAGACACAGAGCTTTTGAAATCCTATTGAGATATATCATCATCCGAAGGAACGAATCATGGAGCAGCAATGACTGATTCGTGCGCGTAAGGGGCACCAGCGGGTAGGTGGAATCCAAAAGACTCAGCCGGTCAACTCTCTCCACCAACGGAATCCTCCATTATTGAACACTTAGAGTGTCTCCCCATTCTTGATTCATTCAAGGTGGTATTCTAGTTTGTGGTTTATGGAGACAACTTTGTGCTGAGGAGCAGTCCGCGAATAGGCTTAACCGCGACCCTGATCTTGCTAGGTCTACACCTCGACTGCCAATATGCCTCTGGTCCAGAAAGTTGCAATCTAACAGTGATCAAAAAGGGTTGATATTGCTATCGATCTGAATTATGAACAAGCGGCCTCCAGCGAAATGCCGGTCGTTGTCCGTAGTTAGACAGTGGTATCCACGTAGGGTAGGATCAAATCCTCCGTTTACTGCCGGGAAAGCCGTTTGCTGTTATCTCCGCTTCAGAATACCAGGCACCACTCTACTACCACCCTTTCAAATTCCGAGGGTATGGACCACGGTGCAGACTATTGACACCTCATTCGGTTGTCTGAAGACTCTAGCCCGCTTCATGGTTCGTGGCTACTCGCTTCTCATGGTGAGAATCGAGCACCTGTCGTTGTTACGCAACAAATCCACAGTGAATGGAGTCAACTTTGCAGTCAGTGGGGTCCACTCTATCTCTTTCGGTGACTGGGCTTAACCAAAAACCCTTAAGGCGTCTTGTTTGGGAAGTGGCTCCTATTATGGGTCCTGTTTCCGGATCAAAGGGTCCACTGAAGAGGCTCGTCCCTGCGATTTGCGAGGCTTGCCTTACCACTTTCGAGTCAGTACCAGCATCACCTGAAGCTCGGGCTTGGTAGCCAAGAAGACAAGCTAACGGGTTTCCCGAGTGCCAATGCAGAGCTAAAGACACCAAAGGATAAAGGTTCAGTCGGCAGTGTCAGTAATGCCAATTCTGGCTAAATAAACGCCTCACAAAACTTGGAAGTTCAACACCCGGGGCAAAACTTGTATCATCCAGATAGATGGAATAACGAAGAGATAGCTACCACGTGTTAGAAGGTATAATACCGGTAAATTAAAATCGCTAAAGCAACTGCGGGTGGATCCAAAATCCCTTTAGGGAGTCAATATTGGATTAGGAGATGACGTTGGAGAATTATTGGAGTGCCAGTGGCAGATGATGGCTCAAGCGCTTCGTCCGATGTTTTCGGGCCACCCCGGTCGCCCCTATCGGCCCGCACCCGATGTCTCCGCCAACGATCCCCCGGAACTCTCCGGACATTCGGTTTGGTCTTTACCGGTTGCTTGTGGTGAACTTTTGACGCTTCACTCTCTTGTCGACATAAGGACGAACTAGCTGAACACAGCCGATCGGTAAGGCTGTATTGGATATATTAGTATCAAATAATGAGCCAAGACCTGCCATCCGCCCATGGACCTAGCAAAGAATGTAACCCTTAGGCCTCATGCATTATAGCCCTAGACTTAGCGTATGCAAGATGTTATGATGGAAGTCGCTAAATCAGAACTGCACCTGCATGTAGATGAATAGTGACAGTTTCTTAGCTGTTTCCAATGTTCACACTTGCCCTCAGCCTCGACCCTGGCGCCAATCAGTTCGGTTCATGGCTAGAATCCAGTTATTGCCGCAAAGTGTTTCCGTGTTCATTGAGCCGGCTTTCAAACAATCTGTAAACCGTTTGCGCCTTACCTTCGAGGGTATCGTACCGCTGACGGACCATGTTAATATCGTAAAATGAGAGACACCTCGGACGCTGAAGGAATGTTTATGTGGAACCTCTAGGGAAACTACAAGAGCGCCAACAGTGCCAGAGATTCAAAATCATTGTGAAAACGGCTAACTGATTGCTTTACGATTTTCGTAAAGGGCTAGAGCTATTACGAGTGTGATTCGCCCCCTTAGAACCCTCAGCATTCGGCGGCCCTCCGGGAGCTGCTGCGTGGGGCTTCTTGCTCGCGGCGCCAGCCACAACTGCCATTCTCACGATGGCTTCACAGCAACTGGCAATGGCAAACTAGATGTGTAAACTGTATTTCAACTCTAATTGGCAATAAGCCAATCCGAGAAGGGGGGCAGATTTAAGGTTGAACTAATCCGCGAAGTGAGTTTTAGCCATCACATGACGAAAGAAGAAGAAAAAAACGTCCGTGCATGGCATCCTTTCCGTTGTAATATCGGAGCGCCTGCTCCAGGAGGAGGGCTCCGATTCATATGGACCAAGAGCTACTTCGGAGCATTCCACTATGTTCCATGGGAATGCCCAAATTAGAAAGCGGTGGTGTCCGATGTGGGAAGAGTACTACGATCTGGATCCTTTGGCAGCAAACCTCGGCTTAGCCATACCCATGGAAAGTGGTGAAGAAGTGGAGACAAGTACGTCAACTAGGATGGGTTTCAAAAAGCCCCAGGTGGCTCATAGACTAGAGTCGCATGGCTGAAGACCATGGAAAAAATGCGATGTCAATAAATCTCAAGAGGAGCAGTCAGTCAGACGGCCGTTATGATAGAGTTGATGTACCTAGGATAAAGACAACGCAGACGCGCTGGCATGTGTATACCTTGCATCGCATACCTATACTTGCGTTGGTATTACTTTAGAACACAACCTTTGTTGGTGCCAAAGCTGTAGCCGGCGGCTGGTGAGGCAGGATAACCTCCATCCTGCGTGAACTGTTCAAGCGAAGTCAAACCAATTTGAACAACTAAGTAGTTAACACCACCGGCTTCGCCACAGCAAACGGCAAGTAAAATGGGAACGAGACCAGCGACATACATGCTCCGAATACAACACCATTAACGAGAAATAATGCTAATTGAAGGAGGTGCTCTAATTGCAACTCTCCAACGACAGGGGGCAAAGATTGAAGAAAATCAGAGATAATCAAGTGCCATTCATGAACTCGTAAGTTTGTACATAGTGCACAGAAAATATAATTCATCTACCCATCAATCGGACACCTGTACTCTCTCGCATGGCTCTCAATTCTGCGGGTCTCTCCTTCGACCTCCGGTCGAGCCTGATAGGCATCCAAACAACTCCGGTGATAAATGTGTCTGCAAGCCAGCACGACCAACGGTCCGAGCGGCTGCTCTTTGGGTCTTCCGACAGCATCGTTCTGCCCATCGATGTCCCCTTCTGCTTCTGCCTCCATGTCCCCGCTCGTCGGTCCTGGTACAGCCGCTGCCGCTTTGCCCTTCCCCTTTGAGTCGTACACAACCTGGGACGCCTCACCTGCCACCGGAGATGCCTTGCCTTTGCCACGCTCATCCGAAGCAGCGATTTGGGCCTTCCTATCGGCCTTGTGCTGTTCGTCACGAGCTTGCTTCTCTTCCCAGGCTTCGAAAACGTTTCCGGAGACGCCTGGGCCCCATATGCGGCGACCGCAAGCCTCGCACGTAGAACCTCGCGGACGCCATCCACGTTGCCGGAGGTCGACGGCTTGCTTGACATTGACGAATAAGCTCCGCTCCAGAAGACGGTTTGAAAGCCGCAAGATAGACTCTTCGTACGCATATGCCGAGAATATTGAAGCCAGCACTGAGCGAAGATCCGCTAGGTTGGGCGACGATGCCGCGGCCCGAGTCAAAAAAGCACGCAAGATACGTAGGAATGATAGATTGCTTCCTGCGTTGGTCAGAAGCCGACCTCCAGCCTGAGCTCCCGCAGGACTAGATGTTGTTGTAAGAAGAGCCGTGAATGTGTGCTGCACTAAAGATCGCAAAAGCGCCAAGAGCTTCTCCTTGTCCAGGTTGTCCAAAGGCTCTCTTTGGGCGTCTTCCTCTGACGAAGTACCATTTTGTGCAATGCTTGACGATTCGATAGTAGAAGATATGGACCGCGTCGTCTGCACTGCAGCATCAATTAGGCTCAACCAGAGCTCTTCATCCGGTGACAGTATTTCCGTAGTTGATTTCGACTTTCGCTGTTGAACACCGTTCGCTTTTCTCGACGACTTGGTTTGGCCTTGACATAGCCAAATGCCCACATGAACATACTTTTGCAACGCTCGCAAAGTCTCTTCAGCTTCCGACTGCAAGCCATTTGAGCTTTGCCTCTGGGCACTGGTGAGAATGCCTTGCAAGGCTGACTCTAGGGTGCCGAGGTGCTTCACAAGCCTGTCCATGGCATCCTTGACTTGACCTTCTCGTGCCATGAGAACCACGGCAGCGTCGATCACGCCCGTCTCTTCCATAGCAGGCAGCAGAACGTCCAGCCTAAGATTCACGGACTGCACTAGGCCGATATAGTCTGATACATGAGATGGATCGTACTTGCACATGAGCTGAACGTAGCGCTCGATGAGGACACGATCGGGGCTTGCGGTTGGTTCTCCGTCTCGTGTCTCGGGCTCGAGCAACGTCCGTAGGTAAAAGAACTGCAGCTCCGGTGCGTCTGGGGCAGAGTCGAGCACGTGTTGATGGATATCCGCAGACTGCGCTGCTAAGACCATCGCCGCTTCGGGTGGGTTTATTCCGAGGAGTTCCCTGGCGTTACTTTTGATTGCTTCGAGGACGTCTTGAACCTGTCGGTGGTTCAGGCCACTGTGTGGCCGAAGACAGTCGCCAATGCATTCAAAGACGGCGTCCCGGTCAGCGGGGTCTTCGAAATAAGTCTGGACAAGCTTGCCATACTGTTTGTCAACCTTGTATTGCCTTTTCAATATCCGATAGAAGCCCGCTTTCTTGAACATAGGAATTAGCGCGTTAACATCGGGTGGCTGATATATCGACAGCAAGTACTCGGCACTGAGTTGCGCGTCTTCGGCAAGGTCAGCTCCGGGGTAATTGCAAAGCCCAGTGAGAACTTTCATAAGCGCTGAGCCGGGGAAAAGCAAATATTGAGGGAACTTTGGAAGATTGCGAGCAATGAACATATCGAGATAAATGGTGTCTTCAGCTGCGAAGTCGGCCGGATTCATAATCTCCAAGAGAATGGAAACAATGTATTGCCGATCGACAGTAAGCCCGAAGATTTGCTCCTCGGGGACGTCGCCTCTAATGCCGCCATTGACCTGCTTCTCGGGAGAGTCATTCAGAAATGAGTCTTCAAAGGCTTCGTTCACAGCGCTCAGGAAGCTTGGGGCATCGAATTTCAGGATCAACCTGAGGTATGGAAACGACGGTTCGGTATGCTGGTCGGGTCGAGTAAGAAATCGCCGGCTGCTTCCTTTAGGCCATGTCACGCTATTGCCTGAAAACAGAAACCAGTAAATCTCAGCCTTAGCCTTCGAGGCGACTGCATCATTCATGGCTTCTCCAGTGGGGTATACTCTGCCCGTCAAAGTATACGAGAGATAGGGGAACATTTTGAGAGCATTAACACCGTAAATTTCGTCTTCCATGTTTCCGGAAGACATGTAATCGCCATTACTCATAAGAGGCAGCAGCAGGGTTAGTAAGTCAATCAACGGCGTGATGTAGTCGTTCAATGCCTGATTCCAAACATATATCAGCGCGTCGTAGAGGCTGTGCTGCTTGCACAGGAGGGTAATCTGGTCCAGATCAAGTGTCGTTGTGTCCATGTGCACGATCATTTCCTCAAGACGGCTCTCCCATCCTTTCGTGACGTAATGGGTAACTGTAGCCTTGACAATACTCGGGGGCACAATGGTAATGCTTTTTTCAAGAATGTATGGCTCCATAGTCTCGAGGAAGATACCCTCCACGCCGGCATCCTCGTACCATTCGTACATTTCGTCAAAGAGGAAGTCGATGTCGCCGACACTATGGCAAGCGGTAAAGCAGATTTCGGCCAACTCTCGGAGATGGGCGTCATCGGCAGCAGATCTGTCTCTTTGCCGCTGCGTGAAAGCGTACTTCAGTGACGCTCTCATAATCTCCATGAGCTTGTCGCGTACCATCGAATGGCGCAGTTCAGTATCCTCAGGCAAACCAATTGTAAGCTTATCAGCATCACCAGTATAGTATGATGTGCCCAGCTGAATAGCTCCAACGTAATCACCATTCTCCATAAGAGCAATAATACGATCCGCCCAATTCGATAGCGAGCCAATGGAGACATCATTGAAACCAAGGAGGAATATTTTACCTTTGTAGGTCTTAAAACTCATGTAGAAAGCATCAGCGACAACGCCATGCATAGACGTATCATCTTCATCCAGTTGCTCCACCAAAGTATGCAACTGCTTGGAGAACAAATCGGCATGATAGATGAATTTGTTTATGAGATCAAAACCCTCCGTCATGCGCATGCTCCGATCCTCAAGCACAATCAAGCGCTGCGTTATGGTCAAAACGGTGAGGACGGAACGACTGAGCCATTGGACTGCGACGATGGCCTCCTCACACTTCCACCTGCTCCGTGCCTTGAACTTCAAAGTTGGCGGCTTATCCTTATTCTCTGACGGTATTTCGTCAACGTCTAAGACGGTCAGGACATTGGACCAGCAGTAGACTAGTTTGACTTTGGAGATGTCGCTGCCTGTGACAGGGTCTGGAACCTTGAGCTTCACCGCAGGGAACCACGCCAGACAGCCGGTCATTGCGCTATGATGTGCGACATCTTTTGGTCTTGCTGATTTATGCTGTGTCTGGGCGACGGGTGTTGTAGACACAATAACCAAGAGGTATGGCGTCAACATGGCTGTCAAGCCCATTGTATCTGTCGCGCGTTCCGTATTACCTAGCGGCAAGGGGCTAAATGCCAGCACAGTACTGGGCTTCAGTGATTTTCCAGCCGGAGGCGCAGCATTCGGGTACCGTCCCAGAATCCTCGTAGTCTTTACAGTCCTACCCAAAGAACCAGTGCCTCTTGTTGCCAAGTGCGAAAACGCCATGCCCCGGTCATCTGCCGAAACAAGCGCAGTGTGCCTGGTTCCTAGGAATCCGAGATGCGTGACCGCGACGCCAGGAAGATGCCCATCCATAATACGGTTTTGCACTTGGGATTGGTCCAAGTGTGGAATAGAGAGGAACGGCCTGGACGCTCGATTTGTCTCCCAGGTGAAAATGCTTCCGTTTGCATGTCCACCAGCAATGGTGGTGTGATCTGCCGATACAGCAATCGCGGTGATAGCGCCTGACTCAACGGCCTTTGTGCCTGGCCCGATAATGGTCTTCAGGACCTGGTTGTAATCAAACATTAATATTATTCCCTTGCTGGTCCCCAGCACAATTGAGGCGGAGACAGCGATGCAAGTAGGGGTGCCAAAGTTGCGCTTGCCAGCCTCCGAAAAGGCCTGGCCGTTGAGTTTCTTCAACCTCGTCCATCGTACAACCTCCCAAGGCGGGGAAGGGGTGTCAGTATCTTCGCGATCGAGTATTCCGGAGCTGAGAGATGCGGATCGGCTATGGCCGGAGAGGAAAGCAGGAGAGGATGAACGTGGGCTATGAATGAAGCTAGAGGAGGAGATGCGGGACTGGAAGCGGCGGTCGAAGGGCCGGAATGATGGGGAGGGACTGCTAAGGCCGGGTCGGGATGCTACGGACGGAAGAACGCTGCTACTCGGAGAAGATATCACGGAGCCCTTGGGTCTACGGTTAGCTTGTGCATTGTAGAGCTGAAAGCTTCACTTGCCTGGACAGACGGCGAGTCGTCCGGTACAGACAGCAGGGAATCGATAGGGCTCCCCACGCGCTTCGGCGCCGCATCAACTGATCCTTCTTCCGAGACATCGTCGGCTTGTTCTCTTAGTATTTGTCGATAGCGATTTGAGATGGTCCCATTTTCGATTGCTGGGGATGTGTTGGATGCCTGTGTCTTGTCATCGTCGTCGCCGTCCAAGGGTCCGACGATGCCGTCGTTGTCCCTCTCGGCATTTACGGTTTCCTCGTCGCTGGAGGCTTGCACGTCCGCAGAGGACCGGTCTTCTGGGTCTGCCATTGTGTCTCCAGGTCCATCATCTCTGTCCGTAGGTGGTGGGGTCATCAATGGCGGTTCATCAGGCACATAGCTTCCGGTCGGGCCAGAGAGTTCGTTTTGGGTTCGGAAGCTTGCTAGTGCTTCAACAGGGAGGGACTGCAGGAAGAGCCTAGTTCAATCGTCAAGCTACTGGAGAATAAAGAGAGCTAACAAGTGAGATGAAGATCACTTCGCTTTGCGATCCTGCTCTGAAGCTTCTATTGGACGAAGAGAAGCTGCAATATCAATGGTTGATCAGATGCATTCTGTAGGAGCGCATTACGCAGTTGGACGCGCACAGCCCACGCACCTCACAGTTCCAGGTTCCAGGTTCCAGCCACCAGCCACCCGAGCTCAAAAGCGGACCGGAGTTTATCCGGCGGGCCCGACATGCTCGTTCAGGACAAGCTGGTGGGCCTTATAACTTACATCACAGGTTCGTGCTTCACTGTATATCGGTAGTACTCCGTAGCACTGCAACCAGCCCCACACTTCGCGAACCAGGACCAACAGCGCATCTCCGAGTTCCGGCAGACCAGCAGTCGCATACTTTCAACAGCAATATCCAGGGGCAATCCTTTGCAATGTCTTCGATTGGACCACAACTACCCGCACACCTCACGAAGAGGAAGCGCAACTCAGACGATGAAGGCGCAGACTCCCCGCCCTCGAAACAATTCCGTAACGTCGACGAAATCGATCTAGAAGATGACTCGGATGATGATGGCTTTGGACCAAGTGCCACTGGCGCAACATCAAAGGCAGACGCGCCGACAACAAAACCCTCTATCGGTCCTACCATGCCCCCCTCAAACCCAACAAATTCCAACGAAATCCCACTCGACGACTCCGAGTCGGAAGACGATTATGGCCCGTCAGCTACTCGAGCCGCTTCACAACCAGAAGCGCCGAAATCTAAGCCGGCAATAGGCCCTACTCTTCCTCCGATACAACCCATAGGTCCTACGCTCCCTTCAGCAAATCACCAACCAGACGATAGCGATGCGTCTTCAGATTCTGATGACGATTACGGCCCGGCCCTCCCTTCCTCAACCACAGCAGCGCAGCGAACCCAAGCTGCAGCAGTCGCGGCAGCCGCAGCAGCGGCCGCCGGTCCCGCAGCTCCTCAGCGCGACGATTGGATGCTCGCACCACCGACGCAGTCCGGATATCAAGAGCGCGATCCGACGAAGCTCAAGAACCGCAAATTCGCAAGCGGTAAGTCATCTGCTGGTGGTGGAGGTGGTGGGGGCATAAGCAGCATATGGACCGAGACACCAGAACAGAAGCGCAAGCGCCTTGAAGATGCTGTTCTCGGCCGAGGAGACCAGGACACTGGATCAAAGCAGCAAAAACCGCGTCGCACGAGGGAAGAAGAGGAGCGTGACATACGCATCGCCGAAAATATTGCAGCATCGCGCGGCAAAAGCATGTACGAAGAGCACCAGCAGGGGAAGCGGAGCGGTGCAAAGGCCGGGAAGGACGAGGAGGAAGAAGACGACCCGAGCAAGAGGGCATTCGACAGAGAGAAGGACATGGCGTTGGGAGGCAAAATCGGAACGGCACAACGAAGAGAACTGCTCAATCGTGCCAAAGACTTTGGTGGTCGGTTTCAAAAGGGATCGTACCTGTAATACCCGCGTAAATTTTTAAGTCTTTCCACACATGCATCATTTCATTTGGGTGATCACACAAGTAATGTTGTCACACATTAGCAACTGAAATAAAATTTGTGAACATTGTCAATTGTCATTATTCCATGTCGAGTGATGCCTATGTCGCCGCAACTCCGCCGCTCCCCTTTAAATTCCAGAGAAACCAAGCCAAACCAGGCCACCTAACTGTAATGCAACCCCCCTTCCCTATACCGCGTTATAGCAGCAGAATCCTCCATCGTCCCCTTTTACTCCTTGGGGCCTAGTCCTCCTCCAGACACGTTATATGTAAAGGTGGGTATGAAATGCGGCGTCGTGAGCATGTATAGATGCAGTCAACATCGCAGTCTATGCTGAGATCTGCAAATTGGTCTCTGGGGTATGATGTACACGAGTAGCACAGCAAAAGAAAAAGATCGCAATCGCTTCTTATGAGCGATACTGTTACTGTATATGTTTTCACCGCGCCTCCGTGGTAGCGGCAGCGGGTGCCGGTGCGGTTTGAGTGCCAGCCTCGAGTTGAGACGGGGTGACATTCGCACCAGATGCAGTGGGAGAATCGGACTGAGTCTGATCGCCACGGCGAAGGGGATTACGGAAAGCAGACATCCTAATACTTGAGAGCAGACCACGAGACTCCTGGTTCTCAGTGACTGGCGGTGATTGTGGAGTGGTTGGGGCCGCAGTAGAGACAGCTTGCTGTCGTGGGCGGCGACGACGGTTAGAGCGGTCGTTATTCTGACGGTTGCCTCTGTTCCGTCCGCCTAAGCCCACACGGCCGCTAAGGCTATACCAAGCGGCAGGTGGAGCGTTGGGCATATTTGTACGACTGGCCGTCCGGGCCATGTCGCCAGTAGCATTGGCGTCGCCATCAGGGTTTGGGCGAGGCTTAGGGGTATAGTAGTCGGCTTTGCAGAGCGGGCAGCAGGCTCGGCGGCTCGTAAGCCAGGGGTCAACACAGACAGCGTGAAATGCGTGACCACAAGTAAGCCCACGAATGTCATCATCATCCTCTAGCGTATCGATGCAGATGGCACAGGTGTCGCCGCTGGTAGCCATCAACTCAGGTGGCAGAGCGGCATTAATGTGCTCATCGTCCTCGTCGTCCTCCTCGCTATGAACACGTTGAAGAGGTGTTGCAGATGTGGGAGATTGCACATGAGCGTCGGCGTTGGCGTTTACAGTTGGCTTATCGGCCTCCTTCTTAGCTGCGTCCTCGGTCGGCTTTTCGGAAGCAGTAGCTTTGTTTGCGGTGGCGGTGGCGGGACGGTCATCAGTGGATTCCCGCTCCTTGGAGGGCAGCTCGGGTATGATGCCTTCGACAGATTGAACGCTGTTTGCTCGACTCGGCGGGGCGGAAACACCTCCAGCCGTAGGCAGACCTTCTCTCGCACGTTCGGACACCCAGGCTTTGTACTTCATCATCGGAAACTTGTCGTTGACCTCGTCCATCGTCATCAGCTTCTTCTCGCGACGACGACGATGTGGGCGAGGCATGTTTTCAAGGTTGATAGGCTCGCCATCTTCATTGAGACGCATAGCACGGTTACGGGCGTTGTAGCGGAAGCAGTATTTGACACCGACGATGATCCTGTAGCCTGTGTTAGAAGTTTGTCGTGGAGGGAGAAGATTTAGATGGTAAAAAAGCTCACCAAAGGTTGGTGAATACTACACCAAAACCAAGAGCAACGAAGAAGAGCAACGGGGAGCTCGAGGAACCACCGCCGCCACCACCTCCTCCACCTCCTCCGCCTCCGCCGCTGTTACCAGTCGGAGTGCCAGTAGCCTGAGAATCAGTGGTAGTAGTCGGTATCGCTGTTGAAGTCTCGATGGATGGTGTTGAGGATGCCATGGTGGGGGCGGCCGAGGGAGGCAGGGACGATGAGTCCTGAGCCTGTCGTACGACGAAGCGCGAGACCTCGACGAGGACCTGATTGATGACAGCCATCTCGAAGGGAAAACCAATGGGCCGGGTCGTTATCGTTAAATAAATCGAACACCAACGGTAGGTGATGTCGAAGGGATAATCACGGTCGGGGGAGAGGCGAGTTCATGGATGGATTGATGGAACGAGGCAAAAGCCTAGACATGAAATCCGGACGCCGAAAGCAGCGTCTGTAGACGGAAATGGCCAACCTGAACCCCCGGTCGCATGCGGCCTGCAGACGACACAGTCGCTGGGGGGAAATGACAAACTCTGGGGAGAAAACCCAGAGAGCTGATTTTCCAATCTACTCTAGCTGTGTGCACAGCTTAAAATGTGAGTAGATGGAGTTGAAACGAGAGGAAAATCACGACTCAAAGTCGGACGGTGGCAGGTAATAGTTGACAGAAGCAGGCAAGAGAGTGCGGAGTGAGGGAAAGTGCAGGTGGAGTGGGATAAGTATGGAACAGAAGAGTGGGCCTCTCACTCTCTGACGGACAGGACAGTAACACAGCCCGGTCGGGTCGACGTAAAAAAATAAAAGTGGAAATGTGAGGCGGCGGGCGGGTAAAGAGGGAGGGAGAACAGGAAAGGACCCAGACACACCACACCCTCTAGGCTTGAAGTAGTAGCAAGCCAGCACACTGTGGCAGCACCAGTAACAGCACCAGCACTGAGCGAGCCTGTGAGGCGTGAGCAGAAAGGACAAGGAGGACCAGGGGGGGGACACTAGTCAAGCAGTCAAGGAGGGCAGGAAAGACGGGGAAGAGCGATGGAACGAGCTGCAAGATGGTACTGGACAAGGTTAGACTGGGAGCATGGGACTGGATGCAAGGAGGTGGAGGGAAAGAAAGAGTGGGTCATCCAAGTCCCCCAGGCTGGGCGGAGAAAGGAAGTAGTCACTGGGAGGGAAAGTGTTGTTGTTGGCTGCACACTGTGTCACTGCGATCCCTCCGACAATTAGCATTTCGAATCTGGACACCAGTGCACTGCTCTCTGGGCTGCTTGCATCTCTGCAGCAAAACCCATACCCTGCCAAGAGGTGAGTGAGTGAGTGACAAGAGACGTATTATGAGTGTGGGAGACACATGAGGGTGTCGTAAACCAGGAAAAACTCTATGTCGATGTGTCTCTCCTCCTCCTCCTCCTTTTTCACTTTCAACAGCAGCTCCGACGATGATGCCTTGGAAAATCGAGGCCAGCCACTTACTCTCTACACTACACTTATCAGCCCAACCAACTCAGCAACCAGCAAAAGCACCCACCTATTTCCTAGGCTACTGGACATGGACATTCTTGAGTCCGGGCGGGCAGTCAAGGACATGGACACAAAGCCCATCAGTCACCTCGTTTCCATTTCACGGGATGACCGACCTATTCTCATTTGGGTAAGATAACGGGACGCTAAGCACAATGTGAGTGGTGGGACAAGAGACTGAGGTATGCTACCAGTCTTTTTGAGGACTAGCGTCATTACTGCTAGAGTGATCACATTCATACGTGGGTTGCTCTTTACAGGTGCAACGGGGGGCTTTGGCTGGGGAACCAAGAAAGAGGCGGGGGAGCCAGGCAAGAGGCACAGGGCCTAAGACGTGCTGAGTGCAGGGGTCAAACACTGAGCAGACCCTCTGTTGCGCTGTACCTTTCCTTTGCCCACCAGTCCCGGCCCAGAGCGACATGCAGATATTTTTCTTGGCTTGGCCAGAGGCTGGGCCATCTTCTCACTATCTTGCTTCTTGGCACGGCCTATCTCTCAGCTACCTTTCGGGTGGGCGTTACCTTCATCGTAATCCAGTCAATATACGGATACTCGTCCATGGCCTAAATCGATTTCTTTCGATCTTTCTTTGTCGCCATTAATTCGCTCCCGAGGCTGATACCAGCCGTTCCAGGACCCAACGGGTTTCTTCTACCCCTTATCCTGGAGGAAATCTTACGTCGAATCAAGGGGTACAATGTGATGCCGATTTGATACGGGGACTCAGGCACGGGTCCCCCAGTAAGGTACGGAGTACTGCAAATGCGTCGCCATGGACCTCCGAAAGGCAGGTACGCTGTACCTCCCTCAGCATGCCTGAGATTCATCCCGCACAAACTGCACTCCAACACCAACGCTGGTCGAGGGGCCTTTCCTTGTCCATATCGCAGGGAATAAGGTATCCGTGCCATCATCAACCCGCCTCCTTCTTTACCACACACCCAGTATTAGTATCCAATAGCACCATGGTCGAGATTCCTGTCAATCGCCATACATCGCCATCTCTAACTATTGGTAAATCAACGCATGGCCCTTTTTTTCAAATCAAACAAAGACCTTTGTTTGTCAACTTGATTCAGTCTTTGGCCTTTGTCGCAACACGATAGACGGAGTCGCTCAGCAGCCACCCAACCATCAACCTCACCATCACCGCTAACCGCCCCGGCGCCCCAGTCCGATGCGTTGGTGATCCCCCAAAGTAACCCAGGGAAAGAGTGGGGTTAGGACGGCGGGTGGGAGAGGCCGCGACACCATGCAGCAGAGAAGCAAGCTCAGCAGCACCCTAGCGCGACCTGACGCCAGAAGGAAAACTGGTCAGGGTGGAAGATGGAACACAAAGGCTCGGTTGTTTCGTCCCTCGCCAACTGCTTGCCCGAGCTAGCTTCACTGCGCAAATGGGGCTCTTGTTTGTCCCCTAAGACCAAACCAAAGAGGCCATTTACCAGTCCATGACAGGCCGTGAAAATAAACTGGGATCTGGGCCGTGGTTTCGCGCTGCAACCAATATATTATTCAGTGCCACGCGTATTACATTATCAAGAAAAAAGACAGCCTTTAGACGCTGTCCGGATAAATCACCTTGACCCGCTTGGTATTGCTTCTTCCCGCCATGACAGTCTGTTTTAATTCTGCTGCCCTGGTCTTCGCCAGCAATAAGCAAGTCCTCCAGCTCGTGTGTCTAGGTTATTTCACCGTCAGGGATGCCCCGCAAAAACCAATGTCATTGAGTCAAGTTCACTGTCAAACAGACCATCGGATCAAGAAGCCTCGGAGGCCGAAACGCTAGGTTGTGCCTTATTAGTGCAGTAAGCTATTAACATCTCAGTTCGGTGTGGCTTTCGTCGGCAGCCTGTCGGCAGGTAGACACTAGGCTCTCCCGGCCCGACCAAACCAGCACGCACAACTCAAGGCCCATGTCCCTCATCTTCACCCAACCCAGGGCGACGGCTCGTCTTCCCGCATGAACGGGATAGAAAGCACAGCACGCACGTATGTGCGCAATACGAAAAGAAGTCATCCACTTTAACTAACACGGAATACGACGCTCATAATTGCGCCGCATTGGAAGGTGTCCAAACACCTCAGGCATGTTTGAATGGAGAATTTACACCCTAGCGTAGCGCCTCCGACACTCAATTAGTCTGCCCGAAGCTTAGACGAGCAAAACCACAAATTCCTCAGTTCAGTCCATGACGAACAAAATACTTGCCGGTTACCGTTGCAGCCACTTGAAAGTTCAGACGGCCGCAGCCGGAGGCGCTAGGGCCGACGGGCAACCGATTTCACCTCATCTTTCCCAATGTTTCAGCATCATCAGACAAAGACGACGCTTTTCGCCACAAAGGCCTTCTCCTGTTGTCTGCTAATTACGGCACTTGAATCAAGCACCGTCAATGCATTCCTCCTTTGTCGGTCTCAACTTGACTGTTAGGGCCCTACCGTTCAGTAACTCAAAGGAAAAGGAGCATTTACGTCCCTTTCGGGTCCTAGTCCGTTGGCTTGTCAGTGCCACTCACCTTATCCAAGTGTCAAGTAGCTATTTTGGCTGTCAGTGTACCCCGGCTTGGCCTTAGACCAGACATGTCAGACACAACGGAATATACAATAGCGCTATACTGGGTGACTGGCAACGCAACACATGCATGTCTCGAACGTCTTTTCAGATACTAAGCCGCAACTACCTTACGACACTCTGGTCAGTCGAGACACCGCTCTTCGTCTCAACCCCTTGAGTCCCTTGGAAACGCCCAGGCTCCTTATTGGTAAAGCTTAGCCTTCGTTGGGGCCAGGCCACCCTCGCAAGCGACGTTGAGGTGGCTTTTGTGGCTTATCGACATGGTTTCTTCTACCAAATGGAAGGGTTATAGAAATGCAACAAGTTTCTGTTGGAAATGGTCGAACCCGGTGTCACGTTAGGGCACGCCGACTGATCCGTGGTTAACAGCACGACAGTATGAATATTTAGTCTTTTTACGGTGTGTATGGGGGTACAGCCGCTGGCGCTCAAGTAAGCAGTTGACGCTGACCGAGGTGAGTGCCGTAAACTCCGGACACACCATCGCCAATCCCCGCTGTTGATGACGGCGACAAGAACCGCTTGGCTCCCGTTGATTCGACTATCTCTGTTGTTTTGCACCTATTTTTTTTTTTTTTTTTGGGTCCATGGCCATGTCCAGACCTACGCCTCGGTGTCAGGCAACATCGCAAGCGGTTCCCTCGCCTTTCGACCCCAAGATACATTGGCACACGATCTACACGTATGATGATTACATTCGGCAAATCACTCATCAATGCGTGGAAACCCGTTCCTGGAGTGTATGGGCAAACGGCCCACTAAAGTCTGATGGGGCAGCAGCCTCAGAGGAAAACGAGGATGCCGCAATGGCTGGCTGTGTAGTTAATGACCAGGACCCTGAAGCCAGCCAGGATAATGCCATCATTATCTTCCCATCCATTGGTTTCCAGTGGACCCGAGGGCTCTACTTTAGTAGACAGCCACGTTCGAGATCTTTGTTGGAATCCAGTGGCTGGCACCAGCCAAACACCATTATTGTCTCTCCGCAGGAGTACCGGGGAATCGTGGTTAACTACGCAGCTTACCGGCAGCTGAATTTCAACTCTCCGCAACACCATCTGGCCATTTTCCAGTGAACGTTTTGGCGGCAAAAGAAAGACTGTTCGTTCCCGGGGGTGCTTGACAAATGGTATGGTACGAGCAGAGATGCAATCCCAATGTTTAAACCCAAATAAAAAGTCACACCACGAATCTGCGAACGACTCGAGACAGGTTGTCTTCATGGCAGGAATGAGCGTGTCATCATGTGCACTTGTGGTTGTCTCTTCCAAGGGACAAGACAAAATCATGAAAAGACTCATCAGTTCAATGTTGGCACGCGGCATCCGATTTCAAATTGTAAATCATTCCTCTTAAACCGCAAGTCATAGGCCTTGGCTACTAACAATGTCGACCCCTGATACCCAATGGACTTGATGACCTTTGCCTCCCGTCGCGGCACTTCGGCTTGACGCAACTGTGATCACCTCGTACACGCACACGCAGGCGACCTGTCAGCCCGGCCATACGTGGGTTATGTGGGGAGCCGTGTTCGAAACATAACAGGGCTCCAATTGTGTAAGGCCCTACGTGCCACTACTGGACAATTGTTTTCGTTGCAGCAAAATAGCCGGATAGAATTGAACGTTCCATGACGCCAATTGGACGTTGGCCGGAGTGGATGAGGTCATTTTCTATGGAACCCCAACTCCTTTGTATCCAGCCCCTCTCACTTCTGTTTATCCTGCTGGGGCTGCCGATCTTTGGCGCCGCGCCATCCGGGGAGCAGCCTAGACTTTGTTCACAGTCGAGATTCCTTTTGTACTAGGGCACGAAGTAACCTCTGCGATAACGGCGAAGCCCTTGCAGCGGCAGCACACTGACGGAGGGTTCGATCCATGCTGTCGAACTTAAGATTCCGCGCCGCCCGACGACGGCACTTGTTTGTGTTGGCACCACGAGGCCTCCCCTCTCTGGATTTCATTGAAGCCTTTCTAAAAGATGCTTTCCGGCTTTTCCAGGCTACGGCGCAATTTTTCTTTCTGATCATGTGCGATGGAGACAACGGGAGGCACGGAGTTGGAGGAGAGAGGACATCATGACCCCCCCCGTCCCCAGCCTCGGCCAAGAATGGCTGGGGTGAATAATCAATCAACCCGAAGTCCGGTTACGCGTCCGAATCGTGGGCCGTTTCCCGTGCCTTTGATTCCTTGATTCCCACCCCCCACCGGTCTACGGTTTGCTCTCCAGTTGTGGGGTTTCATCGTGACCTAGGATGAAAATCCTCTCCGGAGAGAAGTGCGGACAGGCGATAAGACGAGGGGACTAGTGTAAACCACACTATGCCTAGGGCAACACGGCAACCAGCACGAGACCGCGTATTGTCACCAATTTGATCATCCTTGTCAGCATATAGTAATGGTTATGAGTGAGCAAAGAGGGTCTAACAGAGCCCACCTTTACAACATCAGAACCGTGATAGACAAAGGGAGTTCCCTGCGAGTTTAGGTCGTAGAAGAAGAAGCTCTCTAGCGCAGAATAGTTCGCAATTTTTCTGCCCAGACAGCCTTTTTTGCCTTTTGGGAAATGACTTATGCCCATTGGCACTGGCGTGGTGGCTGACCTGTTGTTTCAATTGTGGCCCCAAGCTGCTTTCAAGCTTTTTCCGGGTGAAGAAACTTGTGTACGGCGGCCCCCTTTTACTTACTCATGGAAACTCCCAAGCTACCAGAAAGAAAGAAAAAAGCTTCGGCCGGTTCAACGTCAGTTTCTCATTGCATTATAGCTGACATATACATTGGCTGTGTCATGTAAACAGCAAGTGCACTACCCCGGTCGCGGAACGGATGTTGTCCGTGCTAGGGGAGGCCCGGCAGAAGACGAACCTCCCGAACATTGTACCGCAAAGATCTTCGGCATGCTCCTTGGGCTGAGGCCTTGAATACCATCTATTTTGGCAACGGTGATCTTAGCTTCCTTGAGGGAGAATTTGGTAAAGCGAATGGAGATATCCTTGATAATAGCTGCCGATCGCGGTTTCGGAGACACGTGTTTCCCCTGGTTGAGCGATGATCAACATTTGCTCTGGTCGCTGTCGAGTTTAGACGAAATGGCGGGGAGCGGGGATTATGCGCTCATGTATCACGTAGTTGAAGGCCATCTGTCCCTGACTTGGCAACTGGCTATGTCAACGTCGTCGGTAACCAAGGTACTATAATTGCCCGGGCCTAGTGCAGAGCCTCACAAGCAACGCTATAATCAAAGGTTGAAGTTCTTCTACCTACGCTCGTTTTTGTGCGGAGCTTGCTGAAGAAGTAGACATGGCCAGCACGCTACCTACGAGTTGAAGACCCGAAAGAGCTATTATTGCTCTCGGTAAAAACTGATGCAGGCCCACGCAAAGGTGAACCCACTTTCCAAAGACTTGAAGCCAAAGTATTACAAGCCGGGTCCTTACTACACTGCCAGGCTAATTAATAGCTTACTCCGAGGGCCTGCTTTACTTATCACTTGTCCTTAAATGATGCCTTCAACCGGTGACGAACAACTGCTTGTCACAAGTATCAGGAAGTGAGCAGCAAAAAACATACAACACCAGGCATTCGCTGGTCGTCACCGACCCAACTACTAATCCGGCCCTCATTGGCTTATCTATGGGAGAGCGGACGGGATCCCGAGTTTTCCAATGGGTATGGTCGTATGTGACGGTTTGCGTGTGTAGTGTTGGTTATGAAGCTATCGTGAGGGGAAAGTGAGTTGAAGTCAGGTCTTGGCAATGTATGTGGAACCCGACAGTTCCAAGAGTCTTGCTTCTTGTGTGAATTGGGATTCCCGTGGTATTATTTTTTAGGCTAAGTGACATGTGATGATGGAACGCTTTCGTGTGAAGAGTTTGACTGTGAGACTTGAGGTGTCAACCCTTTCCAGAGGCTTCAAGGAAACTCGCGGCTTGGGTATGTTGACGACTAAGTGACACGGCTTTTCAGAATTACAAACAAGAAAAACGTCACAGAACAGGAAACCAGTAAGGAACTAGAAATCTTATGAGCATTATCGACCTTGTGTTGGTGACTGGTCTCCAAAGTCATACCGCACACGTCCTTAGAAAGCACTGTCAGAATCATGATTTCCAACCTGCATAGATGAGATTTCTCCGCACCCAATACGCGGAATAGAGAGAAAATGGGCTTTTGAAAGCCTCGGATTTGACTGAGGCATTAAACAAGCCCCATGAAAAAGCGGTGGCCCATTTAGGTAGGTCTCTGAATGCACTCCGCTCAGCCATGCCTCCCGCGGTGCCCCGGACAAGGCTGTACCCATTCTTTTCCCCCGTTCCGACAACTCGGCTCCCCCCTCTCAGTTCCACTTCTCACCCGCCAACGAATCGTCTCTCCAACCAACTCAAATACAGTGTGTTCTCGACCACCTTTTCCATCAGTTCCGAACACAGCCCCTTCCCGGGCGCGCGGAAGACGACCAGACACCACCAGCAAGAGAGGCAGAGCCAACCGCTCACCTAGTTTTCCCAAACCCACACACACGCGCGCGCACACTACCTAACCAGTCATGCCTCCCACTAAGCTCCCGGAATCCGGCAACCCGCTGTAAGTGAATTTTTTTTTCTCACTTTTGGTCCCTTTCGTCCCCTCTCATTTTCTCGAGCCTGGTTTTCCAAGCACCGCACGGATTTGGGATACTCCGGGCCTTGGCTGGATCGAGCTCCGCCTCTCTCCCGCCTTATCTCATTCACAGCTTCCACGAACAGGGACGCTGGTCCCCAGTGTGAGTGACATGGATTGCGTTCATCGTGGTGGCTGAGGTCCACGCGTCCACTCAACCCAACCTCATGAGCGGGGGAAAGACCAAAGGGAAAGGAAAAATAAAGATAAAAAAGGGTCTTGAATTACCCCGACTTTTCTACCCTGCGTCATGCCCGCCTTCTGCAGATAGCACCAAGGGGCTAACGAATCGCGTCAATAGGGTGTTTTTTGATATCACGCTTGGCGGTATGTGAAGACCATTCCATATTGGGAACCACCTACTCCCAATTGCTTCTCGGCGGTGCGGGGAGCGAAAGAGGGGAACGGGCTCGGCGTCGGATGGAAAGGCATACGGGCGGGCAGACTTGTCTTGGACATTTTGAAGCCATTCGCGGGCTTCATGCACGTGGACTCTCGCCCAGATGGACGGTCTGGACTAAGAGTTTCGCCCTACATGCCCCTCCGCTGTCACAGTTCGGGCGGTATGCTGCTGGAGGGTCCAGGCCCCATGATGCTTATTCCTCGCTGACGGGATCGTGGCATTGGCTGTCCCTAGCTCCGGCTTAGCTCCCCATTTGGCTCCCGGCGAATTCTTACCTGCTCCCCGGCGCCCCGGGAACTGCGGACCCGAGTCTCCCGACCATGTTACTGACATTCATCCTGTGTAGGTGAGCCCCTAGGTCGCATCACCTTCGAGCTCTTCAAGGATGTTGTGCCCAAGACGGCCGAGAACTTTCGCCAGTTCTGCACCGGCGAATCCAAGAACTCCATGGGCCGGCCGCAGGGCTACAAGGGCTCCAAGTTCCATCGTATTGTAAGCTTTGTGTCTTTGCCCAGTCAGCGAAGGCTACAACCCGCCGCCGAGATGGAGGCTTGGGGGAGGCTTAGATACTGTAAGAGTACGTGATGCTGACGATGGTTTTCATGTAGATCCAAGGATTCATGTGCCAGGGTGGTGACTTCTTGAACGGCGATGGTACTGGTTCTATCTGCATCTACGGAACCTCCAAGTTCGCAGACGAGAACTTCAACCTGAAGCATGACCAGCCAGGCTTGCTCTCCATGGCCGTATGTTCCCCTGACATTCCGATCCCACCACCATCCTCAGCTTCCTTGCCCATCTCAACCCCCATTCACTTGTGCTGCTGCGCCTTTTTCTTGGAGGCGCTGCTCAATGTACCCCCCATGAAACTTTGCTAACAACCATACAGAACGCGGGCCCCAACACCAACGGCTCCCAGTTCTTCATCACCACCGTCCCCACCCCCTTCTTGGACAACAAGCATGTGGTCTTCGGCAAGGTTGTTGACGGCATGGATGTGGTCAAGATGATGGAGGCCACCAAGACGGGCTACCGCGGTAAGGATCAGCCTAACCAGGATGTCGTCATTGCCCAGTGCGGTGAGATGTGAAGAAAAGAAGAAGAAGAAAAGGCCGCGCTGCTTCGAGAAAAGAGACGATCGTGAGAAGCACGGGCCAAACCTGGACTCGACGTTTGAAGGACAGTGATGGGGCACAATAGACCTGGCCATAGGCTCCCAGGACTATGGGTCCAAGGGAGATGTCCATTTATCTAATAGCCATCAAGCCTAGTTGAGGGCAGAAGAGTCTTGGCTTCAGGCTTTGCCGAGGAGTTGGACTCATACACATCCTGCATCTTCAGAACTAGAAATGGATGACAAAATATCAGGAAGCGTAGCAACAATGTCCTAGCTACAAGCCAAGTTTACGATATTCTGTCTTTACTGGTCTTGTCCGAAAGCCTGCACGACCAAGCAATGTCTCGAGGAAGTGTACGTGGCCAACACCTTTCGTAAGGTGCAGCGCAGAGTTTCCTAAGGCCTGAAGCCATGTCCGCGCAAATTCTGGTACTTGATTCCGCACAGGTTTTGATATTTGATCACCGGTCTCGATTATACGTGACAAAAGTAGTTGAGATGGGACCTGCAGACGCCTTTCCTTGAGCTAGTACTGGCCCCAGAGAACCTGGTGTTGGCCCATGAAGATGATACGTTCTTGTGTCACCTGTGACTCACTTCATTCTCCTCGTCAACATGTTCTCCAAGCGAGCGGCGGACAGCCCGAAGAATACATCTATACCCTCGCCATAGATATGGCAAACAACCCTGAAACACGGGAAATGCCCAGCGGCTATGAGGCAGATGAAGTTTAGAGCGGCTACGTTCCGTGGGCTAGGTTGCACGCACCCAGCTCGAGACCGGTGTCGCCGATAACTACTGTACCATCGCCGAGACAAAGCAAATAAACCTCTCACTATGGTCACAAGACACGGCATTGCCTTGGATGGTTTTTAATATTATACTTGAAGAGTACTGTCGGCCAGGCTGGTGTTGACGGTTCGGTTCTGGGATTGAAGAATGCCATCGCGTCAGAGAGTTGATCAAATTGTGCGGCTATGAGTACAGAGAATATACGTTGCTAATTCAGGCATCCCTCCGCCAGAGGCTACATGCCAGAGCAAAAATGGAGTCATCCAAAGACTGGTAGCTTTGTCGCAGAAAAGCCTTGCTTCACGGTCAGGCTGTACCTCGCCTTCCACCTACAGCACTTGGTCACGAACCCAGTCACCCAGAGCAAACCCGATGTGTTATAGGAAAGCACAAAGATGTGAGTCTACTTGATTTCATTGCACTGAAGCCTCTAGCTCAGTGTATCTACGGACCATGAGTTCTTTTTCCCTAAACTGTTCCCCCGGGCTCCATTCCATTGCTTGATGCCGTCAACCTGTGTCCCTTAAGTGCAGCGTCAAGCTACACACCCCAGGGGGGGACAGAACTCGAATAACCGAGAGGAGACCTAAAGACAAGAAAAAAGTCTTGATGAGGGCCAAATGCCCGCAACCTGATAAAATCTCTGAAGAAGAAAAGAAAAAGCGAGGGTGGTATCATCCGAAAAGGTCAATCCCCCTAAACGCCCCAGGACATGCCACTTCCTTTGTAACCCATGCTGTAAAACCTGTTGTTTCCCGCCTCCAAAATCCGTGCCTAAGTGATTCCTTGTAAAACCCAAATGCCGGTCGTACTCCATTAGTTCTCATGATCGTTGTCCAATTCCGTAACCGTGAACCCGGAAAGATGAAAAGAAACAATGCCCTGTATCCTTTGTATGTACCGTATGGCCAAGTGGAAAAGGAGAATAATGCCCAAGAGTGGTGGAAGTTGTCGGTGAATGCATAGGCCGTAAGCGTCAATGAGTCATAACGCAAGAGAAGGAAAAAAGAAAAGATATCAGTCGAACTTGGATAGTGCCTGCACGTTCAAGTAATGGAGCCCCGCAAGCTATGCCTGTGAAGAAAACCATCAAAGGTATCTCTGACAAAGCTCAAGTCCGGGGATTTCCGCAAGTTAAATGCGCTGGTTGAAGTTCCAGGTGTCCTTGCCGCGAATGTGGCGGCCCTTCAAGAAGGGAGTAGGACTAATGGAAGCCTGCGCAGCACCCTCGCCGTCGTTGGGGTTCTGGGAAGGAGTAGGAGTCGGCTGAGGGCCGACAGTGACGGTAATCATGGAGTAGAGAGTCAAGGGAGCAGCCGTGACAGTGACAGTGCGAAACTTGTCAGAAGTGGGAATAGGAGTGGGGGTTGGGGCAGAGGAAGGGGGGCCGCTCTGAGTGCCATTGTTGGGGTTCGAGCCAGCAGGGGCGTCATCATCAACGGAGACGATGAACTGATTCTTCAGCTGTTCTTTGATTGCATTCTCGTTGTAGTTGATCTTCTCAGGGAAGGAGAAAGCAGCCAAGATATTGTCCGCCTGGCTAGAAACCTTGTTGGAGGTCGAAGCCACCTTAGCAGTGTTTACAAGCTTCTCGCCTTGGACCTTGATAGTAGAGCAGCTAGTGTAAACCTCCGCGGTGGTAACATCGTCAGAAGTAACGGCGCGCTTGTCACCCTTGAAGCCAGAGGGAAAGTCGGCGAACTGGCCATCCTTGGAGTTTGCGGCGGCGGAGGCCGTGAGAGTAGGCCAAGACCAGACCCAATAGAGGGTATATTCAGAGTTCTGAGAAAGGTCCTCAGGAAGCTGGACAGCGGACTGGCACCATATGTTCATGCCCATAGGGTTGGCAGCCTGGTGGGGGAACTGAGCCTGGCGCTCCCGAGAAATGGGCTCGTCGTTGATTTGATGACACTGACCATCATCGTAGTTGCGGGTAGCCAAGAGTCTGCCACGTCCATCGCCACCCTTGCCATCGGTAGTCCACTGGCGATGAACATCGAAGAGAGTGTCATCGGCCTTGGGGTCAGTGGTGCCGTAGATGAAGATGGTGCCACGGTTCAGGGGCTTGTTGGGGGGGGAGTTGGGGATCGTGACATGTCCGTTCTCCTGGTAGCGAAGGGAGACGAAATCGCCAGGAGCAGCGGCGAGATGAGGGAAATCGGGACTCTGCTGGCCTTGAAGATTCTGCTTGCACATGGAAAATCCACCCTCGGGCATGCGGTTGGTAAAGAGAGGGTCGGAGAATCCTTTTTCGCGACCAGTCCAACCGTTGGAGAAGCCAGCAGGGCCAACAAGAGTGCCATTGGCAGCAACGCGGTTAAGCTGCTCAACCCAAGTGTGAGAAGTGGCAAGCTGAGGAGCGCCCAGCAGGCAGGCCATGACAAAAGCAAGAGTGTTGCGACGCGCCATGGTGAATTGCGTGATTTTCTGGCGAGAGACAAGGGAATCGTGAAGAGATATTGAGGTATTTGTGTTCGAGAGGGATAGGAAGAATAATTCTAGTGGTTCACAACGTGATAATATTGTGTGAATCTCGTGGTGTTTTTGTGTGAGAAAAACAGAGAAGAAGGCCTGAAGAAAGAGGGGAAAAAAAATAAGAATGAGAATGGGTGGTTGTGAACGGGAGGAAGGAGGTGGACAAACCGGGAGAGGAAGGTTCGTGTGTGGGAAGGAGCGAGAGGCTTTCAAGTCTTCCAGAAGAGTCGAAGTCTGTTTACTATATCGGTTTTTCGTGTCTGTATCTTTGCGACTACCGGGGCAGAACTTCCAAGGTGTTTTAAGTACGACGAAGATTCTTAAAAAAGAGGTGTTGTGTCGAGATGGTCCGGACTGTGAGCTGAACAAGACCAGATGAATAGACGTTGTGATGAAGGTGTAAGTTTATTCTGTGATTAAGACGTCCGGCGCAGTCAGGTACCAGCTGAGTCAAGAACTGAAAGCTCAAGAGAAAGAAAACAAAAAAGCGGGCGGCCTATTGTGAGACTACATTCAGTGAATGATCGTGACCAGTGGTGAATTCTTCTTTCAGGTGCCACGTGGTGAGAAGGGCGGTGGTGAAATTCGAGGTGGTGAGAGTGAACAGTGGAGTTATCGGAAGAGGAAGGAACAATGGGACGGATAAAGGAAGGTGCCTGCCTGCCTCAAGCGCGCACACCAAAGAAAAAAAAAACAAGGCGAGATTAAATGGTCTCGATAATGGGCCTCAAGGGAAGGGAAACAATGGAATTGTTTCTGCCTTTTTTCCCTAATTAGCGAGGCGGCCAGCACAAGAAAGAGGCGTTGATGGGTGAGGAAGGTAGGTCAGGACCACTTTGGGATGCGAGGCCGGGTTGGACTTAATATCATGACTGTTACCCTCTCATCTGGCGCCTTACCTTGGACATCCCTACTCATACAGACTCACACTTTTTTCTCTCTCTTCATTTTGCTGCTTGTCGACCGTGGAGGAGGATCCATGATCGACGGAAATGGGACCCGAACGACAGGCAAACAACCATGCGGTGCATCTTAGTCGTCGCGATCCAAAACGACAACGGTGGAAGCACGCGGGTGGGATGGCACTCGGACAGGGGGATCTAGCCAAAGAACGAGCGAGAGTGCTCGACGGCCGGGGGGTCGGCCATAGGGTCTGACGGGCCTCGTTATGGGACGAAAGACCAGGGAAAGGAGCGCATGTTTCTGGTAGGAGTAGGTGGGCGCCAGTCGAGCTGGATGTGAAAAAAGGGACCCAGGGTTGATGTTTGACAAGGAACTGTTGAAGTCGAAGTGCCAGTCTTGGCTAGGCAGGCTCGTTGACGGGAGATGGCCTGCGCTACGCCCAAGCCTGGGCTTGAGTGGGTGCCCTAGTGGGGCGTTGGCTCCGAAGTACTCTCTTGGGCTGCTCTCCCGCTGTAAGGTACCGGTCCTCGTGGGGTCGCACCGATCTGAGTAGCCGCCATGCTTTCAATGTGCCAGGGGTGGCCAGCGAACCCCGAAACATGTACCTCCTCCGCAAGAAACGTATGGATATGGTACTTCGGACCCCATGCTGCACTGCAAAATCTGGAACAAGGGGCTAGCGCTCCTTAGAAGCTCAATGCACCTCATCCAGTAAACCAGGTCCATGCGGCCCCTGCCCGAGGTAAGCGAGCTCCAAATGCAAGGACCCACTACGACTCTGAGTGGCAGGCGCTGTCCGGGACTTTGCGGCGCCTGTAAAGATAGTCCACAAGAAATGGAATGAGCACTGGGCAGCCAGGTTGACATTCGCACATCTGCACCACTTGGGCATCACTCATGGTTGACTCGTTCCACCGCCGACGCCATTCCCGTCCACTTCTTAATCATTTGTTCTTCTTAAGGTGATGTCACCGTCTCCATGACTCAGCCACCTCACCTTGCCGCGTTGCCAGAAATCCAGGCCTGCTCATCAGCTCCATTGGCTACCGTTGACGCTGACTGCCGCCAGAATAAGTGAGTGCCAAAAACGGAGATTCGAAAAGGAAATAAAGAGAAAAAAGAGAGCAGGGACAAGACCAGAATCTGCCAAGCGCCTAATTCTGGTCCTTGAGACTGCGACGTATCGCTTGTTGTCTCCCAATCGTAATCGTGAAATGCCCTGTTTGAAGCCAAGAATCCCAGTCCGTCTTGTCGCGGACAGAGTCGCGGATATACAACAACTCAACCCACCTCGGAGCACCGGCCAACTTCAAACTCTCTGTCACCCACTTAATACGTAGGCTAACATCAACAGGCACTACATCCAAGTACTTCTAACAGCCAAATACAGCTAAATGGACCGAGTTCATCAAGCAATCAAGCACGAGAGGGAAGGGAAAAAAAAACTTCTGGACATGGATAAGTAGACGTGGACGGCGTCTAGAAGAAAAGAAATTCAAATCGACGCGAAACATGGGCCCTTATTCCCCCCCACCTCACCACCAAGGTCAACCAAACCCAGTCTTATCCTGTCTGGAGACTGTCGCCTTCGCCCCCGTGCTCAATGCCCTAAACACCCATCGCACTCGTCAATCTTCAATTACCATCCCTGACGTTGGTTCATGAACCCCGCCCCTAAATCCTTGCTTTCTGGTGGCTCACTGGTGTGAATTTCGCACATCTTCCCCAAGTCTCATTGTCTGTGCGCTCACGACAGTCTGCTTTTTTCTCTCTGGCTCCACTACCACTAAAGCCCGGCCGCTTGCCGGCGGCGCCATCTCCGGATAACGGCTCCTTCCCAATCGTGGCTGTGAGGCGCAATTTTGACGGCGCTTACCATTGCCGCCGCAATTTCACGTCATACCATCTATTGAACCTCTAATTATCCAATCCGTCCTTTGCTGACGCCTGCGCATTATGTGAATTTCTGTAAAACATAACAAATTTCTTCATAGGCCGAGATCTCCCCCCTATTTTGCCACGTTCCCGTGATAAGAGATACCTCGGTCATCAACGTTCAGACGTGCAGCGTTTCATCTCCACCTATCGTCAACGCTCTCTTCAGACCAGACACACAGTCCCCGTCACCCTTCTGTCCGTCCCAACCTAAGAAAAGAAACCCTGCGAACATCTTCTTAGTGCCCACTGATCACCTTCTTACTTCCAAGTCTCTCTGTCGCCGCCCGCCCACTTCTCGATGGTGCAGCAACAGTAGTATCCACGCGTGCGCTCCGCAGATTTCGTGCTTTCGAATGAAACACTGCAAACCCACAGCCTCCATCTCACTGGTAAAAGTATCCGATCCGCGACGGATTATCCACCGTCGCGACTAAACGTCCGGGCGGTATGCAGAGTCCGACTGTGGCTCCTCCCCGAATTAGAGACGACTGAGAGACAGAGAGAGAGAAACGGACAACCCCAGTTGCGCAAAACACAAGTCTTGGCACCACGAGGATCATCTGATCTTTAAGCTTCCATCACCTCAAACGCTGATGATGGAAAAAAGAGAGAACTCCACAACCGCTCTCCTCCAATGTCGATCCAAGGGAGGAGGGGTGTGTCGTCTTCTTTTTGCTGAAGACGTTCGCTGTGTTTCATCTCATCCCTCGCAGAAGCCCTCTGAACCACTCGCTCGTCCGGACCTAAGCATGACAGGAGAAACAAGACATCTGTCGGGCCAATGCGACTGCAACGTAGAAACCGAGTCCATTTTTTTTTTCCCTTCACTCTCTCTTTCTTTAGGTTTTGCTTCGGTTTGCTTAGTTGGGCTGCGGCACTGCAAATCATCCATTCCTTACTAACTCAACTACAGCATTATGGTATCAAAGTGTCGTTCTTTTTCTATGCATCAAAAACATATTCCCATCCCACTCAAAATACCCTTCTTGAGCGTTTCGCGCATGAGTCGGTCGTCAATCATTCCACCCATCAATTTCCCAATGCCCCTTTTTTCGTGTCCTGTGCCCGACGACGGTCCGCTGCATGCAGGGCTAACTCACTCACATCCGCGCACTACATACGTCCTGCCTTCGAGGCAAGGTATACTTTTGCCCGCTGCTCCCATCGGCTGACCATGTGGTGGCTTAGTCCCAACTCCGATGCCCGTGGCTGCTCTCGTCCAACACAGCTGCCGGCGCTCGATGGTGCACCAGCTTCTGGATGGCGGTAGCGGGGAAGTTCTCCCGGTTCTCCATGTCCAGGCTGTTGGAGCGCGCCCTCTTTCTGCCGGTTAGCGACTTCAGTGGGCTGATCTGGTCCAAGGAGGGCAGCCCGCGCTGTTGGTCTACTGGGGACCATCCCGTTCTGCCGTCCGAACCGGCCACCGCCGCGACTGCCGAGACGGCCTGGGCCCACGGCTGCTGGTTCCATGTCTGTTGGTCCTTGTTGCCCTCTGTCCACAGATTGGCGTTGGCCGCCGTGCTGCGCTGGTTCTCGTTATGCCACTGCTGCGTCTTTGAATCCGACGCCTCGTTCCAGCCGTTCCATTGATGGAGGCTTTGGAAGGATGAAGTTGCCGTGTCCCATTCGGGGATCCCCTCGCAGTCTGCGTCATCATACACACCTACGTTCACCCCATTTGAAACTTGGATACCCGCCGTTGCCGACAAGAAAGGATCGGCAGGAGCTGGTCCCATGTCAGTGACAAGCGTGCTCTGGCTGCCCATGGAGGTCGTGCAAGCCCCAGACAAGAAGTCAAGCTGATGGTGAGACCCGTTGGCGAGCTCATGACTGCCGTCATAGCTGCTCGCGTACGAAGAGTGAATGGATGCCGTAGGGGGCGGCGTAGCAAGTCCGTGTGAGAAGCTGTCCATCAGGCCCAGCGTACCTGTAGAGGCGAGACTAGGGAGCTGACCGGGCATGGTGACCGACTCCCAAGCAGAGTTGAGGTTGTCGTTCATGACTGCGGCAATGTGATGAGAGTAAGGAGGCGTAGGTGCCATGAGGAGCTCACGGCTTGGGCCAGAAGCAGTCGTGGGGTTGACGCAGACATTCTGTTGGTGCGCCTGGGAGACGGGGTCAAGAGCCGTCAGGAAACGCCATGTTGTGCCCGGAGGGTTGTAAACTCGCTTGGGACGGTTTCCGCGTCGTGAAGAGCCATTGTGCTCGTCACCCTCCTCGTCGGCGGGCCTCTTGCCCTTCTGCTGCGCCGGCTTCTCGAAGATCGGGTTCCACTTGTCGTCAAAGGCGTGGATCGTTCGGAACTTCCAGAGAATGATGCCGCGTCGTACCCACACACGCCGGTCGGTGTTGTTGTTGTCCGGTGGGACAGACCACAGCTCTTGGAACATGCCCACCTGCTGGATGAGCTCGGCCGTGGTGCGTTCCGCCTCGAACGCGGCTTCTTCAGCGGCTTTGGCCTTCTCGTCGTCATCCTCAATCTTGGACTTGCTCTCGCCAGGATCAAGATATCCGGCGCAAATACTGAGGATGCTGGCCCACTCGGCTGCAGGGAAGGGGACTCGCACGTCTTGCTTGGGACGGCTTCGGCAGTCACAGTCGAACTTGTTGTCCTGGCATCCCGGCCTGTGTGTGTACTGCACGCCAACCTCACTTGTCTGCTCGACTACAGGAGGATCGCTGTCACCGCGGCGCAACTCTTCGGGCCGCGCAAGCTTGGTAATGCACTTCCATCGGTGGTTTTGCAGCGTGGGCTGGGCAATGTTGAGCTCAACGAAACCATTCAGCTCTGATCCGGCGGGGAACTGGCTGCGGGGGTGAATCTCCAGCGTCACCGTCATCTCGAGTATGTCGAGCCACTTCGTTTCCGAAATTGCATACTCCAGTGACTTGTGCAGAGGAGTAAACTTGGCTTCCCACTCCTGAGAGAGCTCTGTGACGGCAGCAGATTCTTTCTGTGCTAGCTCGCGGTTGTACTCGTGCAATAGAACGCTGCCGTTGAGGCCTCGAGAGTAATTGTCTTCCTTGTGCAGGTTCTTCTCCAGGTGGGGGTAGTAGTCATGGTCGAGTAGTTTGCCATTTTGGTCGTATGCGTCTCCGTTCTCCTCCATCCTCACATTCGAGGACGCGACGAAGATCCAACAGGTCTTGGGACGCATGACGACGAGGTTGTCCATGGCTAAGATCTGGGCAAAGTACTCATAGTTGGGACGGACATCTGGGAGCCGGCCCTCGGAGAGAGCAATGAGGACCGGATTATCTTTGAATGAGGCCATTTCCAAATTGTCCTTGAGTCGTGCCTCGCTCTTATCTGGATCCTTCACGAAGAAGAAGTGATCTGGAACGTGTGAGCTTCAGTTCAACCCCAGGTGGACCATGAGCCAACATACAGCACCTGTGCTTCTCAAACATCTTCTTGACCACCTGGATGTGGCTAGACACCTGCTTTCGTTTTCTCTCTTCGGCCTTCTGCCCCGGCTGCAGACTGCAGCAGTAGGCAATCCAAAGATACTCACTGATGAGCATGTTGCGTCCAAACTGCTTTCCTTGCATGCTATACTTCTTCCTTCCCATGTGAGGAATGATGAGCAGTGCTAAACGGAACAGTCAGAAATGTCTCTCGCACCTCGAGCATGGGGAAGACTTACAGTCGAGGAAGGCATCTTCCAAAACGCGGGGCCAGATTTGCTTTTCGTTAGGGTCCTTCTGGTCCTGCTTGTCCCGATAAGGACGAAATTCTGGGGCGTAGTAGATTGGGTTGATGTCGTGTCGACCTCGCCTGGCCAGATGTAGGGCATCTGGCCTCCGAAGGCTGTTGCTGCTCCTGTAGGTCGTCCCCGCCTGGGACGGCACGACAGGAGGGGTCGGGATGTTGGTAAGGCTGGGCGAGAAGAGCCCGAGGGGACTGTTACGGCACGATGAGGCCAGGCTGCCCAGGTGAGATCCGGGCTGGGCGTTTCCAGTCGACTCCCTCAGGGGCTGCCTCCCCGTTGGTGTACATCGTCTGCTATCGTAGCTGTAGACGGGAGAGGGAGAGTAGCGCTGAGACGGAAGTACGGGACGTGGGTGCTCCATTTGGCCTTTTGCTAAATCTCTATCAAGCGTAACGTCAAGTTTCTGGATATGTCAATGACGGAGGGCTGTGCTGCAACGAATTTCGTTTCCGTTCTTTCTTTCCGTCGTTCCCCCACTGAAAGCCTGGGGAACGGTATGCGTTTGCAACGTGGACTGGATTGTAAACGGATTCCTTGAGAAGAACGGAACCACTGAGGGAAAGAATGAAAGAGTGGGAGGCAAAAAAGAAAAGGAATGACTGTTGAGGAATTTCGTGACGGGGCGGGCAAGGGTTTTGTTCGTTTTAAGAGAAGGGCAAGGACAAGCAAAAGAGCACTTTTGTATCTTCGTCCAGTATGCTCCGGGGGCTCAAAGATTCCTCAGGAACCTTTTTTCAAAATAGGTAAAGAGTGGAATGGAGCGGAATGATGGGAAAGTGAGAGTATGGTGTTTCTGTCGATTGGCAAAGTAGAAGGAGTGTATGAGTTTGAATTCCGCAGTTCTTAGCAGAGAGGGTTGGGGATGTTCCTGTGCTCCTCCTTTGTATGACCAGAGCAAGGGCGAATGATTTGAAAGGGTGCTGATCGAGGACAGAGGAGAAGGCTTGGAGAGGTTGAGAGGCAAGGCGCTGGCATGGGACGTACGTCAATATAAGTTCCTGGGGTCAGGTACACCCGCTCGGGGTTTGCAAGAAAGGAGGCGAGGGAACGAACAAGATCGATGGAGGCCAACATCAACAGCATGCCCGTAGCTTGCCGAGAGAGGAGTCAGTCTGAGAGAGAAAGCCTTTTTTTTTTTTTTTTTTTGGTTCGACGCCCTAGGTTCCAGATCGAGTTCAACACACCCCTCATCTTAGCCCTCTGGCTCATCCTCCTCCTCGTCCATTCCCCAAGTCACAACATGCCTGGCTACTCAACTCCAGCCCTGTCCTCGTTTTGGTCAAATAAAAACAGAGCTTTCCCCTCTATGGAGTGCTTACATGGAACTTCAGACCCTAGAAGAGGGGCAGAGTATATCCCACCTTTCCTGTAGTTTCCGAGGCCTGGGTGAGAGGGGTGAAAGGGATGTCTGGGGGCGGCAGAGAAGTACGACACCATGAGAGGGCAACATAGTAATGCGTTGAGAGGTAGGCTGCAAATTCTGACCGAGCCACGCCGGATCGAATCTCCGGAGAAGACCCAGCCAGGATGAGAGAGAAAGATCGGAGGGCGGGATGCAACCTGGGAGCAGGATCGAGGACAGGCAGGCAGGGCTGGTGGGGCGTGTCTATGGGAGGAGAGGGGCACTGGACTGGCAGGTGAGGGAGAAGGGTGCGAATAGCGTGGCGGTAGATTCAGTTCAACGACGTCGTGGGTCCATATCTGACGGGCATGGCTTGACAGCTCCCAGAACGTCGAGGGGAGGGGGAGGAAAGGTCCTTTGGTTCCCTTTGCCCTGGAACTGAAGGTATGTTCGTCTATGTCCACCTACTTAGCAGGGGCCGCTCCACATGGCGAAATCGCTGAAAATGGAGGAACTAGAGGGGTGGATAGATTGAGCCGATGGCATGCAAGGGGTTGGTCAAGGAACGTTTGCTCATGGGGACAGACCAGTTTGGGTTTGGAAACATTACGATTTTGGATCTGCACGTACAGCCCACCCACCATCATCTTGCCGTTCACATGTACCAGCCGTTGCTTTTTTAGCCTTAGGAAAGCTGGTCATTCAGAGAGGCAAGACCACATGAACAGGCGAAGAGATTGTGTGTGGCTTATTGTGTATGGTTATCATGCCTGTTGCCAAGCTCTTGCTCCTCTCAGAACTCTTCTCAGAGGGGGCGAGGAGAAGGCGCACTTTGAGTTAAAAACAAACAGAGATAAAAGGCATAGCGCATCACAACGTTGGCATGCAGTCCTGATTAGGAAGAGACAGAGCACCTGCGAAGGGGAGAGATGCATTCCATCAGCGGGTCCAAGGAGGCGAGGGCAAGTGAGCAGAGGCTGACGAAAAACATCAAGGCTTGGGTTCTCTTTTGATCATGTTATGTTTTTTGTTTTTTTTTGCCCCTCCAACTGATTTATCATTGACGGTGATGGGTAGATGATGGCAGCAGTTCCCACACTTGAGGCTACTTCCTTACCATTCGATGTTCTGGTGCACGGGGGATGACAATAGCAAAGGTATAGTGAGTTGCACTCCGCCACCTGCAACCCCACAATTGGCCGACTCCTTGGGTTCCCGTCTTTGCATGATATGGGGAAAGTCATAGCGAAACGGTTTATCTCTCCCAGGAGGGAGGTAAAATTGATCGGAAGGGGACAAAGGGGGGAGGCAGGGCAGGGCACGGCCGCGGGGGAAGCCCAAGTCTCGAGGCCAGGGATGACCAAGACAGCTGTGCGTACAGAATCACGGATGCGGGCAGCCACTGTAGTTAAAGAAAGTGACATCTCAAGGGTAAAAGCAAAAATCAAGCTGTGATTTGCACATGGGGCTCACATCACTGGACAAGAAGACTGGGGCGACGCGGCAAGAGTTTGCAACAAGATTGGCACGACGTTGGTGCCACACAACAGAGGCACAAATTGGATCCTCTCATTGGAATTGTTCATGTTCCTCGGACTCCCTCCATCCCTCTCAGTCCTTTCACATATCCATCTCGTCGGCGTTGTCGCCCCCAATATTGACCCTTTTCCTTCCCTGGCCCGTGAGCTGCGAGATGGCAACCTTGTTAACCTGGCCACCAATTTTGCGTTGCATCTTGGCAATCTCCTCCTCAGCATCGACTGCCTCGGCCTCTGCGTAGTCGAGAACAAGTCTGCGGCCCAGCAAGTGAGTGTCTCGTAACGCGTTGAGAGCATTTTCCGCCTCCCGAGGTGTGACAAACTCGGCAAAAGCAAAACCTCTGGTTGAGTTGCCAAACTTTTTCGGTAGACGCACCGCCCTAAGTTGGCCATACGTGCCAAATAGGGTACGGATGTCTTTTTTAGTTGCTTCGAAGGGCAAGTTCTTAATGACGATCTTGGTACGCTGACCCGCTGCCTTGCGGGCCTTGTCCTCCCGGCGACGTTCCTCTGCAGCGTCTTGGCCCTTGTGCGACGCCTTGACGGCGAGGGTGTGGCCTTCGAGAACGAAGCCATCCATGGACTGAAGAGCCGCCTGTGCTTGCTCCTTTGTCTTGAACACAACGAAGCCGAATCCCATGCTCAACACCTGGCCAGGCTTCTTAGGGTCCATCTTTGTCTTTACTCTAGCGGAAACGAAACCGTCCAACGGTTTAAACGTCTCGGCCAACTTTTCCGTCGTCGTGGAGAAGTTGAGATTTCTGACGAACAGCGAAGTTGAACCAACGTCTGCCTCACCCTGGTCGTCTCGTCCCAAAAGCTCAGTAACACTGAGCTTCTGCACGCCAGTAGGTCGATCCTCTTTGCTATGTGTCATGCTCAGTGAGGCGTCATGCTTGAAAAGGTCTTTGGGTCCCTTCTCCAAGAACAGTACAGTGTCCTTTATCCGCCTGTATGCAAGCTTGGCGAACGCCGCCTTTGCATGTGCTGGCTGAGCAAATTCGACAATAGCAATGGTCCCACTGGGTGGCATCAGCACCCTCAAGACGGTGCCATGCTCTTCAAACATGGTTCTCAGCTCCTCCATCGTGGTCCCGAAAGGGAAATTTTTTACCAAAATGGTCGTATCGCCCCGCTTTTGTGACTTCAAAGCATCGAGATCAACGCCATTGGAAGTAAAGTAGGCCTTAGTTTCCTGGATGATCGACGTCTCGGCGATGGCCTGCTTAACACCGGCATCCGCCGAGGTGGGATCAAGTAGTTCCGATTTGGACACGCCCAGGCGGCTGGCAACTGATGCGTTGACAGCATCCTGGCTCATGTAGAGAGAATTCCAGTTGAAGGAGCTAGATGCAGCCTCGGCCTTCTTTCGGATTAAATTCTGCTTTTTCAAGGGCAGCTTTGAAATTGCAAACTCATCCAATCCTGTATCCCGCTTTTCCGCAGCGGGCAAGACGTGTACAAGTCGCCCTTGCAAGGTCTGACCATCCGTCGACTGGAATGCAGCAACAGCAGAGTCGGCATTTGCGAACAGCACCATAGCGTAGCCCTTACTTGCACCAGTAGCGGTAACTGGCAGGTGTACCTTTCCAGGAGATTAGCAATCTGAGTCCAAACATAATGTTCTCATGAAAAGCTTAGAAAATAAATCATTTCAGAAAGTCGAAGCATCTACTAAAATACCGATCCAAGGTTCGCATCAACCATCATTTGATGTAAGCTGTCCCTATCTGGATTCATCACATGATTGTACAGCACTAAGTGGCTGAAGATGGAAAAGAAAAAAGGAAAAAAAGTCGTGTTGCTTACCTCTTCAAGTTCCCCAAACTGTTCAAAATGCGAGCGCAGGTCATCTTCGTTTACACTGTATGCCAAGTTTCGCACGAACAGTCTTGAGGTCCTTTTGATGGTGGCGAGGGTTTCGTCCCCTTCCTCCTCAACCTTCTTCGCTAGGGGTGCCGCTTTATCACCAGCTCCCGCTTCACTCTCAATCGCGGCCTTCGGTCGCTCAGAGCTCTCGACAGGGGCCTCGTGATTAATTGCGGGTGCACTTCCCCCTGTCTCTCCACTGTCTTGTTGAGCCGGGGGCTGGAGTACCTCGTCGTCATCAACAAGATCCAGCAGGCGGTTCGTCCTTGAACGGAGCCAATCATCGTCTGAGGTTGCCGCGCCGTTGTTATTGTTGACAGCAACGGCGGGAGCCTCGTCCTGAGTCGCGTCTGGCACCGGCTTAGGGACTGGACCAACGTCCGGCATTGCCTCGTCCTCTTCCGGCAAAGATTCCGCGGGGCGGTGATCTCCCTTTGGCGCCTCCCTCATCTGCCGTTTCTCAGGCCGAGCCGGGATGGCTTCATATTCATCGTCACTTTCGCCGTCTTGGAGCAACTTTTTCTGCTCCTCAACAGCAGCAGAGTCGATCACATCCAACATTTCATTGGCGGAAGAGTTCTTGCCAGGCTGCATGACTTGCAAAAACTCGCGCAGCTTTGGGTCTGATTCATCTAGATCCTCCCGCTTGCGCTTCTTGTTTAACCCGTCATCCTTTTCAGCAGTGGGTGGCGGAAGTGCAGCCGATTCTGACGTCTTCGCCACAGGCAGCTGTCCGCTTACTCCCTTTGTCTTTTGAAGGACGGGATCTGCAATCTAAGAGGGAAAGGAACGTAAGCATATGGGATCATTGGTTTTACCTGGAGCTATCTCCGACATACCGGCCTTGCAAGTTCGACATTAATTCTGGACATGCGAATGTAAGACTTGTTGAAGTACTTGACGGCCTTGGTCGCAACCTCAGGTGTCTTGTATCCAACGTAGCCAATCCTTCTTTGAGGAATAACCTTGACGTCTGTAACCTCGCGACCACCAGCAGAAAAGTGCTTTCGAAAGTCGGCATCAGTGATGTTGGGTGGCAGTCCCCTAACGAAGATGCGGGAGGTCTCCAATGGAGGAGTAAGTGTAGTGGCAGCAGCCATAGCGAAAATGGGGTATCTTTAGAAAAACAATTAAACAGACGTTCGTGAAAAGGAGAGAAAGTGTTATGCGAGCGTAAAATGCTCTAGGGTGTGGTGGTTATAAACCCAAAGCCATCCTGTCATGAGGGTATGAGGAAGAAGTTTGAAAGGTTTTGTTGACTATGGAGGTGAAAATGGAACTGCTTCAAGTTTTTTTTTTCCTGCTCTTATCGCTATCTGCATGTGACCTTGAGAGCCCCGCAGTGGCCGCCTTCCTTTCCATGGTTTAGCGCATGACTGCCGAGAAGCGGATATGGTCCGTGCATATAGCAACCCAACTTGATAGAATAGACCCTTTCTTGTCGCGGCTACTCTGCTGGTTGACCAAAACACGCGACAGCATATTGGCAAGACAAGCTCCAAAACTGCCAGTCTTCTCTACAATACTGTGGTGTATGTTCAAAGTCTCCTTTACCTGAATTTCCTTGCTAACAACATTGGGAAAGTCGACGCTTGATCTAGTGAGTACTCGTAGATCGTCAAGCGCAGCAATGGACGACCGACAATTAAAGGGGGCTCGAAACAGGCTGTACGAGCTCAACATCGTGCGCTGAAGCTGACGACGACATCGCAATCTTAGGCAAACTCCCACCTCATAGAACATCGACATGGCCGACGCTAAGAGCACCTCGCCCGCTCCCCGGGAGAAGTTGGAAGGTATGTTGGTTGCCCAGGGCGGCCTGCGACATCGCTTGCAAGCAGAAGAGGCTGACGAGTCGGGAATCTAGCGCAGGTCAAGAGCGCTGACATGGTGAGAACTAACACCCCCATAGAGTTACTGTTGGGATTTAATATTAACTTTTTTAAGACCGAGGACATGCAACAGGAGTGCATTGAAGTTGGTATGTAGTGGCATCGCTTGAAACCCCTCTTGAACCCACCGCCGCCATACTGACGACCCCTTCGCAGCTCAGGAGGCCATGACCAAGTTTACTATCGAGAAGGTGCGTATCCTCAAAACGGCTCCGGTGTGCAGTTGATAGTGCCACGGACTTGGATTGACACGACTCGCAGGATATCGCCCAGCACATCAAGCGTACTGTAAGTCTTCTTGTTTGGTTTCCGCCTACTATGTCACACCAGCTTACACATATGCCATGGACAGTTCGATGAGCGCAAGGGTCCTACATGGCACTGTATTGTTGGCCGCAACTTCGGCAGCTTTGTCACGCACGGTACGTCTATTTGGCATCACAGATGGCCTTGCGATTCCACCTAGTTCCCCTGCAACCGGGCTTCTTTTCTTTCCCTGAAGTGGCAAACATACGCAATGCAACAGCATTCTGACTAATATTTCGTCTTCAAATAGAGACAAAGCATTTCATCTACTTTTACCTTGGCCACTGCGCCATCCTCTTGTTCAAGACTCAATAGACGGAGCGAGACGAACCGAAACCACGTGTCTAAATAGGAACCCCCAGAGACAACGCGTTGCAAATATGGTGTACGGGAATAAGGGGACAAGCTTTTAAATACCGACTTGGTACGGGAAAATGGGACATGAAACTTTGTGCAAAGGCGCGTGTGCGGGTTGCTTCAATGTCGGGAGAGGGAACCGGAAGGGAAGTTGAGATGCTCTCTGGCATCTCAACATGATTGTCCTCTTTGGGAGGACGGGTACCTATTCATCTGCCCACACAATTCACATCATTATTTCACGTCTCTGGTTGCACAAGGCATGTGTGGAAGAACACGCTGTGACCTGAGCTGGGGTCCCTTTCATAGCCAGGGTCTGACTGAGCATCTCCTGAACCTAATGGGAGACATTTTGGAAGTAGCATGCCGAGGGCATTGTGCACATGGGGGCGGTGGGGAAGGTATTCATCTGCTGGACATAGGTCACAGTTACCATAAGGCTTCTTCTATTCACTGAACGAATCATATACTCATTAGGGGTTCAGTAAACGGCATACGATACATCATCACAGGTCGCGAACTTTGACGAGGAGAAATAGACAACACCAGAGACACAGGCACATTCGCGGAGATGTCGTCAACCATCACAAGGACAACCATCACGAGGACGGGTAGGACGATTCAAAGCCCCTCTATGGTATGCTCCTCGGTATTGCCCAAAAGAGTCGTCGATGTCGTCGTTGACGTCTCGGTGCTAGGGAGGGAACCGCAGTCGATATGTCGTTTCAGACAAGCTCTGTGACAAATCCGCCCAGCCGCACCCCATTCCTTGTCCTACGACTCCCGGGTCAAAGCCGACAGGCTCACAGCCAAAGACATTTCCCACAATTACTGTACGCCGAACGAGAGTGTCAGTCCAAAAGTATTTCCCGTCAGGCTAAGTCGCAGAGGCTGGGGTTCTTTTTTGAAGCTGAACCCATGAACATACTTTACACCAATTCAACAGCACTATCGGCGGTACCAATGGTTCAGAATCCGAATTAATGCACAACATAGACAGAAAGGTGAGATCAACAGGCTGCACAGGCGAAACCGAGGCCAGTGCTTCTTGATTTCGTCTCAAGTTTGGTAACCTCTCCGCAATGATCACCCTGGCGCCCTTCAATAGCGGCGACCCGGTAATTTGGAAACCAGACGCCCCTCAATCAGGTAGGAACGTTCTTTGCAGCAATGTAGAGCAGTCGACTAGAAGATCATCCATCAGCGCCTAAACCGCGAACGACTTAACGAAGCACCATATCATAATGTACTTAGATTTCATGCAAAAGCCTATCTACCTAGTCGTGGAAGCAAAAATACTACAAGGAAGCCAAAGGCTCGTCATAAGTCGGAGCCAAGACGGGCGGAGCACGGAGGGCGGTGTACTTAGCTCTAGCCCCCGCTCTCCACATCGTCCTGAGTTGAGGGTGACAAAAGCTCTGGCTGGAGAAAGAAGGAAAGAAGAGAGAAAGAGAAAGAGAGGGTGTGGTTGCTGTCAGGCACCCAACAACAACATCAACCGCTGTTTGGTTGCGGCTGGGTACGTACCGGGTATGGAGCACATGGGACAGGGGATGGCGGGGGCTTGAAGACTAGGTGGGCTTAGTACTCGCCTGGCAGGTCTTGGGGGGCCGTCCGACTTTTGCTTCTCTCACCTGACGCCAGAAGCTGCTGGTTGCCCCCCTTCGTCACCTTTCCTTCTGAACACGCGCGATGAGGCCAAGAGACATACGCTAGAGCCAACGTAGCGTTGCTATCCTGTAGGTACACACCACCACCACCACCACCACCACCACCACCGCCACTGTTGCTCCCGAAGACGGTGGGTGGACAAAACTCGCTTCACTTGTCGGCCGGTGGCTGGCTGCTGCCGGATCGACATGACGGGAAGGTTAGGGGGTGCAACGGGGGTCAGTTCGTCGAACGCCGGTGGAGAGCCACGGGATGTTTCTCCAAAGGATCTGCGACGCATTGAGAAGAGTCTTTCACCATGGTCGTCGGGACCACTGTAAAGGCGAAGGATCCTTCGCACGGCAGCCGACAAGGTCATAACAAAAAAAAAATTGTCGAGAGGACAGGCCTCGCTGTCTTTCGCACGGTAACCGGCGGTTCGGAGGAAGGGTTCCAGCCATCCTACCAAGACTATATGGTAGGGTCGGAGCAGCGTCTTGACGACCTTCCGGGTATTCTCATATTGCGGGCCTCTCAGCATCCGATGTGCAGGCCTTTGCTACAAAGCGTTAACACCACCCTCGGTGGAATATGAGCTGAGGGTGGTGGGTGTTCTGCCGCCTTCGCCGTTGTCCCACACTCTCCACAAAACTCAAAAAGACCAGACGTACAGATACTCGCGAGGTACTCTTATGGTGAACTGGAAGCGGGGCAAGGCCAATGGCGCCTGCGGAGGAATCAATCCATTCGTCTGCCGCTGACACGGTTGTAGAGATGCTCCGACGTGCAATCAATCCTACAACGATATTATTGTGGTTGTTCCGAGACGAATGGTTGGCGGCAAATGAAAGCAATGTGGTGCTTTCTGCGAGGGTCCGCAAGCTTCAGGGACGAATTAATCCAGGGTCCCGGAGCAGGGGATGATCTGGAAGATCAGGGCCCGAATCGAGGACCGGAACGGAGAGCATAAAAGCGTGAAGGATCAAAGTGTGGTTGAATCACCCACTGCCCCTCACTACCACCATGTTGCTCAAGGTGCGTCTTAGTTCGGGCGATGGCGAGTGCAACACTTCTCCATCGGAGTAAGTCGAGCGTTCAAGTCACCCGCCAAGAGCTGCGCAGACCTTCAACTCCATTGGCTCCCTTGGGTTTGCCAATTGGCTTCGTGATGGTGGTAATGGTGGGAGCGGAAGCAGCGCATTTCTTCCCACGAAAAGTTTCAGCACGCACGGGACACGAGGTCTTACTTATCCGAACTCTGGATCCCATCCTCATCTTGTCTCTGCCTTAACTCCAAGGTTTCTTCTCTGCATTTTGGTCTGCCCACCAATGCTAGCTCCTGTATGTAGCCGTCTGGGACGTCCGTCATCTTCGGATGGAGTAACCTGTTCTAGCGTTGTGTGTGACCTAGCCGTCTTGATATGTCTCATAGTTCAAGCTCGGCGGCGGATTGGCTTCAAACTGCCGGGGTGTGGAAAGCGGACTCAATTCGGTCTCTCATAGAAAGCAAAGCAGGTTGAAAAGGCCTGGAATTTCGGTGTCCAAATGTCACCCACTATTGTCGCCCTTGCGGGAGAATTCCGGCATTTTTTGGTAAGCCGAACAGCGGCTATGAATCGGAGGTTGGGTTGTGTCCTGCAATGCTCAAGTCTATTGACTGTACTACGGCATCTACGGCCCAAGTTGGCAATGAGGCGGGGAAATGAGGCATGTATCTCTCATGTACCTACACCCATTCAGTTGGGCATGCATCCACCAATTCGAACCGGGAATGTTGCTCTAAATCTACCGGTCCAGTCCATTTCTTGAGACAGTTGAACACAACGCAGCTAGAATAAGTCTCGCCTGCGTCTTGAGAGGGGAAGCGCGGGGCTACCGTTCGGTAGGGAAGGCGGATATATTGTGGTGCAATGCGAGGGGTTTGTCCAGCATGCGTCAGCCCACAGGATCGGGAATGTCTTGACGGGTAGAAAGCAGTTCTTGTCACAAGTGCTGCGTCTAGTCTTCAGGGTGTTCAACTACAGAGTAGATGTGCTGAGGCAGCCGATCAATTGGTGGCGCTTGGTAGAGACGTTTCTCGAATCGATTCCGTCGAAATGGGTACAAAGTTGATATTGTCACTCTTCAAATAAGACAGCCCAGCTCCAGCAATTAGGGGCCGCATGCATCAGACGGAGGATGAAGTCAGATGCCTGTTGAGGATTCGTTCTTTCCACCCCATGGCTGAATGTGGAAAGCGGGTGTTCCATATCTCTGCCTAAGAGTGGGGGGTTTTGGACCTTTTTCAGGCCAGCCCCCAGTAAGCTGATGACATCCATTGGCTTTGTCATCGCTGTTAACCAACAATGACCCAGTGACGATGTGGTTTGGTCGTTTGGCGATATCCCAAGAGCTAACTTCTGTTCCCGCACCGTTGCTAGGAAGTATGGCGTGGGCAATGTCTGATCACGGACTTGTCGCGGGGGGAGACACACTGACCCTCAGTGGGTTACATCGAGACTATCCCTCGCGCAGCCAGATCAGACTGGCAGGCGCTGCCCAGTCGACTCCCTGCCGCGCCCTCGATGGTGGGTTTCTAAATACTCCTGCTCCGTCACCCACCAGCGTAGGATCCACCGGATATATTTTGGGTGAAGACCGCGCCAACCCCACCAGTGAAGCAAAAGCCCAGTTTCCGCCAACCGTCTGGGCATACTTCTGTACTCTCATTGTAGGACCAGGATTTATCGGCGTGATATTGGTCATGTACCATTGAAGGTTTACGAAAAACGGCGTAGGCGACAGCATTAAACACGCAACTCACGGCAGATAGATTAAAACGCACGATAAGAGGATGGCTCTGCCTGTGGCTTGGCCGATTAACAGCAGAAATTGGACGTTTATGCTGCCTCCTTGGAGGGCTCCCTTGTGGACGGATGCTCCATCCAATGTCTGAACTTTTAGCATTGTCTAAGGCCTGGAGCAGCGGAGCAATAGCAGGTCAGTGGTGGCCGCTTGCAGATTCTCCCAAGGCCGACATAGAGTGCAAGGGAAAGAACGATCTGCTGCGTAGCTTTCGTACAGGGCAGCTTTAAGGTGTTTGAAGTACCCGTAAGGTTATGTGTACCTGTGAATGTCAAATGCCTTGGTTAAGGTTTGTTGCCGAGACAGCACAATGTAAAGGGGGCCCATGGATTTCTTCGAGGCCATCTCAGCTCGCAAGACCCCGGCCGCTCTGGGTTGACTGCCTCTACACTGCGTCCATCCTGTGAGATTGGGTTACTTCGGTTGTGGCGACCGCAAGCAAGTCGAGGGTTAGATGCTACAGTCAGGGTATGCAGCCTGGAACGAGCGGCTCGGCGGATAATTGGAGGACGGGGAGACCAGAGGCGGGAACACCGGGAAGGCTGACTGAGGCTGGCTGGCTGAGCTGAGGCTTACACATATCAACACAGTGGTGACTGGAATCTGGTTGATCCAGATGGTTTCTTCTTCCCTAGGCGAGAAGGTCGTTGATTAAGTCCGTTGTTCCCAGTCTTGGGTCGTGCAAGGCGCGCGTGCGCAAGGGGCCAATCTATGCCAAGGCATAGGCCGGCTGAAGCCATATCGTCCGTGTTGGCAAATGCTATGAGCGAGCCCCGGAGTTTGAGAGTTCGCAAACCTGGCTGTAGCGTTGGATAACCTCATTGATTGTATTCGTCCCAAACGTTGGCCGCCTGGTTATTTCGCGTCAAGCGCGGGAGCCGGTAGCGGAGGAAAGCCAAATGGCCAGGGCAACTGTTTATTTGGATCGAATGCGGCTGATGACGCCATGGTTGGTGGGAGGGGCAGACTGACCCTCTGGCTAATTCATGGCACCTGCCTTACTGAATGGGTAGCACATGCAGCTTGTTTTGTAATCGCTGTGAACGTATTTGGCTGCACTCCCTACGTAGTGGAGATAGCATGTTCTTCTTTGTGGCGTGGAGAGCGCTGAACGAAGAGGGTATGTATCCGGACCTGACACAGTTCCTTGAATCTTGGAGGGCACAGTAGCAGTCAGTGCACGTCACTTTAGTACCAGTATGGATACACGGCACGTCCGCTTGGGTTTGAAGGCGATGTTTTTCAACTTGTTATGAGGCACCTCTACAATGTCGTTAATGTGGTGGTGGCTTGCGTAAAAGTGGTTTTTTTTTAGTCTCTCTATTGCTTCGTTGTGGGCATTGCCCGCAATGAAAAATAAGACACCCTACCATTCGTAACTACCCCTCGTGACACAAGCAGCAGAAGAGCGGCGTGGGATGGTAAGATCGGTAGGCTAAGGCGAATGGTTCCCACCGAATGAATGCAAGAGAGGTTTCTTCTCGCATCGGGACAAGTCCAAACGGGGAAGAGACCAAGCCTCCATTCGGTTTCTACAGCCAATTCACCAAGAAAAAACGGTAAAGGACCAAGGCAAGCTAGATAATCTCGAAAGATGTGTTTCAGTCGATATTGAGACAGTAAGAGGCACCTGCCAAGGCATCCACCGAACGGTCCTGGTGCTGTTTGACTGACCATTTGCGATCTCGGGCAAATCAATTGGGAAAATACTGAGTGTCCAGCTGCCATCAGCCGTCTCAGTGACAAAATCCAAACCCAACCAACCCAACGCCGAGCCTGCAGGTGGCAATGTTCAACTGACTTATCACCGAGCACACGGAGGGCTCTGTCAAACCAACATACCAACCACCGTTACGAGTGAGCTTCCCTCGCACCGTAATAGACACCGAAGCTGACAGATGCACTTGTTGGCATCGACGAGCAGGCGAGGAGGAACATAATTGGCCGGGCAAAGCTTGGTCCCCAAATTGCCCATCAAATGCAGTTTTGGATATGCAAGGCTTTGTACGACGTACTGGTACAGAACTTGGGTTCGATTCCTCCTTCCGATTGCTTTACCTTTTGGCTGTGACGTCCCGTCAATAGGCCGAGGCTTGCCATGCAGTGATCAGTTCTGTCGAGTGCAATCTGAGCACGTGTCGTACATTTTCTGTCAGTAGTGTTCCTGGACGGGGGGAACTTGATGGGTTCCAATCGAATACAGGGTGCCACGACAAACCAGCGGGCGCCTTGGTTCAGGCATCATCCATCCATCCCGCACTCCATCGCATCTGCACTACCCACCCTATTCTTCTTACGAATCCCATGGGGCCCTGGTGGCTCTAAGTTGCAGCTGCTCCCTTCAAAACCCAGCATATTCTGGCACAACAGTGCGGTAACGTGACACGGCGCGATGTCTCTAGACCTCCAAAACCATTCGATGAGGCGTATGGGAAAAGAAATGTTCAGCAACTGAAAGCGTCGAGGACTTGATTGTGGTCAGTCTAGAGATCGAGGTGTGACATGGGTCCCTCGTAGGAAAGAGAAGTGAAAAAAAAAAAACCAGAAGAAAAACTGTTCGATCTTTGGTGGGGGGAAGCGTCGTCGATTTGAGTATTTCTTTTTCTTCATTCTGGGGAAACAGACCATCTGCTCTTGAGTTTCGGAAGGCGTCGTTAAGCAACGAGCTCACTGGACCACATACTCTCTAGGCGAAGAGTGTGGCTGCCCTACACGATTTACTCAACTAGATGAGCACCGGGAGGTACTTCCGGTACGACCAAAAAAAACAGTACACCTCTTTGTGTTGCCCACGCCCAGGCGGGACCCACCCGACCACCTGCATTCTCCACCAAAGAGGTACTGCAGCGGTACATCACCTCGTGGCTGCAACCAAAGTGCGATTCTCCCGCGGCCCCGGCAAATCGTCGCCATCCACTTGGACACTGGACGAGGAGCGGAAAAGGCAGGAAACGTAACACAACAACAAGAACAGCAACAGCAAATACACCAATAACCGCCATGACCACTGACAGGATCAAAATCAAAATCGTAAGTGGCAGGTGCCTCACAATGTGTCGCGAGACGACGAGCCTTCATTTTGCCGGCCGCCTCATATTTGTCTTGTTTCAAGCATTACAACATTCCCCCCATGCATTTCTCGCAGTCCGCCATCTTTTCTCCTTTTTTTCCCGTCTAGTTCGTTTCTTTTGGGTTCCCTTCAGAGTGCCTGCCCCTGTCACATCAGCGTCTTTTCTCTCCCTTTGGAGCCCACCTAAATTCTCATGGCACCAATTACGGTTTATGCTCTACCAGTCCGTGGGTTCATTGTCCGTACCCTTCATTCACGCCTATACAGCTCTGCTTGCTTTGATTCGGCTGCGTCGGTGATGTCAGTGACTCAGAAACAACAAAACCTGCAACCGCCGCCCGACACGGAGGAACCTTGCATCCACAGTCAACATTTGACCACCGGATCAGGGAATCAAGTGACAGCACGTACAAGCGAAGGCTGGACCCATTGGACCCTCATGAGGTCCGCTCAGGTGCAGCGTGGGAAGGGGAAGGCAAGGGAAGGGAAGCCCAGGCACAGCCGTCCGTCCGCTACTCCATTCAAACAGGAGAGGACCTTGACGACGTAAATTGGCTACTGTATAATCCCTTCTTCTCACCTTACTTCACTTGATCATAAGGTGCGGGACGGCATAGTATGGATTCATCGTCTCTCCTTCTCTCCTCTTGCGCCCCGGTTAAACTGGGCCTATTTCTCAAGGGAAATTTGCGAGAACAAGCCTCAATTCGATCCCTCCAATTTGTGTTTCCGCTTCCAGGCGGCATTGAAGCGTTCTTCCGGCAGTGACAACAGCGGCGATGACCGGCGGCACAACAGGTTGAATAATTATTCCTCGACCGTGAGTCGACCGAACGCATGCAAGGTATTGGATTGGCATGGCGTGGGTGGCCTTGGATTGGGGAACCTTCGAAGAGGGGTGAATATGTCAGGCACGCACCGTGGCACTAGTCACTGGCGGCTTGTACTCCGCACCACCATGGCGTTTCCAACAGTAGTTAACGTTACCCACGAAAGAATCTCATCGGCCACTGGCCACGCTCCAGCCGCAAAAGGTCAAGCCGTGCCAAGAAACACAGGGCCCAGAGGCATAGGGTCAGCAGCGCCAGCAAACACCGCTTTGCTGTCGGCCTGCCATACGTATGCTCTGCCAGCAAAGCAGAAGAAGAGGTGGAGGAGGAGAAGGAGAAGGAGAAGGAGGAGCACACGCCGGTACTCAACATTACCGTCTGTCGTTCCCCTGTCTTTGTTGTCTGTGCTGTTGGTTTCTTTTCTCCCAATCACGGAATATGCTCCAAGTACGGCGGCGACCAACTGCCCTACGGGCGACCCGTCTGACGGGATTCTCCCCCGGTATCATAGTTACTAGTACCAAATATTGTCAATCATCAAACGAGCGACATTTGCCTCCGTTCCAGGCCCGGCAGGGTGGGCACCAGCCGTTCATGGCTCAGTGCACCACCACACACGGTCGTAACTTGGAACCTGTGTATCCGCATGGTAGGGACAGGCCAGCTTCTGCAGTCGAGGTACGCCTTGGGTACTCAGCCCATCCTGGGAGCAGAGCAACACTATACTACGGCACCAGAATGAGGCAGGAGACCATCTGTTGCTCTCTCACCTGAGCATAGTGCTGCATAGTAGCACTGAAGTGGATCAACTTCATCCCTACGAATCAAATGCAGGCCTGTCGGGCGTGTGAGGGTTCCAGTGAACAAAAGGTTGGCGGAGAGGAGCACCTTTGCTGTGTCCACTCCAATCAGTGCCTTCTCACCAGGCAAGCCGAGTGGCCGCTGCCGCATCACAGAAGAAGTATATCGCCGGCCAACAGAAGCCTCCAAGGTGGTAAGTCTCAGGACGGGATATCATCAGCAGATTCACAGCAGGCGCTGGAAAGAGTGCTGAAAGACTGAGGGATCCAGGAGCATGCAACCATGTTACAGTTGAGACGGCGAGAGCCACGTTCGGGTGGCAGATCCGCTAGCTGCGGTCGACCTTGGACTGGGCTGAGCCGGACAAAGCGGTCTCGCCCTTGCCTGCCCCAATGCGGTTCACCATTAAGGTTCGCGACCCTGTGTCAAGTTTGGACGGATTGCCCGTCGTTTAAACAATTTTGAAGCAAAGAAGCAACAAGAAGGGACCTCAAAGGCAGACGGCGCTCTGCGGTTTCTGATAAAAGTTCCCATGCCTACCCAAGTCGATGGGCGGTTGCACCATGTTTCTGTTCCCCACCAAACCAGAAACATCAGCAACAGACATTGGAAAGATGAACCGATCCATGGAAACACCGAGACAAAGACAGAGATAATGGAGGGTAGTTTGCCACATCACGTCTGTTGCCGATTCCGTTGCCGTTGGGAGATGATAGTCATTTTGTGTGTCCCTTTCTTTCCCTTTGAAATCTCGTCATAAATGAGGACGTGGTGAGTGTGTCCCGGAGGAAAAGTAACAGGGTGGGAATGTGAGAACCCGGCGAAACGAGCGGCCCTATCAATTCAAGGGCTGCTCTTAGGCAATTCGGGCGGGAAAAGGGTGAAGCCAAAAATACAATCTCAAATACTACCTACTTGCTGCAGCTCAGCCGTATTTTGTATATACTCGATACGTTGCAGGCAGACCTGTTATGGCTCGGTTGTCTCTTGCTCGCTTCCTCTCTTTCTCTCTCTCTCTCTCTTAGGGCCAGGTTTAGAGCCATTGCTAGAGGTGTGTTTTACAGTTTCTTTTTTCATTTATTACGGTTTCTTCACGACTTTTCTGTCATCCTGTCAGGTGGGACCCGGTAACTTCAGTAGGGGGCTCAGAGGGATGCGATACCTCTCGGCACCTGGGTACAGGGTATGGAATAGAAAAAGACAAAATTATTGAATGAATGGCATGGAGGACCAGAGCTGGCGGCCGCAGTCAGTTGCTATCCCGCAGCTGTTCCGGGCAACGTCTCAATATAGCTTATTTAGCCATTCACCGCACACTCCCCACGTCGTCCACCATTGTAGCGATGGTTTTGCCAGGGCTCGCTGTCGGTATCCTCCCAGTGGTTTCGACCATGATGTGTTCGGCCCATGTGGCACCATGAATGCGTGACTGGCTGTGAGTGATCCAACTCACTACCTCATCATTCATGAGTCCCATTTCCTAGTGTGTGTCTAGATCACTCTGCGCACTCGATCAAACTCTTTTTTTCTTTTTTGCTCCCCTTCTTCCTCAACTTTCCTCCCTGGGGCCGATCGAAAGAAAAGCATAGTCAACGTTCTGGGCTGGTACACTTACCAGTAGGGAATTGAGGACTCATGGAAAAGCAGTGCGCCGTACTCCGTACTCTGACTGGGACTGGGTGCCTTACCATACGCTGCGAGTACATCAGGTACCTTGCTGACCCGTAGGTACATTCACCCATGTCGTGGGTCTCCCCAGCCCCCTGTCGTGCCGCCAAAAAGGTCAGAGGTACGAGAGGTACAGGCACTAGGCGACCAGCAGAATGACCAGGTCACTGACCGCGACCGGCTCCGCAGCCAGTCACAGGCGCTGGTTGCCCATGAGATCGCACCCAAGGTGGGGCCATCTTCCTATTTCTGCCTCCCCAATCCCCCTCCTTCTTCGCTCTGCTGGGAACTCAGCCGATGAACTCAGCAAAGTATATGCCAAGTACCCGTCACTGGCCAGGCTCGGCGCCCTGTCTCGCATGGGAGTGGTACATGGTCCATACCCGCTCTCTCTCATGGCTCAGGCTACCGTTCCAGTGAATCCGTCCTGCTCCAGCGGCCTTCAGTGAGCCTGTTAGCGAGCGGGTGGTCTAGTTCGTCAGCGTACTCAAGTACCTTCCGATGTACCTGCACTAATTAGTGCCGGTGGGTGCCCTGTTACGTCTGGAGGCGTGGTGGGTGGCCCTGTTGCGGACCGGCGTGCACTGGGCTGCTGGGCTCTGTCACCCAGGTCTCTCTCCCTCTCTCTCAAACTCCTCTGTCTCTCGCCAACTTCCATGGCCCGTTCTCTTTGGCTGGGGCCGAACCTGGGCTGAGCTGACTGGCTGTGCTTCCTATCCGTACACTCTCCTCCTGTTCCTAATCTCGACTTCTTTCACCTTCACCTCTTCCTCACCACTCTACCCTCCGGGGCAAGCTATTCACTGTGTCCTTTTTTACTACTGTAGAACGGCTCTGTTACTTGTCCAAACGATAAAGTGATTCACCTGCATAACCGGCCTTCACTCTACCCTCGACTGCTTGCGATCCGAGAACCACCCATTCCGACGTACCATTACTATGTGACGTCCTGCCTACCTGCCCCATAATCCGCTTGCGAGAATAATATACGCAACTCAGCACTTTACCACCACGACAGCCGACTCTCACGACCCTCCTCAGTTTCTTCGGCTCTCCAATTCGAACCCGCACTATTTTCTTCTCCTTTCTGCCGCACTGCTCTCCTTATAACCTGAGCCGGAGCATGCAACGCACCGCCAGCCTTCAACACAACCGATTCGCGTGACCTCTCGAGATCCACGATGCCTTCGCTCAAGGTCCCGGATACCGGCCTCATTCTTGAGAGCTCGGCTGCCTCGGGAAACCCTGTCCCTCCGCAAGCTTTTACCATCACTCTCTCGGATCATGTTCTCGAGAACATGATCAAGTGCGTTCAGAGTGGTGAGGACCTACAATTGTCCCTGGGGAACAGCCCGGTAAGTGAAGCCATTATTTTTTGTCTGGCATTCCGAGCCCCCCGGACACAATCCTATTGTCTCGTCTGGCGGGAAGAATCACCAGCTAGAGCTGCCTACCTGCATGACAAAAGCTGCATCGCTACCGAGAAAACATACATGTGGCAGCCCTCAATGTCAAATTTCAAGCATGATTCCGTTTGTTCCATGTATGCTAACGGCCCCCCTACAAAGACGTTGCTTTACGGCTCCAGCTCCCATACCCTCTCTCCGATCCCCGACGCCTTCTCCTCCGACCTATTCCTTACGAAACCATTCGAATCGACGAAAAGAGCCACACGGCTACCCCAAACATCATCTTTATGGAAGAAGCTGCCCAGCTCCGATGGCCCTAAGAAGACCGAGCGGGCTAAGGCGAAGGGTGCCCCTTCTACATCGTCCTCTGGCATGGACTCGGATACAGAGATACTGAAAGACTCTATCGCCGCGGCAAACGCATCGAAGAAGACGTATGTGGACGGTGACTGGGTCATGGTGGTCATGGCACAACTAACATGGACAATAGATCACAGGTTATGGAAAGGTTGCCGCCGGCGAAGAAGAAGACCTCGGGAAAGCCAACGTCCAAACTTCTGTCTAGCATGGCATCATATGGCAACGGCGGCGGCAAATCATCGCCCTCGTCACCGGCTCTGGTAGCCGTCAGTTCGCCGTCGACAAACCCTGTCTTTTCATCTTCACAGCAAGTAGTTGAGAAGTTCAAGGAGCAGCGATCCATGATTGTCCACGAACTTGCTGTACAAGACAGGCCATATGACTACTTAGAAAGCTTATGGGAAGGCAAGGAGGAAGAGTTCAAGCCCGCCCTGGAAAAGGTGGCCTCGCTCGACCAAGATAACAAAATGTGGGCGTTGAGGAAGAACTATTGGAGAGAGTTGGACGTGTGGAAGTACGACTATGATACCCAAGATACCCGACAAAAAGCGATCGACAACGCGATCCGTCAGTTCGATAAGATGCGATTGGCAACCACAGAGCCAGAGTGGCAGAAGCTCCTTCCTAGGGAGGAGCGAGGAAAGGGCAAGATCCTCAGCAAGCTGCAGGCGAACATCGCTAAGGCTTCCGCTGCACCACCACCAAAGATCAAGGTACAAGATGCAGACGACGACGAAGACGTTCTCAAGATGAAGGGTGGTGAAGCCATGTCACGGTCATCCTCAAACCCCCTCCCGGCCAAGCCAAAGAAGGCTGCCGACACTACCGCAAAGCGACTCTTGTCGACAAACAAGAAGTCAACCCCGGCCAAAGCTGCACCAACCAAGAGCAAGGAGAAAGCGTCCGCCCCCGGCAAAAATGGTCGTGTACTCTCCGCAGAGTTTGTTACCAACTCAGATTCGGACTCAGAATCTTCGGAGGACAAGCCGATGGCGAGCATCGTGGCTGCCAAGCCAAGGCCTGCACCCGCTGCCGCTGCTCCTGCCCCCAAGAAAAAACCTGATACATCGCTCCCTCCCAGGCCGAAGATCGCCGTGCCTAAGCCGAAGCCTAAGCCGATCGAGAAGCCAGAGCGGCCGGTGGAGAGGTCAATTGAACGGCCCAAAGAGAGATCTGTCGAGCGGGAGGCAATCAAGACGGTCAAGACACAGCTACCCAAACGACAGCGGGATGAGAAGGCAGACGACAGCAGTTCTAGTTCCGAAGCGCCCCTTGCGAAACGGGCGAAGCCAAAGGCGCCGATCAAGGCGCCTGTAAACCTAAAGCAGCGCCCCGCGGATGTCTCGCATGCTTCTCCCCGCAATTCATCTGGAGTGTCTTTCAAGAGCAAGAACACATCGCCAGCCAAATCATCCCCCTTGGCCTCGTCACCGCCCACGAATGCCTCGGATCTCGAACATTCAGCACCCAAGAAGCGCAAGGCGTTGGAATCCTCCGATTCCTCCATCGACAGCGCCCGGACCAAGTCTGCTCCCAAGCGCCAGCGCATGCTTAGCCCCGACCTGGTCCACAAGGCCGCGCGTTTCAAGTCGTTCTATGAAAAGTATGAGGCTCTGCATTGGGAGATTGCTGACATGCAACACCCGCCCGAGGACAAGATGGCCGATCTACTCGATATGCGCGAACGGCTCAAGGTCATGAAGACGGAGATTTACAGGGAATGCCCGCCCCCTATTGCGGTTGCTTAGAAGGCGACAAAGGGACGGCGTCCCAAACTGCTCCACAGCAACGGATCGATGAGACCAGCGAAGATGGACATGTGCAAAAGACAGACTTGATTTGGTTTTTTTTTTTTTTCTCCTTCGCAAGCGATAATTTCTGGGGATTTCACGCCAAGTCCTGGACAGGACGGCCAAATGAGAGCAGCATCAGCAACAGCGAATGATTATTTTCTCCTTTTCGCTACTTTTTCTACGTTTCTTTTTCTTTTTCCTTGGACTGGATAGCATTTGCATCAGGGTCAGGCGGCATTGGTGACCAGCATATAGGATTGCATGGACAAAAAACCGAACTGGAAACCCCGTGGAGACGGGACCAGAATTTTATCATTGTGTCTTTAAAATTTGGAGCGAGATTTACCTCCTTTTTTCATCTTCTGCCTTTCATTTTCTTTGATACCAGAGCAGGTAGTCAGTCACCTACACAAACAAACAAGAATCGAAAATGATCTTAACAGACCCGTACTGAATCAATCCTTCACTTGACCCCTTTGTTGTTTACCATGTATACTCACGTGTATGAGGCTGCGCTTCATGTTGTGCAACGGCATGTAGTTGATCTTTGCTGTAAACAAAGCGTTGTTATGCAAAGTGTCAACGTCATTTTACGATGCAGCAATGGCACGAGTTGAAAACGGCCGTGCGCTGCAGCTCTCTGGGCTTTCTCTGGGCTCTTATTTGAATCAAAATTACATCGGGGCAAAAGGGGCGGGTTTTGTTTTGCATGATCGAACGAGCCCCAAAAAAACACACACACAAAAAACAAAAAAGGAAGAGAGTGAGAGAGAAAGCACAAACAAGAGAACAGTAGCGGAGAGCGATTCTGTGTCACGAATTCCCCTCTGTTTGCCCCCCTTCCTCTTCCTCCCTTCTGCGATTTCGTGTTTCTCTGTTCGGTCTCCGTTCGGTCTCCCGCGTGCTTCTCTCTCTCTCTGACGTCGTGTCATTCCCCACACCAGGTTCGAAAAACAAGGTCCCCCCTCCCCCCAAAAAACCGTTTCCATCGCGTTCCGAGCCATGTCACTTGGAAATGTGATTAAGGTGCCCACCAGAGCTCCCCGCAATAACAGCTGAGCAAAACGTGAAATCTCCCATGTATTTAATTTTTTTGTTGGCTCATTAAAGTTGACAAGACGAATCCTCTTGACATAGCAGTGAAGTTTTCTGCCCCTTTTCAATATCGCGCCCCTGTGTACTCCCTATCTCTCCTATTGTTTAAACCTTTTTTTTTCCTGTCATCTTTATTTTATCCGAATATTGTCTCTGTTTTATTTTTGGCAGCCCGGATTCGTATAGCCTATACATGAATTCGCAAAGTCGGCTGCCCTTTCTTCTTACTTTTGCCCCTCTCTTAATCCCTCGTAATCCCCCGTCATCTCTGTTTTTGGTAGTAATCGTATCTGGCTGGCCGGCCCAAGGGATGACAGAGGAATGGGTCGGCTTGTAGTGGTACACTCGGGAGGGAAGAGTAAGAAAAAGACACACGCAGAAAAGGCATTTTTGTTTAAAAATATGGCGGGCGGTGCGTGCGCTGCGCCGCCGAAAAAGCTTCCAGCCGTCTTTGCCTCCCAAGCCCTTGGTGTTTCCGCGTCTCAGCCCCCTCGCGAAACAGAAGGGAGAACTCGGCGTCTTTTTCTTCGCTCTTTTTTAGCGATACCACTTTCTCGTGTTGGCCTGCCATCCCTTTTCAGTTGGCGAACAATAACGAAACTCTGAAGCAAATGAGTTGATTAAAAGAGGGGATCCAGGGAGCCTATATCCGATGATCTCGCAAACCTTGTTGACGGAATTGGGGAGGAGAAGATTCGCTCAGTCACCCATACTGTTCCTTTCCGTACGGGTGGGGGGGACGTCTTCTAGAGATTTGAAGGGGGGGCAGGGGCGGCGCGGGAAGGCCGTGCCAAGAGAGGAGAAGGTGAAAGGGAAGGAGGAGAGGAAGGGGGGCCCGCCCACACCCCGCCGCCGCCGGGCCGGTAGTCTCGCTTAGCCTCGTTTCCCGGGATGATTGGATTGGTCTCGGAGCCCCAATGAGATTCCTACCCGTCATGCTACCTTACCCTTTTCTGCGAGGCGGGTACCGACTGAATGGTCCGTTGGTACCGACCCATTCTGCGGGAATGGTTTGCATCCTGGGCAAGGCTGTTGGTTACATGAGCTGCAGCATCGGCTTTGTTTTTTCATGCTTGCTTCTCTGGCTTTGTAGCTTTTCACATACCTCTTTGGTTGGATAGTACCTTGCCGCCCAAAGGTGAAGAGTGCTTGCTGCCTAGTTAGCAAAATCTCATGTGCCTTGGCTTATTGTAGTGAGCTTTGTATGCTTGAAATGGCCTTAGGAGAGTAGTCCTTTTGCAGTAAATGATGACAAACTGCAAAGGAAAGCATCCGGTGCATTGCGGATTCTCGGCCGTCTGCTGCCATCACATCCACTTTTTTCGCTTGCATCCCTTATAGCGTCGGGTTCATGGAATTTACCAGCATATGTGCGCCAATGGTTGAGTATAATTTGCCTACTTCTAAACTGCCTGCCAGACCTTACGACGGAAGATTTGATAGATTCGATAGCAAGTAGTGCCTCTCTTCTCGGATCTAGATATTGTCTATCCTCTTCGGGCTTTAGAGAGAAATGCCGTCCTATACTTACAGACCGCCCCCGTCCGGACGACATTACTACTACGAAGCAACTTCGCCGCCACAGCACTCAAGTCTACATTTCAGCGACTGGCAGGCCGCTTTGCCTGTGCCCGAAAACATCTTCTTGCACGCTTATGTCGCTACACCTGCCGCTGGTCAACAAGCCTACACACGCTCTCCTCCAATGTCCCCCCAGTCAAGTGAACGCGAACGTGACTCCGCGCCATACTCCAGCCAATTCTCCTTGGGCAATAGCAACTGCCGCAGTAGTGGCGGTTCTGGAAGCCGCAGCCACAAAAAAGGCAAGGAAGTAAGCCGCGGCGACGATGAAGGGCAGGATGTGGGTAATACCAACAACAGACAAGTGGCTCTTCGTATGGACTCAAAAGCCACACATGCCCGCGAGCAACGGCTTGTGGAAATCAGACTCTTGCTCCAGCAGCTGCATCAGCAACTGGGCCCAGCGTACACCTTCTACTGTGAGAACTTGGACGGTTTTGAGACACAAGTCAGCCAGCTCAAGGAATACGCTGATAAAGAGACCTTGAACAAGATCTGGGCCGACAAGCTACGAGCAGAGATAAAAAGCAACGAGGCTGGCACTCAGGACCGCAGCGCGACAAAAGCAGTGTACATTAACACCATCACGACCCAAGTCAGCCTCTGTTTGAGGCATCTCAGGACTGCCTACGAGGAGAGATTACCACAGGCCTGTGCATCACACGAACAAGACGTCATCATTGAGGCTCAAATAAACATTGTCATCGGCGCCGTCGAGAAAGTGCTGAGTTTGGCTTCAGTTGCAAGCACTGACCATCATGCTTCCAAGAACATTGTGGCAAGTCTTGACAGAGCACGTAGCCTTTCAGACACCAGCTCTGAACTGTGGAAGGCCTTGTTGATTGGATTGCCGGCAACAGGGTCTTGCACCAATGAGTCCAACCGAGAGGATGGGAATCAGCAGACTATGGAGGGCGGTAGCTAGTTCGAACACCCGGGCTGTCACACAGCTAGTGTTGCGAAACTCTCTGTACGGTGAGTTGCCGCCAGTCTACGGAGACAGGGTTGCGAGAAAGATGTCTGCGATATGTAATCGTGCAACGTTCAATCGTTAGCAGTATCCTTCAACAATGAGACTTTTGGAAAAAAGAAAAAAAAAATAGAGATATGCTTACCGAAGGGGAAAAAAGTGAAGCACCGTCCTCAACAGAATGATCGGAATTGAATTGTCAAGTCTCCCGACCAGCCGAAGCCGGCCAGGAATCCAGACGCTGCGTATCGCACTCAAGTGCTGTGCACAATCTTCGCAACGGCTCTCCCATAGGGTCACCGAGTCCAGCACTCTGTCTTCTCCAAGCCCAAGGGCAAGGATATACACAGAGACGGCTACAGGCCCTGCTTTTCTGATGCCAATTGCAAGCGTGAAGTCACGCCAGGCCCTTGCGGGCAGACCCGTCATCCTACACAAGGCAGGAGACTTGGGTATTGAGTGAAGATGTTACTCCGAATTTCTCATATGCCAGTCTTGAAGGGAACCCTTCGAGAGATCATGCTTGCGCATAAACTCTCCGTTTGTAGCATAGAAACGCAGCGTTGAAGAGGACGGTGCTTGGAGAAGAAAAGAGGGAAGGTAGTTAAGCTGCAGAAATTGCAGCCTATTTATGTTGTGACGTGGGGTTGGGTTGGCCCAGTATGACTCCGCTGCAGCCTTGCAGGCGAGGCCAACCAATCGCCAAGCAACGTAGGAGGTTTGCATTGTAAGGAACACGCCCTTCGAACCTGGGTCCCCACCTGCCACATTTGGACCCTTCGTTTGTGGGTCCCATACATGATTCGATAACGATAAGGAATCCCAGGGTTTTCTTATCCTTATCGGCGTTAACATTGCCTCCGTATGGTTTGGCGATGGGGTCCTTGGGTAGCGGAAAGTCCAGACCGCCACTGAAATTTTCAGTGGCTATATCCGTAAGCACGCCTCTCATCTCTTCCTCGGTATAGTCAAACTTCCTACGCCCCTTCTTCATCCAGCAACCACCCTTTTTGTTGCGACCAACTTTTGATTTTCAAAAAGACAAACTTCATAGTAGACGACTTCACATAGAACTTTAAAATCAACAGCAACCATGTTACTCGAACCGAAGGATTTCCCTCAGATGTGGCAGAAACCGTCAAGTGAAGAATTACTCAGCACACTAAAGCAGCTGGAACTGAGCCCTCCAATATGGAGTCACAGGCGCAGGAGGTCGGATATCCTCCATGAAGAGGAGACCACCGCTTACTTTCGGCGCGAGGTATCGATGTACCTCTCCTCCGTTATAAAGAGCGGACTGTCTTGGATCGATGATGACGTTGACAAAGAGGCTATTTGGTCGGAGGCAAGTAAACGGCTGACGGAGCGATGTGGGCGTACAGGTATGTCAAGGGCAGGATTCTCTTCTCATGTATGCCACGGACGCAACCGCTTACAGTGACTAGCAATGGGTGAGATTACTCGCCGATGGCCATTTAGAGAAGACACTCTAACGCCGACATTTGAACTTGTTATTCGAGAACCGCCTCTGACTGGAGATTCACTCGGTCTGAAGACCTGGGGCTCGTCTTACGTATTGGCTCAGTACTTGCCAAGTTTGGGTCCTACGTCGCTCTTCCGGCTCTTCGATGAGTCACTTGGCCAACCTCGGCCATCTGTGCTGGAGCTGGGATCCGGCACGGGACTACTTGGATTGGCAGCAGCTGCCTTATGGAAAGTTCATGTTATTTTGAGTGACTTGCCCGATATCATGGACAATCTGCGTCATAACGTGGAGGCCAATCGGGCAACAGTGGAGAAGCTAGGGGGATCGCTGGATGCGGGTGCTCTTACGTGGGGAGGCTCAGGGGAGGACGAGGTTGATCAAGACCTCTTTGAAAAGAAAAACCAGTTCAAGGTTTGCCGCCTCGGCGACTTGTAACTTCACCAAAAGCCGCTAACCGTTTGTTAGGTCGTCCTTGCTGCAGACCCGATGTACGACGATAATCACCCCGGCCTTTTGGCCGGCGCCTTTTCTACACAGCTTTCTGTGGAAGATGATGCCCGTGCCGTCGTCATGGTTCCGCTACGAGATGAAACGACCAAGAGACTTCTCAAAAGTTTCAGGGATGCCATGGGGAGTCAGGAACGTCCCCTTACCTGCATTGAAGAGGGAACTCTCGACGGCCAGGACGACTGGGGCGAGGCCGAGGAGGGTAGCCAAGTGAGCTGCTGGTGGGGAATTTTTGCACACCAGCATACAGCATAGATATCGAACGTTTGATGGTGAAGCGAGCGAGTTATTGGATTGATTACACAAGCATTAGAGACATAGACGCGAAGACGTAAGCATAACACGGGTAGACATGGAAATAGATTACGCGATAGAGGGACATCATGCAAGAATCAATAAGAATTAAGATGAAGTTTATTAGTGTTATCCGTCACATATTGTGAACATGGTGTGCTTCGCCACATCACCTGGAGAACCTTCTTTCCTTATTCTGTCAACTGATTCACTTGCACCAAGAACAAATCATTGTAGCTCCTTCCTGAAGACACCATCGTCAACATCCACATACCGTTCACACATTCCATTCAGATAGGCCTTTAGAACCGCCCTCACAAAATCTTCTACGACGTCTCAAAATTAAACCAAACACTCTCCCAGGACCAACGCTCCTTTCCCATTTTGAATACACAACGGCTATAAAACACCCAACATGGTCGGCCAGATCACTTACACCGAGGACCAGATCCTCTTCATCTTGCGTCTGACCCTGAGTAAGGAGAAGCGCGATGTGATTCTGCGAAGATACCAGGAGCGCTTCAACAAGCCGCTCACAGCCTCACAGCTCCGGTACGTCAAGAGCAAGTACGGCCACGATCCCGAATTTGGGTAAGTACATCCCTTGCTGGTAGCAGCTGCCATTGTGCAGGTTGTGTATTTCCACACTCTTGCTAGATGCAATAATCTGAGCAAAGCGCTAAGACTAAGATTCTAGTACAGCCTTGATCAATGGAACTCTCCCGGAGAGCGGGGGAAATAGGAAGACAGCTCCCCCGTCGCCAGAAAGGTAATTATTGACAATAGGAATCCAACTATACTACGACTAGGGACTTACACTGCCAGCAGAAGTACCTCCATACCAGCCCAGTACCTCCTATCTATTAACGACGATCATCCGGCTATGGCTGTTTGTCTTACTCCCACACACAATCATTTACAACAGTTGGGTGATTTCAACACTGATATTCTACCTCCCAACAATTACAATTGCTTCCCAAACCACCCAGAGACTCTCCAACAAGAGACAAAAGTGATATCCCCGGCACAGCCCCATGAGTCCACTCGATTATTGGAATCGCGGTCGACCGCAGTATTAGTGTCATCCGGCATACTAATAAACGCCCATGAGCCGACCCGGTCAGTAGCAGCCTGGGATTCCGACAACCCCTATGGCTTTCAACCTGTCTTAGAACATTATCGTACCAAGTTCAATAGGTCAACGAAGCGCAAGCGCGATGATTCTGTAGGTGCGGATGCCCAACCCAACTTTGATGCACGACTTCATGATGTTGGCACCGTTGGAAAAGATAACACCGAACCGTTGGAGGCAGAGTCGCGTGGCATCTTGACCAAGTTCGAAGTGTTACCAAAGGATTTCAATTTGGCGAAGGATGCCGTGGTCAACTCTCCTGGCACGCCTAAAACTATCCCGAAGAAGGGCGAAGCTGGACAACCTCTGACGCCTTTGGGCGAGTTTCTGAAGGGGACGAACGTTAACGATTTGGCGCGAGACAACACGATGCCAGCGCTCATGTCTTTTCAGTTGCCTCAGATAGGATACTATAATCCTCAACCTCACATTCACTCGGATTATGGAACAGAAGGTGGAGTAGATTTCATGATCCCAACGGCGAACTCGATGATCCAGCAACCAGCACTCGCCAATACAGGCTTCAACTTCTCAGAGATGAATACAGACCCCTCATGGGACACTTCCTTCAGCAACAATAGTGCCTGGAATACTGTCCCTGAGTTTACAAGCTTCATGCCACCACCCACGGCAGGCGTTGTTCTGTCTGCAGATTTAGCTATGGCCTCTTGCATAGACCCAGCTCTATCAACTGCCGCGGATCGCAATTCCGACATGAATGCAGCGCCATATATACAGCAGTGGAGTGCCGAGGATTGTCAGGCAACTGCACCTCGAGAACAGACAGTGGTTGGACCGACTGACTTTGCCAATACTTATGACTTTGACTGGGAAAAAGTATCACCCCTCGACGAGAATGATGAATACAACAACCTTTCCCAATTTTAGTCACCCTGTCTGATGAGCTCAGGAATATTTAAGTGGGCTAGACATTTCGCGGTTAATAAGGATGTTCAAGGGCGATGCTCTCTTGGTCTCATTCGTGGCCCTCGCATCTCGAAAGGTGATTCAGGAAAACATGGCAGTTGACGCATTATACAGAAGCCTTAGACGTACAAGGAAAAGTCATTGCGACATAAACTATATAGTTGCTTGGCCATTGGAATAGGCCACGGTATCTATGTGACGCATGATGAAACGAATGACGATGCCTTTCGGCTTGCCTCCGCCGTAATAGCAAGCTGCATAAAACCAAAACGCGATTTTCTAGCCTCCCAAAATTGTGCAAGCTCCCAGCGCCAAAATCCATCCACGAGGGGGGTATCTAAGTGCAGTAGAAACGAACAGACGGGGCCGCTTTCCTCCTAAAAACGTGATACTGAAGCCTTCCTCCTAAAAGCTAGAATGTTCTTGTGAAATGAGTCCGCCCGCTTCCCGCACCTGTATGATGTGTTGTGTAAGGTGATAATGTTTTCGTGGTAGATCATAAGTTGAAAATAAAAGAATAAAATGCCGAAAGGGGGCACCTGAGAATAGCCCGGAGAAGAGGGGCTTAGACAGCAATGCTAACGGACTTTCGCGACTCTCCTTCTTCGGTGGGGAAGCTGAAGACAAGCCTGTAGAGATCGCGCAAAAAGACGTATTGGCTGGCACGACCTGCCATGTAATTCACACTCTTGGCCATGTCATTGGCTGCAATGCGCTTCCCTCGAGCTGGAAGCAGGGATGATCCCCGAAATGATGCGTCGGCTTGTACAAGGCTCTTGTAATTCTGTAAGAGCGTGGCGTGAGTCGGAAGAGAGCCGAAAGATCCCGGGGGCATCTGCTTAACAAAGGCTTGCAGAGCAGCCTTCTCGGCTTTGCTATCAAGAGCGGGGTCTCGGCTGTAGCCGACATTCATAGCTGCCTTCAGAACAAGAGCCTTGATCCGGCTCGTGTTGCTCTCTTCACTTGCTGTAGTTGTTGTCGCCGTGCTGGAAGTCTTGTTGCTGCTTTGCGAGTAACTGGACAGCTGGGAGGCGCTGCTTGACCATCGGCCGCCACGCCCACTGTCAGAGGTCGTGCCGAGAACGAGAATGTTGGGAACTCGAGGCGATTGGCTCTCCGGTGAAATGGGCGTGTCTTCAAATTCGGTTACAGGGGTCTCAGGGACTGGAGGTGGCTTTCGTGGACGTTCCTCCGTAACAGTCTTATGGCTTTCCCGCTTTGAATAAGATGAGCGGTTAGAAGCTCTGCTCTCACGACCTGATGGCTGTTCGAAATTCTGCTGATGACCGAAAAAGCTTGTCTGATTTGGTCGTGGCGTATTCCGGTCTGGGCGGACTTGAGTCCACCCATCTCTGAAAAGATCGCAGAGCTCCCAACAAGCTTGTACTGCCGAACCCAAAAGCTCCTCGTCAGGTGCCCTACCGTCTCGCTTGTTCTGCCTCAAACTGAAGAGCATTTCTGCAAGCGACCAACATGCCTTCAACAAGGAGTCGGTCTCATCTGCTAGTTCGCTACGCTGTTTCATCAGTCGATGGCAAAGTGTAATGTAGAAGTCCAGCGTTCGTTCGCGAAATTGCTCTGGCAGGTTCCGAATATCTTGAGCGCTGTACAGACTAAAAAAGAGTTAGCTTGACATCTCGTTACACATATTCGCTAATCAGCACTTACTGGTTGTTCAGCTCGAAACTAACTCTAAGAATAGAGTCGGCGACTTCATCTTTCTTTTGCCGGACATCAAAGAGTGACTGGCAGAAGTCTCGGCACAAGTCAAGGTTTTCCCGTACATTATGGCCGTATAGGTCTTCGTCTTGGTTATCATATAACCGTTGACAAAGCTTCCAGCAGGCCATCCAAGCCTTCTCGTGGGCGTCGGGAGTGCCCGACTTGTTGAAGACCCTTGTTCGATGGATCGAGCTCAGGTTGGCAAGTGTGTTGCAGAGAGTCCAGCATTCCTGGAGGGCAGTTCGCAGTGCTCTGATTTCTGAGTCCTCAAGTAGCAAAGAAGGGGTGGCGTAGTCATCGTCGTACGTCTCTGCATCAGTCTCCTCTCCTCTCGCTTCATCGATTTCTGGACTGCGTTAGAGCCATGAAGGTAACGCAGTGAATATTACTTACTTTCAAGACTGCTTGTACTGCTAGATCTAAGCCGAGATGACTCGTTGAGCATGTCTTGAAGGTCTTGTGCACGTGGCGTGGCACTATCCACGCTGTAACGGACAGGTCGTACGTCTGTAGAGAGTGGCGGGGGAGTAGGTAGTCCAGGAGATCTAGACTGTTCACGCATTAATTAATTGCGAAACTCTCTACTGACCTCGGAATATTTTACCTTGATTGCATGTCCGGTCACGGATGGAAGGCTGATTGTATCTGTTCTAGGCGATGATCTGGAATCAGACTTAGGCGACGACTTCGAGTCGGACCTGGGTGATGATTTTTCGCTTGCTTGATCTGGCTTGACGGTCGGCTCATTCGATACCTGCCTCGTGATTAGACATCAATACTATTACGCAAGGTGGCCGTAGCTTACCCAACTATGGAAGCTTTCGGGCGCATGTATAACCGAGACAGCCTCTTCACTACCAACCTGTCGCACATGGTCGGGTATGTTGGTGGTCAGCATCATGAGCTGAGAAATATGTCAGTATCCTAAACTGTTTTCTACGGAGTCAATGAGCCTACTTGAGGGTGAGGTAAAGGATTGGCCGAGGTTGGGCGAGCCCGGACCTCCTCTGCCTCCTCGTCTTCAATCTCTGTTGTTTCTGTACCGGTTGAGGTGACAGGAGATGGGCCAACGATATCGCTTGGACTCATAAGATTCATGTTGTTCGACGACAGTCTTTGAATGGAGTTTGGTCGGAGAGAATTGGGACCGAGATGGTCTGAACTAGTTGATGACCTAAAAATTGTCAAACTCCGCCTTGCAGATCGAGGGGCCTCAAATGACTTACATGGTGATGAAAGGCGACTGCATTGACCCGATTTCTGGAGACGAAACAGACATCTCGTTGTGATGAGAATAAGCGGATATTTGACTTCCAATAGACGACCGAAGGGGCGCTTCCAGTGCCATGATCAGCCTAACGTCGCTCGTGATGATGGTGATGTCTTGACTACACGGCGGCGTAAAAGTCGGCTGTCCGGCAGACAAATGGTCGGCGGCTGCGAGTTCAAGAATGCCTCGAGAGCCCCAAGGACTGCGCTTGAAGGTCGACTCGGCCGAATGTTGGGTCGCACTGGCTGATTACCTGGCCTCGATCCTGAAGGCCGTTGAGGCGAAGGATTGGAGCTGTGCTGGAGGGTCTGGTCTCGTTCACGACGGCCCGAGGATCACCAAGCTTCGAGACGAGCAGCAGCTGGCATGGAGGGGAGGAAGCTCAAGAGAACGAGGGTGGGGAGGGCAGTTTAAGAGGAGCTGTGCCTACTGCTACCCCAGTACTGGGCCGAGCAGTGGTACGGACCAGGGTTCCAATCCGACCCTGGCTGGTCGTGTCTGTGCCTCGCTCACGCGAATTTCGACAGGGCCAGGCAGGTTTCGTAGCGATATGGCGGGTCTGCGCTTGCTGGTCGAACAGCAAGGGGGAACGGCGCACCTTAACAGCTTCTGAAAACCAAAGGATGAAATTATGGAGAAGAAAAGTAAGATCGACCTACGGGCAGCATCGACTGCCGCTTCGACACCTGATAGCAGACAAAGAGAGGACGAAAGCGTGCAGAATCAGGCTGGTCTGTGTGTGCCTGCGATTATGCTGCAATGCATCTGTAGGAAGGGCGGTTGAGAAGACCTGCGGCTAAGACTGGACGAAACGGATGACAAGCACAACTCCACCGACTGCCTAGTCGTCCTTCTGGGCTCGCGTAGCTGGGCAAGAAGGAAAACTGACAGAAAGAACGGATAGGCAGGCAGATGACGGCTGATGTGGATGTTAAGCCTCCACTGCACAAGCACCTCAGCGGGTAGTCCGGTTTTACAGACTAGAGTATTGTCAATCCTCTGTTGGAATAACGAGAAGGCTTGGGTTTGCAGAGGAAAAGACACGGAAGTGTCTGTACACCGTGACCGAGAAGTACCCAAAGACGGGTGCTGTGTTGGGGAGCAATCCAACCGGATGCGAAAGTCTCTATGCTGTATGTATTGTTGGTCAAGTTCAGTTCTGCCCTATAGAAAGGCACCTCACATGAAAAAAAAAATTGAAAAAGATGGTGGACGATAGTTTTTTTGGTTTTCCTGGCCGAATCAGATTTAAGGAATCTAGGAAAGACGGTCGAGGTTTGTCAGTACTTCAAGCACTCGAGTTAAAGAGACGAGGCGCTTGTAGAAGAGGAAGAAGAGGACGACGAAAGCTCCTCCTCGGATGGGATCCAATCCGCAAGCTGCGTGGGAGGAGAGTATTGGAGCACTTCACTACCCAAGCACCCAAGAAACCCTCATTTTGGCCGGCAGAAGAGCAGCGGCGGGGCGAACTCCACGAAGTCGGCTTGGCCTGGGCAGGTAGGGCAGGCACCTGCAGGCATAGAGTGAAAGTTAGCCACTTAGATGTGCAGCTGCGCGTCTTTTCCCATGGGCATAGTAGACACCTCCTGGCGGGTTCGACCAGTCAAATCCGAGCACAATGTTGTGTCAGTGGATGAGAAGAGCATCGTCGAGCTGTGGGCTGCATGGGGCAGACAGGCGTGGGCGCTTAGCAGAAGTGGGCAATCCATCATCCAGCGAACCATAAACACCCCTGGTTCTGCCGCCGCCCCACACGGAGATGGAGGGGGCCTTAAGCTTGAAGAGGGAAGGAAAGGGAATCCTCCCAAAAACAAAATAACCTGAGGACAGTGTCTGTACTACAAGAATATCTAAGCAAGGGTTGATTGACAAGTGTTGTTTACATGTCTCTGGTAGAATGAATGAGTGTGACAAAGTAAAATGGATTTTGACGTGGAAGAACTGATTTGGCTGGTTACTGGAACGGCATCATCATCGATGTTGGACAAGAAGCGATAGATAGGGAACAAACTAAGTGCCCAGAGTCCCATTGCAGGCTTAAACGTCATGTACAAGAAGAGTGTATGACCTCAGCCTCCTATCCCAATTTCTTCTTGCCTTGCGCTATGCTGTACATCGACAGGATTTATAAAAGAAAAAGAAGAAGAAAAAGGTCGCAAAGACGAGTCATTAGGCCTAGGCTGAGCCGGTGTGTTGAGTTCGACAATATCGGCTGTCTCCCATATCTGGACGGAACTTTTGCCCAATTGTGGTTTCGTGCAGCGTGTCTGCCCGCGCATTAAGTGTGGATGGACGGATATCTCTAATAACTCCTGGCCTGTGGTCATGCAAACACTTTGGAGGGCCACTACGCTGATGCCGTGTCATGGAAAACGCGAGGGTTCAGTCACGCTCCGACGATGCGTTTGTTTTGTGTGTTTAGATGCGGTAGCACGCATGCGTGTTCGTGAACGGCTCTCCCTGTCTATCGTGTCATCAGCCTGTTTTGGGTGCTGTTTGCCGCCCTGGTGAGACTCTGCATGGCTGGGCGTGGGGACAGCTGTTGGAGCCAAATGCACTTGCACACTTCAACTGTATTGTAATCAACCTCATTTGCGGGCTCCAACGTAATTCGATTGAAAGTGGCCTCGAACATGACGCTTGACAAGGGTTCTTCTGCAGTGGTTCGAGTCGTTGGGTCAACAAATAAACAAAGCCTCACGCACTTCATTCTTGTTTGGACCAACGTGCCGTTTAGGCATCGCTTGTATCGCCGTAAAAAAGGGCCTTAGCTGGTCTAGAGGCTTCAGGCCCAGCAGTAATCCGGTCTGTTGGTTAGGTTTGCAAGTAAAGAAGAGACTCAAGTGATGACTTGTAGAACGATGGGCTGTCACCCACAGGGTTAAAGTGCATGCCTTCATCTGTGAGACTTGACAGTAGGGCTCAGTATATTTTCTGTTCGTCGCAATTTGTAGATTGCAGACGATGAGCAAGCCTCAACGCTCAAATCTATACGTACCTGCACCTGACCAACCCCAAGTCTCCGCTCCTTCTATTCATAGTGACTGTGAATTCCGACGATTTGGTCGATGGCTTTCCTTTCCTGTTCGCGACGCCGTTTTTCAGATTAAAGTGGACCATTCCCACTGATCGACTTCCCGCCCACTGGCAGACTGCCAGGCAGAGCAGGCACTCCATCCATACAAGCCTTCCGTCTGTGCTGGGGTGGTGAAGAAGCTCGGATCCGCCAACGGCTTCGATCCCTACTGGCACGACAGGCACGTATTTCTCCTCACCGGTGCTTGACACTGTCAGTTGCTCCTTATGTTTTGATCTAGACTCTAGTCTCCTTATTTGCGGTGCTGTTATCACACCATCACATTGTTTTTCTTCCGTGACCGCGTTTTTCTCAGGCTATGAACCGAACAACACGAGGCTTCGTTATTTGAGCCCGAGGAACCTCCAAATTAGTTGTCATGTAACAGATTGAAAACAGTCATATGCAACATCAGTTACAACGCGGCTTTTGTCTTATGTCCTACCTACTCGAGCGCTTGGTCATAGGCTGTCATGGAAAGCACTAAAGCCAGCATTATTGAGGTCCTGATCTTAAGCAACCGGAAATGCGGATGTCATGAATCAACCCAACCTTCTCAGCTTGGCGGGTTGCTCCTTCATAACATGACCCTGGCAAACCCCCTCCCTCCTTGAAGAGGTTGGTTTCGCAACCATGATCACCACCTGATAGCGCTTCGTTCTGAATCTCTCTGTCAGTGGACAGCTGCCTTAAGATTATCTTTGTTTCTTACTACTGTTGACTGTCATCGTCCTGCTTGAAGAAGTGGCACTTGATGCAACTACTCTCCACCTCAATACTTGGAAGGATTAACTTCGATGTCTATATCGCCAGGCTTTGGCGTGCCCTTGTTATCTAAAGCCACGTAAAGACGGGGAAGAGCTTGCCGAGGAATAATAGACCTATTTCCCCCGTCGTCTTTCACAACACACATTACCCGACCCGACTGCAAACTTCCAGGGATTACAACAGGCCCTAGGCTGTACTTGGTATCCCTGCCGCCACGACGCATCACGCATGCAAGCCAACCTGCATAGGCGCCAACAAGTTCTTCTATGAATGTGTTTCCGGATCAGAAATCCCAATCGGGATAACGCTTCCATCTTGTGTGACCGAGAAGCAGCAGTGTAATTTTGTGCTCTGGACAGTGCAAGCCATCTCAACTGCCTTTGCGCCAGCTAGACCCTTCCGCGGTTACTACGGAGTCAAACTTCTGCAGCATACTTCACTAGGTGGGCTCAATGAAGGGAGTTGTGGGATTCATTCCCCAGTCTATTCCTGGAAGACAGTTGTTTACATTAATGCGTCCATCAGGCGGACTCTTTGCCAGACTCCACACACTGTGCGTCAATCCAAGACGTGTTGGTACTGCCCTGCGTCCCGTCGACAAATCATCACCCTTCTCGAAATGAAGGTCTGGCTCTAGACCGTGAGTGTTAACTGGTTCCGAGACTCCGTTGGTGCAGTCGCATCCTCATCGCGGTAAAAGCGCCGCGCCCTTTCCATTCCCTCGGGTCCTGGACTTGGCCACCGGGCTCATCCTACGGCCCTTACAGTACTTTATGTCGATGCCTTACTGGTTCATTCCACTAGAGATATTTTAAACTTACAAGTTTGGGCATTCTGGGAATGCACAATAGCGGAGGATACTGGTGGCCACCACTGATAGAGAGAGACATTAGGTAGCGACAAGCAAGTGGGCCTCTTGACGGAGGCAACTGCGCTCCGTGTCATTCGTTGTACTGAACATCTTCAAGGGGCATGAAGCCAGCAAGACCGTAACCTCTGAGCAAGTTGGGCCAGACTGCTGCCTGCTTGAGATTTTTGCAGACTAAGGATGACAGATGCGACATGGCATTACGTCACTTATCAGAGTGAACATGGCAATGGTGCATTGACGGAAGAACCGAAGCTACTCTGGCTGTCCTATTTACTTGGTTCTAACTTGAAAGCCAGATCAAAATGCATCTTCCCCCTTGGGTGGAAGCACCAACACTTGGGCTGACGCGCCACAACATCAAGAGTGGCATTGCTGCATATGACCAGATGCTTGCCCATTAACTCGTATGATATAGCCACATACATCTTTAAGCCAAACCCACATGCTGCGGTTGTTTGCAAGAGAACCTGGGCTACTCAGCAAAACGACTGAGAAACGTGCCAGGGATGCTTTGTTGGCCAAGACCCGACATGCGGTTTAATCACATGATGAGAGGCGAATCAACCGGCAGAAATAAGGTAAGATTGCGAGACCTTCCGAGCCGAATTTCCCAGCCACCTCCAACTGCCCATCTGAAGTTCTTGCAGGCCTGAACCTGTCTTGGCTATTTTCTCTGCACGGGGGCGCCCGATTGCCTTTTACTTGTGCCTGCAGTTCTTTGTCGACTTTCCTACATAAAGCAAGTAATTGAGGCACTAGGCTTGCCATTGTGCATCGCTGTGATCCAGTGGGATAGGCACGATGGCCGTCGCCGCCGCCTTTCGCTCGTAGGTAGGCCACTGTTCAGCCGGGAGTGTCTCGCATTTCTGGCACAAAGAAAACCATAACGCCTTGCAATGCTCTTGAAATTCCAAAACTCCATTCATACCATCCTTCCGTGACGGATTTATGGGTTCAGAGACATCTTCTTCTCGTTGCGTCCGTCGGGGGTGTACCTTTACCATACATGAGAACTTTGTAGCCGGTCAAAGGGGTAATGAAAAACATACTTCAGGAGCTTCTCAATAAGGTCAACGTGGGTCATGACCATACGACGGCAGCAGTAACGCTTAAGGCCCAACTGGTCCATCGCGTCGCTGTTTCCCATTGTCAGCAAAAATTGGCTGCATGGGAAGTACAGAGAAGTAACAGACTCACCCATCCGTAATGCCATCGTCGATGAGCTTAAGGTAGCGCTCCCAGAGGTCGCCAGTGACCTGTAAGGGGAAGTTAGATATCGAGCCTGTCGTCGAAGAGGCGGCGCATTCACTAACCTTTCCGCAGGAGAAGCAGCGAACAGGAATAATCATTTTGGTTACAAAGCACGAGAAGTATCGGTGTCGGAGGAAGCCGCCGTGGTGCCGTACAGTCACTGGTATCTGGTATCGTCTGCGCAGTTGAAGCTCTCTGCAATCGCAAACCACCGCCACGGTCAAAGAAACTTTAGTCGCGCTGCTTGGCTAGCCTGCGAAGAGAAAATTTGTCGGTCCGGAGATTCTCCGAGCCTTATCTTATCGAGGTTGACTGTGGGGTGATCCGCCAATTGCATTGCTCAGCGACGGAAGCGGGACCCAAATTTTCTTTGGGAACTCTTGAACTTTTTTTCTTGAAGGGTCGTATGTGAGCGAACTGAGAAGGAATTCTAAGCCAAATCGTCGAAGGCCAGTCGACCGTAGTTTCTTCCCCTTTCGCTCTTTTCCGCTCCGAGACCAAGAAACAGACATTCATTTGTAACTTTTCGGCGTGTATATTACGAAATGGCCGGCCCCTCAAACCCGAGGACTCGGGACGCCGACACGAAGAAGAGGAAGAGAGATCAGAATGACAAGGACGGCCAGGCAAAGCGCACTCGGCAGAGAGGAGGCAAGCCTGCAAAAAACAGCCAGGCCGATGCAGGCGACCTTCGCGACAATGCCTTGAACGTGCTTTCTCAGCTTCAGAAGAACCTTACCGACGACCAAATTGAAACCGAACTCGTCAAGCTGGGCAACACAGATGCCCAGGCGCCCGGATGGCAAGTGTCCTTGCCAATGGGCGGCCGTATGGCGGATATCGACCCCATTTTCGTCGAGAAAGAGAAGTGAGCATGCCCACGTCTCGTTTTCGTGAATGCGTCTAACTTACGGCTAGGTACTTGATCCTGACATATAACACATCATTGCAAATCTACTCAGTGGCCGAATCCCTCCTTGTCCGAAGAATTCCCCTCCCGGTAGTCCAAAACACATATGCCGACAAATCTTTCGCGCCGACCATCGTGGCGACATGCCTCTCGCCTACCAAGCCCGACTTTGTCTGGGTTGCCTGCTCGGATGGCAGAGTCTGGCGGGTCAATTGGAAGAAGGGAACTAAGGTTTACGATGAGTTCCGTACCCAGTCGCAAACCGCGCTGGACATGACTGTTGCAGCGGTTGAGGGGCAAAATGGCAAGACAGAAGTTATCTACATGTCTGAAACAACACAGAAGCTGTCGAAGGGCGAGATCGTGGCCTACTTTGGCCCTAATTTTGCCGAGCCAACTTCCGAGATTCTCTTTACGACGAAGGAGGCAGATCAGGGTATTCACTTGTTGCGCTCGAGCGGCGATGGCAAAACTATTTTCGGTGCTACCAGAGCCGGTCTTATTATTGGAACAGTGACGCCCGAAGTCTCTAAAACAGATGTTAGCCTGGAGTGCGAGTTCTTCACCTTTGACTCCACCGACATTATCTGCTCGGCCGATATCAGAATCACAAACAAGAAGGACAGTGCCCCTGTTCTTGATCTGATTGCTGGAGGAGCTCGAGGTGCCATTTACTATTACAATGACATCCTTCGGAAGCTGCAAAATCTTAATGGGCCTAAGTCTAAGAAGGACAGCCTGCAGGCTCGCAAGTATCACTGGCACAGGAGAGCTGTTCACAGCGTCAAATGGTCAAAAGATGGTAAGTGACTAGCACGTTGTACACGATCACTATTTGCTGACGGCCCTTTTTGTAGGTCACTACATGATCTCTGGTGGCTCGGAGAATGTCCTTGTCCTCTGGCAGATGGACACTGGCAGGATGGACCATATCCCCCATCTGTCGGGAAGCATTGAGAATGTGGTCGTTTCACCTACCGGGTCGTCCTATGCCGTGCATCTCGATGATAATTCCGCCATGGTTCTTTCCACTGCAGAGATGAAACCGACAACTTACATATCCGGCATTCAGTCAGCCGCTCGGTTCACTTCAACACCCAAAGACTTGCTCGTCAAGCGTGTTTGGTCCGTATCCGATGATGTGCGCCACCCGGTACCCGCCGCTCTGAACCCTGCAGAACCATCCAGACTGTATGTTTGCACTGGCACTGGTCAACAGGCAATGCTGGCTGGTGAACTGCAGTCTGCGCCTTTGTTGCAGTCGTTCGATATGGAGTCGTTCAGAAGCATCTCAAAACAGGCTCTCGCAAGGACGCAACCGACAGATGTTAACATCACCTCCAAGGGAAATCCTATCTCAGAACCTCGCATCACTCACGTGGCTTTCTCTCAAGACGGCAGCTGGTTGGCTACGGTTGATGACTGGCAGCCGCCTCAACGTGACCTGGAAAAGGTTGCCCCTGAAGCTCGCGAGCAGTTTGTTAAAGAAAGACGCGAGGTTTACCTCAAGTTTTGGGCTGCTGGCGAGGGCGACGAACCCTTTTCTTTGTCATCTAGAATCAACAGCCCTCATGTCACTAGCAGGCCCGAAACTGTACTGGCCCTTGCTGCGGATCACACATCAAACAGATTCGCCACGCTTGGAGATGACGGCATGGCGCGGATATGGCATTCCAGGGCAAGGCAGCAGGATGGTATTGCTTCCAAGGACAGTACCGGTGAGGTTTTGCACTCTTGGTCGTGTGGTCTGGCAGTTGCTCTTGGAAGCAATGTTGGTGCCGATGCTCTTGCAATCACTGGCGAGAATGGCAGCGAGCGCAGCGGCAGCCTCTGCTTTTCAGAGGATGGCTCAACGCTATTCGTCGCCTTTGGCAACTCTAACGATGGTGCTGTCTACGTTGTCGACACCACAACGGGTGAAATCAGGCTCACGCTCGAGAATCTTTGGAAGGGACACATTCGTCGTCTGCAGGTTCTCTCCCCTTACGTCATTACCCTCTCTGATGACCTGAGAGTATATGATGTCGTGGCCGATGAGCTCCAGTATGGCATCCAGCTACCCAGCGGACGCAATGCCACTGCGGCCAAGGAGTTCAGCCACTTGGCTATCGATCGCAAATCGCGAACATTTGCTGTGGTCGTGCCCGGCGGTCAAGCGTCCCAGCTTGCTGTCATGAGACCAGAGGAGCCTGAGTTGTTGTGCGTCAAGCGCATCCCTCACCGTGTTACCAGTCTGGTTTCCACCGGAAGTTCATCTGGCTTCGTTGCCGTTGACGACTCTGCACAGCTTTGGACAATTGCTGAGGCCTCAGACGCCGCCGCCGTTGCTATTTCCAGGCCGCTGGAAGAAATGCAGCTGGATGCCGAGCCAGTTGCAGAGGATGCAATTCTTGAGGATGCTGAAGTCGAGGACGAGGAAATGGCCAGCGATAACGAAGAGGAACGACCCTCTGAAGAGATGGATTTGGATGATGACGATGCCCAACCAGCAGTCATCAACAGGCAGCGTCTGGCAGAGCTATTCGATGCGGCGCCAGCGTTTGCTATGCCTTCCATTGAGGATATGTTCTACAAGGTTACAGGGATGCTCGCGACGAAGCCCCTGGCATCTTCATAGACTACAAAAGTTATCGACAATGTGCAATATACCCAATAATAGAATGAGTACAAACGAAAGGGCCCACAGTGGGGTATGTGAATTTTGGTTAGATGTTTGTGTTATCAGAGACTCATAAGGTGGCCGGTCAGTGACATCCCGAGGACCATGCCGGTACCCCGCAGCTCCGTACTGCCGGGCGCAGACCGAACAACCAGCGCCCCGCTGCCATAGCACGCCATTCCATCGAATTATTAGAACTAATCGATGCTGGATTACATAACATCTTGGGGTGCCAATGTCACAGGAACATGTTTCCTCCCCTACGATACTTTTCAGTCTGCCTTGCGCCCTACGCCCAACGTGCGGAGAAATCGTGTCCTAAAAGTCGCTTTGACGCAATTTCAACACATATCACTACAAGACTTGAGTGTGATTACTTCTAATCTGTATTTGTCAAAGGCGTATGCACAATGTCTTTCACGTCAATTCCGGTACTTGACCTGTCGTTGGCGTATAATGCCGAAACGAAACCTCAGTTCCTGGCAGAGCTCCGCCATGCCCTGATGGAAGTCGGTTTTCTGTATCTGAAGAATGTCGGAATACCCGATGAGCTGTTTCAGAGAGTAATCAAAGAGGGCAAGGCCTTCTTTGACATCCCCCAAGAAGAAAAGTATGGTAAACTGACCATCCTTGGTATGACTGACCAAACGAACTGACATTTGACGCCAGACTCAAGGTTGAGATGAAGAATGCCAAGTCTTTCTTGGGTTACTCTCAACTGTCGGCCGAAATTACGGCCGGCAAGATTGACCACCGGGAACAGATCGACCTCTCGACTGAGCACCCCATCCCTGGTCCTGATGATCCCCTCTACTATAACCTCTTGGCACCAAACCAATGGCCTTCAGAGAACATCCTCCCTGGCTTCCGCGATACCTTCACAGATTACATGAATCGCATGGGCAAGATATCTATAGCATTCACTTCTCTCATCGCTGAGGCCATCCACCTCCCCCCTGACGCTTTCAACAAGTACTTTGACGAGAATCAGCAGCACAAGCTCAAGATTGTAAAGTACCCAGACGTCCAAGAGCTTGGACTAGACAAGACTTCCGGTGTTGAGGGCCAGGGCGTCGGTCCGCACAAGGACAGCATGCTGTCAAGCTATTTGCTGCAAGCAAGCCACCACCGCGGGCTACAGGTGCAAAACATGAAAGGGGAGTGGATTGATGCACCACCCATTGATGGCACACTCGTCGTTGCCATCGGTCAGGGGCTTGAGGCGCTGACGCAAGGCGTTTGTATGTCTACAACACATCGCGTGCTAAGTCCCAGGGCGGGTGACGGCGCGCGGTTTTCGATTCCCTTTTTTCAAGGTGTCAGGGGGGATGCAGACTTTGTGGACCTAGAGACCGTAGGCGTCGGGCAGGTGCCAAATGAGATTAAGGAGCAAAGGAGAAAGGTTCTAGAAGAAAACGGCGGGACTAGGCTTGATGATGTTGAGTTCACGTTCAGAACAGGCGGCGTGGCCAAAACTTTGGGCGAGGCGACGCTGCGGAACCGTGTGAAGAGTCATCCTGATGTGGGGGAACGGTGGTATCCTGATATCCTGGCAGCGATCCGCCAGGAGCAGGCGATTGCGGCGAAATAAGATGAGAAAGGGGGTGCGGCTGCCGCCTCTGTGCAGTTGTTGGTTTCCTTCGACTACTCATCGAGTGTCAAATCCTGGTCCGGCCTTTTAATAAGAATACGGAAGCCAGCTAGGTGCACATGGGGAAATATAAAAACTTGTACAATCGTGAGCTCGTATTTGTCTTTCCCGATATAAACAGAGCAGAAATCCAATATTACGCCTTCGCTGAATGCCCCGCCTCACCTGACTACGCCTTGCCGTTGCCACACCACGGCGCCCCGTTCTTCAAGACAACATCTCACAACCACCCCCCAAACTCCAGATTTCTCATTCTACGACTCGTGATCATGCGGCGATGAAGGAAGGGAAGCAGTCAGCAAGACCCTTGCTGTGCTTGTTCTCGGCGTGCTCAGTCAGGCTACAGAGGCGAAGCATCAGTATAAGTAAGAAAGAAGACATCCGAGCAGAATGCTAAAGAAGGAAAACCTACGCAGGGGCCTTGGTGGTCTTGAGGAAAGTGGCCTTGCAGATTTGGCACTGGATGTCCTTGGCGGCGGCGTTCTGTAGCCAACTTCGTTAGCGGTATGTCACTGACTGTGATATCCAGTTAGGAGGCTCTTAACGTACCACCTTGAGCTGAGAGCCCTTGGACTTGGCATCCTTCTGGTTGCGCTCCCGCTTCTGCTGAGCCTTTGCGCCCTGTATCCCCGAAATGTCAGCAACTTGCCCCTCAATTTGTTTCCACCAGAGACCCTGATCAGCGGTGGGGGAGGGGTGTCGAGTACATACGTTACCCATCTTGAATATTTGGACGGGAAGTATGAAAGATTCGTGAGCTTCGGTGTTGTTCTTGCAAGAGTGCTACGTGCGCAAATTCGTCGACGGCGGTAAAAGTCGTGGGGTTTTTTGAGGAAGAGAAAAAAAGACGAGCCGAAGCGGGCGCATACCAAACACTTTTTTTTTTTCCCTCTCGGACGACCCCGTAGCGCTTCTGCACCGATCGGCAGTCCAGACTGTCTTGGGCTCTGCAAAAAAGACGATGCACGGGCCCCCCTCATAGTGTACGGCCAACAGGCTGCCTCCACTGTGGAGCTAAGATAGTTGTCTGTCTGAACACCAGCCCCCGGAAGACGGATTATATACGACCCCGGACAAAGCCTCAGAGGCCGTTTCATCCCGCCATCTTTCACGTGTTGGCCTGCCATTTCTGTTTCACGGACCCATAGCTATCTGATTGCAGGGGAAAGCTTGGGCACCTTAAGTATTACTACCTAATTCACCTGGTGACTGACATGAGATGGTATGCTTTTTACCTGTTGTTTTTAGCCCCAACCCTACATACCACACCTAGCGTCGTCTTTGTCATCTGCGGTTGAGATCTTGTTAGACACAACGTTGTGCAAGGTTCCATTCATTCAAGCTTTTGGGTTTCATGGTCAACGACGCGTCTTGTCTTTGAAGTCGCGTTTATCGACCCTCGGTTTTGACAACCGCGTCGGTCTGGGGAAAGAGGACTGCACTACCCGGCTCCAACATCTCGGCTGCCGGCTTACACTCCCGAGTTGAATCTTGTTCCTGATTAGGAACATCACAGCACCAACTGTTCCACCTCGGCGGCGGTTCACCGAGCTGCACATATCATGGCCAGCTCCAAAATCACGTCGCCAGACAAGGTGACTCTCACAGAATTTCAGGAGCTTCTCGCTAGCTACCAACCTCTGATTGACTCCATTTCAGCCTCCAAAGGCGGTACGTCGGCCCTCAGTCGCGCTCTCCCCCGCATCTATAATAACCCTGCCTGCAATTTACCTAACTACGCTATATAGCCAAGCCTGGTCAGAAGACCCTGCAAGAATTGGATAAGTTCCGTTTCGTTGAAGCTCCCACCCACTTCTCGTATGATGACAAGAAGCGGGCCATGGACCATGACGATGTCAAGACTCTGGTTGATTGGAAGTTGTAAGTACATGCTTATTTAATTCGGCCCCTTGCCCAACAGGCCTAATGTACATTGGTGGGGACGCGATGTCTGAACATTATCACGATCCACGAATAAGACACTTGAAGTGTACTGAGCTTATAGAGAGGCGCCCATGTTGACATGGTCATGATCGTCTGACACTTCATTGCAGACGTCACGGCAAATTTCGGCCGACCCTGATGAAGCTTGTGTCATCGAACGACTCTTCGACAGTCCAGGAAATCGTGGAAGAAGGCATTAATGTCTACCAAGACACATCAGATCCTTCTGCATCACTTAATATCTTGACCAAGTTGAAGGGCATTGGTCCCGCGACTGCTTCGCTTCTGCTAGCGGTACACTTTCCGGACCAGATTCTGTTCTTCTCCGATGAAGCATATTATTGGCTCTGTAACAATGGCCAAAAAGCATCGCTCAAATACAACACGAAGGAATACGATTCCCTCAACACTGAGGCGCAAAAATTAACAAAGAGACTGGGTGTCTCCGCAATGGATGTTGAGAAAGTGGCCTACGTCTTGCTCAAAAAAGAGGGTCCCGTCTCTCAAGCCAAACCCAATGACTCGACTTCCAAGGCCACAAGTAATAAGAAGGACGTAGAAAAGCCAGCACCTGCGAAGAGGAAGAAGAGCTCTGATGCAGTGCCTGAAGACAAAGGCCCAGTTCGACGATCGAAACGCGGGAAGGCGGCATAATAAGCTTCTAGGGCCTAAGTCCCAAGGGGCGGAATATGTATCCCGACTCGATACGGCAGATGAGCATCATAGACCGGATGGCATGCCCAGATTTGGGTCCGGGGGTTCTACCGGAATGGGGTCCGCGGTGCATGCACTTATAGTTGGAGTGTATCATGGGGGAGCATCCAGCGTTCCGAGGCCACGAATGTGAAATTCTTGGGCGGAGCTTATTTGTTTACGCTGTTTTTCATTCGCTCTTGATGACCGAAAAAATTCCCATTGGTCTTACACGAAGGAGCAGGTTCGAATGAAGTTTAAAGCGGCACAGCGGGCCGGCTGCATTGTGGTCAGCAATGGCCAGTTTCCCTCGCTGAGTCCCAACGACCCGCCCGATTTTTTTCCGGGACGCGTGATCTGCAGGACCCCGGATCCTTGACGGCAGGCGCCGAGACCACCGTCACCTCAGTGCATGCCCAATCCATTCACACGACGACGAGCACACGACCCAGAGGCCTGTCGATACGTCTCGCGTCCGACAGTCATTTTCTCCACGCCATGGATGATGAATTATTCGGAGCCCAGTTTGGGGCTGCTGGCGATATGCCGCCTCCACCGCCACCGGATTTCTCATCAATGTCCTACTCCCCCGATCTCTTTTCCCAGTATATTTCACCTTTTGATACTCCCAGCTTACTCTGGTCCCAAAACTTCCCGCCGGCTATGGATAACCGCCCGAGAGGTTTCATGCGTGCGGACGAGATATTCTCGGAAAACGGCGGGCCTATCCCCCTTCCCCCGAGGTTCGCACAGATCAAACGCAGCCTCGTCGCCGGCAAGGAAACAGCCATAGTGGACTCGTGGAACCGACTCCTGGTCGCCCTCCGCGCTGAGATTGCACTGATTGGCGTAACAAAGTCTGACATAATTCCCACCATCGATTTTTCGGAGCTCAAGGACCATGCCCGCGTGTCTGAATTTGCCGCCAAGCTCCGGCGCCGAGGTGGCGCCGTCATTCGCAACGTTGTAACGGCGGAGGAAGCCCACAATTGGCGGGAAGAGACGGAGACATATCTCTCCGATAACCCAGAAACTAGGGGGTGGCCGACACGCGATCCTCACCTCTTTGGAATTTATTGGTCGCCGGCGCAGATTAAGGGTCGCGCCCATCCGAATGTGCTCGCTACTCAACGGTTCTTGATGAGGCTATGGCGCTCGCGTGACGCCAACGCCTCGGTAGCGGTTGACCTTCCCGTAGCCTACGCGGACCGTCTGCGGATCCGTACGCCGGGCGATGAGTTTTGGCATCTGAATGCCCATGTAGACGGCGGCAGTGTCGAGCGGTGGGAAAGCGATGGGTACGGAAATGCTGGCACGTATCAACGCATATGGGATGGGCGGTGGGAAGATTATGATCCCTGGGAAAGCAGCACACGGCTTAAGGTCACTTCAGATCTTTATAATGGAGCGGGCTCATGCAGCATGTTTCGCATGTTCCAAGGCTGGCTCTCAATGTCGGACATCGACCCTGCCGATGGCACACTTCTTCTCTGCCCCATGCTCCAGCTCGCCACCGCCTACTTTCTCCTTCGACCATTTTTCTCCCCGCATAATCCTTCCCCCGAATCTCCAAATTTCCTAGCTCGCGAGAACTGGTCTCTTGACTTCACGCAAACTAGCATCATTCAGGGTGCAGTTCCCTCATATACCCAGGAACTCAACGCGACATTGCATCCGCATTTGCAATTCGATAAATCCCTCGTGCGCATCCCGCCCGTCCGTCCTGGTGACTATGTGGTGTGGCATCCTGACATGGTGTACGGCGTTGACAAAGTGCCATTGTCAGCTTTGCCTGCCACCATCATGTATATCCCCGCCTGCCCGTTGACACAAACCAACGCTCTGTACCTCGCCCGTCAGAGGAAGGCATTCCTTCTTGGCCAGCCAAGCCCAGACTTTGGGGGCGGCCGTGGCGAGACGAGACATATGGGCCGACCTGGCGTGCAGGAAGTTAGCGATGCGGGTGGAGAGGACGGGCTTAGGGCCATGGGGTTGCTTCCTTGGGAAGACCAGGAGAGGAGAAGTCCGACAGAGAAGGCGTTGGTTAGGATGGCGAATGCCATCTTGTTCCCTGACCGCTACGATATGCTTTAATTGCGGCGACAATCCGCAAGGAATTTTCCAGGCGTTGTTATTGGTATCTTAATGCTCTTTGGGATGTCTGATGTTTACAGGAGTGCAGTTTGGAAAAGCTTAGGGAACATGCGGACGACGGCAAAATTAATGACCCGGTGGTAGATCCCTAATCAGATATGAATATTGACAACCCCTTTCAAGGAGTTGGCTCAGAATCGGTGGTTTTGATATAATTACGGAGCTGTAGATGGAAGTCACTACTTTACCTTGACGTTGGCATGCTTTCAAAGTTATCAGGCGGGAACTTTTACGTATCATACGATGGCCCAACATGTATGTCATCCGGTCCAACAGAAAGATATCTCCCCAGTTCACAACGGGTTTATCGCTTGTTATGGCCTTTCGCAAAACGACTTCGTCCAACAAAAAGCAAGGGGTGCCTCACGGAGGAGTGCACGGAAATGCTGAAATGCTGAAACTGTAAAGTTTCTAAAAATCATGTCAAATCATATGCCATCCCTCTGCTGTTAGGGTGGTGATTCGTCACGATACTGCCATGTTGGAGAAACCCGAGAGTAATTAAAGCCCGATAATTGCCATTCAGATTTCAATAAAGGTCTGTTCAAACTTTCTATTCATAGCTCTGCTTACAAGGCACATTCAAATCCAAAGGCATTCCTGCAAAAGAGTACGGCATCAGCTAGTATGTCTAGTCTGAGGTGCGCATCAGGAGTGTGAACTTGTTCCTGTCACTTTGGGACCAAGCCAGCTTACGCAAGAACGTATTTTATATCCATTCCACTTCCCATGATGCACAGAGAGCATCTATAAATGGTGCGTTGAAATTGCAGTGTCTGAGGTCGATGTTGTTTACATATAAACCAGGTGACAAGATACTCCATGAAATTCTCCGCTGTTCGCATAATTAAGCGTTCCTGTTTTGAAATGGTTTGAACCTCATTCTGCGAGCTAGCTCGGCCATTTCTCAGCGCATGTTGGGCGTTGGTTCTGTCAATGGCGAGAAGCAAACGTGTCACTGCTGTGGTTGCAATCGAGACATTCAAACCCAAGCAGCCCATAACCTTGAGAACGAATCCATTTTGAAATATCCTTGAAAGGGGAAGTGTAGGGAACTTAATTTACAATATGAAGAGAAAGGAAATCTCAAAGTGAGGAACGAGACATCCCGGACTGCCTGAAGTGTAGAACATTATTCACTCTGGCATCATGTGGACCTCTCTTAACTTTTCACAAGATGCTCTGCAACATCATATATTTGAAAAGTCGTCAAACCCATTAACAAGCGCGCTCCCTTAGAGAAGTGACACATCGACTCAGTCGAAATGAATGGTCTTGGCACATGTCTGTAATCACCATAGAAGGGTATCTCATCATTGCCCAAACAGTATACACAGCTGTGTTATTGCTTTCAACATTCTCCCATCTTGTGACCACACCAGAACACAATTCGAACCAAAGCTCTCTTTTCGATTTGAATGGTTTATGCGACAAGTTCTAGCACACGGAGACAGCAATGCTAAAAAGCAACATGCAACACCGGGCATTCGCCGGTCGTCACCGACCCGACTACTACTCCGGCCCTCACTGGTTTATCGATGGGAGAGCGGACGGGATCCCGAGTTCTCCAGTGGGTGTGGCCGCATGTGCTCACTTAACGCGTTGAAGTTGCTCACATATCTTATTCACGAGGCGACCGCCTACTGCGTTTTAGGTGTGCTCAAAGTTGCCCATCACGAATGACATACAACAGCGGAGGGCCAGAAGAAACTAATAAGTTGGCCAGTCACACATGACAAAAAGCAAAAGAGAACACACTCGTGTTTCTTCCGAAACCGATAATCGAACTTGGGACTATGCCTGACATCTCAGCGATGGGAGGGCCATCATGTTGGCCACTACACCATATCGGATCGTGATGCCGGCCGAGAACACCGAGAGTCCCAAGACGCCTGCAACGGTGGGACATAGTTCAAGCTAGTAGCTAGCCCTCTTTGCAACCCTTACTTCCAAGGAAACCCCAAGCGTCGGTTTCCTGTCAAACTTGACGTCCTACAGGAAACTGGAACCCCCATATCAACGAGTCATGGCCGGGTACGCGTTCCATATCAGTGAGTATAACATTTCAACGCTAGTTCTTGGCTGCCAAGGAAATGGATTGGAGTTGTATATTTCTCACATCCCGACCTGAACTCTTCAGGTTTTACAATACACCCCGGCCCTCAAAGTACTCTGAAGGTGAGGGAAACCCCGTTCCCCGGCAAGCTGATGCCCGTCCCCCGGTCGCCTTAGGGGAGTGATTAGAGGTCAGTTGGTGGGGTTGAATGACGTAGATCCATCTTTACGTAGCCATGGAGATGTTCTCCTGGGATTCTCATTAAACGAGGCTCCGTTTGGTGGGTGAAGTAGCTGGTACTTCCGGCATTTGACGCAACTTGTACACGATACTTTTATCCTGTATTACTTGGAATTATCTTGTTGTTTCTTGGCTAGATGATCTTATCTTTGCCTGAATTGTTGTCCATCTCGTCCCTCTCCTGCCATTTAATTGCGGAACAGCTCTAGTCTGGATGGAATCCAGAGGCAGCGACACCATTTGCTTCATGCGAGCAAGCATCGGAGTTGTAAAGGCTCACATCATTCTCCATCATCGTTCGTCAGACTTGTCGGAGCTGGCTGGACTATGACGCAATGAGATATCATGTTGGGGCTCAGGAAATTGATCAGGCTGATTGCGCAAATTGGGGGGTCGTTGCTTTCTTCCGATGCTCCATCCAATACACGTGGTGTCTAGAACCTGCCGTAAACCTTGGCGGGAGCTGGGACTGAATCATGTCCCGTGCTGCAGCAATTGGAATGCCCCCCCCCCCCCCCCCCCGCTCCTCCAAAACTCCATTTCCAACTTCGGGTTCCGCTAGACCCCAACTCCTAAGGCTCCGGAGCATGTAGTTCTCCAGGACCCTGGTCGTTAACGAGGTGAAGTGCCAATTCCGAATCCGAACATTACTTTGCCCCCTTATCCGGATCTAACCTGAAGTCATCACCGTTAGGCCAGAGTATTTAACGGTGTCGTGATCTGATCCTTTCCAAACACCCTGGTTGAATCTAAACTCCAACTTCCTTGGATGATGCAGATTGGCGGATGAAGGATAGAGGGAATTTGCGTCATCCGATACAGGTAGTGCCGGTGTCATATCATAGTTTCTGCAGTCAATGAAACCCCGATCGGCGGCGCGGCTTGCCATCTGTTTCTGAGGGGAAAGGTTCGAGGGCTAAGTTCATGAACCATCGAATCCAAGGTGACGGTGTCCGCACTCTGGCGAACTAACGAGTTAGCTAACCTCGTCGTTGGTGACACAAACTAAGAAGCCGAAAAACCGAGAAGCCGTGTACAGTTTCTGTTGACGGGAGACTCAGGGAAAGTGTGTTAATAGATCAGTGCATGGATGAGACCGACCTGCGGAAGCTTTGCAACTGCCGGCAAAGCTAGAGTCTGAAGCATTATTGAGCGATTGTATCATGATAGATGTGTTCTGTTAGATATGCTTTCTGATGGGTCTTGTAGACAGCGGAAGCGGGCAAAAGTATTGCAACTAGTTAATCTCAAAGTCAACAACAGAAAAGTGGCCAATGGGTATGTATGAAGGCGTGGATCAGGTGGCTGCGCTGTTCGGTTCGTTGCGAGAAATCGCCAGCGACACTCTTCACTAGTGCCCGCTATGTTTCTCTCTTGTTCGCCAACTCTGTATCGATACCATCGTCGTTGGTTTACCTGGCATGCTTTTAACATGGCGGATTTTGAAGCACCTTTCCCACTGACTGGCATACTGCAAGAAAGCACAAACCGACGAGTTGCCTTGTCGCTCCCTCGCCCATAGACAAGCCTCTTGATCCGTCTATGCTAACAGATGGAACTTTTGTAGCAATGAGTGATTCTTCACGATATCTGGCTACTCCATTCCAGAATCATAGACATATGGCTTCCGTTATTGGTGCTCTTTTGCCCAAGGTTATGCTACGCATTTTCATTGGTAGCTCTCCACTTCGCGGACACTCGCGAGAGGCTTTCTGAGCCAATACATAATCCACCGGGGATGCAGGATGTTGAACAACGTAGATGTTCTGAACAATGTTAATGACACAGAAGGCGCCACGACAAGAACGTGTACTTAAAAATGGAATACATGTATATATAAAAAAAAGGGGGAAAAGAGAGATGCGTTGTTCCGAAGGAAATTAACACGTGCGAGCTGATGCATCGTGGTTCTGTTGCGACTCCATGCGGGCGGGTATTAGGGACCCTCGAGTAGTAATTGGGTTGAAATATTGTCTATTCTTGCATAAACTTGACTTCCACCAGCAAAATACAACTCAAGTTGCACAGCTTTTGAGCCAAGCCGGAAAGATTTGATATCAAACAGCAGCAATCCGGAACAATGGGATGCTGTAAGCAAGCCAATTCGTCCATCAGATACAGAGTACCAATCTCAGTTATGCACAAGACCAATCACATCTAACCTGACACTCGGTGACAGCCGCACGAAACAGCTGGTTCGGAGTGCACAACCGCTCAATGCAGGGGCCGAGATGGCCCAAGCTTGGCTTTGGTGAGGGGGGTTACCAGACCTGGACCTGTGATACGTGGATGGAATTAGGGACCAAGACAGCTAAATGTCGGTCCGTGGTAGCTCACATGGGGCAATCGAGCCTGACCGCACCAACAAGGGCCCGCCACCGAGGCCGTGCCTTGCCTTACCCGACCCTGCCATACCGTCCGCAGTAGCTTAGTACGACGCCTGGCAGCAGCACCACCCACTACCCCATTAAATGAAGGTGTGGGCAAGCAACAAGCACCTCGAAGCGAGGAGCTGGTCCCAAGACCCAACCTTTGGAGAGTGGGCTTTGCGGCTGGGCTCCAATTCTCCAGCATCCTGCAACCAAAACAACAACCACACATCCCGAGTCATCTCAATTGCAACTACGACAGGCAAACAAACCCTTCACGACTCACGTGCGACCTCGACTCGACCGTCCATCCAAGCCAACAAACTGCCCTAGACGCCTCCCTTGCACACTGTTTTACATCCTAGCCCGCAACCGCTCGCCTCCTCGAATCAATAGTTCACACTTCCTCGCGAGAGGGGGGGAATGACCTTTCCCCCGCCGAACCATGGCTGATTCGGCCAGGTCAGTGGACAAGAACCCCCGGTCCCCCCTCAAGTCGAAGGTCGTCCGCTCCCAAAAGATCTCCGCCCCGGCGCCCACTCCTCCACCCGGCGTCATCGGTGACCTGCCTGATGATCTAGAGGACCTGAGCGACCGCGACATCGAGCAGCACCGCCGTGTTCCCTCCGCCCCGGGTGGCCCCATCCCCCGTTCCCACACTCCCGGGCATCTGGCGTCCAAGAGCCAGGATCGCCGCCGCAAGCCCTCCGAATTGTCAATCCGCCAACGTTCTCAATCAGCTTCACAAGCACAGTCTTCGTCTGCTCAACCTTCACGTACTACTCCCACGAGCGCGAACCCCCCGAAACCTCCGCCGCCCTCATACCGACCCAGCGCCGATGCTTCCACTACCAGCAGCAATAACGACGGCTCCGAGTCAGCCGGCGGTCCCAGTTCAGACCGTGACAGCCGCCGTCCTCTCGTCATGCGCTCGACGTCCGCCATAGCCGGCAAGGCTTCCATCCCCTCGTCGTCAACGACGACACGGCAGCTTTCAACGACCGGTTCATCCGCTCGAAGTGCTCCAAAGGGACAACACATCCCCTTCCCTCCTCTTCAAGACCCCAGAACAGCGCCCGATGTGCCTCCAGCTCCATCATCAGGCATGTACTGGTCTCGCGCACCCGTATCGGGTGCTCCTCACACGTCCCTCCGCGCCCATACCACAACACTCGTTGGGTCTAATATCTTTGTGTTTGGAGGCTGTGACTCCCGCGCCTGCTTCAATGAGTTATACGTATTTGACGCCGACGCCTTCTATTGGTCCGTTCCTCACGTAACTGGCGAGATCCCAGTGCCCCTACGCGCCATGACCTGCACTGCCGTTGGCAAGAAACTGGTCATCTTTGGTGGTGGTGACGGTCCCGCGTACTATAACGACATATATGTACTCGATACGACTAATTTCAAGTGGCACCGCCCCAAGGTCATAGGCGACCGCGTCCCTTCTAAACGCCGCGCCCACACCGCTTGCCTCTATAAGAACGGCATCTACATTTTTGGCGGCGGCGATGGCGTCCGCGCTCTTAACGACGTATGGCGCCTCGATGTCAGTGACATGAACAAGATGTCTTGGAAGATCGTCTCTGGACCTGAGCGGGCCCCGCCCCCCGGCGTCCGGGAAACCCGCCCGAAGCCCCGCGGATATCACACGGCCAATATGGTGGGTAGCAAGCTCATCATCTTTGGCGGCTCAGACGGTGGCGAGTGCTTCAACGACGTGTGGGTTTACGACGTGGATGCCCTCGTCTGGAAAGCCGTCTCCATTCCTGTCACCTTCCGCCGATTGTCGCATACGGCCACCCTCGTCGGCTCTTACCTCTTCGTTATCGGTGGCCACGACGGTAACGAATACTCCAATGATGTCCTTCTTCTCAACCTCGTCACCATGACCTGGGACCGTCGCCGTGTGTACGGCCTGCCACCCAGCGGTCGGGGGTATCATGGAACTGTGCTCTACGATAGTCGCTTGTTCGTTATTGGCGGGTTCGACGGCAGCGAGGTCTTTGGGGATGTTTGGATGCTGGAATTGGCGGTGCATGCATATTACTCCCAAATCAGCCATTTCACCATCGAGGTTTGAGGCCGTTCCTCTCGCCGTCCGCGCGCGCGCTTCTAATTATTCCTATACCATCCATGCTAGCCGGTCTTCTTTGTCTCACAGCGCGTGCGCGCGCGTGTGTGTACGTGTGCGTGCTGTTTCGTATCCTGTTCTACTCTGTATCGTTACAATCCTCCTCTGAGTTATTACAGTATTTATGTTTGATGACGGAACGGCTTCATAAAACCCTGGTGGGCGGCAGGCAGGCATGTAATTTTTCCCCGTTAAATACAGTGAGTTAAATCTAAAGGCTTCATTTTTGTTTAAAAGAATAAAAACATGAAAAATAAAAGAAAGAAAGAAAGGAAACATACAAGCCCTCTTCTCAACAATTTGATCCTTCCAGATTCGTCCTCGGAAATGTCGAGGCCTAGACTCGTGTGCCAGAGTGTTGGTATTACAGGATTGGCCCGCAAGATACGGAGCAGGTAGATCAAACGTGACTGCCAATCATGGCCAGGGTCCATAGCTTCACCGAGTCAGTGACGTGAAATGATGTATGTATGGGTGCAGATACACTTTGACGTTAATTTGGGCGAGATACGTCATCTGGATTGATCCGCCGGTCAAATAGTGATGGACGTCGTTCCGCCTGGCTCGGGGGAGCCGAACCCCGGCTTCATGGTTATGCGGAGGTGATGGGGATCAGCAGAGTTATCGGTGGTTTCTCCCGCCATGAGCGAGAAAGAGAGGGGGAGGAGAAGGAGGGGTCCGCGGCCGAGCATCATCTGAATGGTTACTCAACCACACGATACTTTCCTCCCCCCCTCCTCCTTTTTTGTTTTCCCCCTCTGATCTTTGCCATACAAATGTCCTCCGGATACTCAGTAGGTTTGCAAGGTCCCTTCGTGGCACGGTTGACGTATGTAAGCCGGGGACATCTCTGTACAAATATCAAAGAGGCATGGTGACATTGAAGCGAGCACGATTCAGATGCCAAGGGGGGATCGGCGGGCAATAGACTGGGTCGAGACCAATTGATGCGCCCAGGGGCATCTTTCTTCGTCTTTGCCCGTAGCATGAAGCTAACAAGACGTCACGGGGCGTTGGGCAACATCCCCCGCCGCGGGCACGTTGCCGACGATTCACGTCACCGCGATATGAGCTTTTGCAACACGAAGCTAACATTAAACAGGGATGTATTTAGTTGTTCCTCTGATTCCGATGGTCTATCCATTGGATGACTTTCGGTCTAACTATTTTCAAGTTAATCAACGCCGCTCTTCCCCTCCCCCACTCATGACGGGTATTACATCATGGTGTGGTACAGTCTGCGCAGCCACCCCTCCCATAAACGCCAGCAATGCAACCAGGCCGCCATTGAGCTCTCCTCCATCTCCCGGGAGAAGAGATATTTTTGTGTATAGCTTCTTCAGGCTACTAAAACATGTGACAAGTAAGGAAAATTCAAGGCTCGCAATCGTACAAGATAAGAGTTGATAGATAGATAGGTGGTTGATGATGATGATGATGTCGTATCATTACGGATCTTTTTCTCTCAATGATTGATGATTCACTTCTGCTCGGCAGCCTTGCGGGCAGCGATGCGGCGCTCTTCGGCAGCGACCATGTCTGTTTCATTTATGTTAGTCGCGAGTTTCTTGAATCGATTTGGGGGGATTGGGGATGAAATACCCTTCCACAGGTCCTGACCCTCGTAATCCTCCTTGTGGATCTTCTTCTCGATGAGGTGCTTGTGCTCGGGGTCCTCAGGGTCGATGATCATAACTGTCTCCCAGCGACCAGAGCCCGTCTTGGCGTCGTTCATCTCAAATGCGGCGGTAACAACAAGCATGACGACGGCGAGGCCTTGGGCGTAAACACGAGCTTGGACGAGCTTCTGAGCACCGGTAAGGTACTTGTTGCGGTTTACCAAGGCGAAGGCGACACCCATGGAGGCAAGCCACGAGGTAAAAACAATGGAGTATCTGTTCTCGCGGCCCCACTGCTTGAACTTCTGCATCGTCGTCTCCTTGGCCTTGGCTTCAGCGACGGCACGCGCCGTAGCGTCCTGGTAGCCGAACATAGGGTCCTTCTCATGACCGTAGCGGATAGAGGCGCGGTCGGCATTGACGATGGCGCCGAAAGTGGCCGACGAGGTGACGAGGAAAGAGCGGAAAGGAAGCGTCAACTGGCGGAAAGCTGGGTAGCGTCTAGAGGCGAAGAGAACACCCGCGAGACCGACACCTAGACCGAGACTGCCGCCCAACAGTCCGCCCTTGACGACAACCTGGTAGTGCTCTGCCTCCTCTTCCTTGCTGAGAACCTTCATAGTTGCGGGTTATGGGGGTCGTGTGCTAAGAGTATGGACAAGTTGTGTCTGGAGAAGTTGGTGGTTTGCAAACTCCTTGAAAAGCTACAAGAGAAGTTGTTCTAGTTGCGCGCGGTTGAGAGTTTTTGGTGTTGTCGGGATTTGGTTGTTGGTCGTGGGGATGGTGTCGTACGATGTGCCCTGATGACGACGAACTGATGACGGATCGGGGTTCGGAAATAGAAGTATATAGCTCGGATGGTTCTTGCTGTCGCAACTTTAGGGATTGCTAGTTCAATGCTGTAAAGCTTGAGGCTTGAGGCGAATGAAGAGACTGAGGCTGAAGCTGATGGTCAATAGTCCTTATATTCAAAGAGTTGGTTATCATAAATTGATGACAGACCCGAACGGCGATTGGAAGCTTGGGGCCGGAACGCCTCGTGGACAGAAAAAGTCGCACTGGGACCCAGAATTGTGCCATGAAGTTGTTACTCCGGCATGATGTAATGGACCCTTGCAGCCCGGTCTTTGCCGCCCGGCCGTCGTTGCTCTCAGTGTCCTACGGTGCTGCTTTGGCGGCCTTTCAGCGGTCTTCCAGTGGGCTCTGCGAACAGCGAACCTCCTGGGCAAACCCCGAGAAATTCCCGTAAAGATGAGTAAGCGTGGAGGAGGTAGTTCTGATTGGCTAGTCGCGCCGCGTCAAGCCTTGAACGGGGCACAGGCGCCGGCCGTTCAGTTCTCTGCCAGTCTGACCACTTTGGCAGACCCTTCCTACTTTCGCCGTTTGCTGCTACTTTGGCATGTTATGTAATTCAAACGCCGAAAACCCTAAACCAGAACATACCAGCAAGACCGTGAGCAGACCGAGGACGGGCCGTGTTAACTCCCTATTGCGGTATCAATCAGCCTGCTGAGAAATGCAAGTTTCGCCGACTTATGTCCACCGCGGCTTTCAATGACTTCATAGTACTCGCCTAGCATTGCTGACTTCCGTGGAGAGGTCGTTCGCGGCTCCCATATTGCTGGGGCAAAAACTCCACCTTTCGCTGAGTGACAGCCACTCTTCCATCGGCCACCCGGGCGACAGAATTAATGGCCGCTTTTCCACATCGACCAACAAAAAAGGCTAGCTATTATTCTGTCGCCCGAGTGGTCAGCCCAGGGCAAGTGCTGCACCGGCCACTCGGCAAAGATCGCCGGCTGATTCCATGCTTCTAGTGACGGACAGTCACCAACCACTATTCTAGAAGCCTGTTCGCCAAGTGCAATCAGTAAGGATGCAAATGGGCTGACTTTGCGGCTGAGCGGCCTGTCCTTTTTCACCATTTTCCCATATGCTGTATGCTGATTAGCGCCAGTTGACACTTGAAGCATGGCGCTGACATGCCTCATCCCTCGTGACCAATACTTCGTAACTATTATTGAGAATTCCCTTGTTTATTTTTACTTTTTCTAAGCGGTGGTGGCTGAGATGTAATGTTAAGAACCAGGGGCCTTATTTTTTACGTCGCATGAATACTAACCGAGTCGCCGGGTTCGGCCATGCTCAAAGGAGATTGCAAAAATCGCAGATTTTCTCAATGTAAGATTGACTGGTGGTGCCAGGAGACTCGGATGGATCAACCAGCTTCCATTCGCTGTAATGGACAAACAATATGCGTAGATTGGCGACAACAGAGTTTACGTAGTGTCGGTTCACAAACAAAAATTCTTCGATGTAAGTATTGGCATTGCTACAAGTTTGGCAGGACAGAATTTGGAGTTATATTCGAGCATACAGTACAATGACCACAATGGGCAACCTTGATCTAGTAGTAAGGTCAAGGACTGGAATGTCAAAACACAAAAGGCCATCCAAAGCCAGCCATACCCTTGGTGGTAGTTAGATAGAGCTGTAAGGGCGGTGAACGAAACTCGCCTCGCACCACCCCAAGAGACAAAAACTGCCCAAGCTTAAAACTCTCCAACGTGGTATTATGTATGTGCGCTCGTTGGACAGTTACGAAGATGGAGGCAGTTCTACCTTAGGTTAACTCTGGACAAGTTTCGAGTGTCCCTGCGTTTCAGAGTTTCTCGATGCTCAGGGTCCTAGTCATGCGATCAACCACCACAAAAAAAAAAAAAAAACCATAAAACTTGCACCCCCCATTCAGGGTCCTTGATATTATGCACCAAATCTAGTTGCATCCAGTGCCCCTCACCGCTGGTTGGATGATAGGCTGTGGCTCGCTCCATGGGACGCATGGCATCCTGCGCGTACTAGTAGTGTGTGTGCTTGTGTTCGTAATGTGCTCTCGTCGCAGTAAACAAGTCCACGGACCAGGTCAAGGGCCCTATGGGTATGATTACCATGTAATCAGTATTGGAGGCCCGTTCCACGGAATATTGCTAAGGGGAGGGGCTGGACTAATCTGGCTGATTCTTCAGCCCGAACCGTCTTCTAGAACCCTTCCACAATCCTTGCTAGGGTCAGGGTCCTCTGTGCGCTCCCGCTTGCCACGTTTGCCCAACAAAGCCCAGCTGTCTTCACCGACTACTACTAGCCTTTGCGCTTGCAGCCAGCAGAATCAAATCACCTCACCTCCCCCCTTAGAGCACCCTACCTAACACATGTAGCAAGCCTTCAGAGCAGATTGTTTCCTCTCAGCTGAGCCGTGTCTTTGTTGGCATGCTTTGCAAGGCTGCCATGTTGCGCCTCTGGAGTTCGCCGGAGTTTTGCAACTTGTACACGGTACTTTGCCATTCAAAACGTTCCTAGATTCGTTCAATCGTCCGAACCGCTATTTGCTGCTCGATTCATGCCTCATGCGCCGCCGAATTGTTGTGCACAGGCAACCTGCGCCCGTGGATAATAAACTTGAGTTATTTGGGCGCAGCATCCTGTCTGCCATGAACTCCACGCCCCAAGGCTCCATCTTGGGTGAACCTGGACCAAGTCTCATAGATCGGCTGGCGCCGAGTCATTTGCGCGGAGCGAGTCCGGCGTTGAGGTCTTTCGTCTCTTCACCCAGTATCGTTCCAAGGCAGTGTGAGGGCGTTACTTTCTATTCGTCACCCGCACAAATTCCGACATTGTTGCAGACCCATTTATCATGCACCTCACATGCTCCAACTGCTAGGGACGATCGGCACACATTTTGAAAGCGACGGAGCACTCAACAGCGCACAAACAGGATGCAATAGAGCGGACATGACCTCCATGACTTCATGGTCGACAATCGGTGTCTGGTCGGGCAATGCACATTAATGACACCGAGGTCGCAGGTAAGCTCTTTCCGAACCAGGGTCCCCGAATGTGTTTGATGCCTGCTTGTGTAGGATTCGGACTCGACTGTGGAAAATGCAGCCAGAGAGTTTAAGGGCCACAAGGCTCAGTAACGTTGAGGCACGAAATCTGCCTACCTGGAATAACCTCCTGCCAAGGGGTAAGCGATCATCTCGTATGGCGGAACTAGTAGTATCCACACAGGTGGGCTGGTGAAGAGTGATGAGCGAACTACCATGCAGTATCGAGATTGCGGCATTTCAGGCTGGACCCCGCTGTAGAGTCTTGCTTAGATGTCCTGGAGGAAGACGGCCGAACGGTGGGCAAACGTTGACGTTACCGTTGATGTCTCCGCGATCTCGGCCGGGAAGTTGATCAAGTGTAACACAAGTGTTCAGGACTTCAGTGCCTGCGGGGTATTGTGTGGGTGGTGGTGTCAGGATTAGTGTCTCGCTAAGCACGGGTGCGTAGGAGTCAAGCTGGTGATGTCGTAACGGTTAGCAGGGTCAGGAAGACGATAAGGGAAAACGACATTGTTGATAGACAAGATCAGCCTAGCAATATGATCCAACAGTTGCATCTAGCCATGGCCATCATATGCAGGATGTAATCAGCTGTGGAGCATGTACCATAGTAGTCATGAAACCGAACTGGGTAGAAGGGTGGTGATAGATATGAGATCGAACTTCCAATACAAGATCGCACAGAGATCCAGTACCTTGCGGGCGCCACGTTGGGAGCCCATGTTGCATCTCATCTGAATTAGAATCATAAGCGAGTCAGTCTACTGATGATCTACAGTTATTCTAGTCCACTGCCATGCGCCATGTTTCTTGTCCAGTTTAGACTCGACGAGGAATCATGGCAGAAAAGGTGGTCCAACACTTTTGATGCTAGGCGTCGTGGTCTAAGGGAAGTTACAATTACGTCCAAGCGAGGTGCATTCTCTCTCATCGGTTGACGCAGGATAACAAGGGGAATGGTCTAAGTCTTGTCAGACGAGGAAATGATATGCCGGGAACAGGGACCGTTTGCAACGGTGCGATGGCCATCTCAAATCATCGCATGCTGCTCTCTAGTTTGTTTTCGCTTTTCGCGGCTGGGAAACAAAACCTCTCTTTTCACGCATACTAGTAGCTCTAGGGTTTCTTTGACCAGCGAATTGACGGACAGGGTGTCTCGGTCTTCAGTAATAACGAGCCCACGATTAATAGATGATAGGTAGTGGTTCAGAGGAGTATACGTACCCATTTTCGGAATCCTATCGATTGTAGGTCGTCGGCATGGTCGATCTGCGCCCATCCATGAGCATGAAAATGCCCTTCACCGCCTTTCAACCGTGGTGACGAGACGGTTTCTCGTCCGCAGATGCACCTGGTCACCCTCCCAAAGCTTTGCCTTCAACTTAATTCCGCTCATGATTCCGTGGCAAGCTAAGTTGTCGTCAAGATTTCGGGCTTGTAGCGCTAATAACGAACTTCTTAGGCGGCGTGCCAGGCTGCTAGGGGTCGTGTCCCTGAGAAGCAAAGTGTCAAGTGCCTGGCACAGCCTACCCATGCGACGGTGAATTCATCCGGAGCGGGAGCGGATTCTGGGAAAGGCAACTTGGTGTGCACGACGAGGGTCAGGCTCGTTTTAGTTGTTGCGGCTAGCAAGGATAGGGCAGGCAAGACACAGGCCTGGCATCCCGAAGCTGGGCTTGGCGGCGCTTTTGGGGTGCCCAAGTCGAAGCTGTCATTCGTCACGGCTGGCATGGGCCGGCATACAAACTAGTAGAGTGGGGGTGAGGGTTGTGCCTCTGCTCCGCTTCTGCAGGTATTCGCTGCACCGTGTTCCCAGCGTTCCATTTCCTCCACCGTATCCGCGAGGATTGGTAGCAATGTACTCCGTAAGGCAAGGCGGCTTAGGATGGTCGCCATCGCCTACTTACTAGTACAGCTTGTTTGTTGCACCAATCCCAATTAGCACAAGCAGACCGCCTTCCTTGCTGCAGCCATCGATTGGAGACAGTGTTTCTGCCACATTCTTCTTTGGCATGCCCATGAACAGACTTCCTGACCTGATGATGTGCGCGACATCTTATCCCGCTTTTGCGTCTACCAACCGTCATCGTACGTGTGAGACCCTCGTTTGTCCCGGAGCGTTTCCCCCAAAGCACCCGGGGTGCCGCAAAACCAGCTGCCATATTCGCAGGAATGAGATGAGGTCGCCGTGACAGGTGGACCTTAGGATCCGAACCCCAACTTGGTGTCTTGTTCCAAAGTGTCTCGGGACATGTTGTTGCCTCGGCCGATTCCAAGTGACCTGCCACCTAGTAAGCTAGGCATAGACGTCCCCTAGGACTTTACCACCCTGGTTGTCATCGTTGACGGTCAATCACCGAAGACGGATGGCTCCTAATGTGCGTACCAGATGTTGGCAGCCATAGAGCATGGGTTAGCCAAAGTACAAACAGGCCTCCCCCCGACACTACATGTCTGGTTATGAGTCAAGCATAGCAGTGTTGAAATGGTTGTGCGGCAGCCTTGTCCAGTCATCATTGAGAAATATCCATCCGTTGGCAACGTGGGGCCCACTAAAGCGGAAAAAAGACTGGGCAATTTCGTAGCTTGCTGATGTTGACTTCCTTTGCAACCTCGCTATGTATTGTTTACTCAAAAGTGGCATATGGGAAACCTACCATCAGAGTTATTCTTGGCTGCTGCCCTGGAGAAACTTGCGAGACTTTTTGTTTCCCAAGAGCGCTTCGCTCGTGTGTTGGGGGCATTAGCGATGATCAGATGGTTCACTCTCAGCGATTGGCTTGCAGGCAGTGACTTCCCAGCTAGCCGGCAAGGCAAGGCGACGATTAGTCGCAAGACAGTGCCTACCAGCCGTATACCTAGGACGGATACTAGTCGATGTTGCAGCCAACCTCTCCCATTGCTGCGCAACGCTCAGCAGTCCGGGTTACTCAAATCAGACAGGTTCGACCTGTCCATGATTGGAAATATGGATCGGGCCAGTGCACGAAATGTTGGTCTTGGAACTGAGAGGTGATGAAATTGCCCCATCAGTCCAGGTACGTATCCGCCGCACATGATTGTGGTGGTGGTGGCCAAGGGCTGGATGAAGCTGGAGCTGCCTTGCAAGCCGACAGGTTCCAATTAATACGGTGCCTTGACCTTGTCCAATCCCAGGGAAGGTCTCCAAGATACTGGGTCGATCACGTAACGGTTTTAATCCCGCTCCGCCCCCTGTGCCTGAGACTGTCCTTGCTAGCATGGCATTTTGTTCTCCTCCTTTCCTGTCTCCTGTTTTATTTTTTATTTTCCAAAGGAATTGGGACGGGTTGGCCGTGGTGGGAACAGCGGAAAATAGATGGTGGATGGGATGGTGTTTGACCATGAAGTGTGTAAGTCGCTGCGCTAGCCTGGCTGTGACAGAAGTAGGCACATCCTCGCCTGCCCGCTGTCTCAAATGGGGTCCCAAGGGACCATTTTTGGGGGCCGTCCGGGATGGTGCCGGTACTTGGAGGAGTTGAGCGCCACTGGCCGGTGTGGCAAAGAATATCCAGGAACGGTTCGATGCGGTGTAATGCAGCAGTGTGGTGCTGCCGAAAGACGATGATGTTGATGACCACTGATGGTGTTCGTACGGGCCGAGGAGTGTTTTCGGGTGAGCATGTGACCGGATGCGGAACATTGCCAGTCATTAACGACATTACGGCGTTAATGAATCTCAGGGAGGCAAGAGGACATGAGGGGATAGGATAGTCGCTGGCAAAGAGGCATGAATGCTGTTTGTTGCTGTCGCAGCTCCCTGCAATTACTGGCTGTGGATTTGCAAAAATACGTAACCGGGGTCTCAGGAATTTGGACCTTTGAGAATTGTTGAAGTGGTCGTGCAGGCAAGGCCCCTCGTCTTCGTTAATTACCTTAGACAAGTCGCAGGACCCCGAGAGTTGCTTCTTTTCCGTTGCTGGTCCCCTGAAGGCGCCAGCGAGTCGAGTCGTTGCTTCTTCCTCATCTGTTATTCCTTTTTTGGTGGATCGTGCCATGCTTGCCTTGCGCTGCGATCCCCTGTTGCTGCTCTTACCTTGCCTTACCTTACCTTTTCACGCCTTGTCATTCGTCGACGGCTGCTTTTGCCCCAGGGCGCGCTTGACTGCCAACTCCCATTTCCTTCCTGTCTTCGTCGCCGCTTCCGTCGTTCATGCGGAGCAGGAGCGCTAATACCTGCATTTTGGGAAGGAATGTGTGTCGAGGGGAGGCAAGGTGTGCGGATACGTGACTCTGCTGTTAGTTCGCTCGGGTAAGGCAAGGTTGGCACGTAGGGGAAGGAGGTCACTGCTACTGTCACTCCTACCCCGTCAAAGTATGGGGGACTGGCCTCTGGTGTCTGCTTACCTGCAGCAGGAAAGGGCGGAAGGGGATAGGAAACACCGTAAACTTTACTTCACCTACTACCTTTTCATACATCCATTCTCGCAGTAAACAGTAAATAGGCTTCCACCGTCAGCGGTTCTCGAGTCACATCTTCCACCCCCCCCTTTAAAAAATAAGAGTCACTGACCGTTGAGGTGTGTGTCTGTGTGGTGGCTACCTATTCGTCCACCGTTCTTGCAATCGTCCTGCCTGCCTCGCCTTTGCCTGAGGTGAAGACCAAGCCCGGCTGAGCCCAGCCCCCATTGGTAACAACCCCCTTGGCATGGCAGAAAGAAACAACAGGTGCTGTCCGAGTTTATTGGCTGTATCCCACCAAGCTTCTGTCTCTATCTAGGACTGCCAAAACTGTATCTTTGCCTCGCCTCGACATGCGTGATACAACAGCGTAATCTTTTCCTCACTGGTAGATAAACATCTTACACCTTACTATGGTTCGGTTCGTTGCCATCAATGGTTGTTACATGGCAAACAGTGCCTCCCGCTCCCCTCCCTAACTTCCTACCCTCCCTCCTCTCCAACACCCCAAACATCGGCCGAGCTCTGCCTTACGGATACCCTCCGCGCGTGGTCCTCACCTCCCTCACCTTACCTAGAACCGGCCAATGGAACCTTGAGCCCGGACTGGCTGGATAAGTGCAGGTACCTTGACACTGGGTCAACCTGGATCTGATCTTGAGTCGAGTCAACACACGCATGTACATCTCCAGCTCCATACCGTCCTCTTCTTATTCATAACCCCCCTCCCCTCCTGCCATTCCGTCTGCACTTGCATTCCACCTCTACCACAAGTCTACCATTCGGATCATATATACTTGGCTCTTGCCCTTCCGCTACTTTGACTCGACGACGCCTCTTCACATTGCTGGAACACCTCTACTCTCTGTTGTGTATCATCCAATATCATCACCACAGCATTTTTACGCCGTACCTCAAGCTCTGCGCCTATAACACGGCCACTTATTATCATAATAACGACAACGACCACACCGCCTCTAAGACTTACATAAATTCCCTATACAACACCTCGACCGACAGTTCTGGATGGTCTAGTGCCACTCTGCCGAGAAGAACCTCTCGACCTCTCCATTGGGCAACATTATCGGTCGCAACATCCGGTCAAAGGCATCATTTGCCCATCATAACCATTACCGCCCGCCGGATTCAGATCCTCGGGAAGACCTAAAAGCCACAGGGCTTGCGTGCCTCCGTTACGTTTGCCTCCTGCTTTGAACCTCGCCTCCCGCCAACTTCGATCTGGATCGATTGGCCATTACCAATACACACGCCGTCTCTGTCACTATCCTCGGCACCCTGTTCTCGCTCGGCCCCCAGCCCACCTTTATTTGCCTCCCTGGTCGACACGGCTACGGTGAACCGTCAGTAAGGTTCCTGGTCCTTACTTTTACATATACAGCAAAAACCAAACGGGTTACACCACAGCAATTTCCCCAGTAAGTTTATTCGCAAACTTTCGTACCCGTCGCTTTAGTTCTTTATCTTGCTAATACCGAGACAAAAGAAAAGGGAGAGAAAGGGTGAAAAAAAAGCTAGCAAAAAAAAAAAAAAGGACAAAACAAACACCCCCCTCTTTTCCTGGGACTTTGCGGCGGCATCACTTGCTAGTCGAGACGCGGACTCGATCTCCTTTTTCGGGGCGTATCCGCCGGCTGCAGTAGGTGGCCCGATTTAATAATTACCCACAAAAAGGGTCGAGAAACGTTCTGGGTGCCACGGTCCCCTACCTAACCCAATACAACGGCTACTTCCAGCTGACATGAGGAGCGCCCTTCGCTGGTTCAACCCAACAAGTACCGAGGACCCAAGGGACCCGTCGACCCGGTCCACCGCCGCCGCCCACAACAGCGAGGACAGACGCACGCCCATTAGAAGTGACTGCGCCAGCGCCGATAATATTAGTTATCGTGCGTCGGCGTCTTCGTCTGCTTCTGACCACGCCTTCGCCTCTCCTTCACCTGGCTCCTCCAATTCTACTTCCCTCACCCCCAACTCGCCCTCCCCTCAACCCCTCACGCCCACCGACTCATTTGACGTGCGTGATTCCCGCGCAGGCCTCTGGTCCTCCAAGCCAATCACCATTGCCACACCCACCCGGGACCCTTCAGTATCGTCTGCTTCATCCTCTGTCCCCGCCAAATCTAGCTTCGACAGAAATCCCTTTCAGTTACCTGACGAGCTTCTCGATTTTCCTCCTATTCCTACTAAGAGTATCGATATGACCACTGGCCCCGCGATGGATTCGGCGATGGGTCGGAGTCGCCAGGACTCCTTTGTCAGCGCTGGCCCGAAGCCCATTTCTATGGCAAACCCCAACCGCGATCATGTTAATCGCCAGCGACGCGAGAGTCTCGCTGGCAGCCTAATGGGCGGCGCCAGCTGGGGAGGAATGTCCTTCGGCAGTTTTATTCGCGATGAGTATGTCTTCCCGACGTCCCTGTCTTTGATTGTGTGTCTTTGCCCCCGAGACATTGGTTGGTGGCGCAATGTTGCCATGTACCATTCATACCGGCATCGCATCAGCTTCATACTCTAAGTTCAAAAAATTGAAAACCATACTGACTTGATGGTGTGCTAGTATTGCTATGGCTGGTACATCGCCTTTTGCCCACCAAGCATCGCCTTCCTTCCACTCCGGGTCGTACTTGCCCAAGCTAGAGGCTAGCTTCATGAAAGATTTCACCTGCTGCGGCCTTAACCTGCCCAACCTCCACGATCTGCTACAGCATTACGAAGAGTCGCACACACAACCAAGTCCGAACACTGCACGCAACGCGCCTTTCTCGTCTCAGTATGCCGCGATACCTACACAATCATCATCCAGAGCCAGCAGCGTGAGACCTCAGACACAGCAGCAAAACACAGCTTCTCTGTCGCAACTTGGTCAACAGAGCCGTCCAGGCTCCAACCTTGGTGGTGGTATGGGAAGCCTTGGGATGCAGCTTGGCCAGCAGAACATGTCCGGGCAGCAGCTTAACCAGATGTCGCACTTGGATGAGATGGACACGGTTGGCGATATGGAAATGGACGATACGCTTGGTCACATGGAAATGGATGACAGCCAGAGGACAATGTCCCAAACTCGCCAAATGTTCGGCCAACAACAACGGCCTCAGCTGCACGTTAACGCCTCGGGCCTCACTCAGGGACTGCGTACATCACAGCCACCCACTCCTGCAGCTGCAAGTTTTGGCCTGCAGCATAATCCCACCGTTTCCTCTGTCAACACGCCCACTCTTACTACACAGCAAACGCCTCAGCAACAACGCTCGAATAACGGATTTCTCCAGAACTCTCAAATGCAGTCTATGGACGACATGGATGAGGACCTACCGGGGATGCCCATGGGTGGCAATATGGAATTGAACGGATCAAACTTTGGGGATGTGAACTTTGGCAATGCCAGTTCAAACCCCGAATTCTGTATCAACGATCCTGGCAAGCACTTATTTAGCCCTGGTGGTGCGCTCACCAACCAGCAACGTGCAATCCAGGCACATCTTATTGGAATGGGCTTTGATCCTAGCCAGCCCAACAGCCCGGCCAATAAGGCTCTCATCCAAAAGTTTGGCGCTATGATGATCCCCGAAGAGCACAAGCCTTTTAAGTGCCCCGTTATCGGTTGTGAAAAGGCATACAAGAACCAGAACGGACTCAAGTAAGTGCTAATAACCAATCGTAGTGACTTGCGACTAATGGCGCCTCAACACAGATATCATAAAACTCATGGCCATCAAACGCAACAGCTACACGAAAATGGCGACGGAACTTTCTCCATTGTTAACCCCGAAACCAGCACACCGTATCCAGGTACTCTAGGAATGGAGAAGGAGAAGCCATTCTCCTGCGATGTCTGTGGTAAACGCTACAAGAACCTCAACGGTCTCAAATACGTAAGTGTCCCTTCAATTGCAATTTGGCGAGTAGCTGTGGCTGACTTGAAGCACAGCATAAAGGACACTCCGCACCGTGTAACCCCGACTTCAAGTTCCTTGCTGCGGGGCTTAATAACCTCGCTAACTTGCCGGGTCTCATGGAAAACACGATGTCTAACCTCCCCGGCATCGGTGAGGACCAGATGATGTAGTGGCAACGGCAAAAATGTTTAGCGGGATTTCTCACTGAACTCAAACCCCACGCGGCTTAGAAAGCCCACCAGAGCCATGGCGTCATAAAATACTCTGCAGCATCCTGTCCCTGGTCTAGAGCATTCCAACCAGAGCATCCTTGCCACGGAGTTGGCTTGCAGCATATCGCGCGGCTTTTGATTGCTTTTGCGGACACACTTCAGCTCGATTATCAGGTCGACCGAGTCTGCCCTTGTCCGTTTTATACCCTCATAGACTTACTAGTAACGTTTTGCAACCAACCACGATACACCCCTCTCTAGAATTAATACAGACCTCGTCGACGATTGGGGATAGGTAGCTGCGGGCAGTAGGAGGACATCATTCTTGATTGGCTTCCTAACCGGCTGAACCTCTTCGTCAGTAGTTGGCGGCCTCGCATCTACCGGGGTGACATGGACTCTTTTCTACTGTTGATAGCCTCAAGTGGCGACTTTCCGCGACACGAGGACTGGCAACTTCATGGAAGCACCGGATGTTATCCAAAGAAATACAACAACCGAAAAAAAAAAATGAAAAAGGAAAATGAAAAGGGGGCCATGGGAAAATGCAGATATGTCTGACCCAAGGTCTTGTACGAGTTTGGACTAGGAAAAGAAAAGTTCAGGATGGTTATTTGCACAAAAAAAGGTCATCGAGTGACCCCTCTGGGATGACGTTGATCTCCCGTCGGCAGTTGCGGCAGCTTGCTTGCAAGACAGTGGGTTGATGAATGCGTACATGTTGGCGTTGTATATGGGTATTGGCAGGAAAAAGTTAATATTGCTTTGGTTCGTAAATCTTAAAAATAGACTGAAATGCTCGAGCTGGTGTGCAAAACAATGTCTTCTTTTTTTTTTCTGGATGTGCGGGATATCTCTATCTACAACGTCACAACTCCAACGTACCCTAGTCAAGTCATTGCCAGCCAAACAAAACGTGTGAAATGAGTTCTAACACCAGACCATGCAAAGAATCATTGTTGTTCCGCCTTCCCTAGCCCTGAATCCGCGTAAAACATCCCGTCGTAACCTCTAATTTAAGAGTTGATCAAACCAAATCGCAGATACTTTGTAACCAGCACCATAATGTATAAACCAGCCAATGAAGTGAGCTGTGAAAGTTAAGCGCCCAGCACTCTCAATCTCGGAAGCCGAATCAGCTCATTTCCATTCCGTCTTCATCATCGGCTTCGCTATCGAGAAGTTGGGTATGATTGCTGCTGACGCTTTCCTTTCGGCTCACAACGGAGCAGCCGTCACCAAAACGGGAGCCACCGAGTCCACCAACATACTCCAACTCATCACCTCCAACGACTCGGCCTTCCATGTCAATCTCCTGAGATAGTTCAACAAGTGCAGATCGTGGTAAGCGAAGAAAGCCTTGTGTGCGAACAATACGACCCCAGTGCGTGAGACAAAATTGCGCTGCGCGTTTACGTAGCCAATCCTCATTCGCAAGCCCGGCGCAATGCCATATAATACATGCATGGTCGACGTCGAGTTCCTTTGACAGTCGGTTAACACACAACAGTCGAAGATGTGGAATTCCATAAATGTTGGACATGACTAAGAGTCCAGCTACATCGGATAACTCAGTAGTTGCGCCACTTTCGTTGACCGATGTTCCGTGAATACTGTCTGTGTAGAGGTAGTAAAGAAACGCCTTGACGACAGTGTAAGGCTCGGGAATGTGCATCTTCTTGGTATGAAACTCGGCCATTTGAGAATTGTAAAGACGGGCGAAATGCGGCCAGCGGGCCTGGAGAATGAGCTTGTGGACGTGGATCGGTTGTGAGGTGGGGGCATCAGGGGCCAGCCAGTTCTGGTCCGTTGAGGCATTCACATTTCGGCTCATCATATCATCATCTTCATAGTCACCCTCCGAGGCCGTGATGATAAAATCAGTACCGCTACCAGTCTCGGGTGGCTGATCAAATAATTTAGCCAAGTCCGCGCCAAGCCCCTTTGAAGGCTGATCAATAACTCTTGTAGTTGGTCGAGACTCAGTGCGTGGCTCAACAGAAAGGTTGTTGCCAAGGAAGCCGTATCGGCGAAGATCGATCTCCATGATATCACTAGTACGGTCTAGTTAATGAGCTGTCCAAAAATTCTGATTCCACACCACATACCTTAAATACTCCTCGAAGCCATTAGGTCCAAGGTCAGACGCAGCAGGATCGGTGGGACACCCAAGCAGCCATGCTTTCGTGCCGTCCTCGTTCATGGTACAGTAGTGCCAACGGTAGCCGGATTTGAATATTTCACGGCCCTCGGCAAGCTTTTGCCATCGAAGTGTTGCTAGGTCAAGAGCCGACAAAGAGCATTCCTTAGACGTAATAGTTGCTGCTGGCGTGACAAAGTCAAGTAATGTGCCAGATGAGTAGACGTGGAAATGGATACCAGATCCCTGTGAAGGTATATTGGGACCGGAAACAAACTTCAATGACGAGATCGTTCCTGGTGCCATTGGAGCAAACGTCTTGAGTTGAAAAGATGGTGGGTTAACTTGTTGAGTTCTAGAATTGGCGGCATAGCCAGAAGCGCCCACAGCGGGTGGTGGATGTGACAGCGCGTAAGGTTGTCTAGGCGAGCCGACTGTTCGACTGGTGCCGGTTTGACGATCGAAAACACCAACATGGGGCGAAGACTCGAATGCTGGACTCCCTTTGAGGTCTAGCCACCAAAGATCTCCAATCTTGTCCATGTCCTCAGATAGACCGCCGAAGACCCATACACGATCTCCCCAGATGTACGCTGAGTGGTCGAAACGTCCCACAAAGCGCCAGGATCGCGACCATGTAAAGGTTTTCAAGTCGAGGTAGCAGATATCGTCAAGAACATAGTTGTCATGACCAGTGATACCGCCAACAATGAAGAGTTTATCTTCGTGTAAAACAGCAGCATGTCTTGCACGTCCCTTTGGCACAGGGCCCGATACTTGAGGCTGCATCCAGTGCGCCGTCTTCAAATCGAACATAATGAGATCGGACAGGTACGTTCGATGCTCGTTTTCGCCACCAAATACAAGAAGTTTGTCGCCCTGGTAGAGGGTAGCTGTGTGGCCTACTATTGTGTTAAAAGAGGGCAAGGCGATGCATTAGGCGCAGTTGCCAAAAGTACTTACCCATCCGCACGCCGGGAATATCACCGTAGTTGTCCACCAAGCTCCATTGGTGGCTCACCAGATCAAGTTTGAGAACATGATTGTACACCTCATCAGTGTATTGATCAAACCCTCCAAAAGCGTATATCTGGTTGTTGCCGCAGTATGTGACGGAGGCATTGACTAAACATGCGGGTCTTTGTCCAAGGGTCCTCGTTACCCTGGGTCGGTATCCGTCCAACGTGCCTCGATTCTTAATCGGCGAGTTGGGCATAATGTACGTGTTATTACTCGAGGCCGCGGACCCTGGGGTCTGGTCCATCGGAGACGTCGCTGGCTGTTGCGACGGCGTGGAAGAAGAGGTGGTTGACAGAGGTTGGTTAGTCGGGACACCAAACAGAGATTGCGACAAAGGCCCGGGGGTTCCTGGCTGAGGCTGAACCATGATAGGCAGTCAGAGTTCGTGGATGCTAAAACGGCATCTCAGTCGTGTCCGAGGTCGCAGAAAACGTCTCGCAGGCTGTATGTCTGCTGAGAAGATGGAGGGAGAAAATCGCTAAGCGGGAGGCAATCAGAGACTGAGGCAGCAGAAGCGCCTCAGCGTTGCTGTCTTACCGAGTGCAGGCACAGATGCGAATGTGGATGCAGGTAGTGCAGGTGCAAGTGTAATCTCGATAGAGACAGACGATAACGAGATGGTCTGCCGTCGCACGCTGCGATAGTGGAGGTCCAGCGTTCCTGCATTGACAATCCGAGGCCACTTAATTTGGGCAATCACGGGCCATCCTCTTTCTGTCTGCGGCCTGTCCGTATCTGTCGTGGCAACTGCCATGGAGGGACTCCATCCTCTAATTGGCTTATCCACTTAACGGCAGTACCCGATGGTGCACGTGACTGCCAAAACCCTTTCCAGCGTCAGATGGCCCACATTTTATTCACTTGGCTGGCCCAAGCGTCGTTGCCCGGCCGCAACGTTGGTGGGGCACAAAGTAAATAAAAGAGGAAGAGAGCTCTCCTGTCCAGCTAGATAGCTTCTTCTCTCTGTATCAAATCTCAGTCCCCCGTTCTCGATCTCAAAAAAACCCTGAAAAAAAAAATCGCTTTTGCTAAGCCTCTGAGCTTGGTGAACCTCCTAACTCTCAGGCTCTTTCCAAGAATCATTAGGTCTATTAGATCTCAGTGCTGCCTGCAGCCAATTAATCGCCTCCATACTCCGAGTAGTTCTTACGACGGCACCTTCCAACTTTGAATAAAACAACGAAGCAGAATACCAGCCCAAACAGAACTTCAGGAACCTATTGCTAGATTCCTTGGAGCTCGTTCGACTTTTCAGAGCTCTTGATTCAACGTTCTTCCTTCCAACGCATTTCGTTGGAGAGAGAGACAAATCTCTAATACGATACCCCACTTTCAGAACCCATTATGGCCACCGCTTCAGTATCGACCCCCATCAAGTCCCATAAGGGGCTCTTCTCTTCCAGGACCGCTGGCGGTCGGATGCCCCTTACTCCCTCTCCTCGTCAGCACTCTACCACCTCAGTGTCGGCGAATCTGAACTCCTCCCCCTTTACTCCTGAGAAGCAGTCTTGCAATGACACATACCGGGCATCTGGCAAGTCCACGTATAGCGGCAACCTCACAGCACACCTTGCGAGATCGACCACCAATAAGTCATCACACCGCGACTCTCCTAAGTCCAATATTGCCAGAGGCGTCTCTACCCCTCGCAGAGCTCTGGAGCTCGGAGTGTCCGATTTCACTTTAACTGGTACTGGCACCAAGACCCCTTCCAGCTCCAAGGTCAAGAAGGGCTCCCTGAGACAAAAGACTGCCAAGACGACCGCCAGCTATGGCGCAGACCGTTTTATTCCCAACCGGGGCGCCAGCTCCGCCATCGCTAACGTTGGCAGCGGCAAGCTCGATATGTCTGACAAGCGATCCAAGAGTGGCACTAGCGAGGCCTCGAATGTTCTGTCGTCGGCCACAGACGACGCCATTGCTGCCCTTGAGGGCCTCAACATTGACGAGGAGGAGCCTGCAACCTACTCGCGTCCTTCGCCCAATACCGTCGCCTATCAAGATTCCCTTGCCAATGCTTGCGGTGTCAGCCTCAACACTCGCATTCTTGAGTTTAAGCCTGCGCCCCCTGAGTCCTCCAAGCCAATTGATCTCCGCCAGCAGTACAACCGTCCCCTCAAGCCCGCAACTGCCACTTCTGCTCAGTTCCGTCGCCGCGTCGCAACTGCTCCTGAGCGTGTTCTGGACGCCCCTGGTCTGATCGACGACTACTACCTCAACCTTCTTGACTGGAGTTCTGGCAATCAGGTCGCCATTGGCCTTGAGCGAAATGTCTATGTCTGGTCTGCTGATGAGGGAAGCGTTAGCTGTCTCCTTGAAACGAGTCCTGACACTTACGTTAGCAGTGTAAAGTGGTCTGGCGATGGTGCCTATGTCGGCGTTGGCCTTGGTACCGGTGAGGTACAGATCTGGGACGTTGCCGAGGGCCAGAAAGTTCGCAGCATGTTCGGCCACGACACCCGCATCGGTGTGATGGGCTGGAACAAGCACCTTCTCTCCACTGGTGCACGCAGTGGACTTGTTTTCAACCACGATGTCCGTATCGCTGAGCACAAGGTGGCAGAACTCGTCTCGCACACATCCGAGGTCTGTGGCCTCGAGTGGCGATCCGACGGTGCCCAGCTCGCCACTGGCGGCAACGACAACCTCGTCTCTATCTGGGATGCTCGTTCTCTTTCTGTTCCCAAATTTACCAAGACCAACCACAAGGCCGCCGTCAAGGCTCTCGCCTGGTGCCCCTGGAACATGAACCTTCTGGCCACGGGTGGTGGCTCGTATGACCGCCACATCCATTTTTGGAACTCTACGTCGGGCGCTCGCGTCAACAGCATTGATACTGGCTCGCAGGTTACCAGTCTCCGGTGGAGCCCTCACTACCGTGAAATTGTCAGCTCTAGTGGATTCCCTGACAACTCGCTCAGCATTTGGAGCTACCCGACGTTGGTTCGTAACGTCGAGATTCCTGCACACGAGAGCAGGGTCCTCCACAGTTGCCTCAGCCCTGACGGACAGATGCTTGCTACTGCAGGTGAGTAGTACACAATATTCTATATCTGACAGTGACGTATACTGACGTTTGCAATGTAGCTGCCGACGAGAGTCTGAAATTCTGGAAGGTGTTCGAGAAAAAGGCGGGAGCTAGTGCCGGTGTCGGCGGCAGCAGCTCTTCGGCCAAAGCAGACATGGTCAAGCAGATGACCATCCGGTAAATGTCTTACCGTCCAAGCCTGGCGAATGTCGGTCCAACGACATCAACAAATGTAGGTATATCTCATTCTGGCATTTGTCGGTCATGGGTTCCTAGCGGTTGGGGTTCAACTTCAGCGAGGAGTTAGGGTTTTGCTGCATCCGACTCTACGTGGCACGAAAGAGCTTCTCCACGATGGGATATGAAATTGCTTGGTCATGAATAACGGCAGACGATACTGCCGACTGCTGTTTGGCGCGGGAAGGGATTGTCATTTTTGTGTTTTAGGGAACGTATTGTACAGGTTTACAAATGCGTACTTTTGTAACAGATTACGGCATAAGCTAAGTAACAAGAAGCCGCTTGCAATAAATGAGAAAATATCGGGTTTTAAAATAACTGCAAACTTGAGAATACTAAGTATATTGTGACGGCTTCAATTCTTTAGGCCCTGTAAAAGTGATGGCAGGGGTTGAGAAGGACCCTCCTCCCCCGCATTCTCGAAATTCATGCAGGGCGTCTGCCATCTTATCACCTTATCGCTTATATGGGTCCCGGGTGATCAACTCAGCCTTCCGCTGCGGCTGCCGCCTGCGCTGACTAATGCCTAGCACGACTGCTGCTTCGATGTCGAAAGGAAATCGACCGAACAAAGGCAACCTTGACCCATACACATCACCAGCGAAAAACAGGGCCCCCAACAAGACACCCTGGCACCACCAGATCTTGACGATACCAGCGAGAGGATTCTACATAGAAACAAACTCAAGCCTTGCAGTTACCAATTTCTACGTACGTGTGCCATCTTGGGCAACGAGAGTGGTGGATTAGGCAGACGTACGCTCATCAACAATTAATTGAGCGACCTTCATTAATCAGGCAAGCGCAACCAGCCACCTGGACGCTTAAGCAGCTGCGACAACGATCAAAATATCGAGAAATCAATAACTGCAAGGAGACTTGCTCTTGGTCAGGTGCGACGTCACGGTTACTTGATCAACGTGATACACCTACCACTTTACTCTACTAGCCGACAAGAATCTAGCAGTGAAACCCACCCACGACCGTCATCATGTCCAACAACGCAGTTGGAAATGTCTATTCTCAGATTATCGACGAGGTGATTAACTCATCGCGTGTCGACTTCGAGGAGGGAGGAGTTGATGAGAACGTCCTAGAGGAACTCAAGAAAGGCTGGCAGGAGAAGTTGTCGCAGCTCGAAGTGGCAAGCTTCCCATGGGACCCCAAGCCTGAAGCCGCTCCTCCTGCCGCCCCCCCTCCGACAACTGCAGTTCCCCCACCTCAAGCTGCCCCCTACTCCCAGGCTCAATTGAGTCCTCAACCGCCTTTGCCCGGCCTGCCGCTTCCTGTCGCCCCAGCTGATCAGGCCAGGAACCTTGCTGTTAAGGAAGAGCCCTACATCAAGCCCGAGCCTGGATTGCAGAATGTCGCCTTACCTCCCTCTCAAACAGATGCTCAAGGCGCCAATCTTGCTGCCATTCGCGCTGCGCAGCATGTCCGTGGCCAGTTCGGCGAGAAGGGCGCAGGCTCCATCAACGCGATTCAGTCCTCTGCCACCAACAGGCCTGCTGGCCAGCCTCCCCTCCCGCAGATGCCTGGCCAGCCTGTACAGCAACAGTACCGACCCAGCCAACCCCAGCAGCCAGGCCAACAACAACGGCCTACGAGCAATGGCCAACCTGGCTTAAACCCCTCGCAGACTGACGGCGCCATCGACGACGACTTCGACTTCGAGGGTGTTTTGCTCCAGCGCAATGCGGACGGCACCCAGCGCGAGCTCGGCCGCGTCGACATCGATCGCATGATCCACGCGCGAATTGCTGCCAACGCGAAGAGCATGGAAGGCGGCGGACTGATGCTGCCTCTGAAGGAAGCGACAAAACACAAGGCTGCTGCGAACTCGCGTTCCAAGGGCAAGGAACACGGTGTTGCCCCTTACGACGGCTATGACGATGATGAACTGGACGATGACGCTATCAACTCGGATCTTGACGATCCTGATGAGGACAAGGATGAGGATGAAGTCGATGACGAGGGCTTAGGCCACATCATGCTCTGCATGTACGACAAGGTTCAGCGCGTCAAGAACAAGTGGAAGTGCATCCTGAAGGATGGCGTTCTCACTGTCAACGGCAAGGAATACGTTTTCCACAAGGCCACTGGAGAGTACGAGTGGTAAAGGCGACACCCCCAACGGCCATGTCCTTAATCGTGGGACAATGACAACAATCTTCTTTCGGGTGCATCAAAACCCGAACTAAGAACTTATGATTCTATAGACTGGCACAGAGTGAGAAAGGAATCACTCATCCAGAGCTCTTTGCCATCAAGTTTTTCAGTCGATCGGTTCTATTTTTTTTGCGACAATTGCTTGCGCACTTCATCCACGACGTGGTACTTATTCGATGCTAACCGATGAAGAAGAAAGTTGGATTTCACGACCGGGTTTCTATCCCCTACCGTACCAAGACGGGTCTCGTCAATTCATATCGGTTTTCGCTTGCCATTTTCCGCATATGGCAGGGGGATTCTGTGAACATGGGGTTATCAGTATTGGCGGCGAGAGCAATAGGAGAAGAGCGTGATAAACAAATTTTGATGGGGAAAGAATAAGCAATGCAGTTTGGCAGTTTGGCCCTCCGCTCAGGGTAAAGGTGAGCAAGGGCAAGGGCAATGTCAGAGGTTTCTTCGTGCGCATTAGGCAGGGGGCTTTCCTATGGAATGCAGGCCTCCTCTTACAACATGACCGAAAATAAAAAAGAAAGTGTATAACAGCACCGTAGGTGAACTCTAGAATAGAACCTACTGCCACAAATTCCCTCTGTATACTCTTTGTGACCGTCGATCTGATGTTCTCATTGCCCGTATCTACAAGCTGATGTATTGACCTGTTGGCTATGTATGATGCTGCTTACGATGACGACTCTGATCCACGACCATGTCTAATCACAACTCGTTGCCTTCATCACGCAGCCTCACGTTATGCGCACGCTATTACCTGCATGCGTGGTCTTAAGAAGAACAAGGAGCAAAGGCATGAACACTATCGATTCTTTTAATCGAATCAGCTTATGAACATGCCTCCTTACCTTGTCCCATGTAAAGCATAGCTGGCCAAACCCTCTTTGACAGTCGCGATACCAGCTGTTTCCGGCATCTCCAATATCGAAACACGATGCAAACCCATGGCTAACTCGAGCGATACTTCCTATGCAATGGCATCCCTAGTAAGAGCTGGTGTTAAAGCTTCAGGGCCGAGGCTGAAGCATAGACAAACCTATCCAGTCAGTTTGCCTCTTGTGTCGCTTTTGTCATTATAGTCTGGTATGCTAGTACAGGATATGAAATAGAGGGGGACTTTTATCCACTTCTCTCCCTCGCCACCTAGTGACATCGACTCCCATTTCAACTCCACTGATAGATACAGTGCTTGTTCTCGTCCTGTTTTCGACCCATTTCTCACTCTATGTTTAGAAGTTGGTCTGCGTTCGAATGTCTTCCACACAGACATTTCCACACAGCAGTAACAGTACCTTAGACGCTCCTTGGGACGAGCTTGTCCTCTCAATATGCTCTACACCATTACTCGGCCTTTAAGAACCCGCTTCGGATAGACGACCTACTATTTGCCTTCTAGCTATTGACGACGATAGGGGTTACACAACGTGTGTTTTGCTACTAGATGTAGGACTTGATATTTCTACCACCCATGTAGCCCCTGCCACAGCAGGTACATGTAATTCATGTCAAGCCCAACCGTGTAACATAACATGAGACGTACTCATACCGTAGGCCAGCCGCTCGGTTTATTCACAAGCACAAAACAGAACCAGTGAGCTCGAGATATCCCATAAAGGAGGGACGAAGACCTGGCCGCCGTTGAGAAAGATTGGCAACATCGACGTGACAGCACGGCAAGCAGCCACGACGTTCATTTCAACAGCAGCAGAAGTGAACTTGTATGTGATATTGTATGCGGAACTGGTGGTGAATAAGGCGGCCTAAACAGAGCACTCACAACCTGCAGAGCCCAGCGTTACGGGTTGCTACTTGGGTTTATTCGCACAATTACAACATCATCAAACTCGGGCGTCGTCGGCCGAACGACCAAGTGGTTCTCTACCCCAGGATCTGGGTCAACTCCCCACCCCCCTCTTTCTCCGCGGACTATGCATCGCCGTGGTTGTGGCTCAGAAGACTGTCTCAAATCTGCCTGGACGGCTTCAGTAATATATTCAGATATACAGTCTACAGTAAACTGCTACCAGGGCAAGTGCAAGAACCAAGATGTGCTTCACGGAAGACTTCCAAGAAATCATCGGCGACAGACGCCGCCGGTCACGACCCGCACAATTGCTCTGTCAGTGCCACATCACAATCGAACACGGCAAATCCGTACAACTTGAAAAACATTACCGAAAAACGATTACGCGCACTACTCGCCTCGCTTGCCCTTTAACCGGGCCCAAGAAATTAGTCGGCGGGCAGCCAGATTGTGGGCAGACAGATCGTTTGTCTGCCCGCAATCTGGCTGCCGCTGATGTTGCGGAATTGAAGCCCGAACGAAAGGCGGCCGACGTCTGACAACCCCTCGCTCGGCTCGGGAAAGAGCGTACGTACATATCTGCCAGAAAAGGAAGAAAAGGAGCAAAAGAAGCTCGCCTCTATCTCGGCCTCATTCCGACAACGGTGGAGAACCGACCAAGTGCCGACGTTGCATGTTGTGTACGGGCTACACAAAAAAATTGCTAGGAAGTACTACTCTACAATGCTAAGAAGCCGAGGCTGGTCTCCGATGAGGTTCGGGCATCGGTACCGAGCAAACACCGGAGAGAGAAAAGTGAGAAGAGGTTGGCATGTTCGGATTGCGAGCTCCTCTTCCAGAGGGCCTTGTGAAGGGGCTGGTCTGTACATCTGATGAGCATCGTCAAGCACCCACTTGATTCCCTAAACCAACCGCGTGCTTTATTTGGTGTGTTGGGGGCCCTCGTCGCTTTCGAAGACAGCCCGCAGCGGGTAATTGTGCAGAAGGGCAAGGAAATCGTCGCACCAGGGCCGCCTTTCCGCGAAAACAGGGTTTCATTTTAATTGTATCGCCGTTTGAGGAACGCTTCATCTAGGACCTGTCATGGCCCATGGGATACCCCCTTCACGACCCCGTTTCGCCCTTCTGTGAGCTGAGCGGCCCACTGACTTCAATTCCGCACCCCCATATTCCTGCTCGGTTGCTTATGAACAGTGACAAGGTGATAAAAGTCAGAAAAAACTCAAGACGAAGGAGATGAAGAAGAGGGTGGGGGGGGGGGATAAAAAGGACGTTGTAACATGTATCGATTGAGTGCCACGCTAAAATAGGCCCCAGTAAGTAATGTTATAGTGGCCTTTCCCACAAAACGTGACTGGCGTAAGTTGTTGACTCCAGCCTCCGGGTCAGTCCTCGTACAAACATACATAAGCACAGGTACGGCCCGTTGAGGGGCCCAGATGCGCGTGCGCTGCAGCAGAACCACGATGGGACAGGGCAGGGCTCGACGGGAAAAACCATGTCATGGATGATCCCCTCCCACACTCTCCCTGGGACGGGCGAGACGCCTGCTTGGATCATGAATCACACCGTCAAGTTGTCCATCTGGTCTTGCCAACTTGCCCCGAATGTGGAAACCCGCTGTGGTTAAGGCGCTTAAACGCACTTCTTTGTGATTAACGATTTAGATTTCGACCTTGGCAGCATGGCGGCGGCGAAACGCCCGTCGCATGACACCACCGTGGTCCACCAGCACCCAACCCTCAGGTGCACACCAGAATGTGTCAGCGCCTACGACCAACACAGGCAGCTCTACCTGTGTTGATATCACCTTTGTCAGAAAAAGCCTTGTGTAAATTCTCTTGTCTCGTTGGTGAGAACGGAAGAAATAAAAATAGCGACTGTTCAGCAACAGCATGAACCGCTTGAAATGGACGGTACCCCAACGCAAAGTATTGCTTTATCCCTCAACGATGGCCAAGGCCGATGGTGAGGATCAACATCGAAGGTCGCACAGGTCCCTGGTGCCTACCGGACCAAGAAGTACCAATACGGCAAGGTCTTGGGGCACGGCACCCGAGTCAAAGGTGTATGACCGACGAGAAAGGTTGACTCGAGATTCATCGGACGCGTAGCTGTCTAGTGAACCGTGGCAGGGGCAGGCCATGGTTAGCCAGTCGGGGTAGGCACACATTACAACTGCTTGTCAGCGCAACATTGGATGACCAGTTGTCCAAGCATATGAAATCAGACCCGAGAGTTTGGAACCGCTATTGCAGGATTGCGTCCAGGATGCTGCGCCCTGTTGGTCAGCTTTGCTCGGAGATTTTGCTCTTCGCCTGCTCATTGTGTCGGCCATAGATTGCTCGAAAAGGAAACAGTGTAATTGACGCAATCAACTGTGGGCTTGAAAACCGAGATTCCCGCACTTGGTCGTATTACGGATGATCAAGTTGTGCCGCTTTGCTTCGTCCGCTGGCCACACACCAAATATATGCGTAATTCAGAATTGCCTGCAGATGGCAATCGTATCTCAGAATATTCCGCGACTGGTACTCGATGGGGTTCGCACCACATTGAGTGTTAATCGAGCCGGGGTCCGGGGTCGGTGGTGCATGGTCTTGAATGGACTCGGTAGTTCTTATACAGTTGCAGTGGCGTGAATTCTGTCAGCCGATGTTGGCGCTCGAGTGAAATGAACATTTGATGCAATTGCGATCGGCACCACATAACTCAGCGACCACTATGTTAGTGATCCCCAGGCTGACCGCCCCCTAAACCAAACTTGTGGCGGAAGCTCTGCCTGTATTCCAAAACGGGCCCAACCAAAACGCTGTGTCTGAAATGCAACGTCGAAGTTTAATCATCAGAGTCTGGGGGAAGCTACCCTTGAGAGAGTGTATTTCTATAAAAACAAAAAATAAAAACGGCCCGGAAACACAACCATGGTTTAACAACATCATCAAAGAAATCGTCTTTAACTTCCATAATATGCTGCTTAATCATAACCTGTTTAACACCTTTAGAGGTTCGCTGTGGAACAAGAGCGTTCAATCTAACGCATACTGGGTCAGTGAGACGAAGAGCACGGTGTTGGACCATGTTTAGTTTTCCTTTTAGTATGGCCTATGCCATTCTGGTAGTGTCCGTGAGCA